TCCGCATCCGCTGGCATTTCCGGGACTCCCCCTCTCAAGCGTCTAAATTCTACGTTCCCAAACGAGAATGGCAACCCCCTCTGCGCCATCGCGACCCAGTGATCGAGCGTGGTCTGGCCGCAGGCAAGGACTTATTGTTCTCACAAGTGGAGGCAACGGTCCTACACCTCGGACAGACCCCCAGGCCGAACCCAGGCCTGGCAAAGATCAACGATTTTCTCCGGCAGTCACAGTCCCTGGTGAAAATCACTGACAAAAATCTGGGCGTGGCAGTACTTGCCAAAGACTGGTACCTCGAGCGATGCGGACGGCACCTCAGCGACCGAAGAACGTACGCTATCTTCGACGCTGCGAACCTGCCGGACCTCCGCGCCGAAGTCCTTGAGAACGTTGGCAACTTGCCATCATGTTCGACCTGCCAAAACAGGTATCTGAATTTTTATTGTCATCCCGGGAAGATGCGGGCATCCCGCAATTTCACTGCATCCCCAAGGTGCACAAGAAAGAGTGGAGCTTGCGACCTATCATTCCAAGTCATTCATGGGTGACGAAAAAATGTTCGCAAGTTGCGGATTTCCTCCTTCGTCAATGCCTCAAAGAGACCGTCCCGTGGTGCGTGGAAAGCACACGAGAGGTGATGCAGAGACTGGAGGCCCTCCCCCCTTCTTTATCGGATCAAGTCTGGCTCGTCACTGGTGACGTGGGAGCCTTCTACACAAATGTTCCGATCGACGAAACCATCGAGAACATCAGTCATGCTCTCGGAGATAAGTCGTTTGAAGGCATTCCGACTGACATGCTGAGCCAACTGCTTAACATCGTCATGAAGAATAACGTGTTCGAGTTCAATGGGACTTTTTATCATCAAGTGGAAGGCGTCGCGATGGGCACCTCTTGCGCGCCCGCATTCGCGAATCTTTCCCTTGGCTTCAAGGAAAGGATGTCCAACATGCTGGCGGTCGGGGACACCGGTCTCCGGTTCTACGTCCGCTACATGGACGACATCTTTATGATATGGTCCGGATCTCGTTCGTCCCTAGATGTCTGGCTGGAAGGGTTCACCCCCAACCTCGCGCCTTACCACATCACTTGGGATATTCGTTCCTCTTCGCAAGCGACTCCGTTCTTGGACGCAGAGTTCTTTTACAGAGCAGGGCGCGGGACTCTGGTCGTTACACACCAGGGTCTATCGCAAGCGAATGAACAAGCATCAATACATTCCATGGTCCTCTGCTCACCCTGAGACGGTGAAGCGAGCTTTCGTTAAAGCAGAGTTGACCCGCTTCATGACCATCTGCTCCCATGAAGAATTCTTTGAGGAAAGGGTTCGGGAGTTTTATGAAGCGCTCGCTCGGAGAGGGTATCCAGCGAATACACTCAGAAAATGGAGAAGTCTGGTGACATACAAGGACCGGGCAATACAGCTCCTTAAGAAAAAGGACTCGAAGCCTGGGCTCCCTCTGATGTTGCCATCTTCATATGATGAGATTTGGGGAATATGTTGATGTGAAGAGCGTCTTGACAAAGATGAGACAGTTTGGCAGACACGCGGGCCAATCCCCGAGTCTCTCAACGGACCTCTCATCAAATCGTTAAGACGGACCGAGAACCTTTTTGATAAGATCTCGGCCTGGAACAAAGCCGTCTTGGCAGGCAATGAGACATGAGTTCCCCCTGGGGGGAACGCGTCGTCTTATGTTTGTTTCAAAACGTCCCTCTTCAAGACTAAAGGGAAAGGAGTTTAAACGCTACGTCGGCCATGCGGTAAAATGCATACCCTTCGTACTGTCCTAACCCTAACCTTAACCGTAACCGCGCAGTTTTCGAACTGGCAATGTCGGTCTTTCTCTCGTTTCAATGTCGGTATCTCGCCGCTCTCGTATGGGAGGTTCTTTAGTGCTGCCGCAATACAGGCACGTCGTCGCCCCGACCGGCTGCTGCGAAGCAGTGTCGGGGCCGACAATGACGGTGAACCCCCGGACCGATGAAGTGGGAACCGTGCACGTCGGCCCCGAGCCCCCCGCATGGGGGGCTTGGCGCCGTGGCGCGTGCACTTTGGACAGGCCCGGAATGGAAAAGACCGGCGGCAGGAGCAGGCCTGCGAATACGGTGTGGGCCCACTCACACCGCGCGGATTTTCAGTTCTCCAATGAAAATTGGAGGTGTCAATCTCTCTCGTCACCCCCGCGTCAGCTGAACATTCGTCGCGTTAGCCGGTGCGGGCACCAATGGGAGGAGGACAATTAATGCGCGAAGGCTTCGGCCTTCGCGTTTTAATTTACTCCGTCCCTCGGTACTCGGTGACTCTCAACAAGATAAATGTCCCTGAGGAGCCCTCAAGGGCGAAACTCCTCTGTCATCTCCCCAGATCAGAGCAGTCGGACTTCTTGTTGCTTCTCAGGTTTTCCTCACCAACACTTTTCAACATCATTATAACCCTAACCCCTAACCCTAACCCTAACCCTAACCCTAACCCTAACCCTAACCCTAACCCTAACCCTAACCCTAACCCTAACCCTAACCCTAACCCTAACCCTAACCCTAACCCTAACCCTAACCCTAACCCTAACCCTAACCCTAACCCTAACCCTAAGATTTAGGAGAACTAGTACTTAGTGAAAAGAAGAACTAACCTTCTTTAAACTAAGATAACTAGCTACCTAGTAATCGTACCGCTATAACCAAAATACCAGTATATAGCTACAGGCTATACGAATTTAATTACAGTATTGTAGAGCCCCCCAGATGGCCACAGCACTAGTAATCTGAACTGTAGGGTTTAATAAATAGTATATTTAAAAAGCTATAACTAATTAACTAAAATAGATATTAAACTAGGAGTTTTAAATCTATATAGATTAGTATATAGCCTATTCTACTATAATATAATATATTAAGAATCCGATTATATAGATCTAACCTTAAGCTCTAAAGTAGTTATTGATAAAATAGATAGGAAGTTTAGGAGTAGTAGTAGGAAGATAGAGTAGGATATTAGTTACTTCTAGGTGAAGAAACCGCTATTAAGCCTCCGATAGTAGCGAGTATTGGTTATAGGGGTATAGTAGCTATTATAGGTAGTAGCCGGTTACTAGAGTAGATAAGTAGGTATTTATTATATCTTTTAATATATATATATATTTATTTATCCAAGTATAGACCTCTCCACTTAGCGGCTCTCTATTAAAATACATTAAGAGCTTAAGACTTTGTTTAAATGATGCTATGCGGTTAATTGTTAATAGTAAAAGTCAACGATTTCTCGAACCTATCTCTTATCTAGAAGCTTTAAAGGTCCGTTATATCCGTACTCCCTACCTCTTAGTAGTCCCTTGCCGCTACTATAGGCCCTTACCGACAACTAATATAAGCCCTTACCAGCAACCAACTTGAAACCTAACCAGCCACTACTCTAAGTACCAAACTACGTTAACGGAGTAGGGCAGAGATATTGGTTGGCCAAACCTATAGATAAACGGCACTATTTGTAGGTGTGTCGAATCTCAGGTACAGGCTAACCGAAAAGGCGGCCTGTCGCTACCAACAATTATAAGATATTCTTAACCAGTCCCGCAACTCAGACGGCACCACTGTCTTATAGTTGGCCCGATATGTAACCTTAAACCCTGTTATTACGTTATAATTCTCTCTCTAAGAACAACACCTCTTACCAGAGCTTTATAGGCTCGATTAACGGAAGTTATAGGTGTTCCCCTCCTCTAAGCTAATCCAGAGTATGTTTCAGGACCCTAAACGCTGCCAACCCGCGTCGAATCTGCGTATCGCTGAGGTAACAAAATAAGCTAACGACTCCTGAGAGCGCCTCTTGTACTGTTGCCGATGAGAGGCAAGCTGCCGGAGCTCTAGGATGTAAGAAAACATTTATGTCCGTCTAACAGTCTTTTGGGTGCGCCTATCAAATTAGAAGCTCAGATATCTCCAATACTCACTTCATTACTTTATCAAAACGACCTATCCTGCCGCTTTCTCAGTCATTTCATCATTTGTTTGCCTTCTAGCGCTAAAGTTAATTATAACAATTACCAATCCTTTCTTCTTCTAGCTGGAAGTTCGAAATTAAGCAACGAAGAATCTACCTAAACTTCTGTTTAACACTACATTTAAGTAAGACAATTTAAAAGCTCCTTAAGTAAATGTAAGAGTGCCTACCGGGATTATAGTATTTAGCTTCCTCCAGACAACTTATTAAAATCGGACAATATAACGGCTACAACAATACTTGCCTCGTCCGGTTACCCGACTCCGCCTACACCGGAACTGGCCGAGTCCGAAGTGATTATAGCCTATACAGAGGCTCTCGCATCCGGGGTCACAATAACATTCATTTCTATATAGGATAACTCCTTCTCACTATGTAAAGGCATTAGTCGACATAACATCTCATTCCAAAAGTCCAAAGATCCAGGCTGCCCAGCCGCAAGGGAAAGGCCGCACACCCTAAACAACGGTAGAGGCTGTGTTCTTAGGGCCCGTATCGAATGCAGCATGCACTCGAGTCTTTGAGTCTGACTGTCTTTCACATCTGCATGGGCGAGTTCTCATTGATGTAAGCGGTCCCTGTCAGCATTTTCGGGAGTTCCCCCGACCCCGTCGGTAAACAGCGGCAACCGAGCTTTGGGCCGCTCTTTTTTTACCAGGAAGTTCACCGCAATTCGCAAGGGCCCAGGGCTGCTTTCATTCGCCCCGGGCCGACGTGCCAAGACGTTCGACTGCTGGTAGAAAGTCGACGTTTCTCACCACTCCAGCGGCGAGACGGGTCAAGAGTGCTGTCTCTTATTTACAGAGGCAGCCACTGAGGCCTCTTCCCTTGGCTGCATGTCCGCCACCTTCACGGCGGCACCGCGCCAACCAAAGACCGTGTTCAGTGGGACTCGGTGGTCGCGAGCAAGCGTCACGGCAAATACGAGGCCAAGTGCGCCTCCTCCTTGGCGCTTCTCGTATCCCGTTTTGGGCACCACGCGGATCTTCGTAGGGCACGCCACCACGTTTCCCAACGTCATAGGAAAGGACCATATTGCGACTATAAAGCTGCAACGCGAGGAGCGACAGGATTCCTTTTCCGTTTCCCTCAGATCAAACACACTCGCTTAAACCCGTAACACTATGCAGCTCACTACCGCTATCCTCTCTCTCTTCGCCGCTGCCGCTTCGGCGGCGCCTGCGAGCGGGTCGGCTTGCCCAGCTCCGACACGCAAGTTCGGGATCATGGCGCTTCGGTCCGCCTCCCCAATCCATTTCGCAAGCGTCGGCGCCTCTCAGAACGGAATTGCCTTGAACCTTCCCGATAATAAGCTCGATGCCAAATGCACTGACGGGAAGGCGAGGAAGGATGCCACCTTCTACATCAAGGACGAGGAGCTGTACCTCTACGGCAAGGGTGACGTCGTACAACAGTTCCTGGTCGACCGTTCTGGCATGGGTAAGGGCTCGATCAATATGCGTTTTTAATGGTAGCTGTAACTAACGAGAATAACACAAATAGGCCAGGGCGTTGTACGTTACTTCACCAAGGGCCCTACCCCGCCCGGTGGTAGACTGGAAGTGAAGGGCTGGGCCATTGACAAGAATGACAACCTCGCCTTCAACGGCACCGGTCTCCAGGCTTGCCCCAACACCGTCGACGGCTCCTGGAACATCTGGCTCAAGGTCGTCGACAAGCCAGCGCAGCAGGAAGGATGCCTGCCATTCACCGGCCGTACGATTACCGCTAAGAAGCCGGTGCAGTGTACATATAGCGATTACGTTCCAGCCTGAGAACCTGTCATTCTGTCACTGGTTTTTGCTGTATGGGTTGACTGGGCTCCTGAGATGGAGTCCATCTTCAGAGGATGAAAAGATGTCTAGTTGCGAACAATAGTAATAATTATGCATCCTGGGTTACCGAACAGTAACGGTGACATTGCCCTTGATGTCATTGCTCGAGGCCCCAACCATAAACATGAACTCCCCCGGTTCAACCACGTACTTCATCCTCGCATTCCAAATCCCGAGATCTTGCACCTTGACTTTAATGCTCACCCGTTTACTCTCCCCAGCCGTTAACAATACCTTCTCAAACCCTCGTAACTGGATGTTAGGGACAACGACGCTGGCAATCAAGTCCTTTACATAGACCTGAACAACCTCCTTCCCATCTCGACCGGACGTGTTTTTAATCGTAGCACTGACGGTTACAGTATCCGCGACTCCCACTTCTTGTTTGTCAACAGCGACGTCGCTGTAAGTGAATGTCGAATAGCTGAGTCCGTAGCCAAACTCGTACAGCGGTCTCGGGTCCCCGAGAACATACTGATGTCCGAAAACAAGTGTGCCGTTTTCGTAAGCCACTCCGGCGTCGGGCGAGGCGCCACGCCCCGAGTTCGAATAGTCGTAGTAGACAGGCAGATCTCCGACGCTACGGGGGAAGCTCACAGCGAGTCTACCACTGGGGTTTGTGTCACCAAAGAGAACCGAAGCCAGAGCGGCGCCGCCTTGCTCCGAGGGGTAAAACTGCTGCACCAGAGCGGCGGCGTTGTCCGAGATCCACGGCGCGGTCACTGGTTTGCCTGAAGAAAAGACCACGATGGTCGGCTTTCCTGTCGCGATAATGGCACGAACAAGGGGTTCTTGGGCGCCGACCAAGTCAAGGTTGTTGACATCGACATGCTCTCCCGTCGTGGCATTCAATCCCTGCCAGAGTTCGTTCTGATCGCGAGACCAAGTGCCGACTACGACAACAGCAACGTCGGCAGCCTCGGCAGCTGTGATGGCCTCAGAGAATCCCTCTTCGGAGGTAGACCAGCGCTCACACCCTTTGGCGTAGGTAATTTTGCCGTTGCTGAGTTCCTTCAGACCGTCGAGGGGTGTAATGCCGCGGGAGGAAGAATTGACGGTGACGTAATCTCCATAGTTCATGAAGCCGTGTGCCATGGGCCCAATGACAGCGATGGACGCATCCTTGCGGAGTGGAAGAACGTCGTTGTGGTTTTCCAGCAGGACGATGGATTCCTCGTCCAGCTTTTTTGCGAGGGCAAGGTAGGCTGGTGCGTGGATCACCTTGTTGGCTTCTTGTAACGGGAGCCCAAAGAACGGCTGCTCGAAAAGGCCGAGTTCAAATTTGGCCTTGAGGACGCGAGCGACAGCCATGTCGACGAGCTCCTCTTTGATCTTGCCGTTTGCGACCAGCTCCGGGATCTTTTCGAACGAGTAGGATCCGCCTCCCATCTCCACATCACCGCCCGCTGGGAGGATGTACTGAACGATGGCCTCCTTGTCGATCGGGTCCGCGGCGCACATCCTGAAATCCTTACAGAGACGGTCCGAGGCGCCTGCGTCAGTCATGGTGAAGTACTTGTATTTCCACTCGTCTCGGAGGATGTCGGTGAGCAGGTGCGGATCGGAGACAGCCGGGATGCCGTCATAGCTGTGGTAGGCCGTCATGATGGAAAACACGCCGCCGTCAACAATGGCGCGTTTGTATGCGGGGAGAAAGGTCGTCCGCAGTTCCCGCTCGCCTCCATGGGTAGGCCCGGTGTTAAGCCCTTGTTCCGTCACGCCAAAAGCGGCAAAGTGTTTGACCATGGCGCTAACGCCAGCAGACTGCGCGCCCTTAACATAGGCGTGGGCAAACTCTCCGGCGAGAAAGCCATCCTCGCCGTACATTTCCTCGACTCGGCCGTGGCGAAGCTCGCGTGCCAGGTCGGCAACCGGAGCAAAGAGTTGGTTGACACCAAAGGCGCGGGCCTCTTCGGCAATGGCGACCGCCATCTCCTCGACCAGGGACGGGTCCCACGAACAAGCATGGGCGATGGGCGAGTTGAAGATAGTGGCATTACCTACATAAACGGTCAATTAGTGACTGCCTGGGTTGACGACTCCACGCTGGATTACACAAGACTTACGGGCAAGGAAACCGTGGATGCCCTCGGTTTGCACAAATGCCGGAATGCCGAGATAGGTCTCTTTCTGAATGTAGTCTTGGGCGGCCTTGATATGTTCGAGGAGCCACTCATTCGGGACGGGCACGCCAACATAGAAAGCGGTTCCACGGTATCTCACGCTCCATTCTAGACCCGTCTGGTTGAGAGCATTGGTTGATTCATTCATCCAGTTGCGGATGTCCCCTTGGAGAAGCTGGGACGCCTTCTCTTCGATGGTCATCCGCGACAGTAGGTCGTTCACACGAGCATCGACCGAGGCTTTGGGGTCTTTGTAGACGGCATCTTTGAGGCTCGGACGCCCCTTGTCGGCAGCCCAGGCGGCCGCTGCAAAAAGCAGCACCGATAACACGAACCTCATACTCGGTATTTGTCTTGAAGGGGCAAAGGAGCGGCGGTCGACCGGAAGGGAGAGGAAGTGGGAAGGGTGAGTCGACCATGGAAAGGGACAAACATCGCATGCTTATTATGGGTAAAAGTAATTGAGTAAATAATACTTCGAAAGGCGACGATCATAGGTTCGGTTAGAGACTGCCAATGTTTTCCGGGACAAGCGTGACATTGAATTCCAGGATGAATGTACATACATAGGTACATATGCGGACAGGGAATGCCGCGGAAGCTTGCATGCTCGCATCTGCTGGTGTCCGCGGGCCGGCCGGGCCTGGATGCCGATGTTGCGATGATCGATCGCCAGTGGCCCAAAGACCATCCATTCGACTTCCCGCGCCTACGTACGCATTCACGTTGATGTTTATTCCCCTGCTTTACCTCATGAGCTGTTGTATGTGGAGATGTCGCCGTCCCGCGCCTTGCGTGAGCGGGCCGCCGGTGTTCCACCAATCATCCCCTCGGGGTACATTCGCCCGGTTTCCGAACCGCGGGCGCAATGCCCCCATCAAGAACCTGATGCCGATGCAGCCGCAGAAGCAGACGCACCCGGGTAGCATGCCGACCCATGGACCCCACAACTGTGTTCCACAGCCTCCAACTCAGCGAAACCGAGAGGAGTATGGCAACTTCCCCGACCCAGGATGACTTGAACGAATGTGCCTTTCAACCAAAGGCACCCGTACCCAGACAGTAACCAACAACTTCAGCTTCCTTGAGACGCCTCGTCAAGGCGGGAGTACTTGGCTCACATATTCACACAATGAGATTCCGCGACGGTCTGTGCCCCTCCTTACGTTCTTCAGTTGAGCAGTCGTAATTCAAGGTCTGGAGAGTACCTGACACCCAACCTTCCAGGACAATGGCTGGTGGCCGAGGGGGTGCGCATCGAGTATGCCGAAGAAGTATACCGCATCACGCCGACGCCATCGGGCAAAGGAATCAGCCTCCTCTGCCCGACACGCAAGATCATGAGACGCGGAGACACGCTGAATTTGGCGACACTCAGTGTGGTATGTTGGAATAACGTAGGCACCCGGCCAGAACATTGCCCTAACTCGCCGATGCGCAGGACATCGAAGCCGTTTTCGACGGCGTCATCTCCGTCGAGGCCACACATTGGCAAGGCGCCGTTCGCCGCGGCCCCGATTTCGATCTTTTCCCAGCGGGGCGACCCGATATTGATGCAAAGGTCACACGCAGCGAGAATGGCACCACCTTGTCTGCGGGGGGCCTTTCGACGACTGTCAGCGGCAAGCCGCACGAGTTCGACATCTCATTTCACCCGACGGACAACAAGAAGCCCCTGACCACTCTGCTGAATCGGTCCGTTGGCTTGGCCTACGCCCCAGCGCCGAGCACGCCGATGCAGTTGGCCGACATGCGCAACCTCAAGCATTACATTTTCACTCAAACAACACTTGGGGTCGGCGAGTCCATCCACGGCCTCGGCGAGCGTTTCGGCCCTTTCAACAAGGTCGGCCAGAAGGTTGACCTATGGAACGCGGATGGGGGTACCTCGTCAGACCAGGCATACAAAAATATTAGCTTTTGGATGAGCTCTCGGGGCTATGGCGTCTTCATCGACACTCCCGATCGCGTCGAGCTCGAGATCGGAAGCGAGCGGTGCTGCCGCCTCCAGACGAGCGTCGAAGGCCAAAGACTCCGTTGGTTCATCATCTACGGCCCCTCGCCCCGGGAGATCCTCCGCAAGTACTCGATCCTGACTGGCGCTCCGGGCGGTGTGCCGAGCTGGTCCTTTGGCCTCTGGCTCAGCACCTCCTTCACTACCTCTTACGATGAAGAAACGGTGAACAGCTTCCTCTCGGGAATGAAGGCGCGAGACATCCCTGTCGAGGTCTTTCACTTTGACTGCTTCTGGCTCAAGGCCTTCCAGTGGTGCGACTTTGAGTTCGACCAAGACATGTTTCCGGACCCCAAAGGCCAGATCTCGCGCCTCAAGGCCGACGGCATCGTCAAGAAGGTTTGCGTCTGGACGAACCCCTACCTCGGACAGGCATCTCCGGTATTTGCCGAAGCCGCCGCCAAGGGCTATCTCCTGAAGCGCAAGAACGGAGACGTGTTTCAATGGGATATGTGGCAGACGGGCATGGGCATCGTTGATTTTACCAACCCCGACGCCTGCGCCTGGTATGTCAGCTGCCTAGAAAAGCTATTCGACATGGGCGTTGATTCCATCAAGACGGACTTTGGCGAGCGCATCCCTTCCGAAGACGTGCAATGGTCTGACCCTTCCGTGGACCCCAAACGGATGCACAATTACTACGCTTTCATCTACAATAGGGTGGTCTACGAGACGCTTCAGAAACGCTACGGTGCAAACGAAGCCGTCTTGTTTGCCCGCGCCGCCACAGCCGGCACCCAGCGATTCCCCCTGACTTGGGGTGGCGACTGCGAATCCACCCCCGAAGCTATGGCCGAGTCACTGCGCGGGGGCCTGTCCCTTGGCCTTTCTGGTTTCGCTTTCTGGAGTGTCGACATTGGTGGTTTTGAAGGACACCCCCCGCCATGGATCTACAAGCGATGGGTAGCATTCGGCCTCCTCTGCTCACACTCCCGTCTCCACGGGTCAAACTCTTATCGTGTACCCTGGACGGTTGACAACGACGACAACTCGGAGGAAGGATGCTCGGCTACGCTTCGGAAGTGGACCCATCTCAAAGCCCGCCTGATGCCATATCTGTTTTCTCAGGCCCAGCAGTGCGTGCAGACCGGGCTCCCGCTCAGCTTGAGAGCCATGTGCATTGAGTTCCCCGATGACCCGACGGCGTGGACACTGGATCGCCAATTCATGCTCGGGGACAGCCTCCTCGTTGCCCCCGTGTTCGAGGAGGATAATACAGTCCAATTCTACTTGCCCAAGGGTAGCTGGACCAACCTTTTCACAGGAGAGGTCAAGAGTGGCCCCGGGTGGTTCACCGAGACTCACGGATTTGGGACGCTGCCGCTCTATGTCCGGCCGAACACCTTGTTGGTCCTGGGGAAGGAAGGTGAAACGAGAACCGTATATGACTACTCGCGAGACGTTGAGGTCAGGAGTTATTTTGCAACGGATGGCGCAACCGCCATCTTGGTCGATAACCAGGGCAGCACGCTTGGTACTTTGAAGGCAGAGAACGGCGAGATTATCGGGAGGGAGCTACTAAAGGGCGACTCGGTCTTCACCACTGTCGTGAAATCCTAGAATCGGGAAGCCTTCGGAGTCATGTCAAGCGAGAGCAGGGTTTACGGAGGCATCCCTCACCAAGCCCCCTGTAGGTAACTTTCCGTGAGCTTTCGCCTTTGGATCACGGCTGGGCGTAGATTAGTGAGGACACTGGTTTGAAAAAGAATGGCGATTGGTCCTCGTTTAGGTACTCTACTCGAGACTGATCTCCGCGCGAGTTTGCAAGTATGTTGGTTTTCTCTGAAGCATCGATTCCGTATTTTGTATTAACTGGTGATCATCGGTTGAGGAGTTGAACCCACCAAGCTCTCACTTGTAAGAGCGTCCCTCACGGTCGGGGTCTTTGGGGTACAAACTTCGATAACCGGCCCGGTTCCCCGAGCCTCTGCCACCACGCCTCGCATTCTGTGAGGGGCCGGGACCTGCGTCCGGGCAGGGTAGCAGGGCCGAACCGGTCTCATACTGTGTAATGCAGCGAGAAGGCGGGAGCGACCCTGGCTCTAACCACGGCCCAACCCTGGCCGTTGCCCGCATTCAGAAATTTGGCCGACTCGGTCGGCTTCTTCGCCGCCCCCGCTCTCTGGACGACCAGGAAAACCATACGTTAACCGCCTTGCTTTTCTAGTGCAAACCCTTGACGACGGCTAGGTGAAAAGAGAAAAGCGAAGGAAAAGACATGGGGTCCGATGGCTCTCCAACACCCCCCGGCACTGATCTCCGCGCCTGCATCACGCAGAGCTCACTGGTGGCATTTTTAGAGGCGCACGAATCATATCGCGGTTAGATGAAGCCCAAAGCCCCACAACCTCGCCTCCAGAAGGGCCGTGAGCGAGGATTCCCGGGCGACAGTGCGATTCACACGATGCCCGCCGAATGATTGGGAGGCCGGTTGCCTCCATGTCCCAACGGTGAGTCGGTGATAGCTAGGAGGTAGTCGCGAGCGACGTTCCGACAACCGGGAAAGCGACCCAGCGTCGCAAAGACCTTGGCGACGGGGAGGGATGTACCTCTCACTCCCCGGATATAAGTACTCACGGTAGCGCCCGGCGCCTCCCATGCGTCTAGGTGGTGGGTGATGCGACGTCCCAGTGAGCAAGGCAGTCATGGGGAAAGCTTTCAACATTTGCCTTGCGGCATTCGCCGCTACCGGGTCAGTGATTGGGGACGGCATCATTCGAACTAATCGGACGAGGCCACTAATAAGAGATTGATAGGTCATTTTTATTCGGCTACGACTCGGGCGTAATGACCGATGTCATTGCCTCACCCGACTTTCTTGACTTTTTCGACACCGACACTGGGAGCCCCATCATCGGAGCCATCAACAGCACATTCTCAGGGGGGGCGGTCTTCGGCTCGCTGATGGGCGGCCTGACGATGGATAGATTCGGCCGCAGAAAGACAATCATGATTGGGGCAATAATTGCCCTTGTCGGCGCTGTCCTTCAGTCCGCTGCCCAAAATCTTGCCATGATCCTCGTCGGCCGTATCGTAGCTGGCTGGGCGGTCGGTCTTCTGAGCATGTCAGTCCCGGTCTATCAGTCAGAATGTGCCCACCCAAAAATCAGGGGCTTGATAGTCGGGATTTCCCAGCAGATGATCGGGGTTGGTTTCATTGTGTGAGTCTTGTCCCTCGACATGTTGGAAGACCTCGATTCATAAAGGGTTCGGGTATTGACTGATGAAGCACAGCTCTACTTGGGTGGGCTATGGGTCTTCGTATGCCCAAGGAAGCCTGGCACAATTTCAGTGGAGGTTCCCGCTTGCATTTCAGGCCGCCCCTGCCCTCCTTCTTGTCTGCGGCATCATGTTCTTTCCGGAGTCTCCCCGCCATCTAATGGAGGTAGACTGCGAGGAAGAGGCCAAGCGAGTTCTCTGGAAGTTACACTTTGACGGCAGCAACGAAGAGTGGATTCAGCAAGAATTCCACGAGATCAAAACAACCATTGCTGCTGAGAAGGCAATCACCGCGCCGGGATGGAGGATCATGTTCACTGTCCCGCAGTGGCGAACACGCCTCATGCATGGTGTTGCCGTCCAGGTGTTTGCCCAGTTCTCCGGTATCAACGTCATTGGGTGCGTGTTGAGTCCGATCAGTTTAGATTGTCCAAGTTTGGCTAATATGTGACGACAGGTACTATCAGACCCAAATGTACGGGGCTCTCGGGATCACCGGGAGCCGGGCTCTGCTGGTGGCAGGCATATACAACTGTGTGGGCCCACTCGCCAACCTAGTCTTCATCGTCTTCATGATTGACCGTGTCGGGCGCCGCCGTCCCCTTATATGGGGTACCGTTGCTATAGCCATCGCCCTGATCTGTGAGTCGGCCATCACCAGCCGCATTGACCCGAGCAACCCAGACCACGGGCTCTCCATCGCTGGAGTCTTCTTCCTATTCTGCGTCACTGTCATCTTTTCCTGGTCCTGGGGCCCAATTTCATGGGTCTACATGTCGGAAGTTATGCCGCTGTCGATCAGGGCCCGCGGTAATGCTTTCGCCACTGGTATCGGCAACTGGCTTGTATCGACTTTCTGGTCTCAATTATCCCCTATGGCGCTGAAGGAACTGGGATGGAGATTTTATTTCCTTTTCGTGGCCTGGGACATTGTGATCACCATCCCAATCGTTTTCTTCTTCTTTAAGGAGACCAAACAATTGTCCCTGGAGGAAATTGATCTGTTGTTTGGTGAGAGATCACTAGGCGCCCTACCGAGGGAGCTGGACAAAGGGGACCGACCAGCTTACTCGGCTGCGGAATGAGGAAGATAAAGCGGTCTGAGGGACTGGGAGTCATTCCACGACGAGAGGTACCGAGGTTGTATGCATTGTCATTGCTTTTAGATCAATATATTCAAAACACGTTTCTACTATCGCCTTCATTAGCCATTGATTAGCTTAAATTATAAAATCATAAACACTATCCCGTTTAGAGTCTTAATTACCCCAATACTTGTTAAGGGAATCTTCGTACCTCGCCGCCATGACACGTCGCCTCGGCTTCGCGAACAGCTAGAACTTGTCATCTCGTTGCCAGCTATTATCATTTAACGGGAATTTTCGTAGCTAGGTACTAGGTAAAGAGGCACAATGACTTGGGCAATTGGATCGCGGAACCTTGCTTCATATCACGGTTTATCTCGTTGAATTTCCAAATTCGCTATGCGAATTTGGAAAGGAGCGTGGTACAGTTTCCAACGTCAGGTACCTTACCTACCGCAAACGTATTCCCATGCTCATAGTGAGCAACACTAGCAGGGACGATGTAGACAAGTATGATTCTCACATGAAGTGGTTGTCGCGACTACCTAGGTATAAGGAAAGTCAATCTATTCATGTTCGCTAGGCTACCGTAGACCCCCATTTGCAAACGGAGTACCGTCTTGTCATGTTCCTTCTTAGCCACCAACCCACCCCTTCATTCGTGCCGGAACGGCAAGGTTGTTCCAAGAATTACAACCGGTTCCAATACATAAAGTACACCCGTTGATATAGCTAATACGGGGTCTTGACATAGGCCTCCGCTAGGAAGCCAAGCAAGGCAGGGCGCATCAAGTGAGACTCAGCCGTAGTAAAGACGGTTAGCTCGCACCAGTTTCCAACCGAGGGGTTCACGTTCCCGGGCTGCGGGCCGATGTTGTGTTGACTGAATCTCACAAGTACCAAGACATCCCAGTCGAACAGGGCGGCATATTGAATCTTGTTGTTGAGAGCGTAGGCAGCGACTTGCTTGATGCACTTCAACGAACTGCGTTCGAAGAAGCTACGGTCGCCACCAACTGGGGGCCTTTTCATCGCTGCGTCAACGGCTTGCTTTACTTGGGCGGGGTTGGTTGTATCGACAGGCTTGGTGGCAGCTGCAAACTGAGCGTTGCTGAGAACGCCGCGCTTCTTGAATTCGATAACAGCAAATGCACGTCCTGGGTTCCCTTGTCGATTTGGCGACTTGAAATACGCGATATCGGTGCGCATACGGCTTTTCTGAAACTCGGACTGAATCGTGATACTGCGAGCAAGGTTTTGGTGAAAGTTGAGTGCCTGGCCAACCGGGTGCATCAGGTAGATACCCGCAGCCCGCACGACGTCTGCCTCGCTGGCGTGGTACATGGAATCCTCCTTCAGACTGATGTGTTCATCCTCCAATTTGTTGCGGATTCTCCCGGCGGCTAATCGCCCTTCCTTGTCCTGGTCAACCTTGTTCTTTCCAGCTAGCTGAGCTTGCTGTGCGGCGCCTTTGTAAGCATTGTTCTTTGCGGCGCGGACGGCTTTCTCAATGTCGTTAAGGAACTCCCTAGCGTTGTTCAACCAGTGTTGTTTGGGCAGTCCAACGGCAAAATGAGGCGCCTTTGCCTTCTTCGTCGACTCACCCAGTTCCGAGGCATCTTGGTGGCCAAACGGGTTGGGATAAATCGGCATCGGAACCGAAACTTTGAGCTCCAAGGAATCAAGAACTGTCGGGGGGGCCATGGTGGGACGGGTTGGCGAAACAAGGTAAGCAAGCAAAAAGAGGTAGAAGGTAGGCGGTTAGCGTCGGGGAAACTGTCTCCTTAACCAGAACAAGTCACCCGCCGGCGTCGGATAGGAAGTGAGGGTTAACGATATTTCAGGGATGGGTCTGTAAGTAGATCAATGAGGAGATGGTAGTTTTGAAAGACTGCGGTGATGTCGGGCAGATGGTTGGAGAGTTGATCCAGTTGCAGTGTACGATGACGTTCTTATGACTTTGGAATAGGATAGCAACGTTAATATATCAAATTGCATGTTACACCCCCAAGATCCCCCTCCGGGCCCTCGTCCTCAGGTACCTGTGTTTCTCTGTCTTGAGTTTCAAGGCCCCGGGTTGTTGAAACTGGTCTTGCGCCAACAACACAACTTTGGAACGGCGTCGAAGAGTTTCAAGGCCTTGCGGCTGGTCTTTCTTGGGCCAACACCGCAACTTTGGAACGGCGTTGAAGAGTTTCAAGCCCCTTGCGGCTGGTCTTTGCGCCAACACCGTACCTCTGAAACATCACCACTATTGCTCGGCCTTGGTCTAGTCGGAGAGACCGTGTGCATGTGGCGTATATTGTCCAAGTCTCAAGGTCTTCTAGCTACCTAGGTAGTCTGTGCCAACACCGTACCTCTGAAACACTACTAGTGTTGGTCGGCCTTGGTCTAGTTGGAGAGACCGCGTATATGCGGCGTATATTCTCCAGGTCTCAAGGTCTTCCAGCTGGTCTTCGCCAACATCGTGCCTCTGAAACAATGATCACAGACGTTGCTCGACCTTGGTCTAGTTGGAGAGACCGCGTGTATGCGGCGTATATTCTCCAGGTCTCAAGGTCTTCCAGCTGGTCTGCGCCAACATCATGCCTCTGAAACAATGATTACAGACGTTGCTCGACCTGGGTCTAGTCGGCGAGACTGCGTGTTTGCGGCGTATATCCTCGAAATCCCGAAGTTTTGCAGCTATTCATGCGCCAACATTCCACTTCTGAAACATCGCCGTAGCCGCTGAGAGCCTGAGCGTTGGTCGTTCGAGCTGCGCACATGCGGCGTATATTCCAAAACTGTCACGCCGGCGCGATTGTGGTTAGTCTTGTCCCAAAGCTGTAAGTCTAGATTGCCCTAAACTAGGCCTCGGTGTATGCGACCAGACGGGGCGTATGCGGCGTGTAGGGTATCAGATGAAGGCGCGGCCTCGGTTTCAGTCTCGGCCGAAATAGACACCAATGGCGGCTGGAGCGGTCGCAAGAACCCGTTCTCGGCCCGGCCTTCTGATGTGCTGCACTATACGCATCTTACCTAATCAATAATTTAAACATCATGGGACGAGGGAGGGGCAGTCGCAGGTACATCGGAAATTGGTAGGGATCAATTAGGAGGTCGGTACATCTCAAATGCGTCGGACACCCCCGGGGTTCATCGTGTGACCGCCCTTTTTCGGCCCCCAGCTCGATAATTTTCTTTGTTGCTGGGCCCACTTCGTTCCCCTCACAAAAACCATGCTCACTGAGCGATCTGCACCTCATATTTCAATCCCGACCTTGCTCACCACAAGCAGAATCCTCATCCCCTGCCTCATTCACATTTCCCGGCGATCGTGATGGCGGGCACCACGCCTCCGTTCGCAGTTTCGACAGCTTCGACATCCTGGAAACCCCCTCTCGACTCCGAAAAGCCTCATTGCCCATATACGACCAACTTCAGTGTCAACATTACACGTCATCATCCTCCTCCGCCCTTCGGCTGCGAGGAGTATGGAGTCGGGAATTGGCCGATGAATGTCACCTGGGAATGGCTCCGGTCCGTTACACAAACCAAACACGTCCTACACTATCCTCCATTGGAATCCGGGACCCCTCTTTCCAGCCCCCAAACGGCAAAACTCACAATCACCAAACCCATTGCTGTCGAGGATGGCCGAGGCCCACAGATAGCCCTGTGCTCGATTACACTAAACGCCGCTGGATCAAACAGCAAATCTTTCACCGCAGTCGCCAAAATATTCGACCCGCTCTACTATTCCTTCCGCAATAAACTTGCCAGCCATGAGCCAGTGGACGTCGCATTCGAAGCAGACGGAGACTACAGTAGGGAAGCGGCGGCCTACGAGCACCTTCAGAAAACGCAACAAACTGGGTGTTTCGCCCCCAGTTACTACGGCTCGTGGACTTTCAACTTGTCGATTCGCCATGGTGGCGTGGTTCGACATCGCCCTATCCGTCTGATTCTCATTGAGAACCTCCACGGCGTCTGCATGCGCGATCTGTGCAATGACCCTCGTTCCCTAACCTATGATGAGGGATATCGTCTTGGAGTCCTCGCCAAAGTTATTGATGGCTATGTGAGACAAGATCACCAGGGATGCCTCCAAGATGATTTAGCACCGCGGAATATAATTCTTATCCCAGGACCCCAGCACAAAGCCGGACCGCAGCCTATTCCGCGTGTGGTCCTCATTGACTACAACAATGCTATCGTATACGATAGAACTATCGCGGGAAGGAATGCATCGGATATCACCAAACTCCCGAAGAGCCCCCTAGATTGGTTTTGGGACGACACACTGTCCCAATTCGACGGCTGGAGACCACCGCAGTGGAACGCCAACTACCGTGTGGTCCAGAAGTGGCTGCTCAGAGAATTCCAGGGGAAGAATGCATCTTTATATGAACCGCCCCAGAGAGAACTGACACTGGACCCTCCGCGAGAAATTCCAGCACATTGGTCAACCTCGGAGAACACCTCGGTATGCTAATAGGGCAAGATGTAACTACCTAGGTACCTAACTAGATGAATAAGCCTTTGACATTTGCAACCTTCAATAAAGTATTTGTTCCAACTGTGGTTATGGATGTGCACTATCCGATTCCTTGAAACACCTGAACCAACTACTATACCAAGTTAGTTCGTCGGCATTCTTTCCGGCGAACGTCCGCTTCGTTTAGCTCGTAAACCCCTGGACAATGAAGTCGGTGGCAGAGTCGATGTAATTAGGGCGCATGTAGGTGAGATGGTAAAATACACACTCCCCATCTCGATCACAGACCTTGAAAAGCTCCGGTTAGCCAATGACTGCAATTTTGAATGTGAAGTTGCAATGGGAGAGTTCCTCGTACCGGGTCACCATCAGCGCAGACCTGCATCACCTTCCCATTCAAACCAATAGGGAATCTGCTCAGTGTGTCTCCAAGGCGGTGATAACCATCCCCGAACATCACAAGGGATTTGATTCGGCTGTACAATCGGACTGGGATATCTTTTGCGGCAGCGTGCATGACCCCTGCTCCCTGGGAGTAGCCGACTAGGGAGAATGTTTGATTTGGGCAAGCAGCTGCCTGCGACCGAAGACGGTTCACGACATCCGAGGAACCCTGGATCGTCCCGCTAACGATCTCTGCGCTGGCAGGGTACTGCTCGAAAGGTTAGACGGTCAGAAAAGACAAAATCCCCGGCTGAGAACATCCAGCAATCCGCCGAGTTACTTGCCTGGACGGGGTACCCTCTGGCGCCGGGAAGCTTGAGGGTTGTGTTGCTGACGATAGGGTCGCCGACCACAACGCCAAACTTCCCACCGCCCGCGACATAGTTTGGCTCACTCGTTCCACGAGCTGGGTGGTCATGTTAGGCATTATTCCCTCGAGTCGAATGCAGGAGGGCGGATTATCTGCACTCACCCACAAGGATCTCAAAGTCTGAACAGCCCGCTGGAATGTGTTCTGGATGCATGGGGACCGGATCGCCCATAGTAACCCCGGTTTCTGGAAGCTCCGGACAGTTTTCGGGGTCTTGAGCAACCCCCAGGGTAAAAAGCATGAAGGGGATTACGATGAGCTTGGGAGACAACATGTTGGGTGCTGATGAGGGAAGTAAAACTCAGGTTAACAACTTGAAGTGCACTCTTGAACACTGGCGCGAGACCTCTGGGACCAGAATGAAGATGCGATATTGTGATGGGTCATTTATGTGTCTGTGGCGAGCAAACAAACGCAACATTACTCGGCATGGGGTCCAACCTCGGGGCCTCGGCTGTTGGGTTAGGCTTTGGAGTTTCACATATTTCCCCTTTGCGACGGTGATTCTACACCACTCGCAAGGTATGCTACTATAGGGAATGCCATTGGTACATGAGAAGCGGGGACGTTTTCACTAGGTTAAAACTGGACTGTGTGGCGGTTTAAGAAACCACCGGGATAGCCAAGTACCTCAACACACTTTGCGTACATGTACCTCGGCATCGTGCATTGAATCTCGGTACATATCAACTTAGACGATGCTGGCTGGTAGGCCCTACTCAGGCATTCACAAGCTGTCCATCCCCGCGCATCCTTCTCCAATCGCATCCGATCGCTCCCTCTACATTACGCTACGGCGATGTCGGGATAAAAGGCCAGAAAAGGTAATACATACATCCCAGGCGGGCCGAGCCCGCAACCAGTCGCAAAAATTACCGAATTGGTGCGACGCCCGAAGAACTGCGGCCGCGGTTCATTCCCAAACAAATTGTTGACATGCACCCCTCTCCGCGGGAAACGCCTCGGATGTCATGGTAGGAGCGTCCTGGGGAGAATCGAGGAAGTTAACTAGCATCCTCCTCCTCCACAGCCCCCCCCTCCGCAACCCCCACCTCCGCAACCCCCTCCGCTACTACCTCCTCCACCGCAACCACCACCACCACTACTCCCACCACCACCGCCGCAACCACCTCCACCACCGCCTCCGAAACCACCACTGCTGGCGTCACTCCCTCCAGGTCGACCCCATCCGTCACCCCCGCACCCTCCGTAATCACCTCGATGGTCCGGGCCGAACGCGTTCCCGCCGAATGAACCTCCTCTCAGAGACCCAGGTTTTGTATATCCCAATCCAGCTCCCCAACACTTCACTGGTGTGGCACGGCGCCATTTCCCCACCACTGGGGCCGCCATGATTTGAGCTTCGGACGGCACCACACACAACATGCCCCTTCCCAGCACGTCACCTCTCAGCTGATCCGCCCGGGCGACACACTCATTGACAACGGCTTTTTCAGCTATTGCCACCTGGTCTGCCAACTCCGCCTCTAGGACGGATCTCTCGGCTTGAACCTTCCGCCAGCGAACTTCTTGCGTATTCTTAGCTGCCACAGCTTCGGCTGCGATCTTCCGCTGCTCGCCCAGATCCCCCTCCCTCTCGGTCTTTTGATTTCCGGCCTCGAGAACCTCGGCATCCCTCCGTCTCAGCTCATCTCGACTCTTTTTGGAATAGTACTTGTACTTGAAGACCTTAACCCTTGGCCGCACACCGTCCCGCGCCCGCACGCACGCCCGAAATGTATGGGACAGGACATCAAGCTCACTCCTGATTGTCGCCTCCTTGCTTAGCTCGACCATGGCCACGTTTTTCGCGTTCTTCATATCGAGCAGCATGCCTGGTGTGTCATGCTCACTGTCAAACGCCGCGAGGCGCCGCTCTCTTTCCTTGCATTTAGCAGCGTAGAGGGCCGATTTCTCCTGCAGCAGAGCGGCAACCTCGGCAGGGCCACCCAGGAATAGCTCGTGGTATGTCAGCGCCCAGCGCCGTTTGGTATCGTCCAGGGCGCTGGACCGGCCAGGCGCGGCGATAGTGTCGTCATGGTTAACCGGACGGCCGACGTGGGCGCGGCAGTAGGCGTCGTAGGCAGCAGGCGATAGCTGATGGGTGTGCCAGATGAGGTCAATGTCGAGCGTCGGAACAAAAACGGCTTTCGGGTTGTCCTTGATCAACCCCAGGAACTTGAGGTAGCGGTCCTGGTAGGCCTGGAGTTGGACCGTTGAAACTGTGATGACCTCGGCCAGGATCCGCTCAATGAAGCCGAGCTGGCGCAGCGGTGCGTCCCAGAGCCCAAACACGTGCTGCCCAAACACGGCCTTGCAAAAACGTGCAAAATCCGAGTTGTAACCCCCAAGAGCTGACGAAAAGCTTGTCTTGCACGAGGGACAAGCTGGGCTGTGACGCTTGGCGAGGCGGTAGGCAGACCATTCGGCCATGGGGATAATCTGCCTCTTACCTCTCTGCGCGTTGGTGGCGCAGTGGACGGAGCCGCATTTGTAACCACGGAGGTCGAGCGCGCATGGGACTTTTGTCGAGATACGCGGAGCCCCGCCGTCGGCGGCAAACTCGAAAACTTGGTAGGGAATGCTGGGATACATGGCCTCCCATCGTCGCTGCGACGACTCGTCGTTACGTGGGTGTTTCCTCAGCCGAGCGAGAGGGAAGGAGATGCGAGCTTTCCACAGGCGCGGATACTCGACATCCATATCCTTCTTGAACCGCTGGGGCGAGAGCATGTGAATGTAGAACATGAGGGCGACATCCCAGGGCGGGAGTGGCCAGTCCTTCCCTCCCGCAGCCGGGCTGTGTTCCAGAATCCAGTTCTCGAGAAATCGGAGGTAAAATGAATACCGGACCTCGGCGTTCATCAAGAAGGCCTGGAGCCTCCATTGTTTGTTCGAGCTTTTGGTGGGCACTGAATCCGTGTGTGATGTGGGATACGTGGCAGCATAAGGCCCTGGCGATTTGACATGGTCAATCAAAGCACAAAATCTCTGGAGGATCCAAATGTGGTCCTAAGACGATGCCGGTGCAGGCCGGTTAGCATGATCTTGGAGCAAGGGAAAAAAGGACACCTCAGGCAGAGGCAGGCAACTCACAATGACATCCTCTGAGGAAAACTCTTTGGCCGGTGGGAATGCCATCGTGCACAAGATGAAAATATGTAAGACGCGAGAGACGAGTCTAAGTTTGGCGGAGGAGCTAAAGCAATAGAACTTTCAAGCTGCCTTCTCTTTGCGAATCCCACATGTACCTCGACTCCCGAGTCCCGTGCCGTCACGCTGCTTTTAACGTCGCTGCCCTACGATGTGGGTACAGCCCATCCTTTTACTGGGCGGAGCAAGCTAAACCTAGTGTGGCAGAGCCTTGTGACACTGCTGAAATGCATGACTCAATTTGGAGACCGGCGATGTGGCTATGCCCGGTGTCTAGGCGAGGCTAGGTGCGATAGTTAGGGCGACTAGGTAGGACGCGGAAGATCCAACATGGGTGCGGGCACCGAGGATCACGACTCTATGGCAGCAAGGCACCCATAGCAACCGGGCGTTGCGTGCAGCGGACCTCTCACCGGGCCAAGCGTACATGCTTACCCGATTCCAGAAGTCCCCAGGCTGCCGTCAAATACTTCACCTCATTGGAACTTCAAACAGGTAATTATGGAAGTACTCGAGATTAAAACCTTCACAGCAAAAACCTAAGCAGAGTAACACCCCATCAATGCTTCAACGATTTTGCTACTGACGTAAAAGGGAGACAATATCCAAGATACATCATGGTAAAATCAGGACCTATATTTCGGCCACCGCACGTTCTTGTAGGCCGCGGCAATGGCTGACATCGGGGCCATATTGTGCCGACTGCGGTGGCCTGTCGGCCATTTTGCACCGCTTATTTGGTACAGTCTGGCTACGCCCGAATGATCCTTCGGACCTATATGTAAGACAAATGGTTGCAGCTCCACTAACCTCAAACAAAGCCGATCGTTATGCCAAGTTCTATACTTTATCTATTGAGCTTACGCCCTTACAAGCTAGTTTCAGTTAGCTGACAGGACGGTAGAGGTGAAACCTTCCAAGACTAAAGCAGAGCTATAGGCAGCTTCGGCGCAATATTATGAATTGGTATATATCGACCGCACAATAACTTCAACTACATTCCGTTCTTTAACTCTCTGCCCTGCACTACTGTTACTACCACGACATCGATCAACTATTTTAGGCTATCAGTCACTTCCCGCCGTTATTTAACCCATCCCCAATAGGTACCCACCAACCTAGGTACTAGAAATGAACAACACCGGGAACCGAACGGGTGGCGGCGGCGGTGGTGCACGAAGGACGGCACCAAGTACAACAACGAACAGGACAGCAACGAATGGGTCAGCAACGAATGGGAGACCAACAACGGGAACGACAACATCGGGGACAGCAACAAGCACTTCGACCGGCTCTCGCGTCGTCGAGGCGGCCCGTAGAGCAGCCGGCCCTGCTGGTAACATTATCAGCGCGGGAGTCAGCGCAATTGTCGGCGAGGCAACAAACTTCGACAGCTCACCTGCGAAGTCCGTCGTCAAAAAGTTGGCTCAAACCCTTGGGGACACTCCCTACGCCATCGTGGGCACCTGTGCTCTCGGACTTCTAGATATCAAGCTGAAGCGCCCTGTCGAAAATGTGGAGGTGTTTGTCCCTACCGGCAAAACCAGCAAGACAGCCAAGGCATTGTGTGCTCCCGAGAATAACGGCTTCAAATCCTCCAACTCTTCGGGCAACCTCCGGGTGTGGCACGAGAACGATAGCGGTAGCAGGGTGTCCGTCATCTTTAGGGAGCCGACAAGGCTTCACCAGGCATACCCGGACGCAAATGGCTTTTTCATGGTTGGCAGAGTACGTGTCCTCAAGGCTTCACTGCTTCTCAACATCCGGTGTTACTCTTGGTCGCAGAACCGTTCGAATGGCAACAGGGACAAACAGGATCAGGACGCTGCAGACATCGACCACCTTCTGAAGTATATCGCTTTGCAGACCAAGGACGAGTTGCCTAATGCTACAGCTGAGTTCCTTCTCAAGTTTGCTGCCTCTAAGCCTCTTGTCCAGGCAGGTTTCCGTTATATTGGTGTTCCCCTGCCGATGTAAACAAAGGTGGAGGTTTCAATAGGATATAGCTCAAGTCTTAATCCAACAATTCGCGTTCCGGGCTGGTCCCGGTATTGATTTAATATATCATTCCAGCTCCCCAAACTTCCCAAGTGCTATCTTGAGCACGAATCCAGCGTCAACTTATTTCCCGGTTCATGTAGGGTACCTAGGTACCTACCCAGGTACCCGGTTAATATTGCCGATGAAGCAACGTACAGCCCATTCCATACGAGTCATACCCTCCATTCGTCCGCGTTGAGTCCCTTGGCGGACTTAGACACTAGAGGTTCCTCCTCGGATATAGTCCTCGGTGGCCGATTCGCTGCTCACTTTTAATCATTGTCCACATGCCCCAAAGTCGATGGGGATTCTGGTTTCCCATTAGGTACCTTCAAAGGGGTATTCCAACAACCCCTTTTACACAGACCTCGCACCAGCCCACGATTGTGGTTATCCTGGGCCAAGAAGATGATAGCACTCTTGACAGCAGTGTGCCACGCTGTTTATACCTTACTTAACCCCAACCCTATCCACTGGACCCTCTGACTCTCCTCTGGGTGGACAAACTTCAACGTCGGGCCTCCATCTCCTCCCAAGACGTGGGGCCAGCAACCCCGCACTCCTGTCCATGTTCTTGACCTCCCCGAAACCCGTAATATCCCCCTGGTTTAGTCTGTTCGCGCTCGGCACAAATTGCTCCCCTTGAGAAAACCCCCCATAACAACCGCACCAATGTCTTCCCACGTCCCCGAGGTGCTGATGAAAAAGGTAGACGATTATGTTGACTCGCTGGCGCCGCAAATCCAACCTCGCATCGCCCAAGAACTGGACGTTTTTCAACAGAAGACCATCGACAGCCTAGAGGGACAGGTAGTCGATGCCTTTCGTTCGCTTTTCAACAAGGACCAAGCTGCGACAGGTGGTCATGCAGGCAACTCGAGGGGCCTAAACGACCGAGTCCCAGATGCATACGGCGGCGAATCGTTACCCTTTGCCGACGAGATCGCCGACCTGACACGCAGTTTCACCAAGATTGCCGGTGGAGCGGGAGACGACCTACGCGACATTTTCGACCTCACCGAAAACCGAGAAGCTCCGCGCGAAACACGTTCCCGTGGGTCCGAACCGACCGATAACTTGAACGTCAAGGGTTTCCTCTCAGCCGCCGTCAACGCCGTTCAGGACCACCTTGAAGTCAACAAAGGCTCAGAACGGCAGAGTTTCCAGCTAGACGGACTGCTTGGCGTCCTCAGCAACACCGTGAAGGACGCCGCGCGCAACCCGGAAGAAAAAGCCCGCCTGATTAGCCCTGAGATCAAAGACAAAGTCGGCGCGAAGCTCCGAGAGCAACATACCCCTATCGCGGAGCAATTCACTCGGATTGCTCTCGATCATATCAAACGTTGGCTGCGTGGCAACACAAGTACACGGGATCTCGGTGACGGCGTCAAGGGAGAGATTGAAGACCAAGTGAAAGACCTTGTCAAGGGACTCGGAGGCCTATTTGGACACAAGAAGAATCCGAGCCAAGGAACTTCCAGGGGTCTCGAGGACCAAGATCGCGACGGTGGGGAAAAAGAGAGCGGTGGCGGTTTCTCCAAGGTCATCAGCGAGAAGCTCAGCACCGGGCTTGCGAGAGTGCACAGGGAAGTGCGCCTCGAGTTTCGAAAGCTGTTGGGCGGAATCGAGAAGCAGCTTTTCGAGTTGCTGCCCGACCAGTTCCAACGGCCCCTCGAAAAGATCCTCGGTGGCAATCCCTTTGATTCGCAGCTCGACCGCGATGCCGAGCCCCAAGCCAACCGTGGGTTTGGTGACGACATCAAGGCCAAGCTCGTGGACAAGATCCGAGGTCTCGTGCGAAAGGTGCAGGAGACCCTGCGCGAGAGCATCTTGGGTGTCGTGAACGGCGGACACCGCAAGTTCGAGCGTGAAAGCTGGGTCTTCGTGCAGAATATGGTGGAGCAAAAGGTTCAGAAATACCTACCCAAGGTCAAGATATCCGTCCCGGATGATATCGGCAACGAAGGAGTGAGCGTAGGAACACCGAGCTCCGGCATCCAGCTCGGAGGTGGCCACCAGGTTACACCTCACCACCCCCCTCCTCCCCATGGCGGCCACCCCCCTCCTCCCCATGGCGGCTACCCACCGCCTCCTCCTCCGTCTCACCACCAGGAATACAACTCTGCACCGCAGCAAGATTACCGACCTCAAAGTTACCAACCCCAGCAAGAATACCAACCAAGCCATTACCAACCGCACCCGCAACATCATCCTCAACCGCATCAAGCGGATCACCACGCTCAGGGTTACCAAGAGCCCCAGCCCCATCAGCAAAGCCAACAGTATGGCCAGAACCCCGCATATTGAACGCCGAGCCAGGTGAGCCAAGGCCATTGACGCAATGGTTCAACAACCTTGCACCGGAAGTGCACCGTCAGGGCGGGAAACCAGAGGACAGGCAATGTTGGCGCTCTTGGCAGTTGGCGCCACTGTCTCACGTTCGGTTCAATGCAATACAATACAACATTCCATGCCTACCTACCTTATCATTCACAATTGAAAAGTCGCCACCAGTTTTACTTGAACACCTACATTGTGTAGCGGTCATTCAATCCCAGCGTGTTTCTCCGGTTGTGGAGAGGAATCGCATCTCCAAACGCTTTCCAGTTCCAGGCGAACTTCGTGACCTCATGTCGAAACCCGAGCCGGGAACGCTTGAAGAGCCTTTGCGATATTGCCCTCGGCTTCACACACCACCCTCACAAAATACCAACACTTGCGGTGGGGTTGTTGTTATCCCCAAGATACCTAAGTACCTAGGTAGGGAGGTAGGTACCTACCTAGGTACCTGTAGCTTTGGAATCGTGGGCCCCCCCGAAGCTCGTTTGCTCCCGAGTTGTTTTGAAGCCCTGGCGAGTGCCAGTCCCGTTGAAAATAACTCGGTCCGTAGGTACCTTATTTATTTTCCATTGCATTTGCCACGCCAAAAAACCCTGATTCTCACAATAAACAACCAACGAATACAAGAGGATGGACACCCGCACATAGAGACCCGAGATATCCGCGAGCACGAAAAGATATGGTAGTCCGGCAAGGCCGCCTTCTCAGTGCCGGGGCCCCGCGCCAATGTGCCTAGGCGGCTCGGCGGGGAGAAGGAAGACGCGAGCACTGGCGAGCAGCAACGGGCTCCATCATCTCTCTCTCGGCGACCCACATGTCGTTGTTGAACTCCTCCCAATACGTAATTGGGTGCACCACCTGCGTCTTGGCTCCCTGTTCGGGATGTTCACCGAGCAGACTCGCCATCCGCCAAGACCTATGAAGCGCGGGCATCTCATCTGGCCCAACGGCAGCACGAAAAGCTTATAAAGTCAGGCATTGTTTTCAAGCATCGACACTCCTTCCTCGGCTCCTTTTCGAGACATGAACCCGATGGACCGCTATGGAAATCCCCTTGGGCTTGCGTCGACAAAATCCTTGACTCCAGCTCAGGCCTGACTTATAAGTTATTTATACCCACCATGGCGGCCTCGAACCACGCCCGGGCCGCCGAAGGTCATGTCTCGGGGCAGTCAAACGAGCCACTCTCTCTGCCTGCACACTGCTTATCATCAGCACGGGTTGGCCAGGAACTGAAGACCGAGATCAGACTAGGTCTAAGTTCCTCCGAGGCCGCTGCTCGCTTCGACAGATACGGTGCCAACGATCTCGGCAAGGAAAAAGGGGTTCAACCCCTTGAGATCCTTGCGGCCCAGGTTCTCAATGCCATGACCTTGGTAAAGTAGCTCCCTTTTCTCTCTAATGTCTTTCCCGAAATATACGTACTGACTCCACGTTCAAGATCCTCGTTCTGGCGCTTGCCGCGTGTTTCGGCATTCAGTCGTGGGTGGAGGGAGGCGTGCTGGCCGGCCTGATTCTCATCAACGTCGTTATTGGCTTCCTCCAAGATCTCCAGGCGGCGAGGACGATCGCTTCGCTCAAATCGCTAAACGCTGCCACGGCCCGGGTCGTCCGAGACGATGGACTCATCTCCACCATCGACGCAACCAAACTAGTGCCGGGTGATATCATCGAACTCAAGGTGGGCGACAGTATCCCGGCCGACGGGCGTCTTATCGAGGCTGTCAACCTCGAAGTCGACGAGGCCCTTCTCACAGGTGAGAGTCTCCCGGCTCGCAAGTATCCGGACGAAATCTTCGACGGAGACACCGGGCCCGGGGATCGCTTGAATGTTGTATTCTCCTCCAGCATCATTACCAAAGGCCGTGGGCGCGCCATCGTCTTTGCCACCGGGCCTTTGTCCGAGATAGGCGCCATTGCCGCTGCACTCGGCGATGAGGGAGGCAAAAAGCGCAAGCTTGTGCGTGATGAAAACGGCAACGCATCCATCGCATGCTACATGTCCTTTGCAGCTGGGAAGACGTGGGACTGGCTCGGGAAATTCCTTGGGTTGACAGTGGGAACGCCGCTGCAACGAAAGCTGTCCCAACTCTTCTACTACATCTTCGGGTTTGCCGTCGTCTGCGCCATCATTGTGCTCGCGGCGAACAAGGTAGGCTACAAGTAACGAGCGCGCGTGCGTGTTATCTCGAAAAAGAAACTTGGTTAACGTAGCACCACTTCAGTTCCGAGCTCGAAACGATGTCATCATCTACGCGGTCGCCACCGCACTCGGCACACTTCCTGTCACCTTGATCCTGGTGTTGACCATTACCATGGCAGCAGGGACTAAGGTGATGGTACAACGAAACGTTGTTGTCCGCAATATGCGGTCGCTCGAGGCCCTCGGGGGGGTGACCAACATCTGTTCGGACAAGACAGGCACTCTCACCCAAGGAAAGATGGTGGCACGGATGGCGTGGATCCCCGGTCTTGGGACATATGCAGTCGGTCCAAGCAATGACCCGTACGACCCCGAGGCCGGCACCGTGAGGTTCGTTCGGTCAGAACCACGCGAGATGCGCAACGAAGATAGCGCACCGCCAATCACACCCACAAACGAGACGCGCGCCTCCCTACACCAGTACTTAGACATTGCCTCTCTCGCTAACCTAGCTACCGTCAAGCGAGTTGAGAACGAGGGCTCAACGTTATGGCAAGCCAACGGCGACGCGACCGAGGTTGCCATGCAGGTGTTCGCGACGCGATTTGGGCGGCCTGGCCACGGAGCAGGTGCCTCGGAATCCTGGGCCCAGTTGGCCGAGTTCCCCTTTGACTCCTCGGTAAAGAAAATGTCCGTTCTCTGCCAGGACGCCATTACCGGACAAGTGCGCATCTTCACCAAGGGAGCCGTGGAGCGCGTACTCGCCACCTGCTCGTCCATCTCAATATCATCCGGCGGCGGCGACAACGACGGCGACAGCACCATGCAGCTGACATCCGAGATCCAAAATACCATCTTGCAAAATATGGAAGCGCTTGCCCGCCGCGGCCTTCGCGTACTAGCGCTGGCTAGCAACTCAACGGACGGCAAGATCCAGCCTGTCTCACCCGACGACGCCCGCCGAGGCCTCCTGAAGCGCGAAGATTATGAGACCGGCCTTACCTTCCGCGGTCTGATTGGCATCTACGACCCGCCCCGTCCCGAGTCCAGGCCGAGCGTCTTCAAATGCCACCAAGCAAGCATTGGCGTGCACATGCTGACAGGTGACCACCCCGAAACGGCGCGCGCCATTGCAATCGAGGTGGGCATCCTGCCTGCGAGGATGGACATGGTCAGAGCGGATCTCGCCGAGCAGATGGTCATGACTGCCCACGACTTCGACCGACTGACCGACGACGAGCTTGATGCCCTCGCCGAGCTCCCGCTCGTGGTGGCGCGATGCGCACCGAGCACCAAGGTCAGGATGATCGACGCCCTCCACCGTCGCGGCAAGTACGTTGCCATGACGGGAGACGGCGTGAACGATAGCCCCAGCCTAAAGCGAGCGGACGTGGGTATCGCCATGGGCCTGGGGGGCAGTGATGTGGCCAAGTCGGCGTCAGACATTGTCCTGAGTGACGACAACTTCGCCAGTATTCTCAACGCGGTCGAGGAGGGCCGACGCATCTTTGACAATGTGCAGAAGTTCATGCTCCATGTGCTATCCGCCAATGTCGCCTTCGTTACTACCCTGCTGGTTGGGCTGGCATACAAGGATGCCGGCGGAATATCCATCTTTCAGATTACCCCCATCGAGATCTTGTTCATGCTACTCGTTGCCGGTGCCTTCACCGAAACCGGCTTGGGTTTCGAATCCGCCAGCAAGCATATTCTGCTCAGGCCGCCGCAGAGTGTAAGTTTCGACAATTCTGGAGTTTCAGGGATCAACCGCTGACGGCAAGGGGTAATAGCTCAAGTATGGCGTTTTCACCCCCGAATTCCTGTCGGATATTGCGGCATACGGTATTATCATGGCCGTTTGCCTGCTGTCTTCATTCATAGTCGTCCTCTTCGGCTTCTACGACGGCGAGTTTGGGCGCGACTGTAACCTGGGGTACTCCCCCTCATGTCTCGGCGTCTTCAAAGCCCGATCGACCTGCTACACAGCGATGATGTGGATGTTTTTATTCTTCGCCTGGGAGCTCGTCGACAGCCGGCTATCGTTTTTCGATGGTGCCGTCCGCGATACCAAGGCCTGGGCCAACCGACTCTGGAATAACACGTTTCTGTTCTGGTCGGTGGTGGTCGGCTTCTTCGGCGTGTTCCCCACGCTGTATATCCCCGTGCTGAACCGGGACGTGTTTCTCCACGAGGGCATCGGTAAAGAATGGGGGATTGTGTTTGCCGTAACCATTCTGTTCTTTCTTGGAGCAGAGTCGTGGAAATGGGCTAAACGTGTCTATTTTAGGCGCAGAAAACGTCATGGAGAAGAAGGGGGCTGCCATGACCGAGGAGGATTTAGAAAAGAGAGCGTTTGAGAGGTTTTACGCTTCTGATACCGACATGTCTGTTGAGAAGTAGCGGCTGCCGTGTCTATTTGGGCTAGAAAGAAATTAGATATGCGGCGAGGAGCCGCGGGCTTGGTCTCGATTGAACCTCAGCTTGGGGCCGAGAAGCTCAGAATGACAGGCAACAGAAAGCTTTGACATGAAATATGGTTCCCATCTATGACGAACAGCAACTGCCTCATGCCTTTATCCCGTCCACTACCTTGGGGCTTTCACTCCAAGCTACCCCTGTCCCATCAATGCGTTGTCCTCTTGATAATATCGGACGCACGCTCTGCCAGGCCGTAAAGAGTTGCAGTTAAATGTCCACTGACTTGCATCGGAACCACAGAGGCATCCACAACCCTTACATTCGCGGTGCCATACACCCTCAGCTCCGGATCAACAACCCCGCCCAATGCCCGAGACATCATGGATGCGGTACCTGTTGGGTGCGAGTTCGCGATGACTGTAGCGATAAGACAGGATTAATACCGCGTAAGGAGGGTGGTCGGTGGAGGGAACAGGGCTGCCTCTTACCAGTATCGCGCAAGTGCGCCTGCCATTGCGCATCAAGGCTCGCCACAATTCAAACAATCCAAATCTGAAGGCGTAATTGAATTGATTGGGTTAATATTTGATTGCGCTTAATTAGATTTGATCTGTTTGACAGAAATCAATTAATTGCCCAGCCCCATATATAACCCTAACCCCCACACTCCCCCCGCGCCTTTGGCCTTCCTGACTTGCAGTCGCCAATCTATCAACTTGAACAAAACGCAAAACGCAGTCAAATTACACCGCCCAACGCCTCGATCTGGTGTTCAATGGTGGGTAGGGGGTGCGCGCCGCCGGGAACGCTTGCGCGGGCGGGGGGTTTCAAATCCCACAGGCGGCATACTGAACTGACTGACTGGCTGGGCCGCCTCTGGGCTCCGGGCGGGCTGGTTGGTTGGTTGGCGATGCGAATGTCCCTGCAAACGGGCGCTGTTGTGGTGGCGCCATCAGGGGTCTGGGTTACACAGGGCAGAGGTTGGTGGCTGTGGCGGGGGGCTGGGCTGGTTGTGGCTAGTTCAAATAATTCAAATATAATTGATCAATTTTGCCCTGATATTTGATTGACTGGGTGGCCGAATTGGTTTGTTTGGATTTGAATTTGAATAAACAAATCAAATATATTTGAATTGCGGCGAGCCTTGTTGCGCATTGGTCGCATTGTTCGGAAGTTCTAACCCCCCCGACACAACGGGCCCCATCACTGAACCTTTCGTCTTCATCGGTTCTGATAACCAAAACTTCTCGGCAAATCTCCCCGCAGCCATCATGGTGGAGAGGTCGAAGTCTGCGAGGAAGATGCGCGGGTCCACCAAGGGTTCGTTGATTCTGTCGGCGGATTCGAGATGCACACTACCGCGAGAAAACGGGAACAAGGCCCAATAGTTCGAAGCCAGGATGTTATCCGGGGCTATGACAAGAAGGATCTCGGCGGCCGTAACATTGTGCTTGAAAAGAAGGTCATGCTGGATCTTTAGCAACTTTTCAATGGCGCAAATGTCGAGACTCCGAACCCCTGATGCGTCCGCAGCGGCCCTTGCCCACCTAGGAATGCTCGCACGTGTTGCTGCCTCGACTGCAGCGAGATCGGCGCCAAACAATTCCGCCGCCGTCACATAGGAGTGATAGGCGCTCGGTGATGAGTCGTGGAGGTCACCCGAGAAAACCAGGAAGTGGCTTGGTTGCTCAATCAAATTCTCGCCGACTCCTGGAAGATCGACGAGGGGCTCGACGCCGAGAGACTTTAGGATCCTAGCCGTGACCGGAGAACTGTGAGCCAATGCCAGTGTACACTCTTACATCCACGTTCGGGTGTTGCTCAGATCCAAGATCACTCACCTTGGGTTTCCAATTCCTGACCCCTCAAGCACCAACGGGGTCCTCAGTGCTCCCGCGGATACAACAATCTCCTTTTTGGCGCGCAAGACGGTCGATTCTCCGTCATCCGTCACCACTTCTACCCCGTCAGCCACAAGGAGCCCCGCTTCAGACTTCCCCGCAGCCCATGTTATACGCTTGACAGTTCCCTTGAGAACTTTGAGGTTTGGCCGGTTCTCAGCTGGATGCAGGTACGCACGTGCGGCGTCCCACCTCACGTTCGATTTCGTGTCCAGGGTCTGCGGCCCCATGCCGTAGCCTCGGACGCTCCCGCTGTTGAGGTCTGGGTTGTGAGCGACCGACAGTCCTGCCCATGTATCCCTGACTACGGGGGCAAACGAGCCGTTCTCAAGAGCGGGTATGTATCCAACGTGGAGTGGGCCGTGAAATCCATGGTATCGGGACTCGAAGGTGGCGCCGGCCGCTAACTGGGAATCGGTTGGAACGGTATACTTCTCCGACTTTTTGAAGTAGTGGAAGATCGAGTTCCAATTCCACCCCGGGTTTCCAAGCTGCTCCCAAGCGTCAAACTCGGCAACGTTGCCGCGGATATATGTCATGCCTGAGGGGATCGTGTTAGTGCTCCTTTTGAAGTCCGCGTCGCCACCACCGGCCCAATGATAACATTTGTTGCACCCGCAACTGACTCACCATTGATCGCGCTGGTTCCGCCCCAAGCCTTGCCCGCATGTAGATCAAACGCTCTGTTGCCAGCCCCGGACTGCTTCACGGTCGAATAAAGCCAGTCGACGGGGGTGTTGAGTCCTGCCCCAAATAGTGTCGTCGTAACATTGGCATTGTTTCTTTCATCATTTCCGGGCTCAATAACTGCCACCGTTACCGAGGATTGCTCGGAGAGCCGATTCGCCACAACGAGTCCGCTCGTCCCTGCTCCGATAACGATATAGTCAAATGATTCCACCGCAGTCCTTGATGCCCCGACACTGCAGGTTAGGGCTAGGAGGGCGCCGACACGGCTGATGGCAATCATGATATAGTTCGTCGCGTCACTTGCTGGCGGAAGAGCTGAACGAGATTCAATTTGCCCCCCAGGGGGATGGAACCCCTTTATGTGCGCCCTATCTGCGGTGCTTTGTCTGGGTGTCCTCATTCGCAAACCCGCTAGACCGTAGGGAGTATACATGGCAGCGGGATCAATCCTACCGCATACGGGTGCCCTGCAAGCGACCAGGGACACGGTCCTGCCGCGGCGTCGTCCCGGACTCCCGGTAGTTAAAAGTGTCCGTATTTCGTGTTCCGATCCATATCCGTAGAAACCACCGAAATGGCGCCGCTACGCCGCGCTTCGGCAGCAAACGGGGTCAACGAGGAAGGCAATTTCGAAGTCAATCCGTCCGGGACCCAGAGGTTCCCATGGTGTGGACGGCCGCTGGCCACATCGGTTAGCATTGTTGTGGCTCTTTGTGTTCGGTCAGGACTTCGGCTGAGAGCTGCCCGACCGGCTCGCTCGTAAAACCACAACTGAAAATGGTTTTGTACGCCAATTACCGGTGCCAATTGTAGGCTCTCGCGTTTTGGGGCACTTCGCTGTGACTCGTGAGAAGAGGAGCGCGATCCTTCATGGTTGGTTCCAGCCCAACCAAGGTCCCGCGCCTTCGATCTTTAGCCGGAATGGAGGTACTCAGCGGTGATTGGGTATTATCTCGAAGACGCGGTCTTGCAATGTACCAAGCTACTTTTCCCATGCGATGCGGTTTGAAAGGTGGCCTGGTTAGACTATCTAGGTAACGAATCCAATGTGCAAAAACAAAGAACAAAGTGATTCACTGTTGGAGTGGTAAGTTGGTACCTACCTAGGTACCAATCCTTACGAAAGAAACACTAACGACTACCTGGTAGCTCAGTTTCCATCAATGTCGAGGCGTTGGCTCGACTGCTTTTTACCCCAGGTCCTTCTGTTTGGTCAAGTATTGCTAACTAGGTACCTGGGTAGGTAACTTCTGTAATGGGATTCGTCGACAACGAAGGGCCATAGAACCCTCTTGTCCAGACCCTTGCGTCTTGACCCCTAATTATCATCTCCAACGTATTATTAAACGGGAAAATAAAGAATGGCTCAGCTTCATAAGGCAACAACAGTATAATGTTTGAAAGAAAAACACTCTTCCATTTACCTTGTACGAACGCTTATACCGGCAAGATTTAAATCAAGCATCACGGTCACGTCACGAGAGTACATAGGATCGTTATATTTTGGTTACAGTTCTTGGTCGCTATAGTATTGCATTGGCTGACTGTCTGCTGTGTTGCCTGACCCGGCTTTGTGTATGCCTTGGTCGAGATTAAGCCTATTCTGAGAAGGAATTAGTACGGCTATACTATCTGGACCACCTAGGTTCTCCACTTACGGAACTCGAAGTGACCATCCACGTTATGGATGCGCTCGCCAAGGTTGAGATCCGCATCTATGCTTTCGCCCTCCATATTGGCCAGAGTAGCTCGGAGGATAGGGACCGCGTCGTCACCCTCGAGTTCGAAACTAATGCCATCGGAGCTCTCGGCAAAGTTCACTCCACCCCACTCGAAGGAACCTTTAAACATGTTATTAGTGTGTGGTTTCCCAAGAAGAAGACCACAGTCCGGTCGATATACCGTCATTGTTTCCGACACAATCGTTGAGGTCGAGCTCGGCATCGACCATTTCACCCTCTTCGTTTCGGAGACGGGCCCGAAGCATGTGGCCATCGTCGACACGGGTATCCTCAGCTGAAAGGTGGAAAGACATGTTCAGGGTGTTGAAAATGGAGAGTGCAATGCGAAGAAAGAGCTTTCGGTTAGGAGGGCAGATGTCGGAGAGCGAGCGAGGGCTCGTGTTTGGGGGATAGCTGAGACTATTTAAGGTGTCGATTCCAACAGAGTTCCGGCTCCCAGTGGCCCTGTCATTCCACATCGCAAGACTGATATTGTGCCGCATAACCGAGACGGGACGAATCAGGTGGGTGTGGTAAGAACTCCACCCAGCTCTGCTGCGGCCAGCGCATGTATCGAGGTGCGTTGGCATGGGCGAGAGGGGCCGATGTGGAGTTTGGCCCGGGACGAGTTGTGTCCAAGCGGAGGGGTAGGCGGGGAAAGTTACACCTTCTTTGTTGTGTTTGGATGACAAGAAGCCAAGAGAGTATGAGCGGCCGCGCGGTGAGGCTTGTGCAAGTCCAACGGCGCTTAAACCCGGCTGGGCGCCGCGCCTTGGAGATAAACCCACAGGTTGCGTGACGGGTTGAAGGGCCTCCAACAATGTAGTGGGGGTCGTCGTCGTCCAATCCCTTATGTCTGCCAAGGCAAGGTTCAGGTTGCAGATGACCTGATATCTGCAACCTGTTGCAATCTGGCCACCTCGGCTGCCCTCCATCCCAAACCCATCACCCGAGGGAGCCGGCTGGTACCCAAGTACGACAGGAGAAGTCGCGCGGGGTACAACCGGTTGTGTGCTCCTCCTATACCTGTAATAATATCTGGGATGTCTTGTAATACATTCTGTTTTGCTGCCGGTTGGTGTTGGGACACGGCATTATGATCTCCAGGAAGAATCTCCAATTCAACGCTCAGGCTGCACGAGGGCATTGCTAAGCACGTTTGAGATCTGCAGGTTACCTACCACTTACAACCCGGGGCCTTTGAGTTCTCTCATACTCGTAATCATGAAACGGGCTCTGCTTGATCTGAACTGCGGATGACTTCAACGTAGCAGTACCTTGATGTCCTATAGGGGTAGGCTATATGTATATGAAATTGCTCGTTTACCTCCCAGACAGGTATGTACCTACCTCCCTACCTAGTTAAGGGTAAGGTACCTAGTTTTAGGCCCGGACCCCATAGGCGGTTGGCGCCTGGCTTTTAATTTGTACCGGTGGCAGAGGCGAAGGAAGCATTGAAGAGATGTTTTTGACATTCCAAAATCATCTCACCTGGTAGGTCGTACATCAGAAATCCCGGTATCGAGAGACACGAATGGGCGCAGGACGATAGGGAAGCTACCTGTCTGTAGGTACTTTACTTGGCGCGTATGTGATATTATGTAGATAGGAGGAGGCAGAGGCGTGAAACGTCCATACCTAGGTATGTGCCTCACCCGAGGAAGGTACTTATATAGGTGTGAGTATGTGACTCAATCCAACATGACGGCACATTTCATCAATTTGGACAACTCAAAGGTCACATGAGCACTCCGAGTTTATATCCGATTTTTGGCGGGACCTGGCCGCTCCGGGTTTAGCGTGTGGAAGCTCCACTAAAACCCAGCGAGGGCGTGACAGGTTGCCGCTCAGGTGGGCCATTAACGCGTCCAAACACCAATCTGGAACATTGCGATGCCAACGGCCGAAACTACCTAACACGCCCACAGCCCGCCGCCCGCCGCCTGACAACGATACCAACACGGGATCTGGAAGTTGACCATCGATTGACTGTTTTCGGTTGGTGCGCTGGCCATCGTCATGGCCACACCGCTTGACGTCCAAACGCTGCGCCTTGTTTTCGAGTCTCGGCCGGATATTCTAGCCAACATCCAGAGGACTGCCGGTACGCGCTTTTCTTCTCGCGCCCCCTTGACCACGAGTGGCTCAGTGGCCCAATGCGTCCAACGAGACTGAGAAGCGACGAGTGTTTAATTAATTAGGAGATACGGATGTTGAGATTGACGACAGTTTGCTAACGATCGGCTTCTTTTTTTGGTCAGATACGCCCGCGCGTACCACGTTATTCAACGACATTGCTAGTTTCGTGTACGAACGGCTCGGCTCGGGCGACTCCCAAGACGGACCCGCTTCGAAGAGGAGGCGGATCGATACCACGCAATTACCAACGCACCCGCAACCGAATGGCCAGGTACACGAGAGGGGGCTGCCGGCCGCCTCGCAGACGGTTGGGTTGAATGCCGATGCCGCTGTTGCCGACCCTGTGTTGCTCGAAGTCAAAGACATCTCGGTTACAGCACCCCATCGTAAGAAGTACGACATTTGCTTCACGAAACAGTTTTTGTATGCTCGTGCCTCGGGGACGTCGGTCCCGGCCCAGGGGGTGGTGTATCTGTGGAAGGACATCGGTACGCCTTTGCCGGGCTTGCCCGTTTCCCGGCCACTCACGAATTGTTGAATTGACTCCAGTCGGTCCTTGCAGAACACGCGTTTTACCTGCCAGTGCCCGACAAAGCCCAAGCACAGTACAACTACGTCCTTCTCCCGCGCGATAGCTACCTACCGACTGCGAAGCAGGCCAGCACCAACCCGGCCGGTAGACACCAACCGCTGGAGCCGCTTGTCTTCACGATCCCCGCCACGGCTCCAAAACCCGGGGGCGTTGCGGGCCCCTCATCCGCCGCGGCCGAGGCGGTTTCGGACACGTACAGCAGTCTGTTCCACTGGGCCTTGACGACCTCGATGCGTTCGGCTGGCAATCACTCCTGCCAGCTCGTTGCCTCGGACCCCAAACTGTTCCACAGTGTGGCGCGGCAGCCCCATCGGCCGAACGAAAAGGCGGTGCATGTGAAAGCTTTCCGTGGCAGCAAGGACGGCTTCCTTTTCTTCCTCGCCACCGGCATCTTGTGGGGTTTCAAAAAGCCCATCATGTTTCTGCCATTGGACCGCATTGTGGCCGTTAGCTACACCAACGTCCTCCGAACGACCTTCAACATCGTAGTTGAGCTCGACACCGACGTCTCGGGCGATGCCGATGTCGTGATTGAGAAGGAGATCGAGTTCGGGATGATTGACCAGGAGGATTATGGTGGAATCGATGAGACGTACGTCCGACGTCACGGCCTTGCCGACCGCAGCATGGCGGAGCAACGCAAGGCGAAAAGGGAGTTGGCCGAGAACAACAAAAAGCCCGTTGCCGGCGATGAGGTCGCCGCCGAAGAAGGCGACGCGGATGGCTTAACGGCGCTGGAACGTGCCCAGCGCGAGGCCGAGCAGCAGCTACAGGACGAGGAGGACGAACTAGAAGAGGATTATGACCCGGGAAGCGAAGACGATAGCGAAGGCGAAGGTGGTTCAAGTGGAGATGACGACGATGATGACGACGACGAAGCCCAGGCCGACTACGACGAAGACGAAGAGGAAGAGGATGACGAGGCAGAGGGCTTGGGGAACTAGGTAGCCAGATATACCGGCTATCTCGTCCCAAGGGTGCCCAGTCCTTGTAATTATTATATCAACTAATGTGACCAAAGTGGGGTGCTGCCTCCTAGCCACATATCTTCGGCTGGCCGTTAGAGGCAAACGTTGTCTGCGTGCGACATCCACACAAGCGCTCTTTTGTGTTGTTGGCGGAGAGACCGACGGCGCGGTGGGATCCGGGCCGCGACCCGTAGCAACTAGCACGATGACCTGCAAGAGCCCGAGAAGCCGGGTCGGCAGTGCTCAAGAATCAGGAGATGGTTGTTACTTTCGGGACTGGGCCCAGTTCCATTTCACATCGACGACCAAACGATGTACCCTGAACGGAGAGTCGCCTCCATCCGGCGCCTGCATTCGGTACTTTTTAGCGTCTCGGTGGCATTGGCTCACTGGATCCATTGCGGCCTCCGTTTCCCAAGGATGCAATTCTTCGACAACGGCAAGGTCCGAAGTAGGGCTCGAGCGAAGTGCTGATCCAACTTGCCCACACATGGGTGTATCCAATCTGCTCGAACGCTGACGAAGACTTCGGTGGTGGGAGAAGATCGCCCTCATTCAAACGTGCAGGCTGCGTCTGGTAAAGATCACCTTTTTCGTGCCAGCCAGACTATCGACACTTTGTCAAACTGTTCCCCGCGCTCTGTACCTACTCCGGCTCCCCGGCACTCGATGCTAAAGAGGGGAGAATGTAGTATGAACGTGGGATTATGAGATTCGGGCAAGGCATGTTGATAACAAGTATGTCGGTACATGGCACGACGGAGGAATTGGAAAATGTTCAGCGTGGGGTGCTTCCGGTCCCCACTGACGATGCGACCCCATTAAATTCGCTCCGAGGGCCGTCCATCTATTTGCCTGCAATGCGAGTCACAGAGCTGAACGGCGGCGACAAGGCGACAGATTTCCGTCGCATGGCCTTTAGGTTCTGCTGAACAACCTAGGTAGTAATCGAAGTGAGTTGGACGGCAAAAGTCGTTCCTCGATTCGCAAGGCAGCGCCTGCCCCTTCAACCGACTGTCGAAAGTCAACACCGTTCTTCCTGGGAGGCACCGGATCGCTCACCGCTAATTGGACTGGGTTCCTCATTTACCCCGCAGCCACCTTCATTGCGGGGAAACAATGGGCAGCCTTGAACTCGTTCACACCCAGAGCGCAACAATGCTCCCGAAATCACGAAATCCCTGAACTTGGTCCCGTTTCTCCCGTCTGGATTGGAATCACGCGTGCCTTGAAAATGGTCTTTTCACAACAACTACACAGTAGAAAAAAAGAGACAACCATGACCGATCTTCCAAGAAGAAAAAAACAAACGTCATCACGGAGACCAGGCGGCCGGGACCCACTAGACGGCAGCTCACATTTCTGCCAATCACCATGATGTACGTATCCGGACGGGCTCTGTATTCTGCAATTGGCAAGGAGTCTTGGCCGCCCCTACCGTAGGGCTGAGATTCCTCCACCGTAACAAGCCGAAGTTCGCATCCGTGGCCGTGCGGTGTCAGAATCCGTAACTAAAACGTTGGAGCCGTCTCATCTGCTCCCGAGTATTCGAGGGCCTGGGCGGCTAACTTGAGCAGTCAAAGGCGTTATCTCACCGGGTAGCTCATCCGCAACTGGGTCGCACCTCGAGAGTCGAGCTTGGAGGGGGAGCGGGCGATTGTTCGAACCTCGCAGGACCAAGTTCGCTTTCTGAAGTCTCACGCGCCGCCCGCCCACGGATTTGGAGGCTGACATGAATGAAAGCCACGTTTTGGTTGGCCCCCAAATCTCGTCACCGGGGTCAACGGCGCGGGTGAGGAGCGGGACGGATGTCCCCTGGTTGGGGAGAACAACGACCCATCCGGCTGACGCATGGCCTTCGTGCATGCGTTTGCAATTAATGTCGCCCACTCTGGCAAGCCGAACCGGCGAAAGAAGGGAAACACGGCTCACTTGATCGCCACGCACCAGTTGATCGTCAACCAGGAGAGGATGCATCCGCACACACCTTCGCTTGAGTGAAACAAAACATGAACGAAACAGGCCAACCTGTCCGCAGCGTCGTCGTCTCTGTCTCGGAACCGCCATTTGCCGCTAGCAGCGCCGATTGCCACCTGCCAGATCATCGCTCACCCGACCGCCTCCCTGTTCAGAGGACGGCGTCGCGATGGTTGGATGGGGATCACTTGGTGGTGAGGAGAGTGAAACCCAGCCACCAGAACCACTCTGGCCTCGGATGTAGGCAGGCAGGTAACTGTGGACATTGTACCGACTCTGTGTGTAAAACACCCGGGCCTACCTGGGTAACCTCGACGTCCAACCGTCACCTAGCGGGGTGGGGGGGCAGAACCGAACAAGTCCGAGAAAGATGAGGTTCCGCGCCCGCTGCAACCCCTGATGGCAAGGAGGGCTTCGTCATTCGCATGATTGTGGAGGACAGAAGCCAACAATGGACCGAGGTAGCGCGCAAAAGCGAAAGACGTCGGTCATGGTCCCCGTGTCCCTCTCCCTGAGACAAGGGTTTCCCCACAGGCGGTGACCCCTTTTCTGCCCAGCAAGGCAAAAAGGGAGACCCCACCACTCACTGTCCATGAGGGACGGGATGGACACCGACACCTCTCACCTCCTTCCGTTGCCTCCACTGCCCTGCCCTGGCATTGCAGCAGATTGACAACAAAGTTCGGACCCTTGCACTCGAGGATGTCCCGGAGATTGATGGAAGCAGGCGGTTAGGTAGCGAGCAGAGAGGAAGCGTGAAGCGCGCTCCCTCCCCGCCAAACAACGCCTTGTGGAGCTGCTCGTGCGGGTCCTCCACGAGAGGACACAATCCCGCCTTGGCCAAAGTCGCGCAGCGGCGGGCAGGGACATGGGTTTGTTGATCGCAGACGGGCAGCAGCCCTGCAGATTCACTATCCCTGCCGTTTTCACAAAAGGGCTGAGAGGCAACGGGCTGGGTGGGGTGGGTCGGGCTTAACTAAACCGTTCTGGATGACGCGACCTTTTCGGTGCGATGCCATGCGTGCTGCGAGCCAATGGTGCCGAGGATGGGGCATCTGCAACTTGCTCCTTCCAATCCCCGTGCTTTGCAGGCAGCCTGGCAGCGCAGGGCACCTGGGCAATATTCCGCCGCAACTGCAACTCGCAGAACGGGGCCGCCCTCGCTTTCGTACCCTCGTTCCGCTTTCGCGCTCTTCCAGGTTCCGTGTGTTCCGTCCTTCCATGTTTTCTGTGCGTCCCGTCCCCTCTGCCCGCCACATCCCGCGCAGACACCCAGCCCTACGACCCTGCGTATCGAAGGGACGAATCATTGATACATGACGGTTGATACACGGGCAGTAGATTAATGGCACGGAACAGCGCACCCTAACATGCCCGCCAAACACCTCCCGGTACTTTCAGGTTCCGTGCAAGTGCCACGCCAAATTGGGGCCGCCCGCTCTCTTCCAGGTTTCCAGGTTCTCGAGCAGCGACCGGCTGCTGATTACTGCAGCTGACACCTACCAAGGACGGGGGGCCGCACATTTGGCCCATTGCCGGCGGCCCCACTCCAAACCTGCTGGGCTGAACCCACCGGCGACACGCCCTGAGTCCCTGACGCCCTGTTGAGAAACCTCCACTCTTTTGGCAGGCATCTCCCGGCATGGAATGACCCCCAGCCCACAAACAATTTCCCCACCACCTCTGGCCCTTCGTCCCAATGGTCTGGGAGGCAGCACTGTCGCAGTAGGCGGACCGCCGTCTGCTTTTATTTTTTGGCATTTTCCGCCTCACACGAAACGAGCTACCTAATTTGTTGATTAACCAACCGCCGCCCTCCGCATTCTTGTCACCTTTCTGCTCTCATTCGTCTTGATCCATGCACGCGGGGTGTTCCAGTTTCTTGTGCGCTGCTGGATCGAGCTGCGGCCGCGACCAATCCCACATCGAGAGCACGGCAAGACCGGCTTTTTTCGGACGCCTGAGCAGCTGAGGCTTCGAGAATTGCGATTCTCGACAGCCGCCAGTTGCAGGGCCCGGCCTTCGTGTCCACTGTGTCAGACAGACTGTCGCCTCGGCTCAGCCAAGGACCTCGTCGGAAGCAGCGGCGGTGGCAAGGCGGAGGTCGCCTTGGACTTCAGCTCGCCCAGTCTCTCTCCCCTTCCAACTGAGTCTCTCAGCGCACTTTGACATTGCCCTCGTCTCCGTACGCCCGCTCTCTCCCTTGCCACGACGTGCAACCCCAGCGTCATGGCCGCCATCCCCATCCAGGCGCCCTCTAGGGGGTACGGGGGAAGAGACATGAGCACCAGTCCCGGCCCTCTCCCGTCCATATCAACTGGTCGCGGCGAAACCCTCTCGAGACCATTTGGACCTCCAGGCCGTGCGGTCCCCTTCGCAGACAATCTCTCGCCCTCGGCTGCCTCGAACCCTATGGCGATACGCGGCACTGATTATATCGACGCGCCTCCGCCCCTGCCCCCACCACGACTCGTCCCCATCAGCGGGCCCGTCGACCCGAAGCTGCAATTCAAGGAGAGCATGCGCAGGGACGAGTATGGGAGCCCCGGCGCCGACTCGTTTGGGCATAGCTTCAAGCGAAGGGATCTGTCGTTTCGGAGTGACATTTCCGACGACGGATATCACAGTTTTGAAAGCTTCAGGTTTGTGCTGGCCGCCCGCCACCTCTGCGGCCCTTTGCAGCGTACACGCCCAGGTGAGCTGACCGCGCTGTTCGCCGCCTTGTCCTAGGTCTTCGGGCTTCCCCTCGCCTTTCGGTCACCACACAATGAAGAGCTTCCGCCCAGACGGCCAATCCATCGACCACTCGATGCTCGACAAGCTCAACCGTCCCGGACGGCGGCCCGGCCTCAGCGCGTCCGTCAACGACGTGCCGGGCCCTCGCCCCCACCACGCGCAGTTGACGACTCTCTCGCTCCCGCACCGAACCCGGCAGCCATATCTCGACTCGAGCTTTACCAAGTCGCCCGGGCCCATGTCAGCCACGTCCCCGATCGCCGCGCCGTTTGGCCATCACGGGCGAGGTTCCGTAGACCACCGTTCACCCTTGGGAACTGACGGCAGCGACTACGATCGGTCGCCCCTTCCGCGCCCCCGCAGGATGCACGGGAACCTGGCGGCAGACGACGGCACGCACCCGGGCTATGGGGGCTACGAGATCCGGGAAGACGACGCCGATTTCCCTATGGAGGAAACGACCCGTATGCGGAGCCTTGCGATTGAAGACCAATGGCGGGAGAGGGATTGGGATAGGGATCGGGACAGAGAGAGGGAAAGAGAGAGGGAACGCGATTGCTACCAGCCGGGCCAGAAGCGGAGGGCTTCGTCGCCACCGAGTGATGACGCCGCGGTAGCAAATGACCTGCTGAGGAGAAGGGACGGCGGCCTGATGACCAGGGGCTCGCCTACGCCGAGGCTTCTGGCGATACCTCAGAACTCGCTATCAAGCGTGTCGTCGGCAAGTCGAAGCGGGAGCTTCGCGAGCAACCTCACCGCTAGCAGCGTCACAAGTATGGGCTCGTTTGGACGACGCTCGCCCAACGCCCTGTCCCCGGGCGGCTTGTCCCCAACCGATCCTATGTCCTGCAGCAGCCCATATCCACCGCCGACAAGTCTGTCTGCTTCTCCCCGCCCCTCAATTGGACGATCCGTCGGGGCACTTTCCCCGCACCACCGAACACCGAGCGAACAACCATTGCCCGCACAGGCCACGCGCACCGTCACTTCACCACGAAAGATCGCCGACGTTCCAAAGAGCCACAGCAGCTTGGCCGCCAAGCTCAAGGGTCCCTATATGTGCGAATGTTGCCCGAAAAAACCAAAGAAGTTCGAGACCGATGAGGAATTAAGGTATGATATTTGATCCTTGTGCTCCTGCCTAGCAATTTTCCCCGAGTCTTGCTCTGACTAGTCACCGCCGCCGCCATCAGAGCGCATGAGGCCGAAAAACAGTACGGATGCGCGTTTTGCGGCAATCGCTTCAAGAATAAGAACGAAGCCGAGAGGCATCAAAACTCTCTCCATGTCCGGCGGCACAGCTGGTCATGTTCGGCCCTGACCGCGTACGAGCGGGCATTTCACGACAGCACAACAAAGCCCGGCGCGGCCGACGTTTGTGGGTACTGCGGCGAGGAGTTCCCCAGGAGCGGGAAGAACCAAGGCGGATGCAGCGTGAGCGACCCGGACTGGGAGGACCGCGTGCGCCATCTCCAAGACGTGCACAAATTCCGCGAGTGCAACTCCAGCAAGAAGTTCTACCGGGCCGATCACTTCCGCCAACACCTTAAGCACAGCCATGCCGGCACCAGCGGCAAGTGGACCAACATGCTCGAGAACGCCTGCATGATGGAGGAGGAGCCGCCCGTTCCCACGAGATGAAGGCCTTCTCCCCGTGGCGGATGAGATGAGGGAGGTTCAGGGGCCGTGATCACGTGGGATGCTATCGGGGCTGAAAACTCCCCTCTGAGGGGCGAATACTCGTCTGAATTTCGGACTAAAACGCCGGGCCGAGGAGGCTGGGCAGCTCGGTCTCGATTCTGGGTATTTGTCTCCTTTCGGAATTCCAAAGTGGGGCGGGAGGAGATTGGACCGACCCGGCCGTCGTCGTCGCGGAGATGGCCGGGGCAGGATGATGCGACGTTACGTCGCCCGGACGCAGGATGGTTGCCCTGGCTCGACCCTGCCGGAGGAACGACGTTGGTGCATCGTCCCAGGCCGTTTCATGCAACCCCCCCGCGGACGTCGTCTCGGGACAAGGGTTCACCGTTGAAAAGGTTATTTCTTGGATGCACCTGGGCCCCTCTCATCCCCGAGCGAGCCGTTGACGATCCGGTGACGATGCATGCATCACCGCCGGCCCCAAAAAAGCCCCGATTGGGCGCAGTAACTCTCGTCCACCGGCATTTCACGACGGGAGTGCGCTTACCCTTTGAACCGGCACGCCGACACTCTCATCAACTCCTCGCGGTGATGCTCAACAACCACCTACAACGAGGCTTGCCGCGCTAAACGAAGTTACGACCCTGGCATTTGCATTAGCATGCGGTATACAGCTAGCGGATTATGAGGCATCGAGGCCCATACTGGATGATGACATCAATCGGCGTCTCTCGGTTTGGTTGGATGGCTGTTCATGGCGAGTCCTCAACCGTTGCTTTTGCATCCCGTCTTTCTGTCCTAAGTAGGGGAATGGTGCCGAGGCTTTAACGGCGCCAGCACTTCTTGGGCATGGCGTATTTCGGGGCGTATCTGGGGCGTATTTTGACGATGCCACATTTGTTTCTATTCTTGATGACCGACCATGCCAACGAACGATACATAGAAAAGTACCAATATCAGTGATTTTCCAACTTGCCCTCGACTTTCTGTGTTGTGCCGCTCTGCCCCGCCTTGGCATGTTTCCCCGACAGGGCTGACCGATCCCAATCAAACCCCACTTGCGACCCCTGACAGGGGTTGACGGTGCCCCGCAGTCAACTGCCGCGGGGCAAACTCCCAAAACATTCCGTCACAAGCCAAAATATTGTCACCTCGAGCGTGACGTGCACCCTCGCCCGGATGATTCCAAGGTAGGTTGTGTGACCCCTCAATAACAAATCCGGAAATATGGCCTTGAACCGGATTAACGGAGCCGACGAGCTCTACGTCGGAGGGTGAGTGGATATTTTCAAATGGTCGCGCAACGAGGAGACACGAAAAACTGACGTTTGGTGCCGCAGCGTCTTCGGCATCAATCGTGCCCGGCTTGTCCAGGAGCATAACATCACCCACATTCTCTCCGTCATCAAGTATGCACTAAACCGAGACGACGATGCATTCCGAGATGTGGAGCACCTCAGCATCGACATTGATGACATGGACGACCAAGACATGCTCGTGCACCTCCCCAAGTTGGTGCGTTTCATCAATCGGGGCCTCCATTCGGGGAAGCCCACGCCCGACAATAAGACTTCGTCGGAGGCCGCAATAACACCGTTACCCGACTCCACCAGCTCGTCCTCCTCCGGTGCCGTCCTCGTGCATTGTGCCATGGGCAAGTCCCGTTCCGTCACCGCCGTCATAGCCTACCTCCTCTGGAAGCACCCACAACGCTTTGGCAAAGGAGACCCGACGACGACCGCCCAAGAAGCTGTCGCGCAGGCGTTGCAATTGGTCCGCGAGACCCGGCCCGTGGCCGAACCCAACGACGGCTTCATACGCCAGCTCGAAATGTGGTGGGACATGGGCTGCCCCGCCGGCACTGACGACGCGGTCGAGCAAGAGCCCGCATACCAGCGTTGGCTGTACAAGCGGGAAGTCGAGGACGCGGCACGCATCGGGCGAGCTCCCGACTGGATACGGTTCGAGGATGAGGTGGCCTCCGGGGCGGATGACGCGGGTGCGGGTACGGAGATCCGCTGCAAGAAATGCCGGCGCATGCTAGCGACGGATCGATTTAGCGTATGGCACCAACATCGTGGATGGGACGAGGCGGACCGCGCGGGCTGCCCGCATTTCTTCATTGAGGCGCTGTCATGGATGCGCCCGATCCTGGAGGAGGGCGCGCTCGAGGGCCGCTTGATCTGCCCGAATACCAAGTGCTCGGCTTCGATCGGCCGCTACGCCTGGCAGGGGTTCAAGTGCAGTTGCGGCGAGTGGGTTGCCCCGGCCTTCTCGCTGCAGAGCAGCAAGGTGGACAAGGTTGTCACGCGGAGGCAGAACGCCGGCGCTGGCGCCATCGCTGACCGGATGGCTGCCCTGGGCATCCGCAGGCCACCCGGGGCCGAGACAGTCCCCCCTGTGGCCGCGCCCGGCGCCGGTATCGAGAGGCACAAGGAGAATCTGTGAGGGTGGAACACAGAAATCGGATTCCCGAAGCACCCCTCGCCCCACGAATAACCAATTCCCTCACCGCGGTGCCTTACGGTTGCCGATGACGCTCACATCGGGAGCGAGCCGCGGTACACTCCACCGCCCTGTGCCTTTGGCGCGTTTCTTCAAGACGACAATGTACGTTCCTGGTTTGAAGTCTTGACAAATTCCGGATCCCTGGGGTATTGCTGACTGCTCCACGTCCCCCTGCTGATCTTGCTTGAAGGCAGCGGTAAACCGAGATGGCTTCGGCTGAGCTTGGACTGGGATGATGCCTCTTTATCGAGGACCTGGTCTGCTGCAAAGAACCACCATGACTCTCACAGAGCCCCTGGATGTTTTTGTTTACATAGCCTGCCACCTCGCGGCAACGGGTTGCGGCACACCACACCATGAGTTGGGGCCAACGCATGTCATCGACGATAGGTTGAGCCAACGCGCCTCTCTACTGGTTACCAATGAGAAAATTCTTCCGAGCAATCCTTCTCATTTCTTCCAATCTGAGCTTCCGTCTTCCCCGCGGCAAATAGTTAACGAGTTGATAAGTCCTTCCCCCCTCTCCGCCGGACTGGTTCCGCGCTTCACTGATACAAATCTTGTGCCTAGTTTCTACGAAGTTAAGCTCGTTGTCGCGCCTGGTGCTAGTACTTTGATGTCCTCGTTGTCCTCGTTGTCCACGTTGTTCAGTGATGGTGCCAACGTGTCCTCTACCTCCTGACTCCACTCCTTCAAGGTTGACGATCCATCGTGCTGAACGGCCGACTTGACAGACCTGGCGCGCATACCGAAACCGGCCCAAGCACCTCATATACGCCGCGGGATCGGAGCTGACAGGTGAACGCCAAGGTTACCCGGCATGCATCAGAGTTGGTGTTGCAACCGGCTGACCGTGCAGGACGCCATTCATTGAGGCCACTGCTGGGTGGTGACAACACACAGTAAGCGCTAAATCTTCAGAAAGACGCGCGCATGCGTCTCCGATGCAACCGCCTTATGCGGGACGGCCAAGCGGGGGTGAGACCGGTTGAGACGAAGGATCCGTTTTGCCGGTTTCTTTTTTTCTGGGGGCTCTTCCTCCCGCGTCTTCAATCATGGAATGACATCAAAGCCCGGCGAGCTTCTTGGGCGCGAGTGCCCGGCTCGACCCGACTACCGCCGACCTGGTCCTGCGGCGGGGGAGTGGGGGACATCTTCCGGGACTCACGCTCCAAGCCCATTCATCGTCCTGATGGATGTCGAGATCATTGTCAGATGGGACAATAATACGCCGAGGCACGGAGCAGCCAATCTGCAGAGCGTCTTGGCGACAAAGAGATGCTACATAGAAATGACGAGAAACTCGGCCGTCCCGTCGATTCGAGCCGTCCGTTGGATGAGATGCAAGGATGCAAAGAGCTTGCATCTTGCGCTGTGAGCGGCCAAACCCGGCAGCAGATCGACCAATTTGTTGGCCCCCATGGAAGTGCCGGGTGGGAAGCACGAAAAACGTCCTGCGCATGCGAGCGAGGTGATTTGAGGCTGCGAAAGACCCTGCGCGTGTATCGTCATCGACTTATTTTGCGACGAAAGCGGCTCGATGCAGCAAGTGGGAAGGAGGTCGTTGGTTTCCAACGTATGCCAACCGCGGCCATGATGCTCCTGCAGTCAGCCTGAGGGAGCCAATGTTTAGATGCTGAAATATACAGGACGCTTGCAGCCGACACACGCCATGAAAACCACAAGCGCAGAGCCGAAACCCGAACCCATACCAGGCATGCATGCTCGCCTTATCCGCAGCGCGCTATTTCTGCCTTCAATGGCCTGTGGCCTTGGTTGCAGAGAGCGTCAGAGTAACAATCCATGAAGGAAGCATCGAGGCATTGAGCCGCCCCACTTCAGACATGCTGGGCCTGGTGCTCGCCCGGAAGATGCCGACGGCATGCTGATTCGGTCTCGTATGCTTGTCGGGATCCTTCATCATGGAAGGTTCTTGGGGACCGACGGGAAGTAGGCGGGATCGCGCATGCGCTCGCGGTTACGTTTGGCGATCTCGGCTTGTCTCTTTCTATTCAGCCGTTGCTGGTAGAAAGCACTGCGGGGCCTGTCAACGAAACGGAACGGCGGCGACGAGGGGCAGCTTCCCACCTCTTCAGCTCAAACACGCGGGGTTCTTTCTCTTCATCCACCGTCGTGTTAACATCGTCTTGGGCCTGCAGCATAACATATCATCAGCCACATAGAGCGAATGGCGGCTTGGGGTGGGGGCTCCAGTTGCTGACTGGTTCCGTCTTATCTTGTGTGCCTTTTTTGTCTTCATCGGCTTTCTCGTCCTCGCCCTTCTTGTCAGTTCCGTCCTTCTTGTCGTCTTTCTTGTCGCCCTTCTCTCCCTTCTCCTTCTTTTTCTTCTGCTTCTCCTCGTATTCCCTCTTGACTCGCTCGACCTCCTCGTCTAACTCGCGCTTCTTGCGGGCGTCAATGGCCGCCTGGTCGATTTTGGGCGTGCAGAAGCCGGTGTCCTTAAGGTGTGCGGGACAGACATAAAACCAGTCCTGTTGATTGTCAGATTTCGTCCATGTCGAGAAGCTCGGGAGGCGTGTCGGTTGGGAGGGACAGCTGAGCGGACCTTATTGTCGGGGGTGATCAACACGCTGGAACTGATCTTGAAACAAATGTCGCATGACTTGGCCTTGGTGTCCGCCACCTTGCGGTGGGCGTAGATATTGGGAAACGACATGTCGAGGCAGGCTGCCCGATCCGCAACTGGAGTCGAGTCGCGGTCGGGGGTTGGATTCGGAAGCTCAATGTGGTGGAACCGGGCATTGAAGTGCCAGAAGAATGGACCCCGCACCCGCAGTTCCCCAACTCGAGATTCGAGAATCCACGTATGTACAGTACAGTACAGAACCACCGATGGCGGCACTGTGGCTTTTACCTCCCGGCATGAACGTACAAAACAAAAAGAATGCAAACAACGCTCCATTGGGTATCATCTAACTCGTCTCCCCTGATCCAGTCTCCTTCTATCCCTTGCCCCTGATTAAATATTAGCTGACGCTATAAACGGCAACCCTTCATGCCATCATCGGCCGGCTTCAGTCGACAAAAACACGAGGATTCGACTTTGATATCGGCACCTGCCGCAGCGATGGTCAGCTGCTTACGGATGATGCTCGCCTCGGCGGTACGCCCCAGGCGTTGAAGGCATTCGTGATAGCCGTGGAGGGCCCAGATGTTGTTCGGGTGCTGGTGGGCTCGGACAAGACCGGCGCCCAGACCAAGGTCATCTGCGTAGACCATGGCGGCCTCCTCGACCCGCCCCTGCTCTAGGAGCAGCGCGGCATATGGGTGGCGCGTGGGTATCATCCAACCCCAGGGCTCCGAATAAAGTAACGAGTCATCTCGCTCGATGGCTAGACGCAGGTTCTTGAAGGCAACCTCGTAATTACCACGCCGGTACTCGATCTCTCCCTCCAACATGGCTGTCGCAACTGCAAGTTCGTCGACGACCCTGTTTGGGAAGTCGAGGCGGCTAGGCGGCACACGCTTGACCGCGTTCCTGAAGACGTCTAGGTGTCGGTCTGCAGTCTCGACGTCGTTCGTAGCCGCGTACGCGATGCCCTTGCCGTAGTACGTCATGGCGACGGTGACGCAGTAAAGATCCTTGTCGTCCGGGACTGGCAACTGCTTCAGCTCCTCCCACATGCCAAACCGGATGAGGACGTGGACACGGACCGACTTGAAGAACTCCAGCCAGCTCGCCATCGGAGGGGACTTTATCAACAACATCGTCTCGGTGATTGTGTCTTCCATCCGAGCAGTGGCTTCTAGGGCCGCTTGGGCTTGACCAGCCATCATGGCGCCGTAGATGAGGGAGTGGTAGTTGTGCATCCTATAGAACGAATAGAAATTCCTCCCACCTTCGCGGGCATAATACTTGTCGTCGGCGATGGTGGCGTTTAGGTTAGCGTGAAGACCTCGCCGGTAATCTCCGACAAGGACATCGATGTGGCTCGGCATGTGGTGCATGTGGCCGGCGTCGGGGACAAGCCCTCGTAGGTAGTCGGCCGCGTTGACCGCGTCTTCGGGCATCTTGGACATCTCGACGAGGTGGATGTACATGTGGAGGACACCGGGGTGATGCCTCGCATCGGGCAGCGCCATGCCGCGTTCGAGGATCTCCCGGATTTCAAGGACGGGGGTGTCGAGGTTGGGTTCGCCTGTTCGCGCCTGGTAGAGCTTCCAGGGTGCCGTGTTCATCAGGGCATCCGCTACGAGCGCAGTAACGTCCAAGTCTTGCTCGCCAAACTCCTTGCCGACCTGCCTCATAGCATCGGCATAGGCGAGAACAGATCTCGACCCTAGATCCACGGTTGTGGTCGCCGAAGGGAAACGATATGTCAGAGCGACGATAAGAGCCCGCTCGACAGGGGTCGAGGACCAGGACAATTCCTCTGCCTTGCGGGAGGAGTTGTAACACCTTACTAGGGATTCCGACAGGTCCCCTCTACCAAAGGCCGACCAACTTTTGTTGTAGTTGGGGCCACTCGCAAAGGCAACACCCCAGTAACCCATGGCGCAGTTGGGATCATGAAGTACTGTTTGCCCGAAACATGAGGCCGCCTCGGCGTGGTTAAATGCGTAAACCCAATTCAACCCTCGATCAAACCAGATCTGGGCATCCCGGCTGTCTGTGGTTATCCGTCGCACGTGTCGTCCGAGGTCGTAGTATGGCTCACTGGCAGCGAGTTTTCTCCCTCCGTTGGAGGAACGCGGACTCTGAGTCATGGCGATAACAGGGTACAAGAGGATATTGAAATAATTGTTAAGCAAATCTTAAATCAGTACATTCAGCTCGAGCCAGGGACCTGGAGTTTTCGTGTTCTTGAATAGGTGGCGGAATTAGAAATATTAAGTTAAGGCAAGGTACGTTTTGCTTCTCTCGTGAAATGTTGAGATGGGGCAACTTGAAGTCGGGCCGTGCAGCGTGCTGTCCGAGCCCGAATGGAAGAATGCTATTGGGCGTTGGATCAGGTGTTCGAGTGACAGCTGCTATGCATGACCTCATTCGCTCATCAGCCCGCCAATACGCAGACCCGAACCTTCTCCGTTGTTTTTGTTTTTCCGTCACGCCGCCCCAAAATGTGAAGCGCGTAATCATGTACAGATACCACATCGTAACTACATATTACAGATACACAACGAGGTATCCATACCTGACGTACCTTACATACTGCGGTATCGTGCTTAAGTTTTTTCCCCCCGATGAGTACCGACCGGGCCCCCTGCACCACGCCAAATCGTCACCAAGCGTAACTTTACACACATTTTCAGCAACAACTCTTGCACCAACCAAGCCACAACATCCGTTTAAAAAAAAGTCTGAAAGACGTGCGAATGTAAGATAATATCGCCCTATCGATATCTTTCAAAAGCACGACAAATTTTGATGGTTGAGTTGGGCGGTTGTGATCTTGGCCCCGGTCGGTACGGGTCTGGGAGAAGAAACTTACCCCTACCCACCAAGTACAATAAACATCGCCATACGGACAGTTCCTTGCACCCTTGGCTGGGTCTTCAGCTAACACACCTGATCGGATCACAGGTTCCCACTCCTATAAATAACCTGGAACTACACTATCAAGTAGGTTCCTAACCATTTCTCACGAACTACCTAGTCAGCTTCCGGCCCCGCCGCCTTTCTTTCCACTTTGATCTGCAAGGGGTTTTTGCCCGGGTTTGCCTGGATCAGGTCAAAAACCTTAAACGGTCCCCGGTGTTTGCACACACTCGGATGCGGACCAACCATCTCCCCAAGCATCATCACAATTAGATACATGACGGATGTCCATGGTTTCAAGGCTGGCACCTATCCATCGATTCCATCCTCCCAGAAAGGGAGGAAAGTCGACCAAGCAAGATGGAATCTCCTGAACTCACCGCATCTGCTGTCTTCCCCGTTGGCGAACACGGCGAAGTCGGACAATCGGTCCGAATCTCGCACGACGTCGTTCGGGTGGGGTCCGTGTTGCTCCAACAGGGGCCAACAGGGCCGATTCAGGGAAACAAAATGGAGCAGCAGAGAGGGTCTTGGCGTGCGTGCTCCTCCTGTCCCTCCAACGCATTAACAGGCCATTTAAGGATCTGGGAAATACATACTTACCGTGTATGAAGAGACATGCACCTTGATGCGAACCCTTACTTCTTGAAAATGAGAGATCCAGTGTTTCCATTGTAGTTACCATCTTTCCAGGGAGCGTCATCAGACGAACTCCGAACGTCACTGTCAAGGAGCCAAGACGCAGAGCCTCAGCTCAGCTCGGAGATTCCCGAGTCACTGCCGCGCACTAACCTCCGTGAGTGCCGTGATCTGCGCCAAAGTGGCGCCGCTTTGCTCTCTGCATGGCATGCTCCGTGTCGTTTCCCTGTCGCGGCACATCCACACTGATCCATTTGCAGGTTAGCCCTGTCGGCTCTCCGCTCCTCACCAGGGAAAAGCCTCTGCCTAGCAGTCCTTCATCGGCCCTTTAGAGCCCCTTTCGCCCAACTTTTGACCAACAAGGAAACTTCTTCCTTTGGGCCTTGGTTTCGGCACCCAAATCCCGGCCGAACCCAGGAGCCACGAGGTATCTCCAACGCTCGCGTCCGAACTGGAAGTTCTGGAACAGAGGGCGACCTGCGGGGCCAAATCGAGCAGCCGAGGATAGGTCGGCTCAGATTGAAGTTGAGGCACAGGTGGCACGAGTCATAGGACTATCCGGCAACAAAACACTCGCCTCGTCATGTGCCGCCTCGCACTCAAGGGAGGTGGCTCGCGGCGTTAACGATGGCCACGGCCACGTTTGCCCCTTGGGGAGCGCCCTCCCGACTTACTCTGTAGTCTTATTCGTCCGAAGGAGCGTGCATTACCCCTACACACGCGGCGTTATTCTGGACTCAACCACTTCTCCATCCCCGCGACGCGAGACACTAAACCGAACGTGGGATACCCGAAGAAGCGGATGGCCACCCTTGGTGGACCACTCCTCCACCTTTTGGTCGGCGTGGAGTAACGGGGAAACCACCCTTCTGAACCTCGTTCCCCGGATTCTCCGCGCTCCCCGCAACTTGCCCAACATCCCCGGGTTTAAAAGGAGCCTTCCCCAGCATTGCTTCAGGTCCTCGGACTTCTGAACCACCGAGCTTTGCGTCCTTCTCCTTCGAATCCCCTCCATTCCTTCCGTACTCCGTGGTCTTCTGTCAGGGAGTCTGCCGTGTCTCGGGAACACAATGCCTCTCGCCGTGTCCAAGCCTCCTGGAGAGGCCGGCTCAGCATGGCCGGCCATTGCCATCAGCGCCTTCGTAGCCTTCGGTGGCGTGCTCTTCGGATATGACACGGGCACCATCAGCGGAATCCTCGCTATGGACTACTGGAGAGACCTCTTCTCGACCGGCTATCGCGACTCCAAGGGGCACCCGGACGTGTCCCCATCCGAGTCGTCAGCTATCGTGTCCATCTTGTCCGCCGGCACTTTCTTTGGCGCCCTTGCCTCGCCACTCCTCGGTGACACCATCGGTCGCCGCTGGGGTCTCATCGCGTCGTGTTGGGTCTTCAACCTTGGCGTCGCGCTTCAGACAGCGGCTACCGCGCTTCCTCTCTTCCTTGCCGGTCGCTTTTTTGCCGGACTAGGCGTCGGCCTGCTCTCCGCCCTAGGTAAGTGCCAGCCAGATGCTATCTCTTGGGTTCTGAATGTCGGATGGCTAACGACATCACGTTTGTTAGTCCCCCTATACCAGTCGGAAACCGCACCTAAGTGGATTCGAGGAGCTATTGTTGGGAGCTACCAGTTCGCCATCACCATCGGGTTGCTTCTCGCTGCCGTCGTCGATAACGCCACACACCTCCGCATGGATACGGGTTCCTACCGCATCCCCATCGCCGTCCAGTTTGCGTGGTCTATCATCCTCATGGTGGGCATGCTTCTACTGCCAGAAACGCCCCGTTATTTGATCAAGCGTGGGCGGATGGACAAGGCCAAGTCTGCGCTCGGACGCCTTCGCCGGCTGCCACAGGACCACGCTGCCGTCCATGACGAGCTTGCCGAGGTCCAGGCCAGCTACGAGTATGAGATGAGCGTAGGCGAGGCCGGCTATCTCGACTGCTTCCGCGGTGGCATGCTGAAGAGGCAGTTGACGGGTATGGGCATACAGGCGCTGCAGCAGCTGACGGGCATCAACTTCATTTTCTATTACGGCACGCAATTCTTCCGCAACTCTGGCATTTCCAACGCCTTCACCATCACCCTCATCACATCCTGTGTCAACGTCGTGTCCACCATCCCCGGCCTTTACGCAACCGACACCTGGGGCCGTCGGCCTCTCCTCTTCCTCGGCGGTATCGGCATGAGCATCAGCCAGCTCCTTGTGGCCGTCCTCGGAACCACCACTACCGGGCAGGATGCCGACGGCAACATCCTCGTGTTCAACCTTGCCGCACAAAAGGCATCCATTGCCTTTGTTTGCATCTACATCTTCTTCTTTGCCTCCACCTGGGGCCCCCTCGCGTGGGTGGTCACCGGCGAGATCTTCCCCCTGAAGCACCGCGCCAGGGGCTTATCCATTACGACCGCGACCAACGTACGTGCCATCCTGTCCCCACTCACCCCAAGGATAAACGCTGACGCATATGTGAAAATATAGTGGCTACTCAACTGGGCTATCGCGTACGCGACGCCGTACTTAGTCAACTACGGCGAGGGGTATGCCAACCTACAGAGCAAAATCTTCTTTGTATGGTTCGGTTGCTGCTTCCTCTGTATCGCCTTTGTGTACTTTCTCGTCTATGAGACCAAGGGGCTGTCTCTGGAGCAGGTGGACGAGATGTACGGGGACAAGACGTGTACTCCGTGGCGCAGCGCCGGCTGGCGGCCCAGTGAGACCCCTCGGGGGGAGGGGAAGGGGGATAACGGCGACTCGGCCAGCGCCGAGGTCGTTGCTCTGGAGGAGGTCCGCCCAGAGGGTGTGTCAAGAGTATAAATGCCGGAAATGATGGCTTATGAAAGGTGAATTGCGTGGTGTCAGGAAATAATAGAACTTGGAATTTGGCTTGTGACAAGCATCCAAGTAGCAAATTAATGTACTGTGTACATGTACCAATCAAGACCCTGCAGGGTACTTCGGTCGGGATAAGTCGGCTAGCATTCGTCCGGTGAGCTTGAACATGAATGTGTCTGCAATTGTCAACAAACCTCCAGCTGCCGGTTGACAACTGCCGCGTATCCATCATGAGAGAGGTTCCTAATGCCCGCGGAATTGTTGGCCCCATTTTCCATTTTTTGTGTTCGAGTATTAAACCGCAAATGCATTTCTCGTCATCCTCGTTGCGCTTATGCCGGGCGATCTCGAATAATCGGCAGTTCACACCATCCCGCTCTTCGTTTACGATGACCGGCAGCACTGAACGTCGCCCTGAAAAGGTGTATTTCCCAAACATCGACGTCGAAAACCTTGAAGAATATAGGATCGGCGGGTACCATCCTACTGTAATCGGTGACACTTTCCATGTGGGCCGCTACGAGGTTGTCCACAAGCTCGGCTTCGGCGGCTACACTCAACGATCTGGCTCGCTCGAGACCGACACTTACAACGGTACGTCTCGTTGAAGCTCCTGATCGCGCGCCAAGCTTCACAAAGCAACGAGGCGAAAATACTTTGTCTCCTGTCCGGCCGTGGGTCCGAGTCAACCCACCCAGGGCGACGCTTCATTCCACGCCTTTTGGACGACTTCACTTTCGACGGGCCCAATGGTCGTCACCTCTGTTTGGTCCAAGATTTCGCCGCCTGTAGCATCACGGTCGCCAAAGAATGGTCTTCCAACAATATGTTCCCTGTCGAAACAGCCCGGTCCATCGCCGCGCAGCTCATTTTGAGACTCGCATATCTGCACTCTCGCGGGGTTTGTCATGGAGGTGGGCTCACCCTACACCCATTCTTGCACTCATGAGCGCGCTCCGCTCAGTTCCATGGGTCATTTCACTTGAAGCTAATATTACCTCCAGATCTGCACATGCACAACTTTTTTATCTACGGCTTAAACATCGATCAGCTTAGCCCTCACGAGATATACAGCCGCTACGCCCTCGACACAGCACCGGTGAAACGCGTCGATGGGGCTGCTCCCGAGCCACATGCCCCCCCTTATGCAATTTGGTCTCTGCCCATCAAAACCCCGGCCGACAAGCTGGCAGACCCCGTTCTCAAAATCTCCGACTACGGTACCTCGTTCGTCACCACTGACAATCCCTTCCCCGAGCTCTGTACTCCCACCCTCTATCGACCCCCCGAGGCTCTCTTCGATGACCGCATCATGCCCTTAGCTGCCGACATCTGGACATTTGGCGTCAACCTTTACGAAGTCCTTGGGGAGCGACCACTTTTCGAAACCTTCACCTGGGACCGTGACGATATTCTCGCTGATATAATCAGCACCCTAGGTCTGCCACCGCAGCGCTGGTGGGACACCTGGGCTAACCGCGGCGAACTTTTCGAACAAAACGGCGAGTGGAGGAAAGGCGGAATCAGTCGCATCTACGACCCGGTTTGGCGGCCTTTGAGCCAGCGTATGTGGGATATGGGACGGGGTGAACAGCCAGAAGACTGTGAGTGGGATGTTGAAGGCGGCGAGATGAGGGAACTCGAGGTCCTATTCAAGGGCGTGTTGGCGTGGGAGCCGGAGAAAAGATGGACGGCGGTGGACTTGGTAAGCTCGGAGTACATGGTCAAGTGGGCGTTGCCGGCTTGGGAGAGACAGAAGAGCAGGCAGTATGGCGCGGTACCGGGCCCGGCGTAATAATCATTTTTGACCGACAACTCGTGCAACATCCTGACCGGCAACTCAACTCCATCAAATACCCCCGCACGCCCCGTCAGTGTGGATGCCGAAGGATGGAGTCGGATGCTCCCCTGGTGGGTTCATGTTCCCAACCTCGGGCTTCTTCATGCCATGGAATGTGTGATCTCGGGCGACTTCATGTCTCTAGGGAGTAAAAGATCAAATTTCCGGGTCTGCTCGACAGACTTGTAAGACGGGATAATCTACAATTTGTCTTTGGGCTTTGCTCGTGAGAACCCCAGTCCCAAAAAAATGCCCTGTGTTCCCACGAACCCTCGTCCGGCGGAACCGGAATATGCAAAGCCTGCATCCGCTCCCACCCCCTCGTCGCCAATCAGCAGCGGAGACCGAAGCACACCTCTTCGCGAGAGGCGCCCCCCGCTTGTCAGCAAATCGTTCCTTGGCAGATTATACCCGATTTAGAAGATAACAATCCCATCCCATCCCCAGCCACGTGCTGGAAGAAGAAGCTGCCTTTTCCCGGGTTCAGGGGTGATGGAGAGGGTGCATTGAGCAGCAGATTGGGAACCGAACGCGCCTTGACTGTCACACGTGCTTGCAATTGACCTCTGTGCAACTCCGAGTATATATGGGCTGGCCCCGATTCCGAATCACCGACCTGAAGAGATCGCCCGTCCACTGCTTCCACCTCGGAGACCATTTCCCCGGATCTCCCAACCCACACACGATGGTTGCAATCCGCTTCCTGGCCTTGTCGGCCTTCGTTATCCCGGGCCTTGCAGCTCCCCATGACAATGGGAAGGGATGTAACTCCGGCCCGGGGAAGGTCACACCCGTCAAGCGGATTTCGCTCGGCCCTCGCCCGTACTGGCTGGTTGACGATATGGACGATGGCCCATTAAAGAACAAGCTCGCTTCGTGTTCTGAGAAGGAGATGAAGCGAAGCGACTGGAGCATCTCGCATCGCGGTGGCGGCACGCTGCAGTTCCCCGAGCATACACACGGGTCCCTCATGGCCGGGGTGAGTGCCGAGTCGGAGTCCTCCACACCTGACCTCTTGGATAATGTTTACTGACTCGTGATAGACAAGAATGGGGGCTGGAATCCAAGAATGCGACGTCACATTCACCAAGGACAAGCAGCTCGTGTGCCGCCATGCCCAATGCGATCTCCACACTACCACCAACGTGGTCTCGATCCCGGAACTCAATGCCAAATGCACCGTTCCGTTCAAGCCTGCGTCCGACGGCGCCAGCGCAACCGCCAAATGCTGCACTTCTGATTTCACCCTCGAGGAAATCAAGACGCTGTGTGCCAAGATGGACGCCTCCAACAGCGCAGCCACCACGCCGGCCGAGTTTCTCGGCGGCACGCCTGGGTATCGGACGGACCTGTACGCCAAGTCCTGCAGCCGCGTGTTGACTTTCCGCGATTTCGTCGAGCTTGTTGATGGTCTGGGGTTGAAGTTCACCGCTGAGCTCAAGACCCCTGAGGTTCCCATGCCTTTCCCGGCCGGCAGCGACTACACTCAGGCCAAGTTCGCCCAGCAGCTGATCGACGAGTTCGAAGCCGCCAACATCAAGCCCGAGCGCGTGTGGTTGCAGTCCTTCCTCTACGATGACCTCCTCTACTGGATCGAAGCCGAACCGAAGTGGGCTAAGCAGGCCGTCCTGCTCGACGAGAGCGCCGACGCGGCCATGACCATGCCAGAGGCGGTGGCCAACCTCGAGAAGTATGCCAAGGCAGGCGTAAAGATCGTCGCGCCCCCGCTGCCGTACCTCGTCACGGTCGATAATGGCAAGATCGTTCCGAGCGAGTATGCCCTCATGGCTAAGAAGGTTGGTCTCAAGATCATTACCTGGAGCCTTGAGCGCAGCGGCTGGCTGGGCGACGGGTCAGGGGGTGGATACTACTACAGCAGCATCGCAAACGTCACAAACAACGAAGGCGACGTGTTCAACCTGCTGCACGTGCTGGCCCAGGATGTGGGCGTCGTTGGTGTTTTCTCGGATTGGAGCGCCACCGTCACGTACTATGCCAACTGCTTTGGCCTCTTTTGAGCGAGAGCATGATGATGCAAATTTGAGCATTCTTCATATTGGATGTGGATAATTAATGTGGATCTAATAATTGAAATCCGGGGCGATCGACGCGTTTCATCGTCTCATGTTCCAAGTACCAGGGCACGCTGTGATGTTACAGCCGCGGGTGCGCAATTAGCCGCCGGGTATACTTCCATGCAACTATCGTCGGAGTCTCGTCGCTGCGGACACATTGCATCTTGATAGGCAACCCCAAGTTGACATTATCATATGGAAGACGTATTACTTTCCTCGAGAGATCCAATCCATCGCTAAACCCCCTCAACATCCACAATGGCGGGCACGGGGTCCGTGGTTCGGAGTTCTCGCTCGACTCAACAGCTCGCCAGCTCCCATTTGTCGCTCGCGTTACTGTTCCTGCTCTACCATGCGGCTTTGGTAACGTCGTCTCTCACCTCCTTGACACAATGCCTGAACGAACCCGCAGGCAGACTGCAGGAAGATAGAGCCGGGGTCTGCCCCGTTCCGGGGAGAATCGGGATTGTGTCCGACGCGGACGACGATGCCATGGCTTGGTCATTCCCCCCCAAATGTATCAGCCAAACGTCCTTGGACAATTCGTCCCGGATCGATTGTCTCTTTACTTCAACCGACTTCCGAAACGGCCACGGCACCAGCCTAGTGACGACAACCACCAGCGCTTCACATCTCATTGGCCTCGGAGCATTTTCCGACAAGCCACCACCCCATGCTGCCCAGCCCCGTGACTCCCTTGGACCATCGTATGATATCCTCCCAGTTGAAGGACATGGCAAAGGGGTGGTGGCAAACCGGTTGATTCGGAGGGGAGAAATCGTCATGGTCGATGTCCCAGCCGTGCTTATTTCAATTCCCTTTCTAGCCGACACCAAGCCGCATCACCGGCGCCGTATCATCAAGCAAGCTATAAACCAGTTGCCCGAGGAAACCAGGGACCGGGTTTACAGGCTGAGCCGAAGCTCATCAAAGTACGAGGTGGACGCAATTATGGGGTCCAATTCCAATACCATCACGGTGGGCGAAGACGAAGTCCACGTCGGTTTGTTTACAGAGGTTGCGGTACGTCTAAGACCTAGCCGACACCGCTGGCGGGTGTTGGGTTGGAGTCAAGTCGGCTAACAAACGTTGTTACGTGTGATAGAGAGTCAACCACGCGTGTAGACCCAAGTGAGTTTGCTCCTCATCCGATTTGGTTTTTTTTTTCACGTGTTAACAATCTTTATAGTGCATACTACAGATTCTCAGAGCGTCGGTTGACAATGGAAGTGGTCGCCTTCCGGGCTATTCAGCCAGGCGAGGAAATTGTTATGAGCTGTAAGTCGCTGTGGCCCATGTTCTGATTGCTGACGTTCCGACACTAACTACCTACCTTAGATGTTCCCCTCGAAACGCCAGTGGAAGAACGCCGGCGGTACCTAAAAGATCACTGGGGGTTCAACTGCGCTTGTTCGCTCTGTCGCGCTTCGAAATTGGACGCCGACGATTCCGAAGCTTGGAGAGAAAAGGTCAAGAGCCTGAAAGCGACCATCCAGGACGCCAGAAGCCAAGGATACTACAAAAACGCAATTGTCATGGCCGAGGAATGGCTTTTGGTCTCCGAATGGGACATGACGCCGCCCTTCATGCCCGAGTATCACGATACGCTTGCGGATCTCTACTTTTTGAAGGGGGACATGGTGAATGCCACGAGATACGCTCGTATGGCTATGGATGGGTGGGCAAGGTTCGGCAGCGTGGATGATGAACAGCTAGAAAGGGCTGCGGCGTTCCTGCAGCGCTTGGATCAGTTGAACGAAAAGGGAAGGTGAATGTGATATTGAATGGCAGTTTGGCGTCCAAACCTTGGTTCGCTCTGCTTCGAGCCTAGCTTTCCTTGGATGCATCGGGTGCTAATACTAGAAGCCGTGAAGTCGTCGTAGTCCGAGCTAAAAAGCGAACCTTCAAACGGCTGGCCCTCGTTGTTATTAAGTCGACCATCCCTTGGCCGCGGCGCCAGGGGCGGTAAGCACTCAAGTCACGTCGAGTGGTTACACCTCGGGGGTCTCGGGCGGTTCTACCCCGCTATCGTAAGCTGGGAGCTGCAGTGGTATTGAGTGTGCTGCACAAGGCGGGACGGCTCGGGGGCTGAATGGTTGCGCTAGCTGCGAGCCATGCCATCTAAATCACCTTCTTTGTCGTACTCGCACAGACCCGAGGCCTCCGTTGGTTAGCCTCCTGCGCTTACTGTATGATGGTGTAAGCGGTTCTAGCATCCTACCCGACAGTATTCGGGGCTGTGAGTAGTTCCCGGATGTCTTAAAAGACGGAGAGTCTACCTATGTTCCATGTTAAGATGCCTATGATCCGAACCTCGGTACCGCCGCGGTGTGATAGCTTCTGCCAACTCGTCCCACACGGTCACTATGTGGCCAGGTTCACTTTTCGTCGCCGCTGTTCACCTTGCATCGGGTGTTCAGGGGCTTGCTGTTAGCTCGAGGGATGTCCTCAACGACGCTCAACTGACTTCCGAAGCCATTGGCGATTTCGCAGCAGTTAAGTTCGCGAGTGCGACGGACACAGTTTCGTCCACATCGGGGGTTGATTGCAAATCCTTCCCAGGGGACGAATCATGGCCCAAAGAAACCGAATGGTCACGCCTCAACAAGACACTGGGGGGCGCTCTCTTGAATCCCCTCCCGCCCGCGTCCGCGTGCTACAGCACATCACCCAACTTCAATGCCCAAACCTGCAGATTTCTCCTGGACAACGCCGGCAGTACCAGCTTTTATCTCGATGATCCTCTCACGGTCTTGACACAATGGCCCCAGGGCAACACGTGCCTCATCTCCCGAAACCCAACCGGCAACTGTACTCGTGGGGGGTTCCCCGTCTACGTGGTCAACGCGACGAGTGTCAAACAAGTCCAGGCAGCGGTCAATTTCGCGAGAAACAAGAACGTTCGTCTCGTGATCAAGTCGGTATTCCCAAAGACAGGCCTGATTTAGCCCCAAATGTGATTGACAAGTGCTGGATAGGAACACCGGACACGACTTCGGCGGACGGAACACAGGGGCGGGCTCCCTTAGCGTTTGGACACACTATCTGAAGGGCTTCGAGTTCCTCCCCAACTACAAACAGCCCGGGGGAAATTATCGAGGCCCAGCTGCCGTGGTGAGTGCCGGATTGCAAGTTTGGGAAGTCTTTCGGCACGCCGAACGATACAATGTCACGCTGCCAGCAGCGTCCTGTCTCACGGTCGGGTCGTACGGCGGTTGGATGACGGGAGGAGGTCACTCTCCCCTAAGCTCAAAATTCGGTTTGGGAGTCGACCAGGTTTTGTCTCTGCAGATAGTCACGGCCGATGGGCGATATGTGACAGCAGACCCGAAGACGAACCAGGACCTGTTTTTCGCGATGAGAGGCGGCGGCGGCAGTATGTCCAAACGCCCCCTTGCTTGATTACCAGTGTTTTGGACGTCGAGGACAGCTGCTGACCCACGCATGGCAGGTACTTACGGGGTAGTCACTTCGGCCATCGTCAAGGCGCATCCCCAGATCAACCTGACAATCGCGAGCTTCAACTTCGCCCTCGGCAAGACAGCATCGACCACTCCGGGCCGCGACGTCACAATCACTGACCTCGAGACATTTTGGAGAGGATTTAACGAGGTCTTCGCATTTGGAGTCCCAACCGCCGATGCCGGTGGTTATCTCTGGACATACGGCATCCCGACGGGTGAAAACCGCTACCAGATGCAGGTACAGGTGCAGATGCCCGGTTTGACCCCGGAAGAGGCAGCCGCCTTCGTACAGCCGCTGCTACATACCCTAAACGACCTCGGGATCCCCGTCGCCATCACAACGCCAACGACCAGCGTGTACAGCAGCCAAACCGGAAGCACGGGCGGTCAACCGGCCAACGGCTATTTTTCCTCTCGCCTGTTCCCGCGGTCCTCATTCGAAAACGCCACCCTCTTCTCCGCAGCCATGACAGCGGCCCGGGGGACGGTCGAGGCCGGGTACACATTCCACGGCCTCAACATGGCGCCGACGCTCAAGGTCGCCGGCTACCCCGCACCGGCCGGCCTGAACCCCGTGTGGCGCGATGTCGTCATGCACGCGGACGTGTTCGCAAGGATCAACATGGGCACGCTGACGCCCGCCGAAGGCGCTGCCGAGCAGCGGCGGCTCGACGGATACATGGAGCCTCTCCGTGCGGCGACCCCTGGCGGCGGTGCCTACTTGAACGAGGCGGACGTGCTGGAGCCGGACTGGCAGCACAGCTTCTTCGGATCCAACTATGACAAGCTGGCGCGCATCAAGCGCGAGCGGGACCCGTGGCACGTCTTTTGGGCGCCGACGACGCCTGGTAGCGAGGCGTGGGCGGTCCGGACGTCTAGCGAGCTGCCGACGCAGAACGGCCGGCTTTGCCGCGTGTAGAGGGGCGTTTTCTGTGTGGCTGCGGTCTGGAAGACGAGCGGCTACTAAAGTACACGGGCTGGGTGCAATCAGTGTCATGACGTCAGTTGAATCTTGAGAGTGCCAGCCTTCATCCGTTGTGTGTTGCTCCCGAGTGTGGGTACTAGTAGCCCATTGGCAAACCCCCGGGAGGAGGCATAAAGAAGAGCGCAGGATTCAGCAGGTTGTTGAATTCAGAGTCCCAGTTCAATCCAAGACCGATGTTTGCCTGTGGCGCTTGGGGTTGCATATGACTTCCTGGAGATGGCCCGTTCCAGTGTTCGTCCAAACCGCTGCCGTAAAACCCCAGTTGGGCTTCGGTCCCCGTAAAACCATTGTCGACCCCAAAGGCCATGTCGGGGGTTGAGTCCGGGCCCGACCCCGTTGCCGAGCCCGCGCTCTGTGATAGCGACGGCGTGAGGGTTGGCTCGCTACCACTTGTAGCACCTGTGTGTTGCTGGGGCCCGTACTCGCTCAGGGGCATTTGCGACTGCTGGTAGAGACCTAGCAGTCTCGGCTGCAGGTTCATAACAATATCTGCAATGCGCGGGCGGACTCGCTCCTCAATGTCTTGGAACTCTTCGCGGAATAGTGTTTCCAACTCTCGCCGCACGAGGGTGGGCATCTCTCGGCGGATGAATGTGGCATAGTCTTCCAGCTCCCCATAGCCGTTCGGTGCCTGATTTTCGCCTCCATCTTCGGACTCATTGTAGTCTAATGGTCTGGTTAGCAACATATCTCTCAATATGAAAAGCATACATCGTCTTACATGGTGACGGGATAGCGCTCTGCTCATCATCTGGAAAAAGAATCATGTAGATCTCGCGCCATTTATCCACATCGGTCATATCCGCATGTCCCTTCTTGCGACTCCGCAACTTCTTCTCTTGATCCTTGGTAAAGCCCTCTTGAAGGGTCCGATTCCTCTGAACGGAGCATGGTGGGTCTTGCTGCAGGTGTAATTGGAGTTGGGCCTCCGCTTTAAATGTTTCCCAACACCGGGGACATTGGATAGGAAGGGGGTGTCGCCGGTAGAGGTGCGTTCTGCAAAGCATCCGTTAGCACCATCGTCATCTAATGTCGCATTGGCAAACTTACTTGACCCTATGCACCTCGTCCCAGCCAGGTCCGGGGCATGAAGTCCACTTGCGGTACTTTTTCGGATTCCTTTGGAAATATGGGCAGGCAAACTTTCCCGTGCCCTTCTCCTCGCTAGTGGCACCGGCGCTCAATGAAGCTCGCTTAGGCTTCTTGCGCCGGCCGTCGCCGTCTGTTTCTTGTGGAGCTTCAGGTGATGTATCGGGACCCAATGGCTCGGGCCCAGCCGCCCGCTTCATTGTCTGGGGAGCTTGCCAACCCTCGAAGGTTTCCGGCCCATACCTCTGGACAGAGGGGATCATGTCTTGGTTACGGAGGTTGGCAAGAGGGGGCATGGATTGGTGCGACAATGGTTGGCTTTTGAAGTTTTTGAGAGTGTATCCAACGAACGGCAGATGCACCTCTTCTTCGATCGAGGGGGCATTGGCCTCAGCATTGACGTCCTCGCGGCGCAACTCCGAGGCGGACCAGTTTAGTTGGCCATCCAGTTGAGCGCTGCCGTCAAGGGCGGTAGGTTGGTGGTGGATCTCGCCACTGCGCGCCCCCTGAAACGTATGAGCGCTAGGTGTTGTTGACTCCGAGGTGACAGTTGGGTGTCGAGGGGCCCTCCTAATCTGCCGGTACCGCATCTCCGAGGCAGGGATGGGCTCTCGTCGGCTGATGTTTGTTAAGTCGCTCCCCTCGGGTACCACCTGTCCACCGCTCGCGGTCGGGATATCAGGGACATGTTGGGCGCGGTCTAGGGACGGGTCTACTACTCGCCGCTCCGCCTCCCGTGCTCGCACCGAGCGGACTCGGACGCCAGAAATGTCTGCGGCACTGCCCGGCCCAACTCCTGGCACCGAAACTTCTTGGTTTCGCGAGAAACCCAAAGGTCGAATGATGCTACGACTCGGGGGTGTGCTAGTGAGAGGCGGACTGGGCAAGCCGCCCGCTTGATGGGCATATCTGATCGGCGCTTGGGGAGGAGGAGGTGGTGGAGAAGGCGTGGACAACTGCTGGCGGGAACGGAGTGGCGTAAAGGTCACGGATGACGAAGGTGGAGGCGGACTTTGGTTCTGGGGCACCGTCGACCTGTGTGTTGTTGATGGGAACCCTAGAGCTGGCGGAACTGGGGCGTGAGCTGCGGCTAACATTGGAGTAAAAAGCGAGGCCATCGAGCTCGGCTGTAGCATCCCCATACCAAAACCTGGGGCGGTCGGCTCCGGTTGCACGTCGCCGGGGCCACGCCGGAATTTTATTTTCCTGGCGGGTTTTTGCGGTGCACTCGGGGCTGCGTCCTTTGCGACAGTTGTGGCGGCAGCAAAGGACGCCATCCCAAGGCCCTCCTCCTTGACACCTGGACGTGCTTTAGGCTCTGTGATGGCAGCGATCTTGGAGTCGAGCGAAGCGCAGAAACTCTTCATGATGCGGTCGATCATCTCGGATTGGCCGCCATCGTCTCGGTCGTCGCCTCCGAGCCTGCCTTCACCTGAGCTGGTACTGTGCTGCTCGTCGGCCGACATGCCCGCGTCCGTGGCGCCGTGGGGGGGCTCGGTAGCATCGGAGGCCGGCGATGAAGGTCGGATTCCAATTCCATCACCACTGCCTTTGGATCCAGCGGAAACTTCAGTCGCGGCGGCTTGCTGTGACATATCATCCGAATTTTCGGAATCCTGGGGTCGAAAGCGGGAGAAGTCATCGATAAGGGCTGCAATGCCAGCCGTCGTAGATGATGGGACTTGAACATGGGGTTGATCTGCCTTTGACTCGGGCTTTGACTGTGGTGACTCTGCTGAGTCCGGCGACGGTGGCGTCCCCGGACTGGGGCCGTTTTTCCCCTGCATGTTGGGTATTGGGACCCCCGAACGGAAAATACTGAATATAATAACACAGTAAGAATTGGCCGGAAATCAACGCGGCATGGTCGAGATGAAAACAGGAGACTCCTGATTAGATTGTTGCCTGACGTATTGTTTTGCACAGTTGGGCAAAAGTGCAGTTTCCAAGCAGTCGGCTGCAGAACACGTGAATCTCGGAAAGCGGGTTAGGGTTGTAGTTCTTTGGATATGCTACAAGGTCGACCAACCGGTTGGTCCTCTACTATTATTACACGACCTCAGTCTCATGTCTTTCAAGAATGCCTCTCCCATGCTCGTGCTCTTGGAGGAAACATCTAATCCTGGTCCCACGGGCCCCTCCCTGGGGCGAAAAAGCGCCGAAACTCCTGACATTGGCTTAACATCTCCCGAGGTTGGCTTGCACATTCGACGTTAGCGAAACTTGTGACCAACATATGGGGGAACGGAGGAGGTGACATACCGAGAGTGCAGTTCTCGTCGGTGTAGTGGCCACTGACGTAGCAAGTTTTGTCTCCGACAGCCACCTGGTGCCAGCCGCTTTGAGGGGTCGAGTTAGCCGTGGGTATCTCTTTTGACGGCGTGTTATGAATGTCCTTACCAGTTGACATTCCCGCTATCGGTTACGCATTCCCCAGTCTTCACACACATGAAGCTGCCAACCGTCTTCCCTTGTAATGTCGTAACCACTTTGTATTTGGTACCGGGTCCCGACCGGCAGTTCGCTGCGGAAGCGTTGACGATAGCACAAGAAAGTCCTTCCCGTCGAACGTAACCATCGTGAGGGTCGATCGACTTGTCGGCCGGAGCGGCCAACAGGCCGGCGGGGAGGAGGGATGCCGTCAGGAGCGTGGTGATTCTCATCTTTTCTCGAATGCAAGTCGTGCAGCCCCAAAGCGTGGAAAATCCCTGGAAGTCTTTATATTTGTCTGCCCACAAGAAGTAAGACGGTGGAATTCTTGCCGGGGTAATTTGGTTCCTGTCACCTTCCTAGTCAGGGGAACGTCTCCACCCCTTTTTGCCCCCAGAACCCAGGAACAGTCCCACAAGTGGTTCAGCTCCCCCAGGCGCAGCGGGTCTCAAAGTGCTAATTAAAGGAGATCGGGGAGGGCCGCCCCACCACATGCGAATGAGACAGAGACACCAGCCCGAGAGAGATTGGGGCGGCACCTTTCGCTTCCTCAGATATCTTGGTGGGTCTCTCTCGAGTGTGGGCAACGTTGTGGGATGCCACAACGTCAAGGTCAGAAGAGCTCTCGCTCGCCGTCATTGCCATTGAATGATGTGAAGACACGAGTTGCCGACTCATCGAAAGGACCACTTTCTCTGCATGCTCTCGCATTCTCCTGCCCGACGCCGTTCTAGTCACCCCCGACCCGGCAATGGACCACGAACACGGCATGGCAACGCTACGGAAAGATGTCGTCGAAAAGCTCGTCGGGGGGCCATACGCCCGGTGGAACGGACGGAGACATAAGCATACGGACGGAGTTTGAAATCATTCGGGTACATGTAGTTACTCGCCAACATGCTCCCAGCCAGTGACGACCACAACGTCGACCCTTGGCCGTCCCATGACATCATGTCAGGTTCGCAAGGTACCTCGCTATCGCCTCGATTTCTGAGCAGCAGTCCCAGGACTCACGATTTGGTGATTCTTTCCGGCCAACATAAATACCTTAGGTACTTCGGGAGGTCCTTGAACTTCAACACGGCAAATGCACACAGCGATTGGTGGTCTCAAGGAGCCATGGCCAATCCCTCAAACTCCCAGACGTGACGACGAGACAACGCTGGCGCGACGGGGCCACGACGAGGGAACCAATAAGGGTTGCAGGGCACTGAGCACCGAGGCATTGCTGTATTTGATCTAGCGTAACAGTCTTGGGCGAGTGAGCGCCATGCACGCGTCAACCAGTGGAATTATTCCCGAGTGGGAGCTCCGCGGCCCCTCTTCGCCGTCGGAAGGCCGATACCGCCTTCAAGTGACTCAGTTATTCGGTTAATGGCGGTTCTTAGGATGATACTGTGTACATCAACCATCAAGGTCCGTAAAAGTGGAGGACACCAGACCCAAATCCAGCCTGAGCTACATCCAAGCCGATAGTTGACGCACGATTTGGAGAAACATTCACGATGGGGCAGTTCTTCGAAGTAATCCCCGAGTATCTCATGAAATGGATCCTCGAACAGAAAATGTTCTGGGTAGCCACCTCCCCGCTCTCGGCATCCGGACACGTCAATGTGTCACCCAAGGGCGGCCTCTACTTCGGTTTGCTGGATGAGAAGACCTTCTGGTACATGGACCTCAGTGGCAGTGGCAATGAGACCATTTCGCACCTCTACGAACCAGACAACGGCCGCATCACCGTCTTGTTCAACTCGTTCGAGGGCCCGCCTCGCATCGTTCGTCTCTTTGGTCACGGGTCGGTGCTCGAGCGGGGAGGCGTGCACGAGGCGGGAGACCAAGCTTTTGACGACTTTGTCAAGAAGCACGACCTGCAGGTCCTCCCGAGCTCCAGGTCTATCATCATCGTCAACGTGCACCAGGTCGCGAGCTCGTGCGGCTACTCGGTGCCATGTTACGAATTCAGAAAATTCCGTAGCACCCTCAACGAATCCTTCGCGAGGAAAGAAGAGAAGTTTGAGCAGGGCAAGTCGGAAGAGAGCAGGGAAAGGTTCGTCTAATTACCTATGCTTACTGCCCGCGTCCCCTGAGAGAAGGAACGCCGACTAAATCATAATTTCGAACTAGGTACTGGGCGTTCAAGAACGCATATAGCGTGGACGGTCTCCCGGGGATGAAAGTCGGCTGCAAGACCGGAAAGCAGGAGGGCATCGCCCCGATCGAAAAGATGGTTGGCCCACTGGCACCGCAGGGATACCGCAACGCCCGGGCATTCGGCATCTGGCATCTCATTCTTGTAGCGGTTCTGTCGGCTATCTGTACTGCCCTATTCCTGCCCCTGTTGCCGGCTACGCTCCAGGGAGCACTCCACAGCTCTGCGTCGTAGGCTCGCGAGTATGTACATACTCCCAAAGCCAGCGTTATCCAGAAAACACATTGCATTCAACTGCCTCCTGGCCCGCATTGTCGCTGCCACGACCCTATGTATGGGTACGTTTTCACTAATTCGACTCAGTCCTTACCACGGGACCTTGTCTCCGGAGTAGCAATAAAAGGACGCCGTGTCTTCGGCGCGCAGCCCGTGCAAAACCACGAGCATGTCCCCGATACTCTTGCTCGGCTCCAGCTGCGCCCCCGCCCCGCCCATCCTCGTCTTGACCCACCCGGGGTCCATGGCGATGATGACCGCCCCGGGCAGCTGCGCCTTGAGGTCCGCGCTCTGGTGCACCGTGAGCATGTTGAGCGCCGCCTTGGAGATGGCGTACCCGGTGCACTTGCGGGCCGACTGGGAACTGAGCCCGAGGCTGGCCAGGCCCGAGGTCATGTTGAGGATGCGAACGTCGGGCGACAGCAGGCCGCCGTCGAGCAGCAGCTCCACCGTCTTGGCCGGGCCGATGACGTTGATGCTGAGCTGGGCGTGCAGCTCGTCCGGCCCGAGGTTGAGCGAGTTCTGCGACGACCCGAGGTTGACGCCCGCCACGTTGAGCAGGTAGTCGATCTTCTTGCCCTCGCCGAGGGTCCGGGCGACGGCCTTGACGAAGGCGTGGATGGACGGGACGTCGCCCGTGTCGCATTCGAGGATGTGGGTGGAGGGAGACGCCACCGCCTTCAGGTCGGTGAGGTCTGAGGATAGAGACCGTGTCGCGGCGATGATGGTGTTGTCACCGGACTGGGCCAGCTGCCGGACGAACTCGAGCCCGAGGCCGCGGTTGGTGCCGGTGATGCAATAGACGGGCATTTTGTATTCTTGGGGGGATTGTGGGTGGTAGGATGAGAAAGATGTCAAACAGTAGTGATAACCAGTCCTTCCCAGCCGAACACTTCCTATAAATACTCAAGTTCACCACGAAATAGGGCCGAGGAGGGGGGGGTTAGGCCGATGTTCGGCACGTTTAGGCTGTGGAGGGATTTATGTCCGCAATCCCCGCACACCAGACTCACAAAGGAAGCTTCGGAGCCACTCGAAACGAATCCACATCCAGCTAACGTCTCTACGTGGAGTTGACGTCGTCAACTCCACCGTGTCACCGTCACCACCCATTCAGCTTTTGGAAAGAAGGGTTAGGGTTCCCCTGATTTGCTCTCTTCTTCGGGGCTGGTCTTGGTAATTAGGAGCCAAGCACTGGCGATGCACCTTCACTTGCTCTAACCTTGTTTGGCACTCCTCAAACGAACCTGCCTCAAAGAGTGCCTGCCTGACCCTGGCTGTGCAGCCTGCGCTTCCCCGATGACACACCGGGCGAGCAAACACACTAATGAACCGGGGCATCGGGATCCAGCAGCATAGATCGTCAATGTTTCCTATTAAAAGGGTGTATCCGCTTCTTACTCGTGGAGCAAACTGTTCTCGAATCAATCCTATACCAAACAACGTAAAGAAACTCCACACTCAGCCCGCCATGTGGAGGAAGAAGTATTACGAAAACCCGCGTCGCCTCGCGCTCGCAGCCGTTGCGAAGGAGACCGTGGCCATCACGCCAACCATCGCATCAGGACTGCCGCATTTGAACCCAGCAAGATCCGAGAAGCTCGACCTATCCACCTTGCCGCCTCTCGACCCATCAAAATGCCCGCGTTTCAAAACCACCACCACCGACGAACCAAACCCAACATACAGCACCACAACCCGCGTCTTCAACCAAGACACATTCGACGCCGCCCTCGCCATGCCCAGCACCATCCTAGAACGCCCACCCACTCCAACAACATCAAAAAAACCCACCCAAACAGCCGAAGCCGACATCCTCTCCCACCTCCAAACCACCGCCGCCTTCCCGCAGCACCTCAACCCAACCACAGCCGCCCGCGTCGCCGTGCTCAACATGGCCTCGGAGCGCAGCCCCGGCGGCGGCTGGCTCAAGGGCGCCTCGGCCCAGGAGGAGGCCCTGTGCTTCCGCAGCACCCTGGCCGCGTCGCTGCACCAACCGCTGTACCCGCTCGCGCCGCGCGCGGGCCTGTACACGCGCGACGTCGTCGTGCTGCGGACGTCGGCGGCTGAGGGGCATGAGTTGATGGTGCCGGAGACGCCGGTGCCGTGTCTGCCTGTTGTGGGGGTGCTGAGTGTGGCGGGGATTCGGAGGCCGGAGGTGAGCCCCGTTGGGGGGGTTGGGGATGGTGGAGGTGGTGATGGCGAGAGGGTGGTGGTGGAAGGGGTTCCGGGTGGTGAGAGGGTTGAGGAGCAGGCGGCCCAGGATGAGGCGGGCGAGGAGCAACCAAAACATGGCAATGCCGCTAAGGGCAAGGGTAAAGCAAAAGCACCCAAGGGGCCGTTCGTGTTTGCCGACCCTGCGGCGCGAGACTTGACAAAGGACAAGATGCGACTGTGCCTCCGTATGGCCGGCGCGAAGGGACACACGATGCTGGTCCTTGGGGCGATCGGCTGCGGCGCGTTCCGAAACCCGCCCGAGGAAGTGGCCAAGTGCTGGCAAGAGGTGTTGGGTGAAGTCGAGTTCGCGGGTGGTTGGTTCAAGGAGATCTGGTTCGCTGTGTACGACCTGAGGAAGGAGGGAAACTTCGAGATTTTTAGGGAGGCGTTCGATGGGAAAGTGATTGCCGCACTTCCGGCTTCCGAACCCCCGGGAAAGGAATGATAGATACTTAGATCCTCATGACAATCTGCTTATCACAGTAAAAGTCCCTGCTGTTGTAGGTTTCGAGCCCGCGCTGCCCCCAGTTTCCTTCTTGATGCCAACCCTGAGCACCTCCCTCAGGGGCAGATAATCCTTGCGCTCGATCGCGTCCACCCATTGCTCGATGCGTCGAAGATAAAACCCGGCACCGCATCGCGACACGGCATTCAGGAAGTCGACCCTCAGTGCGCCCTCCTCCACCTCCATATCCCAGTCCGGCCTGAGCTGCCGCATGCGCGCCGCGTACACCTTGCGAAGCTGGGTCTGCTCGTACTCCATTAGGTGGATCCAGTACAGCTCCGTCTTTCCTTCGTTGTCGAGCCCGTCATCGGGATCGTCGCCGCCGGATACCTCGCTGCCCCCGTTGTTGACGTCTGTGTAGCAGTTGCGGTCGGGCTTGGCCTCCCTCACGGTGCCTCGCAGGAACTCGGGGACTTGTGAGGCCACCCACCGCGGCATTACCGAGGCGCATTCCCTAGTCATGTTGTTAGTTCTGGTTTCGTCCATTGAATTCGAACCAGCAGAACCAGATGGAAAAGAGAAACACGTACCACCCGATGACGGCCGTGACTCTACCGTTGGAGTCCACCAGTATGTTCCGGAGCGACAAGTCGTCGTGCCAAATGACGGTCCGTTCGGGGGGATGAACGATGGCAGGGAAAATCTTGTGTAGCATACGCAGGAGCTTCCGAGCCACCCGCAACGCACTCTCGGCATAGTCCTTGTCGAGCTCGGTTTTCGCCTCGCCGAGCGCAGTGGTGTGCTCCTTGATAATGATATTCAGCTGGGCCCGGATCCAGTCGTGGCTGGAGCTGAAGGGTCCCCGCGGAATCGGGTAATGGTATCGCTGCCCCGAGAAAAAGAAGCTTGACACGATGGGCCCGGGCTCTGGGACGCCGTGGTCCGAGTTGGCGCTGGTTCCTAGCGTCCCGATGCTCCTGAAGCCCTCCCCAAAGTTGCCGCACCGGAACAGCTGTGCTTGGAAGTTGGCCGTCCTGATGGTCAGGGCTTCCTTTTGTGCCATCGACATCTTCCGCCAGCGATAGTAGACCGGCACCCCGGGCATCTTGCCCATGAGGAGCCACTCGTAGCCAATCTCATTGCTTCGGGAGTCGTCAAAGGCCACAAGCTCCGGCACTGGGATGTCGGTTTTGCGGCGGACGAGCTGGAGGGTTGCGGCCTCGCCACGGGTCTTGGTTTGAGGGTCGACAGGCAACGATACCCGCATCATGAAGTGGCCCCGGGGTGATTTGACCTGATAAAGCTTGTTGAAGGCGCCATCTATATGGAAGGAAACGGGACCGCCCGCCTCTTCCTCCTCCGACTTAATGTCACGGAGGGACATGCCTAGATGTCGACAACAGACGCGCTCGACAGCCCGGATGTGAGGGTCTCGCGTCCATCGCGGCTCCGGGCCCAGGCCGTTGTCCTCCCAGGCCAATCCCTCGCGGCTCGCGTCCCGCATGGCTTCAGGCGGGTTGAGTTGGTTATCGTGTCCCTGGCTTTATCTCAGTATTTTGTGCTCACAATCGGCCGCCCATCACATGCATCTGACCGGCGCGTCTCAACTCTTAAACAAGATGCATCGCGTTCGTTTTCATCGTAACATTGAAGCAAAACAACAGAGAAGCAGCCTGAATCCCGTTGACAGTGTTGCCGGTAATCTGTACCGCCAATGGGGGGTGGGCGTCGCACCGTGGATTATCAAACGGCAACAAAATGATTGGATTGTGAAAAAGAAAACGCGATGTGGGACTGTGATGGTCAACAAGCCTCCCATTGGTTGTTGCCCGGCAAGCGACAGACTGATGAGATTGAAAAGTCTCGGCGAACAATTCCATCACACGAACCTCATTTCCATTCACCCCCTTCGATGATGATCCAAGAGATTCCATGTGAAGTCCCATGGCCGCAGGACTCTAGTGCTACAAATTATTACTCCTAGTATGTGCCTCCGCGTGGAAATGCCGCCGTTTTAGGCAGGCAAATGCCGCCCGAGGTACCTACCTTATGCAGCGGCATTTCACAACCCCACCAGACACCATACATCCTCAGGCAGCAAACTCTACATCACTTTCCCAAATGGAACTTACCTCTCCAGCACAAAACGGAGGTCTGTGAAGATCTGTTCATGCCCAGCGCGACCTGTGCCTGTCCTTGCCTGGTGAGATTGTGTCTGTCGCGGACTAGGGAGGAACGGAGGGCCGTCGAAAGATTCGGCCATGCTGAAGGTGCGGATATCATCGTCACCTACCACTTCGACTTGCCCCAGTGTGACATCCTCATATCGTCCTCGCGCTGATCCTTAATACTTATATGCCTAAGTGTCATCCCTCGGCAGCTCGGTGGTCCCGACGAGACAGCTCCGTGGCTAAGCACTTCAATGTATCCTTCACCGGCCCCGTCGATCTAGATACCTTCCACATCAAGCAGGGAGTCTGGCCCGAGCTGCTGATCAAGACTTCGGTATTAATCAAACTCGGTTCTTACACCTAGAGAACGACCGCCCTCCTTACAAAGGCATACACATATACCACATCCTCGTTCTCCTCCCCCCCAACTACCAAACCCCCACGAACCCATTTCCTAAAGGATCGTGGATCACATGCAGTGGTCGCCTCCTGGGGGTCCTGAACCGCGACCTGATCCGAGGGCCTCACCTGGTCGACTCCAGCGTCCGAATCCTGGTAATTCTCCCCGACAATTGGGAATTCATTTGGCAGAATTCCTTGTCTACAGATAGCGAGGCTGGAACGAGGATTCGGACACGGACAACTTGATGGACGCACAACTCATATCGAGGAGCTGTACCCTAACAAAGAAAAGGAAGGAACCAAGCTCTCCCGAACCGGGCAGGAGCAAGAGATCAACAGCGGGAGCGAAGAAGGCGCGGCTGTATGACTAAATCCGGAATTCCGTAGCCCTACCGCTGGGCAGCGAGTGGCACAGGTATCCTCCGCCTTTTTGAGACGGCTTCTCCGGCAATGTCACATCTAAATAAAGTTACTAAATTATTGGTTAGAAGACCCCCTACCCAAATCCGGAATTCCGTAGCCCTACCGCTGGGCAGCGAGTGGCACAAGTATCCTCTGCCTTTTTGAGACGGCTTCTCTGACAATGCCACATCTAACTAAACTGTTGGTTAACAGAAGACCCCCAACCCAAATCCGGAATTCCGTAGCCCTACCGTTGGGCTGCGAGTGGCTCAGGTATCCTCTGCCTTTTTGAGACGGCTTCTCCGGCAATGCCACATCGAACTAAACTGTTGGTTGGAAGACCCCCTGCCCAAATCTGGACAGGCCATACATCAAACGGTCTGCTCTCCGATCCCATCTATCACGCCCTGGGCCCCGCCGTAGGCCCAACCCCTCGCCCCGCCTTAGGTGGTTATACAGGCGGGAAGCCGGGCCAACGATCCAACTTCCAGCCATCTCTCATCTCCGCGCGGTGGAATTCCGAGCGTTTCTAGGGAACTCGAGACCCGAAACCGGCAAGGGGGCTTTTGGGGGCGAGCCGGGGCGTCTCATGTCAATCAGTGAGCTATTTTCGCAAGATACAGGCCGGCCGGCGTCCCGACGTTAGGCTCTGTTTAGGACAAGAAGCCGAGCCAGGTCTGCCCACCAACAGTCCTAACCTCCGGCAATCCCAGTCAGCAGACGTGTTAGGGGCCAGGATAGACTCAAAATAGCGTCGCGAAACACAGCGCCCCCCTCGGCCGCGTTCTCTGACCATGATCTATCCATCCTACACAGCTTCTGTGCTCGTTCAGGACCCTTCCTCGGCACCCCCTCGGCGAGGTTCTCTGGCCTCGAGGATCTAGAGGGCTGAGCTGGGGCCGTGTTATGAGGCGTCAATGTGTTTCGGCCTCAACCACGGGGGCGGGCATCTAGAGACCCCTGGACGCTTTGCCTAGCGACAAAGCTATAGCTGCTGTAAAATTCCTATAGCTCATCTGTATATATAATTCCCTTGCAGCCCATCAATCGATCACCTCTTCTCATCGCCATCATCATCGTCTCATTTCCTCATCTCCAGCTTGCTATCCAATTCATCAATACTATTACTTTCAGTCTTCACATCGTCAGTTCATCGACAACGGCCAACCGCCGCTATACCGTCGCTCGCTCACCCAACCTACAATCCAGTTTCCCCTCGTTCCTCCTTTTCGCCCCGCGGACCATCATGTGTATCTATTACAGAGCCTATTACCCCGCATGCGGCCACTACGGCAAGAGCTGGCACCCGTCGAAGGGAAATTGCCAGATTTTGGGTACTTGCCCCCGTTTCGATCACAACTCCGAGATCGACACCCAGCCCGCCGGGGTTAAATGCAGCAGTTGCAGAAATAAGAAGCAAAAGAAAGGGGGGGGTGGCGGTGGTGGTAAGAGGGATCCGGATGCGTGGATGGAAGAATTCGTTGACTTCTCTGGTGGCGGCTCCTCCTCTGGATATGGGACCACCTACTCTGCCCCGAGGGGCTCTTCAACAAGTCATGGGAGCTCGAACTCTGCCTCGAGGGGCTCTTCAACTCGTCATGGGGGCTCCTCCTCTGCCCCGAGGGGCGCTTCAACTGGTTCTGGGAGCTCGGCGCGCGGTGCTCCTGGTGCCGGGCAGGCACGCTCGCAGGCTGGAGCGCGCTCCGGTCGTCGCTAGGTTCACACCCGGAGATGGATTCTGTGGAGAGAGGCCGTGCTCGCCGTGCCTCTCTTGTCACTTGGTTAAGCAGGGGGGCTAGGGAACGGCAGATGGTTCAGTCGAGAGACGTTGCGCTGGTCGCACCTTTCTCGTCACTAATTTGACTGGGGGTTAGGAAATGTAGCGCTGGTCGCACCTTTCCCGTCACTCATTTGACTGGGGGTTAGGAAATGTAGCGCTGGTCGCACCTTTCCCGTCACTCATTTGACTGGGGGTTAGGAAATGTAGCGCTGGTCGCACCTTTCTGGTCACTCATTTAAGCAGGGGGTCAAGGAATAGGAGGGTAGTAGTCTCGGTACTCAATAAACTAGCACGCTGGCCGTGCCAAAACAGAAGAAATGCGCAGTGACTTCCCTCAAAAGCTATCTTACAGCCTATGGCCACCAGCAGCAATCGAATCCCCAGTGCTCATGAGGATAGCCAGTTCGTCGGGGATAAGGAGCCTCCGGGAGGTTTCGGTGTACTCCTTGACACCGAACACAAGTTCGTGTCCCAGCGCGCCGCGGCCCTCGCCCTCCAGGTCAAAGCGAAGGACTCTGGGGTTGATCTCGACCAGTTCCCTTGCATCCCGCACCCCACGGACAAGGTACAGCACAAATCCGTGGAGAATGACAATGTGACCCCCTACATCCTCCACGTAGGCGTCGATCGGACCGTGACCCTCGTCGCCGTATTGATCCTTGTAGTATCCAGCTGCAAGATTGAACCCATTCTCCCTGTCGATAACGAGGCTCGAGTCGAATTCACTCATGAGGCGTAGGTGGCGAGCGCCAGGGGTAGGCAGGGCGTGGTCGGAGGCCTTGAGAGCGTCGGTGGCGTGCTCGGGGCCAAATAGGCGGGAGACGATCTCAGCCATCAGACGCCGCAGCACAGGGATGGCGTGGGAGCTGAGGCCGGCTTCGGCCCCTATGATGCCCAAGTGGTAGGGCGGCGCGGGCACTGACGGGTCGAGCTGGTGGGGGAGGGTGATGGGGATGTGCATCGCGAGGACGCATGGGGTGTCGGCATCGATCTGGAGCGCGCTCGGGCGGACAAGCTGGACAGGTAGGAGAGCCATACTGGGTACGAGGAGTGGCTACGAACAGAGCAGAGGCTGCAGGGTTTGGAGGTGGAATGTCAGGGAGGGAGGAAGGTTGCGGGAAAGAGTTTGGGAGAAAGCCGTTCGTCTTCCCATCCCTATTTTATACCCATCTGCGTTCACCATCCAGACGTACATGAAGACCAAGGGATTCTATTCGCTCCTTTCGCCCCCCTCAGGCCTCTCTCGCTCGTCCGAACACGGTAATCGATCTCCCCACTTTGTCCCAAACAGCGCGAATCAGAAGCGCGATATGCAGCTTGTCCGGAAATGCGATGGTCGATGGGGGCCAAACACCGCCCCCCATTTCCAGTTTAGGCAATCCATCGAGCAAGGGTATTCCAGAGACGGCAGCGTCAGTGGCTGGGCGCGGGGCTCTGAACGATGGCATTGTTGAAGGGCGACGTCCCGTTAATGCCGTAGAAGGCGATCAGCTGCATGAGGGCGGCGATGCTGCTACCGCCTGCTGATTCGCCGATGACGGTCGCCGCCAAAGCGGTGGATGTTAATCTGTGCCCAGAGGAATGCCAGGCGCTGGTCATACAGACCGGCGTTGGGGGCCACGTCCTAGTCACCAGGACCTCTGGGTGGGAAACCGAACAGTCCTCTACGAGCCAACCGTCAGTTGTAATGCCGAGTCGCCCTGCTGAGCAATTCTTAAAGACATGCGGTGGATCACGGTGTCAGCTCAGGGTTGTGATTCGTGGCTCCGACAATGGGCGTCGGTGCCAAACACAAAAAAAGATATGAATAGATTCCTGACGCAGCTTTTTGGTGTTAGTGTCGACCTTGAGCCCCTTTCCGGGGGTCGGATCAATTCGGCCACTGCTGGCTTCCGTGGGTCCGTCCCATGGGGTGTGGGCTGGGAGTGCCTTGCGGATGCCGTCCTGCAGGGCCTGTGCTTCCCTCATCACACCTTCGAGGTGGTCTCCCGTCCTCTGGTTGGCCTCCGTGAGCTCTTGGGCTCTTTCCCTTGCGTGGTCGATTTCCGCGCGGAGTTGGCCGTACTAGTCGTTTCTTTCTTGGAGGAGTTGTTCGAGCTTCTCTTTCTCTCTCAGCAGCTCCTCGATCCTTTATCGTTGTTCCAGGATCTTGTTTTGCAGAAAGATGAGATTTGGGCCGGCCCCTCCTTCTCCGTTGTGAGTGTGCCAGCGCCCGTCCTCCCGCTGGATCAGGGTAAATACCGCTTTTAGTAACAGTAGGCGATACGGAGATAAGGAGATGAGGAGATGCTTGTCTAGGTCTCGTAAGATCCCTTGGGAAGGTAGCTGTGCTGGCTTCTACGTCCTTAAATACGGCTGTTGATATTGGGGCCTGGGGCGTCAAAAGACTTTACTATTTCCGGAGGAAGGAAAAGTAAATTACTATTACCTATTAAAATACCAAACTAAATAGGAGTTCAGGAGCTGTAGCCTGGAGGTACCAAAGAAAAAAGAAAAAAGAAAATGAAGAACACTGGTACTCTACATGTAGTACTCTCTTTCATAAGTACTGGAGTCCTGATTCCAAACCCTCTTCCCTAGGAATAACTTTGCGTTCCGCGTTGTGACACCTTGCCCTTCAATAAACCAAAACTACCTAACCATTAGGTGACGATATTCAACCGTCATTTTTCTAGCGGCTTTACCTTCACGAACATCTCGAGCGCTACTGCGACATAGCACGTGGCTTCCCGTGCCGCCGGAGACCATGGCGCCATCCGCAGCCACCCATGCGTCAAATCAGCATAGTGCTTCCAAGCGGCCAGCGCCCCTGCCCGGCGCATTGCCCTCGCGTGAGCGATCCCGCCCTCCCGCAGGGGGTCAAAGCCGTTGGTAAAGATGACTGCGAGGGGCTGGCCGTACATGTGAAGACTGCCTTGCGCGCCGGGGTAGACGTATTTGCGGTACGACGGAACTGCTCTGTGTTAGCTAGTGTACCTATGTACCCGGTAGTAAAGGCGTGGGCGGAACAGCAAAGGGCCTCACCGTTTATAAGAGGCAGGTAGTGGTCGATAAGCCCAGTGAGGCCGTCGTATTCCAGGTAGTACCCAGACTTGTTTTCATCCGCTGCCGGGGGGGAGGATGGCGAGTACATCGCCGGGTACAACAGCAATTGTCCCGCGAGTGGCTTTTTGCCCTCGTCACGGCGACGGAGGCAGAGGGCCGCCGTCATACTACCGCCGACGCCGTCTCCTCCCCCTACCACGCGCCGAGGGTGCACGCCCCTGTATCGGCCCCCGTACCCTTGCACCCAGTCGACGACCGCGGAGTATTCGTCGAGCTGTACGGGGTAACGGAATTCTGGGGCCAACCGGTAGTCAAAGGCGAATACCTGCAAGACATGATGGTTAATCGTCAATGCCCGCTATTCTTGGCCGGGGATATGCAAGGGGGGAGGCTTTACCAGGCAACCCGACTTCTCCGCTATAAGCCTCAAGCTATTCTCAAATTCGTCCACGCTCCCGGTGCAATACCCCCCACCATGGCAGTAGACCAGAGCTCCCGCATCCCCCTTTGTTCTTAGTTCTCTCCCCTTCATGGGGTACAAAACTCGGACTGGGATGGCCCCATGAGGCCCGGGGATAGTTGCGGATTCGACTGTGCCGATGGGGTTGATCTTGTGCTTAGGGAGCTTATGGTGGGCAAAGGTTTCCGCGTGTTTTTGCCGCTCCGCGGCGTACCCTCCAAGTCCACCTAGCTCAAGGCCTTGGTGGCAAGTCAAGAACCTGGCGACTGATACATCGAGAGACTCAGCACGGCGGCCGGAGTCTGGGATATCAAGAACGTTCATGTTGAATATAATATCCTTGAGATGAGGTGTGTCTGTTTCCAACTTGTGTTGACCTGAAGTGCGCAAAAAGGTGGAAATACATAGGAGGTCTGATGAATTCCGGGTTTCCATCATTTATATATAGCATCTTGAGCTCGGACCTCTGGCAGTAATCAGCGCCCGTTGATGATGTGATTCGCAAGTCAATGCGTATGTACCAATCAATGCGTACCAACTGCGTCATGGTGGTGTTCCGACTCGGAATATCTGAGCGCCTCCTGAGTCCTATAGGCTACCTCTCTCTGCATACTGAACATTACCTCGGCCCTCGGCAATCCACGCATCACGTCAAACATAACAGGGCCTGAGCACAGCTTGATGTCTGTGTTTCTTCTAGTACCCCTGACGCCGTGATCCGGGATCTTGTAATATTAGGTGCTCGGCCATATCGGCATTTGGCTTAGGGGCCGTACATCATCGGTGAGACGTCGGGTCCGGAATTAGTACTACTAAAGTATTAGTAGTCTATAGTCTAGCACTTACTGGAGAGAGTACTCGCAAAATAAACAACGGACCCCAGGATATAAGTGCACCCTGACGCTTGGGAGAAAAACCCCCAAGGATCATTTCCCGTTTTCCCATACATTCCATCTTAAAGCGAGGAATTGAACATGAACGTGCGTGAAGGCTCACCCCCTCTAACATGTGCCTCTTCGTTGTACAATATCAGCGGTTAAATCAAACAGGTAATAAGTTCATTTTCTGCCTCTGGTTGTTGACTCTCTGGGCGTGTTGCTTGTTTACGGGGCCCGAGACGGTTGCTTGGTGTCACCGCCTCGAAGCCCGCTCTCGAGCGAATAGATACCCTGTCCAGCCTGGCCGTGTCTCAGCCCCCCTGCGGCGAAGCAGCTGAGGGTTCCCCGCACGACCACCCCAACGAGGAAAGACATGACGACTCCAATTCTGCGGTGTGTACCGACTACTTTGTAACCCTTTCATCCACACGTCACGACCAACAACCATCTCAACCTTGGAATATAAACAGCGTCTCCTAGTGACGCAATGGACACCAACGCCAACCAACCCCTCCCACAGGGAATAAACACAACCTCCAACGAAATCAGCCATCAATTCTTCCGCCACTCGTCTGCCAAACGGGTCAACACCGACGCAACCATCGCCAAAGCTCTGAAGGCTGAATACCCCGGCCTCCAGCTTGTAATTGCCCCTTCCTCCGGCATTGATTTGCTGGGGTACGCATCAGCCGGACACGCCAGCTTTACATCCATTGATAAGGCCAGCGACGAGCTGCCGTCCTCGTTGATATGGAAGGTGTATGTGGCACCCGGCCGGCGTATCGACGGCAGCCCCGGCAGACTGGCCCAGAACGTGATATTTGCCAAATTCTTGTACAAATGGGGGGATGATGAGTTCATCCTATACATGGTTGACGGGCGTGACGGGACAAGCTCATACCCTCCGGTGCGCAACAATTATATCCTGACCACGGACACGCACAAGGCGGATGCTCTTGTGATCGCCGCGGGACAGTGGGGCAACGAGCTGCACGAAGAGGTGTGGGTGTGGGACAGCGGCATGTGGACCAAGAGCGCCGAGCTGTACCAGAGCATCCGCAAGTCCACCTGGGATGCCGTAATCCTCGAGGAGAGCATGAAGAAGGCCATCATTGCGGACCACCAGTCCTTCTTTGACTCCCGAGACACGTATGGACGCCTCAAGGTGCCCTGGAAGCGCGGGCTCATCTACTACGGCCCGCCGGGCAACGGCAAGACCATCTCCATCAAGGCTACGATGCACATGCTATACGACCGGAAGGACCCGGTGCCGGCGCTCTACGTCCGGAGCTTCTCCTCGGTATGACACGCACCCACCCCCCAGACTCCACGCTTCCCCTCTAGACCACGTACTAATCAACGCCCGAACACAACCAGTTCGCCGGCCCAGAGTACGGCATCAGCCAAATCTTCCTCAAGGCGCGGCAGTACGCGCCCTGCTACCTGATCTTCGAGGACCTGGACTCGCTCGTGACCGACTCGGTGCGGAGCTACTTCCTCAACGAGATGGACGGCCTGCGCAGCAACGACGGCATCTTCATCGTCGGCAGCACCAACCACATAGAGCGACTCGACCCAGGCATCGCCGTAAGTCCCAACCCACCCCCCCACCCCCCTTTTTCTTTTGTCACCAACCAACCAGACGAGACACACCTCGTTAGGTAGGTACCTAACTAACCCACCACACCGCACAGAAACGCCCTTCCCGCTTCGACCGCAAGTACTACTTCCCCGACCCCGACCGCGCCCAGCGCGTGGCCTACTGCCGGTTCTGGCAGCGCAAGCTGGCGGGCAACCGGGACATTGAGTTCCCGGACCGGCTGTGCGGGGCCATCGCGGGCATCACCGACGGCTTCAGCTTCGCGTATATCCAGGAGGCCTTTGTGGCCGCGCTGATCGTCGTCGCCCGCGGCGGTAGTGATGGCGGTGATGGGGGCGATGGTTCGGAGGGGTGGTCGGCCGCCGGGTGGGAGTCGGTGGAGGGTGATGAGATTGCGGATGGCTGGGTGGGGATTGCTGATGAGGACTTGGATGATGGGGACTTGGATGACTTGGTTTTGTGGGTTGAGATCAAGAAGCAGGTCGCGATCCTACGGGAAGGGATGGAGGAGAAGCGGTCTTAGGTGTGATGAGAAGGCGGTGCTTGGTGCCATCATGGGCGACCCCATTGTTCGAATACGTAAGCGGGAAGGGCGTGGGCGTTGGATTTCTTTGTAACATTGTGTGGTATTCTTATTCTAGTAGAGGAATCAAGCCTTCTATCCTCATGTGTCAAGCCGTCTAATACTGCTGCTATTGGATGTTCTTCGCCTCCGTACAGCCGAGGCGGGACCGCGTACGTCCTTTGGCGAGTGCATGGTGGCCGCACGGTCGGCAGCAGCCCCGACCTCATGCAGAGCATCCATCTTTTCCAGCGCGTCGACAACGTCGGGCGGGGGTTCTGAGCCAAACACGACCTGGATGTCGCCGTGCGGAGACAGACCAGGAAAGTACCTCCAGGATCTGAATCTGGACGACTTGGACCGTCGGGCCCACACGCTCCGTCGCTCCCACAACCCAATGAGTAGTAAAACCGGAGCGTTGACGGCTCGAATGGCAGCGACGTTAATGTTATGGAAGGCGAGGGGCCCGACCAGGAACTTGATGGGCAGCAGAATCAGCATGGCGGCTATGTTGAAGGGTGGCGGATACGAGAAGATGGCATCGCTCTTGACGCCCTGGAAGGTAAGTACGGCGCGACGGAACTGGACCTCGGCTGCTTCGTTGGAGATGATCTTGGAGAAGGTGTTGGTCAAAATGGCAACGAGGATGGTGAGGAATAGGGTGTTGCCGAGGAAGGCAAATGTGATGATCAAGGTCGGACCGAGGATTAGGTGGAAGTCGGCTGCGCGCTCGATCCCTGTGCCGTCAAGCCCGAACCAGATCCTTTTCGTTATTAGCCAGAGGTTCTTGACCCAAACACTTTCATGGATACACATACCATAGCAGCCATTTGGTGATGGTGGCCCATGTCACACCGGTGTTGAGCGATCCTTCACCGCTGGTCCTGGCGAGGAACAGCAATCCCACGACAAAACCGGCAAAACACCAGATGGCAATAAATGTGAGGCGGGTAAAGTCACGCATCATAGCGTGAAGAGCGATGAAGACGATGTTATCGGGCATCAAGGCGAAGGCGATCCGCGTCAGCAAGACAGGGGCGGCGGTGCACAGTACTGGGAGGGCGTAGTAGGCGTCGTCGGAAACCAACAGCTCAACGGCGCGTACCAGGCCGTAGGTGCCATAGATGGCGACAAAGGTGAGGTCGAGGAACGACCACAGGTTCTGGGCATGGACCTCCCAACCATGTTCAACAACGGCCGCAAACTGCTCCAGTACCCACCCCGCTGCGAAAACGTTGAAGACAGTCTCGTAAATACGGACGCCGGCCATGTCGCTTCCGAACCCGTAGTGCGCGACGGTCAGCATGTAGAGGATTAGGAGGACCCCAAAGTGCATCAGCTCTATCACGTTCCTCAGCTGAGGGACAATGAGGCGGTGGTGGTTGAGGATGGCGGCTCGGCGGGGTTCGTACAGCGAGACGGGGTGGTACTTGTAGTGGTCTGGGAGGAAGTCGACGAAAGACAAGGGCGTATACACCACGACCCCCTTATACACAGCGTCCACAACGAGCTGGCAAGCGGGCGACTTGATGAGGAACTTGCTCTCGGAGATGATGGCAAGTTCGAGGGCCGTCAGCTTCCGCTCGTGGCCGCCCCGTTCCTGAATAGCCCATTGTGGACGGCGAGATCGCACAGTTTCGGGTGCTGTGTCGCAAGGGTCGAAGCCGGAAACTAGAATATTGGCGATGAGCAGCAGACCCGAGCGCCCCGGGTGGTCTTCGTGGAAACGGCGCAAGATGCGAGTTGCGAGAAGCTCGCAGAGTATGGCACGCGACTCGTGTACGCCCTGATAGAGGGCCTCATCGGAGCGAGGACGGAGGAACTGAACTCTGTTGGCGACAAGACAGTAAACTGGAACGTCCAGAACAGTCAGTATGATACTCCCCGCAGACGAGTTGTAAGGCACTGACCGATGGCGGGGTCCTCGGGATTGTATAACCGGTCGACGAGTGGCCGTACGATTTGGTGGTCCATATGGGGCGCTCGAAGCTCCTCCAGGGTGTAGGTGTCGTCTAGTCACATGTCAGACTGTTGGGGTTTCGATCACTTGGGCTCGTGGGGCATACCGATAGCTGCGATGACCAGTCGCCGGATCCTGCCATCCTGTTAGCCCGCCGTGTCTTGTCTTAGGTATTTGCCGATGCAGCTTCTCGCATACCTGTGCATCATCATGTAGACCGACATGACGGTGCCCTCCCCGGGCAGCAACACGGCATTGCCATCTTCCCCGCCCTGGGGAGGCAACCGCCGGAGACGAAAGAGAGGCGCCACGGTATCGTTCTCGTCCCCGTGGGGGTTTAGGGCGGCCTCGGGGTCGTCGTCGTCGTCGGACGAAGAGTGGGAGCTGGTATCGGCGAAATCCGTACCCATATCGTTATTGTGGGTGCCACGGCTGGCCTCGGTTCATCGGTCGGGGTTCGACGCGGAGCAGCCAAGATTCGACTTTGGGGATACTTGTAGTTTGAGGACGAATTGACACGAAGGCGCATCGTAAATGCGCCAAAAGTTAACGGTTCGCGGTGGATCTTTTCAGCTTCCCATAACGTAATCTGTCTGCTTCCGGGAGCTTGGCGACCCCTGACAGGGACCAATACGCCATGCGCCTTTCTCACGGGGAGGGCCGTTGTCGCGGGACAAACTCGAGTGCGTTCCCATGGTGTTGGTTTTGGGCGATGCAAGTCAAATGCAGGCGCCCAAGGCCAACCCGATCCATGCGCCAGTCTTGGAAACTTGGATTCCGGTGTTCCTCCCCAAACCGGCAACTGCGGGTGGAGACTTGGACAAGGTACCCTAACCCTGAATTGCATCTGTTCTGGCTGCCTGGGAAAGGTAAATGTAGTATCGCATCACTGCGAGTTATCTCTATTCTAGAAGCAAAACGTAATTCAAGACATGGGATTGAGTATTTGGTCCCGAGGTTATGTTACCATACAACCTATCCTATAAAAGCAGCCAAAACACACAAAAACAAACAATACAAACTGAGAACACCTCGCCCCCCACCGAAGCAAAAGAGTACTGACAAGGGTGAGATTCGAACTCACGCCCCTTTCGAGACCACGGAAACTGTGATTAAGGGTTTATAATTCCTTAACGTGGCGCCTTAGACCGCTCGGCCACCTTGCCGCGATGGTGGATAGAGTTTTCGTGAGAGAGATGTGGTTTACGGAGGCAGTGGGATCGCGGGTGTGCCCTTGTGGAGTTTAAAGGTGCGTGCCGTGCAGGACCCTGCAGGTTGCGGTGTTGGCGGGGCCCATGCTCTTCGACCCCTGCACTTTCGTCCGAACCAATTTTAATGATCGCCAGCCAGCTGAGAGCGCCCAAGAACGCGACGCGACCCAGACGGCGAACTTCCTTGAGCAACCACCTCCGACTCACTGCCCCTTCGCCCGCGTTTAATAAGTCCTGTCCTTCCAACAGCGGAACAGCGCAGGATAATACCTCTCCGATTGCACAACATGACGACCTACACCAACACGTGGAGGAACAAGGTGTGGATGGGATGGTTCTTCCTGCAGGTTCCCATCATCCTCTGTAAGCCCACCACTACCACGACCAGCTTGTGCTTCGGCTCCGTGACCGCGGGGTTCCAGTTCCATGCCCATTCCCAAATCTAACCTTACCCTCCAGTCATGGACCTACTCGACTACATGTGGCCTGCCTGGCTCTACGAGCCCGTCGGCGCGCCCCTGCACGCGGCGCTTGAGATGAAGGAGTGGTACATCGCCAAGTACAACGACCCGATTGTGCAGTGGACGGCGGAGACGGCGTCGGGCCACGACAGCTGGATGGGGCTGTTCATGCACCTCGAGTTCTTCTTCCTACTGCCGACGGTGCTATACGGTCTCTACCGCCTGGTGGTGCAGCGACGGGGCACCTCGGGCTGTGACGAGCTGCTCTTCCTCGTGTACGCGCTCGAGGTCGCCTTCACCACGCTCATCTGCATCTTCGACACTTCCTTCCTCGACGAGGCCGTGTACCCGGCCGCAGTGAAGCACGAGTTGCAGTTCCAGCTTTATTTGCCGTGGTTTATTATGCGTGAGTGCTTGGCCTGTTTTGAACTGTTGAATTTGAGTTTGTATCTGACCATACAACAAGCAACCCTCGGGGCGATTGACATGGCGGTTCGGATCATCGGCCGCATCAAGGCGGCCGACGCCGCCCAAGGAGCTAAGAAGTCCCAGTAAGTGGATTTGGCCTGGTTTCGGCGCCTGACGGAGGACCGGCGGCGACAAGCAGGAGGATACGAATGGCAGCGTTCTGGTCCGAACATGTATTAAAAGAGACTCGTTGTCGAGTCCCGACCCCAAACGCCGTGGTATCATTTTTGGTAGTACACCGACCGCTCCGCATCCCAACTCACATCTTGCCATCCGAAATGCCACCCCCTTCGTGCACTCAGTCAACCGCCCGCTTCTGGTACCCCCATCCGTTGCCCACGCCGTTCATCCCATACCCGAGCGGCGTCGCGCCGCCAAGACCCCTCCCCCGCAGCCGCCTCGGCATCACCGACCCAAAGAAGTAAACAGCCGAGACCAAGCCGCCGGCGCAGAACGATACAAGGCTGTAGAAGACGGTGCTGGCGTAGATGTGGCCGCCCATGCCGGCCCACTCGACCTTGCCGGCGACCTTGGGCAGGGCCGGGGTGGGGAACCAGCGCACGCTGAAGCTGAGCGGCAGCGGGTCCCCTATGACCAGGCGGCGGGTCGCGCTCCCCTCGAGGTGGGTCAGCGGGCTCGTGCTGTAGGCGGTGCCGCTGTCGAGCACGCCGCTGTCGCGCGGGTGCACGTGGTGCTTGGGCGTGCTGTGCAGCAGCACGTTGAGGTGCGTGCTGATGTGCATGTGGCTCAGCTGCAGCGTGCCCGCCAGCGCGAACACCAGCGGTATGTACTCCTGCTCCGGCGCCTTCTCGCCCACTACCTGGACGTGCGGGGCGGGCCGCGCCGGCAGGCGGCACGAGAGCGGCGCGTCGTTGTGGATGTAGAATTCGAGCAGGTGGAAGAAGGGGTCGCTGATCATGGGGATCGTGCAGTTCTGCTCGCCCTCGATGCCGTAGTTGAACTCGAGCGGCTCGTTCGTCTCGTTGCAGACCGGGAAGGGGATCCATTGGATTTCGTGCTGTGCGTTTTCGACGTGTTCGCCCGTTTCCCTGCGAGCGCATCGTGGTCAGCAAGTGTCCATCTCTCTCGGTTGGAGGCGCAGTCTTGAAGACAAGAAAAAAAAAGAAGACTCACGAGCTGCGATTCATGCACTCTACGCGAATCGGGGCGCCGTAGTGGTACGAAGGCAGAGCGCTCTCGTGGCTTGGACTGGAAGCAGCCATCGCCGTCGCCGCCAAGGAAGCGGCGACCAGCAGCACGAACAGCTGCATCTGTCGCGGCAGGGACAACATCTCGGCCGTTGTTTAAAATCCCTATGCAGTGATGACGAGGAGACTTGACATGCGCCAGCGCATGTTGCGTGCGCACTGGTGGACTGGAGAAGGTCGTGTTGTCCAGACCTAGAGATCTGGTCGCACTTTCGAGAGCAAGTTGCAACTTGTCCCCATTGCCCAATCGGAGGGGGAAGAATCAAAAACTACCCCTAACCCTGGCCAACCGACCCATGGCGAGACTCGCGGGGGTGTCGGCAGCAAGTCCCGACAACAAACCTCTTATGGTTGAAGGAAACAGGATCCTTCGAAGTCGGAAGTTACCTCATTAATCATTAAGGCTCTGCATCTACGATCCGTAACTTCATCACAACTGCCGTCCGAGGCGCCCAGTATCGTTTCCTTTCTCTGACCATGTCGAGATCAAGAATTTAGAAATTAGAATTCAAGATTAAGTTTGGTCGAGATACTCGAATTGCCGCGCGACTTGGCACCCGCTGTTCTTTACAGGATTCCCAGCACTCAGATACCGCTCAGACTGCCCCTGTTGTGCCATTCGCTTCTTTAGAGAAGGAACAACAACGCCGCGCCGGCTCCTGCCCACAACCCCAAACCTCCCGCAGACACACTCACCTCAGCATTCTCACCACCACCCGTGCAAGGGTGCTCAGCAGAGCACGCATTAGTCCGCGGCGTGTCGTTTGGCATGGCCGCGTTGCCGGTGGCGTTGCCGCCGAGGTACCACGACCCGATGTCCGTCAAGTTGCCCCATGGGTCAAGCATGGCCATGTTGGGGCCGACGTTGGAGACGGTGCTGCGGAACGACCCGAACCAGCTGTACCGCGCCACGTCCTTGTTGTCCTCGAGGAAACTCAAAGACTGGTTGAAGTACTCCTGCGTCGTCGAGAGGTTCTGGTCGTTGTAGCCGTACTCGACCACCCATAGCGGTACTCCAGGGAATCTGCCGCCATGGTTAGCGTGCTGAGCCTGGTTCTCTCGGTGGTATTAATGTCAACTTACGCAGAGGAAAACGAGCCCACCCGGTCCTTGAGCACCCCAAAATGCCCCAGCGCATGGAACGGCACAAAGTCAAACTCGCAGTCCTTGTCCTTGTTCAACGCCGAGCAATTCTTGAGGAACGGGTCGATCCATCCACCACGGGGATCCCCAACGACAGGAAGCCCCAGCTTGACACCAAACTTCTCGCGCAGCGGGACGAGGTTGCGCACCCACGCCCGGGCGGCGTCGGCAGGCTTCATCTGGCTCCCGCCATGCTCGAAGGGCTGATCCGGCAAGTTGAAGCCCATGACGTGCGTTATATTCCTCGCGCTGGGGCCGGACCCCTCGGCCGGCTCGATCATGGCGGTCATGTTGCGGAGGAAGTCGGTGTCGTTGACGCCGCCGCCCCACAGCATGGGCACGAACTCGATGCGGTCCTGCGCCAGCGTCGCGTACGTGTCCGACACGTTCCAGTGGAAGTTGTAGTACCACGAGATGGGCGAGCCCTCCCGCACCCAGATCGCGTCGTCCTCGGGCCAGTCCTTGTTGCTCACCGCCGCCAGACCGCGCTTGGGCGATTTGGCCGCCAGGCCTGTTACCGCGAGCAGACCCACCAGGGCCGAAAGGGCGGCGTGCCGCATTGCGGCGGGTTGGGGACAAGGCGGGTCTGGTCAAAAGATTGCTGTGAGCTGGGATGGGTACATGTAGGTTGTGGTTTACCTGGCCATGTCGTCAGGGGCAATGTTGATGATGTGAGGTTAATTGAGTGAGTTCGATTCTCTCAAAACTTCAAGAAAGATATCGTGTAGATTTTCAGTGCTGCCTACCTAGGTAATTTCCCACGTCGCCGTGTCAGATTTTAGTCACTTTCAGCCCTCGGGCGCTAACTGGCAAACACGATTGAGGCTCCGTAAACGGCTTCCTGTCTCCTAATTCGTCACGGCCCGAGGTACGTATCATTAAGCGATGGCCCTCTTTCACTTGGCGGACAACAAGCTTGTATCACGCGTCTCCTGAGTACCTTCCCCATAATCCTGTAGAATAGATACCGCTTGTAAGTCCGGTTATATCTGGTTAAGCATGTCAACACCATTCATGTCCTACTCTTCATTCGGGGTCCTAATCAAGTCATATGTTGCACCCCAGGCCTCTTGGCGTTAGTCCCAAAGACGGGAAATACGTCAATATGCCGAGGCATTCATGTTGTCCAGAAGTTCCAAATAGTACCTACCTATACAGCATAGGATCCCACATATGCTGAACAGAGCTCAATAGGAGTGTAGGACGATAACAGAGAACTAGGCAGACAAAGCCTGAGACATAGAATAGGTATTAGCCACAACTGGAATGGAGGGGGCGAAAGTACAGGAATCATACTAGAACAAGATTCGCCTTTTGTGCTAATTACGGCGTTCAGTCAAGACTTAACGGGAGTTCACCAACCAAACCACAGGTTGACTTCGAAATGGTAACGTGATTTGTCCACCGCCGTGCGCTGAACGTGCAAGTGACCTGCTCCCCAAAACTTTCGAGGTTTAAGCTGTCAGGTGCTCCGTGGCACATAACCGCCGGAGGCACAGGTTGTTCAAAGCTATAACCGGATTGGCAGTCCGATATATTGGCAATCTGAATGTCTGAATGTCAGGGGCAGCCTGGGTTCTTTTCAACGGCATGCTAGAACCACTAGACGTCGGTTAATGGTTCCGTCCCCCCCGGATCCCAACTCGTTTCCCATAATACTGGTTGTCCTGGCAGTGGTTTTTTTCAGTGACCCTTTCTGGTCAGCATCCCGCTCCACAGCGGGCCCGGAGCTGGTATTTTGAGGCCCGTATCGTCAGACACCACATAGGATGGGTCTTGAAGACACCCATGAGACGGCGGGTTCTACCATCACCAACTACTCTACGTTCCTCACTCAATGTACACAGGGACTAGTTTAATACCAGTCATCCTCCTATGGACTAGTTTAATACCAGTCATCCTCCAATGGACTAGTTTAATACCAGTCATCCTCCTATCGGATATCTATCAACAACACCGACCCTGTCCTGCTGCAATAGGTCGGAAAGTCGGACGAGTTCCTAACGCCATACACTCGCCATTTCAGCTGTGTGTTGAAGGATGCCGCCGAGCCGGCCCCAAGTTACATCGGGGCCAACTAGTTCCATAAACCTCATCAGACATATTTCCAACCGGCCAACATGGGGCGAAATCGTGAAAGGTTTCACACTATTACCGGGGGGGGGGAGAACATCTTGGGTGGCCCCGAGACTTGCATGGTTATGCCCAACTCTGGCGACCGCCCGAGCAATTACTAGTGATTACCTAGGTACTCTAGAGTCCGATCTGTCCGAACCAAGACCCAGGATGTCCCGAAAATTTGTCAGGACTTTGTGCCTGACAAACCATCACCGCCCCTCCCCCCCACCCCCCTGCCCCCAGCTAGGCGGATTGGAAATCCGGACAGTAGAGGTCCCGAGGTCCGATGTTGTCGGCGACTGCAGTCCACGGTTCGCTGCCCAAGTCGCCTTTTCGAGCATCCAATCGCCGACATCATACCCCGCTTTAACTTATTTTAACCTTGTGCCGGAAGTCTATTAGTATCAGGCCGTGATGCTCATGTTCACAGTCGACCATCTTCTTCTCAGACACCACCTTTGAGAAGAATCAAGAAAAGAAGTAGACGCACCGCACAACATGGCTTCTCCAGCCGAGTGGTCGTTCACACCCCTGCCGGCGTTCGCTCCGACCGTCTTCCCCAACATCGCCGAGTGGTCGTTCACACCTCTGCCGGCGTTCGCTCCGACCGTCTTCCCCAACATCGCCCTGTGGGACGTCAGCAACGCGGTCAAGAACCTCACCTACCAGGTCCAGATCTCATGGCCGTTCGAATGGGAATCCCGCGAGGTGACTGATAAGTCAGCCCTCACCATGTAAGTGACAGACAGCCACCCCCCCCCCCCCCCCCCCCCCCCTCCCGCAAAAGAAAAAGAATGAAAAAAATGAAAAGAATGGATATTCAAAAGCACCTAGTTGACCACCGCCCAGGTACGTCCTCGACGGCAACGCCCTCGGCATGACGGCATCCGAGGCCATCAAGCGGCGCAAGTTCATCTACCCCAACCAGCCGGACAGCGTGGTCGTGAGCGTCGGGTACCCGCTATCCGACGCCGTCTACGACGTGGCGCGCCGCACCGCCGACTACCTTCCGCCGCTGCCCGACAACGAGGGGCGCGCCGACGACTTCCTCGCCTTTCTCGGGGACGTGCTGCAGCCGTGGGTGCGGGGCGAGGTGTTCCCCGGGGTGGCGCACGCGCGGGATGCGCTGTTTGGGCATTCGTTGGGCGGGTTGTTCGTGGCGTATGCGTTTGTGCAGGAGCCGGCGCTGTTTGATACGTTTGTGGCGGCGAGTCCGGCGGTGGCCTGGAACAAGGCGTCCGTGTTGGAGGACATTACGCGGCGGTTTGGTGATGGCATATCGGGTGGGTCTGAGGAAGCAGGCGGGGGCGGCGGTGGGGATGGGACGAAGCCGGCGATGTTTATCGGGTACGGCAGCGGGGAGCAGTTTCCCGTGAGGGGGCGCACCGAGACGGAGGTGCAGTTCCAGGCACGCAAGGCCTTGTGGGACTGGACCCGCATCACCGAGGCCAGCTACGAGTTTTATGACCGTGTTCGCGCGGGCACCGGGACCCGGGAGGTGGTGTTGAGGGAGTACGTCGGACAGGAGCACTCCGGTGTGGCTGGGAGCGTGTTGACGGATGGGATTAATTACTTCTTTGATTGGTAGGGAGGAACCGAGGACCGAGAGTACTGGTTGGGCTACAACATAGTGATCACGCAATGGGTTTGAAAGATATAGCTTGAGGTGGCTTGTATGTTCAGGCCTCTTCGTATGCAAATAATATGTACAGTTACAAGGTCTGAAACCTGCCCTGACCCGACCCCTTTCTGATCTACTCGCACCCAACGCGGGCCGAGTCGATGACGATGTCGTCATACCAGAAGGTGTTGGTGTCCCCGCCGTACGACTCCCAGCCGAAGTAGACGGCCGAGGGCGTCGGCTTGATGTCGCTCCGCTGCCACTGGGCAGCGTTGGGGTTGCTCTCGCCCGGAATGCTGGTCAGGCCGGCGATGGCCTCGCCGTTCAGCCACGTCTCGATGGAGCCGTCGGCGCCGACGTGGTACTCGAAGCACTGCCAGTCCTCCGTGGGGAGCGCGGCCGAGGCGGCGATGCCCTGCGGGGACAGGTCCGGGAGGGTGGCATCGTCGGATTCGCGGTTGTACATCAGGATCTTGCTCTGGCCACCGATGCGGAGATGCTTGTTGGCGCCCTGAGCGGGGTCCGGCATGGTGATGAAAGTGACGTGGGCGTCAGTGAGGGCCGTTGACGCCTTGCTGGAAGAGGATGGCCGTCAGAACCTTTCCCTCGCCAGAAAGCATTCGGCATTCGTAAACTTACACATAGGCCCTGACAAAAAGGTCTCCGGTGGGGATACTGGTCGTGCCGAAGAAGATGTGCCCGCAGAAGCCGCCGGCGCCGTCGACCCTAATCGAGTTTGTGCCGCTGTGGGCAGTGGTGCTGTCCAAGGCGACCTTGCCGCCCTGGTTGCAGTCAGGGGCGTAGATAGGCCATGCAGCCTCGTCCCAGCCGGCCTCGAAGTCTTCGGCGACCTGGGCGAACGAGGCGGGAAGGAGAGCGAGGGCGAGGAGGGCAGTTTTGCGGAACATTGTTACGGACGGGTTGCTGGTGGTAGGGGGTGAGGATGGAGAGAGGTGATTCAGGGGGTGAGGGCCTGAAAGGAGCAAGCCCGGGGGTTGAGTACTTATTTATGCTGGATACGCGACCCCAGGTTCCTCGGCGCTCAGTTGCCGCTGCGGGAAAGCTTGTTTAAACCCAGGGGGGTCCCATCGTGCTGGCTATGTCCACGGTCCATATCCACCACTCTCAGGCTCCGTGCCGCTCAATTTGGAAGTTCCGTGAGCGGGTGCTGATGGAGACCTCAATTAACAGCCGGTCGCGTCGGACCGTTGGCAGGGGCTGCAATTTAGCCCTTCAAGCCGCCTGTGGTACTTTTTGTGCCGATCTCCCATGCACCCCGCACACGTCTTACCAGGAACCATTTCGTAACCGCTGGGGGGAGGCTCCGATCAAGGGATGGGGATCGTCGTCGTGGCCCGGCCCAGACGAGCCGCCTCATGGAGCGGCTTGGGGTTGGTCATGTCTCTATGGTACGATAGCTACTCTGGCAGTGGAAGTCGAGAGTTGGGATCTGGAGCAAGATGCAATGTCGCAGAAGCTATCTCTGAGTGATATCGTAGTTATCTCCGGATCGACACTCGGATATACGGCAAGAGGAAACAACCCTGGCGGCAAGCTACGAATTAGACGAGTTTCAGATGTAAGCGACTTTGCCTTGAATTTCTAATAGAGCAAGGTACGGAACGTGAGCTGTAAAACATCACATCGTATGTACTTCTACATCGATCTTGACCCCGATCATAAGGGAACCGGAGAAAACTGCCGCCCCGACACCTTGCAGGCCAGGTGCTACATAGTCCGATTCAACCCCCTTCTGGACTCCGGTATGTTCGTTTCTCATGTCTCGTCAAGGTGGGGAAGTTATCGTTACCACCACCTATGGCCACCACCCACTACGCCAGGGTCTCGTAGCCTGAGCCGCGCTGGTAGTTGGAGCGGTTCGAGAAGAGATAGTAGATGATCATGCCGATGACGGGGAAGAGGAAGACGACGAGGCACCAGATGAGTTTCTGGGCGGGCGAGCGGCTCGACTTTAGGACCTCGACTATCGACAAAAAATGTCAGCATTTGTCCGTTGTCGACGTAATTACCTAGGTACCTAGATGGAGTCGGGCAGATGGATTAAACGCACCGAACACGATAATATCCAGGATGAGGACAACAAGTCCAATGAGACCGCCGCCGGTACCATACTGCCAGCTGTTCTCCAACGCTTCGGTCGAGACGGGAGCGGCAAGACCGAGAGAGGCCAGGCAGAGCTGGAGGATGATGCTCGAGAGTATGGTGTTGAAAGTCATGGTGGTGTTTTTTTTTTTTTTTTTGCAGGTCAATTGTTTGGATTTAATCGTGGGTTTCGGCACTTGACGTGGGGAGTGAGGCAGTATCTGGGAAATATTGATATTTGGGGGTATTTGGGTAATGGAGGGGAAAAGTTGAACTCTATCTTTTCTTGTGTTTTTGTGGTTGTACAAAATGATGACGATAGTGTGAGGGGTGACGTCATGCAAACGCGGTGCCTTGGCTGCTTTATTAGGGGAGTTGCAGTTTCGGACCTTTTGATCCGGCAGTAGTCAGCACCCTCTGGCCAAAAAAAGAACTGGAAAGGGGAGTAAGAAATCAAGCAAAAAGAACAAAACAAATAGAAAGAAATCGAGAAAACAAATCAAATAGAAAAAATGGGGGCAAAAGAAAAGTAAATGGAGTAAATACAGTTTCTTTGGGTTCCAGGTTAGCGTGGCCTTTGTTTTGTTCCTACAGTCAAGGACTCCAAGTTTCCATTGTCGACATCTGCGCTTGGAGTTCGGCTTTTTTTTGTCCAGGAGGTGGAAAGGTAAGGCAGTGTACGTGACGAAACCGGGCAGGTGCATTGATCAGTTGGAGGGAACAACTGGCACTTCCATGTAGCTAATATCACCGGATGTGATCTCGAAGGAGGGCCGAGTCTCTGACAAAATGGGATGATGGGAATCATGTAGTGCCATCGCATCCGAGTCCGTCAAGTTATCATTATGGAGTCATGGACTAATGCTCAATAGCTCAATAGGTATCATGGGTATCTCGCTGGCTGTCATTTACTAAATCCATCAACTTCCATCCCCTCACATCCGGTTGTCTTGCGGTTGTCGGTATGACTGGTATGTGGTCGGTTGTTGTTGGTAGTACTGATGGGGGCTGGAGTGCTCGTACACGTGCGGCTGCTGTTGCTGCTGTTGCTGCTGTCCGTACTGCGGCTGTGGGTAATGACCCTCATACTGGCCATACGCCTGTTGCTGTTGCCAGTGCGGCCGGTCGGAAAACACGGACGGATCCGACCATACGGGGTTGCGCAGCATAAAGGTGACCAAGCCCAGGACAGTGGCCGAGACCCAGAAGTCGAGAATGGGGTTGAGGATCCTCTGAAGCGTCAGTTCAACTGCAGTCCAGTCCCGAACGACACTCTTGAGGTCAACTGCCAAGACGAAGGCGCAGCGGAGCAGCCAGAGGAAAGATGCCGCCAGAAAGAGCCACGATAACTGCAACAACAACAACTTGGTTAGTGATTGACACGATACACAGGCCATACGCAGCCGGTGTTGGGTAGGAAAACTCACATTCCCAACAGCGAGGTCGCCTCGCCTTTTCAGTTTCGATGCGCAATATATGGCCACGACAACGTTCAAGGCCGCGACGAGACACAGAGTGAGGTCGATCATCACAATCAGCCATTCCAGCCGGATGCTATCGACATTGCCGGTAACGGAATCCGAGATGGCCTTGGCGAACCATGCAACATCAAGGACGACAAGCAGCCCCGTTGCGCAGACCGTATCCAGCTGTACCACGCTCCACCACTTCTGCTTCCCCAGCACCAGATACCATACGCATAACCCGGAGAGATAAACCGCCTGAGACGCGATGATGCTAGCCGCGACGGAGAGAAACGCGGAGGTGACCGATGCGTAGGAACCCACCATGCTCGCCACCCAGCCGTAGCGCCGTTCTCCCATGGCAGTGTAGGAGTCAGCCCAGATGGCAGGGCTGATGATGCCAGCGATGACGGCCCTGTTGGCATGAATTGGTCAGCAAATTGCCATTCTAACACTTGCGGTACGCTGCCAAACCTACATGATGAAGGCGGGGAGGGCTATGTGCAGGAATATGCCTGTTAATTTCAAGGGCTGGGGCTGGGGCTGGTGTTTGACGCGCCGCCCGCACAGATGAAAACCCCAGAAGGTGATGAGTGGGATTAGGGTGACCCCGAGCAGCGCCGCGCTTGCTATCCATGATGTTCTCGGCGGCATGAGCGAGTCCATGATGTTGCTGTCGTTGCTGGCTATCGAACGAGGTCGTTAGGGAGGTACCTCGGTAGTTTGCGACCGAGAGGAGCAAGTCCAATAGTCGGCTCGAGGCACAGAAAGGGGGTCCCCGATGTTTATGTATCTTCTGATCAATATACCTAGCTGTGATGACCCACTTGGCTGTGTTGGGGCTGGTGCTCGTGCCAAGGGCTGTTGCCGCCTTACCCCCCAGAGGGCTTTCTCGTTAACACGGCGACACCGTTTCTCTTCACGGGCGCGTTAGGAGCGAGATTGCGCCCAGACACCGGGACCTCGCAGGCTAGCTCCTCTAGGCCAAGGGCTCCTCGGCTCCTGTCTTCCAAGTTCTAGCCGCCTTGGCGATGGTTGTGCTGAAGGATCATGTCATGCGCGAAATGCAACCTTGGAAATTTGGACCCCAACGGACAATGACACACCCGCCAGCTCAGATAAGTACCGACCTACCAGGTAGTATCTGATGAGTTGTAGTGACCGGTCGTGTTGTGGCAGTTTCTGACAGATTCAATCTTTGCCCAGGTTGAGGTAAGGGCGATCAGTTCTGCCGCCGATCTCTGGTCGCTGGGCTGCACCGTATACGAGCTTTTTGCGCCGGGAAGCCTCTTTGAGGGTTCCTTCCCGGATGAGGATGATATGTTTGCCGAGATTGTCAGTGCTTTGGGCAAACCTCCTCAGTCATGGTGGGATGGTTGGCGGGCGCGCGAGGACTTCTTTGACGCCGATGGGGAAAACTGGAATGTGAAGAAGGGAAGGATTTCAGATGGGAATTATTACATGTTCGATGATCGGATTGACTGCATATTACAAGACAGGAAGGGGTTGATTGAGCAGAAGGAGTTGGATGACTTGCGTCTCCTGTCGGGAAGCATAATTCAATGGAACCCGGAGGAAAGAAGTTCGGCCGACATGTTGATGGCAAGCGAGTGGATGAGAAAATGGGGAGCACCAATTACATAGGTACCTAGGTAGCTGTCTATCTACCTACCTCCATGCTTGGGAAATCTCACGACGTGTCTGTGTTTGCAAAACACAGGGGTCCTAACAACCCCGTGACCTTTTTTATCCAAATCTGACCCGTCATCCAACGACTCTTTGTATTCCGCCAGCTTCCGGCAAAGGTCTGTGTGGAAGACAGCATGGCTTTCCGCCGTCCAATACTGAACCACCACCTTGGTGGAAGCCATGTCAGCACCAAGTCTTGAGTATAAAAGCGTGCAAATACAACTTACTTTCCCGTTAACGTTTCGGAACGGTGGCGGCATGGTGGTACGGCTTGCTGTCGATGTCGATCGTATTATTTTGTAAGTTGAAGGCTAGGAGAGGGGAGCGCTCGGCGAGGTAACCTTCGCATGGCTGGTGGCAACGCGACTTCGTGAGTCACATAATGGGTTTGCCACTCTACTAGTGCGCGATGTGTAGAATGTCTGTGCAATAGGCACCGGAAGAATTAAGTTTCATGAGTCACATATTGGGTTTGCTACTCTACTCCGAGTCTAGTACATAGCACTGTGGTTATTGGGGGGGGGGGGGGCGAGCACACCTCATATTGACGTGCTAGGTACTTAGGTCCTTTAAATAGTAGTGTCTGTTGTGTCTGTACTCAAAAAGGCCGGTGACATGGTATGGGTGAACGCCAGGGGGTCGAGCCATGACCCTCGTCCGCGAGAAAAGCGACAACGACCCAGACAAGGAGGTACCTGTGCCTGAGCCCTTCGGGCGGGGAGTCGACTAAGGTGACAACTTTATCTACATGAGTCTCATCAAGAGCCCGACGCTTCGGAAAGTATGGAACTTGCTCGCCCGAGAGGAAAGTAAATGCATCTGTACCTAGCCAGCTGAGCCCAATGGTGGCCACCTTCGGGCAGATCAAGCAGCGGTCACCTCAATCGTTCATTGGTACGCCCATTTTCAGTTACGCAGCTAGTCTTCCGTAGACCCGTCAATTGTATAATAGGTTCCGTCAAGTATAGGCCGGTGGAGCACATCTACTTCAGGAACATGGTGGGAAGCGAACTTTCGGCTACGAGCGAAGTCTAGTCTACGTACAACACCAATGAACGATTAGGTTAATAAATGGAGTCTCCTACGGCATGGTATCAATACATACCTAGGTACCTGGGTAGCTAGGCGTCGGAATAACGTTAAGGACAAGTCTTCTCGGACACCCTACCAACCTTTTGAACGATAGCAGCGATATCTGCTGACACGGATTATAACTTACAAGCGTTGTATTAGTCATTATGATGTCGGCGTTCCCGGGCTGCCTAAAGCCCATGGAAACAGAGTTTGTTCAGGTATCCTAGCCTTTATATAAGCGTTCAAGGATAGGTAATTTCTCCCTAGGAAGCTGATATGGCCAAGGAGAACAGAATTTAAGCCATGGTGCCGCAGCGCTTTTGGTTAAGATTAACTGACGTCTATGACCTGTCCATATCCTTTCCATAATTGATGGTGCCCGACAACTTCTTAGCGGATGCCGCGTGGCCGAGAGAGTCAAGCGTTGGCCACCTATCTTGATGACGGCGGCGGGTGGTCGAACTCGTTGCCCGCGCGAGGGCAGATGCCGTATAGCCGAGGGTGTCAAGCGTTACTCGCCTAGGTACTTCTTATCTCGGAAATCCCAGAGCATCTAGTTCGGGGGTGTTCTTGCTTTTTTCCCTTTAGCTTGTGGCTAGAAATGGGTTATACTAAGGTTTCCAAGATGTAATTTATTCAATTGTCAAACTACGGAAGCTATGGGACAGCGACCTTTCAAGCTCTTTTAGTTTCAGGACAAGCGCTACGTGGAAAACAGGGTGGCTTTCCGCCGTCCAATAGTTTACCACCACCTTTGGCCCTGGCCGTGGCAACGGCAACAGGGAAACGCCGGCAAAAATGACGAGCCAGGGTACGGGCGAGTCCGGAGGCTAGGACTTGTCAGCACCGAGTCTTTGAGTATAGAAGCGTGCAAATACAACTTACGTTTGGGCAGAAGTCATACTCGAACGGCGGCTTTCCGTTTACCTCCATAACTTGGTCGTACTGTAGGGATGTGAATCCTATAATTCTACAAGTCAAAAGTCAATCGGGAACGGAAGCTGGGAAAGTGCACAAATAACTTTTAGGAGAGGAGGAGAGCGCTGGGGGAGGTAAGCTGCAAGTGGACGGTGGCAACACGATTTCATGAGTCACATAATGGGTTTGCCACTCTACTAGTACGCGATGTGTAGAATCAATGTCTGTGCCATAGGTGTAATTAGAATGTCTGTGCAATAGGCACCGGCCCGCGGCCAGAATCAGACCGGCTGCAGCGCCCGGGTAGACGTCCCGCTTGCCTTGCCTCGGGGTATGACTGTGGCGTCGGCCTAGTCGTGACGTAGACAGTGGTTGTGATGATGATGGGCGTGGGCTGAGCCGCGCATAACCCAATCCAGAATGCCCTTTAATTGGTACTTGAGGGCGTGAACTCCCCAGGTGAATCACCCGGTGCCCTCAAATCCCGCCTGCGAGTGGACTGTGGACGGGCCACTGCGGGGCTCTTTTTTCCTCTTTGCCCTCTCAAGGGCGTGCCCTACTAGGAAGGCCAAGATTAGAAAATGCTGACCTGAAGTTGTCTTTTAGGCGATCCATGTCAGAGAGAGAAACGACTGTGACGGCGGTATGATTCGTCGCTCAGGGGTTTCCACCGGCGTTGTCGAGTTGACTTTCTCCCCATGTAGTAGGTATCAGCTGCGAAACCAACGCCAACTGCCGTGGCTCCTTGGTCGTTTGCAGAAACAGAATAATATGTGGGCTATGGCTTTTGTAGTCTTTGCAGTTTACCCCGACACTGGTCATGGTGCGCGGAAGAGAAGGCTCCAATGCCACTTGTCACTACTAGGTACATGCACCTTGCTGGATAACAATACTTTCGCTTCGTATACCGTGTCATCTAAATATAGTTCGTTTCGGTAGAGGCCTACGTCTGTACGTTTGTTCTCGGCAATCTCTAAAAGTCAAGACCAGCTGCCAATAATTAAAGCTTGGATTTGGTGGCCAAGTTGGTCGGCACAGGAGCATTCTTTACGCCCCGGAAGCTGATGTTTTTGTCACTGAAACAATGTAGTTTGCGATATCAGTACTACCCATTATAACATATTACTAGTTATATTAGCCCCTCTTCCACTTGTTTTGGCTCCTCCTTTGCTCCAATACCTCCACCACGGGAAACTGACCACCTCGTCATACCCTTGAGGGAAAGTACTTCTCACCCTTCCAGGACGTGTTTACAGGGCCGTCACGGTGACCTCCGCAGCAGCGAGCCCGGCCGCCGTAGCCGTCACGGTGAAGGCGCCATTCATGCCGGACTTGGCGCGCACGATGGCCAGCGCCATGCCGCCGAAGGCCTTGCGCTCCTTGGACGGGAAGGCGACCATGTCGTACGGATCTCCGTTGTCGGTGGCGACGATCTCGCCCTCGCCGGACGAGACGGCGAAGCTGACGGCGTTGCTCGCCTGGGGGACGACCTCGCCCTTCTCGTCGACCACCTCGAGCGTCAGGAACGACAGGTCGTAGCCGTCGGCCTGGATCTCGGCTCGGTCCGCCGTCAGGCGCAGCTGTGCGGCCGCGCCGGTCGTGCGGACCGTGTCGTTCGCCCACTCCTTGCCGCCCTTGTAGGTGACGACCTGCAGCGTGCCAGCCGCGTACTTGACGTCGTCCCAGCGGAAGCGGTAATTGGACGCCCCGTCCTTCTTGATCCTGCCGAGCGTTTTGCCGTTGAGGAACAGCTCGGCTTCGTCGGCGGCGGAGAAGACGTGCACGGGGGTGACCTGCCCAACGCGATCGGGCCAGTTCCAGTGCGGGAGGATGTGCGTGGTCTTGAGGTCGCGCCGCCACCGCGCCTGGTACAGGTGGAAGCGGTCCTTCTTGAACCCGCAGAGGTCGACGATACCGAAGTACGAACTGCGTGCGGAGTAGTATGGCGTCGGCTCGCCGAGGTAGTCCCAGCCCGTCCAGACGAACTCGCCGGCCACGTAGGGGTTCTCGTCCTGCTTCTGGAACACCTTATCGGGGGAGGCGCCAAAGGGCGCCGTGTACAGCTCGTAGGCGCTGACCTGTCGTAGCAGGGGGTCACCTCCACCGCCGGCCTCGTCCGTCTGCGGCGCGCTAAACTCCTCGGCCACTGGGAAGAAGTAGGTGCCGCGCGTGCTAAGGGCCGCCGCCGTCTCACTGCTGAGGAGGAGGGCGTTGGGGAAGGCCTTGTGGAAGTCCGGGTACATGGGTGGCGTGCGGGTGCCCGGGAAGTCGACGTAGCCACCCGAATCGCGGATGCCTTCGCCTTGGTAGTTGAGGCTCATGATGTCGAGGGACCTCGGGAACGGCTGGTCGGGCTTGGCCACGTTCATCGACGCCGTGCTGCCGCGGAAAGGGTCCTCCTGGTGCACGATGGCGCTGAGCCGCCTACCGATGCTCTCGCCGTTGGCGCCGTCCGTTTGCTCCCCGACCTCGTTGCCGATACTCCACGAGAAGATGGACGGGTGGTTGCGGTCGCGGCGCATCATAGCACGCACATCGGCCTCGGACCACTCGTCGAAGATGAGGTGGAAGTCGTTGGGGTTCTTCTGCTTCTGCCAGCAGTCGAACGCTTCGTCCATGACCAGGAAACCCATCTCGTCCGTCAGGTCGAGAAGCTCGGGCGCAGGCGGGTTGTGCGCCATGCGGATGGCGTTGCTGCCAAGCTCGTGGAGCACCTCGAGCTGGCGCTGCGCCGCGCGGTAGTTAAACGCCGCGCCAAGTGCGCCCAGGTCGTGGTGCTGGTTAACGCCTTGTAGGTAGATACGCTCGCCGTTGACCAGCAAGCCCTCGCCGGTGGCGTTGAGGGCGCGGATGCCGAACCGGGTCTCGTAGGTATCGACGGTCTTGTTGCCCACGACCAGCCGCGTCACGGCCACATGCAGGTTCGGTCGCTGCGTCGGCGGTGGGCCCCAGAGCTGCGGCTTCTCAACTGTGGTGGAGGTGTTGACTGTCTGCTTCTGTCCAGCTGTAACGGTGGCCGTTTTCGAGGCGAACGTGGCCACCTTCGCCCCTAGACCCCTGGTCTTGGGATCGAACATATACACCTCGGTGGATACCTCGACCTCTCTACTCTCCTTGCCGCTGTTCTCGACCTGTACTGCCAGCTGGACGGTCGCCCTCTCAGCAGTCGCGCCCTCGGTCGTAACGAAGGTACCCCAGTGGGCCACGTGAGTCTCATCAACCTTCACCAGCCAGACGTTGCGGTAGATGCCACTGCCGGGATACCAACGCGACGACTCGACCGGGTTGTCGAGGCGTATGGCTAGCTGGTTATCCTCTCCGGGCTTGAGATGCGGCGTAAGGTCGACGCGAAAGGAATTGTAGCCGAAAGGCCACCCACCGGCCAGGTTACCGTTGATCCAGACCATGGCGTAGGACATGGCGCCGTCAACGTCTAGGTACACACGCTTGCCTTCGTCCTCGGGTCCCACGGTTATCTTGCGGCGGTACCAGGCGATACCCTGGATGGGCAGGCGGCCCATACCACCGCCGACGGCGACATTATCGCCCGTGTAGAAAGGGCCTTTGGCAGCCCAGTCGTGCGGTAAGTCCAAGCCCTCCCACTCGCGGTCGTCGTACGTCGCCTCAGCGAAGGGGATGTCGCCACTGGGCTCGCCTGCGGGTCGCTTGTAATATTTAGCCACGTCCCCGATGAAGTTGTTGGCCGAAGGCAGGATCCAGGACTTCAAGACTTGGGCTTGGCCTGGCGTGTCCTGGCGCTTGTCGTAGACCAGCCCGTCCGGATTCGACGTCCAGCGCTTGAAGCGCCAGCCCTTGTTGAGACTGATGCGTTCCCGGCCAGCAGAAGCGGCTTTATGCTCCTGCCGGTCGGCGATGGCGAGGGCTTCGGCCGCTCCAAGAAGCAGCAAGACGCTCAGCATGAACATGCATGCCGTGGCCGCAGCTGCAGGGCGAAGGAATACCATTGCTGTTGACGCTTGCTCAAGTAGCGGGCACAGATATCGACTCAGCTAGGTACCTATACGGTCCCGTTAAATCTGCTGGCGGCCGCACTTGACCCGAAAGATCTGTGCTCATGATTGCGGTTTTCCTCCTTCATCGAGGAAGCACTTATGGGCGCCGAAGGCTGGCAGATACATGAATATACCCGGCCCCGCTCAGGCGTGATAGGTGCGAACATAATATACCGGCCTGCTCTAGCTGAAATAGGTAGTTCGGCTGACGGACCCGGACTCGGCGACGGCAACTTCCGCCATGGTCGTCGTTTGTCGGGGCAGCGACAAATGAATAGGCACCTAGGTACCTAGGTAGGATCATCACACCCGGGTATTTACACGTCTTGGACTTGGGAGTTTGGCAAATTCATGCAATCTGATATCGGGAAACCGCCGTCTTCCGTCAACTATGGTTGCGCTCCGTTCGACCGCGAGTGCTTCATCGCAGTATCATAGAGTGCGGCGGTGTCGTTGCAGCTGATGTACTTGCTCCGGGTACTATACATGTAATTACATGGAGGTATGTCGGAGTCCAAAAGTCAGTTCACACTCCCCATCTTGGCGACTAAATTCGCCTAAACTCGGGCCTGGCACTCGGTGATAATACACCACTAGCAGTTTTTGAAAAATGAAAGAGAAATGTAAGAGGAGACAGTTTTACGTTTAACTCCTAGGGAGGAGGGTATTTTCCATTTTGCCACATGTGGTAGGTGGCTGCATTCGATTCAAGTTGACTGACATACAGCTCTTCCCATACAATTCCCCACACAAACTCCGAAAAAAGTGTGAACTTGTTAGTGACCCTGATTTTTAGGTAGGTACCTATATGCTCGATTTCATTAGTATGTGCTAGCAGCAGAGCAGTCCATCACGTCGTCATCCAGCGGCCTCCCGTGTCTACCTGCGGCTGATGGCCATTTCTCCCCCAAGTATCGATGCGTCTGACACCAGCAAGGAATTTCCTGACTCGGATAGCGGCGATGCCTATTGCATCGTGCCATACGGAGCTGGATGGTGATATAATGTGCCAAGGATAATGCACATTATTGGATATGCGGGGCCGACCATTAACATCTTCGGCGATCCTCCACCACAGATGACAACCAAGTCTCTGGAGGCTTCGTCCGGACCAGGCTGCCTGTCTCAACGACATATATATGAGGAAATAATTTTCCCGGTGCCAGGTGTCGGCGAAGCTCATTCGTTTCTGGGAATATAAATATATATATATATACATTTGGTACAGGCCCTGGATTCGCGCGCGTAGCCAACTTCACTTTCTTTGACAAGAGCCCGCGAACAATGTTCCGATGCGCGAGACGGGTAATTCCGATTCCAGAGACGGCTAATTCCGACCATATCCTGCTCTTCCGATCGTTTGTCGAGTTCCCATTGTCACTTGTTGTGAAGCCTATTCTGGAGTAGTGCGGAGCTACCTCTCTTGATGGTACCTATTCAATAGTCAAAGCTTTGGACCTTTGGTTTCTCGTTCGCTTCATCTTAGTCCACTGTTGCACGACCAGAACCTGAAGTTCGGGAACGCACTCGGCGACAGACTCTCGCATCCCATATCGTCTAGTCCCTCGCCATGCTTTACTTCCTTACCGCCTCAACTTTCCTCGCCGGGCTCTCCGCCGGCCAGTCCTGCGGCACCCTACCGCAGACCATCTCCTACTAGTACTCCGGGGATGCCCTCAAGCTTCCCGACCCGTTCACCTTCCTGAACGGCTCCAAGGTCACCACCGCAGCCCAGTGGCAATGCAGGAAGGAAGAGATCAGCGCCCTCTTCCAGCGCTACGAGCTCGGCCCCATGCCTGCGAATCCCGAGGTGAAGGCCACCTTCAGCAGCAACCGGCTCTCCATCACCGTCACCGTCAACGGCAAGGCCCTCACCATGAACCCGACCATCCGCATGCCTTCTTCTGGCCAGGCGCCCTATCCGGCCCTCATCGCCCTCGGCGCTGCCTCGATTCCGGTACCGGCCAACGTTGCCGTCATCAGCTACAACAACGAAGAGATAGCCGCCACCGACCCCCGCGGCCGGGGCAAATTCTTTGACCTGTACGGCTCATCCACTACGACCGGGGGCCTTGTTGCCTGGGGCTGGGGCGTTAGCCGGATTATGGATGCCCTTGAGCAACTCGGCCCCGAGACGACCAAGATCGACGCCAAACGTGTCGCCGTCACGGGGTGCTCGCGCAACGGTAAAGGCGCCATGGTCTCTGGCGCTTTCGACCAGCGTATCCGCCTGACGATTCCCCAGGAAGGCGGCTCCGGTGCCATGGGCTGCTGGCGGATCGCCGCCCAGATGAAGAAGAACGGCACCAACGTCGAGGACGCAGCCCAGATCGTCAACGGCGACCAGTGGTTTACCACCGAATTTTCCAAATACGTCAATGCCCTCGACAAGCTGCCCCACGACCACCACATGCTGGCCGCCATGATCGCCCCGCGGCCTTTCCTCGTTATCGAGAACTCTGGTATCGACTACCTCGGCCCCATCAGCTCGTACGGGTGTGCCACGGCTGCCAAGATGGTTTACGAGGCTCTAGGCGCCCCGGATGCCATGGGCTTCAGCCAGACAGCCCACGGCAATTCGCACTGCCAGCTGCCGTCGAACCAGAACGGCGACCTCGCTGCGTACTTCAACCGTTTCTTGCTGGACGAGGAGAGCGCCGACTCCAAAGTCTGGAAGCCCGATCCGAACCTCAACCTAGACATCAAGCGGTACGTCGACTGGACCGCCCCAGACCTAGCATAGGCTGTGTGCGTCAAGAAAGCTAGCCAAGTAGAAAACCAACGATCACCATGAATCATTTTCAAGTTGGAGCTTGGAGACAGCCTGAGTTCGGCTTTTTGTGGACGAACGTCATACGTTCTGTATCCGGACAATCCTCGAGTTCGGGTCGGGGTTTAACCGCAGAGCTGGAGGAGGAGGAAGGTCCTTGCCGTCGAGCCAGAGAATTAGGAGGCAGTTTTACTTGTCTGCGTAGCTAAGCACGCGGTTAGCTGTATTTAGTATCCCCTAAGTAAAGGGTTCACCAGTTATGTCGTCTGAGGAATGCTTGCGAGGGAGGAAGCCGGAGGTAGCTACGAATAAAGCTTGGATTTAGTAGCCAAGTCGGTCAGTACAGAATATTCTTTATACCCCCGAAACTGATTTCTTTATCACTGAAACAATGTAGTTTGTGACATAAATACTACCCATTGTAACATATTACTAGTTATATTAGCCTCTCTTCCACCTGCTTTGGCACCTCCTTTGCTCCAATACTTTTACAGAGGAAAATGGCAACCTTGCAAAACCCGTTCGGCGACTCACCCTCGAGGATGGACGTCGGTGACGAGCCACTCCCGCCCCCCGCCCACGTCGCCGACGCTATTCCCGATTTCCACACACACGGCGAACAAAGGTGCGGCAACCACCGGCACGATCTTAAGAGCAAAAACTTCGAAAAGTACCTACAACGCTACGGCGAAACCGAGCCCGCGACATGGAAAGTGCCATGCTCCAACTGCCATCACCGTGTTAAGCTCAACCAGGTCCATGACCTCCCCTGCGGCGAAATCATCTGCCGTAACTGCTTGATGGTGAGGGCCTTCAATGTGAAGCTGAATATCGAGAAGCACCGCGAGGAGATCGAGGTAGAGCGCAACGCGAGGTGGAGGATCAACATGCGCTTCCGCAGGAATCCGAACATGACGGCAAACCAGAGAAAAGCGGTTGTCCAGAAGAACGCCGCCATCCGACGGAACATGTTACATTTGGCCGGACTCATGTGCTGCGGCGTGGATATGCAATTGGGGAGATTTATAAGTTGTATGGCTCCCAAGATATCGCGAAACCTGTGGCTTGCCATTGAGTGGGTGTATGACCCCCCGGACAAGCAAAATGCGTGTGGTTGGCCCGATTGTGGCGCCTACGTGCCGGCTTGCTGTAGCTATGTGCTGCCCCTTGAAGTTTGCCGCCGTTGGCATTGCGTAACCTGCCACGGGAACTCGATGGAGGGTTCGACGAGCAGGTTTCGGGAAGATCAGACCCGGTTCCCATTCTTGCGTAAGGGGCTGCGTAGATTGGCACCTTCTAGGTAGATACCTACCTACCTTAAGGTAGTCAAACTAAGGTACTCAGCCGCCTTCATAGTCCGCCCATCTTTACTCGAGGGTACCAACTTGATAAATGCGTGATTTGATAATTATAGTCCCAGAATCTCTCGCCCTCTTTCCATGTACGTTTTGTGCTACACGGACTATGTTAATGTAGTTGTGGACGTCGTGGCGGCGTGTTATGTAGGTAGTTATTAATAACTCTCGATTACTCCGTCGACATAGGTGGTACCTATGTACATACGTCAGGTAGGTACTTTGCGTTGAAACCACACACATGCGGTCTCCTACTTCTTCCCAGACTCGAGCCCTTTCTTTCCCACTGAAGCAGCATCCTTATCGTCTGGCGGCACCCATCTCATCTCCTGCTTCAGAAACCCCTTCAACGCCGTCCTGATCTCCGACACCTGCTGGTTCCAAGCCTCCCTGTTCTTCTTCGAATCCCCGCCCTCTACGGGGTTCAGGATCTCCCGGACCTGACCCCGTTTCTGCGCCAGATACGTCCCCAGCTGCAGCACCCTGCCCTTGCACCGCGGAACCGCCCCGGGCCCCTCCTTCCTCAACAACGCCTCCTTCAGTTTGACCATATTATCGTGCTCGCGAATCGTAAAGACAAACACGAAATCAAACCGCGCAAACACGTCCTTCGGCACCCCCCGCGACGTGCGGCCCAGCATCTCCTTGCGGATGTCCTTCTTGAACGGGAAATCCGCCCACTTGTTATCAAACACCGCCGCCAGCGCCGTGCTGTCAGGCGCCTGCCCGCCGGGCCGCCACGGCAGCTTGAACGACCGCTCGCTGTAGTCCAGCCCGTCGATCGCCTCGACCGCCTGGTTGCGCCGCTTGGTGAAGAACCCCGCCGAGCTCACCTCCCCAATCCGCCAGTCGCCACCACCGCGCGCTCGCTGGGTCATTTGCGCGAGAAGTTTGACGAGCGCCTCGGCGACTACGCTGCGGCCTTCGTTGTAGGGGTCGACGAAGAGGATCTTGTAGTCGCGCCGGGGCGGGGTGGGGGAGGGGGAGGGCACGGGCCGGCGTTTCGTCGGTGCTGCTAGGGTTCCGGGTGGTTTTTGCTCCGGCTCCCGGCCCGGCCGCGTGGGCTCGTAGGCCTTCTCGACGGCCATGAGGACGAGGTAGTCACGCAGCAGGCTGCGCTGCTGGTCGATGTCCTCCATGATGACCTGGACCTTGTCGGCGCTGTTGTCCACGACGGAAAACCACAGCTGGGTCATCCATGACGCCCGGAACTTGAGGTCCTTGGACCGTGACAGGATCCCGCTCTTGTAGCGGTCGAATAGGTCGTACACCGTCTCGGCGTTGGCCTTTATCCCCGCCAGGAGCTTGCGGAGATCGTCTAGTTGTCCGGACAACAGTTGGGTTTTCGACTTTTTGTTGTTTTTGCTGGTCTCGACTAGAAAGTTCTGAAGGCGGACGAGGAAGAGATTTAAGTTTTCCATACGCCGCCCTAGCTGTGCCATCTGTTGGGGAAGATTGTCGATGCGCTCATAGATGGCGATGGCCTTCTGGACCAGCTCGACCACCGTGAGGACGGTGCCGAGATCCATCGTGACTAATTATGGAACAAGGGGTAAAGCTTGAAGCCGGGTTGACTCGGCTTGGCTCTTCTCGAGAAGTCGGTTTCAAAATCTATTCGGGAGGATGAAAAGTGTAAAACAAAAATTCGAGAGGAGCCTCGGAGCCTGATGGTGAAGGTGAGATTCGAAATGTGAGTCGAAGCTGCGCCACACAGCCCCCCCGGGCCCCGACACAGCCCTTTGCTGGTGATCATTCCATGCGACTCGACTAGCCTGGTCTTGGCACTGTGGTACCTCACCGCGATAGGCGAACTGTTGTCGTGAAAGAATGTCTGATTATCATTCAACTAAGAACTGCCAGTTTTAGAAATCCTCCGCTTTTGGTGCCCGAAATTTTTGGTATCCTCGAAAGACAGAGAGAGCCAGAAGCAATTGCAAATATCCACCCCCGTTTTGTCTGCCCAGCCCCGTTTTGTCTACCTGTGCCAATGTTGCTAATTTTGACCAAACAGTCTCGTCTATCATCGCTAGAGTGCCCGGCTTGCCACAGCCCGAGAAAAGCAGAAAGCTCAGGCAAGCCGTAAAGGCCAGGGATGGAGAAACCGCCCAGGCATTAATATCACCGGGCGCTGTAGTCTCTCAAGGCACCAAAGCATACACCCCGAAAAGAGTTATCGGGAAGCCAGATAAAGACATATCGTTCGTAGATTGAGAAAAAAGACTGGCTTAGTGTTGACTGGTGAAGTAAGGAAATGACAAAGAAATGACCGTAGGTCCAAGATCGTCGTGATACATTATGAGGCCAGGGATGGTTGGGCTGGGGTGCCCAAGTCGACTTCCGAAGACTGTGACACCATGATGCCCAAGCCATGCCGTCCTCCGACGTAATTTTCCCGTCTCACTGAGGCGGAACCCGCTCGGCGAGTGCGCTAGATGCGCAAAATCTCCATGTCCGAGATGCTCCGATGGCGCTTGTGCAGGTTGGCGTCAACGTGGTTGTCCGATGCTTTTCTCTTTTGCGACACGACGTTGAGTGGGCTGCTTTGTTGGAGATCGCCGAACCCACTGCCAATCGTGTTGCTCCGCTTTTGCCGGCGGATGGGCGTGATGGGCGTAGTGACGGTTTCCATGCTTCCCGTCTTGATGCCGCGGAGCGTGCCGTGATAGTAGGGACCGGAGAACGCGAGCGATTCTTGGCTCGCCTTGTCGCTGTAGATGAGCTGTTGGTTAATTTGGTTGCGGCGGAAAGCGCCTACGACATCTGAATTGCTGTCGAAGTGGGTGAGCAGCGGGTGGGTTGTTGCCGCGGACTCGGTCGCCGCGCTTGCGTTGCTGGCAGCCGTCTTGGGCCGGGTGGGGCTGGAGACGAGATCCCCGTTCCAGGCGGGGAACGGTTCCTCTTCTTCCTCGTCAGATGAATCGTGATTCAACGTGACGAAATCCTCAATTTTGAGTATGCTCTCCTCTTCATCCTCCTCGATACCGGCAAAGTACGAGTCGTCGCTCTCCTCTTCACCGGGGAATATGTCAGGGTTGCAAGGGAAGAATGCCTCCGTCGGGCCGAAGGGCTGCATGTTCATGAAGTCACCAAAGGTGTTGGATGAGGTCATGGCACCCATCATGATGAAACCCGGGTTCCTGATGCTGACGATGGGCGAACACGCCAAGTCTTGTGCAGAGAAATCCAGATGGAGCGACTCTGGTGAAAGATCGAGCTGGTTTGTCCTGCGGGGTGTGAAAATGATCATCTTCCCTGTGGCAGGATCGACAACGCCGATGGGCTTATTGTCTGATCTGTCAAGATTGAACCGGCCAACACGAGGTTTGCCGGGCTTGCAATAGGACGGTCTCTCCGTGTCTGAGTCTGAAGATTCCTCGACTGTGCGGGACCGCCTCATTTGTTTCTTGCGGACGATGGGTTCTGGGACATCTTCTTCCGTGGTATCACCGTCGGCTGATGACAACAAGATTAGTACCCAATGTGGCCATGACTAGTAAACAAACTCACTCTCGTATCCATCAAGATCCTGCACTTCTGCAAGGTCAGCGACGGGCGTCGATTCGTCGATGGGCAGCTGACTTGGCCCTGGCGTTGCCAGGGACGCAATGTCAAACTCAAAGTCTTTGAAAGCGGCGTCGTCTTCAGCCCTACGGGCGGCGATCTCTTGCGAGCCGTTGTGGAAGTCCCAGAACGAGCCGTTGGACGACGTTTCATCATCGTCCTCGATTTCTCGGCGGAACATGGGGTCGAGAGCGCTCTGCTCGACGAAGATATCAGGAAAGAAGCCATTGATCTCGGACACCTCGCTGGTCTCGCTTGTTGTCGAGTCCGTGTCACTATCCGGAACGCCAACGAAGCGGACATGGCGCCCAGGGGTGATGGAGACCTGATCAAGCAGGTCGCGGGTTACAGGATGTGCCGGAATGAGCTCATCGTGGTCAGATGAAAAGCCATCCCAGCTTGCGCTATCGTCCGCCGGATCGGCTTCTTCCGGATCGGCTTCGTTTTCTTCATCCGCCTCGCTCTCCTCGTCTGCGTCGTCATCCTCATCCACTACCAGCGGCCGAGGGGGGTCTGATGCTCGCTTGCGAGATGCATTGATGATGTGTTCCTCCTCGGCCGCAAATACATCCTCATCGTCGTCCTCCGAGTCGGTAACATCTTCGACGCCAGAGTAGCCGCTGTCATCGGAGAGGTCGAGGGATGACGAGTCGTAGTCCCGGGACTTCGGAACTCGTGCCGGTTTGGAGGCGTATTTTTGACGCACGTTGCGAGACATGGTGGAGGATCTGCAAGGGGTATATGGATGCAGGGTGATGGGGTTGGTGCACGGTCTTCTTGACAGTGTGAACCTTGCAAACGGACTAACAAGGTGGGGGTCCGAATGCCGCAAAAAGAATAGACGGGGAGGGGGAGGGTTGTCGGAATCGGTCGTTTCGGTCGCTTCCAAGCCAAGAGACGTGGGCCTGCGATAATAATCTGTTGGATTTCAGCTCGAAAGCAGACTCTCTCTTGTCCCGGCGAGCGTGAACCTCGTTTCCTGGAGCGGAGAACGGGCTCGAGACGGTGAAAGTCTGCGAAAACTTCGTCGAAGGGCGGGCAGAATTGGGAATCTCGTTGAGGCTGCTGGACTGCAGGCGTGCCGGGGTCAATTGGCACGCCCGCAGTGGGCGCTTAGAGCTCAACGACGGCCGACGGCATCTTGAAAATCGACGAAGTTGGATAGGGAGGTACTGAATCTCTCGATTGGGTAGTGCGACTTCGTTGTCTGATGGTTGGTATGGTTGACAAGGGAAGAGGAAGTCGAGGAGGGGGAGTGCAGGGCCGTTCGATGCTTTTGACCAGACTTTTTTTTTCCATCGGTGGGACCAGCTAGGGTGGGGCTTGGCTCGATCTGCAATTGGAGCCCAGTCCGTGGGGATGAGACTCGATCCACTCAGCTCCACCCCTGCATCAACGGCGCCGGACCTTCTGGCAGCTGGCGACCGTGCGTGCGTGCATCGAACGCCCTGGGAGACACCACCCTTCGTGCGTCAGAGTGGGATAATTACCGGAGTGCAAACCCCCGCCAGGACCCCGTCTCGTCACCGCTCTTTTCCCGCGCCGCGGCTTGGGGTTCGCGGCCGCATCATAGCTGCCTTGAATGGAAGTTGCAACAGATGGGATGGAGCAGCGCAAGATGCGGACAGGAAGGAACGGAGGGGGGGGAGTCCGAATCACTTTGGCATTATTGGTTCTCTGCGAAATCCTCGAGACCCTCTCGTTCCACTACACGTTGAGATCATGGGCGTCATCGAGTCCTGCATGCGGCGCAAAACGCCCACAGAATTCTTCATCCCAATATCCAATTCCCGCGTGCCACCACTGCAGCTCTCGTTTCAGAGCGGGGCGTCCAGACAGATTGCCCCGCATTCTTACGGCTCGCTTGCAAGAACGCAGGTGAGGTGCAGCGCATATGACGAAGTTACGTGTTGATCGTGACTGGGACGACGAAGCTTCCAATTTGTCTCCACAGCTCAATTTCAGTCTTGCCGCCGAGACCGACGCCGGCGGCTAGATCAAGTAGGAGGTCACGGTGGGAGACAATGGCCCACACGTGCAGCGCATTGCAGCGCAAGTGCAGTTGAACTGCAGCTCAAGCGTAGTGACCGGCCATTTTTTCGAGCAGGTAGCCGAGCGAGTCAACCAATTCGACCAGTCGACTTACGAAGAAGACCCGGCGTCGCCCCGCACAAGCAGGCCTCGCCGTCTTCGAACCGGTTCGTGGCAGATCTAGCTGGCAGTTGCCGCCTCCTACTTGTTAACAGACAGAGCAGAGCGGGGTGACGACCCGCCTTCTCCCACGAACACGGTGACATCGTCAAGCTTCTTTCTGTCACAGTTCCTGCTCAGCTGACTTGGGGCGAATCAACCGAAGAGTTACCTAGGGAGTGTTGACTGCTTGGGAAGAATCTACGTTTTTCGGCGTTGAGTCACTGTTGAGTCTGACCTGACCTGCCGAGTCACGGAGGCAAGGGTGGCATGGCTTGTCGGGCTGTCCTCGCGGGCCGAAAGCAGAATTTGAACGGGATTCAACAGCTCGGTTTGCAACACAATTCCGGCCCTTCTCATTGGTCATGTGCAACCAAATCATTTGCCTCCCACTCGGACTCGTTAGCCGCTGCAAGCTTCGAAAATTGAAGGAAAGAGGAGTTGGATCCACTCAAAAGCCTATCCGCACTCCCGCATTAACCCACCGACAAGCACGCAAAAGATCTCTCTGTGGATGTGACCATCTGGAGCTCCGCCGAGGTCGCGACCACCACCATCATGGCCGCCTGCGTCCCTGGGCTTCGCGCGTTCTCCTGCAGCATATCAAGTCCTCCGCTAAGAAATATTCGTAAGGACAGATACGGCCCCTTTCGCCCAATGTGCGCCTGCGTTGTTGATTGGCTAGGCAGGGCTGGAAAAACCGTGTTGGAAAAGGGCTCGATAGGTTTCTCTCTGGTGAGGGGGGGGTGGTGACGGGGTTCACCCGCCTCAATTCTTTAGCTGCTCCCAATCGTTATTCCTATCCACAGTGTCCTGTTCTGAGGTATGCGTCACCATGAATGAAGAAAACGCCCAGAAAACAATCGACATTGCTCCAGATGGCGATGTTGTTTTCGTCATCGGCACGACTGAGAAAAGAGTGAGGGTCTACTCACTCTTCGTCAAAGCTGCTTCGCCGGTTCTAAATGCGATGCTTGGCCCCAACTTTGAAGAAGGACAGCAACTAGCGAAAACCGGTTCAGCCGAGATTGCGCTCCCCGAGGATAACGTTGAAGCCATCGAAATCATCTTCAACGTCATCCACGGCCGTAACGATAAGGTTCGAGAGACACTGAGTCCCCGCGAGCTTCTTCAGGTAGCTATCGTGAGCGATAAATATGACTGCTCTGTCTCGCTCGCGTTTGCCATTCGGGTTTGGCTGAGTCCGAGAGGCGGTAGCGATCCGGAGGAACTATGGGCTTTGGCTATGGCGGCATATCTCTTTCGAGAACGGGAGGCCTTTGAAAAGGCAACATCCGCACTCGTATTCAATCATGGTGAATCATACATCAACCTTTCCAGAAAGCATGAGGCAGTAATGAACCCCATTATACTGCTGAACACCGCAGGTACGTGTCTTTTTGGTTGGGCAGTTCAGCACCCGTGGAATATCACACGTTACGGTCCTAACTTTATGCAAATAGCCATGCTGGAGGAGGCACGGAACAAGCTACGAATGAGTCTGTTGATGGATGTGCTAAATGGTGACTGGCACTGTGGCTCAAGTTCCAAAAAAGGTAGGCATCGGCCGGACTGGCTTATGGAGTTCGTACGTCGAGCCGGCAACTTGGGAAATACGGCCATTTCTAGCACACTTGAAGCGTTGGATCAGGACGCGGGTTCGTCCGTTACTTATATCGCTGATGAGGCGGAATATAGTCGGCGGGAGCAGACTTTCAAATCCATTACGGAGGGCTTTAGAACACGGCACCAGAATGCCGGCGGACTATGTATATGGTGCGTTCGGACTGGTGAGGACCACGGAAACCACAAATAGGCCAGGGGAAATGGAAGTTTGAGAGCCTCGCAATCGTGTAGGGGCTGGTTTACCAGCGATGCTGACGGGTCTCACCACAAACTGCTGCCTCCTCCGTCACGACGGCGCGCTCTCTCTCTCCGCGCGTCCGCCCGGCGTAATTCTCTTCAGCACCCCGACCGCCAACCACCGCTTCCGCACGCTCTTGTCCTCCACGCCCCGATCCCAAACCCAGTCCCGATCCAGCCCGTCGCAGTCCCGCTCCCACAGATGTTCCACTTCCAGCCCAGCCTCAGCCAGCGCCTCCCGCTCAAAGAATGCCCCGACCGTCTGACGCCCCGTATGGAACCCCCCAACAACCCACGCCCTGGCACTCTCCCCCTCTTTCAAAAACCACGCAATCGACCGCCGTAGATTCTCATGTTGCCACGGCATCCACAGCACATCGGCGGCCATCACCCGGTCGAACCGTCCTTGCCCCTCACGCGCGAACTGCGTGTCCAACTCCCCCCACCCGTGGCCCTCGACCCGCACCTCCTCCACCGCAAAAGCACCGCCACCAGCAGCAGCGGCATTCCCCTCCCGCACCGCGCCAACCACGTTCCCCCGCAGCGCTTCCAGCACCAGCGGCGCGGGGTAGTCTGTCGCGACGACCGCCCGCGCACCCACCAGCCCGGCCATGATGGTCGGCAGGCCCGTCCCGGCGCCCAACTCGATCGTCCTGAGCCCGGACACGTCGAACGCCCCCGCCCCCGGGGCTATCGCTTTCTCTCCTGTCGTTTCAGTGGCTGGTGGTGGTTGTAGCTTCAGGGAGTCAGCCTCGACTAGTTCGGCCAGCAGCAGCGCCGCGTTCCAGAGGTAGTGGCTGAACAGGTAGCGGTCTGCTTCCTCGTGGACCCGGGCCAGGCGAAGGGTTAGGGGGGAGGGTAGGTGTGGCGAGGTGTAGAGGAGGAGGTTGGTGTCGTCCGAGGCGAAGTGCTGGTTGGTGACGTCGTCGGTGAAGATGATGCCGAGGGAGGAGGCGAAGTGGTCTTCGGGGTCCGTGGTGGGGTGAGAGAGGCGGGAGGTGAGGGCCATGCTGGGCAGGCCCTGGTGTTCAAGGGTTGGCGGTGATGAGGTGGCTCGAGCCAGGGAATGGTGGTGGTGAACCGGTTTGAAGGTGGGCACCTGGTGGTCGACTACCGGTAGGTTGGAAGGCTGCACCTTCGGGGTGTGGGGAGCATAAATTTCGCGGCGCGGAGGAATAGAACCGAAAACCTTTTCTCTTTTTTACCTAGGTTTCTGATCAATCTTGTGTTTTCGTCTCTGATGATGACCAAGATAGAGCTTTAATACAATGACATCCGGGCATCGCTAGGCGCACACCTTTTCTCCTGGGAGATGGGGCACACCACAAGAGACCATCAAAAATTGAGTGGCACCTCACTTCAGGAGCCCGAGGGTTAACCACAGGGAAAAGACCCCCACTTTCGTCGCCCCCTTTTCGGCACCCCTCCACCGCATGGATGCCTGACCAAACCCAACACACTTCAAATAGTTACAAGTCCATCAATTTAGATCCGTTGGATCAATTTGATCTGCAATACCACCAAGCAGAAATAACAGGTTTTCCAAGGTCTTTTTCCATGTTGTGCTCTCGCGTAGGCTGAGCCCCGAACTTGTGCGAGGATTAAGGAGGGGTGGAGGGGTAACTTTCGTGCCAAGCCGGGAAGGCTGAACATATCTTATCTTATCAGCTGGGAAGATCCGGACCGGGGTTGTTGCTGTGGAAACTCGGCCGTCATCCCTGGCTTGGCGTCAACATTTTTTTTTGGAAGCGCGTTTCGGGAATCGCCCGAGCTGGAAATGCATCAATGACCTTGATGGCAGGTCTTTTAACGCGAACAAGTCACCCCGCTACAACCTTTTTTTTCCCACTTGTTCCCTCGACAAGCCACCAATCCGAATCTTCGCAACGTTTTAGCCTTGCATCACCCTGGTTGGTGCATGGAAAAGGCGTCGGCCATGTCTGCTTCAACGCAAAAGGCCACAAACCTTTTCCAAGTCTTCCTTCGGTTGCGCCCGCCGCCAAGTGGAGCTATCGGCGTCGTCGGAGAGCGTTTCTTGGCCGTCGAGGAGCCAGACGATGACAGCACCCCGCCCAAGCACATCACCTTGAACCCACCCAACGATCGACGGCGTGCTATCGAGAAGTTTGCCTTCACGCAGGTTTTTGAAGAAGATGCGACCCAGTTGGACCTTTTCCACTGCATCGGCGTGGCAGATCTGGTCAAGGGAGTGCTTGCGCCATGCGGCGGAGAGGGAACTGATGCCCTGCTGGCCACGTTGGGGGTTACAGGATCCGGCAAGGTTGGTGGAAACTTCTTGGGGACAACGCTCGATGAGACAGGCTTGACAGTTGCTGACGTGCACCATGTGTGTTCATAGTCTCACACGATCCTCGGGTCCCGGTCCCAGCGCGGGTTGACCCAACTCTCCCTCGATGTCATCTTTCGGTCCATCGGCAAAAGCATTCTCGACTGCGACTCCAATCCGACCGTTGAACATTCAATCGCGGCGTCCGATCCCTCTGAAGCAGTCATCTTCTCCGCCTCAACCTTCCTTGATGCCGTCTACGCTGATCCGTCAGCACCCCTGCGGGCGAGCTCAAGAGCACAAACACCCATGAACGTAGGGCTTTCTGAGCATTTTCCCCAGACCGACCCTTGTCAACATGATGAGCAGCACGGCCCTAGTGGGCCAGAGCCAGCTCAGAGGTTGCAGAGTGTTCGCATAGTCAGCCGCGAGGACTCTGTGGCACCCTCTTCTCCCCCTTCGACTCCTGGGATAGCAAGTGGGCTTGCATATCAAGGCAATGCGAGCCGTGCCCGTGGCATTGCTTTGTCTCATAGCAATGGCATGGCCGGCCGCCTTCGCACACCTCAACACCAGCAAGTGCGGAAGATAAACGGGGCCCTACAAGGGCAGCGGCCCCTCAAGCATTTCATGGCTCCCACCACATCCATACGTTTAAAAAAGGGTACTAAATCCACATTGCATTCTCAGGGCGAATCGATCGGACCGGGACAAACGCCGTCACGCCGTCTCCACAGACCATCAACCTTTCCTCAGCAACCGGATGTTAGCGCACTCTCCGTATCATGCGACCCGTCGGCCGAGTATGCCATCGTCATCTCCATGTACGAGGTATATAACGATCGGATCTTCGACCTCCTCACTCCACCGATCAAGTCAACTGCGACCAAAGAGTACCGCCGCCGACCGCTGTTGTTCAAGCCCACCGAGGGGTCGCCGGACCGGAAGGCGGTGGCTGGGCTGCGGAAGGTGATTTGCGGTAACCTGCACCAGGCATTGATGGTGCTTGAGGCGGGCTTGCACGAGCGGAGAGTAGCCGGGACGGGTAGTAATAGCGTGAGCTCCCGCAGTCATGGGTTCTTCTGCGTAGAAGTCAAAAAGAGGACCAAGGATAGCCGAAAGCGTGGCGGGGAAATGCCGTGGGGTGGGAGTGCTCTCACCGTGGTCGACCTTGCCGGAAGCGAGAGGGCAAGGGATGCAAAAACTGCGGGCGCGACGCTGGCCGAAGCCGGAAAGATCAACGAAAGCTTGATGTACCTGGGACAGTGCTTGCAAATGCAAAGCGACGCAGCCAACAAGGACAAGGTAAGTGGTGTCGACCAGTGCAAACACGTGGCAAACATTATCTGACCAGTGCCCAGCCCAACCTTGTCCCTTTCCGGCAGTGCAAACTCACTGAGCTGCTCTTTTCCAACTCGTACCCCTCTTCCTCGGGGTACTCGTCAGGGAGACACCGGAACCCACAAAAGGCCGTCATGATCGTGACGGCCGATCCCCACGGCGACTTCAATGCTACATCCCAGATTCTCCGGTACAGCGCTCTCGCCCGCGAAGTCACCGTCCCCCGCGTGCCGAGCATTACCCAGACGATCCTCACCGCTGCCGCCGCGCCAGCGCCGCAACAACACTCTACAACCCCGGTCGAATCACCCACCCTCACCCGTCCCTTCTCACCCTTCGGCGGCCCGGGGGGATCCGTCCATTACCCCCGCCTGCTCTCCTCCCCGCCCAACATCGTCCGCAAAGCGTCCCCCACAACAGCGAGCACCCGCAGCAACAGCAGCCACAACAGCGAGATGCACCGCTCCACGATGGAGGCGGCGGCGCTCGAGATCTCGCGCCTCGCCGAGGAGGGCGAGTACCTGCGCCAGGCGCTCGACACGGAGCGTGCGGCGCGCCACGAGGCCGAGTCCCACCTGCTCTCCATGGAGGACCGCATGATCGAGCTCGAGCAGGCCATCCGCGAGGACTGCACCAACGAGTTTGAGCGCCGCCTCGAGATTGAGATGGCACGCTGGCGGGCCACCATGCAGGTCGAGATGGAGCGTGGTGAGGAGCATTGGGGCCGTAAGATTGAGGTGTTTGAGCGGAGTATGGCGGTTGCTGGTGGTGGTGGCGGCGCCGGGAGTGATGGCGAGGGGTTGGATTCGGATGAGGATAAGGAGAATGTTCTCGTCGAGGATGTGCACCAGGAGAATGAGCGGCTGCGCAAGGAGAACGAGGCGCTCCGCCGCGAGGTCGCTGGCATGAGCCCCACGAAGCGGATGCCGCTCCAGGAACGGGGCAGCGATGCTGGCATGGCGGTCAGGGGCAAGGCGGTGGCGGGCCCTGAGACGGGGAGTCCGCGACCCGGGCGCGTGACCAGGGGGGGCGGCGCCGGCGATGATGAGGCCAGTTTGCTGCTGCGGCTCGAGAAGCTGCGCGTTAATGACGGTCAGGGTTCGGCGCGCGGCTCGGGGGGCAGTGGAAGCCCTAAGAAGGTGCGGCGGTTGCCGGCGAAGCGGTGGAATGCTGTTCGTGATGATGATGACCTCTTTTAAGTTATTGTAATTCTCTTGGTTTGGTTCCGGGTTCGGTTTGGGAAATGTTGGCTCTGACCTGGCCTAGTTTGAGATACCACCTGGCGGCAAGCTGGGCAACGGTTGGTCGTGGAGTCTGGGTTGTTTTTGCTCTGTTTGATGATGTTGGGATATATGAACGTCTGATACGGCCGCTTAATGGTATTGTCTTTTCACCTTTACTTCCTTGTGAACATCTACGTCACCGCATCCCATCCCTTCATGTAACTAACCGCCACTTAATGCATCACGAAATTCCCAATGTCTCGTCAACGTAACCATCCATCAACTGTGAATTCACGGTTGACCCAGCCCCCCAATCGCGGTACGGGTCCGGAAGGGTGGGATGTTACCAAGGGCACAAACGGCTGGCACGAAGCGGTCGTCTAACCAAACTTGAACTAGTGCTCCCTTGTCGTCTAGCAAGCGGCAATCTTCCGCATTTCCAACCAAACCCGGTGTACCGGCGCGTCATCCTTTCCGACTACGGGATTTCTAGCTACAGAGCGCCCTCTCGACAGGCGCTGGTCGGGGCACTGGTTGACTGCATCGAGGGATACGAGTCGCTGCGGAAAAACGCCGGTTTCCTCCACTGGGACATCTCTATCGGTCATGGTGGGCGGGGAGACAACCGGGGGTTTTTAATCGACCTAGACCTCGCCATCCATGAAACGACTAAGGAAAGTAGAGGCGAGTAGTTTTGGTGGATTTGAAACGTTGTGGTTGAATTGACTGACAACAAGAACGAAGTTGAAGAGGTTTAAGGGAGAGTGGCGGTTCGCCATGCAAGTACGTAATGACATCTCGCAACGAATTTAAGGGAAAGAGAGTCAGAGATTTTGAAGCAAAGCTTTTCACGAACCAGGAATCAAGGTGAAATTGACTCGAGATCTCGCGGCCACGAAAAGACGACATGAGCCCTCGGTACCCCCCTAAAAAAACACAACCCGGGAAGCCAGCGTCTTATTCGGAGTTGGGGAATCGGTCCATCAAGATTACCAAGTCCCTCAACTTCGACCTCGAACGAGACGTGTCGGTCGAGATCACTCGAGTCATACTCGTTGGACCTGCAATCATCGGGACGCGAAGCTGTAAAGGCAAATACCTCGCCCTGCGAAGGGGTGCCGCTATCTTCCCAGACAAACACGGCCATGTAGGGTGTGTATCCCTCCCGCTCCACATTGGGATCCCACAGACATCCAAGACGCAGCGGGCTTGCCCTCGCTATCGCGTCAGCAAGCTCGCTTGCCATCGTGTGCATATAGCGGTCGGTAAACGAGGGGTTGTGGTACGGGTCCTTCGCAAGTTTGGTATCACGTTCAAGATATGCCTCGATATTATCGGAGAGGCTGGTGTGACCGGCCTTTGCTAAATGCCGCGCAAGATAGGCAAGTCGTTTCCGTTGGCTAGGCTCCAGAATGCCAGAGAGGTCTTTTACCCACGCGCCTGGGGGGGGCCATTTCTTAGTGTGGATGGTTTTGTAGATTCTCCACATGTGGCCGCGTGTTTTGATGCCGGAGTCGGTGAGCGAGACGTCAAAGAAGCGACAGCTTCTGTTGAATGTCAGGCTGGGTTGATTGCTTGGGCTTTTGAGCTCGTTGAAAAGACTGGCTTTCAAGAATTCCGAGACAGTCATCTTGGATGCTCTTGGGTTTGCCGAACGTCCGTTGTGGAGGACCTCGCCGTTGAGCAAACACAGAGCGAGCATAGCCAGACTTAGGCTAACATCTTCTTGCATCAGCTGCCGGACGTTGAGTCGGGTCGAGTACTGGCAGCAATTGGCGGTAATCGCGAGTCTGTCCCAGCGCTTGCTCATCTCTCTCTTCTCAATGTCGGCGATGATGCGTGGCGTCATGGGCTCTGAGCGTTTTAGTATAAGTTTGTACTTGCCGGCGGTCTGGAGAATTTGTTCTAATATGACCTCTTTTCTCTTCCTCATCCTGGGGTTTGGGGGTATACGGTGCCGGGTGGTACTATTCCGGTACGCTAAACAAAGGCGCGTTGCCTCCTCCATAAGGTCGACGGAGCGAATGCACAGCTCGCCGTCCACGTTGCCAAAGATCGGGCTGCCGTAGGGATTGCTCATGTTTCCGTAGAAACGCTTAAGGTCTTCGAGGTCTTCCGAATGCTTGATAAGTAGCTTCATCCTGGTGCCTCCTTTGTAATTCTCCTGAAAGATCCAACCGCGGTGCCACCAGTCGTCTTTGGTAATCCGATGTAACATTTTCAGGGTCGTCCATGCCTCCTGTGTGATTCTGTTGCGCGACTCGGACAACCGGATAGGGGCTGCATCCCCATCCCCCGAGGTCAGCTTGCGCCGAAGGAGGTTTGCGAGGAGTCTCAACTCTCGAGCTGATGTGATTGGTCTTCCTAGCAATCCTACAGGGTGTTTGCTGAACTTGTAGACAAGGTCCATGACTTCCATTCCCTCCCGCTTTTGAATGCATGCTTCGTGGTCGCATGTTGGTCTTTCGCAACCGTCGGTATCCTGACTGATGCCGTGTTGATCGATCCAGAGAAGGTCGACGTCGATCGTTCGCATGTAATTGAAGATGCGATCGAGGATAGTGTCGCGGACCCGGGATGGTTCAAATCCTTGGCCGTCCCTTTCTTGGACGTGGTATAACCCCGGGGTTTTGTCCTCGAATTCTGAGGCCTTCCACGTGTACGACAAGGCCACATATTCGGGAAGTTGAAAGGCGTTGATGCGCTTTCGGTTCACCCATATGGCAGATGCTTCCTGGTCTTTTGGACGCCGAGGTAGCTGTAGGCATTCAAGGTTCTCGAGAAACCTCAGCGCTCTGCCCTGAGTTGTTGCAGGGTTGCTCTGAATGCCGACCAGAAGGGGAACAATCGAATTGCCCTGCTGACGCGCAATCTTAGACAGAGAGCTGCTCCCATCGTCACCTCTTTCCATATTGCCATGCTGCAACACAGCACTGTCAGGAGTGACCGAAGAGCCCATCTCAATTTTACCACCTTGGATCCTGATCAACTCGCCCTGCTCCCATTGCCTATCCGCTTCCGTATCACGCGACGCCGTCTTCTTACTGAACGCGAGAAACTTCTTGTCATACAGACAATTGCCGAGACCATCTCCGAACTTGCGCAATGCTCGCTTCAGTGCATCAGTCGTCGCCTCCTTCATTGCCCCCTCTGTAGCTTCTCCCTCCCGGGTATATTTCGTTCCACCACCGAAGCCAACATCCTCATGAACACTCGTCTGTCCATCTGGCCAAACGACAGTGACCTTCACAATGCAACGAGCATACACTGCTATCTTCGTCCCCTCTGGCTTCCCATTCCAGACATGAAGATCACGTATCTCCGAATTCCACTTACCATTTCCAAATACCGCATTCGCCAACCGAATAGCGACGTATCCCGCTAGGTACGAAAGCTTCATACCACCGTTCCCAGGCCGTTCCTGGATAAATGGTACATGTAATGACCGGTTCAAGTTGTCACATATCTCTCGATTGAGCACGTCTCCCGTACAATATCGTTTACTGTTCGCTGCCTCTAGCTTATTCTGTGTCCCACTACCACGCTTGACCATGGCTCCGTCTCCTGATCCGTTGATGTCTCCCATTTCTCCGATCTCGTCGAATACTGTTATGTGAGAATTACGCCCACTTCGTTCTTAATGTCTATCACGCTGGTTGCTGCGATGATGCTGTCAAACCATTCTTTTGTAAAGATGTTAGAAAGAATAAAAACGTTTTTTCGTCCCTCAAAAGATCAATCCATTGAAATGCTTATCCTTCGCTTAGGTGTGGGGCCATCCCATTTTCATGCGATGTGGTTCGTCCCTCTCCCCCACTGTATCTTACTCAGCCTCCACTCCCTTCCGTCGCTCGGCTTGCTTCAATGCACGGGTCGGGTCCATCCTTCGCCTCCCTTCGGTCGGCTCGGATTATCCATCTATTCCGCTTCGACAAGAGGAGGCCGTACCGCGATTGGGGGGGTTGGGTCAACTGTGTATTGACAGTTCAATGATGGTTGCGCCAGTCAAACGTTGGAAATTTGGTGATGCGTTGAGCGGCGGTTGGTAAAATTCCCATCGTTGCGAGCCAGTTATCGTTTTCTCGCTGTTCAATACTTATAATTTCCAACGTTAACCCTCACTCCGTTCCTAGTCTTGTCGCTAATAGTGAGCTATGTGAGACGCGCGGTGCTTGTGTGTAGTCCAACCTCAAGCTCGTTGCGCTGGTTATGGATTGCAAGCCAGTCGCTGTTGTGATAGGGTTGATTCTCAAAGGATAATGCGGACCGAGTCGTGAATGAGCGTCATAATAGCTCGGCCAAGCGTGGTGAGAAACCACACGGCCGGGGATAAACGACGTCCGCTGGGCGGTTGCGTTGGGCGTCAAGCGGCTCTTGCGGTTCCAGTCGGTATCAGTGCGTACCTGCGCAGCGGTGGCCCGTCTTCCCTTCCCTTCCAGTTCGAGTACCACCACCCCAACGCGGGAGTTGCCCAGCACTTGGCGGCTGCCTGGCCGAGGACGCACATGTCCTCCGAGTCCCCCTCACTTGGAGTGCCTCACGTGCAAGCAACGCAGATTGCAGGCGTGCACTGACCAGTCCATCAAGCCCATCCACGACCTATAAAACCTCAGCTCCTCCGCGCCCCCTTTCGAACTTGTGCTTGGAATTTCTCTCTCCATCCCTAACTATACGGGCTGACTAGTCAAGGAGATCAAGCAGTCTACGCTAGTGTGGCGGTATTGTCCTAAGGGACTGCCGTTTCATGCCCGTCTTCAGAGCCCCGTTTTCTGTCGGCGGGCCAGCCACAATTTTTGATTTCTGTCTTTTCTCTTTCACCGTGTGCACCGCTGAACGGAGAGCCTCAGTGAGTGGTGCCATGGGGAAGGAGTGGGGATTGGTCGGGCGGTCCGTCGCTCTGCCGCGCTTCTCGGCTTGAAACTGGACGGGACGGATGAGGGAACTTTGGAAGTTGGAGGGGCGGGCACTTGGCAGAAGCCGACCCGAACCGAACCGAACCGTTGCCTCGGGAGGATTTGGTTTGGCCGTCTATACATAGTATACACAACTGCAGTTGGGCCTCCTATCGTTATTTCGGTATGCTGTTGGCTTGAGGAGCCAGCCAACTTTATCACAGTCGAGCATTTGTCACCTGCCTCCTCAACCCAAGTTGCTATTGTTGTGGTCTCATCCGTTGGTTGGCTCGTCTTAATAGTGGTTGATAATATGCCGAGAAGGAATATGGGGGCGGTCTTCTCCTGATTGCAAAGCTCTTTGGGTACCGGACATGTACAATCCTCACAGCCCTCTTCAACCAAAGATAGTACCGGTCGTGTGTTGGGTCGCTGGGCTTTTTGGACCACTCAAATGGCGTACCGAGATTTCTTGCTCCTTGTGTCCGCGCATCTCTCACTGCAGTGCGACCCTCTGCTGACGTTTTTAGCCGGATGGTGTGTGAGACGTGTGGTCTACCAAGGTCTGGTCCGGTGGGTGGCGGCGGCCAACATCGTCCCATGCGTGGTCTTTTGAGGGGCTACCCGGGTCTCACCTTGAGCGGGATGGCATTCATCAACTCATGCTTGTGGCCGTGTTTGTGACAAGCTAACGAAGCAGTCAAGCACCCATCACCGACCACATCACCAACCTGTCTCTGGAGCTTCTAGAGCCGCGGGGCTCGCTGGCATGGATGAAACAAATATGGCGGAATTGGAAATGGCGCAAGAGGTGGACGATGAGTTTTCCCGACTGTGGCAACGCCACCTCACCGCGCTGAGGGACGACTTCTCGGCGACCAGTGTACAGGCGCTGCCCAGCCTGCCTTCAGAATCGCGCAGTTTCGATGAAGAAGCCGCCCCTGACAGGGACCTCGCGCATCCGTGGGACGACAAAATCGGCTCGGTCGTTGATATGCTCGATGAGCTGACACTGTTGGTTTCACCGCAGTGTGCGCAATTGGGGAATATGGCTGACATGCCGCAGACAGAGTCCCAATACGACCGATACCCACAGCCCAGAGACCCCTTGGTTCCCAGATAGAGACGGGTACCCCGAGACAGCACTCTCATCACCCCTGAACTCCAGTTGGCCTAGGACAATCGGATCCCCCAAGAACCCGTGTTTGCCATATCTCCGCGTGGAGGACTATTCGGAAACACCCTTCCCCGACCTCAAGGGCAAGGGGGTCGACATCGCCCAAACCTGGAGCCAAAGAAAGCCGCCACCACCATGGCACGAAGACGCAACAGTCCCATTCCTCCTCCAGAAACAGTTCCTCCACGACCACCCACCCTCCCTCGCACCCCTAGCAGCAGCAACAGCAACATCCGCAACAACAACAACAACAACAATCCACACCCCCACCACCTCGAACCAACCCCGACCCCCAGCAACCCAAGTCCACGCCCTAATCCTAACCTGGGGACCACCACCGCCACCAACGACAACCCCCTCCCAACACGACACGCACGAGCGCCAGTTCCCCGTGACGCCCAACCCCAACAACGGCGGCGGCGACACAGACGCCCTGCGCGCCACGCTCAAGCGGCGCGGCTACCGCGTGCAGTGCCGCACCATCCCCGCCGACTACCCGACCGCGGCGGTCGAGACGATGCTGGATCGGTTCCTGGCGCGGTCGGCGATGGATACGTTGCTGGTGGTGTATTATCGCGGGTGGGGGTGTTTGGAGAGGGATGGAAGGATGGTGTTTGCGAGGTACGTCGGTTTCTTTTCTAGGCCCCCCTTTTCTTTTCTTTTCTTTTCTTCTTTTTTCTTTTCTTTTTTCTTTCTTTTGGTTTGCCCCTGGACGCGGTGGTCGGTGACTGTGTGCTAATGATGGGGGGTTGTGGCAGTGGTCCTGATCCTGGTGCGAGTAGCTTCTTTTGGGAGGACGTGAGAGATCCGGTGATGCAGGTTCCTGGGGATGTGTTGTTGGTATTTGACTGTACTGCCTTACCTGGTGTCAGGGCGGAGCAGCTCGAAATGAGGATCGAGGCGGGGATGGTCTCGTCGCCGTCCACGAAGCAGTTGTTGGGGGTTTGCGTGCCGTCGTGGTATTACGATGATGAGTGGTCAGGGGGTATGGCTGGCGACGACATGACGCAGTCACTGTGTAGGGCCTTGGATGGGATGGGTGATGTGCCGGTTCTGTCGGTACACAGGCTGTGCTCGCTTATGAGGGAGGATCTACGAGGCAGCCAACTCGCGTCGAGGGTGTTTGTTAGCCAGCTGGGGGGCGGGCGGTTGCTGGATATTTATCTACCGAGACTCGCGGCCTCGCCGACAACGAGGAGGCAGAGCATGAGCCCGTGGTAGAGATAAACACACCCACATCATCAAGCCCCCCTGTCGCCCCTGACACTTACAACTTGGTAGCATGGGCTGAAGATTGGAGGCGGCTTAGTTGAATTGAAGTCTATCTAGATATCCAACTGAGATCATTCTGTTTCAAGAAAGCAGTGGCTGGGTACGTATCTAATGATATACTATCGTTGGGATAGCCCCCCTATGCTGCTGTTTTCAACCTCAACCGACTGGTGGGGATATAAGTTGAAGACTGTTACGCCATTTATTGCTAGTGCCACATAAATAGTCTATTGAGTACGTCTATATATTCGAAACCTTGTTCCTCAATCAACTAGAAGAGTCTCCCCCTTGTTCGAACCGGAACTGACTCCAGAACCATGGCAAGCATCAATCCATGTGAAAGGTAACTATTCCTTTCTGACCGCAACCTGGCTTATCTTAGCAACTACCTTTTCTCCCAGCTCAACCAGCGACCTCGCCCCCGTGATATCCAGAGTACTGATCTCAGCACCGAGTCGAGCCCGGATCCAGCCACGGAGCTCTACTGCCGACAGCGAGTCGAGGCCATACGAGGCTAGTGGCTTGCCAACTTCAACTTCAGCCTCCAGACGCAGGATGTGCGCCGTCTGCGCGGCGAGTGCCGTTACTGCCGCCTTTTCCAGCGCTTGAACACCCGCAGTGGTTGACGCCCGGAGAAGTGCGAAGGCCTCGACTGCCGCACCCGCGCCGTCTTCCGGCCCGCCATTCAAGGGAACCACAACCCCTTTGTTGGCCCCACCGGACAAGTAGCCAAATCGCGGGTCATCCTCTAGGGCACCGCCATTCAACGGATGTGCAATCCCCGTGACCAACTGGGAGTTTTCACTGAGTGGCCGCGACTGTTGTTGCAAGATGGACACCGTCAGGGCGGTTCGCAATGCCCGTTCGTTTAACGGCGTCCACTGCGCATCGTGACGGAAGCGATCTGCGAGACCACCTCCGCCCCCGTTGGCGAGCGCAAGGGCCTCCTGCTCGGCGATGTGTCCGACGTCGTCAATTGCGCCGAGGTCAAGAGAATGCGCAGGCAGGCCCAAGGAACGGCGGTACGTTGCGAAGGCGTCCAAAAAGGCGTTTGCTGCGGCATAATTGGCCTGGCCCTTGTTTCCTACCACGCCCGAGACACTCGAGAGGAGTGTGAAGAAGTCGAGAGAGGAGGAAGCATCCTCGACCGAAGCATGGTGTAAGTTCCATGTCCCCGACGTCTTAGCAGCCACGGCAGACTGGTAATCGCTCAGTGCCATGGTCTCAAAGGGTTTATCCTTCAAGACCATGGCCCCCTGGATAACGCCAGCAATCCTTCGAGGGTGGGCCGACGCAAAGACGTGCTGTACAAAGGCCATATCGCAAACATCGCCCTTCTGGCCGGTCACTTCACAGCCATAGGAACGGCAGCCGCGCACAATGCGCGCCGACGTCTCATCATCGATGCCGCTTCTGCTGCAGACGATGAGGTGACGTGCCCCATGTCTCGCCATGTGCAGAGCTAGGCTGCCGCAAAGGCCCTTGATGCCTCCGACGATAAGATAGGAGGCATCTGACCGGAGTTGGAAAGATGGTGGCAGAGGCTGGATAGGAACCCGGAGGTCGTTCGATGGCCCTTTGGCGATGACAAGCTTACCAATGTGTTGACCACGCCGGATACAAGCCAGGGCCCCCGAGACGTTGTCAAAACCGAATGTGGTGATGGGCCGAATTGGCCCAATATGGCGCTGCTCGATGAGGGTGAATATTTCGTCCATCAGTTTTCCTAGCAGAAGCGCGTCTTTCAAGCTTCTGCCAAACGAGACATCCAGCGCTCGGAAGGAACAATTCCGGCCAAACGGCTCCATCGCCAGGGCATTGCGGTCCAGAATATCTCGTTTGCCAATCTCAATCATGGTGCCTCCGTCGGCTAAGATACGCCATGACGCATCGAGCATGTCTCCAGTCAACGAGTTGAGGACGATATCTACGCCTCGGCCTTCTGTTGTGGCCAAGATCTCCTGTGCGAAGTTGGAATCCCTCGAGGAAAACATGTGGTCGCGGGGTATCCCAAACTGGGCGGCTAGAAACTCGCGCTTTTCCTCTGAACCGACCGTGACAAATATCTCGGCCTTCTTATACTGCGCGAGCTGAAGGGCGGCGATTCCAACTCCTCCTGCGGCAGAGTGGATGAGAACGGACTGTTTATCATGTCAGCTTCTGCCAATGGGTTTCAATGGGATCTATGTGTCTTCCTCACCTGGCCCTCTTCCAAATTTCCCCAGTGAAAGAGGCCTTGAATGGCTGTCGTATACGCGAGAGGAATCGTGGCGGCCTCTTCAAAGCTCATCCAGGATGGAAACTGTCGGACGCAGTGGACGCTCGACTGAATCCGGGTTCCGTATAAGCCCCTGCCCTGCACGGCAACGCGGTCCCCAACCTGAACCTTGGTCACGCCAGGCCCGAGTTTCCGAACCACGCCGGCACATTCACAGCCGATCATCTGTTCATCTTCAGGTATGATTCCCATCAGAACCGCAACGTCCTTTTCACCCAAGCGCATATTGTCAGCAAATGTCAAGAGGGAGGAATCAGCCACTATCCTCAACTCACCTTGAAGTTCACGCCCGCCGCTTCAACCTGCACCTCAACAAACCCCTCCTGCAGAGGTTCATCCGCACACTCGACCCAAACCACATCCAGCGAACCGACCCTCTCGCCATGCAGCCGCACCGGCCGCTCCGTCTCCCACAGGCCCGCCACGGCTGCCGCGCCGCCCTGGCCCAGCAGCTCAAACCTCCGGAAATCGTTGACCGGCGCATCCGGAACGAGACGCGGCACCGCCAGCACCCCGTCCCGTCCGAGCCGGTACTCGGTCTCAACACCGCCGCGGCCGTTCTCACTTGCGCTCGTGCTCATGGCCTCCAGCACCGTCGCCACACCGCGCGCCAGCGCCTCATCATCCCGACCCCGAACCGGCGCGTCCGTATCAACATCAACATCAACATCCACATCCAAAACCACGCGCGGCACTGTGTCCTCTTGGCCGGCCAGCTCGCGACGCACGACGCGCAGCAGGCCGTGCGCCATGGCCCGCTCGGGGTGCGTGCCGGAGGCGCCGCCCGACGTGAGCCAGAGGAGGGGGCGGCCTGTGGCGAAGAGGGCTTGGATGGCGGCCCATTGTGTTGGGGAGGGGTTGGATAGGATTGGGGTGTAGAGCTCGTCGGGGATTAGGAGGATGCTGTTTTCGTTTTCGGGGGTGGGTGTGGTTGTGGTTGTGGTTGTGGTCGTGATTGTGGTTGTGGTTGTGGTTGTGGGTGTGGTTGTGGTTGCGGTTGTGGTTGTGGTTGTGGTGATGGAGTGGGGGGAGGGGGTGTGGGTTATGGTCCATGTTCCTGAGACTTGGTCGAGGAGGCAAGTGAGATGGGCGGTTTGGTTGGCTGAGGGGGCTGTCAGGTGCGTGACGATGAGGGTTCGGGATTGGGGCCTGGACGTTGTTGGCTCGCTGGCCTCCTGCGATCCGGACTCGGGTGGGTGCTGGGTCTCGCGGATCTTGCAGAGGTGATGCGTCACTGGGCCGCCGTCGATCACTAGTACGTGGTCAAGCTGATCGCTCTCTGCTGGGCTCCCTATGGCTTTCGACACCCGGGTATCGTCGTTCGTAAGAGAGGTGACGGAGCTTGCGATATGGTCTCCGTCAGACTGAGAACCTCCTACGTCGACGCTGGAGTCTGTCTCGTCTACGGATGGCGGAGCGGAATTCGTCGATGTTTCAGAAGAATGGGGGACGATCTCGCGTTCCTTTGGGAGTTCCGGCATGAGAACGAAGCCGCCATCCGCAAGAAGTGGCTCGAGATTCTTGCACAGAGCTGCTCTTTTGGCACTCTCCATCTCCTCGGGCAATTGTAGTATTGCGAGGTCGTACCGCGGCGAGGTTGCGGTGTCAAGACCAAACATTGGCTTCTCTGGGCTCGCAAGCAAATAGCCGACCGCGTTGTGTTTCATACCAGCGAACTCCTTTCGTGCGGCAACCAGCCTTTCGGCATCGGCACAGGCAAAGTCGTATTGGGGACACGCCTGTCGCGCGGTTATTTCGTCACTCCTCAGCCAAAGACTTGATACGGGGTCATAACTGCTATGCGTGAGACTGATCTCAATGACCTTGAGACGCGGCCTTTTGTGGGCAACCAAATCAAGGACGGCATTGACGTGGAGCCCAAGAGTGTCCAAGCGGGCTTGTGTCAGGAGGGTGATGTCAGGCTTCCACTGGACCGAATCGAAGACGTGTGGGTCGGTCCTGGGATTCGCATCTAGCTTCACGTAGTTGAGACCCTTGAGCTTGAGCACCAAGGCTCCTGACTCGGCATCATACGACGAGACATCTCCAATGATGCCTTTGGCCTGCTCCGGTCGACCCCGTCCGGAGTATCTCGACTGTGCGAGGACCAGGCCTCGGCGCATCCCATGACGTGGGATCCGGTTGACGAAGGCTTCGTTGGCTACCGCGGGGATCTGGATCTCCTCTACGAGGCTTCGTTCGTTGGCCGCATTCGGGGCCATGAGGGCGTGGAGGAAGGTATCCAGGACAGCCGGGTGAACAGAGTAGTGTGACTGAGGATCCCAAGCAGAACGGGGTGGTGTCAAGTCGACTATGGCCCGGCAGGAACGCTCCCCGCTGATGGCTTCGAGCGACTCGATCTTTTGGAACGAGGGACCAAAGTCCATGCCAACCTCACGCTGAGTCTTGTACCAGGACGAGAACGGCTGCGGAGATCGGAAAGGGGCCCGCCTCTCGTCCTCCTCGGCCAGCCCCTCCTGGGTCTCCTCCTGGACCCGAATCAGGCCGCTGCAATGTTCGGTCATTACATCGTCCCTGGATGTAGAAATTCGGACCTCATGCCAGCCCGAATCACCACTACTCCGAGCCAACTTGGTCAGGGAAACGAGGATGTGGACAGGCTCGCCCTCTGTCACCACGAGGGCGCGCTGGAAGCGCATGTTTCGCAGCCCATACGCCAGGTCACTGACGCGAACTTCCTGGGCCGAGGCCTGCAGCTCGGTTGCGCAGTGTTTCTGATACATGGCCTCGAGAGCCATGGCCCAGAACCCCGCCCCGGGCATTAACACGTCGCCGCCCATTTTGTGATCCCTCAGCCACGGCACATCGTCCAGGACCAGGCGTTTACGCCAGATCGGACTCGACCACGGCGTACCCAGGATTTTGCTCCCGATCAGGTCGTGCGTGACAAACCGCCGGAAGCGCCAGTCCTTGCTGGCCGCGCTTTCGTACCAGTACTTGACCGAGTGGTTCCACCGGTAACTTGGCAAGTCGACGACGCATCGCGGGGGACTGCTGGCCTCGCCATGTTCGTTCTCCTCCAGGTCTTCGGTGTTGACGGCGCCCATATCAATGGCCGCACCAGTGATGAAGAGTTGTCCGGCCACGTTGAAAAGCGCCTTGATGGCATCGTCCCCGCGGGACCAAGAGGCGTAGTACGAGATGTCATCGGCCTTGGAAAGCGATTTGAGAATTTGTGATACGGGGCCACCAAGGGCACCAGACGGGCCAACCTCAATCAGAATATCGGGTGATTTACGGTCGGGTTGCGAGAGCATCTCTTGGACGGCCTTGTCAAAACGAACCGGGGATAGAAGGTTGGACTTCCAGTAAGCCGTATCTGTGGGCGTCTTGTCGGTGATTTGAGATGCCGTCACCGATGAAAACATGCGCACTTCCCGAGACTCCCGTGAGTCTCCGTCCGTATTTTGTCCCTGGAACCCTTCCCGGTTCATGAGGGATTCGTACTCGGCCCCGACCGCGTCCATATACCGCGAGTGGTACGCCACGTCCACGTGCAAGAGTCGGGCGAAGTGACCCGCCCCTTGAAGCTCCCCAGCCAAGCCTTCAAGATCGTCCTTCCGTCCCGAGATAGTCACACTACCAGGGCTGTTGAAGCACGCGACGGACGCGCGCCCACCATACGCCTCCAGATAGCGAGCAACCGCCTCCTCACCCAAACCCACAGCCAACATCCCAAGCCTCTCCTCCAACCCCCCCCTCGCACCCACCTCCGTAACCGCCCTACCCCGAAAAAACGCCGCCTTGATCGCACCACTGGCATCCACCAACCCGGCCACGTACGCGGCCGCAATCTCCCCCGACGAGTGGCCCACCACGCTCGACACCTCCACCCCCCACTCCCCTTGCAGCACGGCCACCAAACAAATCTGCAGCGCCGTGGTCAGCGGCTGGGCCAGCTCGGGCCGGCGTAGGTGTGCCGCCTCGCGGGGTTCGGTCAGCTCGGCGAGGAGCGACCATTCCGGTGGTGCGCATGTCGTGATACCCTGCAGCGCGGCATCGAGGTCGGTGAGGATGGCGCGGACGGTGGTGGGGAATGCGTGCAGCAGGGCGTGGCCCATCTGTGGCCATTGCGCGCCTTGGCCGGTGAGGATGAGGCCGATGCGGGGGGGCCGGGGGGCTTTTTTGGCTTTGGTGAAGGTGGATGGTTGGATGGTGATTCGGGAGGAGGAGGTGTTGGTGTTGTTGTTGTGGACGGTGACGAAGGCGCGATGCCAGAGGTGTGAGCGGCGCTGGGAGAGCGTGTAGGCTACGTCGCGGAGGGACACGGATACGCGTTGGTTGGTGAGGTGGCTGCATAGGGCGGCGATGTTGCCTTCGAGGGAGACGGCGTCGTTGCCTGAGACGACGAGCGTGTACGGTTTAGTACTTGGAATGCTGTCGTCCGTGGTGCTATGGCTGGAATCGTCTGGTGTCCATTCCATAACTTCCTCGATGGGCCTGAGGGAGACCACATGGTGTGTCTGGCCTTGGGTATGGGCGTCTGATTCCTCGAGGATGGCGTGCCCGTTGGCGCCGCCATATCCGAACGAGTTGATACTCGCGCGTTTGGGCTTGCCGTCGGTGGCGGGCCAAGGGAGTAGGGTCCGAGAGACCTTCACCCTAGCCGCGGAAAAGTTGATGTTGGGGTTTGGGTTGATGAAAAGGGGTGTGCCCGGGATCATGCCATGCTCGAGCGAGAGGATGGTCTTGATCAGTCCAGACAGTCCAGCTGCCGGCTCGGCGTGGCCCACGTTGGATTTGATCTGATATGGCGAATGTCAGAAACCGTGATTTCTATTCTGGGGGCAACTACTTACCGATCCGATGATGAGTGGTTTGGTGGAATCCCGGGTCGCTGCGAAAGCCGCCCCAACTCCGGCCACCTCGATTGCGTCTCCGGCTTTCGTTCCCGTCCCGTGGCATTCTAGGTACTGGGTATCGTTCAGGCTGGCGATCCCAGCATTTGCATACGCCTTGCGGATGGCGTCTGCTTGTGCTTCGGAGCTTGGACTCCCAATCCCGTTTGTGCGGCCGTTGCTAATTCACGGGTTGTTAGTACTCGGTACGAATAAACAGTATTCCCGAGATGGAAAACAGAACAACGGATAAGCACGAACCTGTTGATGGCAATGCCACGAATGACAGCCCGGATAGGGTCTCGGTCTCGGAGGGCCGTTGACAGTCTCTTCACGACCAGACAACTCACGGCCTCGGCTTTGACATAACCGTCGGCTGCCGCGTCGAAGCTGTGACATAGCGCCGTTGGTGAATGGGCCTGTCCAACAAGCGCGTCGTCTATGACGTGTTCGGGGCTCAAGTATAGGTTGCTCGCAGCGATGATGGCCGAGTCTGCCTCGCCTGACCGCAGGGTTCGGCACGCCATATCAAGCGCGATAAGGCTACCCGAGCAGGCCGTATCAACGGTGACGCTGGGCCCCTTGAGATTGAAGAACCAGCTGATCCGATTTGCTAGGATGGCACGGCCTACTCCAAGGCCCGTATTCCCTGGACGGTCTTCCGGGTCGCGTAGCTGGATATCCCCGTAATCGACAGCGAAGGAGCCCACAAAACACGCCACAGGCGCACCGTTGACAGCCTGCATAGATACACCCGCGCTCTCTAAGCCTTCGTACACAATCTCAAGCATTTGGCGTTGGTTGGGATCCGTCGCAAGGGCTTCAGCGCCCCCTACTTCGAAGAAGCCGGCGTCGAAGTCGGCGAGGTCAATGTCCTGTTCCGATAAAAACATGCCGCCCTTGGGCCGCATCGTACCCGGTTTCAAAGAGCCATCCCAGTGGCCCGAGACGTTGAAACGGGAGGCGGGCACTTTGTTAGACGCAACTTTCCCTTCCTCGAGAAAGTCCCAGAGTCTCCCCGGCGAGGAATTGCCACCGGGGAGGCGGCACGCCAAGCCGATGATCGCTATGGGTTCTTGGGCCATGGTCGAGGGCATCCCCCGTAGCAAGTGGAAGACTTTGTCTGGCGGTGTTGCACTTTGTCGTTTCCGTTGTGGGTTTGTGAGTTGTGGAAGGTTGGGGTTGTGAAGTTCCCCTACGTGTGATTAACCTAATACACCATGTGCTATGTCCCTTGACAACCCCCTTATCGGACCGCAACGAAGGTACCATTTTGCTGCCAGGTAATCATGACCATCGGCCTTGTCAGCACCAGCGCCAACCGTGTTACCAAAGTGTTACCCTTTACTCCTTGGCCAACCGGAAGTACTGTGTACAGGCCCGGTTATTTACTGTGCCGCCCGCAACCAAGCGTGTATCTTGCTATGTAGTTGCTACAGCAGTGTGTTTGCTCAGATTGAGTGGTGGCCCCCATTTTCTTGGGAATCCCTCCTTGGTATCCTTTTGCCCCCTTATTCGCGCCATGGGCTCCTCCACGTACAAGGAAGTGGAATGCACAACCATCGACGGCACCGTCATCCGCGGATGGTTCTACGCCGTTCCTGGGCCGGCACCGACTCTCATCATGTCCCACGGTGTATGTGCCCTCTGTTTGCGATCTAGATACAACCAGCCCGCTGACATAACTGCGCCGATTGTGTAGTTCAACTGCGTCAAAGAGATGACGCTACCAGATGCGGCCGAGTGGTTTCAGCGTCGCGGCTACAATGTTCTTCTCTACGATGCCCGAAGCGTTGGCGCGAGTGACGGGCTGCCGCGAAACCAGCTCGATGTCTTGCAAATGGCTGAGGACCTTTCGGGTAATACCTTTCTCCCCATGTCCCTCGCCAGTCACCCTCTCCTAGGCACTGACTTGCAAGCAGATATCGTAACATTTGTTGCAACCCTCCCGACTGTAGATCCACGAAGTATTCTCCTTTGGGGCATGTCCTTCGGCGGCACAGTAAGCGGATGCTCTGCGGCCGTCGATCACCGTCCCCGGGCTCTCGTTATGGTGTGCCCCCTCTTCAGCTTCGTGAGGCCGAACCGTCGCGGGGCAACGTTCGCGCGAGTGATACAAGACCGAGTCTCCCAGATGGGCGGGAACGAGCCTCTATCCTTCCCACCATTCAACAGCAAGGGGGAGAATGTGGCGGGTTTCGGAGGTGCGGGTGGGCCCGGAGGTCTCGAGGCGTACAACCTCATGCGCGCCGCGGCTGAGCGGGGGCCTCCGGGCTTCCGGGACCGAATCGCGCTGCAGACATTCCACAAGCTGGCACTTGCTCGGCCGATGGAGTTGCTTGACATGGTTGACGAACGGATGTCCGTGCTGATGGTCGTGCCAGAGCTAGACGATATCTCGAGCCCGCAGGAGCAAAAGGCGGCGTTCGAGAAGCTGTCGACGCCCAAGAAGCAGCTGCATGTGGCACGAGGCGCAGGACACCTCTCTGTCATGACGGGTGAGGGCTCTGAGGAGCTCTTAGAAGTCATGGATGGCTTCTTCCGAGATGCTCTGAAGAACGATGTCAGGTAGCCAGTCTTTTCACCATTACGGTTCGCCGTGAGCAGTACCTCGCTAATTACTGAACTTATCTACGTTGGAGTTAAAACTCTATTCCATCTTCGCATGCATCCTCCTCCGGTACTTCCACGGCAATAAGACTCGTCGGGGTGTGGGGTGTGGCAGATGAAGCTGAGTCCCTGTCCAAACGTGGTACATCCAAGTCCCCTCGCCTTGGTCCAGCCAGCACTGTTGTCTTGCGCTGTCGGAAAGGAGGGGGCCATCAACCCAACCTTACACAGCACGTGTTTACCAGCATAAGCGAGCGTCGTGGGCTGTAATTACAGTGCATAATTGCTTCCCGCGGGGCTCTTGACTTGGGGGGTAACATTTGTGGCACCGGCTGCTGACTTTCTACCTATAGGAGACCAGAACCGTCAGCGTCATGCTGACAGCTCGTACCGCTGCCTGACAGAGGCACAGAGCCTGAGGTTTTATTGGGTCGACGCCCCAATTCAAAGTGCGGCGGTTCCCCGCTCAACTTCTGCATCACTCGGTGTCAACCTGAGGGGGGCGCTCTGTAACAGGAGGTCGCGTTTGTCGAACGGCTCCAGCCCGTTCTGATACCATCACTGGACACTCATGCCACCATGTTGAGCTTCGCCACATGTCGGCCAGCGGCGCTCTGCCGTCCCTTCTGCCGGCTCTTGGGTTATCTGAGATTATGGGGCTGAAAGAAGTTGAGAGTCTTTCCGATCCTTTCTTTCTTGGTGTGAATGATGCCGTGGCTTGACAGATCTTGGTTTTCCTCCATCTCTGAACCTGATCAACCACATCGTCAACTCCAAACCATTCTCACACTCTCTTCCCCTTTTGTCGCTCGTTGGAGAAAAGACTTAGTCTTGCTGTCGATATGGAGGATATCGTGTCTTGCGAGACCTTTCTTGTAAGGACCCGTTCCGTTGGCGTCGACAGGGGGCAGGGGACAGGCGCACTGACTCTTCCCGACAGCTCATCCTCTGGATTGGCACTGCAGTGTGCACCGTGTGCTTCGCAGCCCGTGCCTACATTCGCTATGTCTGCTTCGGTCGTCTCCTCCTCGAGGACTGGTTCATGCTCGGCGCACTGTTAATCCAGATCAGCACCAGCATCGTCTGGCAGATGTACCTGCAAGACATGTACAACATGGCTCACGCCGTCCTGGGCACCTTCGTTCCAGGGCCAACTTTTCTCGAAGACATGAGGGTGGCGCTCATAGCGTGCGGAGTCATGTCCATCACGGTCTACATCGGCCTGTGGTTGATCAAGGCGTCTTTCCTAGTCTTGTTCTATCGGCTCGGCCACAAGATCCCCCTATACCTGTACGCCTGGTGGGCTGGTACTGCTCTCATCATGGCGTGCGGAATCGCGTCCCTCGGGCTAAACCAATATCAATGCATGTTTGGGGACATCAACGTCATCTTCGCTACGTGTCTGCAGCCGGAATCGCTGCATGAGGTCTACGTCAAGGAGGTCGCTGCCGCTACACTAGACATCTTTTCCGACCTGCTCAGTGAGTTGCCCCCTCTCTTAACACCCTAGTGGCAAACGAGGTATTAATCCTGCTTTGCGCTCGCAGTCATCATCTTCCCCGTCTGGATTCTGTGGAGCACCCGCGTCTCGGTCCGTCAGAAGTTGGTCCTATCTGCCATTTTCTGTCTGGTAGGCCTCACCGTGGCCATGACCATCGTCCGGGGCGTGTTTGCGAGGACCATCGCGGAGGACCCCAAGTACGCATTGCAGCAGATCAACATTGCGTGGGTCTTTTGGTTCTTGATGGAGTACCTTACATGTGAGCTTTTATTTCCTCGTCGTTGCCACTTCATCCCTGTCCGCTCTGGTCCACGCACAGCTGAGGCTGACACGGCCGTTCTAGCTTTCCTGGTCGCCTGCGCCATCTCGTTCCGATCGCTCTTCGTCCAAAGCCGCACCAAACAGTCGGCCGACTCGGAGCGGAGGCGCGTCTCGCCGACGACGCCGCTCAGGAAGCGACGCGTCAGGTACTACCTCGACAAGCTTTACGACTCGGTCCTCACGACGGCGCGCTACCTCGAGGGTGACGGATGCGAGCACGAGACGTGGAAGCTCCCGGAGCCCGAGTCCGGCTTGATGACGGTCGACTTCTCCACGGATGAGGGTTGGCGCCGCCACTACGGGGAGGATGGTGACTCGGTGAGGGCGTTGAAACCGTATGGGAATAGTGGGACGGTGGTTGTGGGTGTCGCTAGGTAGGCGCACGTTGTTTGTATGATTGTGTCTGTTTGTTGAGTACGAGCATCTCACCGAGCCTTTGTTATTTATTCCCTGTGTTTCATTTTCTCATCTTCTTTTTCTTGCTCTCTGGAGGTAGGTAAATTACCACCTATGTATGTACTGTAGGTACCGATGATATACGTATGTATGCAATTCAACACGAAATTCACCAAATAACTCCCTTATCGTCTTACCTGACTCTTGTTTGCTCCAGACTTTGTTCCAGACTTTGAACTGTGTGTGCGGCAGTGGCTCAACGGGCATCTTCGGGGAAGCGATGGACACACCCGGCCCGGCACCAAGTCGGCAGGGGGACACACACCACTGCAACCAGGCAGGGCTGCCTTGAAAGTGCTCCGCATGTGGCGTGCACCTGCAGTCGCAGATTAGGGTTACCTTGAATGCAGTTTGACCGAGGCCCAATCAAGGAACGGGCAGCCTGGAGCTCAACCAAGATCGTTCACACCCTCGAAGGACAGAGTGCTTACTTTCGGGATTGGCAATCGCGCATCAAATCCGATAAATGGGTGGGCTCAAGGTTGTTATTGTTGTGTTGCACTGTAAGTCTGTAATGGCTGCAGACATGGGCGTTAAGGTGATCGGCCCGGGAAGATGCGCAAGCGCGAGCCAACTTCATCCGTCGTTCGGTGTGCTCGGTCCAGGCTGCTCCCTGAAATAGCATGGGCCGCATTTGCCACTGTCCCGCAGGACGGTAGATATGAGATGACCAACCGCCTGCCCCGGAAGATGCTGCCAGGTGGTGTAACTGGGCCGCTTGGTTCCGGATTGGGGGCTGAAGCCGCCGTTGGGGCCGCCGTGCCGCCGTGATGTGATGTGAGTTGCGGGGTATCACTGGCGGGTGTTCGACGTCCGTATGTACCGTCGTACGACAATGCCTGCGACGGGAGTGGAAGGTCGGATCGATCGTCGCTGTCAGCCTCAGTCTCGGGAGGTATTTTCGCACCGACAGGGCGGCTTCTTCCCTCTCCGGATTCCTCGGATGCTAGGAAACAAAACACTTAGCTTCAGTCAGGTACGCATGCCCATTACCTCAGTCTCAATGGAGCCGGCCACCGATGACCCTGTTGCTCGACGTCGCGAGCAGAACCGTCTAGCACAACGAAGGTTTCGATGTGCGTTTCCCCCTGATCGGCTAACCCCCCAGTGCCCCCAGTCGGACTCGCTGACGGGGTACATGTACCAAAAGGGAAGCAAAGCCAGCACAAGGCCTCGGCCCGCAAACAGGAGAGGCAGCCCAAGGTTGGAAACGCAAGCCCCCAGCAAATGCAGCTTGCGACGCCGCCGTCGTTTTCTACCATTAGCGAAACGATAACATCTCCGGAGGTCTTCTCAATGCCCTCAAGCTTGCTGGAGGACTACCCGTATCCGGATCTGTCGGACTTTGGAGATTTCTTACCACAGGCTTCGTCATGCGCCGGTCGTATGATGGATTGCATTTCACTTGTTGATGAAGACGCAAGGGGAGCCACCACTCCCAATCCAAATCACCACCACCAGTCGCCGCCGGTGTCCATATCACCAACGCTGCAACCACTGACGACGAGCTCTCGGTCCGCGTCACTCTCGTTCCCCCCAACACCAGCGCCAGAATCATCACCATCGAGGCGGGGCTCTTGCCCGGACCCTGAACGCGGATGGCTCGGCCCGCTGCACCTGGCGGCATCCAAAGGCAACGACCGCATCGTGCGCATCCTGCTGCAACACCAGTCGCCGGGGTGTGGCGTCAACGATCCGGACAGCGACGGGCAGACGGCGTTGATGCATGCGGTGCAGGGCGGGTTCGAGGACGTGGTGCGCTCGTTGCTCGGGGCGGGGGCCGGGGTCGATGATACGGACGGGAGGAAACGCACGGCGCTGCACTGGGCGGTCTTGACGCGTCGGCCGACGATGCTTCGGCAGCTGCTAGAGCATGGCGTTGCGGCGGGGGTGGATTTGGATGTGTATGATATCGAGGGGAAGACGCCGCTGCATAGGGCTATTGCTGAGGGGTTTGAGGCCGGTGTCGAGGTGCTGTTGGAGTTTGGTGTTGATACAAAGTGTAGAGCGCAGAAGACGTGATGTGTATGGGAATCGGGAATCAGGAATCAGGGGATGGTGTAGGTGATAGGTGGTAGGTAACTTGCAAGCCCCTTGTCTCTCTCTCTCTCTCTCGGGGACTTCCCAACCCCAATACAGGCCCGCTGAGAGCCCAAAGGAGGCTGCTTGCACGGTATTGGTGATTTCTTTTGGTGGGCTGCAGCCTGCAAATACACGCTGCGGAAGCACCGCAAACTGAGCCGAGAGGTCGAGTTGCACTGTGCTTACCTTCAGGGCCCATGATAGGCTGTAATCTCCCGTCCCTTGCTTGCTCCTTGCTTGCCCCATCACAAGTAGAAGAAGTCCCGCAGTGTGTATAATTGTATAATTACTGTTTACCATGCCGTGTGACATGAAAGACGCCAGCTTAAGACGCGTTGGCGTCTCGCACGTTTATCGGCAAGCCGCAAACGCCACGAGTCCTTCCAAACTCGTCTTTGTTTTCTTTTTTATCGTCACGTCGCGAGTCAGAGTGCTCCAGCTGATTTGCCTCCACAACTTGGAAATCCAACACTTCCTTGCCCCTAATCGTGTATCACTACTATAATTACACACTCCCCTCCACCAGGCACCATGGCAGTCGTAGAAAGGAAGACGGTTCTCATTACCGGTTGCAGCGCGGGGGGCATCGGTTGGGCGTTGGCGAAGGCCTTCCAGAAGCGGGATTTCCACGTCTTCGCGACGGCCCGCGATACTTCCAAGGCCGAACAGGACCTTTCAAAGCTCAGCAATGTGGAAATTCTTCCTCTCGATGTCACAGACCAGCAAAGCATCAAGAAATGTAAGGAGATTGTCGCACAACGCACCGGGGGACGGCTTGACGTGCTCGTCAACAACGCCGGGGCCGAGTTTGTGTGCCCGCTGCTGGACGTCGACATTGAGCGGTGCAAAGCGCTGTACGACGTCAACGTCTGGGGCCCCCTTGCCATGGTGCAAGCCTTCTCCCCCTTGCTTATCGAGGCGAAGGGTGTCATTTCCAACCACACCTCCATTGCTTGCGTTATCCCATTGCTGTGGTCCGGTAAGCCTCCCTCAACCAAGAAAACAAACTCAAAAAGGGTTCAAAACTGACGCACAATTAGGCGCGTACTCCAGTTCCAAAGCAGCCCTGTGGCGCATGTCCGAGATCATGCGCCTCGAGCTGGAGCCGCTGGGCGTGCGTGTCGTGACGGCCATGTGCGGCTCCGTCGACACACCCATCTTCAACAGGCCCGGGGGTCAGATGAACCTGCCCAAGACGTCTCACTATTACGATGTCCAGGAGACGGCAACCAAGGAGCGTACCTCGCACCAGGGCGAGTCGATGAGCACCGATGTGTTTTGCGAGCAGATCATTGGCGACATCCTCGGGGGGGCCAAGGGGCAGGTCTGGCGGGGCACCTTTGCAGGACTGGTGCGCTTCGCAAGCACTTGGTTCCCTCAAGGTCGTATAGACAGGAACTCCAACAAGGGAAAGGGCTTGGAGCATGTCAAGCGCCGTTCCTAGACGCCGAAGTAAGGTAGCAATCGAGAGGGGGGGTTTGTTATGTCCGTGTACGATAATTATCCTATGTACCTAGCTTGTACACCACCTCCTTGGTGCTTCTCGGTATACACACGCCTACTTTCGAATTGTTTCACCATGTTAGACGCTTATCTACACGTTACTGGACTCTGCAAAGCCTTCCATCCGCCGCGGGCTGCCACGACGCATCGCTGCCAACCGCTGCATTTGCCCAAAAGAGACCCTCGGGATCATACTTGTCCTTGACAGCACGCAGGGCCTCGTAATTCACCCCAAAGTAGTCCTCCTTCCAGTTGGCATTATCAAACGTCGCCTCGTTCATGTACGAGCCCCCACCGGGCGTCACCGCCCGCAACCTATCCTGCTTCTCATTGATCCACCGCTGCCCGGTACGCATAACATCCCACTCCGCATCCTCAGCGAGCGGGATGCCAAAGTTGAGCGTGAAGAGCGCGTCCCGCCACGCCGGCAGCACCGCGCTAGCCCCGGGCACCGCCGCCGCCCCGATGCGCGCCTCCGTCACGTTGACCGACACCCCGTTGATGGCCGACCCGCCCACCGTCGTGCTGTTCTCGGCGATGTCCCGCAGCGCCGCCACCAGGCTGGGGAGATCGTCCTGGACTACGGTCCGCGGAATCAACCGCCCGCCGACCGAGTTGTTGGTGCTGTACTCCACCTGCCCGGCAAACGCGTCGAACCAGCTGGCGTAATTGGGGTGGAGACTGGCGCGGTTGTTGGTGACGGTCACGTTGAGGGCTTGGAGCTCGGCGAAGAAGGGGGCAAGGGGACCGCTGATGTCGTCTTCCGACTTGGCGTCGGGCGCGAGGGCGAATACGAGGGAGAACCCTAGTGCTGTGATGGTGAAGCCTGACACATAGCCGTCCAGCTTGTCAAGAACGAGGAGATGCCGAAAGAAGGCCGAGACGGCGGCCCAGTAGGTGGTTCCGTCTTCGTTGGCAAACGCAAAGCCTGCGCCAGCCACCTGCCCGTCTGGATATGCCTTGACCGTCATGGAAATCGCGACGGCATAGTTACCCGCTCCACCGCCGCGCAAGGCCCAGTACAGATCGGAGTGCTCCGAAGGCGACGCCGTGATGTGCTTCCCGTCGGCGGTGACCACTTCCCACTCCAGGACCTGGTCGGCACTCAAACCGTACTTGGACGACAGTGCGCTATGTCCGCCACCTTGAGTAAAGCCTCCAGTGACTCCCACGGTAGCGCAGGAACCGGCCACGACGCGGAAGCGGCGCCCCCTATTCTCAGCGGGATAGAGGTCAGCATGCTGTACGCCTGCCCCAAGCCGGGCCGCTGGTCCCGTGTAGTTGCAGCCGCGGTAGCGATTCAAGTAGGTCACCTCCTTGAGGTTACGCGTCCACAATGCCAGGGATCCCGCACCAGCCGCACGCCCGAGAAAATCGTGTCCCGTGTTCTTGATGGTGAGCCGGACGTTGTTGGCCTGGGCAAAACGCACGCCGGCGACGGCATCCTGGGCGTTGTTGACGTTGATGGCGTACGATGCAATGTTTCCGAGCGCACACTCCCCACTAGGGCCAAGGAAGGGGCTGCACGAATTGTTCATCCAGTACGGGGACATGACATGAACAGGATCCTTAAGGCTGGAGTGGTTGGGTGTAACTGTGTCAGTTGAATGTCACGGTATCACAAGCCTCGACAGTCTCGGCTTCCTCTTCTGGTGCGACTCACTAGGTGTCTAGGAATGTCCATTCGGCCTTGGTTACGGCACATTCTGCAGCGTCAACGCCGGGCTCAAAGCAGGGCCGACCCAGAGGCCGACTGGCGATCAACCTGCCCCCAACGGTCTGGTTGAGTTCGGCCCATGCCGCCGGGCTTGGCCATTCTGCGTCCCCGGGTAAGTATCTGCAGTTAGGTGGTGCACCGACGCTGCTCCCGATTCCCGCGACGAGAAGGGCGAATAGCGTTGCAGCAACCCGGTTCTGTTTCATATCGACGCCGAGAACTGACGATGTCGAACCAAGGGGAACTCAGGACAAGACGGCAAGCTGACAGTAAGACAGCACGCTGTGAAAACGATCGCTGCCTGGCTGAGCTTCGTGCTCAGAGTTCCAATAAGTACTTGGTACTACCCAAGGACCCCCGATTTCCCTCGTATGTGAAAATGAGAAAGGGGCGCGGATGCCACCGAGGGCGGGTACCTGCCGCACGCCTGCATCCATAGTAACTCGAACCATTCCTTCGGTTGCATAATGTTGGCAATATTGCAGTCAGTCCTCCGCTGTGCCGCCCCCACAAACTTCCCAGTGCTGTTCAGGTGCTGCCGTCCGAGACAGACGAGCCAATGAGGTATCGGCGAAGTAAGCAGCCCCTTGTTGCGTAGATATCCGCGACCTCCCCCTTCCACGGCTATTCGTCTCGAATTGGGATGGACCGTGGCTTTCGCCGAGCAAATTTCGCCAAAAGCGTCGCCGTGATGTTGACCCTGCTAGACCGCTTAACCCAGCTCATCGAGGAATGTTGGGGACCAAGAGGGCTTCTCCTCGCCGCGGCAGTTGTCCTTGTTTACGCCGCCGGTCTCAGCATTTACCGACGTAATACAGCCACCCCGCGGTTCCCCCCTGATGGATAATGTAAACACTGACGCCTTTTCCGCCAGTATGGTTCCATGACCTGGCCAGTATCCCCGGACCGCGCCTGATGGGTGAGTCGAGAGGACTGGCTTTGGAGTTGCCAGTAGCAGCCTCCAAGTTGTAGCTGTTAAGCTGCCAGCCATGTACAAATTGGAACTAATACAACTGTTCAGCGTTGTCCTACTGGCCCGAGTTCTACTACGATGTGCTTCTCGGCGGCCGATATTTCCGCGTCATTGACGATATGCACCTCAAATATGGTACGTACCCCCGGCGTCTCTGCATGTAGAGCGTAGACCTTTGAGCCACGGCAAGGCTTGAGTTCAAGATTGCTCAACCCTTGTCTTCTAGGGCCGATCGTGCGTGTGAATCCGGACGAGGTGCATTTCGACGATCCTGACTTCATCGACACCCTATTTCCCCTTTACGGAAGAAAAACGAATAAACCAATCGAGATAGGAAAACGGACAGGAAGTATGAGAACCAACGATTAGAAGATGACCAGGAAACTCAAAAACTCACGATATGTGCCCCTTACCTAGCCCCTGATTCCATGGTTACAACAGTCGACCACGACGTGCACCGGCGCCGCCGCAACGCCGTCAACGTATTCTTCTCCAACAACAGCATCCGTAGGCTCGAGCCCATCTTGCACGAGCGGTTGCGCACACTGCTTCGCCGGGTCCACAACGACGATAGTGGAAAAGACGAGCCTCTAGAAATGCATCCCGTCTTCCGGGCGTGCACCAACGACGTCATCACAACTTATGCCTTTGGGCGCTCGTTTAACCTGCTCGATCGCCCCGACTTCGGCCTTCCCTATTTCGAGGCGAGCGACGTCTTCTTCCGCCTGGAACACCTCTTTGGGCACTTCACCTGGCTGGCGGACTTGGTGCAGGCCACGCCGCTCTGGCTGGTTTCGATGCTTTTCCCGAGCCTGAAAGACCTAGTCGAAAAGCAGGCTGTAAGTTTATGACCATGAACGCACGCGTTGTGGATAAATGTGTGCTGACCTTGAGTATCATTACAGTGGTGGATCGAAAGAGTCCGTGAAATTAGAGATTCGCCAGGCATGTGCAAAGCCGATGGTACCATTTTCCAAGGCATCGTCAATAGCGAACTTCTCGAAGAGGACTTGACCGACAAACGCCTCTCGGCGGAGGCGCAGCTCATCATATTTGCGGGCGAAGGCACCACGGGCAAGTCCCCCCCGAGTTCCATGACTACGGTGACATAGGACATGTTGACTGACAAGAAGACGCGAAATAGCATACACCCTCACCGCCGCCATGTACGAGCTTCTTGCCAACCCTACCGAGCTTGCCAAGCTCCAGCGTGAGCTAGCCGTCGCCATTCCCAACCGGGACGCGATGCCTACGTTTGCACAAGTCGAGAGCCTCCCTTATCTAAACGCCATAATTCAGGAGACGGTCCGGTTGCATCCGGGCGTCATGGCCCGCCAGGCGCGCATCTCCCCCGAGGTACCCATCACGTACAAGGGGAAATACACCATTCCGCCAGGAACCATCTTCAGCATGTCCCCGCTCACCACTCACATGAACCCCGACGCTTTTGAGGATCCCTATGAATTCCGGCCCCAGAGGTGGATCGACGACCCTAAGATCGGGAGAGCCTTTTTGGGATTTGCTCGAGGATCGAGGAATTGCGTGGGGTGAGTTTAACATTTCGATCCCATGCGTACGCATCCATGCAGTGGTGTTTGATGGCTGACCGCGCCCATATCGTTTTGGTTAGCATGAATCTTGCCCGTAAGGAGATGGCTCTCGTCCTATCAACGATCTTCCGCAAATACGACTTGTACTGCGGACAAGACGGGCCCACGGTCGAGCTATACGACACGGAGAGGGCCAGGGACATTGATCCTAACCATGACTTTATCATTCCGGTTCCGGCCAAGGGCAGCAAGGGCCTAAGGGTGGTTTTTAGACAGTGACGGATAACTAGACCCAAACTTCAGTTCAACCAAGCTAAATAGATAGGTAATCTAGATATTTAAACTGGCACACGCGCGAGTTTGAACCCGCCGGGACAGAGTGTCTGAAACACTTGCTCCGGGTCATATTCGCGCGACACCGCCTTCAACCTCTCCACATGCTCGACACCATAGCTCGCCAAGGGGTTCTGGCTCTCGTCAGCGTAGTTGATGTATTCCCACTCCAAGTTGCCATCGCCCCCCATCTCGGCCGACCCCGCAAAGTCGCGCATGGCCTCCATAAAGGCCTTGCACTTTGGGTACGCCATTCTCTCCTGCTCCCCTGTGCGCACCATGACCGTCGTCTGAAGGAGGAGGCCGTCGTGTTGCTGGCGTGCGAGCCCCAGTGCGTTGTCGCTGCCGACCCGCTGTGTCATGATCTTGGGGAGCGGCTGGAAGAGACACAGAGCCCAGAAGTCGCCGTCTGGGGCCACTGACGTTTTGAGCGCCTCGACCAGTTCCTCGTGCAGCGAGGCAGCTTTGGAGACGATGCGGGTGTCGTTTTTGAAGGTGCCGGTGAACCAGATTTGACTGTAGAGCAGAGGTATTCCGGTGGTTGGTAAACTAGCAACCGTGGGAAGGAGATGGTATGTGTTAAAAAGACTCACTGGTATCCGCTTGGCATGGTGTTTCCTGCCACGACTTCCGAAATCGAAGTCATCTTGCAATCCGTTTGAATGGACGGTAGCGCCAACCATTTTTCGTATGCCGGTGCATTCTTTACGCCCGCGACCTGAACGAAGACGGCAACGATGGCGACTTGTTTCAGCTCGGGCTACCGGGTGTCAACTTCATCGAGACTACAAGTAGGATGGGAAAGGGGGAGCGTGTACTGCGATGGGAGCAAAAGAGTCAGTCAAAACACGTCCGGCTCATCTGGGCTTCACATCTTGGGCTTGCAATAATTACCTCTGTATACGAAAAATGAGAGCAGATTACTGTCTATGTCCTCATGAACGCGGCTCGTGAAATCCGTCAACGCCTCGGCCGCCAGAGGCGCAACCTGCCACGGATAGAGCGTCAGCCCGCCCCAAACCGGACCCCCCTTCAGCGCCCTCATCCGGATATTAGTCACGACTCCAAAGTTGTTAGACCCGCCCTTGAGAGCCCAGAACAAATCGGCATGGCACTCGGCAGTCGCGTTGACGATGCGGCCATCCGCGAGGACCACCTCGAAAGCCAGGACATTGTCGCACGCGAAACCGTGCCGGGCGGTGAAGTACGTGTTTCCACCCCCCAGCACGAGACCGCCCACGCCCACGCCGCCCTCGCGCCCGCCCGCCACCACGAGGCCGCGCTCGTGCAGGGACGCGTACACGTCCGACCAGCGCGCACCCGGCCCGATGTCCACCGCGGGCTCGCCCTGCCTACCCTCATCCTCGACCACCCTCGTCCAGTCCAGCCGGCCGAGATCCAGCGTCACGCCGCCCGCGATGTTGCTGGCCCCGACCTTGGTGCCGTGGCCCCCGCTGCGGATGGCAAAAGTGTGGCGCCCCTGGGTCAGGATGCGGATGGCGCGCGAGACGTCGGCGGCCGAACGCGGCCGCACGATGCAAGCGGGCGCGAGCTGGGCGGCGCTCCGGGAGAAGTAGCTCTCCTGCCGGACGGTGTACTCTTCGTCCGAGGGGAGGAGCACGTCCAACCCGGCTTGCCGGAAGGCCTCTTCGGGGGTTGTTGAGCCTGGTTCCGCCATCGCTGGATCGGATATCGTGCAGTGTGGTTCGGGTGTGTTGCGGTCCTTGCAGACGGCTACTCAGCACGGCACGGACCGTGGCAGGAGATTAAGGTACCTACATTCCTATGCACTCTTGTTTTTGTCTAAGTCCATGTATGTACATATGTACTACTCCAGTACCACCCGGGTCCATGGGCTTGGTGCAGGACATGCGCGCGGCCAATGGCAGGCTGCGAGGGTAATCCTGACACGCCGCTCCGGTCAGCAGTTGCGCAAGGGAAATTGTCATAATCCATTTCCGTTGATGACGCTTGCCGAGTATTATTGGTCCGTTATTACCGTCGATGCCAAATCTGACGCTCCGGGAAGTTTACGGCCAAGCTCTGGAGCAGAGCTTCGTCAGACTTCACACGGGTGGTTCGGGATGGCCATCCTCCAACGCTTTGATCGTCTCGTAAACCGCTTCATGGTGTGTGGTCGGCAAACCTAACCTCTTTCCTTGCGAGACAAGATAGCCGTTGATATAGTTGATTTCGGTTCGCCTTCCAGCCTGTACGTCCTGCAACATTGAGCTTGTGTTGTTGGCAGTCTTCTCGGCGACCTCCTCGACTAGGGTGCTCAGGGCTTGATCCGAGAAAACCGTCTCGCGAAGGCTGTTTGGCTGGGGAAGCAGATCCCTGACAATGGCACCGGCTTCTTGAAGAAGATTACGATAAAGAGTTTGCCTCTCATCGCCTTCGAACACTTGTCCGTTCTTGCAGTTGAAGCAGGCCGTTAGAGGGTTGATGATTGCGTTGATGACAAGCTTCTTCAACTGGGCATGTACGATCTGCTCCGGTGAGAGTAAAGTAGTCTGGAGCAACCCGGTTTTCAAGAACTGGGAGGCCATGTAATCCTCGCCTGCGTGCGGGGAGTCTCTTGTGGACTGGATGCCAACAACGCCCATCATTAAAGGTCCATAGCCGGCATGGACAATGGAGAAGGGAGATGTGCTGTATACGCCCGCGCTGCAAATTCCAGCCCAGTATGTCGGCCGGGTCTCCGGGTCCGGGAAAAGCTTATTAGACACCTCATCGGTAACACCTGGGTGCCGGTCAGACTCCTACACAGACAGAGCCATGGACCATGGCCAATGGCTCTGCATTTTACATACCTATGCCGTTCTGGAGAAACAGGATATGCGAGTTTTTGCTTAGCCGGTCCTTGATCGGGGCAAGGGCGGCGGCCGTTGCATAGGTCTTGGTCGTCACGATAAGATGCTTGATCGGGGACTTGCTGCCAATGATCACCGGGGGGTTGTTCTCAACGCCGTGATTCGCGCCGTTCGCATTGCCGAGACACTCAACACGGAAGCCGGTGGCTCGGAATTTCTCGATGGGTGGTCCTGGCCTAATTTCCAAACAATCGGGCGTGTAATATCGAATCGATCGATCTTCGCGTTCCCAATCCTCGAGAAGGCCTTTTCGGTGAAAAATGAGCGTGACAGGTGAAAATTGGCGGGGGACCGTGACGGTCGTCTGCTGGTTGCGTCTCAGCGCCAAAGCAACATATTTTCCCAGATTTCCCAATCCGAGGATGTGAATCCCATTTTCCATGTTGACGATGCCAGAGGTGGCGTTTAGTCATTGTGTTCCGGGATTTTGTTAAATTCAAGAAGGTGCGGCTTGCTTGGGTGCTTGGCCGCCGAAACATCAAGAGTAAGCGCGTTCAAGAGAGCTTGAAATAGGGTTAGGGTCATAGACCCTTGAGCTAACCTCCGTGTACCCTTCGACTCTCGCTCAGCTCTTTCTTCTTAATGAGATTTTTAGCTGTCAACTATCACATACGACCATAGGCGCCAGAATACTCGGGATCCCGTCCGCTCTCCCCTAGATAAACTCGCGACCGCTGGATCAGTAGTTGGGTCGGTGACGACCAGCGAATCCCCGGTGTTGTATGTTTTTGACTTTTTTGCTGGTCTGGTTTATCCACCTAAAACCGCACATGCGAGCTCTGTCGGACTCTGCATCAATACCGGTCACTTTTTCACATTACTAGGCGTTTACATTGACTTAAGCCCCCTGTCCAACCCCCCAGATCTCGGCCCATCGCCTTGAGCTGGTCCTCAACGGACCATCCAGTCGCCCGAACCTCGCCGGCAGCCCCGTGTTGGCTTCAGGAAGGCACAGCCACTCCCTTACGCAGTCGGGTACCTCCTCCTTGACGTGGCTGATACAAATGAGAGCCTGCTGGTCTGAGAGACCCGTTACCTTTACGTTGCTGGCCCTTGAACCCGGGCTATCCACCACGGTAGCTCCTGTCAGGGACCCGTCTTTTTGTTTCGCGCCCAACGAGTACATTTTCTCCTCCCCGTAGGCGAGGAAAAGCATGCATTTGTCTCGGACGGCGTCGTCCATGCCGCCGAATGCCTCGTCGAGCACCACGACGTCAGGGTGCTTGATGATGGCCCGGAGGAAGAGCAGAATGCGCTGGGCGCTGAACGAGAGCTCGCCGAACATGTAGTCCTTGGCCCATGCAATCGAGCCCATGGCAGCGTCGTCCGAGGTGGCCAACTGCGGGTGCTTCTGAGAAGTGGGGTTGAGTTCCTGCTCAAACCATCTCAGCGTTGCTTCGACTTGCTCTGTAGCAACGGCATCGAGAGCCGGCGTGCTACGGAACGTGTTGGCCCACGCACTCTCCAGGACCTGGCGGATGGTCAGATTGCGCGGCATGTGCTGGTGAATCTCGGGGCTGGAGTGGCCCACGCGAGATTGGATATCCCAAAAGGTCAACGGCCGCTGGCCGGAGCCGGGCTCGGGCAACCTGCTGCGACCGAATAGCTTGATCGGGAGGGAGTATGTCTGGGGATGGTCGGAGCAGAGCAGCGAAACAATGGTCGTCTTTCCAGAACCGTTCGGTCCAAACACGCCCCATCGTTCACCCCTCCGAACCTTCCAGTGAAGCCCCCTTACGGTTTTCCCATCTTTCTCCTCAGTCCAGTTTCCCAGGGCGATCTTGTCGCGATACTGGACAGTGCAGCCATCCATCTCGACGAGTGGCTCCCCTAACTTAGTACTTGCCGCAGCCTCAGCATGGGTTTGTGGAACGCTTATCGAGAAGTCTTCGGCCATGCCTTCGCCGATGATTCCGCCTTTCGTCAGAGTCTTCCCCATCTCACTGAGAGAATGCACGGGCAGCGTCTCATCCTCGGCGAGTTTACCATTGCGAACCCCGCGAACGTACTTTCGTAAGCCCTCCAAAACAACATCCTTGGCCCCCATCACACCAACCTGGGCATCCGTCCGGAGGTACACCAAATGCGTGATCCACTCAGGCAAAGGGTCCTGCGGCCGAGCGCTCAACACCAGCCGTGGGCTCGCCTTCTCCGCAAGCGAGTGCAGAAGAGGGCTCAGCCCAGAAACAGTCGGCGGGTCCAAGCCCATAAACGGCTCGTCGAGCAGCAGCACCTCCGGACTCGTAAGCAGCGCCCGCGCAATGCGTGCCCTCCGCCCCTGCCCGTTCGACAGGAACGTCACGGGCAGATCCAGCAACTCGTGGAGCCGCAAGTCGGCTACCACACGCCCGAACAGCGCCTCGTCGATGCCCTTGTCGTCGGGCAGCTTGGACGGGTTCAGCTGCATGTTGCCGAGCAGGAAGTCCCGCAGCGAGAAGTCGGTGATCTCCCGCCGCGACTCGTACCGCGCCGAGAGGTAGGTCGAGACCGCGGGGCCGAGACTCCCGCCGCCTTGGGAGTCGAAACCGACATACTGGATCGCGCGTACCGGGGTCCGGAGGTGGTAGGGGACCTCGTCGGTGCTGAGGCAAGGGTAGGACCTTGCGGTGGGCGGGACGGCGAGGTGTTGGCCGCGGAGGACCTGCAGGAGGGTCGTCTTGCCGGAGAGGGATGGCCCGACGATGCACCAGTTGTGAGGTGTTTTACTATGTGCGGGCAGTTCAAAGGTCAGGTCCTTGAAGAACGCCGGGTTCGGATGGGTGTGTGCATGGGATGCTAATGCAGAAACAGTGCCGGGTTGGTGTCGGTAGAAGGTGCCATTGGCGATGCGGATTATCGGCGGCGTGCCGGATGGAAAGCGCATCTTGTCAATTGGCCTCTAGCGGAGTGTTGGGAGGCCATGACAGTTGCAAGGTGAATCGTGAGTCAACAGAAATGTTGAAATGTTCAATGCAAAAGATATTCCATGCTGTCGCCGGTCCGGAGATAGCCCCCCGGGGATAATTGGAGAGGCGAGCAAAGAGCCGGCAGGCAAGGGTGGCTTACATAATTCTCGAGTTCGTTGGCGGGGGCCGGGGGTGCTCAGCCAGATCCCTGCTGAACGCGAGGCTGCTGGAGCCTGCGCATGACAGCTGCAACCCGACCTGGAGCTTCAACCGACAAACACCAACACCACCGATCCGCCACAAACCCAACCTTCAACGAAAAGCAAGGACCGAAACTCGGGAAGAACCTTTACTCACCCCAAACCAAACCACATAAATCATCACAGATCACACAACCGCCAAGATGGTAAGCACCCCTCTCCTCGCACCCACTCCCACCCCGCCCACCACCCCTCCGAACCAACTTGAACCACCACCCAACTAACCACCCACCCTCACCCCCCCAGTCCTCCAACACCCTCCGCATCGTCCCCGCCACCAACCACGAAACCTCCTTCAGCCACATCCCCTCCCGCACAGCCGGCGCGCCCTCGGCCCCCGGCCTTCACGACACGCTGCGCGCGGGCGTGGGCCCGTCCCCGCTCACCACGGGCGCCGACAAACCCACCTCCGCTCACCCGCTCGAGGCCCGCCTCAAGGCGTGGGAGGCGACGCGGGAGGCGCTGCGCATGGAGACGCTGCGGCGGGCGTACGGGGTGGCGGAGCCCGTGCGGCGGCAGATGGAGCTCAAGATCGCGCGCGAGGGCCAGTGGAAGCCGATGGCGCTGGGCGGGGGCAACGAGGGCGGGATGGGCAGCGTGCACGAGGATATCCTGGCCGGGCGCGACGATACGATTTCGTGGGAGGATGTGTTTACGGGTGAGGAGGGCCGGGCGTCGGTTGGGGTGCATGACGAGATGGAGAGGAAGTTGAAGATGTGAGGGGTGGTAGTAAGGCAGCGGGAAGGATGGCGAGCGGCGGGTGAGACGGGATAACTACTTAGTGATAGCCGGCCACGACTGCAGCGTCGTGGGGGAGAGACACTGTTACAGTGTTTGGTCCGCTTGGAGCTCTCCATGACTCGCTGGGCTAGCCAGCATCTTAAGTCGGCGCCCATCACCCACCATAGACAAGGAATGACAGGGGCAGTGGTTGTGCTCACGATCATTATTGCATAATCTACGCGGACCTCACAGTTGTGGCAGAACGTGTCAAACACTTCCACCAACATGGCCAAAATATCTAAGGCATCGCTGGGTGACCCTGTGGGCCATCCCCCGTCATGTATTTGTACGCAAAACAAAACAAAACAAAAAGTCAAAACAACTCAGTACGCCAGTCCCTGCCCCTCCACCCGTGTACATTGAATGAGAAAAGCGTCGTGCAAAACATCGCTTCCGCGCTCCTTACCATCTGAATGCAGTTGAATGACAACGACATAAATCCCGAATCAGCCCAAAAGCAAGACCCAGCGTCCATTTCAAAAAATTAAGCCCAATTAGTCGTGGCTCATAGGATAACACAACAACCGCTACCGCCATCTCGACTCCGCCCCTCCCGGCTGTGGGCCTTGCTCTTGGCTGTCTCTTCCTCCTCCATCATCTCGGGAGGGCGCACCGACATATGGACAACATTGGGGCTATCCCGGCTGAACTGGTACTCTACAGGGGGTCAGCGTTCATGTTAAGAGGCGCAAGCAACGGAAAACTGACTTTTCAACTGCTCCTTGTCGTCCAAGAGCTTTCCGAAATGGATCAGCCGAATGCTACTCGGGCTCGCGGGTTTGCCATCCCACTCTTCCCGCCACTCCCGCAAGATCAACTCCTTCAACTTATACACCGATATGCTGAACGGGTCCCGCCCGCCCGATTCCGTCACCTCTGGCACCTCGACGTTGCGTTTCGAAAGGTACTTCTCGTCGATCCTGTAGGGGTGCCTGGCGCCCGTCGGTAGCAGCAGGGTGATGGCGCAAACGGGTGCGTCCGTGTCGCCGGCCGCGAGGGCGGGAGGCGGTAGGTCGGACGGTCCTATTGACAGCGAGTCGGCCTCTCTTGGCTTCCCAGCCACTGGCGGCGGCGGCCCGTCCTTATCCTTTCCTTTCGGTGACCCATCTGCCGAGGCTGCCACGACGCTCGATTCCGCCACCGGTTCACCAACTGTCTCCTTGTGCTCCGCCTCCTCCTTCCCCCCGTCCACTTCGTTTATCGGCAACGGCTCAGATGGCTGTGGCACTGTGTTCTCGCTTGTCATTTCGACGTCGGCAGCCTTGGGGGCAGGTTCCGCCATGATTGCAGAGGTAGCGGTGGGAAGCGATCGGCAGGGCGGTCGCAAGGCCAATGGGGCGGTGTCAAAGAAACGAGAGATGCCCGGAACGGGGTCGATCCGCTGTGTGCGTGTGGTTGCGGTGAGTCCCGAGAGCCGCCACAGAAGACGGAGGTTCCCGCGCTACCAGAGACAGGTGGGTATTCGCTTCCGACCGTCCGGAAACAGTGCTTGGGGCTGACCGAGGAATCCACCGAGACAGCAGCGCGTGTCGTCTCTTCTGTTCTTTATCGCGCAGTTTGGTCGGGCGCGAAATTGAATTGCCGGCTGCTCAGAGGGTGGTCGTCGGATCTACCGGAAATGCGGCCTGTCGTCATGTGTTCGCCAGGGCCGCTGCAGAGCAGGCGAAGGGGGCGGATTGGCTGTCGAAACAGCGCAGTAACAATTCAGGTAAGTAGTAGAGACGGACGAGCAAAAGGAGAGAATCGAGGTCCGACACCGCAAATTGAGGTCGGGATGGCCGAAGGCGAGATGGCTTGCTGGTTGGTCAAGTGTTCATTTGGTGCTGAGAGACGCTCGAGATGGGTAACGGCGGGGATGACCGGGCAACCAAAGACTAGCCACACGGCGCAGATGCCGAAAAAAAAAACGCGGTACCCAAAAGAGAAGAAAGGGCCAAGCTCCCAACGCAATGCTCGAATATTCGAATCAAGCGCCTGAAATGGTTCAGTTGCAGCTGAAAGGGAAAGAAAAGAGAAAGCAGGAAGCTTGGCAGGAGTTGTTTCGGTTCCCGGACCAGGCCGCTGACGCCCCCTGCGAACCTTTGGAAGGAGCCCCCATCAAGGCAAGCTGGAGGATGCTCCACAGCTGGCTGGGGAAGGACCCACCGCAAAGAGGGTCAGTCGCTCAGTGTGCACGGATCCCACTGGGGAAGCATCTCCAGGCTCTTGGCAAACAACCGACCTCGAGCAGCCAGCCTAACGACGACCGACCAAACAATCTGGGGCTGAAAGCCTCGAACAGTGCCACAGTGCAAACTTGAAATCTGCTGACATTCTCACGGCCACCCCGATGGCCCGAGGTTTCCAACCACAATCCCCCCGTCACCTTGATGCCGTGATGTGTGGGTGCGACCAATCATTACTATTTCTCGGATTGGATGCCCGGACCACGACGAGCCACAGACTGTTGAGCTCATCATGTCACCATTCGTTCTGATAGAATTTCCGAGAAGCAATTCTACTGGCCCTCTTCCGCGCCTGGTTGAGGAGTGTGCCGGCATTTACGATACGCCACTAACGCACCCCATCGAATGGCTAGAGGTAATATAGGTAGACTTACCGGCATGCTACAGAACATGACAAGCCGGACTTGGGCGACAGTCATGTTCCCCGAGGCCATTCTACGAGAGTTTCCCAGAGCCGGATTTTGTTTTTGTTTCTTCACCGGCACGGAGGCGATGGGGTGGTGGCGCACCTGTATATATATATAAGTCCCTAATACCTAGGTAGGCAGGGTGGTAGGTCACAGTAGGTAGTAGGTACCGAGGTCGTTCGGAAGCCATCCTTTCGATAGAAGACGCGCGTGTCTTGTTGGCTGGATAAATAATGCCGCCTTTCCGTGACTAGGGGCCCTAACTTGAATGTCTGTGCATGTCGCGGGGAACATCACCCGCCACGAGCATACCGTGAGGCAAAAGAACGGGCCCGGGATGTCTGATTCTGGCCGCGGACCGAGGCATATTGCACAGACCTTCTACATATCGCGTACTAACAGAGTGGCAAACCCAATATGTGACTCACAAAATGGTCCTACCGCCAGCTATGCGAAGGTTACATCCATCCCCCGTTCGTTCCAGTTTCCGTTCCCGACCGTGACCTTCAAGTCCCGGAAAATAATATCTAGGATTCAAGTTCACATCATCATCATGGGCGTCCCCCCGTACGAGCTTGTTCCACAGGGTGTAAGCCACATTTGCACGCTTTCATATCTAATGTACTCAAGTCTCGGTGCTGATATACCGATCCTCCAGGAACTCGGGTCCAACCCGGCCGACCTTGCCCACCTCCCCAAAGGCGCCCGCCGGAAAAGACGGCCAGCATTACCGGTGGTGGTGCATTACTGGACGGCAGCATCCCACCCAATATTCCACGCAGTCCTTTGCCTAAAGATAGAAGAGTACATAAGCTCTCGCCCGTGGAGGACCTTCAAATATGGATATACGATAAGGAGATAGCCGATGAGTATAGGTCAAGCCACACACCGCCCGAGGTGGTCGCGAAGGTCACGTCCGGATGGCGGTGGAAGTAGAGAGGTACCTCGACTAGGTATTGTGGTCGCGAAGGTCACGTCCGGATGGCGGTGGAAGTAGAAAGGTACCTCGACTAGGTATTGTGGTCGCGAAGGTCACGTCCGGATGGCGGTGGAAGTAGAGAGGTACCTCGACTAGGTATTTTAGTGTTTGATACTACGTAGGTAACACGTTGCGGATTCCCCACCATTTGACTCGTTCACTGCAAGTTCGGTGCCCTTAAGTCGCTTCGAGCCCTCATTTGGGAAGTAGCATCAATGTGCGCACACGCCTGGACGGGGGAAGCCACTTTGACGAGGGCAAGTTGGCGTTGAGTTTCTCCCCGTAGACCTTGACGCAGCGTCATATACCCAGCCACCTTCTACCTCGTGCAGATTGCCGTCCTCGGGTTGGGATTCGGGCTTGCCGGTACCGCCGCTGGTATGTTGCCTTCACTTGAACGGACGTGCACCGCGCAAATGGTGAGAAGGGTTCCGTCTTTAGCTCCTCGTTTTCTCCCGCAATGGCTCGAGTCTCACGATGGCAACAACGTTGGAAACGAAAACCAGTCTCTGCCCCACCCACAAACAGCCATTCTTGCGAATGCGCTTACGATGGAGGTTCTTTCTCAGCCCTCGGGGGCTTCGCGGTCCGGCGTGACCACCACCCCGTCTAATCCTTGTCTGACATATTGGCACAGCCAGTGCGCAATTTCTCAAGGCTTGATCTCTGTCTTTTTATATTTCAGTCGTCTCCCGTCGTTGCGCCTCCATCTTCACTTCCGTTTGTCGTTTCAATCTTCATGTTGGGATTGCAACCGTGATCCGTCCACTCGTTCCGAACATCTCAGACAGTCATTACAGTCATTACAGTCATTCCTCTGGTCTTGGGTCGCCAAAATGGTGGTACCAACCTGTTTTTTAACCATTCCGGCGCTGGCGACTACCGTCATCGAGTCTGGCTATCGAGTGCCCGCCACTCTTGCCTATGCGCCGACGAACACGGACTATTTTGGTGCGACATCGTGTGGGCTGAGCTCCTGTCAGTCTCGTCCATCCTTCCGTCGGCTTCGAGAAACTGGCACTGCCAGTGGTTGGTACCTTACTAACCGGTTCTACAGTGGTCACAACGACGTGGCCCCCCACAGAAAAAGCCCGATGCACCCTCCCTCCTTCGGTTTCTGGCCAGGCGTATTCCGTCACACCTGTCGTCTATGTCCCACGAGCTGCTCCGGGACACACCGAGCCCTGGGACTACAGCAAGCTTGATAACTACACCTGCGATCCCATCTCGCCAGCTAGCATCAACAAGGGCAGCTTCCAGTTCGCATGCAAGGACCTACGCGGGAAGGACATGGGCCAAGGCTTTCACACAATTAGCTGGGTCTTGCCTACCGCCGTCGGCATCTCCATTTCCACTTACCACTTCAATGCCTACCCGCCCATCTCAACGCCGACGTATGTGGTCAATACGGCGAAGGCCAAGACAACTCTGGTTCCGACGACCAGTGCAGTTGTGACGACCACGCGGACGGTGACTGCGGTAAGTACGGTTACCGTGAGGACTACCACGAGGACGACAACTTGTTTCTACACTGCCACGGTCACGCCCACACCCACACCACCGCCAGTCTCTGGCCGTGGTGTCGGCCGGCCCGGCAGCTCGAACCCCCAGCCCGACTCGGACTCCGAGCTACCCATATCGGACTCGGAGTCCGCGGTCATGGACCTGAAAGAACGGGCAGTGTCTGCCGCGCCTACGATCGGCAAACCAGACGTCACATACCCGCCGTATGGAGTAACCACAATCTACGTCAAGAGCATCAGCACCTCGCTCTACACCATCACGACGTACTCCACCTCTTTCCGGGCCAGTCCAGTTATGACTACCACCATTTCGGTCGCGTCGTCCGTGTTCAGTACTGTCACAGTTACGGCCACACCTGTCTCTAAATCGACGTCCTGAGCCCGATGTGAGCCTTTGGCCTCGGCGGCTGTCGTTGGCCTTGACGACGTTCACGGAGCCAGGCACCATGTCAAGAGACACGACTCGCAGCATCCATCTGGCCAGCAGGAGTACTCACCACCAGAGCAGCTTTCTCGGCTCTTTTCACTTCTTTCCCTAATAGAGGTTCGGTGTACTTCTGTACTTGTAGATTAGTCGGCATTGGGTGGCAAAGTCTTGCGGTACTGTCCTTGACCCTATGTCCGGGCCATGTTAGATAGGATCGATTGCACCATAACGCCGAGAACCAATCATAGAACGCAGTGTGTACTCCGTACCATGATCACTATCATTGCCTGTTGTTTGCGAGCCGTAACGAGTACTTCCTGGTGGGGCTTCGGTTAAGTTTGGCTGTGCCGCAGGCGGGACGAGTGAAGAGTTGCCAAAATAGGGATGTAAGTGGTTGAGCATCGGGGGAGGCTTGCCTCTAACGTCTTCAGCCGGTGAGCTGATGGGTGCGGTAACAGCGGCCGAGGACGGAGACACCGCACCGACCGGTGTGCAGCGATCGAAGTTCTATGAGTACTCGAACAAAGAATGGACTATTGTAGCATCCAGTCAATGGAGGAAAGATTCACCTGTTCGTGGAGGGCACAAGGCAACCAACTAATGTTGCTCAGTCTTCGTGTGCTAATGCTACCTAGGTAGGTAAGGTAAAGAAAGACATCACCCCTTGAACCTTCTTGATCAGCCCCTAGGCCGTGGTCTTCCACCGCACCTGAAAGAGAAACTTGGCGAGCCACTTGCACCTTCCATCAACATCACTCCCACAAAAGCATGGCGCCTGGCACGCAGTTAGTGCCTCAGGTCAACCCCACCGTCAGCCAGGGTCACGCACCAGACGTACACGTACCTTGGGCATCGAGCTTAGAGGGCACTCAGGTAGAGTTGTTGCAGCAGCACCTCTTTCTCTTCCAGCCGCAGTCCTCCATGAAGTCAAAGCCGCCGTAGCCGTCGCAGTGGTACTCGCACTGGCCCGAGTTGAACCAGCCGCACTCGCCCGGGTGCCTGCAGATCTCCCGTTGCACGATACCCTCGAGCGGGTTGCGCTCCGAGACGGTGGTGTCTCCGACTTGAGGGGTTGGAGACGCCATGACGGTGGCAAGAGGGGTGAGGACGAGGAATGTGTTGACCTTCATTTTGAGGATTGTTGTGAAGGATTGCTGCTTGAGAGTCGTCTCTTGGGGACCGAGAGGACTTAATTGATTGACTTAGGATTGATGTCAGACGCTATAGTTGCCGATTTGAAGGGGAGGAGGAGGGCTTTATGTAGACTCGACTGATGGCGAGCCTTAGGCCACGGTCCTCTTCCCGGTCTGTTACGGTTTGGCAGGCAGGCCACCGTGTAACTTGTGTACAGATGCACCATAGCCCCAGCGTCCGCATTTACCCTACGTCACCGACGAGCTGAGATCCTAAAAATAAAAGATGATGAGCAGCCTTTTGCTCTCCGTCAGCCCCTCTCTGCTTTCTTTTCAGTTGACTCTTCCGGTCTGACGATCTTATGATGATCCGCATGACAAAAGTAGGTGCCTTGAGCATGAATATTGCTCTTGGCCGTATCTTCTGATGGAAGATCTGCATCGCTACTGTGAGCCTCGCGAACGAGAGCAGCGCAGTGGTCAGGCTGTGCCTCGGACGGGCCAGGAAAGTCACACAAAGCTGAATCGAAAGGGTTGTCTCCAGTTTGCCGATAGATTGATCTTAGAATAAGACGGAATAACTGAGCATTCTTCAGCGTCTCAAATGTAGCACGAGAGAGGGGTGATAGTTCCCTTGCGTGGCGTAGAGCATTATCGGCGGACCCGGTCACCTCTGTTTTCGACCGAGGACTGAGAAATCACATATATTGGGCCAACCCTTCCACGGCCCCTCTCTTAATTCGGGAACCACCAGGTTTATTCTCTTGCCACAACATCATCAAGCCCCCATTCAAGTTCACGATGAAGTTCGCCTTGTCTCTGTTCGCCCTCTACGTCGCTTTTGCCTCTGGCGCATCGAGCCCGCAAGATGCTCATGATGGGGCTCCTATCCTGATTGACCGAGATGGCGCGTTCAATGTCACCGCCGAGGGCGAAGAGATTGAAGTCGATATTGGAGACGAGCTGGACCTGTCCACCTTGGAGAAGCGCAGAGGCTGTAGCGGACACCGTCGACAAAACGATGTCTGCAAGGGCAACGCGCTTTTCAAGATGAACTCTCGTCATAACTGGTACGTGAAGGCAAACCTAAAAGCCTCGTGCGGGGATTTGCGCTGAATCTTCCTGAAACACTCTGAATATAGCTACAGAAGAGGCGGCCATTGTTGTGCTAAGAGCAAAAATGGAGACTACGGGATCCAGGTCACAAGCGGCACGCAATCGGGCGAAGATTGCGGTTACTGCTTTTCGGGGAAGTGTAGGGCAGAGTAGTTGAGAAGCTTCTTAACAAGTTGCTTATTAGCCTTGTCAGCGAGTTAGGGAATTCTAAGATTGTGTCGTAGCGTCTTGCTAAGAATGGGTGGTTTCACTTAGGTTGCTTGTTTCTCAATTGCCCCGTGTATTATCTTTTCCACGGCTGCTGTGTGATGTGAAAGGATGGTTCTTGGCTGCGGCACGGTCTATACCAATAGTAGTGTCAATAAGAATATATTCTAGGTATTGATACTCACAAAATCTGGGGAAGTGTTGCTGAGATTCTCGTACGTCGATGTATTTCGACATCACGTCCCCGTTCTACTCGAACACTCCGGGCCCTGCGCCGCATCAGGAAAAGCCTTGGATGAAGCGCGGCCAGACTGACCGCCCGCCCTCATATTAATAGAACGTCACCACGTAGCACAACACATGCAGCTGGAGCGGCGATCCTTCTGCTCATTGGCGTGTAAGGATTCTGACGGTTGGCAGCTGCGGATGATCTGCTAGTATGATGCCGGATGCGTGTAGGTGGTTGAGGGGGCGGTCCAGCCCACCCTATGCTATCTACCTATGAATGCTGGTTCGGATAGTTTACTTGGAAACTGCTCACAGTAAGCATCCCTTTTCTCGCAACAACATCGTCACGCTTCTGTCTATTTTGAGTCTGGGGACTTCCAATCCCAAACCATCACTGTTTACCGTACCTACGTGGAGCGGGGTGACATTAGTGCTCGAAATTCCGTGCTCGGGGGTTATGTGAAGAGCAACGGGTGAGACTCGGACTCGGTAGGTTGAACTTATTTTCCATAGGTGCCTCATTTTCCTTCATTCGTCTTTGTACAACATAGCGCTGAAGTAGAGAGCGGCTCCAGGAGACACCACACCACCACACCTATTCCAGAGAGTACGCCAATCAAAAAAGACTCTCGGCTTTGCCGCGCAACTGTTCTGGCAAGACGGGGGGTTTGGACCGTTCCCATTCGGTACCGACCTTCTTAATCCTCATTTCTGCCCCAAACCCACTTCGGCGTGCCAACCGAGATGTCTGAGCCGAGGTACTTCCTGACGGGATGGCGGAATTTTGCAACGTTCTCTTGCGTCGCCAGACCCGGCATGCCGCCCCAGGCAACAATGCCCCCCCATAGCCTACGACAGGACGTTGAGATAGACACGCTTAGCTCCCGGCCTCGCGAGGAGCCCAAAGTTAGTGTGGTCCCTTTCGTTACACAATTGACAAGCCCGGTATTCCGGACATGCTGGGCGGAAGAGAGACCCAGCTGGTGTAGCCCGTTTCTTCCCACAACAGCCAACCCCTAGGCTTCAGGAGGGTTTTGAGATTTCGGGTAGCGAGGAGATACTTTCGAGACCCCATTGTTGGCATGAGGTAGACACGAGGCAGCAGTCACCCTTGCAAACCTGGAAGTTCAAACTCACCTGCTAGCCAGTAGATGGCTTCTGGCCACCGGCGTGGTGACATGGGTTTGGGTCTAGACTCGGACTCCACGGAATGAGTTGTTTGTCCAGACCATGACGGAGCAAGGGAAGGGTTGCCAAGGTTTTGTGGTCCACTTCGTTTCATCTCCATTCAACCGTGAGATGTGTGCTGCGAGGCCTCGGTGATGCCTGTCTCCGTTACAGAAGGAGTCAAGAGCTGAGAACCACAAACATCTCCCCAAAGGTCTGAGGTGACCAGGGTGGTTTCATCGAGGTTAGTAAATGAAGATAATGCTTGGAAGCGAGGCTATAGTGTGTTTGTGATACTGCATGTAGCCGGGCAAGATCGGACACCGACGAGTGACAACCAAGCCTTCGTGGTTTGGTGTTTGTTTTCTTCGCGCATGCTTCAAGTTTCTCACATGCTCGGAGTCCACCATCATCCAAGGTACTGAGATTCGACTTTATGCAGCTTATGGCCGAAGACACTTGACTAGCTGAATTGGACACTGCGCTCTAATAGTTGCCAACTAGTTCAGTCTCACCGTCGCATCCGGACCCAGGCAGGTTGCAGCCAAGGCGTACCCTAGCCTTGCAGTAGGGCTGAGGCAGATCTCTCCCAGCTAAGCGAGTCAATGGATCACATCGCCGTCGCCACTTCTTAGGCATCTGTGGAGATATCACTTGGCCCCCTTGAAAATTATGACCGTTTGGAAGCAAACACCACGGATGCTCAGGTCCGTCAGAGTCTTGGTCCATCATCATGACTCGGATCTCGACGAGAAGAGGAGGTCGATTCCGGAGTGAATGTGTATATAATCCATCAGTTTCCCCGTTTAGGAGCGAATATTCTCGATACCAAACACACCAGACACACATCACTCTTCAGTCATTCCTCCCAGTCTTGTACCTTTTCAAACATCAACGCCATCAACGCCACCCACCAATCCAGGCTACTTCGTCTTTTTACACGCCGTCAAAATGAAGTTCGCAGTGTCCCAATCGATCCTCCTCCTTCTAGCTCCCTTCGCTCTAGCTCTCCCAACAGGAGGAGAATCCTCAACTATCACTCCAAAGGGCTATACGGTGCCAGGGAGTAACTGCAGGGAGTTCCGTGGCCAGATCATCTGCGCTCGCGATGAGGATGCTCCCGCGGATGTTGAGAAGCGTGGCTACACCGTCCCGGGCAGCAACTGCAAGGAGTACCGTGGCCAGATTATCTGCGCCCGCGATGAGGACGCTCCCGCCGATGTTGAAAAGCGTGGCTACACGGTGCCAGGGAGCAACTGCAAGGTGTTCCGCGGCCAGGTGATCTGCTCTTAAGGGGGTGGAGGTCCATGGTCACCCTCCCTCACGTTGGAGTCTTGAGCTGTCCACTCCGCTCGACTCATGACGACATCACGACCGCCCAATCCGAAACAACAAACTCAAGCTAGACGTCATTAGCTAGAGAAGCGCCGTCGCCATCGCGGTTGAGAGACATAGGGAAGGTGTTGTTTAGGGATGGAGAGAATACTAAGGGGTCTTTGGAATTTGGCTTGTAGGATGGAAATCGAGGGGGCGCCAGGGGGTGTGAGACGGTTTCTCGCATGCACGATGTTTGTTATTTGGTTACTTTTCTTGGTATTACGGGTATTAAAGGATGAGATTAGAAACGGAGAACTGCCATGTTTTGAGTGCACCTAAGGTACATGCTTTTTTGAACCACGCAAGGACTTCCCGAATAACTACTAGTAGGGTAGAGTAGTAGGGTAGACTCGATGGCATTAAGTCCGTCGAAGGCTCGACTCTCGGGCTAGGCGCGTAGCTCCCTTCTCCCTCTATCGATTGCCTTAAGTATCCTTTTCCATTCCCCTTCGCACCCTGCGATCTTCCTCGACAGGATAGACAACAATTTTGTCCAGATCAGCCCCCTTCTGATCAAATCCATTCCACAATCCGCCTACGGTAATTGTATTGTGCTTCCCCTTTTCTAATGTCAAGAGCAGCGGGGTGGATAGGATGATGCCTTTGTGGGTATCCCTCTGATATAGCGTCTCGACCTTTTCCGTGTTGCCGTTGAGCACCACGCTCGAAATGCGGCGCAGCTGCCACGTTCCGCCAATCCGGTCCGGTGTGCCACCAGGCTGATCGCCGAACCCCATGTCGTCCGTGTTTTGATAGTAGAATGACACCCACTGTGGCTTCCCAGTGCCCTCGATGCCCTCGAAGGTGACGGTGCTGTCGTTACCGTAAATGCCCGTGGCGATACTCCCTTTGCTGGCGAAGTTGGCCTCCTGCTTGAACGCACTCCCAGCCGTCCCGGCGTCGGCCGCAAAGTACGCCTTGCCCTTGACGGGCGACCACTCGCCGGTCTCCACGTCCAGATCATACACGTCGTTCCACACCAGCTTGAGTGTCTTGTCGTGGTCGTCGATTTCCATGGGCAGCCAAATGTACCGGCTGTCCCAGATCGAGTTGGAATCCCACTGATCGCCAAGGTACAGGTGCGTCGTCTTCTTCTTTCCCCTTACCGTTAGCGTGAAACCCGACTGCGAGTTGTACGTCCGGGTGTTGAGTGGCGCCACCATAAACGGCTGCGACCATGGCCCCGCGAGAGAGTCGGCCCGGAAGGCCACAACGTTGTTGGGCCGGTAGCCGGTCTTATGGCTCATAAGAGCGTAGTAGCTCGTGTCGGTCTGAACGATGGTGGGGGCCTCTAGATCGTACTTGTCGAATCGGTGGATCACCTTGTCGAGCGCCGTAATATCCTCGTTATAGGAAGTGAGGTAAACATCTCGGCCTTCTTTGCGGTCCCCGTTGGAATACAGCGCATACGACCTTCCGTCCTTGTAGTCGGTGAAGAGGCCGAAGTCTTGCGACCAGTTGCCCAGGGGCGCGGTGGCGCTCACGAAGGTGTAGGGACCCGAGATATTCGGAGAATGGGCAAACCCTTGAAGTAGCAGTCCATAGGTCCCGTTATCCGCGTGCCACCACATCTGCTCTTTGTAAGTCGGACGGTGCATTGAAATCGGCGACGAATGCCCATGTGCTTACGTGATACTCATTGGTGACCTTGCTGTAAACCACCTTCGGCCGCTGGATGATGTGGGATGGTGAGATGTAGGGATGGCCCGGGACAGGGGCTACACGAGATAGGTAGGTAGTTAGCAAGGACGGGGTAAGAGCAAAGATGTCATGACGAACCTAGCGCAAGACCGTGGCTCTCCCACGTTGCGAGATCATCTGAACTGTAGACGGAAATACCACCGCCTTCGGGCTCGTCTTCAACCTTGTACTCGCCGAATAACCAGAACTTGCCGGTATCCTCGTCGATGGTCACACATCCAGCATGGGCATTGACAAGGTTACCATCCGTGTCGCGCCACCTGCCGCCGGGGACGATGTATCTGGCGGCCGAGAGGCCAGCAAAGAGCATGAGGGCCCAGAAATTTGACCGAGCCATTGTGAGCTTGGCGGGGACGGATTTCCAAAGCTTCTTAGCACCCCAACCTCGACCTGGTGACGCCGTTGTTGGTTACCTTATATGGAGATACCCTCACCTTGCTTGGCATTCTTTGGACAGGGCAGGGGACTGTTGACCCGGGAGGCTTTACCCCGAGATCTGCCCTCGCTGGGCATCGGGTGGGGCATGTTGATCTGGTAGGTTTTACCCCGGGATCCTCTTTGTCGTCCTCTAGCCGGCTTTACCCCGAGATCGTTCATCCGGCAGGTTTTACCCCGGGATCTGCCCAAGGTCTGGTCTCCTCCCCGCATTTCGCTGCCTCCCGCCCTCCCCACATGCCTTTCTGAGACGTGACGCCTACCTAGGTATCTAATCATACTTGTGTGAACGCATCGGCCTTGAGATAGTGGCGGTGAGCAGTCATAGACATGCGGTTGATTTAGGCAAGCGGCTCGAATAAGAAACTCAGAACTATTAATAGCAACAGCCAGTATGCTTTGTATTATGTATCATGAAAAGAAAATCCGCAAACGTCGTTTCGTCTCGGTCGACACCAAATACGGAGCCGTGGCCTCTTCCCGTTGAATGGATTACGCCACTGCTGGACACTCTCCCTGGGGTCCGAAGCCCTGACAGAATTCCGCAATTGCAGGCGTGTTAGCTTCCTGAATGCATCCCGTCGTTAGCAACCTGGAAGTCAATGGTGTCTGAAGAGATTTTCAACTGACCGCAAAGTTTACGCTCCACAATGGTGACTCCGTCCCCGCGACTTTCTTCGTCAGACTAGCACCGATGGATGTCCCAAAGTTGAGGCTTCCCTGAAGCCCATTCTGGAATTCCCCGCACACGGTGCAGTTTGAGGCTGTCCATGTCAGTGTCTGGTCCCCAAGAGGGCCTAGAAAACAAAACATCAAGGGAGGCACCCACAAGTCACAGCCTTCAGCGTGGCCGACAGCGTCGGTGCATCCGCCCTCAGCTCGGCCGCAAACCCGGTCTCTGTATCATCACAGTTCCGTCAGCCACTGTATGGCACCATCCCCAGTGCACTCCCAAAAGGCCGGGATTAGGTAGATAAGGTACTCACCAAACACGCTCACCTCGACCCCCACAGCCGCCCTCAAAAACACCGCCGCCCTCGTCTCAACCGACGCATCCGCCTTGAACTCCCCCCCCCGAAACTCCACCCCCCACCCCTCCGCCCCGGCCACATCATCCCCATTCAAGAAATCCAACCTCGCCACCGACCCCCCCTCCACAACCGCCGTACCCCCCATCGTAACCGCCACCCCGCCCTTCACCCCGCCCACCTCCATCCCCAAACTCACCCCGACCGTCGGCCCGAGCGTGACAATCCCCGGAATCGCCACGCCGCCCGGCGCGAGCTCAAAGAGCGGCACGCTGCGCGACACGGGCTCGACGACCTCCCCCTTGAGGCTCAGCCCCAGCACGGCGGTCGCGGTGAGGTCGTCGGGTAGGGAGACTTCGATGGCGGCGGCGGTGAGCTCGAACCAGCGCGCGGAAAAGTGTGCTTGCACGGCGAGGGAGCCTGAGGTGTGGCAGTCGAGGCAGGTTGCGGAGAGGGTGAGGGGTGCTGGGTCGGGGAGGGTGAAGGAGATGGTTTCGGGGGAGGTGAGGTTTGTGGTTAGGGGGATGGTGAAGGCGGGTGAGAGGGAGAGGGCGGCGGTGGAGAATGGGTTGTTGTTGTGGTTGTTGTTGTTGTGGTTGTTGTTGTTGGGGTTGGTGGCTGGGGCGAGGTTGGAGATGGCGGCGGGTGCGGCCTTGGTTGTGTTGGTTGAGATGGTGTTGGTTGTGGAGGAAGTCTTGTCCGCCGCTTGGTTGGCAACGTCTTCACCCGGGATGCTTGGGTGGTGGCGGCGTCGGGTGGCGGGGGTTGCGTCCGTGTTGGCTGGGACGGCGGCGTAACCCATGGTCAGGTCGAAGGTATGGACTGCCTGCTTCCACGTTGTCTGCTGAACCTGTAGCACCGCAGTTTCGACCTCGTCGTTGTACACGAGTCCCGTGACGTTGTAAGGGATGCGCTCCGCGTTCCAGCCGCAGGCTCCCGCGCCGACCAGCAAGAGGAAGTGGTTATCGGCACCCTGATTTACCCACTGCCAAATGTCTTGGGCATCGTCGAAGTCGGCCTCTTCGAGGAACTGCAGCTTGAGTGTGCCCGAACCGGTGGACGGACATGTGACTTGGCGGACCATGTCATCAATGAGTTCGAGGTTGACTACGTTCTCGGTCTCATCGGGCGTCTCAATCCGAAGCTTTGCCACGGTGCCATCTTCACCACCCCAATAGAGTGTTTCCTCTGCCTTGAGCTCCAGGGCGGATCGCCGGTCACGCTTCGAATTGCCCTGTCTGGTGATGCGAAGTGGTTGCAAGATGACTGGTTCCGGACTGGTCGCCGCGCCTCGGCGAATACGGTCAGTGCCTGGTGAAGAGATGGCTTGCGCATTGCTGCCTAGGTGCCGCGCACCTACAGACCGAGCCGGTCCGGCAGCAACGCGACCATGCCATATCGATGTCACAGCCAAGAGAGCGTGTATTACGGTCGTACGTAAATGGACCATTGCCGCGGCCGAGTAAGGAGTGGAAGTACCGTAGCGGTGTCAAAAGAATGAGGTGAAAATATAAAAGAAAAAAGACGGGAACTGCCGATATAGGGCTACCCGATGAGAAATGAATGACTAGGTACCTACTTGCGGGTACACTTCGTGTTTGACGAAGGTTCTCGGTTTCTACTAATATACGTACCTCGGCCTAGGCATTTATTTACAACCCAGGCACATTAAGGGGTTAACATCGAGTTTCGAGCTTGTTTGTTGAATGCAATTGGCTGCTTCCTACGTGGGCTTGGCATGTCTGGATCCCACCCCCCTAATTACCCCTGAAAGGTGAAAGGCGAGGGACGCATTGAAGAGTGGGAGTAGCTCAGCGGCGCTGTCAAAGTGTGCCAAGGGTGAGATGTGCTACAAAGCACCGCGATTCGCTGAGGACTGCTGTGATGAGACGGAACCCAGGCGTTGGGCCTGTGACTACGGGCCAATCCCGTTACGATTCGTCAATCCTTTCCTGGAAATCCCAAGGGGGGACAAGGCAGACTGTATAAGGTAGCATCTCTACACTCGGTACCCTAAGGAGAAGGAGACTCTGGAAATGCGGGTCGGCGAGAAAAGGGGCGGATTGGCTTACACAGTAAGGTTACTGACTGACTCTTCCTTGCCGACAGGACGCCATCAGTTTTATCTGTTTTATCTGGACGAGCATGGATAAGCCGAGTCATCTGGCGGCCTCGCGTCCGAGTCGTCGTGGGCGGTGGTGCCAAATTTGATCCCGCAAAGCACGGCACCTGACACTGAAAATGACCTCAGCAGCACACCGTTACCTCGCGCAAGCCATGGTCAAGCCGCACTGGCTCTCGGCCAGAGCGTTCTGGTACCGGCGCGCCGCGGCCTCCGACGGCGCAACCCAGTTTCTCTCTGTTGACGCCGAATCGCTATCGCATCTGGCAGCCCACCGCCCGGCCTTTAACCATGCCGCCCGAGTTACGAAGCTCGCCGAACAGACCAGGCAGGAAATCAAGCGGGCCTCCATCCCCTTCGCCTGGATTAAGCTGGACGGGGACGTCGCAGCCGTGCGGTTCCGCCTCGATGGCAGGGTGTTCCAAAACACCAACTCTTAGATCCGATAATCCATTGGATTTAAAAGAGACAACACCATAAACTTCTAGGCCATTGGTCGGAAACGTCGACATTCGGCGCCCTCTCTCTAGAGGAATGCGCATAAGTTTACTCATAATTGCAATGTGCGTATGTGTCGGGAGAACAAGGTACCTACCTAGGTAGGTAGGTACCTACCTACCCAGTGATATTTGTGTTTTGTCCCCCACCCCCTACCTAGGAAACCAACGTCCGTACGGGAGCTTATTATATATTAACGGAAAATGTAAGACAGAAACGGAAAAATAAAAGACACCCTTCCCCTCGACAGGGTTGGCCCAACTCCGTGTGCAAACGGGCGTTGCCCCAGTTCACGATGAAAAGCATCAGGTCAAAGTGAGCTACCAAGGTACGAACATATCGGTAATCAGCTCGAGCCGCCACCGAAAGCTTGCAAGAACGCATGACTCGTTCCAAGGCCCGAGGACGTCCCACCGCCTTCAGCGCCCGGCTTCAGGGGTGTAGACGGGCCAGAACTCCAGGTCCCTGGCCGCGACGATGCCGCGCTGCCATATCACCGTTGGGTTATCACACAGCCCCTGCCACTCACGTCTACAAGTACGCGCGAGCCCCCCGAGCGCTTTCGCCAACTGTTCGTGAGTGGTGGGCCCAGCGCAACTGCCGGGTCTCGGCGCCGTAGCTGCTGCCGTGGGGTTGGCATGGGTTCTCCCTGTTCTGGAGCGCGGCTAGGCCGCCTAGCCGCTCCACAACATGAAGCTGCCCCATAGCTAAATTCAGCCGCTCCTCTCCAACATCCACTTTGTATCGGTAGGTACCGTACTCTCGACTTTCTCCCTCCATCATCACCTTGGCTCGGCCCCTGCCGCCTCGCTTCCTTCGCTTCCCCTCTATCCCCTTGTGATCCTATAGCTTGCTTGCTACCAGCCAAGATTACTGTGCTCTGATACTCATTTCTCCAAGCGGGATGCCACATCGCTTCCCCATCTTTGACGTCTTATAAGCCCCCTGTCGTCACTTCAAGGTTGTCTTCTGTACGATTCAGGTTTGTTGACAGGTGGGGTATGGCAGTGGTCAGATAGATGCAAGCTTTCCCATGTCCCGGTACGCTGAAACAACCACGGTCTCCAATCCAATCAATCTCGATCAATGACATCCCCATCTTTCGCAAAGGGTTACCACAATCGGTAAGTTAAGCCTAACAGGTGGGCCCCTAGCCACGAGGGTTTCTCCGATCGTCGATCGTCGTGACAATTTTTGCTTAGCAAACTCGTGTTGTTGGTCCACCACCAATCTTTCGTTTTCCAAATATCCGCTTGGGAGATTCGTAACCAGCATCGACCTTGTTTCTAACCACGTTTGAGTTTCGGTCCGCTAGATACAATGTACCCGTTCTTAGTATTGCGATCTACCGAAGAGCTGGCGCGACTGGGTGGAAGCAAAAGCTTATATAACAAATACCTTGGTTCCACGCCACACCTGGTTCCTCTTGCAGTGTGGTTCACAGAGTGGAAACGCGGTCACTTACTCGGTTCCCTTATCGATTTCATCCTCTCAGACTCACTTGCCGAGAGAACGGGAAGAGAACGGGAAGAATCGCCGGTTCCAACATGGTGCTCCACGTAGAGCGCGGACCGGACGTAGCCGCAGCCGTTATCACAATGGTAAGTACCTACCTACTAACTCTTCTTCCAAGTTCAGCGCGCATGCTCCGCACTCTCTTGTACTGTGTATACCGAGGTTTTACCGCTAGGATTCTGGTTCAGTATCACTTGACTAACATCGCCCTTAGTAAGTCGGAACAGATCCTCTTGCTCCCGCAGTATCCGTTCGATACCCGACCCTCCCGTTTGCATTGGAGGCTTACGCCGCCCGTGTCCTGCAACATCCTTTCCAAGAGCACCGCATTTGCCGATCCCAGCATGCTTATTCCCATTGATCAGATGTTGTGTCGGCTACATCACTTTCGCCCTCCGCGTCTACGCCCGACTGCGATACGCGCCATGGGGTAGGGAAGACTGGTTCATGACCGCGGCGTTGCCCTGTTTTACCGTGCTTTCAATAGCATGCATTGCCTGTGCTTTCACTGGTGTTGGCGCCACAAATGCAACACTGGCGCTGCCGCAAAATGAAGGGTACCAGGAGAAGGGACTATTCGTCAGTGAACCCCTACATGTAAACGACACGGGCTGTGCATGGCCCAGAGAGCATGGGGCTGACGATGATATGTGGGAGATTAGTGGTTCTTCATGTTTGAGGTTTTTTACTGCGTCAACATCATTCCTGTCAAGCTGTCCATCAGTCTAGCGCTCGTTCGCATCGCCGAGGTTCGTCTTCTCCGTATCGCTCGGCTAGTTGTCCAGATGCTGACGAGTCCATCTCAAATAGAATCGAAGAGCTTTTATTTACGTGCAATATGGTGTCATGGCAATGTTCACTATCATGAATCTCGTCGCCGGTCAGTAGTACTCATCCTCCGTCTGCCGTCGGCAGTCTCTATCCGCGGTCCATGGATCCAGCTGACATGGAATACTCGTTTCATTGCAGGCTTTTACATTATCTTCCATTGCAATCCGGTCAGCGCGGCCTGGGACACATCTGCCCTACAGAATGGAGGGAAATGTAACCCTGCGGAGTACCTGGCGGACATTTATTGTGAGTCTCGTGCAAAAGAACGGAGACTGATGGACTCGATACTCACCACGGACGCTTTGGTTAGATGCCACAACTGCGGTCAATATCTTCACGGATTGGGTCACCGCTTTTATGCCCATACCGCTGCTCTGGAACGTTCAGTTAAACCGAAACACCAAGGTTTCTGTTGCAGTCTTGCTGGGGCTGGGCTTCTTTGCCTCCATATCCGCCTGTGTCCGCCTCAAATACACCGTCAATCTCACAGCCAGCGAGAACTACCTATGTACGTGTCGCAGAGGTGCATACTTTACGACGGGAACATGCTGATAACTGTTTACCGCCGCAGACGCTCTTGCCGACATTGTGATTTGGGGCTACGCCGAGAGTATGACCCAATGATTCTATCTGTCTCCGCCATGATGCTGATTGTTTCTTTTCGATTAGACGGCCTCGGCCTCATTGTCGGCTGCGTAATGACACTACGCCCGCTCTTTCGCAAGGCCTTGAACTTGGGCGGCGACACGTCAAACAAGAGATCGGGCATAAGCAGTGGCCGCTACGGTTTCCGCGGCAGCGAACGGCGCCCCTACCAGAAGTGCGAGAACGACTACGAGCTGAGGGTGCGTGGTGACGAAACGGGTGATGGGCCCTCTACAAACGGGACGACCTTTACGCGGGTCCTTGGCGGGAAACGGGAAGAAGACCTGTCGAGCTTCGAGACGGAGAGTCAGAACAAAATACTGAAGGCGGATGATGAGGTGTCCGGAGACCATCAAGTTCCGCACAGCATTGTAGTGACCAAACATATCAAGTTGTCACACGAGTTGGAATAATCGATGTGGCGGAGGAAGACAAGTTACATTATACCAGAATACTTTGTGGACCATAATCTGGACCTGCTCCCTTCACGAGAAAGGGGGGTGGGGTCGGAGACTGGGAAGGGGAATGTGCCACTGGCCCCTCACCAGTTGGACGGGGGTTATAGTTCTTCTGTTTTCCGTTGCTTTCACCTGTTTTCGCAGCTCTTGTATTTAGTCCGAGGTCCTGACCGTTTCAGAAGTTTCAGGGGTAAGCAAGCGATTCTACTCTTTTTCACCACTTGCTGGAGTTGCTCCTTTTGCGATAACCGTGACCGTGCGTATCTGCCCAGAGGACCATGGGCATATAATTGGGGTAGAAATTACGGGGTGCGGGTGGGACCAGGAGTATCTCGGATCACCGTAAGGAAACATGAGCTCAAGCCCCTCTTAGTTTCCACGAGCACTCCTGGGCACTGCGGCACTTCAGTATCAACAACGACCCAACCCTAGCCGACAAGCTGAGGCTTCCCGCAGTGCCCAGCCGGAAGGGCCATAGATAATAACGACCAGCGTCGAACACCACGATCCCGTCTCGTTGAGTCGCCCATAATGTGGCGCCGTTGCTGGAGGGGGAGGCCGCGGTTGTAAAAGACGAGAGAGGTTCGTGGGCGCCGGCCCTCTGACCTCACCAGGCAAAGAGGGCCGATTAGCCGTGGAGGTGCCGTGTTCTTGGCAACGCTGCCCGGGACCGGTCGACGAACGTTTTGGGAGGGTTGCCCAGGGGTTGATCATGTCATCGTCACACTGAGGCGACATTGGATGGACGATTCTCGGCTCTGCCGAAGGCGTTGTTGCCAGCTACAGCGGCGAAGGGCAAACCTCACTTCATTACGGTAAATTGAATTCCTCTCAGCCACATATCACGATATTATATGCTAAGAAATCGCTGAAACCTGGCTTTGGTTTCTCTGCCTATGTAGGTAGGTAGATAGAACAAGGACCGCATGGTTGTCAGATCCATATATTTCTCACCCTTCTCGGCTAGGTACCATTGTGTAATCCAGTGTATAGGTGTTGAACCAAACACTGTTGCGATATTCATAGTAGCGTGAGGAAAAGACCGTTCCCAGAATCGAAAGGATAAGCTACTAGATACCCAACCAGTTTCACCCACCGCCCGGTCCTAACTTCCGTCGTCCACCTAGATGTACCAATCTCGCAAACTTGAAAAGAGCCCACCCCTTCCCAAGGTGATTGCGAGAGTGCCTGGTCCTCGAGAGCTGAGTTCCTGTGATAGACCATAAGCCAAAGACATGGCACTAAGAGGAGCCCGCCACGCGCTAGGTACCTTAGGTCTCGCAGCAGCATCGCTTTTCCAAAATGCCGCAATCGGTCCTGGCCATGTGAGAGAACTTGTAAGGCTTGCAGTAGTCCTCGCACTTGCCGCTCCAGGACATGCTGCAGCTGCTTCGGTTCCAGCACGCGGCCCGACCTTTGACGGCCGGGTCCTGGACATCAGAAGGGGCGGCCATAACGCTAGCCAATGTGGCGGCGAGGAAGCAGAGGGTGATCTTCATTTTGGGTTTTGGAAAGAGGAAGTTGGTATGGTCTTGAAAGTTGTTTATGCTGCGTGTCATGTCCGAGCTGTTGATTTCTTCGTTCGAGGACCTCTTGGAAGATGGCCATAGGTATTTATACCCCTAGGGGCAATCCGTCCACATGTTTAACTTGGGCATTGGACATCGAAGGACTTATTTTCGGTTTTTACATCTTGACGGTACGCCATGCGATTCTGTCTCGTCGTTTGCTGGTCATGCCCGTCTTACTGTCGCACACGTACGTCGTCGGACATTGCTGTCCTACCTCGATTAGATTGCTTACTTGACTATCACGTCGTTGAATCGTTCCGAGTGACTGAGCTCAAATGTAGTTACACGAACAACATCCTTCCACCAACGTACTCCCGTCGCTACCCACTAGCTTCCCTAAATGTAGCACGGCCGTAAGTCCCGGCTACGAGCACTAAGGATCATACGATCTACATACACACACAGCATTACGCCGAGACAAAGCTGGAGGACTCTCTCCCTATAATGCACTCTCGGTACCTATGTTACTAATTGAACTTAATCTTCCGAAGCCTATATCGAAAGGATTCTCCGTTATGCCCGTTGTTCCTTCCTACCTTGTCTCGTAGTGTTAAGAGCAAATATATCTTAGAGCTCTCTATCGTCGACATCCGGCGGAAGTTTGTATAGGTCTCGGCTATTAAGAGTTTAACAGGTAGTCTCGTCCAACTATAGCTAAATATTGATACGGAATACAAAGTCTTGAGGGGTTAACACTGTCACCTTCCTGTCCAGGTGCCACCCCCTTTAATAACTGATAGTCCCGTCTTACTATAGTACGGAATACAGAGCTGAGCCCTATACGCAGCCTTGGTAGCTCTCGGCCCGCGTTCGAACGACGTTTCGGCACGCTCCGTGCAGAATTTACTGCTTTTGTTTCCCCCCCCCTTCTCGGGCGAGGGCCGCAGGAGCGGGCGAGCCAAAAGCGGCGAGTGCACACTCCGGCGCACCTAGCTCGCTCGCAGCTCACCCGGCTCACCCCCTTTGGCGAAGCCATGCGCGCAAGAAGTGCGATATTCTCGCGCGCCATAGATACCCCATCACCAACGGCCGAACGCCGGGTTCTGGTGTTGGGCTTTTTCATTAGTTCGCACGCCACTCGGACGGAAGTAGCTTGAAGTGATATCCAAGTTGGCATATCATGAAGCAGAGCCAAGTCATGTAGCGTTGAAAAATACAACAAGTTCATCCTAACCACACACAGCCACTCCAGGAAGGCTTGGCCTTAATAACTCCAAGTCCCACCGCCATTACTACCATCCAAAGAGGCACCACATTCCTGATAATATGCCGGGTGATGTGGAACCCGGTATCTCGGTTGACCCGCTGCAGGCGAACACTGCCTAGACTGTCTAAAAGGAGAAGGTGTTCTTCTACGCATAGGCGACGGCGCCCGGAGGAGCTGCTCATCCACGACGCGAGCCGAGATCCTCCCCGCCGCCCTACTCTGCCGACCAAGACTGATGATCCTTGTGGGATCTTCCCGAAAGACCGCCATATCCTTTATCACACGGGTGCTCTCGCCGGGATTGGTGATGAGAACCTTGAAGATGGGCACGAGGCTCTGGTCATCGATAATGCGCTGTAGACAACCAAACACGATCTCAAGATCCCGGGACAGGTGCTCGGCATCGAAAGCGGATATTGTGTCGATGATGCAGTAAACCGGCGTATTTGGCTTGAACTGGAACAACAGCTCGTGGAGCGCCGAACAGAGGTCGGGCAACGAGTGTCTCTCGAGATTCTGCACAAAAACGCGGTCGTTGATGAAATCGAGGTTCCACTCTCGCATTTCCGGATCGGTTGTGTCTAGTTTCATGAGGAGTTGGATCATGAGTGACCGTATCAATCCTGTGGGACCGTACAGCGCGTCGGCGGGTGAAGCGTGCATGCCGCAGAAGAAGGAAATGACCACCGCTTCGTCCGCGTACGCCTGCATTAGACTGGTTGCGAGGGTGCTGCTGAGGACCGAGATGGCTGATACAGAAGCCAAGGCTGACTCGCGGATGTTTGCGTCGACGAGAATCAAGGACGGGTGTTGGTGGGACAGCCAGTGGAGGAATTGATCGTGACTGAGCAGAGACTGGACATGGCCTTGGTTCTTGACCGACTGCCTGCCCTGCTCGGCGAGGGCTTGGCCCAAATCAACGCTGGGGTGCTGAAACACACGTCTGAGATCGTGGGGGCTGTCCAGCTGTGCCGACGATGGTTGTGCCAGGATGTGACAAAGGTCGTCAAGGTTCACTACCGCTCTGCGTCTCGTGCTGTTGAGGGATAATTGATTATCTAGCCTTTCCAGTATGGAATTCCTCCCTTTGTAGGTAGTAATGTGTTAGCCAGCTTGCCAAGGGGGAAAATGCTGATGAATATGGACTCACTTTGAACATCGAGGATAAGGCGCATCACTCCATTCCTCAGATCCACTTGCGACTCCTCAATCCGGTAATTGCCATCTTGAATCACCTGCATTTCTTGCTGGCCCTGTCGTAAAGCCTCGAGTCCGTCTTCACCCTGTTGTTTCTGGGCTGCCGCATGCTCGTCAAACCTCTGTCGAAGTGAAACGGTGTTTTGATGTGTGCGTATGATCCCTATAGCATTGAAGTGGCCGTACGCCTTGGTCTGCTCGATGTGCCGATCCCGAGCCAGATTGATGGCGCCATTGTATTGAGCAATGTGCAAGTCGAGAGCCTCGAGGATGGTATCTAGCGTTGGCCGGCGGTGTTTTTCAGTTTCGTTTTCAGACTTGGACTTGGAAAACTTCTTTTTGGCGGTCGTGGTGAGTTTTGCGACTGCAACGTCAAATCAGCTTGAATGTTTGTGTATTGCGGCTGTATTGGGGTGGGATTCTACCCACATGAGGATTTCTCCATGGCCGACATCACTAACACCATGTCCTCAATGGCATCGACGACTGCCTTGTACAAGGATGTGGCAGAGCCACTAACGTTTGGGTCTTGGCGAAACCGGGCACGGTCAGAGCTCAAGCTGACGAGGACGTCTCGAAAGGTAGCGAAGGTCTTGAAGACTCTGTCCCGCTTGTCTGTAGAATTCTCGGCGAGCTAGGAAAGGTAAGGGATGTCAGCTACGTACCGAATTTAACGCAGAAGACGGATCAACCAACCTTGAACACAACTGCAATGCCCGCTTTGACGACACAAACACCATACGAATCGGGTATCACGTCCAGCCAGGCTTCAACAATGTCTCTCTTGTCGCCCATGTTGTACCACAACTTGTGGAAGAGTCCTTGCTTGGTATCGCAGTAGCCTTTCTCCAGGGCACCGATCTTATCGGGGAGAGCATTGTCAAACTTCGTAACGGGAATGTTTAGAGTCTCGCTGATGTATAACCTGAGCACTTGCTCTATCTGCCTGTGGTCCAATTGGGATTCAAAGCTCTCAACATGGATGGGATGGAAGCTTTGCTTACTGATGTGGTCGCACGTCTATCGCAAACTTGCCTTGGCTGATGTCAAGACGCGACGAGCCGCCGAGGCCCGGATGCAGGGTGGATGCTCTATCTCTGATGTAGCTCTCCACCAGAGTCAGCTCCCTTTGGCCGGGTTGCAGCCAGTCGAGCCCGTCGTACGCCTCCTGCTGTACTACAGAATCCATTTGTGGTCGATCCAAGCCTATGGTAGTGGTGTGATGGCTCGACTATTGATTGCCACTTGCTCGATGGTTGTTATTATGAAAACGGCTCAAAAAAGGAAGAACACGGGAGGGGGTTCGGAGCGGGGGGCATCGGCTTCTCCCTGAACTTGAAGATGGAGCCTGGAGGCTCTGCGACGGGAAGGCTTTGGTACGGTCTACACCCCGATCCAATCGATGCGGTCCAAAGACCCCAAATGCAGTGATCCGCGGCACATTTGGACCTGTCGGCCGAACAAGGGCATCTCGGCTCAAGCCTGATCTCCAGGTTGGGCAAGATCAGGCCATCTTGCATCTTGCGCGCGGCGGGCCAATCGAGTTTCATGCACGATGCCCGCCAGGGTCGAGCCTTCCTGCCAAGCGGCAGCGCGCACAGTGCACGTAGAGTTGTGGAAGACAGAAATGGATGCGACTCGACACACCTGAGCGGATTTGCCCCAATGAGAAATGCAGGGTGCAATCAGATAACCAATCAGTAACAAGCCACAGAATTGGCGTCTTCGAGCTGGGCACCAATACAGCGTGTTTTCCATACCACACCAACAGCACCAACAGCCGAGCTTGGATGCAGCCCTGGTGCGCGCTTTCCGCTGAAATAGAACAAAGGCTGCTTGCCGACAACCGAGGAAATGCGGTGCGACCACGGTGCCCGTCGTGTGTTGATCCGTGTCCGCGAGAGCCTTCTCTGCAAGTCTTAAAGCGTTGACAAAAACGTGCCTTCCGTTAATGGCCAGCCCTTTTTTTCTTTCCTTCCTTCCACAAGCTCCATCTCACCCAACTTCTTAACTTTGCACGTCTCCTCAGCCCTCTTTCCCTCACGCCTCGATCTTTGTCCAGATGGCGGACGATAGTAAGGCGGACGATAGTAACATGGACAACGCTGGCCAAAACGGCACCGAGGAGCCTGAAGTGGTCAAACCGTTAAAGATCGGTGTGGACTTCCTCAATTTTGAGCATTTCAAAAACCGCTACACCGACGAGGATGGCACCGCCATTATCGAGGTCCTTTGTGGCCACTCGCAAATCTCCCAAGAAGTCGCCAGAGAAATATTGAGACGCAGCCACGGAAGGAAAGACATCAGGGCTTCCACGCCCAAGCCCAAGCTAACGGTGGATGATGACTCGACCTGGATTCAACGGGTTCGAATCCAGTCTCCCCAGTTGATCCAGCTGCTTTCACGCCTGACGGGTCACCGCGACACGTGGTCGACCGGCTTGCCGCGGACTTTCTTCGCACCATTTCGCAGCTTTGCACACTACCTACCGCAGCTCAAAGACTGCCTTACGATCCTCGAGGAAAGGTGGGCAGTCGGAGAGACACCTAGCCGAGCACCCGGTCCGGATGGTGCGATAAACCCGTCGCCTCCCGGCCAAGACGAGGAGGAGGAGGAAAAGAAGATTCATGTCCGCTCAGGACATCCCAGCTCGGACAGCGACTCGGACAGTGACAGTGACAGTGACTCGGACGACGCATCACCCATGGCGCCTGAGCTGGCGATTACAGGCGATGTTGTCGATTCCGTCATCACACTCGACCACCTTAGGACGTTTGTCGAATTCATCGGGGATTATATCCAGCCGCTGTGGCGCCGTGCTGTGGGCACCAGTCAACGCAAGTTTCGCTTCAGCCACCTCGGCATGGCCTTTCAGCCTGGTGAGGTCCTCTACGTCCCATCGGCATTCGACCCAGCTCAAAGCGCTGGCAAGGCCTCCTCCACCCAAAGCTCAAACACGAAGATGTACCAGCCAGCTTGGAGGCTGTACAGCTTGGTGCTCAGCGTGGTCAAAGACGACAAGCTCGATGACACACAAAAGGTGTCGAAGCGGAACCTCATTCTCCACGCTTACTATCTGGACTACGACGGCAAGGCGTACGTGCCTGTCTGCCACGAGTTTCTGATTGGCGACTACGAGGGTGCGCGCGATATTACCAGCATGCAGGTATATCCCCTCCGCTTCGTCAAGGATTCCGACAAGATTCAGGGCCAACTAACCAAGGAGGGAATCTGGTTTCGGGAGGCTGTCGCAACCAAGCATCTCTCCTGTGAAGGTTGGACGCTGACGTGCGGGCCTGACGGCGCCGAGCCGGACCCCAAGCCCTCTTCCTACCCCATCGTGGAGCACATCGACGGCGATGTGATTATTGATTTTTTGGAAGGTTACAAGTCCGAGGCTCTGACTGGCCTGGTGCCCACGCAGGGTCTTACGACTTTCACCGATTTTGACTGGCCGGATGGAGATGATGAAGTTTCCATCATCAAGTGGAAGCCGTCCGCCAACACTGGCCGACTTGAGCCTGACACCACACTGAGGGAAAAGACGCAGCGAGGTGAATGGTAGGAATTGGACCACCGCATTGATTCCCGTCTGCTCTTCGACTGAGCTAATCCCTTACCGGTTTCACGGTGTCACCAGGTATGGTGACCAGTTCAGAAAGAGCACAATCAGCACCAGAGCCAGCCTGAAAGCTTATCATAACGGTGGGCTCATCAGCGACCCAGAAGAGGCTGAGCTGTTGTTGCTCCCGCGCCGCGTTGTCGCCTACACCTTTCGAGAACGGCGATTTGTGATGCTCGACGTCCGCTCGCTAGCACCCCTCTCGGTGACGGACAACGTCTTCAACGACCTGAAAATCGACGAATCACACAAGAGGATGGTGAAGTCGCTGGTCAAATCGCATTTGGACAAACAGACCGCCCAGAAGCAAAGTCCGGGTATCAATCTCAACCAAGACATCATTCGCGGCAAGGGATCGGGGCTCGTCATTCTCCTGCACGGCGTCCCCGGCGTCGGCAAGACTGCGACAGCGGAGGCGGTTGCCCAGGCGAACAAAAAGCCCCTATTTATCATTACATGTGGAGACCTTGGCTTCACACCCAAGGAGGTTGAGGATTCGCTCCGGGATATTTTCCGTCTCGCGCACTTGTGGGACTGCGTTCTTCTCCTTGATGAGGCAGACATTTTTCTCTCTCGTCGCGAACTGGGTGATCTCAAGCGGAATGCTCTGGTATCAGGTAAGCCTCAAGTCCATTGCCTCGTGTCAGGGCATCGATCTCGTCGTCGGTCCGAGTGCGGGATGTAACCATACTCACTCTTCTTTCCCTCTACCAGTTTTTCTCCGTGTTCTCGAATATTATTCGGGCATCCTGTTCCTCACGACGAACAGGGTCGGATCGCTAGACGAGGCGTTCAAGTCGCGAATCCACATCAGCTTGTACTACCCTCCGCTGAACAGGCGTCAGACGCTAGACATCTTCCGAGTGAACATTCGGAAGCTCCAGGAAATTGTGAACAGGAAGCATGCGCTACAACCCCAGAAGGCATCTTCCACCGGCCCCAGTGAGGATGCTGTCGTCGAGGCTCAGCAGCCCACATTTACCGTTCACGCCGGGAGCATCCTTCATTGGGCATGCTGGCATTTCGATGTGAACGAAGGAACGAAACAGCAGAGATGGAATGGAAGACAGATTCGCAACGCTTTCCAGGTTGCCTACTCCCTTGCCCAGTTTGACATGCATCAGGGCTCGGCCCAGGAGGATGATGGGAGGCTTGCCTCCGACGCGGTACCTCTCAGTGGAGGCGAACGGCTGGACTGGGAGCAGTTCAACACGGTCGCCAAGGCAATGGAAAAGTTCGAGGACTATCTTTTCGAGGCCACAAATAGCACTGCCAGCGATCAAGCTCGAGTGGAACATATCCGACAGGACGCGTACAACGGCAGCAGCAGCAGGTTTCCAGAGAAGCCAGAGTACGATCCGTCAGGATACCAGCGTGCACTAGCTGCCCGCCGTGGCGGTCGGGGCAACCACCAAAGCCAGCTTGTGTCGTCGAGAAACGCACATGGGAATTACCGTCCCGAGTATCGGCCTGATTACCAACCGCCTTCTTCGCTTCGAGATGTCCAGCCGGCCACTCCGGTACGGAACACCCAAGAAAGGCGCACTCCAGCCAGGACCCCTAATCAACGTACCCCGAACGTCCCGGGTGGCGGTGGCGGCCCGCTCAACGGGGATATGCCGTCCTGGCCGTCACCCCATGGTTACCAGCAGCAGGGTCAGTATCGAGCGGGCGGAAATGACGGTAGGAATACGGGCTACATCACCAACAAGTCCCTCAACGGCCCCGCTTCTCGACGCAGGGACTCGGGCTACTCGGCGGGCGTGGGTACTGCCGCGTTGCGGACCCCTGGGCCCGGCACTGCGGGAGGTTGGGATATTGATGGGGCTAGTGATGGAAGGTTTGATGACGGCCAGGCTGGACATTATGATGACCAGTTCTTTGAAGAGGACGGGCAGCTTGGATTCGACACCGTGGATGGGCAAGATGGCAACGGATACGTCCCAGGAGATGGCTTTGATGATTATCAAGAGGATGCGGACACCGGGAATTATCGCTAGTTTTTGGTCATGAGAAGAAGTCATCACCATTGCTGAATACTAGAGTACACCCCACGACGCCAAAGAGGATGCGCGGCTGTTCCCACCTGCCAAATACAAACACAAGTGCCGACACCAAACCCACCCCCCGCACCGCCATCGTCCTCAACGCCGACCACGCCCCCCACGACCACCCCTCCCCCTCCGTAACTTCGGCTGCCTCGCAAAGAGCTCCTGATCAGAGTCCTCTTCGACCTTAGCAGCGGCGACTCCTCCCCCTCCTCCCCATCCGCCCCTCACGCAAACAATACTCCCTACCTTACCAAGCCTCCATCCCCCAACAACATCATGCTTCTCCTTATATAAAAATGAAGTCGTCCCGGTTGTGTTCGTTCTAAGCGCTGATCCTCTTGCGTACGGATTTGCTGTTGAATGTGACGACTGCGCACGCCCTGATGGGTCGCTTGCCGGAGAATATCGGTGGTATTCTCGCCATGATAAGTTGTCGTCCGGAACGAGCTCGTGTATTACCGGTACAACAGTACTATCATTTCTTCTCAAGTGCAATGCTCAGCTGCTCATAACTGCCGGCCAATGTCCGAAGGGTTCCCACCGCCGTTGGAATGTCTCCTTCCACGAGAGTACTGCAGAGACCCTACTAGGCGCGCTTGCCTCCCTATGATGGAGGCAGCCTCAGTGTAGCCAATCCGAGCCGGGCAGGTAGCGGCATCGGCGAGCCGGCGGGCGCCGACGCGAACAGCGAAGTGGACAAGATGATCGCGTAGTTCCGGGGCGTGATCCTCGCGGATCTGCAGCGCTAGCTGTTCAGCGGCCATTCTGTTGCCCACTGAGCCGGGCGGCAGGTCGTGCTCGCCGTGCATTGCGAGCCAGCGGCGGGCGACGTCTAGGGATCTCCGGATGATATCTTCTTCTGAGTACTGTCCCACTTGGCGGAAGCCAGTACGCATCATGTACGGCTCTCCGTACGCGATGCCTGCCGCTCTCCATGCTCCCATGAAATCACGGAGGGGGAGAGACGCGTACGGATACCCGTGGGGGTCGTGCAGCTCTACCCAGTCACCAAGGACCCGAAGAATGACAAGATAGTGATCTGCTCCGCTCAAGCTGCTGTGATCCGGGTGATATCGGAGATGACCCATGTCCACGGGACCTACGAATACTGGCCCATTATCGAGTGCCTCCAGGAGATGGGCGAGGGCGTCGTCGGTGTCTCTACCAACGACGAGGGTAGATGTCCAGCCAGCCGCTCCAAGGGCGGCGTCGAAAGCCTTAGTTGGATCCCACCCATAGGGATCGAAAAATGGGAGCTTTCCGCCGATCAGCTGCATCCCGAACGGACTGGACGTGGCGAATTCAATGACGGCCGTCGACGGTGCGGCTTTGCCAAGCATCATGGCCAGTGAGTTTTCGTAGCAATACGGACCGGAGCCGGTGTAGGAGATATGATCCATTGTTAAAGTAGTATCCCGTCCCTGAGAGACTCGTGTAAAGCTGAACTGAAGGTGACAAAACGCGGGAGAACCAAACCGATACAGCTGACCTAGGGAAGAACAATCGGAGAGGAATCACGCCCGAGGTGGGTTGCCGCAACTTATAGAACCCAAGTGCGCGTCTCAAGGCCCAGAACATTGCGATCCTACCTAGGGTAAGCCAATCATAACTCATGCTACCCCGGAGCAAGCAACAAAATGGAACATTATCGAAGTGCAGCGGGCTCTGATATCTGCATTGCGGTAAGCCAGTCGTGAGATATTACGTACAATAATACCATTGTCTCCCCAGTCGATGGCGGCACGCCGAGATGGTCCCGCTCAAAACGCTTGACAAAGAATCATGAGAAATGCGGAATATCCGAAGCCCACGTCGACACATGAGCATCAGGTGCAAGGAAAAACAAGGTTCGAAAGATCTCGACCAGGATGAATAGCCTCGCAAACAAGTACACCCACATGACTAAAGACATGCCCAACCGAACCACTGATTTCCCCTCTTTGCCTAAGACGCGGCCAGCGAACGTCGCCAAGGCAAAACCAGACGCTGCCACCAGCACGAAACCCGTGGTGTAGAGGCTCGCGCACTGCCACGCAACCTTCTCGACTGTTGTTGGGAAGGCAAAGTTCCAACCGGCGACGTGAACGGCCCCAAACACAGCCGCCGCCCCGAGCCCTACGGCGGAGGTGACGATCGATCTCACGCGCATGGACTGGGCCCACTGTGAAGTCTGGTTGCCAACCGGGGATCCGGGTATACTCTCGGCGCGTCGGCGGGAACTTGAACGGAAACGCGACGGAATGAGGAATTGCTTCACAATACTCGTCCCTCTGTCGGCATCGAGGAGTCTCAGAACCTCCAGCGGGATTTCATCCGTGTATTCGAGGACTGTGATGGTAGTCTGGACAAACTTGGGCTTCTTCCAGCATAAAATATATATGATGATTGCACAAACCGCAAAGGCCACGGTGGCGAGCTCGAGGAGGGAGATAGTGAGGTGGCGGAAAGCGCGGACGATGATCTGAAAAACGGACCAGAGGATCTGTGCTATGGCTATGGCTTTGATGACCGGGTCGGCCTTGGAGCGGTCGAGGAGCTGCTCTTCCGCCATGTAGGGGAGGCGCTTGAGGTAGCCGTTCCGGCGGAGGCTGAGAAGGTCGGCCGTGACGAGGTGGTAGGGATTATGGTGGAACAGCGTGTCGGAGGAGCCTTTGGTTACGCGTATGACGAAGCCGCCCATATTCGCGTAGAAGCTGTGGGAGAGACCCCAAGGGACGTTGTCATGCTCGAAATCGGCGTTGATCACGTGGCAGTCCTCCCGGGCCATGAGGAGATCGTTCGTGGCGACGGTGATGATGACTTCGGGGGCTACAACGGTGTAAAAGGCAAGCTTGATGTTTTCCCAGAGCCCTTTGAGCCCCCACCGGATATCATCTGTCCATCCAGGATAGCGACCGTCGCGTTGCTCTGGTATGTTGGGATGCTGAATGGCCCATGTGCATGCGAAGATGGTGAACAGGGAACTCCATAGAATTTCCAGAGTGCCACGAGTGTCGGGGCCTGACACGAAATTGTATGTGGTTGTGGGTTGTGAGCATTCTGGACTGAAGACGGTGAAGGCTTGAACTGGCGTATAATACACCAAATAGAATAGGGCGAATTGACAAAACGGGGATGAGAAAAACATGGTTCATGACGGTTGTGAGAAGTAAAAGAAGCAAATTGATATCGCTGCAATAATAAGAAACTCAATGTCTGTATTAGGTAGTGAAGGGTTTGGCGACATCAAAAGATCGACGTGTAATTGAGAAAGGGAAGGCACTGACGAAACAGACGCGAGATGGGATGCCAGGATGCCAGGTGCGCGGAAGTGTCTCACGTGACTACGCGCGTGGCGAGCAACCGACGAGGACCTCTGAAAGCTTCAAGTTGCCGAGCAGTCAGTGCAATTAGCTAAACTAAAGACTCTGGAAGATCAAGATCCATACCAGGAACGTTTAAGACAGCTCCGTAGGTACTAAGAATACCTCGAGCGTATAATCAACCGCCTACTTACCTGTGTAGAGCGCTACGAGGAAGTACCCGCGGAGAAGATATCACAGAGGCTTGCGATGTGGCAGAAAATTAGGGTGGTATAATGGTCATATTTGTAGAGGGCTTGCCCCCGTATGTGGGTCATATATTGCACCCTTCACGTCTCCCTTTTGGTTACGATAACGTTCATATCGCTCTGTATGAACACGGCGGCGTTGTATGACTTCCAGGGATTTGTCGGGTCAACCAGTTGGATGTCGAATCGGCGAAGTAGCTAGCACAAGTTAGCCATCTTGCCATCTCAAGCAGGATGGGTTTCTTACCTCGACATATGTTTTGTTCAGCTCGATTTGGGCAACCGTCTTGCCTAGACACTCCCACCTGCTCCCCGAGGCAAACTCCATCATAACAGTCTGATCCATTGCCCGGTACTTGGCCGGGTCGATATGCAACCATCGCTCGGGCTTGAACAGGTCAGCGTCGTCTCCAAAGGTTTCCCTATCCCTGAGAAAGCTGAACGGAGCCCATGCGACGTGGGTTCCGGCTGGGATGTGAACGCCACAGACGACTTGGTCCGTGGTGGATACCTTGGGCAGGACGGCCGTCGCGGGCGGCCAGAGGCGCAAACCCTCGCGAATACAAGCTTGCAGATACGGCAGTTTCCTGGCCTCCTCGTCTGTGATGGGGGACGAGATGCTCCCGTCCATGATGCCGGCGTCGATCTCGGCCTGCAGCCGGCGGTAGACGAGCGGGTTAGTTATGATGAAGAGCAGCGTCGACCGGATTGCCGTTGCGCTGGTGTCGGATCCCGCGATAATCTGCACCACCGTCTCGGCTTCGGCTTCTTGTTTGGTCAGACCGTGGGCGACGAAGGAGCCGAGCATGTCTTTCTTGACAAGCGCTTTCTCTCCGAATCGCTGGGCAACAGCGTCGTGAGCGACACCAAGCACACTGCCAATGCCCGCCATGTTGCGCACATCGGGGATGAGCCACTTGAGACGCGGCGACTGGATCACGGCGAGAAGACCGGGCAAGAAGGCAGTCGCAAGCATAATGGGAAGGGTGCTCTCGGTGGTCTGGATGTAGTCAAACAGATCCTTGTCGGCGGCGAGGTATCCAAGCTCGGTGCCGAACGCCAGGGCGGAGATGACGTCCAAGGTGAAGTACTGGACTTTGCGTGCGAGGTCAACCGGCTTCGACTTGGTCTTCGTGGACAGATACTTGCTCTCCAGGAGGGTGACTAGGCCAGCGACCTGCTTGTCGATCTGCTGGTGGAGATTTTCGACGTCCTTCCCGCCATAGCCCGGCATCAGCTTGGCTCTGAGCGTCTCGTGCACTTGGTCATCTCGCGTGGAGAAGGCGTTGTCGAGATTCCTGTCGAATCGAAGCCCCTGGTACCATGGGGATCGCTGCCATGCGGAGCGCACGCCCCAAATCCTTCGCAGCTCCGCGCCGTCGCCGCAAACAACCCACTTAGGCGCGATCTTTGCGATTGCGCCTTGTCAAACACTTGTGTTAGGTTTTTTTTCTTATGCCCGCTAGTAACTAGGAAAAAAAGTGCGCCAACTTACCGTATTTCACGTTCGTCTCGGCGAGGATAAAACACATTCGGCCGCTCAGCTGTGCGCGAATCATCCAGAGATCAGTCCATCCCGCCCAGAACGGGCCAGGAATGTGCTTTGTGCGGGCATAATCTCGGACACGCTGCACGACCACGAAGAGGAGCACGAGGCCGAGCCCGACGAGGCTAGCCGTGGATGTCAAGAGTTGCATGGCAGACGGTGCGACGCGACGGAGTTGTGTTACAGAAGGATGGAGGTCCCACTGTGTGACACGGAGCCGGGAAGTCTTAAACCGGCGGGAAATGCCCACTCACTGCCAGTGCCCAGCAGTCCATGGGATGGAAAATGCGCGGAACAGCGCGACTGCACTGTGCTCTGTGCTGCTTCCTCTGAATAGGCATCTGGTTGGTGAGAACTTTCGCTAGGCATGCGGAAACGTGGTCCGGGTGGCTTCGGACAAGGGACTTCAGCAAGCGAACCGGCATGGGCCAATTGGAAGGAGCGCGGGAGTGGCAGTTGTGACCCCTTCCGTTCTGGCGTTGAGAATCCATGTTCTGCCAAGCGCCACTAGCGAGGCCCTGCGCAACTCGTGGGACCCCCACGACGAGCCGGGCACGACGGGGAAGTTGAGAAAAGCCACCTACCGTTGCAGCTCTTTGTTCGAACAACTCCCCGTTGAATGTCGCGCCGCAGACGCACGTCAACAACGCCCGAACCCCAAGACCAGAGCCGCAGTCTGATGGGTTGCACCCTCAGCCGCGATGTCAAACTCACCAAACACGCCGAAAACCCCGCCTAGCGCTGGGGGCGAGCGCCACGAGCAGGAACAGCAAGAAATACACCTGGTAAGCCCCCGATCTCGACACGACCCTACCTCTGCAGCCACATGATGCGCAAATGCTGAAGCATTCCCAGGGCCCCGCCGACGATTCCGACGATGCTGATTCTTCCATCGACGACGAGGTGTGAATGCATGTTCCCCGCTTCTCGGGATGCGCCAGCTCGCCGAGGGCTGATCTCCATGTACTGACACGGCCCGCCGACAGCCAACGAGAGACAGTCTCGTATCCCTTCGGTCGAGCATCCTCGACTTTCACGAAGAGAATGGCCGGACATATCACTCCATGAGCGCCGGAAGTGGGTTTTCATACCAAAGACTGCGCAAACAGTCACGCTAACGCCGATTTTAACAGAATACTTCCTTCCAAATGATGCGGTATGACTGACCTCGCGTTTCCGCCACGCCGTGGTTGGGCTAACTTTCCGCAGGCGGAGATTGACCGTTTGGATCTGCAACATCATATCTTCAGACTGACCTTCGACAACCAAATCTGCCTCTGTCCCAAGAAACACGGCGCAAAAAGGGTTCTGGATCTCGGCACCGGAACGGGAATATGGTGCATAGAGTACGGTATGCACACTCCGTCTACGCTTTGCTTATAGCGTTACTGACGCTCAGCCCAAGCGGATGAGCATCCCGAGGCTGAGGTACGAAATGAGACTCCCTGAGTTGTGCACATGGCTGATCTCTGTATAGGTTATCGGTGTTGACCTCTCCCCTGTTCAGCCTGAATTGTATGTAAATTCCCATCACTCAAACTCTTGATGTGCATTCGACTGACTGGGCCCAGCGTGCCACCAAACTGTGCCTTCGAGGCAAGTGGTCTTTATCCACAAGCTAACAGTGACGTGCGGCTAACTGGCACAAGATCGACGACCTGGAGAAAAGCTGGACATGGTCAAAACCCTTTGACTTTATCTTCAGTCGCTTTATGACGGGTAGCTTCGCCGATAACAGCACCATCGTGAAGAAGGCATTTGAGTAGGTTGTCAATGATCTTTCTCGTCGGGGACAATGACTCAGAAACTCACAACTCGACAGTCAACTCGAGCCCGGCGGCTACTTCGAGGCGCAGGACATGGCTGTCCCCTTGGGCTGCGATGACGGAACCCTGACAACCGACTCGGACCTGTGGACCTGGTGCCTGTGGTTGATGCAAGCAATGGAGGCTTTCGGCAGACCGCTTACGGCCGCGCAGAAATGGAAAGAGCTCATGGAGGCCGCCGGATTCGAAGACGTCGTGGAGAGAGTCTACAAGTGGCCAACCAACAGCTGGGCTCGCGACGCACATTACAAGACGCTTGGCCGATGGGTTTTCTACAACATGGACCAAGTCTTGGAACCCGCCATCTTGGCACCGATGACAAGATCACTGGGTTGGACAAGAGAAGAGGCGATCGTGCTTGCGGCACACGCGAGAAGGGTGTTGCGGGATCCAAAGGTCCACGCCTATTGGCCAATGTACGCTGCTGACCTGGTGAAACACACGAAACAAATCGTGCATTCTAACCTCTGCTTCTTAGACATGTTGTTTACGGACGAAAACCACTTAACACCAGGGCACCGAGGGCCGAGGTATGACATGGACATCGAGGTCCAGCGAGCGCCTCCAACACTATAGAATGATGGGATAGAGTAAGGGTTCTTTTGCCTGGGATGGGCTTGGTGGAACATTGGTGTTGCTTGCAATACCAAGGGTTTGCATGGATAGGAGTGCTCACAGTATTCTGGTGCAATTGGCACCAAATATGGAATGAAACATAACTGCAGTTATTCGATTGGAATGTGAGGGGGTAATTCTGTCAGCGTTTGCCAGCAACCAAAACAGCTGGCTGCTGATCTGGTGGGTGGAATAAGTACGCTCCGCTGTGCATCATCCGTTTGCATGCTCGTCCAGCTTCCGACGTTTACTCTGCACACCTACTTGACTGGTGCATTGACTCTGAGAACAGCTGATCTGGTCTTCCTTTTTTTGCTTATGATCATGGCCGTAAATGGCTAGCAAAACGTTTGAAGTTGGGACTGAGAATATCTTATCCAACATGTATATTTGCATGAAGGCGCGGGTGCCCCTCCACCAGTGTAATGCATCATCCTTCTTACTACTTTTACTTCCGCATTATTGCAACAGATCCGGTATAACCGTAACTATCGGGCTGCTTGGAATCTCTGCATTCGAACCCCCTTTTCTGGGCTTACATAAACCCTGCCAAGCTCCCTGCGCTACGGGACCCGCCACCCTCGGATTTCCCAAGAGTCGCTGTTGCCCCTTAATTTGACGAAATTGGGTGGCCCATACCCCACGAAGGTCCCCTTTGACCCCGTTCTTCCCAGGAACCTGTCAGATAACTAGCGGCATTCGGGCAGGTTTCAACGCAAGTGAAAGCCGCCGAGACGGCGACCGATCACCAGCTGCTGCTTTCGTCGGTTCGTGTCCGCTTAACTTCCAGAATACAAGGTTTGGGTGGAACCCGCCGAGGTTGGACTGAAACTACCAATGTAAGGCTAGCTTGTAGGATTCAGGAGCTTCAAGTGTAAAAATGGCCACCTCCATGTTAAAAGCGAAAAGTATATCAGTCCCGTGTGCGCCCTCCGTGGTGGCTTGACTCTCCAGCATCCGTTATCCGCTCCTCCAGATCGCGCCATACGAAATCGTTGGCGTACGTCGACCAACATGCGAACTTCGAAGCTTCTTGCCGCCGTGGCCGTTGTAGAGCTGGCAGCTGCCGGTTTCGCAACCTACAAAGAGATTCGATCCGACACGGACAACTCGGATGCTATTACATATTATGAGCTGGACCGCTCCGACACGCTCTTCCTCTACATTCAAATCATCGCCGGCGGGGATCATCAGCCCCTGATTGAGGACTTCAAAACGCTGGCTCGGAACTATGGTAGCCAAAACGTGTCGGCGATCCCTCGTGTCAGATACGGCAACGACGACGGATCGGTGGCCTCCGAGCCGGCAGATGCGGATTTGATTCTTGAGGATGTGGCAACGTGGGCGACGGTCTTTTCCGAAGTCTCTGGTATCATTGATATCCCTGTCATTCAGGCTGGCTTCCTTGGATTGTGGGGAGAATGGCATGTGAGTATAGAAGTCTTGCTCCAATCTTTTCTTACGGTAGCTGACAAGACTCCCAGAGTGGTCACTTCTGCCCGGAGAAAGGGATCTACGACACTCGAGAGAATCGTGAGGTAAAGAAAGCCATCGTGGACAAGCTTCGTGAGGTAGGGCCCAAGGTTGCCATGCGGTATCCCCAAGACCACAAGGCACTCTACGATGGCGACCGCGGCGTGACCATCCACAACGACTGTATCTTCAATTCGGGCCCCAAGGGTTACGACGGCGGGACATTCCCAGTCGAAGACCGTGAAACCTGGGTCAGCTACACCAAGGAAGTCGCGTCAAACAATACCTACGGCGGAGAGCCGTGCGACCAGGCTAGCGACTCGACCTTTGACTGGACCGACTTTGCCGAGGTGTGTGGCAGCAACGGACTCGAGGCTTACATCCACGAGTTTGAGTTCTCGTACTTGAACGTAAGTTGACCTGCCAGTTCAAAATGCTCGGCTTTCTGCTATTGCGCGTACAAGGAACTAACGCTCCATTATTCAGCCTGGAAATCCTCCTGCCTTCCAGCAGCTTTTTAACGATCCAAGTTGGGCAGACTGTGTCGATGACATTGGGGCCGCTCTTGACTCGTATCTGTAATATCAGACAGCTGCTCGGTTTCCGCGAAGGTGAAGGCCGGTGGTTGGTGTGTATATCGTCCGCAATCGTGGTACTCTTGGGGTGCATGCGCATGAATATTCATCAATACTTGAAGACGCTGCACTCAGGCAGGGAACTCTAGCCACGGTGTCTTAAGGGTCTCGGGTGGCGGCGGAGAAGGCGAAAGCATAATTGGCAAGGCGAGTTTGTGAGGCGCTCCGACAACAATTGTATGATTGATTTGAAAAGTAGACTTATTGATTTAGCTCTTATTAACTAATTCGCTGTTAATATACCAAGTTCATTGTTTTGCAGAGGAATGCGCCTATCGCGCCAGTCTGGCCAGCTAGGTACCTAGGTGGATTTCCCGTCGTCAACTCGTTCAGTTCGCCCCGACAGAACTTGGTCAAACCTCAGCAGCACCCACTGCGTGTCCACTGATCCATTTCCGGCGAGATACTCCCCTTCAACCAGTCTCGCGGTTGCAATGTCATGCCGTGTCTTGGATCGGATCGTCGACCTGATGCTCTGGTAGATGCCCTGCCCCGGGTAGGCCACGACGCCTACTGCGGCTGTATCAACATGTCAGTCAGCCATCCCACATGCGTACATCCAAACCTTGCGAAGGCAGGGGCAGGGGCAGTGTACTCACCAGACGCCGTCTTGGACGCCATCCCAACAAGCCCCTTCCCGAACCCCACTGCCGCGCCCGTCGCGCCCCCTTGCTTCGCTCCGCGGCGCGGCTGCACCACCAAATCAGCCAGCCCCCCCGAGATTCCTCCCACGAGGTTCCTCCCGCCCTCCAACGCCCCCGACTTCCAGTCCGTGATCGGCGGCCTCTCCGGTACCGCCTCGCCGTACAGCCTCGGCACCGACCGGAAGCCGTCCGCGGCCGCCATGGGCATGTCGACGTAGAACCCCTTGCCAAAGGACCTGAAGAAGCCGCCCACGCCCGACACGCCCGCCATGAGCACCGCCCCGCCCGGGCCGGTGCACCCGCGCGTGCTCCGCGCCTGCCGCGGGAGGGGCTCGGCCTGCGGCAGCGCGAGGCCGGGAGGGGACTGCGGACCTGGGGAGGCAGCAGCCCGTAGGGTGAGCTGGGGTTCGAGGTCGGACCGCTTGAGCTGGGATTGCTGTCGGTACGTCTTGATGGGCTTCACGACGATGTCGGCTGCGGACTTTGTCATGTCGGTTGCCATGCCAAAGAGGGTGGATGTTGTTGCTGTCACGGGATCCCATCGGCGGTTCTCAATGAAGTAGGATTTCGTCTTGTGCCTGCGGAATAATAGGTAGGCTGTTGTCAGCGCTCACTCTGAGCCAAACACAAATCGATGAAAGCTTACGGTGACATGCTTTTCTGCCCAATCTTTAAATGGTCTAGGAGGACGCCAGCCGCCAGCTTTGATAGCTTGAGACGCTTCGGGCCCCTCTTGACTTGCCACACCGCGGGCTGATCGGGAAGGACGTCACACCGCAGGGACTCGTGAGGTAGATTTGCATGGAACAATCTCGCCGCCGTCGCCACGCCGTTTTCCGATTTCATCTTGGCTGCCAGGTGCCCGGCGGCGGCGGCTGCCTCGGGAGTGAGGCAGAAACGAATGGCGTCGGCGAGGTTTGCGGCGCTGAGCTGCTTCTGCGGGATGGGTCGAGGCCCTGCTCCGGCGGCAGCGACCATGTCTCCCCAGAATTGTTGACTGTGGAGACGTTAGGTACATGTAAGGAATGCACGGAGGCCATCGGTGGAAGACGTACTCTCCGAAGAAGGGAACGATGGTCGTCGGCCGCCCGTTCAAAAGTCCGCAGGCAGTTGTTCCCGCCCCACCATGGTGAATGACTCCCGCGACGTGGGCGAACAGCCACTCGTGTGGGCAGTCGCCGAGGAACAGCACGTTCTCACACTCGACACCGCCGAGATTGCTCCACCCTTTGGAGATGATGGCTCGGACTCCCGTCGCGCGAACCGCCTCTAGGAGCGTAGCCGTCATCTGCTCCGGGTTGTCGATTACGATGCTGCCGAAACCGATATAGATTGGCATTGGACCGCTTTTCAGAAAGTTGCTCAGCTCGGTAGTCGGTGTGTAATCTGGTGCTTCTCGGAAGAAGAATCCGCACACATCTTGGGAGGTGTAAGTCTCTTGAAATCACCCTCGACCATACCAACCTTGGAACTCACCCATGTAAGAAGGCCAGTCGGCTGGCTTTGGTACCAATGCTGGCGACCAGCAATATGTGAACGGGATCCTCTGGCTCTCTGCGAGTACCGGACCTTCGGATATCGGGATTTCCTCCAGATCGAGCTTCTTACGCCATTTGTTGATTACATCCCCCAACCTGTTCCAAAATCAGCATCAATCCTGACCAGAAAATAACTGGCCACAATTCGAAAGACGGATCTCACCCTTGCCATGTCATCCACTCGACGATGCTATATGACACGAAGTTGGCCGTCCCCTGGTCCACAACCCCCTTTTCCCCAAATTTGAGATTCGCCAACGGATGCGGGAACGCCCGGGTTGCGCTCCACGGCATTGTAAACATCAAGTGCAGCGGCACACCCAATGCCTGCGCACAATGCACGTGCGCAAAGCTTGGGGGATTCGCAATGATGGCGTCCGCAACGAACGGCTTCCCGGTAAGCGTATCCGGCTCGATACACGACTTCCAGCACCCATCCAGCATCTCCGCAACCATGGTGCGCTTCTTCTGGATGTCTCCCTCTCGGAGACTCTTCATACTGGGGATCAGCCCTGGGTTCTTGACCATGTATGCCATCAGCTCCGACGGGTCGCCGCCAATGGGGTAGAACTCCAGCTTGGCCTTGCGCACGAAATCCTCAAAGACATTGTGCGTCGCCAGCCGTACCCGATGACCGTAGGTCTGCAGTTCGTTTCCTAGTGCGATGAAGGGCTGCACGTCCCCGCGGCTGCCGACGACCTGGATCAGAACGTTGAGCTTTGGAAGGAATGTTTTGCTGTCGGCGAAGTATTCGGGTGGAGGATCCTGGTCAGCCGTAATGATGGAGGACGGTCCGCTCGGGTGCTTGAACTCCGGGACGAAGCGCGCGAGGGTCGTAGCGAGGCGAGAGTCGAGGTTGACATCAACACGGCCGTCATCTGTCCCCCACAACGGGGTTAGATGGGCCGAAACCGGCAGGGCGGGAAGAGATCGTACCTCGGACGTTGTTTTGATGCTGCGGCAAATCATCGCCACTAGCCATTTCGTACGGCGGGAGATAATCATGGGGGTCTGTTCCGTCTTCTACCTTTGGCGATGTGGGTTGTTTCCACATGTTTTCGGCACGAAGGTATCTATCTGTATTAGTAGTAGATGGTTCTAGTGGACGATGTTGAGGAGAACACGGCCAAGGTCATCGGCGGACGGAAAGTACAGTGTATATAGGGAGTTCCTAAATCAGATAAACACTTCCTTCGCTAAGCCCAGGGAAGAAAATGAAGGAAAGGGGAACGGGAGAAGCAGGTAAGAGACCGAACTCGTGTTTTCTTCGCGTTTAAACCCAAGTTAGGTACTCCACGAGTGGCGGGTCTCCCCTGTACGGAGAGGGGGCGCAGATCAACAGACATACTTCCTAGGTAGGTACCTACCAGAGAGGTAAGGTTAAAACTGGCACTGCACTTCAGACGGAAAGATGTACGAAAGAATTCTGTCATCGTCGTATTATGTAATAAAACTCACAAGCAGAAGCAAAGCTTAACTTGCGATCGTTCTCAAAGGGATGTCAGCTGTCGGCTGCGCCCAGGCGTACCTGGTGCGTATTTGCCGGTTGTCTCGTTAAGACTCGAATCTCTCCCGAGTTTCATCGTTTCCGCGTATAACTACCACGAAGACCCGCGGGCCACGCACGCTTACCCCTGCTTTGACAGCCGCGCCACGCCCAATATTCTTTAAGTTTTGTTTAGTGCCGAGCGATCTGCGGGAACCTGGTATGAGTCCCCGCTCCCGTATCCGTACAGGCGTACACTTTATTGGCTATAGCATCCCCAGATTCACCTCTCACTGTTAGCCAATCGGGCTCCTTCTAATACGAAGCTGGGATACGGTCCAGCCGTTGGGAACGACGTCGTCTTCGTTCTGCGAGGATGGAGGCTGACGTGTCTAAGGAAGGTAAGGATTAAGGTACCTATATTTGAGGGTCAACCTCTTGACGTCTCTCGAAGCTGAAGTCTCCTAAACCAACCTCACCCTTCCGTTCTCCTTCTCCGATTTTGACCAGTCTCCCGCTAATAACGGCTGCTGACTCCTGAGTTGCCTTCATTTCCTCCTCCCCCAACGCCTTCCGCTCCTCGACATCTTCAAAATGGCAAAACTGGAGCCTTTCAGAGGGGATTACTACCTCTGGAAGTACCTTCCTTCTATCCCAGCAGCCGTTGTTTTTCTGCTTCTGTACATATGCGCGACCTTGGCGTTTTCCTGGCGCATTTGGAGGACGAAGACATGGTTTTGCACCGCTTTTGCCATAGGATGCCTATGTGAGTGCCCGTGTACACATGATCCAAGCGTCCATGCTAGTCATGTCTCTCGTGTTTCGGTACTGATGGGTGCGTTCACAGGCCAGTTCATCGGTTACGCTGCTCGGATCTCTTCGCATCACAAAACCGCCAAGGTCATGCCCTTCGCCATCCAAAACGCGTTTATCCTGATTGCCCCGGTGTTTTTCGCGGCCTCGATCTACATGACACTCTCTCGAGTGATCCGGAGCGTTGGGGGAGAGAGACATGCCCTGTTCAAGTTACGCTGGCTCACCAGGATCTTTGTCACGGGCGACATTCTCGCCTTGTTGATCCAGAGCGGTGCCGCCGGTCTAATGATTGTGGATTCCATGGCGTCGATTGGCGAAATCGCCATCATCGGTGGCCTAATCTTTCACATCATCATCTTTGGCGTCTTCTGCGTGACCGCCACCCTTTTCCACGCCAAGATGCGCCGGGACCCGGTAGCCGCGTCCATACCCAAGGAGCTGAAGTGGGAGCAGATCTTGCATATGCTGTACGCCTCGAGCGGTCTGATCATGGCACGTTCCATCTTCCGTATGATCGAGTTCATCATGGGCCAGGATGGCTACCTGCTCAGCACAGAGTGGCCACTCTATGTGTTTGACTCGGTGCCCATGTTCGCAGTTGCTGTCATATTTTGGTGGCGGTTCCCTTCGACGGTCCAAACGCCCAACGCAAGTGGCGAGTGGGAAGAAACCCGTGGTGGCTCGATGGACTCGTTGGCGCCAACCGGCCAAGCTACGCCGGTCAAGAGAGGATATTGATCAGGTAGGCAAAGCCAGGGACAGTGCAGATGAGGTAGATAGCGAGTGTTCTCACATGCAGAAGAAGAGGCATGGTATAAAGTCCATGTAGTTGACTGCAGCATACTGGCGCGTGGTTCACAGGGCCAGGGGCGTTCAGGGAGGTTGGGGGTCTAGACCACATCGACCTTATTTCTAGTTATTAAATTGAAAAGGGACTCGTCATCTGTGGCTGGGTTCATGTTGGATAATCTCGGGTGGTCAGAATTCTATAGTATGGGTAGCTTCATTAATACCGTTTAATGTTTCACTGTTGATCGAATACTGAGCAACTACGTGTGGATTCATTGAAACAAGCGAGTGCTCTCGCCGCTCACCTGGGTTTACATCATGCTGAAGCGTGATGCCGTGGCCATACATAGGAAATGGCTGGGGGTATGTTTTATGAGCGAACAAATCAGGAGCATCCACCTCAACCCTCAACCAGCTCGTGCAAGGTGATGAACTCCTAGGCGAGGAGGCCAGGTCCGGCTCTCGTTAGCTGTGCGCATCTTCAACTCAATATCGGATCCGCATTTCAGCATGACCGACCACGACTTTATGACATGTGCTGCGAAGCTGACCTAATTAATCCTGCGCATCTGTTTTATTACTCGAACGTCTCCTAGAATTCCTGTTCAGAGGTTGACCGATCAGTAATAGATCGACTTTACCCCAAGGTGAGCCAGGTCCCTCAAACGTGTATACCGCTATGCGTGCCCCGGTATCAGCGAATGCACCGTTCAAACACGGTGGCAAACTTCGCTGCCGCTCAGACAGGGCGCGATGTTAAGGAGAGCTTAGTGACGTGTTCGAATGGCCCGCATGGCATGTTTACAGTTCTAGGGGGCTGTCCAAGGATGGACTGAATTATGATCCCACAGAAATGGTTGGCTTGGCTGAGTGATCTGAATTGTTTCTTGGAGTATCTTTGCATCATTCTCTATTCCTCGGTGACATTTGCCTGCCGTTGCTTTGCTTCGCCACCCCTTGTTTCTCTCGGGCCTCCGTAGACCAGTCCGTGTTAGCAAGCCTTGGCCTTTGCAGTGCAGGACCAGCACTCCGCCACGCTGCTGTTTCCACACTCCACGTCTAATTTTGCCTCTCGGGGATACGGGCATAGGATGCGGGGCTGCAGGCTTCCTTCCAGGTCGGTGATGTTGACCGGTGTTGGGCCCGGCGCTGTGCCGTTCTCTACCCACGCGCGCAGCTGCGCAAAGAGGTTGGTTGGCGGCCCGCTCACGCCACCCCAGCAGTGGCCCAGGCCCGGAGCGTTGTAGTGCCGGTAAAAGTTGTCAATGTCAGGATGGATGGACGCTACCTCATTGTAATACTTCTCGGTGTTTTTCGGCGGGATGATATTGTCGGCCTGTTGAGCTGGTCAGTCTTGGACGTGAAGGAGTAAATCTCAATAATACACAAGAGAAGAGCACACATACAAGTCCATGGAAGCTAACCATTTTTCCTCCAGCGTCGCGGAATGCGGCAAGATCGGCGTCGTTGGCGTCTATCAGGGATCCGTACATCTGCCGACCGAGGTGCGCCAAACGGTCAAACTCGGCATGCGTGAGGTTGGAAATGTCGAATTCCGGATCTCTCGCGACGAATAGCTTGATCCAGTGCACGCCCATATCGACTGGAGCGCCAACACAGCTCCCCGTGGTGCAGTTTGTCACCGCAAGCGCAGCTTGTCCGTTTGAGCTCCTCCCCGTAAGGTCGGAACCAGGGGTGATACCGTACGACGTCTGCTTCCCGTCTGCCGTCACCGTCCCGTGCCACGTTGCGTTCGCCACAGCAGCGGCGCCGGGGCTGATTTGAACCTCACCGCCGGCCTCGGTGCAGTTGATGACGGTCCCGACGAGACCCAAGGGATCGAAATGGGCCAGGCAAGCGTCGGTGTCACCAACCACGCCGTCGACAACACCGTCTAGCCCATCGCAGGCAGACACAGCGGCGGCGGTAATCGCGTCCAGCTCGCACCCGTACGGATAGGCGCCCAACATGTTCATGAACTGTTGAGCCCACAACATGTAGGGGAAAAGCTCAGTCCACGGAGACGCGGGCGCGCCAGCTGCGATTCCGTCGTAGGCTGTCGGATAACGCTGTGCCAACATGAGGGCTTGACGGCCACCTTGTGAGCACCCGTTAAAGTAGGAGTACTCTGGGCCTTTGCCGTAAAAGCTCTTGACGAGTAATTTGCCAATGGTTGCCTAGGTACCCCTTTGTTAGTGAGAGAGCTTCTCCAGGATTTGGACAACGAAAGGCTCCCGTCAGTTGCATCACTTACTTGGTCGTTCAACGACACCGACCCCAGATTCTGCAGAAGATGCAGGTTGACATTTCCGGGAGAAAGCAAGGCCCAGGAATCTGGAGACTCTGGGAGCCCTGCGTTAGTGGTAATGGTGGCGTATCCGTCAGCGAGAGCGCCGTTCATTGCGCCGTACGAGAGGAAGAAGCCGCCGGCCACCCATCCACCGCCACCGACGGCCTGGAGTCGCCCGTTAAAGTTGTTGATGGGGAGCCACGCTTCGACGTTGACGTTGTCATCCTGTCCAGGATGGGTGTAGGACACGGTGATATTGCAGAAGGTCGCATTGTGAAGCTCTGTTGTCGGCTGGGTGAATCGATAGGCGTCAGGAACGGAGGCACTGTAGTTCGTCACAAGAGCGGCATTGATGGACAAGATTTCGGCCCCGAAAACCGAAAGGGTGCTGAATGTCTCGGGCGAACAAGCGTTGAGCAACGAGACGGACATTGTATCTGGTGTCCCGCAAAAATGAAATCGTCTGAACTGCACTGGAAACACTTGAACGCATCACTGCTGGGCCAGAGCCGTCTTTAAGCCCAACGGAAGCCTAGGTAGGTACACAAGACAATCCAGGAGGTTGCCCGGTTCAATGACAATCGTATAAGCCAAGGAAGTTAGCGAACGCTTCCCTGTCGCCAGATCGAGCCTGGCCCCATAGTCGTATTCATGACGATCCGATTGGCTATGGCGCCTGAAATCCAGAACGAGGTACCATGGAGAATCTCCATCTCATGCGGCAGTTCCGAGAATCCGAGCATGTCCCGACTCCCAAGTCATACGTGTATTGAGAGCATGAATGTCCCGACTCCCAAGTCATACGCGTATTGAGAGCACCGCCACCTGAATCGCAACAGACCTGGTACCCCGGCCGAGGCCAGACTGGAGCATAGGAGTCGGGGCTGTCGAGAGCGTTGTGGGATGCTATAGTGCGGAGAAAAGCGCACGAGGCTGTCAGACGGGTGGGTGGAATGTGAGGGTTAGTCTGGATGAACATGCCCGTACGCAAGGCTCGCCGCAAGTCAAGTCAAGTATACCTTCATACTTGACTTACTTGACTTGTGGCGGGCCTTGCCCGTACGTCGACTCGTAGCACAGCGGCCGGTACTGTGATTGATTGAACGTCCGTGGTGGCAACTCTTGCCTTTCTGACCATCATTTTCCTCGATGAAATCTCGAGCAGTGTTGAAAGAATCCCCCGGCTTCCAAAGTTCACTCGTTGCTGCGAGCGGCTGAGCACCACTAACCCAATCGAGGAAACGGGGCATTCACGCAGCTCCGCCAATAACTCGCGACCTACCTAGGTAACCATGGCCTCGACAAGGCTCCGTCGATTTCCAACTGGAAATCCCCTCTCTCTCCCCGCACCGCGCGAGGACGGGGCCAACGATACCTCCCGCGATGGACAGCATCCACACGAGGGAAACCGCTGAGGGCTTGGTTGTCCTCCGCAACCCAGAAAGGGCAGAGACAGAGTAAGTGGGCTTCCATTTTGTTCACCGCCAAACCCGTTCAGGTGCCCGGCACCCCATAGGAGGCAAGCGCTAATTAATAGTCTTTCTCCTGCAGTATCGTCTTCATTCACGGCTTAGGTGGCCACCCTTACAAGACTTGGGCGTGCCCTCGGCGAAAGAATACCCCCATCGGCGTTCCACGCAACACGAACCAGGCCTCGTCTGATATCCGGTCCGAGTTCCCCGATAGCCGACGTTATTTTGCTCGTTTATTTGCCAAGATCGGATGTGGGGATGGGGATGCGGATGGGAGTGTTGCTGTCGACACATGCAGCGAACCGCCGAGGCGCCTTGCATCCGAGGACGGTCCTCGCGACGCAACCAGCGGCAACGAAGATGTTTACTGGCCACGCGATCTTCTGGGGGACGAAGGCCACTGTCGCAACGCGCGAATTCTCACATACGGCTATGATTCCAAGGTTACGAAAGGGTTCAGCAGCACCAACCAGAACGATCTATTCGCGCACGCCAAGGACCTGCTCTACGCGCTGCAACGGGAAAAGCCTGCGAGAAGGCCGGTGATTTTCGTGGCTCATTCGCTGGGCGGCCTGCTTGTCAAGGAAGCACTTCGCCGCTCCGAGTCTTCGGAAGAGGCCGAGTTCAAGGACATTGTGAAGTCTACCAAAGGGGTCATTTTCCTCGGCACACCGCATAGGGGCAGTCCAGGAATGGCCGATCTTGGCCAGACAGTTCGAACCATTGCCAGCACCATCCTGAGGGTGGACTCAAACGCCGCTCTTCTCCGAGCCCTCGGGACAGACAGTCCAGAGCTGGAACTTGGGAGGGAGTCCTTCACGACGCTGTGGCGAAAATATAACTTCCGCGTGAAGACTTTCCAGGAGGCGTGGGGCATATCCGGCGTGAACGCTGGGCCCCTGAATAAAAAGGTTGTTCTGGATACATCATCCACCCTGGACGATCCCAGAGAACATGCCGAAACAATATCGGCAAACCACATGAACATGTGCAAATTCGAAACAAGACGTGATGCTGGCTATCGGAAGATTGCGTTTGAGATCGGATCCATGATAGCGTCGGGTAGGATTGGTAAGCTAACCTCACACCCAACCAGGCAGAATCCCCCCTGGTAGTGTATTATGCGTTATTTAACCGTCATTCTAGTCCCCCATATTAGTGATGATGGGCAAGGTATGACAGCATGCTCAACAGTGGACAATACACCTGGTTCTAACGATGGTTAAAGCCTTTCTGGCCTCGCTAGCTTTCGCCGAGATGAATAACAGATTCGGCAACATCCAAAGAGCTCTGGATGAGACTTGCGGCTGGCTGTATTCTACCAATCAATACAATGACTGGATCAACAACGCGAATGTTACCAAGGACCACGGCCTCCTTTGGATTAAAGGGAAGCCTGGCTCTGGGAAATCGACTCTCATGAAGGACGCTGTGCGTCGAGCCAGGCGCCTGTATGACGGCACTCAGACCACCATTGCCGCTTTCTTCTTCAACGCACGGGGAACAGGACAGCTCGAGAAGACTCCTTTCGGTCTCTATCGGTCTCTGCTCTACCAGGTCCTTTGCCAGGACTCGTTGGCGCTCGATCATTTATGCCCAATATTTATGCAGAAGGCCATGTTCTGTCCAACTGTGACATGGCATCAAGAAGAACTGCAGGATCTGCTGTTACACGTCTTCACAACCTGCGAGTCGAGGCCGGCCATTCTCTTCATTGACGCCATGGACGAATGTAACGACGACGAGGTCAGAGACCTGGTTCGTTTCTTCAAAAGTATCAGCAATAAGGCTTGCCATACTGGCGCCAGCCTCAAGATTTGCTTCTCCAGCCGGCATTATCCTCACATATCCATCAATGGATGCCCCGAGGTCGTCGTCGAGAAACATAACCGAGCCGACATCTTACGCTACATCGTTGCCGAGGCCGAGGACAACCACTCCATCGCGGACCTCAAGGACGAAATTTTCGAAAGGTCCTCTGGCGTTTTCCTTTGGGTAGTCCTCGCTATCGCTATGCTAGGGCAGTATGGCCGGGGCAAGTCATTGAAATTGCTGCAGCAGAAGTTGCGGGAAATACCCCCGGAACTTAGCACCCTCTTCCGATCCCTCTTTACGAACCAAGATGCCACCGAAACCGAGCGTGCGGTTCGCCTCATGCAGCTAGTCCTGTTCAGCATGCAGCCTCTGACCCAAAACCAAATCCATCAGGCCCTGGCATTCGGGGGGACTTGCTATCACTCCCTTGCAGCATGGAAGGAGTCGGTGGAATATCTCGAGACGCGTGTAAAGATGCACGAGATGATCCTTGACCTCTCCAGGGGCCTTTTGGAACAGGCTCCGAGCAGCGCAAGCCGCGATCCAACTTACCAGTTCATCCATGAGACCGTACGCGAATTCTTTCTCCATGGCAACGGCTTCAGCTTGCTCCATTTCAGTTCGAGGTCCATTGTCGGGAGTGGCCATTCCATGATGACCACCTGCTTCGTAAATTACCTCGAGATACGTGAGCTTCGATCGGCCACGCCAACCAAATCCAAGCTTATAGGGCACGACCCTGACCTTGCACTGCTTGCTTACATATCCGCGCACATCTTTGACCACATCGAGGGAGCGGAGGAGCAGGGGATATCACAGGAGGGCGTTTTGCGTCGTCTTAGCGATGACACATGCGAACTACTACGACGGCTAGAGGCATCGCCGTTGGTAACACGTTACAAACCCGGATCGACTATCCTCGTGGCAGCTGTCGACTTTGGGGTCGTCAAAACAGCGGACCGGATCTTGAGGATGGGATTTTCGGTCAACGAGCCAACCGTAACACCGCTCGGGTACGCCCTACATACCGCCCTAAGCGGTCCCCGCCAACTTCACCGGGTGCAAGGTGACAGAGGCTCCTAGTCCATATATATTATTCGCGGATCTACTCAACTCGAAATGGTTGACATGCTACTTCGGAATGGAGCCGACGTCTCCTTGAAGAACCAGTTCGGGCAAACACCGCTACACATCGCCGCTACCAGGAGCGCCGATCTCGTGTTGGCCGTGCTAGATAAGAAGCCGAACGTCAACGCACAGGATATTGACAGGGAGACGCCGCTCCATCGAGCGGTTCATAGCGGCTACTATTATCGTCAGATTGTTGAGATTCTGCTTTCACACGGCGCTCGGGTGGACATTCCGGATCGTCGAGGCGAGACCCCCTTAGATGTAGCCTCCCGGAGCGGCGTCCTTTTCCGAGATGTAACTAAGAGTGCGGTGTCGGTCTGCGAGTCGGTCGCGAAGCTGATAGAGGAGCATGTAAGAAAGTCGGGATGTGGTAATTAACTAGTTGCCTCCTCTGTATATCCCCCTTCTTCTAGTGCCATACCCTCATTTCCATATAAATCCTAACATCCCTCGGTTCAGGTCAAGCAGGTGACACCCGCAACCCATACGACGTTCGCCCGGCCAAAGGGCAAACCCCGACATTTTGCCGTCTGAAAGCCTGGTCCGCATGATCAGAACGGCCCAACAGCCCGGGGTCAGATCCCGGTGATTGGCTGGAAGACATGCCGGAACGTTCCCTTGGACCCCTCTTTGCTTCATGGTTCCTCGGAGGCTGAAACGACAACTGCCAGTCCTTCCCAGAACATCTCACAAACGTATCCATCCAGCCTAGGAGAATCCCAAGATACAGCATCCCACTACAGCCATGTCCACCAACAATGGAAGCCTCGACGAGTTCACATCGAAACCCATATTTTGGGTACTGGGATTCCTAACGATCGTCTCCTACATCGTCACAATCCGCAACGAAATAGCAGTCAACCGTTACAGAGCAACATTAATATCTTATGACGCGGAGACCATCATGATTCTGGCGTTCTTTTCAAATATAAGATGGCTCATACCTTATACCACTTCGCGACCACGGAAGTTACTGTTTGCGTTTCTTTATCTCGGCGTCTTTGGGATGCACGTCTTGATGCTACGCTGGGTTGGGATTACGGGGTGGAGATGGATCATTAAGGTCACGTTCGACTTCTGGCCGGCTCAGGGACACTGGCTGAGACAACTTGAAGATTATTTCGATTTTCTCGTATTAACCCTAATCTTGTTTTTTATAGTGGTTAGCGCTGTTTGTCTTGGGGTGGTGATGGCTTGCTTCCAGCTGACGTGTGTCTATGAGTTGATCACGTACGAACCTGATGTTGGGAGGAAAGAGAAGTGAAAAAAGAGGGGAGGGTTTTCTGTTCATTATAAGTAAAAACAATCAACTAGCGAATTTAACCCGCGAAAGACCCGGGGATCGTCTAGATTGTAGCCCGAAAGCCGATAGACTTATGGAAAATAATCACGCCTGTGTGACAGTTCCTGTCCCGGGGACCCCGAATGGCCCGCTCATAGTCAACTGCCCTCTGCCTACCTAGTGACAATCTAAAACTTGTTCCCTTTAGTTGTAACCAAATGAACTTGAAAGGGTAGGTTCAATTCGGGTCGGCTCAAATCGCGACCCCATTCCTCCAAAACGCCTCGGGTAGTGGCTAGCGGCAGGTGCGAGTTTCTAGCAAAGAGCGGGAAAGAACGACTGGCACCGTGAAAGACTTTTCACCACCTCGAGTTTGGCCACCGTGACTTGGTCATACCACACCACTGCAATTTCCTTGCGACCCGACATTCCACAAAGCTGCAGGAACTTCCACTCGTTTTCTCCCATCTCAATATTTTCCAGTTACAAGTACCACAACTCGGGTCTCACCAGAAACAAATCCACCGACCTTACCCATCTTCCGCTCTTTCGTTTCCACCGACTCTCACTTCCCGGATTTCCCCAATCCTCCTTCACCAACTGCGAGCCACGTTTGAACTAGGAACCTAATTTCCAGCATCGGCCGCCACCCAGTAAGTTTCATCGTCATTATCGTTGACAGTCGGAAAGTCTGTTGCAACCATCTGTCTTTCCCCTGGCTCGCGAGGCTAAGGCCGCCGACCGGAGCGATGGAAACCGGGAGATGTGACCATGTCGAACAATCGGCGACAATACACTGCCCACAGGCACAGGTTTTGGCATAACTGACGTAAACCTCTGCAGAACATCTAGCAAATACCGAACAGTTGAGCCATCAAGATGTTCTTTAGCCGTGTCTCTTTCGCGGTGGCCGCCGTTTTCTTTGGTGCCGCCGCCGCTATCGACAACGGTGCCGCCTACCTCGACCAGCGTGACGCGCTTGTTGTGCGCAACGGCGAAACGATCACGGTTACTGTCTCGGAGCCTGCCACTGTCACCGTCACTATCGCGGGCGCCTCTCCCTGCGAGTCGGACCAGGACACGGAGACGGTGGGCTCCAGCACCACCCCGATTGAGACCTACACCACTTCGTCCATCGAGACGTACACCACGTCCACCGAGACGTCGACAAGCACATCCACCGCGACCATCCCCGGCACCTCGTCGGTGACCTCTACGGTTTCGACGGTCCCCGACGTCCCCAGCAGCGCCGAGGTCTCGTCGTCGGCGACCACCACCCACACTCACCCCACCACCGCCGAGGTGTCCACGACGGATACTTCGACGACGGCGACCCCCACCACGACCGTCAATGGTGCGGGCAACAACAAGGCCAATTTGGTGGGTGGCGTTGTCGCTGGCGGCGCCGTCGCGCTCGCTTTGGCCATGGCCTAAGATGGTTGGGCCTCTCTTCGGACCCTTCCTAGCCTTCTCGTTACCAAGACATGATGGGCAGGCGGGGTGAACGGACGCAAACATTCCTTTATGTTTCCACCGTTTTCTTTTGGCATTTGCTTATGGGCCACGGTTCGGTTGCCTGGATGAAGCGCGAGAGGGTGGAGGTAATGCGTGGGGAAGGGAGGGTTAGGGAATCTTGCTATTTCTTATGTCATTTCATTTCATCACGGACCCAGGGTTGCTATCGAAACGGGGACGAGTTTACGCGAGTAAGGCGGCGGAGAGTAATGGTGCCATAGGCTCGCAATTGACACAGACTTCACTCTGTCCTTGATCCTGCAAAATTGAGGGTGCCAATGACACGATTGCAGTTGCTGGCTCCCATCGCTGGCCCGATGCTTCGCCGGACGAGAGTTGGCGAGCACTGACGGCGACCACTCACAGACCCCGACGGGATGGAAAGGTGGGGATTGAGAAGCTGGCTTCATTGGATGCCGCGTGATTTAAGCGGGGCAAACCTGCATGAGGGAAACGACGACAAGCGGCCTCGCTTCTCTTGTTGGAGATGGTTTTGGGGGCGGCCGATGTCATGGTGGGCTCGGTGAGTTACACAATAATGCAGCTGACGGCCGAACCAGATGGGTTTCCATTGTTGATGTCCCCACATTTCTAGCAGCCTTGCATAGGACACAGGGGTGTGATCAGTCAGTGGAAAGAAAGGAGGGTGTCGAGGGAGTCGGAGGACAAGTTCAGTCATTGTCTAGGTGTATATAAAGGGTGTGGTCCATGGCTCCCCTCTCAGTCTTCTACCTCAGTTCGACACCTTCAGAACCGACATCCGAGTCTAACAAGTTACAACCCAGACCCTCTCACTCTGTCATTGTGTTTCTCTTGTCTCTAAATTGCACCTATTTTTCTCAAACACAACATCTCACCTCTCGCCTCGCTCACAAGTCACCCGTCACCATGGCACCCCCATCCATCTCCATCAAGCTCCTCCGCCCCAGCGCCCTCCAACTCAGCGCTGACGAACCCTGCATCCTCGAGATGCACATCCCCATCGCCCTCCCCCACCGCCTCGACCCATCCCTCCCCGCGCCCCCTTACCACACCGGCACAATCCTGCCGCACGACTTCCGCGACCGCCACGCCATCTCCGTGTTCCGGCCCCTGATGGCCCAGGTCCTCGCCCACATGCTGGGCAGCGCCAGCGCCAGCTCAGACCCAGACGCGGACCCGGCCGCGGAGCATGTCGCCGCCGCCAACGCCGCCGTGTCGAGGCTCGGATTCGACGTGGCTACTAGCCCGAGCGACTCGTACCGGCTGTTTGATAGCTGGGAGGCCGACACCGTGTTTGATAAGGAGAGTGGCTTTGATCTGGAGCGGGGGTATTGGAAGAATAAGAAGGGTGAGAAGCATCGGGGTGTGATTCGGGCGTTTGATGATGTTTTTGATCGTATTATTATTTACCATACGTTTGTGTTGCGGTTGGTTTGTGGGACCGGCGAGGCGGCGGCTTGGAAGGAGGCGAATCCGAGGGTGGTGAGGTTTGATGTGGTGCCAGTGGAGGAGGAGGAGGAGGGTGATCAGGGTTGGGATGGGGGAGAGGTCGTGTTTGAGGTCAAGGAGTACACGGAGAACGCGAGACGGAGGGTTAATGCTGAGGTTGCGATGCCTATGGCTGATTGGGGTGCTCCCGAGGCTCCTGCCACTGAGGGCGCGTAGGGAACTTTTTGTCTTTTTCCCCCTTTCCTTTCTTTCCCTGCTTTGTTCCTTGTCCCCTCCTCCCCCCTATTTATCCTCTAGGGAAGGCACTTGGGTTTTGCTTGTTTGTAAGTTTAGCAATCTGCCACTAATTGATCTCTCTGCAAGTACTCTATGAATTTACACACGACCGGCGTGCTTTTATCGACAGCCCGCTATCAAATGACGCAATCTCTCTAAAAGCTGACAGGGGACACGGTCAACGTGCAACCCGCGTCCCCCCTTTCCTCGCCCCAATGCCATGGAATAAGCCTTAAGTGACAGCCCAACAAAAGGGGATCCGAACCCGCAGTTTCCCTCCCGCCGTCTTGTGACCCACCCAAATCTCAAGTCTGGTGCCAACATGCTTAACGCATAATTCACCTAACGGCGCCGCGCGCCCTGCCCACCCCGGGCACCCGGCGCACTCCGGGCAGCCGGCGAACCCCGCGAGCCATTGCTACCCCCCTCCCAGCTAATATACTAGTCCATAGTGTGCTTGGAGCAGTATTCATTGGTCTTCCGAATCGACGTGTTCTCTGGAGTCATGCGGCACTGGACTTTGGCCCTGCAGCCGGCCTTATCGCGCTTGTACCCGTCGGTCCGGCATCCGCAGGCGTACTCGAGGTAATAGTAGTAGCACATGGTTAAGTACTGAGCTGGTTTTGAGGCGGGGAAAGATGTAGAGTGTTTATGTGGTAGTGGTGGTGGGGAGTGAGGATCTCCTAGGGGTTGTTCTTGCATCGTTCGTTTGGGTGTTTGTTTGCTTGAATGAATGCTGCTGAAGTTCGAGTTGTTAACCGTGTGATGATGAGCAAAAAAGACTGAACCATGATCTCAAGGGGCTTTAAATACATGGACCGGCTAAGAGATACCCACCATATGCTTCACAAAAAGGACCTGGCCATCAACATTGTCACCAGCGCCAGAAGTCAGGCCGTTGACCTCCTCGTTAGCCGTTGTCCAAGGCTCGAAACGTGGCCGAGGTTGATGACCGCCCCGGATCGAACTTGAAGCATCTCAGTGCCAGCAGCCATAGCGAGGAGGATGTATCATGTGGAAGCATTTTGATATCCAAAGGACTCAATACTGTTTGGGAACAAAGCCCAGGGGGCGGCGCGATCCTTAAGAATAGTAGCAACCTGAAGCCAGGCCTGACCAGGTCGGTCGCTCAGTGTTGTCTGGGGCCGAATTTGCAGGCATTTGGATCAGGGTGTTGGCGAAATTGATGGGACCTTAAGCACTCCCTGCCCTCCACTTCTCACCCTCCCCCCCGAAACCTCCTACTCCCGCCCCCTAGGGCGATCTATCACACTAGTCTTTGCGTCTGCGTGCGACACTGGCCCTGGCCGTGGTCCAGTCCCTGGAGCTAACAAAAAAAGAAACAGAAAGAGGCAAGCAAGTTGGCATCTTGAACGGCTCAAACTCGGCCGCGCCTCGTAGACGTGAGACGGGAGTAACCGACACGGTTGGAAGGACTAGTTACTAGCAATGACCAAAAGCCGTGGACCGTCTCCCGGGCCAGAGTTGAACGGTCGGCCCGTGGCAGGCTCGGGGGGGGGGGGGGCTCTCAGCCCCTCTGTACCGCTTGTCACGAGAGAATGAGAGAGTGCGTGCCCCGGACCTCAAAGCATACGGAACATGTGGATTCAGGGGTAGGTATGTTGAAGACGTGAGGTAGATAACACGATATTCACTACTTCTTAGGTGGTTTGGGCCTGAGGGCTCAGATGGCTTGACTGAAGATGGGCTTCGGCAGCAATTCATGCAGACTTCGAGACTGTTGGCTCGACCCAGTTGGCGAGTGGTTGATGATTCGAAGGTTTTGGTTCTGTGCTACTCCGTGTAACCACAGTGTTGGGCTCCGTTAATAATAATGCCAGGCTGCAAGGCAGATGAACCCCAAGACTCGCCGAGTCACCGTCTGGAAATCTGGGCCGCGGGATCCGGAATCCCCCCTCAGATTTTAAGACGACGTTGAGAGACAGCGATGCCTGTGACGAGAGTTATGAGCAAATCGATGAGGGCTAGGACTGGTTTGACCCGACTTGGGATAACCTTTTTGGGTTTGAGGTCAGGTTTTCATTGAAGAACTTTTCTGCCCTTGAGATTCTCGAGCTCGAAGAGCGTCTGTTGTACGGGCCGGTGTTTGAGGACTTTGACAACGTGGAGAGCGACAGAGTAGAGACTCCCATATTTCTTCTGCTACTGCTCAGTGTACATGGTGATATTTGTTTCTTTATTCTTCTGGCTATGTCCAACCACCCATCGCACATTACCCCCCTACCTACCCTACTGGACGACTCGACTTGACTCGGCCATCCCCTTCCCAATTAGCCCCCACTCCCCCCCTGGTAGGCACCTCGCTCATATTCTCCGGTTCACTTCACTGCCTCCTGCCTACTACCTGACCTCGACAAGCCCCGCCAAAGCAAGCCCCCCCACCCAATTATCAGAACCCCACAGACAACCTCACAGCAACAGATCCCCATTCCCCGCCACCCCCTGCGCAGCCGGCTGGTACACGGTCTGCGGCGCATACTGGTTAACCACATACCCCGCCGCCTCACCACCATTCCCCCCGAAACTGTCGCCCAGCTCCTGGATCTGCATGCCGTGCATCTGCTGGGTAGCAAAGTACGCGTCGGCGTCGCTGACGGCCTGCGCGAGGTCACCACCACCACCACCGTTTTGTGCCCCCGCAGACTGGGCCGGGTTGTAGTCGCGGCCCGTGCGGGGGTCGAAGTCGGCGGGCTGGCCGCCGAGCCCCAGCTGGCTGAGGCTCTTGTTGGCGTCGGACTGGAGCCCGGGGGGCGCGGCGGCGGTGGGGAGGTCGTGGCGCTGCAGGGCGGGCGAGTCCTGCAGGCGGCGGGGGCGGGCGTTGCGGAAGACGGTCTGGACGGGCTTGAGGTAGACGGTGGCCAGCGTGCCGACGTTGAGGCACATCTCCTCGAGCGTGACGGCGTCGAGCCGCTCCGACTCGGCCGTGATGGCCGGCTTGTCGCCCATGACGACGCGGCGCGCCGCTTCCATGTCGGTCGAGAGCAGCCGCCAGTACATGTAGGCGCGGTCGCGCAGGTCGGGGTTGTCGGTTTCTTCGGTGGCCCATTTGAGGACCTTGGGCACGAGTTCCTGGCCTTTGGTCGGCCGCTGGATGAAGAGCTTGACGGTGGCGGTCAGCAGGGCGAGTTGCACCTCGACGGGCTCTTCGGCGAAGGTGAAGAGGAAGTCCTCGAGGAGCGCGTCCGAGTTCTCGATGCGGCTGGCGTATTGCCCGATGACCCATACCATGGCCGCCTTGGCCTCGGGCTCGTCGAGTGAGTCGAGGTGCTCGCAGAGCGTGCCGATGATGCTCTCATACTGGTTAGGGTACTTGCGGAAGATGTTGCGGATTACCACCGTCGCCTCCTGCACGATGTACGTGACCTTGGTGGCGACGAGTTCCAGCAGCAGGTTGATACACCGCCGCGCGGCGGGCTCAATTTTGATGGCCAGTTTGCCGATGGCGCGGACGGCTTTGCGGACGAAGTGCACATCGATCTCGGTGGCGTATTCTCGAAGCTCGGTCAACACTTCGTCAATGTTTTTCTCATTGGCGAGCATGAAGATGAGCTCGAGCTTGGTGACCTTGACGTAGATGGGGTCGTTGTATTTGCAAAAGAAGACGCGGATGTCGTTGCGGAGCACCTCGGGTCGCCGCTGGAGGATGAGCAGGGCATTTCGGAGGGCCAGGTACTGCACCTCGGGTCCCTTGGCGAGCAGTGTGACCAGCGGTGGTGACAGTTTCCGGCAGAGGGCGGCGATCTGTTTCTGGTCGGCGATGTAGTTCATTAGGTAGAGAATTACGCGAATGCAGGTGAGCACGACGGCCGAGTTGGAGTGTGAGAGGCGAGGGGCGATGCGCTCAGCCAGGAGCGCGGCCTCGCCGGATTCTTGCGGCACGTAGGACATGAGGGCTTCCAAAATGTAGGTTTGACCCCATCTAATACACGTCAGCTCTATACCATGGAGAAGTTAAGACAGGGCGCATACTCGGAGCAATCCGGCAAGATGGCAACCATCTTGGAGGCGTTGCTATAGTCGATGGTGAGTTTGATGGCGTCGCTCCGTTCCCAGATGTCCATCAATCCCGCCAGCGCGCTTGCTACCACGGTTGGATTGTCGTCCCTCAGCAGGCCGTTTAACCTGTCGATAAGGTCCGACTTCTCTACCATGTGGCGGTCGTGATCGTACAGCTTCGCCACACAATATGCCGCCGTCTTACGCACGTACGGATCCGGGTCTCGGAGCAGCTGTTTGACGATGGGCACGGTCGCCTCGACAAATTCTCGTACGTGGATATAAGACATGGTTCGTAGGGCGAGTGCCCGCACGAGGGGGTTGTGGTCTTGCATGTCCTAGAGAGGATGAGCATGCGCACGCGGCACAACGGGACCAACAGCAGGTACTGACATGTTGCAACACCGGAATGGCTTTTACCGCCACGTCCGGGCGCATCCTGGCGTAGTTGACGAGGAAGAGAAAGCACCTAGCGGTCTTATCAGTATTGCCTGGTATCCATGATTCGGGTGGCGGTTAGTCGTATCCCTCTTACATCTTCTTGATCTCGAGGTTTGGAATGTTCATGCAGCCAACAATATCGGGGAACAGCGCGACCATATCGTTGTTGCTCATGGTCATGTTGGCGACAATCTTCTTGAGGGCGATCTTCTTGGCGGTGAAGTGCTTGTCCTTCTTGCCGCCGCTATTCAGCTCGAAGCGCAGCTCGGCGACTTTGCCCTGTGGTAGCGCCCGCATTGGTGAGTGAACAGACGGAGGGATGTATGCGAGAAACATGGTGACGGCGGTCGGGGGGACCTGGGGAGGAAGCTCATGGTGTCCGTGGACGAGGAGGGGGTTGTCGAATGGAAGATAGGTCGGCGCGGTGGGAAGCAGGAGTGCGCCGGCGCGTGAGTGTAGGATTGTTAGGGAACAAGGGAGGGGGGAAGAGAGGGCGGTTCGCCAAGAAGGGGGTGTGCATATGAGGGGCAGCGAGGCTGGTCGATATCAAAAGAAACCTGGAAGCTGGTGTCCGGATTTGGAGGCTTGATTCTTCCCCGCAGTCCCCCGCGACGCCCATCATGTATGTACAAGGACGGGAGAAACAAGGAAAGCAGATAAGGGGCATGGGCTTACCCGAGCGAACAGCTTCGAGTCCCCTCCTCCCTGAGCGGTCGCCATGTTTCGTGCTTGTTCTCAACAACTTAGGGTATCGTTGTGCAATGCGGTACAAGATGTTGCGTTCGTTCGGGTGAGCTGGTACGGCGGTCTCGGCGCCGAGTCTTCGAAGTGTGTCGAGTTTGGGACAGATGGGGGAGATGGTTACGACTCGCACGAGCCTTTGGCGCCGGCGCAACAGCGCCTTATTTTCGGAGCGGGTGGTCAAGGTTGGTATCGAGATGGCTGTTCGGCTTGGTGTCACATGTGGCGTTGTGTTTCTCGCTCGATGCCCAAAGTAGTCGTCGTCGGTCGCGTTGCTTACTCGAGCGCGTCGCTATCGGGATTAGCGCGGGATGGTCGAGGTGCCGAATGGTTGAAATCGTTTCCGCTTCTCGTTGAGGTCTCTGGTTTGCGTCAATGGCTGACGGCGCGGTCGAGCGAGGGAGTTGACGTTGCCAGACTCCAGCAAGGTTCAACAGGGGAAGGCCCAGGGATTTCGGTGATCGGAACCCCAGCGTGGGTCTGTCCCCTGAAAATTGCACCAATTCCGCAACGGCGCGACTGGTGGGGCACCGGGGGACCACAACGGTCCCACTGGCACGGGAGCAAGCGGGTTTGCCAAGCAAGCGCGAGGCTGGACGCCAGCGGACGCCAGCGGACGCCAAACTTGACCTCACCTTCGCGTTTCGTTGTTTCTCGACCTCGATTTCATCGCATCAGCCAATTGCGCCGAGCGCGAACCACATCGCACAATGTCCGCCGTCGCAACCAATTCTCTGCCCACGTGGGCAGAAGGTCTCCAGAACCCGCCGGCACACAAGTCGAAGCAGGCCGGGATTCCCGACCCCCCGGGGTACCCTTCGTCGCAATCGCCGTCCGGCTCCAAGGTAGAGCTCCCGCTGTCTCTGCATCCGGTGTCAGTCCATTAGATGCATCGCTAACGCAAGCGCTCGCAGAAGAAGGATGCCAAGGACAGCAAGACCGCCCCGCGAAAGGCGCCGACACCCGAGGAGATGGATACGTTGAAGCTCAAGAAGGCCTGGGAGGTGGCGTTGGGCCCCATAAAGAGCCTTCCTATGACGGGCATCATGATGTACATGTCGGGAAACTCGCTGCAGATCTTCAGCATCATGATGGTGTTCATGGCCTTCAAGAACCCCATCATGGGCATTCTGGGCACCAACCAGGCCTTCGAGCGTTTCGAGACGGAGAGCAACCGAGCCAAGATGCTTCAGGTCAAGCTGGCGTACGTGGCCATGCAAGCGGTTGCGTTGGCACTCGGGATATGGAAGATCAACGGGATGGGGTTGCTACCGTACGTATGCCGGCATATCGCGAAGATAGACGGATGGCTGACTGTGGTTACAGAACAACGAGATCGGACTGGCTTGCCTGGGAATCCCAGCGCGAAGCCGTGGAGCATGCGGTGTCGGCGTTATAGAAGAGAGACATGGGAGAATGGAAGAAGCAGCATGTTTGGACATATCATACCCATAGAGTGAGCTGCGCAAGGCCGGCTAGTTCAGGGGTTGCATCCCGCAGTTTTCCGTAATCGGTGAACCACACCATCCCATCGCTTGAATATCCTCCGACCCATCTTGGTGCCAGGAAATTTGTGTGGTAGCAATGAACAAGGGCCACTCGAGAAAACATGAAGAGAATATCATCACGCGCAGCAAAATGACTGCTTGACCCACAATTGGGGGCGGTTGCCGAGGCTAGCCCTGAGCCTTCCGCTGTGCCGCTCCGCATGAGTCGGGCGCATGCAAACCTGACTTTAAATACCACGAGGTCGAAGCTCGGCAATGGCCGAAGGATTGGTCCGGTATGTATGTATGTACATACTGTGATACTTCAGATGAATAGACGCAGGAATCTATCAAAAATACCCACTCAAAGAAGCTCGCTCTTGCGGTTTGACTCAATTTTTGTCTGCTTGGCCGAGTCATGACTCAGATTGGAGTTCGGTAACGATGGAGCTCTTGTCCAGAATGGAACATTTCCCGGGTTTCCAGGGTTTGTTGGTCTGCACGGATCTTGTGTTCAGAATAGAAATTTGGGAGAATTGGTTTGCCCCACTCTGGTCTGACTGGGCATAGGTTGCTGGGCTGTGTTTGCTGGTGGATCCTCCTGATCGCCAGTCTCGAAACCCACGCAGCCCTGCGTGACTGTTCGCTCACTCCGCTTTCTGGCCCTGCATTCAAGGCCGAATCCTTTAGGATTCCGCACTGCCTTGGCGGCTCGTCTCAACTTGTGCAAGACCGCTGCCCATGGTAGGAGATCGGAGGGAAGGTTTTCAAAACTGGGCCTCGAGTCGCTGTCTCTCTGCACGAGAGCCAACCACTGTTGGGGGCCAATGCGACCTTCACGCCACTCCCGTCGGTTATGGGCCGCGGGAGTGTGGGTGGGACATGCCCAAGTTTGCACCTTTTTTTAAAGGCCCAGTCGGTTACCGGTGATCTTTTCATTGGACAAGACGGCTCGACGGCCACGGCTGGGTAGGATTGAGTGGCCTGGGCCTCCACCATCCAAGGCAGCAGCATGGAGCCGCCGAGTCTTGAGCAGTTCTTGAGCCTTATAATAGTGAGGATGCCGTGGGCTGGTCCACTGGTCCGGTCCGTCGTCTACCCTAGTTGAGTCCACCTGAAAAAGCTTACTAGGACTCGAAGAGTGATACCCTCGTACCGCTAGGACTAGACGAGATTTCCGAGGCACCCACTTCTCAGTACCTTATCTCTCCCATACATAAACAACATTCCCTCCCGTCTATCTCTATTGATCCCTCGTCGTCTTCTACCGGAAACAACACACACCTCTTCTTGACTTTGAGACAAGAACCGCGACAATGCTTCGACCCATCACCCACGGCCTCCGCGGCCTCTCGGTGCGTCCCACACTCACCCCCTGCCTCGCCGTCCACCCCAACCGACAACATCTCGCTAACTCGGACCGCGTTTAGTTCCTCATGGCTCTCGTCGTCCTGGCCCTCGCGGCGAACCTGATCGCGATCCAGGTGTACGGGACGCCGCCCGTGACGACGCGCTACTGCACCTTTACGGGCGGCTTCGGCATGATCGTGGCCGCCGTGACCACCGTGTGCACCATCTTCCTGTCCTCCACCGTACCGGAGCTCGTCCCCATCGTGCTGGACGGCCTGGCGGGGCTCTTCTTCCTCGGCGGCGGCATTGTACGTTTTATTTCCTTTTTTCTCTTTGCTTTTCTTTTTTTTCCCTTTCCTCTTCTTTTTCTCTTCTTTTTCTTTTCTTTCTTTTCACTCCCTCCCCCCGTCACCCCCTTCCTCCCCCTTTACTACCCAGACCAACCAAACTAACTACCCCCACCCCCCTCACAGGCATGGGCCTACAGCCTCAAAGACACGGCCAACTGCAGCAACTACGACCAGATGCTCCTCAACCCGCTGCTGAACCAGGGCTCGCTGACGGTCGGCGACCGGACGGCCTACGGCGTGGTGGGCAGCGACGACGACGTCGAGACCGTCATGAACCGCCTCAAGGGCAACTGCCAGCGCGCCCAGGCCGACGAGGTCATCCAGTTCATCTGCTTCGGCATCGGCATCGCCCTGGTCGCCATCGGCCTGGTGCAGATGCGCCGGGGTCTTGGGGGCGGCGCGAGGCGAACCGGCGCGTATGTGTAGGTTCGTTCGTTCGTTGGTGAGAGGTAGTGCGGCGGGGGATTGGGGGCCGGGATTGGGTTGGAATTAGGGGCTGGGCTTGGGTTGGCGCTGATAATAACGGGAGCGGCAATGGAAGAGGGCTTGGACTTGACGTTAATGACTTTGGGAAGCTTGGATGGATGAATGAAGTTCGTGATACCAGGGTAGTTAGATACCACAACACAGCCACACATAGCTGGGACGTAATAGAAAGAGGAAATCATTAATATCGGGTATCCTACATGGCTAACAAAGCAAACTATTCCGACCGGAACCAACATGACCCATCCATCTTTCGTCATCCCATCGTCTCCCTTTCCCCGCCATCTCCGACATCCTGTCATCTGCCGCACATAGGTATCGTTCCCAAGACATCCCAGCCACCCTCCAGACATCATCATCTCCCCCCAGTATAAACCCACATCATCTAGACCGACATAATAAACGCCACAAACAACCCCCCCTAAAAGGCCTCTATCTCAGCCCATACCCTGATAACAACCACCCTACCGCCGCACACTACTAGCAACACTACTCATCGTGTCACTGATCTTCGTCCCCCAATCCCCAAACCACTTGGGCACCTCAATGCTCATGCGCACCCGCCCCTCAACAATCATATTCACCAGCCCAATAACGGCAAACGTCGTGCTCCCCAGGGCACGGAACACAGCCAAGCCCGCGACCGACCACAGAATAAAGCGCAGGTAGAAGTTATCACCGATAGAACTGCCCCCATAAGCCTCGCTGGCGCCCATAGCCAGCGTAGCATTCGCAATCAACCAGGTAACGACGACGTAGGTGCGGACGCTCTTGTAGTAGTCCTGCTGCAGCTGCTCGTCCGAGATGCCGGGGGGCGGGACCTCGACGCGGTCGCGCAGGTTGCGGAGGGCCTCGTCGTAGCCCGAGTCGATGTCGAGCTGCTCCGACGGCATCTCCAGCTCGACGGTGCTGCCCTGGCCGATGGCGCCGCCGAGGTCCGTCTTCATGACGTTGTCGCCCTTGGTGCCCCACGTGACGTCGTGCGTGTTGCAGAAGGCGTAGATCTGCAGGGTGCAAATGTAGGACGGGAGCAGGATGAGGTACTGCAGGAAGGAGGTGAACATGTGCCACGGGTCCAGATAGAGAAAAGACATAAAAAAGTACAGGCCCACGGTTGATGCCGTGGACACGATCAGGTTGGTGAAGGTGTTGTTGCCCATCGAGATGCTCGAGTCCTCGTCAGCGTCGTCTTTCATAGTGAATTGGCGGACGACAACGTAGATACAAGCGAACAAGGTGTAGGCCATAATGACGGCGTAGATGATCATTGAGGCCAGGTACATCTTCTTGGCACCCTGTGGCCGGTTGCCGAGCGAGAGGATGAACTGGGTCGAGATAAGGAGGACACAGACATAGCGGAGGATGATGAAGATGTACTTGGCCGCTCCGCCGAAGGGATCGACTTCGGGATCCGCGAGGCCGCCGGCGATGAAGTAGAAGGTCAGGTAGAAATTGGCGAGCGAGAGGTAGGTGAAGATCAACTGGATGAACTGGTACACAAATTCAATGTGCAGCAGGACTTTCCGCGCGATCGTGTGGTCCGTCGCCCAGATCTGCCTGAAGTGGACTAGCGAGTAGACGGCGGCAAAGAAGGCACCGTTGAGCCAACGGCGTCGCTGCGAGACAAACTCGGGGACGGTATCTATAAACTGTTAGAACTGGTTTCATACGAAAGGAGATCTGTGAACATACCAGGCACGTCCGTCTCGCCAGTGCACCCCTTGACATACTTCAACACCCATCTCTCGCCCCGCTTGGCCACCAGCTCCCAGCAGAGAATACGGTCCTCGGCGAGGTACATATTCGCCGTGAACACATCAGCATGTTGACCGTGCAAGGTCTCTCCCTTGAAGTACTGGCTGAGGGGTCCGTGACCGGTTTCGTCGTTTTGCAGCGCATGGTATCGGTAGGCGCTGAGAGCGCCGGGTAGTACCGTAATGTACCCGAACACGCTTTCCAGCGGCTTGTCCAGAATATTTGACAACTTGTACTCGAAGTTTTGAGAAGCCACCAGCGGGTTGAGGAGGTTCCTCCCCCAGGGGCCTTTCATCGCTTTGATCTCTCCGCAAGCGCCAGCCACGTTGGAGTCCGTGTCGAAGGCCTTCCACAGGTGGTAGAGGGACTTGCCGGCAGGCCGAGTGCCAACGTCTAGAAGGATACACACGTTCGGGTTCAGCGCCTTCCCGAAGGCGTTAAAGAACCAACGGTGAGAGTTGAGCTTCTTCTGGTTCTTCTCCTTGAGACAAAAGATCATCTGACAAGGTACGATCCCCTTCTCGGCGCCCTTGAACTTGAGATCCGAGTCGAGTGATACCTGCGTGGTGTACTCGTAAACGTGGGCCTTCGGTTGTTAGAAATCGCATAGGCTGTGATTGTTATGGAACTGAAACTTACCTGCACAGCCTTCTGGTTGACGTAGTTCTTGGCGATTCCGTGTTGGTATACACCCATGGCGGCGAGTGCGTCCAGGGTGCGCGGGTGGATCTTTTCGCGACCATCGGACACGATGCAGACGACGATTTTCTGCCAACCAAACTCTCCCCAGGTTCGACTGCGATTCCGGCTGCAAAAGTGGCTGATGTTCTTCATGACGGCGTGCATGGTGCGGGTGAAGCCGTACTCGTCCTCGTTGTACATGGTGATGCAGATGAACAGCTCCGTCTCGCGCGCCGTCCTCCCTATGCTCTGGCGCAGCTTGTAGCCTCTATCGACAAAGTCATCCGGGTCGCACGTCACGGCTGTGTAACGCATGTGGGTAAACTCGATCTCGTCTCGGCGTGGAAGGAAACTGTAGAGGATGGTCGGGATCTTGCACTCCAGGACCAGCTCGCCGTTGATCAACTGGACCTCCCTTCGCATCATCTGCGGCGCGCGAACACCGCGGCGCTCCTGCTTCCCCTCTGGCGCTGGTCCATACCGATCCGTCTTCTCATCATACGACACATCGGTAGCTTCATCGCTGAGCGTTACTTGCGACTCGGCGTAAGATCCATGGTACTGGTGTCTGCCTCCGCCAAGATCCGACTCAGGGGCAAAGACATCGTCCGGGTCCTCGGTAAGCGGGATGCTCACGGTGATATCGTCAGCAAACGACTGGGTAGAGCCGTGTTGGCCAGCCGAAAACAAAGGCGCAGGAGGCAGAGGCCGCCTAGGGCTGCCACCATATGTCGAAGCGGGTGTGCCGGGCCGGGGGCTGCCGTTGATGTCTGCAGGTTCGTATCGGTTGCTAGCGGGCGGTGGTCGGCCATACTCGGAAGAGTCGCGAATGGGGCTCCAAGGTCGAGTTGGCGACCCGTTATCCATGGCAGAGTTGTAGGAGCTAAAGGAGGGTTCTGGAGGAGGCATGTGAGGCGGATCCAGGATCGATTGGCGAGAGTCGAGCGAGGGCTCGTAGGCGGGTCTAGTTCGCCTCCTGGTATTGTCTTGATATGAGCGCATGCTTGGTTTTGGGGTGAGGTGTTCTTCTTTAGGAGACTCGGAGTCGCATCGAGCCTGGAACCGCGTCCTTTTCCTTGAGGATGGGCCCTCCGGAATGGCGGGCAAGCTCACTGAAACTTGCTGAACAGTGGGCGGCTCTGGTTGTTTCTTTCTCTGCAGGCGTACGGTTGAGCAGCTACCAGCGGCCTTGCCGCCGGCGACTTTCTCCTCCAGAGTAGGCTTCGGCCGCGGGCCCGTAGGGACTAGAGCGCCGGCCGAAGCGGGGGTTTTGTTCCTGTGCGACATTGATCTCTCTGGGCGCACCCCGAGAGCAAGGAGCATCTCAGGCGTCGCTTTCTCAGTAGTGGGCAAGTGCACTCGCTGGAGTGGTTGCAATGACGGGAGGGAAAGAGGAGGAGTAATAGGAATCTGTGGTAAGACATACGGCCGTGGGTCATAGCTGGCGGGTTCCTCCATGGAAGTTAGCAGGCGCACGCCAGCGCCATGTCCCGGCGTGCCAGTGGGCGTCGAGTCGTCCATATCGTCATACGGTGGGAGGCTGTACTCGGGGGGCGGCTGCCGGGCGGGCAAACGTCGGTCGTCCATAGTGGCTGCTGCTGTGGCGGCGATGCCGCGATGACAAAAAGGTGCCTTTGAGACACGCGCTCAGTGGTTGTGTCGCGCAGCTCGGTTGGAATGTGCGAGAAACTAATTGCGATTGTCGCGCGCCGTCTGTAAGGGAGAGCCTGTGGAATGCGAAGTTCCGAATTTGGGCGCAATTCTCGAGGTGTTGATTGATACCTAACTAGTTGATCACTCCTAGCTGCGCGGTGGTTGCTGGCAATTGAAGAGAAAAATCGGAAAAATGGTGATGAAGAAGTCCTAAACTCGGCTAGTGATCGTGGAGCCCCAGATCAACGAAGTGGAAATGCGATGCCCTGGACTTTGCAGGAGCTGGAGGGGCTCCTTCTGGCTCTTGTTTGGTCGCTCCTTCGCAAAGTTTGTTGTCCGGGCAACTACGCAAGTCATCACGGTTGAGACCCACTCATCCCGCAGGGCAGCCAAGCCATTCGTCGATCAGTGGCGCTTGCGATTGCGCAAAACCCCAGACTCCAGGTCCGCCAAGAATTCCATTCAGCCCAGAACAGGAACCAGGACTCGGCACCGCCGGCACCGGAGCATGGCGCAGCGGACGTTACGCGCGTAACTCTCCCTAACCAGCAGTGCATCAACAACAACAATAATAAGCAAAACACCAACGGAAAAAGAAACAGACATGTTCAACTGTATTTTTGACGCCCAAGGCAATGATGGTAGCGTAAAGTAACGTAATAACGAGTAACTAAATGCAGTGCTCAAAATCTCAAATGCATGCGCCCGCGAATTCAGGTAATCTACAAACTCCTCCCACGGCCTTCCCATGTCTTAACATTTTTATTCCTCGTCAGATTCCTCTTCGGCAACCTGTAGCAATCTCAGTTAGCATCAAAACACAGCAGAATTGTCAGTCAGGAGAAGAACTCACCCCCTCGTGGAAGTCCCGACCCTCCTTCGTCTCCTTGATGATACCGGCACGAATAGTCCAATCACCAAAACGCTCGCCCTCGTTGCGCTCCTGGGCGTACCGCTTGAGCATGGGCTTCATGATCTCGAGGATCTCATCCTCCTTGATGCTGGAGCGGTACAGCTTGTTCAGGCGCTGGCCGTGGTAGCCGCCGCCGAGGTACATGTTGTAGGCGCCAAAGGCCTTGCCGACGAAGGCGACCTCGGCCAGCCAGGGGCGGGCGCACCCGTTGGGGCAGCCCGTCATGCGCATGACGATGGAGTCCTGCCGCAGGCCGTTCTCCTCCAGGCAGCCCTCCAGCTTGGAGATCAGCACGGGCAGGTAGCGCTCCGACTCGGCCATGGCGAGGCCGCAGGTCGGGAAGGCGACGCAGGCCGACGAGCTCAGGCGCAGCGCCGAGAACTGCAGGTTGTCCAGCTTGTACTCGGCCATGAGCGCCTTGAGAGCCGGCACGTCCTCGTCGGCGACGTTGCTGAGGATCAGGTGCTGGTTGGGCGTGAGGCGGAACTCGCCCTTGTGCACCTTGGCGATCTCGCGCAGGCCCGTCTTCATACGGAACTCGGCCGTGTCCTCGACCCGGCCGTTCTCGATGAAGAAGGTGAAGTGGTTCAGGCCGTGCTCGTCCTTGGTCCACCCGAACGTGTCGACGTTGCTGTCGAAATGGAAGGGCCGTGCCGGCTGGAACTGTTTGCCCCAGTGCTCCTCGACCTTGCCGCGGAACACATCGACGCCCATGTCGTCGATGGTGTACTTGAGCCTGGCGTGCTTGCGGTTCTTGCGGTCGCCAAAGTCGCGCTGCACCAGCATCACCTTCTCGCAGGCAATGTGCACCTCGTCGGCCTTGACAAAGCCGAGGGTCCGGCCGACTTGCGGGTAGGTCTTCTTGTTGTTGTGCGTAGCGCCCATACCACCACCGGCCAGCAGGTTGAACCCCTCGAGGTTGCCATCGCTGCCCTTGATGGCGATGAGGCCAATGTCGTGCGCGTAGACGTCGACGTCGTTGTGCGGTGGGATGGCGATCGAGATCTTGAACTTGCGGGGTAGATAGGTAGGTCCGTAGAGCGGCTCAAAGTCCTGCACCGCCTCACCGGCAACCTGCGTCTTCTTGTCGTCGTCGTCCGTGAGCCAAATCTCGTGGTACGCCGTTGTCGCGGGTAGCAAGTGGTCGCTGATCTTCTGGGAGCAGGCGTACACCTCCCGGTGGTACTTGGACTGTGAGGGAAGCGGGCTGCACATGACGTTGCGGTTGACGTCGCCGCAGGCGGCGATGGTGGTCATCAGGGACCGGTTGATGGCCTGCATGGCAGGCTTGAGCTTGCCCTTGACGACGCCGTGGAACTGGAACGTTTGCCGAGTGGTCAGCTTCATGGTCTCGTTGCCGAGCTCATTGCTGATGTCGTCCATCTGGATCCATTGCTTAGCCGTCGACACACCACCCGGCAGTCTGCACCGGATCATGAACGAGTAGGCGGGTTCCAGGCCCTGAGCCTTGCGCTCGTCACGGAGATCACGGTCGTCCTGCATATACGTGCCGTGGAACTTGGTCAGCTGCTGGTTCGAGGCGTTGATGGCGCCCGTCGACGTGTCCTTCAGTTCCTCCGCGATGTTGCCACGAAGGTAGTTGGACGCAATCTTGATGTCCTCATTGGTGATCGGGGGCGGCTCATCCGGAAGGCCCTCGACATTGGCCACGCCGAGAGCTTCCCAGAGCTTGGGTTCCCACTCCTGGTAACCCGTTTGGTATCCATCCGGATCCTGGTCGTCACCGAGCCCGATATCCGCCAGCCTTGTCGCGCCAAAGTTAGCCAGCACCCGGTCGAGGTCCTTGCCGGGCTTGTTGTAGTACACGCGGTCCTCCTTGCGGGGCCAGTAGTGGCTGTCACCGAGTGCGAAGACGGAGAATCTGACCGAAGCCAGGTCGAGCTCGGTGTTGTCCTTGATGGCATCCCAGAACGGCTTGCCGTTTTGCGGGAACTCACCCTGACCGGCTGTTGAGGTGAGGATGACGATGTTCTCCTCGGTTGGTAGGTCCTCAACGGGGTAGTCTTCCATCGCCATGACGGTGGTCTTCAGGCCACGGGCCCTGCCCCTGGTACCTAACCGCTTCGCCAGAGACTGTGCGTTGCCGTTGTCGGAACCGAACAGGATGGTGAGTGGCGCGCCAAACAAGCCCTCGAGCAGCTGGTTGTACGCGTCCTTGGCCTGCCTCTTCTGCTGCGCCCGGATCTCGGTTCCGAAATCCTCTGACAGGACGCCGCCGAATTGCGGGTCACTCCGCATCATCTGGGTCAGGCGGTTGTCCCTGTCCAGGAACTCCTTCAATTCCTTCTTGATCCGTTCGGAATCCAGGGAGAAGTTGGGTTCACCCTTCTTCTCGTTCTCCGGGTTCCACCGGTACAGGGGCCAGTAGCCAATATCGACGGCCTTCTTCGTCTCCTGGAGAACCGTCAGAGCAGAGTCGTGCTCGCCAAAGTATGGCAGGTACGCCAGGACAATCGAGGGGCCGTTGAACTTGTCGGCCTCGTCCATGGCCTGGAGGACCTGGGTGTACGAGCTGTAGACAGCCGTCGACGCAACGTAGGCATTGCCAAAATTCATGGCGTAGAGACCAATGTCCTTCTTTCTCCGGTTGGCGTCGGCGGCAGCACGCTCCGAGTAGGGGGTGGAGTCGATGATCAGGAGGTTGACGTTCTCGCCGGAAGCCAGGACATGGTGCACGCCCGAGTTACCGAGATCGTACGACCAGGCGTCAGACCCGACAAGCCACAGCGACTGCTTGCGGAGGAAATGCTTGTTGGCCAGCAGCGACTTCGACAGAGTCGAGTTGTCGAGAGTGAGCTTAGAAACGGCGTCTTCAGCAGCCTCCTCGGCCTTCTTCACATCATCGGCGTTGGCAACCCAGTTCGCCAATGCCCGCTTGGGGTTCTCGGTCAGGAACCGGCCCGAGCTAGCCGCGCTCTTGACCTCGCCAACAAACTTCTTCCTCCTCTCTTTCCTGGCGAGCAGGGATCCGAAGCCGTACTCGGGGGTCGCCGAGATGGTATTGGAGATGCCGGCATTGTCGGACTCGAGAGAGTTGGCAATGAATGTCCTGGTGCCGAACAGTTGGGTAAGGATTTTGGTGTAGGCAGTCTCGAGGGTGGGCTTCTCCAATCCAGACTCGGGAGCCTGCTCGGGGGCTTCCCGCTCGCCAACCTCCAAGTTTTGCACCGGCTTGTCGGAAGTGAGGTTCTGGAAGACGCCACGGAGTGCTTGCTGAACCGTTTCTTTGGAAATGTACCCAAGCTGGTGGCCTACAATGGTCTCGACACCGCCGGCAGCGCTTTTGACCGACGTCAGGACGTCGATGAGAACGGGTCCCCACTTTGTCGTCTTCCTCGAGACCTGCTCAAGGACGGCGACCTTCTTCACTGATTTAGGGATGACTTCAAGCAGCTTCGCGCCCAGCCAGGGGCGGTATAGCCTCGGGATGATCAAGCCCGCATTGGCGAACGAGTCATCCGTCTGCGCTTGAGTGATGGCGTCCGAAAACAAGGCCACATCTGACCCGAAGAGGAAGAGGCAGGTTTCAGCCTTGGGGGCCCCCCTCCACTCGAACGTGCTGTATTGCCTCCCCACAAGATCGCTGAGCTGGGCCCAGATAGAGGTAACGTAGTTGTGGATATCTTCGGACGAAACGATGGGGGGTGCGGGTTCGATCGTAGTCGCGGCTGATGGGAGAGGTGGTGAGCTGGCTGCGCTCTGTTGGCTAGACTTCACAGAGGACTGAGAAGTAATGGTAGGGGAACCGGGCTCAGCAGCCGCGGATGCTGGTACGCTGTTGACAGCAGCAGCAGTCCCTGCGGGCAGAGACTCAGGCTGGTCCGAGACAACAGCGACTCGCCCATCGTCGGCATAAATGTTGGAGCCAGCAATAGGAGCAGACTGGAACCTCCGCACATTATCCAAGTTGATGACATTGCGGATGACATCGGCACTAGCGACATCGATGGGCTCATTACTAGCGCTGGAGCTGGGGTCGAAGAAGTGGATGACGCCCTTGCCGGAGCGGATAGCCAGGGCATGCGCCGTCAGGGCAATATCATGGGCTTCCTGCAGCGACCATGACTGCAAGAATGTCCACCCAGAATTCCGGATCGATGTGATGGCCGAGTAGTCGGGGAAGCTCTTCGGCGCAAGGGCAACATGGAGCACTACTGGGAGGTGTGCGAGCTTGTAGAGGTGGGCAATCGAGGGCAGCAGGATGGAGGATGTCGTCGTCACCGAAACCAGGCGGCCGGAGCGGATGGGGGTAAAGACGGAGAGGAGAGGGTCGGTGTTGTGCCTCACGGATTGGACCTCGGGCACCGCATCGCTGGTCTTTGCGACCAAGCTGGGCGTCTTTTTTGCCGCGAGCTGCTTGAGAGAGGTCGAGAACTCGGAATCGGAGCCCAGCGAGGGTTGCACTGAAACGACCACGTCGCTCGCGAGATATGCGATTGCGGCGACTACACAATCCAATTGTCAGTTCTACCATGCATAAAATACACATTAATTGCAGCTGCCATCCAAACACCCTGTATCGCAACTCCTTGTGCCATCCCATCCATCGTCAATGGGACAATGTCAATGACGGGGCATGTTGGAGATTGACGGCGACTGCGGGGCACCACCACTTGGGTTGGCGGGGCAGGAACTCCAAACTGATCGCACTTACCAGCCTCTTCGGGTGTCCTCAGCTTGAGGTCTGCCATCGTGCAACAATATCACGAGCAGGATGGAGTTGACGGAAAAGAGTGCAGCATCACAGGGAAACAAGCCGTGTTTTTCTTTTTTTCTGTTTAAAACCCTCAAAAGACCCTGACTCTTTATGGCAGGCCCAGAAGCTGGTGGCAGGCAATTAAAGGCCCTATATCGGCCCCGCAGTCCTCCCAAATTTGTCGGCTGGGGAAGCAGCGCGCGAGAGGTGAGCGATTGCGTGATCGCCCTAGCGCCTCAGATCCCGGGTTTTGCCCAGAGCCCCCAGATCATCCAGCGAATTGCGCGCGTGGGATTTCAACGTCGCTTTGTCATGAATGCCCCCCTAGAGCTCCGCTGGTTCGTTGCGTGATGGTTCTGTATCCAGGGTTGTCCTCCCCACTAACAAAATACCGTGGTATCTGCTACATATTTTGTTAAAACGGCGTACTCTCGGGGGCTCGCTCTTTTCCCGACTCCCTCGACTTCCCTCCCCTCCACGTTGTGAGGCTCTCACGATGCCGACCGATAGCCGCCGAGCCGCCGAGCCGTTTACTGTCTCCGTTGAAGACCGCAAGGTGTCAACAATGGCGTCAGCAAGCCTCTTCCTTTAACCCGCAAACATGGGCGGAGAATGGCATGGGTAGGACTCAACAGGCCACCACGTGCAGGAAGTTTAGTCAACTTTCCCAACACTTGCAGTCAGTTTATCAGCAACATCCTCGGGCACCCCGAGACTGCCATGGGTGATATCCCGTATTAATGTATCCGTCGAGGTTTATCCACTCTACGAAGTACTCCTCGCTCATGCAATCGAATCCCCAAATCCCAAAAAATAAGAACGCCAACCAACCAACCATGCAGTCCGATCCAGCCAGTCGACACCTTAGCACCACCACAATTAGTCCCCCGCCCCCGTCAAACGCAGCCACGTGCGTCGGTTCAACCCGCGCTTCCCCCCACTGCGGCATATCTCACTCTACTCTCGGGTGCTCCTGAACTTGGAATTGACCTGCCGCGCCCATTCCTCGTCCTCCTTCTTGCCACCCAGCCAATACCCCCTCCCAATGCAGACCATCGCCCTACCCAGCTTGCCCCTCCACCCCTCGCCAAGCGGCGCGCCCACGGCAAACGGGTCCGGCGACACGCCAGCAACCTCCTCCGACTCGGGCATACTCTCACGCACAAACCGTAGCAGCACCGTGCGGGCGTAGGCCATGACGACCAGGCTGAAGTAGAACCGAATGAGCGTAAACGCGACGATGAGGACCATGCTGGCGGCGGTGTCGTGGACGCCGGTACCGGCCTGGACCTGCGCCTGCTGGCCTTCGTCGTGCTGCACGTCGCCGTTGCTCGGCGACGTCGCGGCGTCGTCCTCGGCGCCCGCGGGGCCCTTGGTGTCGTGAAACGCCGCCAGGTACCAGGTCGTCGCGAACGCCGCCGTGTACGCCGCGCTGACCAGCGTGTCCACCGCGTATACCCACGCGAGCGCGAGGTTGGGCAGCGGGCTCTGCCGCCGCACGTGTGGCAGGCAGATGGCCAGCGCGGCGAGCACGAGGATCGAGCCGAGGTAGGCGGTTACTTGCAGCGCCGACAGCGAGTAGCCCGTGAAGAGCGTGAGCAGGCCGTACAGGCCCGTCGCTTTGTTGAAGATGAGCGCGGTCGAGATTAGCTCGGTGCCCGTCTGGAGGGACATGAATCCGAGGCAGGCCTGCGTTTGTCGTCGCATCGCGGCGCCTGGTCAGCAGGGTCCTCTGGTGTGGTGGTGTTTTGCGACAGGGGCAAACGGGGAAGAAGGCAAGCGGAAACGAACCTTGGGGCGGGGCAGCCGCAGCCACGAACACCTCGATGTTGACGACATGTTGGAAACCGGGTTTGTTGTTCTCAATTGCTGTGGTTTGTGTGTGTTTTTTTGAACCAGCAGCGTCATTCCAGTGTTGCAGGTCGCATGTTGGACCCAAAGCTTCCCTTCGACCAAGTCTCAAAGGTGGAGCGGCCTCTCTTGGCCGCGTCGGTCATCCTCCAACCCACTCGCTTTCGGATGCATCGGCACAAACTGACCTCACCCGAGGGGCATGTGGGGCCTTTCAGGGTTTGGGCAACCCTGATACCAATGATTGGCTGCTTCGGGACGAACTCCCTTCCCGGGCCGAGTTCCTCTGGCTGAGCGAGCCCCTGAATGTGGTAACTTTGCTACCTATTAAACTTTATTAAATCCTATGGGCGTTGAGGATAGATGGAGCGAAGCATCAACCCTCCTCCTCATTTGTACCATCCTCCAACGCATTAAAGAGATCCATAGGTAAGTACGAATAGCTTAATTAGGTAGTTATTTGGTTGGGAAAGGGTACGGATGAATGAAAGAGAGAACTTGGAAGTCATCTTCTAAACTACCTAAACTTGTACTTTCTATTGTATGACAGCTGCCTCTCGAGTCTTGCTGTTATCCTGTGTAAGGTAAACCGTAATTGTTCAGGTTGTTCCACGTTTGTACGGTTTCTCCCCCCCCCCCCCCCCCCCCCCCCTGGATTAGTCGTTGCCTGCATGTCTCGTCCCGACCAGAAAACTGTCCATATCATCATAGCCCATATAAAGACCAGTCCATCTGAGGCTAACGCCACCTCTCCAGAAAACGGCTTTCGTCCCCATGCTATAATACCCAACCCGTCCGTTGATGTCCAACGGGGCGATTAGGGGATAGAGTATCAGAGAGACCCGATGTCCAAAACGACGATTTGGCTCAGGCGGCTCAGGCGAACCAGGCACGTCGGCTCATGCTCGCAACGACGATACTATTGGCCTCAGTTTTGGATGTAATTTTACCATTGGACAGGGAAAGGGAGATCAGGTCTGTCTGCATGAAGCTAATGCAGACAGCATAGTTCTATGGTTACCCCTCCGGTGCCTCCTTCGTGATTCGTTCTTGCTCTGCCATTTTCCTTCTCTGCCTTTTTCCTCCATTGCCTCCCGCGGACTTTTTCCCGTCTATATATCTTCACCCCTACCCACCCTTCTGCGTCTTCCCCCTCTCCTCTTTCTCTCCGCTGCCAGTTTCCCCATCCTCTTTTCTCGGGTCTCGAACATGGAAGACTTTCGAACTTTGGTGGAGTCGTTGAAGAGCCGTTTGTGGGATAGTGATGTCGCTGCAATTGCTACTAACTCAACCAAGGATTTTGATATTCTGCTCGGCGATATCCAACACCACACCGCCGCCCGGCTCTTGTACACCAGGCCTCTCGACCAGCCTCTCACTCGGCGAGATTACCAAAGTGCTAAAGCATTTTTGATCCGTATTTACGACGACGAAGGGGTCGAGAGGAAATGGGGTGAGAAGGTCGGTTACTTCAAGCAGCTAAACCCCGAATCACTTGCCGTGGCCGTAATTCTCTGGAATGGAGACAAGGCCCTTCGCCATGCAACTGAAACCATCCGGGCCCTTTGTCAAGGGGCCGAGAAGATCTCGAAGTGGTCACCTTGGCCTCGCGACGAAAGGCTGAAAACGCTCGTCCAAAGGTATCAACAACAGGCCGCGCCATCCACTGTTGCCTCCTCGGCCGGCCCAAACTCCATTGGGACCATCTGACCTGATGAGCAGTAAGCTTCTTTGATACGTTTCCCCTCCAGTCAGCTAAAAAGCATCGCCTCAGGCGCGCCTCAGAACCCACAAACTTCAACCGCGCCCACTACGTCTTATGATCGGACACACCAGCCCGTTACCGGCGGTCCCTTGCCACTGCCGCCAGTGGCAAATCCCGCCGCCCCTCCCAGCCCTCTGCCAGCGATAGAAGAAACTTCGCATGTGGTCCGGGGCCGGCAAACGTCGGGCAACCAGAGGAAAGGACGGAGAGAAGACCAGGTGGGAGGCGTTTTGTCGGAGGGTAAGCTTACTTGGAGCCGTGATGGGATCCGTTCGGTAAGATCTGACTTTTACTAGCGACAGGTACAGCTATCGCCCAACCTCTGGTGTCCCAGCCGCAAAGACTCGAGTCCTACGGTGCATATCCCGGTCTAGTTCTTCCGTCGCGGAATTTTGAACACCCCTTCGCGAAAATTCGGGATCCACTGGATGTCCGGTGACTCCGGTCTAAGAGCGATACCGAGATCCTGGATGCGGTGAGAGAGGAAATTGGCAAGGATCTGGCAAGTACCTACATTCATGACCCGAGTTGCATGTGCCCGGTGGTGGCCGGGCACTAATTCCGTATCCATCCAGCCCGACGAAGAGAGGTCAAGACTCCAGTTTCGAATGGACACAAACAGGGGGGAAACCTATGTCGCAGCCGTGATCGAATTTCCGGCTGGATATAGGGAGGCTGTGGTTGTGAATGGACAAATTGAAGTGGGACAAAGGAGCAATACGGAACTGTACTTCACTTCGAAAGTGGGAGATTTCGGAGAGCGCCCACCGACATATTTCATCCATCGGGGATAATCGACGTGAGTAAGGCGTCTACACCGGTGATAAGGAGGACCACTCGACCCGCACTGCGGGCACGGAAGGACCATCGGCAATGGCTGATCCGCCCAACGGCAGAGGCGAGAAAAGAAAATGACATGAAAAGGAGTCCATTGTGGACCATGGAGGGAGGCTCGGGGCTTAGTAGGGAGCCGGGGATGGGGCTATTGTATTGGCGAGCCTGGATCAAACAACTGTCATGGAAATAGGTAGGTGGTAACTTTCCCGTTCCGCGCCGATAACATAGCCTCCGAACCTTCCACCACTGTTGGGTCCATGCCCGTGAGGTCCCTTCGATGTGAACTAATGCGGCTGGCAGATCCTCCCGGCCTTTGAGGACCCTAGTTCCACAAGCCGGACGTTACTTGGACCACCCCCGGGGTGAGAATGACATTCGGTGGAATTTGTCAGACTGCGGCACAAACCCGAGCCCCCAAGTCCTCGCATCAGCCTCATGCTCAAACCCCGCTTGCTCTGCTTATAAAGCTAGCAACGGCATAGGTTCGTAGGTTTACAACTGCCTAAGCTGTGTCCTGCTGCAGTACTGCCCACAAATTATGTCGCGCCGCATATGGAAAGAGACAAGAGAGGGTTTGTCCATAGTGATCCGGACAGCCTTTCAGTCCAAGACCGACACATCAGACGAAGAGTCTGAGGAGGAACCACCAAAGGTAAGTTGACTTATTCAAACTCCATCTAATTGCGTACCTGCCTAGCTACCTAGGTATTCAACAGTGTCACGGTCGTGCTTCCTAAGCTAACACCTAGGCACTGCTACTTAGAAGGACCCTCAAACTACACATACCAGCAAGACGAAATATAAACACAAGCCACTCACTGACAAGAGTTCCATTCGCCTGCTCGAGCTCCTACCTGGCGCTCGCCAGGACGACATCGCTTGCTCCTTACGCGAATGCCGCATCGACGATTGCCGTGGGGCATACGAAGCATTGAGCTATGTCTGGGGTGACGAGACCAAGAGGACTCCTGTCTGGATCGGCGAAAGGACCCTCGACGTGACGGAAAATCTAGCGTCGGCTCTTCGTGACTTACGCAAGCCAGACCAGCTCCGGACTCTCTGGGCCGACGCCATGTGCATCAACCAAGCCGACCGCCCGGAGAGAAATCATCAAGTTAGTGTTATGGATGAGATTTACCGCTCAGCTTCCCGCACCGTTGTATACCTGGGGCCGAATGTCAAAGACTACACCGACAGGGCGTATGCGATGTTGGACGAGCTGGCAGCCGAGGCGATATCCCGAGAGCACTCCCCCAACGTGAGCTCCTTCCTGTCGGGCAATGTGACGATATCTTTACTCGACAGAAAGCATGTCGACAGCGTGCTCTATGAGCGTTACAAAGAAGAATTTGTTGCCGGCATCCACATTGCCGAGGCTGCCTGGTGGTCGAGGGCCTGGACTGTTCAGGAGATTCTTCTGGCATCACACGCTGTGGTCGTGACCGGATCACGGTCCATGGATTGGCAACGTTTCTGCACGGGAGTCGACTACGCCTTTGCTATTGGGATATTGACGTCGTTGATGATCGGCCAAGTCGCCGACCCAACAGTCATGCCATATCTCTCGATGCGCGCGTTGACGCAGGTCCGGAAGAAGTCTTCCGACGCGTTATCCATGCAAGCATCCAACACACCGGTGCCAACACAGGACATGCTGAGGATGTTGATCCACTGCCGCTTTCGCCAGGCCATGGACCCGCGCGACAAGGTGTACGCCCTCCTCAGGCTTGAGGTTACTGACCAGAACTAGAGCGGCCTCGGCCTCGAACCCGACTACGCTGCGCCGACGAGTGTGGTCTATACCAACGCAGCCAAACAGCTACTGCTCCGCTCCGACAGCCTCGACCTTTTCGGCGCCTGCACCCCAACCGCCATGGATGGCCTCCCCTCCTGGGCACCCGACTGGAGCGACACCTCCTCAGTCCCCCGACCCCTAATGGACGACGCCTTTGGCAACCCGCGCCAAACCCACGCCTCCGCCAGGACACACCCCTCCCCCCGTTTCCTCAACGCCACCAACACCACCACCAACACCATCACCCCTACCCCCATCCCCACCCCCACCCTCCTCCTCACCGGCCACGAACTCACCACCATCACCGCCCTCACCCCCACCATCCCCCGCCTGCAATTCGACATGGACGCCTTCACCGTATCGCCCCTGCAAGGCGACCCCAACACACTCTTCAACCGCCTCCGCCGGCTCGGCCTCGTCTTCTCCTACCTCGCCGAGCTGTACACCCAACTCAGCGCCGTCGTCCCGCAAGTCGGCACCTTCGCCGAGTGGGAATCCTTTGCGCGCTCCCAGCCGCCGCAGAACCCCACCCCAAAACCGGCCGAGGGGGCGATGTATGACCCGCTGGCGGTGTACTGGCGCACGCTGTGCGCGGGGGCCGGGGCGGAGGCGGTGGAGGGGGCAAGGGCAGGGGCCGAGGAGACGGCGCGGCTGTTTTATGCGTGGCGCGCGAGTCTGCGGCCGCTGGCAAGGTTTCATGAGTGGTGTGTCCACCGCGCGCTGCGGCCGGTGGTGTTTCTGGGGTATTTGCGGCTGACGTGGAAGGGGTATAGCGAGTTTGCGCGGCGAATTGAGATGGTGTATGAGCGGCGGCTGGGGAGGGGGGAGAATGGGTTTTTGATGTTGGTGCCGGAGGGAGCCGAGGTCGGGGATCGGGTTGTGGTGGTGAAAGGGGGGAGGGTGCCGTTGGTGTTGAGAAGGGATGGGGATGGTCGGGGGGATTATCGGCTTGTTGGGGAGGCGTATGTGGAGGGGATTATGGATGGGGAGGCGTTTGATGAGGAGATGTGCGTTGATATGAGGATCCGGTGAGGATTCGGGGCCTGGGTTGGGAATTCAACACCTTGCATTTTACGAATGAAATCCCAGGCCGAGTGCCTCGGATCGCCGAGGTACCTACATACCTAGGTAGTGACCAGACCCGCGGCGGTAATACTGCTGCGGGATGCATAAAGCTGGTACCTAGGTACCCAGCTTTCCTAAGACTCCTCTAATGGTAGCTGGTTTTCGTCTTGGAATCTTCCGGTGTGTAAGAACCGACCCATCATTAACGACGGGTCGGTAACTTTAACGAAGTCGTCGATTTTGTTGCCAGCCTGGGTCCCGGGAACTCTCCCTGGAGCTCTCTTGTTCGCTGGATGACGGCGCCATCATGCGCCCTTCTTGGATATACGGGCCTGGTGCCGCGAAATCCGTGCCGAGGTAGTAGGCTTCGTAGTTGAGGCCTTGCCCGTACGTTATGGTTGTGTGATCCTGATTAATTAGATCCGTGTGCATTAGGATTGGTTTGGCCGTTCCCTTCCTTCGCCCTATATCAGGAAGCCTACCTCTTCACTTTCACAACTTCCATGTTCGACCATGAGCTACACGTTCCGAAATTATAACAAAGGTACCCAATCGTAAAGCGCGACCCCATTCGTGCCATTTGTAAACGCAGTAAATGGTATTTGTACGCTTTAATACTTGGCTTAGAGCTGACATACCCCCTAGTACCTAGGTAGGTAGGCACCTATTCTGAGTTGTGCATCTCAGCTCCCCACTTAAATTCCCACGCTTCCCACATAGATTGCGTCCAAGCCTGCTCCCGAGCGTCCCGCTCAGCTTGCGCCTGAGCCTGCTCCCGAGCCGCATGAGCCCGTGCCTGCGCCTGACTTTCTTCGACAGTTTGTATGTGTGTCTGTGCCTTCTCCAGAGCTGCCTGAATCCGAGCCTGAGCCTGCTCGCGAGCTTCTTGAGCCTGGATATAAGCCTGAGCCCGAGCTCGAGCCTGGGCTCCCACCCTAGCGTCCCACTCAGCCTCACTCGGTGACAAAACGGCTTGATCCCGCGCCTGAGCTTCCCGAAAGACTTGTATCATCCGTTCTGGCGACCGCGGCACTGACGGTGATCCCGAATCCCCGAGGATCAACGGCAATGACGCCGGCGGTCGTGGAGGTGACAGTAACGGCGATAAAACTCCCGGGTTTGTTTGCAAGTCGTTCTTCCGAGTACTAAGCGTGTCGTCGCCCGTGGTTATGTTGTTTCTTTTGTGGCCCAACTCCCGTTTCCGCTCCGCCTCCCTGTCTGTCATCTGTTGGAGCAACTTGGTAGATTTGCTCCGCCCGAAATTTCCGACTCGGCGGATGGGCCTCGGAGTCGCATCTTGCTGATGAAACCTCTGCTCATGCCTTCTTAGAGCCTGCGCAGAGGAAAAGGGAGGGTATTGGCAACCCGGAAAATCGCATCTGGGCCGACAGACGTGTGAAATCTCGTGCTCTTGCAGGAGTTGTACGGAATCAAACCCCATAGTTGCTCGTGGGCAGGACTTGAGACGACAGGTGAACGCGGACGTGTGGAACTGCCTCTTGAAAAGCTCCAGCTCCTCGGCTGAGACGCCTGGGAAGTCGTGTTGACCGAGTATGCACCTGACACACTGTTGGTATGCCGTGAGCATTGTCAAGATGCCTTCAGGGGAATTAGGCTGTGGTGTATCACCTATGGTGTCCCGGGTGTCAGTTCGGTTCACGACCACGATTATGGTTGAAGCTTTGTTAACTCACTCTGGTTGTCTTGAAGCTCACGCTCGAGCTGTTCAATAGTCCTGGACTTCAAGCTCCGTTCGACATGCTTGTGCAACGTTTCGTGTTGTCCAAGGAGCAACAGCCGCTCGTCGGAAGAACTTGGGTTTGAATCGCTTCTCTGAACATTGCATGGCGCCATGCTCTCAAGCTTGTTCGTTAACTGGATTGCGAGGCGGAAAGCTTTAATGTCCGAGCTTATGCCGCCATGCCTGCTGGCTTCAGAGAGAAGGTATTCAGTCCAGAACTCGGTGGCGTAGGTATGGAGACCATGTAACCCCCTTATCACCCGGGAGGTCTTCAAATCTTCAGGATATCCTTCGTTGAACACGTCCAGTCCGGAGATGAGGCAAGCCAGTACGGCTGTTGTGTTTTGCTGAACCACTTCTTCTTCGCGAATGACCAGGTTACTGCTCGAGGTTTGAACAAAGCTAAAAGTTGGTGTTAGCTTCCTTGGCTCAACCTTTGTGGCTGGCCCGGTACATACTCTTTCACAGAAACATGGATAAACGCCAATGTTCCGTCCCGCCGCTCTTCCACTAGGGGTTCACAGATGTCTAGGATGTACTGAGGGGCAAGGTGGGTGATGCTTGGGTCCCCGGGGCTGAACGAAACAGCGGACAGGAACTCGAGCTTCTTCAGGGGTCGTTTTGAAAAAGCAACCCATCCAAAGATACACTTTATTCGTTCCACGGAACGGTGGTCAAGGGGGGCAAGTATTTGGGTGAGAATCCTCCGGTAGCTAGGTAAAACACGTGTTAGCCATGCTGAGGATGCGATGGCTTGGTCGTGGGGTAAAGGCAACAGCGTACAAGTCTGTGAGTTTGTTTGGTAAGTGGTTGATAGACGTCCTGACTTCCTCGCCGTTGTAGAAAATATTTGTTGCAAGGTAGTCGAGAACCAGCCGTGCATAAAGAAACATGCCTGATCAACAAAAGTTAGCTGTGTCTGCGCCTTGTACGGCTGAGCAACGTGACTTGCCATCTGCCTTTCGGGCGACCCGATGCTCAATATCCCCCAATTCGTCAGCTCCAATGTCCAGTTGTGAGAACCTTTGGTGAAGCGAGTGCAATCTCTGTGACGCGTATTGCCTGATGGCCTCTTCTACAGCCGGCTTCTCGTCGGTAAATGAGAGTGTTTGCTTTTTGCCGAGGCGCTTTGCCAGAATGCTCGTTGGGCGGCTCGAGACGAGGACTTTACAGATAGTAGAGTCCGAAGAAGAGAACTTGGAAGCCACTTGATTTAGGAGGCTCAAAACCCGCGCTTGTTTGTCAGCGTCGCACTCGTCCAAGCCGTCGAGCAGGAGCCAGATGTGTTCAGCCTGGCATGGTTCACTCGACAGACTAGCCAGAAGGACTTGTAGTAGGTGCTCTAGCGTGGATAGGGTGGGCGACTTTCTTTCTAGGACGCACTCGTTGTAGACGTGCGCAACCAAGTCACCGTCCTTGCGCAACAGCTGCAGGAGCAAGGATCTCAGGATCTGGTCGTACGAGGTCGAAGATGGGTATGAGTGAGTGCAGAAGTGGTGAATGACGAACATTTTGGCCGCCTTCATGTAGTTAATCAGCTGGGCGGACATGACGCTTTTTCCGGTGCCGGGACTACCCTGTAACCACAGCATTGCGGTCTCTCTTCTCTTCTTGAGCCATGAGCTCACTTTTGGGGTCTTCAAGATCCACCCGCAGGTCCCGGGATGTTTTATGCCTTCGGCTGAGATGGATTCGAATACGGCCAACTGGTCTGATTCATCAGCCCTAAGCCAAGACATGATGGCCGTGTACTGTTTTGCCGCATGTTCTTCGTCCAGTCGGCGGATCCTGTCCACACTCTCCTCTCTCCAGAGTCTGATATCTTGGCGCAGCTGGCGTCCTTCTGCTATGTCACGGGCGTTTGCTTCCAAGTCGATCAGAGTTTCGTGGCGCTCCATATCCTCCAATATATTGTCGAACCGGCGCTGGAACCGTCCCCAGGATGTGAGAAAGAGCAATTTCCAGCCTAAAAAGAGGATTAGTCGAGAAGCCATTACATACGAGTAGAGGTGAAGGAATACCAACCGTTTCGTCGCACAAACTTGTACGCGTGTTTGTGGAATTCGAGTATATCGGCATAGAAGACGGCCATGGCGTTTTGGAAATCGGCGTCACGGGAAAATGCTTGGTCCAGAATTTCAAACCTCTTCAAAGCCGATGCAATTCTCGCGTATCCCTTCATGATCTGCTCGAAAGCCTCAACATGTTCGCAAGCAACCCTCAAAATAAGTGTGATGGGCGCCCAGACCCATGGGAGAAAGGGGGTGCCGTTGCAGAGAACACTCATGATCTTCCCATAATGCTCTAATCCTTCAAAGAGAGGCATCAGTCGGCGCATGTTGCGCAAACATTGCCGTGAGGCAAGCTGGACCTCGATGTTGAGAGCGGCTTCCCTCACGTCCTGGAGTGTTGTCTTATGAAAGTCACGCGAATCCTGGGGGGTGATTGTCCGATTGAGCTCCTCAAACGCCGTATGTACCGTCTGCCTCGCCACCGGCGAGGCCACGGGTGCAAGTGGCATTTCGGCACCCTGGGCTGGGACGCGTTCCTCTGGCAGGCCCGATGTTCTCGTGAATATCAAGGGCGACGGGGCAGTTTGAAGTTTGAACTGAGGGTTGGGAATGGATGTCCAGCATGAATGAACCACGGATTTTGAAAGTACCTATCTAATGTGATAGTAAACAGACGATAATTAAGCACCAGAGCCAGATGGGTAATTCCACCCCCTTCGCATGAAACTGAGGCGCAGCCCGTGGGGGGAGTGAGGACCAGTGAAATAAGCAACACAGACACGGTTGGGCATCAAGGGCTGGGCACCGCCACCGCCCACCTCCAACGGGGGTTGTCGCGGATGCTGTGGTTGGCCCTTCTCTCCGACACACCTTCAGGCGCCGCAATTTCGCCTCAGGGGGCGCATGGCTCTGCGGAAAGCACGCAGATGTCGTGTAACGTACTGGAACTACGTCACTACGTGTACGCATGCGTCAGGTAGGCTCTGCACACCGCCATCCGCCGGGCTGTTCGATGGGTTTTAACTTACCCAGAAGTTCAGAACAGGAGTTTGTTGTTCACCGCGCGGACTTTCTCAGTCCTTCTGTCCCCTGAGTTCCACTTAGCGTTTAGGTGTTTCCGATCGACTTGGTTCGGGTCGTTTTGGTATGTGCACGTACTTGTTAATTCCCCCTCTGCATCATCCAACATATGCCAAATGGGTGTTAATGGAGGCAGAGGCATACGGGGACGAAGCTGACATAGAAAACGGACTGCGGCCCTAATGGATCCCTCCTTAAATAAAGAACATGAGGCCCAGCCTTCAAAACGACGCCGCCTAAACGACCCTCGCCATATTACCTGGCAGCCAGCGGATCACGAAGGCAGTCAAGCACCACCGTCACGGCTTCTGGAGCCAGCTTTCAGCGGACATGATCTGAATCAACCGTGGGCAAGCTACAACAGCCTGAACAACTCCACATTGACTGAAAACCCAACCTTCATTATATCGTCGGATGGTTTTGCTTCAGGTCAGAGAGAACATACTCCATGGCTCTTCCCACCAATCCCTCCGGATCAACTTGGCTACAGCCATTCTTCCGGGGTCTTACCGCTGCCTCCAGTTCTTCAACCCACTCAGTCGCCCTGGACCCTCCAATATGACGTTCCTTTATCGCCCTTCCACGCCCAACCATGGTTTGGACACCCCCCCGCCCACCAGACACATCTCCATCATGATATATCTCCACTCTCGACGCCGATGGAAACTCTGCACGCAGTCGCCGTTCGCAACGGCCAAGAGGGAGGTGCGGACCTTACACACTCCAGCGCTGTATCAGAACAGAACAATACCGGTCTGCCCAAGGTCGTATGCTTTGGAGTGGTGAGAAAGCTCCCTTACTCCCGAAGATCCAGAATGGAGAACCCCAACTAATATCATTGCAGATCCAAGCGATCCCCGGGAAATGTGACAAACAGATGCCCGCTACAGCCACTGGCCCGTTTTCGGTCCAGATCGTGTCGTCAGACCGTTTTGCTGCCACGGACGGCACTGGAGCAAGCGGGAGCATCGCCGCAGAGAATAGGCAGATGATCCAAAGTCTCCTCGAAGAAAGCAGCATTGAGCTATTCTCCACGTGTACGTTAGACACTGGGCCCACGGCACGAAAGCCAAACAGCGTCGCCTCGCAGTTGTTTCGGCCCTGCGCGCTAGACATCACCATTTATGGGCCTGAAGATATCTTCGAAGATATTGGCGCTTGGTTACAAGAATACGGCCTGTACCTTCAGGATGTTCGTCAAGTCCACCTTGACACCAAGTACTGCAACCCTCACAAGCTCTCGGTCGATGACATTGATTCCTGCCCCATGGTATCCGACGTCGTCCGACAGTCTTCAAGCTCGCTTTTGCTTGAGCATGTCCCTGATCGACCAGACCTGCTCGATCTCCTAAGTAACGGCAATGAACTCGAGGAGACGCAGCAGCCTGCTGCGATTCGTACAGCGTTGAAGAAGTACTTCAACCCTGAATTGTTCCGATCAGTCTCAGGATCGCTCTAACTCAATGGCTACCTAGGCACCAGAAACAAGGTCTGACATTCATGCTCCGTCGCGAACGAGGGTGGGCTTTCGTAGAGAACCAAGCCGATGTGTGGGAGTATCTGGATGTTGGCCATGGAGAGTAGTAAGTCGTCGCTCAACCTGGGTCTATTATTTTGTTCCCTAGACTCTTTGGCGGCCAAAGCTGACGCAATCCAAGCTTCCTGAATAGAGTTTCCGGGGCTCACCAAATCGAAGAGCCGCCACCATTCTACGGAGGCATCGTTGCCGATCCGATGGGTCTTGGGAAAACGCTGACCATGATTTCTTTGGTGGCCACTGACCTAGACCGTAATTCGTCCGAGGATGTTACGCTGGACACTGACGAAGAAACCAAACCTCGTGTTTCAGCAACGCTCATCATCATTCCACCCCCGCGTAAGTCAGAAGAAGCCGTTCATCCGGGTGACCCAGTGCATGATACTAACCCTTTAATTTCAGTAATTGGAACCTGGGAGGACCAGTTATCAGAGCAAGTACTAGTCGTGCATTACCAAAAGCCATTCCTGCTAACTGCCTCCTCTGCATTAGGCATGTCGTGCCCGATGGCATGGAATTTCGGCGTCATCATGGAAAGACGAGGCTTACCGACGTTGAAGAACTAGACGGTGTCAACGTAGTCTTAACAACATACCATACAGTGTCTGCGGAGTGGAAGCCCGACAACCAACCAGGTACCTCCATCTTGTTTTCCGTACGATGGCGGAGGATCATTTTGGATGAAGGTTTGTGCTACGGTTATTCTTGTCTTAATAAAGCTTCTGACTGCTCCATTTGCTAACGAAAGTAAGCACACTTCATCCGCAACGGTAACTCCAGGATAGCCCGGGCATCTTGCGAGCTGGATTCGGTTTCCCGTTGGGCAGTGACGGGTACACCCGTTCAAAACCGACTCAGTGACCTAGCGGCGCAGCTGAAGTTCATCCGGGTCTATCCTTACGACGACCCGAAGCAGTTCGAGGCGGACATATCCCGGCTCTGGAAGTCTGGGGAAGATGAGGAGGCTTCTAAGAGGCTGAAATACCTCTCCGCCTGTATCCTGTTACGACGACCCAAAGCAACCATCAACCTCCCTACTCGTCGGGACATGACATGTGCGGTAGACTTCAGCCGTGAAGAGAGGGCGGCATACGACGAGGTGAGAGAGCAGACAATCACTAAGATTGACGAGGCCCTGCACAATAGCTCGGAGGCGTCTAGAGCGGGCGTGTATGTGAACGTCCTGCAGCAGATCGAGTCCCTGCGCCTGATCTGCGATCTCGGACTTCACTACCACACACGAGGTAATCGTATAGCACAGAGTTCTTCGGCATCGGAGGAATGGGCCGCCGCCGCGCAACAGGCTTTTAATGTCCAGCGCGAGCTCAGCCCTATCGTCTGCTTGCAATGCTCTTCTCCGACAAGTCTGACCGAGTCCCTGCTGGGTGACAGGCACGACCCGTCCTCCTCGCGGCTGCAGCCTCAGTTCTTCCGGTGCTTGCGCTTTACCTGCGGAGACTGCGTGCGGAAGCTGCAGAGGGCGAGGCAGACTCTGGGTTGTGGGCATAAACCTTCCTGTCTTGTGTCGCCCATCTCTACCAGCCACAGTGTTCTAGAAGAGGTTCCCGCCGCGATGACCGACGCGGCGTCGACGCCGCCTACGGCCCTGCCCTCGAAAGTCCAGGCACTAGTGACGGACATTAATGCGGTGCCAACCGACGTCAAATGGTATTGTACCGACCTACCTCCTCACCACCAGCTGCACTGCGCTTTCTCTCTCGGGTGATTACCTACTGATTCTTGACAGCGTGGTGTTCTCCACTTGGAGGCTCACCCTCGACGTGGTTGAGAAAGGTCTCGAGAGGGCCGGGATACGGAGCATCCGGTTTGACGGGAGTGTACCGCAAAAGGAACGGCAGTCGGTCGTCGACAAGTTCAAGGCGGATCCCGGAATTCGTGTCATGCTGCTCACGCTCTCGTGCGGAGCCGTTGGGTGAGAGACGAACGCCATTCGTGCCGTTGCTACCGCCGATTACTGATGCTAGTCCTTAGCCTGACCCTCACCGTGGCCTCGCGCGCTTACTTGATGGAGCCTCACTGGTATGTCACGGGCCCAATCCATTTTGGGTACTGTCCGGATGACTGATTCGAAATGAAATCGCAGGAACCCAACCCTGGAAGAACAGGCCCTCGCACGGATCCATCGAATAGGGCAAACACGAGAAGTGACAACGGTTCGGCTTTACATCCGGGACTCGTTTGAAGAGGTTTGTAAAATCGCCAATGTAAGCAAACAAAAAGGGGACCTAACTGGATGGCGACACTAGCAAGTAATCGAGCTACAAAACGCCAAAAAGCACCTCGCTCGCGTGCTGCTCTCCCCTCATGACGGCGGTCAAGGGGATGACAGCCTCGGGGGCCTTCACGTAAGTACTTCGAATGCTTCATAATGTCCGGCTAGGTACTTACATGGTTGTTAGAAACTAAGAGCGCTGCTCTGAGTCGCGCGACGCACGACAATCGCCACTTTTCGATTTGGGTCCGCCCTTGAGCGGCCCGTCGGCGGCATGTGGGCGCTCTAGTACGCTGTATAGACGGAGGCAGTGTCACCGGGCAGTGCCTCAGAGGCTATTGCGACTATTGGTGGCTTTAACCCGTCTCAGTTTTGAAAACCACCATTTCATTCATCATACTGCATCCTATCTCCGCCCAAATCACAATAAAGTCCTCTGACAGATCAACCCCCATCACCGCCGCGGGAATCACCACCACTGAAACTTTGCCCAGTCGATTCCAAAACTACTACCAAAGAATGAGATTTCGCAGACCCTCCCAACCTTCACACCACAACCGAGTACCTTGTACCCAATAGACTGGTCCTTACATCCAATCTCGGTATCTGCTGCAACCCCAAGAGTGCCGTGAAAGGGGCCGACCTCAGCATCCACGAGGTACACGCCCACATCGGCTCCAGCGTAGACCGGCAAGCCCCCCATTTCTTGCATCTCAGCCTTAGCCTTCGCAGCGAGAATGTCGACATGCACCTGCTGGATCGGGACCGCGTTTAGCTGCTCCATATGGATGAGAGCAGCCGTGGTCGTGGCGCTCTGGGTTTGGAAGATGCAGCCCCCGGTGCCGCCGTCGGCGTTGATGTAAAAGGTGGTGATCCCACCCGGTTCCTGCTTCACCTGGACGTACGCTCCCTTGGAACTGAGTTTGGTGCCCACGTCTTCCAGACTGCCCGTTTGAGCGAATTGGGTATGCCCGGTCGGCGCCGGTGTTATTGACTGACACACCAAACATCAGTAAAGTGGACGGGTGCTGGTTCTGGTGGCGGTTGATCGAATCAGTCTCCCACCCGTCCCTAGCTTAGGTACCTAGCTTTGAGGGGTGTGTCAGACCGCCAATGGAGTAAGGGGGGATGGAAGAATAGTAATCAAGCGTTTTAGTATGGGTAATGGAGAGAGGGGGGGGATAGGTGGCGAGGAGCAGAGAGGGAGATGTTGCCCCTAATATAAGCAAGGAGCTAAAACCTGCCATCGATACCTCTTCTGGGATGTAATGAATACCTAGAGAGTCTGAGGTGTGCGAGGAATAATCTTTCATCAGTTGAGGGGCGGGAAGACTTGCATGTCAAGCACCTTGACAAAATTATCTGAGAAGCGGCGAGAACCGTCGGCCCGAAATGGCAAGATCCGAGTCCAAATGGCTGCAAGGGGGCGGCGTTGTCGTCTGAACAACCGTGCTGGCTCCAAGGAACGGAATTCCGTTTTACACGCTGGATTCAGGCGGATTGAGATGCATGTCTTATTATACACACACATAAAGTGCCAAACAGAATAATAAATACCAACGGTAGGCCAGCTACCTGTACGCCTAATAACACCGCCACGCTACTCCCAAATTCACGCTGCACCCATTCCTGTGTTTCATGACCGAAATCAAACATGCGGTGGTCCGTCCACATCGAGTTGGCCAGCTCGTCTGATCACATGTGTCTCAGAATCCATCATTCTATAACTCCAATCTGATTGCCCGTCCCGGCCTGCCTTCACTTGCCAACTCCCCAATTCACAATTCCTACCATCGCCCACGCACCACCCGTTAGCTTGTCCACCCAACTCCCCCTCACCAACCCCATAACTAAATCCCCGCTTATGAGGAGCGCTTCGTCTGAACCGGCAGCTTCTTAGCGCCAGCACCAGCACCAGCACCGGCCCCAGCTCCAGCTCCAGCTCCACGTCCCGCAGTACCGACGCCACCAGCCTGGCCCGAAGGCTTTGTGGCAACCTTAGCCTCGCCCACGGTCTTGGTCGTGACGGCGGCATTAGCGGGGGCGGCGGAGGAAGCCGGCTGCTTTGTGCATCGATCACAGACTGACTTGCCATCCCATGGCACCATCTTCGTGTTGGTCTTGTTGGCCTCGCAATTGCGTTTGCAGCTCGGCGCCCGGATGAGGCGCAGTTTGGGTACGATGTGCTTCTCCTTGTAGTGCACGCCGCAGTCCAGCTTTGTGAGGATGAACTTGCACATTTTGGTGGTGGTGTTTGTTGGGGGGAAGACTTGAGATGAGCAGTGCTTGTCAAGAGTGTCGGAGTAAGTTTGTTAAAGGTTGAAAAAAAGAAGGTTTGATTGCTTGCTCGATTGGTTGTCTGTTGGCTTTACCGAGAGGAAGTTCGGCATTCTGGGAGGGGAGAGTCCGGTGATCTCTTATAGCCCTAGCCAGCACCATGTGAAGCCAGAGGAGCTGAAGTCGAAGGATCGAGCGACCCAAACTTCTGCCATGTTTCAGCCAGGACAACAACACCAATACCACATTCCGTCCGTGCCTCATGGGCTTAAGACAAACTCCCGTGATGGTTGCCGCTCCCACAACCCATCCTGAAGAAGGCGCACCTGGTCGCCGACCAGTTGCTTGAATACCGGACGCTGGAGGCACAGCCCGAAACAGCCGTCCCTTGTGCCTCTCGCTTGTTGCCCATGTTTTCGCTCCCTTCTTCACCCTCACAAGACGCAATGTTTTGGCCGGGTTTTGCTGGCCCGGGTTCCGTTACAGAGTGTCTCATCGAGCCCGTCAACAGTCGCCAGAGGATGGGAGAGGCCAGCCTGCCGCCGGCACTGAACCAAACTCCTTTGAAGCCATGGCCGCGCCGGGTCCCGAAGTCGGGCATATTGGCTCAATGTATCGGCCGTGACATGATCTCCAAGTGTTATTTTTAGTTTGACTTTTTATTTTTTGGATTGACCCAACTCTCGTTGTTGACCAAGATCTCTACGTCCGTCTCGATACAATTCGTGTATAAAAAACGGTATCCCGGACCATTTGCCTAGGTCGTCACCTTGGTAAGAACACTCGCATCCAACATTAACCTCACACACCCTTAACTCTCGTTTAACTCTTGTTACCATCCTTGGACAACTGGCTGGCCCGGTTGCTCTACACTGATTGTCCTTCTTCGACTTCCGTCTTCTACAGCGCTTAGACTCCAACGCAATGACTCGCGCTGAATGTCCTCTCTGCATGGGTAAGTCAAATCGCCACTCCTGGCTCGGCACAGAGAGACAAGACTTGAAATTGATTCAACCTGCAATATAGAACCAGCAAGCCACGCATATGTGTGGTGTGGCTCAAGCCAACTCCGCGGCTTGTATGTCGGTTCTTCACACTTTAACAACGGGAGAGTGCACTGGGCCTGTAGAAGGTAATCGCCCAGCCCATTGTCGCCTGACACGAGAGCAACAAATCACTGACTCGGACAGGTGCTTCAATGCTATGCTCTCTCAGGAGGATGCCTATGCCTGCCCCTTCTGCAGACAAGCGCGGTGGGAGGTTGAAAAGTGGAGATACAGCTCCCAGGGGGGATATGAATATGCGTCCAAGGTGCAGTTGCTGGACGATTAGAGCGCACCGTTTGGCAAGCTAGTAGTTCTCTAGCTCGTTGGCGTGATGCGGTACAGTATACTTAGGAGCAGGATCTCCTTCATCTCCGGTACTGCGAGGTGCCCGAGTAGAAAGGAGATGAGAGCCGGATCTCTTTCCCCTTGTCCTATTGCCGGGAAAGACGTACTACGATGACCTACCTGGTAGTTACAGGAGCTGGCCTCTATCACTCTGGGTCATTGAAAGAGAATTTAGATACATATACTAGACATAGAACTCTAGCCTCTATGTAATACTGTCCATCTCGCCTCAGATGTCCCTAGGGCTGCCCATCTTTCCGTCCAGCACTCTATCTAGGTAGGTACCTAGAATACGTAAGAGATTCAGGGACGATACATAAGGCAATCACACGAGATAAATAACGAACCAACGAGAGCGCTGATTCGTCCACCGTAGACCTCTCCTTCATCTCAAGTAAGCATCCGGTATCGCCGCTGAGAACTTACCGAAAACGGGACGACGAGGTGGTAAGCCTCGCTAATTGGTAAGGTACCACAAGCACAGAAAGCTTTTTTAGTTCCACTCCCTTTCCACTCTTCTCCCCAGCTCGCAACTCCAACAAGGGCGAGGACAGCTCCTCGTACACAAAGACGGTGCGAACACCGCTTCATAGACCTCGGCCAAATCCAGTGGATCTATAACGGCAGTCAAACGACAAAGCCCCCCACCACAAGCAGATACGCCGTAGTCTCCTTATCCTTCATTCTATCTATCTTCAACTCGAAAGACTTGGAGCCTTACAAGGCACCGTACTACGGAAACCCAAACTTCCCCCAGTCGATGCCGATACTGTTGCCAAAGACGGAGACCTCGCAAACTCTCCCAACCTTTACACCGCAACCTAGTACCTTACACCCGACGGACTGATCTTTGCATCCTATCTCAGTGTCCGCCGCAAGGCCAAGAGAGCCGTGGAAAGCACCAGCATCAGCGTCCACGAGGTATACCCCCGCGTCCGCCCCGGCATAGACCGGGACACCCATGGCCGACTGAATTTGGGCCCCTGCCTTTGCGGCCAGGATGTCGACGTGTAGCTGCTCAATCTCGACCCCCTTGTTTTGTGCAATGTGCAGTATCGAAGCGGCGGCAGAAGCGCTGTGCGTTTGGTAAATATAGCCCCCGGTATCGGCGCTGGCGTTGAAGTAGAAGGTGGTGAGGCCGTCTTCTTCCTGGGCCACCTGTACGTGTACGTCCGGGCCGTCAAGTCGCGCATACACTTCTTGGAAGTCCTTGATTTGAGTCGGCTACACGAGACGGTTAGCTAGGTCCGGTTGCTGCTTCGGTAGCTACCTAGATGCTCCCCCGGCTTATGCTTACATTTATCGACTGCTGCTGGTACATCATCCCTATCGGGTTGTTGGATCCCGGGCTCACCATCTTCAGAGCTCGTGCGGAATGGCAATGGGGGGTATTGAAAGAAAGCTTGACAGATAGAGGCGGAAGTTGGATGGCTAGCAGCGATTATATCTGAATTCCCTGTCCTATTCATTCCTCCTACGAGAAAGGGAATAGTATTACGACCGGGTCCGAGTCCCGTTAGGCTTCCTGTTCCCGATCTCTCAACCACATTTTCCATGCGCCCTTGCCCAACCGACCTGCGCTGTAGCAAGTGAGAGAAGCAGAAGCAGAAACTAAGGCAGCTTCCCATCCTTTCATTGGTTTTTTGATGCCGGTCTAGCTCCGTCTCGGCCTAGTCACGTCGGTGCATTGGGTTCAGCTTTCAGCTTCGCGTCTTGACACGGGGCCCGAGACAGCGGCCCAAAGTCGAGATGGCCCAATTCCTTACATCACGGCAGTAAGGGCCAGCACTCAAAGTAGAGGACTCAAAACGTGTATATCCAATACCACTAGGTGGCGTAGCCGTAACCGGGCAAGCTCGGCGGACCGCTTTTGAAAACAACAAGACCGTTGAGATAGCAGATTATTGCACCGGTTGGATTGCAGGCTGCAACCCTCATCCGCCGGGGCATATTCCACCCCCATCTCTCCGTTTCTCTGCTTCCCTGAGCTGTTTGCATGGGCCAAAGCAGCCGCGGCATTTTCATACGATTCAGCAACCACGCGAGAATCCGCAGATCAGTAAGCCCAACCTGGGCTTTGGGGGCGTTGTTGGGCAGCATCGCAGACTCAGCCGGATGGCTGGGGCTCTCAGGAGTGGAGGAGTGCCCAACGGTCTAACCACTCTTGTGTAGGTACCTTAGCTAGTGTGCCTATGTTCAAACATTACAGGCGGCAACGCCGCATGAGACGGCGCATTGACTGGCAACGGCCTACTTCCTAGACACCTGGCTTCCAACCCGCGGGGGTCAACTGCGTTTTCACGGTATGCTGGCTTGCAAAGGAGAGCAGGGGAAGTGGTCCGGGGCGTTACAGTGAGACGACATTGTCATCCGGGCAAGATGTCTCTCGAGCTTGCGCGTTGGGAGGAATGAAAGATGGAATAAAGTGAGAATAACTTGGAGTATAGATAGTAGCTTGATCGAGATGAATTGAGTTCAGTAATTTCAAACTTTTCTGGGATTTGGGAAGTCAAAATCTATATCGCTTTGTAGGTTCTTTCCTTTTCTTTCTTTCGGTTACTTTTCTCCTTTTTCCTTTACTGTTTTCTTCTTCGTTTTTTTCAACCACCACTTCGCGAATTTCCGACGCCCCCCAACTAGTGTTGGATTCTATCATCATTTACTGGCAGGATCTGGGAACGGTAGCGCGCTTGTTTAGACTTCCACTTACATACTAATTAAAGTGCACATCTCGTCTTACTGGGGATTCCATCCTAATCCCAGGGCGTTTGGAATAGTGTGACAGTGATAGCTGCCTATTAGCTACCATCTGACCTAGTCCGCCTTCTTCTTCACCATCAAAAGAGCGGCCCCCACCCCTCCCTCGATCAGCCCCGTTTTTGGATCCATACCAGCATCCTGCATCACCTTTTCAATCTCCTTCCTCATAACCTGCAACGGGTCCGCTTCAGTGCCAACCGAACCCGCATTCGCCTCGCGCCACCTGATGTACGGGCTCGCGGTGGCGAGCACCATCACCAGCACATCCACATTCGGCGGCCGCTGGTTCCTATAAAACTCATCAATCGGCTCCTTCCCCTCACCCACATCCCACTCCTTCCGCAGGAAGCTGTCCCGCTCAAACTCGGGCACCGGCGCCTCCAGCATCCAGGGCAGCGTCAGATCAACATACAGCCCGCGGCCGACCCGGTTCCCCGGCACCATGTAGGCGTCAAGCGCCTGCTCAAACCCGTCGATGGCCGCTTGGATGGCTACGCCGCCGGGCATGGACGGGTCGACCAGGATCGGCCCGCTGACCCACAGCGCCACGCTGCCGCCGGGCTTGAGCAGGCGCGCGGCGCGCGGCCAGAACACGGCCATGTCGAACCAGTGCGCCGCCGTGGCCGCCGTGATGAGGTCGACGCTGCCAGCGGCCTGGAGGGGACCCGGGGAGGTGGCGGTGGGGGTCTGCGCGCTGACGTCGTCGATGGTGCAGGCCTCGAAGCGGATGGTCTCGTCGGTGTGCGTGACGCCGCCGATGGACCGCGCTGTTGTGATCATGCCCTCGGATGGGTCGATGCCGAGCGCGTGGTTGAAGACGCTGGCGAGTGAGCGCACCGCGGTGCCGGGCCCGCAGCCGACGTCGAGGAGGGTGTCGAGCTGGCCGCCGGTGGACTGGTGGTGGCTGAGGACGAGGTTGTATAGTCGCGGGTGGTAATCGAGACGGTTCTCGGCGTAGTTTGCGCTTTGTTCCGGGGTGAAGGATCGGAAGGTGGTTTCTTTTGGGGCTGGCCCCTGGTTGTCGGCTTTCTCGGCCATGGCAACGAATTATCCTCAGGGGAGCAAAGAAGCGGGCGAGGAGTTCGGCAAAGACGAAGGTGTTGTTGGGGCTAACCGGACAGCAATAAACAGTGAACCAGGGGCGATTGTTATATGCATGGCACTTCAACACGAGTTTGTTATTACCGGACGCGTCATGCGGCCCCGAATCCGCCCGATCCTTCGCCATGGCACTCCCATTCGTCGCTGCAACGGGCATAGTCCGGTTCTATGCAACCTGGAGCCTCGAAGGGGAGACGAGAATCATCCTTTCGAGTTGCTTGGGCCATTCGGAGTGCTGCCAGTGATACCTGCTTCGCGTTGTCCAGAGACTCGAGAGAGGCGTGTGTTTACTACTTACCTACTTACCGTAGCTGGGCAAGCGGTAAGCTATCGGACTTTGTACCCTGTTATGCCCGAGCGCTGAATATGTATCAGAGACCAACATCCTCCCTTCCGCCGGCACTCGCGAGGGCGCTTGGTCCTACACCCAGGACTTCATCTAGCTGCAGGCAGACCTAGGCTGTATACTCTCCGCCGAGGAAGGGGGAAATGTCCGTGTTGAGAATATAATAGCAGGGACTTCCAAGCAGATTCTCGACGAGACTACGAATGGTCGTTGGATCAGATTGAGGTCCTCCATTTTGGAGTCTGGCTAGTCGTTTGTAAGCATTCAAGTTGGGACCCCTCTAGTGTAAATGTATGATCTGTTTCGCAAGGACATTTGTCAATTCACCAAGATCTTGGCAACAATATGAGGAAGACCTTTATCCGGCGGCCTCAACAGGGCTGTGGAGATAGTTCCCATTGCACTAAGGGGGAAACGGGGCGCTGGGTTAAAGTCTCGTCGGGTGAAGTACGTTGTGTGGAGGATACAGAGAAAGATGTGGATGGGATCGACCGAGCTTAGCCAAGTGACGGATCAATTTCTCAGGAAGCCAACAAATTATCCGTTCAGGGCTGAGAGAAACCACGAGTGTCTTTTAACGAAGCGGCATTTATTTGCTGGTCTTGGGTGACGCTAACGATGCTAGCTGTATCCCGAGAGCGTACTTCGTATGCGTCGCCGCTACCTCAATGGCGTGTCCACAGACATTCCTGTGGGCGGCCTGCCAGAGGGCGAGCATGATGCAACCCATATCCTCCCAAATCATCGCAGCCAAAGAACCAAAAACCCCGGCATGCATCGTGGTGATATGTACAAGGAGCTAAGAAACCCAGGTTGTTGCAACGACAACCTTCTTCCTGCAACTTATGTTGTGTTGTTCTTCCATCAATCTGCTTGACCTTCACTTAGGTGTGCTTGATACCCATCCTGTCAAGGGTCTTCTTGATGCTCGTGTCTGTCCTCTTGGCTGCCTTCTCCAAGGGAAGGCGGTGCTCGATCCTCTTGACGGTGCGCTCGACGGGCGGGGAGAGCCTCTGGATACCCCGTTCGACGGGGTTCCTGAAGAAGGTGATGTTGCGCTCCCAGCGGGGAGCCCACTTGACCGTCTGTCGCGAGAGACGCTCCTCGGCACCGGGAGCCATCAAGTAGAAGGGAGCAAAGCCGGTGACGCCAGCCGCGCCCATGCAGAAGACCTCAGTCCTGGTGGTAGCGGGAATACGGACGGGCATGTTGGCGGTAGAGTGGAGATTGGCTTGTTCTTGTTCTTGTTGTTAAGGTAGTAAGAGCTGGATTGGAGCCTTGATGTCAGTTGGGTGAATGGAAGACAGAACGAGGAGATGGGTGTGGCGAGGCAGTCAGTAGGGCAAGGGAAGGTGGCAATGTGCGGGGTCTTGCCAGCAAAGCAAGCGCCATGGTAGGAAAAGCAAGTTGGCAAAAACAATAACAGAGTGATGCGTACCTGCGGGAAGGAGCGATGGTTTATGAACTCGATATCCTGAAGCTCGGAGGCGTTTATCTCAAAAGGTATCGCTGATGGATTGAAAAGTGTGTGTGATGTTTACACTGTAAGCAACTGTGACGTCTTGGGAAAGTTGGTGTCGCACAAAGAGGAGAAGCTGGAGAGAGGGAGGGCACACTCGTCCCTTTATTCCTGATGAGCATGAGCGACTGAGACAGCTGGGCTGGAAGACACGCCTCTGCCCAGCTGCCCGACAAGTGAAAGGAGCCGCTTGCCGCTTCGAGGACCAGAAACAAACGTCCTTCGCAAGGGGGTTCCTTCCCCAAAGAGGCCTGGAACACAGCACAGGCTGCACAGCGGCCAGGTGCGGAGCGGGGTAACCGTCGCCGTATTAACCAGCGCCAATCATGGGTTAGGAGGGACGTCATTCTGCAGTCGCGCAGCTCCTGATTGCCAGTGAGCATGGTCCTTTCCTGACTCAAATAGGTTGGCATGGCGCCATGTGCACGTCCGACAAGGGAGAGGCGAGATGATTGTCGCATCCAGTGCCTTCTCCTCATCCATCTCATGGTCGTTCGCACATCGACCGTTCGACCTTTCCATCCCCAAAGTGAGACGACGCCAAATACAAACCGAACTCGACCTTCGAAGTTGATATTGCCATCAATCTGGGGATTCCTTCGTGACGACGCGTTAGCGTGGACGGCAGGGGTTGGTGGAGCCGGCAGCGTTGAAGCTCCACATTCCCCGGACTCCACCCCCGCGATGGAGTGGAGCTGGTGGAGTGGAAATCACCAAAAGCGCCCCTTCTGTTGGGCATTTGGCATTTGCTCGTGTGGGCACGAATGGACTCGAAAGCTTAAATCGTGGAGACGAGTTGGTTATCGCCGGACTTTGTATGATCGAAAGCTAATGCCCGGGTTTTAATCCAGTTCATTTTGGACTCGATTCACAGGAGATACCGCTGGTCAAGACCGTCGCGCGCTGGCGTCGGAATGCGGCAAGCAGCAGACCAGGGCCGAGCCAAACGCCACACGCACGGCGCGCCAAACTCGACCAACCCCCTCCTCGCTGTCTTGGGGTTCTCAGGCCAGGGAAATGCAAATTACACCGGGGATCTTGGGACTGAGGGACCCAAATAAAAGACGTGGAGATTGCGTTGGGTATTGGAGGAATCCCAAACCTCGACTCTCGATCGTCCATCCCCAAGCGCTCCCCAGGCGCCGCAATGTTGCACGTGGCACGCCTGAGCGATGGTCTCGTGAGACTCTCCTCGTCTAGGAAGGGCCCACAACAAGGGGGACCAGGGACCTCAAACGGGGCTTTGGCTTGGCAAACAACCGCCGTGACGTTTTGTCATTTTGCCCTTGAACTGCACACAGACGATGATCAGATCTCGTTCCGACAAATCCTCGATCATTTCTTTCGCTGAGGCTCTTTGCCCCCACTCGGTTCTGATGACACAAATTCATGGGTCCAGAACGATTGGCCCGGGCCTGCCGCCTGCACTGCTCGTGAACGGCAGGTATGTCCGAGAGCCTTGCTTGGCCACAATCTCTTGCCCCCATGCGGCAAAGCGATCCGCGGACCTGCGCGAGGCAAAATAAACGTGCCGAACCGTAATTTTCGTGTTGGAAGAGGCCAAACCGCTGGCAGTCATGATGGGGTCCACGAGGGGGCCATCCGACTCGGACTTTCTCAATGGCACTTTAAACGGTTTGTTGGGGTAGTTGTGAATATGCAAACAGCTAATATGGTGAGTCCTATGGAAGTTGGCTGATAATGCGGACTCCTAGCCCATTGGTACAGCAGAACTCATGAAGCCACAAGCCACAAAAGTTCGGTGGGATCCATGATGATGGAGGGGAGCCTAGCCCTATTCAGCATTGAATCCGAGTGTACATACAATGTGGACGTTGAGCGTTGACTTGGCCCCTTAAACGTCACGGTTGATATGTCGAAGAAATATGTCCGGAATCCCTACACTTGAGACGGATTAGCACTTGGATGACCGCAACTCGATTCAGGTCAGTCACTTCGGAAATGAATCGGCAGACTTGGACGAGAAATCTCTACGCTTGCCGAGGATTCAGCTTCAACGCACGGAACTGAACCTTGCATGCGAAGCTGTCACAGCCTTGCGAGGCACAGTCGACACTACATATGCAGGCGACCATGGGAGGCGCTTTCTGTGATGTAATAGGGCTCGGCGATTTGCCTGGAATTGGATTAACACTCTATTTCTAGGTATTACTTACGGTTCACCGGCTCCCGGCCCTCAGCCACAGCTGAACAACCAACTCCTCGCAGATGGTGCAACCAAACACATGCATCATCATGTATGCCCTGGATTCTTCAACGCGGTTCATTTTTCCCCTTTTTTTGTTCCTCTTCTGCTGCGTATTACCGTTTACTTGTATGCACATTGTACAGGTACACCAGGTACCTACATACCTAGACATTGATGGAACCCCTTTCAATTCTGGGAGCGGCTGCCGCCTGTGCCCAGCTCGTTACGCTAATTGCGAAAGTCACGACTGACCTCGCGTCGATGAAAACCCAATGGACGGAAGCAGCACGACCTCTTCAGCTGCTAATCGGCAAGCTGTCGACACTTCGGGCGGCCCTCGCCCAGATCAAGGACTGGGTCGACTTCAATGCGTCAACTAGTCCAAATGGAGAGGAGATGCAGGGCAACCTGGGGGTTGCTATTGAGGGTTGCCAGGTCATCATCGAAGCCCTGGATCGCGAGACAACAAGCCTGCTAGGTGATTCATTGGTATCACGCCTCAAGCAGTTCTTTTTCGATTCAGTCATCAGAGAATACGAGAATCGTCTCGCATCTCAGATCACGGCTCTACAGTTGCTTCTGACAGCCGCGTATTGGTTAGCCTCCCAATCCCTAGACCTCGTGGGCCATGGTGCTCTCATACCGTGCCAACATAAACAGCTACTAGTACGCTGACGCTAGCATTGTCTTGACCTACCTTAGCCAAAACCTATCCGAACAAAACAGCTTGCTACGACAATCGGCAGCCCGAGACGTGTTTCAACGCATCCGTGAGGACACAAGCACGGTGCGAGAACAGACGACCGTTCGGTCCACAGCTGCGGCGACGGAAATCGCACCTACATCGGCGAGTAGAGTAGACCAACAAACAGACAGCTCCTCCGTCACCAGCAGCTCGATAAACGTCCACAAAGTGATGATCAAGGACTCAGAGAGTCATGACCAGGGGTTATACGGGACCGAGACGCCAATGGCGCCATGGCGGCGTCCGGAACCGTTCGATATGCTGCCCTACGGCTCGCCTTTCATGACCGCATCCCTGCCGAATGACAGGACCTCCATCTTCCATAGCTCCAAAGCAACGTCAGCAAGCACTCCGCTTTCCGCCGAGTCCAAGCCCCAGTCTTCTATCCGTCAGCGCTTCGGCCGGCTGAGATTGTCGATTTCACCCAGCAATGACAAGCTCGATGCTTCTGTGCCGCCAAAGTCGCAGCTGCGCATCCGGTTCCCCGGGGTATTTGCGGCGACCGATATGTATCTACAGTCCAAGGACGGCCAGCCACCGCCTAGGGCCATCGTCGCCGCGCAACGGGGTGACTACGCCGAGATGGCGTCGCTCATCCGACGGAAAGTCAACATGGAGCAGCCGGATAGGAAGACAGGGAGGACACCGCTGGCTGTCGCCTGCCATTGCGGACATGACGATATCGTAGATCTTCTGATCAGCGAAGGCGCCAGGATACACTCCAAGGACAAGCAGCATCTCTCGCCACTCCATCTCGCCGCGGCAAACGGTCACTGCAAAATCATCGAGACGCTGTTGGACCAGGCCGCCAATATCAACGCCCGCGGCCCTCAGGAGAAGACACCCTTGAGAATTGCCTCTGAGCACGGACAGCTGGATGCCGTCCGTCTTCTCGTCAAACGGCAGGCCATGGTTGACTGCCGTGACAACGAGCAAAAGACAGCGCTGCACGCGGCGTGTATGGCGGGCGACGAGGAGACCGCGAGGCTTCTGTTACAGTCTAGGGCGAACAAAGGAGCCAAGGATTCGCAGATGCGAACGCCCCTTCATTCCGCCTGTATCTCTGGTCGGGTGCGTGTGGCCGAGATGCTTATCGAGGCCAAGGTCGATCTCGAGGCCCAAGACGAAGACAATCTCACTCCGCTAGCCGCCTCGGCGAGGTTCGGCCTCACAGCCGCCGTGGACCTGCTTCTGCGCCACAAGGCGTCTCCAAAGGCACGAAGTGCGGGCGGTCTGACGCCCCTGCACTGGGCAAGCTTCAACGGGCATGAGGAGGCCGTTGCTTCGTTAATAGTCAACAAGAAGACCGACTTGAATGCCCGCGCCCTAAACGGCTGCACACCACTCCACCTCGCTGCCAGAAGCCGCAGCTTCGGTGTCATTGAGAAGCTCTTAGGGGTCGGTGCCGCCGTCGAAGCGGAGTGCAACGAGGGGAACCGGCCGCTGCACTACGCATGCCGGCATGCCACTCGCAGCGTTGCCTCGCTGCTCTTGAACGCGGGGGCGGACTGCAATGCCCAGAACGGTGCGGGGGAGACTCCCCTACACGTCGCCGTTCGCTCTGGGGGAGGTGTCAAAACCACAAAGGCCCTAGTGGCCCGCGGCGCTAGAGTAGACACAGGCGATCGGACGGCAGTCAGGCCGCTCGCAATCGCATGTGCAACCGGCCACGTTGAGATTACACACGCGCTTCTGGCCGGGGGCGCGTCCCTCAGGAGCACCCCCGACGCTCCTCTTTGCCTCGCCGCTAGCGGTGGCCACGTGCAGGTCATCCAAGCGCTGTTGCAACGCGGCGGCGCCGTGCGCCAGACGGATGCTCAAGGCTGGGATCCTCTGAGACGCGCCGCTTTCGCCGGCCATGCCGAAGCAGTCGCTTGTCTGCTAGGGGGCGGGGCTCGCGCCACCAATCTCGGCCCCCTGGCGAGCTTCGCCTTCGCGTCGACCGTGACCCCCGAGCAGCGCCAGCGCGTTACTCAGCTGCTCAGCATGGCCATCCAGACCGAAGCGGCCGAGTCCCAGCGCGTGACACACCTCGCCAGCGCCGCAAGAACCGTTAACGCACCTGAGGCCATGGTTGAGCTACCACAGACGGAATTCAGGGGTGTTAGGCCCGTTCCCAACCCCCCTGCTGAACCACCTTCCCCGGTCCCTTCGATTCGTCTTAGGAGATCGGACAGCCCAACGGTACCCCAATCGCTTCATAATGATGGCGCTAATAGCGGTGGTGGTCGTTCAGGGCCCGACTCTGCGCCCCGAACGGCGACCTCTGCGCTCCCTAGCACGTTACCGTCATCTCCAACCCCCCAACCCCCTAACGTGGTAGTAAGTGCACCATCGCCACCAAAACCAGATCTCTCTTTAGAAGCCATGCGCGATATCAGCCTCGCTACGGCGGGCTTGGGAGACGGTACCGCAGCGCCGATCTTCTACGAGCTGGATGGGAGACTGGTTGAGGGAACAGTGGTAGCATAAGGCCGATCTATCATCAACACGCATCGATACATCTATCCGCCACCCGAACCCTTGTCAGCAGCAAACACCCTCACGTCCGAGTCCACCGTGCTCAACACCTTCGCCGTAGCCTCAGCCTGCCACTTCTTCAACATCGCGGCAACACCTTCCTTGCTATAATCCTCAACACTAGCCTGATCCTTATGATACTTCACCCGAATAAAACCACCATCCACACTCGCCGGATCCAGCGCCAGCGAAACCAGCGCGCGCAGCCTAATCACCTTAGGAACAGGAACCAACTTCGGACGCCACTCAATCTCATGCCGGAACTGAATCAAATCCCTATCGTTGGTGACAACCTCGTGGCCTTGGCTCTCAGCCTGGCTAAAGATATAGGGCAGGCCGAACCACTGGCCCGCGATCTGGTAGCGGTCGGCTGCGTAGCCCAGCTCGTCGTGGTAACACGGCGTCGGGCGTGTAGCGCTGAAGGCGTGCGATTGTGGCGCCCATCTCGTAGAGGGAGATGATGTCGTCGACGAGGGCCCTGCGGGCGGGTGAGAGGGGGAGGGATTTGCTGGCGTTGGGGGTGTAATCACCGCCGGTTGTGTCGTTGTTCTGGCGTGGTTCGAAGAACTTGCCTGGGAGGTTGTGATCGGAAGGGAAGTGGACTGTGTTGGACTCGCTGAGGCTTTGGCCTTGTGAGGCGGCAAGTGTCTCGGTGGTCATGTTGCCGGGTCGGAGGTACTTGTAATATATGTAAATTATAAGTCTACTTTGTTTGGCGAGATTGGAGACGGTGTCAGAAGTATTTCTTTATGGCCGCTCTACTACCTAATCATACTTTAGGTTAGAGAAAGAAGCCTTGATAATGGCTTGGATGAATGGATACTTGACGTCAGCGCCAGGTCCATGACGGTGTCTACGCCAATGAATCGAGGCAGTCCGCGCATACTTCGATTTAGCCGTATTCAAATAACGAGCACTGCCCTTTCATCCACATCAATCACCACACACAGGGTATGCCCGCTCTGCCGCTATGAGAAAAATGAGAGAGGTGAACGTGAGGCAAAACGGCGGAAGTGATTGTATAGGGGCGGCTGGTTAGGAGTGACATCTAGGCCTTGTACAGGATGTAGATCTCTCCAACCACTCCGTCACTTGCGACATACATCCTCGAGTGGTCCGGATGCCAGGTGATGCCCGACGGCCGCAGACAAGTACTCGATGTGCACGACTCCTCGTTCTCCGTCCAAAGGATATCGGAATAACCCTTGACACTATCCGCCGGCTCCACGGGATCATAGCTACCATCTTCAAGCTGCGCAAACGCAATTTCGACGACCTTGTAGCCCGTCGCGGGCTCGCGGTTCCACGAGCCATGCAGTGACACGTACAGGTTCAGGGAGTCCTTGTCGAACTTGCCGTCGATGGGTGCGCTGTGAGCCTGCATGGACAACCGCGGCGGCACCGACTTCTCGGCGCACGAGCTGTCGTCAAAGGTCGCGTTGGGCGCGATCACGAACTGGTCCCCAACCTTGAAGGAGGTGTCGGGGATGACCGAAGGGTCACCAACCGTCCAGCATGTCGGGTAGCCGTACCATTGCTCGTTGGACACGGCTGGGTCGCCCACTGGTAGTATGTCAATAAATAATCCATCAAACGCGAAATGTGTGTTGTTTGAAACTTACGGTAGTTCAGTTCCTCGGCCGGGTTGTCAACGTGCACGTCGACCGAGCTGCCGTCGGTCGTGTTCCGGGTAAGCTGGTCTCCGCTGTTCTCAACGCCCCAAACCCTTTTGTGTCACGTTAGCAGTTACAGCACCAAAGACATGGGTGCCCTCACATGTTATTGCCATCGAAAACGAGGGCAACCTCGTTCCGCAGGCCGTAGCCGAGGTACCAACCCTCGGTGTTGTATGAGTACCCGCCAGACGGCGTCTCCGCCATGTCAAAGACCTTGACGATGGCTCGGCCAGTCTCTTTCACGACTGTCGGCCCGTCGATATTGCCGGCCGATCCCAGCGACACAATCAGCAGATTGGGGTTGTTGGGCGGGATGGCGAGCGTCCGCGAACTGTGGCCGCTGGGATTCATACCCCTGACCACCACCGTCTGGTCCGTCGCCGTCATGGTCGCGGCGTCGTAGCTGTAGGACCATGCCGTCGGCGCAGCGCTGACGTACAGCGTCTTGCCGTCCGGGCTGAGCGCGAGTCCGTGGTTCAGCTGGGGGTTCTCGAGCACGGTTGTGCTCTCGCTGATGCAGCCGTCGGCGCCGAGGGTGTGCGCTGTGAGGCCCTTGCCGGCCTCGAGGACGAGCAGGTGGCCCTCGGTGTCAAAGAGGATGCTGCGTGGCTTTGACACGTCCGTCGATATCAGGGTGTACTTCCATCCCTCGGCGACCGAGAGGGTGTACGGTGATGTGGCCGTCACGCCGGGGCACGAGCTAGGGATTGGCGCGGCATCCTGGCGAGGGGAAAGGCCCCTAGCAAAGGCTGTCGCATCAGGAGTCAGCTACTACTACTCGTTCCGGTGGACTCTCGGTGGTGTCGGTCGGAAGGCAATGAGGCATGCGGCATACCTGAGCCGAAGACACCCAGCGTCGCCGTCACCGTGAGAGTCGTTACGCACCAATGCATCTCGGCCGTCTTGGTTGTCTTGGAGAATCAAGTTTACCGGGTTAGCGACTCTTTCGAGGCAGACTTGCGGTTAAATAGTCCTTTCTCTTGACGAATCGGTACACGCTCGCTTGAAGTAATCTCGGCATTACCCCCCACTGCTCCCAGACCGATGCGCCATCGATACGCCCTCTATGATATAACAGGCAATGATATACTGGACTGCAACTGCATTATCCACCCTACGTGATCGTGGATGTCCAGCCAAGCCGGAGGATCTGACCGAGCATGGACAACCATAGGTCGGACCAATTCCCCCATCGGTCTCCCCACACGCTTGGCATCTGCTACTCGGGAGAGAAAACGGCGAACCGGAAAGTCGGCAGCCGTGATCTTCGTGTCGAATAAATACCCTTGGGAGTCAACCCCGCACAGCGGTGGCGAGGAAGATGGTGACGATAGATTCGAGGACGCGTCGAGTTGAGAGGTTAACCTCAACGATGTGATTCTACAAGCGTAGTGTGTTGTACTGTTTGGCAGATTTCGCTTTGACGCGCTGCTTGTGTGCGAGCAGGGCAGTCAGTTGGTCTCAATAGTCTTCCTTGGCGGGAGATCTCGCGATGGAACTTCCCAAAAGAGGCAGGATTGACCGTTCTCTTGGTTGCGCTGAGAATACAAGAGAAAATGTTGCGGCATGCGTACAATAGTATGATGTTATACCCCAGCGAAATACTAAATGAAAAGCAGAATCTAGACGGCTCTTTTTAAAACAACCTAGGTAGGAGGAGCCTTGATAGTGTGTTGCGGTGTGTGGGAGAGCTTCAGGCACCCGAACCCTTCTGAAGCCGAGTGGGTCTTGCTGCCACATACCCTAACCCTGGAGAATGTCGATAACATCCCGATAAGCGTGGGGTCCTCCCCCACTTTTATTTTCGCCAGCTGCAAGGCGGTCAATTTTTTTTGGAGGACATCGAGGCCTGCATCGATCCCAGATACAGTTGAGGTTGTGCAGTTTGACCACAACCCCTCGGCAACCCTCGACAACGATCGCCGGTTCCGAGTCTCAAGATGCGTGTCGAGAATTGCTTCTTTTGCGGGCGGCCCGCGTGGCCCAGCAAGGGCATTACTTTTAACAGGAATGACGGTTCGTCTCCCCGCTGCGCTCTCGCTCACACGCAGTTTAACTCGGGTTACTGACTACTCGCCTTCCCTCAGGCAAATCCTTTCGGTTCTGTCGGTCCAAGTGCCACAAGAACTTCAAGATGAAGCGCAACCCCCGCAAGCTCAAGTGGACCAAGGCGTACCGCAAGAACGCGGGCAAGGAGATGGTGGTGGACAGCACGCTGCAGTTCGCGGCGCGGCGCAACGTGCCGGTGCGGTACGACCGCGAGCTCTTCGCCAAGACGCTCAAGGCCATGGAGCGCATCAGCGAGATCCGGTCGCGCCGCGAGCGCATCTTCTACAAGAAGCGCATGGCCGGCAAGCGCGCCCGCGAGGTCGCCGCCGCCCGCAAGCTCGTCGCCGACAACGAGCACCTGCTGCCCCGCCTGCGCGGCAGCGAGAAGAGGCGCCTGGCCGAGCTGGCCGCCGAACAGGGCGTCGACGTCGAGGACCTCGAGCGCGAGGAGCTGGCCACCCTGCGCAGCAGCAAGAAGACCAAGGCGTTCGGCGGCGAGACGCGCAGGCTCCGCGTGCGCACCGACGGCGGGGTCGAGGAGATCACCGAGGCGATGGCTGGGCACATGCACGAGGACATGGACGACGACGACGAGGACGACGAGGACGACGATATGGATACCGACTGAGGGGGTTATTGCCAATGATACCCGCGGCGCCCTTCACGATCTATGCTTGGCTTGCTTCTGTGGATTTAGACGCCGACGACAATACATACTTTGTCATCGGCGCGTATCTCGTAGCATCCAGGATGGAAATGGCGGCAAAGCAACACCCAGGGCCACGTCCGAACTCGAGAAAGCAGGAGTCTCAAATTTATCCAGCATCGGCGCTAGCTTCGTTGGACCCAAGTCCTCGGCCTCTCGAGGCACTCATAGACACCATCGGTTGGGAAACTGGCGAATTGGCGTTAATTGGAGGGAAAGTTGCCACACATTATGGCTTGTGTTTAGATAGGCACCCTGACACTCCTGGGCCCTGCAATTGAGGGATGACAAAATACAGTTGTTCGTTAGATTGAGCTCGCAAAACGGACTCAAGACTGGGAAACCAGCATGCTCTCGAATGACCCCCCGTCGCTGTTTTCCAACCCCCCAAATACTGGAAGCGAAGACGACTCTCAACGTGAAGGTCATGAAGTACATATTATTAGATTGATTCATGTAACGCTGATGCAGACGCACCCACCGCCTCCCACTCCGCCGGATGCGCCTTGCTGGCCACATAGGCGCAATCTCGGCGACCATGGGTATCTCCGCCCCTGCCTTCCCCCCCGTTCCATACCCCCGATCCCTACCACCTCACTCGTGCGCACCCTCCCCGCTAACAAGCACACCCCTCCTGCTGGATCGGGCCGGCGGGGGTCTTGACGTCGATCATCTGGTTGGACGCCTGGGCGGCGGCGTCGGAGCCCTCCATGCCGGGCAGGGCCTGGGCTATCCTCTTGAAGAGCGTCTTGACGTTGTGGCCCAGCTTGGCGCTCGTCTCGACGAACATGAGGTTGTTGCGCTTGGCCTCGTCCTCGCCCTGCTGCGTCGTCACCTCGCGCTTGTCGTTCAGGTCCGTCTTGTTGCCCACCAGCACGATGATCACGTCGTTGCCCCGCTCCGCCCGCACGTCGTCGATCCATTTCCGCGTGTTCTGGAAGCTTTTTGCGTCTGCGTGGTTGGTACTGGGTGTTAGTATCGACGGTTGTTGGGGGGAGGGGGGGTCAAGGCTGTCGCTGCTGCTGCTGCTGCTCACTTGAGATGTCGTAGACTACCACCGCCACGCTCGAGTCCCGGATGTAGGACGGGATCAAGCTCCTGAATCGCTCCTGCCCGGCTGTGTCCCAGAGCTGTAATCGCACCGTCCTGTCTTCGAGGTACATAGTCTGTTGGGCCTGGTCAGTGTCTGCCGTGGTGTCTCCTCCACCCTGGGCCGATCGAGGCTTGCCTTGGAGAGGAAGTCGATGCCGATGGTGGCTTGGTACATGTTATCGAACGAGTCGTACATGAACCGTGTGATGAGCGACGTCTTCCCAACTGTTGTTTCGAGTATGTTTAGCAAACGCCGTCTTTGTTGTCGGTCTCGAGTCTCAACTCTCGAGTCTCGAGTACGGATCGCATACCACTTTGTTCCCCGAGGAAGACGAGCCTAGCCCGTTGTTAGCAGGTTGGTTTAGCTAGGCGAGTCGGTGAGGGCGCTATTACTTGAACTTCTTCAGCGGGTTGTTATACGACCCGCCAGCTCCTGCTTGTGCCATGATGGGTGGCCTAAAGGTAGGGGGGCAACGGTTGGGTGTCGTTCTCAGGGATGCGCAAGAGGAGGGGTTCCGCGGCGGTGATGGCGCAGAAACGATAGACGTTGGTCGCCGGGGGTTTTGTATGGATTTTCTACGGTGAGAATAAAGCTATTGAGGCCAGGTTCTCTTCGGCATTGGTTGGCGCAAAGTATTCTCCTAGTGGGCGGTCCCTTTGTGACGGAAATCGATGGCTATTGGCGTTGGCACCTGGCAGCGATCGGCCCTGACCCCCGAACGCCGCTGAAAAGGCATGCGTTGCTGGCGCGTTCAGCTCCTGGAGGCCGCCGTGCCTGCCAGCTGTCACCGAGCGAGGCGTGGCCGCGTGGGCTGGATTGTGGACCCACCGCCCGCGGCATGGAACCTTATCCTTATCTTATCGACCCCTGTTCCGCTCGAAATTTTGAGAGCGACCCCACCGTTCGTTGCGCCTGAGGGAACCTGCCGATTCAGACGCAAAGGAAAGGAAAACACCGGAAAACACCAGACGTGGGATACACAACCATCGCGCCAGCCCTCACATCCCCCAATTTCCACAATGCCAGTCCTAAGGCCCCTTTCGGGCAACCCGGATGCCCCCCAACAATACAAACAACCTTCCAGGAAAGGCAAGAAGGCGTGGCGCAAAAATGTCGACATTTCCGAAGTGCAACAGGGTCTCGAGGAGCTCACCGACCAGATCATCAAGGGGTACGTTGTTTGACAGTGGGAAAGATTGAGAGACATTAAGCTAACAATTCTGCAGAGGAGTTATCGCCGAGAAAGACTCTGCGGACCTCTTCACCATTGATGTGGAGGGCGACGCCGAGCTCCCGAAGCGGTTCCCGAAGCACGTCAAGAAGGGTCTAAAAGCAGACGAAATCATTGCGCAGCGGTCTGCAGTAGCGGCGGTTCCGATGCGCAAAAGGGCTGGCGACAAGACCACCGATGGCATTCTCCCCGTCAAGAGGCAGCGGACCACTTATGTCACAAGCAAGGAGCTGTCGAGGATAAAGAAGGTCGCCGACGGGCACCACGAGTCGACAGTCGCGGTCGTGGACGCCGCGTACGACGTCTGGGCAGAGCCGAAGGAAGAGCCAGCGACCGAGGAACAGCGATTCCTTCCCAAGGCGGAGCAGACGAAGAAGCCCAAGACGCTAAACGAGAAACCCATCTCCCTCGCCGCCAACGGAAAAGCCATCCCTGCAGTACCGAAGCCCAGGGGCGGCCACAGCTACAACCCCGCCTTCAACGAGTACCAAGACCGTCTGATCGAGGAGAGTGAGAAGGCTGTGGAGGCAGAGCGCAAGCGGCTCGAGGCTCTCGAGGCCGAGCGCGTCAAGCTGGAGGCGGCAGCACGGTCAGCGGCCGAGGCGGAAGCAGCCGAGGCACGGGCTGACCTTTCCGAGTGGGAGGATGACTCGGCTTGGGAAGGGTTTGAGAGCGCGGGAGAAGAGCTGAGCGTCAAGACGAAGCGGCCACGGCGCAAGACGCAGGCCGAGAGGAACAAGATCAAGCGCCGCAAGGAGGAGGAACGGAAAGCGAAGCACGAAGCGGCCATGAAGCGCAGAAGGGTCCAGGAGGAGCGCATCAAGCAGATCGCGCTCGAGGTGGCTGAGAAGGAGCGCCAGATGGAGCTGGAGAAGGTCGAGCTGAGCGATGGCAGCGATGACGACGGCAACGAGATCGAGCTGCGGCGGAGGCAACTGGGCAAGCTCAAGCTCCCGGAGAAGGACTTGGAACTCGTGCTACCGGACGAGCTGCAGGATTCCCTGCGGTTGCTCAAGCCCGAGGGCAACCTACTTAAAGACCGGTACCGCAGCATGCTGGTCCGGGGAAAGATGGAGGCTCGGAGGAAGATTCCGTTCAAGAAGCAGGCCAGGTCCAAGGTTACCGAGAAGTGGACATACAAGGACTTCTCATTGTGATGGGGCCGGCGCGAGGCCGAATGCAAAATACATTTTCCGGTGGCTACCATTGCAGCCACCGATATTTCTCTGTTACCTACCTTCGCGCGCGTGATCCGCTTACGCTCCAAAACCGATACCTACCTGCGAACCCGGGTCAAGATCCCCAGGTACCCAGTTACCTACCTAGGTAGGTAGGTAGGTTGCCCGCATGGAACCTCACCGATACTCCCCCGTCACCTCCTCACACCACGCCCAAAACCCCTTCGCCTCCCCCGTCCCGTCCCCATCCCCCTCCAGCCTCCCCGCGTCCACCAGATCCTGCCGCACCGCCGTCGCCACCCGGCCCCACGGCACCACGTAGCACCCGTTCCCCCCCGCCGCCGCCGCCGCAACTGCTACCTCCTCCGCCAGCCCCGCGTACAGCTGCGTCAGCGCCGCCAGCCGCGCCGGATACAGCAGCGGCCACGCCAGATACCCCATCCAGGGCGTGTGCCGGAACAGCGCCGTGGCCGCCGCGCCCGGGTTGGTGCACACGCTGAGCACCGGCGCAGCAGCCGTAGTAGTAGTACCACCACCACTGGGAGTGGTGGCGCGGCCCCGCCCCCGCTGCTGCTGCTGCTGCTGCTGCTGCTGCTGCTGCTGCCGGCGCGCGAGCTCGGCGGACAGCAGGTAGTTGCCCGTCTTGGAGTTGACGTAGCAGCACGTGGCGTCTCGGGGCGGGGTGTGGAGTTCGGAGGGGGGGAGAACCGTCCCGCGCGGCGCGGCGAGTTCGATCATCTGGCTGGCGGTCCAGACTACGCGGACGGTGGCGTTAGCGGTGGGGACGGCGGCGGCGGTGGCTTCGAGGAGGGGGAGGAGGAGCTGGGTTAGCAGGAAGGGGCCGAGGCAGTTGGTGGCGAGTTGGAGCTCGATTCCCTGGGTGGAGAGGCTGCCGATGGGGGGCTGGGAGACGCCGGCGTTGTTGAAGAGGACGTGGAGGATGGATTCGTGGGATTGGAAGGTGGCGACGGCGGTTTTGATGGTGGTGAGGTCGGCGAGGTCGAGGTAGAGGAAGGTGAGGGTGCCGGTGGAGGAGGGGATGGCGGTCTGGATGGTTTGGATGGCGCGTTGGCCGTCTTCTTCGGAACGGCCAGCGATGTAGACGCGCCCGCCTTTTTGGTACAGGATCTTGGACAGCTCCAGGCCGATGCCCGAGGCGCCGCCCGTCACGATAAACACCTTGCCGTCTTGCGGAGGGACATCGTCCTCGGTGAAGGTCGGCTTGGCCGGGAAGAACTGCGCTAGTTGAGCCCTGAACATGGTGGCGAGATGGGAGAGCGGTATGGTACGTCCTGGGTACGGTTAGAGTTGTCACAGGCAGCACAGCAGGGTGGGGGGGGGCTGCGGGAGTCAAGGTAAACAGCTCAGGGGATGTCTTTGCGGCCCCCAACATCGTCTGCTCTTGGCATGCCCTTAGCGCCCCAAGGTGTGCGTTGGTTCAAGCAGTTGGGCCGCTCGCGTGCTAAGCCAAACCGGTCAAGGTGGGCCCAGACTTGAGCAAGTTGTTGGGTTCTCTCACTCTGTTCCGTTCTTCAGTTCGCGGGGCCAAATCATAAATGTACTTTTTTACCTCCCACAAACTACCTACCCTAGCAAGCTCCCTAACTGTGTGACAAGAAATTCCCAAAATCTGTAGGAAAACTATACAGGAGAAGTGAATAACTAACAGCCCAAAGTGAAGTACCAGATATGTCATAATGTCATCGTAATATGTGCACAACAACGAGTGTGTCGGCCGTCTCTCGAGGCCCCAAGTGCGTACCCGTGACAGGCACTCAACCAGTCCACACGGCAGGTCCCGGGGCCTTGTACTCAGTCAACTTCATGTCCTCCAACGCCACCGTCCCGGCCTGTATGTCCTGGTTCGGGGGCACGAGAAGGCCTGGCGACCAGAGAATTAGCAAAGTCATTGCAGTGGGAACTCGGTGATCTGCTTACCCGGGTCGTCATCTGGGTATGTTCCGGGGAACCTCGCAAACTCTGTCGGGGTGCCTCCGCCGGGGCCAATGATATTGACAAAGGCGCAGTTGACGTAGAACTGGATGTATCTGAGTTCCCCCGTAGGCATGATGTTCTCAATGCGCATCAGGTATTTGCCAGGCGGTGTAGTCTCCGGAATGGTGAAGTTGAACTAAATTCCGAATCAGCACGGTTCGCAACCCCTGGAACAACTTGAAGTTCAACAAGCACGGGGAACGCACGTCGGTCACTTTCGGCCAAATCGACCAGTGCTGGTCATCCGTGGGGCCTGCGTAGGCAATCTTGAACCAGTCGCCATCGCCTTTGTAGCTCTGGAGGTCGTCGTTGGGAGCGCGCGAGAGGTAGATCTGGCCGGGTCCAGGATGCCAAAAGTTCGGGTACACACCCTTCTCCGGGTTCCTGGTCCCCCTCCCGTCGGTTGACACTCGGAAGCCGACCTCGGACCCGGCGATGATGTCGGCCGTCTCAGTCTTGGATGCTGAGTCGAACGCCAACCTGCCGCAAGTGATGTTTGGGTCGCTAGTCCCAACGATGGGTTCCAGCTTGGCGCTCTGGTCACCGGGGATGTACTTCTCGGGGGAGACGTAGTAACTGGTACCGACATCACTGGGAGCTATCAGCGAGGGTCTGCGCGGGCCAGGATGTGCCGCAACCTACAGGACGTATTTCCACTCAGGCGTCTCGGTGCCGTTCACAAGGAGCATCCCCTGAACATCTGGGGTGGGTTAGCAGTTGGTTATTTGGGTTCATGTTGTTGGATGGGGGAACACCCACTGTGTCCTAGAGCTCCCGGAGTAAGCAGCACGCTTAGAAATGCAGCTTGAGATATCCTCATCTTCACTGCTGGGGGGGAGGGGGTGTCCTAGTAAAGTTGAGGATGCAGATGAAGGTCGAATAGATCTGCTGAGGTCTAGCTGAGGTATAAGACACAACCATAAGAACTGGGGAACACAATGATTCCGAGATTGCAAGCCCAACCCCGTGTGCGGGACTAGCACGTTCTTAAAAGCGCAACATACTGCGTGGGATTCGGAGATATAAATATACAATCCGCAACCACCCGGGCACGAGGGCCTGAGTTAATGAAGCAGTAATTAAGAGCCGGCATGTGGTGCGGGGAATCACTGCTCACACATAGGCGTTCCGTGCATCCACGAACCTCGAGGGATTAATTAAGTTAAACAAGCTGCACGTAACATCGGGGGTACCGTAGCTCCGGGCAGTTCATCAATCTGAAGGCGCCCTAAGCGCTTGCGAGACAACGACGTCTAGTCTTGGCTTGGGCCACGAAAAGGGGTAGAATGTCACAAGTCTGTTGGGGATTCCGCCGGCGTGTGTTTGTGTTTGTCACACTGACTCGTGAAAGGGGTCGAAAACATGGTTGTAGAAGGCATATGGCATAATAGTAGTAAATTGTCTAGGTACCTAGGGTATGTTATCATGACTCCCATGTCATGAACGAGCCTCTTGCAGTAATCCCATCCTTGTGTCGCAAGGCCAAGGGAGAGATTGTCTCAGGGCAATCGGCAACGTAAGCACAGTTAGGTCAGGTACCTTGACTGCCGGAATCTGGTACGCACGGTAGGACCCGATCGAGATTAAGCTGCCACCCAAACGGAACTGAGCCACCGGTTCCCACCACACATCTGCTGAAATTCCTGTGCACAGGACGGAGTAAGAAGGCCGAGTTCCTCTTCAAGGTAACAAGACGCGGAGTTACCACTTCGGACCACATTGATCATCATCCGAAGAGAGTTATGGTCAACACAACCCTTATCATTCATAGTGTCACTTGTGTCTGTAGCGGGCATGCTATCTCCTTTGTATAATCGTAATGACAGCGCTAAGGTCTAGTCCAGGCTGATGGTCAAGAATATAAAAACCCATGACATGGGCGACCCAACGAGCAAAGCTGATGGTCATTCCACTGACGTGCCAGCACGCCAAGATAAGAGTCCTTAACCCATCAGCAGCACAGTGGTTGAACCCCCCACAGGTTTCCACTGCCGCCCCCAAACACGAGTTGGCCTTCGTTTCTGGGTCGGTTGGCCCGTCCGTGAAGCTGACTGGTTCCAGGGGCTACACCGGACCCTCGATTCCCGGCGTCCCCGGCGGGGTAAACCACTGCCGCGCCATCCTTTGGGAAGCTCTCAGTTCCGTTTGGAAATCAGACGCTAAGTCTTCTCTATTACCGTATTGACAAATTCAGTGGCACACATGACTAACGGTGCTTGGACAACAAGACTGAAGATGGACTTGAGCTCCAACCCAAGGAGCTGTAGGGACGGATACAACGACCAACTTCCGGTCCGAGACCGTACGTACTGTGTAGAGAGTTCCGGCTTCCATTGGTGTAACTAGCGATTGGACTTGGTTGTGTCGGGCTGCTTCCAGCTGAATCTGGGTCTGATATTCGCATCCCCGCCTTCACCACTTTTCTTTTCTGCGATACCGCCACTCCTCGGATCGTCCCTCTCCTTTCTAACCTACGCTGGGCCGGACATGATGGGACACGATGGCAGGGTACTTTAAACGTATTGGACAGAAAATCAAATCCTTGGGCGGCCACAAAGGGACAGCCGAGTCTGCGAGTGAAGCACCGTTGCACCCCGTGTCAGAAACGGAGACAACCCCCCTACCACCAACCGAGGACAATACTGAAACCGACACGTCACCGTTACCGGACGAGAATCTGGGCACGAAGGATGCCGCAGTTCCGCTCCTGTTCCCGTCGAACGATCGCCAGGATCTTTGGCGGGAGGCATTTCTCAAACTTGACGATGCCGAACGAGCAGTCCTGGATTTCGCTCCTGCTATTGATGATGACGGTAATGCAGATGAAAGCGATGATGGAAGTCCCGCAAAGCAAGAGGACATGGCGTCCGCAATCAAGGAAATACTCGGAACTGCGAACGCCCTGAAAGAGAAGGATGAAGAGAAGCAGTACACCGCCGTCAGTTCCGATACTCGACAAATACCAATTCCAGTGGTTGTTATCCCGCTGACTCGATGCAATATAGAAACTCAACAAGGTAATCGACGGCACGACGAAAGTCAAGTCCTTGATCGACGCCGGACTAGCCTTTGACCCGACCAAGTACGGCGCCCTCGCCTGGGCCATTCTCTCATTCGGGCTGCACATGGCTATCAACGCTAGAGAGATCCGCGACTTCATGTTCGATGCCTGCGACGACATAGTCAATATCGTTGCTAGATATAGCATCTACAAGATTCAGTACCGTAGCAGCGCCCACCCGTCCGGCACGACCGAGGCGTTGCAGAAGTTTGAAGAGGGGGTTACGGATGTTTACACCTCCATTCTCCAGTTTCTGGCCGAGATGAAAGGATATCTGAATCAGAATTGGCTGGGTGTGTACTGGAACATCTCTTGAATGCAGACGGACTTCTTGGTGTCCACGCTAATGTGTTGGAAAAGAACATGGGGCTGCTGCCATATTCCCCAAGGCCGAGCGAAGTTTGTCCAAGACCAAGCAGAGCATCATCACACAAGACTTGGCAGTTCAATACTGGGTAAGTCTCCATTTGACTTGCAGTTTCGGCACCGTCTTGCCTTTGGCTCAACTCACAAGCCTGTCATGTTCCCAATGCAGCTCCCGATACTCGAGCATGAAAGCATTCAGAGCCAATTCCAAACCGTTCTCAAGAATCTTAATGCGTTGGTCAAGCCCACTTATGGTAATAATGGCGTGCAAATGAAGAAACTCGAAAGGAAGGTTCTTTTTCCCACTCTTTTCCTTCTCTTTTCTTTTCTCTTTCTGTTCCCCTTCTACCCCCAGGTCTTCCGGGTTCCCAGCTAACCCGATAACTGAGTACAGTTTCCTCGTCGACCAGGAGAGGGCGGCCGTCTTGCGTTGGCTGCCTGATGGCAACATGGACCGCATCCATACCCAGATTCGGTCCAGGGCAGAAGTCGACTTTTCCGAAAATTACCAACCCGGCGTCTGGCTCTTGAAGCACATCGACTTCCAGATATGGGCCGACGCTCAATCCTCCTGCGGGCTCTGGTTGTACGGCGACATGGGAACCGGCAAGACCGTGTTGACGTCAACCGTCATCAAGCACCTTGAGCAACTGTACACGGGTTCCTCGCAAGGAGCTCTCGCCTACTTTTACTGCTCTGCCGCCGAGTCCACCCGCACCGATCCGCTGGACATCCTCCAGGAAATCCTGCGCCAGCTTGCCTCCACCAAACCTGGCTTGGACATTTTTCGAAACTGGCAGCAGGACAAGAAGCCATCGGCTCTGACGAGAGACGCCGTGCTCCGGCTAATCTTGCAGATGATTGACCTCAACGCTCACCGCCAGACGACTATCGTGATAGACGCACTGGACGAGATCGACAGGGACGGCATGGGGTTGACCTCGATCGCGGACGCGCTGCACTACTTGTTGGAAGCAGCTGATGGCGTCGTCAAGATATTCGTCTCCAGCCGACCGCAGAGCCGTATCCGCGATCAATTACAATCTTGGACCGGAATCCCCGTCGACCCCGAATCAACACGAAGCGGCATGGAGACTTATATTGAGCTCGAGGTGGACCGGCTCCTGAGACACAAGCATCGATTGGTGGACCTCAAGCCCAAGGTGAAGGAGACGCTAAAACAACGAGCTGGTGGAATGTCTGTGCCTGTTCCATCGCCGCTCTCGAGTCAATTCATAGCTAGTGGCACTCTGACTGATCATCCCTTTTTCCTTCAGGTTTCGCTATGTCCAGATGTCTACGGAATGGATCTGCCGCGGTGAGAGTCCGCTCGAGATCAAGCAAGCCATCGCCGAGCTCCCTTCCGAACTCAGTGGGATCTACCGCGACCTCTTCGGGCGGATACAGAACCGGCGCAAGTTGCACCAAGACTACGCGCGCCTCGCCATCTCGTGGATCCTCGGCATGAGACTCGTCCTCCGCGCGGACGACCTACTCCGGGCTGTCATTGCGGGAATGGATGATGTTGATGACGAAGGAATTCTCGAGACTAGCATCGACGATATCCTCACGGCCTGCGAGGGGATCGTGACGTATAACAAGGCCAGAGACGTCCTCGAATTAGGCCACGTTTCTGTTATCGAGTTTATCCAGAAAGACAAGCAAGATCTGTATGATCAACGCCAGGTGCATACCCGGATCGGCACTACCTGTGTCAGGGTCCTCGAGGGGATGCACCGGGTGTACCACACATCCGACACATGCCCACCAGAATCCCACGACAGCGGCCACGACGACGACGACTCGCAGCTGCTGCGGAAGCGCATGGAATTCATCGGCCACTGGGCGTGTCTCTCTTGTCTCACCATCAGTGACATACCCCAAGGCGGCCGCAATACGAGCACCTTTATCCAATACGCCAACTTCATGTGGGCGTACCATTGCGGCGCGTCCGGCTCGCTCATCCGCGCGGCATCCCTCTTGGAGCCTACTCTGACAACTCTCCGCAAGGGGCCGGACGGCGACATGCGGGGCGCTCTCGACCAGATCGAGGCTCATCACTTTCTGTATACGCCGTGTCAAGACAGTCCGTACTACCGAGCACTGCGTTGGATAAAGCAGTTTGCAAACGCGATCCACGGTTCTAGTGGCATGCCTGTTAGGTTACTGGTGACGAGGGATCCCGGCCCAGGCAGCAAACAGAAAGAGGAGCTGGTGCAGGGCCCACCGTTTGCTGTTTTTATGGAGGTCAGCAGTCCCTTGCTTGGTTGTGGAAAGATGCTGGCAACGATATGCTATCAACAGAGGCCTGCCCTGCTGACCATAATAATCTACCCGGCCAGACTATGGAGAGACTGTTCGAATCCGTAAGGGATGCCTAACGGGACGGTCCTGGAGGTGTCTGACGGCCGCTTTGTTAGCTGCCACACGTCAAGGTGCGGCCACTACCTAAGCAAGTCAAACTGGAGTTGGAGTTGGTGTTGAATGGAATTTGACTCGGTTGGCGGGGAACCCAAAGGGGGGAAAGCTGCAGTAGGTGGCTTTTGAAGTAAAACGAGATGATGATTGGCAACAGTAAATGGGGGTATCATTCCTTGTGATGACCAAGTGACAGGTGATTCTTTCCCAGTCCTCACATCACTAGTCTTGTCACTTAGTTGATGAATAGAGGCGGTTGGATGAATTGGGCAGAAAATACCAAATCGAGCAGTCTGAAAACAGAAGCTTGCATTGCCCGGTCCAAGCCAGAGAGCAGTAGCGAGGCCTACTGCAGCTGTCAGGGTCTGGACCCCGCGCGTGGCGTACCCGGCACAGAGCATTCAAGTCATGCGTGGTCATCCACAATCACAATCACACATGACATTGACATTGACATTGACATTGACATTATTCTACGAATACTAATATCAACCGATGCTCACCGGGAAACTGGCAACCCACTATGTCAGGCTCCATCCCTCAATTCCTCCGCCATCGATACACCATGATTCCCCAAGAGGAAGACGACACCATCGCCGCCGGGCCAAAACAACAACAAACCCAACAGCAACACCACCACCTCTCCCAAGACAGCGACACCCCCCATCATGACAACCACTCCAACCACTCCAACCCCCACAACCCACTCCCACCCCCGAATACTAAAACCCACCACCGACCACTAACGCACTACCCCCCCACCCTAGCCCTCAACCTCCTCGCCTACACCCTCCCCGCCCTAGTCTCAACCCTCTCCAAACTCTGGATCGCCCAGATCGACCCCTCCCTCGTCGCCACCACAGACGTCTACACCTACATCGGCGTCGTCGCCGAGGTCCTCAACGAGGGCCTCCCCCGCGCGGCATGGTCGACTATCGGCGACCGCTCGTCGCGGACGGTGGCGCAGCGGTTGGGGTTGGCGCATACTCTGGTGTTGGTGCAGGCTGTGCTGGGGGCGGTGATGAGTTTGGGGTTTTTGGGCGGGGCGAGGGCTTTTGCGGGGGGGTTTGTCCCCTCAGTGCCTGGGGAGGGTGATGGTAGGAGGGGGGGAGTGAGGGATGTGAGTGTGGTGTATGTGCGGGTTGCTGCGTTTTCGGCGCTGGGGTCGGCGGTGGAGACGGCGGTGGCCGCGGCGACCAGGGCGTTGGATCAGCCGGATGTGCCGTTGGTTATTGGGAGTGTGAAGGCTGTCGTGAATATTGTGTTGGATTTGTTGCTGATCTCGCATTGGCATGTTGGGAGCCACACGCCGACGGTACTGTGGCAGGCGGGGATCCAGTTGGGGTGTAGCTTGACGGCGGCGGCGGTGGGGTTGGCGTATTTTTTGGTGATGGTTAGTTGGAAGGAGTATCGTCGACAGAAGGTGGTGGTGGATGAGGCCGCGAGCGGGGAAGATGTACAAGCGAGGGAGCAGGGCATGAGAACGGGATTGGGACCGAGCCTGAAAGCCCTGATGGTGCTCATCCGTCCCGGGCTACTCACCCTGGCCGAATCCGCCATCCGCAACGCCCTCTATCTCTGGCTGGTCAGCAACATCGTGTCCATGGGCCAGACCTACGCCACCGCCTGGAGCGTCTTTAACACCATCCGCTGGGGCCTCGTCATGGTCCCCGTGCAGGCTCTCGAGGCTACCGCCCTGGCGTTCGTCGGCCATCAATGGGGAGCCTGGCGCCGCGCGATCGGAACTGGGACGCTCCGTCCGGGACGCACCTCCTTGCGCACAGTCCTGGGAATCGTCAAGCCGGCTTTGATTTCGCTGGCGTTGGCTTTATCCGTGGAGGTACCACTGGCCATCTTCCTCTCTCTCTGGGGCGCTCGGTCGTTTGCGAGGTATCTCGGTGGATCGGACGAGGTCGCCGAGGTCACGGCCTACATGTGGCGGACCATCGACTGGTGCTACATCTTCTACGCTGCCTCGACTCAACTGTCCACCATACTGCTTGCGACACGGCCCAAGTGGTATCTCTACCAGAGCCTAGTGAGTAACATCTTGTATGTTCTACCGTGGGCCATTGTGTGTCAGGTCAAGGCGCTGGATGCGGGAAATGCGTGGACCTATCATAGCCTTGTGTTTGGAGGAAGCCTGGTGTTTAGCTTTGTAGATGTTCTTGCCGTCGATGCTGTGTGGGCGTGGACGCTTGTGAAGGGAAAGGCAAAGCTCGAGGTCTTTCGAGAGTAGTAATCGCGTGGGTAATATGTTAGGGGTAAGCGCAATCAAGACCAGATTTCGGTCAACTTGTTAATTAATATATCTACGAGAATGCAATAATACGAACTTTGTTCTTAGCCAGTTCTACAGACAGCCAACAAGTGAAGCGAGCTTCAACATCAGAACCAAATACAATCCAATTTCCCTGATGCCGAATAGTTTAACAACTTCCACCCTCTTCGCTGGCCAAGACGGCACCGTGCTGCTTAGGAGATGTTGGCCGAGAAGTTGTCGACGGTGAAGGTGGTCTCGCCGCCGGTGAAGGGCTCGGTTCCCATTTGGAAGACTAAGTTCATTGTACGTTAGCATCTTCATTCATACCTAGACTCCCCACACTCGAGACCGAAACTCACCAATCAAGTGCTGCTCGCTGGCCGGGAAGCCCTGGGCGCTCTCCATGTGGTTGAAGAACTCCTTGACGTTGGCGCTGTAGCTGTTGATGGGGCTCGCCGCAACGTAGCTGTACACCTTCATGGCGCCGTTGTAGCCGACAAACAGCTCCCAGGTGCGGCCAGCAACGTTGACGGTGCCCGTGGAGGAGCCAATGGGGTAGACGTTGCCGAACCTCCCAAGCCTGACAGAGAAAATGGTCAGCAACCAGCTCAGGGGTAACCTTGCATAAGCGGGGAGGCCTGCTTACCAGATCATCAGCTCATGGTCGCCGCTGCTGTTGACGTGGTCGGGGTCCGCCGCCGTGAAGACATCGTACGCCACGTTGGCGCGGATGTTGGTGTCGCTGTAGGACCACGACACTGACGTCTCCATGGTGCTGATGGCGCTGATCTTCTGGCCCCTGGCAACCTGCTTGCCACCGTAGGGGTAGCTCTTCACGTTGTCCTCGCCACCGCTCCACTGCCATGTCGCGTGCCACGAGACGCCGCTGCCGCTGCTGTTGTCGACGTAGGTGCACTGGGAGCCCCCGGTGGCCGCGTCACGGCCCCAGTTGTTGTTGTTGACCTCATAGCCGTTGCCGGACCAGTAGCCATACTGCTCACAGAGCGTCGCCGCCTGGCGCTTCTCGACCGAAGTCAGGGGGCTCGCCGCCACAAGCGACGAGAGAAAGAGGAGGCTGAGCTGCATGGTGATGGTGACGATGGTGATGATGCGGGCTTGGTGTTGATGGTTCTCGTTGTCTTAACGTAAATTCCCTGGATATCATAGCACAGGACCTGCCCTTCTTTTAACATCTGTGACTCCCAAGTTCGAGCCTCATGAATCTCTACCCTGGAGTTTCAGATAACTACCTACCGTTACTACGAGACCAACTCTTGCCTTGACCTAGCCCCTTCCCCACAAGCCCATATTGGTTGTGGGAACGTCATATGCCTTGTCGTCCCCGTCGCTTGGATTTAAGGTTACAACAACCCTTCTCACGGTACCCGGGTCCCTACCCCGGATTCCCCCTTTCGCTCGAGAACCCGGTTCCCCAGCAAACAGCAAATGCCGGATCCACTGCCGACGCCACGGAGTTTTATATTCTTCGGACGGTCCCCGGTGCTTCTCTCGGTCCGTGGAGTCGGGCCTCGGGGTCCGCTCCACAATGAGTTCTAGAACGGAGCTGGCCCCGGTCTCCTACCCCTTTTGCTCGTGCATGAAGGGGAAGGGCCGTGAGAGACGTCACAAGTCACGGGAAACGCCTCTTATAACCGGCTAGACTTCGGCCTCTTCTTGCACATCGTAAGGTCCGTTGGAGACCCCATTGGCGCGCATGAGTTGAGGTGGAAACTACCGAAAACGGACGATCCGGGTGAAACACTGCCATTAAGCGACTGCGGGGTGATATCCCGGCTATGTCCGGGACGCCAGCACGGCCAGGTACCGGACCAGTGCAGATCTCGGTTCGGGCCCCCGATGATGCGCCCCAATTGGGATAAACCACACTGCCGTCTCGCCTCTCAGCGGCTTTTTACTTATTACCCGGGGACCAGGAAAGAGTGTCGTTGCCTAGCCTCACCCGTTATGTTTTCCACGACACTCCCTTCCTGTGTAGGGGCTGAACGCTAGTACGGGTAATATAGCCAAAATGACATAGGACAGCGGGTGGGAGAGGTGCTTCCCCGCGTGCTGGCCCCCGAGTATTTATTGCGATTTGAAGGAGGTGGTGTGTTACAACTTTGTGTGGCATCACCAATCTATGCTGAGACCTCCAGCGTAAGCTCTCCACCATGAAACTCTCCGTCTCGTGCCTGGTCGGCATGAGTGCCGCAGTCTACGGACTGGATGCCCCGTTTCAGACATACCCCGACTGCACCGAAGGCCCCCTGGCCGAGAACAAGGTGTGCGATCGCACGCTGCCGCCGGCCGAGCGGGCAGCTGCCCTTGTAGAGGCTCTGACCAACGAGGAGAAGCTGCAGAACTTAATGAGGTATGTCACGCCTAGGGACAAGTGGGGAGAGACGAGAACAAGAGGAAGCCGAAACACGTGGGACACCGTCTGACCATATCCCAGCAAGGCACAAGGCGCACCCCGTCTCGGCCTGCCGCCCTACAACTGGTGGAGCGAGGCGCTCCACGGCGTGGCCCACGCGCCGGGGACCCAGTTCCGCGATGGCGAGGGTGACTTCAACTCGTCGACGTCGTTCCCGATGCCGCTGCTCATGGCGGCGGCCTTCGATGACCAGCTGATCGAGGACATCGGCAACGTCATCGGCATCGAGGGCCGCGCCTTCGGCAACGCCGGCTGGTCGGGCATGGACTACTGGACCCCCAACGTCAACCCCTTCCGGGACCCCCGCTGGGGCCGCGGCTCCGAGACCCCCGGCGAGGACATCCTGCGCGTGAAGCGCTACGCCGAGTTCATGGTCCGCGGGCTCGAGGGCCCCGACCCGGAGCGGCGCGTCGTGGCGACGTGCAAGCACTACGCCGCCAACGACTTCGAGGACTGGAAGGGCGCGACCCGGCACAACTTCAACGCCGAGCTCACGACGCAGGACATGGCCGAGTACTACCTGTCGCCGTTCCAGCAGTGCGCGCGCGACTCGCGCGTGGGCTCCATCATGTGCGCCTACAACGCCGTCAACGGCGTGCCGTCGTGCGCCAACTCGTACCTGCTGCAGACCGTCCTGCGCGAGCACTGGAACTGGACCGAGCACGACAACTACGTGACCAGCGACTGCGAGGCCGTCGTTGACGTGTCGGCCAACCACAAGTACACCGAGACCAACGCCGAGGGCACCGCCTTGTGCTTTGAGGCCGGCACCGACACCAGCTGTGAGTACGAGGGCTCCTCCGACATCCCGGGCGCCTCCGCCCAGGGCCTGCTCCAGTGGTCGACCGTCGACCGCGCCCTGCGCCGCCTGTACCAGGGCATCATCCGCGTCGGCTACTTCGACGGCGCCGAGTCGCCGCACGCGAAGCTGGGCTGGGCCGACGTCAACCAGCCCGAGGCCCAGCGGCTGGCCCTGCAGGTCGCCACCGAGGGCATCGTGCTGCTCAAGAACGACGGCACCCTGCCGCTGCCGGCCGACGGCGAGGCCAAGCCCAACGTGGCCATGATCGGCTTCTGGGCCGACGCCGGCGACAAGCTGTCCGGCGGGTACAGCGGCACGGCCGCGTTCGAGCACTCGCCGGCGTTCGCCGCCCGCGAGCTGGGCTGGGAGATCACGGTGGCCGACGGCCCGGTGCTGGAGGACGGCGCGGCCGAAGACACCTGGACGGAGGCCGCGCTCGCGGCCGCCGAGGGCGCCGACTACATCCTGTACTTTGGCGGGCTGGACACGTCGGCGGCGGGCGAGGAACGGGACCGCATGACCATCGACTGGCCGGCGGCGCAGCTGGCCCTGATCGAGAAGCTGGCCGAGCTCAAGAAGCCGCTCGTGGTGGTGCAGATGGGCGACCAGATCGACGACACGCCGCTGCTCGAGATGGACGAGGTCAGCTCGATCCTGTGGGCCAACTGGCCTGGCCAGGACGGCGGCACCGCTGTCCTACAGCTCATCAGCGGCGCGAAGAGCCCCGCCGGCCGCCTGCCCGTGACGCAGTACCCGGCCAACTACTCCGAGGCGGTGCCCCTAACCGACATGACGCTGCGCCCCTCGGCCACCAACCCGGGCCGTACCTACCGCTGGTACTCCACGCCGGTGAAGCCCTTCGGCTTCGGCCTGCACTACACGACCTTCTCAGCCGAGTTCGGCAGCCACCCGCTCCTCGCGGGCCCCGGCGGCGGTAACGGCAAGGGCAAGGGCAAGGGCACCGACGGCAAGGGGAAGGGCAAGTCCCCCGCCGTGGCGCGCGCGGACATCAAAACCACGGCCATCGCGGACCTCCTCCGCGACTGCACCAACCAGTACCCGGACACGTGCCCGCTCCCCGCGCTGCCCGTGCAGGTCAGCAACACGGGCAACCGCACGTCCGACTACGTGGTGCTGGCCTTCGTGTCGGGCGAGTTCGGGCCGAAGCCGTACCCGATCAAGACGCTCGCCTCATACGCGCGCGTGCGGGACGTGGAATCTGGTGCGGATGCGGTGACGGCGGAGCTCCAGTGGACGGTGGGCAGCCTGGCGCGGTACGACGAGAACGGTAATACCGTGCTGTTTCCCGGCACCTACACGCTCACCCTCGACGAGCCGACGCAGGCGACGGTGCAGTTCGCGCTAGAGGTCGACGCCGTGGTGCTGGATGAGTGGCCGGCGCCGCCGAGCTGAGCAGGGGACGTTGTTGCACCGGTGAGGGAGTGAGCTCCTTGACGCTCCTTGACCACTGTGTGTGCGCGTGCCTGCATGGTACATGCTTGCGTAGCTTCAGTATGTATCAGAGCCGGCGGAATGTTGAGGCGGTATATACTGTAGAGTAGTAAATAAGGACTACAAAAGGACTAAATATGAAGAGCCATGAATACTCCTGAAACGCCTGTTGAGCCTTCCCTCCCAAACCAACAACAGGTAAAAGGTCGAGGTGTGAAACGCAGATGGCCAACCCACCATCCCCTTTGCGAGAAGTTACGGCGCTAGATTCTGCTCGAGTTAAGGTATCTAAAAAAGATTTGATCGCTCATAAAACTGAGATAGATCGGCCTGCACACGACGACATGTGGTGAAATTAATAGCTCATCAAATCTGCAGCAAGTCAGTCACGCACACCATCATCACGAACGTCCAATGAGTCAAGCCAGAACTCACCTCTCCCAAACAACCCCCTCTTCGCCCAGTCCATGGCCATCAGCACCCTGGTCCGGAAGCTCACGCTCTGCGCAAAGTAGATACTCCGCCACGCATACACGGCCCACAGCCCACCGGCCATCCCCCTCCCCTTGCCCAGGTCAAACACGGCCGAATTGCCAACATACGCCAGGCTGCCGAGATGCTTGTACTCAAACGCCTTGTACACGGCGGCATCCAGATCCCCCTCGACGATATCATTCGCCTGCAGCCCCGGGGTGGCGCGGGCCAGCTTGTTGAACTTGTGGGCCAGGTACTGGCCCTGCTGGTGGGCGCGCTGGGCGGTGGCGGGCAGGCTGGTCAGTTTGCTGTCGATCTGCTTGAGCAGCTCGCGCAGCTCGCCGAAGTCGAGGGTGCCCGACTGGTCGCGGTCGTACTCGGCGAACAGCTTGTCGAGGCGCTTGAGGTGGCCGACGGCCTGCGGGAAGCGCTTCTTGACCTGCTCGGCCACGCTGCGCCAGTCGGCGAAGCGCAGCTGCAGGTTCTCCGGGTCCGACCCGTGCTTCCACGCCAGGCTACGCAGGAACGTGACGATGTGGTCCGCCACGTTGTTTTGCACGGTTGCGCAGTCGCCGATGGCGTAGACGTCGCCGAGCGGGGTGCCGTTCACGCGGAGGTGGGTGTCGGTTTCGAGGGCTCGGCGGTTGGTTTGGAGGTTGCTGAGCTTCTTGGCAAGCCGCTTGCAGAGCTCGTTCTGGGAGACACCAGTGGACCAGAGACAGAAGCCCATGGGGAGCTCCTTGGTGATCACCTTGCCGTTTTCGTCTTTTTGCGTGAAAACGATGGTATCAGGGCGGACTTCGCTAACGCGAGAGTTGGTCAGGACCTCGACCTGGTCGCGCGCGAAGCGGTCCTCGGCGTACTTGGAGAGGGTTTCGTCATAGGTGTTGAGGATGTGGTCGCGGCTCTGGATGAGGTGAACCGAGATCTCGTTGCGGAGGAGTCGGGGGAAGAGCTGGATAAGATCCTCGTTGAGAAGATCGAAGAGCTCGGCCGCAAACTCGACGCCCGTGGGACCGCCGCCACTGACGACGAAGGAGAGGAGTCGCTTACGCTCCTCGTCAGTCGTTGTCGGGAGACAGGCCAGCTCCAGGTTATGGATGACCTTGTTACGGATCTCGCGGGCGTCGTTGATGTCCTTGAGGAAATGGCAGTGCTCCAGCCCCTTAACGCCGTGCGGGTTCGTGACGGAACCCACCGCGATCACCAGCTTGTCGTACGGAACGTAAAACCTCTGCTCAACGCCGCGACAGTCTACTTGGGAAACCTCGATCAACCGCGAAGAGAAATCCACGTCCTCGGCGTGGGCACGGAGGAAATGGCCGCCAACGCTGTGGATGATTCTCCGGATAGGTTCCACCAACGACCGCAATCCGAGTGTCCCCACCGTCGCGGAGGGCAGCATCGGCGTGAAGAGAAAGTAGTTGGTCGGAGATATGACAGTAATGTGGTAGTTTTCGGGGGCCAGCTCCTTCAGCAGTGCGACACCACCCCAGCCGCCGCCGAGAACCACGAGCCTAGGCTTTCCTTTTTGCATCCGCATCTCCTCGGTGTCCTCATCGTCGATAAACGCCTCAAGTATAGGGAGGTTCTTGGGGCCGCCGCGACGGGGATTGATCGCAAGAGCTGAGATGTCGACGTCGGCCTGGCTGGAGTGCAAACGGTAGGTCGAAGCATCGTAGAGGAAGAAGCCCACCACCCCGATGCCGACTAGCAGCACCGAGCTGCCGAACCATGCGGCGGCCCGGTAGGCAAAGTTTAACACGCTCGATGTTCCTTGTGGCAATGGCTTGCCGGACAATCGGCGCGCAAGGACAAGCGGCGCGGGGAAGAGGGGTTGCGACGATTTTTTCGAGCTTGTGATCGCGCTTTTGGTTTGACCCGTTACCCCCGATTTAGCCCATGTCCTTGTGGATAGCAATTGAGTTTGTGTCGTAGTCCACTGGTTCCTGGCTGTTAAATTTGCTACTCGTGGGTTGAGACGGCCTGTTTGGCGGGCTGCTCGGGTGCCGAGCATCGTGATGCTTTTTTTTGGTGTTGAAGTGGGTGCGACGTCACCAAAAGTGCGATAAAGACGCTCCACGAAGCGATTGGTGGTTAATTAACTAAAATGGAAGGGGTAACGAGAGGAAAGATACTAAGAAAAACTACAATTTTAGGTTTGGAAAGATTTTGTTGGAAAAATGAGGTGAGTAAATTGAAGTGCAGGCGGCACCGATAGTTAGGGCGTCGAGTGGGATCGACCAACCCAGCGGCACGCTACCTACGTCAGTGATTGCCCAGCTGCGTTGGGATGAGCAAATCTTGGGATGCTGTTGCTGACTCACCACGCCCGGGGTCGTCCAGAGCACCTTATCTTATCGCCCCATGAGCGCGTCCGTGCGTCCATTACACGGCGCCTTCGACCACTCGGCCATCCCTTGAGTTCGGGTCTTCAGCTCACTCAAAACCTACCAGAACGTACCCTCCAATTCTGCCACCACCGACCCCGACTTGCAATAGCACCGGTATGCTTAGGTTGACTTCTTGGTATTGAGTAAAAGCTGTGCTTATCGTATTTTGCTTCCTCTTTATTAGAGTCGATCTCGTCATTCCTTAATTTCCTCTCTCGTTCGTTTTTTTCAGTCAGTTGCCTCCTTGTTCATTCTCGTCCTCATCAAGAAAGCCCGTATTATTCGATCCTGTTGGGCAAGGTCAACGACCTCTTGCCGAGTACGGCGGCCAACAATCAATCCGGCTACGGTTATAACGGCGTCGTCCACAGCCCGGCATGTCGTAACAAATTAACAACGAATTGCCATGCTCCCACAATCAAGTTTGGCGTGCCTTCCCTCCGAGGTGACACGGCCAGCCCGGGATGAAACGCCTTCCAACACCAACTATGAATTTGCTACTCCCTCCTCGACCAAGCCTGTAAACTCAAGCCTTCGTCTCGAGCAAGATGGCAATAGCTCCTTCAGCACAGGAATCCACCACTCCTCGTGTCCGTGACATAGAATCATAGCAAATGCATATTCGGCATACTCTGGGAAAAACCCGCTCCGTTCCCAGTCGACAATGCCTGTTACAACGTTGCCTTGTACAATGATATTCCTCGGCGTTAGGTCTCCGTGCGTGAGAACGAAGTTGTTGTTGGTCGCTCGCTTCGCCCGCTCGCTGCTCAGGAGCCACCTCCACTTAGCACGCGCAAGGGGCCCTCCGAGGATCCGGGCTAGACACCAGTCGTCGAAGCCCTTCTCGCTGGCAAACGGCCCGCAGTACGAGTCCCCGAGCGTGTCGTAGACGTTGCGCACTTTTTGGCGGTCTACGCGGCCGATGAAGGATTCGGTGCAAGAGCGAATGCACGCCAGCTGGATGCGTAGTTGATCCTTGATGGCGGCCTGGTCGGCGGCGCTCAGCTGCTGCCAGACGTCGGCCAGGGGCACGCCGGGCACGCGCTCGCTGACTATGGCCCGCGCTAAGCGCTTCGTGGTGATAATGTCGTAGACGCCGCGCACTCGAGGCGCCCGCACGCCGTGGGTAGCTGCATAGTGCATCATGTCGCCCTCGGAACGATCCGTGGCGCTGTTGACTTTGATGGCTAGCACCTCGCCTTTGGAAGTTGTGTGCTCAATAACGCGCCCGCCGAAGAAGTTATAGATCTCTTTGCCCTGAACAGCGTCGACGTAGCGCATGGCGGCAAGTTTGTTCAAAACGACATGCATCTCAACGTCGTCCGAAATCTCCGCGGCTTCCTCCGGGTTCTCTACTCGTAGCATGATGGGCGAACTGGGTGCTGCCGGTGTCGGTGTATATTTCACGAGGAAGGCGGATGATACGGTTGATAGCGAGTGAAAAAGAGCGAGAATGTACGATAACAAAAAAAGGAATATAAGTATTCAAGGTGACAATACAATATATAGCGCGCGGTTGACCTTATATTTGACGTACGAATCGTGGAATTGGGAAAGGCTTAACTACCTAACGTTGGTGAAAGGGGCGTGAAAACTTGGCGGTCCAACCACCTGGGGTATGCGTGGTGACTTGACGATTCAGAGGAAAGCGTCCGCTCAAACGTGCACTTACGACAGAAACAGCAATTTTGTTTTTAGTTAGTGCAGGTGTTACTGTGATAGTGTATTTGTCTATCAAGCGAGTCTAGTAGAAGCTGGTCTCGGAAGGTTTCAAGTATTATTGCGTTCTGACATGGATGAAATAGGAAGTTCAGAACCTTGCTCAAAGACTTTGAAAGGAACCTGCACCCACAACCGTACACACAGAAGGGAATGTGGATACAGGAAGGGTCGCGTTCTATGTTCGGATCGGCGGCGACGCTAACACCCACTGATCAGTCGCGAGCAATATGATGTAAGTTAGATGGATCCAGAATATGTCAGTTTTGTCGATCTCGTCAAATCCAGAAGGAAGAGATGAAAACGCCAGGCCATGCTATGCAACCCCCTCCTTCTCTCATATCCCAACGCCGAGTGACCTCCGTCCCCGAGCAGGTTAACACCGGAAATACCTCTTCTCCACCCACCTCTCCTCGATATCCTGCACGACCTGCCCAACCACCACCGTGATCTCGGGGAACACCTTGGTCAGCCGATGCAGCCCCATGCGCCCGGCACTGTACGTGACCAGCACGATCCGGTCCGCCTTGACGCCGTGGTCGACCAGCACCTGCACTGCCATCAGCGCGGAACCGCCGCTGCTCATCTGCGCGTCTAGCAGAAGCACCGCCTCGTGCTTGTCGATGTCCGGCGGCAGTACCAGGTAGTGCAGCTCCGGCTCGCCCGTCCGGATGTTGCTCTGGACCAGCATCCGGCCTGTCTTGCAGTCGGTGATGCACCGGTGGAGGCCGGCCTCTAGGGCTGCGCCGCCCCGGAGGACGGTGACGGCCGAGACTTCGCCCTTGGGACGCAGCCCGGCGTAGGTGCGGCCTTGCGAAGTGGCGATCTCGGCCGGGATGAAGGGAATGTTGTTGAGTGCTCTGTGTAAAGGTAAGTATTTACGCGAACATGGCTGGGAGGTGTTTGAGAGACACATACTGCTCGACTAGGAGGGCGCTGAGGCGGTCAAAGTAAAAGATAAAGTCCTCGCTGGACGTGTCGATGTTGTGGATGATGGTGTTCATGCCCTGCATCTGCGACGTCTGGTTCATCACCGTTACCTTTTCGGATATGGGCTCGGACTGTGCCCCGATTTCGAGGCGGGTGAGTGCCGCGCGGTGGTGCGTTGACTTTTCGAGCAGCTTCTGCTTGATAAACTGAACCACCATAGCTGCTTAGGTTAGATTGGCTCAAGCTAAACCCCGTGGTCTGTGGTGCTTACACATGGCAACTTGGTTCTCGACGCCCCGCGGCACGATGATGTCGGCCACCTTCCGCTGAGGGTCGACGAACTGCAAACCCGGGTTTAATTAATTGCGACAAAAAGGGATAGAGACCGTATGTACCTTTTCAAAGTTGGGCTTCACATAGGCGAACCATTGCTTGATGATACCCTCAATGTCTCGACCACGGTCCCTTTGGTCACGTAATACTTGTACTATGTCAGAACCTGCGGGGACCGGTCGAGTACACTACACGTTGACTTACTCCTTCGTGAAAGGCAGGTGTCTGCATCGGCCTCGCAGAATATCTTGTTTCTGGGTTAGTACTAGAGTGTTGCGCAAACGGCCAAGCCAGATTCACCTTCATGTCCATGAGCTCAAGAACTCGCGGGTCATACAGAGCAAAGATGCCCTCAACGATCAGTACGTGCGGAGAATAGATGGACGTCGTTCGGTCCGTACGGGCATGCTTCTCAAACGAATAAACGGGGATCTCGGCCCGTTTTCTACGGTGCGGGACGTCATCAGCTACGGCTGGGCTTGGTGCGTGTCTATGCACTTACCCGGCTTTAAGATCGCGCAGGCGCTCTACCAAGACATCAAAGTCTATGGCCTGTGGTGATGGTGAGCCTGGTGATTGGATATACCGAGATGGCCTTGGGCGCTTACGTCTGGTGCATCAAAATCGTATTCATTCCGGAATGCTTTCCGCGACGCCTCCTCGTCTAGGCTTTTGTAAAAGGAGTCCTACGTGCCATGAAAACGGATAAGCCTGGGTCTCCCTGATCCGTCACCGGTAGTCCATGACTTACGATGGACAAAATGACTACCCATGGCAGGTTGAGCTTGTTCACGATAGCATGTGACAGCGTAGACTTGCCCGACCCCGAACTGCCGGCAATGCCTATGATACTGACGTCGGCCCATGGCGGTGCATAGTGTGCTCTTTTCGCAATTGTGCCGTTTGACTCGGGAGCTGTCGTGCCGTTGAAGACGGCCGTCAGCTCGGCGGCCACGGAAGCCGGCATGATTGGATGGGGCCCGGATGGAGGGCCTGGAAAAGGCTCGGCTTTGTTGAGAACCGGGACCTGGGAGGAGGGGCAACTGCGACGGAGTAATAACCGTCAGACAGGGAGCAACAACCTGCAAATAAGCCGTGGTATGTGTTTGTCGATGGTGAGAGGACTAATGCAGGCAGCCTTTCTGCATTTCGTGTTTCTCACAAGAACGAGGCTCGGCTCCTTTACTGTACGGTTGTCACCGAATAGATAAAGATGCCTTGTTTGTACCGTGCCTCGTCCTATTGTTATGGTTGCCCGAGCAAAGCAAGAGCATTGTGATGCGGACAAGCTCCGCCTTTTAGGGTTGCCCGGTTGCCCGACGGGACTGAATCAATGCGGGGCATTTCAAGCCTTGCTGGCCGATGGGACCCGTCCACAGCCGCCAAGCAAGGCCGGCACAACCGCCATGAATGGCATGGTGGACTCGGTTGGGGCTCTCTGGCACCTTGGGGCGGCTCCACAGGAAGGAGCTTTGACGCATTTCTTTCCTCTCGCTTGCCCAGGTTTCGACCAACTTCGCTCGATCCCTCCGCTTCTCGAGTCCACTTCCAGTTCAATTTTTTTTTTCTTTATTGCTCAACCACCAGATTGGCGCGTGCCGACCAAAGGTTTAGGCACATGCACCGACAAATGTGAAACGCGGCGCAAGGTGAACCAGGCACATGTCCAGCTGGAGCGCAGCGCTCGAACTCGGTGAGCTTGACGTTGATTCGGCTTTTCGGGACGCCGTATTTTCCCAACTCCGCGAGAGCTTTGACCGGATGGTATGTTTTGCACCTTTCCTCTCCAACAACTTCATCGCGCACCAGATGCCATCGCGACAACAACCATGGATTCTAACGACGATTCGTCTTCACAGAACTCTACAACCTCGACCGCAACCCCCTCCCAACATGCGTTCGAGAAGCGGGCCGCCGACGTGAAGGCGCCCAAGAGGTAAGCGTCATCCGCCTTCTCGCTCACCCACCCACCAAACATGGCCAAATGATGATTGCACATCAATGGGAATCTCTCTGAAAATTCCATGTAGAGAAACTCTGCAACATTCGTTAAACCCTGATTGCCCTCCCCTTTGCTCTCGCATTCTGTTCGCATCATTGTTGTTTTCGCGCAATGCTGACCATTGGACCAGCGATGTCAATGCTCTAATTTTGGACTACTTGACAATGGAAGGGTATCCGAAGGCTGCCGCCAAGTTTTGTAGGGAAGCAAACTTGCAACCTCAGCAGCCGGACACATCCATCCAAACCCGCCAGGACGTCCAGCATGCCATCCACAGCGGAAACATCGCGAGGGCCATCTCGGCGCTTAACGAGCTCGATCCAGAGGTAGGCGCTTCATTCTCTATTTTCGCCACTCCCTTTGCTATGATTAGAACACGAGTTTCAACATGCACCACGCATAGGCTTCGGCCCAAGATGAGACACAACCACTTCTTTATGAGCAACACCAAACCCTACCCTCCATGTTTGCGCTGCAATTTTCTGGCAGTTCTCAAGCTAACACGGCATCAGCTCCTGGACAGCGACCCTAAGCTACACTTCTCGCTCCTGCGACTGCAGCTGGTCGAGCTCATCCGAGAGGCCAATGGGGGCGACCCCACGGCAGCCATAACTTTCGCGACTGAGAACTTGGGCCCGCGTGCAGCAGCACATCGAGATTTTTTGGGTGATCTCGAGGAGACCATGTTGTTAATTTTTTACCCGCTCGACAAGCTCAAACCAGAGCTCGCAAAGTTGCTCAGCCCAGACCTGCGCCGGAACACGGCCGCCCAGGTCAATGAGGCGATGCTGCTGCGGCAGAACCAACGGAGAGAGGCTGCCATCCGACAGTTGGTGCGCATGCGGGCATGGGCGGAGACATCAGCTCGGTCTCAGAAGAAGGACCTGCCCGAGTCAATTGAGCTTGGTCTCAATGGGGACAACGCCGAGTCGGGCGAGAGCGGTCTTGAGCCGATGATTACCACATGAGTAACGGTGTATGAACCTAGTTTTATGGCGTTTTGTGTATTTTGAGGTCTGGTGGGTATGAGGCAGGGCACGTTTAGGCGTTTAGGGCACGGCACCGGTAGTGGGACCCGGGACATGGTCACTGCCTTGGGATGGGTATGGGTATACCGGGTGCATCATCATGGCGTTGTCACCTCTGTTCATTCACAACGGGTGTGAAATGGATAGGTCTTTTGTCTGGGCTGGGCATGAGACCGGAGCACGGAATGCTCCCGAGCAATACACATACACTTGACACAACCCAACCATTTGCAAACTGAACAGCCCTTCGCATTCTATTGACTGAAATGCCTTTGCTCAACATCATGCCTATGTACACTAACACCTCCGCCTCGCCGAACAGTCCTCCCCTCCTCGCAAGCACTCGCTCTACTTGGTCCGGATGTGCTTGAGCTTACCGGGCGAGTACAGGAAGTTGTTGGCGTAGGCCTTGGGGGCGAACTTGCGCTCGTTGGGCTCCTGCACAAAGTACTCGTACCCCTGCTTCTCGGCGAAGGCGATGGCGTCCTCCTTGCTCTTGAAGTGGATGTGCGTGCCCTGCATGAAGTCGCCCGACGACTGCCACCCGATCAGCGGGTTCTCCCACCGGTGGCCCTTGCCCAGCACGTCCCAGTCCATCCGCCACCGCGTGCCGATCCATCCGCCCGATTGCGTCGCGGGCTTGGTGGGTTTGTAGATGCTGTGTGAGGTGTGGGATGGTTAGTTAGGTGGTTGCTAGTGGTGTGGTTTGGTTTGGTTTGGTTTGGTTGTTGGGAGTGGTGGGATGGGGTGGGGTGGGTGGGTGAGGGAGCCGTACCGGACTGTCCTGGCCTGCAGCTCGATCGGCGCGCCGGAGAGGAGCCCTGCCGGGAGGACTCCCTCCTCGCTTCCGTCCTGGACGGTTTTCGGGACGGGGGTGTAGGTGCTACATGCGGGAACAGAGAGGTTAGATATCATGAACGGATGGAGATTGGTGGTGGTGGTGGTGGTGGTGGTGGTTGGTTGGTTGGCTGAGGGTGTTGAGGGGGATCCGTACGAGGTGGCCATGTCGATGGGCACGTTATAGTCGGGCGCATTCCGCGGCAGTGTGGCCATTGGCGACGTCTCCTTCTTTTCCTCCTCCGTCTTGGCCGGGACCTTGCTCGAGCTCTCGTAGCGGCGCGCGGCGGGGAGGACGGCGGTGCGGGCGTGCGATGCACCGCGCAGCAGGCGCGCTGCCGAGGCGGTCGTTCGTAATGAGGCCATCGTCGACGACCCGATCTTGGGGGGGTTCGAAAAGACGTGCTGCAATTAGTTGGGTTGGCGGTTTCGAGCTCCGACAGCTTTCAAAGCGGGACCTTGGTGAGGCGATTCAATGCGAGGTTCAGTTGTGCCGGGGCCAATGCTCCAATTGCGACCAGCCCCCACTTTGGGCTGTTTGATTGGCTCGTCGGGAACAACCGCGCGCAACAACATCTTGCCGACGAGGGACACTGCGGTTTTCCCGCTCAATCAGGACCCGTCTTTAACAGCTCAACTACCTTGGACGACCACCCATCCCAATTGAGCCGACCCGCGCATCGAGCAGCTGGGGACTTGTCTGCTTTGGCCTTCGCCTTCTTTATCGACTTCCCAACTAGTTTGCGAGCCCGCGACACGCAGTTTGCCAACATGAGCTTCGTCACACGCCGGGCGCTTTCCACGCTCATCCCGCCCAAGGTACGCCGCTCCGAGGTGGACGAGGGGTTCGAGATGGTTGCTAACTACTGATTCTAGGTCGCTTCCCCAAAGGTACGTGCTTTCCGGTCGATTTGCGCCCTCCAAGCTTTCCGCCGGGCTGTCCGGACCCCGCAACGACGACAGGTTTTGCATGTTTGAAGGAGGAGGAGGATACGCCAGATGGTTCTGCGGAAGAGGAATTCGGGACTGGGAGGACTGCGGCTTGCGATCCAGACTCGGCTAACTGGGAATGCAGGCCATTGGTGCGGCCCCCGACGCTGTCCGCATGCAGCGCGTTGTCAACTTCTACGAGAAGCTCCCTCGCGGCGCCGCTCCCGCTGTCAAGGCTACTGGCATTCTCGGCAAGTACCAGGCCAAGCACTTTGGCAAGAACGCGTCGGCGAAGCGTATGTGACCAAGTTCTGAGGCGGTAAATCTGGCGAATGGAGACTAACCTCGCCCTAGCTATCATCCACGCCATTGTGTTCCTGCTTGTCATTGGCTACGCTCAGAACTACTACTTCCATCTCCGTAAGTCTGCCGTCAAACACATGGTGTGTCTGTGCGCTTCTAATCGGTTTTCAAGGCCACCACAAGAACAATGCCCACTAAGCGGCAAGCTGGAGGGCGTTTTGCCTTGGCGAGGACTCGGGCGTGTACATAAACTGTTTCCCAATAGAAGGGGTGCCTAGCACGCACTGCAACAGAGTTCTTTTTGTCTCTCTTTTCAATGGGAGTATTGCGGTTACAATGAACGCGGCGACAACTTGCCGTGACTTGAGCATTGGGATGGGAGCACCAAGACACGCACTGATCGCCTACAGCCCTTTGGGTATTGGCTGGTGACCTCATTGTCCGGAGGATATTATTTTCCGTGATGGGAAATGCGATGGGACATGTCGACATATCGCCTACAGCCCTTTGGGTATTGGCTGGTGACCTCGTTGTCCGGAGGATATTATTTTCCGTGGTGGGAAATGCGATCAGACATGTCGACATAGGTATCGCACGGTGGTTCTGTGTGACTCACACAAAACCACCGTGCGCGCGGCCAGATGCCTCTAGGCAGATGGTCCGCGCGATTCATTTTCAAAAGTTCAGATTCCAGTTTGCAAGAAATGTGCCAACTTGAATTTCCATTCTCGACAAAAACTGAGCATTGACCCAGCACGTCCCAGTGGCAACCCTAACCCTTGTACCCTTGTACACTTCCTTGGCATTTTCCCAAGGACGACTCTCACCTGCGCGCGGGTTCATTCCCAGCACGCTAACCCCGAAGCGGCCCACCTGCCACCTCTGCGCCTTGAGGTCGCCAAGGGCCAGCCGCTTTCCAAGCCGTCAGTCACTCGACGGCGAAAAGAGCACCAGCCAGCCGCGTCGCCTCTCTCGGCGGACATCATTCCCATCGACGCCTTCCACCCCGGTACCCTCACGACCGGTACCTTCCTTCCCTTAAACCTTCCATTGCCGCACACCCCGACCGACCGTCAATTCAAAGGGATTCCCGTCCCTCGGTCTGCGCAACAGAAAGTAGGGAAAATCAAGTAAGCCCCCCACATTTTCAATACGTTGCACAGCCAAGCCACTGGAAGTCTGCGCCAGCCAGCCATCGCCATTCTGGCCAAAAAGCAGCATTTGCAAGCAGCTGTGGCCTGGGTTTCCATTCTGTCCTTGCGCTTTCTTTTCCTCGCTCTGCCAGAGCATGCTAACCGGATATTGTTGTTCCTGCAGCAAATACAAACACCCTTAATTCCTCCAAACCCCCGCGACCACACCGTCGCGCAATCTGCCAATTCCTCGAAGTTCGATCGCCAGCGACCCGACAACCGTAGGATGGCAACTGAGTCACCCAAGCACCGATCTGATGAAGCTACTGTGACTTCTCCCGCCGAGCCAGTGAGCCCTGCCTTGTTCCCCGTCATTGGCCTCGCCCGATTCTGTCCGTTGTCGCTAACCGCAGCTGCCCCGCGCCAGACCATCAAGATCGACAACGATTCGCAGAATGTCGAACTCAACCGCCCGCGCATAAACGGTGATGCCACGGATGAGAACAAGCACATCTCCGATATCGTTGACGACCTTGTGAACTCGACAGAAGTTAGCATTAGTGGAGGATCTGATACCGAAGCCACCAAGTCCGATGCCTCCAAGGGCGGCAAGGACGGCACGAAAGGTCACGGCCGCGTCTCCTCATCCGTGAAGAAGTCTGCGCCCTTCAAGGCGATCAACGTCAACAAGACATTCCTCACATCCAAAGCCCCGGCCCCCGGTGCTCAGCCCAAGCCGGCGGAAAAGGCCACCATCACCCCCAGCGCCGCGTCCGCCGCTTCTGGGACCGCAACGATCAGCCGACCCAGGTTAGTTGCCAAGACCGGCAGCGGCCTGATCACGAAGGGGTCCGGACCAAGCGGTGGCAAGCCGGCCCCGGATGCGAGCGCGGTGTGGAACAAGAATCGACGTGAGCAAACAATTGCCCCGGTGAGCCCCCGGGCTTGACAACCTAGTACTAACCCCCAGCGCAGCCGTACCACCACCAGAACCGAAGAAATATACCGACGAAGAACTTAAAAAGTATGGAATTCACATGGCGACTCGACTACACCCCAACGCCGCCCAGGGCCAGTCGAACTGGGCCGATATAGATGACGACGATGAGGATTGGGACCCCGATACCATCACGTGGCAGGACGGCACCAAGATCGCGCTCACACCCGCCGAAGAACCTCCGGCTCCCGCTGCGCCAGAACCTGTTGCCCCGCCGGTGGTGAAAGAGAACGCACCCGTGCCCGCGGAGAAGGCGAAGACACCGGTTCCTGGGACATCACCATCCGTTAAGCCCGGCGTACTCGCATCTGGGAAGGGTCTCGTGCTGAAAGGCGCGCCTGAAAAGCCGACTCTGGTTGCTAAGCCCCCAGCGCCCCCCACGCCTGCCAAATCACCATGGGCACCCCTCCCGAAGATCGATAAAGTTTCTCCAGTCGCCGTAGATGCGCCGGCCCAGGCAGGACCAAAGTTCCCCCCGCCAGCCCAAGGGCACCCATCACATAGTCCATTGCCACCCAAGGAGATTGCGGCAGATGACTTCAGCAGGGCGCCCTGGCGGGATGGCGCCCCGGTTGCGAATAGGGAACTTTTCAATTCGCAATCTGGCCGCTACGAACCAGTTCTTGACCGCCGGGGTCCGATGCGCCAGGAGCCACAATACGGGCGACAGCCGGCGGTTGTACAACGACCAGGGCATCACGAACAACATGGGCCAATGGATCACGGCAGGAACAACGAGCAGCAGGGACCCTATGGGCGGAGACGCGGGTCTTCCAATGTTAGTGGCGGAAGCGGTAGCTGGCAACGACCCAAAGGCGTCGAGCACACGCTCGCCACACCGGACCTCATCAATGCCCGTCGCGCATCCGCGGCCGGAGGAAGCGATGGCCCTGCTTCGCCGAGGAATTTCTCGCCTTCCGGTGTTCAAGGCGGACCGCACCCTGGCCAGGCGTGGCCGCCTAAGACGTCCCCCAGCATTACCCATGCGACGCCCCATCCGGCTGAAGCGGGTGTCTCGTCCTCCGTTCACGCGTCACCAGCCCCCGTTCCTGCAGCCCCTGTTACTGAAGACGATTATGAGCTGCAGAAACGATTAATGCGGGAACGCCGGGAGCTCGCTATGAGGCGCCGCCAGGAGGAAGAGGCGCGTGAGGAGGCCGCACGCAAGGAGCGGATTCGCCTAAAGCTGGAGGCACTGGGACCTGCCCCCGAGTCGAACAAGGCCAAGAAAGCGGCAGCGAAGGAACAGATTGTCAACCCCGCCCAGGTTCAACCCCGTGAGGCGAGCAGCTCCGAGAACCCAGCGCCAACCGAGTCCCCCGAGGCCGAGGATGAGGTTCCCCGAGTGGTCATCCCCCCACCTACACAGCAGGGCCACCCGCCTAGTGGGCCGCCGGCGCAGACCATCTCGCCACCGGATGGCGTTGAGTCTCGTCCGCAAACACATTCCGGCAGCCATACGCAGCCTTGGGCCGCGAGGCAAGCCGACCGGCACCCGGCTGTTTGGGGACCGCAGCCTTCGACAAAGAATGTCTGGGCCGCCCCAAACAATCGTAGCCTCGGCAATGGCACCTTCGTAGCGGACATCGGGGCGGCACCGCTTCCTTCGGGCCCGGGACCCATTGCACCGCCGAGCAGCGCCCGCGCTGCCGGTCCATCGCAGGCGAACATAGCTCCTGCCGCCGCATGGCAACCGCCAATCGGGCCACCGAGGCAACCGCAAGCGTCCAGGGCCGCGGCCGAGCGCGAGATGAAGGACAACCCTTGGGCTGCTGCTGTTCGCGCCAATGATGACAAGTTCTCGGAGCTGCTCAACGCTCAGTACGAGGAGCGCGACCGTAGGCTACAAGCGGAAGGTCGCTCGTTGGCGGATGCCCAACCCGCGATCAAGGACACGTGGCGTCCGACAAAACTGGACGATACCGGAGTGCGGACCGAGAGTGCTGGGAAGCAAATCGTCCAGATCGGGCAAGAGAGTCCATGGGCGTCCACTCCCGAGGGCAAGGCGGCGGCCTCGCAACAAGCGGCATCAGTATCAAGCGGCACCCCCTCGGAGTACAGCCAACTTCCTCAAAGCACCGTGCCCGGTCGCGATATGACGTCGGCGCCCATGATCGGCGCGAAGACGTCCACCGGTCAAGGAAGAGGCTCGCGGTTCTTCCCATCTCGTGATATTCGCCAAGAAACCCGCGATATCCGGCTGGAGCTGAGCGCCGAAGCGCTGCGGCAGGAGTCCCCTTCGCCGCCACCTCCGGACATGGTTGGTCATCCCGCATTCGACGGGGATGCTACCCACCCACATGTATCGTTACCGCGGCCGTATCCTGTTGTCCGGCTCCCTCCTTCGGCAGCAAAGGAAGCGTCCGAGGCGAACCCGGCGCCCACTGGCCCATCGAGAGCGCAGGGGCCGAGCTTTGCGTGGGCGTCACAGCCGGCATACATGGAACCGGATAGGGCACCGCGGGGACCTACGCAGAAACCCGACAATACTTGGCAAGCAAAGATTGACAACCTACTGGGCGGACGTAAAGTGCATCCGTCCAGGGCTGTGGGAGCCGATGCGCGTGCCCCAAACCAACCCCAGGAATCTTCATACGCCGGCCCATTGGCGCCGATCCTGGAGACGGAAGGGCTGGTCATCAGCAAAGTGATGGCCGAAGAATGCTTTGAGGAGCAGGAGATGGGCTCTTTGCCGCCCATCCGATTTCCGAAAACCGTACCCGAGATGGCGTGGCAGCCCAGCCCGGCGCCCAAGCCTCTTGGGAAGAAGCTCTGGCCCGTGGTGCAAAGCGCGGACGCTATTAACTTTCCCGCCGATGTGTCGGGGGCCGGGAACGTGTGGCGCGTCTGCATCCCGGGGAATGAGAGCAAGAGCATCACGGTTCCGTTTGGGCGCACACGCAGCAACCCGCGCCGGGGAGGACAGCGCGGCAGCCGGCATAGCTCGTCGGCACAGCACAGACAGGGGAAGGGGCGCGATTCGTCTTCTTCGTACTCCGGAGAGCAACGCGAAAATGCGCCTTCCGGGTCCGGCCAGTCGCATGGCAGAGGCCACCGCGGTGGCTATCGTGGACGCGATAACTGGTCGCGCAATGCGTCGAACCAGGGCCAAACATAAATGCGGCTCGGTTGCTTGTGTTGAGTGCTGGAGTCGAGCGCGGGGGTGTGGAAGGTCTTGTCCTGATCTTCTCGACACTCGACACACTTGACCGACATACTTACGCGGCGACACTTGTGCGTGGCACCACTTCAGCCATGCACAATACTCTGAATCAACAAACCGACAACCATAGCCATCGATTTACCCTATATTTCGATACCGCTGCACAAAGGCAGCAGCAGTGTACATGTTCGATTTTCCTCTACTTTCTTTTCCCTTGCGGCATGGCTGTATCGACAGCCGCGGCCGCTTCTTTGGTCGCTCATAGCAATCACCTCTGCTCTGTCTCGTCTCGCCCAAGAATATTTTGACGCATGCGAGACATGGAAGATGAGCAACGAGCTCATGGTTTCGCATGGGCGTGGCAGTCTGGAAACGAATCCAGGCACAGAGGCCCGAATATCGGGCTTCAATTAACGGCGGTGCGGGCGTGGATGGGGCATAAAACGGACTACGAGGTGGGACGGCGGCAGGACCCTCGGTTGCTCGTGCTTTTTCTTTTTGCGGTTGGCGGGCTGTCGAGGAGCTTTAGCCGGCGACTGAACAACTGAGCAAGACACGATTGATGTCTTGTGTGTCTGGCCTCTGAGATGGACCGGAGAAGCAAAGATACTTCTCATATTGAGTGTGGACGTATGAATGATGGACGGGTTTTAGCTGGGCCGTCACGAGCGCGCGGCGCTGAATACGAGTGGCTTCCGATGGCACGAATAGGTTAGTGTAGCTACAGTACACAGTTTAGCGGCTCTACAGTCTCTCGACAGAAACTATCATGATCAATTTCTTTGACGGTGGTGGCTGTGGCACGTTGGTGAACGACTGGTGACGTGTGGCGTTAGTTATTTAGCCCCTCTCTGCTGACGACAGCTCGGGCAAACCACTCACGAGACAACTTGGGTAAAGTCTGACAAGCTGAGCTGGCCAGACATCAACTGCCCGCGGTATGAAGTATTCTTCTTGCCTCTTAAGATTTCGCCCGTACTTGCCCCGCAGACTGTCCCCGCTCTCCAATTCCCCTCAAACCAGTTTGCCTCGCCTCTTCGACCCTCCCTCAGTTAAATACACCCGCTCACAACTCGACGCTCCAACAACAACAACCGCCATGACGACACTCCAAACCACACCCACAACCAACACCGCCAACCCCCCCACCATCACCACCATCACCACCGACACCAACCCACCCCAACAACCCCCTCCACAAACCCCCAAAAAGAAACTAATCAACCTCCTCCGCGGCTGGCCCGCCCCGAGCCTCCTCCCCGCCGCAGGCCTGCAGGCCGCCGCCACCTATGTCCTCTCGAACCCGGAGCTGGCCGTGCCTGTGCTGCAGTATGCGCCGGATCCGGGGTACCAGCCGCTGAGGGAGGAGTTGGCGCGGTGGTTGGGGGGTGTTTATGCTTATGCGGGGGCTTGGAACTCTTCCGGTGATAGAGAGTTAAAGGGGGGTAGGGGTGGTGGTGAGAGTGGTGAGAGTGGGGGTGGAGGGAGTGGCAGTGACGGCGGCAACATGACGGCGGACGAGTTCGCCATCACGGGCGGGGCCAGCCAGGCGCTGGCGTGTGTGCTGCAGTCGTTTACCGACCCGGGCTACACGCGCGCCGTGTGGGTGGTTGCGCCGTGCTACTTTCTGGCGTGTGCCATCTTTGAGGACTGCGGGTTCCATGGAAGGCTGCGTGCCGTGCCGGAGGATGAGGTCGGGGTGGATGTGGGTGTGCTGGAGAGGCGGTTGAGGGAGTGTGAGGAGGAGCCGTGGGAGGTGCGTTCTCTCTTTCCGTCTGTCTGTCTACCTGGAAGTGATGCCAGTACTAACTCCCATCCCAGAACCACCCCTCCAAACACCCCTCCCCCGACCGCAAACTCTACCGCCACGTCATCTACCTCGTCGCAACCTGCGCCAACCCCTCCGGCAAAACCATGCCGCTCTTCCGCCGCCAGCAACTCGTCCACCTCGCCCGCAAGCACGACGCCCTCATCATAAGCGACGACGTCTACGACCTCCTCCAATGGCCCGTCTCCCCCACCCCTCCATCTCCCACCACCCCATCCGCACCCCCATCCCCATTGCCTCCAATCCCCCCCCTCCCCCTCCTCTCCCAAATCGACGCCGCCCTCCCCCCCTCCCCGCACGAACCCCAGGGCCATACCCCCCACCCCCGCTTCGGCCACGCCATATCCAACGGCTCCTTCTCCAAGCTCGTCGGCCCCGGCGTGCGCACGGGCTGGATCCACGCCAGCCCCGGGTTCGCCGCCGGGTTCGCCGCCACGGGCACCAACCGCAGCGGGGGCGCGGCGAGCCAGTTCGCGGCGGCGATCGTGTGGCGGTTTTTGAGTGTAAGTGGGGAGGGGGGGTTGAGGGGCCATGTGGAAAGGGTGGTGAGGCCGGGGTTGTGCAGGAGGTATGGGTTGATGGTGGGGGAGGTGAGAAGGGTGTTGGGGGCGTTGGGGGTTAGTGTTTGGGGGGGGAATGGGGTTGGGGGGGTGGGCGAGGGGGTGGAGGATGGCGGGGAGGTGTATGGGGGGTATTTTTTGTGGTTGACGCTGCCGGAGGGGGTGGATGCGGGAGTGGTGGCGGAGCGGGCGAGGGTGGAGGAGGAGTTGGTGGTTGGGCCGGGGGCGATCTTTGAGGTGGCCGGGGACGAGGCGGCGGTGAAGTTTCCGCGGAATTTGAGGCTGAGCTTTTCGTGGGTGGATGAGGAGGATATTGTTGAGGGTGTGGCGAGGCTGGGGAGGGTGGTTAGGAGCGTGTTGGAGGACGGAGGGAAGGGGGGGGTTGGGGAGAGGAGTGGAAAGTCGGATACGGGGGCATTCAAGTAGCGGGTATGGTGCATTGAAATGGGAGAGGTTACTCTGGTTATTTATCCTGCCCTCGCGTTCTAGAATTAAACCATCCATAATCAGTGTCCGCAAGCTCGCGGGATTGTAATTAACGTGGTCGGCTAAACTTTGCCTTGGGGGGTGTGGACTGTGTAAGCCCTCTGTGGTATTCTATTTCCAGTTGGCACCTCAAACCTCTTCCTCACCGGCTGTCTGCTTCCTTGGCCCCTCGGGTCCCGTACCGCCCTGTCTATCTCCCAGAACCGAATGGGCTCGGCGCCTTCCAAGGCACCCGGGGCGCAAAACCGCGGACAGCTCTCAGGTCATGCGCTTACGCTGCGGGGGACAACCCGTAACGTCGACATTAGATCGCATAACGTACTCTCATGGGCATTTCATGCCGTAGCTATATAGTTGAGAGCGAAATGGTGGGCGGGCCATCCTATACCGTACATTATGGGCCGTGCTGTCACGATAGTGTTATTACTTCTGTCTCCTTGGACGCCGGTGTTGGATACGCGTGTATCTATGCGGTAAGGAAGTCAGCAACACCGTGACATCGACAACCACAACAGTTAACGCACCTTCTCCGCGAGCGCCAGCCACTCCTCGGCACCCCTCAGGTAGGGATCCGAAGCATCCACACCAGCCTCATGTCCCCAAACAATCATCTCGTCAAACTCGGCCTGAACCTGCAGGCTCCCCTGGGGCATCTCGGGCTCGAGGTCAATAACCTCGGCCCCTGACCGTTCCAAAGCCTGCTCGGCGGTCGAGGTGGCTGCGACGGCGCCGCGATACCCCTCGGGTAGCTTTACGGCCTTGCCCTGAAGCTTGCGGCCGCGGAAGTAGGATGTCCTCGTCCCATCTGAGGAATAGAGGGTTAGTGACATCTTCGAAACTGTACAATCAACGGATTTTGGGGTGGATTCTTCTCACCTTGGGCGGTCTTGGGGTTCCAGAAAGATTGGGCGGGCTCGACAGGACCGTTGTGGTTGACGCGGCAGGGGAGGAGGTGGGGTGTCGCTTTGGGGGTGTCCTCTGAGGACTTGTCCGATTTCAGGGTGAGCATTGGCTGTGACATTTTGTAAGGTTGGATGGCTTTGAGTTGTACTCTTTTAAGTTGAGAAGACGGATGAGACGCGTTGATGGAGCGAAGTTTAAGTGGAACGCGGTCAACGCGCGACCGCTCAAGGGATCCCTGCAAGCCTTCTGCAGCCCTGTGGGGCACCCCTGGCACCAAATTCATCCCAACCTGGAACTGAGTGGACTGGGACCCCTCTTTCTTCCACCCTAACATCAACGGACGGGCAGGCACGCCTCCTCGCTCATCCAATTGTGCCGCGACCAACACACTATCCTCAATCAAAGAGTCAAATGATCCCGCAGTCAGTCTATGCACTCCATCCCGCTCCTCGGACCGTGCAATTCTGCATGGTGTGTTCCTAGAAAGACGAGGATGAGAGCGATGCTTTACCTCTAAACCGTTCGAACCCAGGGCCCAGATGGTACACCTCCGAAGGTTGAGTAATGGTATTTGCTCCAACCTGAGAGTTCATGATCAGCTCAAGCCCATTGAACCCAATTACAATTGAACTAGAGCAGGGGCCGGAAGGAATGCTTCAAGTCAATTCACTAGCCCTCAAGTGCGTCACACCCTCGCTATCGATATGCAAAAAAGGTCCTGCATCCAACACAGTATGGCCAATCCTCAGTCGTGATCCGTAGAGACAAACGAACGCGGGTGACTCACCTCGTCCACAGCGTCCCAATACCACGGGTTAATGAGGCCAACACCGCGTGGGATCTCGAGGTTGCCCACTTTAACCACCATGACTAGTATAGAAATAAGAGAGACCCAATCATAATGTAGCCTACAAGCTGAGTAGTAGGGAAACGGTGAGTCAATGGCTTGGTCACCCGGTCGCCACTCCTTCTAGAAGAAACACTCCAACCATGTTCATCTTGTTTCGGAGCAGTCACGATCTCCAGCCCAAACAAAGTGACTGGTCTAGCCCATCCCTTACACACTGTGGCAGACGTAATACCGGGACCAAGGTTAGGATGAGAGCATTTAGGAGAGTTACTGAGCATCGCATGGCTCCAAGACCCCCTTAGATCACCAGACAAACCTTGTTTGTAGCTGGCCGCTATGTCATCTAAGACACCACCTGCATGCTTTTTCCATTCACCTGCAGATGGCATCTTTAGGTCGCCTTTGTAAGTCATTCTCCTCCTGTCTCTTTGTATTAATGGCACTAATATGATGAACCACTGATGGTTCTCCATGTCAACAACTCATCCGCCATCATCTCACACTAGAGAAGAGGTACCCCTAAGCTAGCTACTACCATCCGCTGTTCGGCGACACTGGCTACCGCTATCATGGCACCCTCGACTTCCCGTTTCCGCCTCATCGGTTTCCTCTCGCAGCTCTTCCACGGCGGTGCGACCTATCTTCGCAACAGGTTGAGCAGTCTCATCTCTGGCGCAGCCTATCCCCGTAACAGGCTGCGCAGTATCGTCTCTAACACAGCCATCTATATCGCCAGGCCGGTCATCTTGTCTCACTTGTCCTCCACCAAGGTCGGCACCCTGATCCTCATCGATGAACCTTATAGAGAACGCCATGTCTTTGGCAGGCCGCTCGACGATGTCAAGGCCACTGTCTCCCCGGCTAACGACCATGTGAACATCGATCGTGATGGCAACAACAACACCAACGACAACAGCAACACCGACAGCAAAGACAACGCCAGCGTCGACAGCTACGGCGCTGCCTCCCTCACCAACCCCATCGTGACCCTCACCGTCACCTCTCCACTCTTCTACCCCCGCCTCCTCCTGCTCGCCGACATGGGCTTCGCCGAGTCCTACCTCCTCGAGGAGGTGACCTGCGACGACCTGACCGCCTTCTTCCGGCTCTTCGTCCTGAACCGCGCGCGCCTCAGCAACGGCACCACCCGGCTGTCCTCCCTGCTTAGCACGGTTCTCTCCCCCATCGCGACGCTCATCACCCGCTCGACAGCAACAGCAACAACGCCCAACACAGCCGAGGCGGCGCTCCGCAATGCCGCAGCGCATTATGACCTTGGAAACGACCTGTTTGCGGCATTTCTGTCCCCCGACATGACCTACTCCTGCCCGATCTGGCCGACCAGTCCTACTTCAACTCCGACTTCGACTTCGACAACCACTTCCGCTCCCATTCCCACTCCCACTCCCATTCCCACCCTCCAAACCACCCCCACCCCCACCAACCCCGTCACCAACCCCATCAACAACCCCTCCCAAGCAGAAAAGAAGGGAGAAGACCCCCTCTCCACAGCCCAACACACCAAACTCACCCACCTCCTCTCCCACCTCCACCCCAAACCCACAGACCACATCCTCGAGGTCGGCACGGGGTGGGGCTCCCTCGCCATCGAAGCGGCGCGCCAGACGGGCTGTCGCGTGACTAGTGTGACGCTGTCAAGGGCCCAGAAGGCGTGGGCTGAGAAGAGGGTGCGAGAGGCCGGGCTGGAGGGGAGGGTGCGGGTTTTGTTGAGGGATTATAGGGGGGTTGGGGGGCCGAGGGTTGGACAAGAGGGGGAGGGTGGTGTGAGGAGGGGTAAGAGTGGTGGTGAGGGTAAGAGTGGGAGTGACTGCGAGGGCGTGGGCGAGGGTGTGGGCGAAGCTGCGGGTGACGGTGCGGACGATGCTGGGCGGTATGACAAGATCGTGTCGGTGGAGATGGTGGAGGCGGTCGGCAAGGACTTTCTGGCGACATACTTTCGCACCGTCGACCGGCTGCTCAAGAAGGATGGGGGCATCGCCGTGTTTCAGTGTATCACCATGCCCGAGGGCCGACAGGCAGCGTATGAAGGGAGGGAAGAGTAAGTTGTCCAAGACCACCACCCCCTCAAAAAAGAGAGGCTGACTGATGACTGGCGCAGTTTCATCAACCGCTACATTTTCCCGGGCGGGTACATCCCGTCCGTCACGCAGCTGCTGAACCACATCACTACCGAGTCCAAGGGCACGCTTGTCGTGGAGAATGTCGAGAACATTGGCGGCCATTACGCAAAGACGTTGCGCCTCTGGAGGGAGCGGTTTCTTGCGAACTTCGAGGACAATATTCGCCCGGCTCTGATGAGGGACCATCCGGACATGAACGAGGAAGACATCGAGGTGTTCCGGAGAAAGTGGGAGGTAAGAACCAAACTCGATCCGAATTGTGGCCACGATGCTGACTAGCTACCACCTTAGTACTACTTTTCGTACTGTGAAGCCGGCTTCCAGACCAAGACGCTTGGAGACGTCATCATCACTGTCGGTAGAGAGGGCGCCATGGAGCTTATGGAGGGCATTCCTCTCTAGGCTTTGGCGGCAACATGCGTCTTTGGCGGCGGGAGCATCATCGGAATGTTTGGATCTCATCGGGGTTTTGGGTCAAATAGCTTTAGTATCGTAGTAAAATAGTTCCCCTTGGTCAGGAAAGGGACCAGACAGACCCTGTGATGACGCAGGGGGCGATCTCGCCCCGTGTCAGCGCTTTTTTGTCTTCTTCCCTTTGCCGGCCTTTGGTTTCGGCCTCTCCTCATCTGGATACCGGTTTGCGTGCTCAACGTCGAAGGCAGGCTTGTGTTTCCTAAACAACAACATCGTCACCCGTGCATCCTCAATACTAGAGTGCTGGCCGGCCTGGATCTCAACCCCCAGTAGCTCTTGGGCCAGGACGCGTAATGAGGGTTTCGGTCCATTGGCGTACTTCTTGAAGCCCGAGAACTTGGCCGTGTCCCGGATCATCTTCCAGGAATGGTCCAGCTCCAGCACCCGCAGATCGTGCTTGACGTCGTGGCCCACCACGATCCGGCCCTTGAGCAGGTCGGCGATCTCGGCCTGCACCTCGTCAAAGGTTCTCGCCCTCGCCATGTGCTTCGGCGCGACACCGCTGACGTGGGTCCGCCAGTCGACGACGCGCTCCCGCGGCTTCACGAAGGAGTCGTAGACCTGCTTCCCATGAAAATCTACCACGCTAACCCTCGCCAACGAGTCGTCGTGCCCGCCCTCCCCGACGCCGACCATCTCGCAGTCGATACCCACGTACTTGCCTACCTCGACACCGGGAGCCAGCCCCTCGTTGGGCCGGCCCGGTTTGTCTGTGGAGAGGAGGGAGTTGGACTGGATGCCGAGTCCGTAGGCTTCGGCTATGGATTCTGACGAGATGCCGTTGTCTGCTGCCCAGACGGCGAGGGAGGGGGCGACGCCATGGTTGGGGGGGATAGGGTCGATTTTGGAGGACTGGGTGTTGCCCATGGGAGGTTTGGGGGCTTTTGAAGGAACAGTTTTCGCGAGTGGTTTTGATGACTGGTTTGGTTTCTGATTCTGGGTTTGTTTCCTCGGGTTTCCTTGTCGCTGCTGATCCTGCTTCTTTTGCTTCTTCCTCGGTCCTGGCTTGGCAGCACTGTGCTGGTCGTCAAGCTCGTCGGCGGCCTTCCTCTTTGGCGCTGCAGGCTGTGAGGCCGACTCGGCTTTGATCTTGGCTTGCAGCTTCTTCCAATTCGATGAGAGTCCGGACATGGTTAAATTAGTTCTCAATGGGTTTGCGGCATCATGTGTGAATGGTGGGTGAGTGGTGTGGTGAGTGGTCGTCTTTTTTGTGTTGAAAATCCAGCGAGATTGCAGATTAGCGAAGGCACGAACCGAGGTCGCGTATCTAACCGTATTCGGCGAGGCGCCTCCCGGGCCCCACCGGATTCTCCAAACGGTTGGGGTACCCGTACCTGCCACTCCCCACTCTCCATGAACATGCAATGCAAGTGCAGGGCGACACAAAACTCAAACTTGAAGCCCTCATAACTTCCATTGGTGCATTTATACAGAACATCGGCAACACTCTCCAATCCTGACAACCATGTCCTATTATGGAGTGAAACGGAAGTTCCTTAACACGAAAGTTAATAGAAGAGGATCACACGAAATGCACACCTTCAATTGTTCAACATGATAGCTAAGGTACATGTACCGACCTAACCTGCGGGCAAGACGCTGCTGGCTCAGGCCGCACACTCCGTCTCAAGTAGACGCCGGCACTGTGGTAAGCCCGGAGAAAAGGAGAGGTCGAGCACGAATCAGGATCCCGCAGAAGCATCCCCCATGCGATTTATCCCGTTGGAGGATGCTGTGGGGGCCAAGGACCCAGAGCCTTGATAGTGGGGAGGGCGGAAAGTTCCAAATAACCCTGATGAGAGCATTGAAGGATCAGTGGTTCCCTCAACTTTTCAGACTTTGGAAACCACAGACAGCAGAATTTGTCCAAGGGGGGTATGCACACCGCTCGCCATGCCTGTTTTACTTGGGGGCGGAAATGGAAGAAAACCAACGACGAGAATTAACAATAGATGAGCAGGGAGTCATTCGGACCGTCCTCCTGCGTACCTATCTATTTTGCAAGGGGCTCCTATGATGGGATTACGTTTGTTAACCAACCATCTTTGGTATTCGAGGGGGAGGTGGTCAGCCGAGGATCAATCAAAAACTTGAAATTGTTGTGATCCAGCTTTGAAATGTTGCCATTTAAAGTCTCAACAACTCTTCCTCCACGGCACAGCCAAGCCACGCTGTCTTTCACTCGAGGACCAAACTCGACTGTTTATGCCGCCGTTGATGATCGTCAAAAGTTCCCATTCCGCACAGGAGGAGCTGGATCCTACCCAAGGACCGAGGACAACGGCCCCTCTTGTTGAAACATGCCTGTATGGAAGTCCAAGGACGTCCATGGTGGGAGACTCCGTTGCAAGAGTGTCCTGTCTCGTGTATAAATACCCGTCTCCCATCCGCCTTTCAGCAGCTTCAATCTCTCACAACACACTCAACAGAAAGCACCAAGAGAAAAGCACACACAAAACACTCAACGCCAACAAACCAAGCAAAATGAAGGCCACCGCTACCATCCTCCTCGCCATTGCCACCCTCGCCGCGGCGGTCCCCAACCCCAACGCCGAGAACCCTGGCGTCATCTCCGCCCGCCAGGGCTGCTCGTACGGATGCGTCTGTCAATCCAACCCCGACGGAAGCGCCGACACGGAACAGTGCTGCACCGGCGGTACTATGGAAGGCAACGTATGTCGCGACCCGCGATGAGCCCACCCCCATCCATCACCTGCTCACCTTCACCTTGGATAAGGCGACGCAGCAGCAATGATCAACCAACCCAGAGCTGACTCTTGAGATTTCACACAGACCTGTGGCAACATGAACTTCGCCGCCGCGGTGAACTTTGCCAGCTGCTGCCCTCTCGGCCAAACCTGCAATGTCCCTGCTGGCTGCGACCCCATCCCCGGCAACTAGAGCCCGGGTAAGAGAGAGGTCGGCCCGCTGGGAGTTTGGCAACAGCAAGCCCACAGGACCTCGGTGTTGGACGCTAGAGAATGGGGAGGTTTCACAGTTGCGAGTGGGTCGTGGGGGGGACTGGGGACTATCTTACCGGCGTGCCTCCAGCTGACCTGGAACTTTGGGTGATGCTGGCGCAGCCAACTGGCCTCCAATGTGTATGGTAGTCCTTGAGAGAGTGAAAGTAAATGAGATGGTAACCCTATATTATAAAGTAGTTCGGCTAGTGCTAGTCCTTGATATACATACCTTCGATTTCAGAGCTGCTGACTGAAGCTTTTGGGGCCGTTGGTTAGCGACAGCATGCCGGTTATTACCAATAATACCTCGACTATACCAACGTATACCGCTCGTTGCCTTCCCTAGCTTCTGCCCGTCTTTTTGAGAAGAAGAAAACAAATTGACGAAGACGTATGGCTTCGTGCTTCAGAACACCTCAAACAACGAACGGTCGGTCAAGATGATGGACATCGGAAAGGCTATATGGGCAGTTTGAGTTCAATATTCTCCCGTTTTGGGCCTCTCGTCTGCGGTCGGAGTACAGATTGAGATGTACTCGAGGTCCGGGAAATATTTCCCAGCGAGACGAACAGCTCGCCGAAAGGCCTTTTGACTTGATCGGCTGACACCGCCATTTTGCTCTCCCAGCCCGTTCTTGAAACCTTTGTTTATCTTCAAATTCCCCTCACGATGCCGGCGGAGGATTTCGACAAATTGCACAGGTTGGTTATAGGGATACATGTCCTCATGGGGGCGCGCGGAGTGTTCGATGGGGTCGAGTTGGAATACTCGGGCATCGTGTTCCTCAAACTCACCTTCAACTGGCGGAGTAACCTCATCGTCATCCACATCTTCATCGATGGGGAGGGAAGCGGAATTCAACGTAACTCGTACTATCCTCTCCACTGCCGCTCTAGGATTTCGGTCTTCCGAGGTACGGTAGACTCGTCCCGTCTGTGGTGATGTAATCCACTCTGACAGTCCGTAATACGACATGTCTGCCAGATGAATTCGCCGTAACTTGGTCCCAAGGAGATCGCGGAGCGCAGTAAGTGGCTTTTCCAGCCCCCGGTTACCAAGTTGTAAGTGTAGCAAAACTATTTCCCGCGTTGCGCCTTCGAAAACCGGTCGCTGCGGACCATGGTCTAGGAAGTCATGATACCGGGAGTCGCATATCGGTGTACGATTCTTGTCGAGCTTATAACGGGGGTCTCTCGAGATATTGAGTGCAAATATCTCGTTTCCTAGAGCCGCCGCTCGAGCCTTTTTACAGAGCGACAAAAACGGCTGAATGGACTGGTTTTGCTTGAGACTGCGAAAGACTTCAGCGCGGTACTGCGGCCCGGGGTCATAGAACCAGTCCTTAGGCCTCCAGCTATAATTATCACGATATTCAATATCCCAAATGTGAATCTTCCCGAGGGTAACTGGGGTTGGATATCCCGAAGCGGCGTACTTGGCTGCTACTTCGACAATATCCATCCTGAGCTCTAGAGGCAGCCGGCGAATCCATGAAGGTGGCGATTCCGTGTCTTGCGGGCTACCAGTAGGAGATGACATACTTATCATAAACAGCGGCTCTCGACGGATTGAACCTGAACTTTTTCGTACTAGCTGAGCTGAGAGCTGCCAAACCAAACCACAAACCATGTACCTAGGTACTTTAAGTAATAGTTTCAAGTGCCCAAACAAATAAAATTGCATTTTGTGTTAAGCCTTGTTCCGAGGGCTCCCTTGTCACCCTACACAATGATCTTTGTTGAAGAGAATGCCGCTAGAAATGCAAGCAATGGCACACATGTGACACCAGACAGTGCCAGAGTGTTGGGCCGCCGGTATATTCTCAATTCCAGTCAAATGTCTCGTCTTAGCCGGATCATTGTTATTCCTGATCGTGTCAGGGTTGGTTTTGAGACAGAACCAACAGCTATTATTGACTAACAAGGTAATTTGGTTCATCGGCGTTGACTCACTGGCAGCCTGTCAATTCGATGGCGGGGTATTAATACTGCAACGACCCCAACTTGTTTAATCCAAACAACCGTTCGTTGCTTTGACTCTTTCTCAAAACAATTTCTTGTAAACGACAATAGCTTCTCGCATCACAGATTCAACATGACCTGTTCCAGGGCTCTGAATTGGGCGCCCGGGTTATCTACTCCCGACTTTAAGGCTGTTGAAGCTGTCCTATTCGAACTCGAGCAGCATTTGACACTGCGCACTTATCTGGAAGGGTACCAGCTGAGCTCCGCCGACAAGGACATATGGACGACGCTAAGGACGAATAAAATTGCACATGGCATTGTTCGCAAGGGCAGCTTGACTAACGTGGCCCGTTGGTCCTCCTTCATCGAAGCCAGCCATCCGGAAATCCAAGGGCAAATCAAGGCAGCCCAGGCCAAGGAAAAGGAAAGCCGTGCTGCCGCCAGCAAAGCTGGGGGTAACTACAACATCGGCCTGAAAAACACAGAGAACGGTGTGGTGACGCGGTTCCCCCCAGAGCCCTCGTGAGATCTGAGTCCCGCGCGAAACCATCATGAAGACAGAGAGAGGTTGGCTAATCGAACATAGGGGGTATCTACACATCGGCCATGCCAAAGCCGCCTTCCTCAACGACTATTTTGCCCACGAGGCATTCGACGGCAAGCTCATTGTCCGCTTCGACGACACAAACCCAGCCAAGGAGAAGCTAGAGTTCGAGGAATCCATCATCCACGACCTGCACCTCCTCGGAATCAAACCAGACCGCGTCACGTACACGAGCGACTACTTCCAGCAGCTGTACGAGATCTGTGAGCGCATGATAGCCGACGGGAATGCCTACGCCGACGACACGGACCCAGCAGTCCAAAAGGAAGAACGACTCGCCCGCCTCCCCAGCAAACGACGAGACCGACCCGCAGAAGAGAGCTTGGCCATCTTCCAGGAGATGAGAGCCGGAACCGAGCTCGGAAAGAAGCACTGCATCCGAGCGCGCATCGAATTCGACTCCCTCAACGGCGCGATGCGAGACCCCGTCATCTACCGCTTCCCGAAATCCGACTCGGAGGCCCCCGAAAATGAAGGCGACGCGCCCCCGAAGCAAGCCGCGGAACCAACCCCCCACCACCGCACCGGCCTCACCCACGCCATCTACCCGACCTACGACTTCGCCTGCCCCGCGGTCGACAGCCTCGAGGGCGTCACCCACGCGCTGCGCACGACCGAGTACGCCGACCGCAACGCCCAGTACCACTGGTTCCTCACCACCCTCGGCCTCCGCCCCATCCAGCTCTGGGACTTTGCCCGCATCAACTTCGTCCGCACCTTCCTCTCCAAGCGCAAGCTCGCCAGAGTCGTTGATGCCGGGATTGTGACGGGGTGGGACGACCCGCGCATGCCGACGGTGAGGGGGATTCTGCGCCGCGGGCTGACGGTGGCGGCGCTGCGCGCGTTTATGCTGAGGCAGGGCCCGAGCCGGAATGCGGTTACGATGGATTGGACCGTGTTGTGGGCGATGAATAAGAAGGTTGTGGATGGGGTTGCGCCGCGGTATACGGCTGTGGAGACGGGACTGGGAGGGGCGGTGGTGGCGGTTGTGGTGGGGGGTCCTGGAAAGCCGTTTGTGGAGGAGCGGCCGAGGCATCCGAAGAATGCGGCGGTGGGGGTGAGGCTGGTTACGTTTGCGAGTACGGTGCTGGTTGAGCAGGCGGATGCGGTGGGGTTTGTGGTGGGCGAGGAGATCACGCTTATGCATTGGGGGAATGCGATTGTAAGGGAGATTGTGAGGGATGGTGGTGGTGGTGGTGGTGGTGGTGTTGTGACGGGGCTGCGGCTGGAGCTGCACTTGCAGGGGGACGTGAGGAAGACGGAGAAGAAGGTGACGTGGTTGGCCGCCGAGGGGAGTGAGTTGGTTGGCGCGGAGCTGTGGACGTTTGACCACCTCTTGACGAAGGATAGCCTGGGGAAGGATGATAGGTTGGAGGACTTTTTGGCGGCTGATACGGCGAAGATGACGGAAGCGGTGTGTGATGCTGGCCTGGCGACGGTAGAGGCGGATAGTATTATCCAGCTGGAGCGGAAGGGCTATTTTAGGGTGGACAAGGCTGCGGGTGAGGGGCCTCAGGGCAGGGCGGTGTTGTTCAAGATCCCGACGGGGGCGAAGGAGGGTGGCGTTTCTTGATAGGCTTGTATCTTGGGTAGGAGTCATTCCAGTCTGTGTCCGGGCTGTTCTTTTGGCGTTGTGGATAAAATACGTGGACTCGTCCTAAAGTTGCACAGCCAAAAGGCCATATCTTGAGTATTACCGAACCCCTGATTGCCGATGAAGCTCGGTCAACGAGACCGCGTTATGCTTTTGGCTTGCGATAGGGCGCCGTTAGCATCCGACGACGGGTACCACTAAATGTCCGACGAATCGCGGGCCTGGTTTGGAGTCGCTTTGCCCTAAGAGCCTACCAATCATGCGGCCAGTGAAGTGTAAGGAGCCCTTGGTGTCATTGGGACGCATGAAGTGGGTTCAGGACCTTGTGAGCCGCCTATTCGCCAGCATAGGTTGAGGTAGTTGCCCCCTCAGGGTAGCTGTTTTGCCCCCAAAGACGTGGATGGCTTGACGAACTAGGTAGGCAAGGTGCTATTTGGGATAGATCATAGCGACACGGTGGATTTGAGTGAGAGTGGTCTCAAGTACTCTTGCAACGTGATTCACGGGATTGAGCGTCGGCACAGACATCATTAAGAGTAAAGTTATGAAGGACTGCTAAAGAAATATGAGAACCTGCAATGGAAACCCCCCTTGCTCTCCGACTCTGAACTCGCCCTTGCACCTGACATCCAGGTTGGATGTCTTTTTGTCCTGCCTCTCCGCCAACGGTCCCCATCCATTCAAGGCCCAGTTGCGTGGACCCTATCCCTCAACGGCCCAGTTGCGTGGAAACCGTCGATGCCCAACTGTCCCAAAGTGCGCCGCATCACTGCAACTGGACTACATGGGTCTTGCCTCCCTGTTTGGCCAACCTACCATGTTATCCAACACGTCCAACTCGTCACCCACGTCATCTTGATCCACGGCACCCAGCGTGTCGTTGTCCGTGTGGGAAAAGGCCATGGTAGAACCTGAGTCGACACCGTTAGGTAACATGGCTCCGACCGGGTGGACACTGTCACCGACCACAGCGTCGTGTAGCGGTATGTTGTTGCCCGGGATGCCCAACGCCAGCTCCGGGGTATGGATGGTTCCAAGGGTTTGGGTCGCAGCATAGAAAGGCACACTAGCGACCGTTCCGAAGTCCAGTGCCCGCGAAGCTGGCTGGGGAGGCTGTGGGTTGTATCCCCATGAAGACAACCCGTCTGCGAGAATGTTGGATGTATGGGAAGGGAGTTCAGTGTGACCTCGGTACGGCGAGCGATGGAACGTGGGCCCCGCGATGTTCTGTGAGAAACCCTGAGGCTCATGGGACATTGGATATCCGGGAATGGGGTTTGCGGTGAATTGGATAGGCATGTTCGTGTGGTGTGATGGCTGGGGGCCTACACAGGTATCGCCGTACTGCCAAGTCGAGGGCATGGCGCCGCTTTGGAGGCTGTGGGCTCCATACGACCCGTGTGACTCCTCGACGAATGCCTGCTCTTCCTCGCTCGCCGGCGAGGGGCAGTTGTTCGGCGTGTCAATGTCGGGGGTCCTGTACCGGATGTTCGGGGGCGTTGCCACTGTTGAACCCGTGTCAGTGAAGTTGCGGATATGATGGGGAAAGGAAAGGGGATGGGTAGTACCCCTTGTTTCGGGCAGAGGGGTGTTGTCATCTATCTCCAACTTGTGCCGTTTCGCAAAGCGATTGAGATTGATGTCTTCCACGTCCCTGTCGAGCCGAGTAAACACGGTCTCCTTGTTCTCCTCTACACGGCGTCTCTTCCTGATTTCGAGCATCGCCAACGACTCCTTCTTGTTGGTCTTCTTCTTCTTGCCCCACTTGTCCGTCAGGTAATACTTGTAAGTCTTGTAGCTTCAAGGGCGTCAGTCTCCCAGTTCTATCACTCAGAACTTAACAACGGGGGATAATTGTACCTGTACGTCGCGCCGAAATGGTAGACATCTTTCATGTCTTTCATGACTTTTCGCATTGTTTTGCCCTGATCCCAGTACATATCCTCTAGGATGCTTCGATGGGCCTCGAAGTCAGCCGAACTCGCCGTTGTGCTGGACATGGTGGCTTAACGACCGGAGGGCACGCTTTTGGCTGACGGATGGGGGGAGGCACGACGCGGTCGTGGTGTTGAAGCAGAGACATTAGCGAAGGCCTGAGAAGAGTAGACGGAGGAGGTGGACGGCGGATATTTAAGTCGAAAGAGGACTACAAGGAGGCGAGCTCGGCGATGGGGTGTCTTTTGCTTCCTCACAATCCTGACCTGGAAACCGGCGACGCACTTGGGCACCTGGGCACCTGGGCACGGTACCTAGGAACCCACCATGTGCCGTCAACATGGCTGACGCTATGGCGGCCCCACGGCGGCAGCTATGGCGGTCGGTCTCACAGATCTGAGCGCCACAGACACAGGAACCCGTGGAAAGCTCAAAACGAAGGCGGCGGGACGTGGTACGCAAGGCCCCCAACCAGGGCGCGCGCGGATGTGGGTGCCAAAGGCCTGCCAACGCAGAGGAGAAGAGCCGCAAGGCACAAGTACTCCAGGCCTCGGATGGGAGAGCCTGTGTCCGGACCAAGCCATTCTGCATACTGTAAAAAACCGTTGCCAACCCCCTTGCCGTCACTCACCGCCAGAATTGGAAACGGAGACGAGTTGAGGTGGTTCGAAGTACCAACGGCGGCTCTCAGTATGGGGCCACTTTTCCAGACCAACACTTTATTGATCGGAGCAAGGTTCGAGTCTCGGTCGATGCACGGCGGTTCGATCCGGCGCGTTGGGACGGCCGCCTTGTGAGGTTGACAAGGGTCCGAAATCAATCCGCGAATCCGCATGCCGCGCACAGGTGGATTGCGACTTTGGTGTTGCGGGCCACGAAACTTGGCTGAAAACTATCCGTGCGGTGCGTTCCAAGACTGGGCTATCTTGATTCAAGGCCGATGCATCCAGGTCGGCGGATGGGGGACGGCGAGGTTCATTTTCGCTTTCCGAATTACTCAATTCAGAGTTGTCTACAGATGTGTGAACATCAACATCCCTCAATACGGCAAACTTGTGCAGCCGACAGGGTCCTTTTGTGTCCTTGACAAAAGAACCCTATCGTCGAGGCAGAGCGTAATTGGCAGTTGGCCTGGCTGATCACAACCCGCCCTCGTGCCGCCGTCACGGATTGGAGCATCGGCGAGGCTGAAGATGCAAGTGGGGGAGGGGTAAAAGAGCGATCGCCTCATCTTTTTCTCTCCACGGCCCAGCTCGCTCAATGTGGGCCTCGTAAGCTGGCGGCCGACCGGGCGTGACCTACCAATCGTCCCTTGCTTTTGCTGCTGCGGAAAATAGGCGGAAAATAGGCGGAAAATAGGCGGAAAATAAGCGGAAAATAAGCGGAAAAAACGGCGGAGAAAAAGTGCGAAGTCCAGATCTGTACCTTACCCATGGAACCCTCAACTGGCACTGAAAAGAGGCTGAGAAAAAGCAAAAGGGGGTCAGAATCTTGCCCCACCATCCACGCCCAGAATTTAGATCCGCACCCAAGGGTGGCTGCTGCCATATCTCGGCAGGCGCAGCGTGGGTCCAAGTGCAGGGCCAAGATCCACTCAATTTTTAGCGCAAGGCGAAAGTGACCTTGAAGCTTCAACACCTTGAACCGGCTGACGGTAATCTGTACTTCGCCGTATCAATCCATCACGAACCACGCCCCGATCATCAATATTCATCATGAGCCCAAACGGCGAGCCCGAGGTTGGCTCGGATGGACCAAGACAAAAGGGCAAGGCTACTCCCGACACTCTCAAGTACGGATCCTGCACTCGTTCTTATCGCATGCGACTCGCCCATCCCCTCGCTAACACATCACAGGGTCGGATGTATCGCCCACGTCACGAAAGACGGCCAACCACGTCGCGCCGAGATCCTCAGTATCAAAGAGACCAAGAGTGGGAGGCAGTTTTACTGCAACTTTGACAACTTCAACAAGCGGTTAGACGAATGGGTCCCTGTTTCTAGAATCGACTTCGCCCAAGATGTCGAATGGCCCAACCCCGAGAAGGACAAGCAGAAGGACGCCAAGAACAAGAAGTCGACGGTGGTATCCAAGAAGTCGCAGCCATCGAAAAAGACGCAGAAAAAGGTCGGCAAGCGGGAGCAGTCGGTTGCTTCAGAAGGTCAGACACCACACCCCTGGACCGAGTTTGTCGAATCTCAAAACAAGCCAGATGGGGAGGACAGGGCGAACGCGAGCCTGGAGGTTGGCGCGACGCCTGGCGTCGGCCCCGACGAGATGGAACTGGACGAGGATGAGACGCCGGCCAGTGCCGCCAAGAAGGAGCACGCCCAGTCGTTCAGCCGAGAGCAGGAAATCGAAAAGCTGCGGACTTCAGGCTCTATGACGCAGAACCCGGCCGAGATCTCCCGCATCCGGAACATCTCACAAGTTGAGTTTGGCCGATACGTCCTTTTCCCCTGGTATTTCTCTCCCTACCCGGAGGTGTTTGGCCGGGAGGACAGCATCTACATATGCGAGTTCTGCCTGAGCTACTACGGCGATCTCAAGTCGTTTTCGCGCCACCGCCAAAAGTGCACCTTACAGCACCCGCCGGGAAACGAAATCTACCGTGACGATTTTGTATCCTTCTACGAGATCGACGGCAGACGGCAGCGAACATGGTGCCGGAACCTATGCCTGCTGTCCAAGATGTTCCTCGACCACAAGACGCTCTACTATGACGTGGATCCCTTCCTCTTCTATGTCATGACAACGAGGGATGAGAAGGGGTCGCACCTCATCGGGTACTTCTCCAAGGAGAAAGAGAGCGCGGATGCATACAATGTCGCCTGTATCCTGACGCTACCTCAATACCAGCGGAAAGGGTACGGCCGGCTGTTGATCCAATTTTCGTACGAGCTCTCCAAGATCGAGGGCAAGCTCGGATCTCCAGAGAAGCCGCTCTCGGATTTGGGTCTGCTGAGTTACCGGCAGTACTGGTCCGAGAACATCCTCGACTTGCTGCTGATGTACAGCGAGGGGCAGGAGAAGTGCACGATTGAGACCATCGCGACGCGGCTCGCCATGACGACGCAAGACGTCGAGCACACCCTGCAGGCACTCAAGATGCAGGTATACCACAAAGGAGAGCACAAGATCGTGATACCCGAGAAGCTCGTACAGCAGCGGGAAAAGTCCAAGGCCAAGCAGAAACGCGTTATCGACCCCGAGAGGATCCAGTGGAAACCCCCGGTCTTTACAGCTGCTAGTAGAACATGGGGATGGTAGTCTTAGGTATCGGAGCTGGAAGCGTATGTGGGTGGTCAGGTTGGTTCGGCGGTGGTCATTTGGAGTATTTATCGGTGCAATGGGAAAGCGGGATACGGTGCATAAATACATATACCCATTAACAGCATCAGAGAGGCTGTCGTTCTTTGCTCTGGTACCTAAGCCGTCATAATTCACGTAACGGATCCATTAAACTCGACCTACCCTTTTCGCGTTTTCCCAGCGCGTCTGCCAATATCCCGCGTTTTCTCGCGTTTTATTTACAGTGGGCCAATCCACTGCACCCTTGAGCCTCCGTACCTGGATTTGACCCAACCCAATCTCCAATCTGTTACCCGACTCCGACTACCCCTCAACACCAGACTTGCCTCATAACGCGGTCTGTGAGACGAACACGCACGCACACATACCCCTTCCCACCATGGCGACACCAACAGCACCCTCCAGCGATGCGGGGTTCATGACATCGGATGGCCCTGGTTCGAGGACCCCGCGCGCGGGACGACTCCCCGGTTCTTCGAGCGGCAGACCGGCCGCACCACCATCTGAAAGCGTCGGTGCGCTCAGCGATGGCGAGGGTGAGGGGTTTGCCGACGACCAGGTGCCGGTCCGCGCCCGGCCGACAGACCCTACCAATATCCCGAGGGTCGAGGACAGGATAGGCCTGATCATCCAGGAATCCTTCGAGGCCTTCATTGAGGGGTGCGTGGTGTTCTTGTTCTTGGTTCGGAGTGGGATAGGAAGCTGGAATGCCCTCTGCTGACACAGGATGCCACAGATACATAGAGACCCCCAGATCCTCCGGGCAACCAACCTCGAGCGCCGTCACCACCGACAGGTACTACATCGCCCAGATCCACGGACTGCGCACCTACCAGCTATCCACCTTCTACGTCGACTACAAGCATCTCGAGAGCTGGCACAATGGTGCTCTTGCGACGGGTATCATGGAGTCGTACTACCGCTTTCTACCTTTCCTGACCGCCGCGCTGCACAACATGATCGCCAAGTACGAGCCGCAGTACTTCCGCGAGCATCGTCAAGCAACCGCCTCGAGCCAACAGAACACGTCGGGCGCCAGTACCATGGGCTCGTCGTCGGGCGGCCAGACCGAGATGGGCAGCAAGACGGCCAACCAACAAACCGACAAGCTGTTCGCCATCGCCTTCTACCACCTCCCCCTCGTCTCGCGCGTGCGCGCCCTGCGCGCGAGGAATATCGGCCAACTGCTCTCCATCAGCGGCACCGTCACCCGCACGTCCGAGGTGCGCCCGGAGCTGGCGCTAGCGACCTTCATGTGTGAAGCGTGCAGCAGTGTGGTGCCGGATGTGGAGCAGACCTTCCGCTATACCGAGCCGACGCAGTGTCCGAACGCGACATGCCAGAACCGGGTGGCGTGGCGGTTGGATATCCGGCAGAGCACATTCGTCGACTGGCAAAAGCTGCGGGTGCAGGAGAACAGCGGCGAGATCCCCACAGGGAGCATGCCCCGCACCATGGACATCATCCTGCGCGGCGAGATGGTGGATCGCGCCAAGGCGGGCGAGAAGTGCATCTTCACGGGCGCGTTGATCGTTGTGCCGGATGTGAGCCAGCTCGGCCTGCCCGGGCTGCGGCGGGTGGCCGTCCGTGACGACCGCGGCGCCGAGGCAGGAGGCAGCGGAGTGAGCGGTCTCAAGTCCCTGGGTGTGCGCGACCTCACCTACCGCCTCGCCTTCCTCGCCTGCATGGTGAGCTCGGACGTGTCGTCAATCGGCGCGTCGGGCGATTCGCAGATCGTGGACGTGGTTGGCGCCATGACGGGAAGCAACAGCCTCGAGACCGCCGAGACGGTCAAGGAGCTGCAGGACGCGGTGCTCGCGTCGTACACCCCGGGGGAGATCGCAGACCTCCGCGCCATGGTGCACAGCGACCACATCTACGGCCGCCTGGTGCAGTCGCTCGCGCCCATGGTCTACGGCCACGAGATCGTCAAGAAGGGCATCCTGCTGCAGTTGCTCTCGGGTGTGAGCAAGACTACGCCCGAGGGCATGCAGCTCCGTGGCGACATCAACATCTGCATCGTCGGCGACCCGTCAACATCCAAATCCCAATTCCTCAAATACGTCTGCAACTTCGCCCCGCGCGCCGTATACACCTCCGGCAAGGCCTCTTCGGCCGCCGGTCTTACCGCCGCCGTGGTCAAGGACGAGGAAACAGGCGAGTTCACCATCGAGGCCGGCGCGCTGATGTTGGCCGACAACGGTGTCTGCTGCATCGACGAGTTCGACAAGATGGACATCGCGGACCAAGTAGCCATCCACGAAGCCATGGAGCAGCAGACCATCTCGATCGCCAAGGCGGGCATCCAAGCCACCCTCAACGCGCGCACCTCCATCCTCGCCGCGGCCAACCCGGTCGGCGGCCGCTACAACCGCAAGACCACCCTCCGCGCCAACATCAACATGTCCGCGCCCATCATGTCCCGCTTCGACCTCTTCTTCGTCATCCTCGACGAGTGCAACGAGCAAGTCGACCGGCACCTGGCCGAGCACATCGTGGGGATCCACCAGAACCGCGACGAGGCCGTCACCCCGGAGTTCTCCACCGAGCAGATCCAGCGCTACATCCGCTTCGCGCGCACCTTCCGCCCGGAGTTCACGGCGGACGCCAAGGAGGTGCTCGTGCAGCGCTACAAGGACCTGCGCGCCGACGACGCCCAGGGCGGCGTCGGCCGCAACTCGTACCGCATCACCGTCCGCCAGCTCGAGAGCATGATCCGCCTGTCCGAGGCGATTGCGAAAGCGAACTGTGTCGAGGACATCACCTCGGATTTTGTCAACGAGGCGTTTCATCTGCTCAGGCAGAGTATTATTTCGGTGGAGCATGATGATGTGGAGGTGGATGAGGATGAGGAAGGGGTGGTGGAGGGTGGGGATGTGCAGATGGAGGATGGCGAGGTGCTCAGGCAGGCTGCGGATGCCGCTGCTGGGGTGGCGGCGGCGGATGGCGATGGGGATGAGCAGATGGAGGAGGAAGGGGGTGCTGCAGACAGGCAGGCGTCGGCTGCTCCCTCGGCCGCCACGGCTGCTGCTGCCAGGGAGAAGCAGACGGTTTCGTATGACAAGTATATTGGCATTGTTAATATGCTGGTGTCCAAGGTGGCGGAGGACGAGTCGTCGGGCAGTGGGGAGGGGATGGAGGGGGATGCGCTGGTGGAGTGGTATTTGGAGCAGAAGGAGGATGAGCTGCAAGGGGAGGAGGACTATAACACGGAGATGGCGCTGGCGAGGAAGGTGCTGAAGAAGATGGTCAAGGTGAGTTTTGGCTCGTTGGTGTTGATTTTATTTTGGGAAAGAAAGATGCTAACAGTGACTAGGACAATATCCTCATGGCGATTCGCGGCCAGGGTATGGCGAATGGGGACGATGCTGGCGAGGGGGGGTCGGCCCAGGCGGCCCAGATCGTCTATGTGCTGCACCCTAACTGTGCGGTAGAGGAGTTTTAAAGCTGGGACAGCGGTGATGTAAACGGTCATGGGTGGGTCATTGCAGAGGCTAGGTGTCGGCGTATGGAGTTTGGTTGTGGGCAACGAATGCTGGGTGTCACGGTATTATGGCCTGGACGGAACGGCGACTCGGGTTATCTTCTTTGACGTAGAGGAAGCATAATCAACGACACGTTATGTTGCAAGACACATTTCTTCGTTACGCCTGGTCGCCCCGCGCGTGTTGTTTTACTCAGTCTTGATACCACACATTAAGAACATGATCCTGTATACCAACCCTTTCTCCCCCTCGAATCGTCCCCTTACTCCAAAGGCGGCGCGTTCGGATCCTCCATGCACTGATCAACCCTCATCAGCGTCTTCCCCGTCTCCTTCGCAATCCTGATAAACTCGGGCAACAGCTCAACAGTCGAGTTGTACAAATAATGCATCACCATCAAGTTCCCACCCATTTCCACATCCCTCTTGAAAGCATCAAGCTGCTTCTCGGGCGTATCGCTCTCGGCCCAGATCCAGTCCTCGATATCGATACTCCACTGCACGAGGTAGGGGGACGGATCATCCAGCGCGGCGGCCAGCCGCTGGCGCATGCGCGCGCCCTCGGTGCCGAAGGGCGGGCGGAAGTAGTTGGAGTGCCCCTGCTGCGAGTCGCTCCCGAACACCTGCCGCACCGCCCCGATGTCGTTGTTGTACTCCCAGTCGATGGCCGCCTCGTCCGGCAGGCCCTCCATCTTGGGGTGCGTGTACGAGTGCAGCGCGATCTGGTGGCCCTGCGCCGCCATCTCCTTGTAGACGTCCGCCAGCCCGTTGGTCGTGTCGAGTAAGGGAAGGCCGACCGTGAAGAAGGTTACGGGTATCTCGGCTTGCCTGATCGTGTCCATGACCTGTGCTGCGTACTGCGGGTCGCCGTCGTCGATGGCTACCGCGAAGGAGTTGGGCCGCGTGCACGAGAATACGAGGTTGCCTGATGCGAGCTTGGTCGGGAGCTTCCAGTCGGCGGGCAGGGCGTCGACGATCTCCATCTTGGTGATCTTGGTGTCGTCGGTGCTGTAGAAGCCCTTGAGGGCGAAGCCGATGGCGCGCGTGAGGTTGACGTTGAAGTGGTTGATGGGCATGTAGATGTCGCTGGCGGTGCCGTAGCGGGCCGCCTCGAGCGAGTCCCACGTCTCCGGGTACGGCTTGATGTCCGGGTTGCACTCGGCGTTGTGCTGCTGCAGCGCCACGCTGAACTTGTTGCTGCCGGAGTAGGCGATGTGGAGGTAGCCGCCGGCGTAGCTGCGGATGTCGATGCAGTCGCCCGACAGCTGCGTGTTCCAGGCCAGATCCGAGTCGTTGGTGCGGATGGTCATGACGTTGTTCCCAAAGGTCGTCGTCATGCCTTCTTCGTCGCCGCCGTGCCACTCTCCCAAGGCGTTGGTCTCGGCATTGGCAAAGTCGTCGATCAGGAGCGTCTGGGTCGGCACGGGAGCCGACGTGGTGGTACGTGTGACCGCCGGTGACGTGGCAGGCCCTTCGGGAATCGTGTAGCCGGACCCGGTCGTGCCGCAGTAAAAGGACATGGGTCCAAGGGTGACGGCATCGCTGAACTCGGCAAGGTAGATCATGGTGAGCTTGCTGGTGTCTACCCCCGTGAAGGCAGAAAAGGGGAAATAGTAGAGCTGCTCAGTGCCGTCAAAAGTCCACTCCAGTTGCGAGGTGGTCAGGGTGACTTCTTCGTTGGTGCCAGAGCCGCAGGTCGCCGTCCAGGCCACAGTCACAGCAAAGCTAGCTCCCTCTGCTGCCGTGATAGGAAACGATATGCCGCCGTATTTGTTTTCGGTGTCAAGGCAGCCAAACTGGCTGTAGAAATACGAGTCTTCGCCGTTCGGGGTCAGCAGGACCCTATTGTCACTAACGACAACCGAAGCCATAGTCGCGTCGTCGCTCGAAGTCTGGCGCATAGCGTTGTAGCCAAGAAAGGTCAGACGTGACTGGGACTCCCAGTCATCGATCAGCAAGTTGGAGCAGTCGCCCGTAACGACTGGTGGGAGAGTAGTAGCTCGGGATGTCGTCGGTGGGATTGCCGTGCTTGTCGGCGGCGCCGCTTCCCCGTGTTAGCCCACTCCTTGGAATCACCTACTTCGAGGAGTTGAGGCTCACTTGGATCCGGTGAAGGGGATTCCTCACCACCACCACCACAGAGTAGGGTGACGTTGCCAACCGACCATACTATCCCTGTCTCGGAGAAGGTGGACCATACCAGGCCGACAATCCCGTCGTAGTTTGGTGAGTCTTCCCATCCTTCAAGGGGTAGGGTGACGGTCTGACGGTCGCCCGTCAAGTCGGTCACGATGTTCCAGGAGCTGTTGTAGCTTCCTTCCTCGCTGGTGTCGCAGCTAGCGGTGCTCTGTAGCTCAAAGGCAAATGAGCCTCCAGCTGGCCCCTGGACGCTGAACTCGATGGCGTTGTAGCCTTCGGTAATGGCTTGTATGCATTCGAATGACTCATAGAAGTATGAACCGTCGTCTTTCGGGATGAAGTCAACATGGCCCGGGGCGGCAGCAATGGCCGTCATGCTTCCATCATCTACAAGCGCGTGTGAGTCGTGACCCAAGAATATTCCCAGAACCCAACCTACCTCCATTCTGAGAGCCCAGATTGTTGAGACCGCTCAGCCATGTGGTAAAGTCGTCGACCACTAGCTTGGAAGAGCACGCGGCGTTGGCTCCGGTGGCAGTCAACAGACCGGCCAGACCGGCGATGAGGCGGCGGTCGAACAACATGACGAGCAACAACCGTCCTTCCTCAATAACGCACAAGGGGCAGGATGCGCAACAGCCAATGCTGGCGGCGATGGGTATAAGTATAGAGAAGACGTTGGGGTTGTGGGAGCCAAGCTCGGTAGTTCAACAGGCGGTTGGGTGCACATGTAATGTGCATAAATTGGTACTACCGTCGACCCGTTACCACCGACCCTTCGTTCTGCCAGCGGCGGGATGCCGAACAAGCGCTCCCGCGAAGCGAGCAACAGCAAAGTGGCTCACCAATACGAAGTGGAACGTTGGGGTGACTGCGGGCTATATGGCTTACGCCATCGAGACCACTGCCCTGCAGGGCGTAATTAACGGCAGCGGGTGAAAGCGAGGGTAAATCCGCCCAATACTGGGGAACTCGGCCACGCCCGGCCGCGGGATATCAACAGTTTGCAGACCACGACGAGAAAGCAGAGGAAAGTATCCTACAACTTAAAACAAAAACGAGAAGACGCTCATAGGCTTCACCATGGCCGGTTGAGAACTGTCTTCGGTGCTTCGGATATAAACTCACGAGGAGCCCAGTCGCATGGTTGCGAGTGTTTTGTCTCCTGCGAGTCGACTTCGTACATACATAGTATGCGGCGAGGAAACCCTAGCAACGAGGGACCGAGCTAACAGCCGATCCCACGGGTTCGTTCATCCCGGCGCTGGAAATGGGCAAACCTGCGGATAACTCTTAGTCCCCCCTGGAATTAGATCGACGATGAGAGGGGGGGGGAGGTGCCTGACAGGGGTTGGGTTCGGCAATCACAGCCGAAGCTTGGCTTGCAGATCCCGTTCCGCCAAGAGGCTGGGGTTAACGTGGACGAAAAACAACCGACAGCCTCATGGTTTCTTTTTTTATTTCCCGCGGAGATGGAAGTCGACAAGGTCGACTCTCTGCTTGTTGGTCTGTTATAGCCGTGCTTGTTTTGGCCCGGCCATGCCTCCAACAAAGTGCCGAGCTTGCCGATGTGTGCGTGCCACCCTCCAATATTGCCAACAGAGTTCCATTGCTGGGAAGCCGTGCAGCTGCGAGACCATCACTGAGCCTGGAAGGATGTATCTGGTTACACAACCCATTGGATGCAACGATCTTCGCATCTCCCTCTACGCAGTCGTGTATGTAGGATGAGGGCTGAAGCTGCAACCAAGTTCCAACGTTACTTCCGAGCCAGACCACGATCAAAACGTGTTGTGCTCGAAATTCAGCCGAACTGGCTAATGTCAAGAGGGCTGGCCCGTAACCATCCTTGACCAGTTTTCCGTCGTCTTGGGATCGGCGCTGTCCCGTTGGCTCATGTTGTTGGCTCCCACCCGCGTGGGTCAACTGGGTTTTCACAGTGGTGTATTCGTATGTTGACTGGCACGGCTAGCAGGACAGACCAGGGGAAAGAGCCCGGGGCGTTACAACGAGACGCCATTGTCATCGGAACGAGGGATGTCGAGCTTACGCGCTGGACCTTGGCGAGGAATCAAGCTCCAAGACCAAGACGCCTCTGTCAGGGTGAATGCAGGCGAATGCGGGAAGCGTGCGTGTCATGGTGGTCGGCCCGGCCCTCAGCTGCTGCTTGGTGATGCCGCCTCTTGACACGGGCCGACGACCGATACGCCATTACACAGGACATGCGCATGCATCGAAGCCGCGTGCCTGCATCCTCAGCCTTTGGCACACTTAATACCGCCCGCAGTTCCGATTTTAGAATCGCTTCTCATTCAATCTCATTGAAGGGTATCGGGTTTGCGTGCGATACGTGAACCGTGGGTTCGGGTTCTGGCACCCAATGCACTCGCCATATTTAGACGATACCGATGAATTGATTCAAAATGATGTTGGTGGGAGGAGAACTGGAACCTTGGAGAAAGCAGCGAGTTTGGAGAGATGGAAGGCGCGTCAAGGCCACTTGGGATGAGGTTGGGTCCCTTGGTAGCTTCACGTGATGGCCCACTGATTGGCCCAGATCTCAAGCTCAGGCCTCTGCAGAACCCACCCGACCGTAACGGTGATTCCCGACATCACCACTTGGCCGTTGCCCGTCATCAGCTTCAAGAACGGCACGTTTGAACCGTAAGATCGTCAGCGTACTGCCAATTGGCCGCGAATCGAATTCCCCAGAAGACTGACGACACCAAACCCCACCGAACCGAGTCGAACCGGATCAAAAAACCAGCAAACCGACCAAGCCCAGCGATCCCGAAGAAGTGCGAATTCTAAACCGTTCCACGACATCATCACTCCAAACAACCCCCCGTTCCAAACACCTGACCCATGCAGCCCCCCGACGATGCCCACCTCACGCAAGAAAACGAACCCGTTCAGCCCCTCCCCACCGCCGCTTCCGCCATGACGACCACATCCAACTCCCGCCTCCCCAAAACCCGCCAATCCCTCCCTCCCCACGCCCACCACCCTCTCGCCCACCACCAGCAGCAGCAGCAGCAATCCGACCCCTCCTCCGCCTCCGCCTCCCCACCACTCCCCCCGCGCCAACTCCCCCTCCGCGACCGCCGCTCCACCCCGTCCTCGGCCGCGCTCTTCCGCTCGACCCTCACCCCGCCCGGCTCCCGCTCCGCCTCCCCCGCCCCATCCTCCGCATCCACATCCATGCCCATGACCGGCTCGGTATTCGGCGCCGCCTCCCTCGCCGGCTCAACCCCCTCCTCCCCGGCCTCCCCCACCGCCGCCGCCGCAGCAGCAAAACACCTCTCCCTCCTCGAGACAACGGGCGCCGCCGACGACCCCAACGACCCCCTGCACCTGATGCTGCGCAGCCTGGTGCCGCACGTCGCTATTCATGCGTCCGAGGACGTGAATGGGCTGGTCAAGGAGAAGGGGTTCTTGGGCGGGCTGTGGGAGCTGCTGCGGCCGTTTGGCGAGCGCGTGCATGGGCGGGTGATGGTGCGCGATAGTAATGGCGGGGCGAAGGCGTGGGAGGATTTTGCGGTTAGGTTTGTGCGGTTTGGGGAGGCCGTGGAGGAGCCGGAGGGTGGTGGGGGGGTGGTGAATGGGCAGGTTCCGGGGGTTCCGGGGGCGGGGAGGGATGCTGGTGGTGGTGGTGGTGGTGGTGGTGGTAGTGGTAGTGGGAGGAGGCAGGTGCTTGCGCAGGTTGAGACGGTCGTGGAGAGGCATTTGCGGTTTGCTGAGGAGGCGTATGTCGGGAGTGTGCCGTCGCCGGGCATTTCGCCTGCGAGGCAGGGGGTGGATGTCGATGCGACGTCGCCGTACTATGCGCTGTACCTGCGCCGGTTGCTGTCCGGGATGCCGCTGGCGTGCCACGAGTCGTTTGCGCATCCTGTGGCGTGCGTCATGGCGATTAGCTCGCGGCATCCTGCGCCCATCGAGGCGCTGCAGAAACTGTACCGGGAGACGAGCCAGGGCGAGCGAAGCCTGCCTCCTTGGGTGGATGGCGAGTACCTGCGGTATTACGTGCTGGTGCATGACGAGGAGAACGGCGACATCACCAAGTCGATGGCGCTGTTTGACCAGATGAAGCGGAACTTCGGGCTGCACTGCCACCTACTGAGGCTACGCAGCACGCTGAGCGCCGAAACCGACGACGACAGCATACCCCTTCCGAGGAGCGACTGGATGACGGCGGCTGAGGAGCTGGCCGATATTGAGGCGAGCGAGACACGGGAGGACTTTGAAGACCCCACGAGGTACATTTTCGAATCAGACGCCACGGCGATACGGACATTCGTACGGGAGATGGTCACCCAGTCAGTGGTCCCCACCATGGAGCGGAATATCTCGGTATGGAACGACCAGGTAGCATCGCGGCGGCGAGGCATTAGCGGGCGGTTCATGAGCCTGTCGAAGCGGTGGACGTTTGGTAGCTCAAGCCGCAGCTCGTCGGCCGGCGGTTCCAGCTCGTCGAGCAACTACGATTCTCAGGGGTTCTACCGGGCGGACAGCCCCGAGGCCATCATGCGGCGATTGGCCGACTTTGCCTTCATGCTACGGGATTGGAAGCTGGCCATGTCGACATACGAGCTCTTGCGTGGTGATTTCCAGAACGACAAGGCCTGGAAATACCACGCGGCGGCCAACGAGATGGCTGCTCTCGCGCTGCTCATCATGCCACAAAACATGTCGTCCAAGACGCGCATCGAGACCATCAACCAGATGCTCGAGCAGGCATTCTATTCTTACCACATCCGCTGCAACTCACTCTACGGCGCAGCGCGCTGCACCGTGTTGGCACTAGAACTCCTTCGCCTCCGGGGAGGTTCTGGGATAGACGAGGCCGTCCGCTGGGGCATCAGGGTCCTGGAATCCAAGCTGATGGGCCCGGTCGGCGACGCCCTTCTCAGAGAGCGCATGGCGGTCTGCTACGCCTCTAAGCAAGGGGTCGGGTCACAGTCCTGGGGCAACAGGCGGCGCAAATCGGCACTGTGGAGCGTGCTCAGCGCCGAGTCGTGGATCTCCCAGGGCAAGTATGTCCAGGGCCAAAAGTGCCTGAAGGCGGCGCGCGCGATGCATGCGCGCCTGCCCGGCGAGAGCGGCGTGCAGAAGTTTGCCGTGGCCAGCGATTTCCTAGCACATCTGAATGACCAGGTCAAGGCTGGCTTGAGGGTGGACTTCACCCATGGGGGAGATTATGACGAGGACGGGATGGGCGAGGCCGAGGTGGACGAAGAGAGTGAGACGCTGGACAATAAACGATCTCGGAGGGCTAGCCTGATTGCGCCCGTCGGAGGCAGCGCCGGGCTGGAGACGGCGCCCCTGCACGATACGAAGCCGGCGATGCTACCGGGCCATGAAGGGGATGCTTCTTCTCCTAATGACGGGTTCGGTTGATACAGGACGGGCCAATAGAGGTAGACAAAGTTGATGGCTTGCATGGGTTGGGCGTTGTACTGTATGGCTGTTTATGCTATGTAATGTCTGATGATCTGAACAGCGAAGCTCTACGTCCCACCCCATGCCATGCACTTGTGTAGCCCCTCTTGCCGCCGCTTTCTCACCAATTCAGCCACCCTAACCCTACTAATCACGAATGCTTCATGTAGGTAGGTAGGTAGCTAAATGCTCCTGGAAGAGCTTTCCCCCGATATCTTGTTCTTCTATGTTTTGGTGAATTGGATGGTAATTCGCTCCACTCTACACGTCTAGCCAACTGTCTTCAACACACAACAATCATGTAAATAAAGGACTGGGCACATCAAAGCGCCGGTACTCAAAGCTCTCCCCTCACCTCGTATGGACGAGGAAGAGGTATCCCGCCCACCGCGTGATCCGTTAGGGGACGAGCATGATTCCTCGCTCTCTTACGTTAAGGGCTATAGATGAAAGTCTAATATATATATCGAGTAGCCTAGACAGGGCTAATGAACTTAGCTCTACTAATATACCTGTATAGCTATGTGAAGGGAGAGAGGGTTGTCTAAATAGGAGGGGTAGGAAGGTTCGGGATGGGGCGGTTATAGAATTCGGACGAAAAGAGGGAAATAAGGTGCAAAAAAGCGAACAGGAAACCGAAAAGGAAGACTGTGGTCATTCACCAGGCCCGGAGCGGGTTTGCGTTCAACGGGAGGGGAATTAACTAGGTTCACACTCTTACCACTGCACTACCGAGGTGGTTTCCGAGTGGTTGAAGACTAGGTAGCAACCAGAACATGGGTTATATACCACCATTTCTGCAGCCACTCCTGTCACAACCCAGGCTGTGTGGCCCAATTCACCTGGCCAGCCAAATCGTTTGTTAGTACTTTATAAGGCGGGGCTAACGTGAGTGTCTACCTTACCTACCTAAGCTGTTTGCCTTGTTCCTTAATTACACTCCAGCGACCTCGCCTCCCTCTACACCTTAAATAGGTTGCCAGATTGACCCTTCGACCCTCTATTATTCTTCAAACCTTCGCAAACGTCTCACAAAAGCACAACCAGAGTACTCTTTCTAACCATGGCACTAAATCGCCACATGGGCAGCGTCCATGACATTGTCGTACCTCTTATCCAGCGGGACCTCATAGGCCCGGCAAAGGGAAAGGGCATAATCGTCGACTTCGTTACCGAAGATGACGACACAGCCGTCTATGTCGCGGCCCTCGTCCCCTTGCCGACACCAGAGGATCACGCGATAAACAGACATCTCATTCACCTACACATGACAACCGGCGATGTCACGGTTCTCAGCGTAAAGCCGGTGTTGATCGAGACGGACGAAATGGAGCAAATCTTGCTTGACAACAAACTGGGCACACTCAAGACCTACCAGCGCATCAGCAACGAGTCCAGCGGCACCACTTACAAGGTCACTGTCGAGGAACCCGACAAGCCCCAGCTCATCGTCCAGCTTCGATTTCACGGCAGCGTTGTCTCGATGAACGCGCTACAAGATTACATTCGTACCAAGGCGCCACCGGGGCTTCCCGTTCCCAGGACATTTCCCACCATTTCGACCAATCGCAGCAACGGGCTGCAGCTCCAGATCACCGAGTTCATACCCAGTACGATGGCAGAGGGCGTCTTCAAGAACCTATCCATTGAGGACAGAGTTCCCATAGTCCGCCAAATGGCCTGCGCCTTTGCCGCCCTGTGGGAGTTGCCAGTCTTGAAAGAAAACAATGACATCGGAGAGGCCATTGCTTCGCCACCTGGCCAGCCAAACGGCTTATTGAACATCACGGTCGGGCCCGAGGAACGGGTTGGGATCGGTGGTCCATTCAATTCCGTTTCTGGCTTTTTGAAGGCTTGGGTCCTACACCGTCTCGAGAAACTGGAAGATCAGGACGGAATCGACGAGTACCAGGCCATGTTCCTCCCTTCCATTCGGGCCTTTGTTCATAACAAACTAGACTCGCGGCTTCCCGAAGGATTGGATAAGATCCCGGTGGTTCTGATGCACGCCGATCTTGTCCTACACAACGTGTTGCTATCCGAGAGCCCCCCGTTTGAGTTGGCCGCCGTCATCGACTGGGAGTCCACCTTGTGCCTTCCATTCCTCTGCGCCGTTCCGCCGCTGATCGAGCGAATGCTCCAGGAAGGTTTAGAGGGTGAGAAAGAGCCGGTTCTCATAGCGAGTCAGCCGCTCAGGGAGGCGTTTTGGAACGAGATACCGGCTTGGAAAGAACTCATGACCTCCCCAGAGGGACAAGCATTCCTGGAGTGGTATGAGTTCGGGTTATACATGGTGGCGGAGGCGGTGTACATGGAGTTGGACGCGTCACCAGAGGAGAGAATGGCCTCCTGGGAGCGGAATATCTCGGTTGTCAAGAGGTTCTTGGGTATATGGGGACAGGAAGAACCCAGTCTTTGACAACAAAGAGTCGCCGCCGTCCTTTCCCGAAGCTACCCTTTTGCCGCGTGAGGACCACGACCTCAAAGTCCCCGACGTCTCCTGTTCTGCAATAGCAACAGTTAGATACCGACCTGTAACATGAATTCAAAAAAGCAACCAGCCGCTGGTTCATTGGGACGATATTGGCTCTTATACTATAGTATTTCGCGCTACTAATCTGATGGGGAGAAACTAGTGCTAATGAATGTATGAATGACTCGTGAGAGTACTATGAAACGATCTTAGAAAGGGAATTCGAACAAAGGAAACATTTGAAACCATCTGCCTCATTGACTCCCTCGTAAGTACTTTTGGGCTCAGCTTCAACCCATCAGATACTCACCGAGTCATTACCTACATAACTTGCTGGCTCCCTGCCTACCACGACCTTCATCGACAACGTAGTCCCAAACTTAATGACTATCTGATCGGGTGTGGCTTGGGAGAATTGCGCATTTCTAAGTATCATCATGATCAGCATTAATCACCTCAAAACCATGCCTCTCAACCTAAAGTGTATTCAACTTACAGCAGGCATCCTGGTTGCGGAGGTCAAAGACAAAGCGGTCGTTGCTCAGGAAGCCAGCCGTGCCGGTGCCGGGCTGCAGCTGCAGCCGGCCCTGGAGGGTGAAGTCGACATCCTGGTTTTCCACGTTGGGCGGGGTGTACCTGTACGTCACGCTGTCGTTGATGGTGTATCGCTCGCTGATCGGGCCGCTAGCGGCCGTCCGGGTCCACTCCCTGTCGGGGCTGACCTGCGAGACGCCGTCGCCGCTGGGGGACACGACGTATTCGCGGCCGTGGAACTTGGCCTGGCTGCCGACGATCGACAGGTCGACCTGCCCGCTGACGGCGCCGGTCGCGGTGCCCCTGGTGCAGACGTTGACGGGGAAGCGGACCGTCAGGATGACGGAGCAGCCCTTGTCACGGCTGCCGTTTCGCTCCGGGAGGGTGACGTTGTAGTTGGGCAACGACACGGTGGCGAGTTGGTCGAGTTCGGTAAAGGCAACCGAAACATCGTTACCGCAGTCGACCTCGGTTCCGGTTTGAAGTCTCCAGCCGATGAATTTGGCTTTGGCTTGGGGTTGGCGGGCAACGACCATGGGGTTGGCCAGCACTGTGGCCGGAAGGAGAAGAGCGGCAACGCTAAGGTACTGCATTGTGAATATTGGATTTGACAATGTGGTCAAAGACGCAAAGTTGAGAGATGGGTGTGATGAAGTGCTGGACGGTGTGTGGAGATATGAGTGCTGAGAGTGAGGGAGAAAGATAGATCAAGCTTGGGGGTTTCACTCTCATATTTATACCTATGTGAACAGCTTCCACCATGCGATCACGCCTCATCGCGTTTCTGCGAATACCTCTTTCTGGCAGACCCTCGCATGTTCTCAGTGACTCACCTCGCACTTTTCTCGGGGCTGGCAGCGGCTTGCAGCGGGCCTGGGAGGTGAAGCGCTCGCGAGTCGCGACACCTGGAACTCCGAGGAGTATCTCGACTGCATCTAGACCTAACTGCATCCAACATCGGGGTGGCTAGGGTAAGCCATCCCTTCGGTGAGGGTCAGCGGATGCATGGGTTCGGCGATGCCGGGTGTCACTATTGTCAGAGGGGGGTGACTTGAGCATTGCCTAGGATACTCCCTGGAGTGGTAGTTATAAAAGGGATCATATTGTCAAATACATACTAACATACCGCTGATGGGGGGAACAACCATCATCCTTTTTCAAATGTCTTGCCATACTTGACGTTAGAGCCCAACAATTAGCCTACTAGGTAGAATACGGTGACGTGGACTTGCTTACCTAGACAAGCTTGGATGCAAGATTCGCGCCCCGTCGTTACCGCCTTCTCGCCCAGTACCGCTTCTTCCAAAGAAGAAGACTGCCCCCACGCTTTCTCACGCACCACAGGTGGTGCAATGAGTAACGTGGTTTGGAAAAGGAGACGTTACGTCCCATTTCGGTCCGAGTGGTTTCACAAAACTATGCTCTTCTCGACAAACAAGACAGGTTCGGTCCAGATTTGGGTCGTCTAATAACCAATTACGTCTCAAGCAGCCCATCTTGTGACAGTCATAAGCGCGGTTCCTCTGTGTAACCATAAGACCCGTTTACGTGTAGGCTGTAGCAGCGCAGCTGCCCAAGCTGATTCCGGCATGAACCGCATCGTCATCTGAGCCCCGACAAGGCTTTTGGTCCCGACCCAGTTGCTCGGTTCCGGCCCACATGCTTCGTTGGTACAGAGTCCGACGTCTCACACTTCAAGTTAGCTCATTCCCAGTACCAGGGAACCGGAGAATCCCACGAACCACTTGGCAGCGTGCTATCCTCACCTCGAACATCAGGATATGATAACTCGGTGGTAATTGATAGCTTTGAAAAGTAGTTCGAAGAGTAAGATTGTATGAACAGCAGGCGACAGGGTCAACATGAGGTCACTAAGGTAAAACCGCGCAAAGTAGCTAATCTGTGCCTTTCGTGGGACACGCTCATCAATCTGAGGTAGGACAGGTCAACGTACTATGCCCCAACAAGCTTTCTCGTCAAACCCCATCGCTTCCACCCCTTGCTACTCTTCATTATACCACGTGCTTACCTGCGCCGGAGAGTGGCGGGTAGGGCTGGCTCGACTGGATGGGACGATTAACGTACCAATTAGGCATTGCTCACATATTCCCGCTCCCACCACCAACTTCGACCCTAAGGTGTAGTCACACTCCCACCTCGGGTAGCTGGCGTCGTGGCAGTAGGCGGGGCTCTGCGCGTCGCAGCCCGTCTCGGAGCACGGCAGGTACCGGTTGCCACGGTCCAGTTTGCATTTGTCGTCGCACCGTGACACGGGCGAGGGGTTGCCGGCGCTCGGGTCCTGGGGTTCATGTCTGGCGGGATGCCGGCTGGTTCCGGGCTGCAGTCGAAGCCTGTGGAGAGTGAGCCGCCGCCAACGGTTTTCGTCCGCGCCGCAGGTCGGTGATGGCGTTGGGCCCGACTTGTATTAGTCGATGGATTCGTCCGAGTTGGGTTGCAGGGGCAGCTGCCTCTGCCATCGCTTTGCCGTTTGTGCTTGTTGCTGCTGGGCGGGGGTTGGCAGACGCGTTGTTACAGTCCACGGGCTCGCCGCGGTTGTCGAATGAAGTGCTGACGTCGTCGGAGACGCCCGGGCAGGCATTCTCAGTGTCCCAACTTGAGAACCTCTGCTGTGGTGTGCCTGGCCGCCAAGACTCTCTTCAATCTCGGAGGACCACCTGCATCATGATCGTTACCTATGCAAGTATCACCACGACAATCCTATGTTGATATCCAAGGTGTGCAAAGAGCCCTGCGCATTATTCATCAGCCGCCATTGCCCATACGCAGCATCTGGCGAGTCACTCTGGCTCACTCGTAAGTCTTGAAGTTGAGGTCAGTTAGGCAGACTTTGTGGCTGAGCAATTGCTCGGGCAGTTTTCCCGAGAGTCTTGCGTGTCTGCCCTGGTTTCCTTTCCACACCTCAACATCCAGCATTCTCCTGTCCTGCAGGCCACCTTTTCTCATCCGACTCCTCAAACACAAACATAAACACCAAAAGAACACGACGCTCGGCACCGTTGACAATGGATTTAACGCACATTCCCCCTGCAGCTCTTGGTCCGCCGGGGACCTTCGCACAAAGCCAATCAACTCAAAATAATGGGTTGTGCGACCGCTGTGCGCAAATCGACTTCCGGGAGATCTTTGCGGCCCAAGACATGCGCCCGTCAAGCTGGAAGATTGTCTTGGATCTTGGGGAAGTCGACCCGTGCAGCCCCTGCCCAATGTGCCGCCTGTTCCACGACAAAGGGCGCTCGGATCCGATGTGTCGCCGTACTATTGGTCGGCTTTGGGTCATCCTCTGCCCTGCCTTTGGGTTTGATGAGAACCTTTTTGGAGGCGCTCGAAGCAGACGATCTGCGTTTGGAATCACCATCTTGTGGACCAGCTCTCGGGAAGACGCTTCGAAAAGCAGGAATCGGATCACGCGCGAGAGGGTGGCCAGGCTCCCATGCGACGTAATCTTCCCTAATGGCTCTTCTACAACATTCGGGGTTCCGCCGGGTACGGTAGAATGCACGGCTATCAACCAGACGGAGGTGGACTATGGCCGGATCCAGGACTGGCTCCAGCGATGCGATACCAGACACACCGGGACGTGTTGCCGTCTGCCGCGTGGCGGGCCGACTGAGATCTCCTGCATCGACTGCTATACCAGAGCGGTTATGCTGGTAGGCGCCGACGACGAGTACCTTGCCCTCAGCTATGTCTGGGGCCACTCCAAGGGGTTGGCGGCACTACGACCGGGGAAAATGTTACCCGACGATGAAGACCTATCCCAGGTCGTGCGAGATGCCATTATCGTGGTCCGGAGGCTCGGAAAGCGCTACCTCTGGGTGGACAAATACTGCATCGACCAGACTGACGAGGACATGAAACGCCACCAGATTCGCCATATGGACCGAGTTTATGAAGGCGCATACGCAACCATCGTGGCGGGCGCTGGGCCAGACGCCAACTTTGGACTTCCCGGCGTGTCAAGCCGACCGCGGACCGCGCAGACTGTTGTCCAAACACCGGCAATGACCGTTGTTGGGGCACCCCGTCCCCTGGGACGTGACCTAGCATGGGGTGACTGGATCAAGCGAGGATGGACCTACCAGGAGGCCGTCTTGTCTCGACGATTGATCATCTTCACAGAGCTCCAGGCCCATTTCGTTTGCTCAGCCATGACGTGCTCTGAAACAGTCTTGGCTGCGGTGGACGACATGCACGCTGGGCAGGGCGAACGACCCATCACCCTGCTAAACAGTGACTTGTTCCACGGCCAAGCGAACCGGAAAGTCCCTCGAAAACCGCCTGGCGAGCTGACTCTCTTCCACCAACTACTGGACCATATTACTGTGTTTTCCGGGAGAAGCTTGACGTTTCAGAGCGATGCTCTGAATGCGTTTCGTGGCATTCTTTCACGGTGGCCGTTCTACAGCTACTATGGCATTCCCTTTGCCGTCGACCAGCCGGCCGATGTATCCCAGCCCTTGCACTCTGCGCAGCACCAGCTGGGATTCCTCCGTGCTTTATTTTGGAGTCGTCCGGTGTGGACTCGCCAAAGGAAGCCGCCTGGGTTTCCGAGCTGGTCGTGGGCGAGCTCCTCGGATGGGGTGGCATTTCACTCCCTAAAGGGCGACGTCCACCTGCCAATGGCGAAAATCGACGTCGAGGACATTATTCGAAACATTGCGGATGATGCTCCCGCCGAACGCATCTTAGCGGAGCTCTCCCCCGAACTTCACCTTGAGACCCTCATCGTCCAACTACGTTTCCAAGCGCATTCCGTTTTGGGGAGCGACGCTTTTTTATGCCGTTGCCACCCATCTGCACTACATGGGACAGGCGTCGTGAGAGAGGAGCTTGGACCTGATGGCTTCATGCAGTCCTGTTGGGTAGTTCCGCTGTTTGATGATAAATTGCCTTGGGGCGAGTATAGGAAAGGTCACGTTCAAAAGGTGTGGGATTGTGCGCTCCTCTTTACTGGGCTGGATGATATAAAGACCAGCCTTCGGAATCGGAGCTTCCTCATCCTCGAATGGAGGGAAGGGATAGCTTACCGTGTTGGCACAATTGCGATCCGAGACGACGAGCGGACGCAGTTTGACACTGTTATACAGGATATCCCACACGAAACAAGGCGGATAACTTTAAGGTAGATGTCACATGGAATGGCAGCAATACTCTACAGATCTTTCAGGAAGACAATTATGAGGTGGCTTTTTTTGTATGTAAGTACATCCATGCTACAGCACTGGGGCCGACGATGGAAGTTGCAGTTCTTGTGTGCGTTCGCGTGGGCTAACCAGCCCGGAAATATTGAATTAGGCCTTAATTCGTAACTAAGCCTTACATGGCTCTCGTCTCAAACCCGCGCCACATGACGCATGTTTTTGAAGACTACCTACCTAACAATGGAGGTTAGAAATTTTCCAACCTTTCCACTTGACATACTGGAGATGTAGGCGGGAGGGGTGTCCATGGTCACTAAGCACGATTTATAATTTATTGATCCTGCAACAGTCTCTGGCCCCCATGAAATCTCGAGGTTCGGCTTGGATCGGGTGAGAGTCGAACTCCGATCGTGGTTGTCGCCCCCAAGCGGAGTAGGTCACCGTAGGTGTTGCGAGGAAAATATCCATTTCAAATTATGGATATTCGCCGATACTGGCAGCCGATAGTAGGTAGATAAGTTAACTTGGGGAGAATATAAGGAACCTGCATCAAAGATTTATTGTAGACTGGTTAGCACAGGTAACTGGGCAGGAACGGACGTCGTCTGCATAACTCTTCGCTTGCCTGCCGGAAATCGGGCCGGGTATGGCACCCACTGCTGATAAGATAAGAACCGAGCCCCTGTTCACACCAGCAGTGGTGTGCCTGTGCCTACGCTGCCTGGACGTCATTTGTTTGAACGACTGGTTGGTATTCTTTGACTCTTTGTCGCTGAGACGCGTTGGCGTCGCTGGGATCGTGTCACTTCTGCCTGTCGACGCGCCCGATTCATTCGGGCGTTTTGGTCGATTCCAAACATTTCCTCTTCGGTTGCCCGGCCATCCAATCCATCCATCCAATTCAGGCAAGACGTCATCTTTCTCCGAGTCTGTTGTCGAAACGACGACGGCAAATACGAGAATCGCCGCCAGTCTGCTGTTGTACCCTTCAGTCACGTATACATCGTCGGAATCATGAGCCAGTCACTGGTAGACTACCTCGTCGAAAACGAGCCTGCCTTTAGAAAGTATGCTTTGCTTTTTCCTCGTAGTGGAACTCAACCTAACTCACGTACCCTTCTCGCCTTAGAGCGCGGCTTCCTGCCCTCTACTCCGACTTCCAGACCCAGCGAACACTCAACCCAGATGGCTACCAAGCAAATGTCTCGGCATGGCGGAGCGCTCTCGGCCACATCGTGGGTTCCGGCCTGGCACCCGCCGGTCGCGCCGCCGCACCCAGCCTGTTCGTCCTTCAATCGGATGAGCAGCTTCTCCGCGCGCTCGAGTCAAAGCAGTACGGCAGGCCGCTTGCGCTCGGCGCCGTAGTCCGCGAAGCAATCGCAGCCAAGGACCTCATCCCACTGCGCGAGTTCCTCGACGCCAAGGAGAGCATATACCGCCGGCCGTGGTCCATGTGGAACCTCGCCTCCTGGACGATGAAGCAGCTCGGCGTAGCCGACATGTTGAAGAACGACTCCCTCCCGCCAGGGCAGTTCGTGGTGGTCTCCAACGTGGAAGAAGCAGGCAAGACATTCAGCGCCCAAAACGGCCCCGTCGCCGCCACGCAAACCCGCTTCGAGCGCACCTTCTCCAAAGCCCACTTCTACCAAACCTTCAACAACCAGCTCCTCGACGGCAAGCACCTCTCCGAAACAGACATGGACGTCCTCCTCCTCTTCCTCTCCCGCGACAAATCCGCCATCCTCTACGACGGCACCACCGTCAAGATCCGCCCGCCCGGCGCCGCCCACCAAGAACCCGCCGAGATCACCCCGGAAGACACTTCCATCGCGCAGCTCAAAGAACTGCTCACCTCCCTGACGCACCAAACCGCCCTGCTCAGCGCGCGCATCGACCTCCTCACCGCGCAAGCCAAACAGGCCATCGGCAAGTCCAACCGCGTGGCCGCCCTCGCCGCGCTGCGCTCCAAGAAACTCGCCGAGTCGACCCTCGAGCGCCGCCTCGCCACGGCGGGCCAGCTGGAGGAGGTCGCCGCGCGCATCGAGCAGGCCGCCGACAACGTGCAGCTCGTGCAGGTGATGGAGGCCTCCGGCGCCGCGCTGGAGGGCCTGCACGCGCAGGTCGGTGGGACGGAGAGGGTGGAGGAGGTCGTGGGCCGGCTGCGCGAGCAGATGGCGGCGGCGGACGAGGTGGGGAGTATCCTGGCGGAGTCGGCGGGCACGGTGGTGGTGGATGAGGAGGAGATTGATGACGAGCTGGCGGAGTTGGAGGGCGAGGAGAGGAGGAAGGCGGACGAGGTGGAGAGGGTTGCGCGGGAGGAGAGGGAGAGGCAAGAGGCGGAGGAGATGCGGCAGCGGTTGGAGGCTGTTGGGAAGGTGCCCGAGGGGGAACCCACGGCGGCAGAGAAGGCGGCAGAGAAGGATATGCAGGCGGCGGAGGACTTGATGAGTAGGATGTCCCTGAAGGAGGTTCTGGATTCGTGATGGAGACCCCCTCCCTGTGTGTTTGGTCGCGGGCAAATGATATAGAGGCTAATTCTAATTTTCTTGAGTAGTGCATGGATGAGCAACATGGCTGAGCAGCCAGTCCCGTTGACGCCGCTCCCAGGAAAGAAAGGACAGGAGCGGTATTTCACACATGTTTCTACTACGGCCACGGAGTTTGGGACAGCATCTGGATAACGCATTTTCACGGTTCGGATAGGGCAATGGCCGGGCAAAGAGGGTTAACGAGCAATGATGTCAAACATTTCAATCCTTGATTCGAAGCCCATCTGCTCATGAAGGCGCCCCTTCAGGCCCCCGAGACGGGCTACACGTGGGTGCGCGGTCGGTTAAGGGATATAACACCTCCTTCCCAAGAACCGACCCCTGAACTCTTGACAAGCCAACACCGCTACTTGCCGAAGGGCTTCTCAGCCCCTTTAACGGCGAATCTGGCGGCTCGGGTTGGCTTGATGGCGGCCTGTGAGATCCACCACAACCCCTTTCGATAAGTCTGGCACTATCACCGTGCCATTTATCCCCCTCCCGTCATCCGGCGTTGGTTCGAGTTCTCCAGTTTTGCCTGCCTCGTCCTCCTTTTGGACGGCTTTATTTTTTGATCCCCGGGCTTTCGCGATCAAGTCCTTGAAAGAAGTATCATGCTTCGTCGCCCACGCAGCCCCGTCAAAATCCTTGTCCTTGATCTGCGCTCCCATGTTTGCCGCCCTCGACATGGTCGGCGCCCGGCTGCCCATTGTCCTCTCCCATACTTCTAGGTCGTGCATGAGCTCGGAGCGCCGTTTGGGTTTCGCCGAGTCACAGTTTGCGTTCCATAGTGTTATCCATTCCTGGTGTCTTTTCTCTAGCATTTGTCGCGATCCGGCTGTCGACAGCCCGAGTTCGCCCATCTTCTTGCGCAGTGCGGTGTCTTTGAGCATGGAATATGCCAGTGCTGGGAGCCGATCAGGCGCCTTCGTGGGCGTTGGAGGATTCTGGAAAAGACTTCGAGCCGAGCCAAAGCCACTACCTCCGCGGTTGTTTGTGGTAGATGACGACGGGAGGGTTTGTGGTTGAGGGGAGCCCGAGCATGATTTATCGATGTGCCTGTCAACCTGCCAAGGCTTCATCCGCGTCCAGCAAATCGGGCATGCCACGAGGCCATCCTCTGAGGAATTCAGGTTAGTTTGGATGTTCACCCTAGATCAACAACGGTCACCATACCTGGCTCAGGCTCGTAGTCTGGCGTGTCCTCGCTCTCGAGTACATCCACCTCCTCGCGCATGACCGCTGCGTTCGCCTCCACCGCTTTTGCCTTGCTTGACCTCGTCGTCATCCTGGGCCTCTTGTTTTGCGCATCCTGCACGGGCTCCTCCAACTCTCCCGCTTTCCTCTTTGGGGATCTTGGTGTGGAAACAGTGACCGGGGTTGTGGCGAACCGCAGTATCGCATCGCGAGACTTGACAAAGGCGTCGACGGCTTCCCGCAAGGCCCAGTTCCCCCTCAGCTTGGATTCCTGGTCGAGTGCCCGGCAGAGTGGGCATTTGCCGTCGACCGACAGACACCGCCGGATGCATATCGAGCAAAATGTGTGGCTGCAGGAGGTGATCATGGGCGAGTTGTAAAAATCTTTGCATACGTGGCAGCGGAATGCCTGCTCGACTTGCATGAGGCCGGCAAGCGGTGTCCCAATCCAGTCGGTTGAGTCGGGCACGTCAAAGGACTCCATTTCGAACAGGAGGAGGGGATGGGTATAGAAGGGCGAAATAGAAAAAGGCAGAAGTTTGCTCAGGGCATGGCGGCGCTTCCAGGCGTACGAAAATGATATTTTCAAATTGCGGGAGAATGAATTGAAACGGGCAGTTACTGCAAAAAGTGTACCAAGCAAGACAGGATTGGAAACGACGCGACTCGACTTGCACTTGCAAACGCGACACCGCCCATCGAGAAAGAAAGAGTACAGTGAGAAGTCGATCGAAACACTGTCTCCGGGGTTCTCAGGCACCCAGACACCCAGGCCATGGCAATTTCACTGTGCGGGGCTCACAAAACGATGGAATGCACGTGAACTGGCGTTCAAAGCGCTGTTGAGGCTCGCAGGGGATCAGCTTCGACCCCACCCGGGAGCTCCAGCCCAGACCATTCCGTTTCGGGAGACAATCAAAACAAAGCCTAACCGAATCCAAACGGCCCGCTCGTCACAACCCACAACTCGACTTCCCTTCACAAACAGGGCAGCCTGCGGTTTCCTCCGAGTATCAAGCTTTTGACCAAGTTCAATTCCCCTTCTCCCAATGGCATACTAACCCAGTAGCACACTTCCCCCAATTCTTACCCTTCTTTTTCTCCATTGCCGTCCCTCGTTCCGACATTGTTTACTTTCTTTCTACCTGCCCGCGACAAACAATTTCCTGCGACAATGGCGATGCGAGGAGGACCGCGTCTCCAGGTTGGCTCGGCCGCCTGGGTTGCGGAAGAGAGGGACTCAGCTTTGAGTATCGCGCAGTCGGAGATCGAGGAGTTCTCATTCTCAGCGCGCAATGAGATTGACTGGCTCAACGAGCACATGGCCGAGATATTTTCCGAGAACCAAATGTGCGTGTGGCCGTCTCGGAACCCTGGGCGCGTAACTGACCTAGGGACATAGGAACGTCGCCGAACTCTTTAAGACACCCGGGAAGCTTCGCGGGAAGACACCGCGCACAGCAAGGAAAGCGCCGCCCAGTAGCCTGCGAATGGTACGCCCTCAGACCGACATCGACGAGACGCGTCACAAACTGATGAATTCCGTGCAGCCGCTCTCCAACATGTTCTCCGCGACGCCCAGCGGGGCGCCGAACCCCTTCACAATGCAGAATCTTTCCGCGCCCCGAAGCCCTAGGATCAGAGTGGCTGAGGATAGGCCCGAGTCCCCAGTATCTCGTCCCGAGAGCCCGGCAAAACCAGCTGTGATGCACCCTCCACACCAGGTGGAGCCCAAGGCTCCCATTTCTCTCGGCGACTCGGGCTACCATGGCAGCCAATCCCAGGATACCATGCCCTTTGATCACTTTGACAAGGACATCGAGATGTCGGACAGTCCTCAGCGAGATCTCCGGACTTCCGACTCTGTCTTCCCGCTTACCAGCGAGCCGGCGGAACAGGGAAGCCCGTCAGCGGCCCCTGCTAGCGAACCATTTCAACCAGCAGACAACGACCATGCGATGGAAGAGACCGCCGGCGTGGCAAGGAATGTCGCCCCAACCCCTTCATCAGCCATCCTTCAACCAAGCAGCCCATTTGCCAGCCGGACGCGGTTGCCCGTCATGTCGCCGAGGTCCCCCTCGCCCCAGAAGATGTCATCTCCGCCCAGACAAACCGCGCAGAAACTATCTTCACCTCAGAAGCCACCTTCACCTCAAAAGTCATCTTCGCCGCAGAGAAGAGGTGCCAACTCGCAAAAAGGATTTCCCAATGCTGTCGATGACATCGTGGACAAACACGTTGATGACGGAGATGATGAGGATGATGAGGTCGGGTCACCATCCGAGGCGTCGAGCCCGGTTAGACCTGTTGTGCGCAAGAGCAGTCTGAACTTCGCCTCCTTGCCGGCCCGTGAACCGTTGACTTCCAAGAAGAGTCTCGGCGGAGCCCGCATATCTAGGACAAGTCACCTTGACTTTAATCGGCAAAGCTACTACAACCGCCAGACGGGGGACAAGAGCCTGGGCAACGGCATGCGGCAGGGGAGTTCGGAAAGCGACCACGACGAAATGGACGTTGATGACGACATCACAACCCAAAACGACGATGCGGCAGCTTACAGCAAGACGTATACGCAACGCCTGCAAGACCAGATCAGCATGCTCGGGAAGGGCCAGTCAATGGGCCCCAGGCCTTCGAAATCCTTAGCAAACTTGTTCCCCTCGCAACAGAGCGCGCCAACCTCACAAACGCAGTCCCAGGTCGAGCCTGCTTCGGAGGCCAGAAAGCCATCCCCAGAACTGAAAAACTCGGTTTCAACTCCTGGGGCGTTCCCTGGGGACGACGAGGACGATTGGATTGCCTCCCCTAGGACCGCGGCAGCACCCACCAACCCCAAGCCTGCGCCCGCCAGCGCAAATGTTCAGGAAGAAGAACAGTTTGGCAGAGGAAACGAAGCAAGCCCCGAACTCGGGTTCTCGAAGGGCAAGCCGGATACGCCAAGCAAAAGCCCTTACATGTCCGAACGGACACCAAAGCACGCCAAGTCCGCTTCTGTTCCAGTGCTTCCCACCATGGATCAACTTGACTCGGAAATGGAGGGCAGTCCCCTGAAAAAGACTACTTCGGTCTCGAACCTGGCGCTTGCCAGTGTAGCGGAGGATGATTTTGCCTCATCGCCCCCGAAATCACCCACGAGAGCATTCAACAGCCCGCTGAAGCAGGTTAAGAACAAGCTGTCGTCGCTCTTGAAGAGCTCCAAGGGCTTGATCGTAAGCAGCGCGGCAATCAGTGCCGAGGGCAAATCATCATTGCTACAGTCCCCTTCGACAACAAGGCTCGGGTACCACCAGGAAGCCTCCGTCGAGTCCTTCAAGACCGCGGATAACGTCGTGTACCCCGATTTGTCTCAACAAGTGTCCGCCACTTCTGCACCCCTTAGTCCAGTACGAAGCAACAGCTCGCGGAGAACCCGGGCCTCGGCCGAGAGGGAGAGGGCAGAGGCCAAGGAACGAGAGAAGGAGGAGCGGGAACGGGAGAGGGAGAAGGAGAAGGAAGTCAAGGAAGCAAAGCGGATGGCCGAGCAAATGGATAAGCTTGAAAAGGCCCGGGAAAAGGAAAGGGAGAAGGCCCGGGTCTTCAGCAAGGAGCAAGAGAAGATCGCGGCCATGGAGAAACAGGTGACTTCTCAGAAGGAGCCGGCGAGACCAGCGCAAGCCCAGCCGCAACAACAAGACTTCCGGACGCCAGGACCGCCACCCAAGAATGCTCCCCGAAGTCCGACAAAAGCGCCGAGGCCTACTCCACTGAAAACAAAGGGGCTTTCGGAACAGGAGGCGAGGCACAGAGCGGCTCCTTCGGATGAGCCGGACACGGAGATGACAGATGCCACCACCACCACCATACCACCGCCGTCTATCCCCCGCCCGACCACAGCCTCGTCCATCAGGACTCAAAAACGGCCTATGAAGCCGACGAAAGAGGCGCTCGCCAAGGCCAAACAAGGGCCTACCTTGATCCGGGTCAACCCTCTCAGCTCCCAGCAAAATCAATTCCACCCTTCAAACAGTGTCCTCGCTGCGAACCTCCAAGACACTCTGGGTCAACAGCCCGGTTCTGCGAGGCCGCTCAACGGCAAAGCGAGCCAGGCCTCGCTTCACGGCAAAGGGTCGGTGCACAGTCTCAAGAGCTCCATTTCTTCCACGGGCCGTCCCAAGGCGTTGGAAATGGCGGCTAAGCGGAAAGAGCAAGAGGAGCGCGAGGCTCAGCGCAAGCGCGATACTAAACAGAAGCTGGAGCGCAAGAGGGCTGCCCAGGAGGAGGAGCGCAGGCAGGAACATCAGCGAAGGGCCGAAGCAGAGCGGCAGAAAGAGGAGGAGAGGGAGGCCGCTCAGAAGAGGGCTGCTATCGAGAGAGCCAAGCTAACCAAGGCACCTCCTCCGGCTGCTAGGTCGCAGCCGAACGGTCCTCCGGAATACAGCATGGCCGAGAAGGGCACCCTCAGGCCCCCCTCGCGACTAGGTTCTACAATGCATCAGGAAGGCCGGCTTGTGAACACTGTTTTGTCGAGCACAGCCAAGGGCCCCTCGAAGCGGCCGCTGCAGGATGCTGGCGAGGAGAGCTCTAGGTCTCAACAACAGCTGCCTGTGCCATCGTATCAGTCCAAGGAGGCGAAGCGGATGCGCATGAGCGAGGAGTTTGACGAGGACCTCGACATGATGGACAGTCACAACCCACGGATCATCAAGGGCCCGCCAGTGAGGCCCTCGGGAGGGTTCAAGAAGGTAAGCGCACCTCGACCTCAAACCACCCAACAACGGGGTGCTAACTGTATCCCTCAGGATCTGCAGCCCAAGTCCATGTACGGCAACGGCTACCCCCATGCGCCGCCGCCGAGTGCGACCAAGGACCTCTTCAAGGCCACCGTGACTGCGCAACACAACAGCCACTCCAAGACGACGCACCCGCTCGACATGGCGCAGGTCTCCAAGAGCGCCATCCCGTTCGCGCAGAACCCCAACTCCCACCACCACAAGACTCCCGGCCGGCCCGTCGGCGGCGCCATCCCGAAATCCGCCAAGTCGGTCGCCCGCTCGTCGCCCCGCGCACCAAACGGCGAGGCGATCGAGCTGCCGGACATCCAGACGGACGACGACAGCGACGAGGACGAGGCGCACGGCCCCATCGCCGACTGGGCCAACTCGCCGGCGCTGCACAAGGCGCTGATCCGGCAGGAGCAGATCGACCCGATGAAGGTGTTTGGCGCGCCCGGCCCGCTCAATATGGAGGAGGTGTTCAGCAGGAACAAGGACCGGTTCCACAAGTTCCGGGCGCGCACCAGCAGCGCCAACTGGAGCGGGACGGACCGGCTGACGGAGGAGGAGGTTAGGAAGGATGCGGCGGCGAGGGATAAGATGCGGAGGGAGGGGGGTTGGAGTTATGAGTTGGGGAGGGATTTGTCTTGAATGAAGAAGGGTTTTATTTTTATTTTTGATTGAGGGTGGGGGTTTATGTTCTTTTTCTTGAGAAGCTTGGTTGTGTTTTCTGTTTAGCTGTGGTTATGAGGGGGTTGTTGAGCTTTTCTGTACTTGACTTTGGGTGTGTTGGAGTACTATGCTTGGTTTGGAGTGGGGTCAGTCATTGCGAGGCGATAGACTTGGGTGGTTTATGCTGGGCGTTTATTGCGGGATTTGCGATTGGGGAGGAGACTGTTAGCATTTTCAGCTGGTGGATGGATGGATGGATGGGCAGGTTCATTGCGAATTGACAGGTTCCGGATTGATTCATTCATTCTACTTGATGGTTGCCCGAAAGTGCTGAGTGAGCGAGATTGAAAGATGGAAAGTTCTGGGGTGCCATCGGCAGAGTCCGAACTTTCTCACTGGGTTCCGAGTGGCTTGACGGGACTGCCGTTGGCCGAGGTGGTTCGAGTGCATGCGCATCTCTTGGTATGCACGGTATGGTGATGCATCCCAGGTTGTGCACTTGTGCGCCCCTCCCGACGCGACCCGAAGAGGGATTCGTAAGGATGACTGACTCCTCCGGGGGTTGTCACTTGGCCCTTCACCGCCTCGGCAAAAATGAGTCCAGTGACTTGGAAGTTGGTTGAAATTCCGTGGGGGTTAGAGCTTGAGGAAGACGAGGGAAACGTGATCCGTCATCAACTCTTTTAACTTGCGGACTTGCATGTGCAGGTTGCAGCAGGTGACGGGGTTTGAGGGAGTGTGCCAGGCAGTTAAGCCCACCGTACGTCATATTCTCGGGCTGTCCAGTGAAGGGTCATGGTGGGGCCACTAGTTAGTTGACGATTAACACTCGAGTTGCCCATGACAGCTGAGCTGGACCCCACAATTGTTTGTTCGCTTTTGGCGTTCTCTCTTTTCCACAACTTTCACTTTCAGTCGACGGATTCTCGACATCGAAATCGGTGAGTTGACCGGTTCTGCTTGGTTTGACTCTTGTTGGTAAGTTCAGCCCCCCATTCACTTGACTCAATTTAGACGCCCTTCGCCTTGCAGGTGCCTTCTGCCTGTTGCATGTTCCTGGCTGTGCCTCCCTGCTGGCGGCCGAGAGTCGCCCTGTGTTGACTGGGTCCCGCCGCAAATGCAAGCAAATGCTGTGCCGGAACTGCCCTGCAGAACAAACAACCCGCATGTTCTCGGTCCGTGCAACCTTTACTAACATCATCACCAACACACATAGCCCTTGGCCGGCCCGTTTGCAATTTTCTGCCTTTCCTCCCTCCTCCGAAAGACTGGTCGCTTGATTCGATACGCCTTTCCCACGAGACCAACTCGGGTACTTTATTACTCGATCTTTCCGCCGGTTGGTCTGCCCCGCAATCCTCCTCTTGTCCTAACGAAGGTCCGGTGCGCTGACCTATTTGTGCCCGACCCAGCCCTTTGGCGACGACGACGACGACGACGACGACGACACGAGAAACCTTCAACCGACCAACATCCCCCTCTCTTTGGAGGTCGCCCGTACTTGTTCGCTTGGCTCCCAGCTCAGGTACTCCGCTCGCTCTGCTAGGATACTCAGTCGCGACCACCCACGAGGCGGACTGCACGCTTCCCTCCCTTCCCTCGTCCGATTTCTCTCTCCCTCTCTCGACCTCGCAAGACCGACCAGACGAACCCCAGCAACTGATGAAGCTATCCATCCTGTTGTCGCAACCACTCTTTTTTGGCTTCTCCATCTGTTCTGACCTCACCGCGGAGTCAAGATGGTCAAGCTAGACTACGACCGTGATTACTATGCAGACCTCGAGCTGTCGGCGACGGCGGACGCTCTTGAGGTCAAGAAACAATTTAAAAAACTAGGTGAGTTTAGCTCCACCAACGTGACGCTTTGTGGCTAACGTCCGTATCAGCACTCAAATTCCACCCTGACCGTAACCCGGGCAAGGAGGACGAGGCAAAGGAAAAGTTCCTAGTCATCCAGACCGCCCACGAGATTCTAGCAGACCCCGCCACCAAATCCAAATTCGATGCCTACCGACAAAGGACGTCAAGGTACCACCCAGGTCCGTCTGGGGTCAGGGGAAACCCTTGGCAGTACACGGCGAACGAGGTTAACCAGAAGTATGGCGCTCCTCCGAGGCGGCCCAACATGCCGACGCGCCCGCCTGCGCCGACGGCAGCAGCGTCGGCAAAGCCCTGGGACTGGGTGAACAAAGCAAGATCCAAGGCGGATAATACGAGGCCGAATATGGAGGCGTGGGACCGCGCGAGGCCGCAGAGCAAACCGGCGCAGTCCGGCCCTACGACTGCTGCAGCCAGTGCGCGCCCGCCCAAGCCGCCTCCAAGGGAGCCAGCCACCCCACGGACCGCGTCGCAGGCCAGGCGCCAGGAGGCATCATTCGGGAGGAAACCGGGATATGCCCCGGGATCGCCCATGGGAGACGAGCCGCCGGTCAGGAACCAGCACTACAACACCAGCGCGAACGCTCCCCAAGCGAGCAAACCCCGGCCAGCATCTGCATACGTCGATCCGTTGAGTTCTCAGTTCGGCGACACATTCCTCGACAAACGCCAGCGCACGCCGTACGCCGCTAATGTCGGCGAGAAGACCAACCCATTCGAACCGCTCAATGTTAACCGCGCCAAGAGCATGAGAGATGGGGCAAGGAGGTTCCAGGACAGTGCCGAGGACACACCCCCGCCCCCGCCTCCTCGGCAACGGAGCGCGAGCACAGGCTCAGAAAACCTCAAGAGGACGGCGAACGAGAACCCAAGTCCCAGCGAGCCGAGCGCAAATCCTGGGTTCCAATATCAGTCTCGCGCAAGCGCCAGGTACAGCCCTCGGGGCCCGGACATGAGCTCGGCTCCCCCCACCGCCACCTTCCCAGGTCCCAATAGCTCTACCTCGTCTGTCAACAGCAGCGCGAACGGTAAGTCTCGCCGCGACTACCTGTAAATTTGAGATTTGCTAACCGTCCACTAGCAACGGTAAACGGTTATTCCTCTGACCAAACAAGGAATGGCAGCAAAGTGTATGAGTCTCCTTTTTCTATCAACCCTCGCAATCTCTACACGATTCACTCCGCCGGGTCAAGCCCCCAAACACCGCACTCGAGTGGCCGTGCTGGTGTGGGTTCGGCTCCCCTGAACAAGTTCGACTTTCCAGCTTACAAGTCTGGAAACAATGTCCGTCCGACTCCCAGTGGAGAGAGACCAAGTCCCGGCGCCAATGCCTTCGAAAGGACATTGCAAGCGCAGCTACAGCATCTTCTGCGCACAGCAGGGCCGCCGACACAGACTACGATGCCACCAAACAGGAATAAGTCCCAGACCAATCGGTATACTAACGGCGTCTACCCCAATAGCTTCTCGGTCCCCGCCGACGATCAGAACGCGGCGGCCCACCAGACCCGCTTCAACCGAAACAGTGCCGATAATATCAACACGCGGTTTGTAGCGGAGGAGAAGGGGGGTTCTAACTTCCAGTTTAGCGCGGGCGCGGCAGGGTCGGCAGACGATGGCTTTATCCGGGCGAAACAGCGCGCTCGAGCCGGGCAACAGTCTCCGTTGAGGAACGAGTTCACTGCGTCGGCGGAAGCGGTTAATGGTGCCCAACAGGCTGAAGCCGCGAAGAAGCAGGGCGACTTTGTCCCCGAGGAGTGGAAGGAGGCGTTCGGTCCTCATGTCTTTGTGCCTCCGCAACCCGGCAAGCCGTCGACTTCACCTACGCGACACGTACGACCGATTAAGAAACCGCGGCCGGTCCGGATGACTGCGGGTACAGCAGGGATGGTGGACGAGGAGGAGACTAGTGGGGAGGACAAGAGCAAAGCGACCGGCACACCATCCTCCGGGATTAACGGCACCAAGAGCCCGAATGCCATGGACATCGACACCCCGCCTCCCGAGCCCGCAGATGGGCAAGCCAACGTCCCCCGAGGCATAAGCGTCGAGCCCACAAAACCCGAGTGGCGGCCGGGCAACGGCACCACCACCGAGTCCAAACCCGGCACAGGGCTCAAAGCGCCCAAACTCACCCCCACCTCGGCCGGCTCCGAAGACGCCGAAGACTTCGGCCGCCCCGTGTTCCCCGAGTTCCGGAACGTCGAGCCCTTCGCTCCGCCGAAGCCCTCCGGCCTAGGCTCGTTCGCCGACCTCGGCAGCAACCTCCCGTTCCCAAGCCGGCCCTCGGCCAAAGTCCCGCTCGCCAACCAACCCCTCCACCCGCACCAAACAACCGAGAAGCCGGCAGCCAAACAGCTCGACATCCCCACCCCACCCTCGGCACCCCGCGCGCCGCAGAGCCTCTGCATACCGGGGGCCAAGGTCGGGGCGCCGGCGTGGCTGACGTACGTGCACGAGTTCGAGGCCTACATGGCGCTGTGGTTCGAGTTCAACCGGCGCGTGACGGACCACTTCGCCGCGCGCCAGCGCCAGAACGAGGGCAACGGCCTCGCCTGGCTGAATACCGTCGGCGACGGCGGCGTCGCCGAGTACCTCCGGGCCGTCGAGGTGGATAAGTACGTCCGGCAGAAGTGGATGGCGGCGTGCGAGGCGCATGAGCTGCACTTTAGGGAGTTTTTGGGGGTGAGGGAGAGGGTGTTGGCGGGGAATTAAGGTCGTTGCTGCTGAGTGGTTGTGGGAGGTGGAGGTACCCGGTTGGGGTTGGGTTGGGTACTTGGTTGGGGTTGGGTTGGGTGATGTGTTTGGCGGGAGGGAGGGAGAGAGGGGTGTTGACCGCGGAGTGGTGTTGATGATGGTCATGTTTTTATGTATTCGTATGCATGGTTTGCGTTTTCGTTGCCTTTCCTTTCTTTCTCCTTTTTTGGCCCTCCCTGTTTGTTGGCTCCGGTTTCCCCCTGGGCATGGCATGGCATCGTTAGGTATGTGCGTTGCGGGGCTTGGTGTACTGATGTTATGTATCTGATACCCGAAGATAATTGAGGTTGGGAGGCATCTCTGGCGTTTTTTTCCTGGGCGCGGCGACATAACCGCCTAGACATTGTAGGCTGGCGAGCCAAATCTCTTCTTTCTCTCTACGGGGGTGGGGGACAGGCCTTGTTGGATGGCGAGGCTTGGGGTATTTCCTTCCTCTCTACGAAGTACCTAGATCCTATCTCTTGTTTCCCCTCACTCACCTAGAGGCTTTGAATATGGAAGCATGGGTAACTCAGGGCATCTCTGTAGTGTAGTGCATGTAAATGTGATGCATGACCCCTGGCTATTTGTTTACGGTTCCGGTTGCCTATGACGCAGTTCTGGCAGCCATCAAGGTATGGCTATCAAGGTGCTAATGGCCATCGCGCCTCAATCACGAAACAAAGCGACCGCCCGTATGGATTTTGCTGTGCCTTAGCCGATTTGGCAGCTGACGTGAGTTTTCAGGGCTCAGTTGATTGTGAGAACGCGGTTGCCGAGTTTGGCTGATTTGTTTAGTAAGGTAATTCATCAATCGGGGTGTCATGTATGAACCCAACGAGGCGACTGGGATCTGAATTTGAGACGCTCATATCACGAGAAACAACTTAGAATGCCCGGGTTTAAAGTCATACAATGGCTTGCCGAGTCAGTCTATCTAGAGCGAGGCTTGTCAACAAAAGAAGAGAGCGTCTCCTGACGTGCATCTGAACTTATCAGATCCTACTATAACATATCTCTGTATCGCGATACCAACCCCTGTCGATGCGGTTCCCGCCTGCACCCCGCCAATCGGGTGGCCGACCCGCCTGCTGACTCTTGAGGCGCAAGCCGTGCCTGGCGAGGCAAGCACGAGATTTCGAGGACCTTTCTGGCACACCAGATCAGGTCTGATCGCAAAACCAACGCCTTTTCCCACCATCGCGCCTATAAATTTGTGCGGCGCTCTGGCATGCACCTGCGATCGTGAATGCGCCCAGCGCTATTTTCCTGCCGGAGATTGCGCATAACCCCAGGCAGCTCCCTCGCCGCAAACTTCACTAGAAAGAGTGCCAGATTTGGTACTTTCCCGTTCGCTGCAGCGCGATCCCCTGTGCCGCCGCTGTGCAACCGCACTAGCATCAGCTTTTCCAGCCCTTCTTCTCTCGCTGCCTCTTTCTATCCTACCTCATCCCCGCGCATCCAACTTGCCTCCTCGACTGCTTCCGCTCCATCTCCTGCGCCCGCTGTTCCCATCAGCGCCTCATCAGACTCGACCGGAACCATGAACGGCACAACAAATCCGGCCGCCCGCTCCAAGCGCAAGGAGCACCCGCATACCGTCGATGGCCGGTATCCCAAGCACCACCGCACGAATGGCGAGGTGGCCCCGGCTGCCGATAACACCCCCGACAACCAAGACGAGTTCGAGGGCGAGTTTGGGGGCGAGCTCGAAGAGTTCGAGGACGCGAGGTTGCCAGCCGTCCTCCCCACCGGTCCGGACACGGCCGAGTGGCAGGCTACGATTCAAAGAGTGGTCCGAAATGTGGTGTCCATCAGGTTCTGCCAGACCTGCTCTTTCGACACAGACCCGGCCTTGACAAGCGAGGCGACGGGTTTTGTCGTCGATGCCGAGAGAGGGTAGGTCGCGTGCCGTCGCATTTGTGCATCCTGCGCATGCAAGCTAATGGCAGTACAGATACATCCTGACGAACCGCCACGTTGTTGGCTCGGGTCCCTTCTGGGGTTACTGCATCTTCGACAACCACGAGGAGGTCGACGCATACCCGGTCTACCGCGACCCCGTCCACGACTTTGGTATTCTCAAGTTCGACCCCAAGGCGATTAAGTACATGCCCGTGGATGCGCTGCCGCTGCGGCCGGACCTCGCCAAGGTCGGTATCGAGATCCGCGTGGTCGGTAACGATGCCGGCGAGAAGCTCAGCATTCTTTCCGGTGTCATCAGCAGATTGGATCGCAACGCGCCGGAATATGGCGAGGGGTACAGCGACTTCAACACGTGCTACTACCAGGCCAGCGCAGCAGCCAGCGGTGGTAGTTCCGGTTCCCCGGTTGTGAACATGGATGGGTATGCTGTTGCGCTGCAGGCTGGCGGCAGAGCGGATGGTGCCGCAACCGACTACTTCCTGCCGCTCGACCGACCACTGCGGGCGCTGAAGTGCCTGCAAGAAGGGACCCCCATCACCCGTGGCGATATCCAGTGCCAGTTCGTGCTGAAGCCCTTCGACGAGTGCCGGAGGCTCGGCCTGACCCCGGAGTGGGAGGCCCAGATCCGCAAGGCGTTCCCCAAGGAAACCAACATGCTCGTTGCCGAGATTGTTCTTCCCGAAGGCCCGTCGCACAAAAACGCGGAGGAGGGCGACGTCCTGATCAAGGTGAACGGCGAGCTGCTCACCCAGTTCATCCGCCTAGACGACATCCTGGACTCGAGTGTTGGCGAGCCCGTCAACCTTCTGCTGCTCCGCGGCGGCGAGGAGGTCGAGGTGGAGATCAAGGTTGGTGACCTGCACGCCATCACCCCCGACCGCTTCGTCTCGGTGGCTGGCGGGAGCTTCCACAGCCTCTCGTATCAGCAGGCGCGTCTGTACGGCGTGGCCTGCAAGGGTGTCTATGTGTGCGAGGCTGGTGGGTCATTCCGGTTCGATAATGCCGAGAACGGATGGCTCATCCAGACGGTCGACCACAAGAAGACGCCCGACCTCGAGACGTTTATCGAAGTGATGAAGGCCATCCCTGACAAGTCTCGCGTGGTTGTCACATACAAGCACCTGCGCGACCTGCACACCCTCAACACGACCATCCTGCACATCGACCGGCATTGGTCCAAGAAGATGAAGCTGGCTGTCAGGAACGACGAGACCGGGCTGTGGGACTTCTCCAACCTCGCGGACCCCGTCCCGCCCGTTGCACCGATACCCAGGAAGGCGGACTTTATCCAGCTCGAGCACACGTCGCACCCCGCCGTGGCCGACCTGGTCCGCAGCTTCGTGCACGTTAGCTGCGTCATGCCTGTCAAGCTGGATGGCTTTCCCAAGAACCGCAAGTGGGGCATGGGCCTGGTCATCGACGCGGAGAAGGGCCTCGTGGTGATATCGAGGGCCATTGTCCCGTATGATCTTTGCGACATCACTGTGACAATCGCGGATTCCATCGTGGTCGAGGGCAAGCTCGTGTTCCTCCACCCCCTGCAAAACTATGCCATTATCCAGTACGACCCGAAGCTGGTCGACGCACCGGTCCTCAGCGCCAAGCTCAGCTCTGAGGAGATCACCCAAGGTGCCTCGACCTACTTCATCGGCTACAACCGGATCGGGCGCATTGTGCACGCGGCGACCACGGTCACCGAGATCTTTGCCGTGACCATACCGGCGAACTCGGGGGCGCCCAGGTACCGCGCCGTCAATGTGGACGCCATCACAGTCGACACGAGCCTTAGCGGGCAGTGCGGCAGCGGTGTCCTGGTTGCCCAGGACGGCACCGTCCAGGCGCTCTGGCTGACGTACCTCGGCGAGCGCAACCCGTCAACACACCGGGATGAGGAGTATCATCTCGGCCTCGCGACCCCGACGGTGCTGCCGGTTGTCGAGCAGATCCAGCGGGGCGTCGACCCCAAGCTCCGGATGCTCTCGGTCGAGTTCCGGGCCATCCAGATGTCGCAGGCGCGGTTGATGGGCGTGTCGGAGGAGTGGATCCAGAAGGTGTCGGTCGCCAACACGGCGCACCACCAGCTCTTCATGGTGACCAAGCGCACGTTCGAGCGCAACGAGCAGGAAGACGCGGCGGCGCTCCTCGAGGGCGACGTGGTGCTGTCGCTGAACGGCAAGATCATCACCAAGATCTCGGACCTCGACGTCATGTACTCGCACGACCAGCTCGACGCCGTCCTCGTGCGCAACTGCGAGGAGCTGAGCCTGAAGCTGGACACGGTGGCGGCCGACGACGTCGAGACGACGCGGGCCGTCTCCTTCTGCGGCGCCATCTTCCACGCGCCCCACCACGCCGTGCGCCAGCAGATCAGCAAGCTGTTCAGCGAGGTCTACGTCTCGGCCCGCACCCGCGGCTCCCCCTCGTACCAGTACGGCCTCGCGCCCACCAACTTCATCACCCACGTCAACGGCAAGCCCACGCATGATCTGGAGGCGTTCCTGGCCGAGGTTATCAAGATCCCGGATAATACCTGTAAGTTTTGTTCCCCGTTTTTCCGTCGTCTGACCGGTGACGCGGGTTTGGTGGTTAGTTGCTGACAAGCATGGTTACAATAGACTTCCGGCTCAGGGCCATGTCGTTCGACAGCGTGCCGTGGGTGGTCACGATGAAGAAGAACGACCACTACTTCCCGACCATGGAGCTGATCAAGGACCCCAAGGAGGAGTGCGGTTGGAGGCGCATCACCTACGAGGGCGGCAAGGTGATCCAGGGCGAGGGCCCCGACGGCGTGGTCGGGTCGGCCGGGGAGAACACAGATATGGATGTGGATGTGGACGCGGACGTGGACGTGTGCGGTTTAGTGTATTAATATTACTACGGCTCTCGGGAGTGTGTCAGCGCTGGCAAGCTGAATTAACTGACTCGGACGGACGGCTGGGACGACGAGGACGGGTATTGGCGTCCGAGGACGGTCACAAAAGACCAAATAAAGAAATCAATACCTGGTTGGCTGGTAATGGCTGGTAATGGCTGGTAATATTACCGTATTCGTGCGCAATTTCATGGCCTCGTCAATTGAAGCCCCATCGCCAATCAGAGGGTCGCAGCGACGCCGGCAGTGAAACACAGAGATGCCAAGCAGCCAGTCTCGATTCCGCACGTCACTCACACACACCTGGGAGACCCGTCGATGGCTTCTGCGGCCTGGGGCCAGCCGACCTTCCTGACCGCCTCTGCCACGAGACTCGCGCCTTGGCAGTTGGTTCTGGAGATTTCCAAGTTTGTTTCCTTGAGCATCTCGGGATTTCTCTCGCCACCTTGTTTTTTTTTTTTTTTTTTTTTTGCTTATCGACAGACCGTCTCCAAGTCCAAGTCGGCCCAACTAAATCCAGTGCCCTGTGCCCCTCGTCTGTTCCCACTCCATACAGCACCACACCCCCCTGCCACCATTACCGAGTCCCCGCTGTAATTTTTGGGAACCCCTCCGACTCGGCGCCCGCAAGGTTCCATCCAGATTCCAGGGTTCCTCCATCTCGAAGATCTCGAACTCTCCAAGGCCAGAGTTGACCAGACCAGCACCACACGAGACGGGGACCCAGAAAGCAATTGCCAATTGTTTAGGGAGCGGGTCCACGGGAACATCCAACAAAACAGACGGAAGCCCGCCACCCACAGTAACCCACCCGTGGACCTTGGGTAACTACCTACCTACCCTACCTATATTCGGACGGTAGACTGTATACCCGCAGGTTGCCATGTCTGTCCCTCCGACCCCGACTACGGACAAGGGCCCGGGCACCAGGGAAGCCTTCATCCCGCTCGTCTCCGTCGTCGACTTCCACCATGCGCGTGGGCCCGAGGTGGAGAGATGGTTCGGCGTCGAAGAGGGTCGTGACCCAGCCGCCGAATACGACTGGACCCTGTTGCCTTTCATGGCCCTGAGCGACGGTGCCCACGCGTGAGTCCTACTATTGCAGAAGCACCTAGATCACATTCTGGGTGCTATGATATCACTCGCCATATGTCTAACGTGAACCCACAACCTCCAGACTAACCGAGGACTTCTCCTACTTCACCCTCCTCCGCCCCGCCACCGACTCGGCCCCCGCGACCTCGCTCTTCGGCATCTCGTGCACCCGCCAGATGGACGCCTCCCAGCTGCTCAACCGGCCCGCCGAGGTGACCCGCTCGACCGTGCAGAAGGCCGTCGTGGTCATCGCCGACAGCCCCCAGCACTTCGGCATGCTGCGCGAGCGCCTCAGCGTCGTCACCAAGGCCTGGTTCGTCCAGCGCGAGTTCACCGACGTCGAGATCCTGCGCCGCTTCCAGGAGAGCCTCGCCGACGAGAAGGCCCGCGGCCTGCTGCACGAGGACGAGGACCGCGACCAGTACCTCGGCCTGAGCCTGCGCGAGCTGGTGCGCGAGTTCCGCTGGCAGACCCTGGTCCTGCTCAAGTGCTGCCTGCTGCAGCCAAAGGTAACGAACCACTTTCCGGGCCGGCACGCCATGTGTGTGTTGTGACGTGTGTGTGGTTGCGGGTTGCTGATCGATGGCCCCTGCGCCGCCGCAGATGCTCTTCTTCGGCACGCGCTGCGAGCGCCTGTGTCTGACCCAGTTCTCCCTCATCTCCTTGATACCCCGCCTCCTCCACAACCTACAGGACTCGGCAGGGCCAGAGCTGGATAACTACGAGAAGAGCCTGACAACGCCGACGAGCCTGAGGACGAGTGACCGGAATTCTCTGCTGACCTATATGGGGCTGCCGTTGCAAATATTTGGCAAGGTATGCGGGTTACCCTCATAAACAAATGCCCCTGGGATCCGTACGAGGTTCGTTTAGCACCTTTTACTCACACGCGCACCAGGGAAGTCTGTTCGGCCCCTACACCCCGCTTCAGCAGCTCGACATCCTCGCCGACTTCGGCACCAAGTCCTACATCGTCGGCAGCACCAACTCGCTCCTCCTGCAGCAAAAGGACCGGTACAGCGACATCCTGATCAACCTGGACGAGGACACCATCAACGTGACATCTCCCTCCCTAAAAGCCGCTCTGCAGCTCTCTACCCCCGATCGCCGCTGGATCGATTTCATCACGCAAAACGTCAACGACACGTGGGACGACGCCAACCCGTCCCGCCCCAAGACCATGGGTTACGTCGGCAGCGAGGAGTTCATCCGCGTGCAGTTTGAGGAATACCTGCTATCGCTCATCTCCTCGGTGAAGTACCGCGCCCACCTCGCCCGCCACGCCCACAACCCGCGCATGCTCCTCCCGGACATCGACGGCGACCCCTCGGCCGACTTCGCCCCGGACTTCGTCGACGCGTGGGCCCGCACCGAGAACTTCCGCCTCTGGAACGCCCATACCGACTCGCACCTGTTCGACGTCGTCGAGCCCAAGCACCCGTGCGCCGGCGGCCTGACCATCGACGACATCCAGCGCCGCATCACTCAGCAGGTCCAGGATTTGCACTGGGATGAGCGCTTCGCCCAGGGGCGCGAGGTGCTCGGCCGGAACCTGGCCGCCGGCAGGGAAAAGGCGAGCACCCTGTTCGGGAAGCTATACTCCGACATGGAAGCACTACGGGAGGCACAGCGGAGGCGAAACGAGGAGGCACGACAACAGCAACACCAAAACCAACCATCCCAACCGAGCACGACCGCACCTACCACCGGTAGCCACCCACAGAACGGAGAAAAGAACGGAACCGGCGCAGCCGCCGCGCCAGCTCAACACACCATGCAAGCCGTCGGCAGCAAAGCCGGTGCCTTCGTCAACAGCTGGGCCGCCTGGGCCGGCGAGAAGCGCCGCGCCGCCTGGGGAGGCGGAGGTGGCGGCAGCAGCGCCCGCTCCACTACCGACAACAACACCACCCCCGCTACTTCGACCGTGTCCTCCCCGCGCCACAGCACCAGCGGATGGAGCGCCGCGTGGGGGCGGGGCAGCAGTTCCAACTCTAGTAGCAACAACACCACGACCAGGAATCGAGGCGGAGGCGGAGGCGGGGGCGGGTATGACGCGCTCCCGTCGGCTCGCGGCGGCGGGGTAAAGTCGTCGGTCGTTGGCGCCGACTCGGAATCGGAGTCGGAGTCGGTCTTGTCCGGGGCGGGGTCGGTGTCGGGACACCGTGCGGCGGGGCGCGGGCTGTTGGACCGCAGGCGGGGGAGCGTGGTGGGGTCGGTTAGTGGGGAGTCGGAGTCCGTGTTCTCGTCGCCTGGGAAGGGCGGGCGGCGGTCGGTTGAGAGGGGGTTGGATGCCGTTTCCTCGGTGGGTGGTGTGGGCGGCGGTGTGAAGACGAATGGGGCGGCTACTCCTATTCCAGCCCCGGCTCCGGCTCCGGTTACTTCACCCATCCCCGCCCCGCCTCCCGCTCCCATCCCAACACCACCACCACCACAAACAACACAACCCGCCACCGGAGAAGATGAACCCACCGCAACCAACCTCCCCCTACGACCAAAGAAACAGCCGCCGGCGGACAACACGGATGACGAGGACGACGACACAGACGACGACGACCAACAACAAACGACACCGGGGATCGCGCGCAAGCCGGCCCCGCTACCACAGCCCGAACCGGAGTCGGACTCGGAATCCGACCCGGAACCGTCCCCGCCCTTGCTGCCGCCTAATCCGGCGGCTGCTGAGGCGGCGGAGGTGAAGGGGGCGTGGGGGAGGTGATGATCGGGGGGGGGGGATGTATCCAGGGCTGGGTATCAGGGGGTAGTGGTGATGATGTGATGAACTAGTTGGTTGGCTGGGTGGGTGGTTGTTTGTTGGATGGCGGCCCGAGGTGGCTGAGGAGCACAGCACAGCACAGCAGGGCACAGCAAGGCGGGTAGGGAGGGGCATAGTAGGGTCTGGCAACAAACAGCTTGGGCGATGTGACGACGGGTAGAAATACGGATTGGGTGGCGAATGGTGTTGGGTTTCGTTGGGGTGGAACTCCTCCCTCTCCCCTTCCCTCCTCCCGGGGGGTGGGATTGGAGAGGTGAGGGTCAAAATAACCATGTGGTACGGATAGTAGTGGGTCGGTTGTTTGGGCCCATCAGATACCGCCAGAGCGGCATATCAGAGCGGTATGAGCACTGATGGAGGTTTGAATTACAGGATATGAGTGTAACGAAGATACCAGACTTGCCGTAAAATCCAAAAGGGTGGGTGGGAAAGGATGCAAATAATAGACAGGTTTTCGCTTCCTTCTGACTTGGACTCTGTCAGTCTTTGAATTGAGTCTCCGAGGCCACAACCATTCAAGCTCACCTGAGAAACACAACACCCCCGAGTTAACCAGATGTCCATTGTACCGTAGGTCAGCTGGGTAAAGATCATGAATTGAAATACCAAGCTAATCACCAGAGACACGATTTAATTCGTCCAGGCGACTACGCGAGCAAGCAGCAAGCCAGGGTCCTCCAAATAGTAGACAACGAGTTCATAATTATGCACGTCAATATAATCCAACCAAGCCCGAGCGAACCGATCGTCTCCCCCCCGCGAACCACTACCCAGCTGGTTTACCCCCCACGCCCCTTGTATATAACCATCATCTTGACGTCTCGTCCAACGCGCGTGATCACGACCCCTTCCCAGGACTCCCCCTCTCGCCCGATATAGTCAAACTCACGCCCCGACAAGCAAGCAACCCCAGCGGCGGAACCGTTTCTGCCGCCGCTCCGCGCCACCCCAAAACGTTTTCTTCTTAACCTCAGTCTGGGACACGGAGCAAAAAGGAGACAGCCTCCCCGTCTTCCAAACGCCGATCGAAGCAAAACGGCAATTATCAGCGACAACCTCGGCCGTGTCCCGCCGTAACGGTCTTAGTGTATTTTGCGATTTCATTCTTGGCCCTGGACATTTCGGCTCGAGGTTCATTGGGCGAGATACTGCTGCTGGTCCTCCATCTGTCCGACGCTGGCGGCCTCGACGTTGTGGTAGTCGAGAATCTCCGAGTACCTGTTTACGACGAGTTAGCCGGTTGATCTGAGAAAGAGGAGAACAGCCCTCTCAGACTCACATCATGATCTTCCATGTGTCAACGGGCAGGTCGGCGTCGTTGAAGCTCCAATCGAACTTCTCCTCGGCAGTGGGTTCATCGGTGGGGTCGTGGTAGGGCGCCAGGTACTCGTGGGCGAGGGCCTCGGTCGCTGTTATCCGCTTCTTGGGGTCGAAGACGAGCATGCGCTCAAGGAGGTCGATAGCTAGAATGGGTCAGATAAATTCTCCAACAATGGGCAGAATGAGGGCAACGACGTACCCGTAGCGTCGGCGTTCTTGAACTTGTTCTTGAGGGGTTGCCTCTCGCGGTGAGGGAGCGACTTGACGAATCGTAGGGTCTGATTCCCGGGTCAGCATTTGTCCCAGCACACTCTCTCCACCGACGGGGTCACGCACATTCTCGCTCGCAATGGTGTTGATGACATCGTCTGGTGGCGTGCCGAGGAGCTCGGTGATGATGGAAAACTGGTTGACGTGGTCCTTGCCGGGGAAGAGCGGCTTGCCCTCGAGCATCTCGGCGAAGATGCAGCCTGCGCTCCAAATGTCGACTTCGACGTCGTACTTTTGCCAGGTGAGCATGATCTCGGGGGCGCGGTAGTATCTCGTAGATACGTAGCCGGTCATCTGGGGATCCTGGATGCGGGCCAGGCCAAAGTCGCAGATCTTCAGGTCGCAGTTCTCGTTGACCAGAATGTTGCTAGGCTTCAGATCTCTGTGAACGACGCCGGCGGAGTGGACATATTTCAAACCGCGCTAGAAACCGTTAGCTCGGGACCCGGCAGCGCGCATCCAGCCCGAGACTCACCATGATCTGGTAGAGGAAGTACTGAATAAACTGCTTCTCCAGGGGCCTCGAAGTGAGCAGCCTGTGGAGGTCGGTGCCCAGGAGCTCTGTGACGAAGTAGCTGGGGGAGGTTAGCGCGACTTCGCCGACACGTTACCGGGCTGGCGACCTACATATCCTCGAGCGGGGAGATGAAGATGTCGCTGAGCGAGATGACCTGCAAAAAGAGTGTCAATTGCTGTGGTGGCGGTGGGCCGGGGAGCTGTTGGGGGAACCGACATTCTCATGCTTGAGGTGCTTGAGCAACTTCAACTCACGGTACGTCCTCTTCGCGAGCACGGGAGTGCTGAAGGGCTTCATGATCTTCTTGATGGCGACATTCTGGCTGGTAAGCTGGTCTTTCGCGGAGCTGGAAAGGAGGCGCTCGTCAGCATTCCCATGCCGTTTTATTTTATTTACTTGTTGTATTTTTTCCCCGGGGAGGATACCAATACGTACCAAACCAAACCAAACGCTCCCATGCCAACCGGCTGGAGGTCGGAATATCTAGTGGAAATCAGCCAACCCGATTTCCCAGTTCACAATTTCGTATCGTACCTCGAGGTGATCTCGAAGGTAGTCCCAAAGATCTGGGCGCGCACGAATTCAGCCATGGCGGGCGATGTGGGATTGTTTTGCTGTGCGTGTTTCAAGATCGCCGATGACGATGCGGAGGTGCGGGGCAATGCTCGTTGCGGTGGGGCAGTCGTCGGGTGGGAAGGTGAGATAGATTTCGGTGCGTGCGCGTGTTGAGCCGGTGCTCGGGTGTGAAGCGATCGTGATGCGTGGACGGGGCGTTGCAGGAGAGGCGGAACAGCAAAGGGTTAGGATAGCAAGCTCGAGATTTCGCCGAGTGCTCGATTAACTTCCCAAGGGGGCTTCGGTGGTGGGGAGATCGAGGGTGATCGGAGTAACAGCGGGGCCGGATGCTTCAGAACCGGGTCCTGGAGGCGAAATGACAAAGTTTAGCTCAGGCTCCCAAAAACGGGGGGCTGCGCTGGGGTTGCACTGGAGACAACGGAATAGCGCCCGTGTCAGAGGTGTGCGTGTGCGCTGCGGGTAATTGGTGAGTTGGGGGGATGCAAACGCTTACGCTTGATGTTGGAGCTGTCGTTGAGAACAATTCTCAAGGGTTGTCGGGTCGCCGCGTCTTAATTGCGCTTTCGGCTGCAGTGCCATGCAGCGGGCTTTACCCGCGCGTGCTGGAACGGAAAGCACAAGTCGACGATCGCGGCTGCGACAAGCGGGGGAGATTGAACCGGCAGGCAGACACCCGCTTTCGGGGCTTCGTTTCGGCCTCCGCTTCTTTTCTGTTTAGTTGTCTCTACAACAACCCCTCGAGCCAATCTCGAACGTGGCGGGTCTGAGAGGGCAAATTGGATGGTTTTGCGCTCTATCCGCGTCGCGAGACTCGAATCGATTGGTGCGCTGCGCAAAGCTTTCGCGGTAGTCAGAGCCAGCTGTCCCTGTGCTGTTGCGTAGCGGCTCGGGCTATTGGCAAGCACTTACACAGTACACAGCACGTCGGGTGTGTGTGCGGCCACACACTGCCGAGTCAAGTCGAGCTTGTCAAGTCAGGGATGTCAAGTCGAGGAAGGTCAAGCGCAGGTCGATGGGCTACGTGTCGAAGCGTGGAGTGCGGTGGGAGGGAAAGAGGAGGAAGACGAGGAGGGGCTGGCATTAGCAATTATTATAATGTCTGCTCAGGAGCAGGTGGGCAGAGAGGCAGTTCAAGTATTCCAAGCAGCTACCTCGAGCTGGGATGGCGCGGTTGGCATGACGGGGTCCAGAATGCGACGCGGGGCCGGTTTATGGAACAGGATGTCACAGACCCTTCGAAGTTCCATGGCACTCCCGCTTTCCCGTCCCTCCCGAGCATCCAATCCGGCCCACGACAGGCTGGACATGTACGGAATATGTACTCCAACGGTGCATTGCGCGCACTGCAGCACAAAGGGCCCCCTGGTTGCTATCTCGGCGCTACCCGTTCGTGGTTCGGCCACGCATCTCTTGGAACACAGCGCATCAGGTCTGTCCTTGCTCGGATGGGTTCCAACTGGATGAATTCCCTTTCATGTTTGGATCTGGACCTGCAACGATACCGCTCATGTCTAGGTATGTGCCCTCCAACCATTTAAAAAGTCTTCTATACGCCTCGCCCATATTTGTACTGAGATGCTGGTATTCGTTGTGAAGCTATACCCAGTACTTTGTACTGGAAAAGTAAAAAGAAAAAAAACGTGTTTGATCCTGGGCACCCCTGCTGCGGTTGATGCCCCAGGGCCCCGCAGCAAGCGTCGGGGCCCTTGCCGACCGTTCTCATTGGGCCGGAGGCTGTCTGCTCGAGGCTCGAAGCCATGACGTCGTCGGAGCGCTTGGTGGGGGCATCCAACTCGGCCGCAGCGCCGGCCAATCGCCCATCGCGAATCTCGATGACCTTCCCCACCTAGTCCGCTCTCGGTTCTCAACTGCTGGTGGGGAGAACTGAAGAGAATGGTTGTTGCAACACTTGGCTCGTTTTGCAATAACTGCCTCCCGATGCGGTGCGGCGCCCACCCAGCACTCCATCGCGAGGAATCGAGGCGGAGAAGAACCTCCGGCAAAGAAATAGGCCCTGGTATTTCGCTCCTGAACTAGCTTACGAGCGCAATGCCTACTTGTAGCAGGGGATCGGCCCGGTCGTGTCCATGGCCAGCAGCCAGCCGTTGAATGCACGCTCTCGGGTCACATGCATCTATTCCCATCTACCTGGAGCATATTCCAATCTACACAGTATTACTCATTTTCAGCTTTCATTGTCGCCGCCCAGGGGTCCCGATGCCAAGAACGCAACGTCCCGAACTGGACCCTTGGATCATCAGGGGAGACAGAAAGGGGGCGAATTCAACAATGTTGAAGCAGATCACCCGACCAAAATAAGCTTCTTGACGTACTAGTGACGGGACTGTTGTATACAATACACGTGTAGTTTACTGTCACATAATAGGCAGTCCCCGAAAGCCAGTTTCGCCCGGCCAGTATGCATCTGGCCAGAACCCTGATCTTGGGCGCCTCGAAGAGCCCCCGAAATCAGAAGCACGATGACGACAGACGGCAGCCGCGGGGAAGAAGAAACCAAAGGTCCAAACGACTTCGTGGGAGGCATGCGTGATGACGTCATGATAGTGAGATCACTCCCCACTCCTCTCCGACTTCGAGCCAAGCCCGCCAAGACCCTTCGCCGATGGAACGCCGGGGGGGCTCACCGACCAGGCGAGAGCCGCTTGACACCATGCCCGCGCCCCGTTGTATGTATGTAGCATATCGTATATCGAGTTTGTACTGAGCAGCCAGTCAGTCAAGGTGTCAAGCCATTGTTGTGGTCTAGAACTTTTGATACTCACCGAGTGTAACTTCAAGACATGCTCGGTCTAGGCAGAGTGCTCGATCATGTTGTTGGTATAACATAACAGTTTAAGAAAAACAAAACCAAGGAGTAGCAAAACAAGAAGAGATAAAACAAAACCAGAAAGAAATGGGGGATTAGCACTCGAATAATCCAAGCTTGAGTCAATAAACGGAGACAAGATGTTAGATGTCACATCTACCTAAAATAGCCAACACTGCATCTTCACACTTCTCGAGATCTAGGTCACGGAAAAGAGTGAAGAATTTACGAATACGGCACCACAGTCCCACCTCACACATCCCAGGACCGAAAGCAAAGACCAAAATCGCTCAAATTGTGTAGTTATTACAACCCGTTGCAAGGACACAACCTCGAAGCAGCAGGGCCGTGGTTACGCTCTCCATCACTCAGTCAGGCCCTTCCGCAAACCGATACTACCGCGAAGACGACGACGACGACGACGAAGATGGTTCCAGATCCCACCGGGTCCCGAAACTGACCGCGAATTCATCATCTCGGCCTCCGGCCCGCAGGAAACCGATCAGGTCCTCGAAGCCCTCCCGAGCCAACCAATTCACAACGATGACGATATCAAGAAGAAACACCAGCATGACTAATGAAAATATGAAAATCATCCACACTACTGGCTCTCCCTCCTCTCCCCGAGGTACGTCGTCAGGACCGATCTCAGCATCGCCCTCAGGGTCGCTCTCAGCGTCGCTTTCGGGATCGCTCTCCGGGTTGCTCCCAGGTCCGTCCTCGGGTCCCCCGCCAGTCGCGACTGTAGCAGCCCTATCCGAATCGTCGGAAGCAGGCGCGATGCTTTGCCCGCGAACGCCCCCGCCCCTCCTGTGCCCCTGACTGCTGCCCCTGTCACTGCTACTGCTCGCTTCACCCCTGCGCTCTCTCCTCCCACCCGCTTCCTAAGCATGCTAGGCCGTCTTGTCCTTTGTGGTATCCAGCGGCTCTACATTCCAGATACCCTCGGCATACTCATTGATGCACCTATCGGAGCTGAAGAAGCCCATGCGCGAGACGCTTGTGATGCACTTGGTGATCCAGCCTTCCTGGTCGCGGTACGCCTCGTCCACAGCGGCGTGCGAGTCGACGTAGCTCGAGAAGTCGTCCGAGACCAGGTAGTAGTCTCCGTGGTCGCGGACCGCCGAGATCAAGTCGGAAAAGTCCTTAGGATTGCCGAACCGGCCATTCTCGATCTCCTCGAAGACGCCCACTAGCTTCGGGTCCACCACATGGTCGCCAGAGTGGTGGGCGTACCGGAGATCATCGACTTCTTCCGAGAGGTGGCCGAAGAGGAAGATATTGTCTTGGCTGACCTCACGTGTGATTTCAATCTAGGGGTTCAGTCAGTGGGCTTGTTCTGCTTCGTGGGAAACTCGGTCCAAAATTAAAAGAGGGACCTACGTTGGCTCCATCGCAGGTTCCGATGATTAGGCCGCCGTTGAGCACAAACTTCATGTTGCTAGTCCCGGATGCCCTATCGCGTGTCAGCTGCCCAGCTCGACGATGTGAATCATGGGAACGAAGTCACTTACTCGGTGCCGGCAGTCGAGATGTGCTCGCTGATATCCGACGCTGGAACGATCATCTCGGCCTTGCTGACGTTATAGTCTTCCAAGAAGACCACCTTGAGAAGATCCCCAATATCCTTGTCGTTGTTGACTACGGCGCCGACGCTGTTGATGAGATGGATGATCTGCTTGGCCATCCAGTAGCCCGGGGCAGCCTTGCCGCCAAAGATGGACACGCGCCGCATCTGCTTTTGGCGTTGCTCGGGCGACATGGCCTTGAGTTCCAGATAGCGGTGGATGGCCCCAAAAATGTTCATCTGTTGGCGCTTGTACTCGTGGATACGCTTAACCTGCACGTCAAAGAGCGCGGCCGGGTTGACAGTAACGCCGGTAGTCGCCTTGATGTGCTTAGCCAGGCGCACCTTGTTGGCATACTTGATCTCAGCCCACTCCTTGCGGAAGTCTTTGTCATCGATGTACAGCTCGAGTTTGTTGAGGGCCGTCAAGTCTTTCAGGAAGCCGTGACCGCCCGTCTTGCTGGCGATCAGCTCTGACAAACGGGGGTTGGCCTGGTGAAGCCAGCGGCGCGGGGTGATGCCATTGGTCACGTTGGTAAACTTGTCGGGGCCAAAGATACGGACGAAGTCCTTGAAGATAGTGGTCCTAATGAGCTCCGAGTGCAGCTCAGCGACACCGTTCACCTTGTGCGAGCCGACAATGGCGAGGTAAGCCATACGGATCATCTTAGGCTCGGACTCTTCGACAATTGAAACGTCGCGCAGGAGGTCACTGTCGCCGGGGAAATCGCGCTCGACCGTCTGGAGGAAGTAGAGGTTGATGTCGTAGATAATCTGGAGATGGCGAGGAAGCAGGTTCTCGATCAGCGGAACGGACCACTTCTCGAGGGCCTCCGGAAGCACGGTGTGGTTGGTGTAACCGAAGGTGTTAACAACGATATTCCAAGCCTCATCCCACTCAAGGCCCTCGAGGTCGATCAGGATGCGCTGGAGCTCCACGATGGCCAGTGTCGGGTGGGTGTCGTTCAACTGGATAGCCACCTGGTCGGGGAACTCCCTCCAAGGGCGCCTCGTCTTCTTGAACCGGCGGACGATGTCGTACAGCGAAGCAGCAACCCAGAAGTACTGCTGCTTCAGGCGCAGCTCCTTACCCCGGTCGAGATTATCGTTAGGGTAGAGCACGGCGCTGATGGTCTCGGCGCGCTGCTGGTCGGCAACGGAGCTCTCGTACTCTCCACTGTTGAACTTTTGGAAGTCGAACTCGCCGCTGGCCGCTTTGCTGGACCACAGCCTCAGGTTGTTCGTGGTTGGCGTGGCGTATCCGGGGATGGGCACGTCGTAGGCAACGGCCTTGACCGTCTCGCCGCCCTCCCACTGACTGATTGCGTTGCCTTTGTCGTTGGTTTCTGTCAAAACCTTACCGTAAAATTGGATCTACGCGGGTCAGCCAATGCACAGAGCCGTTTCGAGGCCGTGGGACACGGAACTCACGTCGACGGTAACGTCGTGCCTGGGGAACTCCCAGGGGTTGAAATCGAGCCAGTAGTCAGGCACCTCAACCTGATAGCCATCGATGATTTCCTGCTTGAAGATACCGTAGCGGTATCGCAAGCCGTAGCCCCAGGCAGGGTAGTTTAGACTAGCAAGACTATCCAGGAAACAGGCGGCCAGGCGTCCCAAACCGCCGTTGCCTAGGGCAGCGTCGTGCTCCTGTTGGATGACGTCCTCGACGCGAAAACCAAGTTCGGCGAGACCATCTACCACCACTGTGTCAGTAACACGCTCTTCCAACTACTCGTTCCAGGGAGAAACTCAACTCACCCTTGGCCAAATCCTTTTGTTCCACATTCAGCATCGCATTGTCCAAGGCGCGGCCCATCAGGAATTCCAGACTCAGGTAGTAAACCCGCTTGCTGTCGGAAAAGGTTTGGCGCTGCTGTGTGCGATTCCACTCAAGGATGAGGCGGTCCCGGAACGCAAGGGCTGTGGCCGAGTAGGCGGCTGTCTCATCGCAGTTGTACAGACTGCGCGCCAGCGTCGTCTCAACGTGACGCACCACCTCGCTCTCGAAGGCATCCTTGTCCTTGAATCCGCCGACCTGGTGCTTTGTCCAGGCCGCGCGCTGGGGTTCGGGGATTGAGGCTAGAGGAGGGCCTTGTTAGTTGCGTTCTTTTGCCTACTAGGTGCAATACACGGTAGATACAGGTGTCGTGCAGCGGCCGGCAACCCCGCATTCAGGACTATGAGGGGCAACTCCAGCGGGTGGGGGGGTTTCGAGTTGGGGGAAGCTTGATGATCCCATACTAGGTACCTAGGTAGGTAGGTATGGAGACTAGACAGAGCAGAACGAACGGAATAGTCCGAGGGTTATCCATACCTTCAACATGCTTGATTTCCCCGGCACCAAAGCCGGTAAGGGTGCGCTTGTGTTTGGGTCGTGAGATGCCGGCGGGAACCACCGAGCCCTGAACGTCAACAACTGGGGCCCCAACAGACGGCCGCCGTTCTCTCGACGGTAACTTGTCGGAAGACATGCTGTCGGCTTCAATTCTTCGTGAACCGGTGTTTATGGTTCGTCTGTACTCTGTGTTTGGGTAGCAGCAATCGGGACCTGCTAGGATCAAAAGCTTGACTCGTGGAGAGGTTTGTGAGGTAGGTAGAGATAAGTGGTGGTAAATGGTGCAACGAAGCGAAGAGGAGGAATTAAAGCACCAGTTCAAGTGGGTGGATGGTCAAGGTGAAGGATGGATGGACGATGTCGAAGCGCGGCCGAGCACCCTGCCCCCTCGTGCCTGCCCAAACTTAGCAACAGGCAGACACTGCAATCAGTCTGGACTGGCATCCTCCGATCAGGTGCTACCAACCTCCACTCCCACCTCTCTCTTTTTCCCATGCAGATATCCATCTCACCAGGATCCTGCGCCCGTTCTCGGTCAGTTGGCGATGACAAGCTTGGAGCTCGATCCTGTCTTTTAGCGAAGCTCCCCTCATGCATGCATGCATATGCATGCAATTTGACGGCCAATCACGACAGACAGGCAAACCGAGCTTCTTCAAGGAGAGAGATTCGAATACTTCTCGCTGGAGGAACACGACGGAGTTGTTCTTCGCGCCGAGCTCATCGTCGCCCTGCCATGTACCCGGAAGCTCCCGCAGTGACTTCAATTACACGGTTGACGGCTTCCAGCTCGGTTGGTTCTCGGATCCAACCGCAGGGGTGCTGCAGCGCCGTTGTCAGACGATACGATGCGTCTTCTGCCGGACGCAGTTGCCCCCCCGGCCGCTTTCACCGCAGCAGCCACATGCGTTCGCATCGCAGGTTCATCGCCCAATGCGGACTTAGCATACGCTCCAGAAGCGGCGTATATATATACACACAAAATCCCCGTCCATCTCCTGGGAGGCGAAGCCTGTTTGCGGCGTCTGAAGTGCCGCTAAATTCTGCGGCACGGTGCCGAAGGGCAAAGAAAATGAGGACTGATGGATGGTCCTGCCCGAGTCCGGGTCGAGGATCGTGGAACTAGTGGAGGCGTAAGAAGGGCCTGGGCTCTTTGATAACCCGCTAGGGGTGGAACCCTTGGATTGGCACCTTGCCCCGCCCTCCCCGGCAGCCCTGCCCCCCCACCGGACTGACATCATTGTAGATGCCGCCTTCTCACCAGGAAACACAGTACCTAGGTAGGTGAGCTCGTATCATGAGAGGGCAGGACTTCAACTCTGGCTGCATATTCACATGCCTTGAATAAGAGGAGAAATGGTTTTGTCCTTTTAATGATTTTCGTGTTTTATTCCGTCTGAAACACATCCTCGTCTTGTAACAAACCTTGGTCCATTTCCCTTCCCTTGTTACCTATTTCGCCACAGAGATATTAACTGCCATCCCGACGAGTCTGGGCCATCTGCGGAGCGGGCCACGAAACGAGCGATAAGCGCCGAGTGGCCCGCTCGGGAGGGGCACGAGAAGCCGCTTCTCCGGCGGTGGGCATGGGTAACGCCGTAACGGTGTGGGACGATGGCTTGCGAGCTGTTTGTTCATTGAGATTTTCCTCAGCAACCCCTTGACACAGCAAAGGCTTCACGATAGCCTGAAGGAAATGGAACACGCACAAATTTCATTGCTCGCTCGAGATGCTAGGCCAGCTGCCATGTGCAGACTATAACTGCTGCCCTCGCACCAGACGAGGCAGGTATATTTCAGCCGGACATGGTGTTTTGCCTCATCACCTTCCAAAATCGCCCGTTCCCCTTCCAAAACAAACGTCGCGAATCCTGGGCCAAGGGTATTCACCACCCTCCCCATGTATAATAACACCAACAGGGGGCCAAAATCACCCGGGCTTGAACCCTCTTGCTTCAACCCAATATTGTGTGACAGAGACACCGCGGTATATATTCCCCTTTTGAAACCCCGGTATACGTAAAACCCAGACGCGATCCCAGCAGTGCCAGCAGCATCCTGGAAAGATCGTGCGCCGCCAAAACAAACAAATAAAGACAAGTGTGGATTAGAACCTGGCTCGTAAGCAGCCGTAAGGGAGGATGCCGCCGTAGTCCCCGGTGGCACTGAGTAGAAACGAAGGTGAGATGTGGTATTTCGAACGTGGCTCGTATAGTCGCCCGGAAATGATAGAACTACTGCCCGCCTTCCAACGCCGTGTCATGCAGCCTTCGAAAATGGCTCTAAGCAGGATGGGGAAAGGAAAATCGCTATATGGTGGTTTTCGAGTTCGAGTGGGGTATGGGTCGGTTTGGTGGACTGGGAGAAATAACGTGGGTATCAGAGAATGCCCGAGTCCTTGAGTGCGTTGTTTAGGATCGTTTCCTTGACTGCCGCGAACACGAGTGGGATGTTGGAAGTATCGGTGGCTTGTGTTAAACTGACGAAGAGGTGAGCAAGGATGAGACGTGGCCATGGTCGGGTAGGTGCACTTACTGTGGATAGAGGTTCAGGTGAGCTCGGTTGACTTGGTTGAACCTCCAGAGCAGGTACTTGGCCGCCTTGTTGACATCGTTCCCGCCCGAGTAGTCCGGGAAGTAGCTGCCTAACGGTGACCGCCCAAGCTTCTGCTTGAAGATATCAACCTTGTTGAGAAACAGGATAATGCTCGTCCTCATGAACCACCGAGAGTTGACAACCGAGTCGAACAGCAATAAACTCTCCATCATGCGATTCTGTGATTGGGGTTAGCAGCGGCCATAAGGCGGGCAAGATGACAAGAAAGCGTACCTGACTCGCTTCTTCCAGCAGGACCTGGTCGTACTCGCTCAACGCAACGCAGAAGATGATGGATGTCACATTCTCAAAACAATGAATCCACTTTTTGCGTTCGCTTCGTTGCCCGCCGACGTCGAACATGCTGCAAGGGGGAAGACCGGTGTTAGTTTCGAGCGTACCAGAGGGAACGGGTAGCGACTTACTGAATGCTCAGCTGTCCCATCTTGAACCTCGTCTCGTAAATACCGGTCGTCTTCGTTCTCGCGCGCAACACGTCCATCTCTACCGGGAGATAGCTCGGTGACACGATCCTGTTGGCCTCCTGAAAGAAGCTGCACCGAGTTAGTCATTCGTTTGCCCGAGGGAAATACGAAATAGGAGGTCACGAACTATTCGGCCGAGTCCATGAGGTAGAATTCGGTTTGCCTCTCCATCAGCTGCTCCCTTGCCGGGTCGTTCCATACCGACTGGACCGCGATGCCCACCCTGGGGTCGATCCTCGCCTGTGGATTCGTGTCGAGCGAATAATCGAGGAGAAAATCGCAGTGTTCCCTGTTCTCGTCCAGCATTGGTTCGATTTCGAACTGGCGCATGGCGCTACAAAGCGCTTTTGCGCATTCTAGCAAGTTCTTGTACACTGTCGGACGGTAGCTGGCGAGTTCGTCTTGTGAATAGCCCTTCAGATGGATAATCTTCATCTGCTTTACGATTGTCGACTTCCCGCTCTCGCCCGAGCCTGTGCATCAATGGTCAGCATGTGGAAACGGCCCGTCGGGAGCCACTGATGACGTACCGAGTAGGAGAATCTTGCATTCCTTCCTCAACTTTTTGGAGTCCTCCTCCAGTTCCTTGTCTATCTTGTTGCTCCTCTTCCTCTGGTCCGAGTCCTCCCCGCTGGTACTCATGCATGTCCCCATGACGACCATCAGCGTGCGCACGGACTAGGTAAGGCTCGAAGCGGGCGGCAATTGTCGTCGGCCGAGCGGCAGCGGCGGCGGACGGCGTGTCGGATCAGGCGACACCGGCACTCGTTGGTGTGCTGAACTTCTTAAAATACCATGGGCGAGAGATGAGTCGGGGGTTGCTACGATCGGCGAGCGGGCGCGGGGTGCTGGTGAGTACCGCGACGGCGGAGATGGATGGGTGGCCGGTGGATGGTTGCCTTGGTGGGTCGGGCGATAGTTAATGATCTCGACTCTCAATTGCGAGGGTCCTCCTGTTGGTAGCGAAGGATGCGACGGTAATAACCCGCCCCAGCCGGATCAAAAGTAGCGAGAGAGGGTAGCTCGCTCTGTAAAGTTGGGTCGATTTTGCGGCGGAAATCCTGTCTTTGGTCGAGGGGTTTAAATTCGAGGCTGCAGATGGGCGGAAAAACGCTTCGTCGTCCAGGGTGCGCCGTCGGTGAGGAGGTAGGTAATGATGACGGACCCCAGTCGGAAAAGGTGCCCGAAGGAGCTGAGGCTGACTCGCTGGTCGTCGAGATGGGCCCGATCTGGTGTTGCCAGCTTCCGGCAGGAACCCGTTTTCGTTTTGAAGAGAGTTGAGAGCTGCAAGTTCGGTGTGGTGTGCATACACCAGCGGGAACACGGTGGGAGGGAGAAGGTAGGCCCAGTTTCCTTTGTCAACCAAGCGCCGTGCCCGTACAACGACACGACGCTGCAATGGGGTAACGAGTTAAAAAGGTAAGCCCCGGGCCCGAAAGCTGGGGCGGGAGATTCAAGGACAGGGGTCAGGGTAGCTCGACTCCGCGATCCACGCGATGGAATCGAGCACGGCCACCTGTGAAATACAGCCGGTAATTACAAAGTACCTCTCCTTCCACTTCGTCTCGCTGCAGGGCGCGATAAAATGCACCCCCAACGTGGGAGCTGCGAATGCTGGTTGCTTCAGCACTGACCGCCACCCTGCGTCAGCTTTTTCTGGCCCTGCCAATGTCGCCTTTCTGTCATCGGGCGTCGATCTTGCTCCACAGTGGATGCTGACGGACACGACATCTCTTTCAGTTCATCAAACCTGACACTGGTCCTTGCCAAGTTGAGATGCAATGATTGGAAAGCCTTTTCTCAGATTTTCTCGCGTTAATTACCACCCATTTTTCACGTCACCAGCTTCAGCCACGAGCCAACCGCGAGCCACCGCGGGCCAACCGGCCGAGTCCCAGCTCGATGGTTGCTTCTCTGATGGGTTGATGGGTTGTTGTCCCTGCCACGTTCGCCAAGCCACTGTTTTGCGCTGGGCCACTGGCGCTCTTCAACCCCGGATCTTTTTTGATTTCCAGGTCTGCATGGATTCATCCGCATTTCGCAACGTCGCCAGGCATCGCGACAATGCGGGTTCATCGGCACCAAGACACGTGGAACACCCATGGGTACAAGCGCAGAGCACAGAGCACTGCGGTCACAAGTGTGACGTCTCACGTCCTCGCCTCGGCTCACCCATTGCGCATTCCGCCCGTCATATTGTGGATAATTACGGAAGTAACATTGGTGTTGCGGCGCGGAAGTGCCCCGAGGTGCCCCAACAGAAGGAGCAGAAGTCCCGTTGGGCCGCTTCCCCGGGGGTTGTCAATCCCGACAACCACGTGTCTTCAGCCCCTCGAGAGCCCGGAAACATTAACGTGATCGTCGCCTGCTTGGACTCACAGGCCGGCGGTCAGGGGTATGGAAACGGCATTCGGGCCCGCCACGCGTCCGAAAGGACGTTAATGCGGCGGACGGCAGCACTCGACGGCAAACTCGGAACTCCATACCCCAAGTTCCCTACATAGTACGCCAAATACGATGTGCGCGTCTTCGGCCACTTCTCCCAACTCGCAGTGAAAGCGGCTCCATCCGATCGCGGTATGCACACCGAATGGCCAGCCAGAGGAGCCAACCTCCCCTGGAGCAAACTGCCGGCAGATGTCGCCGAAAAAGGACGGTGCACCGTGCCGCAGACCGGTTGAGCGCCACCGAGGGTCAGTCGGCCGAACTCGACAAGGACCCCGGCCGCCACGAGCTTGATCGTCAGCCAAAGTCGTTCTTGGGAGGGAGCCTCGACGTGTTTTCCGGGGTTCATTTCCCAGCAGATGTCGCCTGTCAATGGTGGAGCTCCCTCCCCATTCACAATCCATAATAACTGCTTTTCACGGGGCTTCCATTGAAAGCGTGGCCATGCACAGCCGGTGCATGCAGCCAGGCTGAGGACCGCACTAGCCTTGATTCGCAGCGGCGGCGCCAACCGCCAGTTCCCAAAACGCCTGGCTGCATGAGGCTCCTCCACCCAGCGAATCGATCTCCATCCTCCTCCTCCCTTGCTTTTTCCTCGGACCGAAGAGCGATACAGTCATTACCCGTACGGGACGCAGGTCGTCTGTCACTCACGCATGCCAGGTATCAACCCCAACCCTCCCTCCAAATTCCAACGACACAAAAACACCCCGCCCTCGCCTACACTTGGTCGGGGCAACCACGATTCAATTCTCAACTTTCTCGTAGGCCAAAACACTCGCTTCATGGTGGTGATGGTGCTGATCCGAGAACGGTTGAACGCGGTGTGGTTCATTCTTGCCGTTTGACCAATCACGATTCAAGGCTCGGCCCTTTTGATGACTCAACTGTTCGATGCTCGTCGGGATATTGATCCATCTCGGTGGTTTGGATTCAAAGATGGGACAGTCCTCGAAATGCGGGGTGTAAAAGTTATCCGCTCCATGGTTCCAAGCTCTACCAAGTTTGCTTCTACTTAGCTATTGCGCTTCAGACAACGGGGCAGAGCATGAAGGTTTGACTGGGCTGCGTGGATGGAATACGTAAGCCCGCATCATGAACTCAACCTTTCAACTAACAACCGAGACAGTAGCTCGAGTTGTATGTACATACACGTAAGTCGTGGCATGTGGTGCATGGATTCGCTCGCCACATATTGAATTGATTATCACTCCTAGTACTTCAAGCAACCCCAAGCCAGATGGCAGAATAAACCCACTGCCATCCTTTCCCCAATTAATAATAGAATCAAAAGCGGCCGGTTGGTCCATTGTTGTGTTGGTGTGTTGTGTTGTATTCATACATAATTCATCAACCCATACCGTCCCTCCCATACCATGCCGCAAGCCACCGCGCTACCACACCATTCTAGGCCGGCCGGATCAGGCCGGGTGCTATCCATCGCCCAACCCATTTCCCCACCCAGTCCGTCAGTCCGCTGGCCCGGCCATGCAAAGATATTTTTTTTTGTTCCGTCTGTACGTAAGGAAGGGCAGTAAAGCTAGATTCCCATAAAACTCGACGGGTTGTTCTCCTAAGCCAGATATCCGATCTCGTCCTCGTCCAGACGCTCCAGGTATTCCTTGTCGAGCAGGATCTCGATGCACTTCTTGATATCGCTGACCTTGGGCACGAACCGCGCACGGATCTGGTTGATAGCCTCGCTGACGAGCTGCTGGTGCTTCATGTGCTTGCGCGCCTTCATGATGCGCACGATGGCCGACTGTGGATATGCATGTCAGTACATTGGAGAGAACTGGGGGGAACGGGGGACGGCATACCTGCAACAAAAGCTTACGATCCTCTTCAATCGTCTTGTTAGTCTCGGCCTCCTCCTGCTTGGTTTCCGACTTCATGCCCACGTTGAGGTTGACGCGGTACTTCTTATTCTTGAAGTCGTAGTTGAGAGCAAAGGTGGCGCCAGGGCCGACCTTGGAAGCCCCGCCGCTCCCGGGCTCGAGGTTGAGGACCTTGGCCTTGAGGAGAATGCCGAGCGAGGGGTCTAGCGCCTCGTTATTGAGTTGCGTTGTCGACGCGAGCTCCTCGTACGTGTTCTTATCCTTCTCGTTGAACAAGAGAAGGATGGCCATCTGGTATATCGACACCTGGAATGTGTAGGGCATCTTGGCGCTCTTGACGTAGTTCGCCTTGACTTCGCCTTTGCACAACTGCCACAGCCACGTGAGCTTGCGGCCCTCGTGTTTGTTCTTATAGTAGCGGCTGAAGCGTTCGCAGTCTGCCGACACCTCATCCGGGGGATTGAAGTTGGTCCCTGGCGCCGTGAGCGGCCAGAAGCCGGTGCCCAGGATCGAATATGATGAGTCGAGCCCCTTAGTCCCCAGCGTCTGGACGTGCTCGCGGAAGCCGGAGTTGAGATCCTTGGAGATCTGCATGTCCAGGAACATGCGCTGTAGCTTGTTGGTGTACTCGAACCCGCACGCCTCCTTGAGCTTGGTGATCATGCTGGTCTCGGCATCGTCCGACGACGAATTGCTGTGGACGAGACGGCGCGCTAGCATGCGCGAATAGAACTTTTGGAATACGTCCTTGTCCTCGATGTACTTGAACACCGTCATGATCTGGACGAGCCTCGTCTCTAGCTCGGCGTCCTCCACACCCGTGCTGCTCTTGCGGAGGAGCACGTCGGTGTACTTGGCCAGCAGCTCGGGCGATTTGTTCGACCCGGACTTGCAGACCTCATTGCGGTTGACAAACTCCCTACAGGCATTGTCTAGGGACCGCGTGAACTCGGGCTCGTCCTTAAAAGCGCGCTTCACGAGCCCTTGATACTGGGTATGGATTTCGAGCAGGGCGTCGACGTAGACCTTGGGCTCCAGCTTATCGGCATCCGAAGCCACCTTGGCGACGGCGCCCAGGCCAGCATTCCGGACGTGGCTCTCGAACTTGGTCCTCAGAGGGTCTAGACCGTCAGGGATGCGCGACAGAAGGCTGTACATGCGCGCCATGTCTTCTTCCCGGTCGCTGTCTAGCAGAACCTGGAACTCGTCGCGTAGAATGGCGGAGTGGTCGGCAATCAGTACCTTGTTGCACGCCTTCTTTAGCGGGATCGCGATGTCTGGGTGAAGGTACAGCTTGACACGCTCCTCCTCCTCGTCGAGGCGTGCTTCGGCCTTCTTCATGTACTCCACGACACTATTCTCGGCGACAAACTGCTTGCTCTCGTTCTCGTAGAAGACCTGGGTGGCTTCGAGGAACGGACGCTCGAAGTGGAACCGATAAACTTCGAGGGTCGTTTTGGAGGAATCGCCGTCGTCCAGGCCGAGCGAGACGAACGAGTCTACAACCTGCTTGATCTGGTTGTGCTCGATGGTCTCGCCGTTGCGCTGCTTCTCGACGAGCTTGAGGACGGCCGCCATGACCTTCTCCGAGACTTTGGAGAAGAGGACATCGCGCCACTGCACCAGGTGCAGGGTGTAGACATCGTAGATGTGCTTTTTGCCCTCGTCAATTTCCCGCTTGACCCAGTGGCGGTTGAGGTAGCGGAACAAGTGGTGGATATATTTCGCCGCGTCCGTGTAGCGCTGCCACTCCCTGATATAGAACGAGAGTAGCGCCTCGTCCGTGTGGGCCTTCGACTCGGCAACCAGACCCCGCAAGTGGTCGGATAGATACTCCGACAACTTTTTGTAGAGGTCTTCGCCGAGGAGGTGAGCTAGAAATCATGTCAGCGGCCATGAGTCACGTAGCAGAGCGGGAGCACAAACCTCCCCGCTGAGACGATCCGATAACATGGTTATGTAGGGCGAAGCCGACCGCCTTTTGGGATGTGCAGAAGTTGTGAACGGCTCTGTAAATCGTCAGTCGCCCGCGGTCAGGTGCGTGCCTCGGGTAGGGATCGGACTAACGTGTAGATGCCCATGTACTGCGCAAAGGGTCAGTGTCAGCCGGGCCCGGCGAAGAATAAACAGCTTGACGAAGAGCACATACTGTTTGCAGGTCGATACCCTGCTGCAGGTTCATCATAATCATGGTGATGCCATCTTGCAAATACGTCCATCTACTACCCATCAGTATCCGTCCACCCCCCATAGCGTCAAACGGAAGCGAGAGTGGTCACGCACGTAGTATCGATGTCATCCTTGGCGGGCTGCGGGGGCATCCCCGAGAAGCCTGCGGCAGGCATATTGTGTAGCGCGGCCCTGTTGCACGTCGATAAGATCGAGGAGGCGGCCGAAGACTAACGGGCGGGTTCGTTTTGGGAGGGGCGACGTCGTGGTCGGTGAAGGCGCTCGAGGAGGGCTGCTCTGGCGGTCGGTTAGTCTTTATGGCGTGAACCCTCCGGCCTCTGGTGTTCAGGTTGGCGCTTGGTGGCGGCGACCAGACGAAAATGACGAACAAGATTTCGAAGTAGAAAAGCTTACTGGGTATGTACTTGAGGACGGCGTGCAGGGCAGGCAGGCAAGCCTTCGGGCTCCCTCCGCGAGATGAGATGTGGGGGCCTAGAGTGGCGGGGTGCCGTTGCAAGGCTGGCAATCGAACTCCACGGCCGACAGCAAAAGTAGAAGAGAAGGGTCGGCTTTTTGCTGTAGAGGGTTCGCGATAGTGTTGTGGTGGATGTTGGAGGGTGCCTCGACCGAGGGTAGATAGCTGAAGTTGTACGGAGCAGGTCGGCGCTCCAAGGCAGCTTCCAGTCGCTGCACTGCCTTTCCGCTGTTTGCTTGGTTTCTGGGGGGGTTCAAGGTCCCAGGCAGGAAGACCCACCTGTGGGTTGGGCCCAACTCTGCCTGCGAAACGCGGCTGAAAATGCAAGGTTAAGCGCAGCCGCTAACAAGCGCCCCACCCCGCGCTTGGCAATGGCAGACGCGGCAATCATTGCGGCCAAGAAGAAAACAACGATGCTGTCTGCTTTTCACAGGACATTTACTCGTACATTGCACAGACCAGCCAGAAGTGCCAGAGTGTTACAGTGAAGGTATTTAACAGATTTTCTCGTACTGTGCAGGATAAAGCCGGCATGCAGAAATTCATGGTGCGATGCAACATACGCATGTACCAAGTACTTACAAGTATGTACGTTAATTACTATGTACATGATCGATGAAGGATGTCCATTGCTCTCCTACCATCTTGTGCATGCTCCGTACCAAGAAACTATTGTCGTCAATGACGCTGAGGGTATACCAGTATGAAAAAAAAAACTCGGAAATATACAGTGAGAACCAACTCCAGTTTCAAACCCAAAGAGCCACCCGCCCCATTCACTCTCCCTCACCATTCGAAACTCATTACTTGTCATCATCACCGCCACCCAACTTTTGTACCAGACGGAAAACGCTCACGGACAGCGTGAAACTCCAGGCTATCAGACCAATCATCTGAAAAGCGGCCAGCGCCTGGCTATATTGCCTCGTCTGCCGGTCCGCCGAGTTATGGTAGACCAAGGCCTCAAAGGCGAGGGCCGTGCTGGCTGATTTAAATATGATAAAGAATAGGTCCATGAGGACGAGGGCAATTTTCTGGTTGGCCGCCCGCAACCCCAGCGGCTTGCCCGTGTACTCGTCCCATGTCATGTAGCCGATGTAGGGAATGGCGACCGAGTCGACCACGATGGCCACGATCGCCTGTGTCAGCTCTGACGAGCGATCGTTCTCTTCGCCGTGCTCGATTTCGACTATCCTAGCCGAGATAGCCAGCGCCACGATGGAGGTGAGCAGGACGGTCAGGCGGAAGGCGAGAGGGACGAGTGGGTGACGGAGTATGATACGCCATAACCGCTTGTAGAGCACCTTCCTTCGTGTCTGTTTCCTCCCAGTGGTGCCGTTCACGTCGCGGATCTCGACGGGGGTGTTGAAATCCGGCTGCATCTTATCCAGCATCTCGGGATCGACAATCTCGGCCTCCTCGTTCGGTAAGCGGCCATATCGAGACGACAGCACGTAGCTGTGCCATGGCGAGTCCGGAGTCGCCCGGCTGAAGCGCGGCACAATGACAGGTTCGGCCGTGCGCAAGTGGTCCCATTTCCTTCCCCTCTCGGAGCCATCTCCGCGTTTGAGCAACTTGCGTAGCCTCGCCCTCGACGTGCGCGCTCCCTCGAGTCCCAGCACAGCCGGGTTCTCGTAAACGAATCCATCCTTCGACACTCTCCTCTGCGCGTGGCTCGGCGAATGATTATGATGGGCTGGTAGGGCGCGTGGAGGGGGCGAGGTCAGCGAGCCGATCTGCTTCTCGGTCGGGGTGCCGTATCGCGTTTCGTACGAGTCAATCCATGCTGTCGGGTAAACATTAGCATCATGAGAGTACCATCGCCCATGCAGGTAGTAATATTCGTACCTGGAAGAGTCCTCGTGACGCGCCGCGGGGTTGACGTGGATTGTTGAGGATCGCTCTGAGACCTCATCGACGGTTGTGGCTCGGAACGATGTGAACTCGACGGCGGCCGGGCCGGAGTCGCCATTGCTGAGACTGGGAATGTCCGATATGGTTGAGGGGAGGTCAAAGGGGGGCGGCCAATAAGACTATTCAGCTAGCTAGCGATACCTCGGCGCATTAAGACTGGGAACGGGGCAGCAGCCGCATGCAGCGAGGATTGACGTTGACGGCCGGGAGAGCACGGGAGAACGAGGATGGGCGAGACCCGAATGTGTCGCTGCATGATGCGGCAATCGCTATGATTTAGGTAGGGTTGAAAATAGGTACGGTTCCCCGACTCGGTCGTGTCGGGTGTCCGAACTGGCCGGCTTGGGTTCAAGCATGCGCGGTGGTTGGGGTGATGTTGGCCTTGGGTGGTCGGTTTTTGAGCCGTCAGCGCGACTTGGCAGCGGCAGCAGCTTCTTTCCTGAGTGGCGAGGCCCCTGGCGGCACAGACCATGTCTTCAACCCGGTTCCACGAGCTTAACCACAAGCGATGACGACAACTGCGACAGCCCACTTGGCCGGTGGGTGCTGTTGTTGATGGCCTTTCTGTGCCACGCAATGTGCTCTGTATCGCTTTAATCTGAACCTTTCTTTTTTCCTCCAAAGCCTATGAAACCTCAGGAGTTACCTTTCCGTTCTATTTACAGCCCACTGTATTGTTTTCTCTCAATTCAACTCCTCGCTCACAACACATCGAGCTTGGACAAAACAGAGACGGAAGTGAAGGGACAATTGACTTTGTATAAAACAATTTACACAATACATCCATTGTTGTGCTTGCCACGTTCCGGGTCCGTTAGTAGCGTTACCTTCCATGCATGCTTGAAACACATTCGGCACCTCGTCCCTCGATCATGAGAACCTCGACTTGCGACGCGACAATTTCTTCATCAGTCTGTCTGCCTTGCAGGCCTCCCGGGCTTGCCCCGCGCACTCCCACATTGGGCTCAAGATCCATGGTGCACCCCAGAGGCAGGGGAGATAACAGGGGTTGAGACGAAGAATGCTTGACGCTTTTTTGACATGGGCCTTGATGTATCCATGTCACTCCACTTTAAACACCATCTTGGCCACTCAGGATGGGATCATGGTGGCATCTGCGTCACTGATCTTGGTGGGAGGAACTCAAAATCCCGGCAAGCTTACCCAAATATTTTTTGCAGGAAGAGCTGGCTCTGTCTTGGGAACGCGCGGTTGTTTGCCACCACCAATCCACCATCGCATCCAGACCACCGAATATCTCCAAGTACAAGATGCGCTGCCGCGGTCTTTCTTTCTGGGCGTAAACACCGCGGGATTCCTCTCTTTTTTTTTCTTCTTCCCTTTCTTCTTCCCCGCGCGCGGCGGACAACAAGCAACAAGAGCGCCGCCGATCGGCACGCCTTTGACTGGCCGACTTTGCCTTTTGCGAAAGGCCCCACGAGGTAGTCGAGGCCTCCCCCGCCGCGCAACACCATGCGCCTCTACCTACTGCCCATCTCGACGAGGCGCACGCTGCTATACTGCCAGCAACTCAACGCGCCAGCCTCAGAAAAGCCGACGTGGTCCAACTGGCTCCAGTCCAAGGCCGCGCGCACTTGGTCCGGCTGGGAAAAGAAGGAAAAGGGCTGGCAAAAATCGGTCGTCAACTATGGCAACCAAGCGCTACGTCGCATCCCTTACGAGGAATGGGGGCTCAAGTCGGTGCCTCCGCTGTCGCAGCGCCGGAAGCAGGTTGAGCTGAAGGGCACTGAGAAGGTCGAGGTGGTTTACCCCAAGAGCCTGCTGGCGATGGACAAGGTACCCGAGATCCTGCGGTCGCTGGCAACCGAGAGGCAGGGGCTGCATAAGAAGAGGTTGATATGGTGCTTTATCGGCATGCCGATATCAGCGCCCGTTGCCCTCGTTCCGGTGTAGGTCCACATCGGCCCTCGGGTCTTACGACGACTTGGCTAACATGATATCCATTGGAGCATTCCAAACCTTCCCTTCTTTTACTTAGTCTACCGCGCCTGGTCACATTGGCGGGCGCTGTCTGGGGGGAAACACCTCCAATTCCTCCTCAAGAACAACCTCCTCGCCCTGAAGCCATCGCCCATTGTCGATCAGGTGTATGCCGCGCAGAAGCCTCCCTTACCATCCACCCCTGAACGGACAGCCGATTCCAAGGAGAAAATCATCGTGGACAATGCGAATCCCGTCGCGGCGGATGACGCACAGAATCCAAACGGTGAGACCATGCTGCTGTCGCAGGCCAATGGCAAGAAGATGACGCAAGCTCTCGACCTGCCCCAGCTGGAGGTTGAGCTCGAACGAGCGATATGGCAAGTCGAGACGGCCATCAAGAAGCGCAGCGCCGAAGTTGCTGCCAAGAACCCCCAAGAGTCGACAAGCGAAAGCGAGAAGAAGTCGCAATGAACGTCAATGACAGGGCCATGTATGATAACGTATACTATTCCACTACGGTCGCGGGGTGGTTGGAACGCTAGACGGGGTTGGGGAGTTGTTGGCTTGATACCTCATGGCGATGATGCGAATGGGCGGCCGGTTTGATTTTAAGAATTCTCGACTCTCGACTCGAACCGCAGACCGCACTCCCTACGTGATCCCACCCGGTCCCCCCCGAACCACAACCGTGAACCGCCCCCCAGCGAAGCGCCTGCTCCGCCGAACCCACCATCGCCCACCATCACCCCGACGGTCACCTCTCCGCCGGAGAAGGGGGAGGCCTCCCACCACCACCGCTACCACCACCACCGCCGCTCCCAAACGCGCTCACCAACCCATGGACCAACGCCATCCCCAGAAACAGCGTCACCACCACCAGCACCCGCCGCACGCCAACAACCCCCCCACCACCACCATCACCACCGCCATCCTTACCAACACCACCAACCCTTCGCCTCCCCGCCCGCTGCTTCACCGCCCCCGAACCGGCATGCAACGGCAACACCATCCCCCTCGACCCCGATCCTGACCCCGATCCCGACCCGGAACCAGATGACGCCTCCCCCAGCAGCAAAAACGCAGGCGACAGCAGCGGCGAGGTCAGCGGGAAGGACCCACCCTCACCATCCCCACCGTCACTATCCCGAAACCCGGGTCGAGGTATCCCTATCCCTAGCCCTAACCCGATGTCCCCTGTCAAATCGTCCGTGTTGGCGTCGGTCTCGGTATCGGCGTAGGGGGATGGTGGGGAGGGCCAGAGATGCGGGGGTGATGATGGGTTGTGGGGATGCTGGGGAGAGGGGGAACCGGTTGGTTGGGGACTCGGGGAGCGGGAGGGGGGTGTCGGGGAACGTTCGAGGTTGGGGGATGGGCTCCTGCTGTTGCGGTTGTGGTGGTTGTGGTTGTGGTTGTTGTGGTTATGGTTGTTGTGGTGGTTGTCGGTCGGGGTGGGCGGGGTGATGGCAAAGTCGATCAGGTGGTGGTGCTGTCGGGGGTCCTCAGCGCCGGGCTGGGGTTTCAATAGCACGTAATGCCGCAATGTCTCGCAGCGCCAGGCGGCGGCGGCTTTTTGCCGGACGAGGCGTTCGGTTGGGCTTGCGTGGGCGAGGGCGGCGTATTGCTGGGGGAGGCTGGATGGGTTGTCGTTTGGTGGTTTTGTCCTGACAGCGGGTTGTTGTTGTTGTTGTTGTTGCTGCTGGTGCTGCTGCCGGGGCTTGGTGGCGTTGAGATAGGTGTTGGGGTTGAGAGGGGAGGGAGTTAGGGGGACGTAGCGGCGTTGGTCGGATGGCGGTGACGGTGGCATGTCGATGAACTGAGGGTATCTTTGTTGGTCGTGTGGTGTAGACTTTTGGGCCATCACAAAGATCTACAGGTCCTGGTGGTTACAGGGAGTTTACATGTGGTGCGGAGCTCCTGTCCCTGAAGCAGGGACGCGGCGCATGGGGCGGAGTTGGGTCGTAGGGTGAAACCGGCGTGGGTATGTCCCACGCCACCATAAGGAATGCACGGATGCAACTAGCAAGTCGGGGGCGGAGGTCAATCATGACAGGCCGAGCCTTGGGATGTCCAATTTCCGATGCCAATCGTGTCAGGGACGTGTACGTGGACAAGCGAGGATGACGTGGAAAGCTTAACACGATCCCATAATCTACGGTTACTCGTACCATGACCTGCGAAGTACCGAATTCGGATAATCTAACCGGGGGCCGCAAAAGACGGCCAACTTGGAGTCTCAGGCGAACGGCACCGACCAAGAGTCGCACATCCTCACACTCGTATTCTGGTTTTCTGTTGGCCGTGACATGGAGGTCTTGCCCATACTTCACCCAACAGTTCCAACATAACGAGGTAACCCAGTGTTGTCGGACAACCGTATTCTGGGGCCTACTGGCCCGGCCTCTCGACGCCTCGACATACGTAACATTATCGGCATTGTTCCTCAGCTCCTCGCACCCAAAGGCCGGATCCCAGTAACTAGCCCAACACACCCAACAATGGAAACAATCAAGGGCCGCATGCATCCCCGGGACGAGGCGCAACGCTAGCTCAGGTAGCACTGCAACGGCGCGCATCCTAGCATGCGGGGAGCCGCTGCAAGTGACGCCGTTAGCGAGCAAGACCCCTGTTGTTGATCTGCTGCGGGCGCTCTGTTCAACATCAAAACCCGATTACTATCTCATGCTGCGCTTCAAGCTAGATTGGAGATCTAACCGCGTAACGATAGAGTCGCGCAAAAGGACCACGAATATGTCATTATGCTTGGCCTGCAGCCAACCACTGTGCAGCAAGTGAAACGGAGATGCGTGACGCCAAGGGCGCGGTGGGATGGCGAGAGGGCTCTTCCGACGGTAAACAAGTTGAGGCATGCGAGGTGTCGCCCAGCAGCCCAACTCTGAGATTAACACTAAACATGTCATAACGCAGTAGTGTGGCTTTTCGTTTTTCCCATCCCTTTATTCCGAATGGTCAGGCCAATAGACCTGCCTATGCCGCTGTACTCCCAACTCCAGCCCATCCATATTTTAAAACCACCACCCAGCTCAATCCGTAAAAAGGGGAGCATGCGCCGCAAGTACTGTGTAAAACATCCTCCGGATCATCGCCCGATATCTGCCCACGTTGGCTGTCGCCTTTGCAGGTCCAGAGGTGTCGGCAGAGTTGCCAGCCCCTGGCCGGGATCGCGCGAATGCACGATGATCCAACCCGACGTGCAAGAAGGATGTCGGGAGAATATCATCGTCCCAGTCTGCGGCTGAATCCTAGCATCGCTGAAGAACAGGGGAAAACCATGTGTCGAGCTCGAGTTTTATTAACCCATGTCGCTGCCCAAGTAGACCACACCAAACAGAGCCGCTGGTAGACCGAGGAGCACACAATCGACAACAAAGCTAGACATAGCCAGCAAATGGAGTAAATTGGGCCAGATAGTCCTCGAAGTGCATCCCAACGGAATCGGTCTATGACGCCGGCAGGGAGGTTAATTCTGCCTCCGCCTCCTCAGTGGTAGGCGCAGCGTCATTCAGGCGGGGCTTTTTAGCACGGCCGTTGTCCTGGACGTCAAGCGACTCTTTCGCGTCCTTGAGTTCAACCTCAAGCTCGTCGAGTCTTCGCTTGAGCATGTTCTCTCGCCGGTGGCTTTCCTCGAGCTCCTTTTGGAGCTGCGCGTGCGACTCGTTCATGACGCTGAGTTGGGTGTGGAGCTGCTCGTTGGCCTCGGTCTTGCTCTTCTCTTGTGCCTGTCGGTTCGCTTCCTCTTGCTCAAGCTGCTGGATCCTACCCCTGTACAGTTCCTGGATGACCTCGAGCTCGCTGACGCGCGTCTTCAAGCTCGCATTAGTGGCGAGGATCTGTTCGTTTGTCTGCGGCATGTCGAGCCGGTCGCCGTTCAATGGCGACGGGGCACGGCCGTCGGGCCCGCCAAACCCGGATAGCTGCTGGGCCTGAAACTGGTCCTCGAGGTTCTGGTACATGGGGCCCATGTGCGATGCGTAGAGGTTGGGCGTGCCGGTACGGGAGATTGGAGAGTTTGTGTCGTCCATGACGCCATTGGCCGACTTTTGCGAGGCCCTGCGGGCACCGTTGACAGCGTTGAGGTCTGCGCCGTTCATGTCACCCGTTTGGGCCAGGTGTTGTTGTTGTTGCGCCTGCGCCTGTGCCTGTACACGGTTAGGCTCAAGCGTGCCGGTGTATCGGGGGATAGATAGCCTACCTTTTTCTGCTTCGCGAGGTCGGGCCGTATTGACTTGACACGGTTTCGGCTCTTGATTACGTCCGTCTTGAGCGAGATGGGCCTGGGCCGGCCGTGGAGCTTGAGAAAGAGCCCGCAGGCGTTGCAGAGGACTGCGCCTGTCTCGTCGCGTCGCCATAGCGGGGTGGTGTGCGTCTCGCAGTTTTGGCAGGTCGCCTGGGAAGTCGCACGGTCGTGGTTAGCCATGGTCGCCATAGTTCCGTGCGATGCGTCGCAAAGCGTCGCCTTGTACACGACGATATAAGTGACAAGGAGAGATTAGATGGGAGATAAGGGGACGATAAATGGGGATGGGGAACAGATAAAGTGGTGGCCCGGGACCGCGATGATAAGCCTGGGAGTTCGGGTGATAAGGAAATTTTTTGACCGAGTCGGCTTCAAAGCCCAGGAAGTGGGGATCGACAGATAAACGTAAACGGCTTAGTGTGGGTCACTGGGCTTGGCGAGTGCCCCACCTGCTCGAATGCAGCTCGATGTTTTGAGAGCCAATGAGCAACTTGGTCAGGACATGGCCGTGAAAGGCAGTTGTAGAGGCATTGTAAGGCGTGGATGGTGTTGCAAGCCAGGGAAAACAAGTGAAAATTGATGGGGAGTGCAACTTTGAAACTTACAGGACTTCCACCGGGAGCAGGATGAGTGCTGGCGTTAGAGGTTGCCGGATACACGGCGGGCGCAATCGAAACAGGTCTGACAAGAAGACGCGGTGTTAGCAGAAAACGAGAGTAGAAGAAAACTGGTGGTGGCTCGCAGTTTGCCAACACAACCAGCATCTTCAAGCCACATATTTGACCACCACAGCACTACTAACCTTGGTTGTGAAGAGTCCGCTATCGGGTTGCTGGCGGCAAGCGCCGGGGTGGCGGGTAGAGAATGCGTAAGGTTCTGGGGTGCCGAGGCCTGCGTCGATACTGAGCTGGGTCGAGAGATCATGGCCGAATCGCCATCGAGTTCTGTGGAAACCGCCTGTGGTTGCAGGCCATCCATCTTTGATTCATCCATAGTGGACTCAGGGTTTAGCGTCACGAACGAGTCGAACTCTGAGAAATCTGGAGTTGGTATCGAAGCCAGCTTGATGGTGTCTCGGGGTTGGGTTTGTCGAAAAGGGTCGGATGGCGTCGCAAAAACGCGGTCAGGTTGTGTTCCGAAAGTCCAAATAGACCGAGGGTGGGTGGGGATTAGGAACGCGCCGGAAAGGCACTGGAAATTGAATGGGCCGCGCCCAAAAGATTGATATCAGAGAGACGCAGTCTGAGATGCGCCCGATCGCATGCGGTGGGACGAAGTACCAGAGGGCGAAGCGAGCGACTCAAGCGGACGACAATCAAGGACAAAGAACGGGTAGGTTCCTGCCGTTACGGTATTACAATGTTGGGGTTCTCTATAATGTGGTATGATAATAGAGAGGTAAAGGATTCGGGAGAGTAGGTAGTAGAAATCGCAATGAAGCAGTGTTTGTTTTCACGGGGTTTGCTGCTGATGGATGTTGAAGGAACGGGAAGATGCAGTGAACGATCAGACGAAATCAGGTGGGATGGTACGTACCCACAAGCGCATGTGCATTCGGCCAGGCTCTTCAAGGGGTCTGTGCGGACCTGTGGGGATGCACCACTTGACTTCACGCAGCCTCACTCCACACTCCTTGGTGTCAAGACTGCCGTTTGGGGCAAATGTTCTTGCTCGAGTCCCGTCCATGAGCATGATGGAATCTGATCATGTTTTTATTTGAAATACGAATATCTACCTAGGTAGCTTCCCTGCATACATCTAAATCTTGCTCGCTCCTCCGCTTCACAACAATCCAGAAAATGGAGGACCAGATTGTATACATTTTTCACATCCTCTACACCATCCTCAGTTGTCTTGCCATGCCTCTCTTCTGGGTCGAGACACTCCTCTTCTGGATGCTTGGCCTCCCTACGTCGACGAGTTTCCGCATGTTTCGTCGAGCAGACACCGTTCCCGACTATTACGCGACGGTGGCATATAGCTATGCGTTGGTCACCATCATGCTCATACCCTACTTCATCTATTTCGACCGTAGGGATGGCCGAGGACCGCTTGGGAGGCTACTCCATCCTCTGACGAGAGAAGCCAGCCCATTCACAGAATACTCGATCATGTTTGCCCGCGTTTGGCTGGCTGTGGCCTGGGTAAATTTAGCGGTGGCTCAGTTCATGACTGACTATAATCTGGTGTCGGTTTGTGCCAAAATCTCGTGTGTGCTCTTCATCCTCTGATGGGGCCACATTGCCCAGAGTCAAGAAACTACCATCATCGCGTGGGGGGGAATAACATGCCGGAAGCCCGCTGGAGCTCAAGCGCCACTCAGACTAATCACCGCCGCACCAATGTCATCATAGGGTCCTGATGGCGTGACCATCGCATCAAGCATCTCAACCGCAAATGCGACACCCAGGCTACCTACAAGCTGGCCTAGAGTTATAGATGATGGTCCGACCAGGGGAGGATGGGTTGTAAAACATCGGAGGGCGGTCTGCCTAAGAATTGGGGTCAGATGTCCTGTTTCGAGATGATGGTTGGGCTAAAATTCATGTCAGATTCGTGATCGATAGGGAACTCCACGCATAGCGTGTTACGGCCGTTCTCATCATCTGTGTTGTACTTTCATGACCGTTGAAGTGAAAGGAGTGAGAAGGAAAAGCAGAATCAAGGCGAGGGGCAGGAGCATGAAAAATACCTATTTCAAGCTTGTTATCCGAAGAGTTCATGACCACGCGATCCAGCAGCCGCGTCAAGGAACCTGGAGACAAAAGTCTCACCCGTGCGGATTATGATTGGTGGATGCGCCAAGCGGCCGGGATGAAGCACGGCCGACCCCGCCAGTCAGAAATCGGAATCCCGGACGCCAACACCAGAATTTCAGAAGCATCGTCTGCTGCAGCCGAAGAAAAGCGCAACACCAGCCAGCCTTAAATTCGACAACCAGCAACACGACGAGAGGGCATAAAGACGCCGAAACCGTCAGATTTTAATTGTCACAAAGCGCCAAGCAAACACAATGCCGTCGACGCACAAAAAAGAAAAGCCATGGGACACGGACGACATCGACAAGTGGAAGGTCGACCCTTTCACCAAGGACGAGTCTTCGGGCCCATTCCTTGAGGAATCTTCCTTCATGACCCTCTTCCCCAAGTACCGCGAGCGCTATCTCAAGGATTCTTGGCCCCTCGTCACCAAAGCCCTCGACAAGAACGGCATCACCGCGACGCTGGATCTCATCGAGGGCTCCATGACAGTCAAGACAACCAGAAAGGTATTTTACAGGCGCCAATTCTGCCGAATACAGCTGGAGTGCTGACGACCAAAACAGACATTCGATCCCGCGGCGATTTTGAATGCGCGAGACCTCATCAAGCTCCTGGCGCGGTCCGTACCAGCGCCCCAAGCCATCAAGATTCTCGAGGACGGGATGGCGTGCGACATTCTCAAGATCCGGAGCATGGTGCGGAACAAGGATCGGTTCGTGAAGAGGCGGCAGCGGATATTGGGGCAGAACGGAACAAGTGAGCAAAAGGAGCCCTCTCCAGTGGCGGCTAGTGGCTAACGTTGCGCAGCACTGAAAGCGCTCGAGTTGCTCACGGAGACCTACATCCTGGTTCACGGCAACACGGTTTCGGTAATGGGGCCGTTTAAGGGGCTAAAGGAGGTCAGAAGGGTGGTCGAGGACACGATGCAAAACGTCCACCCAATCTACCTAATCAAGGAGCTGATGTGAGTGTTGCGGGCGCAATCACGCACACGCCAACGGCTGCTGACAACAGACACTAGGATCAAACGCGAACTGGCCAAGGACCCGGGGCTGGCGCACGAAGACTGGAGCCGGTACCTTCCCAACTTCAAGAAGCGCACGCTGTCCAAGCGGCGGACGCCGTTCAAGGTCACGGACAAGGCCAAGAAGACGTACACGCCGTTCCCGCCGGCGCCCGAGAAGAGCAAGGTGGACCAGCAGATCGAGACGGGCGAGTATTTCTTGGGCAAGGAGGCCAAGCACCGGGCGGCCGAGGCGGAGCGGGCCGAGAAGGCCAAGCAAAAGAAGGAGGAGAAGAAGCGGGAGCGCGAGCGCGAGTACGTGCCGCCCGAGGAAGGCGCAGGCAAACCGAAGAAGAGGAAGACAACACACGACTGAAGGGAGCATGGTGGTGGTTATGGTAGCGGTGGTGGTGGTGGCAGTGGAAGCTTCGGAGAGGAACGGTCTGTCAAGTTCGATCTTCGAATCCCATGATACCCATGCAGGAAAATATTTGACCCGGTGCAGATGGTTTGTCGTGGCCGGTGGACGGCGATACCAGCACCGGACAGGACGGGAAGCTAGACCGCCCCGTATAGACGCAGTGGTTGGATTATTAATAAAGATCTACCCGCTCGGCGGATGGGCCGAGGCAAGCGCGTCATTGGGATCCGCTAGTGCGGGGAGGTGGGGGCAGTCCGTCTCCGGCGGAACGTCGCTGACGACAAACCGGCATTGCGGAGATATAGAAGAGTAGTATAAGTAGCGGAGATAGAGGTCGCCAAGTTGGGTACCTATTGTACTTGTAACATAGCAATTCACACAGTACACAACCACCTGAATTACCAAATCAACAAATCAACGCGCCAAGATGCCGTACTCGCTCACCGTGAAGAAGACGGAGGGCAAGCCGGGACAGGTTTACTACCCGTGAGTTTGCCCAAGCCCCTTTCACAACACAACATCACCTCTCACGCACCGCCACTTCTCACACACACATATCACACACCACCTCTCACGCACCGCCACTTCTCACACACATATCACACAACCACTAACCCCCCCACCCCCTCAGCCTCCAACTCAACACCACCCCCACCATCCCGACCCCCGGCCCCGGCCAGCTCCTCATCAAACTCTCCGCCTGCGCCCTCAACCACCGCGACCTCTTCATCCGCCAGCACCTGTACCCGGGCATCTCCTTCGCCCACCCGCTCTTCGCCGACGGCTACGGCACCGTGACCGCCCTCGGCGGCGGCGGCGACAACCACAACCCTTCCGCTACCGCCCAGGCCCTGCTGCACAAACCTGTGCTATTGCTGCCCATGCGCGGGTGGGAGGCGGCGGCGGACGGGCCGGAGGATTTGGGGAGGGGGTTTGTGATTGTGGGCGGGTCGGTGGGGAGCGAGGTGGGGATGGGCCAGGAGTGGGTGGTTGTGGATGAGGGGGATGTGGTGGAGGCGCCGGGGCATTTGAGTGCGGTTGAGGGGGCGGCGCTGCCGTTGGTCGGGGTGACTGGGTGGCGGGCGCTGGTGAGTAAGGGGGGGCGCGAGGGAGGGGTGGAATGTGCTGGTGACGGGGATTGGGGGCGGGGTGGCGCTGCAGGTGCTGCAGTTTGCGGTGGCGAGGGGGTGTAATGTGTTTGTGACGTCCGGGGATCGGGGGAAGGTTGAGAGGGCGGTGGGGATGGGGGCGCGGGGCGGGGTGAGTTATAGGGAGGGGGATTGGGATATGCAGTTGGGGAGGATGCTGCCGGAGGAGAGGCCGTATTTGGATCTGGTGGTGGACGGGGCGGGCGGGGAGGTGGTGGGGAAGACGGTCAAGTTGTTGAAGCCTGGGGGTGTGATTGCGAACTATGGGATGACGGTCGGGCCGAAGATGGACTGGCTGATGCAGGCCACGCTGAAGCATATCGAGTTGCGGGGCACGACGATGGGGTCTAAGAAGGAGTTCGAGGAGATGGTCGAGTTTGTGAAGGAGCACAAGATCCGGCCGGTGGTGAGCAGGGTTGTCAAGGGGCTGGACAATATCGAGGGGATCGATAGTCTGTTTGACGATATGAAGGCGGGGAGGCAGTTCGGCAAGCTGGTGATCCAGATCGACGGAGACGATTCGCCGCCCAAGTTGTGAGGGTGAGCGATACGAGGCAGGTTTAAACAGAGAGACATCAAGTACATACTCGTAGTTCATTCACATGGTTAGCCTCTAAAGGACCCTCCTCACGAAAAGAAGCTGTTAAGAATTACTACTCTTAGTCCTAATGCTGTGTGCCAGTTTCCAAGGCTATATGAAGACACCAGTATCAAACATAACTCGACGCTATCAAGGCACCAGCTAAATGCCCGTCCCTTCGCTTCGGCTTCCCGCCTTGTCTCTCTAACAGACTTTTTCCTATCCCTCCATAACTAATATTCCATCCCCGCCATTATCGTCACCACCCCCGACGAGTTATGTAGAGAACCCCGACAACCGCTCAGGCTAGTTTTGGAATCCTGCTGGGGGATACGGGGAACCCGGTTCGGTCATCCAGCGGCAAAGAGTCTCGACGTCCTTTTCCGAGACCAATCTCTCCCCCGTCTCCGATTTCTCGGCGACGATATCATAAACAGGCACGATAGCGCCGCCATACTGCTTAGATGAGGTGGGCTTGAGTCGCACGGTAAACTGAGTATCTCTCCCATAGGTGGAAGTGCGGTCCTCTGCTCTGATATGGATCCACTCCAAGAGAATTGCCAAACTCCAAAGCTCTCCGGGATGGCATTGTCCCCAGGACTGCGAGAACATAGGGGGCACATGACTAGGACCGGCACTATCCCAGAAACCCTTCTTCAGATCAACCCCAAACCGGCCGAGGAGGACTTCTTCACAACCGGCGAAATATACTCTGGGCAGGATCTCTGTCCATCCTTCTTTGTTCCAAAAGTCAATCAAACTCCCACGATAGCCCTGGGGGACGATTGAGATAGCGTGCTGGTTAGTGGCTCCGTGGTATTGGCAGCTACGATGAGACACGCAACCAGGCTGCACCCCTGGCCGGAGTACTTCCGATAGATGGTCGTCCTGGATGAGGATATTAAACGGAGTTATGACACTCCCCCCCGAAGTCTGTATCTTGTATGTTGTCGCTCGCTTGAAACACTGCGCGTTCATCGACCTTATCCTCTCGCAGAAGCCAAATCGAGGCGGGACAAGCTGGCCGGTGGCGTCTCTCCGAAAGTGGCCGTATGGTGGATGTGAGGCCTTCATGAATACCTTGCCGTTGATGACGTGGACAAAAAGGTCGAGATGGAGCTCGGTGGTGACACGCGGTGTTTGGCGGTATACCTCGCTGGCCACTGTGAACAGCTGCACCATGGTTGCCGAATCCGTGACAAAGTCTGCAGCACAGATGCTGCGGAAGACGTCGAACTTATGCTCAAGTAAGTTCTTATGTGCCGCGCGGAACAAGCCCTGGAACATCTCTGGTCCATGTTGATCGGGATCCTTCTTCGCTTCCTGGTTGTAGCACCCTTCGGGAGTGAACTGGAAGGGGTTGAACAATGGAGGTTGGATGATTGGGGCCTTGCCTGCGATGGAGGAGGGTTAAACTCTAGAAAATCCGTGTAGAGTGGGTGTCTCAATATACCCTCCATAATGACTCCTTCATTATTTGTCGTACAGAATCCGACCAAGACCCGCGGCGGAGTGAGGGTGCCCTGAGATGGCGCCTCATCGCGGTTTAGTAAAAGGTGCAGTGGCGTGCTGTCCATCTTGACCGGGCTGCGTCGCAGAGCAGATGTCTGAGGTGGAGACGGGTTGAGTGCTATGGTGTGTTGGTTGCCGTTGCGTGTCTCGTGGGCACTTAGGAGGGTTGTAGGGCTGTTGATGAGGTAGTTGATAGTGGGATGTTGCGGTAGGGATGGCTCGATGTGGGCTTGATTGAAGGTTGGGGGACGACAGGTTCGCGCGATGAGAGAGCATTGGGGCAGCTCCAATACCTTCCATGCAGATGACTCGAGGGCTACTTCAGTTGCCAGAAGGAGAGCACTACCCACGTGTAGTGTCTGAATCCGCGGCTGTGCCTTCCACCACCGGCCTCAAGCATGAACCGGGTCTGCGTTGCCGCGTAGTGGGAGACAACTTCTCGCCAGATCTGTCTTCAAGGTTGGCTTGTGCAACATATACCTCCTTTACTCGGGTAGACACCAAGGTAAGCACCCCTACTCCAACCCTTCCACCGCCGCCACCTCCTCCTCACTCGGCCTCCTGATCCCCTCAAAATGGCCCACGCCGCCCCTCAACGACCCGCCATCATTCCACACCCACACCCTCACGATCCCCTCCCCCACCTCCCCCGTATCCACCTCGGGCGTATTCATCATAACCGGCCACCCCTCCACGCCCACCTCCTCATCCCTCTCCATCACCCACCCCATCTGACACCTCACCCCCTCCCCACCCAGAAACCGTTTCCCCCACGCCGCAAACACAGCCGCCAACTGATCCGCCGTAAACCAGCACCCATTCCCCATCCCCACGTTGGCATTCTCCCCCTGCACCACCTCGCTCTCGTACACCGCGCGCAGCTCCTCCAGCGTCGGCACCCTCACCCCCACCACCTTCCCCTCCCTCGTCACCCCAGAAACAGAAGAGGAGGAGGAAGGAGAAGAGAGCTGGTACCGCGCCGACAAAATCAGCGCATGCAAGCCGCACTCGAGGTCGGTGCCCGGCGTCGGCAGGCGTGTGTAGACGCCGCGCGGGAAGGCGTCCCAGAAGCGGTGGCGGGCGCGGAGGTAGGCGGCGCAGCGGCGCAGGGCGGCGGAGGGGGTGGGGAGGATGTCCCGGGCGTGGGAGACGGGGAGGAGGATGGGGGGTTGGGGGGGTTGGGGAGTTTGGGGAGCTTGAGGAGTTTGGGGGGGTCGAGGAGTTTGGGCAGTTTGGGGAAGGGGGTTGTTGGTGGTTGTGGTGGGGCCGGTGTCGGCGGTGCTGGTTGTGGCCATTATGGCGGTGGTCAGTTTGATGAGTGGGATGCTTGTGGAAGTCGAAGGTGAAGTCGGAATTGGGTTGTGTTAGGTTGCTGGTTGAAGGTCGGTGATCCGCGTTTAGCCGCTCCCCGCCCTCTCCCCCCCCGACCCGGCCCGTTGATCGGCGAGGTGGATCCCGGCGGCCCGTGAATGTCAGATTGAAAGGATCCGATCCGATCGCGAGACAGAGGGGGCAAGCGCCGTGTCTCGGACCGGATTTACAATTCAATGACATGTACAAGTACCCAACTTCAAGGTTTCCTTTGCCATCCCCGGACTAGTTCGTTAATCGCCATGTGTCACGTTGCGTCATCAACCTTGCCTTGTGGTGATCCCGGCCTTCTACACTCCGCCAGCTGACGGCGGGTCTTCGGGCGCCGCCATGGCTCGCATGGCTGCTGAGCATGTGAAACCAGCAGCGCTCAGCTTGGGTCGGTGGGGGTGGGGTCCAGTTTACAATACGAGACGGCCAAATGCGGATGCAACTTAACAAAAGATCATGTGAGCCGCGGCATGACAAGTGGCTCAGATTAGCATCCGACATGCTCCTCCATGGCGGGTTCGGGCCTAGTGATTTGGAATTTTGCTTCAGTTGCTTCGGTCGCTTCGGCAAAGCTCATCCTCTCCGATCCTTCCGTTGCACAAAAGCGTGAGGACAAAGGGGTTGGACCCGAAAGCGAGTGGCATGCTATTTATTGTGGCTGAGACCCTCTTCGTGTAACCCGGCCCCCAAGGACCGAAACATGCAAAGGCCTTTCTAGAAGGTTGGAAAACATGCGGGAATGGAACGCATGCTGAGCTACGGTAGTATCCATACAGCCGCGCCCAGATTTTACCATGGAGATGTAACCGGATTCCTGTCGTAAATGCCGGTGCCCGTTGTATGCAGGAATCCAAAGTCATTGGGAGCGGTGGCTCAAAACAATTCTATCCTTGTAAAAATCTAAGTATGGGATTGTCGTTGGTTAGAGGTTTGGATAGGGTCAATTTGGGTCTCGCAGCGGTCGGCGGAGCAAGGTTGGGCCATCTTACGGCCCGCCTGCCAAAGTTAGCAAACAATCGCAATTACCTATCGTGAACACCATCATGGCTGGTGGCATTCGCAAACGTGAATCGCTGAAAGCAAAGACCTCTGAACATTTAAAAAAGAATTACAAGTCTGAGAGCAACCGTATCGAACCCGTGTTCAGTTCAACAACTCCCGAGAAGAACCCAAATGCGGGTGTAGAAAATGGGCAGCCGTGGCCGCCCGCTCGCATCGAGATGGGGAGACAAAGCGCATGCCGCCTCAGAAAGCAAGCCAGCAATGAAACCTGCCCGAGGCTGTTCCGAGGATACCAGGCAGCCCTCGAGCCCACTGGGTCCCAGAAAGCAACTCAACTCCCGACCAATGCAACATGTCCCTCAGTTCATATGCGGGCATAGACCAATTCCGGTTCCAGGCGCCACAACGAGTTTACCATCAACCGATCATGTACACGCCGCCGCTTCCATTCCCAGGTATTCCGTCGTGATGCATTATTGAGATAGTTTTGCGACGGGTGAGTCCTCACATGAGCACACACTTGGAGCAGCAGCCGGCCTGCGCATCGTCGTCGGCCATGTCCATCTTGCCCATGCCGCCGCCGTTGTGAGAAAGGCCGCCACCGATGGTCGGCCCGCCCTGCATCTCGCGGTTGTAATTCCTGATCGCCCGGACAACCTCGAAGAAAGCCGGCTCGACGTTGGTGTTGGTCTTGGCCGACGTCTCGAGGAAGGAGCAGTTGAACTCGTCCGCCAGCATTCTGCCCTCTGCAAGCACCTGTCAGCACCGACAAAGAAGAAAGCAATCACCCCGACTCCAGCGAGGAAACAACATACCTTCAACCGAGACCTTGCGCTCGCTCGCCAAATCAAGCTTGTTGCCGACGACAACCATGGGGAACACGTCCTTGTCCTTGACACGCAGGATTTGCTGTTGGAAGGTCCTTATCTCTTCAAAGCTCTCGCGCGACGTGATCGAGTAGACAAGCAGGAAGCCTTCGCCAGTGCGCATGTACTGCTCCCGCATTGCCGAGTACTCCTCCTGACCGGCTGTGTCCAGAACGTCGAGAAGCGCCACCTCATCGTCGACCATGCACTGCTTGCGGTAGGAATCTGCCAGCATGTCAGCCAATTGCCGGGGCCGGCAGGGGAAAGGGGGTCATTCGCTGCGTACCCTCGATGGTTGGGTCATATTCGTCGACGAAATGCGACTGGATCAGCTGGATTGTGAGGCATGACTTGCCGACACCACCGCCACCGACCACCACCAGTTTGTATTCTCTCGTGAACTGCGACGCGATCGGATTCGGGCGACAGTTAGCCAATGAGATTCAATGAGGAATGGCAGTCGCGCACAAGGTAGGACAAGGATCCAGGCACTATCGTCGGCCGGTCGATTAGGGGAGTGACGGAAACAACAAACCTTTGAGGCCATCTTTGTGGCTAACTGTGAATTGTGAAAAGGAAGAGAGGGAAAAGAAGACGACTGGAAGACTGGCTGTTAGTCTCGTTGTTCAAGAAAAAAGCTGAGGCTATCCCTCAGACTAGCAAGACCGCTCTTCGATGTGCCAAATTTATGGGGTCGGTCGCCAACCTCGCACAGGATGGTTCCGATCGGTGTTGTTGTTGGCCAAACGGAGAGAGGGGGGATGTTAGAACTGACATTGTTTGACAGAGGAATTGCCGTCTAGAAGAGAGAGCAGCGCTTTGCGCGATGGTCTGAAGTGGACGCGAGGTGAACACCCCTTTGGATTGTGTGTGGATCGGCAATCGAATTTCTCTGGAACCGCCTGGGGGCTGGTGTTGCTTGCCTTTGATCCTGCCGAAACTGGCGACCTGGTGGTTATTGGGCGAGCGATGTGTGGTGGTGATCACGGCAGGTCGGTCGGTTCGGGGTTGGAGGAGGAAGAGCTGCACGGAAAAACAGCTTGAGAAATCGAGATTACGCTGGAAGACCGCTGTGCTCCTGGCCAGGGAAGGTCAAGTTCAAAGGCGCGGCGGAAGAGCAAGAGCTGCAGGCCAAGGCAGCTAGGCGTAGTGTGGAAAGGGGTCCGTGTGCCTTCCGGGGGGGGGAAGTGGTGGGCCAGGCTCACTCCCCTTCTGATTCGCGAATGCCACGGCGCCAGCGGTGGGGGACAAAGGTACCCATGTGCCGACGGCACCATCCATCAGCTCGACTTGCCTGGTTTGGGGGTTTCGCAAATTGTTCTTTTGCCCTCGCACTGTGGCAGACCGAACGAACGTTACGATCACTCCAACCCGACGCAACCCTCATTCTCAGCTTTGAGCCGTTGAGGGAAGTGATGCACTCAAGTGAGGATAACGAGCCACTGATGACAGGACCAGCGACAGAGCTTCTGTCAGCTTTCACAGCAATTCTTATGGCGGACGGAGGCTTTTGGTCCACCCCATATGCAAGTTGCCAAGCGCCCTGGTCCTTGCTTGAACGAGGACAGAGTGAACTAACTGATTAACTTTCTTGGAGAACCTCGCCTGGCATGGAAGGTATGTGCAAGCATGTTACTTGTCAAGTATCCCAAGTATCATGAGATCTACAATGCCCGGGCGAGATTTATTGCCGGAGAAGACAATTCCATAAACGTATATGGGACGAGTGGACGGGAAGTGGCCTCTGCCAGAGACGGATATCGAATATAGATCTAGGCATGTCAGGCACTGATGCAGAGCGGTCCTGGGCCCCGCCCTGCTGCAGGATGCGCGAGCGGCTGTCCGCGTGGAGACCCGGCCAAAGAACCCAGCCAAGCCATGGAAGTTCCTGCTGTTGGGACCGCAACGAGACCGCAGCTTCAATTCGCCGCCGCACCTAGGTGGGTAGGGCTGACGACAGCCTGTTGAGAGCCTCATCGCCTGACTGACTGACTATGCGCTGTGGAGATGTCAGCCGTCAGCCACCTCTACGAATGACGCATTTTTTCTGTCCGCACACCAAGTATGATTAGGATGACTGCGCCGTTGTGGATGGCTCGCATCACTCCACCCGGCTCAGCCTGGGGATCGAATGCAACGCAGACGGGTGGCTTCCAGAACTCTGCTGCATGCTCGGCAGGGTAAGTTTGTAATTGGAACAGACCTTCCGTGTTTAGGCCGAGATCCCCAACTTGGAAGAACGGACTGCGTATGTACATATACAGTTACAACCCCTCGAGGCAGGCTGAGGCGGGAAGTGTGGCAGACAGGACGGGAGCGCCGGCACACCGGAAGCGCCGCCGTACATACCATCCCTCGACCGTCATTTCCTAATCACAGGAAATGCCCACACAGGCGGCTAACCAGGAGGCGAGATTCAGCGCGCCGATTCACGCCTCACTAATATGGCCAAGTTGATCGACAGTCTTGGGTCGTAGTGACCCGATGAAGCGCGTTGCTTTCTTAGCACGTGTGTGCTGCCACATTCGGGTGGATGATCGAACACGCCAGACCGCCGCCAACACTTGTGATGAGAGTGACTGACTGATCACATCTTGCCGAGGAAACCCGGGGGTGGCCGATTCGGATTCGTTTTCTGTGCCGCAACTGCGCTTCCGCCGGAACAGAGGGGAAACCCGGGTTTTCAGCATCGCGACTTTCCGGGCCTGGAGCCACCACGCGACGGCTTGTCACAAACGCGGTGCGCTCGAATCCCTGCGATATTGCGGGCCGGGAGAGAAGCTTCGTTTGAGAAGCAGGGGGACAAGACGGGAAGTGGGATGTTTTAGGATTGGAGTTCCCCACACCTGATATTACCACTTCTGGTTGCTTTTGTGGGGTAATTAACGCAGCTCTCCTTTTGAAGACGGCGAACGCCGTGTTGGGAGCTCGGTGAGCCGCCCTAGGTAGGATCTGTTTGATGCGGCGCAGCCCCCTACTTTCTCTCGACGAAGCAGTAGCTACATAGTAGGTATGTACTGTGTAACGATGTATCTCTCGCGGATCTTGAAATCCCAAAATCAGAACCAGTTTCCTTCCAAGGTTCGGTTGTGGTCAAGGCGCCCGATTTGGATTTATGGGGCTGTCTGTGCGCTAGCTTCCTTTTGCTCCGTCGCCAAGTCCCCATCTCGAACGAAACAAAATCACCTTCAGGGGTGCCAGCAGACCAAAGGTCAAAACCAGCGAAGAAATCCCAGCAGAAGACCCGAAACTCCCCGGACTGTCGCCTCATTGTGGCGCCCCCTATTCCATACCCGACGGTCATCAACCCTTCTAGAAGTAGTCTAGAAAATTGCCCGCCGAGGGTGGGCCGGATGGGGAAAGCGATTCACGGCATGGGAGACCCGTGGGAGTGACACCATCCCGTATTAATTTGCCGCCTGTGTAGGCGAACAAAGATCCGCCCTCGCTTGGAAAACGCGCACTGTACGGTCAAAGGACCACCTTCAGCCTCGGTCTCGTCACCCAGGTGCTCCATGTCAGGAAACCGTTGAACCAGCATCGATTGCTCTCCACCACGACCTGCGGCCGGATGCGTCACTACGATTCTTCCTCTTCATCCTCGAGTTCTTCCTCCTTTCCAGGCGTAATCAGCGTTCCTTTTACAGACTCTAGCACCTCGGGCGTGATCGTTTCTAGATACTCCTTGTCCCTGCATGTCCGGTTAGCCTCCCCCCTACGTTACACAATCCCTCGGCGCGTAGAACGGTCGATACATACCTCCCCACCAACGTCACGATATTCTTTTTCTTGCCCCACCGCGGATAACTCCCGACTTTGACGCCCTTGGGCTCAACACGCTCGGCCAGCTCCGAGAGATACTCGGCCACCGTGCTCTCGGTCAGCGGCGTCAACATGCTAACGCGCACGATCCCCTTGCCTTCAGGGTCGGTTAGGCGGGGAAGGATGGCGGGTGCCATGCCCTTGAGGAGCTGGGTGACTACGTTCTTTATATCAGCACACATCCCGTTCGGATGGCGACGCCCCTGCTAGGAACGGGAAGGACGGCCTCACATAGCCTCGGTATGCCGGGCAGGATATGCACATTGCCATTGACCACGGCAATTGGCACCCATAGGTCCTTGCAGGGGAACAGGAACTGTTCCTCGAGCGGCCGGCTCGCGTCGGTGGGCAGCTCGACCATGCGCAGTTTGGCACGTCGTGCGGGTGAGTCCTCGTCCCAGTTGAAGTCGGGGTGGCCGGGTTTGGGCTTGGAGATCTGCTTCATCAGGGCGTAGGCCTCCTTGTGCAGTACCAAGGGCAGGTCGAAGGCTTTGGCTATTGACTTGTAGGTAATGTCGTCGTGGCTAGCATGGTAAGCATTTGTAGGGGCTGGGTGCAAAGGGGGCGGCCTACGTCGGGCCAATGCCACCGCTGAGAAGGGTTAGAGTGCGGCACCCGGAGGGACAAGTTGCGAGGGGACTTGCCTTGTCACCACAAAGTCATATCGTTCGCTCATGCGGCGGACAGCCTCGATGATCTCGGCTTCGTCATCCTCGACGACTTCAACCCGTTTCAAGCTCTGCCGGTCTGGTAAGTGGCATTGCGCAGATCCGTGTGGCAAGAAGACATACAATTCCTAGACCGAAACACCATTTGGCAAAAGAATGCGAGTTGGTCTTCCCCTTCGTGTCAGTGTCCTGCACACAGTCATTCTAGAGTACTAAACTCACGTCTTGGGTCTACATCATCACCAGTCAGCCTCGACAGTCTACACGTCCAAATTCCTGACCTGCCTTTCCGCCCAACACTTCATCGCCAATAATGAGGCATGCTGCCGTGTTAATCTTTCTCGAGGCTCGCTCACTTGCTGTAATCCCCGACGTCATTGCGCTGCCTGCTGTCCCTCTTGCAGCGGCAGACGAGTGAGCGAAGTTAGGGAGCGGCCGTGAGAAATGGCGTGCTACTTGGGATACACGCGAGAACATGGGGTCGTCGGGCTGCGTGGGCTGTTTTGAAGGGTGTATGGATGGGACCTTTTACATATGCAGCCAGCTGCAGCAGAGAGAGCGGATGAATCGCTGCCGGTTTCCACGCACCCGGGGCCCCATTAATTGCTTGGGCTCTGCTCTGCTCTGCTGTGAGTGGGGCTGGTCAGCTCAATGCCACAATGCTCAACACTGAATGCGGGGCACTCCAGCATGCACCCCACCTCACACCACAACTGACGCGAGTTGATCGCCTGAGCTTCAGTGACGGAGGTATTAACAAACCGAGCAGGAAACTAACCTACCTATCACCATGGTATGTCGCCCCCTACACTCCCTCTTCAAAAAGCTACCGGGGGAGTCTCCGATGTCTTCCTTCTCCCCGGCCGTTGAAGCCCGCAGGTGCTCCGAAGAGTCCTCCAACTAACAAGTAATACCCCCCCTAGAGTTCCGAAGCAAGGCTATACACCTTCTCGCAAGAGACCAAAGACCACCTGCGCAAGTTCCGGTTAGGGACATCGCGGGCTAGCGACCCCCAGGCCGTCATCTGTATGTATGTCTCACGACACTACTACTACCCCCTAACCCTGACTCACCCTGAGAGACATCCGCCGGCTAACGACTGGGTTTCCTCTACCTGCCCTAGACATGATCGATAAGCAAACCAAGGAAATCCGTCAAGATGAAGACCAGGTAGTCTACAAGTCGCTCGACGAGCTCGCCGAAGACCTGCCAGACCACGCGCCGCGGTTCGTCCTGCTGAGCTATCCGCTGACGCTGGTATGTCAACCAAACCATTACCTCCCCACTACACCACGGACGTATGGCTGCAAGCCGGAGTCTGAAAAGTTGAAGCCTGAAAGCTGACTTATTACTGGGCAGCCCTCCGGCCGACTCTCGGTCCCCTACATCATGCTCTACTACCTGCCGACGACCTGCAACAGCGAGCTGCGCATGCTATACGCCGGGGCCAAGGAGCTCATGCGGAACACGAGCGAGGTGACGCGGATTCTAGATCTGGAGAGCGCTGAGGAGTTGGAGGAGGTTCCCGACAAGTTGGCATCTCTTTAGGGTTGCGGTAGGGAAACAATGGGGCAGGGGCGGGAGTAACGCTACAGGATGGCTGGCATTACGAGTGATGATCTTCCCAAACGGTATATGGGTGGCTTTTTTGTTTATTCTAGGCCCTAGTTATAGTTAGCCCTCCGGCACGACCTCCTTCGGGTCTAGGCCAATCTCCCCCGCTAGCCCCCTGACCACCTGCTTCAGCGCTACACACGCGGGGCTGTCTGGGAACGAGTCAAAGAAGCTCTCGCCGTAGTCGCAGGCCATGCCCAGCCGCGGGTCCAGCGGCACGGCACCCAGGAACGGGATCCCCATCTCCGTCGCCAACGCCCGCCCCCCGCCCGTCGTCGCCTGGAAGATCTCGGTCGCGTGCGTGCACTTGGGACACACAAACAGCGACATGTTCTCCACCAGCCCCAGGATCCGGATGCCCGCCTTCCGACAGAAGTCAATCTCCTTCCGCACATCCAGTAGCGACACCTCCTGCGGGGTGGTCACGACCACGGCGCCCTCGATCTTACTCTCCTTCAAAAACGTGTTCACGCTCAAATGCTCGTCGCTCGTGCCCGGCGGGGTGTCCACCAGCAAAAAGTCCAGATCCCCCCACTCCACATCCTTCAAAAACTGCTTGATCAAGCCATTCTTCTTGGGGCCGCGCCAGATGATGGCGTCGTCGCGGTTGGGCAGCATGAACTGGATGGACATAACCGCCAGGTTATCAGCCGCCCAGACGGGCGACCAGCCGCTGCCGCTGACGTGGATGGTCTCGGCCTCGACGCCGAGCATCTTGGGGATGCTGGGCCCGCAGATGTCGGTGTCCATGACGCCGACGGTGGCGTCCGGGTTCGTCGCCAGCGCCTGCGCCAGCTGCGCCGTCAGCGTGCTCTTGCCCACCCCGCCCTTGCCGCTCAGCACCAGGATCTTGTGCTTCACCCCGGCCAGCCGCGCCGTGATGGCGGGGAGGTCCGGGTCGGGCCCCTTGGGCGCCGCCGCGCATATCGTCTGGTTGGGGCACCCGGCGCACGAGTCGGCCGTGCCGGCCTGTTCGGATTCCGGGCCGGGGCAGTGTTCGGGCTCGGGGGCCACGAGCTGGGGTTTCTGTTTGAGCGGGTTCGCGAGGACGTCCTCGGCGGACTCGGGTGCTTCTAGAGACGGCCCCATGATTGGTGAGCGCAGCGCGGTAATGCGACTTGATATTGGTTGCTCGTGAGGGAGCGCAATCCAAGGCTTTTGGTGGTGTTTGGCTTAGAAATCGCCCCCCATGGCCGGGCCGGAGTTTATGGTGGGGCTTTTACTTATCTTATCGCACCCCATCCCGTTGAACGTGGGGCCGGCGCTTGCGCTAAGCGGCGGGTCGACTGCCGATCCCGGACACCCCACGTTTCCGTCCCAAGCCCACGGAAAGACTGGTGAATTGGAACCCGGGGGTTGAGAATCATGGACCGCCATGGACCGCCCTCGAGCCGCCCCTGGAATGGGATGGTAAGCCGCGGGATAAACGGTGTTTACCCGGTAAAGGTTCTGGACTTTCTTAGGACGGGCCTGATGGGGGTCATGGTCTCGAGGCGAAGCAAACATGCACGCATCTCTCGCACGTCCACAGAAAATGAATCAGACCATCACGCCCATTTATCAGGAGCGGGGAAGAGCTCGAATAGGAGACCTAGATGGATGTCACCTTCTCGGCCCGTCTCGTAGGAGAGACGGACTACCAGATTGAGTCATCCATCACATGCTCGCTTGCCTCGAGACTCTCCACCGGTGTCGTTCTTGCGCGGAACCCGCCGGCCCAGGAGCGGTGACGGGGCTGTTGTCTGATACGACGGCATGTTCACAGACAAGAGATGAGTGGCGGTCTGCGTTCGCTTCTTTGCTTCACTTGCGCCCGCCGCCCTTCTAATAGGTGGTCCCATGGGTCCCGCGTCCTAGATCGGAGCGAAGACTGTCACCTATTCCCACATCATGACCCCCGTGGTAGGGTAGGAAGACATGACATCCCGCCTTGCACCGAGGGGTCAAGCGGGCCGTGACTCAAGATACACCGCGCTCTTTGCGCTCGAGTGGTGATTGGGCATCAGTCCTCCACTAGGCCAACCACGTCATTGCATGGCGCTACTCGAGGGGTGTGCTCATCGTCGGGCGCCTATGGCATCGGAAATTGCGGGGGACGTTGGGTAGTGATCGGTAGCAAGGTGCAGATGCGCGGGAGAAATACAACGGTCTCGACGTTGGGCCATTTGTCAATGGTCGAGGGGAAAAGTCTGGGGGAGGCGTGCCTATCCAATCCATCCCAGGGTGCAGGCGGGAAGAGAATAGGGCAGCCTCTCAGGAGCCGTGGCAGATGCGGAAGGAGGAAATTGGTGACGGTGAGTGGCAGGTCGAGTTGGCGGCTGGAGCCGTTTTGGCGGACCCTGCATTAAGCCTTCACCTGACAGCGTGTGGGAGAAGGGGAAAATAGCGTGTCGAACTAGCGTGCGACCCCTGCCTGGCCCTGTCAAAAAACTCCCGGGCCGTTGTCATTGGAACCACGCACCTCGACGATGCCGGACTCCCACGCTGGAATGAGGCCAGAACCCGGCCAGCACTCCACACCACTTCGCAACCCACTGCTGCACCGTTGCCCCATCTCAGGTTTTCGTCGAATTGAGAGAGGGCGCCCAACATCGTTTGAAGCAGATAATAACCCAAGTCGCGGCTCCCCGCGCGGCTTGCGGCTCACCGTTCGACATCTGTCAAGCCGCATGCCAGTGCTCGACCTCCCCTGACGCGTTTTGTTGTTTGTCGCACCTCCTGTCTGCACGTAAACAAATAAACAATTCAGGGCACCGCATGAAGCGGGAAGCCAGTCATCCCCCTGCAAGACATTCCCCCTGAAAATCGACGCGCCGATTTGCGCCCGTATCAGATCGTCGATGCGTTTGAGGATGATGCCGACAACAAAAAAGAAGCTAGGGTCGATCGGCCTGTTTTCGCGACAGGCCGACGGTAGCGTGGGTGGTGGTCCCCAGACCGGGGGCACGAGCAGTGCCCGGGCCGCAGGAGTGGGCCAATCCGCAACGCCTGGACCTGTTTTGCCAGGGGCGAGCCACGCGACCGCGACAGGCTCGCAGCTTCCGCAGCTGCAACCCCCACACGAAATCATCGCGACACGGCAAGAACGTCAGCAGCCTGAGACTCCCGCGACTGCCAGATCAATACCTGCGCCGAGGGCCGGCCGATACACGGCACCGTCCCAGCCAACCGCGACCATGAGCCTCCCTGTACAGCATCTCCACCCGATGCAGCGGACCAGGACCTCCGCCTCAGACACTGCGCGGGAAGCCCAGCGGGGGCCCAATGCGTGGGAAGACTCGACTGTGGCCTCCATGTTTGGCGACAACGAGAGCAGGCCTGCATCGGAGAGGCTACGTGCGCCCCACGGCCGCCACTACAGTGATGGTCCGCCCCAGCGGGCTCTCCCCGCCCCGCCGACGCGCGTCCAGCCCAAGCACGATGAGAATCTGCCATTCGTCATTGGCGAGAACGGCGTGCTCAAGGTCATTCCGCCACCCAATACCCAGAAGGCCCCTGAGACAGCTCCCTTGGCCACCAATGCCACGCCGGGCGGCATCTTCGACGATCAGAGCGTCAAGCAGGACGACGTATACCATGAAGGCCGTCAGATTTTCGAGACGCCCACCAAAGCCAGCGGGCTGAGGCGCACCAAGCTGGCATACCGAGACAACCGCGATGTCAAGAGCAACGCGTCCTCGGAGCGAGCAGGGCCGGCATATTCGCCAGGGTCGCAAAGCGTGAGCCTGTCGCCCGAGAGACAGGCAGAAGCGGGTGGGCACATCGACAAGATCAGGTTCCAGGAACGCATGTCACGCGAGCGCGAGAGGCAACGAGAGCGCGACAGGGAACTAGAACGGGAGAGGGAAAGGCAACGCGAGCAAGAACGCGAAGCCCAACACAAGCGGTCCACAGTATTCGAAAACCTGACACCCCTCGACTTTGACGATCCCGATTTCAACAACACCAAGGCGGCCGTTGCCGCGCCGAGCTCCACCCTCGACGCCGATGCGCTCAAAGAAGCCCTACAACGCACGCCGCGCGCAAGCCGCCAGCCGCAATATCAACAAAAACAGCTTTTCGCACAACAAACCAACCTCCTCAGCGGGGTGCCTCCCCCCCTCAGCATCAGCCGGACGACCAGCCGGCGGCAAAAATCACCAGCCAAAGAACCGGGCCCGGCCCCGGCGTCGACCACGTCGCGAAAGCGCCGCCAGAGCCTCGACTACAACGACGCCGAGCTGCACGCGATGAGCTATTCCGACCTGCACAACCAATCCTTCGACTTCGACCCGCAGACGGCCGCGCTGCAGCAAACATCGGTGCCACCCGCAGGGGGCAGCATCGAGGAGCGGCTGGAGCACTACCAGAAGAAGGGCAGCATGGACCAGCACGAGTTCTTCGCGCGGGCGTCGGTGGACGAGTGGGACGAGGCGGGCGACTGGTTCCTCTCCCGCTTCGGCGACGTCATGCTGCGGCTCAAGCAGGCGCGCCGGAACAAGCGCCGGCTCGTGCAGCAGTTCGAGGACGAGGTCGCCGCGCGCGAGGAGGCCGTGCGCGGCAAGATCGAGGGCATCGGCCGCACGCTTGAGGACCTTAAGCAGGAGGGCCAGACCATGATGGAGGGGAAGGATGTGGACGTGGAGTTTTGAGCGGGGTGTGGAGTGTTGTTGTTCGGAGGCTAGAGGCCAGCACGAGGGGAGGGTGTAATGCGCGGCAGCGGTAGGGCAGGGCGGTGGCATGTTGCTTCGTGGTAGGGGGTGTATACGAACGAATTCCCTCGCTGCTGTGGTGCGGTGTTGTGGCTGTTTCTGTTTTCTTATTTTCGTCTCAAACTGGCTGGACTTATGATTAACGACCTAACGAACAAGACCAAAACATCAATCACTAACGACATGACTAACGATTTAACGATATGCTTGACGATTTCACGACAAAATGGGATACAGCGGGGTGGACAGGCGGTTATTACGTTTCATTTCATGGAGGCATAGCTGCGTTTCTCTCATCCCATTATGCATGCTCTGAGGATTCATACATAGATGGCTGGGTATGTAGCTGGTATCTGGTAGACTCTCTTCTCTCTACTCACTTTTAAAAACCCACAATTATATACTTTATCTGTTTCTTTTTTCAACGCAAGCTCTCCAGCAACCATCACCGCCCTTATCCACCAATCTAGCTCATCTAAATAACCATACTCTCCACGACCCCACGATCCCTCCCGACCACAATCCGCAACTGACACCCCTCCCGGCGGCGACCCTCCACGCCCTCAAACACCCCGCGCCGCACCCCGTCCGTGTACAGCTCGTACGCGGGGAAGTAGGCGTCCACGAAGCGGCGCACCTGCGCCTCGCTCATGCCGCTCCCGCGCTCCCGCCGCAGCTGTGCCTCCTGCTCGGCCCGCCACTCGTACACATACCCGTTGTCGGCCGCGTCCACGTGCACGAACGCGTCCAGCGTGCCGTGGAGGGCTGTTTCGTAGTGGGTCAGTTGGGTGTTGATCCATTCGAGGTGTTCGAGCTTGTGCTGGTGCAGGGTGCGCGTGGCGGGCTGCTGCCAGCGGCGGGTTAGTTCGGCGGGGGGGAGGGCGCGGAAGCCGATGCACCACCCTTCGAGGATGACCACGCGCGGCGGGTTGCTGGCGGAGGTTTGTGGCCAGCTGGGGGGGGGGAGGCGGTCGCCGAGGCCGGAGAAGGCGGATTTGTCGTATTGGGGGATCGGGGTCGGTTGGTTGGCGGTGAGGGAGGCGAGGAAGCTGGTGAGGAGGGGGATGTCGTGCGTTCCTGGGGGGTTGGGTTCGGGTGTGGTTAGTCGGTGGTGGAGTTATGCAAAGTGGCACAAGGGCTACTGGGATGGGATGGCTAACCTGGCTCGCCGCGACACTGTACCAGCGCGTTGTCGGGATGCGCCGCCGCCAGCGCGAGCTGGTCTGCGTGTGTAAGGTAAAAGTCGTCGATGCTCACTACCAAAGTGGGCAACCCCTCGCGCTCCTGAAGCGTCTCGGCTAGGGCGCGTACGAGGGTGGTTTTGCCCACTCCCTGGACCCCGTTCAGGCCTACTATAAACGGCCGCGGGTTGTCTTCCCCAGCATGCTGTTTCCTGTACTCTGCGATACGTGATAGGATGAAAGGGATGCAGATGGGCGATTTGTCGTCGACTATGCGGGTCTGCAGGGGCTCGTCTGGTGTGGCCATATTGGTGTGCTTAATTCTGGCCAGCTGCCCGAAAGTGTCAGTTGGGGTGTCGCAGTTGGGCAGTTGAGCATAAATTCTGAGCTGTCATTTCAGCCAGTTCATCATGGTTGCAGCCTCACCACATGGGACGGTGTTCAGGGTGGTGCGATGACGACAGAGCGGCCATCTTGGCGCTGCAATGCGGGGTGCGTCAATTGGGGTCGTGGGGAATTTGAAAGTGTGGGGGAGCTGTCAAATGCAGTGCAGTGGCTGCTTCAATGTCATTTGGCATGTTAAGAACGAGCATGTTCTCCCTAGTCGGGCTCGTGGCTATTGGAGAGTGATGGATGGAATATGGATGAATTTCGCACCCAACTCGACTTCCAGGGCGATGCTTCCAAGGCTTTCTTCCTCCGGCCTTGACTCAAGTGTCAGATCCCGGGCCCTTGAGGATTGATGGAGGATGCTGGACCTGGCCTCGGCTTGGAGGAGTTCGGTAACTCGCCCCCGACCAAGGTCATCGATCCGGTGTCCAGAACATCGGTTCCACGTTACGAATACTCTTTCGGGCAGTCCTCAACGTAGGTTGAACTTGACCGATACCGGGTCGGATTTCACACCGCCTAGTACAGCATCGAGACGGTAAATAGCCTCCACGATGGCTCATGCCTCATGTTCAATGTGTCGAGCGCCGCAAAACGTTGAACCGGCGCAAGTCGTTTGGAAAAGGTCACCCGCGGAGCTGAGCTTGGCTGATTGGCCAGCAACTGACCGGGGTAACGACCGGGGCGAGTTGCATGTGAAAAAAGCCCTGCGCAACGGTGCCTCGAGGACACATCCCCGCTCTCGGCAATGTTGGCTAACAGTGGAGACCGAATGTGCGAGCAAGCGACAGCCGTATTGCCTCGGCTTAACGCGCCGGCAGCTCAGCACTGACACCACTTGCCGACGTCAAAGGCACTCCTTATAGAACTGCAACGTTTCCGGCTCGCAACTTCCAATTCCGACCGTACTTTTTCCCGAATCAAATCTTGAGTAGTTTGCTTCGCTGCGACACTCTCAATCACGCTGTTTTTTCTTATTTTTCTAGCCGTTCCGTCGCATTTCCCAAACACACACATCACAGACTCGACATGTCGGACCAATTGCGATTCGACGGCCAGGTCGTTGTCGTCACCGGCGCTGGCGGCGGTCTCGGCAAGGCCTATGCCACCTTTTTTGCGTCGCGCGGTGCCAGCGTCGTCGTGAACGATCTCGGTGGGTCTTTTAAGGGTGAGGGTAACGACTCCAAGGTTAGTTGCTTCCATTGCGCTCCATGCTCCTAGGAATTTTCTAGATCGGTGTAGCTGACGAGTTTAGGCCGCCGATGTTGTCGTCAACGAGATCAAGGCCGCCGGCGGCAAGGCCGTTGCCAACTACGACAGCGTAGAGAACGGCGACAAGATTATCGAGACCGCCATCAAGGCCTACGGTCGCATCGACATCCTCATCAACAATGCCGGTATTCTGCGCGATATCAGCTTCAAGAACATGAAGGACCAGGACTGGGATCTGATCTTCAAGGTTCATGTCAGGGGCAGCTACAAGTGCTCCCGCGCCGCCTGGCCCTACTTCCGCAAGCAAAAGTACGGCCGCGTTATCAACACCGCCTCAGCCGCCGGCCTGTTCGGCAACTTCGGCCAGGCCAACTACTCGGCTGCCAAACTCGCCATGGTTGGCTTCACCGAGACCCTCGCCAAGGAGGGCGCCAAGTACAACATCGTCGCCAACGTCATCGCCCCCGTGGCCGCTAGCCGCATGACCGAGACTATCATGCCACCAGATGTCCTCGCCCTCATGAAGCCTGAGTGGGTCGTGCCGCTCGTGGCTGTCCTGGTGCACAAGAACAACACATCCGAGTCCGGCTCCATTTTTGAGGTCGGCGGCGGTCACATCGCCAAGCTCCGTTGGGAGCGGTCTTCCGGCCTGCTGTGCAAGTGCGACGACAGCTACACCCCCAGCGCCCTCATCAAGAAGTGGGATCGCGTGACCGACTTCTCCAACCCGCAGTATCCCAGCGGCCCCAACGACTTCCTCACCCTTCTCGAGGACTCGCAGAAGCTCGGCCGCAACGAGCAGGGCGAGAAGGTTGATTTCACTGGTCGGGTCGCTCTCGTCACCGGTGGTGGTGCGGGTATCGGGCGTGCCTACTGCTTGGCTTTTGCCAAGGCTGGCGCTGCCATCGTTGTCAACGACCTCGTGAACCCCGACGACGTCGTGAACGAGATCAAGAAGATGGGCGGCAAGGCCGTGGGTGCCAAGTTCTCGGCCGAAGACGGTGACGCCGTCGTAAAGACCGCCATCGATGCTTTCGGTCGCGTTGATATCGTAATCAACAACGCTGGTATCCTGAGGGACAAGGCGTTCACCAACATGGATGACAATCTGTGGGACCCCGTCATGAATGTGCACGCCCGCGGTACCTACAAGGTCACCAAGGCTGCTTGGCCCTACTTCCTTAAGCAGAAGTACGGCCGTGTTGTCAACACTACCTCGACGAGCGGCATCTATGGCAACTTTGGCCAAGCCAACTACTCTGCAGCGGTAAGTCAAACAGGATTAAAAAAGGTGACTACGAACTAGGCGCTAACTTGAACAGAAATGCGCCATTCTCGGCTTCTCGCGCGCCATCGCCCTCGAGGGTGCCAAGTACAACATTTTTGTCAACACCATCGCCCCTAACGCCGGCACGGCCATGACCAAGACCATCCTCCCCGAGGAGCTCGTACAGGCTTTCAAGCCCGAGTACATTGCTCCCCTGGTGCTCGCTCTCAGCAGCGACAAGCTGCCCAACCCTACGGGCGGCTTGTACGAGGTCGGTAGCGGCTGGGTTGGCCAGACGAGGTGGCAGCGCACCGGCGGCCACGGCTTCCCGGTCGACGTGCCGTTGACCCCTGAGGCGGTCGTTAAGAACTGGGAGCCCATCGTCACCTTCGACGGCCGGGCCGATCACCCCGAGAAGACGCAGGACAGCCTGCAGAAGATCATGGCCAACATGGAGAACCGGAGCGGCGAGGGAAAGGTATGATCTGCTTTCTATCTGCTAGTTCTTCCGCTTCATCCATGTACGATAGTATTATGATATATTCTATGTAGAATGCATGATGTGTTAACGCGTCCATCTCTGTAGAGCGCCGGTGGAAACCAGTATCTCGACGCCATCCAGCAGGCGCTCAAGACCGAGGGCAAGGGCACCGAGTTTAAGTTCACCGAGCGCGACGCGATGCTGTACAACCTCGGCATCGGTGCTAAGCGGACCGATCTGCGCTATATTTTGTATGCCCGCTGCCCTCTCAACCCCCTCTCCACACAACTAATAAGTAATTAGCGAGGGCCATGATGACTTCCAAGTCATCCCCACCTTCGGCGTGATCCCGCCCTTTGACGCCGAAACCCCTTACAACCTCGATGACCTCGTCCCCAACTTCTCCCCCATGATGCTCCTCCACGGCGAGCAGTACCTCGAGGTCAGGAAGTACCCGGTCCCCACCTCGGGCCGTCTCATCTCCAAGGCCAAGCTGCTCGAGGTCGTCGACAAGGGCAACGCCGCCATCGTCAAGTCTGGCGTGACGACGGTCAACGCCGAGACGGGCGAGGACGTCTTCTACAACGAGATGACCGTCTTCCTCAGGGGCTGCGGCGGCTTCGGCGGCCAAAAGAAGGCCGCCGACCGCGGCGCCAGCACTGCCGCCAACAAGCCCCCGGCCCGCGCCCCCGACGCCGTCGTCGAGGAGAAGACCACCGAGGAGCAGGCTGCCGTGTACCGCCTGAGCGGCGACTACAAGTATGCACCACCCCCTCCCCCTCCATTCACCCTTCCAACAAAAAGGCATAAAGAATACTAACAAACCGCCCTAAAAGCCCCCTCCACGTCGACCCCTCCTTCGCCAAGATGGGCGGCTTCAAGCAGCCCATCCTGCACGGCCTGTGCTTCTTCGGCTTCGCCGGCAAGGCCGTCTACGAGCAGTTTGGCGCCTTCAAGAACGTGAAGGTCCGCTTCGCGGGCACCGTCAACCCCGGCCAGACCCTCGTCACCGAGATGTGGAAGGAGGACGGCGGCAAGAAGGTCGTCTTCCAGACCCGTGTCAAGGAGACGGGCAAATTGGCTATTGGGGGCGCTGCGGCTGAGTTGGTTTAGGGGGCTGATGGTTGTAGTGGTGGTCGTGGTGAGGGTGGGAGGGGGGAGAGGGAGTGATGGGAGGGGGGGGGGAGGGCCGCCGTGATGGGTGGGATTGGGAGGCGCTGGCACGGGCGATGGTGCTCTGCTATTGTATGAACCCGTGGGGTTGATCATCTGGATGGATTGTCAAGGTTGGTTGACTGGTTTTTTGGGATGTATGAATAGCGGAGTTTGTATTGTTGGTTTGTTAGACTGTCACCATGTGATTGCTCAGTTTTTTTTTTTTTACCTATGATTGATGTTGTTTTCGCTGTCGAGACCAAGTTTGAGTTTACCGTCATTGACGTTGTTTTCGCTGCCGACAACACTCGTTTGGTTTAGCAAAGCATCATTGGAATATCTATTAGATCACGTTTGGTGCCCCTTCTGGTGAATGTAAATGTCGTCATTCCATTCGGATGGGTATCATAATCTGTGCCAGGTTCCTCTGGCTAATTGCCCCATGACCCTTTCCCGTCCCAAGCGTCATCCACACCAAACAAAAACCATTAAGCTAAGCAAGACACAGGTAGTCTTGCCATTACTGGACTGCTTCGCAAAAGAACGCCGACCGATTGAACCCCAACCTGTCCCGAATGAAAGAAAACCCGACTGTTTGTTGTATCCCCACCGTAAAACCGTCTCCGTGTCGTGAAGCCATGCGCGGCTTCTGATTCTTGAGCATCATAGCAGGTCAAAGGATATGAAGAAATGCCCCTTCTTTTCTCGTCCCGTATCCAAAACAAAATCATATCCGTAACACCTTTGTTTGTCCACCCTGTTCGTTTTCTTGATTAGGCATATAGCTTCACGCAACTGGCACGACATCGGCCCTCTCCCGCTCGCTGGCGCTCCCCAAAGGCGTGGCGGTGGCCGACACGATCCTGACCCCCTCGCCGGCGGTAGTCTTGGTCTCGTCCTGGGATTTGGCGTCGACGTGGTGCTCGGACGCGGTATCGAAATCCGTCTCGGTCGTCTGCGGCGTCCTCGGCTCCCTTTCGGAATCGTCCTCAACGGAAGAGGTGGGTTCGAGGGTTTGCGGGGTGGGCGGAACCATGGAAGATGGCGAGACGTTGATGTCGTTGTCTTCGTTTTCGGCCTTGTGCGTACCTTGGATCGGGCTGGAGCCCGAGCCTGAGCTCAGCCGAGATGGTGAGGTGGTGTTGACTGCCACGGCGGTGCAGACCGAGGATGTGTTCTTGGTGTGTCCAGGGCTAGCGGAGCCTTGCGTGTGTGTGGGCGAGCCTTGGTCAGTTTCGGGGTGGGTGGGTTCTTGTGTGGCAACCGTCTCGTCCAGGGAGGCTCTGGCGCCGTCGCCCCGTGACTCGATGGATAAAAAGGAGTTCCGAATGGGGCTCCTCAGAGATGAGACGTCGCCGTACTCGCTCTTGCTTCCTCGCGACGCGCGCGCGGGGCTTCGCATGGGGAGGGGAGGAGGTATCCGCTTCGGGATAGTTACAATGGCACCCTTGGCTTGGATTACATGGGTGACCTGGGACCGCTGGATGGAAGTCCGTGCTGGCTGGGCCGATGCGGTTGCGACCTCGCAGACGACGGCATCCTCTTCCTCATCCTCGTCGTCTTCGTCATCAGCGTCCTCGTCCCGTTCGTCGGTGGCCTTGGGGCTCGGGCCCTCACTTGGGGTGGGCGGGGGTAACGATTTCGCTGGGGACCACTGGAGTCATATCTTGCGTCGTCTTGATCTCGGTAGTGGTAGTGGCCTCCGTAACCTTGGTCTCCTTTGTCTCGATAACCTGGACTGGCTGGGGTGCAACAGGCTCGATCGTCCTCCTCTTTAGCTTCTCAATGATGCTCGTGTCGACTTGGGTGTAGTCGACCTCCTCAGGCTCTACAACCGTGGGCAGCCTCTCAACGCCGTCCTTTCCATCGTCGCTGTTAGCCCGACTGAAGGTGGTGTACGAGGTGCTCGCCACATCTGTTTGCGTGCACGCATCGGTCAATGTGGTGGCTTGTGTCCGCGCCGACATGCAGCTGCCTCGGTTGCTTCTCGAGACGAACGTATCCATGCTCTGGCGACTAAACCTCCCGTACAGCGGGCTGCTCGGGCTCGGCTGGTACTCGAACTGGGTGCTGATCGGTCGGAGCTTGGAACCGGCCTCTCGGATTTCAATGCCTGCCATCTCTAGGCCGATGACTCCGAACGGATCCGGATCGCTGGCGTCCGGGACGCCAAAGGCCAGCTTGGTCGGCGACGTGATGGACGCGATGGACTCTCTGGGGCTGCTCTCGATATCAGCATCACCTGGTGCTGGCTGTTGCGCTAACCAGTCCATCAACGCCTTGTCATAGTCGGAGCGGCCCTCGGCGGCCTTGATGACCTCAAACAGGGGCCGCATCTGCGGCACGTTTTTGGGGATGTTACCCGCGAGGATGTCGAGGATGGTGACGCCGGCGCGGTAGAATTTCTCGTTCTCGTTGCCGCGTTCAGTCACCATGGAGCCGTCCAGCCGCGCTGCCTGATGCTTTCCTCTAGCCTTCACGTAGGTCAAGACGGTCTCGCTGATCTCCTTCCATTTTATCTCGGGGTCCTGTGCTCCGGCCGCAACGAGTGGTCCCACGGCTAGACTAACCTCGGCACCCAGTACTAGCCTCGGGCGGGTGAAGAGCTCGAGGGTCTGTACGCTGTTGATCACCAATACGCAATCGTAGATATCGACGCCCATTTCGAAAGCGAGTTCAGCCGTGTGTAATATGATGGCGGAGGGGGGCGACCATGTTCCGTCGGCCTTGCGTGCTGTGATCAGGCCGGCGCCTCCGGAACCCGACATCCAGAGGCCGGACCGCATGCAGGAGAAGACTGCGAGGCCGACGGCATTTTGTATTATTCGTGGGGGGATCTTCTTTGTGACGTATTTTGGTGTTGGTTTCGGTTCTGCTGTGCTCGCCTCGGTTTGGTCGGTTTGGGCGGCCTGGTCGACCTGATCGATCTGGTCCGTCTCATTGGTCTCGTCAAATTCCTGAGAGAGGAAGCCGTCAACTGCGTCTCCGTTAGCACAATTCCCAAGACACACGCCTTCCCTCAACGCCAGGACATACAGCAAAATGACTTGATGATCCTTGCGGCCTTGTCGCATTCTTTGTCGAGACTCGTCGGCCAATAGGTTTCTCGGCCGTAACGGGTGGGCGCGGCGGGTGCGGTTGAAATGCTGATTCGGGAGGCGGGCACAATCTTCTCGGCCCAGCCAAAGACCTTGTTCAGGGCACCGGGTGCCTTTGGTGGTGCCGGGGCGGGGTTGCTGGCGGCGGTGGTGGTGGTGTTGGTGTTGGTTTTGTTGGTGGTGGGAGGAACGGGAGCGCTGTGTCTCGACCGGTCCCACGAGGGGAGAAGAGCCGAGACGCGATGCATGGTGAGTTGACCGCCCGGCGCCGCGAGCAGCTGTTCTCACCAAACCCACGCGGTGAGTGTGTGGTGTTCGTAATCGAACAGATTGGGTGGTTGTAGGCGAAGGAAGGGAGGAGGGGGGGAGGGCGGCAAACAGGGAGCCTTCGCCGTTTTCAATCAGGCCCGGGCCCTGGGGCAGTCCCCCGAACCAAGCCGAACCAGGCCACTGGAAAGGCTACTAGTGACGTGGGCACCGCCGGCGATCCCGCGCAAACAGCCCAACAGTGCCAACCAAAAAGCAAGCCTCGAGCCCAGCCTGACAGGGGGGTCTCTGCGCCTGGGCCGAGCGTTGCAGTGGTTTTGCGCTTCACCCACCCACTCACCCACTTTTCGCCCACTCCACCGACTCGCTTGGTTGTTGGGTGCCGCTGCACGGCAATGACGATGGGCTATCACGGTTACAGCGCAGGGCAGTCGAGACCCGCAGCCCTTTCCCGTCTTGGGTTGGGTGGTGTTGATGGCTAGTGATGGTGTGCAGTTCCGTTCTGTGCCTGACAGCAATTGATTGTGCAAAAATTGATATTTAATATGCGGAGGGCGGCAAAGATGGGCCCATGGTCAAGGCCATTGACATGGGTGAGAAGACGATCTCGACGCCGCCGGGGCCGGTCCGCAAGATCCTGCTGTCGATCGGAAGCCACACCAGCGGTTGAGTTTCCGAGTTTGCGCCGCCTGGGGGCGTATGTTACGGGAGATAAGGAGTTATTGGTTATGTAGGGAGGGAATCAAGGGCGTCGAGGGCTGCGGCCGGAAAATGAGGGGCAAGGTACAACCTAGCAGGAGGCGGATGGCTGTGATCGATCAGGAGCCGAAGTTCTCGACCAACAAAGCCGAGGTGAGAGATGGGGTTTGTGGAATAATAAATGCGAGTATTCCGTATTCTAGACGAGGAAGAAAACCAAAAAGAAAAACCTAACAATCTGGGCTTCCGGGCTGGCACGGCTCCAACATGGGAGCTCTTTGATCGACCTCTGCTTTACTCAGCCTCGCTCAGCTGCGATAAAGCAGTCAAAAAGTCCCATGTTCCCTGAATACGATCGATCCCAGTGCTTTCTTTTCTCCACCGGCCAAGGAAAGAGTTTTGCTGCAGGACTCCCCGAGTATTTCAGGGCAAAAAGCACTATTGTTGCTCCTACCCCGGGCCAACCAAACACGGGACTGGCTTGTTTGCGATCGGGATTCTCCCTTCCCCTGCGTCATGTCCCGCGGGAGACGGCTCAAGCAAGATCACGGCCTGCGAGCCGGTAGTTAGGCGCAGAATACCGAGATCCCCACTCCCGGTCCCAGCCAGCCCTGGTTCATGCAGTGCCGTAGTTCAACCGTTTCTCCGTTTTCAGAACAGGTCCACCCTGGTCGCAAGCCGAACCCGCCGAAAGAAAGGCCCACAGGCCCGAGCACAGGTGAGCTGGTCGAGCCAGGCCTTCCAGCGATCCATGGCGTCATGTGCTCTCGCATTTCTCATCGCCGACCTGCTCATCCTCCCATCCAACCATCCTGACAACACATCAGCATCGATCAGCCGACCTGATTATTTTCGTACCACCCGGCCATGCCGGTTACTCTGTTGATTCTCTCAATGACCGGGACTTATCAGCAATTCACGACGGAAGGGAAAATATCTTGACCAAGACGGGCATTGCCCGACTGTCTCGGACCGGTGCATACTGGGTGCATGAATATGCACTTTTTTATGTGCCTGTAATCTGTATGGATGTACCAATCATACACACCAGCAACACCAAAAAGTTGCACCAAAGGGATAACTTCCCTTCTCCCCCCAAGCCACAACGACACCCGCTTTGACGTAACCTCCATGTTGTTGGAATGATCTACCATCCAGCAGCCAGCTGGATCGGTCCTTCTCATTTCTCATGCAAGAAACCCAACATGGAAGACCAACAGAGTAACCAACAAATCTCCGAGACTCCACGGTGTTCTTGCACATTGACGAAAAAGAAAAAAGATATCGAGATCGAGATCGAGATGCAATTGAAGATGGCAGGTCGAGCCGCCTGCTGTTGCACTTGGGGCCCCGCCTCGATTGCTTTTTCTCCCTCCTCTCTTCCTCGGTTACTGTCTTGTCCGAAGCAGGTTTTCTTCTTTTCCCCTCATGCGAGGACTTAGTGGTCTCACCAGTCAAGCCCCCAATCAACTTTAATTGTGGTTGGTCTGTTGCGTGCTGACCTGCGTCGTGGCCGGCCTGCGGCCAAATCGGGAGGCCAGGAAGTCTGTGGAGATGAGTCTGGCAGCACATAAGCATCAAAGCCAGTCTAACTACTGCCACGCTGCAATGGAGCAGACAAAGTCGACAGCCGCACTTTACATCTAACCCCCTTGGGGGGCGAGGTACAGCGTCCAAGTCTCATCAACCTCAGCTCTTGGGGGTTTATCACGTCTTTGCCTCAAGCATAGTTACTCAGAGCCCTTCATTAAAGGGACGAACGGGGCTATGAATAGTATCCTGTGTGGGCAGGCCAAACCGCAGGTGACACTGGTCCGCTCACTACCGGCATATCGCGTTGCGAGTACAGGCAAACAACTACTACCCGACGTACGTTCCACGTCCACCGACCTCCGCCTCTCCTATCATTACGTATGACATGTAGTGTAGTATATGTCGAGCGAGATTGTGGGCCAGATGAGGCTAAGGCAAGGCTGTGCCCGTGTGGTGTGGTGGCCCGCGTCGTGCCGCTCGCCGGCCGTTGAGCCGTTGCACTACGCCGCGCGGTTGCCGATTGCCTTGAGTCTGTCTGTTTGGTTGCGGCTGTCCTCGGGCAATGTATGCTGTTCCAGCTGGGGGGCCAAGCACGTTTCTCCAGGCACCATCTTGTATGCATGCAAGAGGCCCGGCTGCGTCACGTCTTGTCTTGTGTGATGTCGAGATTTGGGCGTTGTCATCCGGCTGATGGGTCCTGAGTTGGTCGGGGTTTTCGGTCTTGCCCGTCTTTGTCCTCACCGAGGTAACCTCGGAGACAGGAGGGGTAAGGTGGTGTACCGTCCCGTACAACGCCGGAGATGAACACGACTTGAGACCGCCGGGTTGGTCGTTGACAGATTGTTGCGTCCGCCTCCGTCGCTGGTAGGGACCTGGGGCTGGCAGCAGCTCATGACACATCGAGGTTCAAGGAGGAAAAGCAAAAGTAATAAAAGAGGATGCTATGCTATTCATGTCTACCGACAATTGCTTGCATTCTGTCTAATAGTGCGCCCGATCCGTTTAAACCGTGATCCCAAATCTATAATGCGTTGCTGAACCGAACGAGTCGTGAGTGTCGTGAGTCGTAATATTTACATCCGTGTCGTGTGTTGTTGGTGTTGTTGGTGTTGTTGTGATGAAAGATTATATCGCATGTGTTTGTCTTGCAAAGTGACCACCCCCAAAGAGACAGGCCTCACTCACTGTCCACCACCTCCTTCCCCAGCCTCGGATACTCGCCCCCGTCCACAAGGAACTTCTCCAGCCCCAAACAATCCACGGTCTTGACGCACGTCAGCCCCTCCCGGCGGCGCTCCATACGCTTGCCCTTCACCGCACCAGGCGGGATAGGCTCCCACTCATCATCCGTCACGGGGCTAAACACATACACCTCGCGCGAGCTCGCCATGAAGTCACCAGCAGCGGCATCCCCCTCCATGTGGAAGCGGCCGAGACGGGGCATCTTGCCGCGCAGGCCCGAGAAGAGGCCGCGGAAGGACCCCTCGTGCAGGTGCACGCCGCCCGTGCTCCACTCGTCGGGCTTGGCCAGCCCGCGCCCGCCCAGCCGCAGCCGCTCGAGGGTGGCCCCGTGCCGCAGGATGAAGCCCTTGAGGTCCTCCTCGCCGCAGCTGATGCCCTCCAGCTTGAGGTCGGTCAGCTTGGTGTACGTGAACCCGCCCGCGCCGCTCGTGTGGCCGTAGCGGCCGCCGGCGCCGGGGAAGAGGGCCGCGAAGGAGAGGTGGAACTTCTGCATGGGTGCGTGGTGGTTGTGGAAGGCGAGGCTGAGGTGGGTGAGGTTGACGCTGTAGTGCAGCACGCCGCCCAGGCCGTTGATGGCGCGGTGCCGGGCCGACGGCAGCAGGTTGGGGGGCGGGTCGAGCACCAGGCTCAGGCGCGACAGGCTGGAGAAGGAGCGCGCGCAGTCGAACCAGTGGCGGCGGTCGTCGGCGAGGCGGAAGACCTCGAGCGGGAGCTGGTCGATCGAGAGCGACGACAGGCGCACGTGCCGGATTGCAGAGACGATGCCGTTCATCGTCTTACAGATCTGGTTGCGGTTGTGCTTGCGGCCGGCGCCGGCCTGGAAGACCTCCTGGAGGAGGGGGATGTTGTAGGGGCATTTCGTGAGGGTGATTTCGAGATCTTTGAGGTTGGGTAGCCGCTTGAAGGCTTCCTCGACGGTGGAGGAGCGTGCGTGGAAGGGCGGGAGCTTGCGGGCGTTCTCTTCCAGCTCGTAGTACCGTTGCCAGGCGTCCTGAAAGAGTGCGTTGCGCTCCCCGGGCTCCTCGAACCAGTGCTGGAAGAAGGAGGTGTGGCGGGCGGTGTACTCGTCGACTTTGGAAAAGTTGAAGGTGAGAGACCGGATGCTGCCGCGGAGGCGGTCGCTGCCGGCGATGGAGCGCAGGCGAGAGATGTCGTCCCGCCACTCGACGGCGTTGAAGTGCGGTTCGATGAGGTATTCGTAGCCCACGTCGGCGTACCTGCCTGACGCCAGGCGGAGGGCTCTTACAGAGGGGCCATCGCAATATTGATAGACGAGTTGGACCAGCTCGACGGGAAGGGAGTCCATGCTGGGACGAGGAGAACCACCAATACCCAAAGACGATCAGCTGCGCCCATCGGATCGAGGAGCTGCAGGACAGACGGCAGGAACCGACGTGAAGAGGAGAGATAAAGTGTGGGATATGACATGGGACGATCGATGGGTGAGAAGACCGACTTATACACCGCCAAGCAGAGCTTGCGTTTTTGCGTCTGACAAAGGCCGCGACCAATCAGCAGCCTACCACAGCGCCGACCGTCAACTTTGCCGGGCGAGACAGCATGCAGAACCCGAAAAACTTGCCCCGGGAGCCCCGCTGCCCCTTGCGTTAGTTAGCTGGCAGGCTGGCACGTTGGCACGTTGGGGCCGCATCGGGAAAACAAGAGACGAGGCAGAGAGGCACCGACACCGAAGAGTCTGGGGGCAAGAAGTCGGTGAGCTCAAGACAGACGAGACAGACCAGGGGGCAGACCACGACACACACGACTGCTGGCCCAGTCCAGGGCCAGGCCTCCCGGAAGAAACAGGGGAGCGGGTGCATTAGCGGCCAGTTGCAGGGTCCGCCGCTCGAACACATCTGCAAGCCACGACAGGGCCACATGGAATTGCTGGGCCCGGGTGGATTCCCAGTGACAAGTGCGGACCGCTGGGTCCCGAAAGAGCGGACTGGCGGTGGGCGGTGAGCAACGGTGGTCCGCCCCCCGTGTGACGGAAAGGAGGTGTGACGGATGCGACACCGCCCGCTGGCCGCCTTTTCTGCGATCGTCTCGTCCACCCGGTGTAGAAATGGACATGTCGGCCTGACTGCTGTTGTGCCTGGCAGCACGTGAAGAGGCGCTGATGTGGGTGCGAGCAGTGATCACCCGCCGTCCGATCGCGGATCTGAGTTGACAGGCCATGGTGGCTTCCAGAAGGCTTCCAGGTCGGTGGACTGTGTCAGCGGTGCAGGCGAGCTGACGAGAGACAGGCTGCGCGGCTGTTAAGGCTCTTGACTGGAGACTGCGAGTGTGTCCTGCGGGAGTACTCGGTGATTCAGTTCCATCATCAGCTGCTGAGATGGGCATGGAGCCTTCGGGTAGCAGTCAACAGCAGCTGAAATTATTAGTTACTCCGAGATGCCCGACTCGAGTGGCGGAGGCAAAGCAGAATTCCCCCAAAAGGCGGGCAGCGCACCCGGCGGAGCGATAACTGCCATGCCCCGCATGCCGAGAGGTCTCGTTTTCGTAACACTGACGGGCATTGGACGCGGTTGATGTCTCACTTGTCTGTTTTCTCTATTCGCTGGGTCAGGCACACATCTTTCACCGACACTTGTTACCAAGTAACTCCCGACTGGGAAGCAAAAGCCAGTCATCCACATCACCGGGTACCGATATTCGCGGACAAGCTTGCCAAACTCGGACAGCCAGCGAAAAAGGAGCAACTGGAGGCGAGGTGCCCACAGTTCCAAAAGTTGCAGCTGGCGATAGTTTAAAAATTGGCCGCAGCGTTGGTTGGTTCTGCGGTCCCGCACAAAGCCTGAGCTCATGCAACCGAGAACTCCCGTCACCGCTGAGACTACTGCATAGTTAGTTAACTAATGTCGGGCCTCTCTCCATCGGAAACAAGGCCCAGACATGCATCCTCAAATCTGAGATATGATGCAGCTTTTAATGAGATACGAGCTGACACATTTTTAGACCGAAGGTGACAATATTGCCTCGTTTGCGTTCGGATATGCAAGTTAGTATCGAACGGACACCTACTGTGTACCGTGGAGATGTTGTCGATGCGTGGATGGGAGAATCTCAGAATGTTGAACCCATTCATCAGCAGCGGGAAATGGCAGAAAATGGAATTCCCACCGAACTTTTCTAGCCCCTTGGCTTCCATTGTGAATGTGGGGGTTTCCGGGGATTTGCTTCCGCCTGCCGCGCGCCGCGGGGCCCGCTCGAAGCCTGGTTGGTCCACCATTTTGTGAGATGTTGAGATGGTGCACAGACCATGACACCCTGAGATTTGGAAACCGCCCGCCAGGCTTCCTGCCCTCGACTGCCTTGCTGAAACGAACACAAACTAAGCTCCGAACAACAACACCCGCCGGTCGGTTTGCCCGACAACAGGTCACCGTATTCGTCAACATGATCAAGCATCACCGCAGGACGTATCGATAGCCCACCCCCGAAATACACCGCCCTCGCAACATGATACTGTCGGAAGATTGCGCACTGGTAGACCGCGCATCATGGGATTTGCAGGCCTGCTAGGCGCCTCGGTCGAGCGCACGGGGAGCTCGAAATTGTCACCCTCGGAGAGCACCTCCTCGCTGCCTCTGACGCCAGGCTCTGGGGCAGCTGATGCTGCCCCGCCTGAGCACATCGAAGAGGAAGACCAGATACTGCCCCTCGAGCCAGAACGGCCGGACCTTCGAGAGTTAAACGCCTGTCTCGACGCACTCGCGGTAGTCTTCCCCAACATTCAACTAGAAGTTTTTCGAGACATGCTTGCCAGTTTCGACGGCGAATCCAGACTAGCTCTTGTCGCAGACGCTTTACTGAAGAACCATGTATCTTGGGTCAAGGGGCGTTGGAGAGTCACAACTGAAGATGGCCAAGCGGAGGAAGAGCGGGTTCCCAAAAAGGAGACGTTTAGGAGCTCAGAATACAAGCAGGCTGTGAAGAGCCTCGCTTGGCACGAATTCAAGGGGCTCTCTCGCTCGGCCATAAACGCTGTCCTGGCCGAGAATAACTATTCCTACCTCGACGCTCGCCAAACGCTGGTCGACCTCTCGTCCAAATCCTGGCGTTTTACCATATCCTCGCTTTTTCGACGCCGAAAACCCGTTTCAACCACCGAGGCCGAGAATCATCCCCTGGTTATCTGGAAATCGACCGACCAGGGATCCATTATACCCACACTCAGATCAACCAGCAATGCCGAGCTCGACCGAGAGCTTTTCGCAGCACTCATAGCACCGCTCAAGAAACAGGCACGGGCCGCCCGCGATGCCAAGGACCGCGAGATGGCCGTGGAGTTGAACAATCTAGAGGCAGAGGCAACCGACAGCATGATCGAGTGTGCCTGCTGCTTCACCGAGTTGGCGTTTGAGGAGTTCACGTCGTGCACCGACCGCGGTCACATGTTGTGCGTTCAGTGCGTGCGACACTGCATTTCGGAAGCCGTTTTCGGGCAGGGTTGGCAGCGGAACATCGACAGTAAGACGGGATGTCTTCGGTGCCCCGCGCCCGACACCGAGGGGTGCGAGGGCTACATTTCCAACGATCACATCGACCGGGCAATGCTCCAGGCGAGCAACGGCCCTGAAATCCTACGCCAGCTACAGGACCGCCTCGCGGAATACAGCCTTGCGGCGAGCAATTTCCCGCTGGTCCGTTGCCCCTTTTGCGGCTACGCCGAGGTCGACGAGACCTACCGGCCTGTGAGCAAGTCGGACTTCCGCCTCAGGACGGACAAGATGAACACCATTTTCCTCATCATCCTCGGCGTCTGCTGCATCCCCTACCTGGTGCCGCTCGCGTTGTTTGTTTACATCTCTATCTTGTTTTTCCTTGTCGCGGTCTATCGCACATCTGGGGGGGGCTTTGCTTATAGCGACCGCCTCATGGCCGAGATTCGCGACGCCGTCATCCGCCGTCGCGAGCGCAGACGCGGCCTCCGGTTCAACTGCCGAAGACCTGGTTGCGAACGGAAGTCGTGTCTCAGGTGCGAGAAGGGTTGGACGGACGTGCACGTGTGCCACATGTCGTCGCTCGTCGCCCTGCGTACGCAGGTCGAGCAGGCCATGAGTCTTGCCGTCAAGCGAGTGTGCCCGCGCTGTAACACGTCTTTCGTCAGGGACTCGGGCTGCAACAAGATGACGTGCCCCTGCGGGTACGAGATGTGCTACATTTGCCGCAAGGACCTCACCGGCACCAACAAGAACCCCGAGGTCGGGTATCAGCACTTTTGCAACCACTTTTGGGCAGATCCGAAAAAGAAAAAGTGCACCGACTGCGACCGGTGCACTCTGTACGAGGTTGAGAAGGAGGAGGAGGTCCTGCGCAAGGCGAGGGAGGAGGCCGAACGCAAGTGGAAGCAGACGGAACAGAGAGAGCTGTCCGCGGCGGAAGCCATGTACTTGGAAACAAGTATAGCGCCGTCGCAGTCGACGACTTGGGGCTTGGCTGCGGCACGGAAAGGCCGCAGGCCCCTAAGGTTGTCCGATATCTGCGACTACCTTCTCGTGACTTTTTTCTTACCATAATACGGGCTACGGGGTATGGGATTCTGGAGAGGCATGAAGTCAATAGGGGCATCGACTCGTGGTTTGCATTTAATGAGGGCGGGTACCTGTTCTTACTTTGGTGCATGCAGCATCCGTTCATCATATGGTAGGGAGACTTGTTGTACACGGCGCCCGGGTTTGGAGAAAAAATGCCTTACGTAATCATTGGAATCCCAAAATACTTCTCATCCCCACTGCCCCAAACGCGTGCACGCGCCGCTGCAACTCACCTTACCTTGCCTTGCCACCACCTAACGTTAAGCCGTAACCGAGCGCGAACTGCCAGCGCTGGCCAGTCCCGCTACCTAACACAATTCAGACAACGGACTCGCGCCCCGCGCCACCTAACAAAACATCAATTAGCTCCCGGTCCCGCCGCGCAACCTCCCTACCGCGAGCCACTACAAAGTGCGCCACACTGCTTTCCAGTTCCCCAACCTCCACCACCTAGGGGGAACTACCTTACCTTACCCTACCGAAAAACCACCCGCATCGCGGTCGGGATTGCCGCAAAACCGCACGTCCCGCCACCGCCGCCGCCATGTCGAGCCAGACGGGCAAGTGGCGCGAGGAGCAGGTCCTGGTCGTCTGCCCCGGCTCCCAGACCACCCTCGCCCAGCTCGGCTGCAACGAGCTCACGCCGCCCGTCCACCGCTTCCCCACGCGCATGTTCCGTGACGAGGAGTCCGGGGATTGGAGGCCGCATCATACTTTTAAGAGGAAGAAGGAGGGGAGTGGTGTCGTTGCTGTGGAGGGGGAGGGTGTGGGTGTGGGTGCTGCTGGGGAGGAGGTGTGGGAGTATGTGGAGGATGTGGACTCGGCGGAGGGGGCCGTTTATCCTATCCAGGGTGAGTTTACTCCTTTCGTGCTTTGCCCTATGCGCAATGCGATTGCGATTGCGATTGCAATTGGGGCGTGTTGCCGTATCGTATGGGCTGTGGGTGTGAGTGTGTTTACTAACAACAACGTGCCCTGCAGCCGGCCGCATCGCAAACATGGACGCCTTCCTTGCCTTCCTCGAGCACGTCCACGCCCAGCTGACCACTACCTACCACAACACGCCGGTCATGCTGATGGCCTCGCCGCAGTGGACCCGCCCGGACTGCGAGACCATTACCCGCTACGTCTTCGAGAAGACAAAGACCCCCGCCCTCTGCCTCATCCACAGCGGCGTCGCCACGCAGTACGGCCTCAAGTGGCCCAACATGACCGTCGTCGACGTCGGCTTCGAGAAGGTCGACATCACCTGTATCTACGACGGCCGCGTCGTTTCCCACAGGGATGTCGGGCCCGACGAGGGGGCCAGCGGTGGAGAGGCCTTCACGAGGCGGCTGGTCAAGCTGCTGGAGACGAAGGGCTTCGACCACGAGATGGCCGAGCAGCTGAAGAGGAGCGCCATCTGCGAGGTGCTACCGTATGCGCCTGAGCAGCCGGGGCTTATGGAGCTGCCGGCGGAAACGGACGTTGCGGTCCTGGCTGTGGCCGCGGCGCCGGTGAGCGAGGGGCCAAAGATTGTGGAGCCGGCGAAGAGTGCTGCGCCGGTTGGAGACGATGACGTGAATGGCGAGGCGAAAGAGCCCGATGACGACGGCGTACTGGACGTCGCGAACATTGTCGCGAGCGGGCAGACGAGGGAGTTTTTGGCCAAGAAGGAGAAGGAGAAGGCGGAGAAGGGGAAGCCTGGGCGGAAACCGAAGGACAAGGAGAATGCCGCGGCCGACGCTGCCAAGGCCGCCAGATTACCCAACTCGAAGAGGCTCCGGAACCTGTTCCACTACGAAGAGCTGGTCACGGAGGACGTTCCTGTCGCCCAGCCGGCCAAGGAGAACGGCGTCAAAGAGGTAGCCTCCGCCGAGGGGACGACAGAAGGCGAAAATGGAGATGCGCCCAAGGCAGAAGAACCGGCCACCGAAGAGCAACCACAGCCCGCCGATGCCCAACCAGCAGAAAGCGCCGTAACGGCGACAGAGCGAGTGACCCGCCGCGTGCGTCGCGATATTGAGGTCGGCCTTGAGCGCTTCCAGTTCGCCGACCGCGAAGAAATCGACCGCATCGTGATGGCCATCTACAACGCAGTTCAGGGGATCGAGGACATGTACATGCGCCCCGGCTGCTGGGAAAACATCGTCTTCGTCGGCAACGGCGCCCGCATCCGTGGCCTCCGCGACAACATCCTACAAACCCTACAAGCGCGCCACCTCGTCTCCCCCAGCTCCGCCACCATGTTCACCTCGGAGCTCCCCTCCAACATGGGAACCCCCTCGGGAACGGGCTCCCAGACACCCACCTCCTCCTTCGCCGGCGCCCCGCACCAGCTCCCCACGACCAGCAGCGTCAACCCCCTCCTGCAAGCCGCTACCACGGCGAGCCTGGGCGTGCCCGGCGCCAACGTGGCGGGCTCTAACGCGGGCGACGCCGCCAACAGCACGAGCCACCACTTCCACAGCCAGACCCCGACCAACATTCGTCTGGCACCGCTGCCGGCGTATCTTACCGAGTGGACCAAGCACGGCTTCGAGGAGGCCATGTTCCTGGGCGCCCAGGTCGCGGCCCGCCTGGCGTTTTGCATACACAACTTGGACGCGCAGGGGTTGGAGGCGCAGCGGTTGATGAGTTTGAGTCGGGTTGATTATAAGTGAGTTTTTCTTTTTTTTTCTTTCGGGTTTGCGTTTAGCCTTGGATTGTTTGCTGACGTTTTGTGATAGTGAACTTGGCCCCAAGGGGATCCGGTCGCATTCTATGCTTGGGTGAGGCAGGGCGAAGGATAGGAGTAACAGTTTCGATAGCGCAGCATTGGCTATCCGCAGTGTCTCTGGAGTTTGGGCCAAAATCGTTTCAGAAGCGGAGTGGTGGACTGGCGCAGTTGGTATCGTTTTGGTATGTGAGACTAGATACCTAACCTGTTCCATGAGGGAGCTGAATGTACTCCGGCCGGCAGTGTTTGGGGCTCGATAGCCGAGGACATTAGCAATGCCTCCCAACCCACAACTGCCCCATCGTGACAGTTAGTGGGTGTGTCAATGACCAGGGATTCCATAATATGTGCTTCTACCAACAGCCCCTGACGCCACTCCAGCCAGAAATAGTCTTGCTGGCTAGCATGAATGTTTGCCTCTCGCAATCCCTTGCCTTTCGACAACACCGGTCAACCTAAACAAACCAAAATAGGTCTTGGCCAAACATGGAGGATTCGAACGGACTCGATGCAAAAGGCTGCGAAAATGGTGATATATAACTTACGTTCTGGTTCCTAGTCTTCAACCACTAGGAAACCACCTCGGTAGTACAGTGGTAAGAGTGTGAACCTAGTCGATTTCCCCCCCCGTTGACGCAAACCCGCTCCGGGCCTGGAGAATGACCACAGTCTTCCTTTTTCGATTCCTGGCTGTGGCTTTCCTGCTCGTGTTTTACACCTTTTTCCCCCTCTTGTCGTCCGAATTCTATAACCGCCCGGTCCCGAGCCTTCCTCACACCTCCCACTTACTGGGTAGTCAACTCTTTCTTCCTTCACAGAATCGCGGAGGCATATCAGTAGAACCGAGCTCATCAGCCCTGTCCGGAGGCGCAGAAGCACGGATGCCAAAAACAACCTATGACATCTTACAGCCAAACAAACATCTTGGGAAAGTATGGCTTCTTTGTGGAAGGAGATCTACTGTTGGCGCATCTTGGGACGGACCGCAAGCAAGGTTGAGCAGAGGCTTCAGGTGGGGGCACCTGGTGAGAGGATCTTTGAAGTTTTAGAGCCACGGGACAGGATACGACACGCAGCCTTCTATCTACCGAACAACTACCCTGAGTATACAGGAAAGGAGTACCTAAAATAAACATCATCCCCTGAACATGGGAAAAGGGGTGTACCAAAAGGGTTAGGGTTATATTAGCCGGCGGTTCCTATCGGCGTTCATCAGTGACTCAACCACGACCCCCCCCCCTCATACTCACACAAGATCTCTCCCCATCTTACTCTTTACCCTCAACCTATCCCTCACCAACCCACCTCACCATGACCCGCAAGCTCATCTCCTCCGGCTCGGCCTTCGAGGCCCAGATCGGCTACTCCCGCGCCGTCGTCTCGGGCGACATGGTCTTCGTGTCCGGCTGCACGGGGTGAGCCCCCCTTCCTGTTTGCCCTGTTCACAGGCTTTATCCCATTGTTTGTGGAGACTTTAGTTCATTACTTTACTTACGATAGAGTAAAAACAACAGATACGACTACAAGACGGGCGCCATCCCAGACGACGTGGCTGAGCAAGCCGAGCAATGCATGCAGAACATAGCGGCGGCGCTGACCGAGGCGGGGGCTGGGATGGGGGACGTCGTGAGGGTGCAGTATACCCTGCCGGATACGCGGGATTTTGAGAAGACATGGTAAGTCTTGGGTTTGGGTTTTGGAGATGATGGCGGAGTTCGAAGGTACGATGACACGGGACAGCTGAGACAGTGCAGGCCAGTTCTTAAGAAGTGGTTTGGGGAGGTCCGGCCCGCGGCGACTATGGTTCAGGCTGGGCTGATGGAGGAGGTGATGAAGATTGAAATTGAGGTGACGGCGAAGAAGGGTGATGCCTAGAAAGGGGCAAGTTGGTTGCTGTGGGGGACATAATGGTTAGGTTATAACAAGTCAAATGGACTACCCCTGAGATAAAACATGTCATGAATATTATGCTGCGTATCATTCGTATACCGTCAATCTCGACGAGTGAACCCCCAACAGCGCCTGATTACAACTTTCGCTACCCAGCAATGCCAAAAAAGACCGACAGGTACAGGTATCATCATTGAAAAACCCGCGAAAGGAGTGACCATATCCGTAACAACGCCTCTCCATATACCATACCCCTCATCCCATATTTTCCCCATTTACAACATCAAATCCCACCCTCACTCACTCAACCACCCCCTTTCGGCGGTCCACTCTCCTCCCCGCCACTAATATCCTCCGAAAACACACTCCTCCTCAACGGACTCCCCGGCCCCTGCTGCCCCTGGCCTTGGCCCTGCTGCTGCCCCGCAACCGGCCTCGCCCCGAGATAATCGGCCCCCTCGCCCGGCCCCGCCGTCGCCGTCGGCGGCGACACAACCGCAGGGCTCTCCGCGATCATGGCACTCACACCCCTATCGCCCTCCCCACCGCCCCCGAGCCCGTAGATGGCGCTCGTGCCGGCGCTGAGCGCGCTCACGCCGCTGAGCATCCGCTCGCGGTCGCGCTCGCCGGTGCCGTTTCCGTTTCCGTTCCCGCCGTTACCGTTACTGGTAGGAGCAGCAGCCCCCCCGCCCGCCCCGGGCGCCGTCGTGACCGAGGACACGGTGGTGTCGCTGATCTGGCGCAGGTGGGAGCGGTCGCGCTCCGACAGGTTGGAGATGCCCGAGAGGACTTTGTTGCTGCGGCCCGAGCCTGACCCGGCCGTGGTGATGGTGCCGGTTGCGTTGGTGGGGGAGGCGCCCGCCGTGGTGGTGCCCGTGGGGGAGGTCGTCGCGCTGGTGCCGGCCCCGCCGCCGCGGCCGAGCGCGTCCGAGTCGGGCCGGTAGAAGACGGGGGATTCGTTATCGTGCGGTACGGGGGGTGGGGTTGATTGGGGGGAGGGGGAGGAGGCGTGGTCGGTTTGGTGGGTGGATGGGTAGGTGGTGTTGTTGTTGAGGGAGGCGGTGGCTGCGGCTGCGGCGGTGGGGGAGAGGGCGGCGGAGTGGAGCTCTGCTGGGGGGGAGGTGTCTTTGAGGGGGTTAGTGAGGTTGAATAGAGCCGGGGAATACGGAAGGGGTTGGGGGGGTGTTACCTGGCAACTCGGCTATGGGCACTCCGGTATCCATCATCTCGGCGATTGACATTGGTGGTGCACCGCCAACGCTGCTGTCGACCTCTGTCGAGCTCACAGGCAAATACTCGGACGAGTTGGTCATAGTCGGCGTCTTGACCTCGGTGGGCTGGCCGCGCAGCCAGGAGGCGATGCGGTTGCCGTTGGTGTCCTCAGTGCCGGCTTCACTTGCAGTAGTACCTTTGCGGTGCAGTAGTCTGCGACGGCGCCAGAGGAAGATCAAGACCGCAACCATGGTCAAGAAAACCAGACCTAGGACGACGCCGAGCACTGGTGGAAGGTATGAGGGGACGCCTCCACCTCCGTCCTCGGGTTCAGAGGTCGGGGCATCCGGATTCGTGTTGTCGGGCGGGCTAACCGAGGCATACGGGTAGTAGGTCGTGATCTTGCTCATTGGGTATTTTTCCTCAAAGATGCCCGCAAGCTCTGTCGCATCCCACGACGGGCTTGGGGTCGTCGCCGTGGCGCCCCCGGTCCCGGACCCACCGATCTTGTCAACGACGGCGCTGGGGATTGTGTATTCGGCATATACTGCAGGATCGTACCGACTGAGCCATTGCCCGGTCGAGAGGTTAAACACCCGGATTGTTTCGTCGAGACATGTTGGGAGAAGCGAATCACCAGCTTGGTAGCCCCCGATAGCCAGCATCTGGTCGGGGTATGGAGTGACGCACTTGTGCCCGGCGCGTCCAGCTGCGCCACCAGACGCCAACTTGACCCAGGTGAACGACGGCAACGACAAGACCCAAACTTCGGTACTGAAGGGCTCCGCCGGGTGCAGACCATCGTAGCCGCCATAATAGTAGATGTTGAAGCTCGAACCGTCTTGCGCGCGCGCGACAACGGCGCAGCCGCGGGTGAGCTGACCGGGCCCGTCAGCGGTTTGTTGGCGGTACCACTTTTCGCTGTCCACGTCGTAGATGTCGATGGTGGACATGAACTCCGGGCTTTGTGATGTCTGTCCGGGTTAGAGCCAAAACACAACATAGAATGGAAATACTGACGCTAGCTGATTCATTTTTCGATATCCTGTACGGCTCCGCAAAATCGGGATACACGACGCCGCCTAGTGCTACGAGAATCCCGCGACGGCCAACGGGCACCCAGACGAGTTCTGGGTTTGCTCGCCCAGGGATGCCTTGTAGCGTCTCGTTTTTGAAGGTTTCGGACTGCTGTCTCTCCATATCCAGCGTGATGAGGGTGTCTGACACGTGGACGGCGTCGAATGAGCCATTGGCGTAATCACCAGGCTTAAAGATCATTCCCTTGCTCGCGGAATGCATCCCAGAAAAGTACCACGCCAGGTTTTCAGAAGGCGCACTGGCAGCCCCCCCGTAGGTGATGTAGCGGGTCATGTTCCCAGTGAGCTGCACGTCCTCGAAGCCCGGGAAAAAGGTCCGTTCTGGGCCGTACTCGTACTTTCTATAGCACAGCACCTCGTTCGCTGATGGGTCCGAGGCGCTGTCGGTTCGCGACACCATGCCGCCGTAGAAGAAAATCTCGGCATCGTTGCCCAGGAGGGCGCCGTCCTCGTAAGTTGGGGCGCGGTTGCCGCCGCCGGTTTCTAGCACCCCCAAGATGTCCGATATATTCTGGGTTGTGTCGAATGGCGTGCTGAAGTTGAGCATGTAGATGCGGCCCAGTGGGTTCCCTGTGGATGATCAGTATATATTTCAGCTCATCAGCGCGTCGCCAGTTCGATACTCACCGTCGTCGAAAGGTTCCCCCGTTGAGCGGTCGGCGAACTCGGGTTCCCAATATAGATTCCCGCCGTCTAGATATACCGTGTCCCGGAGAACCGCCGCTAGGTAAAGTTAGATGGAAGGAAGCATGGCATTTAGCGGCAAAACTCACCTCGAAGCTGTTTCCATTGACATATTGTCGTACCGACTTGGTCGGCTTCCCACACTGCCTGGCCGAGGGCAAAGGAGACAGAGATTGTCAACACGGCGAAAAGGCCCGGACCGAACATAGCGATTTCGGGTTTCACGCAAAGACGAAAGACGCAAGTAAAGTGGAATCAAGGACGGCGCCGCGGCCACAGCATCTGTCCAAGTTCTTTGCTGACAGTCGCCGGGAACTGGTCACCCTCCAAAGCGCCCGAGGAATGTCCGGAGATGACAAGCAAGGAGAAACCGCAACAATCCACAGAAACACGAGCCTGCAAACTAACTAGCGGGAGAGCAAACACATGGCTTGAAGCATGAAAGCATGCAAGTCAGCCGGTCTTTGTGTGCACAAGGCCAGACAAAAGCCTCGAGGGACCGGGGTGCCACCCTCCCATCTGGGCACGATACAGAACGGAAGGGGAAGGGAATGCTCGCCAGGGCCGAGTCGAAGAACCCCGCAGGGATCGGCCAATGGTGAACCCTTGTTTGCATGTCCCTGTCAGCCACCATTGTCGAAAAGTGATCGTCGTCTCATTGGGCGGTTGGCCCGCGTGCTGCTTGGCTGTCAGGTTGTGTGGTGTGCAAGCAGAAGAGGGCAGAAAGCACCATACATAGATGAAGCCAACGATCACCGCCACAGCGGAGGGCGTCCCCGGCCGGCCGCGACTTGTCCGGGACGAACCCGCACGCTGAACGGTCGTCTCAAATATGATATCAAACACAGCTGTCTAGTAGGAGGTACTAGCTCCGCTTAAGAGAAGACTCGGGACCAGCAGCCATGGTTTATATGCAAGAGCTCGAAGTGTTGCTTCATTCTGTGCCCGAGTCTTCTAACTGCCGAAGATTGTTCCCTGGAGCTGTTCAGTCAACGCCTTGTCACACACCCGCGAAGCCTTGCGAGGTAATCGGTGAGGCGACTTAGTTTTCGCACGCCAGAACAATGCGTGATGCAACTTGGAAGTGGCTGAGAATGAAGGAGATGGACTTCGGTGCCATCAACCGAGGAATAACGTCGCGTTGCACAACACCGGGAAGAGACTCATCTCGACCGATACCACAGCTGTCCAGCGCTCCGCAGCGGACGGGCGTGTTCGAGCGGAACCAGCCTTTGGACCGCATTGTCAGAATAACTGACATGTCAGCAAGAGCGAGGTTTTGAGCCGAGACGGCCGGTGAGAACGAGGACCCGTTGTCTGGGCCGATTCCACTGGCAGCAAAAGTGATAAAAACAATGAGGAATCGATATCTACGCTGCCTTTATGCCTTCATGCCCTGCTGGGGACGAATCGCGGCCGATGAAGTGTGAAGGTTGACATGTTCGGCGCGACCGGCAATTGCACGAGCGGTTCGTCCCATGCCCGGCCCTCAGCCTTGTGCGCATCAGGGTTCCAACGTGATCGACGCCAGGGAGCTCCCTGCCTGCCGATGCTTGCAAGAGGCAACTGGAGTTTCGACCGGGCAAGGGAGCAATCTGGCTCGCTGACAACCTCTCTTGCGCCAACGACACTCCTCGATTTCTCGACAGAAGGAGAGAGAGTGGGGGGTTGCGCATCTCAGGTCCGTTGGCAAGACGAATGCGCCGAGGGCGTCGTTTTCTTGCGGCTGGTTGGTGGCTCGTCAACGTGGATGTGACGCTGTGTGCCCTGCCCGCAGAACGAAATCACACCCGCCCTCGCCGCCTTGCGGTGGCTTGAAGTGGCAAACTGCCGGATCTCGCTTCTCCGGGTTTGCGGTACGCGCCTCTTGATATGGATAATAATCGTGAGGTTACGGATAGTTGGGGATTGATTGCTGTTCTGGGCCGTTCGTCGGCAACGGCGATGCCGTCAGGGCGTGTTTCCGTGCGCGGTGGAGCTGCATCCCAATAATATACAGAATTTTGCTAGTGCTCACTCTCCCGTCAGACGCAACCCGCATTGAATTCCCTCGTGAGAGGGGAGACGCGAAGATGTTGCGACCGCCAATGCTGGCTGTTTACCATCATGTGCCCAACCGGGCTCGTTGCTGGGGAAGAAGAAAAGCACAGAGCGGGGCACAAAGACGGTTACATTGGGGACAGCGGCCCCGCTCCTGCCGGCCACCACAGTGGGTCTCGCTCCATTCCGCCTTCCAGGGCTTGACTGCACTTGGCAAAAAGCCAGGGCGATCATCCAATCACTGATCGCCAGCTGCCCAAGCTCCTTCCCGACAGGGATGCCTTCCCGAGGCCCAAGCTCCCGGCCGACCGCTCCTGGACTTTCCTCGTCTCTTCTTTTACCTGAGTCCTCTCAAGTGAACAACTGCTTTGGGATGTGGAATTTTCAGATGACACACCACTCAGGCCCTCGAAGGGACCAGGAAGAAAGGCCCGAAAATGCGCAGAAAACGAGGAATTGGGTCACCACGCCGAGGTGGCCCCAGCCCATCTCGCCATCATCCATCGGATCTCCAGCCACGTCTCCCACTCACTCAGTAGCTGCACTTTGCAAACAACCAACAGCGAAAAACTAATGGACTAGCTCGCTGATCAATTTTGGCAACAAGCAACAAGGTAGGTACATACCGCAGTTGGCAGCTGCCCTGCAAGGCACCGCTGCCGGGAGTTTGCTGTCACGGCTCAGAATAACCAGAATGAGCAGCCGAGTCCAAGCAGTCACAGCAGCTGCTGTGGGATCAGAGACGATCATTTTCAGGAACCCGGGTTCGTATATTTTTTGAGTGCGACCATACTCGGCCGTGCCGTGCTTCCCATTCGATCCCAGTGCGGGGGAACCAAAAACTCGCTCGTCTCTGCAAATTTATCGACTGGATGGTGTGGCTCAAAGAGGCTCGCCCGCTTCCGGATTCCCGTGAAGGAGGGGCTGACCACCGAGAGCCACCGCTATTGAGCTTGTCAAGCCGTCAACGACTCAGCCTCCCTGGGCTTGACAGACCAGTCATCATTGCACCCGCTTTCCAGCCTGGTCTTCGCTCCCTGTCCACTCACCAACCCCGCCAAGAGTGCAACGTTTAAGTCGCCGGATGCTGCTGGAGTCAAGAGAAGGCAGCAATCTTTCAACTCGCTGCTCTCGTCGGGTCGGTCTGCTCATCCCTCGTTCTGTCTGCCACGCGGCATGGCCGTTGAGGCCCCGAAGTGCCCGGGACCAGGACAGCAGGTCGTTCCGACACCAAATCGCCAACAGCGATCCAGCGTGCTCCCAATGGCCACCTCGTTGGGATGAGCTTTGGAGGGGGTCGTGGTGTGGCGCCGCAACTCCTGCCAGACTCGTTCGGGCCTGCGGCTGGCGAGGAGAATCACCCCGCGTCATTGGCTTCCCGTGTTCCGGGCGGGGGGCCGAGATGCCCAGGTACTGGGTTGCGGTGGGTGAGGTTGTTGTCCCCACGAGCAAGGGTAGAGCTTCCACCCCGGCAACTGTGCCTTGCTATGATAGGAAAGGCGGGATGTGCGTTGCTTTCGGGCACCCTCCCCGTCGCGCGAGTTCCTGCGGATTGTGTGCTTCCCGAGAGGTGGGAGCTCTTCCAGCTCTTTCTTTGTTTTCCAGAGCTGCCTCTCTTCCTCGATAGCTTTGCTACGAAGTCGCGAGTTTGTCTGTCAGCTCGAAGCTCGAAGCTCGAAGCTGCGCCGATCGAGGAAAGCCCGACAGGAGTGATACTATTTTTTACCATTGACTGGGCTGCTCAACGGCCCTCCTCGGCAGGTGTTTGCTCGCTCCGCTGGGCTGTGATCTCGTTGCCCTGCCAAGCCTCCACGCTGCTGGGTCATTTCCCCTCCGAGGACGAAGTATCCCCGAGCTTACCCAGCCTTATATGCTCGGCACGCGCCGCAGCCTCTCTCGACTTCCGCCGAGCCCTCTGCCCATCCCGCTCGCTGCTCTCACACTCGCTCCGGTCTGACACCACTTCGTTCGTTCGTCGCGTCTGGCCCAGCTTAGGATACAATGCTTCTCACGAAGCTCATACAGGGCCTCGGGGCCTTGTCCCTTGTTCATCTTGCGGTTGCTACCGAGGGACACTTCCCGAAGGCCAACGAGACGGAGGAGTCGCATGGGGCGGATAAGGGCCATGACAGTGGTTATGATACCGAGTGTTTTGGATGTTGCAAGACCATCACCAAGTGGCACACCAAAACGCACACCGAGACGCACACCAAAACAGACACCTCGGTTAAAACACACACGGAGACGGAGATCGAGACACACACGGCCACTGTAACGTATGCGATCCCAATCCCAATGCGCGTGCCTCTCTAACAGCAGAGCAGCGAGACCCTTCCGGCCTCCACGGTGACGGTCACCGACACAGAGACCGCCATCGTGAGCTGGGCAACGACTCAGACCAACGAGGTCGAGGTCACCGCCACTGTGAGTTGGGCAACGACCCATACCAACGAAATCGAGGTCACCGAAACCGCAACCGTCACGCAGGAGTAAGTGGTTGCTAGTCCATTGTAACTTGGCCGCGCTGACAAGAACAGAATCACCGAGTACCTGACGACGACGGAGTTCTCCACTTACACAACAGTAAGTTTCTCGACCTGTAACGACTTCCCAGCTAACTCTCCCAGTCCTACCCCGTTACCGAGACCACAACGGTTTGTAAGGGGTATCCTAAGGAATGCGAGGTTAGCACGACCACGAAGTGGAAAACAGCAACTGAGACCGACACCATCGTTTCGACCTTTGTGACGACCGTCATCACGGTTGTTCCCACGACGGTTCCCACGACGGTTCCCACAACTGTGGTAGTACCGACAACTCTGACCAATACCATCACGACTACCGAGCTGGTGCCGACGACGTTAACAAGCAGCACCACAGTGACCGAGGTCGTCACGCTTGTTACTTCGTATCCCGTCACGGTAACCGACAGCACGACTATTTATTCCACCGAGACGTCAGTGGTGACCACGACGTCTGTGTCCACTTTCACAACCGTCAGCACCTTGACGACAGTGAGGGAGCTCACAGACACCGTCACAAACACCGTCACAAACACGCTCACGGACACGGTTACGAATACCCTCACGGATACCGTCACACAACTCACGACGCTTCCCGCTTCGACCATCACCGACGTCATCACCACGGTCCTCCCTGCCATTACCATCACGGTTACCATAGATGGGGAGGTTATCACTTCCATCATTCCTGGGCCCACGGTCACCCAAACGACAACCACCACTCTCCCCCCGGTTACCGTCACCGCTCCAGGGTCGACAGTAACGCGGGAGATCTCTGCCTGCCCTGCTCCGACGAATTCGGTCCCCGTCACGCGCACCCAGACGACAAAACGCCAGCTCTGGGGCTGCGACCCTGGATATGTTTGCATGGTGCCAAAGCCTCAGGGCTGCAACGTGTGGGCCGAACCGCCGAGCAACGATTACTTGTGCGATTCTCGGTACTGCCAGCCGGCACCAAACTTCACGCCGGTCGTGTGGCCCGATAACGAGACAAGCTACTACCCCCCGGTCGAAGGATACTTCGACCTTAACCCCAACGCTTTCGGCCTGAGCTACGATATCTTCGCCGCCCCCGAAGAGATCGTCACCAAGATCGATGGCAAGAAGACGACCATCACCACTGGCAATTATGCCTCGCAGTCCGACCTCACCCACTACCCACCGGCACCGACGTCCACCATCACGAAAGTGGGGTCTTATGGTCGCAGCCTCCGTCTCTCGAAGCGTGATGAAACCATCATCCCACCAGTTTGCTACGATGCTTGCAACAACGCCTATCGTGAGACCCAGAAAATGGGCCTGGTCGACGAGCTCTGCGAGGCGGGATCTGCTTTCATGGACGCACACGATACATGCATTGGCTGTTGCGATGCCAACAGCAATGCCGACCTCAAGCTCACTCTCCGGTCCATCGAGAATCCGTTCGAGCTGGTCTGGACCCTCTGCGGCCTCCAGCCGGGGGAGCCGCAGCAGTCGTCCACCGACCTGCCGCCGCAGACCCAGGTGACCGAGCCGCCGCCGGTCTTGACCAGCTCGCAGGCCCCGCCCAACACCGAGACCGACCCCGTGCCCATCACCAGCAGCACCGCCGACGAGCCGGAACCCACCCCTTCGTCGACCGAGCCTGAGGCCACGCCCACGCCCACCCCCACTACCGCCCCCACTACCACCACCGCGGACGAACCCGAGCCCACGGACACCGAGACAGAGACCCCGCCGGGCGAGACGTCCGAGTCCGAGTCTCCGGCCCCGTCATCCACGGGCGACGGTAACAACGGTGGCGGTGGCGGCGGCGGAGGTGGCGGCGGCGGAGACGACGAAACGACCACGCCGGCCCCCACGGGCACGCTCACCTTCCAGACGTCGACCACCGGCCAGCCGGCGACCAGCTCCTTCGCCACGGCGGCGGCTGGCAGGCTCGTGCCGGGTGCCCTGGTCGGGAAGAGCGGGCTGGGGAGTGCCCTGGCCGGGTTGGTGGCTGTGTTGTTCTTTCTTTAGGTGAGGCAGGGGTTTGTTGGTTGTTGGTTGGTGATGTTTTGCGCTTCGCTTCTAATGCTTAATCTTTTTTTTTTGGATTGGATTTTGGATTGTTTGTTTTTTTATATTATCCCTTCTTTCCACCCCGGCTACCTGGGTGTTTGGGGTCGGGGGTGGAGGGATGGGGATGATGGGAGGGTTTCAAAAGTGCACATGGGATTAATGGTTTGGGATTGGATGGTTACTGTTCCGTTTCATTTTTGGATTGTTTGGGATCGGACAGTTGTTTGATCTTGAGATCCAGTCCTGTGGGACGGACAGACGAGACGAGAGACGGAAAAGGGGATTTACGATCATCACACTTCACGACACTCCTTACGTGTAATGTCTTATGCCGCTTGTGGCGTTTTGTTTGGCTTCTTTTTTTGGCAAGATACCCCCGTTCTGTACTCGTCGCTGAGGCTGAGTATGGACATGTCACTCTTTTTTCACTGCATGATCTGGGACAGGGAGGAGGAATCAGGGGATGCATCGTCAGTCTTTACTGAGTATACACTGTATGGGAAGCAGGGGCGAGAGGCGATAGGAGATTTGGAGAGGGCGAGCAAACGTTGGGGGTTCCTCGATATGGAGGGTTCTACCTAATTGGGGCCTGGCTAGGTTTGGTGGTTGTTGTTTGTGTCCTTGTGTCACACACGCACACCCCCATCTCGGGCCGGCGAAGATGCGCAGCAGTAGAATGAGTTGAAATGAAATGAATGAATCTCGATCACACCATCCCAGTTCCTATGTCTCATGCTCGTCATGTCGCGTCGTGTGGTTGCTGCCAGCGTTTACCTGCACGGTACTTGCTCTTGAGCCAGTGCTGTTGGTGCCGGGTCCTCGGCATGTTTGCTCGGCACAGCTTAGGGTCGCATCTGGACGACTGCGGCGCGTCAATAGTTGCGTTTTGCTCAATAGGGTCTCATTTCGTTTAATCGCCGGGGGGTGGTGGGAGGTGTGTGGACGGGAGGGGCCGCAATGGGGTCATCTGCTCGGGTGGTCGCAACCGGGTGTTGTTGGTTGCTCTCGCTCTTCGGATCGCCGTGTCGGTCACCGGTTCAGGCACCGTCACATATTACCCGGCACAACATATTGGGAATTTGGGTAAAGATGTGTGGTAAACTAACTCCACGCCCGTGGAACCATCACACACACAGACACACACACACACACACACACATCGCCACTGCTGATGGTGGCTGGTGTGCTGGTGTGCTGGCTGGTGGTGGTGTCTTACAACTTGATTACCCTGAGTCACCACCCCTCCACCTTGACAGGCACATGCAACAGTCCATCGCCCGGCAGCTTCCCCGCGCGGATGTTCACCTGCAGGGCCTGGTGCATCAGTCTGGGCTCGGCCAGCCCCGCGTCCCGTTCGGTCCGCCAGCTTACGAAGTCGGCCTCGGATGTGCCTGACTTGAGGTGCTTGTTTTGCGTCATTTGCTCGGCCACGGTTGAAGAGGCTTGCGGGGCGGTGCGCGGTGTTTTGGGGGGGTAGTCGTGGCCGGTGTAGATTTTAAAGGCCGGAGGGAGGGTGAAGAGTTTGGTGGCTGTTTGGTAGCTGTGTTGGGTTGGTGAGTACGGGTCACTTAGTTTTTAAATGAATGGGAAAAGGATAATGGACTAACAGGTCGTTGGCGTCGCCTCCGGGGAAGTCGCAGCGAGCGGAGCCGACGTCCGAGTTGAAAATTGAGTCACCGCAAAAGATGTTTTCTAGAGACGTTAGTAGAGTGTATGGAACGAGACTGATGACATATTTCGAATGAGTGTTGGGTTGCGGTCTCGAGTCAGGGGCAGCAATGTGACAACAGAGTAGAAAGGAGAACTCACTCCCAATCAAATACCCCATATGATCCGGCGTGTGCCCAGGCAGGTGCACGGCTTTGGCTTCCAGTTCTCCGACGTGGAAAATCTCATCATCCTCTAGCAACTTGTCAAAGGCCCCCTCGTACTCCTCCCTCGCGATACCATATCGCTTCGCAAACCGCTCCTGAACCCCGGCGATCCGCTTCCCTATACCAATGTCGGGCTTCTTCCCTTCTTTGGAAAGCCGGCTCTGGAGGTACTTTGCCGCTGTCAGATGGTCGGCGTGGGCATGTGTCTCGAGGAGGTAATCGACGATGTATCCCTCCTCCTTGGCCAAGGCGAGCAGGGCATCGGCGGACTTGGTGGAGATGGCGTTGCGGGCCGGGTCAAAATCGAGAACGGGGTCGATGATAACGGCGGTCTTGGTGGAAGGGTCGGCTACGATGTACTGCCAGGTCGAGGTTTGCGACTCAAAGACGGTATGGACGATGGGTTCCATGGTGATGGTTGGGGGTACGAGCGGCTGCACGGGAGGTCTGTTCTGAACGGGATTGGATGTCACTTGTATATGTGATGTGGAGTGCATATACAACGTATTGGATGTGATTCTGGCTTTGTGAATGCCCGGTGGTCGAGAATCAAGGGGCAGATATGTTTGCAGACTGAAGCCATTTTCGTGGCGCCATGACTGCAGTTTTGCATGACCTCCGGCGAGCTGGTTTGACGTCGCCGACCTCCATCTCCTTAGAGACCCGGGACAATGAAGGCAGCGGAAGTGGCCGGTCTCAACAAAGACCGAGAGCCGTCCAACTAGACGGGTGCATGACGGAACTGGGGTTGGCATTATCACACAGCATCATAGGAGGAGGGTGAAGGTGAAGACGGCGACGGATCGAGGCACTCGCTCATCTTCGTCCCGAAAAGTGTCCGTTTCCGGTCTGATTCGTCAGATAACAAAGGGTCGCCACCATCATCGCATCATGGTGGTCATGGCTACCTAGGGATGGTGGATGGTCGGTTTCGATTCCAGGGTTCGGGTTTGTTGAGTATGGTGGCATGTTTCAATATTCCGTCGGCGGCTTTGGGCGTCGGTGGGTAGCCGCTGTCGTGTAACCCGACGGCTTCCGATGCGGCATCTTGCTCGGCGATGTGCACCGAGAACCGCGACCGGGATGGGGCCGCGCAGTGCGGCCGTGGACGGGCCGTAAATTTATGGGTCCCCGAGTAGGGCTCCACTTGATCCGGAGTTTCGGGGTTGCTGGGATCGACGAAGAAGCCCGAGGGGGTGGGTGGGTTCATGGTTGGCAGTTCGCCGACCACAAATGGGGGGACCCCTAGAAATTAGTTACCGAGAGGCGGGTCAGCCCTGGAAGCCATTCTCAAGCCTTACCCTTTTGGTTCTGTTCGTACGCGAGGAAAGTGCGGGAGCAGGATCCTTTGTGTCCGAATCCGGGCTTTTGGCTGAGGGATGGCTCTTTCCTTCTCAGAAATATTCCACACTAGGCAGATTTTGAAGACAGCGAGCGGCGGACTTGTCGGGCAGGTACCCCCCATTTCGGGGAGACTCCCTGTGCCTCTCACCTTCCTTCCATGTCATTCCCAGTTCCTCGCCGATGACCGTCGGACCATCGAATGCGCGCACTTCTTCCACTTCACCACGAAACACACTACTGCGAAGACTCCAACCCTTACCCATGAATTCGGGCCCCCTTGATTCCTGATTCGTAATCCTTCGAGAACATGGCACTAAACGCCACCCCTGCCGATGAGTGGTGGCCGAACATTCCCTTTGATCCGTGGTTTTCAGCCCGCTATCCCTGATGCAGGTTCAGTCCGCTGGGAGATCGGAGGGTTTAAGAATGCAGGCCATGGCGTCTGTAGCTGAGCTGTACCTACACTCCCTCAAATCATCACAACGACACTGTTGTTAACCATCACAACAAACCCGCCACAATGAATAACATCCTCACCGGCGCCGCCATGGGCGCCGCCCTGACCACTGCCGGCGTCTACGCCCCAGACGTGATCCTCGCCCAATTCAACTTTACCGACTTCACCATGCTGCAAACCTTCCTCTCCGCCGCCGCGGGCAGCACGTATGTCTTCTCCCCACCATCTCCCCCCCCCCCTTTCACCCACCCCCCTTAACGTCACCCCAAACCCCCACACCACACCACCCACGAAAGAAAACAACAACCCCCCAACTAACCCCCCCTTTTTTCTATCCAAAACAGCCTCCTCGTAACAATCGCCCAAACCCTCCACCTAACCACCCTCCCACCCCGCACCCCCTCCACCCTCACCCTCTTCACCACCCCCACCACCGGCAGCACCACCACCCCTACGGGATTCCTACCCCTCTACAGCGGCAACATCCTCGGCGGCGCCCTGCTCGGCACGGGCATGGCCGTGTCGGGCGCCTGCCCGGGGACGGTGCTGGCCCAGCTCGGCGTGGGCGTCGCGTCGGGCCGGTACGCGCTCGCGGGCGCCGTGCTGGGCGGCGTGGTCTGGGCGGGGGTCGTGCGTGGGAAGGGGAAGGGGAGGGGGGAGGGGGGTTGTTCTGGTGGTGGTGCTGTTAATGGTGGTGATAAAAGGGGGATTGTTACGGGTGGTAACGGGGGAAAGGGGGCTGCGGAGGGCAAGGGAAAAGGGGATGGAAAGCGGACGCGGAGCGATACCGTCTATGAGGCGCTGGGGGTGAGCCGAGGGGTGTTGCTGGTTGGGCTGGAAGCGGTGCTGGTTGCGGCGATTGCGGCGTCGGTCAAATACACCGCCGCGAGCGCTGGCGAGCAGCGGGGGATACCGCCGTATTTGGCGGGGCTGGCCATCGCTGCCGCGCAACTGGTGTCCATGGTGTTGAGGGGGTCGTTGCTGGGCGCGTCGACCGCGTTCGAAGAGCTGGGTGGCTGGGTGTGGGGGTCGAGGAAGTACGCAAACTTGTTGTTCTCGGCGGGAATGGTGGGCGGCGCCTGGCTGATCTCGCAGGCCGTGCCCGCGTTGAGGCCGGTTACCGACGTGGCCATCTCACCTATTAAATCTGTGGTGGGCGGGTTCATGATTGTGTTTGGGTCGCGGATAGCCGGCGGGTGTACGTCGGGGCATGGCATCAGCGGGCTCTCGCTGATGTCCATCTCTAGCTTCTTGACGGCGGCTGCCATATTTGGCGCGGGCGGGTTGACGGGCTTACTGATGGGTTGAGACATAAATATTTGGAAGGCACATACATGGCTTCAACTATCCGTACATATTTCCAAGCTACACTTGTATCTATTATCTTTGGTCCCTAACCTCACGAGGAGCGTTGCACATACTATACCTCCTTACCTTCATCAAATCCGCACAGACAGTGTATTCCATACGAACATAAACTTAGCGTAACTAGGTAGCTATTTCATTCAGTATGAAATCACACTTGACCACCCCCCACCCCTATTTAGTCCCCAGCCTCGGCAACCTCATCGGCAACACCAACAAGAACCCGACCACCGCCAGCGCGGTGCAACACAGAAACGTAATCCGCAGCGCCGCCTCATAGCTCTGCACGACCGGCTCTCGGTACTCGACAGGCAAGTCGCGAATCGCCTCGACCGACTTCCGCACCAGCGCCACGACCTCCTCCTTCTTCGGCCCCGTGACTAGCTCGTCTAGGTAGTACCATAGCGCGTTCTGCACAACCAGCGAGCTGCACGCGACCCCAAGCACCTGCCCCAGGCTGCGCCACAGGATCAGCGTGCTCGTCACCACGGCCTGCTCGCGCTGCTCGCTGACGGTCAGCAGGGCCATGAAGGTGCCGGGGAACTGGAACCCGGAGCCGGCAGAGCCCGGGATGAGGCAGAGGATGTACAAGGCGGTGGGCCAGCCGCGCTGCATGGAGGTCAGGGACACGGCACCGATGACGCCGAGGGTGGTGCCGAGAACGAGCGGCCATTTCAGGCGGCGGGTGTAGCTGATCAGGAAGCCGGTTGCTGTGCCGCAGGCGGAGGCGACGCCGGAGGACACGACGAGGCGGAACCCTGAAGTTGTGGCGGTTGTGAGAAGGACTCCCTGGAAGAAGAGGGGCCTGTGTTGGGGTTAGACTGCTGCTGGTGTGCTGAAGCTAGAAGGGGGAGAGCTTACACGTTGAAGAGGATGGCGTTGGAGATGAGGGCGGCGATGTGGTTGGAGAAAATCAGGTTCATGTATGGCGACTTGAGGATGAGATGCAGCGGCATGATGGGCTTGACGGCGCGAGTCTCGACGTAGAGGAATGGGGGGAAGAAGATGGCGAAGCCCATGAGCGAAGCGATGACAAAGGGATGCGACCAGGGGAGCACGTTTCCGCCGAGATTCTGAATCGTTAGCGACAGGAGCCTGTTATGACCGGGCCAAGAGACTTACCAAGCCCAAGATGAGGGAGGTCACAGAGGAAGACAACAGGATGGAGCCCTTGAAGTCAAACGTACGCATCGCCTCGCGCACCGTCTGCTTCTTCTTTCCGTCTAGGCCTAGATCACTTGGGACGACGAACACGGCGACGATAAGACAGAGCACAATAATCGGCACCTGTATGCCGAATTCCCAGCGCCAGCCGAGATAATCTGCCATGGCACCACCTAGAGCCGCACCCAACATGGAGGCGAAGCCGTAGGTCATGTTTACATACGACTGGAAAGCACCACGGATCCTATTCCAGTCAGCATTTCTTTCTATTGAGTTGTCGAAGAGGGCTGCTCACTCGATCGGCACGGTATCGCTCACGATGATACTTCCGAGCGCCATCAACCCCCCAGCTCCGAACCCACACACGGCCCGGGCAATAATAAAACTCGTCATGCTCTGCGCCAGGGCGCACCACACTGTCGCGAACAGGAACACCACGATCGTGAATACGTACGGGCCCTTCCGCCCAACCGCATCTGATAGACCGCCGAGAATGGGCTGGAAGCTGGTCGAGGTCAACAAGAATGCCGTCGAGAGCCACGAGGCCGAGTTACTGCTCCCAAAGTAGGACGTAATTACGGGATGGCTCGACGCCATGATGGTGCTGTCGAAGCAGGCGATGAAGTAGCTGGCGTTGATCTGGATAAAGAGCAACCAGAAACGGGTGACGGAGACGCCGCCGAGGTAGGGGTTTTTGCTCTTTGAGTTCTTGTCGAGATCCTCGGCGGGGTCTAGAAGAAGGGGAGTCTCTTCATCCGAGATAACCTCACCTTCTGAGGTCTTGGCAACCGCACGGGGAGTGCTTGGATGACGCCGGCCACGATAGGGGCTCAGAGTGGCGTCCCGGCGCCGGCTCCGGCTACGGCTGTGAACCCGAGTGTTGCGTAGCATACTGTGCTGGAAGGACTCGGGCTCTAGAAACGCCGCGGAAGACTGAACGGACCGCGAGAGCAACATGTCCAGCTGATTGGGGTCTATGTCTTCGCTGCCGGAGCTGGCTGAGCCATCGTCGTCTCGGGACCGGCGCCGGGACGGCCGGGTGCGGCTTGATGTGGGAATCGGCTCGGCACCGGACATGGGTCCCGAGCAAGCGGTATCTGCTCTCTCGGTCGTCATTGCTAGTTCTTGTCTTCCTTTGATCAGTTTGATTTGGTGGAAAAGCTTGGCCGGCGAGGCTGGGCAGACCGAGATGAGGTTGGAGTTTGCTATATCCGTGAAATCGCCGATGACTCCTTCGGTCTCGGTCACGAAACGCATCCTTCCGATCTTCGGTCCGCGCTCCCCAGCCTTCCTGTCTGGGTAAGCTGGTGGTCATCGGATCCTTGCATCTTATCCCCAATCGCAAGTTGGGTGGGGTCCAGCCCGCATCGCAACATCCTCAACCGCTTTCCTCTGCGTGGTGTGCAGCATGCGGCCACCCAAGTGCTACCCCCGCTACCCCCGCTCATATGTCGGTCAGTCACAATGAACCGGGCCGTTTCCAAGGCAACTCTGCGGGGCAATCTAGACCCCGATCATTCACTGCATCCTTCCTGTCAAAATTCTTTTTAAAACCGGTGTGTGGAGCAACCCCCGAAGGCGGCCGCTGTTGATACAAAAGCTGGTATGCTACGTGCGATGATGATGATGCAGAGTCTATGTGCTGTGACTTGCTAGCGCAGCAGGGACCAGTATGCCGGCCCCGGTGATGCCGCCGTCGTGACAGGGAGTCAGGACAACCTTGATGGGCGCTTGTGCATTGAACTCGCGGTCTAGAATTTCGTCGATGAGTCCCTGCGTGTCACCTAGGTAGTCCTGGAAGTGTTGTATGCAACCGCCTGTGTAGCCAACCGAAAGCACTGTCTGCCCGGCGCGTGCCTGCTCGGCGTTGGGCTGTGGTATTTCTTCGGCACATCGCAGGAGTCCCACAGTCGAGGCGGCGATGATACCGGCTGCTCGTACCTCGATAGCTTTCGCGATACGGTAGAGGACATTGGCCAGCTCAGCCGTCCACCGGAACAATGCGTCTTCTGGCGCGAACTCTCGCTCGAGCTGTTGGAGCATCGGACCCCTTGTGCTTTTGGGCCGAAGGTGACTAATGAAGGTCGTCGGAAGGCCAAATCTTTGATGTAGCTTGTTCGGCAGGAGGCTAATCGGCAAGCCCAGGACAGCCCCGTAGTAGTCGATGAATATGAGGCGCGCCAGTTCGCCCAAATATCTCCCAGCAGTCATGTACTCGAGTGGCTGGAACCCCGGGATTTCACCGGCCTGATCCAGTTCGGTGTCCCACCGGCTGATGAAACCGAGCTTCCGGAGGGGGGGTGTCGTACCCCTGATACTCCATTCGGTATTGACGGCAATCTTGACATCTGAAACCTCCTGGCCGGGTAGAATACTGATAGAGGCCGGCCGTTTGCTTTCGTGCAAGGTGCTCAACTTTAGAGGCAGCGTAGCGTTACACCCGGTGCCAACTATCAAGCCCATGGCGGCCTTCTGGTGTGCCTGAACGGGAAACTGGTAAATGAACGACACGAGGGTTGCCACGGCGTCATTGGCAATAGCTGCAATCCGGATGGGGGGCATGTCGGCGGCCCGGTGCTTCTCGTAGCCCACCGTAAGGTGCGCCCCTAGGTCCAGGTTGGACGTCACGGCAAATCCCTTGCCCATGGGCATGAGAATTGCCTTCGAGAGGGATTTCTGCTGCATGGGGAAGCTGAAGGTCACCCCCATGGGAAGCTCAGCGGCACGGGGCACAGCCAACGTTTCACAGCCCTTCCGCACCACCTGAGCGACCTGCTCACCTATCCAGGAGAACAAACTCTCTGAATTTTGGTTTTTCAGGTGTTCCTGGATGGGCCATGACTGTTCGAGGAGACGATTTGGCTGGTAGCGGTCCTCCGCTCGGTGTTCTAGGGTACCATCCCCGGATAATAGCTCCACGAAACCGACACGCAGGTTCGACCCGCCGCTAGGAAGGTCAGTGGGGGAACCCGGGACGGGTTTCAGTGCCTTACATGTCTATGGCAAGAAATCTGCGGCACGTTAGGGTCGGTGATACGATGCATGTTGGCGCTGGGAAACCCACCGGCCTTGGTCTCTGGTAGTTGGACGCAAGACGGACTCGGATATCGGAGTTGGTAGGAACTGATCTGAGGCCTCGGCAGATAAATGACGAAAAGTTGATGTCATCTCATGCGAGAGTTTTATTACATTGTCGATGTCGATGGCCAGGGGCTGCAAGAAATCGTCCAGGGATGGGGTTGCCATGTTTGGTCGCCAAAGTTGAACTCTCCAAAATTAACACTGCCCAATGTCCACCGTAGAATGGAAATTAAAACGAGAGAAAAAAATGCGCAAAGAGCAAGTCCCGCTGTTCACTGTGTACGATGCCCGGGGGAAAGATCGGATAACTATGAATATTGTGGTTTGTCAGTGGGTTTTAGAAGGGACCTATGGAAGGAATATTGCACAGCCATCTTCCAGCTCCTGCCCAGGCGAGCAGGAGGTACCTTGTTACATAAAACGGGGGTGAAGTCGAAGTCCGACTGCAAGAGGAAGGTACGATTCCAGCCCCGGAGAGGATTGTCTCAATTAGATTACCTTGAAACTTACGCAATAACACCTTAAAAAAACTTCCATCCCATTGGCTTTTTGAGTTTGCTCGTCTTGAAATGCAAAGGTGAAACGTTGTATGCAGAGATCCCGGTGCGCCTGGGCCAGAACAATCCCACTTATTTTGTAGTCCCGAGCTTTCACACCCCACCGGCCCGGGGGGTCATCCGTGGCTTACCTAACATCCATGTGCTCTCGCTTCCTGTTACCTCAGCTCCTGAGGTCATGGGGCTGCCTTTCATCGCGATAGCTTCGACGTTAAACCTCTCCTCAATATCCCGAACTACCCAGCCACGTTGTGACCCCTAGCGTTACAAGCTCTAACTAACGATTGAATACGACGATCGCAAAACCTAAACATCTTAAAAACCAACACTGTGATGGACGAGAAACGCGCGCCGATGCCACCGCCGATCCGTCGTGGCCTGAGCCCTCTCAGGGTGGTGTTCGCGACGGGATACTTGGCTCTAGCGGCCTTCCTTTACTTCAAGTTCGCACCACTGGTAACGGTTTCCCAGCCGAGCATCCTCATCCCTGAACATGATCCAGCGACTCAATCTTCGGTGGCCCATGAGCTTGTCCCTTTGGAGGCGCACATCATGAGCAAGTGCCCGGACGCAAAGGTTAGCCGCCGCCCACATCTCGTCGCTTCAGCCTCGAGTTGCTCACACGCTCTAGGACTGCCTTCGGGAATTAGTACTGCCCACGATGCAAAAGGTCTACGACAAGGTCAACTTTACGCTGTCGTTTATTGGAAAGTACGTCATCTCTATGCCCCCGTCGCCTCCCCTGTCGGACCCCGCTGACCCTCCTTCCCCAGGCCGACCGACCAAGATGATGGCGTGGACTGCAAGCATGGACCGGCAGAGTGTATGTTTCCCGACCTATCTTTACATGGAAGGCGCATCTAATATCAGAGAATAGGCCTCGGCAACATCATCGAGCTCTGCGCGCAACGGCTATACCCCGACCCCAAGACGTACCTCGGCTTCACCATGTGCCTGACGCGAGACTACAAGCACATCCCGCAGCGCAGCTTGATCGAGGACTGTGCGCTCGAACATGCGATCGACTTTGACAAGCTGAACGACTGCGCGACCAAGGACGACGGGGCCTTTGGCATCGGCATGCTGAGGGAGAGCGTACAACGAACAGCCAAGGTAGAGCCGTCTTCCCAGGATAGCCGTCGTCTAGTTATATTCTAACTAACCACTCCCCAACTCCTAGGCTGGCGTAACGAAGAGCTGCACGGTCCGCCTCAACGACGAAATCTACTGCATCCGCGACGGGGGCGAGTGGACGGACTGCCCGTCGGGCCCGGGGGTCAACGACCTAGTCATTGCGATCAGGAAGCTGTACTCCGCTTAAGCGGCTCGAACACTTCGGCCCACAAGTCACTGGCCTCGCCCAGGGTGTAGCATAGCGTAACGGCGTCCATGCCCGCCTCGTCGTCCCCCTGCATGGTCTCGAGCTGCGCCAGGACGCTCTCGAGCCCGACCGCCTTGCCCGTCGCCTGCGTGGCGCCCGCCTCGAGCGCCACGTGCACGATGTGGATGTGCAAGTGATAGTACGTCGGCTGGTAGTGTACGTACAGCTTGAGCTGGTCCCGCTCGACGCCCGGGTACACCTTGGTGGCCGCGTCGAGGAACTTGGCCTTCATGTGCCGCAGCCAGGGTATGTGCTTCTTCCGCAGGTCGCGCAGGCTCCAGAGGTCCCGCCGCTCCACCAGCCCCAGCAGGTGCAGCGCGTCCAGCGTCTTGCGGTCCCAGTTGAGGTCGGGCAGCAGCAGGAACCCCTCCTCCGGGTCCTGCCCGTACGCCGTCCGGTAGATGACGTCCTCGGCCTCCTTGGTCCCCTCGATGATGTTGAACGCCCAGTTCAGCCGCCCCGCCTCCCGCTGCGCCTGCATGAAGGGGCGCACATGGTCGCGGTAGATCTCCGGGGTCTCGGTCACGAACCGCACTCCCTGCTTGCTGTATTTCCTGATGTGTTTTTCCGTGCACGGCCAGATGAGGTTGATTTTGAGGTCGGCGAACTCGTCGTGGGGGTCGTGGTGGTGGTTATCGGCGCTGCTGCTGCTGCCTGCCGCCGCACCGCCGCTGCTGGCTAGGTACCAGTGGTAGATGTCGTTGGCTCCGAGGTTGGTTATGCTTCGCAGGGTGGCCGGGACGGAGCCTAGGTAGTCGGCTGAGCTGGGGAACGGCGCGCGCTCGAGGATAAGTAGTGCTGGTTGGCTGTCGATGGTGCCGACGAGGGAGGACCGGCGGCCGGCTTGGTCTGCGGCGTGTTAATACTCGGTGATGTTTGTGACTGGCGCTTTGTTTTTCTTGGCGGGGGGTTCAGTTTCGGGGTTTGGTTGTATGTACCTTGGTTGAGCAGTCGCTCGAATTTGAATCTCGGCACGAGCGCCTCTGCCTTTGCTTGGTTCTCGGTCATGGTTGTTGATGTGTGTGGTGGCGGCTGGATTTGTGATGGACCTGGGCAAAGTCCGGACTGCCCCGCCAGACCCCGCGTCGCCGCGTGCCGACTCCATGTTGTGTGGAGCAGGGGTTCGCAGGGCTGATTACAGGGATGCATTGAGATCACGGGCAGCTGAGCTCTTTCCTCGAACGACCTACTTCCTGTTTTGGTAATTCGAAAACAGATAGACTTTCGATTTTTATGACACTTTTTTTCTTTATTTTTATTGGTCCTTTTCCAGCTATCAAATCCTTCGCCTCGGAGTTTGGGCGGAGTTCCGCCTGCGTCTTCAAGCAATATGAAATATACCTATGCAGGACCGAGATACCGATACCGGTGTAGTTCTAACTGAAGAGCAGAGCTAAAGGTTGGCAGGTAGTACCTATATAGTATGCTTTGACTACCACCTAGTGAATCCTGCGACCGTTCAGCAACCTCCATCGCACAACCCCCTTCAGGCACGGCAGGCACAGAGAACACCTCGGGACTTTGCTTGCAACATAATACATACGTCTGCTGCATAAACGGTTCTGGTAACCTGTCTGTACATACAAGCGAGCCCCCCGGCCGGCAGCGGCGGGGGCCAAGGTGTCTTTCCTCGGGCAATTGCGGGTTGGGGGTTTGGAATGAAGAGGCACATGCTTGGTACGATCCCTGGTCCTGCATCCACCTAGGATGGAGATGGTGAGAGGGACTATTACGGGAGCATCGTCTGTTACGGACTGGCAGGGTCGAGCTTGACGAGGTCGAGGAACCAGCCACGCCAACTTGGTAGTGGAGAGGGGGTGAGAAGAGAAGGAACTCGGCCTGGTGTACATTGATGAAAACCGTTACATGTGAAAGCCGAGTATGATCGGTCGGAGCTCACGAAGCGGATGGAGAGCCGAAGCCAGGTCGGGGGAGGTACCCGGGGGAGCTCCCCATTCGCGCGGGAGGACGAAGTTCCATACGCGTAGTATTAGCAAGGCCAGTGGAAATGAGAGGGGACTCTCAAACAAACGAATGATTTGCATGTGGACTGCTTCTGACCGAGCGGAGCAGCGTCCGTGGTTAATATTGACGGCAATCTACCAAGCGGTGAGTTTCGGGTGCAACCTCAACCCCCATCAACCCTCCATCCATCCGCGGTCATGACAAAGCCCCTGCTGCCGTCAAAGCGCGCCGAACTTGCTTCGGCAGTTACCGAGCCGCCTCCCTTCTCGCCATAGCGGTTTATAGTACATATGTCCATACATAGTACATCCATGAACAGGATGGAGGGATGTAAGCTGCACGGAGCTCCGCCCCTCGCACGAACCACGCATCAGAAAGGACGGCCGAGGGGGCGGCTCTGACGTATCCTTATTCGGGCCGGTTCTGGTTGATACCCCCAGGGCGACCAGAAACGGATGCACCGTCCGAACCCGGTTCCCTCGGGAGCCGCGTTGCCGGCCCATTCACGGCCCAAACATGGGTGCTTTGAGCGAGGTTGCATCGTCATGTTCTAGAATGCATGTTGGTTCCGAAGCGTGACCTGTGTGGTTGCACAAGATGGGCGCGGCGGTCAACGCCTTGTCTTGCTCGTCAGAGGCTCTCGGCCGTGCCCCCTGGAGGAATTGCTGCGTCTTGTCTCGGGGGTCGAACGAGCAGCTAAGCATGTCCGTCGCGTAAATCAGAAAGCGAAGTTGTTGTTGTATCCAACGATGCCATAGTATTAATGTCGTATTTAGTGCGATACCTGAGTGGGCATTGCGATGGATGTTTGATAGTTGTACCAACTGAGAATAACAGGAATCCCTCCCTTTTGGATACGATATAAGTGTGTATACGATCCGTCAAATCCTTGACTTTTGCCTTGGCCATCCTCCCATCCCATAATGATCAAGTCCTTCTGGATGTGCTAGTAAAAGACTCCCAACCCGCTCCTGCCCTGGAAATGGATGTGCTCGCTCGCTCGCTTGCTGTGTGAAAAGAGAAATCCAATGCTGATATGCCGGGTCCGCGAGACCTGGTCTGGCCGTGTGCTGAAAATGGTATCTCACTCCCCGACCTCTCCAGAAAGCACCGACACCCCACTGCTCACGTCCCGCTAAGGGGAAGCCCCGTCGCCGTGAACTCGGAGGTGGCCGTCCGCTCGTGTAACGCAGCACGGCCCTAACGGTATATCGACCGCGGCGGCCGTATCGTACTCGGCCACCCGCATACCCGCGAAACTCTCCGCTCCCGGCCCTTCCCAACCTCACCGCATCGTCTTCGTACTCCTCCACACTAACTTGGGCACCGCTTCCGCATCCATGTCCTCAACCCCTTCGTCCACCTCCAACGGACCAGACGCGGCAGCAAGTGCAGAAGTCGGAGAGGTGGCGCCCGGCTTGCTCACGTCCTTGCGCATGCTCTGGGGGCGATAGCTGCGGCCCTTGGTCGCGTCGTCCTCGGCCAGCTTCAGCAGCGCCTGGGGATCCTCGCGGGCGACGCGCTCCATCTCCTTGTCGGCGAGGTCCTTGGTCTCGGCCAGGCGGCGCTTGATGTTGGCGACCTCCTCGCCACAGTCGCCGTCGCGCAGGAACTGGTGCGCCCCGTGCTCGCACATGCTCTGCACGTACTCGAGGCCCTTGTCTAGCTCGTCGTAGACGTCCGGCGGCGCCGGCTTGCCGTCCGGGCCGAGCATGTGCGCGGGCCCGCCGCGGGTCATGCGGGCGCCCGCGCGCGAGTACATGTTGCGCGTCGCGCGGGGCCCGGCGCCCATGCGGCGGCTGCTGACGTAGAGTAGGGGGGGTTCTTCTTCTGCTGCTTGGCTAGGGTTTGCGGTTGCGGTTGGTGCGACGGCGATGTGGGGGCCGCCGAGTGATGTCCCGACCGTAATGGATGCATCGTTCTCGTCGTCAGGGCTCTCCATCTCGGCGAGGCGCTTGATTTGGGCTACCTTGGCTGCCATCTTGGCCTTGCGCATCATATTGCGCCCGGCACTGACGAACTTGACGAGCTCTTCGAAGAACATTTGCACGTAGCTATCGTAGTAAACGATGATCATACTGCGGGAACGGTATTTCGGTGGCCCGCCGTCTGCGCTAATGACCGAGTCTGTACGTTGTCGCTTGCGGAGTGTCGCGCGTGCGCGTGCCTGCCCGGCTGCGCGCATCTGGCTTGCCTGGCGCTGCAGGGCTGACGGCGACTGGGACTCGGAAGGGCTCGGTGGTGACGGCTGCTCCGTGTTAGCCTTGGCTGCTGCGGCACCGGCCGCCGCTGCCGCTGCCGCCTCGGTGGCGTTGTCGGCATCGGACTGTGCTACTGGGTTGCAAGGGTGGGCTTCCGGTTCGTCGCGCGGCTTGAGGGACTCAGTCGAACCCTTATTCCGCACTGACTTTGTGCGGTATGACGGGGTCCCGCCGGGAGACCTCGCCTTGTTTTCCCCGGTCAGCTTCGCCAACTCGAGCTGGCGCTGCTCGATCTGGCCGTTCAGCTCGTCCAGCTTCTTGAGCCAGTCCGGCACATTGGTAATTAGGTTCTTCAGGGCCTCCATGGCGAGATCCTCCTCCTCCCCGCCGAAAGGAGCGACCCCTCTGTGTAGGTGTGCCGTGTTGGGCAGCGGGTGCGTGCGTCGCTAGGCGGGCACGCACCTAACGCAAACACGCTGGTAGGCGAGTGTTTGTACTGTGCGTGGTGCCCTGATGTAAGGGGCCGTGATGATAGTTGCAATGCGCGGCGCCGTCGAGAAAAACGGTAGGTCGGTCGAACGTGAGTAACGATGCGATTTTGGGTGTCGATCTCGAGCTTCAAAAAAATATACTGCGGAGGTCGAGTCGTGGTTCACCAGGTATAAGTTTCGTCCACGCAAGAAAATAAAGAGCGCGCGCGGCTGGTTGGTAATATGGAAGCGGAAATCGATGCAACGTCGGCCGAGAAACGCAATTCGATCAAGGATATTTCCCGAGCTCCCCGGGGTTCTGCGTTTTGTCGATGCGCGTTGGGGGTGTGAGATGTTGGGTGTGAGTTTGGTGCGTGCCTGAAGGTGGTGCGTGCCTCCCGGAGACTTTCTTTCTGCGCTGCGCGTGCTGAGTGCTGCTCAGAGGAAATCCCGAATGGGCTTCTCGGTGGCTGTCGCGTGGGATTGGGTTGCGGCCAGAATGTGGCCCAGGGGATGCTAGCGCCGCCGAGCGGGTTTGATCCGCAGCTAAAGCCGGGGGTCGCTTGCCGTCTGGTTTCCTCTGCCAGGATGTGCCTGCCTTCTTCGTTCTTCGCTTGCTCTTGCTCAGAACACAGAGCTCTCGGTGACAGGGAAGCCACCACTCCACGCCAATGGAAGTCTGGAGGAAGGCGCCAGCAGTGGGTTTTTCAAGAATCGGTGGGGGCCCAACCCAATCAACAAATTTCGGGGTCTGGGGGGGGTCCAGCCTTTCATCGACGACCACCACCTCAATTATCGACCAGGGGTTGGGGGAAGGGGTCCTTGGTAGGGAGCTTCGCCGTTTAGGTATGGATGTTATCGAGGAAGAGGAGGAGTGCAGCATCTCGTCAGCACACCACAGGCATCTCGCATATACATAGCCACCAAAAAGAAAACAAGAACGCCGCCCTTCGCTGGCAATTGGCGGCTCGCGGGCAGCTCCGGCCGCATCACTCCACATACTTTCGTCCGGCCCCGCGACTGGGCTTGCTTCTGCATCTGCAGCTCCTCTGCATGCCGATCACGACAAGTCTTAAAAACGGCATTATTAAGTGTGGCCCCCTGTCCCGTCTGTACCCTCGCCTCGACCTCGGTCTTCCTTCCTGTTGACTCGACGCACATCGGAAGCTCCTCCATAGTTCGACCGTCCGTTCTTTGTGGGGGTACCCCGGACAGCTCATACGGACCATTTGCTGCTGTCAAGCGGTTATGTTATGTGGTTAGTTTCTGTGTATGTCTCGCACTTTATTCTTGGACCTGCAGCAACCCACCCAACCCCGATGAGGCTGCTTTGGCCCAAACCTCCGACAATTCGCGGGGGTAGTACTGAGGTATGTATGCACCCTCACCATCTGCGCATTGGAATTATTTTCCTCTGCGGAAACCAAGAATGTGCGGCGACGAGGGCGGGCCGCCCGAAGGCGGTCTGCACAATCATGAGGAGAGCGGGGGTCAACCTCTCGGCTGCAGGCCGCAGGGCGGAGGAGGGGGGGCGGTTGTCTGCAGGCGCGGGAACTGGCTCCTCGATCCGGCGTATCACCCGCCGCCGGTTGCGGGCTGTCTCAGTTGTTTCGCAGTGGCTGGTGTTGACTTCAACCCGCACCAACACAAGTCGCCCGCCGGGCAAACCGCCAGAGATGGCGTTGACGAGTAATCTGTACCGAAGGGGACAGCCAACCAGATTCCACCCTCGGACATGTTGGCGAAGCCTGTCCACAGTATGCATACCCTGATCTTGACATGACTGACACCCTCGGCTCTGTCAATGCAGGAATCCATCTCACCCAAGCGCCCGAATGCGGAGGACGTGACATCGGCTTTTGAAGGGCGACGCCACAGCCGACGGCATGAATAGCCTCGCAGCGACCGTGCGGGTGATCCAAGGCCAGTGGGCGCCTGGCTAGTGGCCGTTCCGAGAGGCTCGGTCCGCGCTGGGCACTGACGCGATGATCCAGATCTCCGCGCGGCGTTGCGGCGCGGCAGGCTTGCCCGTTGTCTCTGAACGCCTCGTTGTGTCACTGATCGTCCGCAGCGTTCGGGACGCATAAACGCCGTGCCACCGGTTGGGGCAAGATTCAACCCTCAAGCCGCTCGAGCGTTTATTTGACAGGATACGATTGTGTAACGTCGTTTTGCAATAACCATCGACAGCGCTGTTGGCAGACCTTTGCATTGGATAACTGCCAATGCACCACACATCCGAGTTCGAAGATACTCCTGTCGGCCTAGTTAGGTTACAAGCGAGTGCGAGGTCCCTTGAACCTGTCGGCAATGGTTGTCTGACAGGCATGTGTACAGAGAACGCGGCGTTTTCTCACACTTTTGCTCCGGAGTTGGCAATGACTGCCGGTGCTGTGAGTTTGCCCTCGGTCTCGCTCCGATGCCGCCTGACACTCATCCACTTTGACCTCATAACAACTTCACCCCGAATTGGGGAGCACCGATTCCTCACGGCTCGGTCGTCGATCTGTCGGCACCTGAATGCCAGTGAGTGGTAACCGCCGGCCAAGTCCGTCATCAAAACCGCATCCTATTGCAACTCCATTGCCGCATTTGTGCGAGAAACGGCAAAGTTTGCCATTCTCGGCGGATATTTCTCGACTTTGAGCCGTTCTCTTGCCGTCCAGGAAGATCCTTGCAGGGAAACAAACCTCCACAGGGAAGCTCAACGGCGGCCCGTCCGCATTTAACCCACCCATGTTGGCCGCGGCGCCGAATTTCATGTGTCACCTTGTTTTCGAAGGTTGCAACCATCGATTCAAACACTTCAAAATCTCGATCACGAACAGGCGAGAATCTCTTCCTCGCAGCGGCCTTCCATTGGTGGCTGTCTCCAGCCAGCCATCGAACACCACCCTCCCGAGGGCCAACCACGTTAAGAGTTGCCCGATACGGCAACCAAAATGCGGGATGTGCAATATTGCAGGGGGAGAAAAGGCTGCAGTTGGAAGAACATTGCTTCCGCCTCGCCAATCTCCATCTCATCTCTATCCGCAGCGTGACCGTGACCGCGACAAACTGAAACTGATGAAGGGGGACAGTCACACAGGGCCCGTCACGCTCCGCTCTGCAGCGGCAGCAGCAGCAACAGCCTGCCTAGCCTGTGATGCGAGCCTGCATGTCTTTTTTTCACGGCCCAATACAATTATAGCAGGACCGAAGCAACCCCGGGCTTTCATCCAGAGTGGAATCTCCATCGCTAGCCGGCAATCGTCGATATTCAATCAAGATTCCCGCTGGCTGCCGCCTTGCCTCCCGTGCTCCATCCTGTGTCTTGTGATGAGAGTGGAAGTTGCTCCGTCTGACAAGCGGCCAACAGACTCCGCAACCAAAGAAGATCCGCTTGCTTGGCATGCGAGCGAGGTCTGCTCAACGCCGAGCGAGCAGCCAGTCGCCGGCCGCGAGCAAACTCTTTTCGGGTCGTGATGGACGGGCACACGGGCAATCCTACCAGGGCCGTGTCGAATGCTTTGCTGGTCGTCCCCTGCCTTGGTCGGATGCTTCAGCATATGGCCCGTGCTCTGCTCTGATCTCTTTGCCTGTCACTCCGATCGTCGCAAACAAGCCCCAGTCGGGCAGTTGCGGAGATGCCCTTTTTCGGCCCCCGGCGGGGGGAATCGGCACACGCTGCGAGAGGGCCGGGATAGCTGGTCTCGAACGGCCAATTCGCAATTCATCCTGACAAAATAAGATGGCAAAACCCGGGGTTGTTGACTGCCTGGTCCGTCGCCCGACAGGCGTGGCACGTGGGAAAGGGGACGGGGTGGTTGAACGACGGATGGCTGAGCGTGCCATCTCCGCCCGCAGCTTGTGCGACCTTCGATCCCATATTAATCGGCGACCTTGCCCAACGTTGGACGCCGGGCCGGCTCGCAGCGACCGTTGAGCTGCCGTCAGCGTCGCGGGGCCCGCAATACGACGCACGTCATGTGTCTGGCGCGGGAGCTTTGTCAAGGATGAATAAGGACCTTGTGCGACAGGACAAGAGAAGAAGAACCCGGGGTTCGCAAGCCCATCCGGAACGAACCCTTGCCTGTAACGTTCGACCTTCACCAGCTAACCGAACATGCTTTCAACGAGCTCGATAGGCCACCAGACAACCAACCTCGGCGTCCAGTGGAAGAAAAAAGAGAAAAGACACACACATCTCGACAGCCAACCAGAGAAAGTTCTCTGCATTGATTGCTGGAAAGCGAATCAAAAGAGCCAGTCCAAGCTTGGCATCTCCGCGGCACAAGGATCACAATCCAGGTGGACGCCATCCGCTCCACCACATCAAGGCGCTTGACAGGGCTGCCATGTGTCCCCCATCGACGTGTCCTTTTTGTCTTACAGCCGACAGCCCACTTGCAAGGCGAGGGAATCACAGCCTGTTCTCAGACGGCACAAAACCGGCGAGGAGCAGGTCAAATCTCGATGGTCCGGAGAGGCAGAAACCCCAATTGGCTCGGACCTGCTTCCGCCGGTTCCAGCTGCTGCTGCAAGTGCCCGCCGCAGAAAGGCGGTCAAGTTAAGCCAACCCCAGAGCCCCCACCACCGTCTTGATTTTGGCCTTCTCTGCTTTCCCCCAGTCGACACTCTTGAGTGCCTCCGCAGCGGGGTCGTCGTAGTGGAGGCCCCAGAGCTCGTCGACGACCGTGTTTTTGACTCGCGGCCAGGGGTGGAACATGAGGGCCCCGAGCCGGGTTCGAGCCTCTCGGATGCCCTCCTGTTTTTTCAACAGCAGATCGTCATCACTCCCGGGCCCAACGGCAGTTGGCGCAGGGCTCGGGTCTCGGCCGAGTTCCGCGATGGCCCCGTACACCCTGATGCATGCCTCGATCTTTCGGACGTTGCCGGTCTTGTAGCATGCTTTTTGAACCTGCAGGCAGAGGCTCTTGTAGTTGACCCCGCGGCACTCGGCAAAGATGCCGACGTGGAAGAGGAAGGCGACCACCTCGAGTGTCGGGACAAGTACCCGATCTGTCCCCTGCCAGATCTTGAGGTTCCGGACCAGAGCGGCGCACACTAAATCTCTAGCTAGGGGCGACCGCTCGCAGAACTGGCATAGAGCGGCGCGGGTGGCAATGACCAGTTCTTCGTTCCCGGTATCGGCAGACGACACGATGCCTGCCATGAGAGCTTCCATCCATCCATCCGTATCATATTTTACTTTGGACGCCGCAGGGTGCAGCCAGTCCTGATCAAGTAGGTCGAGGAGGAAAATAAAGTACGCCTTGGACGAAAACGTTGACCTGCGGAGTATGGCTGCTTGGCTGGTGATAGTCAGTAGCCATTTGACGATATGGAAAAGCCACTTACGTTGGTTTCAAGGCAACGGCAAGCGCTGCCTGTGCCTCAGCTCTGACCCTGTCCAACTTCTCTGCCGCCAGTCGCAGAATACGTAAGAACAACACCGACACTAACTGTGTCGCCATGCCCGATTCCCCGTCCAACCTTTCCCATAGTGACTTTGTCGCCCGGATCGCCTCATACCGGACGTGAGACCCAACGTCACCCCTTGCAGTCGTTGTATAATCATCCAGGCCCTCGGCCACAAGCGGCAGAAACACGCCAGTGTTCTGTCTAAGAAGATCGCTGCCCGTCAAACTCTGGAGTATGCACGCTCGGGTGTCTGTCCAAACGTCGTTTTTCCAGCGCTCCATGATGGCGTCGCAGATGAGGGTTTTGTCCTGCTCCGGCGCTAGGGTCGACGCCATCGGGTATACGGCAGCCAGTGCAGAGAAGTGGCCGCTCGTCGTCCGTGTTTTGGATGATTGACGTTCGCGGGCGGCGTCGGCCCACCCTCGGATGGCCTCGTCGCGCTCGGGGTTGCTGCAGAAAACCATAAAGACGACCGCGGCCTCGGACGCCGCGGTGATAATGTCGAGCTCTGGCCAGACAAGCCACTTTTGGAGGTTGGACCGCGAGAGGGCGACGAAAGTGGCCAGCTTTTCAGTCCTGGCACCCACCGATCCCACCAGCTCAGCCAACTCCGCACCGCCTTTAGACATTAATGACCGCCCAGGCAGGAGAGTACAGTTCGCGGCTGACGCTGCCTGAAGCACGGGGAACGATGATATGATCAGTCGGCTTGCGGCTTCTGCGACGAGCTCTGGTTTCCGGTAGGTCTTTGTGTCGCAGTCCTTGAGGATACCGAGCAGTGCATCGAGAGAGAGCTGAACAAGCTCGTCAAATATTGCCGCTCTCTGCGCTCCGGCGGCGGCGGAAGGCAGGGCATCAAGAACTGCAGCGAGGCTGGAAAACAAGCCGTGTCTCTCTTCGACTTGCCGGTGTTGGAGTGACTTGATGCGATCCAAGACCAGGGAAACGGACTGTGTCAGCCGTTGGAGAGGGACCGTAGCTCCTCCGGATAACTCTTCCGTGATCATACCGTAGGAAACACCCGCGGCCCGTCTTGAAGCGGCATCGGCATCGCCAACCCCTCTCCACCCGAGCAAGCCATCTAATATGGCCTCTCCATACTGGCCTGAAAGTTTGGTGACACCTAAGGCAACGTCTTGGAGGGCCCTCGATCTCAGGGCCACTGCATGGTAGTCCACAGTTTGGACAACCCAGATACCCTTATCAACGGTGTCGGGGTGGCGCCCGATCAACTCTTGCAGCGCAGCCGACGACCCCCGCCTAATGTTTCCTGACGGATCCAAACAGGCGGCAGTAACGAGGCTAGTAGCGATGACCTGCAAGATGGATGTTGCTGAGCTGGCATTTGTAGTCATGTATGTGGTCGGTACCGCCAGCAGCTCCGGCGTGGTGTATCGTCTGGCGAGCGCCCAGGTGCCAAAACATGCTGCGTCCCTCACATTCGCGCCCGTAGAACTGCCTGAAGTGTTTCGCCTTTCGAATGACAGGCCCATGAGCAGGGCATGCACGATGTCCGGAAGGTTCTCGGCCGGCGGAGACCGCCGATAGAGTAAGTGAGAAAGCGTGAGCATGAGACCATGCCATTCTAGGGGGTCGACCATGCTGAGGTCTTTCTTGGACGTTCCCTGTGGGTCTTTGGGATCCTTGACACGGAGGACGTTCCTGTTCAAGGATTCAAGGACGGCCTCGACCACCTGGGAGGCCATATCTTCTTCCAGCTTGAGCGTGATGACACCGAGAGCCTTGCTAGCTGCAAAGCGGACCGGCGTGTCGTTGTCGGCCAAGCTCTCCAAAAGAAATCCGATGGTGGTTTCGACAATCTCCATGCCTTCCATATCCTGCGGGTTTCGCAAAATAAGAATAGCTACTGCCCGAATGACCTTGATCATAGTCTTGCGAGCCAGAGCCGATGCCATCATAGACCCCGCCTTGTCTCCCTCGGACGCTATCCCATGCACAGCGTGGAAGATGGTGGTCAAATACCGATCCATATCCGACGTATCCGCCGAGGACGCCAAAATGCCGGCCAGAAACGACAACACCCCAATATAATGATACGGCGTCCGCTCCGCCGCACCCTCAGACCGCAGCGCAGCCAGCGCCCAATGCACCAGGGCATCCAACACCCCCAACTGCTGCATATCCCTGCGCATCGAGATGCGCACCAGCAGCGCCTTGGACGCATCGCGCTCCTTGCCCGGCGACGCCAGGTACTTGATCGCCAACGGCACGATGCGCGTCGTGATAGTCGGCAGTCCCGCAGGCCACGCCAGGCCCTCCACCCTCGCCACCTCCTCTTCCTCCTCCATCTCCTGCGACGACATGCTCGCCAGGTCGAACGGCGCCAGCATCAGATGCGACAGCCACAGCAGCGCCACATAACGCTCCTCCCACGTCCATAGCGCGCCACCACCACCACCACCACCATCACCACTACCACCACCATCACCACTACCACCACCACCAACCGCTGGCGCCACATCATCAGCCTCCCCCGTGGCACCCGCCTCCGCCCCCTCCAACGCCGCGAGTAGCAGCTCCAGGTGGCGGGCCTCGTTGCTCAGGAAGCGCACGACGACCTTCTCGCCGCGGATCTTGCAGAAGGTGTACAGCAGCTTGCAGATGGCACGGGGCAGGGGCATCAGCAGGTCAGAGGCGGCGGCGGCGGGCCCGCCGCGGTTGGGTTGGTTGGTCCGATGCTGCTGCTGGGGGTGGTGGTGTTGGTGGTACTCGAGGTAGGCGTCTCCTAGGATGGGGAGCCAGGTGGGGAGGTGGGGGTCGAGGAGCTGGGGGAGTTCTTGGAAGGGGTCGAGGAGCTGTTTTGGGGGGGGGGGGGGGGGGGGGGGGGGGGGGTTAGTTGTTCATGTTGTTTGCTTTTTTTTACTTTTTCTTTTTCGAAAGTGGAGGGAAAGACGGTATTGTGAGGTGCCGTGTGTGTGTGTCTATCAAGTGAGTCGGACTTACTGAGGAAACGAGCCGCTCGGTTTCACGGCTTCGCACGCGCGACCGCACTGCGGCGGTTCCGCCCTTGCCATCCTGCTTCCTGAGAAATGGGCGGAGTGACTTGTCAAAATCTACAATGAGATCGCCTGAGATCTTCTGGAGTTTGATATCGAGATCGTCTTCGGGGGCATCCATGGTGGTCAGTCGAGGGTTTGGGAGTTGATGAGTTGAAGTTTGAGAGTGGGTCTGCGTTTTGTGAGGTTGAGGCTTGATTGGGAAGGCATGATGTCTCCCCCTCAACTTCAGGCATCAGCGCAGTTCTTGCAGGTTTTCACAAACACACTGGTATCTTGCAAGTAAAATTATCATTGGAACCAAATTCAACTCAGTTAAGCAAGGCTTGTCCGTTGGACCTAATTACACGGGTATCTATATAACTTCGCTCCCTGACCACTCCACAAGCTCCCCTGTCGTCCTCGAATTCACACACCCACTGCCAGCGCCGCGACGATCACATCCATCGCCGAGCTGTGCGTCGAAGCATTCGGCCCTTCGCCGAGATCCGGCGGCCCCGTCCATTTGATACCCAGCTGGTTCCTGTCGTTCCGGTCACTCCCCCAGATTGAGTTGGCGTTCTTCTCTATCGCCGTCCGGATCGCGTCTTGCGGTGCCGCCTTCTGCAGATAATGCAGGTTGCGGACAAAAATGCCCTTGAACTGGCTACCGTCGGCACCGCAGTTCGGCTCGCACTTGTCCACTTCGCGGATGATGCCGTTTTCGTCGCTGAGGAGTGCAATGGCCGCTTTGGCGATGGTGACGGCCTGATCCAGGTACGACGAGTCTCCGGTTGCTTTGGACAACTCGGCCAGCCCGCCCAACACCACGCCCTGGTTGTACGACCAGGTTTGCATGCCGTTGTTGACGCAGCTGCCATCGGAGTTGATGCTGAGGCCGTCATTGATGAGGTTGTCCTTGTTGATCATGCCGCTGTTCTTGAACCATGCCCACTCATCCTTGGCAATTTGGGTGTACTCTCCCTTTTTACCCGGAACGCGGTTCGCAAGGCTAGCCGCGACGCTGAGGTAGAGTTCGTTGGCGATCGCATTTTTGTAAGACTTTGCCTTGCTCCACCACAGGCCGCCGCCGCAGGTACCGTCTGTGCCGGCCTGCATGTCCCTGAAGATGTGCTCGGCCATGTTGAGGTAAGCCTGCTCGTGCGTCACATCCCACGACCTGATCAGCGCCAGTGCCCACCAACCCTCGTCATCGTAGTAGTTGTTGAGGAACTCGGAAAACCCCCGCTTGCTCGCCACTTGGAATTGGTAGGTCGAATTGGTCAAGCCGGTGGCGGAGAGCGTCTTCTGTCCCGTGACAAACACCCGCTGTGCTCCGCCGTACGTGTTGGATATGATGCCGGGGACATCCAGGCCCTGAGCGGCGGATCCAGCATTCAACGCCCAGTCGGTGAGGACAGTGAGGCAGTTCGCGCTGTTCCACCAGTTCGTTGTGCTCCAGAGCCCGGAGGGCGAATCGTACCAGCCTTGGAGTGCCTTGGCTGCTTCCAGGGAATTCTCGGCCGAAACTCTCTGAGCATGTTGGTCTGGTATGGTGGATATTAGGTGAACAGCGCGAGCGGCAAGCCCGCCCCATCGTAAAGATACCATTTTGGAGTGTTTAGTTGCAGAGTGAGGATGCGGAACGGAGACTGATAGTCGGGGAGAGGCGGCATAAATAGGGTCCCCCCGGCCACCGGCCAGGGACTTGACAGCGACCCAAGGCGACGCAAGCAGAGATGGATGACCCTTCAAAGATGGCGTGTTCATGAACACATAGCCATGTCCAACAGCATACTGGGGCCCGAATGTAGCCTCACGTCCCGAAAAGGAAGCTAAATCACCTATAGCTTCCTCTGATATGCCGTCCGGTAAGCCCATCCCTGCAGTTAGCTGAGACAGTCCTATCACAAGCTCGCAGGAAGGTCGCCCCTTCGCCGGCCAAATTGTTGCTTGAACAACATCGCCCGGGGGTAGGGCCGGATGGCAAGGCGACTCACGCGGCATGGCGGTCTGGTGGCCAGGGGATGGACCATGGTGAGTGAGCAGCCGATCCGACTCGGCCAACCATAGCTGCGACGAGCGCGTACAATGCCCGACCGTGGTGATGTAGTGTAGTAGTCAGTAAAACAGCCTGCAATGCATTGTTAGTTCCCTGATCGCCCATGCGCAAAGGGTCAGGCGGGTTATCTGATTGGTAACGATGTTGTCCTTGTGCCAGTGCCGCGGAGACGGCCAACGATTCCCTTTTTGCAGTTCTTGCAAAAGAGGGTTGCGCGTTGGAAGACGCATGACTGCCCAGCCCGCGTGTTGGGACCACCTGTTCCAGCTGTGGGGACAGGGCATCCAACGGTTAACGTTACCGTCATGATCGTTGCACAGAGGCACGCAGCTTCGTCCAAAACTGGAAATCATGGACCTTACAGCTACAGGTAAAGACCTGGAGGTAGGGAGCTACCCCGCCAACAGCTGTGATGCTCCATTATTTTGAAAGAGGCTTGGTGCAACCGTCTTCTGCGCTGTTGGCTTTGTCGTTTGAGTGCATGGGCGGTGTGCAGACCGGGTCCTTGGGGTTTGAAGACGAGCATGTCGATTGAAGGCAACGAACCCCCGACCAATCTGATCTCGAGAAGCCGAACTTCGTCCCCAACAACGCCCAACTCAACGTCCACATACCTCCACATTTCCGATGGGAATCTGGCATTTCCGGGCCCCGGGAAAGGGATCCAACTTTCTTCCTGCCCTCGCAATAGAAATGTCGCTCCCGTTCAACCTCGATGCCGCCCTGTTGCCGAACGTCGGGGATTCCGAGGGTTTCAAAAACCTAAAACGTACGAGGTATATGAAATGGGACCCGGGAATGGCCACTTGCACGTCCATTGACTGCCCCTAACCTACCTTGCCAACCAGGCCTGCGTGACTGATGTAACGAGCCATCAAGGTTTTGCCCTGTCGTGAAATACAGACCTCTGTCCACTGCAGAAAAGACCGACCACATGGATTCCGCCAGCAATTTTGTGTTGCTTGTTGGACAACCATCCGGATCGGTGTGTTTGAGACCCCGCAGTGACAGCAAATGATCTGACACTGCATCGGGAAGCAGTTTGTTCTCGTCATCGGTGCGACAGAAGGATCGCGGAGGAGAGCCAACGTGGCAAACTGCCGACGCCGCCTCAAACCGTGCTCGCAAAGATCACCGGACCCTCTGAGAGAAGGTCATTTGAGGACCCTGCCATCTTGCAAAATCGGCCGATCTGAGCCCTACAGCTGGCTGATGCCACTGATCGGCGGCCGCATATTGCCGGACACAAGCGCAGAATTGATGCTCGATTCTGGAGTAGTGAAGGGGTCCTTCGACGCGTCATTCGCGGCAATGATGCCGTCTACCCATGTCCGTGAGGTTGTTGGACTCGGGCTGCGATGGAGGAGGTTTTGAGGCGATGAGGGAATGGAGTGATGAAGGTGCTCTGCGCTGCCGGGGTGGAGCCTTCCGCGGAAGGCTGCCAGACGACCTCTTTCGTGCACGAGCCATCGAAGATTTGCAGCACAGTGGGTCTCCTAAGATTTGAGGGTCTGGGGAGTCCAAGCTCCCACTCAACCCCGCAGCTGCCCCGCAATCTGCTCCCAAGCCCCACCACAGCTGCCAAATTCCTTGCAATTTCCGACATCGTCTCTTCTTGAACCCTCAACCACCGCACTCACCACACTCGACAAGCTAATGATTCATCACATCACACACCGACTTGACAGCACGGGCCGCTTTCCGGCGCAATGTGATTACTAGCCATTCACAGTTTCAGCTTAGTTGGTGAAAGAATAGGCACCAACCTCGAGCCGCCCACTCTTGGACGTCGCAGATGGAGCTCCCTCTCTCGCCCTTCCTCTGGGGATGGCTTGTTTTGATTGCCTGCAGATTCACGCGCAGCAATTCTCACAAGCTGGGTTAGCGGCAGTGTTGGATCGGTCCTCCTCAACAATGACATCGCAGTTACCCCGAGCCACCTCTCTATTGGCCCGAAATAGCTCGAGACCCAAACATGGGCGATGCGAGAATCCGAACGGCGTGGCAAGACGGACTGAATCTCATCACCGGAACGTTTCCCGCTGGCTGATATGGCTCTCGGCGCCTTTGCCGTCGAAGAACTTGATGGTATCGTGGTGGGATGAGATTGGCCATGCCTGTGGAATCTTCGTACGAGGCTTGCCGAAACTACCTACCTCCTCTCCGGGGCTGTCTCAATCGATACCATGACCCCGTGGTGTTTGCCTTGGGGCTGTCGAATTACCCATATTTACGGAAACGAGGTCGGTCCGAACTCTCACAACGCGAACCCCCGGCAAACGAGAATGAATGGGGTGCTTCGTCTGGGTGTTGAAAGCTCATCTAGCGCATCATTAGCGAGCGGCCTGATACGACATGCGGCGACTTCCGTGAGTCACATACAGGCCGTTTCGAGACAGTTCTTCTTCCGCTTTTCAGGTGATTCTTCCGTCGACGACCACCAGCCCGGAACAACCTAGCCGTTGAATGGGCCGGTGGCCCGGTATGGGCGACTTAATAGAGACGCTGGACTTTCAGGCTGATTTCACCGCGGCCCGCTGCAATTGCTGATAGTTATCACACGGATTGTCGTCGCGCTTTTCGCGGTTTCAACGGTCGAGGAACGCGTACCATGCATATCACGATCCCTAATTTCATAGGCAGCGCGGCGTTGCCCTGCAACAGCCGGAGCGGAGGTTGAGCCCGTCTTGGCGCGCCCGACTAGCCGGGACTGGCGCCGTGTCAAATAAATCATGACAGAATCTGCGTCAATTGTTGGTATTGTTGCGTCTTCGCGTTGCTGTTACGCGCGGCATACCGAGATTTGAGACCCGCACCGGCCAATCTCCAATGTCAACACCACAAAGGCACGCGTTTGCTGCGCAGGTTCATATGCCTTCATTTGGCAAATGACCGTGCGCTTCCGGGTCTCTCCGTCACGGTCAGGGAGCGCCGGCTCCTCCGGGAACCCCCGCGCTAAACCCTCGGTAGACCCGGAGGGCGTCGGCGCCGTGAGGCTTGAGCCGCCAAGATGCAGGCCCGGGCGGATCGGGGCTAGCGCAGAGGTGATCCTCAGGAGAGCCAGTCTTGTCTGATCTCGCAGGTGGGACGAGGCGCCACATACGTGCATCGTGACAGGAGACGCTTCGCGCATGCCTGTTTCAGATACAGTCGGCACTAGCAATGCCAGGGACTCGCGTGACGGGAGATCGATCTGGACAACGGCGCAGCAGATTCGAGAAGGGTGTGCCGAAGCATAGGGCCGTAAACCGAGGTCGCCACCCCCGATTCGCATGTCGTTTGTCTGTCACCAGGCTGGCTGACCCTCACCGCCAAAAATGTCAAGATACCACGGGGGCTCACCGCAGACAAGCCCCCCGGAAAGAGGCTGAACGGTGCCAACAGAAACGATACGTCGCACGGCAATGCTACGATTAACGGCCGTACTGTACAACAAGTACATACCCTTCGGTTTGAGGCGCGCAAACAAACCGGGCTGTCGACGCTGGCTGGTCAGCAATCACTGGCGGTGACAGCAGAACTAAATTAGATGCACCCGAAGCAGCATTCCCTACCCGCTGTCGGATCTTGCCCTCACAACTTATGCAAAAGTGACTTCTCTCTCCCTCGCGGGAAGTCAACACACCCACACCGGAGCCATCAAACCACGCTTACAAGCCCACCAATCACGACCCGCCGATTCGTGCAGGCGTCTGAATCGGGCAGTCAGGAAAACGGGCGCCCAAGCCCATCCCGGGCCAACCGGCAGACAGCCCGCACCCCCCAGCCTAACGGAGCAAATCCCGCCCGAATCGGATCGTGTTTGTGCGACGGGCACACAAAACGACATGCAGCACACACGCGCGTGCGCACCAGAAATAAAGACAAAAAAAAGTAAAATAAGAGGAGGAGAAAAAAGAGCACGCTTCGCTCGGCCTTGCGGCAAACCGACGGCCGGTTCCAGACCCGGTCTGACGGTCCCGGACAACAACACAACAACCCGGGTTGTTGTATGTACATACTTCGCCTAACCGAACCCACTAACAGAGCATCGGAGTGAGTTCCACTAAATTGTATTTGAACCAGGCGGATATGTCTCGGTGGCACCGGTCTGCCTGTGCATTTGTCTGAGGTTTACAGCTTAGATTAACATTACAGTAGTGTTCTCGCCTCGCCGGGGACCGGTGGGGCCGGTGGGAAGGAAGTGGTGCAGTGCACGAGAGAAAAAAACCGTTGAGGATGCCCACACCCCCTGGCACCCCGGCAGCCTTACTTTTTTTTTGTCCGTTGTGTGGTGACGTAGGTACCGTACATACCTACATAAGGTCGCCCCATACTTCGTACATACATCGCGGTGCGGCCGCGCTGGCCGCGATTGTCGGCGGGGTACCGACTGCACTTGGCTGAAAGAAGTAATCAAGATCTTCTGGCTGCGGCCATCCGAGTGTTGGGTTGAGTGTGAGGGGGGTTTGGTGGCTGGCATTATGCCGACGCGGGCGGATTGAGGTGAGCCGGCCGCCGCGCACTGCACTGTGTGCCATGCCATACAGTTTGGGTGGAAAGTTGGGGTGGCACAGGTTGGCAGCATCTCTGACTCTCTCAGGTCTCTCTGTCTCGCCAAGTTTTGTTAACTATTCGAGATTGGCGAGTGGTTGTGTCTGGAAGTACCCTTGAAGTTGTGATTGGAAGTGGAAAAGCAACACCCGAAACCTAAAAGCAAACACGGAGAACCCAAGGGAAAAGAGATAAAAATGTGAGAGGTGAGCCAGCACAAACAGTTTTTCCATCCCTTCCCGTCCTCTTTCCCGCGTTAACACCGTTTTGTTTTCTTCATAATGCTTGTAACCGACCACCTTTTTTTTCCCTTTCCCCTTCCCCGCGCAATTTTCCTTCCCCCCCTGTAACCTAGGCAAGTCCCCGTCCAAGTCCGTCCGTACCAACCGGTAGTCTCCCCCGAGTGATGAACCCCCCCCCCTTTCCAGTCTATCCCAGCCGAGACGCATGCCGAACCCAAGCAAAAAGTGTATCAAAAAGGAAACAAAGGAAATAACAGTGGACATCAGCGAAGAGAATCAAACGCCGTGAACCCGAACCCCGTCTATCAGAAGAACTCCTCGTCCGTGATAAGCCAGAACACAAACGGAAATGGTGCGGTTGTACCGTGTAAGCGAGCGTGGCCCTGCCGTCAGTCGCAAACCCCGGTAGCGTAACGTTGTGTAATGTCGGAGAGCAGGGATGGATGAGGAAAAAAAGTACCGAGCATCTGGGCGAATGCTGTACCAGGCGGGAGGACCGCAGGATCGGTTTGGCAGCGGGTATCGAAGCGAAATTTGGCGAACCCGTCAGTGTGGACACAAGGGACGGGGTCGGTCTGCTGTAACACCACGTTGGGGATGCAGCGCGTCGTCCGGCGTTCTTTTCCTTTCTTTCTTTTCCAAGACGAGCGTTGGCGGCAGCATGGGATCCAAGAATTCGAGACCTTTGCAGGGGCTTGAATCCGGGTTTTGGGGTTCCAATTCCCATCTCGTTGGTGCTTGCCCGTCCGAAAGACATGCAGAGAGTGGTGCGATATTGACGGTCCCGACCGTTTGGTCAAGCCGTCGTTGCCTGCGGGTCTCTGTTGCTTGTCAGCACCCAAACGTTCCTCCGCGTTGTGAACGTGCAGACGACCGAGAAGTAGGCAAGAAGCCATTCGCTGGTTGTGATCACGATTTGCGCAGCTTTTGCTTTCTGCCCTTTCGTGGCTGGCTCACATGAGCTTTGCCTGGACACGCCACTGGACGGCCAAGGATTCTGGGGCTCTCGGGCATGGGTACCGCAGTGTCGGAGCGATGGTGATCTCGATGCAACTCACCTGAACTCTGACGGGCGCCAGGCCAACCACAGCACCCGGTGACCGCACCTTTTCCCTCCCCTCGATCCAGCCAGCCCAGATGCTAACTAGCGTTCCCGCTCAGGTACACGCCGAGTTCAGGCACTGTCCATGCAACTCCGGCACGTGTGGAGCCGACAGTACCGGCACTCCCAGATGAACCAGAACGGGCCGCTGTGGCAGACGTGGCACGTCCACTCAATCAGCGTGTTGTCGGACTTGATCATGACAAAAGAGTGCGCGCAGTGGCTGTGGCTTGCGAGTGCCATCTTGGAAAATGCCCGTCTCGCTTTCGTCGGGTGGGGAAAATGGCGTTAAGGAACCGGACGGTGGGCCGAGCCAAGGCCGGAGCTAGATTGGTGCTATGTGTGCTGCGGGTGTGCCTCAAAGAGGAAAGGGCCCCTAACCTCTGGCCGTGTTAGTGCTGAGCCACAGACGGGGAGATGATGGCAAGCTCACGACGAGATGACGTTAGGGTCAGGTCTCGGCCAGATCTCGAAATGGCGAGGTGGGAACCTGGGATGGACCGTACGCGCTGGTCGTACTTCCAGTTGGCGGGACTTTTTTACCCAGGTAGTCCAGTGGGAAGATTGTAGACGAAGTTGCGGGTGTGCGGTTGCTGCCAGAGCCAAAAACCACGAGGAGGGTGAGCCGGGGGCAGTTATGGGGAGCCGAGGTTGAGGAAGGAAGATGTCGGAAGAGGGAGATGGTGGGTGACAGTTGAACAAATTCGAGTGTTCGCTGATGGCCGTTTGTCTAACGTGGGTCCACAGCGGGAGTCTGATTGTAGGAGAGCTGCAGTAGGTGAGCTGCAGACGTAAACGGGAGCGATGAGGCGGCCTTTTGAGTTGCCGTAGCGCAGCCAAGTGGAGGCTCCCAAGCACGGGTAACGGGTTGACGGGTTGTGGATCGACCGGCTAGAGCTACACACACTTCTGATAGCCTGGTCTCCGACCGTGACCCAGAAACGTCCCTGCGGCGGGCCTAAGATGCGTCACAAGCACTTCCGGCTGCCGGCCAAGGAGGATCCGGAATCGGCATGGATTAATGAGAGCCGGTGAGCGTTGGGATCTGTCGGCTTCCTCCCGACTTCCCTTGCGGCTTACACCCCTCCCCTGGCGGCTCAAGCGTGCCCAGTTCGCGGGTCGAGCGTTCGGATGTAAGTGGGTCGGTCAGAGGCAAAGTTGCGAAGAAGGACGGCTGGCCAGGGGGCAGGGAACAAGGCCCCTGAGAAGGCAAGTCCTGCTTTGCGTAGATAATGCTGTCAAGTACGAAAGCAAATCGAGGAATTGGCGATGTACTGTGTACAGTACCCAGACTCCCCCGGTACTGTCTCGCTGCAGAAGCGCAAAAAAAGTGACGTTGAGAGCGGGAGGTTTGTGTCCATTCCCAGGCCAGCCTTCGTTTTGGGACGCAATCCCTGTCATGATAGACGGCAACCACAGTGGAGCACACAGCTGCTTTCAAACACTCCAGTCTTGGACTCATCCAACCCACCATGGGCGCGGCGCCAAAGGCCGGGAAATATGGGACGACGCCGCTGGCCGGGATTACCCTGTAACTGAGCCGCCCGTTTCCTGATACGGCTCCCTTGCAGGTTCGTCGCAACCCCTTCTTCGCCCTTTGTGGCCAGTTGGGGGTATAAGTGAGAGATATAAGAGATGGTTTAGCCGTCAACCTTGGTTGACATCGTTTCCTCGCCGCGGCACGCCAATTACGGGGGAGTCTCGAATCCAAACAGACGAGAACTCTGGCGACAGATGGGGCGACTGGCTCTCCATGCTGCAAGGGTTGCGACCTGGCCTTTCGTGGCCCTCTTGAGGCATGAACGAAGCGTGATAACGGGCCGCTATTGGCTGGAAGACCAGATGAGTGCGCCCGAGACGCCTAGGTACACACAGTCCACCGAGAGACCCGTGGGCTCGCTTTCTTTTCCCGAGCTGGCCCTAGGCGCCGTCATGGCCAGACAAGACCAAACACGACCAAACACGGCGGGGGAGGCCGCTGGAGGAGATGTGAACGAGAGTTCAGTCAGTAACTAGCGCGCGGCGCGTTCGCCTTCTTCCCCGACGCCTGAGTCGCACAGGGTCACGCACGTTGGGTGTCAAACGCCAGTGGCGGGTACCTTGCATGTATCTCGGGGGGACAACGCTTCAGCCGAGAAACATCAGCGATTGCCTAGATGGGTAGAAGAGCAAGGCGGATAAAGGCGTCGCGGGCGTTGCGGGGAGAGTGCCGGCAGGCGAATCCACGGGCCGGTCGCGACACGGCATCAGGGGGGGAGTAGGTGTAAGTGGTGGTGTGAGTGGGAGGAGTGGGAGGAGTGGAAGTGGAAGTGGGTGTGGGCGTGAGCGTGGGCGTGAACGTGGGAGTAGGTACGAAGTACTTCGTAACCGGTCGGCTGCTGGTTGCTGGTTGCTGGTTGCTGATCCCTCGAGTCCGAGCGCGTCGTCGGTGTGGTTTGACATGAGCAGGACGACGTTGCCCCACCGAGGTGTCTGACGTTGTCGAGGGAGACGAGGTCGACAAGGTCGACGGACAACTCCGAACAAGGGAAATTGATGGGTTTGGCTGGGGAATGTCATGCCAAAGATGGAACCAGGCCAGTGGGCAGAGAGACCTGTGCCTGCCAAAGAAAGTGGGGGCAGTGGAGCCAGTGCAGGCACACGCAGCTTCCTTCCTGGGCATCAGCAAAATTTGCTACGTTTGGCATTGAGAGGTGAGGTTCCTCCCCTCTCGCGTGCTCCTGCCTGCCATGGTCCGAGTTTATTTTTTCCCCCGGGTCACCCATCAAATCATCAGAGCTTCCACGCAATCATCCGTCCGACCCCCGCGCTTCCAGGTTGCTGCCCACTGCCCCTCCGACCCCTCATCCCACGCTGCCCAGGTGCTGTGCCGCAGCCACGGGTTTGACGGGATTCCCGGAGCTCATCCCTGAGAATATGTAACAACCTCGACCAATTTCCAGAAGAGGCATCCGCCATTACCTTCCGCGGCCACTCCCTCCTGCTCGGATTCCTCTTCGGACGCTCCAATACCAAATTAGACAACCGGCTTGACTTGGCCGCTGGCCCCGGGGTTTCTGTCTTGGCCAAACCGTGTCCGAATTGGGCAACTTGGTCTCTACCGCTGTCTCAGTTCGTCCAGCTTCGGTGGAGAGGCTCATGGGAACTGAACTGCGAGATTCGCCGACACTGCAGCCCTGGTACCCCCCCCCCCGCTATTTTCAGAATTGCTGGACCAGGCCAAGCCTTGATACCCCAGCAAAAGAACTTTCTGGGGAGCTTCTCCATCCTGCATCGCGCACAGTACACGGTACCTACCGGGAACCCAAGGCTCTGACAGCGGGTCTAGTTCATGCCCAACGGTGGCCCCGGGCAAGGGTTTCAGCTTCCATGGCCCTTCTAGTGCGCTGCGGATCGCCGCGCGTTCGTCTGATGTTGATAGGTTTTGTGTCGCTGTGCTCTCGTCGCAACAGCAACATTACCGATTCACCCGACATCGGGCTGAATAATGGGAGGCGGTGAATTTGGCTTTCGTACAGAGAGCACAGTCGATCTTCGGATGCCAATGGCTTTTCCCACTGGACAAGCAAGAATAGCGACAGCCTCATCCGTTTCGACGCACACGCAGTCGATCATCCTCCCGTCTGCAGCCCAAAATGCGGCCATTCTCTGGCCAATTGGGGGCATTCCCGTCTCCCTGCTGACTTTGAATGCATGCGACCACCTCGGGAGACCTCATGCGGGATGCTGGTCTATGCGTCGTTGCCAACGACATCGAAGAACACTCGGCATCAACAATCATTGTCCCCGATGAACGACACAACCAAACTTGCTCAGACGCATGGACGGTGTTGAGCCCAACCATCGTTTGGACTCCCGAACCTGGTACCTCGGTGTAACCGGTGAACAGTCAGCAGACACGACCCTGGGGTTAAGCGCATATCCTCCGACACGTACGAAGTACCAACCTCCCGACATCTCACCGCCGTGCTGTTCCTCGCCCTGGCGGACGCCCTTCGTCATCAACACACCGAGAGAGGTCAAAGCTTCACTCACGGGGTGTTGGTTTCAGCTAGGTGGACACCCAACAAGCATTCACATGACCGCTCGTTCCTCGAGCTGAGGGAGACAAACACCCCCCCCCCCGCATTTGATCAAAACAAGACGGCAAAGCTCGCGTTGAGTCGGGTGGCTACCTATACACGACGGCGAGACGCTATCGCTCGGTGACATTAGGAGGCGCTTCCCAGCCTACCGTGCACTGTGGACAATGAAGACTCATCGCGACGGATGTGGTTTGCCCCGTGGCTGGTCCCCGACTACCATGGCCTTGACCTTCCATGGTATGAAGCCGCCTCAACGCAGGGCGGCATGGCTTCCGAGAGGTTGGACTGCCACATCTCGCCGAAGCTGAGATATGCCGGCAGGATGTTCCGCATGCACCACGCCCAAGATCTATGTGACCCGACAGCACCCGCGCTCTTCCGCAGATCAAAGACTCCCTGAATTCCAAATTTTCAAGCCTCTACGCTCGTCGGTTGAAGCCTGACCCTGCAGTGAACCTTGCCGTCGTTCAGATCCGGGGCTGTTGTAGTGTACATACATACAGGATAGCCCTGGACATATGTACGCTTGGACTGTAACAGCCCTGGAGCAGATCATGTCAAGGGACCCTTGGCCCCCGTCCGTCACACCATCTCGTCCCACACCACCTCCTTTCATCCGCCTGTCCGAACCAGTTCAGGATACAAGAGGGACGCGTTTCCGCCCACCCATGCACATATAAGGTTGGCGGCGGGTTTCGGAACCCCATTGACAAGCCCCTACGGCAGTCGCTCCGGGCCGACAACCCACCGGCACCGGCGTAATTCTCCAGCGCCGCCCCCTCGGCACTTTTTCTCGAGGTTGAAACACTCCGTCCAGCCAGCCCCAGCGCGCGTGATGTCATGTCGCCGAACGGGCGAGACGATGACGAGGCCGGGTACGAAGTACATACCTCTGTCGCGCAGAGCCCGGTCCCCCGTTCCTCTCACCGAAAGCGAGGAACACCAAAGGGATGGGGGCCGCGCCTTGGCTTCGATGTCGCGGGGGGGGGCAGCAAGGCAGGCAGGGGATGTGACGAGCTAGCCGAAGTGCACAAGCGAGCCGCAGCCGCCCATCATCACGTCCACGGACTCGGATCTGCCCTTCGTTCCCCAAGTTTGCTCGCTTCTTCGCTTGCTCGCCTGGCTCTTCGCGCCGGACCGCGGGATGCGACCGCAGGGAAAGCAGGCAAACCCACTCTCACCTGTCATGACCCTGCGCGCATCTCGTCCCCCCGCTCCCCAGATGTATTAACCGAGCATCGCAGGCATGGGGAAGGTCGCCGTCGCACGCTGGTGGATGGGTGAAATGCCACCAATCCTGTCCCCACGCCGCAGGGCCGTCCCGCAATCTTGCAACGGTTTTCACAGAAACCGGAACCAGAGATCGCCCAGCTGCGACCGATCACATTTCTTCTCTCACTTCATCCGATCTCAGCTTATTGCTCCCGCGCATCCGGTCTATCACACATAATAAGCTTGTTTATCACTCTAGCGTCCTCTATGCCATGTAACCATCCCGAGATCCCGTCCTATAGCCGGGTCCCCTCATAAACTCTACCCCCCTCCTTATTCTTTCCGTTCCTCGCGTACCATGGACGATCTCGTCCGCGCTCTGACTTGCCCACTGCGCACCCCTGGCAGTTCGGCGTCGCGGAATGCCCACCAATACATAACATGGCCTTGTCGCGGAGAAGGGGGAATTGGCGGTGAGGAGCAGGCCATGTCCAGCAGGAAAACACCAGTCTGAGCACAGCCGGCCAGCACACCCCCCAACAGGTCACGAACAGCCGGCGACCGGTTTCGCCACGCCAAGATGACTGACCAACGGGAATGGAAACCCGCCGGGCCTGCCAACTTCCACGATCGAGCCCCTTGCCGTTCTGGGTTGATATTGTGGCGCGATCCCGGGTTCCAGTGATTAAGCCGGTAGGACCACACCGGTCAGCGCCAGAAATCGGGCCGTGATCCTTCCTGGAAGAACTGGAAATTAATCCATTAGTTTCTCGCCGCCGGCTCCACCCGCAGCCTCCCCCGTTGGTGTGTCCAGCACGGTCGTTTCGGGAGCTGGGACGTCCGTGGCGGTAACCGTGGTGGGTGTATCAAGAGACTCTTCTGCGGTTGGCTCCACGGCTGTAGGCGTACCAGAAACTGCCTCCCCTGTGGCGGAGTCTGTGATCACCTCGAGTGACTCGCCCGGCTCAAGAGACCCGGTCAACTCTCCGTGCTTGATCGGCTTCATCTCGAGCACCTCGTTATCGTTCTGATGCTGCTTCTCCTGGAACGTGAAAGCATCCGATAGGTTGACGGCTAGGAACGTCTTGGGCAATTTCACCCTACACGCCGCGCATCAATATTTGCTCGTCTTAAGGACAGAACAAGGGGGCACTCACTGGTGGAATTTGGCCCTCAGCGTCTCGATCACGACCTTCCAGTCAGCATGGGCCGTCAAGCTCCGCCGCGGCGCGCACCCGATGCAGTGCCTACTATCCAGCTGGACATCGAGTGGATCGAAAACGTGGCAGCCTGGGCTGATGGTGATTTTGATGCTGTAGTTGAACACGGGCGTGCCCTCGGCGTCCACGGGCGGGTCGGCGGGCATCTCGTACAGCTCAAAGGAGATCTGCGAGAGGTAGTCGAGTTCGGGAATCGTGGCCCGTTTGATCTTTGTCTCGAGCCCGCCCTCGAGGATGCAGTTGAGAAGCGTGTAAATGTGCGACTCCTTGGTGAAGTAGATGAAGCACTTGGCTTCCTCCGACGCCTGCATGTCTTCGAGGTCCTCAACGATCTCCTTCAGCAGCGGGAGCGAGGTCAGGAGACCGATCTCAAGCTGCGACAACACAATACTGGTGAGTAAAGTCTCCGCTACCACCGGCTCCGCTGTCTCCCACTCACCTTTTCACTATCGGAAATTCCATATTCCTGCGGGCAGATGAAATCGAAAAGCACCTTGGCCAACTGGTACAACTCCCGCAACGGTTCGAAGCGCGCGTCCGTCTTCGCTTTGGTCTGGCTGTTACCACGGTATAGGTGAAAGTACTTCTCGGGCAGCTCTGCCTCCCCACCGCTGCGAAAGCCGTTGAGGAACGACCGGCGGCGGAAGATGCGCCGAACGGCCTTGTGGCCCGAGGTCTCGATCTTCTCGGTCAAGGTGCCCGGCGGCGCAGACTTCTCCTCGCCCTTGTTTTCCTCGGCGTCTTTCGAGCCGGACGACGACGTCTTGCCACCCTCCTTGCCGTTTAACGAGATGCCGTACTCCTCCTCCAGCATGCTCTTGGGTGGCGTAAACACCCACTCGAGGAACTGCCGGTTGTGGAGGGCGTCAAACTTCATAGTATCGTATAACTCTGATATCTTGCTGGGGTCAACTTTCTCACCGTCGCAGAACTCGGCAAACAGCTTCTCCCACCGCTCCTTGAACAGCTCCGTGTCCTCACCGCAGCACCACCGCGCCTGTATGGTGTTAACCAAGTTCGCCTGCGACAGCGACCCCGCCGAGGCGAGAGACGACACCGACACGGCCGACGATCCTCCCTCGGCGAGGCCCTTCTCCGTGCCGGGGTTGCTGATGGCGTTAAGCGAGTTCACGGCGCCGCTGTATAGCTTTGCATAGTTGTGGTGCATCACCTTGCGGTGGAAGTTCATCAGCTGGACAACCCTTGTCTGTACCTCAGACGGCTCGGGCATGTTCTCAGGCCAAGCGAACTGCGGTGGGCGCTCGTTACCCTTGCGCAGCAACCCCTTGAGCTTCTTCTTGACCTTGTCCATCTCGTCCTTGGCCGCGTTGGAATCGTCGAGCAGATCCTTTCGGACGGTCACAAAATCTTCGGGCACGTCCTTCTTCTTAAGAAAGCTGGCCGCCCAAATCTGCGCGCTGGTCACGACGCGGCGCTCGCTGCTGCTGAAGACGTGCACCTCGTCAAGCACCTCGCGGTTCATCAAACCCAGGTCACCGCGCATGTTCTCACCCAGCTCCTGGGACTGGTACCGCGCCGAGTGCGTCGGCTCGCCGCCCCACTTGACGATTAGTTGCAGCTTGTCGAGGACGAGGCTCTCCTCGGCGGCTGTGAATTTGGACATGGTCACCCCCGAGAGCGAGTCGGTTCTCCGAGGCGGCTTGCGGGGTTCCGCTCCGGTGCCCTGCTTGTCGGTATCCTCGTCAGTTTGGAGGAACGGCTCTTCTTCCTTGATGGCGTCCTTTTGTTCCTTGGGGGGCTTTGAACCCTTTGCATCAACCTTCTTTCGGAACATGGGCTTGATTTGCACCTTGGTGCCCGCCCAACTGCCCTTCTTGATAAGGACGTTGCGGAGAGCCTTAAGTTTAGCGGGATCTTCGACGCCGGCTTTCATGGCTAAGTCTACAGCATCAAGCACGCTGGCCAGCGCCGGTTCGCCGATGAGCAAAACCTCTTCCTGGTGACCTCTGAGTAGCTCGATAAAAGGGGCTGTGTGGAATGTGAACTTGTACTTTTGCTTGGGCGTGCGGTCTGCGTGGCGGATGACTGACACCACTCCCTTAAGCTTCCAGCTGGGCTTGGGAGGCGGCGGTGGCGGCGGCTCCTGCTCGTCCTGGACTGCGGCCTCCGGTAGAATGGATGGCGAGGCGGACTTGACGGACGCCGCAGTGGACGGCGCGCTGTCCTGCAAACCAGCAGCAAACTGACTGGCTAACGGACTGGCGGGCATGCTGTTGTGCTTCGAATCGGGCTTGACCGGCGGGAGCGGCTCGACGAGCGACTCGCGCGCCGACCTATCCACGCTTGGCCGGCCCTGGGAGACAAGATCCCGCTCCTTGGCCGGGTGGTTCGCGCGAACCGACATGGGATCCACGTCGGAGATGGCGGGCGAAGGCATAGGCGGTGTTCGTCCATCCCTACGCTGCTTCTCCTTAATAAACATGTCCTTGAGGATATTGGCGCAGTGGTTGTAGTAGTCGTCGTTGTCCTTGACGAAGCTCCATCCGTTCACATCAATAACGTAGCTCTTCCCGCCGGCGCGCAAGAAGTCGAAGCCGCACACGCGTTGGCCAAAGGCGGTGCTTATTTTGCTGGCGACCTCTTTTTCTTCGGTACTCAACGCGGTCACGTACCGCACCTCCTTGCCATGGGTGTTGCGGCGGACGACGCCGTCTACGACAGGCGACTTCCTCGTCTCGGCGTGGCAGTAAGCCGGGCCTACTGTGTAGGCCTTGACGTCTTCAGCATTGTCCACTTGCATAAAGCGCTCATAGATGAAGCTGTCCTCCGGATGGGTGATGGCGCGCGGGACGTTCAGTGTTTCAACATACTCGCTGCTCTTGTTGCCGATTTTGCGAAACAGCTTGCGGGCACCGCCACCGGCAGACGAGGGGAAGTAGATGATAATGTTGTGGTCCTCGCCGCTCGTTGGCTTTTCGACAAAGGGCTTTTTGATCAAGGTGCCGTCGACGGAGAGGATATCGCCGCCGTCGAGTAGCTCCACCTTCCGAGGGGAGGCCCATTTGGCTTTTTCCGATTCCGAGTCAAACGGCTCAAAGGTGATGCCGCTCACTTCCCGGATGTGCTTGCAGATGTCTGGCGTGAGCAGGGTCGGGCCACCGTCGCGATTCACCTCGATACGCTGAGGGGTTGAAATGTTGATGCGGTCCAGCAGACGCAGGCAGAGGCGACGGTCCCAAAGGATCTTTTGCATGGGCACATCATTGACGCAGAACGGTTTGCGGGCCTTGACGTAAGCGACAGCTTTATCAAGGGGAAAACCATCTGAATAAAAGGATATGAGGTAGTCACTGAACCGTTAGTACAGGGCACTCAGGCGTGCTGGAGGATGGTCACTCACCATATGGGCCAATTTTCAACCTCTATCTTCTGTTAGCTTGAATGGCAGCAAAAACGACATGGGGAAGCTTACCCTCGTCAAGGATGACCTTGTCTCCAAAGACACAGACGTCAAACTCGCGGTTCTGGATGAGCCGGTTCAAGATGTTCCTGCTGGGCTTGCTCCTCGCCTTGACGTCCAAAGCGCACACACCAATAACACCCAGCGGAGCAGGCCTGTGCTCTTCCTTCTCTAGCCGGTGTGCTAGGGCGCGGTCACCACTCGGACTGTTGTGGCTGCTAGCGCCAGTGCTCCCGCTAAACCTACGCTTCGCCCGGCTCCTAGACCTGGTGGGCTGTGGGCGTGGCGTGGGGCTTGTCCCGCTCTGCTGCTGCTGTCCCTGCTGGGGCTTCTCACGTGTTGCAAGTTGGTGTGTTCCCGGCGACCCCTGACCCCCTGTTGTGACCGTCATGTTGGATATTTTGGACTCGGACTGCGGGGTGCTAGGAATCTTGGGTCCTCCGCCTGATGCAAAGATGCCGGATGCGGGTCGATGGATCTGGGTGCTAGTCACGCTGCCGGTATCGCTGCCGTTGGCCGATGCTGCCGAGCTGGGGACGCCACGAGCCGATGCTAGGCTGTACAGGGAGCTGATGCTCATACGGTTGCTGACCGGACCCTCGGATATGGATGTGCGGGGACTGCGTAGGGTGGGATCGAAAAGACCGCGATGTGAAGCTGTCTCGGCGGTGGTGCCTGCTTGTAAGCGGGGTGTATCTGGGTCGTCGGGGTCGGCTACAGTGACGGCAAAGTCTCGGGGCGAGAATGTTGAGGTGGGGGTTTGGTCGTGGGACAGGTTTTGTAAATTCTGGGAACTCTCGACTGGGTTTAAGACGACCGTCTCCGCCGAGTCTTCCCTCGCCGAAATATGGGTTGGAAGGGGCGGCGGGGGCATGGACACATCCGCTCTTTCTGCGTGGGTCGTGGTGGTGCCGGGCTCGACTTGCTTGGCTTTTTGGATGGAAAGAGCAGACGAGGACGAAAGATTGTGAGAGTGGGAACCGCGACCCTCTTGCCGGGACTGAGGTCTAGATTCTGTCGTTCCTTCCGCGGCCGGGGAGGCCTGGATTGAACTTCCGAGTCCCGTAGTACCTGAACTGAGCTCTAGATCATCTTCCGGTCGAGGAGGCGATGATGCCGTGGCACTGGCAGCACCCGAACCAGTCGAACCCATGGTTGCGTTCGGATCGTTGGAGTTCGGGTCCATGGTGATGTTGGCGGGAGCCGACAGTTGGAAAGCTTCTAGTAAAGTTGGCTCTGCAACCGGCTTTAAATCGACCAGCACATGCGGGTATGCAAAGTCGGCGCTCGACGGTCTGATGTCACTTCCAAATGCTAGGGGCTCAAAGTGGATTTCGATCTAGTGGTCCAGGTTGGGAGCATTTGGTGCGGTGGCAAAGCTCACACATTCGGTACAAATGTACAAAGACGGGAGGACATTCCGCAAAGGAGAACTTGGCACGAATGTTCTGCATTCCCACGTGAAAATAAAATAAAAATAAAATAGAGATAAATAGGCAATTAACTGACTGCCGCCCGGCTCAATGGACCAGCCAAGAGGCCAACCCGAGAACCGGAGTCATGGAGTGGAAGACGATCCGGGCTAGGCCAAGGGGTTGATACGCAAAATGGCGGGACTGATGGGCCAACCAACCCCTGCCCGGCTGGCTGCGCCAGATGGAATGGATGGCGGTTCAAGCTGCTGGCGCCAAGGATTATTTTCTGTGGTGGGGCAGAGGGGCACAAAAGCCCAGTGCCATGACGCCAGAGAGCAGAGATCTGGCAGGCATGTCGGCACGAGCCATATCAACCTCCCGAAACTCGCCCCTTTTGGAGAAACATGGTTATCGAATTCGGTTTTGGACACCGATTCTCTACAATTGAAGTTCGAGGACCTCATGGTCTGTTTTTAGGCACTATATAAAATGCCAGTGGTGCCATGTAGCACAATACAAGTGGTCGCGTGACAAGTAGCCCGTTTGGGCCAAACTGAGATGTCGCGCCCTCATAGGCTAGCAAACCTTTCGCTCAGGATCATAAAGGCGGTCAAGATGCGGTCCTTGCAGCTGGCATGTGCGCATCTGGGAACGGGTCTGGGAACGGGTCTGGGACATCGGATGCGGGTCTTGGAATCTTGGAAGTTCGGTGCTCGGTGGTTTAAAGCCGGCGCATGGAAACTTTAGTGGGTCTAGCCAAGGTGTGGGAAGGTGAAGGTGCCCGTGCATGGTACCTCGGGAGGTGTGGGCTTTTTTTTTTTTGGTGGGGCTGTTCTGCCTTTTCGGACGAGGCTGCGGAAAACTTCAAAAGTTTGGAATCACCATCATCACGAACCAGAAACGCCCATTGGTGGTCGTATCGGCAGCCGCGCGCGACACAATGCCCCACTCCGAGCCTGACCGGCCGTCGACAAAGCGCCAAAGGGTCGATGCCGTCGTCAAGGCGTCGCCCTCAGCGGCCAAGCGAGGCTCGACCATCTTTGCGCCATTCCGAGTGAGCACTCCATCCTGCTTGTTTCATTCATAGACCCGTTCTGACTGTTTAGACAATTGGTCTAGTTTCTCCCACTGCCGTGCCGTTTGCATCGATTCCGCTCGGCAAGACAACCTTCCAGATCACGACCTCTGTCGGTCGCGCCCTGCAGACCTACGACCTTAAGCGCGGACTCAACCTTGTCTTCGTCACGCGCCCCCAGACGCCGGCCGACATTACCGCTACCTATTCTTGGAAGGAGAAAGTCTTCGCCGCGTGGGGCGACCCGCGCAATGGCGAACCCCAGGGGTTGTGGGCGTTCCAGCGCGGTAAGAAGGCTGCCGAGCTCCAGCTGCCTGCGGATTTGGACCAGCCCATCAAGCAGATCCTCATATTTGGCTCGTGGATCGTTGCATGCGCTTTGACGAGGGTAGAGGTGTGGAAGTCGTCGACGTTGGAGCATTACACCACTATCTTCACAGCCGCGACAAAGAAGGGCGACAATGAAATCAGCGGCGGTGTCTGCAACATGCCCACCTTCCTCAACAAGATCTTCGTCGGACGGAAAGATGGTTGGGTCGAGATCTGGAACATCAGCACGGGCAAACTTATTTACACGATCCTGCCGCCGACACCAGATTGCGGCGCTATCACCTACCTTCAGCCCTCCCCGGCTCTATCCCTACTAGCCATTGCTTACTCAGGAGGGCCGCTAGTTCTACAGAACGTTCTTACCGACAAACCTGTCCTTCGGTTGAATGCCGGGACCGAGGATGCCCCGGTTACTTGCATCTCGTTCCGAAGCGACGGTCAGGGAGCGGGTCAGGACGGGAGGAAGGATGGTGTCATGGCTACTGCCACCAGCGTTGGTGGGGATGTCACCTTCTGGGATCTCAATAAAGGGGGGAGAATAATGGGTGTCCTCCGGAGCGCGCACAACCCCCCGTCCTACAACAAGGAGGTCCGTGGAGGAATCAGCAAAGTCGAGTTCCTTCCCGGGCAGCCGGTTATTGTCACGAGCGGTCTCGACAATTCTCTCAAGTCTTGGATATTCGACGAGTCACCCTTTTCGCCTGTCCCGCGCATCTTGCACATGCGCAGCGGGCACGCGGCACCAGTGCGCTGCCTGCAATTTCTACCCTCAGATTTCGACGGAGCCGAGGGCGGGAATAAGTGGTTGATCAGCGGTGGCCGCGACAGGAGCTTGTGGGGGTGGAGTTTACGCCGTGACGGGCAGAGCGCCGAACTCAGCCAAGGCGCCATTCGGAAGAAGGCGAGGAAGATTGGTATCTTGGCTGGCAGCTCCATGTCGCATGGCCCAACAACCACATTGGACGACCTCAAGGCGCCGGAAGTCACTTGCATCGCCTCTTCGCTGAATCGAGATGGCGGGATGGGCGCCATGCCAGGCAAACAGATGATCTGGGACAAGGGCAATGATAAGAACAAACTTACGAGCGCCCAACTTAGCGGCATGACTGGCTGGGAGAGTGTGGTGACGGCTCACAAGGACGACCCCTGGGCACGTACGTGGTTTTGGGGTAGGAAAAGAGCCGGCCGGTGGGCGTTCAAGACGGGCGACGGGGAGAGCGTGTCGACTGTTGCCATGAGCCCCTGCGGCACCTTTGCCTTCGTTGGCTCAAGCGGGGGCAGCATCGACATGTTCAACTTGCAATCTGGAAAACAAAGGCAGCGGTTTCCTTCGAGACTGACTCCGGCGCAGCTACGGCAGCTAAAGATGCAGCAGTTGAAGGCACTTGACGAAGTCAACAAGCTCCAGTCACGGTCCAAACGTACGTTTGCGCCCGGCACAGGAAAGCACACCAAGGCCGTGACGGGAATTGTTGTCGACTCGCTGAACCGAACCGTCATCTCCTGCTCGCTCGACGGTAAAATCAAGTTCTGGGACTTTGTCACGGGCAGCCTCGTCGACGAAATCGACTGGGCGCCCATGGTCAAAATCACAGGCTGCCGCTACCACGCAGGGAACGACCTCATCGCCTTTGCCTGCGATGACCATTCCATCCGGGTCGTTGACGTAGAAACAAAACAGACCATCCGCGAGTTCTGGGGCTGCCGTGGCGACATCAACAATTTCTGTTTCTCCAATGACGGCCGGTGGATCGTCGCCGCGTCGCAAGACTCGATCGTCCGCGTCTGGGACCTGCCCACGAGCCATCTGATCGATGCCTTCAGGCTGGAGAAGCCCTGCACGGCGCTCGCCTTCTCGGCGACGGGTGAGTATCTCGCGGGCGCTGTCGAAGGCGATCTCGGGGTCCAGCTCTGGACGAACCGCACGCTCTTCAAGCACGTGCCGACGCGGCAAATCTCCGACAAGGAGATCGGCCAGATCTCGGCGCCCACGACCTCGGGCGAGGGCGGACAGGGCCTGATCGAAGCCGCGTTCGACGCGGCGGCAGAGGACGAGCAGCGGGCCGCCGAGGAGGAGGAGGACGGCGTGACGGCGCCGGTGCTGGACCAGCTCAGCGCCGACATGACCACCCTCAGCCTGGTGCCCAAGAGCCGCTGGCAGACGCTGCTGCACATCGACCTGATCAAGGCGCGGAACAAGCCCAAGGAGGCGCCCAAGGCGCCCGAGAAGGCGCCGTTCTTCTTGCCGGCCGTGGGCGGCGCGGGTGCTTCCAACGCGCTCGTGCCCGCGGGGCCGGACACCAAGACCAGGGAGGCCGAGGGCTCGCGGCTGACGCAGCTCGATCGCGCGCGGAACCAGCAGGCGCTCACGTCGAAACTGCTTGTTTGTGGCGCGTCGGGTGATTGTGAGTACCACCGCACCTCGCCTTCTTTTCCTTTTTTTCCCCTTCCCTTGTCGTTTCCCGTCCCCTTCGTGCGTCGACGCACAGGTTTGGTTGTTTTTTTTTATCCTACAAAGCACTGACTACCCCCCCTAACAGACACGGACTTCCTCGAGCACCTCAAATCGCTGGCGCCATCGGCAGCCGACCTAGAGCTGCGGTCGCTCTCGATGGGGTTCGGCGACGACTCGTCCAACGAGCTGCTGCACTTCATCCGGGCGCTGACGAGCCGGCTGGTGGCGCGGCGCGACTACGAGCTGACGCAGGCGTGGATGACGGTTTTCTTGCGGCTGCACTTCGACCTCGTCATGGCCAACGAGCCGCTGCTGGCCGCGCTGGGCGAATGGAAGCAGCACCAGGGTAAGGAGCGGGAGCGGTTGGATGATCTGGTGGGGTATTGCGGGGGGGTGGTTGGGTTTTTGAGGAGTCCGAGGACGTGAAGTGAGTGAGTGAGCGAGCGGTTTACGGGATGATATCCACAGACACAAAACAAGACAGGCAAAACAAGGACGGGGCGAGACAGCAAGCGTCATCGCAAGCAAGCAAAATTTATTCCAACGATGCCGGGGTATCTCATCCTCATGATCTAGCGCCATCATATCAACCCTGTTTCCTCCGCCATTTACCCAAACAGCCAGTCCAAGACACGCTCGAAGCGGTTTCTAACCTGTCTGTCAGCGGGCCGTTCTACAACAAAAGTTAGAGAGGAAAGGGATGCTTACGTTGGTTTGCTCGGCACATAGGTGCGCTCGTACGCAGCGATCTCGTCCATGTTCTTCTGCAGGTCGATCTCATGGGCCTTGTAGATTTTGGTCTTGTGGACCAGCTTCCAGGTAATGTACAGCAGCGGGCAGATGGCGATCATAGTATACCTGGATTTTATTAGCACGTCTTCTTTCTCGATTAACAAGAAGGGATATTATTAGCTCGGGGACCAGAACTTACGAGAACAAAAAGGTGGGGATGTCCCAGTTCCCCGGCAGGAACACCATGTAGCCGCCCATGAAGGTCATGACAAAGGTGCCGATCAGGGCGTACCAGGCCGCATAGGGCTGGAACCAGGCGCGGTACGGCAGGGTGCGACGATCTATCCCCTGTGATTTCAGGGCGGCGTGGAAGCGCAGGTAGGTGACGCACATGCAGCTGAAGTTGATGAGCTGGCTGGCGGTGACGAGGTTGACGAACCACTGCAGCACGATGGCGGCGTCGTTGGAGACCTGCAGGAAGGCGAGGAAGGCGATCAGCAGCACCAGCCCGACCGAGTAGATGGGCACGCCGTTGCGCGTGCACTTGAGGAAGATGCGCGGCGCCTTGCCCTCGAGCGCCATGCCGTACAGCGACCGCGACGCGCAGTACACGTAGCTGTTGCCCGCCGAGAAGGCCGCCGTCAGCACCATGGCGTTGACAATGTCCGGCAGCACGCGGATCTTGAGGCGGTTCATGGCCACGACGTAAGGGGAGGCGGCGGCGCCCGGGGCGCCCCCGTCGAAGGCCGCCTTCATCTCCTCGTCGGTGTGCGGCACGATGATGCCGACGGCGAGCGAGCCCAGCACGAAGAAGGCGGTCAGGCGGTAGAAGACGGCGTTGAAGGCGCGCGGCATCACGTAGCGCGGGTTCTCGCACTCGCCCGCCGCCATGGAGACGTAGTCGGGCCCCGCGATGGTGAAGGACGCCAGGATCAGGCACTGCAGGAACCCCATGAAGCGGCCCAGCCCGCCCGTGTGGTAGAGCTCGGCGAAGGCACCCGGGTCTTGCCAGTACCGGAATCCGAAGCGGTCGCCCAGCGGGTTGCCGCCCAGCATGGCTACAAAGGTGAAGAGGAGCAGGGCCACGATGAGGATCACCTTGCCGAGGGCCGCCCAAAATTCGACTTCGCCATAGAACCTGACGGCAAGAACATTGATGATTCTGTTTGGGTATGAGGGTCAGTCACAATGTTCTTTGGAGCGCGGGAATGAGAGAGATGACGCCATACCCGTAAAGGACGATGGTAATAGCAATGATACCCCCTGCAGGTACAGCGTCACTCCAGTAGTGGATAATGACGTTGCAAGCGGTAATCTCGAAGGGCACCATCGCAGCCTCGAAAACGAAGAAGTTCCATCCGGCGGCGAAACCGAAGGCCTCGTCGACGTAGCGACCCGCGAAGCGGATGAAGGGGGACGAGATGGGGAGGTAGGTCACCATCTCGGCCATGCACAAGGTCACGGCGAGAATGAAGGTACACCTACGACAAGTCAGCTCTCTTATCATCGACAGAACAAATTGGCTGTTCTCAGTATTCCCGGCATACTCACCACAGCGTGAATGCGATGAAGAGGCTACCAGGCCCTCCATTCATCAACCCCCGGCCGATCTGGACGTATAGCGCCGTGCCAATGGTCCCGCCGATGCCTGGGCACACACACACACACAAAGTCAGCAGGCGAGTTCGACTCAACACACGCAAGAACGGCGGGCCTCACCAATCAGCTGGATATGGCGCGACTTGAGGGTCCGGTGGGTGTGGTCGCCGGCGATGCTGTGGACCGAGACATCCTCGGGCGAGCCAATCCCGGTGGGAACCTCCTTCGTCTCCTTGAGGGAGGCCGATCGGCGGGCGCCTCCCTCCACGTCGAGTGCCGTCGAGGCCATCTGCCTCGACTCGTCGCGTCCCACGGAAACCCGTGGACGGGGAAGTTTGGGGTTGGCTTAAGGGGGGGTTGGCCAGGCGACTGGTTGGGGAGGTGGGGGTGGGTTCGCGGTCGTGGCGCCTCAATGTATCTGCTTGAGGAGGAGCGAAAAGAACTCGGCGACAAAGGTCATGAGGGTGTCGGGGGGTTCAATTGGGAAACCTTCGATACAGAATCAGAATGGGGATCGAGAGAACCGGTGGGGAGGTGGAGGCATTTAAACAATTAAAACAATGCGGTGCTGCTGTGGGGGAAGGGGGCCGAGGCCAAGACACATGGTGATTGCGAGGTAGAGGGGCACACTCGGGATCCCAAAGAGCGAGCGAGGTGGAAAATTCCAATCCCAAATTTCTGGGTTCAGGACTTTAGGTTCCATTCTGGTTCCATTCTCCCCAAACTTGCTGCCAGGTTGTGCCGGTGTACCGGTGTCTGCGGTGTCTGCGGGTTCTGCAGTGATGACGATCGTTCCCAGTCAAGCAGGTACGTAAGCAGAGCGGCGGGATCCAACTGGCAACTACTGGGAACTACTGGGATGAGGCACGAGGGATTGCAGTAGCGGCCATGTAGTGGGCATGAAGCGGGCATCACGTCCCTTCAAGCGACTTCAAGCGAGCCTGTTATATCTCGAGCATGTTGAAGGGTGCCATTAAACAAGGTTTACGCCGTTGCCATCCGTGCCGTGCTCGAGCCATCTTCGCCGTTGGTTTGCCCCTCCTCCACTCCCAAAGCTGAGCCAAGCCCTACGGTTGCCCACTTGCCACTCTCAGCCCTTGCTCCAGCGTGGGGGCCCTGGGGAACTCGGTGTTGCAACGAGGCTGAACGGGGCAATCCACGGCCCTTTACCAAACCTCTGTACTTGGCGCAGCGCTTGGTAGGCACGGTAGGGAGAGTGAAAAAGTTAAATCCCCTGTCGTCGATGGGGCAATTTAGCGTGTGGATGACGACAACTGCCCTGTCCCTAGTCGCAAGTGCCTCGGGACCGAGGGATTGATGTAAACTTCAGTTCAAATAACTAGAAGTTGAACATAGGTAATATGGAAAGTCCGAGCCTTGCAAGGATGCAAAAAGAACCCTCGGTTAGATGCAAGAACGGCTGGGTTGCTGAGGGACGACAGGAAGGAGCACACACAGGCCAAGCCTTTTGGTAACGGCTGTTGGCAATCCAGGTCGCGAATGCCCTGAATCACAACACCCTCCCGCATCCTAAGGACTGCTGCTGAGATGTATGTCTCAGCCTTAATTAAAATAAACCAATTGACACTCATACGTCAGGTCATACAACAATGCATTACTCCAATCCTCGCCATTGATGCAGTGATACGTGGGATTGAGAGGAGAGACGAGAGAGGAGGAGAACTTATCGATATCGTCTGTGTTCCTGCCGTCCGAAAAGTGTGTGGCTTGGCACCCCTAGTCAGCTGCACATTCCTCGCAACAATGATCCCCTCGAAAAAGCTCTTCTCCCGATGTCCTCGTCGGGTTAATCTATCATACATTGCTGGCGCTCAATCAGTTGCCTACCTCAATACCATGGCCGACTTGACTTGACTTGGTGGTTGGTGTGGTCACGGTGGTTGTGAGGGAAAGGAGAGTTCAAGTAAGTTGGTGGGAAAGAAATTTAAGACATGACTGATTGTACGTTTGTCACGCTAGAGTATACCGGTAGCTAAAGTGGGACAAGCATCCATAGTTGAGTCTCGTAGGCGAGGTACTGTGCGTGAAGTTCAGAATCCTAATGTACAGGTCGGCAGTGAAGCGAGAGGAAGTTAACTTGAATATGCACTGCACCATATTATATTTAAGATATCATTATCACTATTCACCCGCCCAGCGCAAGGTCGGGTCCTAGGATAACGGCGGGGCGTGTTCGGACCCGTCGCCCGCGCGAGGGTGGTTGTTACTCGACGACGGGGTATCCGGGATTGCCGACATTGGGTATCGAGGCCGGATACTCTTCATCGCTGAACACACTGCACCAAGCGATGCGGTGGTGGTTCCAAGAGTCCCATCACGATGTCAAGATTGTCATCTAGCCAAGTTTGACAACAATCACCACCGACGCTTGGGGTTGGAGAAATGGGAGGAACAAGCTGCGCTCCCTTGGGGGACTATCACGAGGAGTCGGGTTGTATACGCGGCACGTAAGAATGGAGTATTGAAAGATTGGATTAAAGAGTTAGATAAAAATGATCTAAATAATAAACTAAAGGATCGAGTGGAACAGAAAGTGAAGAGCGAAGGGAGAAGTAAATTGAAGGAAGTAGGTAGCATTGACTCTTGTAGAAGTGAATGAGGTAGCGGCAAGAGCAATGTTTATAATATGAGTTGATTCTTAAACTATTTACCATGGGAACGTCCATGGTACTCGGTATAGGGAAGAAGAGATGTACAAATGAGCTACGAGATTCAACAGCGTTGCATCCTGTAGAGAACGAGTTGCTCATATCTATATAGCAAGTTGATATAAGACTGTCATATTCCTGGACTCGTAAACTGGCACAGATGGAAGCGATGTACACAGGGCAAGGACGTTGCTAACGGGTACCGTACGAATCACACACCGCCCGAGGTGGTTGACCGGATTGAGGCCAAGTGGCGGAAGTAGGCTAGGAACTTTATTTCTGGGCCATGGCCTAGTTTCGAACAACCACAGAGCTGGGCTCGGAGCTATATTTATTCAATATCTCCTTGTTTTCGTTGGTACCATCGATCGCACGGTCTTATGGGTTATAAGTCAGCGATCCACTCGGTAGGCATCGACGTATGCGGTTTTGTCGTGTCTAAGTCAAAGGTATGAGCATGTAAGATTCTTAAACCGCTCCTTCGCTGCTCACCTAATTTTGCGAAAACGGAAGCACGTCAGCAGTATGAAAATTTGATAAGTTAGTAGTTGGTGAGTAGCGTGGAAAACAGAATATTATCCAGCGAAGGATTACTCGCCGGGGGTTGAAACCAAAGAACAGACACCACCACCACATCCCCAAAAAGATCCACGACACACCACCCCAATAGCATAGGCACTCACTGCTCACTCCGCCCGAGGGAGCATCCCACGCAAGAGCAGCGGCACAACAACCAGACTGGACAGCGCCTCGGCGACCGTGGTCAGCGACATGCCATGCTGGGCCGCGACCTGGGCATAGGGGAAAGACACCTGGACGGTTTGGGCGACGTCTTGTAGGAAGGCGTTTGGGGCGAGCTCAGCGTGTGCCGCTGGGGAGGACGAGAGCGAGGTTGGATGGTATTGGTCGTGTCGTCTCTGGTGATTGCCGGGCTGGGGCGGGTGGGGGGTTGGTGCTGGATGGGCTGGAGCAGGGCTCGGTATCGGGTTGTTGTTGACGGGGGGTGCTGGTGGTGGATGGCAGTTGGGCTGTTGGTAGGCTGGGTGATGGGGCTGCATGGCGTCAATCGGTGGTGGGTTTTGGGCTGGACGCATGCGAGCTTCTTGTTGCATTCGCCCGCAATGGGGACAAGGCGGGTTGGCCTCCGGTGCTGGGGACGGGGGAGGGCCTTGGAATACCATGCTCCTGCCCGCTGGGTGGCTGTGCGAGAACTGCGCCTGTGTATTACTAGTAATGCCGGGAGTGGGCGTCCCATGCTGCTGAGGTTGATTCTGCAGAGGTGTGACAGATAATGGAATGTTCTGTGCTTGCGGTATCGTCATAATACTTCCGGCCGAGTGTGTCATGGACGGGACGAAGTTGTGGGTGTTTGGTAGATTGGGAGGAGCTGGCCCATACATCGGGTTGACCGCGTTGCCAAATTCAACGCCACTCATGATGCCGTCAATCGTAGAAAAGATCTGGCTCACATCAAAGCCGGGAGTGTTCGTCGGGGTGCCATTGAAATCGAGACAGGAGATCTGGTCTAGTGTGACCGAGTTCTCCAAAGAGGGGCGTGGTGTTGGCAGGAGTGGTTGGTCGGTGTTTAGGGGGCGTTCGTTGGTGTTCGCACCGGCTCCAGGGGGTGCTCGGTAGACCTGTGGAAGCTGCTTGGGGGATATGGCCTCTGAAGGCTGGCGCGGGTGGGTTTGCGTTGGGGCGAGTGATGGAGGAAAAGCAAATTTCTCCAGGGTAAGGAGTGAGTTGCCCCGGGTCTCGTGGGTTGAGCCAGGCCTTGGAGCCTGGGCCTGGTTGACGTCGCACATGCTGCGGTAGCGGTCGGCCGTCAGGGTCTGAGATGGAGCGGGCGTTGCTGGGTTTGTGATGAGAGGAGCTTGGGATGGAGGTGGAGGATGGGCCGGAGATGGAGGGCAGGCTGGAGGTCGAGGACGGTCCGGAGGCGGGAGTTGGGGGGTATTCATGGGTCCTTGGGCGGTTTGGGAAGGGTTGTGCTTGGTCGACCTTCTCTTCTTGACCGGATTGGATGAGATAAGCTCAATCTCGTCGACGTCCGGAACACGCCGTTTGGTGAGAATCGCTCGCTCGTCCACTCCTTCGTCGTTACCCGATGCCACGGACATCTTAGGTTGAACTGTCTCCTCCTTTTTGGCGGACAGGTTGTTTGAGGTGATGGGGTGGGATCGGAATGTCCGCGACTTGAAAGGTTGGTTGGGAATTGGATAAATATAATGGGATATGGGAGGAAGTAGTTCTATGACTGGAGTATTAAAAGGATAGCCATCATCACATTTCTGACCTACCCATAACCTTGTCCGATGTGAGGCTGTGAAAGAAGATGTGATGATGCACTGCGACAACGACAACAACGACAACAACTTTTCTGTTCTTGCATTTTGAGTGAGAAAAGAATTAGATACAGTCAAAGAACGAACCCCCAACTTCGGCAACGAAGAAAGGAAAGACGAGAAGCACGTTAGAATGCTTGCGAGAGCGAAGCTGGAGTGTGATTGGGATGTAGCCAGGTGGCGGAAGCTTTCCATGTTAGTCTCTTGAACTAATGACCCAGGGCCGAAGAAGGGAGTTGGAAGGGAGGAAGGACTGGGTTGAGAGGTGTGCTGTGTGGTGCAAACGCTCGGTCTGTCTTGGCACCCTCTGACCAAAGAAGGAAGTTACACGCCGAAGTCTAAAGGAAAATGAAAAGTCAAGCAAACAAAGGAAAGAAGGCGGGCAGGGGAAATAGGAAAAGGGGAAAAGGAGAAATGGAGTCAAATTAAAGGTAAATGGAGTAGATGCAGTCTTTTTTCCCCAACTCTGACCGTCGCGCCTCACTTCTCTGAGCAACAAAGTCAATCCGAGCCACAGGGGGCGCAAGGGTTGGGGTTATGTATGGGTGGACGGGTACGATTTCTTTGAAAAGGCCGAGAAAAGGAGACAACTGCATCAATATCTCAACACCCAACGTTCCGCATCAAGAATCAGGCAGTAAATTAATACTTCACAAAGTTATATGTACTGAAATATATTAATGCGTCGTGCGTGCCTGTGGGAGGGCACTTGATAGTTATAGCCTGTTCCTGCCTCCCTCTCCAGCTCTTTGGCGTGCCAAGATTAGGTTGTTCAGGGGTTGGCACCACACAGTGGCAGCTCCCCCGCTGTCAGCAGCTTAAGCTCCAGCGGGGCAAGGCTGCGCTTCTGCCTTGCCAGGAACCAACCCCGCGACACATCACAACCATCTTCTCGCTACCGAATCCCAGAAGCTCCATTCAAAACTCTGGGTTTACTGTAATAAATCCCAGCCGTTCGGAACAAGATCGAGATTCAACCACAAAACTACAGCGAACATGGCCGGCCAAGCAGCAAACGAGCTGCTGTCGACCCAAAAGGCATCCGACTCGGGCCTCAAAGTCGTCCTGCACCCGTTACCCATCCTCGAGATATCCGATTTCATCGTTCGAGGCTATCAGCGCGGACTGAAGGGAGCAGTTGTTGGTGCTCTATTAGGCCAACAGAATGGCCACGAGGTTACTATCGAGCATAGCTTTAGCTGCAAGTCGGAGAAGAACGCCGATGGCCTCTACAAACTCGACGATGTTTGGTTTGGGCAGCGTCTAGAGCAGAGTGAGTGTTCCATTTCTATAATACCACTCGCTGAATCGCCTTTGCTGACGAACTCCCAGTGAAGCTCGTCCACAAGAGCCCCGCTCTCGACCTCGTCGGCTGGTACTCGCTTGTACCCAAAACCGGCCCCTCCGCCCTGCACCTTCCCATCCACCGCCAGATCAGCGCCCTCAACGAGTCGGCCGTTCTGCTGGGTTTTCATGTTGAAGATATGCTGGCTCCGAGCTCCGGCGATCCCTTACCGATTACAATATACGAGAGCAACATGGAAGCCGAGGATAGCAAGGAGGCCGAAGGGGAAGACCAGGAAATGAAGGACGCCGAGGCCGCCGCGAGGATGGTCCTCCGCTTTAGGAAGCTTCCGTACGCCACAGACACCGGTGAAGCCGAGATGATCGCAATGCAGTTCATCCGCGAGGGTGGCGCCAATGCTACAGTAGACAGCACCGAAAAGCATATCTTGGAGCAATTCGACAAGAAGATCGCCGTCGATGACGGCAAGGGCAAGAGAAGGGCGGTTGCATACGAGGAGAGCAGCAAATCTAAGAAAGAAGCCAGCACTTCCACCGAACAACCTGCATCAAACCCCGACGCGAATCTTAGCCGCGCCGAGGCCGAGTACATGTCCGCGCTTCAGGCCAAATACAATGCCATCAAGATGATGAAGTCTCGTCTCGCTCTCATCATCACCTACCTCCAGAACCTCCCTTCCGACTTTACATCGGGCACGCAAACAACCGCCGAGGCAGCCGACCTTGCCCGCGCTTCCAACGGACAGCACACGATCCCGTCCAACAACATCCTGCGGCACATCCAGGCCCTGGTGACCAACGCCGACCTTGTAGCCCCTGCCGAACAGGCCACACTGGAGCGCGAGATTCAGCGCGAGACAAACGACGTTAATCTCATCTCGATGGTTTCCGACCTCGTGTCCAGCATGAACGAAGCCCGGGAGGCGGGGAAGAAGTTCCACATCGCCGAGTCTACGCGGCACACACGCCAGGGGAGGGCTATGATAGAAAATATAGCGCAGCTGGAGCAGTCCAAGCTCATTCCGGGCTACGATATGCCGGGCCTTGGCGTTTCTCCCGCCGCTGCCGAGTATTAGGAGCAAGGGGAGGCGGGTGAGAGTGCCTCGAGCGAGGAATCACTCACTCACCGAAATGTCTTCGATGACGATTTGGTGTGAGGACTGGCTAGAGCCATCGAGAACAGGGATGGGGACTCTGATCCTAGTCAGGAGTTACAAAACGCACGTTGTTGATGATGATGAGAGCCAAGGATGGGATGGGAAGGAGTCGCATTTGCACAGCTGGCGCGAGGTGATTAACTTTGTTTAGGCGTTAGAGAAGGCACGGAATAGTTAGTCACTTATACTCCCGCAGTCTCGCAAGGAGCTAGCATGGCTGTCAACCCATACACTAACAGCACCCACGTGAGTAAACCGAGATTAATACCAGAGAGATGATGCAGGTATATAGACAGACATGGGCAAGTGGTCCTTGGTGTTGACCAAAATCCTCAACAGTCTCTTCAGGCATAATCATGACACGCCAACACTTTGACTCTTGCATTCGTTGAAGACCTAGAGCAAGTTCAAAAGCCGAAAGGAAATACCTTGAGCTAACTAGTATAGAGAGAGAGTAAAGCGAAACAGAACCAAAACCAAGCCTGCCCATTGTTCTAATCCCAAGAGTTTCTGTACTTGCGTGCGGCCCCATGACACTTCGCGCTCTAAATCAACAAATATCAACCGGACCCAAACCCATCATAAAAACCAAACCCACCCCATCCCATCTATGATAAGTTGTTGCCTGCAAAGTAAACCCCAGACACGATATGAGACAAAAAGAAAACGCACACTAGATGTCACAAAACTCCGAGATAATAATCAGAACCAACACCACCCGATCAACGTTAGTCAGTCGCCAAACCTCCTTTTTTGCTGTTTTATACTTTTGCGCCCACCTCACTCGACCTCAGCCGGCGGCCTAAGTCTCAATAACAACCTTCAACACCAGATTCCCCTCATCATCCACGGTGCGACTGGCCAGCTCAAACGCGCGGTGCGCATTCTCGAGGCCCTTGAAGCGGTGCGTGACCATGTCGTCCAGGCACGGGAGGACGAGGCCGCCGAGGCCGGCCTGGGCCTGGCGCTCGCGGGCGCACAGCAGGCGGATGCCCGTGGCGTACGTGTTGGCGTAGCGGAAGATGCCCAGGATGTCGATCTCGCGCAGGTGGGCGACCGACATGGGCAGCGTCTGCACGGGCGTGCCCATGCCCACCATGATGACGCGGCCGCCCGCGCGGGTCGCGTACAGCGACGTGTGCATGCAGACCTCCTTGCCCGTGCACTCGAAGGTGACGTCGACGCCGTCGTCCTCGTCGTCGTCGATCCCGGTGAAGGACGGGTTGGACGTGGCGGACGTGAGCGCGAGCATGTCGGCGGCGAGCGACTTGGCGTAGTCGAACTGCGATCGCATGGAGAGGACGCTGGCTGGAGTCATGACGCCGTCCAGTGGTGTGGAGGTGCCGGAGCTGCTGGGGCTGTATACTGAGGAGCTGCTCGAGGAGGTCTGGGAGGGCCTGTCGACAACGTAACCGTGGGTTGCGAAGCCCTTGGCGATGGCGAAGTCGACGCGGCCTTGGTCGACGTCGGCGATGGTGACGGTAGAGCAGCCGGATTGCCTGGCCATGGCGGCGGTGAGGAGGCCAACGGCGCCGGCGCCGATGACCAGGGCAGTAGAGCCAGGGGTTGGTTGTGCCCGGTTGACGGCATGGATGGCAACCGACAGCGGCTCTAGTAATGCGGCGGCATCGAAGGAAATGTTGTCGGGGAGCCTACGCCTGGTTAGCTTCGCCCCGTGTGACAGTTCGGTCGGGGAGGGAACTCACTTGTGACACCACACAGCAGGGTGGTTGATGCGCTCTTGTAATGTTCCCTGGAAGTGCGGCACTGATTTTGCGCTACTCCTAAACCTCATACGCTTGCATAGGTTATACCTGCCTCGGCGGCAGATGCCACACTGTCCACAGGGGATGCCGACTTCAAGGGCGACGCGGTCGCCGATGTTGAAGCCAGCGACCTGGGGCCCAATGGCGACGACAGTACCCGACGACTCGTGGCCGAGCGAGAGGGGCGCGCAGGCACACAGGTCGCCATTGGCGAACTTCTTGTAGTAACTAACATCGGAGCCGCAGATGCCTGTTGTGTGGACAGCAATCTGAAGTTCACCAATGCTGGGGTCCCCAATACTCCGGCGTTCCTAGACACGAGGTTAGTTGGGGTTTACCAGCAGAATGGATAATCTCCGAGCGAGTGAGGCGTGGTAGGACAGAAAATACCAAGACGGGGGACTCGATTCGTGTAACCCAGAGATCTGAGATCTCTCACCGAGCTAGGGCCAAGGAAGAAGGAGGAAAAGGGAAGCGTACCATGCGGAGGTCCCGGGGACCATGAAGAACTGAAGCGTTAATGGTCGAAGCTTTTGAGGCGGCGGGTAGGTGCATTGGCGCCGTTTCGTCAGTTGCGGAGGGCGCCATCTCGATAGGGCAGTGGTTAAGTGGGATGAGAGTGGGATGAGGCGTGGGATAGGGCGAGCTTGGCCAACGAGAAGGGATCTCCCCGTGGGGTTTGGGGCGCAGTTGGTGTCGTTCAGAGATGCGGCTCTTGCTCGAGAGCCACGGCGCGGGATGGGGGAGAAGTGGGTGTAGAGGGTTCAGGGGGCAAGCGGGATATAGCTTCTCAGAGAGATGGAGTGGCAAGTTTGTGCTCTCCCGTATCAAGACTTCGCTTCGGCAGGCGCAAAGAGTTGTAATAGAGAGTGAGAGATGCTCAGAGACGGCAAGGAAGAGGCCGGGCAGAACCCCCACACTTTAAGTATAGCATGGCAGTTTGGCCGTCATGGTATAAACGGTTGACGTGCTGCAATGTGTCAATCCCCGTTGCGGGTCGTCCGGGGTTGACAAGACAAGAGGAGGAGTGTGCAAATGTCAAGGGGGCGCAAGGTCCAGGAGCGGAGGTCAACATGCGCTCTCTGAGAGCCAGCATGCGCCCAGGCGGCTTCGCCAGTCAGATACCGGCGAGTTATCTCTGTGCAAGGGCACGGAGCGAGGTACAATGTGCTCCAGAGGAGCCCCGATAATCTCGGGAGAGCATGATGAAGCAGGTTAGTGTCGAGGCCAATCTTCGGCACCAGCACCCACAACCCATGTCTATCGACGTTGGACGGGAGATCGCGACATCCAGGGCATCCATGGATACTCTGCTGGCTTCAGCCGGGTGCGGAGCGGAGCGGCTGCAGGACAGGTACGTATCCCAAGACGCAGAGCACATTGTCCCCCCCCCCCGGACGAAACGCGCTGGTTTTGGCCAGTCCTGGTGCGATCTGGGAGCACTGGGGGCGAGGGTCTTTCCTGTCTGGGGCTTTGTCCAGACGTGTGGTGGAGCTCTGGCGATTTGGTGCTTCCGACAGAAGCTGCACGGGAGGGACAGCCGGCTTCCATGCAGCGAGCCATTGCAGCCATTGCATGGGGTCGAGCATGGGTACCTCGCAGTTGGTTGGAGAGTGACCTGGGGTGCCTGGTGCGGGTGGACTGGCACATTGGCACTCGGCGAGGCGGGCACAGCGGGGAGAGCTCAGACCATCCCTACTGTGTAGAGTGACTGTCAATCTCAGCCGTCCGCTGGCGGCTGGGGACGGCAACGAATAGATGTCTCTCGTGCGAGCACGCCATCATATCGTCTCTCCTGGGCCGTGGAACAGCGGCAATCATGGCGATATCAGACACGGAAGACGGTGCTCAGAGCCGGCTCTTTCGAGACGGTTTCCTATTTCGAGCTTTAGCGAAGCTACACAACTCCCGGGCGCTGCAATGTCCGGAATGACGAGATAGAAAGCCGCTATTGCCGCAGAAAGCGCGAGTTTCAGTGGTTTCTGCCGTGCTCACTCATCCGATCCCGGAGTGCATAGTAGTTGCATGTGTCGCGCAGATGCGAGACTGCGATATCAAGATCACACCGTGGGAAAGTTTGGAGGAAAAGTCGAGAACCAGGAGCAGGCTGGGGTTGTTGCAGGAGGGGGGTGTGGGGTTGAGCCCATCGGATGACGCGAACAGGGGAGCAGGGGTCAGGAAAAGTTTATCGCACCGTTCGCACAGAAGGAAAGAACACCCTGCTGGCCCGGAACAGAACTTCAAGGTGCCAACTGCCAAACTGAGAGAACCTGGAACTCTGGGCGCAGCTCGAGGGGAAGCTCCCACGAGACAGTAGTAGGTGGAAGGTCACTTCCATCAAGCTGATTCTCGTTTAACTCTCAGGCTTTCCACGTGCCTTAGTTCAGGTTGCTCTTGCAACTTCTATTTTCCCTTTCACAGCTGTTTCTTAAAACTGCCTCACCCGCCCTTTTTTTTTTGTTATTTCTCTATTGCCGCCGACTCTCCGCATCGATTAGCGAGGAAAGCGCCAGATCGCTTTGTCAATGGGGAAGACGGGAGCTTGGCCCTCGCTCCCGTCCGTCTCTTCTGCGCGCGAGACTGTGCGACGGGTTCGTCTCCGCACAATATGCTGCCGAGTGCTACCCCATGGCTGACTCGCGGTGGTTCATCCTCCAAGATCCTTCGGACTCGGTGTGCTTTGGAATCTGGGTGCTCATCAGAGTGACCGTCATCGCTCCATCGCCACCGCCTTGGTGAAGAAGTGATTGTCCTCAACAGCTCTATCCGCGGCGGATCTCCATATGGAGCAGACCCCCTGGCATCTCCAACTCTTGTCAACCCCACCAGTTGCTACCCCAATCATGGACATGAGCCCAGGGTCTTTTAAACGGCCCGGTATTGAGACTGGGCAGAGGGACCACCGACTGATGACCGCCAATCCGCCGAGGCACGGTTTCAAAGAACATCGGGCGTCCTGGCCGAGATACGGGTGCGAGGTGTGCTGTGTCCCTGTCCCGAGAAATGACGAAGTCTGAGCGCGGACGAGAAGAATTGCCCCTCTCTTTCGTGAACGCCCACAGCCTGTTGGAGCTGGCACCGACTTCTCCCATTTTGCCGGCCCTATCGCGGAGCGCACATGGCACAGCAGGGGTCGAGGACCTTCCTGGCACATGAAACGGAGCGACGGACTCCAGTCCAAACTCAACGCGACCGCCATTATTCCATGTGGACCACACACACATTCCGCAGAACGGAAACTGTCGCCTCGGGACGGTGCAGAAGGCTTCCGGAAGGCTGGAAATACGATGGATCCTGGTCTGCTCATTCCCGCCTTGCCGATGCCCTTACACAGCAGCACCGAGGTGTGTGTCGGTGTGCATGCGCCTGCACGCTCCTTATCAGAACCTGGCGCGAGAAGCCATGCCGTCGTCGCCTTGGCTGCCGATTTCCGCATATTCTGATAACACACGGGAGCAACGTCGTGTTTTACCAGATGCAGCAACTTCCCGACAGCCGTCCGGCGGTCGTCGGATGCGAGTTTCTGCTGTGCTTCCAACTCCATCAATGAACGACGTGGTTGGACACGACCAATCATCAAGGTTCCAGGCACGTTGGAGAAAATTGGAGTTGAACAGGGATCCGGATGGCGGCTCAAAAGAAAAAGCAAGAACTGTGCCAGCCCCACGATAACTGCCAGTGGTATCATCATGCCGAGGTGAATGTGGAGTCGCAAGGGCTCTTTGGCAACTTTTTTTTTTTCTTTCGCCAGACTGCTGGAATATCTTGCGTTGCTCCGTCTCCTCGACCGCAAATCGGGCAGTCTCCCGAGGTCGACGGAAAGTTGATGCCGTGCCGCATCGTTAACAGCAGGGAAGCTCAATCCGGGAACCCGAGTTTCTCAAGAGGGCTGAAGATCAGGTTTATCGATCGACCATGGTTTGTGCTGGCGGACAGGAAACCGAAATTCCCAGACTAATGCGCAGGTAGCATTAGCGCCCCTGCTGGACGACTGGGAGAAGGACGGTGCGTCTGCGGCCGTCGTGAACCCTGCATTGAGTCCAGGTCAGAGACAGCCAATCCCGTCGGTGAGTGAGCTCACACCGCGAACGTGGTAGCATCGGCCGGCCCCTGGATCTCGCGCCATCTCCGCCAGCCGAAAGTTTCACGCCTGGCGAACTCTCCCGCTGCTCCCCGGGACGACCGGACATGGGAGTATGACTCTCCCAACAGAGCAAGAGCGCTCCTTTTGCACGCGGCTGAATTCGGAGCGGCTGGGTGGCCCGAGTGACGTTACGCAAACCAGGGGACCATTCCAGGGCAGCCACCAAGGCGGGGGGAGACGTCAGCGAGACGACCTCCACCAGGGCAGCAAAGCCGGCATATCACCGGCTTGCTGCCTGCGGCGTGTTTGGCGAGCTCGCCTGCTCGCCTCGCGCCATGAACCGCAGTGACGATGTCGCCTTACGGAACGCTCATCTCCCGATGTCGTGGAGACGAGGCGGTGAGTCTGCGGGCCTGGCGGCTCGCCCCAGCCGGCACGGCACAAGTATTGAGTCGTTGCATGCGGGCACGGCGATCTCGCAGACGAAAAGGCGATACGTCGGATTTAGAAACCAGGCCTGCGCGCGCACGGAGCTGCCCGTCCGTTATTCCATGACGCAGGAGAGAACCTTGACGACCGTCAACGAGAGGATGCCCACAACTCCCGACGCGGCCCCTTCTGCCTCAACGCGACCTGGACGGGACGGCCCTGCCGGATGCCGAGCCGTCTGGGGAGATACGTGGGGGACGGGCGGAAGAATGGCGTGCTGGACGTCACTGATATCGGAGAATATTACCCCGGCGCCGAGCCTCGGTGTAACGACGCAAAGCAGGAACACTCTCCTCAACATAGCATTGCTGGCGGAGTTTGGGCTGGAAGGAATAAACACTAACCGAGAGGCAAGCTCCATGCACCCAAAGCCGTAGCTATAGCTTCACACACAACCGTAGATGCAGCGACTGGACCATCCCCCTACTCCAGTGAAGCCCCAATAGTCCCACCCAGCTGCATTCCCCTGTACTGTATATAACATGTTCCAAGCACGATGGCCATCTACCTAGACTAGAACGTGCTCGCCGCGAGCCGACTGGCCGCATTCCTCGCATCCACCCGGTCCTCGTCATCCTCCTCCAGCACGCCCGGCATCCTCCCACCGGCCCCGCTCAAGGCCCTCGCCCGACCAGCCTGGTCTCCCCTCTCCCCGCCTTCCGGCAGGAACCCTTCCTCCCCGGCCTCGGCCACGGAGCTGCCCACCAGGCTGCCCGACACGCTCCGGCTCATGGCATCGGCGCTGCGGCGCGGCACGCCGCTCCAGGCGTCGCCCTTGGGGCCCTGGCTGGCGGCCATGCTGGTGCGGCGGACGGTCTGGGGCGGGTGGGCCTCGCGGCCGAGGCGGCTGAGTCCGCCGCTGGCGTCGATGGAGCGAATGTCCGGGCGCACGCTCTCGAGCAGCGAGAGGGTGCGGCGCTCGGCCTCGATCTCGCGCAGCACGTACTCGCGCACCGACAGGCGCAGGTCGGCGGCCGTGCGCGCCGCCCACCGCCGCCGCTCGTGCACCAGGTTCTGCGTCACCCGCGTCGTCTTCTGGTACAGCGCCGACTCGGCCTGCCGCGCCTCGTCCAGCGCCGCGATCGCCTCGTCGACTTTCTCGCGCCGCACGTTGGACGACGCCTTGAGTCGGTCGGCTGCGTTGAGCTTGCTGCGCGTGGCTTCCTGCGCCTGGAGGAACTCGCGGATCAGGATCTGCCGGTTGGTGAGGGTCTCCTTGACGATGAAGGCGTCTTGCGAGTGGTACTGGAACGGGTCGCCTATCGTGGTGGCCTCCGCCGTAGCCTGGGCGGCGTGATAGTCGCCGACGGTCTGGACGATCTTGCCGAGTTTGCGGTAGGCGTTGGCGAGGCCGGGGTGGGGTTCCTGCGCGTTCATTGTGCCGAGCTTGACACCGAAGTCGGATTCGGAGAGGCCCAGGCCTGAGGTGTGTTAATTCTTAATTCCATAAAACAAAAAAGGGGGTGGTGGGGGGTGGCTTGGCTTACCTCTCCTTGACTTGACCAACTTGTCTACCTTGTGTCCGGCGTCCATGGCACCCAAATAGAAGAGCTTGACGACGGGGCGGGCTTCTTGGAGTTCGGGAGTATCATCAGGGGGCGGGGCGAACTGCTTGAGGATTTTGCGGCGCACGCCGGTCGCGGGCTGCTTCTTCTTGACCATGGGGCTGTAGCCAAAGTCGCTCTCGACGAAGAGCACCATTTCGTCGTCGCGCATGAGGACCTCGTTGCTGCAAACGTAGTTCAACCAGCGCTGTAACAGTGCCTTGACCCGGATCTCATCCTCCTCAGTGCCCGCGCCGGCGGATGTCAGGGCGGGAGGCACGGAGGGCACAATGGCCTCGGGGTTTGCCGAAATCAGGTGCTCGCCGAGCTTGATGAACTCGGAGTGGAGGCGGCGCACATCGCGGTATTGCGTTGTCCGGAAAGCGGGGAGGTTTGTCTGGTCTTGTTAGTGCCACTCAGCGAGTTATCATCCTGAAAACCATACATGTACATCGAATCTCAGGATGGGATCCTTGCGCCCGGTGCGCTCCAGCCCGGTAATCTTAGCCTGCAGCTTGAATTGTGGCGGTGGGGGTTTTCGGGGCTGCTGCTGTTCCTGCGCCCGCTGCCCCTGCGCTGGCGGCTTTGGTGCTTGTTGCTGCTGCTGCTGCTGCTGCTGCTGTTGCTGCTGGGGTTGCGGCGAGAGCGGCCCTTGATCACCCGCAAAACCCTGCTGTTCCGGGTACGACTCGGTTAGGGCTGGCCCTTCGGATAGGGGCTCGGTCGCCTGCGAGACGGTGCTGGCGGTATCCGGCCTCCTGTATTCGGTATCACTTCCACCAAAGCCACCGTCGTCTGTCAAGCCGCTGTTCGAGTTCGGGTATCGGAACGGGGCGCTCGGGATGTCGCCGGTGATGGAACCGAAGGTGGCGCGGTTGGGTTGGGGTGACGAGCCGGGAGAGGTTCCCCATGGCGAGGCTTCAGCGGACTGTTCCGGGTCGTTTATCGACGAGCTGTAGTCCATGATGGCTACTTTGCGGGAGAAACGGGGTAGAATGGGATGACGTGGTGTTCGAGATGCTTCGTTCTGGGTTGATGTGACCGTTAATACCTCTTTTTTCAGGTCGAAACTATCGCTTTAATGGATCAATGCCGTATCCAGTAGGTCAAACCCGCTGTGTCAATCGCGGATTAACCGGTGAGGATGGTCGTGTGGTCGTCGCAACTGCTCCGCATCGCCATTCGGTGATGGAAGCGGCGCAGTTGCCTTGCGCCGAACGGGATGAACGATCTTGGCGCCAAGGTGCGGGATGGCGGGGAGTGCACGGACCGTTGGCATGAAGCTCTCCTGAAAAAGCAAAGCAGGTGCAAGCAAATAAACCCTGAACTTCCAACTGCCAAATGTGAGTTGTGATAGAAAACGCGGGGTTGTCTCATGCATGCCCGTTTGTTGACTGCTCCTAGCTACCACCTTAGTACTGCGTAGAGCCCACAGTCTGGCGACTTGACATGCAGCGAACACCAACATCTGCATCGCCAGACTGAAGTTCTGTTCCGTCTGCTGTTCTCTTGTTAGGTCCAGTTGAATTGGATGCTTCAGTCAAGTCTGGAATTTGTTATTGCCGTCGGAAATTGGGGATGCTCTCCAGCGCCCCCCTCCGCGTTTGCCGCCATGGCTCGAGCAGGTTGCTGCTGCCTACCAGCATGCTTCCAGCGGCCGTGTTGGTGTTGAAAAATACCCAATTGGCCCGGGTTAGGTTCGCACGGAGTTACTCGAGCGAGTATGCGCACCATGAAGCCCGGATCGAGAGTGTTCGCAACATTGGCATCATCGCCCATGTCGATGCAGTAGGTCTCCTTAACTCTTAGCCATGGCACCACCCAAATATAAAGCAGCATTGACACCCGACAGGGCAAGACAACCACCACGGAGCGTATGCTCTACCACAGCGGCAGAACTCGCCATCTCGGGAGTATGTCGCCGCCAGGGAAACACTACGGGATAACCCCAAACTGACTGCCCAGATGTCGACCATGGAAACACCACTACCGACTTCCTCCCAATGGAGCGAGAGCGCGGCATCACCATCCAGTCCGCCGCCGTGACATTCCAGTGGCCCCCCAAGTCACTATGCCCACCCGACCACGAGCCCAAGACCATCAACCTGATCGACACCCCGGGCCATCAGGACTTCCGCTACGAGGTTGACCGCTGCCTGCCCATCCTCGACGGCGCCGTGTGCATCCTCGACTCGGTCAAGGGTGTCGAAACTCACACTGAGCGGGTTTGGGGGTCAGCACAACTCTCCAAGATCCCCCGGTTGCTTTTTGTCAACAAGCTGGATCGGGACGGTGCCAGTTTCCGGCGGTCTATCCACGAGGTGGCATCCCGGCTGAGGACATGGCCTCTGCTCTGTCAAATCCCCTGGTGGCACAAGGATGACTTTGTTGGCGTCATCGATGTTATTCACCAGCACGGCTTCCGATTCTCTAGCACCGGCGCCATGTCCGTCGTGAGCAAGCAGAGTATTGCGAAGGAGAGCACGGCGCTGCTCCAAGAAATGGAATCGGCCCGCGTGCACCTGGTTGAGACGCTATCGGAAAACGACGAAGAGATCATGGAAGAGTTCCTTAAGGTGGAGAAAGACGTGTCTTCGGTCTCCATCAAACGAGCTATTCGACGCCTCGTCATGGACGGCGAGGCCAAGTTCACACCAGTTTTCGCCGGCGCGAGTCTCCGAAACATCGGAGTGCAACCGCTGTTGGACGCTGTCGTAGATTACCTCCCCAGCCCCAACGACAGGCCGCCACTGGAAATCATCGGAGCTAAGGCCCAAACCCTACCCCAGCTTCTCGAGCAGAAGGTCCAGCAAAAGGGGCTAAATCAACACCAGGCTCCAATTGTGGCCCTCGCCCACGTCTTCAAAGTCGTTGACGATCCGGGGCGCGGCACCATGAGCTGGCTGCGCGTCTACCACGGCGCCATCAGCCGGAGCAGCCAAATGTGGAACAGCAACGTCCACAACTTTGAGAAACCCCAGCATATTCACCACGTGTCGGCCAAGGATCACCACGAAATCCAACACCTGCCAACCGGGCATATTGGTGCCATGACAGGTCTTAAATCCGCCCGTACGGGAGACACCCTCATTACCTTTCCTGGTCGCCATGGCAACACCGCCCCTGAGACCTTCACAAATCTCCGGATCAAGGCACCTGAGACACCCCCGGCGGTTGCGTTTATCGCCATTGAGCCGTACACGAAGACGGCAAACGACAAGCTTGTGGACGCCCTCAATAAGCTCTCGCGCGAGGACCCGAGTATCAGATGGAGCAAGGACGAGAAGACGGATCAATTGATCCTCTCCGGCATGGGGCTGTTGCACCTCGAAATTGCCCAAGACCGCCTCCTGACGCACTACAAGATCGACCGCGAGTCGGCCATGTGGGGAGAGATCGAAGTAGAGTACTCAGAGTGCCTGCTAGCCCCGACCGCTCCGCACCGCGCCCTGTACGACCGCAATATCCGCGACAAAGCCGGCAAAGCGGCATGCACAGTGACCATCGAGCCCCTCGAGGCCCACCATCACGACACTCTCCTCGAATCCAGCATCGAGCGCGACGGCAACATCATCCACGTCGCCATCCCCCTCTCCTCGGACGGCAAGGCCAAGACCCTCCCCTTCGAACCGGACCTCGTCCGCCAACAGCTCTTCAACGGCGCCATCGCAGGCCTCGCCCGCGGGCCCCGCCGCAACGCCCCCATCCGCCGCTGCCACGTACACATCTCGTTCGACCCATCTTCCGACTTCTTCGGCGCGGCCAGCACGGGCGGCCACATCACCAACGCCGCGCTGACCGCCGTGCGCGGCGCCCTCAAGGAAGCCCACGCCAACGGGCAGGTCGGCATCCTCGAGCCCTTCACCCAGGTGCAGATCCACTGCCCCGAAGAGGCCGGCAGCGCCATCCAGCACGACCTGGCGGCCGTGCGCGGCGGGCAGGTGCTGGAGGTGCACAAGCCCGAGGAGGACGGACAGGTGCATGATGGTGATGGTGCTACCGCCATCGACCTCGCCAAGGTCTATGTCCCGCCCGACCCGTACGAGTCGGTCCACAGCCTGCGCGGCGCCAAGAAGGCGGTTGTTCGCATGCTGACGATTGTGGCGAAGGCGCCGCTGAAGGAGATGATGAAGTATGATAGTCAGTTGAGGAGTACGACCGGTGGGAGGCACACGCTGCAGTTGGATCAGGGCGGGTTTGAGTTGGTCACGGGGCAGAGGGAGAAGGCTTTGGAGGAACGGTAGGGGGGTTGGTTAAGGGGGGTTGGGTGTATCTAGCGGCTTGGGCTGCATATTATTGTGTGTTTGAATGGAAATGGAATCGGGATGACTGTTGTGGCCTGTTGGCTGCCACATTTCTCCGACTATCTAGCCAAGAACGCAAATCTGCGCTCGTACGAATCTGGTGACTGTGTCTGTAGTGTCGATTCCAGCCTCTTCGTTGACCACAAGGAACCGCGTCTCGCCTTTACTTGGCTATCAAAGAACCCTCTTTCCCACGTCCTTCTCTGAGATACGAAATGACCATTTCTTGTTTGCAAAGAAGAGCAGGCTTAAAATGTCTGAGTATTATCTAAGGTTTGATTCCTGATACCCTGGGGATGTTGGCACGTTAGATTAGATTCGGGTGGCGGCGCAGAGCTCAATCCTTCACATATAGCTCTGCGAGTGCGGCTCTATATCTGTATTGAGCATGTGTGCGACCAGTGTGACCAGACCGCCGTGCGCACCTACCGGCAAGCTACTTTTGTGAGCAGTGATTCACTTCATTATTCCTCATCATCGGATGAATTTCCATGTCTCAGCTTGGGCAGATCAAGCGCCTGGTCCTTCACGCCGGAACAACCGGGGAACGTAGGGCAAGAAAGGAACCTGAGGACTGCATATTAATACACACATTCAGCTCTGCAATCTCATGTCTGTTTTTCTTGTTTTTCCCGGGTCAACGAGATGCTAACCCCTTACTCGTCTCTCTTAACACTCCGTTCATCACCCTCTGAAAACGGCCCTAGGACACAGCGAAGGAGAAAGGGAAAGGACACCACAAGTGTGCAAATCACCGCACATAGTGCGAACGGCCATATAGCTTGCACTATCTTAACCCCTATTTAATGACCAGGCTAAGTCGCGCATAGCCCAATGGACTCCCGTTTGTTTCTGAAACTCGAATTATCTGAAGTACAGATGCTAACGCTCTCGACGGAGAGTCACCGGTCATCTCCCGCCGCCTCCTCTACTTGTTGCAATTGAACTTGAATCCTAGCTTGAGCAATGGGTTTATACTCTGCTCCTAGACTGTCCTGAGAGCACCCACTGTTTTAACCATATGTACAGATCTTGAGAAAGGTTCTCAATCAGCTTGTCTTGGTCTCCTTTGCAGGGGCCCCGAATGCGTAGAGTATACAGATTCAGCAGAAGGCTAGCTTTCTCAACGGTGCATAGTTTCCCATGGACGACGAGAAGGCTCGATTCCTCGAAATCGATCACGAGAACTATATCATCGATGTTTTGTGTGAACCATCCTCTGTTTCTTGTCGTCTCGTCGTGGAAACCGTACCTCGAAATCGACGCGGGATGTTTGCGACACGCCCCGGCCAATTTAACGGCCAGTTCCTCCGACGTATCTCCCATCCTCGAGTTGAAAATAACTTCAGTAAATTTACTCATTGTAGACGAGAACCACAGCTTAGATAACGCTGGGATGGCGGAGTGAGTTCCAAGAGGACGGAACCTCGCGTACCCGGCGGCTTTGAGTTGCAACAAGGCAAATTGAAGGAGGGCGAGCAGAATTCCACCTTTGACCGGGGCTTCGTTTACTATTTCATGCAAGTGTTCGAAGGTACCGAGGATGTAAGGGAATTCCGAAGCTGGCTGCATTGACGCTAAGCGCGGCAGGAGCATGACCGAAGATAATAATACATCATCTTGCTCGAGGTTGCCGGAAAGCAGCACATAAACCTCCATGAGCATCTCAAATTCTGTCTGTGGTACGATTCGAGGCTGTCTGATTCGAGGCTGTCTGACACCTGGAATCAATGGCGGCAGGATGTTGAATATTCGAAAATTTCCCATGCCATGAAGTTGCTCTGGCGACTTAACGGCGGCCATGAGCTGCAGCATGTGGAGTGTCCCGTCGGGCGCAGGGCCATCCCAGACGGAATTAGCGAGCAAGAATGATGAAGTCTGCTGCGTCGTCGCTGCGGGTTCTGGGCCATCGTCGTCGTCGCCGTTGTTGTTGGCGGCATGGGAGACGTTTTCGGAGGCGTGAGCAGAGGCAATGGCCATCTCTCGCTCCTTTGCTTGGAATTGCGCAACTTGCGCTTCCAACATTGCAACCTTTTCTTCGAGGATTGCTACCTTGGGGTCGGTATGGTCGATATCGTCGTCGTTGTTGGCAGCATGGGAGACATTCTCGGAGGCGTGAGCACAGGCAATGGCCATGTCTCGCTCCTTTGCTTTGAATTGCGCAACTTGGGCTTCCAACATTGCAACCTTTTCCTCGAGGCCCGCTACCTTGGGGTCGATATGGTCGATATCGTTGTAATCGTTGTCCGTCAACCCGTCAACCTCAGCCATGAGCTGCTGTCTCTCGGCAGCATTCTTTTCGAGTGCCTCTTCCAAGGTCTTTGCTTTGTTGATCGACTGCTCGAGTCCTTCTCTCTTCCGAGCGAGATCGGCCGTGACAAAGGCGAGTTTAGTCATGGCAATGTCTGACCCGGCTTGGGTGCTCAGCACGAGCGCTGTTTCGTGGCGGGGTGGTTGCTGGCTTGCCAGTTGGGCAGCATTGCCGTCAGAGTTCTGTGATGCCTTGATTAGCTACCGTATTTGGGGGGACTTCTGGCCCATTGTAGTTGGATCAATCCCGGGTGCAATTATTCCTCTCGTTTCGCGCAGAAAGAGCAGCAAGTAAATAGGTGGCTTACCTCAGCCATGGTTGCATTTATTTCAATGATGCCAGGAAGAATCGACACGACACAAGCCGGGATGTGGGATGATCAAGTTGTGATCGATTGATGTTATTTTTGTTGTGTGCCGAAAGTGAGAGATGGTTTGAAACTTGGAATTTTGTGGAGGGCGAAAGAGGAAAGAGAAAAACACACACTACAAGACATTAGACAAATTGTAGAACCGAAGAGGCCGAAGATTGGAAACAATGAAAAATGAAAAACGAGTTTATAAGTTGCCGTTAAAAACCTCCTCGCTCCTTGGCCTTCGAGATACGTTCTCATTAAACATGACCTTGCGTCGTTCTCATTGCGAGTCTAACCATCTAAGCCCACTCTAACCTCCTTCCCAGAAACACCAAAACGCCAGCCATGCTCTACCAGATCCCTCAAGAAAACCTCACCCCCTCCCCCTCCCCGACCCCCCCAAACTCCGACTCAAAATCGGCCACTCATCACTCTTCCCATCCCCCTCCACACCACCCCCCCTCCCACCACCAGGACTCAAATTCCGCAACCCCAACTCCGCCCCGGGCCCCCCACCACCCCCCTCCACATCCCCCCTAATCGCCGAATGCACCACCGACACGGACCCGCCGACCCCCCTCTTCTTCTTCCCGGCGCGGCGGCGGCGGTCGTCGATCCAGTCGCGCAGGGGCCGCGGGACCAGCACGCGGTAGGTGTATTCGCGGAAGGTGCGGGTGGTGCCGAAGACGAGGAAGGCGAAGAGCACGGCGGTCGGGGCGGGGGCGAAGAGGGCGACGTCGCCGCGGGCGCGGCCCGCGCTGAGGTCGGGTTGCGGTGGGATGGAGGCCCGGTTGTTGGTTGCCGCGGCGCGGAGCTGGAAGTTGATGACTACTATTTGGAAGAGGCTGTGGGGAGGTAGGGGGTGGGGTGTTAGTTGGGGGTGTGGGAGGATAGGGGGGAGATGGGGGAGGTGGGGGGCTACGTACCTGAGCGCGGCGAAGGCGACGGTGAAGCGTAGGACGAGCCACTTGTCGTAGATGGTCTTTTTCTGCGCTCGTGCCCTGCCCGAGGGCGTGGCGTTGGTGCCGCCTGTTGTGGAGGTGCCGTGAATGTAGCGGACGTTCCAGGAGGCGAGGGTGATCCGCGAGTGGACGTAGCGGACGAGGATGGCAAGGAGCATGAGGCTGCCTGCGGCGAAACAGCCGATCACTTGTGGTTGTTAGACATAGCTAAGATAAAGGGGCGATCGGGGGACGCACTGATCGAATCGGCCAGTGCCATGAACCCCACGGTGCTCTTGTCGACGCCACTGAAGCGGAGTAGGACCATTTGCGCGACAGGTAGGAAGGCCGCTGTGGCTTTGGCAACAAGACTAGCGTGGAAGCGGTACATCTTGGTGATGCGCAGTTGGAAGATGCTGTTTGCCAGTTCGACGGCCCTAGGTCAAGGTCAGCAAGAGAGAAGGGAGATAATGGCAAGCGGCGTACCAGAAGAAGACGAGCACAGATTCGACATTGTAGGAGTAGTATTCTGTGAAGGTTAGCGAGCGAGGCTTACGCGCTGAGACAGGAAGCACCCACGAATGTAGAACAGGACCAAGTCCAACCCCGTCGAAGCGCCGGTGATGTTCAGTTCGGGGTTGCCCACGTGCTTGACGAGGTTCTCGTACTGCTCCAATTTGATGTCGCGCCATCGGATGATGGTGTGGATCTGTTGGATGACGGAAGCCAGCGTGTGAAGTGTCACGAAGAAGCCCAGCATGGCAACATCTAGATGATCAGCGGATGCCAGCTTAGCAAACGAGGCGTCTACTTACAGCTCCTGCGTTCATCGTGGACCCAAACCAGCCACAAGAGAAAGAGGCCGCACGCGAGACAGATGAAGCTGTAGACGAGGACGCCCACGGCGGCTCCTAGCACCCCGGGAGGCAGCTGTTCGCCCATCTCGATGACACTGAGCAAAGAAAGAAAAGAACGAGAGTCACGGCATGTCAAAGGTCGCTCAGCTGGGCAGTTCAGGATAAATTGAGGCGGCCATCACTAATTCCCGGAGCTGAAGTCTGACACCAGCGGGGCCGAGGGACGGACGGCATCTGTTCAAAACACCAACCCCTACTAGGGTCTAGGGCGGCCCATTTGGCGTGTTCTTGGAGCGGGACAGAGCTTCCATTTTGTCTGAGCGCACGATTCCATGCAAGGCCCTGACTTATTATTGGAGCGGCTTGGGGTTCCAAACTCCAGCTCTTGCTCTGAACTGGTGGAGTTCGAGGGTCGCAGATCGGCATCATCCTTGCTCAAGGCTGTAAGTAGGGTTGCATCCGTACGACACTGTGGCTGCTGGAAGGGGGAGAATTCTGAGATCTCGGCCGATCCTGCGACAGAAGGGACTGCAGGGGCCGGAAATTGCCAAGGTGTCAAAATCTTGGGGAGCGAGTTGCCGGGCCGAGGAGGGTTTGCGCTGCGAAGCCGAACACGGCTGGTGCTTCGTCTCCTGGGGAACTGTTCGCTTTCGGTAACTTCTTGTAAAGGCGCAATGAGAAGAGATATGCTGAGTATGGAAGTGATGTGAAGAGTGTTTCAGGCTACACAGTATTAATAATGTAAAAACCAAAGCCTGGAAAAATAGCTAGAACCTTGTTGCCGCTCAAGGATTGAGATTTCTGGCCACACAACAGTTCCATACCAAAAAGAGAGAGAATCCCGGAAGCCTGCTAAAATCGGCATTTTCCGACGTGCCAGGGATGAACCTCATCAATGCCGTGACTCGTTCTCCGTCGAGCTGAAGCCAAGGAGCTCCATTTTGTTCGATAGCGCTGGTTCAGGTACGGGAAGCGCCTCGGCCAAACCACGTGGAAGGAAGGCGTCGCCCGAAACACGAGACAAGGTTGCAGGCGTGCCAGGATCGCCCCGCAACACCAAAAAACACGCCGGGGCGCGTTGTGGTTCGATCCAATCCTCCAATCACCACCCGCAATTAAAGCATCGCAGCAAAACCACCACAGACACCTCAACCACCACCATAAAACACAACCATGGGTGACGAGTGGGAGCCGCCCATTCCCGCGGGCTACAGCGATGCCAACCGCGCCTTCCTGCAGGCCTTCATGGCGCGGGGCACACTGACCTTCCGCGAAGCACAAAAAGTGCTAGCGGGCATCAAGGGCGCGATCGAAGACGACGACGGCGCAGTACCCCCCCAATCGATCACGATGGCCGACTTCGAGAACTTTGTGCGCAGCGCGCGCGAGGCGGTCGAGCCGCTGGACTACGACATCCGCAACACGCGCGACCAGGTGCGGGGCGGCGAGCGGGTGTGGGCCTTCATCAACGCCCACAGCGACCCGGCCACCCAGATGGGCACCGCCCGCTCCCCCGAGGAGGTCGCCTACATCAAGCGCCTGCTGGACGCCATGTTCGACCAGTACAATACCCCGCGCATGGAGGTCATGGCCGTGGATGAGGGCCAGGCGCTGCGCGTCTCGCGGCCGACAAGGCGGGAGAGCAATATCCATGGGAATAATAACAATAACAATGGGGGTGGGGGGGAGGGCAGCGATGCCGAGGGTGGTGACGGGGACGGGGACGGCACGACCACGGTCAGCCGAGGGTTGAAGCACTCGGAGGTGCTCTCGCTGCTGGCGAGCCTGGTCGCCGAGGGGTGGCTGGACAAGTCGCGGGACGGGTTCTACAGCCTGACGCCGCGGGCGCTGATGGAGCTGTGGTCGTGGCTGATGGCGACGTACAACGACCCGGACGCCGAGGCGGAGTGGCAGCACATCAAGTTCTGCGAGGCGTGCAAGGAGATCGTCACGTACGGGCAGCGGTGCAACGAGCCCGACTGCACCATTCGCCTGCACGACATCTGCGAGGACGGGTTCTGGCGCACGAGGCGCGAGCGGACGTGCCCCAAGTGCAGCACGCCCTGGGAGGGGAATCACTACGTGGGGGAGCGGGCGGTTACGTCGAGGTCTGGGTTCCAGAGGGGGAGGGGGAGGAAGGGGAGACGAAGTCAAGCAACTGAGGCTGTCGAGGAGGAGGATGAGGAGGAAGAGGAAGACTAATTGTTAAGCCACTACTACGAAGCACTGTGTGATGTATGAACCATGATACCCGGCAGTGTAATTGCACTAGCCACAGCAGAGACCGGACGAACACATTCGAGTTCTGTGACATCACTGTGGCGGCACATATGTGGCGGTGCAATGCTTGGCATGTACGAGGCCTCTTGGCCAACAGCCGATGGGACGCGATGGCGGGCGGCAGACCAGCGGAACGGCGGCGCAGGCGCGCAGCTGCAGGCGAGCTTGTGAAAACCCCCCGCCTTACTTTCAGCCCCGAGAACCCCTCCCTCTCTAAACTCTCCTGAACATCACACAACCAACCCGCAATGGTCACGTTTTTCAAGAAACACAAGGAGGCGGAGAAGCCAGCAAAGGAGGCAGACAACAGGGCAGGCACAGAAAATCCAGCCGAACAATCGCAGGCCAAGAGTGCAGCTGCGGATGCAATTCCTCCCGCTATCTCGGCGCGCGATAACGCGGCCCCTCTACTTGACCATGACGATGAGCGGTTCCTCGAGCGCCTAATATCAAACGACCATGACGACGACGACAACGATGACGAGGGACCGCGGCCCCCTCTCCCGCCGCGTCCCAAAACCCCCGACCTAGTGTGGGAGGACAGCGATTTATTCCACCTGCCCAAAACTGAAGAGGGGCCCAGCACAGCTGCCACCACCACCACCACCGCCACCGCCACCGCCGAAGCGCCCAAAAAGCCCAGCCGCTTCTCGCGCCTCTTCCACCGCAAACCCACCACCACCTCCACCGCCCTCACCGTCCCCTCCGGCCCCACAGCCGTCCCCCCGCAAGAAGCCGAGCGCGAATGGGACGACCTCAACCACGTGCTCGCCCGCCTCGGCATCGAACCAACCGACGCCTCCACCACCACCTCCACCACCGACAGCACCACCAACACCCCCAAAGACGCCAGCACAGCACCAGCCCCAACACCCCCCGCACCGGGCAAAGCCAAAACGGCCGCGCTCGCCGCCTCAGCCGAGGTACAATCCCTCCTGCGGCAATTCGTCATCGTGCTCAAGGACGTGATGCGCGGAGCCCCAACCGCCGTCGACGACCTCACCGCGCTGCTGGACGGGCGCAACGACGTGCTGAAGCGCGGGTTCGAGAAGCTGCCGTCGTCGATGCAGAAGCTGGTGACCCAGCTGCCCAAGAAGCTGACCAGCTCCCTGGGCCCAGAGGTGCTGGCGGCGGCGGCCGAGGCGCAGGGCCTGAAGCGCGATACGGACGCGAGCGGGCTGGCGAGGTTTTTGGTGCCGAAGAATTTGGGGGATTTGGTGCTTACGCCGGCGATTGTGAAGAGTATGTTGAAGGCGATTGTGAATGCGCTGAAGTTGAGGTGGCCGGCGTTTGTGGGGATGAATGTGTTGTGGAGTGTGGCGGTGTTTTTGTTGCTTTTTGTGCTGTGGTATTTCCATAAGCGCGGGAAGGAGGAGAGGGAGAAGATGGAGAAGGAGGCGGCTGGCGAAGGGGTGGACGATGGGGAGGCAGCAGGGAAGGAAGTGGGCGAGCAGGACAAAGTAGAGGAGGTCGAGGAGGGGATGTCGAGCGCATTGGTTGTCGTGGAGCCGCCTGCCGAGAGTCCGCGGTCGTGAGATACCCTAATGATGATCTGTTTTTTCTTTCGTAGGTAGCTAGCGTTGATAGCATAATGGTCGTTATTGTCACTTTAGTCGTCCTGGACTAGCTCCTTAATCTCGTCCCTCCCCGGGGCCACTGCCTCGGCCTTCTCGTCCCGAACCGACCGATCAATTACCTTCTGGCCGTCCTGCATCCAGAACCCGACTTCGTCTACGATGTCGTAAACAATATCTTCCACGATCTGGTCGTCATAGCGCTCACTGACCGCCCGCAGATGGTCGGTCTTCTTTGGCGACGGCCCATCGGCATCCCCCATCTCCGTATCGTCGGGCGGTGGTGGGTACCAGAAGTTCGGACCAAAGTTCACCTCAACCGCACCGCCCCGGAAAACGCTCACAGCCGGATAGTAGCCCAACGTCCCGTCGTCGAGCGCTTCACGCCCGCCCGTCTGCTGCGCCTGTCTCGACGCCGGCGGAAGAAACGCCAGAAGGTCCGTCCACGGCGTCCCCATAAGCACGCCGTTCTTGTAAACCTTGACGCACGAATTCGGTAGCGTGCGCAGTGCCGGGACTGGGTGGTTCGGATTTGGTTCCCTAAGGCTATGCCCTGGCCCCATGGGGGACGGGTTCATCAAATCTTCCAATTCCTTAGTTGTGTGGTAGTCGATCTTCTCAAAGTAAATATGCGCCTTGAACCGAATCGGGATGCGGTCGCGGATGATATTTGGCGCTTCCGGGGCTTCTTCGGTGTCCTCATCGGCGAGGTCAATGGCTGGGTTGTATTGCCCTTGTACAATCTTTCGCTGAAGGCGCTCCGATGGCAGCTGGATCTCCATCCCGATCACGTCCCCCTCCTTGATGTCCTCCCCGGACGGAAAGAAGTCCTTGGGCCGTGACATGTGCACCTTCTGCCCCGCCACATCTCTGATGCCGTAGCTGTATGCATCAAACCCGACCGGTGCGTCCAGAGATGCTTCCCTCCTCGCAAACCCCACCCGGATATGGCCGTGTGATGCGGGATCGCCCTCCTTTCGCTCCTTCAAGATGCCCCGAGTGACCTTGCACTCCCAGTACCACCGTCCCTCGCGGACGGCCACGTTGGCGCGTGTCATACGGAAACCTTTATCCGAGGTGACGTGCATGCCGTCTCGGGCGAAGAACATGTGCGATGCGGCATCCTCGAAGGCTATGTGGGCTCCAAAGGGCGGCGGCTCGGTATTTCGGTAGTAGAACATGGATGGGAAGGCGGGGTCAGCGATGCAGTGGGTGTAGTGGAAGTTCTTCTTGTTGTAAACGCTACAAATGTCAGCAAAATAGGAGGTACGAAACACAGCATCGAACACTTACTGATCCAGCGTCTCCACGAATTCGATTGTCCTCCCTTCCGAATCCTCTACTTCGTGGTGATTCTGGAAGACCGGGCCTCTGGACAGCTCAAAGTCGGTCGGCTTAGGGTGGGCGAGCTTGTACCGGTTTGGCGCCAGTTCGCCTGGAGCTTCTCGCAGCTTCGGATCAGGTGTCGCTCTAGCACTCTCGGGGGCGCCCTTGGACTCCCTCTTCTTGAGGGACTCTTTCTTGGTTCGCTTCTCGCGTGCCATGACTTGGCTATCGTCAATCTGTACCTGGGCTTTCTGAGCCTTCGGTTCCGGATTTAATGGCGATGATACGGCTGGGCTGTGGTCATCTTCGAGGGAGCGCTTCTGGGGGAGTGAGGAGGGGAAGGCAGAGGGAGTGGGCTCCCGGTTGGGAGAGGGCGCCTCAGACGCCATTGTGGAATTGAAACAATGAAAAGGTACTTTGTGGTTCCAGATAAGATAGTTCACCTCAAAAAGGGCCGTTCAGTTGAATTATTGTGATTACGCAGTATTTTGGTGAACCTGTTTGCCCCATATTCTTCATGATGATCCCAGAACTTCGAAGCTGTCGCGCAGGGAACGCGACCTGGAGCAAGCTGTGGATTTGAACTTTCAGTGGGTCGACAATTGGGTCTCAACCAATCAACCCTTACACTGCCTGCCGCAACCTCAAATCCCAGCCGAGTTCAACCCGCGCGCCACGATTTTCATCACCAAACATCACCCAACATCAGCCATCAATATGCCCGTCGTCAAGGGAGGCGTGTGGACCAACATCGAGGATGAGATCCTCAAGGCGTCCGTCAGCAAATATGGGTTGAACCAGTGGGCGCGCGTATCGTCGCTGCTGGCGCGCAAGACGCCGAAGCAGTGCAAAGCCCGTTGGAACGAATGGCTCGACCCTAGCATCAAGAAAATCGAGTGGAGCAAGGAGGAGGATGAGAAGTTACTGCATCTCGCCAAGTTGATGCCCACGCAATGGCGCACCATCGCCCCGATCGTCGGCCGCACCGCCAACCAATGTCTTGAACGGTACCAACGCCTCCTCGACGAGGCCGAGCAGCGGGAAGGGTCTTCCTTGGGCTTGATGGGCCCGGAAGGCGGCGAGACTCAAGCACCTTCAGCCGATGACGTTCGACGTCTGCGCCCAGGCGAAGTCGACCCCGACCCCGAGACGAAGCCCGCCCGGCCCGATACGATCGATCTGGACGAGGATGAGAAGGAAATGTTGAGCGAGGCTCGCGCCCGCTTGGCCAACACACAGGGAAAAAAGGCGAAGCGAAAGGCCCGTGAGAGACAGCAGGAAGAGTCCCGACGGCTCGCCGCGTTGCAGAAGCGGCGGGAGCTCAAGACGGCCGGCATCAACATCAAGGTTACGACGCGCAAGAAGGGACAGATGGACTACAATGCCGATATTCCGTTCGAAAAGAAAGCAGTGCCCGGGTTCTACGACACCACCGACGAAATCTCGCGCAACGAGTTCCAACGGTCCCACTTTGATCCTAAAAAGCAACAGGTCGGTAACAAGCGCAAGGGTGAGGAGGATGGTGATGTCGACCGGAAGCGGAGGAAGAACGAGAAGGATGGGCCATCCGCGTCTACCCAGGCCGCTATCAAAGCAGGCCAGATGCAGAAAATCCGCGAAGCCGAACAGAGTAGCAAGCGGAAAGCTCTCTCGCTACCAGCGCCGCAGGTCGGCGAAGGGGAGCTGGAGGAAATCGTTAAGATGGGCATGATTGGTGAGCGGGCGAGCGCGACGGCCCGTGATAGCGAGAACGATGCCACCCGCGGGCTAGTTGGGAACTACTCGGCGCTCAATACGAACGCGCCGATCAGGACGCCCCTCGCTCCGGCTCAGGAGGACCACATTGCGAACGAGATCCGCAACATTCGGGCATTGACGCAGACCCAATCGTCCCTGCTGGGTGGCGAGAACACCCCCCTTCATGAAGGAGCTGGGTCGACGGGATTCGAATCAGTCGCGCCCCGGAAGCAGGTTGTCGCTACACCAAACCCCTTGGCAACGCCTCTACGGTCCGCTGCGAACGGCGTCGGCGCCACACCGCTTCGACCCGGGCAAACACCGCTCCGCACACCCCGAGATACCTTTGCCCTAAACGCGGCCGATAAGGACATGGACATGGTCGGGGGAACCCCAGCAGACGTCAGGATGCGTGACCTATCCCTTCGCCATCAACTCAAGCAGAGCCTCGCCGCCTTGCCCAAACCCAAGGAGACGGAGTGGGAGTTGGAGCTGCCGGAGGATCAACAGGAACCCTTGACGGCGGAGCAAAGGGAGGAGGATGCCGCGGAACGCGACCGACGGGAACAAGCGATCCGCGACGCGCAGGAGATGCTCGAGCGGAAGCGGCGGACGCAAGTGATGCAGCGAGACCTGCCTCGAGCGGTATCAGTCGACTACAACGAGCTTGTACGAGCAGCCTCGGAGATCGATGACCCAGCGCGGGCTCTTGTTGCACGCGAGGCGGCTCTGCTCATGGCGCACGACGCGACCAGGTACCCGCTCGCTGGCGCCCCTTCAACCAACCCAATCCCCCTCCCCCAAATGGACGACCCTGCACTCGCAGAAGCGCGCCTCAAGGTCCTTCTCGAAATGAAGGATCAGCTAAAGCCCGAAGAAATCGAGGCCGTCTGGAACAAGGAGAACAGCAACTCCCTACTCCTCGGCCTCGGCTGCTACGACGACGACGACGAAGACGACCAGGTCGCCACCATGAAGACCGCTCTCGACGTAAGCAAGCCCCCTCCCCCCTTTTCCCCACCACCCACCCCTCCATCCTCACACAATACACAACTAACCCCCTTCCTTATCCCAGACCGCCCTAGACACCCTCCTCACCTCGGCCGAAAAGGGCAACAAGCTGGAGAAGAAACTGGGCCTGCACCTGGGCGGGTACAGGAACCGCGCCGAGATGCTGCGCGGCAAGGTCGGCGAGGCGCACGCCGCGCTGGAGAAGGCGCGCGGCGCGCTCGGCGGCTTCCGCATCCTCGAGGCCAGCGAGCAGCAGGCCATCCAGCGGCGGCTGGCGGCGCTCCGGACCGAGGTCGCGTTTGTGAGCACGCGCGAGAGGGAGGCGCAGGAGCTGTATCGTGGGGTGAGGGCCGAGTTGGAGGAGTTGAGGATTGCGGCTGGGGAGCGGGCGTGAGGGTGGGGGGTTGTTGGTTGGTTTGGTGGCAGGGAGGGGGGGTTGGTGGAGTGGGAAAATAGGGGGGCGTGTGTACGGATACATAGGTATGGATGATTGGGGTCGGGGTTTGGTATCAGTCGGTGGTACACACCACGAGCACGAGAGCGTTTGGTTTTAGATTGCTGATGTCGTAATAAGATGCCCCGGGGGTTGAGGGTTTGTTATGATCCAGTCTCTTGCCGCTTCAAAATTGCTGAGATGTATTAGCGAGGGAACCCACAGGATGTGTTTCCCACCCACCCAGATAAACAACCCAGCCCATGGGCCAGCGACTGTAGTGAGAAAACGGTAATACTCAGTCAGATAATAAGCCGAGCCCAAGCCCCTCGGTTCGTTCAACATTAATACTGCTTAGGGGCTCTACATTCTTTCTCGAGTAAACAAAACAAGCACAGGCGCGCTCAACTGAAGGAGCTCAGGGGTAAGGTAGGGAGATCCGACGCACGGGGAGGCTGACTACCTCGACGTCCGTTGTCAGAACCACCCCTTAGGTATCTAGATTTGCCCATGAGTAGGTTGTTCGGGAGGTGAGGAAGACCGCTCGAGGAATTACAAGGTGGACGCTTCCTTACGCACCGCGCAGTCGGATGCGTAGTCGGTCAGGCATGACCGTTGGTTCTTTCCATTCGTCGGTTGCCTTCAGGTAGGGACTCCTTGGCCGCCGCTATCTCCATCAGAAACCCAGACTCTCGTCAGCTAAACTACACCCCTCCAAACACACATAGTCCTCCGCCCACCTTCCAGCACCCACTACCGTCCGTTATTATCTCAGCGAACATGCGGCCAGGCACCTAGATCGCGACCAGCCGCGGACAAGGAACGCAACCCAGTAGGTATTTCGGCCACACCATTATCAACTACGACGGGGGCTACGCCGATCATCTTTTTGGGCCAGGCGACAACTTTTACCATGGCCCGGTCACTATCAACTGGCATGCCCGCCCGGACTTCCGCCGGCCGGGAACCCATGTGTACCTTGGTCCCGTTACGATCAATTACATCGGCCCCGGAACCTACGGTGCAAGAGTGCGTGGTCACCAATACTTTCTCTACAACGCGCCGGTAACCGTCAACTACACCTACGGCGTTGCTCGATTCCCTGAGCAGCATCTCCGGTCCCGAATCGGTTCAGGGCTTGAGTATGCCCCCTTCGGCTTCAGCTACGACCGTCTTACTCTCGGCGCGCCGGTCCCGGGCTGCATGCCGGTGCATCCTCACGGGTACCTTGCCGTTATCGTTGTTGAAGGATCGGGCCAACCGGAGATGCACGGCGGTGAGCCGGGAATCGACGGTAGCCAACCGGGAACCAATGGTGCATACCTAGATACCAGCCGGGAATCAACGGTGGTCAACCAGGGGCCAGTGCGTCCCATCTACCATGGGGGCAACACAACACGCGAACAGAGTCGATGATGCACAGCACACTACAGATGGAGTAGGCAGGGAAGCCCACGTAGGAGGCCGGCCGACGGACGCAGGAGGGCTCACGGACGCGAGAGGGCTATGCCGCCTATGCGTTGATGAGCGGCCGCTGTTGACCTCTGAGAGCAGTCGGGACGGAGAATCAACCGGCGAACCACCACCACCGGCGACGGGGCAGTCATTGATGATCACCTACCTAAGCGGCCGGTGTTAACATCAACCGCCTCGGGGTAGATTACTGCCCTCGATCTCATGTTTCCAAGATCACCTACTTGGGGCTCGGAAGAGGAGGAAGGGTGCGGAGGAATGTTTGAGGCAATTAGCGTGTAAGTACCTACCTAGCTTTAAGAAATCAAGCAGCACTAGGAGCCTAGCGTGCCCTTAACGCAAAGGGCTGTAGTCTGTCATGCGCCATTATGACACTATCTGTGCCTAGCCGTGGTTTGAATGGTAAACCAGCACGTGGACTAGGTATTTGGCATTACGCACTGATCATGGGAACCGTGTCCCTGGGATTTGTATTGAAGGGGGGTAGATAGTAGATACTGTCTCCTGTCCGGGTACCTCTATTTTGCCCTGCCTGGCAATTTTGGCGCCACCTCTCCAGGCTCTCCTGCAGAGAGGTGGAGTTGAGCGAGGATAGGTACCTAGGTACCTACCTAGTAGGTAGGTCACCTTGACCACCGGGGAGGTTGCACGTAGTTCCAGGGCCTTGGCACTGTTGGCAGTGAACGAGGCAGTGCAGCTCTGAAGCTCCGAACACCTCCCGCTCGAGTCGTTCTGTACCTCCATAGGTGAGCTGAGCATTATGACTCCACCTTTCCTGCAGCCCGACGACCGGGTACCCTTCAGCTGAACGCCATTTTGTCTTAAAATCATGGCCCCCCTCGGGCTGCGTTTACTTTAGGTTTGACCCTTTTATCAATTTATCAAACCTACCTACCTACCTTACACAGTAATCGCAAGTCGAATGGCCCATCATGTCCGAGCCTGGAGGGAAATTGAACTGTACCGGTCAGGATGGACCAATCTCTGCAGATCCCGATATCGTTGGATATGGCGTAAGCCTCATGATTCACAATGTCAGGTACCTACATGCCTACTAATAGTGGACTCTAGGTTCTCTCCGCTTTCCTTGTCACGGCTACGTTGACCGTTCTCACCGTGGTTTTTGGTTATCTCTCCGGTTCCCTCGGCGACGAGTCGATGACCGACTTTGATCGAGCTGTCATAAAGTCTATGAGGCGCTCGTTTCGGGCTCGGGGCAAATCGTCATCTTCGCCCGCGAACTCATCTACGGACTTATCCACGGACTCAAGCAACATCAAAGAAGCCCCACGCTCCGAGGCGTGGAAACAAGCAGTTTCCCGTTTCATCTTGGCCCTAAGCGATCAGCAATTAGTAACTGGACTCGCAATCCTCTGCTCCGGGGTTATCAATCAAAAGACGCTGACTGTATGGGAGTTCCACATGGTTCTTTCCCTTGCCTGGTTCTCGACAACCTCCCACTTGGCCACACTGGACGCGCTACGGACATACCTCAAAGCACATGCGGTTATTCGGGATGTCCGCGTTTTCGGGATGGTATGCGTGCTAGTATTCCTTCTCTACACATTTGTTGTTTCGCTAGTAGCCTCATATGGCTCGCTGGCATACACATCTCCCATCCAGTGCGCATTCATCCAACCTAAACCAGCCCCGGATGCATTCACCGTACTCGCCCTATTGTAATGGGTCATAGCCATGTATCTCATTGTGTTTGGATATTACACTCGGGTTTCAGGTCTCTACTCGGACCACGGATTGATGGCCCTTCTTTTGTATCCGGGAATCCGTCTGCAATGGCGCAGGATTTTGAGGGACCAGGCACCGCACCTGTCACCGGACCAGGTACTGCAGGTTGTGCTCGCCTCGTCTCGGGCACGAAGGCTGGGCTCCATCCTTAAGCTTACATCACAATGCGGTAATGGGCAGCGACCTGTTAGTTCGCCGTACTTGGCTCTCTTGCAGGGGGGTTATTTGATTTCGGGTTCTTTCTTTATAAGCCTAAATGGAGTCGCCTTTAGTTTGTCGTATGGCATTACCCAGCTCGTCAGCTATCGCTGGGTATGGGCACCGCGACTGGAAGAGGACATAAAGTCGATGGGCTTTGGTCAAATCATGGCTGTTTTCCTACTTATTTTGCCTTTCCTGGCGGCTGCGGAGAGCTATTATGGTATGTACCTCACCTCAAATTCTTACTTTGTGTCTTACTTACCTAGGTACTGACTGGCTGTGCATTAAAGAATATCTGCAATCCCGCACCGAACTTCCGGATGCTGGTAGTGCCGAGCCACGCATCTCCGAAAGCGGTATTCTTGATGGCACAGCATCATCACCCCCCCGTTCGATGTCATCACCAACGCCGATTTCCCAAACGTCGGGTGCCGAACGAGTCAAGGCCGAGTTTGTCAACAATGTGGACAAGATCAAAAAGTACCTTGCAGGTGACGTCTACTATATCCGTCACATCGAGGCTCAACAAGAACCTTCCAGTACCGCCGAACAAGACCTCATCGAAAAGAAGAGAGCTGTGTTAATTCGATATGAACGCCTCATCGAATGTGAACGCCAGGTCTTTCCTAAGACTAAGGCTGTTGCAATATTCTTGTTGTTCTTTCACTTTAGCGGGAGTATTACTCTCGGTGTTCTGCTCAATCTGGTTAAGGGTGTCGATATTAGCAGCGGGTTGGCGATCGCCATGGTGCTAGGAGCTGCGACTTTCGTGCGGTTGAAGGACACCCTGACGCTCCCGTTCCAGCAGCCGCAGCTCGTGTCTCTTGAACAACCGGAAACTCGCAGCCAGGAGTCCGGTGGCAGCCAAGGTGGAGACCAGGGACCCGATGAGGGTAATGCGCTTGAACTTGACGAGATAGCCGCTGCGCGAAGGACTGCCACTGTGCTCCTTGAAGAGGGGGGACCACGTTGAGAGAGTACGAGAGGGCATAGCTTGATCCGAAATTCTGGAAGCACAGCACTCGATGCCAGATTCTTCACAACTTATGAGTCTATCCGGAGAATTCATCGAAGTTTGGTTTTGAGCCTCAGGGGGATATGTAGTTGTCGACGTCGCTAAAGTATTACCAACAAGGAGGCACTGCAGTTGTCCAGTAGTAGGGAGAGAGTTCCAAGGTGGATATTCTGTAATTAATGTATCTTATTATATTATTAAGCCCATCTAACATTACCCCATCACGTCGTTGTAACCCCCTCCTTATCATACTGGACTGTGATATCCGTCACTCGCAGGATCCCATTGTCCGTCTGCAGCGGCTCAGGCTCCCCATCATTAGCCAGTATACTCCGGTCGCTGCGGTCGTCGATCGACTTTTGCATGTGCAGCTCATGCTCGCTGTCGTTGGGCAGAGGGGGCCTGCTTGTGGCGGTGACCACTCTGCTGCGGTTGTTGCTGCTGCTAGCGATCCCCATCTCCTTGTCGTAGAAGTTGCTTCCACTGCGGTGGTGTTCGAGAGACGTCTTGGCGTCGCGGGCGAGCACGCGGAGCATGGGGATGCTGGTGGCGATGACGGAGGAGCAGACCTCGGCGTTGCCCCAGACCCAAAGCGAGATACCCTGCGCTAGAGGTTTGTCAGCGGGCAGATTCCAACCTTTCTCATCCGAAGGGGGGGGGGGGGGGGGGTTATTACCAAAGTCTGCCGCCAGTAGCCTCGGGATCTTGCTGGTCTTGACGACGGCCGTGGCGCCAGCAAATACGCCCATGCTCATCGCAAGACCTGCGCCGAGCTTCTCCTTGCGCTTCATCTGCAAGCCCCATAGGAACTTCCACGGAAGTAATGCGAGGGTGAAATCCATCAGTGCCGAGTAGCCGGAGGAAAAGAGGTTGTAGTAGACGGCGACCTTAGGATCCCAGCATGTGCCCTCGACGGTCATCTCCCATGACTTCTGGACAGGCGCACAGGTAATCCAGGGTATGAGTGCGGACACAGTCATGGCGACGTTCATGGAGATGATGCAAAACCAGGTGAGCCTTTTATGCCAGCCGTCCGTGATGTGTAGGAGCGTGAGGCCGAACGATGTCTTGCTCCAGGCAGCGGCGGTTATGGAGAAGGTGCCGGCGACGTTGGTGGGTAGGAGCAGATCGTCCATGTAGCGCATGTCAAAGTCCCAGATGTGTAGCCCGTAACCGAAACTGGTCGCATAACTGAGGACCGAGCACTCGATGATGATGCAGACCTTGTTATATTAGTTCGCTGAGCCAAACACGGACGAGAGAGGGTAGTGTATCTACCCAAGAAGCGATGAGGATCCAATCATCCCACCACAAACTCCGTCTCTTTAACAAGCGACAGTAGACTCGTAGGCAGAGGAATATTGTGGAGGCGAGTGCCAGCGACCAGATGCTAGCAAGGAGGTACGGAGCGGCATTGTCGTGTGGAAGAGCGGCCAGCTCCTCCGGAGTCAGAGGGAACGAGGCAGCCGCATATTGGTCCGGCGTTTTCGGCGTTTCGCCCATGGGTACGGCGCCTCTTCTCAACGGCTATCTCTAGGCGTCGAGAATGCAGTGCCTGTTGCGTGCGAGCGGCCACGTGGAAACCGTTTGCGAAGCTGCACCTCGCACAAGGTATAAGAAGAGGAGACAGCGGCTTATGGGACGAGGGAAACGGGATGCTGCTCAAGCCATCTCGACGCTAGGTTCCCTCGGAGGGCGCACCTTTCCCATGTGAGAACAATTCTCGATCAAGACGATCACATAGGGCATTGATTTGCACTCGAGGAGAGCTAGCCCCGAACCCCATCACGCACAGAGCGGAGAGGCAGATGGATGATCTTCGTGTGGAGGCGTCGTTAGCGCGTTTACTAAGGAGCTCTCGGTCAGCGCTTATCCCGGATGGAAGCTAGGAAAACGGCATTTTCCATGGCGGACAGACCGGCTTTTTAGCACTTTTTCTTGTCTCACATTTCAGGGAAGGGATTTTCTCTCTGGGGTGTCGTCCTCGACGTCATTACCTACCTATGTACCTAAATTTTGGAGGAAACGCAAAAGGGAAGAATTTGTTGGGTAAACATATTGCCCGTTGATCGTTGAACAATGGCATGGGAGATATTAACTACAACGAGCAGGACGGATATAGAGAACGAGGGGTAAGTAATGTAACATCTTACGAAGCAGATCCAGAGTATCGGGTGATGCGACGGTGGATCGTGATCAACAAGACGACGACAGGCCTGGCCAAGATTCCGAGAGAGCGGTTCACCTTCTGCCCCACCAATCGCGTGGAATTCCCCCACACCAATTTAAGGGGACTGGGCACGCTGGGGTTGACAAACGCCAAGCACGCTGAAGACAGGCCGGTCAGGATGTGAGCGGTGGGATGGTCGTCAGAAATATCTCTTTGGGGAAGGAACGGTTTTTAGTCAAAGCTGGCTCAGCTCCCATCTGTGTACGCGTCCTACCTAAGTTAAATCTACTAAACTTCGGTCCCGAGTCTCCGAAATTTACATTGCTCACGACAGAAATAAAGGGGAGGTTTCACCATTTTATCAGTCATCATTTCAAACATACCGACAACGGGCCAACTTTGCCTGCGGGCAATAAACAGCTCCAGCCTCCTCGCAACTCCCATCGCGACATGGATGGCACGTGGAATCTCAGTTCTTCCCCGGGCTTCCGTTGATATTTCCACGTGCTCCTGCCAGCCATGAGCAAGACCACAAAACGTTCCTCCTGCCTATCCCCATCAAAACGAAACACACGCCCTCATCCCCGGAACGACTTGGAACTCAGTACATACTGCTCGAGATCCACACAGCCAAGCAATCCACCTCACTGGTGTCCACCGTTTTACCCAATTAGGCAACCATGACTCGACTCGACCCCATCTCATCCCTTCCCCGCGATCATCACCTCCCCATTGCGATCCCGCCGCCTCTCACATTATCGCCCTCTCTCGGCTCCCAAGGTATCCGTAATACAGTCGCAGATCTCAGGGTCAACTTCGCAACCTAATCAACACAAATCGAAGATGCCCAGCGCCAACTACAAAACATGATTGTGATAACGGCCAAGCCTGCCGAGTCGACCAATGGCCGGTCAGGTGGCTCCTGATCCGGCAGGTGGGTCCCAAGCAGTGAATCTCCAGGTTGCTGAGAGCCCGAGACAACCGAAGATTGGCGTACACAGTAAGATTGACCTAAGATTGCTGAGACCTCCCTACCTTACCTGACTACAAGATTTTGGAGAAGGGTTCGTCCTCTGCATCGTGAATAAAGTAACTAACTGCGGAGCGGAGCGGCCATCGACGCCCACAGCCGGCCGGAGCCGAAGACGACGCCACTCCCGAGGCCGCCTCCATCATCCGCAGTGCTGGGCATTTCTTTTCTTTTCGCTGCTTCTTCCGCCGCATCCTTGCGGTATTATTAAGATGAGAGACGAGGAGAGCTGCTGCGAATTTTGTGCATGTCGATTCTCGAATTTTATCCATTCTGTCTGCACTTTATTGAAGCGAAGCTTCAATAATGAGTCTCTGAGATGTACAATGTACATTGAGGAAGCGAAGAAGGAACGCTTCGTTTCATTTACTAGGGTTTCCCTCCAGAGTTCTCAGAGGAGCGATTGGATGCCACAGTTTCGACTGCATTATCGTGCATAATCTTGCATGCGGTGGCGTTGTGGCTAACACAGCAGCTTCGCTTCACCCTTACTGTGGCATACGAAGCAACATGGCACAGTCAGATACTTGTATCCTGTTGCTCTCTAATCTTTCCCACCGAGCATCAAACATCTAGTAAAAGTGCTTCGATGACTCCCGTCTCTTTTTAGTCCATTTTCTGTTGCACTCTTCCACACTCTTGTCCAGCGTAAGATACTGGGGCGTCGCCCATCTCTGCTGTCCTGCAAAACCTGTTAGTCCACCACTGCAACGCAAGACAAAACGGGGATCGAAGCCACCACAGTAATATCACCATAGCCGAACCAAACACGTACCGTTGCCCGCTATAGGGGGGATGTACTCGCCGAACTGGTTGCTGACCGGCCGGTACAGCCTGCCTGGCACGTTGTACTCGACGTAGATCAACAAAAAGAAGCGCGTCGGGCTGTCCTCGAACGTCCAGCGCCGCGCGTGCTCCGCGCGCTGCAGCTTCGCGAGGTAGCGCTCCTGCGGGATCCCCGTCGTCTGCGACAGCTCGGGGTCCAGCTGCTCCACCACGGGCGCCGTGTCCTGGTGGTACGTGTGGACGCCGCCGTCGGCGAGGTTAAGCACCGCGCGCAGCCGGTACTGCCGCTTCACCGTCATGGGCGCTATTGTCCCGTCCCCGACCGGGCGGTAGTCGGACGGCCCCTCGATGGCGAAGGTGCGGATGCTGTTGAACGGCTGCCCGCCTTTGATGATGACGGGGATGGTGGGGGGCATCAGCCCGGCGAAGGCGACGCTGGAGCCGTCGATGTTGCGGATGCCGAGCTTGCGGGAGAAGTGTTTGCCGAGGTCGATCGGGCCGTTTTGGTCTTGGACTTGGAAGGGGATTTCGACTCTGGCAAACTTGTCGTCGAGCTCGTATGGCTCAAACTTGGTCATGCCTGGCCTCTGCACCCATGTTTGGCGTCGGAAAAAGGACAGGGATGGGTGTGACCACAGCGCTCTGCTGATGAGGGGATGCCAGATGAGCTCGCCCAGCGTCACGTCAACACGTTTCAGCTGGTCGCTCTCGGTTGGGTACAGCAGCTCGAGCAGCTTGCCCTTGACCATGTAGTCATCCACCCAGCTCTGGCCAAAGTCGTGGAATGCCAAGGTGAAGAGCCGGTAGTCTGAACTTTGCCGAAATTCGGGGCATACCGCGAGGAGCAAACGGAGCAAGATGAGGAGGGAGTCGAATGCGGCACCGTTGGCATACGCGTTGGCGATCTCTTCGGCGCGCTGGTCGGTGTGGGCACGGAGAAACGTTGACCTAACAAGTTCAGTGACCACGCCGTTCGGAAAGGGAAGGTGGGTGGCAAGAATGTATGCAAGTCGCCTATCCGGCTTGACATCACTCGGCACACACTTTCGCAAATCGCGATAGTACCCTTCGATTGACGCGGTTACCGACATGGCGGCGCCGACCCTCTCCGATGTCTGCAAAAAAAGAAGAGAAGAAAGAATGAACGCGCAATGGTGAGAGGGGCATGGCCCAACCAACCCCTAAGCCCAGCTTGGTTTCCATCTCATGTTTGGTTTTGTGGTTGGTACAGTTTGGCGAAATTTGCGGCCTTTCTTTGTCTGCTATGACGGGTTGCCGCATGCATGGCATGAAATCGACTTGATATCTGACTGAACGACGACGGAAGCAAGCAGCCACACAGGGTAATTGGGACGATTCATTGGCCGGGATTCAGCACATGGAAAACAAAAATGTGATAACGTAATATAGCAAATGATGGTCCAAGGCGCAGCAAAATCCCTGTTCGGAATTAAGTTTGAAATGATCTTTATCAGTTATCGATTCACCGGGAATTTAATAGACGAGAGAAGATACCTAGGTAACTGCCTGTGATGTCTTAGTGTTCTGACTTTTGTGGTTTAGCAGTATCAGGAGCTATTGGAAGGTAATTTAACAGGAGAAGGGTTCAGTACCTATGCACGTCAACAGATCATTAGTATAAATGTTTAAGGACCTAGTTTAACTCTCCTCATCCTCACTAGAATCATCAAAGCCGACGCCGAACTCCAGCCAGCATTGCATCGGAACGGTAAAGTTGGGGACCAGGGTCCGGGAATGGTGCCCACCTGTTCTTTCTCGCGCTAGGGCCTATGTTGAACAACTCGTACTCTAGGCTGTTAGGCAGCAATGCCGTGAATGGAGCTGTGACGTGGAAAATTGAACAAAACCAACCGTGAAAGAGCCTTGGAAGGAGTAGGTATTAGTATCATGGGAGGTACCTGTACCTACCTCACCTAGGTATGTATTAGTCAAAGTTTGCGTACTTATTATACCTCTCCAACCCAACTTAACCATAACACAGAAAGTAGGTAGGTGCCTTACTTTATTTTCAGGTGTCAACCCTTTGGTCACACGCTTTCCACCTCCAACCTGCCCATCTAGAACAGGTCGTAGCATTCGACGGCAATTGAAGTTAAACCATTACTTTCTCGCCATGGCACCCGTAGATGGTGTCCCTTCTACTCTAGCGCCAATCGCCGAATCGGAACGACGCGGACCTCTGGAAGACGACCCAAACTCCTCAGCATCGAATCTCGCCACGCCGCCGCAATCCCCCGCCGGTCCTCACCAGCCAAAACGGTCATCTTTGAACGATATATTGCGGGAAAACAGCCGGCATCGCTTGTTCGTCCGTCCCTGGAAATGGACCTCACGGCATCTGCGGCTGCTGGACTGCCGATTCCTTCTCGAGAAAGGGGAACGGAAGTCCGAGGTAATGGACACCGAAAGCTCCGTTCAAGATGGCTTGACAATCAGCCAACAACAGAAACGTCCCGGGCACCTTTCAAGCGAGGAGGTTGCTACTGCTATAGATCACTTGTCTTGTGACAGCCATAGGCTCAGGCTGTCGGCAATTGGACTTCTTCTCTCCGATCATGGTTTCCACCAGCGCCCGTGGTAAGTGTTCTCAAACGACTTGGATGAATGCTGCTAATCTTGTCCCTCCTTAGCTCCAACCTGTACTTCTACTTCCATCAGAGGATTGTCACGACCCTACGAATTGATGGCCTTTTCTCATTCCCATCATCTCGCTCAGACATTCCCCCTCTTGCGTACCTTGACCTTAAAAAGCTGCGCTCGCGAGGTGAGATGCTAGTCGTGCCTTCAGCCAGCCGCAGACCCAATCCGCCCGTCGCCCGTCTTCGGTTAAAGCACCAACGCCGTTTCCGACCGGCAAACGAAATCGAAGATCCATACATCGTGGCCGTTCTGGTCGCTCTTGCCCAAAAGCGACAGCAGTACCGCTTCCGCAATCTCGCGGCGGATCTCAAGGTACACCCCCATTTACCACATGAATGCTAGGCTGTTTCACTAATGAAGAGTTTGTAGGTTCATGTTTTGGTTCTCCCGACGGACGCACAGCGCTTCTTTTTCTATACGGCTCGTTTCTCGGCCCCGTTCCTCAATCGATTCGACCAGCCGTCTAAATATTTCCCAGGCGACCCGCTCTGCATCTCCTATTGCTCTATTCCATTCGCACCCATAGCAGACACGATCCGAGGAATGGAAAAGGCAATGTCCATAGTCCCCGATAATGGTCAACGGGAGCAGCCGTCAGAGGACAACCATGAGGAGTTTTGATTACAGCACCATGCATGGATGTAGACGAGGCTTAGCAGCCCTCAACGATGGTGGGTGCTGCCGAGAGGCTACCTCCAACACACGGCCAAATGTGGCCTCGATCCATGAGACCAAGGCCATTTGCTATGCGGAACTTCATGAAGGATGGGCACACGAGTCGCCAACGGACCATGAGCCACAGGTAATACCAACCACACTAATCGGGTAGGTACCCAGGTACCTTATGTAGTTATCAACGTGGGAGGCTTTCAAGGTTTTCTGCCAGTCATTTCACAGCCAACCAACTGGATGGATTCGATTGCGTCTCGCTCCGAATAATATATTAATCGATACAACCCCAAGAAGTGGTTCCTCGTCACAGACTCTCGCATCACTTTCGTTTATCCACTGTGATGATCTTTTCGGTTCGGATTGTCACCGCTCCCAGATGCTGAGCTGCTGAAGTGAGACAACCCCGTCGGGACGGGCATTGATCATCGTGGTTTGGCTGCGAGGGAGGGTTTGCGTCATGATTCCAGGTCTGCGCAAGAAACCTACCCGGAGCTTGATTTGTCCGACCTGAAAGATGCGCTGTAGCTTGCAAGGGGAGGGTGACACACCTGAGACGTCGTGGGAGGCCAAGAGCAAGGAGCCAATCCAAATACCTGGTGGTGTGCCGAGTTCGGATCGGGACCTGCCCCGCGCGAAGCGGGATTGGGCCGAACCGTGGTGTTGCGATCATCGATGGTCCCGGTCTGGCAAAGATCTCCGTAGATCTCCGGCCCGATGGGATCGGCCGCAGGACATTTCGATAGTGAGCTTTCAGCAGCTCATATCACATACCTCTGCGTCTGCGGGGTTTGCCGTATGGCGACCCGCGAGAAGGCATATATAATGGCGGCCATACTCCGGTCTTGTGAGGGGAGGAGAGGACTTAGTAGTGGTTGAACAAGCTCCTTCCCTGAGTCCCCAGACCATAGGTACACTCTACTGACTCTAGCACCAAGCTTGCTCTCTGGTCCATACCTATTCAGCGCTCCACGATGCGTCTGTTATCTACGTTGCTTGCGCTTGCTGCCGCCGTCAACGGCGCTGCTCTACCCCGCGCAGATCCCGCGCCCGTCACCGATTACGATGCTATTGTCGTGGGCGGCGGTCCTGCCGGCCTCAGCGCTCTGAGCGGTCTGGCACGTGTCCGTAGGAAGGTCCTGCTTATTGACTCGGGCGAGTATCGCAATGGGGTAACGAGGCACATGCACGATGTGATCGGGTTTGATGGTAATTATCGATCCCTTTGTCTCACGCTATCTATGACCCGACTCAGACTGACATGAACCCCCTAGGCGTCACACCGGCCTACTTCCGCTGGGCCGCTCGCCAGCAAATCGCCCACTACAAGACGGTGACCATGGCCAACGGCACCGTCACCAACATCACCCCCGGCGACGCGCAAAACACGCACTTCGTCGTCACCACCGTCGGCACCGGCAGCCCCGACGCGGTGACCCTCACGGCGCGCAAGATCGTGCTCGCCACGGGACTGCGCGACATCCTGCCCCCGACCCCCGGCCTGCGCGAGGCTTGGGGCGAGGGCATCTTCTGGTGCCCGTGGTGCGACGGGCACGAGCACGCCGACCAGCCGCTCGGCCTGCTGGGCAGCCTGGACAACGTGCCCGGCGCGGTGCGCGAGATGGTGACGCTCAACAGCGACGTCCTGGCCCTCGTCAACGGCACCGACACGCCGGCCTTCCGCGCCGTCAACGACGAGAAGTTCCCCGGCTGGGAGAAATACCTGGAGCTGCACAAGGTGCCAGTCGACAACCGCACGATTACGGCTATTACGCGCCTGCAGAGCGCGAATGAGTCCGCTGATCCTAGCTTGCCCACGGCTCCGGAGTTTGACCGCTTCCGCGTCGACTTTGCTGAGGGCGAGCCTGTGGAGAGGGCGGCGTTCCTCGCGGCCTTCCCGTCTGAGCAGATGTCGGATGTCGGCGAGAAGCTGGGCGTCCACCTCTACGGCGGTCGTTTGGCCGCTGACCAGACTGCTGGCCTGATCACCAACATCCCTGGCGTCTATGCCATTGGTGATGCCAACTCGGATAACACCACCAACGTGCCGCACGCTATGTTCAGCGGGAAGCGCACTGCGGTGTATTTGCATGGTTAGTCCGCCCCTTTTTTATCCTGACCCTCATGGCTTGGTGTGCTTTTTGCATTGGACAATCAGTGCAACACAGGCTTGGTTGCCATCATACTTTATTGAGCTATCGCATGCTAACGATCATACAGTCAGGCTTGCCCGTGAAGACGGTGAGAGGGAGCTGAACGGAACCGTCACCAAAAGAGACCTCGACCACACTGCGCGGTCGCTGTGGGACAGCGTCAACGGTGCACCTGGCGATATGCTCTACGCTGGCGAGTTTGACCAGTAGTCGGTGCTAGGCGAAGGAAGGGAGTTTGCCTCGGTCCCTGGTAGTTGGGGCGGATGTTGTTGGTGTTAATTTTAGGGGCCTCCAATATACTCCGGCCTACCATTCTCCGTTGTTTTCAAACCCCTGGATCGTGAAATGGCCCAGCCCGCTTCTGTCAAGTGGGCCCGGTGTTGGTTTTCTGGTACCGCTCTCTAATTGCTCGCTTCCGGTGTAGCCGGTGCCGGCAAATGAGGAGGCGAGTATGATATGAAAGAGTCCGCACTGGTCACCCAAGAGTCTCGTCCCCTCGTGTTTCTGTCAGCATAACAGCGTAAAATAAATCGCCAACGAAGGTCCTGCATCAAGGTGTCGAGACAGAGTCGTGGTGGTTAGAATAAGGAAGCGGGTTTGTTGTTATGTTTAGCAACACGGTCTGACCGACATGTGCATGGCTACGCCGTTATAGTGGCGGTAATATACTCCCCTTTGGTGCCGTCAGCTGCTCAGCCAGCATGGTAATTACATACGATATTAAAAGGGGGTCTTGACAGTCTCGGCGGCTGTGTGTTACCGTTCGTTGGGAGCTGGGCGGTTCCTGTGCTGTTTATCCATGGACGGCAAAGGATTCCGCTGCCATGCGTGTAAGACGGACGTACCTTAAGGCGAGATGGAGAACGTGCATTGGGCTTAATGAGTTTGGTCGCTTAACCCCGGATTCAACCAAACACTCGACGATAATAAACAAAGTTGTTATTATGCATCTGGCCCAGACCCAGGAACCCAGGTACGGGGGCTCGGTTCATGGGATAAAAATAGCCACCTGCTGAAATTGGTGATATATCGAAACTAGCTCACAGGCCCTTGACCCACGGTGTTGACATCCCGTGCTGCCCAACTCAGCACAACACGTGAAATCTATCGAATGTGAGGACCAAGCGAAGTCGGCCGTGAGCTAGACTGCTCCTCCACTTGGTTTCTCACGGCCAAGACGGCGGCGACGACGACGACGAGGCCAGGTCTATAAAGACTCCCCATATCCCCCGGGACAAAGCTCTCATCTTCTCATCCTCATCCTCATCCTCATCATCCAGCCTCAACATCCAGCATCACTCTCACATCTTCAAACAGCTACCACAGCTCAACCCACAACTCCTGCACAATGAAGTTCGTTTCACTCCTCGCTCTCCTTCCCCTGGCCGCGGCCGCCCCCTCCACGTCGGTCTCCGCGCCCGGCCTCACCGTCCCCAACGAGGCCGTTCCCCAGAAGGTCCGCGTCGTCGGTGTCTCTCTCCTCGGCTCCGGCTGCCCCGCGGGCACCGCCGATGTCCAGATCGACGCCAGCAAGACGCTCCTGGAAGTCACCTTCTCCGAGTACATCGTCCAGACCGGCCCGGGCACCAAGGCCTCCGAGTGGCGCAAGAACTGCAAGCTCACGCTCAACCTCGAGTTCGACGAGGGCTTCTCGTGAGACTTTTCCCCGTACCACCTCTTGAAAACGTATACACTGACACTCCAACCCCAGCTTCTCCACCCTGGCCACCGACATGAGCGGCTTCGCGCAGATCCCCAAGGGCTCGCGCGGCCTCTGCACCAACACGTTCGACTTCACGGGCGACGGCGAGCAGTCGTACTACTCGATCGCGCTGGCCGGCGAGCGGGAGGGCCCCTTCACGCTCAGCGCCGAGCCCGACATCGTGTCGTGGTCCCCCTGCGGCGGCACCTCGGCCATCATGAACATGAACACCCAGTGCAACATCTCGCCGACCCGCGACGCGGCGCTCATTGCGGTACGTCTTTTTTTTGTCGCTCTGCTTGTTTCCTGTTGTTTGGTGCTAATGGTGCGTGGGATAGGTCGATCGTATCAGTGGCAAGGTCACCGTCAATGTCTCGCTCGACTGGCGCAAGTGCTAGAGGGGTGGACGTTGGAGCTTGGAGGAGAGGATGGTAGTCAAAAGAGAGGCAGTAGTTCATCTATCTATTTTCAGTCTCGCACGCAATCCAAGTACCTTATGCACGCCTTCTGCTCCATTGTCGATCTCCAACTCCTCGGGCCTGGGTCCTCGTTGACCACTGCATCCCGAGTCCGAAACCCGACATGATCTCCCACGGGTTTTCCGGGTGCTGCCTGGTGACAGATCGTAATTCTCCGTGGCGAGATCACACTTTGCTGCCGCTCGGGTCCAGATCGATCGGGTGGCCAATGAAGGAGATTGCGGGCTGGCATTGATTGCTTCCCCACACGAGGACTCTGTCTGTGTGGTTCCCTGAATGGCCCTCCTTCACGGCCCTATGGTTAATTGTGATGCCGGGACGGGCTGGATGTAACCAAAGGTTGTGGTCATCTGTGGTCACCGGAACACGAGCTGGGGTCGGATAAATCCGGGACATGGTTTGGTTTTGATTTTTGACATTCCCCCCCCCCCCCCCCCCCCGCAACGAGACCTGGGCGAGTTATTAGTATGATATTCTGGAGTATAATGATGGTCTTTGGCAGGTTGCGTTTTGATGTTGCTATTCGTGTTTAAAGAAGGTCCTCAGGTATAAGTGATTCAGTGGCATTAACATGCCCCTGAAATCCCCCTAGAGTGAAAGGGAGAGAGAGCTGGAAGCATAGAGTACTCACAAACGGGAAGGGCCGGTATAAATATGGACGTTTTCCCAAGGACAAACACTCAGTCCATTCTCGAGCTCGGTACTTTTCTATTCAGAAAGAGTGCATGGTTTCAGGGGCACATTGCTTACCACAATGTGTGTATTCCAGGACTATATCGCACCTATTTGATGACAATTCTGCAAGCACTCTAAGGTTGGACACAAAGAAAGAGACAGGGGAAAATTCTGCAAGTCGTGGGCCCTGAGTTAGGCAGACACGAATCGGGCTGCGTAGGGAAGGTACGCATGCGGGCAGCCCGTCACTTCGCAAGTCGCCGCCTCCTTCCAATCCTAGCAAATCAGCAGGTGCGAGGGTAGGAGATGGCGAAAGGCAAACCCTAATCGTCTCCCTGATTTTAAATTCCAACCACCTTCGTTAAGCAACCTCCAGATAGCGACGGCGAATAGGTGGCTCATGAACCGCCTCCGAACGGTCGTCGAAGAGAGCCGTTGTTGGAACAGCCGCGGCGTGGTCAAGATGAGCGAGGACGAACACATACGGATCAATCTCATCGATAGCTGGCACAAACAGAAAGTCAGTGGGCATGTGTACCCCCTTGGAATCGAAGACAGCGGTATCGTCGACGAGACCTGTGATGACATGCACAGGGACGGCAAACTGGACTGGATGTTGCGCCCCACGCCATTCGGATGTCCGGTGTTCGTCGCCTGGCGTATCGTCAACGGGGTCAGAAAAGGAAGAGTGGTGGTGGACCTTCCCGTTCGCCGCTGGAGCAGGAATGCCGGGCGACAGCTGGCAACCGAGCAACCGGACAACGACAGCCACTCAACGTCATATCACCCACAAACGGACGGCCTTTCAGAACGGAAGAACCAGACCAAACGCCATTCCAGACGCTTATCCTCTGCCGAATCAGGAGGAAATCATCAACAGTCTCATCGGCGCCAAGTACTTCACGGCACTGGGCGCGTCAGCCTTCTTTCACCAGCTCCCGGTGTGGGAAAAGCATCGAGATCGAATGATCCTCTTCAGTCCGCGAGGCCTGGAAGTCAACAAAGTCGCGCTTATGGGTTTCAAGAACTCGCCGGCATACGCTCAGAGGTCATTGGAAAGATGGCAAAACACCTAGTTAAGCGGCGGCACCCTGCTCGGCTGATGGCGAAGCAGCGCTGCAGCAATACAAAAACGTAGCCTTGGGATCCGCTATGGTTCAATTTCTACTAGGTATGTATGAAGTTGGTTTGTGAAACTCACTAGGTACTTTAGCCACTTCACCACTGGTATCGAAGAACCACCTTGGCTGTTGTTTTCAGCCTTTGGGCTTAAACACGGTACTGACTGCTGATGATTGACGAACATAGGCGCCAACGACCTAAACTCGAAGCCATATCATCCCACATATTGCAAGCCATCTAGACGGCTAGAGGACAAAACTGCTAATAAACTCATACCCCTCAGCACGGCCTTCCACCCCTCCGACTCCGGATCGCTGCTCAAGTCACGGATATGCGGCGGCCCCTCGACCAGGGCCAAGCCGGCCGGCACGCCCCGGGCCACCAGCGCATCGTACGTGCCACGGCTCTGCTGCCACGGGATCAGGTCATCAGCGGTTCCGTGGACCAGAAAGGTCGGCACATGAGCGTAGCTGCCACCCACAATGTGCGCGCGGGGGCTCACGGCGCGCATCCGCTCCAAAGTCGGCTGCGGCGCCGCGTTCCAGTCTGTCCCGAAGACCAGAAGCGAGGGAGGGCCTTGTGGTGCTGGCATTGTGGTTTGGGACGCTGTACTGGGCTGGGAAACAAAGTGAAGTGTGGACTCTTAATCTCTGAGCCTTGTTGCAATAGGTTTCAGCTGGGTTTGACCGGGAGTCTTTGGGGACTGAACTTTTTTGATAGACTGAAAGCACTAGTTACTTTGGATTTATAGTACGGGATGGCCATGCTGTACGCTATACCGTTAGGAAGAAAGCGGTACACGATTCATGTAGGGCTGCATTGCATAGTACTCTTTCCTATAGCATTAATACCGTGACCCTCTGAAATCGTTATTTTTCTCCTCCTCGCTGATCCGTCAGCCTCGCCACGTCGCACCTATACATGGAGGAATAGATCTCATCCCGAAAGCCACACACCCTTATCCAAATCGATATGCTACCATCCACCACAGCTTTTCCACAATGGGCACGGAGTCTCCCCATCATCTCACCTTGTCCCCAGTGCCTACTAACTTCCCATTACCGTACCTACCCGTCCAGGGGCGGGTACTTGTAGGTAATTAGGTTTGGGTCTCATTCCTAGAGTCTCGACCAAAACACACAAAACGAAGTGCAATCCGGCCTTCCTGTTCTGCGTTTCGGGCATCTGTCGTCCCTGTTGTTGCTTTGCGGCTGACGTGGGATTCGAGGGCTGATTGCTCATGTACGCATATAATATATAATTACAAATCGAGTTTCCATGTAAGCCTACCTACATAACGTGCCGTGGGAGACAGGATCCTTACCAGCACAAGATTCTCCAATCGTAATGGTCGTTCGTGTATGGCTGTCGGATATGCCGGCAGAAGTGGCGTGATATGGCCACATCTGAGAGAAGGCGTGTGAATCGAGCCAACGAATCAACTGCCGGACGAACTGTCTCGCTGCACTGGTACATAGACGATACTAACTCATGACGAAGGTTGAGTTTATGGCTTGTGAAACGAGTCAGTCAAGCAAATGCCAAATGAACTATGTCTCTGTACTACACAGAAGGCACTGGCTCATGACGCAGTATTAACAAACCGGGAAGGTCGGGCTTGCCCAGACACAGCGACCTTTTATCCAGATGGATTCTCGACTCGTGTCCAGTAGGTCCATTCTAGAAGTACTGGACTAAACATTCCTGGTTGACGACTCTTCGTTGTTACATCGGAGATAGGCGCCCGCAGAGAAATTGAGCTTAGCGAAGGTCTGTTACGTTGTACATTTCCAATCACTGCTGTGTGGTGCAAACGCCTGGACGTCTTGGCGTGCGCGCGCGCCGAACACGCTCTAATTTTTGAAAAAACAGCCAGAAGACCAGAAATCAGTCGAAATATCTACAGCTATATCAAACAAACCACCACATACGCGCACCGCGCATGTACCTTAAGCTCTATATCTAAATACGTAGAATCCGAATATTATATCTGATTAATGATGCGGATAATACGCGTTGAGATCTTGATGGGTTTAAAAACTGGTGAATTTTTGGTAAAAATCGCCAAGATCTGCCAAGATCTGCCAAGATATCTTCGAAGAGTTCGAACAAAATCGAGAAAAACAGAAATCTATCGATACCTCAACGCGCATTATCCGCATCATCGATCGGGTATAAAATCCGGATTCTACGTATCTAGATATATAGCTTAAGGTATCTGCGCGGTGTGCGCTTGTGGTGGGTTGGTTGATATAGCTGTATATAATTTTCTCTCCTCCTATTTTTCCCCAAAAATCGATAAAAATTAGAAAGTGTTGCGCAACCCGCGCGCGCGTGCCAAGACGTCCAGGCGTTTGCACCACACAGTGACCCCGGGCTGATGGTGGGGTGCTGCGGGAAGGCCGAATATGCACCGAGCATTCTTTGTGTAGCCAACATAGGTGCCAAACGGCTGGTCAGGCTCGCACAACTTCACGGACCGAACCAAACACACCCGTTGTCGTCTTCACTGCTGACGGCATGCGGTCCCTCGCTGCTATCGTGTTTCAGATGGGAGTCATGGGACCGTTTCAGTTGGCTGCGGTAAGTGTGTTTCACAAGGGAAAGCTGTGGCCTCGACGCGTGGTTGGATTACGCTGATAAATGCCTCTCTTGTGTTGGATCAAAACAAAGGCCGACTGTCCGAGAAAAAGCCAAGCTTAATAGACGCTTACGTACCTACCCACCTACCTGTCCAAGACACCAAATAATTCACTTTCCACTACCCCCCTCTGAGAGCCTGAGGGTTCCCTCAAGACATCGATGGTCTGGGGTCGGTGGCAGATTCGGTAGAGCCAAACGGTCTGCGAACAGATGCACAACCAAAGGCCTCAATGTATGTGATGGACACGAGTTGAAGTTGGTTACTGATGAAGCTGTCGTTACCCCCGCAGGCCGCTGTGGGGGTGATCTATATACAGCTTCCTCGAACCGGCTCGTGTTTGCTGGCCAGCTATCCTAAGCTGTCCCACTCGCCGCGGTAGCCTACATGTAGCCATCCCCACTCCTGTAATCGTCTCGCGCAACCCATGGAGCAGGTAAGTCACCTTGACCTTGGCTCACCCCGCCCGTTTATAGCAGCGGAGACATGGCACGAATAACCGGTAAGCTATCACGTCGGCTACGCACCACCCGAGCGTAGTATCGGTTGTCCTTGCTCTTACTGTCTGCCTCCACTGGTGTTAGCTGGACACACCAGACTTTGCAGGTCCCGCATTCGCCGTCCGAAGCCGGCGAGGTGGGACTATTAGTAGCCATGCGCCGAACGCACAACCAAAGCCGCGACTTCTTCGCATCCATGTATTCCGTAAGCTGAGCGACCTGCAGGGAGAGTCTCTGGGTGTCCCAGAGCGACCGGAAATGCTCAAAAATGAGATCCGCATCCCAGAAGCGCCCATCCGGGCATGGGACAAGCCGATCGAGGATCCCCTCCGTGAGGGACCGCAGTTTGGTGAAATTCCGCAGATTCTTTTTCTGGTCATCGCTCAGCTGTCTCAGCTGGCCCTCGTGAGACTGTGCCGGGTCTGGATTGCTAACAATGAATGAGATCTTCCGTTTTTTAGGCTTTGGCTGGTCGACTCTCGGGGGAACTGGCCTGGCAGGTTCCACGACTGGAAGGGACCCCGAGTTGGTGGCGACGGCGCCCGGGTATGTACCGCCGCCATTTCCCTTTTTGATCTCGGATAGTGAGTGCTCAATAGCGACAAGCCGAGTAACGCTCAGGGTCTGGGAATTGTCTGCTGTTTTGCAGACACTTAGGACATCATCGATCTTGGACTCGCTCCGCAGGGCCAAGGGTTCTAACTCGGCGACCTGTGTCGTGAGCGAGTCGAGTTTCGTCTCCATCCGACTCAGCGCCTTGTCTTTCTCGTTGACAGATTCATCTTCGGAAGATTCTTCGTCGGCAGATTCCTCATCGGTAGATTGCTCAATGTCGGACTCCTTGGCGGCAGAGCCCTCAATGATGGCTGCAAGCTTGCCGAGGTCATACTCAAGATGTCCGTGGACACGCTGGACTTGGGCGAGTGAAGCCTCGAGCTTCTTCGCAGTGCGGGCGAGTTTCGAATTGCTGTTCGAGGTACCCATGGTCGCGATCTGCTTGCTCAATTGCTGGACGACTGCACGAAGCATTCCGTCCGTTTGTTTGACGCTCCGCTGGAGGCTGTCCATGTTGTGAGCGTCCCAGGGTGTTTGCTGTTCTCATGAGTCGACCAGACCGGGTTTCTGGTGGATTTTCCGGGGTCGGTTGACTCCGATGTTGGAGGTTTTAATGTTGGTGGAAAAGGAAACAGAAGAGAATGAGAAGAAATTAGACCGTTGTTCCAGTTTGGATTTTAACGTTTGACTCGGCTGCACTGTTCCGGTATATTAATTCGGACAGATCTAAGAAATAGAAGAATTTGTAGCAAAAGGTAAATCGGGGTTGAGAACCTAATTATTTTATTGATAATTATTCGAATTTCGAAATTGTACCTGCGTTCAATGATAAGTTCTCCTCGCCACGAATTGGCCTACATTCGACTTCTTTACGATCTGTTTGACTCGTCTTGAAATTCTTCTCACTAGGTACCTAAGCAAAAGCTTCCGTGATTATCTTATTCTCAACCTCCGAATCGGGAACACGATTGGAACGAGACAATCAAGGGCCACTGTAACCATGCACTATCTCTTCAATGAGAACAAGGCGGAGTTAAGGCTGTGTGAGATGTCCCAGTAAAGCCCGGCATCACAACCTTCATTAGCCCAGGTAGGTAGCCGTAGTTTCGGCTCAAGCAGATTAAACTGTAACAAAATTACGGTACTTTGCCGCTCGTACTCCCAAGATATATCAAGCATGTCGGGAAGAGCTGTGGTGGGACGCAAACTTTGCAGCTGCTGATTCTTTCTGCTCTTTCCTTCTTTCTACCAATAGCGGGTCCGTTTCTCCCAGACATCAATGATCATGATCACAAATCTCTAACAAAATCTCTCGGTGTTTCGGACACCATCTGTCAATCATGGCGCTCCAGAATCGAACGTCCGAACACGCACTGGGCAAAATCAACATCCGCAACACCCCGGTCACAGTCAACCTGTACGACGCCCGCCTCGCGCACACAGCCCAACCTGGCGTAAAGATCGCGGATGGCAAAGTTGAGATCGACAGCATCGGCATGCCCAAGACCGAGCACTTCCTCACCGCCATCCCCGGTCTCGACGTCCGGCCCAGCTGCGAGCCGACCTACAACTTGATGGTGCCGTACGCAGTGAAGGGCGAACCGGATTGGACTCGGCGCTACTCGCACTGGTCCTACTGTGACGGTGTTAGGGTCAACCGCGTTTATATACCTGTGGAACCAGAGCCTGAGCCGGTGGAAGAGGAGGAGGACCGAGCTCGGCGATACGCGCGGGAGACTGAGCGGCGAAGACAAGCTCGCCGCGCGAGGGAAGAGGATGAGAGACATGATGACTGTTGTTGCATTCTGATGTAGAAAGGGTTTAGGTATAACTAGGTATACTGGTTCTCGGGACCTCGCTGATAGATTAAGTCATTTGTGCTCCTTCTTACTCATGGCTCTTTTCCACCACAGAAGCCGGCCCTCCGCAACTCAGTGTAGACGTAAAGTGGGCTCACCAAGGCCACGAGCCCATGGCAGACCGAGCCAACGGGGAATTAATATGGGCGTGGACAAAAAGTCCAACCCAACACTTGGCCTTTAGTGAGAAGCTTCTTTAGTGGGATCTAGTTAAAATGAGTAAATTACTCAAAAAGATCCGAGTAATATTCTGGAAGCATTACCCATTTTCATTGCATCCAATTTATGGAATGCCATCATCCCTTTACTAGCTATAAGGACACGTCCCCATGCCCTTCCACAGAACGAATGGTACCTCGACATCCCTGGCCCCTCCTCGCCCACTTAGCCCATACGACATGATGGTGACATACATGTGTTCAGGTCTAACATCCAAGCTAGCCGTGTACAGCGAATACCCAGTATCCGCGAGGACCCCTGTCTTCTCCATATCGAGGACGTGCGACTCAAACCTGGGGACCACGGATTCTGCTTGTCGAACGGGGATTGGGACGGTGAGCTTTACGTCTTGGAAATTGAGCTCGTCCCGTACCTGCACGCGGTGGTGGAGCAAGTAAGTGATTGCTCCAATATGTAAACTTTTAGGGGACTTACCGCCACGGTTAGGTTAAGAAGGTAGGCTCTTCCCAGATACACTGAGCTACAGGAGAGATGGTTCTGGGGGATGAGGTCTGTTTGCAGGGGGAAGCCGCCTCCACCATTGGCATGCACTGTCGACTGGCCGTCGTCGACGACTTCGACTGTGAAGGATTCGAACCCCTGACTGGCAGGGACGGTCGTGGTGAAGTTCCACCATTCGAAAGAAGGCGCATAAGGGTGCCAGGCTGTTGTGTTCTCGGATAACCTGGTGGCTTCCACGGGTGGGATGGCAGGTGTGCTGGGGCTTCTTGGTTTGAAGTGGATGAAGACCTGGCGGGAATCGGTGGGAAGGTTGTCATCGATTCGTATCTGGAATAGGTTTAGTTGAATTTGGTGAAAAGAGATTAAGGGGACATACCCTGATATCTCCCGTGATGGTCATGTTACCACCATCATTCATGGCGATGAAGAGGTTGTCTGGTTTCAGGGGAATGGGCGTGATGACCTCGGACAACTGAACACCCTTCGGTACAGTGTCTATCATGCGGGTAAAAAGCCCACTGCAGGTTTCTAGAAAATAATCCTCCGAGGCGGCGAAGCTTTTTATCAAAGTGCCTCCGTCTGAACTAAAAATACGGTGGTCAGACCGAGTGGTTTCGTTAGGGCCGAATGCCAATGCATTCTGAGTGCTATTCTCGAGGAACTCAATTGCTCTGCGTTCGTTCAGGGGTCAGTGGCCAGTCTTCAACAACACACGGATTGCTTGCTTATTAGAACACACATGCTATTGTCTAACACCGACTGACTGGTGTCAAATGCTTGTTTGCTGTCGACGTTGGTCTACCCATTGATTAGATGAGCCTCTAGTAAGCGGAGAGGACACCTACTGAGTCGTTCTTGGCCGGTACAATCTCTGGAAAATCACGTCCGTTGACGCCGCCTAGACTATGACCGCAGGCAACGAGACCAATCATCTCAGTGCTGTTGAAGCCCTGCTTCTCGAAGCTTCTCGTGTGGCTTGTGAGATCTTGGTGTGGCTCCGGGGTACCAAAAGGGCCGGCCTCCGTAGCATCTACTCTCCCCGCCCTAAATGGTAGAAAGAGTGGTTTCCGGTTGGGTGAGATAGTGCAAGCCGTGACGGACATGACAGCGCCGAGGGCAATCAAGTCGGCCATGGAGGAACGAGCACTCATGAAATCGCCGAAGAAGAGAAGGGTCTCGGTAAAGGCGTGGAATCCGACATTTTCTTGACGGGACCTCTCAAAACCGATGCTGGCATCCATGCCTCCGATACCTGTCTCAACGTCCGCCGTCGCCATGTCATGATATGCAGTTCGTATCCACTCTGCACTGTTGGTTCGTCCTGGTCCGAGGTTATTCCCAGTCTCGCATGTTCTGACAAATGCGCTGAATCTGCGTCCATCATAGCCGATTTGTTGGTAGTATATCGCCTCCAAGATGTCAGTGTCCGTGTTTGGCCAGGTGTAAGCTGAGGTGGGCCATAACAAAGGAGCGAGGAGAGTGAGAACGGAAAAGAGCTTTAAATATGACATGGTGACTCCTTGTAAGTATAAATAAACATGAGCCGAAGAAGGTCCTAGGTTACGCAGTCGGAGATTCAAGTGCAACTACACCTAGTACTTGACAACAATATATAAACATGGTGAATTGTCCCTGTCACTAACAAGTCCGAGATTGGAAAACGAGCCAGGCTCGGAGGTGTCAACGGTGAGCTGCCAGTGGTTGATATGGTATATTTGGCGCCAATGCTATGCTGTTAATATCGACTCTTGATTTGACTGGGTATCGGGGGGTGCTGTGCCGTTTTGGTATGCATCTTTCAGTCAACGCATACCACCTCGTGGTTTGGCGTAAGCCCCGGGCCGAGAATGGGATAGATCACTTCACCCGGCCTCTTGATTTATACGCCGGTAGCGCAACCCCATTACGAACGCCTTATTTCCTATTCGTTATTTCCCATCCGAACAAACGCTAATTGAGCAGAGGGAGGTCATGGAGGTTTTCTTGCACTTACTAGCTCCCATTACACAACCCTAACTCTGCTTCTATTGTGGGTTCAAACCAGGGTTTCCCGACCTCGCCCAAACATAACCACCTTTTCGACTCACAACTATCACATACGACCATACCTACTTGAAAATACGGGATCCCGTCCGCTCTCCCCGAGTCAAACAAGTAAGGGCCAGACTAGTAGTTGGGTCGGTGACGACCAGCGAATCCTTGGTGTTGTATGTTTTTGACTTTTTTGACTCTTCTCCTCCCGGGCTCATCCTTTTTCCGTCCACAACCCGACCCACAGCCCACACAACCTACATGACCCACACTCTCTCCACAGTACCAGCAACAGCATAACATGAGACCAGCCACAGAGGTATATATAGATAGATTTCACCTCCTTACGTATTAAGAGGCACTGGGGTCAGCAAGGGCTTTGTTGTGCTTGTCCCGTCTAAAATGACTTGGATATGTAGGGGCTCGTGAGTGGGCACAGACGAACGCTTATCGAATTCAACCTTGGACTCATATCACCTCTACTCGGACGGAAATACCAGTGGAGTCCCAATCGTTAATGTGGTTCGTTTAGAGTTCAGAGGTTAGATGAGGTACTGTGGGTGTTGGGGTGTTGAGGACCTCAGGGGGCTTAGGTGCTGGAAGCATTCATTTTCCGTATCTGCCTACGTGACTTCAACACGGGTTTACTTTGAATCCCACAGAATAAACGGCAAGAACTCGTCCATTTCCATTTGGTGATGTACTTGATGGGTTGGAAGTTGTTGCCCGATGAACTGGACCCAATCTTATTGCAGGGGTCGTAAACAGCTCCCCTCCATCCATCCATCCCACGTTTCCACCCCACTCACACTACCCCGCTACCCCTCCATCTCCATCCTCGGGAACCCGCTCCATCGTCTAAACAACGTCTTCAACTTTAGATATCACACCTCACCTTCAGACGACAAACGCAAAAATGGCAGAAGTCGACCTCCAAGCAGTACACGACACACTCGTGTCCGTCGCCTTCGAGGCGGGGCGCATGATCCTGGCCGCCAACCCGAACAAGATCTCAACCGACACCAAGATGAACGGTCCGCTCCCCCTTTCCCACCCCCATCCTCCTCTACCCCCTTCCGGGGCAGCTTAAACCAACCCAAACCACCCCAACCCCAAACCAAACCCACGCTTACCCCTCCCTCCCTGCCCCCCTACAGCCGTCGACATCGTAACGGAAACCGACCAAGCCGTCGAGCGGATGGTGACGGCGCGGCTGCGCGCCGCACACCCGGAGCTCGCCTTCGTCGGCGAGGAGACCTACGAGGCCGGCGTGACCAAGGTCACCGACGCGCCCACCTTCATCGTCGACCCCATCGACGGCACCACCAACTTCGTGCACGGCTTCCCCAACGCCTGCATCTCGCTCGGCGTCACCGTCGCCCGCGTCCCCGCCGTGGGGGTTGTCTATAACCCGTTCCAGGACCTGCTTTTTACCGGCCTGAGGGGCAAGGGGAGTTATATGCAGCGGAATGCGTCGCTCGAGGTGGGGAAGGGGCAGGGCGAGAGGTTGAAGCTGCCGCTGGCGGGGGAGCCGGCGCCCGCGCTGGGCGGGTTGAGCTCGGCGCTGATGTCGATTGAGTGGGGGAGTCAGCGGGACGGGGAGAATTTCGAGGTCAAGGCGCGGACGTTCCGGAAGCTGGCTGCCGCGAAGGAGGGCGGCGGCGGCATGATTGGCGGGATGCGGTCGCTCGGCAGCGCCGCGCTGAACCTGTGCGCCTGCGCCGCCGGCCAGCTGGATATGTACTGGGAGGGCGGCTGCTACGCGTGGGACGTGGCTGCCGGCTGGTGCATCCTGACCGAGGCCGGCGGCCGCATGGTGAGCGGGAACCCTGGGGAGTGGGAGACTGCCGTCGACTCGCGCGTGTACCTGGCGGTCCGCGGCGCCAGTAGTGGACAGACGGAGCTCGTGGAGGAGTTGTGGAACATCATCGGTGATGGTAAGATGGAGTACAAGCACTAGACGTGGTCAGCTGTGAGACAGCAAGATTTGAGATACAGCTGCTTCGGATACATTAAGCAATAGAGTCGACAATAGACCGAGACATGGTTTCCGCTTTTGGTTACAGTATGGCGTCCCGACGATGCGGAGAAGGGGCATCCCCCGTTTCTGTGTGAGTACCAGAAGCGTGCGACTGGTCTGTTCCTCGGCAGGCTCGCGTCAACATCCCGGCATCGGCGCTACCGATCCGGATTAAAAACATCGGCTGACGCGGCAGTCGCTCGGTGCGGTGGCTTGGAAGACAAAAGTGCTGATCTCGGTGATTAACGACCTCGGGCAACCCATGAAATGGTCACACGCACCATCAACCGCGGAATCCGGGAGCTCGAAAGACCCCGCAGTCGTCCATCCCAGGCCGCCCTGCAGCTTGTTGATTTTATTGCTGGACTGTCGCGGTACTGTCGCTGTACTGTCGCTGTATTGCAACCTGGATATGTACACCGCGGATACGATAATAAACCGAGTCGGCTGCCCACGAAACGGTCCACACCTTTCTGTGTCGATAAGCCCTGAGGGTGTTAGACCTGTACCGAGTGCTGTAAACACGTCGTGCCCTCGTTATCTCGGTCTTCGAAGAGCAAGAACAACAAAAGCGAAAATGACTCTCGGGATCAATCTTTCGGGGGGCTTCGCTGAACCCCCGGTTATCTACTCTGAAGTCAATGGTCAGACGAGCTCGTCCGTGATGTGCAGCGTTTTGCAGCCTGCAGAAGCAACAGTCGCAGTCAGTCTCAAGTACCTCACAGACAACCCATGGACGCCGGAGTTATTGTCTCACCGGCTTCCCGGGTAGTATGGGATTGCAGAGGTTCCATTCTCGGCCAAAGAAACCGCATCCTTCCTGGCCGGATTCTGGCATTTCTCTCCAAGTCTTCGATTCCGCAACCACCATTCCTCCTTTCTACATTTCAAAGACCGGGTGGCGCACCCGAGGTGAAACACCCTCTGACCTGCCTCCATCTTCATTTTCACATGACGGGCGCGGTGATGTCAACAACGCCACCATTCCTGAAGGTACACAGTGCGGGCCCGGAATTGGTCGGGGCCTCGATGTTCGGCGGATGAGACGGCAGTACTCGGCTAAAACAGCCCATGCCGAACAGCGCCGTGCATATGCGGGCCACACACCAAGTTCGAGCCGCAAGCGTGCAGGAAAGAGGGGGCCAATAGCGGTCTTTGCGCAGGCCCAGAACGACAAGTCTCTCCACATCAGCGCTCGCGACAGGATTCCTTCTTCTTTCCCCGAGCTCGACAGCGCCCGACTCGGCGCTCGCGTTATCATGGGGTGGTAGTGTCGGAAGCGGCTCGAATGTCGCATCGCAGGTTCGTGTCGCACCGCCACCGTGTGGATCTCGCAGTTTCCAACGACACAGCAGGGAACGAACGAACTCGTTCGTTTGTTCCCCGCAACCACGATGATCGATGAACGACTTTCGAGACGCAGGTTCGGCAGGGTCTGCAGGGTTTTGCAGGAATTCGAGTTGTTGACATCGCCACAGTTATCGATCAGTATCTTGCACAATCAAACTTTTTTTCGAAACCCTTTTCGACAACCCACTGGAACCAACACACCTCAAAAGCCCAAACCCGATCAGGACTCACCGCTCCCGGCATCGGCTGCCGACAGGAGAAGGACTGCACAAGAAATCTGCTGATCCCTTCCTCAGCACACCACTGCAGAGAGTAGTGTTTTTCGTGGAGCCGAGATACGCGTGTTTTCTCTCTGTCCGAACACCAGACCGACGGTGAAATGACTGATGTGACGGTGTTCGGCCAATCCGAGGGTTTCCATGACTTGATAGAAAATGCACAGTCAGAGATATCGGAGCAAAACCAGGAAGCTTTCCCCACAAAACCTTGGCTTCGTTAGCGTGCAAAGGCTGCAAGGATCGCTGCGCGCGACCTCAGCCATCTACAGATCCCTGTCCACAGGCCTCGGCGACTGCACCACACTGTCTTTCTTATCATTGCCCGCATACCAACGAGCATATTCCTTGGCCGCCATAATCTTTGATTTTACAACTTGGACACGGATTCTAGATAAGATATCACTTCTATCATCTAAATCAACACGAGCTTGTCCTTCTATCGCCAAATACTGAATACCTACGTTCATGGACTGAGGTGCGATTAAACCCTAAGAGCCCCACACCGTGCCCGTACAGTTAGCGAGTGCATGACCGGGGGTACCCGGTCCGGCCAACCGAACGCCACTGAAACATTTGATGGAGGGGCAACGTTCCTTTCTGAACTTCTTCCGAAGCGTGACCGCATGCGCCGGGGAGCATCTCTCCGCCGAGGTGTGCAATGTGCCGCATGCAACAGAAGATGCAGAAATGCCACTCTTGATATCCCGAATGGAGGCAGTCGAACCAACGGCAGCTGCATCAGGGAGAGCGGGTGAACGGGCGGGGGAAAGAGCCGATGCGAACAGGCAGCAGGACGGGAGGAGGTTGAAAAATGGTTGGGGCCGTGTTGGGAAAGCTGGGCGGGACTGTGTCTGGAACTCGATCGAACCTTCACCTCCCGATCCTGGCCGGTCCAGAGCACGGGGCATGCATATCAACCACCTGCCCCTGTCCCAAAATTTTGCCTGTGGCACCTGCCCACCTGCCCCTCTTCAACAAAAAGTTTTAGTTCTTAAACTCGGTCCGGGCTCTTTCTTTTCTGTTGCCCTTCTTGTTCCTTCCCAATAACTGAACCCAACACTGCAACAAGAGATTTCTAGTGACTTCTCTCTCGCTTGCACTTCGGGACAACTATTTGAACGACAACAGAGCGAGTTACTGTGGCGCATCACCCATCCGGTGCTGCGGACAGCGTAAGATTGAAGCCATACCGCGAAGCAATGACTCTAACACAAAGAACAAGTCCCCGTAACCCGGATGAATTCCCCACGGTCCAGCTATTTCTACTAGGTAAGCCCGTCGTCTCACCGTAATACGCCACCGCCTCGTAAAACCGTAGCTAATAACAACCGTGCAGCTATTGTCCGTCTTGCCGAGCCTATCGCGCTCACCTCCATCTTCCCGTATGCCTGGGCCCTCATCAAGCGATTCGAGGTCGGCAACGAAGATGACGCCTCGTTCTATGCCGGCCTGCTCATCTCGGCCTTCTCCCTGGCGGAGGCCTTGATGGGTATGTACTGGGGCGGTCTGTCAGACCGTGTCGGACGCAAGCCTGTCCTGCTTCTTGGATGCATCGGCACCATGTTCAGCATGGTCATGGTTGGCTTTGCTGAGAACATCTGGGTGGCCCTCCTCGGCCGCGCCCTCGGTGGACTGCTGAACGGCAACATCGGCGTCATCCAGACCATGGTTGGCGAGCTGGTTACGAAGCCAGAGCATGAGCGTATGTTTTCTTTTCCCTTCCCCCCTATTTTACATTCCAGCCATCGCATCTGCTAACTGGGAACAGCCCGTGCATACTCGATTAGTGAGTTACTGACAACCCTTCCCACAATTCGACCATTACTGACCTCGCAGTGCCCTTTGTCTGGAGCATCGGCACCATCATCGGTCCCATGATTGGCGGCCTTTTTGCTGACCCGCACGTGTCATACCCCAATCTCTTCCCCAAGGGCTCCCTCTTCGAGCGCTTCCCTTACCTCCTGCCGAACCTCATCTGTGCTGCCATGCTCCTCGTAAGCATCGTGCTCGGCTACTTCCTCCTCGAAGAAACCCACCCTGACATGCAACCGCGCGTGCTCCTGCCCGATGACACCTTCCTCTCGGAAAACACCCCCCTCATGGAGACGTCCGACGCCATGAAGCGCCCCGCCGTCGATCTCCGCGATGAGAACTACGGGACCATGCGCTCGCGCGACGCTGCTCCCCCACCCCCACCCTCGTGGGCCAAGGAGCAACAAGCGCCGATTAGCATCTTCCGCAAGCGCATCATGGCAGTCATCCTGGCCCTCTCCATCTTCACCTACCACTCCATGACCTTCGACCACCTCCTGCCCATCTTCTTCGAAGACGATCGGGCCCCCGCCAACGACATCCCCACCACGCTCGCCCTCGCCAGCGGCAGCCCCTTCTACTCCCCCGGCGGACTGGGCATGTCGCTGCAGGCGGTCGGCGTGGTGATGGCGGTGCAGGGCGCGATCGCCCTCTTCATGCAGGCGGTCGTGTTCCCAATCATGGCGGAGCGCGTCGGCATCTACCGGCTGTTCATCTTCGTCACCGTGCTGCACCCGGTCGTGTACCTGCTCGTGCCGTGGCTTCTGTACGTGCCAGAGGCCGCCCTGTGGCCCGCCATCTACGTCGTCCTGGCCGTGCGCAACTTCTTCTCCATCCTGCTCTACCCGCTGCTCCTCATCCTCATCAAAGAGGCCACCCCGAGCTCCACCGTGCTCGGCCGCGTCAACGGCCTGGCCGCCAGCGCCGGCGCCGCCTGCCGCATGGTCGCTCCGCCAGTCGCTGGCTACCTCTACGCCATGGGCCGCAGGGTCGACTGCACCGCGCTGGCGTGGTATGGTAGTGCCGTAGTGGCTGTGATTGGTGCTGCGCAGTGCTTTGCTGTCAAGCGCGAGCGTGAGGACAAGGGGAAGCGGCCGATGGATGTTGAGGAGTAGTTTGGCGGAGTGAATACCGCAAGAGTGTATAAGGGGAAGAGAGAAAGAGGAAGAAAATGGTGTACGGCATGGCATGGCGTGGTTTTCCTTTGGTTTTGGGCGGTGCATGGCGGCGCAACGGACACGCGATACACGAGCGTGGGATCTGCATAAATGTGGTGCAAGCGGTTTTGATTTTTGCTTTATCGGTGTTACGGGCATGACGGCGAAGCAGGGCATTGGTTTGCTTTGATGACTGTTCATGACCTGATGATCACGGTTTGGTTCGGCTCGGGCGGGTATTATAGAGAATGGTAGATCAAAAAGATAATGAATGCGAACCGATGTATTTAAATTGCAAGTATTGGTTGAACCGGTGTGGACTCATGCTGGACATCGAATCATCGAATCGCTGGGACTAGAGATGCAGGTTGCAGGTTGTAGCTCCAGGAAGCCAACGTGTGACCCGGGCCACCTATCACCACTTCCACACATCGAGGGCCAGTGCTCGCGATTCAGAGAGCTCTTTCCCAGTTCCCAATGTTGAAAAACGCCCCGTCAAATGGTACCAACCGTCGACAGTGTGATATCCCAACCCTTGTATTGGTCGACCATACAATGATAAAACAAAGGAATCTGGTCAGGGGGCGGTGATAGTACTCACCTATGAGCTTTCTTGCCTTTGTCTGTGATAACCAACACACATGACTCGGTAGCATTCAGCCCATCACTACACCGGCCCTTGAACATCCACCTCACAAAGATTCAAGAACAACCCCCCGCGGGAGGACAATACTAAACAATGGAGGATCGGATGCCGCAGGTTCTAACACAGTGTCGATCAGCCATCTTGATCAATATTCCTGGGGAGGCCCATTCGAACTATGCTGAGTGAACGAGGTACTTATACACGTCTCCGGCCCAGGTAAGTTGAACTAGTTTTCTGTTAGTATATATCACCTTTCGACAAGTATCAGCCCGATTCCAAGAACAAGCAGCAGTCGATAGGTCCTTCAGGCACGTCAAGGGATTAGCACCAACGTCCACAATCACACACATACCGACGCGCAACCATGTGCCAACTCGCAACCATACGCCACCCGGGATGTGGCTGCCTTGCGGGATCTGTAACAACTCGTTGCAAAAAGGCGAAGGTGGAAACTAGGGGCCAGGAGGAATGGGCATACCAATGTCTGGTGACTAAGAAGGTCCAAGCAGACGCGCCTTTGGTCTGCGATGCTTGCCAGCATGTGAAATTGGTGAACCATCTCAACGTGCAACGGGCGAAGAGGTGGCGGTCGCTCTTCGACAAGGCGGATGAGGGCAAAGACGCAAAGTTGCAGAAACACATCCAAGATGCCGAGATACAGGACAGAGTGGAATACAACAAGGCGCTGAAGAAACTAAGCACCCTGAGCGACAATGCCGAATCCGAAAAGAAAGCACGTAAAGACATCCTGGATCATATCTGGGACAAGGTGTCTGAGACAGAGAATCATATCCTCGCCAGCGAAGCGCTTATGGCGCTATTTAGGACTTGATTTGGCTGCTGGGGGGGACCTATGCGCTGGCTGATCGCAAGGGGCCTCAAGACGTATGATCGGTCTGGTTTGGGAGGCCGAGATTTGCTCTAATAGTATAGCGGTTAAATATTTACCCAATCATTTTCGAGTTCTCATACAGACTACCTCTACGGCGAAGTGACATGAAACGTGAGTAGGGGTAGGAGTCTTTACATACACAGTTATAGATTGGTTCAAATAGACGTATCGGTGTGGCTCGTAGGCAAATAAAGTACGTCTCAAAACCTGAAAGGGGCGAATCCAAGCTAGGTGCCTTAGTAGTACACGTGGTTGATACGATCTTGCGATATTGTTCCGTTAGCCCGTCAAAGCAAACGCACGACAGTAACATCACGACCAGTCTATTTATATCCCATAATATATAGCAGGGATGTGATTACTGCCAATTCCTGGATACCGAAGTTGTATGATGCGTTTTCCCCTGAACGCTCCTCATTGCCTTCTCGTTCAGACGAATCATTGAGCATCCGTGCATTCGTCGGCATGCTAGTCTAGGCATAAACCTGGCCATTATACATAATAGACATGCTTACCTAGGTAGGGAAACCGCGTGCGCTCCAGGGAACCTTGGAGTAACCACTGCGAATGGTCAGCCGTTGGGACGATATCGTGAGTGAGTTCAGTTTTTGATTATATATTCTCGCTTGATACCGGTTGATAAAACGCATTAAACTTGATTGAACTGACCCGAAACGCCTCCCCTGTTATATCCATCTTTGGTAGGCTTCCCTTTTATGCTGGTCTTCATCTTCACCGCCCTCCCCAACCGCTGCTTCAACTGGGCTGGTGAGTAGTGTTCGGAGATGCATACATAGATACGTTGATAATATGGCTCGCACCGCTATAGCGGACGCGTACGCTCTAGAATTAAACCTGCCATATCCATGACCCCTGATAGATTCCATGGCGAGGATATCCCAGTCGTGATCTCGGGGCGTCATCGTCGTGATGCTTCCCTTCATCCCATTACCCAATCACAAACCAAGTAATTCTCTGGGTGAACTCGGAGCTTTCGTGAATAACAGTCCCACTTCCGACCGTCGATCACCGCCCGTAGCCCGGAAGAACACCATCGGTTCGGGATGTGGGAGGGGGTGCGTAATCCCGACCCCACCGTATATCCGCTTAAACTTGAAAGGTTGCGCGTCAAGACGACCCCTTAATCATCATGAGTCCAACCAAGCTCGAGCCAAGCAGCAGGCGAGCAGGCCGAGCGCCGGGAGTGCGGGAGTTGCCGGCCAGAGAGGCTGAAAATGGCATGTACACCCGGACGTTAATGTTCCAATGCATCATGACCCTGGTTCGCTCCGGCAGACAACGCGGGGAGTGGCAAGCTAAGAGCACCAATGATAGCTAGGGTAACGATCATGAATCATCTGGTTGGTGGACGGGAGGGCCCTTGCAAAGAGGACGGCTTTGACCTTCGGCGTGTTGATGCGGACAAATATGTGCAGGGAATGGAGTTGGGGACAGTCTTCGAGGAGTATAAAGATGGGATCGATGACGGCTTGTTGACTAAAGTCTCATCACCACCATCCCCCGCTACTCAGCTTCCACCCCGCTAAACCTACCTCACCATGCTCTTCACCAAGGCAGTTTCCGGCCTCGCGGCCCTCGCCAGCATCGTCGCCGCCCACCCGGGCCACGATGTCGCCCAGGAGGCCGCTGAGCGCCGCGAGTACCTCCAGTCCGTCAAGCGGACCTCGCTCGCCCACTGCGCCGACAAGCTGAAGGCCCGCGGCACCAGCGCCCGCAACGTCGCCAGACGCCAGGCCGCCGTCGAGAAGGCCCGCCAGAAGCGCGGCCTCAAGAAGCGCGACTTCGACGACGTCCTGGCCACCAACCACAACAAGACCGACCTCGGCTACACCCGCGACACCGACGCCGCCACGCTCTTTGCCGGCTACAAGTCGTGCCTCCTGACCCCCGAGGTGACCCAGGGCCCGTACTGTAAGCTTCGCCATCAAATCCCGGACCACCACCCTTTATTCATCATCACACTGACTCCCCACCCCAGACGTCGCCGGCGAGTACGTCCGCGAGGACGTGGTTGAAGACCAGGCCGGCGTGCCCCTCCTCATGGACTACCAAGTGATCGACGTGGAGAGCTGCGAGCCGATCCCGGAGGTGTACCTGGAGATCTGGCACTGCAACTCGACGGGGGTGTACGGCGGGGTGGTGGCGAACGGCAACGGCGACACCTCGGACGCGTCCAACATCGACAACACGTGGCTGCGCGGGATCCAAGCGACCGACGGCGACGGCGTGGCGCAGTTCGAGTCCATCTTCCCGGGCCACTACGTAGGCCGCACGGCGCACATCCACGTCATGGTGCACACCAACGCGACGCTGCAGGCCAACGAGACGCTCGGGCTCGACAACTACGCCAGCCACGTCGGGCAGACCTTCTTCGACCAGACGCTCATCACGGCGGTCGAGAAGACGGAGCCGTACGCCAGCAACACGCAGCCGTTGACGACCAACGAGGAGGACGGCATCATGGCGCAGGAGGCTGGCACCGAGGGCGTCGACCCCATCATGGAGTACACGCTGCTCGGCGACAGCATCGAGGACGGCCTGTTTGCGTGGATCGCCTTTGGTATTGACTCGTCCCGCTCCGAGGCCATCAACCCGGCCGTGTATCTGCAGGAAGGCGGTGGTGTTGTCAACCCGGATGCGGGCTTCGGTGGGCCTGGCGGTCCTGGTGGTGCCCCGACTGGCTCGGCGCCGCCGGCTGAGAGCGCTGTTCCCACTAACTAGCTCTGCTGCTGATTCCGATGAGATCACCGCGCCTGAGACGGGCCGCGGTCGTGGTATCGGGCGCGACGCCGAGGAGTGAAGTGTGCTGTCAGCTTGTCGCGGTTGAAGTAAGTCGGGTATTTGGAGGATTCTGGCCGGGAGTTTGTACATACAGCAGGACAGTACATGTTTCTCAACTTTAGCTCGTCGGGATCTCGTATCGTATTCGAATGCCATCGCTTGGACCTCGCTCCGTTGACTTCCAACGGTGAGACAGATGCTTTCTGGGTGGTACACCCGTGCAACCAACTAGGTACACAGAAACGTCATGGTGTCTTGGATCCCCAAACTCAGTTCCACCCCTCTCCAGTCTCGGTCAGGCGCCGGCTTCCGATAGCCTCCATAGGACGAGCGTGCTTGGCTATCATGATAAGACGGTAAAGAGCGCGGTTTTGCGCCACGAAGGAAGGCACCAATCGTATGTATAAAAGATGGTGATTTTGCCCAAAACCAGCAGCCGGCCAAACTCCTGCCCAAACCCAACCCAGGTCCCTCCCAAGATCCTGAAATGCCCTAGACAGTAGCCGGCCTTCCAAAAGCCCAAAAGTAAAAGAACACCAAAGCCGTGTAACATAGCACCCGAAAACGCGCCAATAAATAACCACTCATCCCCACCTACCCTCCCACGACGCGCTCTCACATCATACCTCCTCCCGAAACATCGACTTCCGATCCTCCTCCCTCCTCGCCTTGCGCGCCGCAAACGACGAGCCATCATCCATCGGCCGCGGACTAACCCCGCGCAAGCTCAAGTTACTCGGCTCAGCCGCATCACCAAACGGATCCGCCCTCGCGGCAGCAGCCGTAGCAGAAGGGCCCGGCGACCGACTACGCGGCCGACCACGAGTAACCTCCTCCTCCTCGCGCTCGCTGCCCGGCGTCGGCAGCACCGTCGACCCGCCCGGCGTCACGGCCAAGTTCATCGCATACCCCTCACCCCCACCCCCACCACGCCCACCACCACCGCCCCCGCCGGGGGGAACCAGCCCCAGCTCGCGCTCCTCCTCGTACGGGTTATACCCCCCAACCCGCGAATCCCACGGGTCATCATCCTCCATGTGCCCAAACCCCCCACGACTCCCACCCCCACCACCGGCACCACCACCGGCACCACCACCACCACCACCAGAATACCCCGCGTTATACGACCCCGGCCCAGACGGCGAAGGGCCTTCGTAGGCGCCCGTGGCGGTGCGTGCGTTGCGCGGGTGGCGTGTCAGGCGCAGCTTGTCGCCCAGCCAGCCGAGGATGCCGCTCGGCGCGGGGGAGGGGCCGGCGTAGGGGGCGGGGGTGCGGTCGAGGAAGGGGATGTAGGATTTCCAGGGCGGTGGGGGGAGCTTGGGGGGGTGGGTTGTGGTGTTAGTGAGGGTTTGGTTTGGTTGGTTGGTTGGTTGGTTGGTTGGGGGGTGGGTTTGCGGTTGGGATTGGGTGTGAGGTAGGTTGTAGGGAGGGATGGGATCGGGAGATGGGATGATGGGGAGAGGAGCTTACGCCGAGTTGGGAGGCCCGGATGCGCGTGAATATGATCCAGCCCACGCCCGCTGCCAGCAGCACCAGGACGAGGGCGAGGATGACCGCGCCGGCGGTGTTCATGGTTGGTTTTGTGTGTTGGTGGCGGCTCTGGATGCGATCGGTCGGTGCGGGATTATGAGCGCGAGCACGTCTCAATTGGGAGGCGCGAGCGCGCAAGTCGACATTGGCGAGAGGGAGATTTTCGGCTTTAACGATGTTGGGTGCGTGGTGGATGAAAGGAAAGCGCAAGTTGCAGGTCGCTGCGGCCCGGCAAACCTCGTGTCACCTCTGGCTGGCTGCCTTTGGCCGCTCCCGAAGGGCCCGGAACCCGCAAACAGCCCCTCCACTAACGGCTTGCGAAGCCCCGCCAATGCCAAGACTTGCACCCGATCCGATCAACTGCAACGCACGCCAAGGGCCCAGAACAGTTGCTTCTCAGACCGGAAAGAATCGTAGGTGAGTTATGTGCAGGAGGGGAATGTTTAAGTCAGGCAATGAACTCATATTGTGAATCAGGCGAGGATATTATCCGCCAAAAAACTCACCGAGTCCAAAGCTAAGGCAAGCTGTTAACCAACCCATATGCCATCCCCAGACGCGAAGACTGTGCAGAGAGTGTCTTTTCCGGCTTCGACCGCATAATCATAACTTCCTTATTTCATACCTACGTAGCCCGGGGTATCATATCATACGCATCACTCAAAAACACAAATCCCACCTGCCATCGCCTCTCGCAAACTCCATGCTCTCCACAAACCGTCCAAGGGTACACATACCCCTGTGATCCGCACCGCACCGACTCAACTTCATAACCCGATCATTCACCAGCACCCGCACCATCTCCTCGCCCTCCTCCTCACCCTCCTCAGCACCCTCACCCTTCTCCCCTTTCACCCCACACCGCATCTTCTCCACGTACACCCTCGCCCCAAACGGCACCGCCCAGCCCGCCGCATACCCCCCACTCTCCTCGGGCTCCTGCCGGGTGCTATTATCCAGCATCGCGACCCCATCATACACGCCCAGCGCGCCCAGCACGCCCATCATGTCATTATCATGACTAAAATCCGCATACAGCGCCCTATCCAACGGAAACGTCTCCCGGTCCGCATCCAGCGTGCGGTTGGTGCTCGTGCCGTCCGCCACGGGGGTGCGGGTGAGGCGGGCGAGCAGCTCGTTGACGAAGCCGACGCCCTGGGTCGGGCCGAGCGGGTTGCCCGGCCCGTAGCCGTACCATTTCTCGAGGGACTGGTAGTAGTCGTAGTGGCGCCACTCGGCGGGGGTGAAGAGGCGGCAGAAGGGGGCCGGGACGGCGCCGCCGGGCGAGGCGACCGTCTCGAAGGGGCACAGGTCCATCAGGGCGATGGTGTCGCGGTCGTCGAACGGGTCGCCGCGGATGGCGAGGTTGGCGTTGATGCGCGCGGTGATGGGGGCGGCGAAGGTGGTGAGGTAGGCTTTTTGGGCGGCCCTGCCGATGGTGGCGTAGCGGCCGCGCTCGAAGGCGTCGCAGAGGCTGTGGTGGAGCGTGTTGTTGGTGGTGGCCGTTTCCGGGATGACGACCATGTCGTAGGGGAGGCGGGGCCGCGCGGTGGACTCGGGGTCGGCGAGCAGGGCCGCGTGGAAGCCCTGGGTGAAGTTTTGGGCGGAGTGGACTACGCGGTCCTGGCCGCCGGCGCGGACGAAAGGAGGTGATTTGCGGGCGAGGGAGCGGTAGCGGTGGTAGAACTTGAGTCCCGAGTTCACCATCTGTTGCTGGCCCATCGGGGTCAACTGATCGGCCCCCAAGCGGTATTTGTAGTCTCGAAGGAATTCGAAGCCTGGACCGTAAGACTTGGCGTCGTAAATCCTGGCGACGATGAGGCGGTAGTGTACCGACCTGGTGAAGGTCGGAGCCCTCGCCCCATGGCGGGAGAGGACTTGCGCAAAGGTCAACTCGCAGTCATCGGGGATGGAGGGGTCAATCTCTGATGGCACCGAGTAGTAGGGCGAGTACTGCCCCCAGTAGTGGTAGATGGGAGTGCCGCACAGGTAGCCCCGGTCAGGTGTGTCGTCGCATTTTAGAGGCCCGCGTTGCCTAGTCATCGGGGTTAGCTTTGGCAGATGCGAGGAAAAGTAACCGGAAACTCACATAAAGACAACCGTCGCAAAGCCCACCAAAACCACCATCAGCGCGAGGCCGGCGAGCTTCGTAGCACGTCGAGTCCATCTCGGCCGAGTGCCTTGGCCAAGACCCCCGTTGGAGGCCGATTGATCCAGAAGAGGTGCATATCCCGAGGGGCCCTTGCGGAACCAGTTCATGAGCGAGGCCATCATGTTGGGGCCGTCTGTGATCAGCACGGCGTAGTCGGTTTGTCGTTGAGGGGTTCAAAACTGGGAATGCATGCCGGTCTAAGTCTAGCTTAGCCGGTATCTGTTTATTTTATGATGTCCCTTCACAAACCAAATTTCGAGTTGATGTCCGGCACTGGCAAGAGTCCCGTATGTTGACCGGTCCAAGAAGTTGAGCGAGGTTCCGTGTGCGTTGGCCGAGCCCGCCGACGACCCCCAACTGGGCGAGCCACTTGGTCGTGCCGAGACCCCAAACACTCGGTTCGGTGGGTCCCAACTGAAACCCCGAAACGGCCCACGTGCAGCCCCACCACACCCCCCTGGGAGTTCGACGATCGGCGCTAGGGCACGGGCACCCGAGGCCCCAAAACCGGTGCCTTCCAGAAGCCGACCCCAGGGCAGGCCAACAACCACGGCCAACAACACCTAACCACAACCAACAACCATGGCCGACACATATGCCCGGATGGGAAGATGAGTCTCGGGATGTGCAAGTAGATCAATCCTATCCCGATTCCGAAAATAGCACGGGCCGGCCTGGCCGACCCTTTCGCAGGCTGACATTCTGACGGCAGCAGCAGCCTTGGTTGATCAAACTGACCTAACTCTGAGAGTCTTTTTTCCCTTTCCTTTTTCCTCAAAGCCATCACCAAATCGTCGAGAACAACACGCCGAGTTCGCATCCTCAAACTACTGCATGTATTTGGTATCACTCGATCTGCACGGTTCTATTCGTATTGCGCGGCATTTACTCACCAACCCAAACTTCGTCCACCCAAATCCGCGACGGGGATAAGCTCGCGCCGCGTCCCAGCCCTGTACAACCATGCCAAGAAGCGGCGCGGATGTTTCCCATCGCCGCATGGAACCTCCCTCCCTACTCAGTACATACCTAGGTACCTACCCATATCTGACATGACGCGTAGCTGGAGCTACCGGAGCTCTGTGTCTCCATGTTCGTATCGGGACCTTCTGGTTCCGCCAAATCCGTGCAACTCTCCTGAGACCCGTGACACCGCCGCCCGCCCACTGAGCGAAGCGAGACCTGCCCGGCGGTTAGGTAATTTCCCAAGGTGCGTGATATTGATTCAAGACATGCACCCACGGCGGTTATAGCCCGTGTTTTACACCATCGACATATCATAGCTGCAGCAGAGTGGGGAGGTGCAGGTGGATTGCATGTATACTGTGTATCAAAAGCGTACCAGCAAGAAAGTCTCTTGAATAAATGCTCTGTCTATCTGCGCAGGTATCAAAACACAACGCCGTGGTATCATCGGTAGCAACAACAGTAGTAGTAGTAGTAGTGGCCAGCCCTTGTAGCCAAACCCGTCGCAGACAACCCCCCCTTTGCCCCCCGGGCATTAACCCCCCCAGATAGATGCCAGCCCGTTGTCGCCAAGCACCCAGCTCGGCGTATGGAACCCCAGGGCATCTATTTTCCCAACCCAACCCAACCCATCCCACCGCTCTATCCATCAATCCATCCCGAGTTTCCATACAGATACAAAGGTAAGGAAGGGTATCAATACCCTAGGTGAAACAAAAGAAAAAGTAAAAAGGATATCCGCCTCTTCAAAACGCAACACCCACGCTCATCGGCCGAGGCGCGGGCGGGCTCGGATACGGGCTCACCACGCCCAACCCCTCAGCGCCAACCCCAGCCCCACCGCCGGCAGCAATCTCCTTCTCAAACTCGGCCTTGTTAAACCCAATCACCGGCGTGGTATGCCTCGTCGACGAGCCCTGCTTGGGCGTCTGGTCGGGGGACCACGCGGTAGTCGTAGTGGGGAGCGTCTTGGCACCCCCATCGCTGCCGCTCTCATCACCATCACCGTCATCATCATCGCCGCCCGTCTCCCACGTGTACACGGACGACGAGGTCTCCATGCTGGTGCGCGGCAGGCCCTCGGGCGGCGCCACGCACTGGTAGAAGCCGTCGGATTCCTTGACCGGCCGCGGGGAGGTGGTGGTGGTGGTTGTGGCGGCGGTGGTGGTGCCGAACGTCATGGTGGTCGGGGTGGTGTCGTCGGCGGCGCTCTGCAGGTTCTCGTCCTCTTCGTCGGGGTTGAAGAGCCAGTGGGACACGCGGGAGAAGGATTTCTTCTTGCGGAGGGGCGGGCGCAGGACTAAGGGGAGGGGTGGCGCGAGGGGGCGTTCGAGGCGCTCGGAACCCTTCTCGGGAGAGCTGGCGCGCCGGGCGGCGGTGTAGGTGGGTTGGGGGGTGTTGGACTGCGCAGCGGCGGTGAGTTCTAGCGTCTTTTCTTGCACCGTCATGCTGGTAACGCGCGACGGCGCGGTGCGAGGGCGGTCGTCTAGGCTGAGACGCTGGGCAAAGGACGGGGCGGCCGCCGGCAGCGCCGGGATGGATGGCATCGGTTCGAGCGCTGTGGTTGTTAGCCGAGCCCTCGCATCGTTTGCAGACGGTAACGTACCCCCCATGTCAAAGGCGGTCAACGGCCGGTTGCCAAAGTAGGTGCTCTGCCGCTGCACCACCGAGTTGATTTCAGCCTGCAACCTCTCCTTCTCGATCATGGCGCTGGCGATCCGCGCGACGATGCGCTCCGTATTAGGGGCCGTCGAGGCACGCGCCCTCGACTTGGGCGGTATCCTCGGCGGGCTCATACTGGCGTCGGACATGCCGGACTCCTGCCGGCGGTGCTTCCGCGGGATGTGGAACGACATGGTTTGGTGGTGGCCACGCTCGGTTGCGAGCGTCGTGCCGCTGCTGGCGTCCCACTTGGAGCTGTTCCCCGTGTACACCCGGGGCGGTTGTGTAATCTCGCAGTCAACATGCGGAAGGATGGCCGACAACCGGTTGTCCGGCTGGTAGATGCTGAGCTCGATCGGCCGGAATGAGCGGGGACGTGGCCTAGACTGCTCCGTAGGCTGCTGCGGAGGAAATTGGAATGACTCGGATTGTAGGTGACGGAAATCTGTTGGCCCTGATATTTGCAGCCGGCGCACCGAGGACGACGACCTCGAAAACAAGTGCTTCCTCACGGAGCTGTCGCGACTCGCCGGCCTCCGTAACCGTGTCCGCTCTGCCTCCCTGTCGAGCGTCTTTTCGTACGTCCTCTCGCTCGACCACGCCGGGTCTGCCGATGGCCTGGGGATGATGGCGGGTTGGTCCCGCAAGACAACGATATTCCTCTCGGAACCTGAGAGGTTTGGCGTACGGTTCGAGATAAGGCGACGACCAGAGTCACCCGACCCAGATCTCTCGCGCGAGCCGCAACATGACGCAAAGGAAGCAAACCACGAAGAAAATGTATCCATGCTGGCGGTTTCAAGCAGCCACTAAAGGTAAAGGGAAGGACTCATGCCTCGGTGCGAAAGAAACGAAAGACACGTCCAGCGACCAGCACCCGGGACAAAGAAAATGTACAGAGCACACGGGAGAGGAGGCAGAGCGCGGCGGCGCGGACGGACCAGCCATCTTTACATAACATCACGGCTGGCCGTCGAAAGTGTAGCACACTCTGCAGGCCGGCTGAGCAGCGCTGACTTAGTGGTGGACAGCGGCCGGATGTGAGGTCCCAGGGGGTGGCATCTGATAGGCTGGCGTGGCCTGGCCGAGGAACCAGTTGGCGCTTACAAAACCGGGGGAGGGTGATGTCGCGGGCGACATGTCCACACCCGCTTTGGAATGCCGACCAGTGACATGCCGTGAAAGGTGCCGCACTGCGTATCATGTCTCACTCTTTTCTTGGACAGCGGCCACCGTCCCGACCGCATTGCCACAAAAGTCTGTGAAAGGGGGTCTCGTGGCCGTCGAGATTGGCCGGGTCTCGAGCAGCCCGATCCGCTTATTTGGCAATTGACAGAGCAGATTCAGATCTGAGGGAGGCCATGCGATGGGGCGCTGCTATTCTTTCCTGAAACCGAGCCCAACGGCACGGCGGGCGTTGGCCGCGGCCATCGTTGGGACCTGCTGTGGATTATGAGATCTCTTGGGAACCCGGGCCAGATGGGAGACCCTTGTCCGCATGTTTCGATCTCGGTGGATGCTAGCCATCTGACAGGCAGACGCAAGGTACCTCTACCCGTCGCACCGAACTGGTGGGAGTTGTGTCAAAAGCGGTTTGCGCGGGGGCCCTACACAGTCGGTTCTTGTGGAGATGTGCCCAGCAAGGGATGCCGAGTTCCAACCTACTAGGCTGCCTCTATCCGTACCAAACATTCATTGATCAGTGTGGACTCGCCGCGTCTGCTTTGTTTATCGTGAGGCCGAAGTGTGTGTGGAGCATGGACTGAAAGACGCAAATAATGCTCCGCGAAGCCACTCAGCTCAGCCGAGAGGGTTGCAACGAGAATCTCATCTCCCATCTTGCGTGAGCGAGGTGAAGGGGGCGCCGCGCTGGCCGCGTTCCCATTCGCGTTTCCATATTTTTTAGCCGTTGAGAGGGAGAGTTTGCGGACATGTCAAATGTCAAAATCCAGTGGCTCAGAGCTCGCGTGAGTGAGACAGCCCACCGAAACAAGCTTAGCGCGTCGCAACATGGCGCACGATACACGAAATAAAAGCAGAAGCTTCGATCCTGAAACAGTTCAACCGCTGCAGCCGTTCATGTTGTGTTGCAGAATTCGACGGCTCGGTTCGCGGTTTGAGCTTCTCGAAGGGGGGGTCATGAGATGGCTGAGGCGCGCGGGGTGCAGGAAGCGGCAGTGGCTGAGACTGGGAATGCAATCAGCCCTGCAGAAAGCCCGAGCCAAGCCTCAGAAATGTCTCGGCCCGGAATAATGAAAGAGCGAATAATGTGAATTACATCAGCAATATGGATGCCCGTGGCTTCTTTGCAGCGCCAAGCTTTCTGGGGCGATGGCCAAGGGCACAGACCAGGTAACTCGCTGTAGCAGGGGTGTTCTGAAGATACGTGTACGGATTTGTACCGAATAAACTTGGAGAGCAGCAACCACCCACCAAAGACCGACCTCGACTCGGCACGACTCGCTCTGCGGCATCGCACAATTGACTTTCGGGACAGATCTGCGCGGTATTCGAGTTACCCGCATCACGTTGGTCGGTTTGAATCGTACTACCGTTGAACGCAGGTGCAACACCAGCTCCGACACTTCCAAATTCCGACAACTTCGACTCGGCCTCTTCTTCCCAAGACTCCATCCCGATTCTCCGAAGCGATGCAGGCTCCTCCTCCCCAGGGCCCTCCCCAGGGCGGCCAGATGCCGCCCATGATGCCTAGCCCAGAGCAGATTGCCCATATGCAACGGCAGCTTGCCATTGACGCAGAGAAGATGGGCGTGACCGTGCCGCAGTTCATTGGTGAGCCTACTATCCGATACGTGTTCTATCCGAGCGGTAGCTAACAGGCGCAGAACACCTCAAGCGACAAGCACAGGAACGGATGCAAGCGCAGCAACAGCAACAGCAGCAGCAAGGGCAAGAAGGTGGTGCCGAACATCAACACCAGCACCAACACCAGCATCAACACCCCCACCCTCACCAACACCAGCACCAGCACCAGGGCCAGGGCCAGCAGCAGCCAATTGTGCCGGGCCCGCCCAACCCGGTTGCTATCGCTCTCGCCAAGTTCCTCCGCAGCCAGACTCTCAAGCCGCGCACCTGCATTCTTAATGGCGAGCGCAAGGACATGTTCAGGGTAAGCCCACTTCCCCGCTCCCTCTGCCACCCGCGCCGCTAACCACCGCCGCAGGTCAAACGCGCCCTCCGCGCGCTCGAATCCGACGCGTACAAGGCCGCGCGCAAGAAGAACCCCGCACTCCCCGAGATCACGGACCGCGCGTCGCTCGAGAACGCGTTCAAGCTCCTCCCGCTGTCGATGCTCGCCCTGCGGGTGGTCAAGTCGGACCCGCACGAGGGCCACGACCACGGCCCGAGCAAGAAGCAGGGCAAGCGCACCAAGGGTCTCTGGACGGTGCGCATCGAGCCGCAGCAAGAGGCCGGCGACGACATGTACTACGTCTGGCTGTGGGAGGGCAGCCAGGTCATGCGCAAGGTATACGCCGCGTTGGCCCTCGCCGCCATCTTCGCCGTCGTCTGCTACCCGCTGTGGCCCGTCAAGCTGCGCCAGGGTGGTTACTATCTCAGTTGGGCCTTCCTCTGCTTCATGGGCTTGTTCTTCGCCATGGCTATCTTCCGTGTCATCCTCTTCTGCATCACCTACTTCGTCCTGTCACCCGGCTTCTGGCTGTTCCCGAACCTATGGGAGGACGTTTCCGTCGTCGACAGCTTCAAGCCTGTTTGGGCGTGGCACGAGGTGAGTTTGCCCCTCCCCCAATATCTTCCCAATGCACGATGCTGACTACTGCCCCCCAGCCCGCCGCCGCCAAGAAGAAGAAGAAGACGACCAAGAAGTCGGCCAGCGGTTCCGCGGCTGCCGGCGCGACCTTCTCCGGCGCCACTGGACAGCCGGCCCCCGCGAGCGCTACTACGACTGCTACTGCCACACAAATCGCCACCGGTCTGCAGCAGCGCAGCTATATGGCGCCGAGGGTTGAGGAGCTGGAAGACGACGAGTGATTGCGGGTTGCGGCGTCCGGCGTGGCATGTGGGGGATGGAGGTTGCTGGCCTGGGGGGGCTTTCATGTATGTATGTTTAATCCTGGGCTGTCGGCCTGGTAGTGCGGGGACGGTTTCAAAAGGCACGTCGGGTTATCAACAATGGAATACCTGGGTTTTCATAACAGTGATGCCATGGAACCGTATAAGCGCGATTACCAGCCCCTCTGCCCGTTTATGTTTTTAAATAAGGTGTCGTCATTAGAGTCGTGTCAAAAAGATCGAGCCTACATTGCCCCTATCCTGCGATATGACTACTTACCTACCTACCCAAGGAGATGTTGAAGCCGTGCGTTACTTGTCATGTCCAACACAGAGAGCGTATCCAACATTCATCAACCAAACAGCACATCCAACCCCCCTTTCCAAAACCCCCCACCCTACGTGTAGAGCTCATCAGTCAGACTATTCAACGCCAACCCATCCTTAGCCAAATCATCCACATCAATCAAGAACTGCAGCGGCATCTCCACCAGCGTGCCCCTCACCCCACCAAGCCACTCCTTCAGCTCCTGCACACCCCCCGGGAAATCCCCCTTCACCACGTGCCCGTAGTCCACCTTGCCTTTCTTGTACCCCTCGGCCGCCTGCTCGGGCGTCTCCCCGGGCATAACAAAATGCGCCGAAAACAGCCGGTCATAGTCCTCCCACGTGCGCATCGTGTCGTCGGGCACGGCGTGGAAGGCGCGCCGGAAGATCTCGGTGTTGCGCCGCGCCGTGCCGCGCCACAGGTCGAGGAAGCCGCGCGCCAGCGGGTCCTGCACCAGCCGGTCGGCGGCCGAGCCCCAGTCGTACTCGTTGGTCGCGTGGTGCGTGACGGGCGTCCAGTTGTTGTTGGCGGAGTCGACGGGCTGGTGCGGGAGCAGGCCGAGGTGCTTGCGGAAGAGCTGGCGGCGGAGCGAGGTGGCGAAGGCGGAGGCCGTGTAAGGGCGGCCGGCCATGGTGCTGGTGACGGGCGTGGGGTCCTCGATGATGACGGCGATCTCGCTGTCGTGGTTGCCCAGCTGGGAGCGGTCGTTGAGGTTGGCCGAGCCGCAGATGACGAGCTGGTCGTCGGCGATGAGCACCTTGCTGTGGATGTAGAGCTGCTCGCACACGAAGGCGTCGAGCTCGTCCTCGGCCGACCCCGACCACGGCACGCTGCGCAGGTCCGCGCCGTTTTGCATGTAGCAGGATGAGATGGAGTTCCACGTCTGGTCCGACATGTGGCTGGCGGCTTCCTGGTAGCGCCGGTACTGGCTGTCGCCGTGGCTGCCTTGGCGGTCGCCTTCGTAGCGCTCGTTGTACTCGCGCTGGGCCTCGCCATAGCGTACGCCGCTCTCACGCTCGGCGCTGCCCATGATGGCGCTGGAGTTGATGCGGTCGTAGCTGCGCAGGTTGTAGAAGTTGATGTATTTGTGGGGGTCCTCAACTCCTGAGCTCCGCAGCGTCTCGATGATGCTGCTGCCGCCGCGGTTGATCGAGTCGTACTGGAACTCCATGATGGCCCTGGTGCCGAGCGCGCCCTCGGACTTGAGGTCTCCAGCAAAGGCGGGAACGGCAGGCATCATGACGATAATATGGAACTCTTCGTTGCTCTGGTGGGCGCGGAGGATGCGGTCCACAATGGCCCGGCCAATTCTGTTGCTGACCGGCTTCTGCTTGTCCGAGGTGGCAGTGATGAAGAACTGCAACGGTCAGTGTTTATCCGACACTCAGTGACGAAGAACGAACCTGGTTCTCGATGTAGACAAAGTGTCTGGCGTTCTTGATGGCCTCGATGTAGGCGTTGGCAATCGAGTGCTCCGTGCCGGTACCCAACGACCATTTGCAAACGCTGCTCGGGTTAGCACAGCACGCGATGTCATTTTTGGCACCCATACCTTCTCGTCAGCTGGATGTGAGCTCCATCACTTTGCCGGTGTGGCGCATGAGGTGCTTCTTCCTCATCCCCGAGGAAGCGGTGCATGTGCCGCGAGAAACGGTTTTGCAACCCGCCAAAGTAGTGTTCACCATCACCCAAGAGGTGGTTCGCCGCGCCTCGATGGGCCTGCGGCGCCTGGAGAAGCTGGTACTTGCCGATGTCCCGGGTGCTGTACTTCTTGTTGAAGATGAAGTTCCTGGGGAAGGTTAGTACGTCTTAAGCAATTCTGGGCCATACTTACCATCGCTCGGTAAAATGGATGGCCAGGCTGTCCACAATGGGCCCCGAAAGGCTGATGCTGATATCAGACCATCCCATCCGGGAGCTCTTGGTGCGGTCGACTAGGTTTGTTAGCCACATGGAGGGTCAAAGAGGAGGCAGAACGTAATGAGGGGGGGATGGGGAAAGGGGAAAAGAGCGAGAAAAGAATAGTACGTTTGTTGTTCTCCCACTTTTCGACATCCTCAAAGTCGTAAATCCTCGCGTTGTTGTAGTCTTGCCCGGGAAACACGATGTCATCAATGTTGCCGGGATGGGCGTCGGCAATGGGATGGCCTAGTTTGTAAGCATGGTTTCGCAGCGGCCGGTCGGGGCGAGGATAGCCTACTGTTTGTGTCCCATCTTCCGAAACCTACTCACAACGGTCAGCACAGTCCCTCCCAGGAATCCAAAGTATAACTTACACATATCAAGACCACCCATAAATGCCACTTTCCCGTCGATGAGGCAGAGCTTCTCGTGGTGAGAATAAAACAAGACGATATCGTCCGCAGTGCCGTAGAGGGACTTGACGGCATCCTGGGACGCCCTGGCAAGGTCGAACGTCTTCAGGCTGAAGCTCTGGAGGCTAGCATGAAGCTCTTGGAGACCCGTGACAAAGTCATTCCCGCTGTGATGGTGGTCCGGGTGGCGGAAGACCTTGATGTTGGGGTGGAGGGCTTCCAGGTGATGCTTGGTGTGCTGCGGACTGTCAGTATCGCCCAGGGGCCGGAACGGGTGGTCTGGTGTCCTACTATCGAGTTCACTGTTCTTGTTAGTCCTATTCCACCGGACGGGATCTATGGGTCCGCTTACACGTCAAAGCCTGCGGCACCTCCTTGTACACGACCACGTAGATCTTTACGCCGCGCTCAGCCGCGGCTTGGAGCATCTTGTCCAGGCGGTAGCGCTCATTGCGGGCAGGGGGTCGACGCAGGTACAGCTCCGGACTGCGGGGTGTCAACGTCACGGTCTCTCGGCTTCTCGCGGATAGTGGGCAGAATTACCTCAGCCACCAGTCCAGGATGTAGATGTACTCCCGTGCCTCTGTACACGTGGGGTTAGTGTCAAGGGTCCATTGTGTGATGGGGGTTCGCGCCAAGTAAATAATGTGATTCTGGGGTATTATTACCTTCCAGGGCCATGGACACGGCCCAGAAATACGAAGCGCCGTCGACATACCACTTCGGGTGTCCCGAACTCTGAGGAGCGAATGAGGAGTAGCGATTTGTGCCGTACTCGGCATGGGCATCATCCTCGTGACACTCATGGCCATCATGGGTATGAGAATGCTTCTCCTCGCCGGACGTGAAGTCCTCAATGCCCTGTTTGGCTTTGCGCATCAACGAATGGAAGTCCATGGCTTCGGTGTCGAAGTCGGGTCAAGGGCAGATCTCGGCGTGGGCAAGCAACTGAACTGCGGGGCGGGGACAGCCGAACAAGAAAAGGGAAAATGCAGGAAAAGACGGGAGCCCGTGAGGTCGGAATTGTGAAACAGTGGGTAGCGTGACCCCGACGGGATTAAATACTACCAGAATACTGCTGCAAAAACGGGCGACTTCGTAAATCCGAATCTGGTGGTATCTGACCACCCAACGAGTATTTGGTATTTGGGGATTGGAGAATCTGGGATGGAATTGAGATGGTGTCCAGATTTGCTCGGGTTCCTTGCATCATTCCCCCTCAGCCCACCCTGAGCCACCCTACCCCTCTGCCCCTGAGTCGAGTCGAGTGAAGTCGAAGAGCTGACTGCATCACCGCCACGGGCTAGAGGAGCATGGCCAATGGGAACCCGGGCATTCAGCTGCTGCTTGCCTGAGCCGGCCGGGATTCCGCTGCCCGCTTGGTGGAGAGTTGCCGAGTTTGCCCCATTCCATCCACGGCATCCCACCCAAAAGCCATTTCCTGGTTGTCCGTCATCAGTCCGGGTAGGGTGCATCCGATCCAGCTCACGGCATGTGAGATAGGGCTGAGAAGGAATCCACCTCGGCAAGGCAAGGCTTAAATTGTACAGCTAGATTACGCGGTATGGTCTCGTGCGGTTTGCGCTATGACCGAGATGGTGCAGAGTTGCCGAAAAGGGACCAGGGACCTCATTCCGAAATTCCGCATCGAATTCTCTGAACCTATCACGGGGTAATCGTAAAAGGCCGGTATCGCAAGAATTGTGCTGCCCAGAGGGGGCTCGCATTTGGGTCTGTCGGTAATTCCGGGTTGGTGTGCCCATCGCCTACCATGTAACGGCGAAGTATTATGTTACACGAATGAGAGAGAGAACACCCTCTCCAAAAGGCGTGGTTCGGTGAAGAAACCAAAAAAGTGTGGTGACGCTAACTTACAGCCCCCTGTCATTTCATCAGTCTTCTCTTTGCCGCGGGTACCCCCGTGCTGCTAGGTACCGGTAGTCTCGTGGCGCCAGCTCCCGCGCAAGCCACGGTATGGACGGACCCGCTGCAGGTCACTCGACCGAGTCGAAACCCGAACAATGGGCCCATTCAGCCTTAGGACGGGACGTTCTTTCCCCTGGCGGTGCCTGCGTTAACAGCGGCAGCGGGCCTCTGGGGGGCACCAAACAAATCGAGCCACCCTCCTGCATTCCCGCTGCTGCACCGGCTTGTCACCCTGCAGAACTCGACAGGGTCAACAGGTTGACCGGTGAGCCGTCATGCAAAGTGCGTGCATCATCAGAGTTGCGATCTAACATTATAAGGTACGGGAACCACCTTTTTCAACCTGGGTACCGAGTCCAAAAGTGTGACGGTGATGAACCCCCCCCCCCCCCCATCCATCCATCCATGATCCATCACCCCCCCGTTCTAACCTCGATCTCCCCCAATCCATACCCCCCAATCACCCCCAATTCCCCTACTTGGGCACCTTTTATCCTCCCACCAAGGGGAAAAAAGCAAAAATTCTTCAACCCACCATCCCGCTGTGAGACATTTTCAAGACCCTTACTCCCGGTGTCGGCGCCATACACACACAATTGGCTGAGTTCTGACTTTTTTCCTTGCCCCGCAGGCCACTTTCGAGGGTTGCTGTTCGCTCAACCCAAGCTCTCAAAGAGGAAAGGAGGGGGGTGTGAAGGACAGGGGGGCATGACATTGGCGCGGTAATGCCACCGAAGGGTCGTCGTGGTCTCAGAAGAGAATCATCTCGTTGCCGCTGTTTGTCGTGCTATTAGCCGTTATCATCATCATCATCGCTAGACGAAGGGGCCACCCCTCTCACGGTTTCACCAACCCCCCCCCCTTGGTTCTAACCGCGACGACATTCCACACACCTTGCACCTGTAAAAGGACGGCACTGAACGGGAGAAGACAGACGAGAGGAAAGTTCCCAGAAAAGAAAAGAAGAAGAAGAAGAAACGACGAAGGCACAGAAACCAAAAAACGAACCATGACGTCCACCTCCATGACCTACACCTTCTCGCCGGAGCAGCACGGGCACCTGGTGCCGTACATCGCGGCGCTGCACGCGTCGTGCATCACGCTGGACCACATGGTCGGGCCCTTCCTGCCGCCCCTGACCAACGAGAAGCTGCTGCCGTGGTGGAAGGAGCGCATCGCCGAGGCCGCCGGCGCCACCCGCATCATCGTCCTGCTGCTGCCCGAGACCAAGCCGGGCAAGAAGCCCCTCGGCACCGACCTGCGCGGCCTCGCCATGCTCAAGCTGGCCGAGACCGAGACGGGCTCCTTCCGCGGCCACATCGACGCCGTCCTCGTCGACCGCCGCCACCGCCGCCAGGGCGGCGCCCGCTCCCTAGTGGCTGCGCTGGAGTATGAGGCCGCGAAGAAGGGGCGCTCGTTGCTGGTGCGTTTTCCCCGTCTGAAGGGGGGGGGTTGTGGGTGTGTGTGATGGGGTGTTTCTGTGCGTGCTAACCCGCCGGCAGCTTGTCGACACCGAGACGGACAGCGTGGCCGAGATGGCCTTCAAGAAGCTGGACTACACCGAGATCGGCAAGGTGCCGCACTTCAGTCGGGCGCTGCCAAACGGCAAGAAGGGCGAGACCTTCTTTTACAAGGAATTTCTGCCGTCGTCGCCATAAACTGTTGTCGCGGGTGCTTCTGGCTTTTGTCCCTTCGGCTTGCTGGGCGTTGGTGGTGATAGGGATCTAGATGGACGAGGCCCACGCTTCTGCAGGATTTCTTTTCATGGCTTTTTCTTTACCTTTTGTTGCAAGCCCTGGACCACACAGAGTTTACGTTTGAAGTTTGCTAAAGAAAAAAGTTTGCTTTCTCTCTTATCCATGAGAATCCGGTTCCTGCGCTAGCCACACAAGTCCATATTTTCTGTACATACAACCATACAAGAGAGCGAACGAACCGACCGTTTGAGCGTCTCTTTTAAAGCATACTTTGTTTCTACCCAGTAGTTCTTTATCAACATTTCCCACGTCGTCGAATGCCACTCCGCCGAACCTCGCTATAGGGCAGCTTCTCCTGCGGCCCGTTTTGCGGCCTGCCCGACCCAGCGTGTCACTCGTCCACAGACACCACCCTCTGACGTTAGTGGCATTTTTGTAATATGCAGCCATGCGATGGGGATCCAATTGGCGAATTAGACGTTGCACGTCGAGAGAATCGAGCGTCTCGCCTCTGCACCTACCCGTTTGTATGTTACCCCTAGTCATTCGCTGTTTACGTGTAGATTGTATGAGATTTGGCACCGAACTTCCAACATAACTATTCACTGTACAGTATGCAAAGTTAGCACTTTCGTCTCCGACCCCTCCGGTAGTCAGCGGAGAGAAAGTATTGTGGCTGTGTCAAACTCTGACCGACTCGGACATGTCAAGATCATGTATGTCTCACCCGAAGCTCGAACAAGGCCGAGAGGATGTGCGATACCAGACACGACAGAAGTGGAGGAAACCCTCAGATGCCTATCCAAAAACCGACCCCCAAATATAGGTAGTTACCAACCTTCCCTCCTGACATGACAGCATGCAGTGGTGACTCAACGCTATTACCTTGAAGACCCATTGCAGTCCGTGGTGACCCGTCAAATATGGCCGTGCCACCTCGCAAACTCAACCCAGCTGGGGGCGAAGTGTCACTCACTACCAACCAACCCCGATCACGGCGGCTCTGGAATGTAGCACCCGATATCCGCCGTGCATCCGAGCATCTGACACGAGGTCTCACAGCCCAACGCCGACCAATGCAGAAACAGCCCGACGAGCCCGACTAACCAGATGCAGCCAACCAAATCGACAAACCAGTGTGAAGACTTCCTCAGTCGCTGTGCCCAATAGCAAGGGAGTCGGACCTCAAACGGCCTAACCGAGAAAACACAGATTGATGTTGCGTACGAGGTAAACCGACACATTACCAACAGCTACGATGACAACGTACCGCCACAGCCACAGCCAAACCCTGTAAACCAAAAACTCCATGTCTACATACAACACACCGACCAAGAGCTAAGCGCAAACAGAAAACAGTTCTCAAGAAAAGAGGAGCGCCTCTAAGCCAGGAATAAGATATTAGTATGCAACACCGGCAGCCCGATCCCTCCCCCCGCCCCCTGCCAACATCCATCCATCCATCCACTTGTCCAGACACCCAGAAAAGCCGACCTCATCCAGCCAAGTGTTATACACACCATTGTTGTATACGGCAAAAAAACAAACAAAAAAAGACCCCGAATTATCGTCCGAAGCCCAGCCCCGACCCAACCCATCCATCCATCCATCCTACCCCCACCCCATCCAAGTCTTCTTCTTTTTTTTTTTTCCCCTCCATCCCTAGTCCACCTTGTTGCCGTTAGCCGAAACGCCCAGGAGCGGCGCCTTGTTAGCGGCGTCGTCGAGGCGGAAGTGGCCGCCGCCGCCGCCCCTCGCCGACTTCCTTATCCGGCCGCGGAAGAGCGAGAGGCAGCCGAAGGCGATGCCGAGCACGCAGCCCGAGCTGAGGTAGGGGTGCTCCTTGAAGGTGGTCTTGACGTCGAAGACGATCTTCTCGAAAAAGCCGATGGTCAGCTTCGGCTTGAGCTTGGGCGGGCTCGCCGTCACCTTGTTGATGGTCTCGAGGATGGACGTGCGCGAGGGGACGATCGGGTTGCCCGTGCTGGTCTGGTCCCAGTAGCGCCGGTTCTGTGAGGGGGGAGGCGGGGGTTAGCATTTGCTTGCTTGCGATCTGTGTGGCCCGAGGAGTTCCGGGTAAAACTTACGTCCTCGTCGTTGATGATGACCCTGTCGCCGTCCTTGATGTCGATGCCGTACGTGGTGCGGATCCACTTCCGCCAGAAGGCGCCATCGACCCATGCGAACGTGACCTCCTTGCGGTCCGACCGATCCATGTTGATTCTAATGTTCTTTGCATTGCGAGCCGCCCGGTGGTCGTCGCGGTCCTCGGCCTCCTCGATGCGCAGCTGCTTAGCGTCGCGCAGCTCCTGCCGCTCGAGCTGGAACAGCTGGATCTGCTTGTCCATCCACTCGTTGGCCGCGCTCTTCATCTCCCGGATGGCGCCCTGGAACGAGTCCTGGTTCTCCCTGTTCAGAATCCCAAGAACGACGATCCTGCCGTCCATGACCTCGCGCGCGTTGGAGGCGGTCAGCTCCGGCACCAGAGGCAGCCAGACGGACTTGACCCAGTTCATCAGCAGGTGGGTCTCGCGCATCTCTCTCGGGCTGAGCGGGGGGTAGTAGGTAGCCCGCCCTTCGCGCGCCACGAGCAGCCGCGGCCACGTGGTAATCTTAAACCGGTCGTACAGCTTAGGGTCCCGTGTCCTGACCAGCTTTCCGCGGCCGATCAGGCTCAGAGGCAGGCGCTCGAGCGCATTGAAATCCTCGGTGGTGGTGGCGTGGTCGTAAAAGTACAGGAAGATGACCTCCTCCTTCTCCTCGAGAGCCTTGAACGACTCGGCGTCGACGTCTTGGATGCCGCTGGCGAGGTCGATGGCCTTCTCGGCATACTGGATAAAGTCGCCCAGGCCACGGAGACCCTGGTATTCGACGCGCTCGCCGCCCCTGAAGAAAAGGAAGGTCGGGTAGCCCCTGACGCCGACGTTCTTGCACAGCTGGGGGTCGGCATCGCAGTTAACCTCGCCAATGTTGAGCCGGCCCTTGACTTCCTTGGCCAGCTGCTCCCAGTTCGGCTTGATGCTCAAGCAGTGGTGGCACCACGGCGCATAGAACTTGACGAACCAGGGCTCGTGCGTCATGGTCACCAAGCTCTTAAAAGTGTCGGCCGTCAGCGCCACCGAAATGCCGTTAGGATTCGGTTCCGTCTTCGGCGTCAGGATCTTCTGCTGGGGTGGGTTGTATGCAACCGAAGCGTACTTCGGGCTTGTTGTCTCTTCAGACTTGGCTGGGGCCTCGGGGATCGGTGGAGCGGGAGCCACTTTGCTCCTCGCCTCGTCCTTCTCATCGGCGGGGCTCCTCGCGTCCGGTTCGGTCTTGTCGGCCGGTTTGCTGTTCGAACCGGGGGACGATTGGGCGCCAGGTTCCGGTAGCTCGAGCGCAGCAGGGCGTGTCCCCGGCTTCGCTTTCTCCAGAGCATCTTCCACCGCGCCGCTCAAGACGCTCATGGCTTTGACACCCTTGAAGGTGACAATTGGTTCGCCGTCCTCGTAGAGGATGGTGGTCGGCCATGACGAAACTTTGTGCTTCGAGCACAGGTCGTTGTATGCGACGCAGTTGATGTCGGCAAATCGGAAGCCGTAAAAATCGGCAAAGTCGGCGTCCTTGGGCGCGCTCCCGGCGGGCGATGAGGTGTGGTAGAATTCGTACAACGTCTGGAATGTCGGAGCATAATCGATACAATGCGGGCAGTACGGGCTGGGAACATCAGCACGCGTGTCATGTAGCGTGGGACAAGCTAGTTACCTGTAATGCTTGACCATCAAGTACTTGGACGCCTTATGCTCTTTCTCCCAGTTGTCGGGGGTCAACTCGAGCATCGGCGGCACCTTTTTCCCATTGAAAAGCGTGTCTACCTTGGCCGGCTCGTCCTCGTCGTCGTCCAACTCTGGCGATTGCGCAACGACCAGCGCAGCCGCCCCAAATAGCAATGTCAAGTCGAAGAACCGCATCTTGTCGCCCCTCTTCTACCGTGTGATGAAGCCAAGAATAATCGCCCTACGCCGGGTTGCAGGCGGGCCACGTTGTATGTGTTCGCAACCAGGGTCAAATTTGGAGGTTTGGCGAAAGCTTATCGAGACCGAAGCCTAGCCAGACATCGGGAACACTGTGTGGGAACCGACAGCTCGGGCGCTGGGACAAGACAAGTTCCGGCTCGAGTGATACGGATACCTGATGGTGAATACCGCAGATGTACGAAGTAGGTTGCTCTCTCTCTCTAAAATCTCGGCCCGCCTTGTCTCGTTTTTAGGGGGTCATAACTCGTGGGCGGTGCGGGAATGCAGCAAATGAGGATGCGTTCAGGAGACGACTCGATTTACGGGCCAGTCAGGATTTCCGACACGTTTGTTGCTGCAGTCTGGCCAGGTCCATGGTGTGCCGCCTCAATTTCCAGGCATTTTGCCCAGCCGCTAGCGCCGCACCAGAAGGATTCCCCACGAATTCCCTTGTCTTTGTAACGGCTCGACGTGGCAGCTGGCAGCTGGTGTCAAGGACTGACAGCAGAAAGGCAGCCATTGCTCCTCAACCTCGAATGTCCGAACATCAAGAACCTGTAACCATGCACCTACCTCAGAGACCAAGTGGATTTTTTAAGCAAAAAAACACTTGGTTTCTGTCCGCCGTTCGTTCTTTTAAAGCAACCATGGATCGATCAAACAAAAGGCCAGCGCCAGATGGCGACTGTGACGAACCGACTGGGAAGAACACGCCAGTCTCTCTCACACATCCCGTTAGCCCTCCCTTGAAAAGGCGTCAACTTGCACCGTCACCAAAGGGAAAAAAGGATACTGTGCCACCATCAACGTCAACTCGCGTATTCAAGTCCCCGTTCCAGCTCACCAAGATTCGGGATCTACCTCCAGAGATGAACAAAGATACGGTCACACTCAAGGACATCCTAGGTGACCCGCTAATTTCAGAATGCTGGGAGTTCAACTATCTTCATGACATAGACTTCCTCATGTCTGCCTTTGACCAGGACGTTCGTCATCTCGTCAAAGTTCATGTGGTTCATGGGTTTTGGAAGAAGGAGGACCCAAGCAGGCTGAAGCTGCAGGTAGGCAGGCCTCCCACTCTTCTACCGCATGTCAAGCGAACAGAGCTGCTCTCTTTCTCACATCGTCCATCTCTCTTCTTGTCAAGTCCTAACTTATGTCAGGAAGCGGCATCCCGCTTCCCAAATGTCACTCTTCACAATGCCTTTCTCCCTGAGATGTTTGGCACCCACCACTCCAAGATGATGATCCTCCTCCGGCACGATGAGACAGCCCAGATCGTCATACACACAGCCAACCTGATTGTCCGTGACTGGGCCAACATGACCCAGGCTGCCTGGCGCTCGCCGAGCCTTCCTCTCATGGAGCCCCCACAGCAGGATGCCAGCCAGGAGGAAGCCAAGATCGGCAGCGGAGCCAAGTTCAAGATGGACTTACTTAACTACCTTAGAGCCTACGACACCCGTAGGACCACCTGCAAGCCCATCATCGAGCAATTATCCAAGTATGACTTCTCCGCAATCCGGGGTTCACTCATCGCCAGCGTGCCGGGTCGACACAGACTCGACGACCCCTCGCCCACCAGATGGGGTTGGGCAGCAATGGCGCAAGCCCTCCAAGCCGTTCCCGTTTCCCCAACAAAACCCGAGATCGCCATCCAGATCTCCTCCATCGCAACGCTCGGCCCAACAGACACCTGGCTCAAAAACACCCTCTTCCGCTCCCTCAGCGGCGGCAAAAACACCACCACCGCCACCGCCGCCGCCGCCGCCACTACCCCCCAACCACCCTCCTTCAAAGTCGTCTTCCCCACCCCAGACGAGATCCGCAAGTCACTCGACGGGTACGGCTCCGGCGGCTCGATCCACACCAAGACACAATCAGCACAGCAAGCGAAGCAACTCACCTACCTAAAACCCATCTTCCACCACTGGGCCAACGACTCCGCCAACGGCACCCAACTCGTAGACACTACAACCATCCACGAAGCCGGCCGGAAACGCGCGGCGCCACACATCAAGACATACATCCGTTACGGCAGCAACAGCAACAGCAACAGCAACAGCAACAGCAGCAACAGCAGCAGCAACGACGCGCCGGTGCCAGCCGCCCCTCCCTCTGTCGACTGGGCGCTGGTCACGTCAGCCAACCTGTCCAAGCAGGCGTGGGGCGACGCGGTCAGTCCCCAGGGCGAGGTACGCATTGCGTCGTACGAGATTGGAGTTCTCGTCTGGCCGGGGCTGTATGCCGAGGGCGCGACCATGACGCCGACTTTCCTGACGGATTCGCTAGGGGACGGGGAGGGGGAGGTGGTGCAGGAGGGGAAGGCTGCTGTCGTGGCGTTGCGCGTGCCGTATAACCTGCCGCTGCAGGCGTATGGGGTGGGGGAGGTGCCGTGGGTTGCGACGGCGAGGCATCTGGAGCCGGACTGGATGGGGCAGGTTTGGCAGCATGGCTAAGTGCCTCAGGGACGTGGTTGGGTTGGCTTGGCCGGCGTCACTTGGCTGGTGGAAAGAGGGGCTTGTCCAGAGGAACACAGTACTTGCTTGCTACGAATGCAGAAAACCCAGTGCTAGCCCCTGGCTTCCGTGATTGCCACATAAAAATGCTTCTTCACGCGCAGTCCCCCCCCCAACCCTGTGCCGCATCTATGAACTACCGACAGCCTCAGGCTTCTTGCTCGCGTCGAATCCGTACGTGGTTTTCATCTCCTCGACCTTGGCGACGTATTTCTCCTGGGCATCCTCGGCCGAGATACCGTCGTCGACGGCATCCCGCCAGGCCTTCAACTTGGCCTTGCCCTGCGGTGTGTGTTAGTCCGGGTCTATTTTCCGGATACGGAAAGGGGGCGGGTGATGACTTGCCTTAAGGTCGAACATGCCCGGCGCAGGAGCCGCCTCGATGTTCTCGCCCGTTCCGACCTTGTAGAGAGCTACCGTCATGTCAGTAAGTGTAGCTGCAGAATGTACTGAGGCCTGGGCGCACCGTAAATCTCGAGGAGGTCCTCGTTGCTCGGCTTCGACGTCAACTGCTTGCTCTCTTCGGCAGCCTTCTTGAACGCGGGGCTTTGGGTAACGGCCATTTCGACGGAATGCGTGATCTGAGTGGTGGCAGTAGTGTGTTTGGTTCTAAGCCGTAGTTTTTGCTCGGAATCTTGTCGAAAACAAAGATCGTTTGCAACAGTTGATGTTGTTGTTGAGGAGACCGCGGATGTTTGTTGAGGGTTTGGCGGGGTCAAGGGGTTCAGGCGCGGGGTCGGTTCTGAGTTGGCACCCTCTGGCCAAAAAAAGCCGAACTAGGAAGGAAATCGAGGAATCGAGCAAAAAGAACAGATGAAAGGAAACAGAGCAAAAGAACAGATAAAAGGAAACAGAGCAAAAGAAATTAAATAAAAGAAATGGGGCAAAATAAAAGTAAATGGAGTATATCCAGTTTCTTTAGACTTGAGGATGGCTTTCGTTTTAATCCTACAGCCGAGGTCTTGAAGTTTCCGTGGTCGACACCTGCACTTGGAGTTCGGAGTTTTTTGGAGTAAAGGTGGTCGGCAAGGGAGGGGCAGCTTGTGACCGACCTCCAGCAGGTCGAGGTCACCTCCCTAAGTTTGGCGAATCAAACCTTGGAAGACGGCCCAAATGGAGCTCAACGGGTGCTATTGCCGCTAACAAGGCGGCCGTGGTCCGCCATCCTAGATAAACCTCGGTTACTTACTTATATTTTTTGTTTTGGCATATTCAGTCATATTGTGGGAACTGAAAAAAAGAAACGGGAGAAACACCGAGGGTTTTCATTCTATGCGACCGCAGCCGCCCCCGGCGGGGACGTCCGGACCTGGGCGGCGGCGAGCTGGGCACTGCCAATGACAACCAGGCCTGAACCTACCTAGATATATTATTACCTTGATATATATTATCTCTACAGAAGCGTCCATGCTAGGTACTTTCCCGACAGCTAACTGTGGATTAAGGACGAGCTTGCTTAAGAAACACCAAGTTGTAGCAAGGACGCGGTAGTAGGAGGGTGGTAACCAAGATATTAAAATGCCTCTGAAGCTGAAATGCTTTGAAGACTAGTCCTATCACCATTGTGTGGGATGATATAACAGGCTTCCCAGGGGCAGTAACGGCCTGATGGATGTCAAAGGTGGTAGTCAACCACCCCATCATGGTGGCTGCAGGTACCTGGATATAAGCAATTTACATACTCGACTACCTAGGTAGTCCCTGGAATTCCCGGTAGGTACGTGATATAGGAACACCTCTCGAATGTTGTGGCCTGGTCAATGATGCAGTCTGACGCCCACAGTTGGATCATGATGCTATACCTCCATAATCAATGACGCACAAAGTCGAACGCATACCATCAGATGTACGCAGTTGGATCCACACAAATTGAGTATAAGGTCGACAGCGCCATACTTACAGCGGGTATTGCTCCCACCTCAACCTCTTCTCTAGCACCAATGCCCGACCCGACAGAAAAGAAGCCACCAACGAACTCAACCCAGCACAGAATTCAGATCTCGGAACCAAGTCAGGACAAAATCCCTCCTCATGATGACTCTCATTATCGCCACCATGGTGTACCATTACTATCTATTCCTAGAACATCGACTCAAGGACGCTTACCTCGTCCACCTCTGCAAAGAGGCGCAGAGGACAGGCCAGACAACAGCCATTTTCACCCAGTCTGTTTCCGAGACGCGTCGAGTCTCCCGTCTGCTCGACGCTCTCAAGATAGGCGTCGTTTCCCTCCAAATCGACCTTTCGCCATCAGCGCGAGCAGCTTCTTTAGACAAGCTCCGCCGCAAGGAGTGCCATGCCCTTGTGACAACGGACGTTGCGGCCACCCTTGGTCCCATCCCTGACGTTGACCGTATCATCAACCTCACCCTCACATGGAAAATGAACCCCGAGATATATACCAAACGCGCCAGTCACATAGGTCATGCCGGTACTTCGGGGCAGGTTATGACCTTTGTTACACAATAGTAAGTTCAGGCGCTCCCATCCATTTTACGAATTTCCTCTAGCCGGCCAAGTTAACATGTTGCCCACAGCGATATGGAGGTCTACGACCGCCAAAACAAAGTTCTGGGCGTGCCCTTGGTAGAATATACCGTCGATATGGATTCGGTCATGTCCTGTAGGGAGCAGGTGGAAGAGGCTGCGCTTGAGGACCCTTCGTTGAGAGACACAGGCCTGCTGCGGGCAGGAGGGCGACTGAAGCCCGTCGGTCCCGAACGGGCTGCGAGTTCCACTTTGGGGTATTAGCTAATCTAAATAGGGTTAGCTTGTATCAGATCGCCCGGTAGCCATCCGATCCATGCCCGCTTTTGGAGCCGCAACTTCTGTTTGGTCTCGGCTTGTGATGTCGCAATGCAGGCGTCGCGGTGTTGTTCCCGGGCCCTCGACACCACCCATGGGCCGGCCATCCAAACCGCAACTCGAGTTGCTCCTTCCTGCGAATGCGGATGCGGTATAACACGGCCCAAGTATCCACTTCGATTTCAAGTAAGCCCAGAAATCCAAGCCACTCGCGACCTCAGGTTGCTCCCATATCCATCTACTTCTGAGCACATTGGGGAAGGCCGACGACAGCAGGCATGCGAAGCGCCAGGCCCGGATCAACGACAGGGATGTTTTGCGCTGCGGCAGGTCGCCGTCTCACCACAGCTTGGCGGTCGACGTCAAACGCGCGCTGGCATCCGACTTGACCATTCCGTCCTATAAAAGTATTACAAATGTACATGCGCGTAGCACAGGGATATTGTGTCAACTGGGCTCTGGTCCGAAAAGAAAAGATGGTCCCCAGGTCGGGGGGTTTGGGTTTGCCGTCGGAATCCTCCCCGGAGAACTCCGGTTCTTCCTCGTTTCCCTCTTCTTTTGTTGTGCTCGGGCTGGGAAAGCGCAAGACTCGGGTCGTACCGATAAGAAGGCGCGCCCCAGAAAAAAAAGAAACATACGTTGAACATTCAGCTTTTGATTTCCCAACTCCCCAAACTTACCCACCGCATTTCTCTCGAGCAGCCTGAAATCCTTCCTAGCCCAACATCACAACATCTTGCAAAATGTCGAAGACGGTCGTGATCCTCGGAGGCTCCATTGCCGGCCTCCACGTCGCCCACGCGCTCCTCAAAAAGCAGATTAAAGATACGAAGGTCATCCTCGTCTCCAAGGTACGTGCCCGACATCCGACAAGAGTCGATGAAGGACCGAGATTGTTACCAATCACGTGATTACTACTGTGGTGACCACGACTGACCGCTCTAGAACTCGCACTTCTACTGGAACCTGGCCTCCGTCCGTGCCATTATCCCCGGTCAGATCACGGATGAGCAGCTTTTCCAGCCGCTCCAGACCGCTCTCTCTCGGTATCCGGCCGAGTCCTGGGAACTTGTGATCGGCAGCGCATCCAAGGCGGACTTCGGTGCGAAGACGGTCGAGATCACGCTCCCCGACAACACAACCCGCGCTCTCCCCTACCATCAACTAGTCCTCGCCACTGGCGCCCGCTCATCTTCGCCAGACACCCCCTGGAAATCCCCGGGCACCTACGAGGAAACCCTCGCTAGCCTCCATGACACGGCTGCGCGGGTCACCAACGCCCAGCACATCGTCGTCGCTGGCGCCGGAAGCACGGGTATCGAGGTGGCCGGCGAGCTGGGCTATGAGTATGGCAAGACGAAGGAGATCATCCTGCTCTGCTCCGGCGACAAGGTCGCAGGCGGGAGCTCCCTCGCGGACGCCGCGGCCAACGAGCTGAAGAAGCTCAATGTCACCATCAAGTACGGCGCACACGTGCAAGAGACCCGTCCGGGTACGGGTGATGCCCAAGGCAAGACGGAGGTCGTCTTCACTGGCGGCGAGACGCTGGCCACGGACCTGTACCTCCCCACGACGGGCCTGATCCCCAACACCGAGTACATCCCGTCGCAGTTCCTCGGCCCCGGCGAGGTCGCCCGCCCTGTCCTGGTCGACGAATTCCTGCGGGTGCCGGAGACGGAGGAGGTGTGGGCGTGCGGCGACATTGTGAGCAAGCCGCGCGCGGGCTTCTTCATCACCCAGAAGCAGGCGATTAGCGTGGCCAAGAATGTGGAGGCCGCGTTGGCCGGGCTGAAGCCGACGGTCGCGAAGGGTCCGCCGATGGATATCCTTGCGTGCGCGGTCGGCCGCGAGAGGGGCGTCGGGCGGATCAATAACACGATCAAAATGCCGAGCTTCATGGTCTGGGCGGCCAAGGGGCGCACACTGGCGTTGCCGATGGTGAAGACCTATATTGATGGGAGTGTTGCCTGAGCCGTGGACTGAATAGATACCCGAGTTTGCATGCCGGAGTTTGCGGAGCGCTAGACAGGAACAGTTTATGGGCGGAATAGGGAATAGGCGCCCCTTAATTTACCATTTGTGTGTGCGCAGTTCTATCGGTCAAGCGTCGTCTCACGGATTGTGCTCGGTCCTACCTACCTAACCGTTACCTCCCCGCCCTCTCATCTTCGATCTCCCTCCTCAACTGCTCCAGCACCTCCTGCCGTGACCGCAGATGCCCTTCCAGCCCCTCAACCTGCTCCTTCACCGTCTGCAAATCCTCACTCACGCTCTTGAGGTTCCCGCCGGCCTTGCCCGCGCCGCCGCCCTCCTCCAGCTCCCGCAGCTGCTTCCTCTTGTAATCCAGCAGCTGATCCAGCTCCCTCTTGACCAGCGCGGGCTTGGAGTCGCGCTGGCCGCCCTTGCGGCGCTCGACGCCGGCCTCCACTTTGGCCATCTTCTCGTCCAGCTCGGCCAGCTGCTTCTTGAGCCGCACCTCCTCCCACTCGGCGTCCGTCTTGGCGCTGCTAAAGTCGGTACCCGCGCTCTTGAACCCGCTGCGGCCCAGCCGCGTCAGGTACTGGTCCCCGAACTTGGCCTTGCGCCCCGTGCTCGTCTCGTCGTCCGCCCGTGTCGCCCATCGAGATTGCGCGGCGGTATTGTTGTTGTTGCGCGCGCTGTCGACTTGGTAGTCGATCTGGTTGCGCTCGAAGCTGGCGCGCAGGGAGGCCGGTACGGTGCGGGGGATCCGGAAGCCTTCGTGCCGGTTGTTGAGGATGTGCAGGAAGGCGAGGCAGGCGTCTTTGTTGATGGACGAGCCGGCTGACGGGTTGATCAGGTTCCAGGCTGAGCGGATGTCGGTGTCGGGCACGTCGAGGGATTCGTAGAGGTCTTGCAGGGCGGAGACTGGGTGGGGAGGGGGTTGTTAGCGGTGGGGGATGGTTGGGGGGAGGGAGGCTGCGTCGGGGAACTGCTTACATGCTACCTCGCCCCGCATGTCCCGGTTCTCTTGGTAGATCTGCTCGTACTTGGCCTTGTCGGCTGGGCTCATGTACCAGTCGAACCCGTCCTTCAGGCCGGGCGAGTCATCTTCGTCCTCGACCTGCTCGAACTGCACCGCCTTGCCCGTGAGCGCCCGGTTCGCCTGCACGAGATGCGCCTTGGACTCGGGGACCAGCCAGTCTGGTAGCGTCGTTGGTACGTCGGCGTATTCTCCGTTTAGCAGGTCGAAGATGACGCGCATGGCGACGCAGAACTCTTCGAAGTCGAGGTTGCCGTCATTGTCGACGTCGGCCAGGTCCCACACCCGCTCCAGCTGATCGTCCCGCAGCCCGCTGTTCTTGAGCACCGGCGCCGCTTGCTCGCCGTTCAGGAACTTGCCGCCATTTGTCCTGGTTGAGAAGATGTTCCAGTATGTCTCGATTTCCTGGGCCTCGATGCGCGGGGCCATGTCGTCGGCTTGTAGGATGGGGTTCTCGACGAGTTCTAGGGGGGAACGGATGGTCGAATTAGGTGGATATGACGAGGGAGATTCCCCGCTGGGTTGCCAAAGGGACTAGGTAATTGAGAGGAAGGCGTGAGTGACCGGCTAGGTTGTTTGACCAAGGTTGCGGTGCCCTTGTCTGGCGTTGCTGAGGTGTGCTGGTGTTGACGTTGCGATGCCCTGGGCAAGGTAGCACCGAGTTGCGCGGCAATCGATTCCACCACCCGTAGCCATCCCTGTCGGCTCCGCCCCTTTTGGAGCTGCGTCAACTTATAAACCAACCTCAACCCACAACGCACACACTGCAACGAATCACTCCCCAAAAGGAGCTTTTATCTGGCTTTTAACAGTGTTATTACATTTCTACATTTACATAGTACAATATACCCGACGAATCCCTCACCCCATCCGCCAAAACGTCAACGTGGGTATCTCTGCATGCTGCTCATGATCCTTCTGCCCGTGCCGAGAAACTCGGCAACTCAGCAACTCCTATCAAGCAACTCGAACCTTCCGAGGTCTCATAACTCTCTAGTTCGAATGGCGCGCGTCATTTCACAGCATCGTCTGTCCAAACTCCGTCTGTGCTTCAACCGATAAGTCAAGTGAACTTGAACCTAAAAGAAGGCAACCAAACACCCAGTTGCTCTTTCCAAGCTCATCCCGTCTCCCAGGAAGGGGAAGTATCCTTCCTTCCCCCACTTGAATATGCCCACCCACGTCCAACTTAGGTGAACCTCTCATTGAACTTCCGTCACATCACATCCCACATTCCAGAACAAGCAGAAACCCGATAGGAAGGAAAAAAGAAACGAGAGATTCCGCAACCAGATACCAAAAAATAAAAGGAGAAATAAAGAAAAGAGCAAACGAAAGAAAGAAAACCCCTCCCCCCCCAAAAAAACATCCTCACTTGAAACTATCAAACCCCCCAAACCGCGGCCCCAACCCAGCAGGGGGATACGCAACACCACCCCCACCACCACCAGAACCAGAACCACCACCACCCAAGTTAGGAAACAGCAGCTCAGCCATCGGCTCAGCATGCGCCAGAAAGGCCGCATCACTATCAAACCGGTCCCGCGTCGCCACATTGTACCGGACGCACTGGGCATTCAGCTCAGCCACACGAGCGGCCACGCGCGGGTCGACTCCTGCTGTGGGGACCGGTGGTGGCGGGATGGCCGGGCCAGCACCAGCAGCCGGTGCGGTTGCGGAAGTCGCGGTAATCGCTGCGGCCGCCGACGCCGATGGGAGGGGTTTTGGACGCGGAGCTCGCGGACGCGGGGCAGGGGCTGCGGGTTTGCGGGGAGCAGGCGGTGTTGTGATGCCGGCTGGTGCGGATGTGGACGTGGGGGTTCTGGGGCCGGTCACGGCCGGCTGTGGCGGTAGGGGGGTGGTCTGCGTGGGTGCGTTAGGGCGGGCGATGTCGATTGGGGTCTGCTGGTTGGACTGTTCGATGGGAGGGGAGAGGCCTGGTTGGGGGTCGGAGTCCTCGGTTGAGGTGATGCTTGGTTGCGAGGCTGCTTGGCCAAGCGTGCCCGGGGCGGTGGGGGCGTTCTGTTGACCTTCGGCGGCCCGGTTATTCGAGGCATTGGTGCCCGTGGCATTGGCCAGCCCCAGCTTCTTCGCGCGACGGGTCGCCCTCTCGGACGGCTTGTAGTTCTCCGGTGGCAGAAAACGACCAAATGACAGCCGTGGCCTTGATCTCGAAAGTGCCGCCTCCGAAGTTACCACCGGGACGATATACGAGCTCATCCCGTGTGAACACCTCATCGAACTCGGCGCGCGTCATCTCCTCACCCTCGGTCGACCGCATCCGCTTCGTCCCGTCACAAGAGAAAGTTGGACCAGTGCGCCGCGGTCGCCCCTTCTTGGGCGTGATCGGCACCCCCTTTTCGTCGAGCTTGGGCTGGCGCTTCTTCGCTGGGCCGCGCTTCTTGACTGCCTGTTCGTCCCCCTCTCCCTCCTCATCGGCTGACTTCTTGCGCGAACGGGGACGCTTCGGACCCTGCGGAACAGAGCTGGCAGTGATGGACGGCTCTCCAGACGGGCGTTCTAGGAAGGGGTCCTCGGGCTCGGCCTTGTCGTTAGCCACGAGCGAACTAGATGGGTTCTGAGCACCCTCGGTAACAGGGTGTTGAGGGGTGGCCGTCTGTTCCGAAGATTGGCGGGCTAGACCACGGACCGTAATGGACCGCTTGGGCGAAGGGGTCGGAGGCCCCAGCAGGTCTGCGTTAGGGAGCGGATACTTCCTCGGTCTCCCCGGGCCTCTACCGGTACGCGGGCGCTTCGGTGTCTGGGCGACGGGGGAGTCGGGGCGACCACGCTTCCTTGTATTGGATGCCCGCGCTCTGGGTACTCTCGCCCTCGGTCTCTTTGATATTGGTCGATATTCATCATCATCCGGATCGGCAGGACGGGCACGAGGTCCACGTCCGCCTTGTGGGCCATCCACGCTCCCTTCACTACGCGATTCCTCCCCATCTGTGGGGTACTCGAGTTCAATCACCGGAACGGGTGAGCGCGGTGGAATGGGTGGGCGCGACGCAAACGAGGCTGGGAGGTCATCTTCGAAGTGGACCCTGCCCTGCGTTTTGGGAACGCTCGCCGTGAGCTCGTCAATGATTGCTGCCACCTCTGGGGCTAGCTGACGTACAACAGGACGTTGTGTCTTGGCGAGGCGATCGAGGACGGCAGCGATGGGATCACCCTGAGAGGGACTGGACCGCTTCACAGAGAGGCGAGTGAGAGCGGCAGCGATGGGGTCTCCCTCGGAAATACCCCTTTGCTCTACAGAAGCTGCGGCGGATTGGTGGGCCCCGGTTATTCCGAGGCGGGAACGCGGCAGTGCGGGCATTCGGGGGGCGGAGATTCTGCGGATGGGCGGGCGGGTCGAGACACTCGCCATCTCGTGGTCGTCGTCCTCAGCAAAGGCTGGGCCCCACGAAAATTCGTCTTCGGCTACCGTCTGGGAATACTCTAGTTCATCGGTAGGGGCGTGGGCGTCGGCGCGGCGTCGCTGTCGGCCAACGGCTGTGCCTGACGTTGAGGTGTTGTCGCCGAATAGGTCGATCGGGAAGTCGTCCTCGGACGGGTTGGCGTACCAGTCGCGGGGTGCGTTTGGGTACGGGTCGGTCCACCGACCGGCCTGGTGCTGGGAGTTAAACCCCTCCTAAGGGTCGACCCGTCCGGCATCGTACCAGGCTGGGGCGGTGGTCAACACGGCGAAGGGCGGGTCGCTTGCCTCGTAGTCGAGGCCGAGCTCGGCGGCCGACGCGGACCCAAGCATGCCAATGGGGTGGATGGCGTTGATGACCTCCAACTCCTCCTCCGTCAAGAGTGTGATCTCGGCGGGAACGAGGGAGTGGGCGGTAAAGACCGCCAGGGAGCCCTCCGGGATGACGCCGGCGTCGTGGAGTGCCTCCCAGTCCGGCCAGTCCGACTTGTCCAGGGTCGAGTACCTGCGGCCGGTCTTGCCCCCGATGGTGTAATTCATCGGGTGCAAGCCGTCCGACAACGGCACCCGAGCCAACCCCAACTTCTTGGCCCGAACGAGCGGGGCTCCAGGCCTCAACCGCAAAGGGTTGACGGTGTTCGCCGGCGGGTCCAGCCGGAGCAGGAGCTCCCCCCCTTTGAGGTTAAGCAACCTCTTGGCACTACCGCCCTCGCCCTCGCTGCCGGCCAAGAAGTGGAAGTCATCGACGAGGTCCCGGCAACCATCGTCGATCTGGACCTCGTGGAAGTCCGCCCCCGTCCCCTCCCAGAACCCCAACCGCGCGGCTACCCCGCCCATGCCCAAGAACTTGAGGAAGGCCCGCCCGCGGCGGACGTCCCCGGCCGTGATGCCCTCGTTGACGGGGCAGAGCGGGGCCAACTCCTCCGCCGGGGGGCTCTCGGCGCTGTGAGGGTGCTGGGTCAGCAGCTCGGCCCATTCCGTCTTCTTCTTGCGCTCCTCGGCGATCAGCCCGAGGAGCGACGTGGTCTCGACGTGGTCGAGGCCGAGGCTTTGGACGGCCCGAGATAGCGGCGCCGTCCGCGTCATGTCGCAGATGATGGCGTACTTGATGCCGTCTGAGAGATCGGCCCAGTTGGGCCGGGTGCCGTCCTAGCGAGTGTTAGTTAGTGTGTTATTTTCAACGTCTTCTTTTTTTGTCTCTTCTTACTGTGCTCCCACCGATGCTATCTCCGCTCCCATCGGAGAGGGCGGCGGAATTCTGCCTCGGCTTGCGCCTGGGGATGTTGGCCACGTGGGCCGGGCGTGAGGGAGGCTCCGAGGGGGTCGGCGGGGTGGGTGTGGTGGTGCTGGCGAGTGCGGCAGGTGGAGTGGTGGTGGTGTTGCCGGCCAGTGCGGTGGGTGGAGCGGGGGTGGTGGTGGTGCCAGTGGGTGCGGCGGCCATGGCGGGCAACGCGGGCTGGGCGAACCGGGGAGGCTTGCTGGTCGTCAACTCGACGATCCTGTTGTGGCGGAGCGGCAGCGCCTGCCCCTGCCGAAGGGTGCCACCCCTTCGGCTTCCCGACCGGGCGCTCCGGTACTCCCCGTCGGAGTCCGAGCTGCCGTCCTCGGTAGCGGGGCCGTTCGTCGCGACCTCCCAGCTACCTTCTCCGTCGGTCGTTCTCTCGACCGACCCCTCCCACTCTTCCTCCTCTATTCTTGCTGCCTCGCGAGCCGCAAGCCGGGCGCGCTCTGCCTCTGACGGCCCCACGCCCGCGTAGTCCAGCGGCAGGCTGGGGTGGGCGCAGTGCCGAGACAGCTCGGTGTTGAACGGCACGTCGGCGTGCACGAAGAGTGGGCGGTCGGCGTGCGAGGGGCCCAGGTCCTCCTGGTACCGCCCGGGAACTCGTAGCATCGAGCTCTCGCGGAGCCGCATGCCGGATGGCATCTTGGCGGTGGTTTGCTGTCGCTTGGGGGCGCTTTGAGTGGGGAGGTTGTTTATTCGTAGGCGAGGGAGTGAATAGGCCGCGCTGGTGAGCTGAACGCGGTTGTTCGATTGGCGGCGGTGAGGCAGCTCGTTGTGCTTGCACAGGAGGAACAGAAAGGATTCGGTGTTCTGGTCGGTTGTGGTGGTGGTAGTGATTGGAGCGAGCGCCGTACTTGTGGCGGAATGCAGAGGGGGGGCTGTATCTGCCTCGGCGAACAGAAAAGAAAAGAGGGAGAGAGGAGAGCTTCCTGGCCTGCTGGCTACCTTAATGGGCAGCGGATCGTGACTCGTGGGTCAGCTACCGAGATGAAAAGAGCAGAGGAGTGGGCGAGGAAAGAGGAGAGGCTCGGGCTCTTCGTGGGCCAGCCAGCTGTCGCGAAAAAATAAGGATTGTGATCTTCTTGTCGGTCACAGACACGAAAAGAGGAAGAAGGCGGTGTCTTGGTTGGCTCGGTTTCGAGAAAGAAGGGATCGTGGCTTTATCGCCGACGGCGGAAGAAAAGAAGGAGGATGGGGGTCTTCGTTTGGTATTTCTCACGAACAGAAGAAGAAAAGAAGGGGGCTTCTTGTCAGCCAAGAAGAAAGAGAGTGGAGGGAGCCTTCGCCTGCTAGTTATCTTGTAGGAAAGACAAAAGAGATGGGGTGGGTTATGGTTGGGCATAAAATTGAAAAGAAAGGGGACCCTTTGGTCGCGTGTTGTGTTGTCACGGTGGAAAGAACGCGTTTGGCTACTCCCATAAACAGCGAATGTCGCGTCTTGTCAGCTGGTTATTACACATCTTCCTAGTTTACCATACAAAATGAAAGAGAGAAAGGGAACTCCTTGTCCGCCACTCGTCGCAAAGGGGGTAAGAGGAACTGGTGCTCTTCTTAGTTTTGGTATGAGGTGCGAGAGATGTGAGCTTCTTTGGCTGCCCGTCTCGTGAATTAGCTGGGCTGTAAAGGAAAGAGAACAGTGCCACCAGTGAGACCGGACGAGAAGTTGTGGGCAGAAAGCAGAGGGGGCTAAAGGAGAACAGGGCTGTGCTCTCACAAACAGTGCGGTTTACTGCTTAGTTTGTTCTTTAGTTGGGAACAAACTAACTTCGCCCAAAAGGTGGAGGCGAACTAGTTAGTGAAGGGGGTTGGGCCATGTACTCATAAACAATGCAATTCACTTCTTAGTCAAGAAGATACTAGCTTGATAAGAAGTAAGGAGGTCACTCTGGAGTTAGAGGTGTCGAGTTAGGTAATGGAATGCCTCGTTTGGTTTAGTGAGGGCAGAATGAGTAGAGTGGAACGGTAGAGCTGAAAAGGGGGGAACAAGGTTGGTTGTGAGGAACACAGTGGGCAAAGGCAGAGAGTTAATGGAAGGTTTGATGGCTGAAGAGGAGACATGGAGTTGAAACATAGAAACTTGGAAAATCAAAGCAAACTTTCGAAGAGGGCATGACACACACGTGATTGTGGTTGTCTGAACAGTGACGCGTCTGGTGGCAATGATCCTGGAAGGGGTGAATCTAGTTTACAACTCGGTTGTTCTTATGTTGTGGGTTTAGATACGCTGGGGGACCTAATTATATCGTAAACGGAAGGTAATCCAGGGAGAGATTATTTTGTATTGTATAGAGCTTAGTCGAAATACATCGAGATGATCGATTCAATTTCCTCACCTTCTGATAGTCGATGTGAGACAGTTCTTTTAGATTTGTTTACTGTATTGTGCTAAAGGGGCGTTGCCATGGGCCTAACACGACCTAGGTCACTAGGTGGCCGTAAAGCAGTGAGCAGGGATATCGAGTCAAAGTTGGAGGACTCAATGATGTTGTCAGTTGTTAGGTCATGCAGTTGGCGGGGACACACAGCTCGCGTGGGCAGATATATTGATGGTATATAAATCTAATCCGGAAGCAGAGCCCAGTACAGAAAGCGAGTGCTCTCGTGTACTACACACTCCCACCGTTTCGCCATGATGCATGCGAAGAGATGCAATTTTCAGCAGAACAGCAACGCTCATAGCATAGACAGCACGCTTATAATGTAGCCAGCATGTCACCTCCTCGACTCGCCCTCATAAACCAAATCCTGCGCCGACCTGCGAGCCTTAGCACCGGCTTTGAGTTTCTCCCACCGGTCCCTGTACTTCTCCAGCGTGACTTGCAACTTCAGGTGATCCTTTTCCAGGCTGTTCATCCGCTGCACCATCTCGCTCATCTGCTCCTCGAGTTCCCGGTTCCGTTTCTTGAGCGCTTCATCCCCTGCCCCACCCGCCACCGCCAGTCCCAGGCCGCTAGAGGAGATGGGCGAGGTGGGCCGTTGCAGCCGCAGACTCTGAGCCAGCGCGAGATGGGAGCTCTGCGAGTTGAGCTCGAAATTGTGCAGACGCTTGCTCACTTTATCGAGTACGTCCTTGAGGGTGGAGTTTTCGAGGTACAGCTCCTCGACCATGTTGCGCAGGTCCTTATCAGACCGGGCCCTGGAGACGAGCTTCCGGAAGGTCGGCGACATCGGCGCCTGTGACTCGCGGGCGTCGACGAAGTCGTCTTCGTCCTCGTTGTCGTCGTTCTCGTCAACGCCGCGGTGTAGCGACGCGGCCAGGCGGCGCTTCTCTTTGTTTTCGTGGTTTAGGACGCTCGCGTACGAGGCGGTGTGCCCGCTAGTGGGAACCACGTAAAAAGAGTCCGCTGCGCCATGGCCGTCGCGTTCGAGAGAGCGCAGCGTGGCGCGAGAGTAGATTTTTGAGAGGTCTGGGTCGGCGGCTGAGGTGGAGGTTTTATGTCGAGACTTCTTTTGAGGTGGCTCAACGGGAGGGGGGCTAGGTGCGGGGGTCGACTCCTCTGGGACCAGTGGGAGACCGGTGAAGGCCAGAGGCGCTGACAGCCGGTTTATCAAACTACCAAAAGTACTGTAAAACTTGGAGAAGCCATCTTCGCTTGGAGTCGGGCTGCTCGGCTCATGCTTTGCGGGTTCGCTGGCGGTATCTTCCTGGCTGACCGGGGGTACCCAGCTTGGATTCCGCGCTTGCTCTAGCTGATTTGGAGGTTTGCTCTTCGTAGAGCCCTCCCTACGAGGGCGTACTTCTAGGCTCCCGGGTGCCTGGTCATTCGACACGCTGGGAGTGAGCGGCTGTGTGCTATAACTCGCTCGGATCCCTCGCGCCGACGCCAAGTTGCTCGCGATCGAAGACGAGAGGTTGCGCCCAGGGTATCGAGGATGTGATAAGGTAGGTGGAGGTTTCCCGGAAGGTTTCTTCTTCGTGGGGAGCAGCTCCTCTCGTGGAGTCGCCGCCTTGTGATCGCCCTCTATCCCCTCCTCCTTCTCGTCCTCCTCGGGAATGTCATCAGGGCCGGGCTGGCTTGGTGGGCCGCGGGGCAACTTCAGCAGTTCCGATAGTCGTTTGTGGTGCTGCTCCAGCAGCTTTAGGGTCCGTAAAGCCTCATAACTGTTTGTAGTTTTCGAAGCATTCGCAAACTCGCCGGCGGCCTGGGCGTGCTCGTTGATAGCGACCGTCGTGTCCGAAGCGTGCGTCGCAATTGCCGCTGCTCGTGCGTGATCGTGCGCCTGAACGGTCAGCTGAAGCTAAGCTGCTAAGCCGATGGTTGCAGGGCATACCTTTGTCAAAGGCGACGACTCCATGTCTCGAGAATCGGGTGTCGCATCAGGGCCTCGAGGCAATTGTATGGGAGACAGCGCTTGAAGTTGGGAGGTGGGCGTTGACGGATCAAGGATGGCGGGGGACGGCACGGTAGGGCTGGAAGCGACGGGAGTTGATGGCCCCAGGTCCTGGTTGCCACTGCACCGCAACCCGGGGATTTGGGATACCTGGGAGGAAGAGACTTGCCCCACTAAAGCTAAAGGGAGAGGAGACAGTCTCCGAGAAACCTTGATGAATAGCAGTTTAATGATTTGAAGTAGCCACACTTTCACCTAAATACGAATAGTTCATTAAGATATGCCTACCTATGTACATAGCCAGGGAGTTACCGAAACGCCCAGTTCGGTCAATTGTTCCTCAGACCCTCAGGGGGGTTCCCGCCCGGAACAAGCTCCTGTCAGGGAGCCTCGTGGCTTGGTTGTTCTTTGCCGAACCCATTTACCCCTGCGATACCATGGCTCATGGATGGAACCTTGGAAGTTCTGGTTACATTGGCCACAGGACGAATTCGCCCCCAACTTTGAATACGGTGGTGGAACACACCAACTTCAAACACATTGAGGGGCTCACAAGCTGGCCCCCAGCCATCGTAACATCGAGTTTTACTTCGGATGCCCCTTCTTTTCTCATACGTTTCGATCCATCCGTCAACTCTCGATACTATCCAATATCTGGCCCACTGCTTCGAATTCCCCGATCACCTCACTCCAATTGTCGCCGGTCTCGGCGTCATGACTACCAGGTGTCGTGTATGACACTGCATCCGCTGTCTCACAGCCTGCATCTCGGACACAACGCAGGGATCATTGAGCGCCGCAAACCGCCGCCACAATGGATACCCCGTCGAACCAGTCCAACGGGATTGGAAAGCTGCTGCCCAAGTCCATCGCAGCAAAACGGCGGCGCAACAAGAGCTCGTCGACGGCCGAAACGGCAAGCATTAGCGATGATGTTGCGTCGCAGCGAGGCGGCATCGCCAGTCGCAGCACTTTCGGTAGCGACACCAACTCGCTCAACGGCAGCCTGAACAGCAACAACACCGACCCAGCTATTGACGACTTTGACCGGGAATCGTGAGTTGCCTGCCCCCTTCCACCATTTCACCCTTTTCACCCTTCATCAATGTGCCAATTCGCCAACCCTGTCCGTCTGCTCTTGGCAGTGGATTCGGAGTACGCGTATTGCTCGTACCATACTGCAGAACACGTACAATCTGCCTAGCTGCTGCGCAATAGTTATGTATGTGTGTGCGGAAGTCGCATGCACGTATTCACTAGTGAGCAGCACTTAGCTGGTCGGAGAGCTTGGTCCCACCCGAGCCTTCGGACGTTGCCTGCGCCTCCCCCAGCAGACGTTTCTGCTGGATGTTGGCCCTCGCATCAGCCTCATCCAGTCTTTTTCTTCCACTGTTCCATTTATTAAAATTCCCGGATTCCCGGATTCGTCGTCTCATCATAGCGCTTTTCTTTGTATCTCTAGGCGGCTGGCCCTGCCTTGTCGCAGCAACTGACATCACTACCACTCGCTAGCATCAACCGAAGGCCCACCGCCACCTCTACCAATTCGTCACCAATCGACCACTTGACGACGAATTCCTCGCCGTTAATACAGGTTTCACACAATCCAGGACAGTTCGCTTCCGATACGACGTCGCAGAAGTACACGCGGTCTCCCACTTTACCCCAGGATAGCTCCGACAGCCTCGAGTCCGCCCCGTCCCTCGACCGGAGCCGGACGACACTCGGCCCTCCCGAACTCCGTGCGAAACGATCCTCTAGTCGACTAAGAGACGTGTTTAAGCCGAAGAAAACCTCGAACGACGGAAAGAGCCCGACTTCGGAGGGAAAACCGGAAGACGCACCGGCAGGAGACCTCAAGAACGAGCTCAAGACCGAGCCCAAGACTGAGCCCAAGCCCTCGGTCGACCGCAGCCGACGCTTCTCGCGGGGCCAAAAGCTCGAACCGTTGAGGGTGCCACCTCGAACCCCGCCCGGGGACCCAGCAGCACCAGTCATCGTGAACACACCGCCGACGCCGACTGAAACCCAGCCTGGTATTGCAACGGCTACTGGCCCCCGTCGCCCCGCCGATGCGGTTCTGGCGGAAGGCATGATCACCCAGAGACGGAGGGCAGGCTCCAATGCTGGCCCAAGCAAGCTCTCTAGCGTGGCCGCCCCACCGCTGACGCCGACACCCGAGAACGGCCCGGCATCGCCTGGCAACCCTGCTGCCACCTTTTTCTCTTCCATGTTCTCGGCAGTCCAGAACACCGCCAACTCACTCTCCACCACAATACCAGCCTTGGCCCAGGGCCCTCCCAAGAGTAGGGGGACACCGGTAAAAGAGCAGGCCGAGAGGGAGCTAGACAACGTCGAGGTGGAATCCGTGGCCTCGCAACGACCGTCTACCGAGCCCAAGGAGCCGGCCATCAAAACACTCGGCATGGGTGACCTTAGTCTAAGCCAACTGGGCATTGCCGACGCCCCAAGCCCCGCGCCGAGCCCTGTCATTGCGCGCTTCTCCGACACCGAAACGCGATCGAGATCCGAATCCGCACCACCGGAGCCCAATATCTCCGGCATTGACCTTCCCGAGGACCCGAATGCCTCCCGGCCGCGGTCCGTTCAGGAAGCAGCGGGGGGCGAGCGGACGACCCCGGCCGGCAGCGTTTACGAGGATAAGACGGGAATCCACCGCAGCGGCAGCATACGCAGCGCTATCGGCCATCGTCGGAACCGCGGTAGTAGCATTGCCACCCATGGGACCACAGCCACAAGCACTATCGGTGCTGCCATTGCGGCCGCCAACTCCTCACTCGTGAACCCAAACATCGGCGCCCCGAAGCTCACCGGGTTCGCCGTCGCCAACAAGAAGCGAAACCGCGATTTCCACGTGCTATTCAAGAGCGTGCCCGACGATGACTACCTGATTGAAGACTACAGCTGCGCCCTGCAGCGCGAGATTCTTGCACACGGCCGCTTGTATATCTCTGAGGGCCATCTGTGCTTCAGTAGCAATATCCTCGGTTGGGTCACGACGCTCGTCATGAGCTTTGACGAGATCGTCGCGGTCGAGAAACGCAGCACGGCCCTGGTGTTCAAAAACGGCCTCGAGATTTCTACGCTGCACGCAAAGCACGTCTTCGCCTCGTTCGCCAGCCGCGACACCACCTACGACCTTATTATCAAAATCTGGAAACTTGGCCACCCCGAGCTCCAGAGCTCTCTCAATGGTGTCCGTCTGGAAGAGCCAGGCGGCGACCGGACCGAAAAGCTCGACGCCGAGACGGTATCTGTCACAGGTACCCAGAGCATTTCAGGGTCTGAGGAGGAGAGCGAGGATGGAGATGACGTCTACGACGAGGACGAGGACGAGGAGGACAGCCAAGCGGGCGGGCCTCTGTCTGATGGCCCTGTTTCAGACTTCACCGAAAAGGCTGCCCCGCGCAAGGTCTCCGGCGGTGCAGCACCTCCCGAGAAACAGGAGGACGGCTCACCGGCGGCCGGTACCGATTTCCCTGGCCCCGCGACACACGCACCCACCGACTGCGGCGATGCGGCGACGCATTACGAGAAGGTGTTGGGTGACGACGTCATCCCCGCTCCACTCGGCAAGGTGTACACCATGTTGTTCGGTCCCGCCTCGGCAACCTGGATGGGCCGGTGGTTGACGACGGACCAAAAGTGCATGGACCTTCAGATGGAGGACAAGCGTGGCCTGACAGACGAGATCAGGACGCGCAACTACACGTACATCAAGCCGCTGTATGCTTCGATAGGGCCGAAGCAGACAAAGTGCGTCGTCACGGAGCAGCTCGAGCACATCGACCTCGAGAAGGCCGTCAACATCCTCGTCAGCACACAAAACCCCGACGTCCCGAGCGGCAACATCTTCGTCGTCAAGACCAAGTACTGCCTTACCTGGGCGGAAAACAACGGTACCCGTATCCAGATCAACAACGTCATAGAATGGTCCGGCAAGAGCTGGCTGAAGGGTACGTGCTGCCTTTCCCATCCACATCGTGCGCGACTAACTAACTAATCCCCTAGGTGCCATCGAGCGCGGCGCAAACGAGGGCCAAGCCCAATTCTGCAAAGACCTCTTCGCCGGCCTCAAGGCTGCCGTCTCGTCCCGCGTACGGTCCAGCACCATGAACGGCGCTGCCGCCCGCGGCAAGAAACGTGGCCGCAAGGGCAAATCCGCCCTCACCTCGAACCCCGCCAGCGATGCCGAGGGCGCCTCCAAGGCCCTGGCCAAGCAGAGCTGGGGCCTCTTTGAGCCCGCGCGGCCCATCCTCAGCCCCGTCGTCGACACCATCCGGCCGATCCTCACCGGCAATGTCGTCTACGGCTTACTTGTTGGACTACTGGTCGCGTCCTGGTTCGGGTTCGGCACCCGCCAGGGCGCGCCGCGGTATTCCCACGACCCGGCGTACGCCAACGCGCCACAGCGGCTGGCGGCGTACGAGGAGATGTGGAGGAAGGAGGAGAGCGATCTGTGGGAGTGGATCGAGGAGCGCGCCGGCCTGGAGCGGCTCGGCGCCGACCCGCCGCTAAGGAAGCGGAGCGTTGATCCGCGGACGGTGGAGGAGAAGCTGAGGGAGGAGAGGATGGATGAGCGGGAGTTGAAGGAAGCGATACGCGTTACCGAGGAGCACCTCGAGGTGCTGAAGTCGGTGATGGGGAAGGAGGACGCGGGGAGGTGACGGGGGGGGGGGATCTTTTTCGACACATTATTACACCACACTACTACACTCATTGCGGCGGGCGCCCATGGCTGATTCTCTTTGTTGTATCAATTCTGGGGGTATAGGGTTTAAGGTATCATAAGCTGTGCATAAGCGAACAATTCTGACATTTACTTGTTTGTCACCACTCTGAGCCCTCATCTTGCACTTTCGAACAACTACCTGTTTCGTGACAAATGATCATCGGTTGATCGGGGAAACTGGGTAGTTATGATGCAACTGGAAGCCTCATCACCGTTGAATATCAAACAAGTAGTTCAACGCATTACTTTAGTTTCACTGACGGCCGGGGACGCTTTCTCCTCGACGAGATGACCTGCACAACCCGGATAGATACTCTACTATGCCGCAACCCCCCGTTAAATGTGCTTATTTCTTTTACCCATTCCAACGCCATCCCATGCAATGCAATGCGCACCCACCCCGGACTCGTAGTAGGAACCATTAAAACCAACGCCCACTTCCCTTTTCTTCCTTCAAATAACCACCGAACCCCTTCCGCCTGCCAGACACATACACCCCCACTTTGGCCACCACATACACTCCCACCGTAACCACCACCATTGACACTGCACCACCCCAACTAACACTTCCACTACCACCCCCCAACAAAGGCACCACCAGCCCACCTACCAAACCTCGGGCCCAAACCTCCCCCCCTCCGGCACACTCCGCCACGCGCACGCCTGCCAGTCACACCCCCTCTTATACACCTCGGTCCCCCACCAACTAAACCCGCGCATGGCCCCGGAGTACACAAACCCAAAGAACACCACCACAATCCCAAACGCCAGCCCGGAATCCAGCGCCGCGCTCAGCGTCATGGTGTACTTGGCCCACCAGGCGGGCGCGCGGCGCTTGACGGCGTAGTTGAAGACGTAGCAGACCAGCGCCCAGACGGAGAAGTTGAGCCCCGTGGCGGGCGGGATCCAGCCGAGGGAGCCGAAGAGGACGGGCAGGTTGATCTTGCGGATGACAGAGTTGCGGCGGTGGCGGGCGTAGAGCCATAAGGGGAGGGGCAGGACGGCGCCGATGGCGAAGGCCCAGATTAGGGGGCGGTAGGTGGCGGTGGGGCCGAAGAACTCGGCGGGCCCGACGACGCCCCAGAGGATGGAGCCGTTGAAGTGCACGCGGGCGATGGGGCAGGTGAAGCCGTTGATGGCTTGCTGGGTGCAGAGCCCCGGGACGTGGACGAACATCCAGTTGAGGACGGCGATTTGGGTGAGGGAGGAGATGATGGTGGCGACGATCTGGACGGTGAAGAGGATGCGGGGGGGGATCTTCATGTAGTGGCCGAGTTTGAGGTCGGCGGCGAACTTGATGCCCTGTGCGGAGGAGATGTAGCCGTAGGTGACGAAGACCATGTTGGCGACGGGGCGGCCGGGGAAGAGGATGCCGGCGATGAGCTGGCAGATGAGGTAGATGGACGAGTGTTGGTTGGTGACCGCCATGATGATGCCGATGGGGATGAAGAGGATGGTGCAGATGCCGAGCGCGAGGAGGAGGCCGTACCAGGGAAGGTGGATCGGGTAGCTGGGCTGTTGTTAGCCGCCGGTCAAGCTGCACACTTTGTAAGAGAAACTCACTACTCGACGACAAAAATGCCGATTGCTGTCATAGAGACAAAGGTCATGAGATACCACATCATCGGGGCGTCCTTGTATCTCCTCATCAGGCGATTGTGGACATCCTCGCGACTCATGATGTTGTCAATGCTCATCGAGGACCTGTTTGCTCTCCTGTCTCGGCCATTAGGCGACCTGGCCGATCTCTCACTTGGCTCAGAGACTGGTTGATATGTGCCCTTCTGCTCCCCGGACGTCTCCTCCAGCGACCGCTTCCACTGCGTCCATATGTCCTTCCCATGCCAGCAGGCCGTGTGCGTCAAGAGTGCCGCCAGCCCGGCAAACTGCACGCCATAGCTCAGCACATACGTGATGGGGAGGAACACGCGGCTGTACTTGGAGTAGGCTTCCCGGTCGAACATGAAGTCCTCGGTCAACACCTTGCTGACGTCGTACACATTGCCCGTGTTGTCAAACACGGCCGCCGACAGGATCGGCATATACGACGAGTACAGCCAGTTGCTGTAGTACGCGATGGGCGCGACAATCCACATGACCACAACCAGCCCGCCCACCACATTCATGGCGGCCCAGAAAGGGGTTAGCAGCGGCGAACCGATGTAAGCGACCTGCGCCCAGTCAAAAGTCAACGGGAACAGCCCCAATCCCGAGACGACGCCAAACAGATTTGCGACGACGACATTGTCAGGGGCAAACCAGGTGATCACGTTAAAATAACTCAGCGCTGGCATCAGCAGTCCCGGCAAAAAGTAGAAGAGAAAGGCGCCTAGCCAGACGGCATAGAAGAACTTCCACCGGCTGATCCTCCAGCCGTTGGCCTCCTTGTTTTCCTCCTTGTGGAGGGTGGTAAACATGGCTGCCGACATGAGGGTGCCCGGCCATATCATACCGCTCGGCCGAACCAGAAACCTCCGCGTAAGGCCGGCAAAAGTGTATCCCAGTATCTGGGTAGATATCGTCAGCAGGAGCTGGTATACGATACTGGCCTCCTGCTTGTAGAACTGCGTCTGCTCGACGATGACGTCGGTCGCAAAGGCAAAGCCGAACGACACATTGCTGCTGACATAGACGCAGCTATGCTCCTTCTCGTTCCACCGGCCCTGCGCAAGCCATAGCCGGACCCGATCAAGCCTGCCCCTGCCTTCAAGAGGGACGAATCGCGAGCGAGGGTCAGAGCTGGCGACCGGGGGGCTGCCGCTTCGGAGCCCGTCGATATACTCCTCCGGAGGATCGTCTGACCGTTTCAATAAATAGTCCCATAAGAGACCAAGAGGGTGTACCATTAACAATGCTATAACTGGCGTAATTGCAACACTGGGGTATCTTAAAGAGAAAAACAAATTCGTCGAGGAGCCGAGAATGGAAAAAAGGATGGAGAGGGCCCACATCCGAGGCGTGTTTATCGACAGGCTCGTGTTGTCGGTGGAGGAGACGGACGCCCGAACCTGCGCGTAGGGGGAGTTATCTGGCGGATCTTCGTCATCGAAAGCCTCCGAGTCGGACACGAAGGACCGCTCATCGTCTTCGTCCTCTTCGCCTTCCGGCTGCTTGCCCAGGTCGTTCAGCAGTGGTGTCTCAGTAGTGCCAAAACGACCCTCGAGTCCCCCAATAGTAGTGGATCCCCCGAGCTCCTCCGACTGCCTAGGCGTCCGTCTCGAGGTCGGTGACCTGGGCTGGGAGCCATCACGGCGCCGTCGCACTCCGAACCCCCCCAACGAGTCTCGACTCGCATCCGAAGGCTTTCGAGACGGCACCAACGGGGCGGTGACCCCCTCATCGGAACTATCATCCGAGGGCCGCGGCGTTATGGAGCCGTACGAGGGACTGCTGCTGTGGCCGGCGGCCGAGTGCAACGGCGGGGGGTCCTTGGCCATGTGTTCGGGTGCCGGGTCGCTCGGGCTGTCGGTCTCGGTCTGGTCAGCCGCTCGCACAGTCGACTCGAGTCCGCGGCCATTGGGGTCAGCAGGTCGAAGCTCGGTCCCGGAATGCGGTGGTGGGAGCGACGTCGCCGTGTTGTCGCGTGTGTGGGGGGGAGGAGGAGGAGGGGCAGAAAAGTCCGGGGCAAGCTGCGGCGTGGGTCCCTTTCCTTGTGTGGGTCCCGAAGCCAGGGATTGTAGTGGAATTGCCCGGTCCGATTCGAGCTGCGTGTCTGATGGAGTGCTTCTCCCTCGAGGGAGAGTCATGAGCGGCTTGCCTTTCTCGGATATCTCGGGACGGTGCGGGCAAGAAAGCTTGAAGCTAGCGCGTGGGGAAGCTGCAGGAAGGCAGGCCTTCAACAGAGGAAGCGAGGAACTTTAGGACGGCATTGAGCGGCAGCAAGTAGCAGTGGTAAAGGCAAGAGAGACCGTAATTGCATTGCTTGCGTCTCGATCAGATCTTTCCCGGGCAGAGACGGTGAACGGTTCCTTAGCTTAATTAATCATTGCAGCACTTCGGGCTCGAGAAACCGATTAAGTTGAAGCTGGACTGATGAAGTGATGGAAGCAGCCGAACCGGACCCCCACAGAATCCCCTGTCGCCCTCGAAGTGGCGCACTTGGCAATGAGGGAGAACTGCAAAACAGGGCCGACCTCGTGTTTTAGTTTGGAGAATGGTGGGAAGTTTTGAGAGTCTTCGATATGTGGATTAGATAAACATGCAAGATAAAAAATTCCAATTGTTGATGCGTGCCGGGAAGATGCAGCCTGACGACATCTGGTGTGTATTTCCAGGTCACGGTTGGTACATACACATGGCAGAAGGGCGATATGGACCCGCAACGCAACCTGCGGCCGGGACAAGGCGTGGCATTCCACTCGGCGCATACTTTTACCACAATTCCATGCAAGGGCCCATCCAACCGTGCCAACGTACCAACCCAACAAACAAGTCACTCACTCACTCACTCAACCCACATCGCCACACATTCGGAATCGGGTTGTAACAGAGATAACAGTTGCCTGAACGCCCATGTCTGATGTCTCCGGAGAAGAGGACACCATGGCGTCCCTCAACGTGGCCAAACGACACCTCAGAGCTGTCATGAAACAAAAGCTAAAAGCCGTGCCCCAGGAGTCTATCGTGTCGCAGAGTACGGTCCCCGCAGGCACACCTTGAACCGGGCTAAGCATTGCAGGCTCGACGGTCTACAGCACGCTCAAGACCCTCAGCGCTTATGCCAAGGCTAAGCGAGTCAGCGTGTTTCTTTCCATGCCCACGGGCGAGATCCAGACGGATGCCATAGTCCGGGACGCCCTCACGGGGGGCAAGGAGGTTTTTATCCCCTACCTCCACAAAAGCCCGGTCCCGGACCCGGCCCTACCAGCACGGGTGATGGACATGGTCCGCCTGCGCGACCTGGCCGACTACGAATCCCTTCAGCCGGACAAATGGGGCATTCCGAGCATCGACCCGAACACCGTCGCCGAGAGGCAGCGGGTATTCGGCGGACCAGATGGCCCGCACTCCGACAGCACCCTGCTGGATCTCGTCCTCATGCCGGGCGTCGCTTTCGACACCCACCCCGACGACGGCGCCATCAGGCGGCTCGGGCATGGCAAGGGGTTTTATGACTACTTTCTCTTCCGGCACGGGCTAAAGGCGGGTTCGCTTGGGCAGCAAGATTCCCCTGTATTGCTTCTTGGCTTAGCCCTGTCTGAGCAGTTCCTATCTCCATCCGAGGGGGCAGTACCTGTTGGTCCCCTAGATCAACCTCTGGACGGCCTGGTCCTCGGGAACGGTGAGGTTAAAGGCCCGCTTGCTCCGGCAAATAAAACAGACTAATCAATCCCACATCGGTTTCGTCGTGCGCCTGTCCCGCTTTTCCCTGGTATCCCGTTTCGTAGTGCTGGCCGTGTCTGATTGACGTTATGTGGAAATCGATTCATGTCACGCTTCCGCCACGCGAAAGCAGCGTCCCGCCGGCGCCTCACCCGGACACGCTCTGGATGAGGGAAACGTTATCGCCCTTCAGCAGGATTTGCTACTCCCAGTCAGCCATTGTCATCCATGATTCGCCAAACAAGAACGTACTCCCAATTGCCTCCTGGATTCGGTATCGTTCGTCTTGGAAATCTGCTTGACCTCGACCGCATCGTCGATCTAAAGAATCGGGTTAGACCGGTTCATCGTGCATCTCGGCTCCAGCAGCGGCACTTACGACCAAGTTCATGAACTCATCGAATCCCTAGACAGTCTGTCAGAAACTACGATTCCTAATGTCGGTCGGATCGCTTACCCGAATGGTGCCAACAATGCGGATCGACAGCTGCTCGTACAGCCAGATCTGGACTGTGGTGCGCTGTTGCAGGAGGCGGAAAAGAAAGTTGATTGGGGGCAACAAAACGCGGCGACCACCGCCGCCACCTCTTCCAGTCATTATGTGTGGTTGGTGATGTTGGAATGCGAAAAAAAGGGTTGGTGTGTGTAGTGCGTTGCTCAATGCTGGTCGCGCCTGGCGTGTCGTGGACTCGGAATCAGAAATCTGGCGGAGCTTGGTCTGCGGCTGCGAAACGGTGCCCGAGACTCACGCGAGGCACATGGTCCGTGCACCTGCCCCTCCTTTTCAAGCCACAGCGCCGTCCGGTCGGGTGGGGCACCGCTGCAATGTTTAGGCAAGCCTGACGTCCCTTTCTTTGAGTTGGAGGGGGGACTCGCCAAACCATCGTCGCCAGAAATCTCGACTTGCGCCAGGCCATCCCACCTTCCTCCCAAGCTCACGGCTGCTTTTTCCGGCTGCGCTCAGTCATTCAGGCGACAGAAACTCCACATCGCGCCAGCACCTCCTTCCCCGTGCGATTTCTCGAGCTTTGTCTTTCCGGCAGCCAGTGGAGGAGATAAGGCAGGAGGGAGGGGCACATCAGTCGTGCGGCAACCGCATTTTGCATGCACCTACCTTGCCTCCCAGAGCTTGGCGGTATTCACAACCAACATTCCACTGTTCTTTCACAACACGACATCCATCGCCATGGCGTCGAATACGCCCCAGGAGGGTTTTGAGGTCCAAACCGTGCTGGCAGCCATGCTGACCATGCGGAGCGGAGAGAATGAGAAGAAAAAGGTTGCGGTCGAGTACTTGGGAAGGTTCCAGAAATCGGTCAGTCCAACTCGCTACCGGATGTCGACGGATGTCGAGGAAAGTTATTAACGGCCGTGTAGAAGGATGCTTGGACGACTACGATATCCATTCTCAAGAATTCGACAGAGGCGGAAGCACAGCTCTTCGCCGCGACGACCCTGAAGGGCAAGGTACATCGAATACTATAACCCCCGCCAACCGATCAGGCAAGCGCTGACCCGTGCCAGATCACATACGACCTCGGGGCCCAGATCTCAGAGGCCGACCTACCGGCGCTGCGCGGTGAGATTTTGCTGCTTCTCAAGAAGTATGCACCGGGCCCCAAGCCCGTCCGAGTCCAGCTGTGTGTTTGCCTGGCGATTCTGGCCATCCAGATGCAGACATGGAAGGACGTGCTGCCTACCGTTGTCTCGACCCTCGGGAACGATGTGGAGAGCCACGCCTGCATCCTCGACTTCCTGCGCGTGCTCCCCGAAGAGGTCACGGAGGGCCGAAAGATCACCTTGTCTGTATGTGGAACGATATGTTGCGACTCGCCTCTACCAACTCGGCATCCCATTTGCGCGGATCGGCCTAAGATCACAGTCTAACTCGGTCGTGATAGGAAGAAGACCTCGCCCAGAGGACATCAGAGCTGTTGGCGGACAATGCCGAGCAGGTGGTGCAGTTGCTCGTCAACTATGCGCAGTCTTCGCGTGAGTCGTTTTCCCCTGGTTGTATGGTCGAAGCTGACGTCCCTGTAGCCGCCGCGGCGACAAATTCCCAGCTGTTCGACTGCATCAGCTCGTGGCTCCGGGAGGTGCCCGTTAGCGTCATCGTTAACTCGCCCCTGATGAACGCCGTCCTGCACGGAGTGACCGATGACAAATCCCTATTGGCTGCGGCCGACTGTCTGGGCATCATTTGCAGGGAGACCAAGGATGTCGACGACAACTTGGAGACAATCCAAGCCCTGCTCCCCAAGGTGCTTCAACTGCGCCCCCGCATCCAGGCCCTGGTGGACGAGGAGGACACCGAGGGTTTCAAGGCAATCACCAAGGTGTTTGCCGATGCCGGCGAATCGTGGGTATTGATCATCGCTCGCCAGCCTCAGGCTTTCCGGCCCCTCGTCGAGTCTCTGCTCGAGTGCTGCGCTAGGGACAAGGAGCGGGAGGTCATAGGATACACCTTCTCGTTCTGGTACGAGTTGAAGCAGTACCTGACGTTAGATCACTACATAGAAGCCCGGGTGCAGCTTCTCGACGTCTACGCACAGCTTGTGGACATCATGCTCAAGCAGCTCGAGTATCCCCACTCTGACAACCCGAACGAAATCGACTTATTCGACGGCGACAGAGAGCAGGAGGAAAAGTTCCGCGAATTTCGGCACCACATGGGCGACACACTCAAGGATAGCTGCGAAGTGATGGGTGTCGCGGCCTGCCTCACCAAGGTACACGACGCCATCAAGCTGTGGCAGGAAAAGTATGGCAGTCAAGCGACACAGACGGCGGTACCCCACTGGCAGTCCCTCGAGGCTCCCCTCTTTGCAATGCGGGCGATGGGCCGGATGGTGGAATCAACCGACAGCAGCGTTCTACCCCAGATTTTCCCACTTTTGGTCCAGATTCCCATCAGCAACGAAAAGCTGCGGTTCGCTGCCATCATGGTCTTTGGCCGTTACACCGAGTGGACTGCCGCACACCCCGAGTTCCTCGAGTCCCAGTTCTCGTACATTGTCGCGAGCTTCCAAACCGACTCGCAGGAAATTCTCCGCGCTGCAGCTCAAGCTTTCATGTACTTCTGCGTCGACTGCAAGCAGCTCCTGAGCCCACAGGTTATTCAGCTACAGTCATTCTACGATCAAATCCTCGACAAGCTCCCCGTCTCAAGCAAGGAGGAGGTCACGGAAGGGGTCGCTTACGTCCTTAGTGTCCAGAAGACGGAGGACTTGTACAAGCTCCTCAAGCTCTACTGCGACCCCCTGGTACAGCGGCTGATGACCAAGGCTAACTCGGCCACCGAAAACAAGTCGAAGCTTGACCTTGCCGGTAAGTCTATTTCCCCAAAAGTCACATCAAAACTCGTACTAATTTTCCAGACCATGTCAACCTCGTCACATTTTTCGTCCAGCACGTTGTACCCTACATCCCCAGCAACGAGGAGAACCCTGCGGTTAAGTACTGGCAGGAAGTGTTCCCCATTCTGTCCACCATCCTCGACAATTTCAGCGACTTTGTCCCCATCTGCGAGCGGGTCTGTCGCTCCTGGCGGTTCATGGTCATCTCATATCGGACGGCCATCAAACCCCTACTACCTTTCCTTGCCAACAAGCTGGCAACAGGGTTTGCCCAGTCCAAGCAGGGCTGCTTCCTCTGGGCCACCAGCGCCATCCTGCGCGAGTTTTCCGAGGAGAGAGAGCACGTGGAAGATGGCATTACCGAGGACATTTACATGTTCTTCGAGGCGCAGGCAACAAGCGTGCTCCGCATCATGAGCGCCCTGCCGGCGGTCGACCTTCCCGACGTCATCGAAGACTTCTACCGCCTTCTTATCGATGCCCTCCTCTACTACCCCGCTAAGCTCATCCCTTCACCTCTATTCACGCCCATTTTCCAAGCCGCCATATCGTCCCTGGCCTTGGAGAAGCAGGAGCCAGTCTCAGCAGCGCTCCACTACATCCGAGATCTGCTCACCTACGGTGGCACGAATCCCGCGGCGTCCGGCAGTGACCTCGGGCCAGCCGGTCAGCAGCTGCGCCAGATTGTCAAGCAGCTCCTCCTCACGCAAGGTGAGGCTCTCGTCAAGCAGACGCTCGCCGGCATGATGATCACGTTCCCCCGCGACTGCTTTGCCGACGGCAGCGGCGTGCTCCTCGGTATGTTTGAGCTGCTCCCCGTCGAGACGGGCCAGTGGGTCGACCGCACAGTGCGCATGCTACCGCAGGGCACCATTACGCCCGCCGAGGCCGACCGACTGCTCGTCAAGATCAAGGAGAAACTGCAGGGATCCGAGCCGTCCAATGTCCGGCAGATCCGCGTGCTTCTACAGGACTTTACGAACACGTACCGCCGGCGTTATGTCGCGCCCCGCGACGGACTGGGCGAGCTTGAGGCTGCGCGCTTTCACTTTGCGGGCTAGGAGCCTTGGCTGTGGGGTCGGCGCTGTGGGTTTCTGAATTGAGGTGAGGGTGAGGTGAGGTGAGGTGTGAGGTTGAGCTGCTCCTACCCACGCAAAATACCAGGGAACAGCTTACGGTGGTAGGAGAACCAGGCCGGAATGTTGGTGAGTGAGGTGCGAAGAGAGGAGTGACGGGGTGTGGGGGGATCATGCATTAGACAAGATGAAAGGAGATGGATTGGTGCCTCGACTCTGGGGAACCGGAACTTACGAAGTAGTGGTTGATGTAGATATGTCATGTACGGAGGTAGAATAATAGTCATAGTGGATGGAACAGCTTGCGGTGGCATGGAATCGTATGGGGACCGGATATCCAAAATCAGAGGGAAAAGGGGTGGCAGGCCGCTGATTTCGATCATAGGGGTTATATACTGGAGCACTATGTTCATGTCTGATGGCATGATTAAGAAGTAGTTGCTCCAGCCCCTGGTGTTGGGAACAATATTGATCAACTTAAAAGATCTCCCAACACAACGTTTAGTTAACGCCCCATGAAGCGTTCCTCTGCGCGGTCTGAAATACGTGTATCATCCATTAACTCCGCCAACCATCCTTCAATTAACACTTAAGGTGTGAATAACCATCCCCTTCATTATAGTCCGCCGATCGTAACTCATGTTCAACTCTTCGCCACAGATGCTTCCTCCACGCGGCATCCCACCTGTAAACGTTAAACATGTCTCTAGTGCTCGTCCCACTGGGGCGGTCATATCAGCAACATGATAACAAACTATCATCGCGCGTATCATAAGTATCCCTCCGTCTGACGTCGTCTGTGTAACCTGTTGGTGGAAAAAGGGGGTTGTTTGTGGCCTTTCTGCCTCAGTAGCGGCGTTCAGGGCGAGCGAGGAGGCACCGATGGCTCCGGAGGGGGGGGTGACATTGGGCTTGCCGGCGGGCGGCGGTGAACCGGAGTATACCTCGGGCTTGTTGGAGATCACGGTGGCTCTGGCGTTGGCGAAGCGCGTGAAGCATTCGTTGAGGATATCCTCCACCCTCTGCTCGGCCTCGACGATGCCCGTGTCCAAGACCTCCTACACCACATGTTATTAGTCAAATCTCATACTCCAACATGGGAGGGCAGCACCCATCCAACCAGCCATAACATACCCTAATAAAATCCTCCACCTGCACAAACTGCGCGCGATCCATCCGGTACCGATCCGGCAAACCGCTATTATGCATCAACCCCACAACCCCCGCGCCCACGGTACTGACAGCAGCCAGCGCGGTAACAAGCGCAGCCTGGCGCAGCGCGAGCGAGCCCAGCGCCGTCAGCGCCGCGCCCACCACCACCTGCAGCACCAGCAGCGCCCAGCGCAGCGCGCTCAGCGCCTGGAACCCGGCCCCGTACTTGGCCCGCTGGCCCACCACCTCCCGGTACAGGCCCCCCGGCATGCCCCGCGGCGGCCAGTACCAGCACGTCGGGTGCGCCACCTGGTGCTCCTCCGCGCCCTCGCGGATCGCGCCGAGGCCGTGCGCTACGCGCGCCCATTCCGTGGGGGTCAGGAAGCGGTGCTGGACGGGGTGGTTGTTGTCCGGGGTGGGGGGGTTGGGTGGGATGAGGGGCTTTGGCGTGTTGGGGGGAGGGAGGTTGCTGGGCGTGGGTTGGGGTGGGTTGGCGAGGTCGGTGGGCGGGATTGGGATGCTGGGGTTCCTCTCGGACTTGGTGTTGTGAACGCTTCCGCTTGACTCTGGATGGTGGCTCGTGATGAGAGATGGGCCCTGCTGGGTTTGGTCGTTGCTGGTAGAGGCCATGGTTCTGGTATGGGTTGAAACGAGTGTGAGTGTAGGCTACGGTGGTAATGACTTATACGGAGTTGAGCACTGAGCGGTCGGTTACAAGAAAGGTTGAGGGCGGGTGACATGTTTGAATTGGCCAACTCTCCATTCTGACCTGAATGGCAGCTGTTTACGGGAAGGAAGAGGGGACACAGAGGGAAAGAGCAAAGAGGGAAGGAAAGAACAGGGAAGAAACCCTATCATAGACATAATCTTGATACAGAAGGAATGAAGCACTTTCCATCACACACCAACCAGGTGCGCCTTCCAAACTAGTAATAACTGAAGTAAAGGAGAAATATATCTATTTAAAGCAATAAAATAAAATTATAGAGGAGAATGAACAGAGTAAAGGCAATTCCTCAAGGCTGCCGGATGACTTCGGTTTCTTACAGTTGAGGTTTAAGTTTACATTTGGAGTCCGGCATAACCCTGAGGGTTGGCGGAGACCCTGGTTTCTTGGCTGTCAATGACATGCTCTCACCGCCCGGCAGAATCCCAAAAATAATTTAGAGGATGCCCTCTCGCTGCAGCTCTGAGCAACTCGAGCGCCAGTCAACCGCCACCCACTGCTCGCATGCGCCCGGGCTCCCCGGCGGCTACCTTCTGGTACATTACCAGACACGCGAGGAAACTGAACATACCGCGACCCCTCTACGTCCCAATCATCTCGATCCGCACAATGTCCGACACAGTGCACGACCTCAGCGCGACCCCCGCCGCGGGGCAGCGGATCAAGCACGACAATGTCGTCTACACCACGGTCAAGGAGGGTCTTGCTCACATTCTGGTTCCCGAGAGCACAGCAAAGGATGGCCAGACGGTACAGCAGGTTTTCTACAACCCGATTCAGCAGTTCAACCGCGACTTGACCATTCTCGCGATGAAGGCCTACGGGAAGGAGCGCATCGAGCTGAAGCAAGCCGCCAGCAAAGCCCGGGCCGGCAAGTTTGCCGACAAGAAGCGGAAGCGGCGGGAGCAAGCACAGGGCGAGCAGGCACCAATTGAGTCACCAATTGAGCGGTCGGCCAAATCCCCGAGGCTGACCGAAAATGCGACCGAGTCCACCGAGGCGCAAGTGGACATCGCAATGCCGGACGCAACGGAGCAGCCTGCGCCGGAGGAACCCGCAGATTCCAGGCAGCCAGAGAAAGCCCCTGCCGATGCGGAAGCGGGAGCGCCAGCAACTGACGGCATTGAGACAAAGGAGGCCAAGTTGACATTCACCATCCTTGACGCCCTATCGGCCAGCGGCCTGCGTGCGCTGCGCTACGCGCACGAGATACCGTTCGCCACCACGATAACAGCCAACGATATCCTCAAGGCAGCCGCGGCCGCGATCGAGCGCAATGCCACCCACAACGGCCTCCGCGACAAGATCAACGTCTCAGTAGACGATGCCCTCGCCCACATGTATAACGTCGTCGTGAAAGAGCTGCGGCGGGTTACTCTTTCCAAGAACAAACCCGGGGCGAGTGAGAAGTACGACATTATCGACCTCGATCCGTACGGAAGTGCTGCCCCTTTTCTGGACGCTGCCGTTCAGGCCGTCCGTGACGACGGCGGTCTTCTCTGTGTCACTTGCACGGATTCAGGCGTATGGGCGTCCAACGGCTACCCGGAGAAATGCTACTCGTTGTATGGCGGAATCCCCGTGAAGGGTTGGTATTCGCATGAAGTGGGCATCCGGCTTATTCTGCACGCGATCGAGACCTCGGCCGCGAGGTACGGCCTGGCGATGGAGCCGCTGCTGTCCCTGTCAGTTGATTATTACAGCCGGGTATTTGTTCGGATCAGGAAATCTCCATCCATGGTCAAGTTCCAAGGAGGCAAGAATATGATGGTTTACAGCTGTGGCACCGGCTGTGGCGCTTGGACGACGCAATTGCTCATGAAAAACAAGCCCGCACCGAACAAGAAGGGCGACGGTATGTTCTACAAGCACGGCTTCACAAGGGCACCAACGACAGGGACCTCGTGTGAACACTGCGGGTCAACGATGCATCTCGCAGGCCCGATGTACGCGGGGCGCATTCACTCACCTGAATTCGTCAAGAAGGTGATCGCAGAGACGGAAGAGGCATCTTCAGAGGTCTACGGTACGAAGGACAGAGTCAGGGGGGTGCTGCAGACGGCCCTTGAGGAGTTCTTGCCGTCTCCCGAGGAGATGGAGGCTGAATCAAAGGAGAATGGCGACAAGACCAAAAAGCTCAAGAAAAGTTTGACGGAAGCGCAACTGGCCGCTATCGATCCGTATCCTTTCTTTTTCCATCCCGCACACGTATCCGGTGTTCTGCATTGCGCCAGCCCTCCAGAGAACGCGGTAAGGGGCGCTCTACTCGGACTTGGATATCGCGCCACGCGGAGCCATTGCAAACCGGGGAGCATGAAGACGGATGCGCCATGGCCGGTCATCTGGCACGTCTTCAGGGAATGGGTCCGCCAAAAGGCACCGGTCAAGGAAGCGAACATCAAACCTGGCAGCGTTGCCTACCGGCTTTTGGGTCTGGGGAAGCCATCCGTGGAGGGCCCGGCCCCTAGTGCGACAGAGAACGGCAACGGGGAGAGCCAGGCAGCGGACAAGACCGAGGACCAAAAGCCGGAGGAGAAACCGGCAGAGGATAACGCCGACAAGAAGCCAGAGGTTGTCTTTAACGAGCAACTCGGGCAGTACCAGGACAGGAAGAAGTATGTCCGGTACCAGATGAATCCGACGGAGAACTGGGGCCCGATGAACCGAGCCAAGGGGAAGTGAGGTTCGAATGTTGCGTAAAGTTATCGCACTGCACTCCTGGTACGGAGCCGGTAACGGGCAGAAGATGACGGGCTGGTCATGGTCTGTACATACATGTATATGTATGTACAAGATCCACGCCGAAAGGAACCCCGGACCTGCGAGCCCACCAACCCCCGCTGTTCCCTCCTAGCTGCTCCGCCCATGCTGACGCCGGCCCACTACACCCGCACTACTTACAACCGTCGCAGCCCGGCAGTGATGGCGCAATTTAGCCCGTCTCGGACTTAACCCAACGGGCTGCGCCGCTGCGGAGGTAGCGTTCGCTGACTTTAGCTTGCTTGGGACAGGCAAGATTAGAAATCCAGAGAATTCACCTTTTCGTGTGAACAAGTTATATCAAGTCTCCTCCTCACCTTGTTTCGCTGTTTGGTGTTCCCATCCAATCCTTCTTTTTTTGTTCCCCCATACCCCGCACGTTCGTGAAAGGCAAACCTCGAGCGGCCAGCACCACAAATTCTTCCCAATGACGGTCCAGGAGCCTCAAGATTCCGGCGGTGGTCAACCTCCCGCAGCAGAGGCTTTGGATAATGACAAGACCCGGCATGCCAATTCCACTGCAGGCAAAAGCCTCGAGGATGTTACAACCAAGATCAAGCGGGAAGAAGTCGTCTTTGTCCTGCGCACGCCCGGGGATAAAACCAGCGGGTATCTGACCTACTCCCTCGCCGAAGGTTCAACATCTGACGGAGAGAAACCCTTCGACTTCAAGATTGTGCAATGTGAACAGCACCAGCTCCCGGAGGATCTATCAGGCTTTGTCCTTAACCAGGGCAGCCTCCCGCCAGCTCATCTGAGCCCACCGCATGAGGTGCATGTCGTGGTATCAACCCATTCGGGGCTTCAACTGGGACAGGGCTTTTACCAGACCGTGCTGCGCCCATTGTTAGGGGCTGTCGGTCTAGAGCCGAGAGAGGCCCAGGATGGAGGAGGGTACCAAGTAACCGTGACGGAGAGCGCAGACACCATCCGGGACTTTGCGCAGAAGCTTGGGAGAAATAACAAGGCGGCAGCGAAAACCGTCATCCTACTGTCCGGCGACGGAGGCGTGACCGATTTCCTGAACGGCCAGGACCGCAGCCCCCCACCGCCAAACAACTCCCTCCTCCCAACCATCGCGTTGCTCCCCCTAGGCACAGGCAACGCCCTCTTCCACTCGCTCCACAAACCCCTCTACACCACCACCACCACCGACAGCAGCAACCCCGCCCCCTCGCCCCTCGTCCTCAGCCTACGCACCCTCTTCCAGGGCACGCCCTCGCCACTCCCCACCTTCTGCGCATCCTTCTCCCTCGGCGCGAAGCTGATCTCCGCCCCAACCGAGGCCGACGACGACGCCGCAACCAACCCTACCCCCGATACCATCCCCTCGAACACTCCAGGCAACACTACCGACAACACCACCACCGATACCACCCCCTCACAAACCCCAAACCCCCCAGAAGCCCCAACCGCAATCCCAACAGACGCACCCACCACCCCCAAGACGCCAGTCACGCACCTGATCGGCGCCGTCGTCGCGTCCTACGGCTTCCACGCCAGCCTGGTGTGGGAGAGCGACACGCCGGCGTACCGCGTGCACGGCGCTAAGCGCTTCGCCATGGCGGCGGGGGGGCTGCTTAAGCTGGGGCATGTTTATGAGGTGGGGGTTGATGTTGTTCGGTCTACTGACTCTACTCAGAGTGAGTTTGTGGGGCTTGCGCCGGGGGGTTGGAAGGGAGTTGGGGGCGAGGGGGGTGAGGGTGGTGAGGGTGAGGGTGAAGGGAGTGATGGTAAGGGTGAAGGGGGTGAGGGTAAAAAGGGCAAAGGATTCAACTACGTCCTCGCAACACTCGTGTCGAACCTCGAAAAGACGTTTGCCATCTCCCCCGAGAGCCAACCACTAGACGGGCGGCTGCGGCTGGTGCATTTTGGGGATGTCGGCGGGGCCAAGACGATGGAGATTATGATGGCTGCGTACCGCGAGGGGGAGCACGTCGGGATGCCCGAGGTGGGGTACGAGGATGTGGAAGAGTTGAGGGTGACGGTTGCGGAGGAGGATCCGAGGTGGCGCAAGGTTTGTGTTGATGGGAGTATTGTCGAGTTGGAGAAGGGCGGGTGGATGAGGGTTAAGAGGGAACAGAGGGAGAGGGTGAGGGTTTTGGTTGACGCGGGCATTGCACACTGATGAGATTCACTGAATTGATATACAGGTTCTAGATCGCGTTATATAAACAGGGCGCCGTCCAGCATTATTCGCCCATCAGCTTCTTCACCTGCTTCTCCATCCCCTCCTCGAACTGGTCGACCCCCCTCTCCAGAACAGTTAACTTCCCCGCCGCCAGTTTATACACCACCCTCCTCCTCAACCCCTCCTCCTCATCCTCCTCCTCCTCCGCCTCACTCCCCTCCTCATCATCCACCAACCCCTCCACCACCCCCCTCATAAACCACCTGTCGTGAGAAACCAATATCACGGCCCCCTTCCACCCCCTCAACGCCTCCCTCAGCGCCGAAACCGTCTCGTAATCCAAATGCGTCGTCACCTCATCCAGCACCAACAACCCCGGCCCCCGCCACAGCAACCGCGCCAACTCACACCGCACCAGCTGACCACCCGACAACTTGCGCAGCGGCACATCGGACGCGGTCCTTCCCGGGAGACCCAACGACCCCAGCAGGGCGCGCAGCTGGCCCTCTTCGAGCGCGCCGTCGACCTCGCGCGTCAGCAGCGCCAGCGCCGTCAGCGCGGCGTCTTCCTGCCCCAGCGTCTGCAGCGCCTCGACCGCGTGCTGCGAGTAGTAGGACAGCTTGAGCCGCGGGTGGGCTGTGACGGTGCCGGTCTGGGTCGAGCCGGGCGGTGGTGGGTCGGCGCTGCCGCCGACGAGGAGGCGGATCAGGGTTGATTTGCCCGCGCCGTTCAGGCCGAGGATGCCGACGCGGTCGCCCTCGCTGACGGTGAGGGTTACGTCCTGCAGGGTGGGGGGTGGTTTTGTTGACGGGGCTGCGGCCCCGCGGCTCGCCCCCTTGGCGGGGGGCGTAACGGAAGGAAACGTTCTCGAGCGAGATCAGGGCGCCGGGGAAGCGCAGGCCGGTCGGGTCCGGCAGGGCGATGGTCACGGGCTTCTCGTCCTGCGGGATGGCGATCTCGTCGCGCGCGCCGTAGTGGTAGCCCGGCAGGTCGCGGTTCAGCTTGAAGCGGCCGCCCTTCTCGTTGACCTGCATGCCCATGCGATCGTCGAGGCGCTTCTGGCGCGACTTGGCCTGCCGCATCTTGTTCTGGTCGTCGTTCTTGCGGCCTTGCGCCATGTTCTGCCGGATCGACTCCTGCATGTGCGCCTTTTGCTTCTCCTGGGCCTCTTTCATCTTGGTGAGGTACAGCTTCTTCTCGGCACGAGAGGCCTCGTAGGTTGGTAGGTCGCCATGGAAGTAGGTGAGGTCCTTGTCCTTGACGATCAGCAGGTCGGTACAAACAGAACTAGCGAAGTCGCGGTCGTGGGACACGAGGATGAGCGTGGGCGGGGCCGGCAGGTCTTCGAGACTCTGCAGGAAGCGCTGCAGCCAGATGATTCCCAGTAGGTCGAGGAAGTTGGTGGGTTCGTCCAGAATTAGGATGTCAGTCTCCTGTAGGAGCGCCGTCGCGAGGGCGCTGCGCATGCGCCAACCGCCGGAGAGGCTGTCGGCTTTCTTGGTCATGTAGGTGTCAGTGAAGCCAAGACCGGTCAGGATCTTTTTAGCACGCGATTCGATGTCGGCCATCAGGGACGGCTCGACCTGCAACTGGAGATCGGCGAGCATGTCTACAGCCTCTTGAGTCTCGGCCTTGAGAGTTTCGGGCGAGATGTCATCTGCGGGCTGCTCGTTTCTACATCAGGTCGGTTAGGGGCTGAAGTCATCAGGGATTCAGGGGGGTTCTTACAGTGCAGCAGACTCAGCAATTGCTTTCTCGTACTCGACCAGCGCCTTGCGTGCTTGCATTCCGCGAGCACCACTCCTCAACCTCGCGTCTTTGTCGAGGACAAAAAGCCGCTTCTGCATGCGCTCATGGCGGAGTTTCCGCAGCGACCGAAGCGCACCGTAACCGTCCGTGCTATTGATGCCGGCAGAGAGTGCTAGCTAATGTCAGACCCTTCCGTTAACTTTCGTGGCCAACACACTTACTATTAATCTCCTGTTCCAGATTGTTTTTGGCTGTGGCCTTATCAACCACATCCTCCAGGACGGTAGGGCCGTTGCCGCTGCCCGGAACTTCTCCAGAGGGGAGATCGTCCGTATTGGCATCGCTGATGTTCGTCTGCTGCAAGATAGACACTCTGGTCTGCTCTGGGATGCCGGGAATGAGTTTGTCGGCTATGGCCCGCAGAAGGGCTGTGAAAAGGGGTTCCGGTCAGCCATCGGAAGCGCAGCCGTTTGTCGACCCAAGCTCACTAGATTTCCCCGAGCCATTCCTTCCGACCAATGCATACCGACTCCCAGCCTTCAAGCGCAGCTTGGCATTGCTGAGAATCTCAGTTCCCTCGATAGAGGCCTTTCCCTTGCCTTTGCCTTTCACCTTCTCGCCGGCACCGGATGTGACAGTGATGTTGAGGCCTTCAATATCGAGCTGTTGTCGGTCAACCACGGGTTTGGCTAAGAAAAGGCGTCCAGAATTAGGTCATGTATATTAATTACCTCACGGTAGTTGGGGCTCTCAATGTGAAAGCGTGTCTGTTTGCACGACACCAAAATGGTCGAAACGGACTCGGCCGCGATAGACGTCATTGCGGGTGTTAGAAGGAAGTTTTGAGTGCGGGGAGTCTCAAACAATTGCGATTGTTAACTCGGGCTGTGTTAACTGTGTGTTTGTGTGAAGGAAGGCACGAAGATGAAACATTTAACTCTTCTCGAGGCCTTACAATGAAGAAGCTGGCCTGAGGTTAGTTATGTATCCAAATCCGGGTTTCTCCAACTGCAGTAGATATATTTGCCTCTCAGTCCCATCCTTGGCCCCCCAAAATTCCATCCTGCCCAATGCCTCCGGTTTCTCAACACAATCGGGTGCAGATCAGCTGCAGGCGGGCCGTTCTTGCATCCATGTATGACCCGATCCGGCCACTGCGTCTCGGCCGTGAGTCACGCCGGCCCCGTGCGATTTCCCTTTTGGTTCCCGGTTGAGGCCGGGAAAGTGCGGCCATCCTGCCGCCCAACACACGTTCATCCAAAATCCCGTGCTAGCTTCAAATTAGTGGGCTTACGAAATACGAAGGCGAAACCCTACGCTGAGATGATTTTATCTCGCCGGGACAGCCCTGGGGCAAGGAACAACGGCGCACAGTCAGTCGGTCTTCACATCCAGGATTTTAAGCCCTGACCCGACCGTTGGACCAAAGGATATTCCATGACTTTATTGCATACATAATACATACATGCAAGACACCTAAAACATAAAACACATATTTCCATCGCCAAAACGCCCATGCCTCCAACCATCCATCGCAACCCAACCCAACCCAGCCCAAAACCCAATTAGACCGTCGCATTCCCACCCTGTTTTTCGCTCCCCTCCCGCGACTCCCCCCTCACCCTCCCCATCCTCGCCGCAAACGTCGTCGTGGGCGTCCACCCGCCCGACTTGCGCGGCGTGGTCTGGGCCATCATGGTGTCGATCTGCTCGAGGGTGAGGCCCTTCATCTCGGGGACGAGAAAATACGCAAACGCCAGCGAGAGCACGCACAGGGAGCCCCAGATGAAGAAGACGCGGGGCCCGAGGTCGGCCGAGCCGGGCTCGTTGCCGACCATGTAGGGGGTGATGACGGCGATGATGCAGTTCCAGAACCAGTTGGAGGCCGTGGAGAGGCCGACGCCGCGCGAGCGGATCGGCAGCGGGAAGCACTCGCCCACGATGACCCAGCCGACGGGGCCCCACGTCGCCGCGAAGAAGAAGATGTAGATGCAGATGAAGGCGATCATGGCCCGCACCGCCGCGTCGTTGTTCTCCTGGGCCCGCCCCGCCGTCACGCCCACGATCGCCACGATGAACTGCGACACCACCATCCCCACCGCGCCCCAGTTGAGCAGCGGCCGCCGGCCCAGGTACTCGATCGCCCAGAAGGAGATGGGCGTCGAGACCACGTTGACGAGCGTCGTGACGAGCGAGATGAAGAATGGGTTGCCGATCGTGCCGAGCTGCTGGAAGAAGGTGGTGCCGAAGTAGAAGATGAAGTTTACGCCTGTTGGTCCTTGTTAGCCCAGCCGAGTTTTCTTTGTTTTATCCATGTACTGACCGGTGAGTTGCTGCATCATCTGGATGCCAGTCCCCAGAATGGTGCGCCGGAGGTTGCCGTTGCGTTTAGACAGGGACCCCTGGAAGCAAGCCATCCACGATCCGATGTAGCTCGTCTGCGGGATGACCTGCATTTCGTATTCGTGGTTGGCAACAATCTCGGCGAGCTCGTCCTTGATGTAGTCGGACTCGATCGGCTGGCCGCGCACCAGCGACAGGTCGTGTACCGCCGCGTTGATTTTACCCTTCATGACGTGAAAGCGTGGCGATTCGGCTAGTTGGTGTCAGTATCGATGGCACACACAAGATCTCAGTGATGCTCACGAAGGATAAACAGCCCGATTCCCAAGATCAGCGCCCACAAGAACTGGATACCAACTGGGATGCGGTAGGAGCCGGTGTCGTTGCGGTTGGCGGTCGCATAGACGACGCAATTCGCCAGCAGTATCCCCAACGTGATGCAGAACTGATACCCCGAGACCAGCGCGCCTCGAACCCTCCTCGGCGCAACCTCCGCCATGTACAATAGAATGGTCGCAGAGATGAAACCCACGCCCAGACCCGAGACCAGGCGGCCCATGACGAAGAGCACCACCTGATTTGTCGACGCGATCTCAAGAATACAGCCCACAGAGAACACGCCGCAGCCGATGATGATGGTCGGGCGGCGCCCGATAAAGTCGGCAACATCGCCGGCGATCAGGGCGCCGAAGAAGGTGCCGCAGGACAGGATCGAGGTCATGAGCGACTTGGTCGACGACGGCAGGGCGAACTCGGTCGGGCTGACGCCGATCGGCTGTCCGGTCTCGTAGTCATATTGGAGTCCTGTGTATTGAGTAATGAAGAAGGGCATGCCGAGCACGCCCGACATCCAGCCCGTATCATATCCGAAGACTGCCGGAAGTTAGTACAGGACGGACCGGAAGTACGCCCTCCGGATGGGTAGACCTGGCTCACATATTCCGCCAAAGGCGGCAAAGGCGCAGAGCAGGTAAGCCTTGAAGGTGACGGGCGCCTCGACCCTAGACAGATCGGCCGTGCCCGACAATGAGGGATATATCACGACGCCGACCATGTTACTGGAGTATCATGCCAGATGGGGATGGGGACCAAGAATGGGAAGAGCCGCGAGGGGCCCAGTGCGGCAGGGGGTATGGGGACAGCTTTGAAGAATATGATGATGACCGCCTATTCACATCCGAACCCGGCCTTTCAATCCTCGAGTGTCAAACAGGCCGCTCTGGTGGTCTAGAACATCAGCTGTGAGGTCATGGTCACTTCGTCCACCCGGATGCTGGGCAGGGAGGATAGGGATGAAAGGAGGTGGAAACCGCGACAAGGACAATGGATGGCTGAAGAAGCGGGATTCCTCAGCCATGTGCACAGTCAGAACAAAGCCGTCCTCATGCAGAATCGGAAGAGGCGCTGAAGGCGCCTTGGCGCATATCTTTAGGGTCTTGGGGCCGAGAACTTAGTTCCGTTGAGAGTCCTCGAGCGAAGCCAAGGAAAACCTTCATCTGCAGCTAGCCGGCGCGTAGAAGCCCCTAACTAATGGACGTGTGACATTTTTGATGGCAGGAAGCGCACCAGGTATCTATTATCGTCCCAGACCGTCCCTCGACGAGTCCCTGGCTGAGTGCGACGAAGAGAGGGCAGGCCATGTCGAAACCTCAAGAGATCCATGGATGGGCAGGTCTCTTCTCTTCGGAAGAAGCGGGGTCTGTGGTTTCGTTACCAAACTTCAGCCTCCTGAGGAATAAGCCCAAGCGCGCTCGCCGATGCAACGCCGAGTCTGGCGGACAAAACGCCACTCACCTAGCGCGCGCTGTTTGCTTCCCAAAAGCGTCCGGGTTGCACATGGCGCGGCCAGACAGCGTTTGTTTTTAGAAGGGGTGGGTGAGGCATGACTTGCGCCCCCTACTGGCGTCCATTCCAGCTCGCCATCAGGGAGAAGGTTGCTGATTCCAAATCTGACGGTTGCACAATGACATGACCTGGAAGTTACTTATTAAAAGAGCGAAGAGGTTTTGAGTCCTGCCCCAATGTAATCTCCTCAGGGCTGACCCGGTTGCAAAGGCCCCACATAAGCGAGAAGTGCCGGTCCCGAGCCCAGACGGAAGGCACGGTCTCGAACCGGCCATCTCTCCGTTTTTTAGATCCAAAGATGAACAAATCAACACTACCCGAGACAACCCAAGATCATCGTTAAACGAGCAAGCAAGCAAACAAATATCAACGCCAGTCGAAAACCGGCAGCCAAATGCCGAGATCTTGCAGACCCCACCCACACCGATGACAGTCGGGGAAGGGTCATCGACACAAAAGAGCAATTCAAAAGTCGAGGCACGCCTCGTCGCATGTCACCGTTCTTTGAGACCACATCTTCGCGTTCCTCGCCTCAACAGGCCCTTTGTCAGCGGCCTCCCCACGTGTGCGGGCCGCTGAATCAAGACCTCAAAGAAGTGCCGGCATCCAATGCAACTGTAGCATCCGGCCCGGTCCCGAGGACGGCCCCCGATCACCGAACGACAGCCCCCACGACAACATCCCAAGGAAGGAACCCCTCAAAATATGACAGAACTGTTGAGCTTATGCAAGGGGTAAAAAGGCCCGAAACCCTTCGCCGAGGGCAAAAGGAAAGGTTAATGATTTCATCCAGGCTCGAACTGGAGACCTTCAGTGTGTTAGACTGACGTGATAACCAACTACACCATGAAACCATCTGTTGTTGTTGAAAGCCGTACTGTTGATGTAGCCTATGTGTAACGTGCACCCATCGCACCCGTTGTATCTCGGCCCCGAGACAAACACGTAGGTAATTTCTTCCAAAGATGTTTTTTAGCCCCCATCTACGCAAGCCATGGTTGGAAAAGAGGGAAAGAGGTTAGGATGCCTCTGTCTATTCGTATTTCTCTCCCTTTCCCAGTCTTCTTTCCCGCACGCTTGTTTCCACTGTTCACCTCGTAAACCGACCCTTACCTCGGTTTTTAGATTTACGATTTGGAAGGCCTAAGTCAAGGAGCGGGAACCAGGAGAAGTGACATAACCACGACATACTCAACCTCCATCCCTTGTCTTCACGGCGCTCGCTCCTGAAAAGAGATGCACACATGCTGGTTGACACCAAGAGTTCTGTCCATCTTGTGCCGGTCTCCGATCCAAACACTCTGTGTTTGCCTGTTGCATGTGGAACGCCACCAGGGCTCCGAACACATCACAGCTAGTTAGCGTTCCTCACAACCACAGTCCATCCATGAGTCTAACATAGTGGAACTTGTGGAGGACATGCATGCAGAACACCACGCCAAACCAGTTGCATTGTCACACCACAAGCATCTACTTGGCAGAACAGCGGAATCATACCGGACCTAGCAGGTCTGCCTCAGCTGGGTAGGTAGGGAGTGGAAGGACTGCCGGGAAGGGGAAAACTCAGAACTACAGTCTTCCCCTGTAGACTGCGCCCGCCGCTTTCCCAATTATCACAGAAAGGGGGGAGATCGCTGGATAAGGGAAAGCCAATGCCCGAATAGGCGTGGCCAGAAACGCCGAAAAGAACGCAACGGCTCTTTGAAGACGGGAGAGAGAACGTGTGTATTTCAGGGGAGGGCACTTGTATCGTGGCAAAACTCACAGTCGGCAAACACCTGTTCCCTACCTCGGTGCTACTCAGCTAGTCCGCCTAAACACCATCCAGTTTGCCCGACCGCATAAGCGTTGCAATCATCTCGGAGCTTCGCCCCCTTCGCCGCCCTTCTCAGCCTCTCCCTCAAGGGGCCTCGGCGGACGCAGCCCGAGCAAGGGCGACGACCTTCCATTATGAAATGTGTGTGACGGACACAGAAAAGCAAGATTTGGATTTCCCAGGGAGGCCTATCCCTTGCCAAGTTTTACAATTGAAGAATGATGTGAGGTCAGACCTTCGCTACTCGTAATATCGTAAGTCGAACTTGCGGCGGTGGTCGGTATTGGCATGAGAATCGCTGCTGCTGTGGTACAAAGGAACAAATGGCCGGTGGGACTCTGATATTACCCAACTACCGGGCAACATCGCATTCTGGATGGGCATTACAACTGGTTAATAGAGCCACCTCACTCTAACACGCCCAAGTCAAGTTCAAAACAAACACACAAAGACTGTGCAAAACTGGCATATTATTGTCTCCGGCGCAAATAGGAACAAGAAGTCAAGATTCCATACAGACCGCACCAAAGCAAAAAGCACCAAAGCCCGAGGACGCGCCCCGGCAGAGTATCAAGTAGAAGGATAAGCAAGCCATCATGTGCCACGCGCGCGAGCAAGCAAACAACAATACAACCCATTCGCCGCCCCCCTCACGCGCCCCCCTAAAGTCCCAATCCAAGGCCTGTCGCCCGGATAGAGCCGCCCCAAGCACCCACCCCCAACATCTCCCGGCCGCATAACAAAACGCTGTCCGGAAACACACAACATCCCAACTCTGCACAGAATTAAAGGAGGGGGAGGTTAAATTAGGGTAGTGCCGCTGTCTCGTCGTGTCTCATATATCTCGTAAAGCAGTTGTCCCCCGCGCGGGGGCCGCCAAAGTACCGCGGTGTGGCCGGCGGCCCGGGGGAGGGTTGCCGTTATGAGCTTAGAGAAGGGCGGCGAAACCGGCGGCGAGCAGGACGAGGGCGGACGCGGGGCCGACGATGTTGGCGGCGCCCTCCTCGACCTTGCTCTCGGTCGGCTGGGCGGGCTGGACGGTGGAGACCGAGGTCGCGTTGCTCTGGATGGAGCTCGCGCTGGGCAGGAACGGCGCGCTCGTGGGCGAGTCGACCGCGGGCGAGGTGGTGTTCTGCGCGACGGGGCTGGAGGAGGGGGAGGGAGTGGGGCTGGGGGTGGTGGTGGGCTCCTCCTCGGGGGTGCTGGTGCTGGTGCTGGTGCTCGTGCTGGTGGTCGAGGTGGAGGTGGCCGGGGGAGGGGTCTGGGAGACCAGGCCGCCGGTTATGCTGTAGGCAGCGGCGCAAGCGGACAGTTCCATGCCCTCGGGGCAGCACCACGTCTCGCCGTCGGTGTCGGCGGTGCAGTAGTAGCCGGCCTCGCAAGAGTCTGGAAAACGATCAGCAACGGAACGACGGCTCCACAATTCATAAGATATCACGTACTGCCAGACTCGTCAGGGCAGCAAAGCTCCCCGACAGTGGGGTTGAAGCAGTGGACCTGGCTGTCAACGGAAGCGCAGGTCTGGTAGCCAGCACCGCACGCCTCCTCGCAGGTGTTGCCGTCGCCGCACATGGTCTCCTCCGGCTGGTACCCGGGCTGGTCCTGACGGCGGAGGATGCCGCCAAACAAGGCGCGTGTAGAGGTCTTCACCATGGTCGGCTTGTAGGGCATCGGCTCGGCGGCGGCATTGGCAGCGAAAGCGATGGCCGCGATAGCGGCGACAGACTTGACGAGCATTGTGGCGGTGGGTGGAGGTAAGCGGTCAATTGAAATTACGCGCGCGGTTTGAGGTTGATGATTTCGAGCAAGAGGGCCGTAGGATCGTCGACGCGGTTGCGAGACTGTAGGATATCGGTCGTTGGTGCGTTGAAACGAATGGATCGAGCGCGAGACTCTGTAGTTAATGAACGACGTTTGCTTTGTGAAAAGACGGTGGAACGACTGACAAGCGCGGGCGACGAGGGAAATGAGGGTATAAAAACGGGCACCAAGGGGCGGGCGGGTCCCCTTTGGCTGTTATTATGGGGCGGTTGCGGGAAGTCCCCAGCCAGCCAGCGGTTGTGCCTGGACGGATGCTGGGGTGCATCAGATGCCAAGAAACCACTCATTGCATCTCCTTAATTTTAGCTCCGGCGCATGCTCCTTGCATGCCACCCTCTGTTCGTTCCTGCGTTGCCTGGCGATCCAGGAACGCCAATGACAGCTCTGTTTTGCACAAACGGCTTCGACTTCCCTTGCCACTGATTCCAATCGCATCGCCCAACTCGGATTATTTTTCAATTCCCACACCGCACCAAGCTCGCAAAATCGATGCAAGATGCGGCTCAGGCCTGGTTTTGGGATTCGGAGGCCCGAAAAGCCAAGCAAGCCACCGCTACTTGGGTCGTCTCGCCAAACCAAAGTCAGCATCCATCTTCGGTCTGCTTGCCGTCTGAGGTGACGCTGGCAGATTTTGGCAGCTGCTGCCCTCTGTCAGGCAAGGATCTGCGAAATGAGCCAAGCAACCGGAGCCAGCAACAAACAGCGATCCCACCCAAGATCAACCAAACCCAGAGTTCTGGCCAGCTCCATCCATTTCCGGTCGCCGAAAGGGAACTGACTGACGAACTGACCGCGCGACTAGTTAAACAATCCCGACGAACAAGCGCCCGTCTCCAATTGAGTCAACGCGACTCTTCAACCCGTCTCGTCCTGTCGTCTCTCGCGCGGCCTTAGTGTGGCTGTTTAAATGATTGGTTCACAGCGTTGCGCCTCCGCAAGCGGCATGTTTCAGCCGATCACGGTCCGTGCTTGTCCCACCGAGGAGACCCGCTCCGGCGCCGGTTTCAACTGCCGGCGCCGGTCCCGCTACAGGCCCGACCCGGTCCGGGGATCTGCGGATACTGCTGATCTCAGCCGGAAATGTTGATTTCGGGCTCTGGATTGACTTTGGCGCACTGAACTTCTGAGCAAAGGCTGAGTTATCTGTGAATTGGGAACCAGTTTGTCAGCGGCCAATCCAGCTGCAAGATATTACTCACTTCCTATTTAGTCACTGTGCTCCTTGTGGAATGAGGCAGGTGCGGAAGGGGATGGGGGCCCGTGACTTCGTGCGAATACAGAGAGGTGATGTCGTCTGTGGCGACGCTTCTTCGGATCCCCTGTGATAACTAGCCTTTCCGCCAACGCATCCGGCACCTGTGTCAGCCGACAACATGTCAAGTCGCCACGAGTCGAGCAACGGTCAGTCACCTTCGTCGACCCCCTCCTAGTCGTGCCGTGCCCCAGTCCAATATCTCAACATTGGCACCACCGAATGTTTGAGTTGCCATAATCACCAAACACATTTATGGCCCCCCTGTTTGCTTAAGCCCATAACTTAAACCAAGGGAGTCCGCAACACACGTGAAGAGGATATGAATGAGCCCCGGGAAATCCAAGACAGTGAGACATAGGGGGTTACTGTAAAGAGAAGGAAAATCCGCGCAGCTACTATCGATGCTATTAGTAAAAGTATCAGTAGCGTCAGCAGCAGCCAGCTCTCAAAACGGCATGTTTCTGCGAATGGTGCCAGCACAGTTTGCAGCTAGCCTTCAGCACTCCAAGTCAAACAAAGTCCTCAGAGTTATTCCTAGGATTGGTGTCGAAAAATCAATAACAACCACTCCTTCCGACTGGTAGCGGAGCTCTGGTCTGAAACCCCATCGTCTGGGATGGGCAGACTGGACAACCCTAGCCTAGGCTTAAGATGAGAGTCGGGTGAGTGCCTCACAACAACCTATGGCTTCCGATCGGTACACTTCGAGGAGCTCGGGTCTTGGACAGTCCGTAGTATGCCGATCCTCACATGTGATGGAGTAAAAACGACGCCAGGAAACTTCAGTCGCTCCCGCTTGCTCAGCATGGCCACCCACCCTAGTGTTATCTGAGAGTTATTAGTCCAACCTGTCGCTGCATCGCCCGCCAAATGGAACCAAAAGCAATCGTTTGAAGACAGGCAGTCAGTGGATATTCTTTTATACTCAGTAGGACCCTTCCTATTTATTCGTCGTAGGCGCCGTTAGTATAAGGTAGTCTTAGTAACCATTTTCACATCACACTACGGCATCCCCTGATATGACTACCTCCTACCTTAGTCTAATAACCTAGACAACATCGGAACACAAACTTCATATACATAAACGGCAGGGCTTTTGTCACTGGCAGCGGCTGCGTTGAACCAACACCCCCCCTCCCCCCAATGAGTCACACAGGGCCCTACGTTGTCCGGTCGGAGCCGCCTGTCTCCTCCTCAACCCCGTTGGCGGGTTATGACAGTATCCACAAGCGGGTTTAGCTCAGTTGGGAGAGCGTCAGACTGAAGGAAAACTTCGGGAATATGAAATCTGAAGGTCATGTGTTCGATCCACATAAACCGCACTGATTATTTTTTGTCCCCGTGTCGTGAGTGTCACCAAGGGTGCCAGGTAGGGGGCGGGCATCTCCTCCCCAATTTAGTGGGGATAATAGAGGATTGAACATATGTCTTTGCGTAGTGAAATACCTAACTAATGGCTCCAATGCGAGCAAGGTGACTGATTGCCATGCTGTTGACATTCTGGCCTCGGCCGTGGACTGCCGACGTCCTCGGTGCAAATCCGGCATGGACACATCGTGAACATGTACGGATCCTTTCAGTCTATTCGTAAACTCGCAATTCCTAGAAGCATGCTCTAAGGTCTCAAGCTACAATGAGTATTCTTAAGAAGGGGAAGAGCAAACAAAATACCGGGAGAAAATGGTGAGACTAGTAGTATATGAAGCAAAACGCCACCTCTAACAGCGGTGTTGGTTACTCGCGTCATATTCGTGAACATGGGCCTCCCCTTCGCTTTCTTGACCTCTCGCCTCCATTATAACCGCTAAATCCTATATACGTTAGATTGTCGGATATCCGTAAGACACTTCTGATGCCTGTTGGGCTAGGCTCACTAATACATACGCCACCAACCTTGAGACCTGGGCGCCCTCACTAAACACTGGTCATGACCTCTCAGGCACTAAGCACATTTGTACTGAAAATAATTGACAGTGTTGAGTTAATAGAACCCGGGCCACCATGTGAAGCATCTTCGACGATTGGGAATAGGAGCGTTTGCCTTAATATCTAATGGGGTAGCTGGGAGTCGGGACTCAGGCTTCATTTCTCAATAACTCTCTTCCGTTTAACTCCCTACTTCTTATAACAAGAACGTTTGGCGGTGACGTCCATCGACCAACAGTTGTAATTTTCGTCAATATTGCTAAAAGGGATTCTCTTTCAACCCGGGCTTGTTCTTCTGTCTAAGATGGTTGGCAGCTGTGGGTGTTTGGCCTTCGGTATTGTTAGTCCTTGAGTCAACGACCAAAGTGCTACCTGCCATTGAGATGTTGATGTCCCGTTACTCCATCTCGTTGATCTCTACGGTATTACATTCCGAAACTATCTTAAACACGCCAACTCCATGCACTTCAGGTTTAACATAACATGAACCCCTAGCTTTACTCTCAAGTGTCCATCTGGTGCCAGTCTCCCACCCCTAAGCCGCTTGGTCCCCCCCAAAACAACTTAGCCTTGCCTCGGACTTACGCTGCTACTCACTAAACCCTTTCGAACAGAACGGCAGTGGAACGTCGACCGGGCCGTGTCATTCCCGCACATCACCGGCACGGCATATATGCCCTGTCCAACGTCTTTTCAGCCTCGCACACCCCCCACAGCATCATGCCACGGAGGTCTCGCCGACCGTAACTGCGCTGCGCCGCCCCCTCACATCGTCAGATCAGATCGGCAGCAACCGGGACCTGGGGAGGAAGGCGGGGGCTTGGGGCAAAATGACAGAAGAAAATAAAAATAAAAATATGTGAAACCGAACCACAGAGGAAGGAGCCTCACACCACAATCGCCCAACCAACCCATCCCGTCTCGGCAGACAGGATAGGTAACTACGATACGAGATGCGCCACACATACACACACACACACACACACACAAACACAAACACCCGCATACACACACACGGACGGGACGGAACGGCCGACGAAAGGCGTTTGTGTGTGTGTGCATTCGTGCTTGGGCCAGGCAAGACGACTTTGGCCAGAGATGGGCCCATCCATCATTCGATAGTATGGATAGTATGGGCAGACCACACGTGGGGGGAATCGTTCGTTCGACCGCGCGCGCGGAGGAGGGTTACGGTCGCAGCAAACGCGGTCGTTGTGGGTGGGGGGAAGAAGGGGGGGGGCAATGGCAATCTGGACGAGACAGGTACATACCACTAACTACCCACCCACCCACACACGCAGCACCTCACCGGCCTGCCTACCTACCGGTCTACCTGCCTACCTAAGGTACCTGCCTGCTTGCCTGCAACCGTGAGTGTGGGTTGTGTTGTGCTATAGTACGATACATGGCATGGTGTACGGTGTATGAAAACCGTGACCGTATTGATGTATCAGACCCTGCTCCAGTTACCACGGACATACCGGGCCGTTGTACGGTACGGGGGTCGCGACAGGTGGCAAAATACGACCCTGGAGGGAAAAGGGGGTGAGGAGCGGAGGTTTTGCCTCGCCTCAGATGGGTCTTGCTGCTTGGCGATACGACGGTGGTATACGGAGGTAATCAAGTGCAGAGGGCGGAGCAGCATGGGCGACCGTCTCGGATTCCAACGCCGAGGTCGATAACGGGGCGTCTGCAGGGCGACGGAAGGGGGGGGAGGGCCCAGCCCTTCAGGGGATGGCCGGGGAAGCCGGGGAAGCGACGGGTGCATAGCCGCTGCGCATCATCTATGCAAGCGAACGGTTGGGGTCGGAAGGTTTCAATCGCTGCCGCCTTGACATGCGGGGGGCTCGACTGGGGCGTTATCGTGCATGTGGATGGAAGCGGAAGAAAGAAGTCTTGGGAGGCAGTGGGAGGGCTTGAATTAATGAGATGAACCATGATTTTCAGGGTCATGGGCTGGTTGGCGAGTAGGATGCCGAGCCGTGGACAAGGTCAGGTCGGGGAGCTGGCGATCCCGCAACACCTTAAACAGACGGCATGATTGTTCGATCTGAGCTCCAGAAACGAGATCGATGTCGCAATGACGGCAGAAGATAACACACTTCCCACAGGCGATCGTGTATTGTTGCGGCACCCTGACAGGCTGAATCGGCTAGACCTTCACCGGCTGCAGCTCCCCCCTACCGACCACGAGCAAATTCCTGGGATCGCGGCCGTGGTTGTGACGAATCCTTCTGCAACCTTCATCTAAAACTTCCGATTGATTGCCATTGCATCCGCTCCGTGGGCGGGAGCTCGGGAAATCCAATTGTCAAATCAGGGAGTGATCCTTGCAGAGCTGGGTGCTTCTGGAACGTCGCTCTGTTGTGCTACCCACCTGCTCTAACGGTTCTCACTGTTATGCTGGTACGCACCATCGTCACGCCGAGGCTAAAGTACTGGATTGCGCTCGATTGGGCGAGAAGCACGATCCCAAACACAGTGATGGCGACATTGATTGGGGGCTCACTCCAGGACCTTGGGGTGATAATCCCGAGGAGGCTCTCGGGCCGTTCGAAGGAGGCGTGGGCGCATCCGAGTGAGAAACATGTGCTCGGGGGCATCCACAGGGTCGCCGGGGCCCCTGTGCCGAGGCCAGACAGACAATTGGCCGCGTCCGTCCATGTTTGCGTGATCTGAAGAGCGGCCGGACATCTAGGTTCGACTGATAACAATTAACCGACTGCCCGAGGCGAGCACTGGCATATCCTCGAACGATACACGACATGGACACGGTTCTGCCGAGGGCTAGAGAGGCTGGTGTCGTCGCAGTGGGCAGAGGCGTTTGGGATGTGAAGTCAACCGCGCCTTCATTGGCTTGCCGGATGGTCTGGCTCGCTCGGTTGATCGGATGAGTCGTTGTCATCGACTGGTTCTTCATCTTCGCTTTCGCGGGCGTCGACCGGGTGCCCATCGTCCTCGTTGTCGTCATCGCTTCCCGGCTTACGTACGAGTAATAGATCCTCGCTTCCCTGCCACTGTGACGGCATGGGTGGGAGTTCCTCGTCGTCGTCCCAGCCGTAGCCTTCATCGTCGCTGTCGGCAACCTCGAAGTCGGTATCTCCAAGTTTCCGTTTCGGGGCTGGGGTGGACGTGAGTGTCCTGGACTGCTGGGTGTCGTCGTACTGGACCGGAACCAGGCCGCGCTGCGATTGTCAACACACGAAAGAGCAACCGAGGCGCAACACTGACTTGATCCACCTCGAAGGCGCAGACACTCTCAATCATGGGCCCAACGCCCTTGCCATTCAGTTTCTGGATCGCCACAAAATGCAAGCCCCGCGTCTCTGGACCCTCCTCCAGCCAGTCCCGGAACAGGACGAGTCTGGTCGACATTCCCTGCTCCCAAACGCTGGCGTTAATGGCCGGGACCAGGGCGGCACCGCGTTCCGCCTGCATCTTGGTGGCACATTGAGTGAGAACCACGACGGCCAGGTCTCGCGTTGCAGCGAGCTTCTGAAGACCGCCGACAATATATTGAAGAACCTGTAGCCTACGGGCTGAAGCGGAAGGTCCTTCATATCCAAGTTAGTTTTGAGATACGGATTCAAGCAAGCTACAGCACACCTTTGTTACCTTTGGCGTCCCTGGATGAGCGTGTTTCGGGTACCTTCGGGAAAGTATGGTTGACCAGGGCAGAGAGCGAGTCGACAACCACGAGTGATGTCCCTTGCGGGACACAGAACCCGGTAGGCCTGCATAGCAGCGCAATCAAATGCGGCAGGCTCGGGCATGTGTAGTGGGAAAAGGCGTCGAGACCGTCGAGATCTGCATCCTCGCCCTCGCCGATCTTTTTGTCGACGATAGCGCGCAGACGCTCGATGGGTACGCGATGGAATCCATCTAGAGGCAGAGTAAGCTATCTGCTAGATACGGCCAAGTTTGCGAGGAGGGCAAGCACAACGGACCAACCCAAACAACCCCGCGGCCTTCGCTGAGACAGTGGGAAGCGAGCTGGAGTCTGGGGCAGATCAGCAGAGGTCGGGTACGTCATGAACCCTGAAATGCGAAGCATACCCAAACGCTGTCTTTCCTGCCCCCGGAGGGCCCCAGATCTCTGTCACATGCCCTTTTTGGATTCCGGCTTGCCCAACGCTAGCCAACTCCGGGCCGAGAGACGCATCGAGAGCTGCAAGTCCGGTTGGGATGAAGTTGGAGTTGTCTCCTTCCAAGTCTTCCAGAGCCTGTGCGGCCGAGACGGTAGGGAGACGATCTTGGCACAGGTGTTAGCTAAACTTTAAATAAACAATGGAGCTCTCTCGAGCTTCAGGATCAGAATTGTGTGGAAAGACCTACGTGTTGAGGGTAGATCAAAGCTCGAGATATCGTGGCCGTGAATCGCATGATAATCCATCTTCGTACTCTGTGGTTTACCGTAATAGGTGACCGATCGTGTTTTATTTTTTACCGCTGCGCTTCTTCCATGTGAAGCGTTCGTTCTGTTCGCTTTCCGTGGAGTCGTTGCTGCAGCCCAAGAGCGAGGACGGAAGTGCGGCCCGGTCCTTCCACGAAGGAGAAGAGGGGTGAGATCCAGATTGCAGATTCGGTACTTAACTTAGGTAATCAACCAAGAACACTAAAAAAAACAGGGATTTCATGGAAGCCAAAAAGAAAACGGTGAAGAGAGAGGAAAGGCACGAAGTATTCTCAGACTCCAACGCAACCAAAACTAAAAGAATAACGTGCGGTTTATGTGGATCGAACACATGACCTTCAGATTTGAATTCCCGAAGTTTTACTTCAGTCTGACGCTCTCCCAACTGAGCTAAACCCGCGTGTTGAGAACCTTTTCTTCGAAGAGTCATTCATCGACCCCTCCCACAGGCTCCGTCGCAGGCCGACCCCTGGATTTCACATGCAAAACTGTCAACGCCAACAGCAACAAACGCTGGGTAGGTGCATGGGCATTATCCAGCGCGCGAACCTCTGAGCTATGATGTCATGATCACAATCATACCAGTATTACGAAGCAACAACCCACAGTCAACAGTCAACAGCTTTGCCCGGTTCTTCGTTTTCCCTTCAACCAGAACGATCCCTGGTGGATATCACTATCCTCACCGCAAAACGGCGCTCAACGAAAATTACGATGCTCATCAAAAGAGCCCACGTGTATCTTATGATCGTCGTACGTTGCAATTTATCGCCAGCGGGCCCTTGATGAGGGCATCGCCAGGTGGCCAGTCCCGGAGCAGACCCCGGCATCGTCCCGTTCATCACCCTACCCCAGACGGACTTCCCCCGCAAAATCTTAGCACGTCTAGAAAAGGCAGGTTGACAGCCTTCACATGGAATGATTTTCCTGACAAGTTCCCGAAATGGTCAAAATGGGAGCAAAGAAAGGGGTGCCGGCGGGTTTGGCTTTCCCCCGGGTACTTGGTATGGAGGTAGCATGCCGAACTCCGGGGATCTTCGGCCCCCTTTGCTTTGCCGAGGACGAAATCCCTTCCGCCCAAGCGCCACCGGGGAATGGGAATCAAATGCTGATGGATTTGGTCGGTAACTACGGACGAACCTTCGGCTCGGCGCTTCGTCGTCATTGAACCTTTGAACGGAAGGGACCGAAAGAGAAAAGGATTCGACCGTTTTCTGCAAGGCCCATCCTCGCCCCTTTGTCTCGGCACTAGACTTGGCATTTGTGAGCCTCCTCGGGGCGAAGCTCCCCAGAAGAACAACCAACAGCCGGCATCGACACCACGGGGTCGGCGCGGAGATTAAAATCCCATTTCCGTCGGAGGAAGGAGAGCCAGTACGAAATGTATCCATTTTTCACTTTCGCCATGTCTCCCTGTTGAGTGCTCATCCACTCCGCATTTGGCTTCCGCCCATGTGATCGCAGGGGCTGTTGCTGGTTCGCCGGCGCATGTCAATCTCGGGATCGAGCCGCGAAAAGCTGGGGCGGATCTGACTGGGGATAGGACGTGGGGGGCCACTTCTGGGCGTTGTTCCCGTCTCGACCTTTCTCTCCGGCCACAGGCTTGCCACCACCACCAACAAAAATGATGAAAAGTTTGCCAGAAGCGGACCTGTCAGAAACTGATCCGAACCGATGCATCAGGTCATCGGAAACTCTCGGCGTCCCCGATAACTACCTGGGCCGGTTTCTTCTCTTTCTGCCCCAGCACCCTCTGGCCAAAAAAAGACGAACTGGAAAGGAAAACAAGAAATCGAGAAAAGTAAGCCAAATAGAAGAAGGGGGGCAAAAGAAAAGTAAATGGAGTTTCTTTGGGTTTCAGGGTAGCTTTGTTTTGTTCCGACAGTCGAGGACTCCGAGTTTCCATTGTCGACATCTGCGCTTGGAGTTCGGCTTTTTTTTTTTTTGTCCAGGAGGTAGGTGCCCAGCTAACCACCCCGTCCGCGCAAGAAAAAGCTCGCGGCCCCAGGACAATGGTTTGGCCGCCCAGGCGTGCGACCTACGCTGCGTGCATCTCCTGAGCAGGCGGTACGATTTGTCTTCTCCCTGCTGGGCAAGCCTTGGGGCCCCACAGATTGCCTCAAATTCTCCTTGGCTGTCACTTGCCCAGAACCGAACTGCACCGGGTTCTGAACGCGGCGCTACGGCGAGGCCAGGCAGGGGAAACCCGCAAGCTGCGGAGCCGCCGGATAATTGCGGTTTTTGAGGCGGGCGATCGATCTCCGTGCAGCGAGCCGCGCCCAGTCAGGAACCAGGAACACCTGAGACGGGGGCGGGGCGATGAAAGCTGCGTTTTCGAGCTGAAAGAGCACCGGTTTGACACGATCCCCGGTTCTATGGGGGGGGGGGGGGGGGGTTAGTTATTTGAGCATGAGTCGAATGACACGTATGCCACTCGTATCTGTTTTCCTCATGCCGTCGTTTTTTTTTCCTGGCGGATCCTCGGTCCTTCTGTGGACCGCGGCACTTACCGTAGTCTCGAGCTTGCGGAGAAATGACTCGCAAGCTTGTCACCTCGCGCTTCGGCCGAGCTCGCTGAGAGACCGAAAGGATGAAATGAAAATTTTCTAACCATCTGGCATTGCGCCAGAGCCAAGGTTTGTGTTGTGCTTGGTGCTGATTGCATCGGTGTCTTCATCCGAAGACGATTGGCTTGGCTCCCCCACGTGTTGGAAACCGTGGCTTGGGACGTTCTCTTCCTTCGGTTCCCCGGATCTGAGAGCCTGGACCGCTCTCAGACGGAAGGAGAACATGGGGAAGCGAAACCCTCTGGCGCTTGTTTCTGACTCAGCCGGCCCCGCGGCAAGCAAGCTTTTGCAGGGTACGAGCGTTGGCTCTTCGGGCCGGTTCCAGCGTCTCGATTTCACCCCGTGGAGAAGAAAAGAGAAAACTTCAATCGCAACGAAAGCATCGAGCACCTTGCTGGCCCAAAGCTCGCCGGGCTCCCAGGCACGGTGGCACGCCAGGCTCTCGGCCGCCAAGCATCCATGAAAACCAGAAATGCCGTCGTGGGGCTGCGTGCGATTACTTGTATGGGATAGGTCTGAGGGCCTGGCGGCACTCCACAACTCCGAATCCCGTCTCGGAGCTACTGAGACAAACCAACGGGAAATGCCAGTCCGGATGGATGGACTGGTGGATGGACTGGTGGATGGATGGGGTTCGAGCACTGTCCAAGATTTGAAAGTTTCCATTTTGCCGCGGTCGGCGTCCGAGTTCCAAGAGCTTGATGAAAGGCGTGATGAATCTGACAGCGCTGATACGGTGATAAAGCCTTGGGTGCAACCCCGAACCCCCACGAAGCTGTGGGTTAAGCGATGTCACACACCCCCCATCGTCAAAGTCCAACTGCCATCACGGGCCAGGCACACGGGCACAATGGTCCTACGCGGTAATCATGAAGCCGCCCCTGAGAAGTTTGACGCATCCTCGGCAAGCTTCATCTCAGCACTGGGCCCCCGGCTGCATCCCGAGGGCGGTATGTATGTACACGAGTGGAAGCCAGCGTGCCAACTCGGATGCGGCGCGCTTATCTCTGGATCCCCAACATGCAGCGGCCAAGATCCGATACCCCGGATTTTGGGGGTTTGGAGTGACGTGCGAGCTGTCCCAAAACCTAACCTAAAATTGTAGCGCAATGTGTGCCCCCCGCCACTGCCAATGACCACAACGCGCAACCTGCTGAATGCTGGCGGCGTGCTGCGTCCTGCGTAGGTACTGCGAGACGCACTTATCAGACCAAGATCGAGTTGTTACATTCGGTTCATGATGCTCCCCGTGCTCGGGACCGGGGCGGTTATCAACTCGGCGGGCAGAGAGAAGCTAACTTGCAATCTGGATCTTCCCCACACTCCACAGATTGCGTCGCCAGCCCTTATCTCACGCCATACCAGAAATTGGTTTGGACACTTCTCTCACCCCTTCACAATGGCCCTTCATTAAGATCGGAAGAGGGAAAATTCGGGAATCAGGTCCTATCCGTTGTTCCCAGCCGACCCTAGCTCGACCAGCTTCATCATCCGAGGGTTGCATGAACGGAGCAAATGCACCTGGAGACAGCACTTGTAACAGGGTGGATTCGGCCGAGGAAAGCCCAGAAATTCAGACATCATCCATCCAGCTTCTTGGCCACCGGACTCTCGGATCAGCTTCTCGGCCACGGCGGCTGGTGGGTTTTTGAAGCTGGGGATTGCCCCGTCCGGACTCTGTATCCCCAGATATGCAGCCTTTCTAGCGTTTCCTAGCGTGCGTTTCTCTCCGGGTTCATCGGCCGCCACCCATCTTATCGCGGAGTCGTACCACCGCCATACTCGTTATCTCCGCTATACGGTCAGACCATCTCGGCTGCGAAGGCGTCCAAAAAGGAAGTCAGACAGGTCAAGAAACCGGAGCCAAGACGCATCGGAGCCCAACCATTGTACTCCAGCTCAGCCACCGTCCACACCGCCCCGGATTGTGCAGGCGGTTCTGGGGAGGCAACGGTTAACGTCACCCTCCAAGGTCTGGCCCGATTCAAAACGGGAGGAAACGTCGATTTCTCACTCGACCACTTGCCAGCCTCATGCTCCAAATACAGTATTGCCAACGCAGGTCGGCCAGCAATGATCAAGCGTGGAAGCGATCCGTATGGAGAGGGACAATAATACGCGTGCCCCGCGCGGAGCCCAGCTGCACGATCTGAATGTGCTGTCTCATGCGCGAGAACCTTCTCGGCTGCGAACCAGATGTCCACGGCAAGGGCGCTTGTCAACAGCCCGGTGAAGGCACTCCAAGACAGCCAAGCCTGCTCGGGCAAGTGGTGCTGTCGATGGATCGCCGTGCCTAGGTCGGTCCCTTTGCCGCACGTCTCCGTCCGTCTGTCCTGTCGAGCCTGCTCGCTGCAAATTCGGGCAACAAGAGGCTGAGATGGGTGACTTGGATCGACACAGTAACAACACCCCACACTTGGCTTCCCATCTGGCCGATTCCAGGTTCCCGTGTTCTTCACCCCACCCGCCCCATCCTGCCCTACACAGTACAAGTACCTGCCTACACAATCACTCTGGGTAGGTCTTCACACCATCGGGGTTGCATGACGGGCTGCAATAAAGACCTCCATACATTAGTCACTCAGCCTGCCGCTGCCGTCCCAGTAAGTTGCACACCGGCCAAATTTGTCTGATGGAGGGTACGGATGCAGGCTGCAGGACGGATGTTTCCAGGCGACCAGCGCGGTATGTATCCATTGTACTGTACCGTGTATCGTAACCGGGGTAATGTTGGGTACGGCGGTCCACTATTCTTTTTCTTTTTCCCCGAGACTCCCCCTGGCGTTCAGGCGCTCCTTCCCTGCCCGTCCCCCCTCACTGAGTCGCTGCGTATCCCGAACCCACACCCCAGGCCCCCTGCTGTTCCCACACCACATGCCAGCACACCCCCCAATGCCAGCCCGCCCGCGCGCCATTTAAAACCAGTGCCGCTTCCCCCAAACAAACCCGCCAACTTTCTGTTACTTCCCCATGCCACTTTGAGCTTCCCCAACGTCAGCACCCCAGACCCCAGACAACACAACGACAACACAAACGACAGCAACATACAACAAGAAGAACAACGTTCTATTTACCCAGTAATTGGTGTGTCGAGCGAACAACTCGCACACTGCATCCTCGCCTCTTCATACCAAGGACGACGACGTGCCTGACGATCGACCTTCGACGTTGGCATATCTCTTCCCCCCGCCGGCTGCGTACTTTGTGTGTGCAGCTTGACCGGGAGAGCACCGGGATAGGACGAGGAAAACCCGGGTGTTCAGAGACTCCGCTTGGGAGGGTGGACATATGCAACGGGCAAAGTCTGCAGTGGACTTCTCCAGCCTGCTGAACCCAGAGGTTTCGGCGGAGAGGGACCAGATTCCGGCCCAGCAACAGCAGCAAGTGCAAATACAACAGCAAGCCGAAGCAGAGATGGCGGCCGTTGGCCTCATCCGTCCCAATGGACCCCTGCCGGTGGGTGCAGCGCCCGCTGAGCAGCCCACCGAGCTCCCGCGTCCCTACAAATGCACCATGTGCGACAAGGCCTTCCACCGGCTGGAGCACCAGACCAGGCATATCCGCACCCACACTGGAGAGAAGCCGCACGCCTGCCACTTCCCTGGCTGCAGCAAGCGGTTTTCGCGGTCTGACGAACTCACCCGGCACTCGAGGATACACAACAACCTGAACTCGCGGAGGGGGAAACCGGGCCACCACCAACACGCCGCCATGATCCAGAGGATGCAGCCCGATATCATGGCGCCGCCTCCGGGACCCAAGATGATCCGTTCGGCCCCGCCCACGGCCTTGTCGTCGCCGAATGTGTCGCCTCCCCACTACAGCTCCTACAGCATGAACCTTCCCACGCCGCCGGCCCTCAGCCCGTACAGCCGCGGTGCGTTGAGCAGCCAGGGCGGTCCGGACATGGCCATGTTGGCGGGCCGGCTTGAGCGGGACAACGCCCCGAGCCAACATCACTACCCGCCCTCTAGACAGCACCCGTACTACGGCGGTGCCTTGCACTCGGCGCGGAACCCGTTGCCTGGTCTTGGTGCTTACCACATGGCGCGCCCGCACTCGCACGACGAGCACGATGACCACTACGCGCATGCGTACAGGCAGTCGAAGCGGTCGAGGCCCAACTCGCCCAACTCGACGGCTCCCTCGTCCCCCACGTTTTCCCACAATTCACTGTCTCCGACACCGGACCACACCCCACTCGCCACGCCTGCCCATTCGCCCCGCCTCAGGCCCTACAGCGGTGTCGAGCTGCCCCCGTTCCGCAACTTGAGCCTTCACCACACCCCCGCGCTAGCCCCGCTAGAGCCTGCGCCCGAGGGCCTTGCCCCGCCTCTGCTGCCCACGCCCAGGAATAACGGCATGTCGTTAAGCGACATCATGAGCAGGCCCGACGGCTCCCAGCGGAAACTGCCCGTGCCCAAGGTGACCGTCCATGACCTGCTGAGCCCCGCCGACGGATTCTCCACGAGCGGCAGGAGTTCATCGTCCAACAGCATTTCGGGCGTGGAACTGTACGAGAGGTTGTAATGGCGAACGAGGAGTACCGTGGCGTCCGCCTTCGACTCGCGATAATCGGCAGCCTCCGACGACATGACTGATGACGAAACTCCGGGCACATCTATAGAGGATATATAACCAACCACTTGGGAGTTTGGCTCTTTTTTTTTCTTTCTGACTTGGGGTTTTTCTGGTTGCAAATGGCACTCGACTCTTTTAATATTGGTTTGGAACTAGTGGGTTTTTACACGGCAAAGCGGGTGCGGGTTTCTTGGGTTCGGGCAGGATAGACATCACCACTTCAACACTTCTCCTTTGGACGGATAGATTTGGCTTCCTACTTCCTCCAATGCGGAGCAACGAAAAAGACAACTCATTTTCCTTTGTGCGGTTCTCAGCTGGCGGGGTTCGGACGGCAGGTTTTTTGGTTGGCCTTGAGAATGCTGCAACAACACATCAAAGTCTCTCCTATTCTCTTTACGGTTGGAAAAGCAAAGTCGATAGATGGTTGGGGGTCACTAGGCACAGGACAGCGAGGAACTGGGGTTTTGGCATTCTCATGTGTATTTTTTGGCTAGCTACTTGGTAATTCCCAGCCCGTCACCGGGAGACAATAAGCCATCAGGTATTCAAGCAACAACAAAGCGCCCCCCCCTTCTCAAGCCGAATTGTGAATGTCCGCGACCGACGACCGACTGCTCTTTTGCTTTTCTGCAGCACTGGTGACAAGTCGACGAGCACACGTGTGCCGCTCCTGGCCGCTCATCCTTTCCTGCTTCCACCACGCCCCTCCCTCCCCCTTCTCCCATCCCCCCCCAGGCCACCTTATTTCTCCACGTTTCAGCAGAGCTGCCTCATTGGGGCTGGGCCGCGGGGAAAGAGCAGAACAGGATGCGAGGATCTGGAAAGGGGGGGGGGGGGGGGGGGGGCGACGATTTTCACCAAGTATGTCCATACGTACCACCCCCAACACGCGGCGTGGGTTTTCGGTTTTCTGGGGCGCGAACAAGCGAGGGGGCGTCTGGAGTGCCGCGGACCGTCGGTCGCTTCGGTGCAGTTGTGGCTGGCTGGCTTGTCTGCGTGGGTGCCTTGGCCAACGCTCCGCCCGCCACGCGGTCTGTGTTTTTCTCCTCCCCCCCCCCCCCGCTCGGTTTTCCTTTTTTTTGTGTTTTTTGGGCTGTTGTTCCTTTCGTTCTTTTCTCACTGCTCACCGCGCCCACTTTCCTCTTTCGTTGGGGGGGGTTTCCGCATTCGTGAGGGATGGGATCCCGGTGGTGTGGGGAGTGGCATTTGTTTTCTGGGACGTCCAGGGGGGTCCAGGGGGGGGGGGGGGTTCCAGGGGAGGGTCGGGGGTTTTTCCGGCTGGGCTGGCTGGCTGGAAGGACCCCCTCCATCACTGCCCAGACATGTCAAGCCTTGCCGTTGTGGTCGAGGTCAAACAACCCCGTGGTGTGGTGCCGTGGGTCGTGAGCAGAGAGGGCGGACTCGCCGTGCGGCGGGTTGCGGGGATGCGACGCTGGCCTTACGTGAACGGTATTGCCGGGCCCCGGGTTTTACGCGTACGACGCTGGGCTGAATCTTTGGGAGCGCGTCCCCTCTGCGCGCGCATGCCCGCCGCACTCGTCGTTCACTGGAGGAGGCGGTCTACGAAATTATCTGACGATGGTGGGTGTGGGTGTGTGGTGCGCGTAAGGCAAAAGCTGGGCGGCCTTGGCTGGGCTCGGCGAGGGGGTGAGCCGCTGGCTGCGCTTGCGAAACACGCCTGCGGCGCCAGAGATGGCGTGGATGGTGTCAACTGGTCATTACCTAAAGCCAGCGAGACTGAATGACGCCAAGTGTCACGATTTGGGCGAGAGTGAAGGGCCTCGAGGGCCCGCCCACTCTCTGCCATGAGAATCTGTGACTGTTGAAAAACGGTATCTCCGCCCCCCCCTCCCTCATCCCTCACCGAAAATGCATGTTTTTTTCTTCTCTCGTCACTGCCAATGTTGAGACGATACGTTTCTGGTTGCCTGTGGGCTCAGCCTTCCCCCAACAGGTATCCTGACGAATGGCGTGGCACAGGCGAGGCTTGTCAAGAAACGCCCAGAATGGCACATAAATGTCGGGCAACGTGCCCGCAACCTGGGGATGGTCGAGAGCCATCCAAGGGCGCCTTGGCGACGCGGCGTGGTGATGTGTGGGGAGAATGGACTTTGGGATCACGTCAGCGTTTGACCTCGTCTTTTCCGTCGAACGAACATTGTTCCCCTTTTTTTTCCATCGTCTACCCCGGCCCCCAGGAAAATCTTCCGGTAGGGAAGCCAACCAAACCCCGGCTTGTGAAATCGTGGGGGTGGACAAGCGAGCGGAAAGTCTGGGGTCACGGCGCCGGCGCGCCGCTTGGGGACGCGAGATCGACAATAGCGCCGTTCCAAGACCCCAGAAACTGCCCTCTGGCGTCGCTGATTTGAGCTGATTTCCAGGCTGGTGGTCATTAAAGACTGGGATTCTCAGGTATCGACGCGGTGACTGATTCAGACAACCCCCAACCTTGGCAAGTCCGAATTGATCAGCTGTCCCGAATGGACCGGGATACTTGGAGCTCGGTCGGCGTCGGAATTTCGGAAGAAAGTTTCCAACGCAACCCAGCAGGAACGGCAGCCGCCTGTCGCGCGGCGAAGGTCAGGGCGCCGGAACAACACGGCTTTGCCGCGGGCGCGGAGCTACTCGTGGTGCCAGAGCCGCGGACAGGACGCACGATACGATTCGTCCTAAAGCTGGGCAGACACGGCCCTCACCGCAACTTCGGGTGACGGAAATGATACAAGACGCAGGCACGGCATCCTGGGCTCTGGTTGGACAGGAGAGGCGGCATGCTTGGCTCATCGCGACGGTGATGCAATCGACGTGTTGACATGTCATCGATCTCTCCAAGGACTCCGGGGAGGGCTCACAACCAATGCAATGTCTCTGCTGATCTCTGGAAAGCCGTGCTTCGGGCGACCCGGTAGCTGCAGGCCCATCTGACGGGTGGCCTCCCCAAGTTCCCCCAGATACACTACACTCGATCGCATATACGAGGCGTCCGTAACACCCGGGCTGGCTTGCTGATTGGTTTCATTCCACCTCTTTGGCCTCGGACGAGTCTCGGCAGTCTCGAGAAGCTGCGTCAAGCAGGGCGGCCTCGGTGCTTCCGAATAAGCTGGCCCCCGGATACAAGGCATGTTTGACGGCCCGGACGACATGGAGGGAGGATTCGACGGTTCCCCAGAAAATGCCCTTGTTTTTAGGGACCCTTGAATGGCGCCAAGGTCGAGGACGCTGGTTCACGCAGGACTGCCTGGATGGAGCCTTTTTGGGCCCCGAGACCTGGGATGAGACGGATCATCATGGCCGTCCCTCTCATCGTGATCATAATTTGTTGAGCAGGTTGTTTGAAGTGTGGGGTAGATAACAAGCTCTTTCACGCGCCAGGGAGACTCGAGACCGACCCGGTGCAACGCCGGGAACCTGGATAAGAACCGAGTGGTTCTGCAAGCGAGGGCAGACCCTTCTGATCGACGGTACGGTTGTGTGTCTGAAGAACGGTGTTTGAAAATTACCGGTGGATTTCGTCCGTCTCGCGGAGGGCGGTGCATACTAAAACCAGTGGCACAACTTACCAAGCACACTATGTAGCAACAAGGGCTTGGTACGGACGAGGAGATACTTTCCCCTAACTAGCGCTGATATTACGGACTTTTTGTTATCCGGGTGATTTTGTCGGCTTTCCTACGCCCTCATTGGGTGATGCTATTCTTGGGGTTCGGCCATCGTCGGCGAGGGTGGGCGATACTTTGAAGCGAAGCGACGGCGAGGTGATAAGCTGTGGTGCAGTGACCTTGATGGCTGATTGCGCCATCAAATTTTGAAGGAACTGCCCCGCGAGGTGCCCTGCAGCTGCGGGGTCGGAACCCCCACGCCCCGTGGGGAAGCTTAAAGCAAACCCTGGCAGCGACGGTCAGGGGTCTTCCCCACAACATCAACATCCCAAACCAACAAGTCCGAAGCGAGTTTCGCAGAAGATCCGGAGGAAACCGACCCCCAGAGGTACGTCGGAACCACTCATTGCGACCCCAAGGCCCTTCGGCCAGATCTCTGGCAGAACCACGAAAGGAGTGTTATCTCGATAAGAACTGGACGACCCCGGAGTTGTTGCGGGTCAGTGCATGGTACCTACCTCCATTCACTTTGCGAACCCGGGGTGTTTCAAACAAGGCAGGCCCGATCCTTCCATGCATGTCACGATTGGGCAGTGACTCGACCAAGTTTGCTGCTTCCTTGGTCCCCAGCGAAGGGACATACGGACAATGGAAGGCACAACCTGGTCAGGATCGCATTCTTCAAAGTTCCATCGCTTCTCTGCCATCTGCAGTGTTCTTTGACGGCAATGTACATAGGTAGTCGTCGATTGGGATGACCCGTCAACCAAACCCGCGCCCAGCGACGAAAGGAACCGAGAAGCCTGGGCGTCTCGGTCATGCTCCGCGTGACCCATCGACGAGTCTAAATGGAGAACAGAGCCAGACAATCGACTCAGCGGAAGCCAATGCCTGCCCTGCCCACGTTTTTATGTTGCCAACCTTACCAACAACACACAGGCTGGGGGTTGACGTTCCCCAGAAAACGCAACCGAGCATCGCCTTCCGGCTTCCGCGGCATCACCTCGCAGGAAGCGGTATCTCATCGCACGTTCCCGTGCCATCGATGGCACCCTTCTTAGCGCAATGATCATCCTCCCAGCGCCCTCCCAGCCTTGTCGTTGCTAAGCCAGAGCACTCGTGCACAGCCATCGCTTGGGCTCGTCCCGAGCCGAGTAAACTTATCAGTGTGCTGAGACTGACCCCTCGCGAGGGCCTGAGTCATCGAGGCCATCGCTCACCGCATCGTCAATGGCCAAACTATCACTGAAGATAACGCCATCCGCGACCAAACGGCCAAGATGGTGTCCAAGCACTGTATGATCCCGGACCGTTAGATTAGGCTTTGCTCTCTCTCCCAGGCACCGACCTGACCGCTCTTTCTCATTGAATTCGTCTGACCCTCGCAGATCTAGCACCCAGTTAGAGTTGATTCCACTCAGGCAACGCCCGTGAACCCCCCTCCTTGTGTTGATACCTATCGAGCAAGCAACGGCTTTGCAAGTGTCGTTTCGCCTCTCGATTAGCTATCTCGACATAATGGGCTCGGGGTGGAGATATCAGGGTCGTCTAGGTTTGATATTGAGTGCTGATTGCCCTTGCACCGGGAACCACGCTCACCGATAGACGCTGCAGCCCAGAGTGGCGTTGCCGTCCCGGGAATGGCGGTTCAGCCTATAGTACATGGCAGCTATTGTCAGCAACGTGCAGAAGCCAATTCAGCGAGACGTGCTCGAACTTCATGGCCAGCGACTGTAGGGCCATAGCCAAGCGCTCATTTTGCAGCCAGCGTCATCGCAGTCCAAGAACAAACCATCGTTTGAATCCTACAATATCGGGGAGCCGGAACTGCCTATATCTCCTGGATCCGGGATCTCACGCTTTTTGGGCAACCACTGAACGCAGTGTTCTCCCAGACTCTTTCGTCTCCCTGGTGGTATCACAAACAAAACAGAGCTATTTGAAGGGGGGAGACCAAACGACTGGGCGTGTTTTCCTCCCCGCAGCACCAAAGCTCTTCCAGGCCACCCCAGGACGGCCGGTGTCATTTTTCCGCGGACATCACCGGCTGCTCTGCCCACACGGTGGCCGTTCGGGCTGAGACTGGTGGACGGCGCTCAATCGAATCCCCTGTCGTTCTTCACCATTCCTTCCATGGCGATCCGGCTGCCGGTCTGCACGGGTCTGCCTTTACTGTGCAATGTAAGCGCAGTTTTATCGCTCCAGCCCCTATCATCTACAGAACTTTGGACTGACGAGCGATCAGGGGCAATAACTCGAGAGCGATGCCAAGAGCTCCCAAACCCGGCCGTTGCAAGTCGTATTGGCTGGGCCTGCGGATAAAACGCAGCAACCGGAGAGCCGGGACGCACGTTATCACTGATCGATAAATTAATTACACAGTACATTCTCGACCTGTTGGAATCCTTATCTCTCTTGCCCAAACACATGGAGTGTACTCCCTCCTTCGTTCTTTGTTTACAAGTACCCACCCCTATGACGTCAGCTCGTGGCAGATGATTGGGGTTACCGTCGTTGGCCAACGTTTGGTTCTGGAACTCCGTCAAACGTGAAAGGGAAGAGAAATGGGGGAGGACGGACACAGCCTCCGATTCAACAGATCTGGTTCTGTCGGACCCTTTCCCGGAAAGTCCGAGCAGTGTCAGGGGTTCTCTCGCCAGCCAGGAAATCAACTGTCAAAATCGGTCAAAACAGCGCAAGTTCAAATTTCATCCTTCACTCTTCCACCTGCCGCTCGGGGAAATCTGCAGCAGCGACGTAACGCGGATGTAACTGCTCCTTCTTGGGTTTTCCCCGCAGCGCAGGAAATCTCCCCTGCTTGGCGAGCATTCGCTTCTCATGGTCTAGAGCCCTCGTCCAGGGGAAAGCAAGGGGATAGGGCTATTGGACCCGACGAGATGGCAGTCCATCGAATTCTGTCTGCCGCGCCCCTCTCACGGTTGGTGCTTGCTCCCCTCATCCCTCTACCGCCGCTCAATCTACACTCATGTCTGCAATATGGCTTTGCAGAAAAGTTCCTGCCGGTCCGTCCCAACAAGTGTAGGCAGACATGGGGTGGAATGGCTGAACACCTGTGGCAAAACCATGCCGATAGTTCCAGCCTTATTTTCAGATCATACCGTCCACTCCGTATTGGCCACCGGGCCTTTGACGGTACTGGTAGAGATGCAAACGTGGGGCCTAAACAAGCCCTGCCGTGGCGTATCGTCCGCCGCGGTTCCTCCAGCATGTTCAGCTGCCGTTGGGTTATTGGGCTTCATATAATTTTCGTCTCCAAGCGCGAGAGAGCAAGGGTGATCGCTGCCGGAGGGGTTGTCGATCTGAATGGCAGTCCCAGCAGACGCGCAAGGCCGTGGTTTCGTATGGCCGCCAAGGCCGGGGATTGGTCTCTGGTACCGCGTCCGCTGCCCTCCTCGTCTCAGACCCATATCCGCCTGCATAGGCGAGACGCGGCTATCGTCCCCTTTTAGACCAGCTGCATACACCGGTGAGCGGCTCCAATTCGAAAGAACGCGGACCAGCCCGTCCCTTTTACACAATCGGCCGCCATCCCGGTCCTAGTCGGTGTGTTAAGTTGTTTCTATCACAAATGGTGTCTTCCTTTTAACCCTCATGGGCCGGGGGAGCGGGAATATGCAGGAGCAATCTTGACATCCAGACAATAGCAGATATCGGTACATATGTCGTGGAATGCTGGAGACGAGGCCGGGAGGATGGATAACTGGCTCAGACTGAACCCCGCCTTGCCGTGGGATCTCGGGCCGACAGCGTTCTTGTCTCTCCTAACGTCCGCCCAGCTCCGTTGGCCGTTCCATATCGAGATGTGGTTGCACGGGGGGATTAATCTGATCTGGATTCGTCAAGATTCGAGAAGGGTGCACAAACAGGCGGGCAAGGGAAGTATTCCGGCTGGCCGAAGGTGTGTCTGCTTTGAGTGCTGACGGCGGGTGGGAGTGTCCGTCCCGACGCGTCGCTTCCGCCCTGCCCGTGCCTTGCCTTCTCACCACCACCACCACCGCCGCCGCCATCACGACGGCAACCACCACAACCACTATAACGCGCCGTCTGCCGTATCTGAGACGTTCATACCCACCCCGGCTCTTGGCCGCCGTCCGGGGGACGGACGGCAATGATGGTGGTGTCGGAAGCGGGCTGGCCTTCAAGGCGGGCTCTCCCGGTTGGTGTTGACAAATCTGGTTCGTTTGTTACGATACCGGCACCATCCCGCGCTACCTCTCGACGGCTGTCCCCATAACTTCGACAACATAACACCTCAGATATCTCTAGCACTCCCCTTTCGCTTGAGCTTTCGGCACGGGATATAGCCTGGGCCGGCCGCCACGGTCTGGGCTTTCCACACCGAGAGCGGCTCATTCTGCACGGTGTTGATGCGTGCAGCTCGTTCAGAGGGGCGGGAGGCGACACTTTGGCCGTTAATTGCCCCGAACAGGGGCTGGCTTTCCGATCTGGCTAGCTGCAGGATCGAAGTACGTTCTTCAGCTGGGCAAGGACGGGTGCAGATTCGATGGGGTTCTCAAACTCTGTTTTCTTTTGTATAATTCTTTTCCTTTTACGTGAGAGAGGGGGGAGGGAAGCTCCCGTCCCCCTCTTCTGTATCACCATCACTTCCCCTTTCGTCTAGCTTCGCCCGCTGTTGCGCGTTGTTGGGAACTGGGTCCTGGATGGGAGTTATACCACTCATCTATGTTTCTTCCACTCATAAGTGTTTATTTTGTCAGATATAAATGAGATCTGCGGTTGAATCGGGGCAACATAGATACACATGGTGGACCACAACCCGGGACGGAACTGATACTCTGGTCTCCCCGGTGAGTGGTTCCGGGATCTAAAATCTCGCCTCGAGAGCGGATCTTGCGCTTCATTGCTCCAGTTTTGATGGGAACTTCCATGACAAGTCACGATTCGGATGGGAAATTCACGCATTGTCACCGGTACTGAGGATACTTACGATACATTCGAGAAACTTGGATATGTTCCGGTTCGACAGCGCTAGGGAAACACCCCTCTCCCACCCTCAGAGCCCAACGGGATAACTAACTCCGCTCACGTCCGCTTTACCCAGGGGACGACAGCATAGTGATGATGGCGCGACTGGCGCCGAAAAAAAGAACACATACCCGCCTGCGATTTGTCACGTATGGCACCTAGAAGAAGCACGCAGTGGCTCGCTCAACTCAAAGGAGAGGGCCATTGTTAGTACGCCAACAAGTCAATCCGCATTGGGCTGAGTATGGGCTCCAGCACAGTCCTCACTACAGATCGAGGATTTGCAGGCAGTCGTGTGTTGAGTTGGGTTCGCTGTCAAATTTGCCACGGGGTATCCTAGAACAGAAGAGAAAGGAGAAACAAGAAAAGCCATGACCACTTCGTCTCCTCTCTCATATCCTCAACCTGCCCAAATGAGGATATTTCGGTCGTAAAAGCCCGATGAATGACGGCCTATGAGTGCGTCACCACCACACCTTGATCTCCCTTCCCGGTGCGTAACCCTGAGCCACTCAATGTTTACATCCTTCATCACCACAGCCCCATCCAAGCACGCCGACGTCCAGGCAAGCCATAGCGACGCGCAACCACCCACCTAGGCCTCGTAGCGCGGGGGATCCGCAGCCGCAGGGCCCGGGGCCGCCGCCGCCATAGCCTTGAGGAAGACGAGGACCTCGAAGACGGCGGCGCAGACGGCGAGGCCGCCCTTCTTCCACTCCTTGTCGGACCACAGGCCGTCGAGCATGTTGTCGGAGACGACGGCGACGACGAAGCGCACGTGGTGGTCCTCGGCCGTCCACGCCGACTTGTCCGGGTTGTGCATCAGGTACTGCGCCCCGCGCGCGTTGATGGCCTCCCGCGCCTTTTGAGTCGTCGCGCCCTTGTCGGGTTCGGGCGTGAGCGGGTGCGCGCCGTGGAAGTCCCGCAGGAACTCGTTCCACGAGCCGCGCACGTACACGCCGTTCAGCCAGCTGGTGGGGGGTTGGGTGTTAGGTTCGTTTGTTCTCTTTCTTTTTTTTTTCTTTTATTGTTGCAAGACGTAATAGATAGGGCGCTTACTCGTGGAACTGACGGATGTCCTGGAAGGGAAGCAGCTCGAGGATCAGACGCTCATGTTGCGAGGCTAGCTGGACGGTGCCGCTGGCGCTCGGGGGAGGTTGTTGGCCCATGGTTAGCGGGAGAGAGAATGCGTCGTCGTCGTCTTGGAAGGGGGTTGAGAGCAGCGGTTGGGAGCTTGGCTTGGAGCCCGACGCCGGTCTCGACTCGGCGCAACCCATTAATAAACAAGACCAGGTGTTTTCTCCGATTGTCACTTTCAGTGTTGGCCACAGAGCATGACTTGCACGACGCGCGCTCTTTTTTGAGTAGTTGCAAGAGGATGGAATGATCGTGGACTCTTATGAAGGACTTGAGAGGTTGGTCTTTGTCTTCCGGCGCGTCCAAAAGCAAAGCTGAAAGCCTCCCCCTCCCGCCTTGGATGCCTCAAATGGCCCTTACTGGGGTACTGGGCACACCTAGGCGAGGGAGGAGGTGTGTGGTCTGTACACAGCCTCATTGGTAAACGTCACCTCAAGCAGCCCCGAGAGCCAATTGCACTTGGCAGAGGAGGTTTCCCTTTCATCAATATTTGAACTAGTAGTGTCAAGAGGCAGTTCCGTGTTTTGACTTGTGTCCATGTTCGTGTTTTTTTTTTCTTTTTTCTCTCGGCTCTCTCCTCCATTTCTTTTGGACTGATGATGAATGTGGAATGATCAACGATGAGAGAGAAGGTGCGGATAATCCATCGAAACACACACTGTGCTACACCTGAAATTCTCACGTTAATCCCTGCATTGAGACATATCGCACTGTGTATTGTGGTGGGGCATTCTCGAGACCAAAGCAACGCCATGGCCTGACTTCCCATTCGCCAATTTCGGACGACGTTCAGACCTCACACATTCTGCGTTCCGTCATTCACAACAGGACGCGAGTTCACAAATGTATCCCCAATTGATTCACTTATATATTGTCTCTGGTTGATTTGCCTTCATTTTCGAAGCTTAGGAGCGGTCCGCGCCGCCATTTCCCTCACTTCCGGTGACCCAACGCCAGTCAGGGCCTTTTTCCGGGGCATGAGCCTTCGTCGACGGGACTGAACGTCATCCAACGCTTCTCTGTTGTCATCATCATCCATCTATTCATCCATCCAAAGCAACTGGTATGCTTGTTATGTTATTCTCTCATTTGACGCGATGAATGGCCCCAATCGGATGAGCTATTTGGACGAAGCTGATGCCCTAATTTTACAACTCCAACCTTCTGCCACCTTCTCACTTGCAATTAATTACGCTGATTTATACACACACGGGTATTCTCGAGCTAACAATAATCTCCTAGTCAACATGTCTGATGAACCAGTACCTACGCAAAACGGTGTGACCGAAGCTACCAGTACTAGCAATGTTAGCGTTGCTGTGGAAGAAAACGCTACCCCTGTGGAGCCTCAGCCCTTCTCTTGGCTGTAAGTCAAGCCAAACATGTCCAGATGTCCGGGTCGAAAGCTCACAACAACTCAGCCAGCCTCACCCGCTCTTCGTTATCGCCCTGGTAGGCCCCGAGGAGACTCCCTTCGGCATTCAAAAGGACTTTTTGTGCTCCAAGTCCACCTATTACAAGAAATACTTTGACGAGACCCCCGACGGCCTTGAGAACCTTGTGAGACTTCCCGACACCGCCGTCGAGGTCTTTGCCTATGCCCAAAACTTCCTCTACACTGGGCAGGTATTCCCTAGTCTCGACAACCTCCCCACCTACGAGGTGCTCATCGGCGTCTGGAAGTTGGGCAACGAGCTGGGCATCGAAGGGCTCTGCGATGCCACCCTCGATGCCATGGCCGAGTGCCGCCGTATAACGGAGCACATCCCCGCCACTCCGCTCCTCGTCCAGGTTTGGAGGGACACTCCGGAGGGATCCTCGATCCGCAAACTTCTCCTCTCGTGGGCCGCCGAGTATATGAGGTCCAGCGAGTCCCGTGCCGAGTTCGCACGGTCGCTTCCCCAGGAGGTGTTGAGTGAGCTAGTAGTGGCGATGAGCTCTCTGGACTTGCCACCGCTTCAGCTTGATACGATTGCGGTGCCCGGCGCCCAGCGACGTTCAGCACCACACGAATTGGACGAGGCTGCTGAAGGGCGCCCGGCGAAGAAGCGGCGCGCGTCGGATGCCGGACTCAACGGAACCTCCACAGTCATCGCTGCTCAGGGCCCTGCCCGCAAGCTGGCACCGAGGGCGTCGCTTCCAGGGACCAAACCGGGGCCAAAGCCGGGATCCAAACGCCGAACTAGTGCTGCCGTCAACGGAGCCCAACCGTTCTCAGCCAACCAAAAGCTCAACTTCTGCGCCGACCTCCTCTCGCGGATGCTCTCCGGGCCAGGTAAGCTTTCCCCTTCCCACCCTTTCCTCCCCTTCACCACCACCTCTCATATGCAACTTCAACTCGAAGAAAGAAGAAAGAAGAAACTAACAACCCCCTCCCCGCTAGGCTTCTGGACGCGCGTAGTAGGGCCCTTCAAGGACCCGGTCGACCCGGAGCGCGACGGCGTGCCCGACTACCTCAAGGTGGTCAAGAACCCGATGGACCTGACGACGATGAAGGCCAAGATGGACGCGCGGCAGTACACGGACGAGACCGAGTTCCTGGCCGACATGAACCAGATCTTCACCAACTGCTACACCTACTGGCGCCAGCAGGACCCCATGTGGGCGGCGTGCGAGAAGCTGCAGAAGTCGTTTGAGGATAAGTTCGGGCAGATGAACAAGTGGATCGCCAAGATGGAGGGCGACGAGGGGAATTAGTGGTCGCTCTGGATGAGTGTATGCGGTCTTGATATTGTTGAATTGGGGGTTTGGTCGTGCGGACTTGTTCTTCTTTTGTTTCGCAGACTATATAAGGTCTGTTTAGTTTGGTTCTTGTTGGCCTTTCGAGAGGGCTCCGCGCCGCCCACTCACTCACCCCGGGACCGGGCCGGGGATACAGATTGTAGCATCATTTTTGTACACTAGCTTAGTCGGTGTGGTAATGCCCCTCGGGGCCTTTGCGTTTGACGTGTCGTCAATCGAAACATACAAACAACGCTCCCCAGCTTGCAGCTCATAGTATACAGCGCTCAAGTTCCCAGAGGTGGGCCTGACACATTACCGACTCATCAAGTCCACTTGACACCGAACATCCTGAACCCCTTGTTCTCTCCGTCCTTCGCACGTGAAGTATCGGCGTTCTCGAGGTATATCCTTTGATGGCCCCGAACGTCTACAAAGAAGTACTTGTACTCGTACTCGCCATGGCCAGCACGCTTGACGAGATGCATACCGACTCGGCCCGTGCCTTTCGGCCCTTGGACCTAATCCAGCTGTCAGTCTTGTCTCTCGGCCAGTTTACCAACATCAAGTGTATGACCTACATTAAATTGAATCATCATATGCTCGTTTCCCTGCCCATCCTTGGTGATGGTCGAGCTAGACAAGCAACCACGTTAGCCCTCTCACCTCTTTGAACATGCCGCACCCCAATGGCTCGCCCGATAAATGAAAAAGAAAAAACCTACGCAATCGGCCTAGCGCGCCGCCACTTGTTGTGCGTCTCCTCACCAAACGCCGTGATCTTCTTGCCGTCCCCCAGCAGCTCCAGACACCGCGGGTCCGTTTTGATGCGGTTAACCGCCCGGTTGAAGTACGTTGTCTTGCTGTCGGGCGCGAACACCTCCGAGTACAGCACGTAGCCCACGCCGCCCTGTTCATGTCGTGTCAGATCAGATCAATCAATCAATTGAACAACAATATCCCCATCATTGTCTTGTGTTGTGTGTGTGTGTGTGTGGTTCCCCCATCCAAACCCCGCGCGGGGAGAGAAAAAGATGGAGATGGACGTACCGTCAACACCACCCCCACGATAACCATGCCGAAGTTGAAGGTCTGCTGGGCGGCGCGCCCCGTCTTTTCGGCGGCCGACAGCTCGGTCCATGGCACGTTGCCCGTGTCGTTGAAGGGTGTCACGGCGCGCCGGCGGGATTCGGGGGCCGAGCCTGGCTTCGTGGCGTACCGGCGGTGGCTGGCGTAGGACAACGTCGAGGGGCGGGTGCTGCGGGCAAGCTGCTGCTGGATGCGGAGGGGGGGGTGTGCGGTGTTGGGAGTGGTGGTGGTAGCGGTAGCAGTAACAGCGGTGCTGCTGGGTCGGAGCCGCAGCCCCGAGACCGTGACTCGATTCATCATGGTGGCTTGGCGGTGCCCATCGCTGACGGCTTCTGGTAAGCCGGGGTCGTTCGAATGGGCGGGAGTGGGATTTGTCTGGGGTGGGTTGTCGAGGTGGAAGAAAAGCTTCGGCGGAGCTCGACTTGAACTTAGTCAATGCATGCACGCGATCGAGTGCCGGCCGGCAATTTCTCGGGTGGGGGAGTTTTGAGTTCGGTTCAGCGTGGGGCAACAAGACTGAGGTTAGCGGGCTAGGCTGGATCGGGATTGGTGTCGCATTTTGATGCCACATGGATGGGTTCCTGGGCATCCAAAATGTGGCACCTTCTCCTGAAACGGCCGAGTTCACGATCGCAACTTCACCTTCGCAACCCTCTCTCCCTCGCACTCGTCCCACTACCACCGACCACCACGGCACATCCGCACCCTACCCTCTTCAGGAACGGAGAAACGCCGCCAAGATGAGCGGCCTTGCACCCAAGCAGCAGTCGCTCAAGATCTTTGAGAAGTTGAAGTCCAAGTCGGCAAACAAGGCAAGCGAACCCCCGCCTTGTCTCTCCTTGCTTGCCCCTTGCGGATGAGAGGACGAGAGCAGAATATTAACAAACGGTAACCATCTAGGTGTGCTTCGACTGCGGCCAGAAGAACCCGACCTGGACCTCGGTTCCCTTGGGCATCTACCTGTGCCTCGACTGCTCTGCCAACCATCGCAACCTCGGCGTCCACATTTCCTTTGTCCGGTCTACCAACCTCGACCGTACGTCCCTGCACTCTGCGCCGGACGACACATTGAAGACGCGAGCTAACACTCGGCAGAATGGCAATGGGAGCAGCTGCGTGTTATGAAGGTTGGCGGCAATGAGTCGGCCACCAAGTTCTTCCAGTCCAACGGCGGCTCGGCCGCCCTGAACAGCAAGGACCCCAAGACAAAGTACACGTCGGCCGCCGCGACCAAGTACAAGGAGGAGCTCAAGAAGAGGGCCGCGAGGGATGCCAAGGAGTATGCGCGCTATTCGTCCCACTACTACTGCCACCGCACTCATACTGACAACACATTACAGGTACCCTGAGGAGGTGGTCATCAACGACAATGCCGAGGGCGCCGAGAGTGGAGATACCCCCGTGGAAGACGACGACGACTTCTTCTCCTCGTGGAGCAGGCCCGCGGTTAAGAAGCTGAGCCCGCCCATCTCACGGACCGCCACGCCGCCGGTGGTCGGGCGCACCCCGTCCCCCTTCCTAAATGCGCAGAACGGCAAGGACACGACGCGCTCCCCGTCACCGCTCGCCAAGGGCAACGAGGGCGCGGCGAAGCCTGCCTCCAGCCGCATTATCACCTCGGCCGCGATCAAGTCAAGCACGACAGGCCCGCGCAAGGCCAACATCCTCGGCGCCAAGAAGGTGACCTCGAAACTGGGCGCTAAGAAGCTCGGCGGCGACGTCATGATCGACTTCGACGAGGCCGAGAAGAAGGCCAAGGAGGAGGCCGAGCGCATCGAGAAGCTCGGGTACGACCCCGACGCCGACGAGGAGGCGCCCGCGGCGTCCAAGGCCGCCAGCAAGACCGAGTCGGCCATCGTCTCGCCCACCCCCGTCAGCCCCGCGCGCGGCGGCTACTCGCACTCGCGGCAGAAGTCGGCCGCCGAGGTCGAGCGCCTCGGCATGGGCATGAACCGGCTCGGGTTCGGCCAGGTCGGCAAGCCCGCCGGCGCCGCCGCTGCTGCGAAGAAGGGCACCGCCGGTGGGTTCGGCTCGGTCGGGCCCGTCAAGGCGGCTGCTGAGGGTAAGTCTTCCGTCCCCCCCCCCGACACTCCAAACAGCCTTTACCCCTTTTTACTAACAACTCGTAACAGACGACGGCGAGAACTACGCGCGCAAGAAGTTCGGCACGCAGCGGGCCATCTCGTCGGACGAGTTCTTCGGCAAGGGCATGTTCGAGTCGGGCGCCCAGGCCGAGGCCCAGTCGCGCCTGCAGGGGTTCGAGGGCGCCCAGTCCATCTCCAGCAACGCCTACTTCGGCCGCCCCGAGACCGACGACATGGGCGGCGGCGGCGGCGGCGGCGAGGACTATGGCGACCTCGAGTCTACCGCCAAGGACTTTGTTCGCCGCTTTGGTATCACCGCCGCGGATGATCTGGATAATCTGTCGCAGCTCGTTGGGGAGGGGGCTGGAAGGCTGCAGGGTGCTATTAGGGCTTATTTGGGGAGTTAGAGGGTGGTTGTGGATGTGTTGGAGGGGGGGGCTGACTGGATGGGGATGGGGTTGGGGATTGGGGATTGGGGATTGGGGTGGGTGGTTCATGGTCAATGAGTATGACCGGCGGCAAAACAAGCAAGCAAGCAAGCAATTAGGGAGGCGTGAATGTTAGGTTAATGAGACTGTTTTGGAGTCGAGTTTGGCGGTGGACGGGTGGGGTTGAGTGGTCATTTAGAGAAACAGAGGTCTTTTGGTTCATTGCTTCTTCCTTATGTTGTCGGAGCTTACAATGAAGTGGGAAGAGCGTAAGGTAGGATGGGGGCGAGGTGAGTGAGGAGAGTTTCTTCTTTCTTCCCTTTCACTTGTTCTCTTTCTTGTCTCACGACCTTGGATAGCGACCACAGACTCCCCGGTGTGATGTTATCTCAGGCCAATTGGAAAGTGGAAGCATGGGATTCTAGACCAAAGCTTTTGTTACAGCAGCAACAACGGAAGAAGTACGAGGAGAAAATCCCAAAAAGATCACCAGCTACCAAGATAGCTGGCTACGAAAACCTCCGAGGGGATTTTACAAGCCATACAGAAGGGCTATATGGTTAGTATCACACCCTTTACAAATATCAGTAAAGGCGTGTATCGCGGGCGGCTGTCAACAACAGATCGGCGCCCCAGGCTGGCTCAAACCAGAGACCTCTCTGTAGAGTGCTACTGAGAAAGAAACTGTGTAGAAGTTCAACCTGCTCGTACAGTGACCGCTGAGCCGTTACAGCTGCAGAGGTCCCTGCCGAGTTCGATGGAAGGAAGGAATTCGCGCTTGGTAGATATGGGAGCCGTGAGTTCTTTCTTCCCCTCATCGGCGAGGCTATTCCCGATCCCCAACTCACGAACGCCGTCGTGGTCCGCGATCTGCCTTCGTCGCAACCAGCAGCGCCGATACCTGAACGAAATACTGGCCATCTGGAAAGTATTCTCCCGCAATCGAGCCGTCCCAACTTGTGAGAAGCGAAATCCGTTCCCTATATCCCAAAATTCACCCTCTTAACGATCGCTCCAGAAACAGATTCGTGAGCCCATGCCTGCTTAGGATTGTTCCTCCCTCGACTCGCTCAACTCATCCATCCTCCACGATTCGCCGCACCCACTACCACTTCATAATCGGCAATACAAATTCTTAGTGAGCCACCGCGCGCATGATCCCTTCCGAGGCTTGCATCTCGCATCACTTGGCGTGTTTGCCACGACACTCGGTCTGGACTTTCTTGAGCCCGCAACAAAAGGCATGATTTGGCCGCTGGGTAACTATGTACGTATGTACATACACAAAGACAGATCCCGGAAATCCGGATCACTTGGATGCGGTAGTCCTGTGCGCGACGCAGACGGGCAGACACTGTGGGTTCTGCTCTGTATATCGAGGGTCGACTTTGTCTCTGGGAATCCCCAAGTCCAAGTTCAACCCCGAGTTTCTACATTGGGAAATACGTAATCTAGCCTCCACTCACCGGTCGACTGAATTGTATGGATCGGATAGAGCGGTGGGTGGGCGTTACACGTCGGCGACCTGGCGATCTTCAGCCTCCCATCTTTTGTTTGCTTGTTCCTTCGGCCGTAGGCAAACTTCGGTGAAGGATTCCAGTTTCCAGCCAACCTTTTCGCCTCTGCCATCGGAACAATGCGTTGTCTTCTGAAAAGGGTTATAACGGGGCGAGGACTCCGATGTTCATGATGTAGGATTCCGTCTTGGGATGCAAGGTTGCCATTTCACTTGATCCATCGTCCTCATTAGGAGGTCCGCCTTAGGAAACAAACAAGCACACATGCAACGACAGCAACTTTGATCAATTAACGCCCCGAATTTAACTCCAAGCACAGCTCTATCTTATGGACGTAAGGTAGGTAAGTAAACAGGCCCTGTCACAGACCAGGACCACTGCACCCCCTGCCAAGCAGACTTGATAAACAACTAACCCCTTTTCCTCCACTACACGAGGCATACAACAGAAGACTCAAATTACGATGAGAAGCAGCATCATCCACTCTCATTTACCCCATTCATAACAAATACGAAGGAGGTCCATGGAATAGCTCATCCATCCCATGACATTGACCCTCAGAAACAACAAACAACCACCGAAAAGAAAGGGGGAATCCCGCCACCGCCTCGCAGCTCCCCCCTTAACTGGCCCCCTATCTCTGCCATGGCTCCATACTCTCACGCCCTCTCACGCCATACACCTAGGTATCATGTTACGCGCCTCTCGTGCGTGGCGGCTGACCGACCTCCGTCTGCACCGCATCCCTACATGATTGATGATGATGATGAATGTCTCGCACTCCCTCCTTCCCATCCCCTACGCATCCCCTACGCAGACCACGCCCATACACACACCCACATCGCATCCACCCCCATCCACGCACACTCCCAGCAACACACCTCGCCGACGAGACAGGCAAAAGCGAAGCGAAGCGAACGCAGCACAACGCAACGCAATGCAATGCAGAGCAGAACCACACACGCACGACACGCACGACACAATAGTTCAAGACAGACAGCTCGCAACAGTTACGCCAAACAGGCAATCGCAGCATCACACAGACACCGCATCACAGCATAAAGAATGACCCGTCCCCGCCCTCACCGCAATCCCCCAATTCCCCCATAAAATAAGCTTCGGCCCAAGCATCACGCCGCCGCCCGCCGCCCGCCCCCTTTCCCGCCTCCCCCTCCCCCCCCCGATTACCCTCGTCCCCGAAACAAAGCCCTTCCCCGAGGGGGGCGGCATGCGGCATCGGGGGTGATGGGGATACATCGCATGCATGCAATGCAAACAACCCAGGGCGGAACGCAGCATCCGGGCAGCCGGTCGGGGCCGGAGTGATTCTATTTATTTATTTTGTATTTGTATTTGTATTTGTATTTCAGCTTTCCCCCTCCTCCGGGGGGCTGCAGCTAAACCCCCCCGATGCGATGCCCAGAGATGTTCAGCTCGGCAGGGTCCCAGCAGGCGCCGATGCTACTCTCTCCGAACAGAGTCTTCAATACCACCACACCACACCCGGCACTCGGGATAAAATCCCCGGTGATATAGCCATCCCTCCGAGTGTAGACCTACATGCAGATATTACCATGCAGACATGACCTCAATCCAGAGATAAACAGACAGACAGAGGGGCAGATAGACAGAGATATACTTCGCCTCCTGCGACATTTCTGTAACAAGCCAGCCCTAAGGATCCCCATCCACCGTGCCATCAGGATGTGACCTGAAGCGGGCCGAAGCTGGGTCCTCGGAGGCGGCGTAGCTAATCTGAAATCTGTACGAAGTGCACAGCCAGGGAAGCGACCCAGCGACCCCAGGATTCCGAAAGATCGGCGCAGGATCGGGACTGCGTACCCGACGCCGTTCCAGAGACAAACGGATGTACGAGTTATGCCCCCCCACCAGCGCTGCGCAAAGCGGCACTAAGAGGAATAAGAGGAATCGAAGTGCCGTTTCGTGAAGCGAAAAAGATCGACCGCCTCGTTCTGCTGTATCGTATTCCCACCCCACCAAAAGCGTCACTTCCAGACGCGTTGGCCGGAAACGCCCCAATCCGGGGCAAAGCCATAGCCCCCGAGCGACGGCCACTGAGCCAGTCTCGTGCCGGCATCCAGTAAAACTCAATCAGGCAGAATACCACCTCGCGAATCCTCAGCCGCAAAAGCTGATCGGCCAATCTACCCGACCCAACCGTTGGCGCACGGCCCGATGATAGGGCTGAAGTCAGACGTGTCCTAATTGTTTGACCAATGGCTATCTGTCGTGTGACGCCGTCCAGCCCGTCAAAACCTGGAACCACCGTGTGCGAGACGAAAAAGACGAGTCCGAGGTAGACGGGCGGCGAAGAAGATCAGCGGTTAGTTCCGCGCTGGGATGGCCCCGAAACCCCCAACTACTGCGCGGGCGGCGATGGTTTGGGCGTGGGCTCCCGAAACTGGCATCTCTTGGGAATGTGACCAGTCGGTCTGCTATGCCTCAACTGTGAGCTTAAAACGCCACCTGCACCCTGGTTGGTTCTACAAAGCCCACCCCCCACCTCTTTGGCAAGGCCGGTGTGAAAAGAGGCAGGTAGCCAAGTGCGGCAATTCCCGATGGCGCGAATAGTGCTCGAGGTGATGGCGAGGCTCCGCGCGTCTAGAGATGCTGAGGGCATCGTGACGTTTTCTTCCTGACTCATCGGTTGTCGGTGTGGGCAGGAACGACGATCAACTGCCTCTTTGTGTGCAGCCGCTGTCAGCTTTTCCGAGAGAACCAATAATGGCATATTTCGCATGTCCCTGTGTGGTGAAACAACTCGCCAAAGATCGAAGCCACCGCTGAGGGCCGATCCGAGGGGGGACAACGAGCGGGTGTACGACGATGTCCGAAACGGTGACGGGAAGAATAGTGTGTTTTGAGCCGCCGTGTTGTGATGGGCGCCAGAAGAGTCCAGCCCCCTCGGTCGTTGACTCGACGATAAGGAGGGGGGGATCGGGGCGCGTCCGCGGCGCCGCCGCGCGAAAAAGACTCTGCATCCGGCGCAGCGTCTCGTCACGGCTAGGAGCAGACAGAGTTGCGGGTTGCCGCGCCAAGTCGGGGCCAAACCGTGCCCGAATCCCTTTTCTTGAGCCACACAGCTTCTCAGCGCTCTGTCTGGCACGGTGGCAACGGTGACAGGCGTTGCTTGTAGGCCAGTGATTGCTCGTACTCTCTTCTAGAATGTCTCGGGCTTGCTGACCGAGTCGGCCAATCCCATTTCTGCCGTCGTCACCGGGCCGAAGATTGGCTTGGTAGCGCGAAGAAAGACAGTGTCTGGATTACGACGCTGACAAGCGTCATCGGGTCCGCCAGCCACATGGTCCTTCCTCGCTGTTTTGAACCATCGCAACCCGAACGGGGCCAGCCGCCCGGAGCCCGAGAAAATCGGGAGCTTTAGCGGCCTCCGGCACTCTCTGCGATCGCTGCCTCTTTGCCCCAACCCCCGTCGATGGCGCCGCCTCCCTGCCGTGGCCGTCAAAAATCGAAAGGGCGCTAGCGTCCGAGTGAAGAAACTGCGGATCCGGGAAAAGCGAGCTAAGGTTGTGCAACGGCGGGACGAGAAGACCGGTGTGTCTTGGCGGTGATGAGCGAGAATAGTTAGGCGTTCTGGGTGGGTCGATGGGGGGGGCGTTCCGCTAGGGGGTTGGAGCGGAGGGCAAGGATGGTGTTGATCATTTTGTCGTTGGACTGTTTTAGTCCCGAAACCTTATTTGGACAACAGCCAAACATGGTCGAAAGCGGCCCTGCCCAGGTGTCATATGTGCCGCGCAATGGTAGTCCGAGCGCTCGAGTGCCAATGCCCAGCTCGTGACAGCTGCCGGCCGGGAAAGAGGCAAGAGGCGCCGGGGCCGGGTCGGCGCTGCTCGCCCTTCTTCGCCCCCCCCGCATTTGACGGCTTTGCCCACGACCTGCTTGCTTGCTGCCTAGTACGAGCTGGTTTCAGGATCGGCTGGACCAAAAAGAAGCCAGCAAATCCAGCGAATCTCGCGAAGATCCGATGCTCCCACAAATGAACGCCTCCCGGTAGATCGCTGTTGTGCCTCCCAAATGGATGTTGGCTGGGGTGACTCGAGCCATTTTACCGGTCTCTCGGGACCCCCCTGGGCGCTGGGGGTAAAGGTGGATGGCGTGTTACTGTGTCCTTTCCGGGTTGCTCGTTAGCGCGCTTCGGCACCGGGGACTCGCGGTAGCGACCGGTCACGGCAGCGGATCATCGCCCATCCCGTGAGCCAAGAATTGTACTTATCGTTCAGGTTGGAGCATCCCCGCGGTCAAGCCAAACCCGGGAACGTGTGTGGATATCCATACGCACCCCTTCAGCGTTTTCTGGGGCTTTGGTCGGCTGCGCCGCTGACTAACATGAGTCCTCCTGCGCGGTTCTTCGTCGCGCCCCGATTTTCCTGACCCCCTGGAGGGCGGGGGCCAATTCCAAATCATGCTCCCGGGGTGGGAACAGACGAGACGATCGAGGTTGAGATGGTGCTGCTGCTGTTCTGTTTCATCAGTTCCAATTAATCAATGAAGATTTGTGTGTGGAGGACTCTAACATGCAACGCCCGACTTGTTGGTTGGTGTTGGACAGACGGTTTACGGCTTGATCTCCCGATTCCATGCCCAGACCGGTTCATGCAAGTCATCCTGGCCTCCGTTCGGGGGGTTCGGCAGATGGGCGGATAAGCGGTGTGACACAGCCCGGGGCGCTCCATGTTGACTCCCGATGCCGATTGGGGGTCTTGCAGATCGGGTGGGAAGGCAGGCAGACAACGAGGCACTACGAGGTTGCAATTCCCAACGGTGTGGGAGAAGTGCTGACAGGTGTTCAGGGGTCTTGCACGGCAGCTTTTCTTGGTTGCTGCGTCCTCAAGGCGGGCGTTGTGTGCGTTGATTGAGTCGTTTCGGTTGCCGCAGTTGGTGGGTGAATAGATTGGTTGCTGCAGCTTACCCCCCCTTTCACGCACGCCGGAGTGGATTCGAAGCCAAGCAGGGCGGGAACGAGCGTGCGTGGTACGGTACCTGCCTGGAAGCCTTTTAGTGCCCGTTCCTTCCATCTCCGTTTTGGCGTTGCGATAGGTAGGGAGGTACCTGTAGATGGTGGGGTTTGGCGGAAGGAAGGGGCGGACGGAGGGAACCAGAACCTGGGAGGAGGACCTGGAAGGAGGAGCGGGACCTTCCCAAATATGCCCATATCCACATTCGTACTTGCAATAACCGAACCTGGAAGCTGTGCACAGGTTCTTCTTTCATCGCATCCTCCATGGATGTCATCTGAACCTGGTACCCTAGGCAGGGACTTGAAGGAACCTTCCAGGGCTCGAGGTACATACATACGAACATGAAAGCTGGGTGAATCCCAACACTCTGCCCCGAGTGGTTTCTGAAATCCCCACCACACTCCACACCGGAAACGAATAAGACGGGACGTTCTGGGGAATTAATCAAGACGACTACCACCACAGCACAAACCGGTGAGAGCACAGGATCTAGATGCAGACAGGTAGCCCTACCGTAAGCGGTATCCATCCCCGCGGGGGTGTTTGTGGCGAATCTGTGCGACTGATCTGATACCCCAGCCCGCCCTCTGTTTTTGTTGTGCAACTTCCATTGCCTGCATTGACAGTTCCGAGCATTAGGTCGCTCCAAGTCAGGAACAAGGTTGCATCTTAGTGGGCATACAGCAAAACACATTTAGGTAAGGGCAAAAGAAACGAGATGCGTTGGAGTTAGAGAGTTTCGTAAAATGACCGTCCGAGAATCTACGCGAATTCGTACAATGAAAAGAAGAAAACCGAAACAAAAGCCACGCTGCAGGAGACTTTGGGGGCGCATCCCTTGCCTGGTGACCAATGACCCCCCCCCGACCCTTCCTAGCCCCCTTCCGGACCCCGATGACGGATGCTCACGGAAACTTGGTCGGCCTGTCCTGTCGATCCTAGGACAGCCTCCTGAGTCGTTTACTGCGAGCGGCGCAGCTTCGGGACCGAGGGGAACAGGGGATCCCATTCCAGCCGTGGAGAGGATGGTTGAGAAAAGGAAATGGAAAGGAAAAGGCAGCGCTGCGTCGGATGTAGAAAAATAGGAGACAGGAAGTTGCTGCGTGCCGGTGTCGAGTGGAAGAAGTGAAATCGACGGGGGGGGTAGAGAAAGAAGGAGAAAGATAATGCACCGGGTATCCCTGCAAATGCCATGTCTCGTCGCGCGTAACCCGTTGTTTCCCATGATTCCCCAGAGAGAACCGTTTTAAAATTCCTAGAAGGAAGATGGTCAAAAACCAGGGCCAAGTCTCGCGGTGTTGTTTCCCATACCCGATCCCTCGATTCCCGAGTCCGGCTCGTTGCCGTGAGGGTACGGCAAGAGGGAGGCCCGAAACCCAAACCAAAACAAAAAAGAAAAAAAACAAGAAAAGGAGAAAGCCAGCGCCGTGTCCCTCGCGGAGTACCCCTAAGTCTCCTACCCGGGATTAATCGTCAAAGAACCCATCCATCCATCCATCCATACCCATCCATGTCCGGTTCCCGTCCGCCGATTTCCTTGCGCCAGCCCATCCCATAAAACCCAGCCCATAGATAGGTCACCCCCCCGTCTAAGGGGTAGACAGTTTGCATCCCAAAACAAAACGAAATCCAGCGCAAAGAAACCTCGTAAAAAGTCTTGACGCGTCGTAGATAGCAAGCTTTTGTGGTGTGTGAACCCTTCAGTTGTGTTATTTGTTTTTTCTCAATGACTTTTCCATTCCTTCTCTTAGTCCAGGCCGTAAAATGCATCGCAGATGTAAGATGGTGGTCGGTAATAGTAGTAGTAGCAGCGTGATAACAACAAAGTATGTATTGAAATGACGAAATGACCAGGCCGTCTCTTTATTCCGTAATCGCTAGGCTCTCGCTAGCTAGGTCATGCTCATGGTCGAGGACGGTGGCGGGATCAGGGTGGTCGGATACTGGCCGTTGGAGGTCGCCTTTCCTTCGAACCGCCCACACCGTTGGTAGTACGGCCCTCCGTGGTAGAGCAGGCTCGGGAGTCCGTTCTCCATCTCGGACTTGACCTTGGTCGGATCAAACGCGGCGCTCATGGAGTGTGTCGCGCCGCTCTCCGACACGTCGTGGCGTGCGTGCGAAAACATCTCGACTTGCGTGTGGTGGTGCTGTCTCGGGTCGTGTTCTCCCTCGTAGATGGTGGCCGGGTAGTACTGGTAGCCTTTCGTGTCCGTGATGGCCTTAACTTCCTCGGCCGAGATCATCGGCTCCATCGTCAGCTCGTGGTGGTGCCGCGTCCCACCGTAGCCGCCGGAGCGCGTGTCGTAGTGTTGCCCGTATCCACCACCTCCCATCATGGACGGGCCCGCTGCGTACTCGCCGGGCCCAAGCATGCCCGAAGAGTATCCAGTGCTGCCGATGTTGCTGCCGCCGGAGCCGCCGGGCCCGCTGCTCGAGCTTTCCCGCCGCTCCGACTGGTAGTGGCCCGGGGAGCGCCCGCGAACGATCATCTTGGCCGATTTCCGGTACGCAACCTTGACCCACGGATCTGAGCCCCCTTGCTGCTGGCCGACGTCGGCCCACAGCTCGACGATGAGGTGGTAGTACTGCTGAGCCGCCCTTCTCTTCCCGTTGTTGGCCGTCGCCTGCTTGAACTGGATGCGCTCGAACGTGTGCTCCGTGGGTGCCGAACTCTGCTGCGGCTGCCCGAAGCCCTGGTCGTATCTCGACGACCCGAGGCTGCCGTCCGGGCCCGCGTAGAGACTCGTCAAAGGGTGATGGCTGGCCTGCGGTGGCTTCTGGGACAGCCGCACCCTCTCGGGCTTGGCGATCGGGCCCTTATCCCGCTTGGGTGTGTGCTGAACCAGCTCAATCGTGTGGTTGTCGTTGTCTGACACGGCCGCCGAGATGCACATGGCGAACCCGTACACGTTGTACACCTGCGTGGATCCCGTCGGGAGGAAGTGGATGGGCGAGTTGTGTATCATGGGCGTCAGGGAAAAGGAGCAGACGCAGGAGAAGTAGTTGCGGCGGTAGCAAGTCCACTCATTCTCGGCAACAAAGAAGCCCTTGTCGATAACGCCGTTGATGTCTACCTTGATCTGCGTCGCCGAGGAGTCGCCATACGAGAGATGGCCTAGCGAGGTCAGGGAGCCCAGGGGAGGGATGCTCGGCTGGGTCTTGGACCCCGGGTAGCCCGCGTCCATCTTGAGAGATCCGTACGCGGCCGGCGTGCTGGTTGGCGAAAGGGGGTTGTGGCGTCGTATGTTGGAGAAGGGTGGCGACCGCTGGATGTGGTGATGGTCCGGCCTCCTGAACGCCGGCGTCGCGGGTGCGTAGGCCTCACGCGTGCTTAGGTTTGTTCCTGGATGCGGCAATGTGGTTGACCGATGGGCGTGTGCCATGCCCTGGCCGGCCGTGCTACTGCTACCGCTGTAAGCGACTGAGGAGAACGAGTGCGCCATGGCACAAAGATGTCATAACGACAAGACGATAATGTGTTACCTACTTGGAGCCTAGTCGAGGCCTGACGTCTAGACCGGGGAAGATGGGGGGAGCGGGGGTATAAAAGTGGCCGCCGTCAGGGGAGTACGGCGTCACGGGCGGCTGGTGTACCGGCGGGATCAGACTCAGATATGAGGAGGGCTGGGCCGTTGTTTCTATTGTTGACAGGGAAGTAGTGGAGCCCTGAGTAAAGCTGGAGGTTCCATCCGGGTCAGCAACCGGCCACGCTTCAGCGCCATGATGCACGGAGCGGGTGGGGAGGGGGGGGGGGGCCGGGACGAGAAGAAGGAATAAAGGGAAGAGGGGTGGGGAGAAGGGTTGTGGGGGGGGTGCGCGTGTAATGATTGCCATTACGCCCCCAGGATCCCACAACGCTGTGCTTCCACTCTGGCCTTGTGCAACACCCCAGTGCTGGCGTAGGACGGAGCCCGTCATACCAGTACACCAGTGTTTTGCAGGGGGTGTCGCAGCGGACTTAGCAGCAATCGGAAAAGCGAGCATGGCGCATGCGGCAACGGCGCGGGAGCAAGGCTCACAGCGATCGATCCAGGTAACACGTACCACGCCCGGAGCGAGCACCCATGTCTCACCTTCACTCGCGGCTGCGATCGACAAAAAGAGAGCGGGCAATCAACGGTAGGGTGTACTTACGCGCCACCGGAGAGAAAATGGCAACGCCGAGTAGAATGCCGTGGGTGCGCTAGTGAAAGTGAAGAAAAACAAGCCACCGGACGCTACGGAGCGCGGCGTCGAGGGTTTTAAGATAATGGTCGCAATTGCTCCCAGATCTCGGATCTTGGTGGAAGAGGGTGTGCGTGCCCCAGGAGGGGAGGGGAGAGTACAAAAGGGCCCTTAAAGAGCACATGATGTAGGGAAGCTGAGGGTATAAGTGCGGACGGAAGGCCCAGTATTTGAGGGATCGGACTCCTCCCCCGGCACGTCAGGTACAAAAGAGACCAATCGGACGGAAAAATAAAAAAGCATTTTACGCACCACATGTCAGTTGGAGCCGGTATATCGAGATAGTCCAGCCCGGTGCCAGAGGGCGGCGAGGGCTCGACGAAATCCTGCTGGAAACGCACCTGTTAGATCAATCTTGCCATTTCTGCCAGCCCGTCCCCTCTTTTTATTTTGTCGCCCTTGGAAATTGTGACGCGGGAGGCTCAAATGGGTTGCAACGAGACAGTCGAGGTCGCCGGGATATGGGAAGAAGAGCCAATGATGCTGCAGCAGCGAGGAAATCTCCCTCTCAACTCGGGAAGAACTGGGCCACGGGCATATCTGGTTGCATCTCCAAGGAAGCCGGCGAGCGAGGGCGGTGGTGAAAATGAGATGGGACCTGTGGCTTAATTAGCACCAGGCTGCAGACCGGCGACAGGCTTTCGTGGCGGACGGCTCGGATTGGATCTGAGGCGCGTGAGGGAATAGCAGCGGTGGGGGTGAGGCGAATAAAAAGAAGATAGGGGGAAGGGGAGGGGGGGGGCATTGAGAACGGGATGGAAACCGGGGAGCGTTGGGCAGTGAGCGGGGAGTGGAAAACAGAAATTGTTTGCTCTGCTCATGCCGTTTTCCTTTCCTTCTGTCTCTTGCAGACCTCTGATACTGGGCTGGGCTCTGGGCGAGGTACAGGACCTCGACAGCCTGCTGTAACATCGAAGCCAGCGTCCCATGGCCCCATTCAGTACAACGAGGTACCGATGCACCTGCAGGGGTACATGCCACTTTGGGCCGGCCGTGACTGGCGGCCAGAAGCAAGCATTCACAGTAACAGCAGCAGGGTTCTGCAGACGCGCTTCGCAGTCGGGATGCGACCGTGGCTTATGTAGGTCCACCCCAATGTTGAAGATTTGTCCCGGCGGCATGTCATGGAGCCCCCTTTCTCTGACAATGCCGGCCCCGCGGTCAAGCTTCGTCATGTCTGGTAACACAATGGCGACGACGGGGTAACGGGGCCTTCGGAGCCTTACTGGGCTCAATCTGAAGAGCAGAGGGGCAATCAAAAAAAGAACCCCAAGCTCGTCAGACCGTCCAGTAACTGCATGCAGAGGGCAAGGCCCCCAGCCCTGGCCCGAGAGAAAAGGCGGGGCCAGTTGAGTGACTGAAACAAATAAATAAATAAAAACACGGCCGTCAAACGGCGCAGAGTCGAAACGCTAAAATAGGTGTTGGGTGTCTGCAGCCTCGTCCGAGGGCAGACGAGGGCGGAAACAAAGAAGAATCAAGACAATGCGTGCAAGGGGCTGGCTGCCAGTGTGGCTTTCGAAAACTGTTGTCACTGACCTTGGAGCTGCCCACAGGATGCGCAGGGGCGTGTCTTCGTTTGTCGACGGCCCCAGTTGCCGTGATGGGGCTGGGGAACCCCGACCTTGAAACGGCCTGGTCGTTGGCGTCGCCCGGACTATTGGTCGGGGAGGGCTCCGGAACATCTTGACCGGTCTCGACGGTGATGGCACTAAAAGGACAAAAAAATAGAAGTCGTACCTTGGGGAGTTGTTGATTCATGCGCCGTTCCTCTGCTCCGGCCGGGAGCGAGGAATCGCTGCGGGCGACCAAGAAGTCTCTAAACGCCTGCCGTGTCTGTTGTGAGAGGGCTCGAAGGCTACAGTTAGCTCAACTGTGCCGTGGATCCCGATCACCCATGGTGTTTTGGGAGCTGCCCGCAGCTCCGCGCACCCAGAGTTCGGCAAGCCTCGGTGAGTCCCAGGGAGCACTGGAAAAGAAACGGACAAGGCACCAAAAGGGCTGCCGGATTGGACGGATTGGAGGGGGAAGGGGTCTTGCAGAAGGCTCAGGGCAATCCGTTGCCTCTCCTTCCCAAACCGCCCGAGGGCGCATACCCGGGGGCGGAGTGTCTCGGGGGTGGGATTGGTTGACTGACCTCCAAAAGAACCCCGGTCATGCCAAGGGCACGATTTCCAACCCACTGCGCCTCGAGTGTCCCGCGGGGCCTTGTTCGTCTGGCAAATCCGGTTGTCCCGTCAGCAAAGCTGTTTCCTCACATCACCAGTCCATGCAGTTTCTTGGAGCTCCAACACGTCGACCCTCATGGAAGAAACATATCGGGCGTGTCGGTTGCAATCTAGGTCCAGATGGGTCGAAATGTCGTGTGTACTGGCGGGGTCTTGGGGTGCTGAACGAATCTGGCAAGCAGTGCTGGAGGTTCTGCGAGTTCATCACGCCAAAGGTTGCCCAAGATTCGCGTCCCCTTTACGATGCGTCATGCCCGCCGGTGCCCACGCATCTTCAGCTGCTCGCGAGTCCCTAGTGTGCGCTCACCCGCTCAAACATGCAGGGTCGAGCTGTCGGGGTCCCCGTATTTATTCCGCGGAAGTCGAGGGTCGTGATTTGTTCGAGGCGCCGTCGCGGCCGCAGGAAGCCGATACCGCAAGCTTGGATCCGCGCGCATCGGCGTGAGGCCCACCATTGTCCGGTCGCTTTGGAAACGAAGTCCACGGGAAAAAGGAGGGCGTGATGTACACGCAAAAGAGCAAACGAGATGTTCTGCTTACCTAGGAACGATGCCTTCCACGACCTCTACGACTTTTCCGGAGGCTCGGACTGCTATACGCCCGGGGCGGTCTCTAACGAGGGAGCTGTGGGAGTGGACTTCGATTGGTCTTTCCGTCGCCAGTCGTGTTTCGTCGGGGTCGTTTTTCGGGTTCGTTTCCCGGAAGCTGGAGGTGGTGGTGGTCACAACAGCCCGCCCTTATCCGTGTCTGCCCGTCGATGCAAATATGCCGCGCTAGTCTCGGGTGTAGGGCTTCAGACGGTGCTGCTGTCGACAACGACGCTGTTGGGCCTCTAAAGTTGTAGCTTGAGTAGGGCCGCGCAGGAGTGACGGGAGATAGGGAGCTCGCCGATGGGTCAACAGGCGGAGGTGTAGTACAAAAGGTCCGGGGGGTTAGCTTCTACCTGGCCTGCCCTGCATCTGAAAAAGAAGTAGTGTGCCTGGGAGACAAGTCTGGAGCGCTCGGTGCGAGGATGGGCGAGATGGACTATGGGGATGCCGTGTCTTCTTAAAGCTGATGCCGAGCAGGTAAGGTTGCGCGGAGCTTTGAGACAACAGTCAGAGAACAGGCAGCACGGGGGTGAGCTTGGAAGTCCCCTTGTCTCTTAAGTAAAGAAACCGAGGCTCGAGCCTTCCAAGGTTGATACACCTAGTAGGGCAAGGGGACGATGGGATTAGATTGCGTCTCCTCCCAGCCTAATCGCCCAGGTACCAACAGAGGGGCCTTACCGGCGGCCCCATGTAAGTTTGTGGACGAGGAACAAGTCCCCCTTGCCGGCTCAGGGTCGGGCAAAGGACCGTACTGGATAACCAAAGCAAGAAGCCGCTGAAGTTGCAGGCCATTGGATTTGCCCCGTTCGTAGTGGTCAGTGGCTTGGCCAAACAATACCGGATACTCGCCACGCATACCTTTTCACGCCGGGGGGTATATGTTCTCCCACCTAGCAAGGCGCAAGATGGCACCGAACCTTTCGGCCTTTCCATGACAAGGCAAGCTAGGTACCGCTACGGCCTTCCCAGGTGATGTCTGATCCGCCTCTTGACACGCCCCCGAGCATACCTACCAGCGCGATGCAAGTTTAGGTGGCCTCGAATGCCCTTGGGGAGTGAAGCATGACCATGTCGAGCCGGGCTGGCGTCCTCGTTTTCCATGCATTAGCTCTCTGCAAGCACCCAACCGTCAAGCCCCCTTAGAGCAGGCCACACAAACATCAGTTTCTGTTTTGATGGCAAAGGGTATCCTCCAACCATGAGAGGATCCACCATCGGCTACCTGCAGGCATATGACAAGCTTGGTGATAGAGAGAGCCAGTCCCGCCTTCAGTACAGAGTGTGCATGACTTTACAATACCCCTACTACCCCTACCCCCGCCCCTTCGCTGTGTGCAGTTTCGTGACAATGGCGCGGAGGCGGACGGAGGGGACAGAGCGAGAGCCAATGATCGACGGGCCAACCCACCCCCTGATGGTGAGGCTTTTTATGTGACGGAGGATATCGGTTCAACCCCGTCCCAGGTTGTGGCGATCCTTGAGGAGGGCGGAGCTGAAGACCCTTAGCGGCTCTATCCCCAGCTTTCGGCCCTATAGACCTAACCTTTTCGGCAACGGCCGACAGAGCCATGCAGCGGAACCAGAGACGAAGCCATTCAACAGCTGTGCTACTCCAGAAAGCGGGTTCTTCACCCGACACGTGAAAAGGTGTGTACGAGCTAGCCGTTTCTGACATTGTGCCTGGGCCTCCTGGCGGTGCGGCATCCCGTTTTGGAGCCTAGACAAGTGAGAATGCTCAACAGGTGGCGCGTGGTCGTAGAGAGAGCGGTGGAGACTTGTGTCGATGGCCTTTGGGCAGCGTATCGGCAGCGATCCAGACCCCCCTCCCCCCACCTCCCTGCCCCTTTCCCCACCGCGAAGCGTACGAACTGCTCCGCTCACCTGCCGTGGGCGTGGCGCACGAATGACCCCGTCCTTGATCCGAGCCTCGTGGCTGCTATTGTTTTTGCTGCCGTTGCTGCCGCCAGACTTGCCGTTACCATTGTATCCGGGGGAGAGAGTGTTGACGGGGAGCTAGATCACGCTTCAGACCTTGTCTACCCGAGAGAATAAAGCGCGGGCGTGCTCGTGTTGCCCCGATGCATGCGGATATGAGCTGTTAGCGTTGAAACGTCAACCAGAGGATATGAGCGGGCAATCCGGGAAAGGTCGCTTGTGCAGGTTCCCGTCTGCTTCGAATCCACCCATCCGCGCACCAACCAATGACGCCAACATCGAAATACAGTGAAGCTTCCCCGTGGCGGAAGGGAGGTGACCAACCCCACTGTTTCAGATCCGATATTCTTTCGGCCGTTACGCCCAGTGGCTTCGCGGGCGAATTCCAAGACGATTGGCTGGCGGCGCTAAGCGTTGTTAGGGATAGGAATAGTTGGCGATACTTCGGGGCTGGACTCATCAGGTCGGCTCCGCGGGAGGGATCTTCAGCTATTTCCGCTATGTCGTTACGAAACCATAGTTCCGGAAATGCCAACAACGACAGTCGGAGCTGCCCCGTCCCTCCAATCATGGAAATTCCTTCCCTCATACTCCATAAACCTGTCCGCCGTCGGATCCGACAAACACGCGCCAGATGCAGGGGCGCCAGGTCTGCCCCAATTCTCCAGCGTGCCAGACCGGGTCGGCCCGTTGGTGCCAGCGCCCCATTGACCGCAGCGGGCGAAGATGGGCACCCCCCCAACGATGGAACAGGCCTGCCCGGAACTCAGGGGTGAGCCGCGATGGTGACCCGGCGATCTGTTTCTGCGGTAAGGAGATGGTATCACGCACTGGCTGTCGTGCTGGCCATCTCCTAGTTAGCATGCAAGCCCTCATCCTCATCGGTTGCCGGACCGTTGCCGCGGTCGCCGGGGGGCAAATCGACTGCGACACAGAGGGCGCCTCAGGGCGTGCGCGGCGCATCTCCCCCGTACTTGGCCACATCTTGCTGCCGTTTCCAGATCTTGTGGCATGTGACACCTCATCTCGCCCCCTCCTCAGGCTTTTCGCCGTACCAAGGGTCTCTCTCTGGAGCAACGTCGGCAGACGAACCATGGGGCCATCTGGGGTCGAGCAGCGTTGTTTCACCCCTTCCAACCTTCTGTCAGTCAGAATGTCAGGAGTCCGCTGCCGTGTCTTGCATGAACCATAATACCGCCGTCAACGGCTCCCGCCCGGCATCGCGTCGGACGGGTGCCGACCGGAGACGGAGAGGAAGCGCCCGCGAGACCTACATGCCGCGATCGATGTGGATGGCTGGGCATCAAGCCACGGGCAGGCGCTCGGTCTGAAGAGCGGATGGGGGGCTCGAGCAGGTTTCGGATGAGATCTGTTCTGGGGATCTGCGGGCGACTTTTTCTTCGACAACTTACTGGAGGGAAGCGGGTGTGGAAAGAAATGACTTCCAGGTTCCAGTAACTAGCAGCCATCCAATGAGTACAATTTTCTAAGCCGCCGGTCCCGAAATCGTCTTGCATGTTTGTGTGCACTTTCTACGGTCGGTGGCTCGCTTCATGCTTGGCTTCGGGCAAGAACCGCCGAGCAAAGTCGTGAGAGAGTCGATGGAGAAATCGATGTGCCAAGCGCCTTCCATGCAGCAAATTATTGAGCTAAACTCGCTCCATCGAGGACTCCACTTTCGATGCTCGCCTGGGCAGCGTTAACAGGGGTTATTGCATCGCCAGGGTGGGAGCGATCGAAGTTTGCGGGTCTCGCCAGGGTTTCCACACGGGCACCCCACCCGAACAATTGACGACGTTCTCCACTCAGCACGCGCAGGCAGGAGCTCCCGTCTGTTGGATCAGAGTAGGTTTCCCATTCCGGAGCTGCAGGGCAAGAACAGAGGCCCTCCTCCGATCACACCGGGAATGCACGAACGGCCTGCTATCAATTTGCGGATTTGCGGCCACCCCATGCAATTACGGAATACTACACGACCGGCCACGGAAGAGCAAACAGGCTAGGCCCAATCCGACGAGCTCCCGTCCGACACTGTACTGTGTAGTCAGTCACGCCTGCTTAGTCCGGGATGGCCTGCCGCGTCGAGTGTCCTCCAACCTGCGAGTGTTTCTGCTTTGTTGCTGGCGCCGTGCCACCAAGGCTTCCGGGTCGCCGGGCCCGTGATTGAAGGACAACGGCAAATGTTTGCAATACCCTTCTCTCTTGACGATACGATCAAATACCAACACGCCCCTCTCTAAGGAAAAGCGACGCAGGCTGCTTGAGCTGGGGGCCTTCAGGGCCAAATTGGCCTTCGACGCACGCCTGCCGCCCTCACTCTCACCGGTCACCACGTCAAAAAATGAAGCCGACCTGGCGACCAGTTTGCGGGGGGAGACGATTGGTGGGATGCACCCACGCCGACGCCCAGAGGGTGTCAGGAGCGAGAGCTGGTATGCGGTGCTGGCGGTCGCCCCGGGTCCAGAGCTCTCTCTGCAGCTCGAGTAATTCTTTCATCTCAATACTGACTCACGCCCGCCGTAAGTCATTGCCGACCGTTGAGGCCCGTACATTACTGGTGATTCCCTTGGAATTGCTCTGACCGGCTGTCTTGGCAAGCCTCGTTCATATGTGCTGCTGCTCTGCACCCGCCCGCCCTCCCCCTCGTTCAAGACGGCGGACCATACGCACGGCAACCGATCACACCACCTCGTCGAGACCGTCACCAGAAAACGTGCAGGGTCGCTCACCGGCCTTTGTCAGGCATGAACGATATCTCGGCCAACCTGGAATGCTCGCAGCCTCCCCGCTCAATCCTGTGGCATCCTGTCGCCGGGTCTCGGATGAACGCCTCCGATTGCCTCGACCACGCGTCGCGTCGGCACACCTTCCAAGCGTAGCTACCCTGGGGTGCCGTGGCTTTGGTGCCTCGTCATCCGATGGGCTGTGATCTCACGCGGTCGGGTGCGCGTTTGCTGCCCGACGAGTCGCTTGTTCCTTATTCTGACCCGCGCTCGACGACTGCTCCTTCTGACAGGCAGAACGGGATACCCTTGCCGCCGCCGGGTCCTTCTGCAGCAGCTGAGGGTGTGGACGCGGCGACCTCCCTAATCGAGTCAAGAGAGCAGGGAGCGAGGTCCGTAGCAGTGGGCCCGTAGCATCAGATAGCTCCCGAGACAGGAGGGTACGAACAGGTACTTGTCCGAGGCGGCAGATACAGATCGACCTTATGCGCCGTGCAACGAGCTGATGACTAGCCAACAGCCGCGCGCAATAGCCCTGGCCGGTCCTGGAAACGGTGGGCAGGGGCCCCGAGTCTGTGGCTTACGCCGCTCGACTGCAAGTGCCTGAGGGTAGCGTGTCCTCCCCCAGATTGACCAGGTTGTGAACGAGTCCCGGTGCTGGGCACCAACTGCCACAGCATGTTTCGGTCTTTTCGAAAGATCCGACGGCTGCTCCCCCGGGTGATCCTCCCAAGATGCTGCAAATAGGGGTAGCGCCTCGGGCGCGCCAATGTGACGAAAGATGTGCATGGGGGCATATTGACCGAGTTCTGCAGCCTTCCGGGTTACCGGGGTCTATTGATTTCTACCTAGCAGTACTCTCTCCGGTGCTCGGTGCTCTAGTCGACGGGGCAGCCGGCGTCCAAGGCCAAGCCTGCTTCTTTGTGCTTTTGGGAAATCAGCAAGTCCCTGCTGTACCCAGAGCTAACTCTTCATATCTACGACCGCCATTGTCTCGCGCTGCTGGACGGACTGTAGCTACGAGCTGTACTGAACAGGCCGTGGGTGGCTTGGATGACAGGGCCTTCAAGAGCCGTAAAGTTCCAGCCTGAAACGCCGCCAAACTCACTCCCAGGTTCGGGGCTGCTGTAGATACCGACTCCCTCTTTCATTGAATAACATGACACTAGGTAATCACACACCGGATGGACCAGAGTCTGGCGCTTGCCCCAACCATCACACTTCGGTTAAGTTCCGAGGGATGAGACAGCGGCCAATCAACTCTTGGGGTAACGGTGGTTACACCAAACAGCCACCAGGAGAGGCTGTGGATACCCTACAGTTCTTCTCCGACAGTTATCCACCAAGCATCCGGACCAAATCCAAATCGACGCGCAGTAGTTCTACCCTTGAACCCCGTCCGTTGAGAACTTGCCACTCGCGTTCCCCTCGCCCTGGAAACTGCCCCGGCACAGAGGTTGGGTGTAGTTCATGTCGAGAGGCAGTTGATCCGGTGTTGCACCGGCGATACACAACACGAGTTTGCGGGTAGCTCGGCGCACTCTATTCTGTAGTAGATTGACCGCGGAGTTACTGCCCCGGGGTGTCAGGACGATGGCCTTTTGCACACAAGATCCGATTCTTTGGGAGCAGGCACGGCAGGGTCGAACTCGCGCTGCTCCGGTCGTCTGACGAGCACAACACATCGGGCAGAGACCCATGGCGGAAGGAACCTCTTCAGGTATGTCTAACTCGACCCACGTTGCTCAATGGCACTCATCGCCCCGAATCCAGCTTTATGTTTGACATGACTTGCCGAATTTGATCGCTAATCTCGCCCAGTCCGGAACTGCTAGGCTCGTTCTTGTTCGAACTCCTGTCACAAGCCGTTTCCTCTAGTAACAGGACCATCCTGGCCGGGCGGAAAGTGGTCCACGACACCGCTGCGCGTTTTACGTGCGACCCAGAGCGCAACGACTCCAAGCACACGAGACCATAATTCGAGGCAGAAACAGGGACCATCGGATCACCGGGCGCCAGCGACTAGCCCGTTCATGCGCTATCCGCCCCGATGCGAAAATCTTCGGCCTGTCCATATACGTGGCGGGTGTTGCTCGTCGGAACGGATTAGAAAATGCTATACTTGAGGCAGAGCCGACGGAGTCTGTGACTGCACTGGTCTGGGCGTGCATGGTCTGTCCTACGACTTGACACGTACCGTGCGGATCTCATCTCGGCCAGCACCCACCCCCCACGAGGCGGCTAATCAGTCCTTGCGCCTGGCTCATGATTCTCGTCCGATGGGCAGTCTTCCGATGCGGTCGGGATACCGCGGGCGGACGTGGCCTTACGAGGCAACGGTAGGAAGCGGTCTGGAGTGGGTTCTCCGGCCGAACTTCTTGCTTCAGCGGCGAGAGCACGCGGTACCAAAACATCGCTGACTAGAACCGTAGTCATATCAGTGTCAACGCCACTTCGACTGTCGCGTGGCCCTGGTTAGACAAGATGCAGCGGACTGCTTCATGTCTCCCTCAAGCCACCGTTGTACACAGCTGTCTTGGTCTGCGGAGGCCTCGCAACCAGGTGTTGCGGAACCCTAGATGCAAAACATGTCGCATCACCGCTGTGGGGATGGATGTGCTGCATTGTCTGGCATCAACAGGGCCCCGAGCCGATAAGGCCATGACAACATCATAAGACCCCGACAGCAGATCGAGGGGTTGGAAACGCAACCAGGGCAAGACACTTCGGCACCGAGCGGGCACAAGGCAAACGGCGAGGCGAGAAAGACGGCATCCGATTTGAGAGCGGATAACTCTGCCCTGACAGCGGTGTCCGCTGGCTTCCGTTGGCTTCCGGAAGCCGAGAATAGCAGCAGACAGATCAGATGGCTTCGTGTTCGGTGTACACGCATCATGGCGTCGGGTGTTCCCGCGTATCGCACGCAGACACTTGACACCTGATTACCTACACTCGACGCCGGATACACCAGATGGCCTACTTCACCATGTGCGGAGGAGACAAGCCCCGATCCATGAGAACAGGGGATAGAGTCAAGTCCGAACAAAACATCATGGACGTCGCCAAGCGATGTCCGCGTTGGTTCGATCAGCTGTCTGTCTCTGGTTGATGCACGTCATCCTCTAGCTCGGACAAGGGCGGTAGCACGAGGCAATTTCCACCGAAACGCCTTCGCCAGAGGAGAAAGTAGAAAATTGAATCCAATGGACAGTCGGCGTCAATTCGGCCTTGTGTATGCTCGTGCGCGCCTGCCCTCGGGATCTTCCGGAGTCCCCCCCAACAGCGAGAGTGCAGCCCGCACGCGCAATCACCAAAGCAGGAAGGAGCATAGTCGGCATCCCCTTTTGTTGAGGGAAAGAGGTAACTCCCACCTTAGTCTAGACTCTCAAGCGGGCAAGTCCTCTCGGTGAGAGTGGAACCAAGTTGAAGTTGTGACAGGGTCGGTGTGGAGAGCAGGTTGAAGGGTTGAAGGGGTGAAGGGCGAGAATGCCTGACTGCACAGACCAACGGTTTTCTGGGGCGGGTCCACTCGCCACCGGTGGGTCGCTCCGCTGTTGCACTGCCGTTTCCAGTGATCCCGCGTCCCCATGGCCTGTGATGTGCTCTGGCAGGCTGCTGTGAGTGAGTCTTCTCCAAGGGGGGCTGTGACGCATCCTCCGTTCGGAGCCGCAGCTTCTCTCGCCCCGAATCGCCGCATGACGTGTGGTGGGACAGAATGGAGAGGTACCCACCAAATCAGGCTGTGAGCCAACAGGAAGCGGGAAATCGGCAGCTTCCAAAGAGGCAACTGCGATAGGTTTCTGACTCAATCATCTTCAATTTCTCATGATCCGGAACCACAGCCGACCTTGGGTATCCGCCTCCTCCGTACTCCCCCCCCCACCCCTTTCCCCCCAAGCTGCGAGTTTCCGGTAGGAAACAGGACGACGACAAGACGACATCCGGACACCAGGGTAATGCCGAAAAAGAGACACGTAAACAAATACTCCAAGCCGCAATCCACCGCGCCCGCGTTGCTCGGCAGCACGGCCGCCCGCAGAAACAACCGCCACCATGGTGCGTCACCCGGTGTCCCGCTGCACCAACCCGTGCCCCTCGTGTGCCCAGCCGTCTGAGTTGTCCTATGTAGAGGGGGAACACAGGGGGGGCGGGGAGGGCGTGTTTTTCTCCGGGCATTCTAGACGCCTGAGATGCTGAGAGCAAGCGTTGGGCTGACTTGACTGACACGGCTGCAGATGACGCATCCGAAAGCCGCGGGGTCAACGAGCTACTCGCCGGTCTTCGCCGCGCCGGCGTGAGCGGCGGCGGACAGCAAGCGCCGGATGTTGTCCGGCCGACCGTCCCGCCCACCATCCGCCAGCTCCTCCAGATCCCCGAGACACCGCCGCCTCGCCCGCGGGTGCCTGTCCGCGTCGGCGGCCGGGGAAACGCACGGCTTCCGGCAGGCCCGCCGCCGCCGCACAGCTGGCTATCTGGGGCCGAACGCGCCGGGAATGTCCTTCAGCGCTCGGCGATAGAGTATGGAGCGGCCGACACTCATGAGCAGCCGCCGCTGCCGGGAGTGGACTTGCCGGCACGCGGGAGTCTGATTGACATGGTGTTGCGCCGGTTTGTCCTCGACTGGGAGTGGCAGAAAAGGTACTGCCAGTATCATCTTTATGAGCTCCCGACTCATCTACGGGTCGCCCTGATTGCTTACCTTGTCACCTACACCCGCGAGGGTGTGTCTCTGCGAGATCTACAGGCCGTCCTCCTCCCCCCGCCGGATGTGCCCGAGTACCAGGAGGACCCGGATCTCGCCCCTAGCGTAATGAACGATTCCTTCCACTATCTCAACCTATCCGGGTCAGTTGGGCGATCCCTAAAGCTCCGCGAATTGTCCGACTTCCTCTTCCCTCCTCAATCCGGAGATATCGACCCGCAGGAGTCCTGGGACACGCCCGAGCAGTTCTCGGCCGGCATCCCACGACCGCTACTCACCAACCTTACCCACCTCTCGCTCGCGCTGGACCCCGCCTCCTCGCAAACCATCTCCTGGCGGCACCTGCTCGCCTTCGCAACGCACCTGCCCGGGTTGACGCACCTGAGCCTGGCATTCTGGCCGGAGCCGACTCTGACGCCGAATGCCAAACTGGCTACGGTGTTGTCGCCGCAAACCGGCCGTACCATCCAGTACGGCGGGACAGGGCCCTACAGCCACTCCCTCGATGACGACTGGGTCGAGCAGATCCTGATCCTGCGCCGGCTCAGCCGGAGCCTGTACGGGCTCGAGTACCTCGACCTCACGGGGTGCGGCGCGTGGTTCCCCGCGCTGTGGGCCAATGCCGGCGAGGGCGACACGGTGGACTGGACGGGGGCGTGGGGCAAGATCACCACACTGGTCATGTATCCTGGCTATCGGTTGTGGGAGGATGCCGGGGTGGCGGAGGAGTCGCGGTACTGGGAGTTGGTGGATTATGCGCGGCGGGTGGAGCGACATGTGAGGACGCGGAGGGCTGGGCAGGGCAGGTTCGTTACTGTGGAAACGTGTAAGCGACCCGGGGAGATATAGACATATAGATAGACGGTAAATATGGCGCTTGGCCGTTTTACTCCCAGACTCTTCCTTTTGATGTGATGACTAAATCTAAGGTGCCGGCGGGTCACCCGCAGGCTCCAACCTCACACCGAGATCATGTCACGTTCGACTCGTCTTGTCTTGCCAACCCTAATCTTTGAGTTTGTGAATGTGCCCGTACCTCGGTTGGCAAAATGCAACTTACTCGAAGATAGCGGTTGAAAATTGCTCGGTTCAGAGCTAGGGAACGACGATCAGCTTGGTGTGGTGCGTGTATCACTGCCCATGGAATATGTCAGGGTGGGTTTTATTTAGTCAGGTACCAGAGGTGGCTGTGGTATTTGGGATAGATAGATAGGCCTGGTTAAGGTTAGGATGACGATGGCCAGGCAAAGGAGAGATTCAAGAGCTATAGTTAGTCGGTGGTTACCGCCAACAATGTGTTAAACATTGCCCTATATCCCTCATGCCACAGCTCTATAAGCGAGCGATCTCCCGATCTTCAGTAAACAAATACCAAACACCCTATATATATGCTTGCTAGTTTTTCCCACACAGCGCCATCCCAGAATGTTGTTGAACCAACCCGTAATGCACCAAAGCACAAAACATGTCCCATGTTGAACCTCCTCCAGCGCAACCCCCCACCCGATACCTAATACCTCCAAATCGCATCCGCCATCGCCACAACCTGCGCCATCTCCCGCACATCATGCACCCTCACCACGTCCGCACCCCCCTGCACCGCAGCCGCAACCGTCGCCGCAGTCCCCCAAATCCGCTCCTTCGGCGTCGGCACCCCCGTCACCCTCCCAATAAAGCTCTTCCGACTCGACCCCACCAGCCACGGCAACCCCTGCAGACCCGGCCACTCCCTCAACGTATCCAAATGCCTCAACACATCCACATTCTGCCTCCCCACCTTCGCAAACCCCAACCCGGGATCCAACACAATCCGCCAGCGCCTAATCCCCGCCTCCTCCGCAGCCCTCACCCGCTGCACCAGCTCCCTCGCAATCCCGCCAATCAACCCGCCCTCCGCGGCGGGGTATTCCGCCAGCCCGGCCATCGTCGCGGGCGTGCCACGCATGTGCATCAGGCACACGGTCGCGCCCAGCCGCGCCACCGTCGGCAGCATGTCCGGGTCCATGGAGCCGCCCGACACGTCGTTGACGACGTCGGCGCCCGCGGCGACGGCGGCGGCGGCCACGGCCGCGCGGTACGTGTCGACCGAGATGAGGACCGGGCGCGAGGAGGCCGCCGGGAAGCGGGTGCGGATGAGCTGGATCGCGGGGATCACCCGCGCGAGTTCCTCTGAGAGGGGGACTTCGGGGGTTCCTGGGGCGGTGGATTGCCCGCCGATGTCGATCATGGAGGCGCCTGCGTCGAGGAGGGCGGTGATGGTTTGGTGGAGGGCGGTGCTGGGGTCGGTGGTGGTGGTGCCGTTGGTGGTGATGGTGGTAGTGTCGTCGGTAGTGGCGGTGGCGGTGTCGGTGGTGGTGGTGCCGTTGGTGGTGGTGGTGGTAGTGTCGTCGGTAGTGGCGGTGGCGGTGGCGGTGGTGGCGGTGGTGGTGGTATTGACGCTGCTGCTGCTGTTGTCGGGCCGGAGGGGGAGGTTCTGGCCGCCGTCGGAGAAGGAGTCGGGCGTCATGTTGAGGATGGCCATGACGTGGGTCTTGCGGGACGGGTTGAGGGCCTGGATGGGCGGGTGGTGCGAGGAGAGGGGCGTCATGGTGGTGAGCGGGGTCTTGGAGGGCGGGAGCGCGTTCAGGTAGTCGGCTGTTACGCGCCAGGGCCGGTCCGGGTCGATCGGCTTGTCGGGAATGAGTCTGTGGGATATTATTAGGTTGGGGATCGAGGTGAGTATCCAAGTGGTAAAGAGAGCCTTACTCGGCGAGTGGTCGGAGAACGAATTCACGTTCGGGGATGCCGATGTGGGGGATCTTGAGGCGCTCATGGTCGACTTTGAGGTTATCGTAGAGGAGGATATCGAGGTCGATGTTGCGAGGCCCCTTATCGATGAGCTTCTTGCGGCCCAGCGCTCTTTCGATGTCTTGCAGCGCATCTAAGAGCTCCAGCGGCTCCATGGTCGTCTCAACCTAACTTACGCTTAGTTACAAGCAATAACAGGTGGTACGGATCCAGCCCCACGAACCTCGCATGCGCCATTGACAAATCTATCCTGGTCTAGCACGTACATGGGTTCCGTCTCCCATAAGCTGCTCGTCCGCTTCACCTTAATACCCCTAGCGTCCATCTCGTTGCAGGCCTTCTCGATCCAGCCAATACGATCGCCCAAGTTGCTTCCCAGGGCGATGTATGCCGTCCGCTTGCGCGGTGCTTCCGGAGCCCCGGCCATCTTCGCCGGATGATCAATTCTCGATCCTGCTTTGAAGTTTTGAGGGATCGTGTATTTCTTGAAGGTGAATGACCGTGTCGAAGCTGAAAACAACCTGCTGTCAATTTTGATCACGCGCCGATTCTGGTTGCGATGGCACGCATGCCGGACACAGGGCGACAGTATTTGTGGCGGTTTCAATGGCGCCGAGACGATGAGAGTCAAGCGGTGCTTCATCTTTGCAACCCCGACATGATTGCGCGTGAGAATCCAACTCCGAGTCCGAGTCACCACAACTGGCTGCGAGCTCGGAGGATCCACCTGAAAATAGTTAATAGGGTTAGGGTAAATAAGAAGTCAGATGGCGAGCGAGCGAGCATGGTCAGTGAGATGGCTTGGCACAGCCAACCGGCGAGCTCTCCCTTTGTAAACGCAGCGGTTCACCTTTTCCGACCCCGACTCTTCTTGTTACAAGGTCGATCGCCAACTCGACAGTTCCGCCCTGCTCGGCCTGAACTGCAGTTGAGACGACGGTCATCGGAAAACAGAACCGAGGTAAATGTTATGTAGGGCATAGGCAGTTATCCACAGGATTAATTCTGACAATGCTGAGGTCGCTCCAAAGTTGAAATGTCAAAGCCAAGTCTTGTCTTCCCCAGATTTACAAGTTGCCGTCGTCACACTCATTAATGCTTATACGTCGGCCCCGTCCCGAGTCAAGAGTTACCGATCAGCCACGGCCAGTCCTCAATGCCTCGGCTCCGTTGCCCCTCCGCACTTTCCGGCAGCTGAAGCTCGCGGGGCGGACCCGTAATGGGTTTAGCGTCCAGCACCGGGCAACCTCGGCACAAAGCCCACCGCGGGCTTGGCAGACTCCAAAACCCCGGGGTTCAAGACGGCGGCTTCCCCAGGTTCTTGTCGGAGTGTCTCGCCTTCCAGGTTCCTTTTTTCTAGTCAAACTTCTCTCTTTGACCACCGCATCTGCTTGATTCTTAAACTTGCATTTCCTGTTTCACTTTTGATACCACTCTTTTCCCACAGAAACCGTCGCCATGGCTTCCCCTCGTAAGTTGTCCTCGGTCCCTGCATCCCGATCCGCGCGCTGCCATTTCTGCCATGCTTGTTCGTGGCAGGAGTTGCTGCCGGTCGCATGCAATGGCGCGCATTCACATTGCTGACTTAATGGTGTCCTGCAGAGAAAATCCGCACCGATCTTACCGATCTTTTCAAGATCAACCACCCCATCCTCCTCGCCGGCATGAACGTCGCGGCCGGGCCCAAGCTAGCTGCGGCCGTCACCAACGCCGGCGGGATGGGTGTGCTAGGTGGCATCAACTACACTCCCGAGATGCTCAAGGATCAAATCGATGAGCTCAAGTCGCATTTGACGGACAAGAACGCGCCGTTTGGCGTCGACCTCCTGCTTCCCCAGGTTGGCGGCAATGCCCGCAAGACAAAGTAGGTTCACAGTTTGCGCCGGAGTTTTGCGATGTCCGTTGACCAATTGCGCCTCGCAGCTACGACTACACCAAGGGCAAGCTCGACCAGCTGATCGATATCATCATCGAGTCCGGCGCCAAGCTCTTCGTCTCGGCCGTCGGCGTCCCCCCGAAGCACGTTGTCGAGAAGCTGCACAAGAACGGCATTGTTTACATGAACATGATTGGCCACCCCAAGCACGTTAAGAAGTGCCTTGAGCTGGGCGTCGACATCATCTGCGCCCAGGGTGGCGAGGGCGGTGGCCACACCGGCGACATCGCCACCACTATCCTGATTCCCTCCGTCGTCGAGGCCTGCAAGGGCCACAAGTCGCCGCTCACCGGCAAGCCGGTGCAGGTGGTCGCTGCGGGCGGTATCCACAACGGCCAGCTGCTGGCGGCCTCGTTGATGATGGGCGCCAGCGGTGTCTGGGTTGGCACCCGGTTCGTCCTCTCCGAAGAGGCCGGTGCCCCCGAATCGCACAAGGAGGCCGTCCGCACCGCCAGCTTCGACGACACCGTCCGCACTCTCATCTTCACGGGCCGCCCATTGCGCGTGCGCAAGAACCCCTATATCATGAACTGGGAGGAGGAGCGTGCGCAAGAGATCAAGGAGCTTACCTCCAAGGGCCAGCTCCCATACGAGGCTGACCTCGATAAGGTCATGTCGGGCGAGGCCGCGGAGACACCCGCCATCAAGGCCTCCGGTCTTATGAACGCCAGCAACGCTGACGATGTCGATGTCGATGACTTGCTCGACCAGTTCCGGCCTTTCCTCATGGGCCAGTGTGCCGCCGTCTGCAACGATAAGAAGTCGGCCAAGGAGATTGTCGACGAGTTTATCACCGACGCGTCTGCGTCCATTAAGAAGGGCAACTCCTACATTGCGAAGCTGTAATGGTTTTTTTTTAGCGACATGTATTTTAGCAGGGCATTTTTTATGAACCAATTGTCATGAGTTGATACCCTTTGCCATTTGGCTGCTGCTGTGTCTCGGTTGCGTTGGTCAGCGATCTGTATTTGTACAAGAGAAGATTGTTCGGATAGACAATCAGCGGCATCGCATAGGACGGCACCTCTCGGTTTTATGAGAATTCAGGCTTCAGACCCCACACCGTCCAGTTGGTGAAACGCCAAATGCCACCCTACCCCGTCCAGTCCAGTCGGTTTATGAAGCCGGGTCGCGGCCGGTCAACAGGCCGGGAAAAGCGGGGCGCGGCCGAGAATCGGGTCCAAGACCGGGTCGGCGGCCGGATCGTAAACTCGGCAACCCTTGCAGTTAGTTTGGCTTCAGGGCCGGAAACGGGCCGCCAACCCCGCGTACAAACAATTAGCGGCCAACATTTCGAGTATATCGCCGGAACTTGGGCCATCGGCCAATAAGCCCCCAACGGGCCGCAACGGCGCATGTCTGGGGAACACCCAACACTAAACACAATCTAATCACGCCATGGCGAGGCCGGAAAAGGTGGCCTAAGGGCATCTCAATAACCCCGGTTTTCGTTACTGAAGGATCTCCCGGCCACCCATCGAAACAATTGACAACACCTTTCACCCCGCCCCCATCCCCTGGATGTTCGGCCAGGAGGTCAGATGATGCCCACCGTCCCGGTCTACTGCGTCCCTGTTACGCATCAGACCCGCGACAGCACGGCCATGGGGCTTGTATACCCGGATTTCCGTTCGGTTTGCATACTCTAGCTAGAGCCCATACTCTAGAGCCCATCTCTTCTACCGCCCCAATTGAGTTCTTACCCCTGAGGGCTGACCAGGTCGTCTGAAGGGGTGCAAGCCACCCGGGCCCGAGACATGTTCTCTCCCCCGGCCGCCATCTGGGCCCCTTCTGTTTCGTCCATCGCTGGTGTCTGCTTGTATCGGCTCGGCACATAGCTGTGCTGGTGCTCGGTCGGATATATAGGGCAACCTCACCTGAGGTCTAGAGATCCTATTACTCCTTACTCACCATCCTTTCGGACAATCATTCAGACAGGAACTCGCTTTCCTCTCCACTCCTTTTCAACTTTGCCCTTAGTGGCTGACTCTCCTTTTTATACACTCCTTGTTTTCGTTTCTCGACATTTATTTCCGTTCAGTCTCTCCTTTGCATCAGAAGCTAGGGGCTGGACCCTTTGATCTGATTTAGTCACTCCTTTTTTCCCGTTTCTCTCACACTTTCCAAGATGAGGGGAATGCAAAGTCGCGGCGGCGGCGGCGATATGGTGGGCATGATTCTCAAGATCGCCCCTATCGTCTGCTCGTTTTTCGCGTTTCTGTTCTTGGCCATCGCTCTGTCGTCGGGTTCCATGCCGAACACCATGGAGGGCGTCAGCATCATCAACGTTCGTTTTCCCCTAAAGGTCCCCTTCTTGTTCAGAAACCAGAAAAGGTATTAACATGTGCGCCGCAGTTCAACATGTCGACGCTCGGCAAGAACCTCATCCAGGTGCCCGACATCTCGGACAAGGCCGAGGAAGGGTGCGGCAAGGCCGGCGGGGCGGTGAGCGACGCAGCGGACAAGGTGGGCGACGGGCTCGGCAAGGCGGTCGACTTCCTCGGCGGGGGCGGCGACTCGGTCAACGACGCGATCGACGGCGCCGGCGGCAAGGCGGGCGACGGGGTGGAGGGGGCGTGCAACAAGGGCGCTGAGGTGGCGGACAAGGCGGTGCAGCTCACGACGGACCTCATCGACAAGGCGCTGGGCAGCATCGCCAAGGCGATCGGGATCCGCGAGTACTACTCGGTCCACATGGGCGTGCTCTGCGAGGGCGAGTACGAGCCGCTCTTCAGCAAAAAGGACGCCAAACCAAAAGTCGACAAGTGCTCCAAGAAGTTCTACACGGGCCAGACCGACATCAGCAAGAAGCTCGACGAGGAGCTCAAGGTCGGGCCGTTCAAGTTCAGGCTGAGCGACCTCGAGCTGGTCGACGAGATCCAGGACGGCTTCGACAAGATCCCCAAGGTGATCGCGGCCTTCGCCTTCTTCGTGCTCTTCTCGGTGCTGATCCTGGTCGCGGGCTTCCTGTGCTGCATCGCTGTGGTCGGGTTCGAGTACGCGATGCAGGGCGCGCAGAAGTTCGCCATGTTCGGCGCCATGGGCTGCCTGGGGCTCGGGTGGTTCACGTCGTTCATCTGCGCGGCCGTCATCACGGGCGTGGCCGAGAGCATCAAGAAGGCCGTCAACAAGCACGGCGACAAGTTCGGCCTTTCGGCGTCCACCAGCCCGGCCCTGTACTTTTTGCTGTGGGCGACCGTGGTGTTCGCCACCATCGCCCTCGCGCTGGTGGTGTTCGTTTGGCTCAAGACCCGCCACGGCGACAGCGGCATGGGCGGCGGCAACCAACAGCAGGAGTATGCTGACAAGAACCAGTCTGCCAGCAGCATGGAGGACTCTCACGGCTTTGTCCGCATGCCGGCCAGTGGCGGTGGGCAGAATGATATGAGGGGTGGGCAGAATGATATGAGGGACGAGCCGTTGTAGGTGAAGAGGGCAAGTATGCCTAACGAACGCTCGTTTTGTTTTTCCCACGCTCGCTCTTCAAAAACGGTCTCTTTTTTTTTTTGGCCAGCATTGGCCATCACTCATTCGCTCTTATAAACAACTGTCACTCCTTCAAACAACCACCATTCCTTCAAACAACTGTCACTCCTTCGATGGTCATTTCTCTCACTCTCCTACTCCTCCGCATCAGTGTCACTCTTCTCCGGCAGCTCTTGCACATACTCTCTCTCACTTCACTAGCCGCCCACCTCCTCTCGCTCACTCGAATCATCTTTACGCATCGTCATTCCTTACCTACCTTCGACTCAACTCGGCAACTGGCCACTCGGGTCCATCGGTCGTTACCAACATCCAAACTTACGATACCACTCGCTTGGAATTGCATCGACTCATTCTTCGTATCTTCAATCAACGATGGATGAACTGGGAAGCTGGGAGTTTTGGCGTTTCTCTGTTTTCTTTTTGTACCACCACCGTTCGTTCTTAATGCAGGATACCCTGTTGGAATCACAATAGACTGCTTTTTGAACCGATGTCGTTCGTGATCGTCAGTCTTGGCGTGACTTGGTGTTCGTGTGTTGGTTCGAACTGCAGCAGCTGCCGCTAACTTTAGTTCATTCTTTCGGCCTGTGCCGATCGCTGTCCCCCGCCCTGCGCCCGCGTGTCCGTGTTTGCCAAGCAGGCGGTGACGTCGGGGGTTGCAGGCCGAACGGCAGCCACGGTAACCCGAACTATTCCCCTTTTGGGACAGCTCCCGCCGCTCCTTGTGCCTCCCGGTCATCCCCGACCGGGTGACCATGTCGGGCCAACATCATCTTCGTTCCTGATATTTTGACCTTTATTTTGCTTTCATTTCCAGATGGCATAATTACCCCCTCCACTAGAATTGACCATTAACTACGCGGATTCCATACCTACCTACATTGTAACCTGTACCCAACACTCACCACCCGCCCCCTCCTCCCACCTCCCATCCCCTCCCACCATGCCGCGCCTCCCAGACGAATCCGACGAGGAGCACGACCTGCTCGACGAGGGCCGCCGCCGAGCCCGCCGCATCCTCCATGGCTTCATCGACTTTGCCTTCCAGGGCAACGTGCTCGAGATCGCCTTCGGTCTGATCCTCGCGTCCATGTTCAGTAAGCGCCCCGATCCAGAACCCCATTGTACAGTCACCTACTCGTTATTATTCGTTATTATCCCCCCCTCTTCAACAATGCCTACCCCCCCACCGGGCTAACACTACCGAATAGCCGCTCTCATTACCAGCTTGGTCAGCGATATCATGCTGCCGCCGCTGTCGGTGCTGCTGCCGCTCAACAAGAACCTCGAGGAGAAGTTTGCCGTGCTGCAGGCCGGCCCGGGCGGGCCCGGGTACAATACCCTCAAGCAGGCGCAGGATGACGGTGCCGTTGTCATGGCCTACGGGTGCGTTTCTGTTTTGTTTCGTTTTGTTTTTGTTGTACCTTACACTCGGGTTGGTTGCTCACTCGTGGCACAGCTTCTTCCTCAACCGGCTACTCAACTTCATGGGCGTCGGGTGCTCGCTGTACGGACTCGCCGCGCTGTACCAGTTCTTCTCGCAGGACCCCATCATCAAGCACACGGTCAAGTGCAGGTACTGCCGGAAGCGCATCAACGAGAAGGTGAGTCGTGCCCTTGGGTGCTGTGCTGTGCTGTGATGGAGTTGTGGGCTGACGTAGGGGGACTGAAGGCTTTGCGGTGTGTCAACTGCTCGAGCTGGCAGGATGGAAGGGAGGATCTGGCGGGCTGAGGGGGGAACGGCCACCCACCCACCCTGCGTGAGGATTATTCGGGGTCCTTTAGTTCCCAGTCCCACGGATGGCCCTTCTCCACGCTATTCACCTTCCCAGTACTCAAGTCATCAAGGGCCAGGCCAGTCCGGGTCAGTCGTTGAGCCGGTGACGGCTAGCGAATCCCCAGTGTTGCATGGTCATTCCAGTGCTAATATCAATTCGGCAAATGCTGTCCTTTCTGTCCTGGCTATATGTATGCAATGTGGGTATCATAAGGCTCTCAACAATGCGCATAGTCCATCAACGTTTTATTAACTCCCAACACGTCCCCACCCCTTCACACCCCCACCCCCTCTAAAGTAGAATGGCACCCCCCACCAGCGCAGCCGCACCCATGATAACCACGTTCTGGGTAACGCGGGGCATGCCGCCGGTGCTCAGGGTCGAGGTCGGGTCCGCGGCGGCGCCGTCATCGCCGCTGCCCTCAGAGTTGGTCGGCGCTGCGGCCGTGGTCATGGTCGAAGCCGACGGGGCGTCGGTGGCAGGGCTGCTGCTGGGGGCGGCCGTGTTGGTGGCGCCGGCGCCGGCCGAGAGCTTCTCGAGGCCGGCCGTGACGGTGACGGGCATGATGTAGGTGCTGTATCCGGACATGACCTCGGCGATGATGGATGTCCCCTCGTCCGAGATGAGCTTCCCGCTGCAGGTGGCCTCGTCCTTGGAGGGATTGAGCTGGCAGTCCGCGGAGGCGGTACTGTGGGCGCAGGGTTAGCATTAGGATGTGTCTGGCAGGGAGGTAAAGAGACTAACAAGATCCCCGAGTATGACATGACGTATGCCATGGTCGACGGGCCGTAGAGGACCTCGACACCATCTGCCAGTCCGCAATCCTCGTCGCTTGTACCGGGCGGGCAGGTGACGAAGTACTTGGTGGCGGTGGGGGCTGCCGAGATGACTGACGCGCCGTTGTCCTGCTGGTCGGCAAAGGGGAACAAAATGTTGACGACGGTAGATTGCGCGGCAGCGAGGCCGGCAGTGAAGAGGATGGACGATGAGTACTTCATGCTGATGATGATGGCCGAATTGAGAATTATTTTGTAAGGTGGCAGAGATCGGCGGCAACTAACGAGTGACTGGAGGAAGGCGTGAGTGGTTCGAGATGAATTATCGGAGGGAAACCTTGGGTATTTAGTAATTAAACCTTAATGAGTGACTGCCTGCCTGGAGCGAACGATGGAGACCAAAACCAAAACATATATCCATCCGAACCAGCAGCGGCGGCAGACACCCTTTTTAAGCAGTTGAAAGTTCTCACAAGCGGAGGTCACATCCGCTCCGACTCGCTCTCGGCATGAGATTCCGGAAATTGCGGGTGAGCCCGATTCGATCCAGGCAGGTGGGTTACGAGTTATCCAATCCTGACCAAGATTAACAGCAGGGGTAAAAGGCTAGATCTCAGCCCGGAAGGCTACTGAGCCTTGCACCCCCATTGCGGCGGATCGTTGGTGGCGGATCGTGGTGGCGGTTCCTCCAGTAGGTGTGGCTCACGAGGATGTGGGAGCAGATTGCAGACATACCTAAGTAACCAAGTATGCACCTATGCGTGTAGTCGCTATCAAGGCTCGGCGCGCAATCACGGCTGGACGGCAACGATGGTTTTGCGGCCAAGGACGACAAGAATGGCTCCCAAGAAATGTTCTCCTCCCGGGAACGTCGGGATTGCTTGGGTTGGCTGGAAGGATTGGTGCTAGTTGCCTTTTTCCCTTGGCTTGGGCGGGTTTGGTCTCGTGCACCGGCCAGTCACCCCATCAAAGTGTCACCGCCCGGGGAAGATGGACTCAAATCCGTGACTCTTTTCGTCCTCGGAGATGGTAACCATCACCACCACGGCATTCTCGCCTGGAAGAAACGGCAGTCAGACTTCTTGGCACACATCGGGAGTTCGGCGAGGGCACAGCGCCGAGCCTTGTGCCAAGCATCGCCAAGAGATGATTTGCAGTCCCGACCACATCGCCAACAACCATCAACTTTTCCTTTTCTTCCCTTCTTCCCTCGTCAACCATGGATGCGCCGCAGGAGGACTGTGAAGCAGTAATAGCAACATGAGACCGCAGCGCCCGGTACTCCTAGCCTGGCTCTGCGCGGCCGCCGGCGGCGCCCACGGCCAGTCGACCGTCTCAGTCTATCTGCCGGAATACGACGAAGCGGACTGGTCAGCGCTCCGCGGAAGTGTCATTAGCAGTGTGAGTGCTGCCATCGATTCACCCTTTTGTTCTCTTTGTTTTCCCCCTTTTGAGCATAACCCGCTAATGACAACGACCAGGACAAATCCGTCACGGCCTATACCGTGTTTTGCGCGGCCAAGGCTCCGACCTGTCAAATTGCGGGCGAGATCCCCTTCGTTTTTACCGAAGGAGCCCATACTTTGGTGTACAAGGGCACTGACCCCGGAACATTGTCCGTGGCTCCGCACCTTCACGACCTGAGTGGTGGATGATGACATCGCTAACCGCATCGCAGAACGGCGAACCTCGAGTGTAAGCTGGATGGAAAGACGGCAGCGACCTGTACAGGGTCTTCATCGGTGGGCGAGAACCACCGCGAGGGGCCCCTGACCGGGCCGACGGAGACTGTCTGGACAAGGACTTTTGCTGCCGATGAGGTGACCTGGGGCGTGTTAACGCTGTCGACACCGGGACCCCAACCCGGCACCACCGACATCGAGGGCTCGATGCTGGCATCTATGACGGGCACCGCGGTACCAACCTCGGGAGCGAGCCAACTACTGAGCGTGGTGGAAAAGAGGCGCGTGGTGATGGCATCGCTTGGAGCCGTTTTGCTTGGGTTTATGTTTGGATGAAAAATCCCGGAGTACGGCCCAGCGCTTGGTTGGGCGACGGTGATGGCTCTGCGTCTTTTTTTTTGTTGGCTCGATAAATACCCCTTTTCTTGGTTGTGGTCGGCGAGGGAACTTGAGAAGGATGTCGGAGAATTTACTCCCAGGGTGGCAGGTGGCCTGGAAGTGTAAAACCTGCCAGACGGCACACATCTAATGTACATAGCCTGAGTACAATACAATGCACGAACCGAATTTATGATCCCAATGCATTTGTGGCACCAAACGGGAATGAATTTCATAATGTGCCCAAGGTAATGAACTAAAATCGAAGGCACCAACGAAAACTAAACACATAACAACCCGGACCGTGACTGCCAAATAGCGCCGACATTTTACATCTTCGGCGGCTGTCAAACGCCCCTTCCACATGGATCGCAACGATGCAGTCGCGCGGCTGTTATCGCACTTGCTGGCAGGCGCTGCCCACTCGTTCGGAGTTTAGCTCCTGTTTCAGGTTTCAGAAGGAGACTGCCAAGAGGGCGTGGCGTGGCTCTCGGCCAATTGACTGCTGCAGGCCCCTGACCACTGCTTTTCCAAGTCCCCAATCCACTGCCCTAACTTGAACCTGGAAAGCCCCAACACAGCGGCGCATGGCAACCTTAACCTGCGATGGCAGATCTGGAGCTGCTGGCGCGCGTTCCCCGGTTCCTGCATTGGTAGGTTATGCGCTGCCCGCACTTGTCTGAGAGTGAACCCCTCCCCGATCGGCGCAGCCTGGAACTTCCAGCATTCGGCGGCCTTTTTCCCTCGGCAGACGCTCAAAGTTCCAATTGCAACCCTCCGTTCTTCCAAAAGGCGGGGGCATTCCAGGTTGCAGCGCCGACCTGGAAGGAAACGAAACAACGAGCAAGGGCTAAGAAAATCCAGGCGCAGCTAGGGGGTACGAGCTTACCCGCAAAGGATGGCATCCCCATGAAGCAGGAAATCGCCCATTGGCCGCCCCTTGTCTCCCGGGAATGGTGGAACTGCTGGGCCACTCCCTCTTGCTTCTTCTGGACTTTGTGGACCGAGATGTGCATGGGAGGCGTTGGGTCGATGTGCTTGACAGCTGATCAAAGCATCCGCCTCTCGGTTCCTTTTAAAGAGGCATGGAAGCCCACCCTCCAGGCCAACACAGGGCTGACCCCCATCAGCCGGCCTTTGCTCTTCCTATTGTCCTCCTTGTCCCGTTATTGTCCCCTCGTTCGCCGTGTTGACCACCAACGATCGTTTCCCTTCTATTGTGCTCTTCTGTTTCTTTGCTGCTCATTGCGGCGTGCTTGGCTTTGTTTTTGAAAAGCAAACATTTCTGTTTGCTTGCTTGGATTCGAACCTCTTGGAGTCCTGAGTGTTCTTACAACAACTACAACAACAACACCAACCATCCCTGAAGACACTACAACCACATCTACCTTCGTTTTGTTTTGCTCGCTGGCGGCAACTGGACCAAATTCTCTCTTTCCGACCCGTTGAATATCCCGAATAACACGACATACTGCTGCCCAACATGCAATTCTTCAAAAATCTCAAACCCGCGGCCGCGACCACGGCCGTCATTGCCGCCCTGGCCCCCAAGGACTTGGATATCGATGACCCATGTGAGTGACATCACTCCTTATTATGGGTATGGAGCACTGCTAACCTCAACAGCCTCGATCAGGGGTGTGGCCAAGACCATCGCCGGTGGCGCCATGTCTTACTACTCCGGCACCTCGGAGAAGTTTGTTGACCTTCCCGAGCCGCACTACTGGTGGCAAGCCGGCGCGCTCATGGGCAGCATGCTGGACTACTCGCACTACACCGGTGACAAGAGCTACGACAAGCTCATCTCGAGGGCCCTCTTGGAGCAGGTTGGCCCTGAGTTCGACTACATGCTGCCGACGCACTATGGCCAGGAGGGGAATGACGACCAGGCTTTCTGGGGGTTTGGCGTCATGTCGGCAGCCGAGAGGAACTTCCCGCACCCCGACAAGGACGTGCCCTCGTGGCTGGAGCTTGGCTCGAACATATGGAGCTCGCTCTCTTCGAGGTGGGATACGACGTCGTGCAACGGCGGTCTCCGGTGGCAGATCTTCGAGTCGAACCCGAACGGACTCGACTACAAGAACACGGTCAGCAACGGCGGCCTTTTCCAGATCTCGGCGCGCCTCGCACGGGCGACCGGTGACAAGAAGTACTTGGAGTGGGCCGAGAAGGTCTGGGACTGGACCGAAGCCGTGGGTATGATCGATACCTATGGCAATGTGTTCGACGGCGCGAGCGCTAGCCACAACTGCACCGACACCAACCCCGTCACCTTCTCGTACAGCGCCGCCATCTACATCTACGGCGCCGCCGTGCTGGCCGAGCACACGGGCGACAAGAAGTGGACGGAGCGCACCGAGCGCATGCTCGAGGCCTCGCGCTCCTTCTTCAGCCCCTTCGACAACGCCACCAACATCATGTACGAGCACGCCTGCGAGCAGGTCTTTAGCTGCAACGCCGACATGCGCAGCTTCAAGGGCTACTTCTCGCGCTTCGTGTATGGCGCCAGCGTGTTTGTGCCGTCCATCCAGCCGACCATCGACGAGCTGTGGCACACGTCGGCTCTCGCCGCCGCCAAGGCCTGCTCGGGTGGCTCCGACGGCACCACGTGCGGCCAAAAGTGGTACGTCGGCGGATTTGACGGTCTCACCGGCTTGGGCGAGCAGATGTGCGCGCTGGAGACGGTCCAGGGGCTCCTCGTGGGCGATGCCAAGCCACCGCTCAAGGGCGACGAGATCAAGACTGTCCGCACTTTTGACCCGTCGGCAAAGTCTAAGCGCGGGCGATATGATGCTCGCCGAGTGTAAGCTTTTGTACACGGTGCTGCGCAGTTGGGGTTTACATTCTTCTGTACATAACTTTTTGGGTATTCCTGGTCTTGGATGCGGACCGGCGCTTTTTCTTTTTGCATAGCATGCCAGGCAGCCAGAATAGACGGACAACAAGGACAATCTTTTATCATTGATGCCGTGTCGGTATAACGTCTCTAACAGGAAGCACTTTTCTCTACTTCAGCCCATCCTCAAGCCACCACTTCACTCGCCGCAATCTCCTTTTTCTCCTCATCCGCAGCCGGCGCCGTCCCCCGCACCTCGGCTAGGGTTTTGCTAAGGGCCGCCAAAAACCGCGTCACCTCGTCTTCGGTGCCGACGGTAATCCGCAAACAGCCCAGACAACCGTGCTCCTTGCCCCTGAAGCGGACCACCACGCCCTTGTTCTCGGCCAGCCGCTCATACACGGCCAGCGCCGTCGCATTATCCGGCTTCCCATCCTTATCCACCATCTCGTACAACAGAAAGTTGCTGTCCAACCCACCCCTCAACCGCCCAACCCCCTCGATCTTGGCCATTTCTCGCACCATCCTCTCCCTCTGCGCAATCAACTTGGCCCGGTTCTCCCTCATCTTCGGCAACCCCCCGTTCTCCGAGACCGCATACTCGGCAATGCCCGCCGTCAAGCTCGACACATTGTACGGTGCCTTCAAACTGTTCAACAACCGCGCAATCTCGGGCGACGTAAAGGCCACCCCCAACCGGATGCCCGCCAGCCCAAACGCCTTGCTCAGCGTCTGCATGACCACCAGATTCGGCCACTCCACCACCCACTCCGCCAGACTATCCTCCTCCCGCGCAAAATCCACATACGCCTCATCCACCACCACCACCCCATTCCAACTCGGATGCTCCAACACAGCCCGCACATCCTCCTTCCTAAGCAACCCCCCCGTCGGATTCCCCGGCGAGCACAGATACACCACCTTGACCCTCCCCACCCCATCCCCACCCGCACCCCCCTCCCCACACCCATCCCGATCCAACACCCCCCTCACCCCCTCCACATCCACCTGAAACCCCCGCTCCGCCCCCAACAACGGCACCCTCACCACCGCCACATCATTCACCTGCGCCGACACCCCATACATGCCATAGGTCGGCGGGCAGACGAGCACGCGGTCGCGGCCCGGGCGGCAGAAGCAGCGCAGGAGGGCGTCGATGGCCTCGTCGGAGCCGACGCCGACGAAGCAGTGCTCCGGGGTGAGGGTGCGCGGGGTGTGGGCGTGGGTGGTGCGGAGGGTGCAGAGGAGGTGTTTGAGCGGGGTTTGGTGCGGGTCGGGGTAGCGGTGGAGGGTTGAGAGGTCTAGGGTTGGGGTGGTTTCTTGGGAGGGGTTGGTGGTGGTGGTGGTGGTTGTGGTGGGGGTGGTGTCATTGGGGAGGGGTGGGCCAAAGGCGTTTTCGTTGGCGTCGAGGAGGATGTTGGTGCCGTCGTCTTTGTAGTCGCTAAGGAAAGGGGTTAGTTAGTTGGAGGGTTAAGGGAAAGAAAATGAAGACTGAAAAAGTGGTGGGGTGAGAAGGTGGGAATGAGTGAGTGAGTGACTTACTCTCGGGCGCAGCGATACGGCTCGAGGGCCAGAATGTTGGGCCTCGCGCAGGTTTGGAGGTTGAAGGCCGGCATGATGGCGAGCGGCGAATAAAGTTTGTGGGTGGATGAGTTTGTTGATTCAATCGCCCCTTTTTATAAGTTGGGTGGTGGTGATGCGAAGAGTCACAAAAGGAGTCATCAGCGAGAGTGTGAAATGAAAATGAGTAAATGTCCAACGCCGACTCCGGAGCGGGTCCTTGATTTCAAAGACACAGACGGGAATGAGTGTGAACTTGTAGGTCACGTTGACCTGCAACTTGCTATTGAGAACACATATATGGCCCTCATAAATTTAAGCCCATCCATTAACATCACATATTCCCAAATCCTAGTCCTTCTTATGCTGCAGTCAATGAGCTGACTGTTGGTGTTGAGAGAGTGAGAGTCTGTCTCCTTCCCTACCATACCCTAACCCTGAAATATCAACAGTTGGCTGGCCAATCAACCCCCTTTCCCCCTGGAAGAGATTCCCCCACTCCTCTCGGGAGCCAAGCCCTTCTAGAAGTCGAACACTCTTTCCTCTTCCTGCCTTCTGCTGCCTCTCCATCGACTTCTTTTTCCTCGCTGGATTTAAAATGATTGGTCAATTCCCCTCCAAGGTGACCTGGTCGTGCTGGCGTCCGGAAAACCCCGAGAGAATCCCCGTGTTCGTACCGGGGCTGAGGGATCAACGAAATGATCTCCCTGGGCGATCCGCTGATGACCCGAGAGCGATGGCACGACATGCTGCAGGAAAGGGCGCGATGTAACAACACGACGGGGCAGGCCAGATCCCGTCCTCCCGATCACCATCGTGCGCTTCCCTGTCGCGGCGTGCGTGGTTCTGGCCCCCCCAAGCGTCCTTCCAGGTTTCCGGGAGGACGTGGAGACGCAATATAGCCTGCACCGGGGAGCCAGTCCCTATTCCCGGTTGAATGGGACCGCAGATTACCCAAGAGAGGCTTGCTGTGTGGATGTACACGAGTTATAAAGTCGCGTATCGTCCCCGATCCCCGGCCGCCCCGATCCCCGGCCGCCCCGATCGCCCGGTTCCTTCTTGTCGCGTCGATCAATACTGGGTAACACCACAGACGATACATTGGCAATGCGTTTCACCTGGATCCTCGCTGGCGCCTCGGTCGCGCTGGCCAAGCCCAACAAGGGCGGCCTCGATACGCTGGTCGCGCTGGCCAAGCCCAACAAGGGCGGCTTCGATACGCTGGTCGCCTTCGGTAACAGCTACACCGACAACGGCCGTCTGGGATACTACATTAACAATGGCGGCGAGGCCCCTCCGCCGGGCGAGATGCATGACGAGTCGACCACGACAGCGAGCGGTGGCCTGTCCTGGGCCCAATTCGCCGCAGAGTCCGCCGGCGCCAAGCTGATGGACTATGCCGTCAGCGGCGCCGTCTGCTCCAACCAGATCAGCCCCCGAAGCTTCGACCTCATCAACCGGACCTTCCCGGCCATCCTGGACGACCAGATGCCGTCCTTCCAGGCCGACGTAGCCTTCAAGTCGCTCTACCCGCACCGCACCGCCGAAAACACGGTGTATGCCGTGTGGATCGGGACCAACGACCTGGGTTTCGACGCTTTCCTGTCGGACTCGCAAATCGCCGGCAAGACCATCAGCGACTTTGTCGACTGCGTCTTCTCCGTGCTCGACGAGGTCTACAAGACGGGCGGTCGGCGCTTCGTCCTGCTCAATGCGGTGCCGCTAGAGCTAGCTCCGCTGTACGCGCACCCCAACAACGGCGGGACCCTCGACTCGCAGTTCTGGAAGACCAAGAGCCAGTACAACATCACCGAGTACAGCCAAAAGATCAGGGAGTACTCGACTAGCGTCAACACCATGCTGGAGTACGGCGTACCCGTCATGGCCTCTCTCCGCCGCCGCTGGCCCAAGGCGACGGTCGATATCTTTGACGTCCATAGCCTGTTCGGCGATATCTACAGCGAGCCGACCAAGTTCCTAGAGGCGCCGCACAATGTCGACAGCTATTATCATCAGTGCGAAGTGGCCGGCAGCCCGTGTGTCGACCAACCGGGCTCCCTCGACGGGTACTTGTGGTTTGACGAGCTGCATCCCTCGAACAAGACCAGTAAGCCTATCCGTACCCCACCCCCATTCGGTGCCCAAGAAGATGGAAGCTGACTTGCGATCAACCTAGGTGCCATCGTTGGCCAGAACTTCCTCGACGTGGTGGCCGGTAAGTCCAAGTATGGATCCCGCCATCATTGATTTTCCGAGTGCCGAGACCGAGACGGCATTGCGAGCCCGAGTAGAAGGGAGTCTAGGTACCGTGAGTCAGTTTGGACGGCGAAGGATAGACCCATAGCTTGGTACCCATCCTGCACAGCAGTCAATCCAACCATTTTTCAAAAATAAACGTCACAAAAGTCAAATATCGCGGTAAAGATAACGAGAACGGGTCAAGGTTAAGTTGAGGGAAAATATTACCACGAGTTGAAAAAATGCCCTCGAGATGGCTTTTGAAAATGGCCACCACCCTCGGGATGCACTCATACTCCAAAATTCATTATCCAAAACCCCCCCAGACCGCGGCTATTTAGCCTCATCCGGCCACTGATCAGCCACATCCGCGCCCCCATCCATCAGCACATCCGCATTCATCCGCACGCTCCACCGAATGATATCCGTCATGGGCCTGTCCCGCCAGCCCTTGTGGTTCCCAATATCACTCATAGCACTCGCCGGGCCGGCGGGGCGGTGGTGGGCGAAGAGGGTGGGCTGGGTGGTCAGGCACTGGCGCCCGGCCTTGCGGCCCTTGGTGCCCTCGCAGAAGAAGCGCAGCAGGATGTCGTAGGCGTCGGTAACCTCGCGGAGCCCGACCTCGCGCAGCAGCTTCTGCGCCCCGCGCCGGCTGACCGCGTACGCCAGCGTGCATACCCCCTCCTGTACGTGGTGGTAGGCGCGCGTGTGGGGCGGGTACTTGTCGGCGAGGGTGAAGGGGATGTTGAAGGTCCAGAGGTTTTTTTTGGGCGCGACGGTTTCGTCGTCCGGTCGGATCACACGGCTCCGTGGCACGTTCTTGCCGTTCTTGAAGGGGAAGTGCATCCCGCAGTGGCCGACCCAGAGGAGGTCCCAGTCGTCGCCGTAGGGCGAGGTGGTTGCGGGCGTGGTGGCGGGGAGGTGGTGGAAGTCTAGCTCCGGTGGCGTCTCGGGTGAGTCCTTAGATGGCTTGGGGTATGTCGGGTCGGCATATGCGCCGGTGCGGCCACGCAAGGGTTGTGTGAGTGTCTGCGACACTAGTGCGAAGTCGTAGAGCTGGTCTTTTATCCTCACATCCCAGTCGATGTCGTCCTCCATGATGAGAGCTGAAGATAGATTCCGCTGCACGATTCTATGCGAGAATTAGTTTCACATCTTACTTCAAACAACAGGTTGAACATGCATGATTGGGAAATGGAAAATCCGGCTTACTCTCGGACAGCATTCATGTGTGCGCGCCATGAGCCTATGGACGCGTCGCGCATACGCTCTTTGCCTTTGGCCATTGGGATGGCCTTGTCAGGGACGTCTTTTCCCATGACTCCATCGACGAACTCTACTTGCATATCGCTAAGAGCAGCTTGTAGTGCCATGGCATCGCGACGGTCCGACCGGGATGGTAGGCCGACGACGAATATCTTTTCGAACTGTGGAGGCGGTTAAGATCTCGGGCCATCATCAAACGAGCGTTGCGACAATGAAAATTCAAACTCACGCCAAGTGTGGCATTGTAGATATCGCGTAACGGACTGCTTGTTGAGCCCCGTCGGCGGTTCCCAGACGCTGAACTTATCCCTGAATTGCTGAGAGTGTGGAATTTCAAGAATACAAGAGTGATAATCAACCCAGCAGTGAGCGCGTAAAAACGCCGGTTCGCTAGTAGTCGTAAGTCCATCGTATCGTCGGAACTAATCTGTATAAAAAAAGTGATAAAATCATAACTAATGCTCTGTCGATTTCAAAATCAGCTTCGTCCTCAACACCGGGCCCACCCAAGGGGGTGTTGGTGTGTTGGTTGTGTCTGTCGATCTTCAAGAACGGGGCGGTAAAAGACGAGTCCTGATTGGACTTCCGGCGCTCCGGGTCTCAAATCAACAAGGTCTGTACTACACTACCTAGGTGGCCGAACAGACTCTGATGGGGGCCAAGTTGCCGTTCCGCGTTTTCAAGGGTGAACGTTGGGGGCGCCATTTGTGAGGGCAAAGATGGAGTGGTGTGCAATACCTATTAAAGATGACGTGGAGCGTGTGAGGCGGCCCCCAGGCCCTGCATTTCTTGGGTTTCTTTTGTTTCAACTTTCCGGCTTCTTGTGACGGTCCTCGTTTCTTTAACATGACTTTCGTTGAGGCCCTAGCCTGTGTAGTATTCGTTCTCACCATCCCAATTGCGTCTTGTCAGTGGTTTCAACCGCCCACAAAAAGGGAGTTATGGCATGTTGGAGACGTTCACAACATCCAGTACCACACGGATCTGACCTGGTACACCATCACTCTATGGCAGCAGGCGATTAGCGGTGGTTGGGCCACGCCGGGGCCAGTCATCTACCGTAAGTACCTAGATAGTCTCAATATGAAGTCTTCAACTTGGCTCCCAGACTCCGCATCTAACTCGAGAAACCTTCCGGTAAAGAAACCAACAGCGGTCCCGCGAACGTACTTGACTGGACGGTACAACTGTACGACTTCGATCTGGAGTCCTCGAACGTCTTTTTCTTTTGGCTGAAGGAGGGAGGCCCCGAAAATGCGACGGGGCCAGTCAAAGGACAAACAATGTCGTCCGGTTACTTCAACATCACCGACCAGCCTTCCCCAACCACCACGTCATCGTCGTCGTCATCAAGCAGCACGGTCTCGACCAACCTTTCAACCGAACTCTCATCAACATGCTCAACAGCCACTCAACCCACTCTAGACCAAGGAGAAGCCACCGCGTCCAGCAGGGTACCTGGTGAGGGCAGTGGAGGAACAAATGGAGCAGCTGAAGCAGGAGGAGGAGGAGAAGGAGGGGAAGGGGAAGGGGAAGGGGGAGGGGGAAGCCTCCCGGTCGCCGCCCAGGCAGGCATCGGCGTGGGCGTTTCCGTCGTGGGGGTCACGGTGGTCATCTGCGGCATATTGTGGTTCCGGTACCTCAGGAAACAACAGCAGATTCTCCTCGACCTCCAGCGGAGAGCCTACACTGAGCCTCCGCCTCCCGATACTGATGTGACCGAGGCGGGGAAGCCACAGGCCTCTCCTCCTACGGTCCAGTATTACCCTGCGTACGAGCTGGGTCCTCACTCCAGGCCTGCCGAGCTCGGTTGTCCTCTACCAAACCTCAACTAGAGGGGAGGGACTCGCAGGTTAAACCTGGAGAGTGGGATAGATATATTATTCTGGCGCAAAGACTCCCCGAGGTGTATCCAGGGGGTTCGTGTTATTAGTTTTCCATTGCGTTGTGCGTAGAGGACATGGATACCATATATATATTCGAGGTCCTTACAGTTAGCCCCTTTTCGAAGGGCGACTCAAGACATGCAAGACTTTCAACAACCTTTCATCTACATTGATTTGACTTGATTCCGCCTATTAATAGCTCGCCCTCGGTCAACCCCAACTCTTGACGGGAAACTCCGAGCTACCCCTGAACTACAAGTCACAGCTGGGATCGCGAAGACTGGAACGGCGATGCTCGGGGGCCGAGTACGTCTAGCCCTGCGCCCGTGCCTCCCGGGCCGCCAAGGCACAGTTGTCAACTCAGCTGTTGCGCCTTGCAACTACCAAGACGAACAACCAGTGGTAGGGCCGCAAACGCGTTTGGTTGGCGAGGAACAAAATTTGCAACGCGTTGGTGGAACTTGTGGTCGAAGGGCGCTGTGAGGATCACACCGCGGTAGAGATGGGAAACGGAGTTAGGAAACGGAAGAGAAAAGCTGAGCGGGAACGCGTTCCCGACCGTTTCAATTCCCAGGTAACGTTTTTAACACGTGACCTAAGCTATGGTGAGTCAGCAAATTGAACCCAAAAAATGATAACGACCAAATCCCGATTCACGTTCTCGCCCTCCCTACATCGACGACAGCTTTTGGTCTTCGTTGTTGTTCAAAGGGTGTAGTTTCTTGTCCTCATAGCTACCAGTTCTGGACCCATCTGAGCAGACAGACAACTTTGATGTGCAAGACGTCCTTCGTAATCCCTGTCATCCCGCAGCTCTTGTCCCACTTCACTCGCAGCGGGCGGCACCTGATCGGGTTAGCGTGATATATCGGCTGGCCGCCAGGCGCCACTCATTCCCGCTTTTTCGAGTCCCCTCGAACAATTTGGATTCGGTCCTCGTGGCATTCTCGCGACACGCACGCAAAAACCCCTTCGCTCTCTGCCACTCTGACACACGCCGCCTGCCGACCGACAAAGCAGCAGAACAAGCCGACGTCAACTTCCAGCACCACCCAACGACCCCATTAGGGGCAAAAAGAAGCCAGTCCCTTTCTTACACGGTATTTTTTGAGCTCATAGCATTTCCTCATCGGTGTTCTCCCGCCTTGGCACTTGCGACGGACCTGCCTGCTCATCCCAATCCCCGGCATTTGTGTGTCCCATTGCCACTCTCGGACACACCACAAAAGCCGCGAAACACAAGCGGCAATCCCGTGGGGTCTGCCATCGGGACGATCGATAGCCTGCCCACCGTGCGTTGCTGCCCTGCAAGGCACGCCGCAGCAGCCCGAGGTCCCTGCTCGGTTGCTTTGCTGCTTTCTGGTGGGAGGGAGGGGAACCGGCGGAGTCGTCGGCCTTCGGACAAGGGCAGGCAGCAGAGCAGGCCCGGTAAACCTTCCTGCTTGGGGTTGTCATCCCATTCACGCGTCTCGTCTCGTCTCATCAGTCCCGTCGTCCCGTCGTGTGCCATCCCAGGCACGAGTGGCACGCAAACCTCAAATCCCGGCCGAACGCTGCCGCTGCCTGGACTGGGGTCCCAGGTGCCTGTTTGGCTGTTGAGAGCTCGCACGCGAGAGAGAGACCACCTTCGGGAGAGGCCCCCCGCCGGCCAATCCCCAGATTGGTAGCCCTGCCCCCTTCCCCACACCCGGCAGCCGCAATTCCTGATCTGATCCACGACGGCCTCGCCGTTCCATCCGCCGCTCCTCCTCACCCCCCTGGCGCCTCCTGCCCGGTTCTTGGCTTGGGCAGCCGCCTCTCGCCCAAATACCAAGTCATGTATTCTCCCTATGGTTTCCCAAATGCCGCCGCAGGCCCCGTCTTCAACGGCGCCCCACCTCAACAAGGTGCTCACCTGCAACCCGGCCCATCTCCGAACCAGCCGCAGCAACAGCCGCAGCAGCAGCAGATGATGTATAACTCACAGCAGTTTCCCATGCCGGGCCAGCCCGGTGCCTTCCCCGCCGGCGGCCCGAACCCAGCTCTCATGGGCGGAGGTGGTGGCCCTGCAGGAATGATGCAGAATGCCGGCATGCCGCACATGGCTGCGAATGGTCAGAGTAAGCACCCGTCCCCTTCTCCATCTTCCACATGACGTTTGCCGTTTGCGAGGCTTGTCTTACCTGACCCTTCTTCACGTGCGATGGTCCCACCATCCTCCACCGTCCACTCTCCACGTAACATACTTCCGTTTAACCCCCCTTTGCTCCTGGGTCGCCCTTGTTGGTGGTCAAGGCTAACGCATGTCTCCCACCAGTGTCGTTCCAGACCCCTTTCACAAGCTCGCCCTATGCGTCTGGCATCCCTTCGTCTACGGCTCCCCAGCCGCAGCTGCCGGCCAATTTCATGATGGCCGGCCAGATGCCGCCTTATCAGATGAACACGGGCTTGCCGAGCCAGCAACCCATGATGCAACGGATGCATCCTACCCAGCAGAACTCCGCCGGCATCCCTGTGTCGACGCCACAACGTCAGTTCAGCAATTCTCAAAGCACCCCAACCAGCCAGATGCCCCCTCAGCAACAGCCGCACCAGCAGCAACAGCAACAGCAGCAACAACAGCAACAGCAACAGCAACAACAACAACAACAACAACAACAGCAGCAGCAGCAGCAGCATCAGCAGCAGTTTTCTACACCCCGGACCCAGGGTACCCCGCAGAGCCAGACGCCCACGACTGCCCAACATCCGTCGGCGTCGATTGCAACGCCCCAGACACCAACCTTCCCTTCAGATCAAGGGCAGCAGCCGCAGGTTAACGGGACCTCCAGCTCCGCCCCTCAAAGTCCCGCGACCGAATCGCGGGACAAGGAGAGGATGGCGGTGCTGCTAGAGATCAACCAGGAGTTGCTGTATGAATCAATACAGCTCGTCAACAGCCGGAATGAGCTCAAGAAGGAGCAAGCGGCTGTCAGCGCGGGGAATGCCAAGAACGGCGACATAGATTACGCCGAGGAAGAGAAGTTAGCAAACCTAGACTACAACCAGTGAGTTTCCAACCACCCCCCACCCCGCGGGCTTCTTCCACCCCCATATACCCCGCCCCCCTATTCTAACCCCACCCACCAGATGCATGAGAAGGCTCCAAGCCAACCTCACCTACATGTTCGCGCTCGCGGACCGCAAGGCCAAGGCCCAGGTCCCGGCGTCGCCGGCCTACCTGACCCCGCCCCCGCTCAACATGCAGCTCAAGCTCAAGCTCCCGCCCAACGCCGCCGACGACCCGGTCGAGCGGCCCGCCGACCCCGTCGCCGACCGCGCCGAGCGCGACGCCCTGCTCAAGTCCCTCTACCGCAAGCTCCACTCCCTCTACCCGGGCGTCGACCCCAAGAAGGAACCCCCCGCCCAGCCCGCCGGCGCCGGCGCCCGCCCGCCTGCGATCAATACTAACCCCGGTGCTGGTGCTGGTGGTGTTGGGGCTGGTGTTGGGGCTGGTGTTGGGCCTGGTGGTGCGAGGCCTGGCCCACCTTCGGCGGGGCAGAATGGCCAGGCGTCCACGCCTACTACCGCGGGGATGGGGATGGGGGGTGCCCAGGGATCGAGCCTGGGGAGCCCGGCCGCAGCGCTGACGATGGGGGATACTGTGGCGCCGGGGCTGTTGTAGCGGGATTGGGGGGGAAGGGGGGGGGGGGGACTGGTTGGTTGGTTGGTTGTATGTACGATGGGATTGGGTGGTGGGTGCGTATAAATCCGCGAGAATGGGGTAGGTTGATTTTCGAAAGCGGTGTATGGAGATAAATGAGGATTTGGGAGTGTCTGTGTGTGGGCGGCTGGCTACCTGTGGTTGCGGGTTTCTGCGTTGTGCTGTGCTACCTATGTTGAATTGGGGGAGCTTGTCTGGTCTTGTCTTCGTCTTTGACTCGTTCGGTTTGGTGGGAGAGAAGGTGAGAAAAGGAGATGGCTTGCTTGGCTGAGGCGCCCGTGGCGTTGTGGAGTTTGGGTTGAGTTGGGTTGTAATGGATACCGAGAAGCTGGTTCAGTAGTTAGAAATGCAGAAATTTACGGGGATTGGTGTTTGGATTTGTTGGTTTACGCGTGCGAGTGTGTGCTCTACAAAACGAGGTGATGATGCTTCGATTAGATTGATCCGGGAGTGGTCGCGTACGTACCGCTAAACGAGGCTCTCATTCGGTCGTGTCTCTCAACAACGTCGAGGCCGACGATATCAAGGCCTGCATTGGTTAGGTAGTGGGTGCATAGCACCTACGATTCGCCCCCTCCTTTATGTTCAACACCCGAGGACTGCACTCGATCGCGACAGATTATACTCGGGTCTCTTCCGAGCATGTCAACCTGGAATTACATGGAGCCTTCCACCACTGAAGAGCACCTTGCAACACAGGGCCGATTTTCACGTCCTCGACGTAAAAGAGTTTTTTTTTATCGCCGCCACTAGTCTGGAGGGTTTATGTGCTTTTGGATGTTTTCTTCTGGTTTTTGTTTTTGACTTTGAAGTCCGAGGGCCGCTAAGTGGGTTGCCGCGTACCATTCGAGCTTAGCTTTGAGAGTGCCCCCAAAACCGGCCATCGATGGTCTCAAATTTGGCGATCTGGGGCTTCTCGACACAGTTCCGGCCCCAGTTGCAGGCCATTTCCCCAGACCAGCCCCTCTGGCCACCCCAGGCCTGGAGTCGAGGCACGACTTCGTACAAAAGCGGCCTCTATCTTGCCCTCGCTTCAGGGCTGCTCAATTGGAAGCCCAAATAATTTACGAGCGGTGAAGTCTGCCAGCGGGCAATGGAACCGTGCAATTTTACCGCATTGAGACGCGTGAGGGGGTTGGTGATGTGCTCCGGCTGCTGGTTGGTTGGCTGCGGGAGGTTGCCGTTTGGATGCTTCTGTCCTGCACCTTTGCTCCACCTGTCGCAGCCTGCAAGGGGGATCGAGGCGGCATGTGGTTGCCGATTGGCAGAAAAAGAGCTCTCATTGGACCCCACCTTTTGCCGCGACAACAAACGTCGAATTTCTGGTGTTGCGCCTGAACCAATGCATTGACTCGACGCTCCTCGGGTTTTACGAAGAGCAGGCAGTCGGGGCTTTTGGTATAGAGATGACTTCGTCTGCTGGAAACTCGTTGGGAGACTTGATGGTCGACAATGGTAGCGGACAGTAGTTGCCACCGTGACCGCTTGTTACCGGCGAGGTTTGGTTCTCAGCTATCCCGGGTTCTCGGTTCCTTCAGACCCCTTTCTATGTAACGTCCGAGTCAGTTGCATCTACCACCATTTTCTAGAACGCCTTCTCTTCTTTCTTCTTGCGGTCCTCGCCTTGTTTCGTTTGCCGTCTGTCCATTCACATTTCTCCTCTTGCTTTCTCGACTCATCATCACCTGCAACAGTTTGGCGGTGGCCGGTTGCCCCGCTTTCCTTTTTTGGTTGGGAGGCATGGTTCCTGCAGGCAATTATCAATTATTGCAAGGATATCCAGGGGCTCGCGCTAAATATTCGTGTCAGAGCTCTCTCGTCTTCAACAGCGCCCACCGCCCAATGTTCTCTTAGTTCTTGACAAATTGGTCTAGTTGCCATGGTGGTGAATCTTACGAGTCTCATACCTATTCCGTGTAACTAATTGAAGCCGGTTGTTCAAGGCCCCAGCTGCCGCGGGCCGCCTCTGACTTGGCCCTTCGATGAAACGAGACGAGCTCCTGCCCCAGCAGTCGCGCGCCAAGACCCACACAATTCGAGGTTGACGATCTCGGTCACCTCTCTCTCCACTTCTTCCCAGCTAACGAACCATCCCTGCCTCTTTCTCTTTCATAGCTGGCATCCACGCCCTTTGGAAAGAAAGTTGGGAGGCTTCCGAGGAGCCGGGTCAGTGAGGGAACCGCCAAAAGTTTAGGGAACAATCCGCCTTCCTAATCTTATCTATCGGTAACAGCAAAGGAGTTCAGACGACAGCATCAAGAGTTCAATAGGAGTTCGACTCTATACACCAATTCGCGACACGACACGACACACACGAACTTCACCGCCGCCTTCAAATTGTCTTCGCAAAGTTGAGGTTGCGGGATCGGGATTGGGATCGGGATGGAGCCCGACCGGGATGGAGCAGATGCGCGGGAAGGGCGGGCAACTCCCGAGCCGGTATCATCGCGGAGAGGGAACGCTTCAGGGCCGACCAATTCGCCGCCGGCCGCGACGGAAACAGACAAGGGAAGCGAACATGACTCTCTCGTCACAGTTCGCCTTTCTGAGCCGCCGTCACTCCACGTAAACACAGCAGTACCGCCGAGTACGATTCTCACGCGAAAGACACCCGTTCCGGGTCAAGTCCCAAATAACACCATGCCCGAAACGTTGCCCGCCGACGATGATGACGACGACGACAGCGATTCGGAGATTTTCGAGCCCGATACCTCTGCCTCAAGACGCAGACCGAATCTGCTCCAAGAGTTGGGGCGGGCAAGCCCGAACACAGACGAGGAAGGAGAGGGAAGGAAAAATCGGGATTCTTGTTCGAGCTCGGGATCGGACAGGGTCGACTGGGAAGAGTTGCAAAAGAAAGAGGAACTGGAGTCGAAGGGTCAAGTATCTAATAATGTGCGTCTCTGGAGACGATGCGCCTCCTCCCCTCTTTCCCGCCGTATGTAACTGACAGCCCATGCCACAGACCACGTCCTCACTATTGAGCAAGCTGGAACAGGAGAATAACCGGATCGAGACAAACCTCAAGAGCATGAAGGTCAGGGCGGCAGACAGGCGGCGATCTCGCGAGAGCAAACCCAGACCTCCCTCGATGGCGCAGCTGCGGAAAATGGTCAGCGGTCCGATCCCCCCCGCGCTCCGATACTCGAAGCTCCCGCCAACACCGATGACCGAGCTCGACTTCTACCGCGCCCTTGTCAAAGACCCCAAGCAGACGGCCGCTCGCCTGCCAACCTTGCTGTCCAACAAGGTGCGGAAGGGCGTCCCCCCACCGCTGCGAGGTGTGGTCTGGCAGAGCATGGCGGGGGCCCTGGACGGTGCCCTGGAGGAGGTCTATGAGCGATTGACCGGCGAATCGAGTCCGTATGAGGGCGTTATCAGCAAGGACCTCGGCCGGAGCTTTCCCGGCGTCGACATGTTCAGAGACCCCGAAGGCGACGGCCAGCGGATGCTGGGCCGGGTTCTCAAGTGCTTCAGCCTCTACGACACCAAGATTGGGTATTGCCAAGGGCTCGCATTCCTCGTTGGACCGCTGCTGATGCACATGCCGGACAACCAAGCTTTTTGCGTTTTGGTTAGGTACGTCCGATCTCAATGTCAATTGATAAAGGTGTGGCGAGCTAACTTGTGTGACCAGACTCATGGAAAACTACGATCTGCGCCAATGTTTCGTTCCCGACCTATCTGGGCTGCACATCCGAATCTACCAATTTCGCGAACTGTTGCGACAGCATTTGCCCACTTTGTCAGCCCACCTCGACGATTTGCAGGTTGAACCCGCCTATGTTTCACAATGGTTCCTGTCGTTCTACGCCGTAACGTGCCCCCTGCCAATGCTGTTTCGCATCTACGATGTGATTTTCGCTGAGGGCGCATCGGAGACCATCATGCGGGTGGCGCTGTCGCTTATGCGCAAAAACCAGGTGCGCATCCTGGGCTGCACCGAGCTGGAGGACGTAATGCACCTGCTGTTGTCGCGGGGTGTTTGGGACTGCTACAACCACAACGCCGACGAGTTTGTCCAAGACTTTGTCGCGCTCGCCAACGTCGTTACCAAGGAGCGAATGGTAGCGCTCGAACAGGGGTACAAGGAAGCTAAGATTGCCCCAACCGCCAATCACCGTGGGACAGAGGGGGCACAAGCCTCGGCGGATGTCACCACCGCCGCCTCCCGTTTCCTGGGTCGCCTCTGGGCTTCCTCGTCCACCCCCAGGTTTGCAACCTTTTCGGCAACAGCCCAGGTTTCGGGATCCGCGTCCGTCAGCAGTACTCTCAACCCCGGAGCCGCATCACGTCCACTTAGTATGCTTCGGCGCAGCACGTCGAAACAAAGCCTCTCGTCGATGGAGGCTGCTTCATCGACTGCGTCATCCGCCGCCAGCGTCCTCAGCTCTGTTTCAACCGAAGCAACCAACATCTCACGCGACAGCTCCGCCGACGATACGCCCAGGGAAGCGACGGCGCTGCCGTCCAAGACAGCGCCCGTCGCCTTCTCAGGGAGCGTCAATACATCAAAGGATGGCAGCAAGTACTTACACAGCCAGATCGAGGATCTACTCACAGCGCTCAGCGAGCTGCAACGGAACCACGCTTTACTGGCCAGCCAATTGCAACGGGAGAAAGAAGAGCGCGAAGATGACCGGCGAGCTGTCCGATCGCTGCTGGACGGCTTGCGCAAGAAGGCGGATGGAGGTGATGTGGGGAGCGACACAATATCGACGGGCGCCATTGAGCCGAGCGCCGAACAACTTTCCGACCTGTTGGACGTCGTCGAGGTGCGTTTCGACCAGGCGACTGCCAGCCCGCGGTCATCGGCACCCGAGACGAAGTTACAATTGCGAGACGAGCTGGCTCGGGCCAAGGAACAACTGTCACAAGAGCGGGCCAAGTCGAAACAGTACGACCGCAAGGTGCAAGAGATGGAACAGGAAATGGCCACCCTGAAGGACCAGTTGAGAGATACCCACGCGCACGTTCGGAGCGTACACCACGAGAAACAACGGCTCGAGAGGCAGATGCAGGGGATGCGGACGAGGGCCTCGGACACGCCGGCAACCACAGATAAGGGCGAGTGGTTCCCCAAGGCCGGCGGCACCGCCGCCGCGGTTGGACTGCGCGAGCTCAAGCTGGGCCGCAGCAGGTCGACACCGTCGCAAACGGCCTCGGTCTTTAGCAACAAGCGCGTATCCACGATGACGATGAAGAAGAAGAGCAGTAGCGAGTCGCTGGCGGCCATGGCCGCACAGTCCGCTTCCTCCTCATCTGGACCGACACCCCTCACGACCCCGCTCAACGAGAACGATGCCCTGCTGCTTGAGTTGGTGCAAGCCAAGACAGCCGAAGCAGTCGCGCGCCAGGAGCTGGAAGAGTCGAAGCAGAAGCTCGAACAGCTCCGGAAAGCGTTTGGGCTCGCGCCAGGGGAGTCGCCGCCAGCCCCGCACAGCCGCAGTGCGACGCCGTCGGCGGCTTCGACAGCCATGGATATGTTTGGTCGTCTGACGGGTTCAAACACCACCCCCACTGTATCAGAACCGCCGTCGAAGACGTCGACGCCGCCCCCGGGTAACAATACGGCGGGTGGTGGCTTTTGGGGGTGGAGGAGGTGATAATGGTTCGATTTTGCTGTTTCATTCGCTGGCGGCTCTGCCGATGCGTCGTTGAGATCTGGCGCTTTTGGGGTAACACTGTAATTGCTGGAATGAGAGATGGCTGAGAGGTCGCGGGACGGCTGTATTTGTGAACATCATGATACCAATATTGATTCTTCTGCATGGCGGAAAGGGAGTTTTTCGTTGCATGACTGCGGGGAGAATGGGGGACATGGAGATGGAGGCCCACAACGATCGGAGCAAACTGAGATAGGGAGCAGGGATTCTCGACAGAAAGAGAAGGGAAGACGTAATTGAAAGGCGCACAGCATGTTGCTGGCGTGGGAAATCTTCTCGAGATATCTGGCCCCTCGTGCCTTGTGACTGATCTTTTTGAAAGCTGGTCACACTCCACATCACCCTAGTTTTGGTGTGTGTCGCGTGTTTGAACTTCTGCCTGTCCACCCGCCTGCCCTGTCACGCCCTGTCACCACTCACCAGGGTGGGCGACTGCCGCAGTTTTTAGCGTGAAATCACATGCGATGGATGACGGTGCTGGCCAAGGGAGATGATGCAGCATCGGGCCAAGAATAACTCGCCCCCGGCAAGGAGGCGAGCCAGGGTCGGCATTGAATTTGTGACAGGCATTGGTCGTGACTTATCGACATTGGATGCAACGTGCCTGGACGCCACGACGAACAAAGATTGCAAAGTTGGCGATAACACTGAAACAGACGGCGAGCCCGAGAGTGTGCCAGATCTGAACAACAAGTGAGTTTTGACCTTGCGAGCTCGCATTGCTGAAAATGAGAGATAGGTAGGTGTGACTGGATACGCAACCCCGATTGTGCGACGCAGGGCAGAGCTCCCTGATAGGCTGTCCCTGCCGTGCTGTTCCGGTGGCATGATGAGATCATTGCGCCTGTTGCTGCACGCCCACGCCCACACCACGCCGTTTTGGAATGGTCCCCCAGCTGTGAGCAAGCTTTGGAGGGGCCACCCTGAGCCACCTCAGTGGGCCCCCTGTTGGTCTGGACTGGGCCCAGAGTCCCGTCATGGACCATGACTGCCTGCAAGTTTTTTGATAAGCTACCGGGTCAGAAATAATAACTGACCCCGGCCTGTCTCAAAGCCCTCATTGCTTCCTGCCCATCCCAACTTCTCGGAACACAAAGTTCTAGCTTCATTTCTCCTGCATCACCAAGCTTCCCTTCCAGCTTTCCTTCTGCACAAAGAAGCATCGTTGGCTTGACGTTTTTGAGGTTTCACCTTTGTCCCTAGCTCCCCGTTAACTAGCAACTGCTCTTCTCGCGACCCGTTGCCAGTCAGTATCTTGTTCGACCTGCCCCTCCCTTGGTCGACGTCACACAGTTTCCGATCCTTCCACCTCCAACCAACAAACGGATACTGCCCACGCGACCATCGCAACATCACAACATCACGATAGCAATCAAGATGACTGACCGCGTCGCCACCAACGGCAATACCAACGTGGATGGCCTGAAAGCTAGTAAGGTTCGTGTTATCCAGCTTCGCCTATCGTTTTTGTGTCGTCCTGATGACTTTTGGCTAACTCGTCCTAGTGTTTCACAGCTCGACACCGGCCTCCGACCGTTCCGTAGCTCCCGATCGACTGACGATAGCTCTTCTATAGATGCCGCATCTGCCTACAACACCGTCACCAATGGTATGCCGATCCCTCCCACTAATGTATACCCACCCGTCAAGATACTGACTGGATGCTACTCAGGTCCGGTAGCTCAGAACGTCATGGATCAATCTTCCAAGGCCACGACCGAGATCTCCAACCTGGCCGCCGCTCGCCATCCTCCCTCATACACGGCTGCCACGGGCCAGCCGCTGACAAACTACCACTCGTTCTTCTCGGAGCTCCTGTCGTGGCGCAATCCTCGTACGTTTTGCCGGATTAGTTGGAGCTAACTAGGAGCTGATGCTAATACCCCGCAGGTGCTTCGGCCATCGCCTATGCTTCCCTCGTCACGCTCATCTTCTCGGTTAGGTACCTTGATGTTTTGCGCTGGACTTTTAAGATCACCTGGATGGTTCTCGCCATCACCGTCGCCGCCGAGATCGCCGGGAAGACGCTTCTCAACAACGGCTTCACGACCCAGCTCCGTCCCCGCAAGTATTACACCATTCCGAGGGAGACGCTCGAGGCCGCGATTGGCGACGTCCACGAACTCATCAACTTTTTCGTCATCGAGTCGCAGCGCGTGTTATTCGCCGAGAATGTTTATGCATCGGCTGCTGTAAGTGGTCTCCACAATTGGCTCCGCTCAGACTCAGAGCTCCTGCAGTAATGGCGTCAGAGCCGTAAGCTAACCCACCCCAGGCCGCTTTCGCCGCCTTCATCTCGTACTATCTCGTCAAGCTTGTCCCCTACTGGGGCCTGGCCGTGATCGCCACCACAGTCGTCTTCTTCACTCCGCTCATCTACACCACCAACCAGGAGCTCATCGACAGCCAGCTCAAGCACGCCAGCGAGATCGTCAACGCCCAGACCGCCCAGTTCCGCACCGTCGCCCAGAAGCATACCGAGCAGGCTACCCAGGCCACCAAGCAGTACATGGGCGACTACACTGCCAAGGCTCAGGCGCTGATCAAGGGCGCCCGCTCCCACGGAGAGCAACCCCAGGAGAAGTCCCAGGAGCAGCCGTCCGTCAAGGCGACCGACTTCCCCGCGGCTCCCAAGGACGATATCAAGCCTTCCGTCAACGAGCCCATCGCCCCCGAGCCTGTCGTCGAGAACACGCCCAAGCCGGTTGATGGCGCGAAGACTGACGGGGAACCCCTGATCGCGGCTTAAAAACAGGGGTCCTGCCAAGATATCTGATGGCGATCCCGCCAACGTCATCTGTATTCTAAACACGCCCAGTTGGTTCAGAGATAGGCCAGCTGAAAGGACAAGTCACAATCTCTGCACCAATACAACAGCTAATAAAAAAGGAAAGGAGAAAATGTGGAAATGGATGGCACGACGTGGCAAGGCAAGACTGGCTGGCAATTCATTTCGGGCAGGATCAGAGTCTGCTCTTGTGGCTCTCGACGCTAAATGAGAACATCTCGGCGGAGAGAGAATGGGGAGCGGATCGATGAATGAGGGGGGGGGGGGCATGCATGCTTTTGGGGAGACGGCCGGACATTATTATTGACATGGATGGGGGTTACCTTTTTGCGCCGGAAGGCTGGGGTGGGCTGGATGGAGTCTCGTGTTGACATAGTGTACTTTTTTGCTTTCTCTTGCGTCTTTTTCTTTAACCTCAACGTCACCTTTGGTCTTATGATGCGTGTGCTTCTCTCTCAAGTTTGGGCTCCCTCTGGAGGAAGGCAGGCGGGAGGATGGTGATGGGTTCCTTGGCGTTCTGTTTGTGCAGCTAATTCATGATGTATCCTTTCGTCGTGTGCCTGCGCTATTGTCTTGATATGCCCACTTGGATTTGAATCCAGGCGTTGCCTTCATGCTTTGCTTAATATTTACCGGACAGAGCAGAGGAGCTGGCCAAACCCACTTTGTGTGTTCCAACCCAAGTCTGGCGGAAGTCTCAGCTGGGGCCCATAGAAATGCTTGGTTAGGGCATAGCACAGAAGGCGGCTAAGCAAAGGTCCAATATGTAATTTATGACTTCAGCAAGCTAAGCAAAATAATACATATCATTCAAGCAGGAATAAATGGATGCACAGAACAAAGGAAAGAAAAAAATGTGAAACAAACAAAAAGATGTGAGATTACCCGCCCCTTCCTTGGGTTCCTGGCCATCCTCCAAAGGAGGCCACCACCCAACCAACCAACGCCCCAGCCAGCCAATCTTGTCCCAACCAAGTAGGGTACACGCCAAAAAAGGAATGAATGAGAACGACAAGGCATCCGTCTTTCATCTTCCATCTACCAAGAAAGCAGGCGAACCCGGAAAGAGAGAGAGACAGAGAGAGAAGTCATATCTCATAAACAACCAGACCGCCCGATCCAGCGCCCCCCTCTCCGCTCTTACTCGCTATCCTCGTCCATGTCAAACGCATCGCTCTCATCCTTCCGCCCCTTCCGCCCACCGCTGCCGGAGTCGGCGCTGACAAAGTCGTCGTCGTCGTCGTCATCGATGTAAGTCGGCTTTGCCTTGGCCTTGGCCGCAGCGGCGCGCCCGGGTCTCCTAGCGAGGGGTTTGGCTGCGGGAGGGGGGCTGGCCGGCGCGTCCTCCATGATCTCGTCCTCGTCGTCGCTGAGGACCTTCCTGGAGGCGGTCTTGGCCTTCTTGGCGGCGTAAGCCTTGGCCGCGGGGGAGAGGGCGGCGGTCTTGGCTTTGGAGGTGAGGGTTTTGGCCTTGGTGGTCTTGGCCGCCGGAGCCGGTGCGTCGTCGGCCTTGGCTTTGTTCTTGGATCCGGCCGGGCGGCCGCGCTTTTTGGCGGCGGCGGCCGGGACGACGCTGAGAGGAGCCTTGGCTTTCGAGGCCGTGGGCTTTGCGGCCGGCTTGGGTGCCGCGGGGAGCTCATCGTCGGACAGGAAGTCATCGACCTCGTCTGGCTTGCTCGATTTCCGCGGAGAGGACATAGCGAGGGCCTCGTAGTTGGTGTCGTCGTGTTCGTCGAGATCGAGGATAGATCTTGACTGCTTGGCCTTCAGCTTGGGGATGGGTGCGTCGCCCGCCTCCGGCCGGGACATGGCGAACAGGCTCAGCCTACCACCCTTAGTGGCTGGGGCTCCTATGCCCTTGACCATGGCGCCGACATCGCCGAGCATGTCATCGCCATCGTCGTCGCTGTCTGAGCCAAACTCCTCATCCATGTAGGTCCGCTTCGCCTTGGCTGCTGCTCGCCTGGTTGGCTTTTCGACAACTTCATCCGACTCCGGCTCGTCGAATTCATCCTCCTCCTCATCCACCGGGGGCGGCTTAGCTCTGGCGGCTGCGCGCTTCGTTGGCTTTTCGACAACCTCGTCCGAACCAGACTCGTCAAATTCATCCTCGTGATCCACCGGGGACGGCTTGGCCTTAGCTGCCGCCCGCTTGGTTGGCTTTTCGACAACCTCCTCTGATGCGGATTCATTAAAGTCATCCTCCTCATCCATGTAGGACGGCTTAGCCTTGGCGGCTGCCCGCTTGGTTGGCTGCTTCTCAACAACTTCTTCCAAACTAGACCCGTCGAGGTCTTCGACGACGGCCGACGGCTTGGCCTTCGCTGGTGCCGTCACCCGCTTTGCCGGCTTCTCGATGACTTCGTCGGAACCGGACTCCTCGAGGTCCGAGTCCACATACAACGGCTTAGCCTTTGTAGCAGCCCGCTTAACTGGCTTCTCGACAACCTCCTCCGGTTCAGACGCCTCGGACTCGTCCTTGACATCAGGTTTTCCCAACTCCATGAAGTCGTCGTCGGAGTCGTCGCTCAAGACATACTTGGACTTGGTCGCAGCCGTCCGCTTGTTGCGCCCGCTTGTGGCTTCTGGGAGCGAAGCAGGTGGTTCCGACTCTTGCTTGACCACCGCTTTCTTTCCAAGAAGAGCAAAATCGTCGTCGTCGGAGAGCTCGTTCTTGGGCTTGGGTTTGGCTGCTGCCTGGAACTTCTCGGTGAACCTCTGGTGGGTCTTGGTTTCGACCTTCTCGACCTTGGGAGCCTTGGCCTTGGTCTTCTTCTCAGGCGCATACTCATCATCATCCTTCAGGCGACGGCCCCTTCCAACACCAGCACCGATCTTTCGTGATGTGCGACGACCCATCCTACGGATATCCGCTGTGATCTCCTCATCCAGCTTCAGCTGTGTGTGCCACTCCTCGACGAAGCCGTCCAGGTCCTGTATCCACAGGTCCTTCTCGCTCAGGGCATCGAGCTCGTCGTGCTCGGCCTTCTTGGCTGCGATCTGGTTCTTGAGCTTGTCGAGACGCTCGTTGGTGAGCGACCAAATAGGCATCTACTGTCTGTCAGTTCACTGTGACACAAAAAAGTTACAGCGGGTGCACGTACGGAGAGAAGGTAGTCGTAGTCCCGTGCGCCATTTGAAGTCTCCTCCTCCTCGCCATCGTCCTTGCCGAGCTCCTCGTCGGTAGATTTGCCCTTCTTGTCATCCTTTGGTGGGAAAGCCTCGTACTTGCGGTCGCGAAGCTCTTGGACGAGCACATCCTTCTTTTTCTTGCTGACGATGAGCTTGTTCTCAATGATCTCCAAGATGAAGCGGTACTGGTTCTTGAGCTTGCGGTAGTCGGCATGGTAGACACCAAGCCAGTGCTTCTTCCGCTCCGTGTACATGTTGAAACGGTAGTGGTAGAACTCTTCCATGATCTCCTCCGGATTTTCGTACTTGTGAATTTGACCGCGGGTGTTGAATGCGACGAGGTTAGTGGTAGTCATGCCCTTTGTGAGCTTGAACTTCTCCAATAAGCCCTCATCCAGCGCTGCCTTCATGTGCTTCTCCTCCAGATCGATGATGAAATGGACAGTCTGATGATCGTTGAATTCCCTGTAGTCCTTGATGAAGGAGGGAGTCTTCTCAGCGCGAAGGATGTCCTCTAGTTTCGACTTGAAATCGTCGGTCCACATCCGGATAGGCAGCTCAGTGACGTGAATCTCGTTCGGGTTTTGTTCATCCTGCTTGATGATGCCGTTGAACTTGTACCTGTTAGGGCCGTCCGACTCAAGTACACCCTTCCAGCCCCGGAACCAGGGAGTCATCGGCTTGAAAGACCCCTCTTCTGAATCCTTAGAGTCAAACCGGCCCATCCGCCGTTTTAGGTTGTCGACAATCTCCATCGGGTGATAGTTGGGGATAGATGTACTCCAACCCGTACCAATACCGTCGGCACCGTTGACCAGGACCATCGGGAGGATCGGGACATAGACCTTGGGCTCGATCATGTTGCCATCGTCCCATTGATACTCGAGGTTGGGCTCGTCAAGTTTGGAGAAGATGCGCCGGGCGAAGGGCGATAGCCGCGTGTGAATGTAACGGGCGCTAGCAGCATCCGAGCCACCAGAAAGACGAGAACCGAAGTTGCCGCTGGGCTCCAGGCAGTTGACATTGTTGGAGCCGACATAGGTTTGAGCTAGACCGACGATCGTCTGCTGCAGAGACACTTCACCGTGATGGTAAGCGGCCACCTCCGAGATGTAACCAGCAAGTTCAGCAACCTTTTGGTCGTTGACCAGGTTTCGCTTGAAGGCACCATAGATGACCTTTCGCTGACCAGGCTTCAGGCCGTCGACCATGGAGGGGATGGACCGCATGTTGTCAGCCATGCTGAAGAGAATCAGCTCCTTGTGGACGAAGTCGGTGTAGCTCTTCCTAGCCGCCGTCGCGTCGAGGAAAGTTCCGGGAACAAAGTTGCCCAACCACTCTTTACGAGCATCAGCCTTCTTTTTAGAGAAAGCCAGCTCGAACAAACGCGATTCCTCGGGCTGCAAGATGTCGAATTTCTTCAAGTGGCGGTCCAAATCCTTGAAGTAAATCTGGGCATCCTCGTTGGAGGAACTACCCAACCCCTTCAAATACTTGTACTTCCACCTCCGCAAGTCTGACTTGTGCGACTCCTTCCAAGTCTCGTATTGGGGCAAGTTGAAGAACGTCTTGAGGTTTTGGGGCTTCTTCGGATTGGAGCCCTGCCAGACCTTGACCACCGGCGTGATGAACTCCTGGAAGAAGTCATCGATGCGCAGCAGGGAGGGGAACTGGACTTCCAGGAAGTTGATGAGCAAGCCCTTGATGTGGCTACCGTCCAAATCCTGATCGGCCATGATCATCAGGTGGCCATAACGGAGACCCTTGGCGTCCTTGTAGTCCTGTTTGTGCTTGAGGCCCAGGAACTTCTTGATGTTCTCGATTTCCTTGTTCTTCATGATCTGTTCCAGCGAGGCATCGCGGACGTTGAGCATTTTACCGCGGAGCGGGAAGACGCCGATACGATCGGGATCCAAGACGGCACGGCCGGCAACGGCGAGACCTCTGGCTGAATCACCTTCGGTCAAGATCAGAGTGCACTCGTGGCCGCGCCTAGTACCGGCCCAATTGGCATCAATGAGTTTGTCGTTGCTGATGCGAGAGCGCTTGTTGCCGTCACTCTTGGCCATCATCTTATCCGCCTTCCTGTCGGCGAACTCCATGATATTCGCGATGGCCTCGGAAGCCTTGACTTTCTTGAGGAACTGGTCGCTGAGCACGCACTTGCTGCCAAAGGCGCTCATCTTGGTCGTCAGCTGCTCCTTTGTCTGGGAATTGAAGGCTGGGTTGTCAATCAGGCAGTTGATGAAGATGAAGATGTGGTTGCGAAAGTGGGAGGGCTTGAGCGAGTGGCCCTTCTTCTTCTTGGTCAGCTCCTTGCCGAGCGCCTCGCAGATCTGGTCGGCGATATAGTTGACATGAGTGCCGCCGGACGTGGTCGCGATGCTGTTGACGAACGACACCTGCTGGAACGAACCATCTGAGACGGTAAAGCCGATCTGCCACAGGCGGCCGTTGTGTCTCTGCTGGTCGAACTCGACCTTTGCCACCGGCTTCTCGCCATCAACAGCGGCATCACCCCGCTCATTGGCGATGGACTTGGCATACAGCTCGCAGTACGTCTTGAAGTTGATCTTGAGATGCTCGCCGTTCAGCCAAACCTTGATGCCGGACACAGTACCGGCCATATCGTAAACGCGACGGTAAATCAGGCCCTCCAGGTCGTCGTCAATCCCGTTCTCCATGCCAAACCGCTTGTAATCAGGCAGGAAAGAGACCTTGACAAAGTCCCCGGACTTGTTCGAGCTGATCTTGGCCTTTTCCATCTTGCTCATGTTCTCCGTCCAAGTCTGCTTGTACCGCTTGCCGTTCTTGGAGTCTTGAAGCTCGATGGAGAACTTCTGACTGAAGATGTTGGTGAGCTTTGCACCGTAACCGTTACGACCACCGACCGTCTTCTTCTCGTCGTCGTCGTAGTTTGAACCAGTGAGAAGGTGTCCAAAAATAAGCTCGGGGATGTAGCACTTCTCCTTTTCGTGCATCTCAATCGGGATGCCCTTGCCGTTGTTCTCCACAGAGATTTCACCAGTCGCACGGTCAACGGTGACCTTGAGATAGGTCATGGACGAGTCTCGTTGGCTGTTGTCTGCAGCGTTGACGAGGATCTCGTCAAAGATCTTGTACAGACCAGGAACGAAGCCAACAGTGCGGTTCTCCATCAACTTCTCTCCCTTGTTGTACACCCACAGCTTTTGATCCATGCGCTCGACAGACCCAATGTACGTGTCGGGACGCTTGATGATGTGTTGGAGCTGGGTGAGTTTTTGGTACGTCTCGGTGGCCGTCTTATTGGGCTTGGCGGCGGGTTTGGCGTCCGGCTCGTCGTCGTCGATCACCATGCTGTCATTCTCAATCTCGACGAGAGGTTTGCTACCCGCCTTCTTTGCGGGCGCCTTCTTTTTCTTGGGGGGTGCGACTCCATCTTCGCCGTCGCTCTCGGGTTTTGGCCGCTTTTTCGCGGCGGCCTTGCCAGTTGTGAGTGTTGTCTGGACCATCTTGCCGGCTTTCGTAGCTACGGTTTTCTTGGGTGCTGCCTTAGCCTTGGGCTTCTGAGAAACTGTTAGTTGCATGTTGGTCGAAAGAAGTACGCGCTCGCGGTGCGGTTGCTGGAAAGCGGAAGCGGCTCAATTGTTGGGGAAGGCAAACCGCAACATACGTACCACTTCTGGGGAGTAGCCGTCTGAATCATCTTGGTAGTCGCCAAAGACCGAGTCGACCTCTGAATCCATGGCGACGGGCTGGAAACAGTGTTCCACAACAAACGACGCGGAAAATCAGGGGTCTGAATAAAGAATTGACGGCGGGCGGACAACAAAAGCGTAGGGCGCATTCAGAAAGCGAAAGAACAGAAATTTCGTCGCGATGGACGAACAATGAAAGGGGGCACTGGGGCCTGGCCTTGGTGACTCGATTCCTCTGCGGTCTTGTAAACAAAAAGAAGGTACGAGTACACCAAAATAACCAGCCGAGGCTGTGAAAAGTGGTGGTGTGTGCTGCGAAATGCACTTGTTGTTGTGGCAAAAGCGTGCCAATCGTAAACAGAGAATGTGTTGTGTGGATTTCCCAAACAGGCCATCAGAATTCGACCGCGGTTGAGACGATCGGACGCGACGTGCATAACTGAGTTTATGCAGCCTGAGGCATTCAGGCCAAAATTGTGGAGCCAGTTATGAAGGAGGGGCCTGCCCCACTTTCGACTGCAAACGCGCTCGACGAGGAAACAGCATCCAGCAAACGTCCAGCAAACAGAGCGAGAAAGAGAGGCAGGCGCTAGAAATTAAGATGGAAATTGCCCACCTATGTCATTGATTTTATCACAGCCGTACGGTTTTGAGAAACGCGAGTGGTTTTGTCACGAAACTTGCCGCTTTTTCCTATCCGCAATTCTCCCTCTCCCGTGGTTAGGCCTGCCCGATCAACTCGACTCTTTTTGTTTGCTCGTTCCGAAATCGGCGGATCTCATTTCCAACCTCCGCGAGTGCACATGTGTGATGATGCGGGGGCAGTGAAGTTAGGTGGCCATGTCGGCGATTTGACAATGCGATTTTCCGAGAAGAAAACCAGCGAAATGCGGATCGAGTCCATCGACTGACTGTTGCGGTTGCGGCTACGGTTGCGGCTGTGGCTGTGGTCGTGGTTAATGAATGGTGCGTAACTTATTGTACGCTCTAACCCACGTTTGCCCGGCTGTGCCGCTCCCCAGTGTTGACCATGAATTAATTGCTTTTCAGGCCCCGTCCTTCCTCCAAGGTTGTCCTTGGATGGCAGTCCCTGAATGTTTGGGTCGAGCCTCGAGGGTCCCGTCATCGAATGGCGACGCACTGCAGATGGTGCTTTCCGGACCGGCTGTAAATGCCCGTCTTGCCCAAAGACACCTGTTTCAAGCGGTGCCAATCAATTTCCAGGAGGCGGCCCGCTGGAGACAATTCCATGTTGTCAGGGCTGCCCATCGCCGCCGTTACTCCTCTCGGGGTGTGGAGCCGCCTCTGTTCTGTAGGCGGATGTTGTGCTCTGCTGCCCGCAGTCTGCCGTGCTACTTGTCCTCCAGACAGCACGCGCCTGGAAATTTCCCGATCCGATGTCCATAGCCGCGACATGCCTGTGGCAGTCGCACTGCTTGGGTTGGGGGCTCTTTGACGTGCGCGCGACGCCACGGCCAGCACTCAAGTCTGGAATACCTTGAGGGGTGGGCCGCCTTCTACGGGCCATGACTGGCAGACTGACGCGCAGCCAGATTCATCACCTCACTTGTATGTGACTGGCAACGGTAGCTCGCCGGCGCTGGATCGGGCACCAATCTTGCCTGACCTGGTCCTTGGTCCCTGGTAGATCAATTACCAGACAGGGAACTGACATCGAACAGTCGCCGACAAGGACATTGCGAAGTTGACGAGTTCACTGTAGGACTCTTGGGTGGCTGATACCGCCTTAATTTAAGCCGTTGGTTCCGTTGCGCATGGATTTAGGATCGGAGATTCCGACCTCCGACACCCCTTTCCCGGGCCGGCTGACCATAAGCACACGAACTTCATTCCCAGTTCCCCGAAACCTTCATGCATACGTTCTGGGCCTAGTTGGTCTTCTCTCATGGCTCAATTTGGGGTTTCCCCGGTTCTGTGCTGCCGTTTGGGGGCGGTGTGCGTGGTTTGGGCATCTGGTGCCGGGCGGCCTTGCCGCGAGAGCTCACGGGTGGCTGCAGCACTCATCACACTTGGAACGGCAGGTTTGGGGATGGCTCAGGGGTGACGGGTCGAGGGATCCATGTTGTCTGGCACACAACGGCTCGCTGTGTCCAGCCTCTTCGTCAGTGGGCGCCCATCGGGGCGTGCAGCAACGAGCGGTCAAGTGATATTATTCCGCGTCATATTTGGCCATCGCCTGTCGCCAGCCTCTACGCCACATTCTCTTTCAACTACGTCCGATTACATCGACGCCGAATCAGCCGTTCGGCCCTGTCCTGCCTTGCCCCTAGCGTTCGGCCGACCCGGGCGACCCTGGCAACCCGCATCCCCGTCGACACCGCCATCGTTGAAGAACAAAGAGAGTTCTCAACAGGGTTGGCGGGTTTCAGACCATGTTTCTGTCCTCATCGGACAGTTTTCTTGTGTTGCCGTCGCGCAAAACGCAAGCTCGTGGGGGCAAGCAAGGCTCGGTGCAGTGACAGATGCCCCCTGCCGCACCGCTGCCGCAAAACTTGGGCGAAGAATGCGCGGTCGCCTTCTCGAAGAAGCCTGGACTTCTCTGAAGAAGGGCCCAGTTGTGGAGGGGGAGCGACTTCGGTCGAGACCGGTACTCGCGGCCTCCGTTTTGAGGCCATGTGCTTCCGGCTGGACGGTGCTGTCCCCTCGCGCAACAGCGAAACCGACTCGATTGGGGCATGGAGGAGTGACACCAAGAAACCCCTAACCGGACTGTAACTGGGCGAGCACTCTTCATGATGCCCTCACCGGGAGGGCGCGCCTCAAGCGGTGAAGGAGCCACGTGTGCCGAGTCAAGGAGTCATCTCCGTCTGGGATGTCAACATGGGACAGGTTTCGTTCTTTGTTCCACCTCCTCACCGGAGATTCTCAACCAAGTAACCACACAACGCCTCCTGCAGCCGGCCGACGGTCTACTTTCTGTCAAGTGACCCCAAACAGGCCGCATCCCTGCCCGGCCGCCCCCGGTGTGCCATTTGCGATGCCAAACTCATTTGCTGTTTCTGTGGCCCCAAAGGTCATCGTGGAGCTTGGGCACCTGTGCCCGTTCGAGAGAACCAAGCCCCGGCCTGCGAGAACACAAGTGCCTCGACCCGCCTATTTCTGTCGTCCCGCCTTGATGTCTGCGAGACCTGATTTTCCTGGCGGTCATACGACATCTAGGGCACAGTTGAGGGGGGTTTGCCTAGAGTTGAGCGTGCGGCACTCGCGCCTAAAACGATGCCCCCAGGGGGTACACAACCGCCCAGTGCATAGTCACACTCCCCCCTACTCAGTTAGCCGACCGCCACAGTCACTTCTATCAGACCATCGCTGCCACAATCATCAAGCCGATTATTGACCGCCGCTTCGCCGTCACTTGTCACTTTCTGACGGATAACTCGGGCGCCAAAGAGCGGTGGAAGGTTCAAACGCTTCCATCCGCCGTCTAGCGGCCGACTCCCTGCGCCCTGGGACAAAGAAGCTACGTCGAGAACACTCAGCAGAACGGAGACACCGACCAGGGCTGCAGGTTGTCGCATGCCGGTGCTCAGGGAAGAGGAAGGACTGGTCGTGCTCCTTGTCGCAGGTGCACGCCCTTGAGGCCCCCGCCAGCTCGCGAGGGTTGCGCGGAGCTTTGTTGTTTGCGGACTGGAAGGGACATTTGGTTTCCTCCCTTCAGCCCTCCGGGGCTGCAAGTGCTGTCTGACTTGATAACCTGCGTCCTGCGTCCCCCACCTTCTCGTCGGCCCTCCACTCGTTGCCCCTCCCTCCCCACGAGCTGCAGCCATCGCGACAAGTACGCGAGACATCCCCGCCACGTCCTCACCGCCATGGTATCCGTAGCGGCACTTCTTAACCCGGAGCCCCCGCGGGCTCCATTGCCAACGTCCCGCCCCCCTCCGGTTTCACCCTCCCAGCGGACTGTAGCCTTTCGAAGCCAGCCAACTCCCGTCACCCCCTCGATCGAGACGCTCAGAATGACCGAAGATTCCAAGAACGCCCCTCGGTGCACCGCCAGGGCCGTCATGAACTTCCCACCCTTCGAAGTCCTGGACGGGTCTTCGCTCTGCGAGGTTCGCAAGTTTCAAGTGCACCCCTTTGGCTCCATCCAGGAGACCTGCGAGCGGATACCCTACAATAGCGGCAAGAAGGACTTCTTTACCAAGACTGGTAGAGAAGGGTTCGAAGGTGAGGCAGGTCACACCAGGCAGGGCGCAGGACTGACCAAACCAGCCTTCCATTACGACTTCAAGATTCCCGGAGACGACACCAACTACACCGTCATGTGGGATTACTGTGTCGGCCTGGTCCGCATGACATCCTTCTTCAAGTGCCGTGGCTACAGCAAGGTCAGTTTCTCCCTTCTTCCCATGCAGGCACCGCTAACCTGGGTAGACCACGCCCGCAAAAATGCTCAACCTCAACCCGGGTCTCAAGGACATCACCCACAGCATTACCGGTGGCTCCATCAAAGCCCAAGGTTCGTGTTTCTATGACGACTTTTGCGTTTTATCATCCGTACTAACTTTGGGATCGCAGGTTACTGGATGCCATACGCCTGCGCCAGAGCCGTCTGCGCGACATTCTGCTACAAGATCGCCGGCGCTCTCATCCCGCTTTTCGGTCCGGAGTTCCCCTTAGAGTGCATCCCCGAGAACGCCCACGGACACGGCCGCATGGTTATCAGCCCAGATATTGTGGAACAAGCGAGGAATGATGCCATTGCGCTGTTCAGACCGGTCGCGGCCCTCCCTAGTCCGCGACCATCCCGCAGCATTAGCCCCTTGCCATCTCAGCGTTCAGCACGCATTCATGAGTCCTACGACTACCCTTCGGATTACGACCCGCGCCTGCTCCTGAGCCCCTACACCGATACAGACGTCGACTACCGACCGACATCGGGATCCCACGGCCGTCGAATGTGCACGACCATGGCGCCTCTGCGGACCCCAGCGTCAAGACCCCCCCTAGGCCCAGCGCCGGTACCCACGCCGCAGGGTTCACCGGGGTGGGCAGCCGTGAACCGGCCACCCCAACCCCCCGCCCCGTACCACCGTCGCGGCATCTCTCACCTCCACGAGGGGCTCCTAAGCCTCAACGTCCCGGCGACCGCCAACCCCTGGCTGTCCGCCATTCCGCGTTCTCCGACACCAGGTGCCGCAGGTGGCACAAACGACTGGCACCCATCGTACCAACCCCGCTCCGACCACCCCAACCATCCCCCATACCCCGATAACAATTCCCCACCGCCCGTCGCCTCCACCTCCCTACCGGAGCGGGGCGCCACCCTCGCCCCGCTGCGCCTCAAGCGCCGCTACAGCAAGGTCGACGCCACGCCCGACACCCACCACTACCCCCACCCCCACCACAACAACAACAACACCACCACCTACAACAACTACTACAACCTCGCCGCCACCACCTCAGAAGACGACGGCGAATACGACCTCGACTACGACGCCGGCTCCAGCCACGCCGCCAGCCCCGGTGCCAGCGCCAGCGTCAGCCCGCAGTCCGTGGCGGCGGCGCCGCCGCCCACCCCGGTCTGGACCGGCAACAACAGCCAGGGCGCGAACGCGCCGCCCCATCCTCGCACCGCCAAGACCTCGACCACGGTCACCGCCACGGCCACGGTCATGGCTATGGCTCCCAGCCCGGGCGACGCCTCCGAGGAGGAGGACGGTGCTGCTGCGCGGCGCGCGTCGGAGCGCGATGCGGCGCTGATGCTGATGCAGATGCACCTGCGCGGTCGCGGTGGTAGTGGTGGTGTCGGTGATGGGGTTGGGGATGGATTGGGTGGTAAGGGCGACGGTGCCGTTTCTGCGCGGCCGTCGAGCTGGGCGCCGGCGCCTGTTGCTGATGCTGCTGGTGCTGGTGATGCTGGTGATGTTGCTGATGTTGCTGCTGCTGCTGTTCCCGCCGTGGTCAGCGTGAGTCGCGCTTCGCAGCCCGTTGCGGCTGGGCCGACTACGAGGTCGAAGCGGCGGAGGACGTTGGAGCGTTAAAAGGGTGTTTGCCTAGTTGGTGTGGGCGAGATTGGATTGAGGCGCGGTTGGAGTTACTGGCGTTGTGTTTGGTAGAGTGGATGGGCCTTTGGGATAGTACGGCTCGGCGGAGGGTTGGTGCTGGGTACGGTCTTGATTTTGGTGAGTGGTTACGGTGTCTTGTCTCCTTGCTTTGCCTTGGCGTTTACTTTGTATGTTTTCTTTGCTGGTTGGACGGGCGACTGGAAGGGGGCAGTTCAGGGGTTGACGGGTTCTGTTAGGCGCAGGTGAAGGTGCTGGGTTGTGTGTGTATTGCCTTGCATTGCATTGGTGGAAGCGGCGCAAGGTGGCAGTATTGGAGTATGTATGGCGTGCGGTACTTTGTCGGCGTCTGAAAGCGTTGACGTTTCATATCCATAGTCTTGGTTTCCCATAGAGTTGTCCGGAGAGCTTCTTGCCGAGATGCGCTCCGGGGCAGGTTTCCCTTAGGGTCTAGTCTAGTCCTGTTTTTTTTCGTCCTCACAACAACCTCACGTTGGCGGTTTAGTCCTAACTGTTGTCACCCGGGTATCATTCCCTCCTTCCCCCCTATGGACCCCCCGCCGCCTTTTTCTCCTTGAACTCCTTCACCCACCCTTCCGCCCTCGCCTTCGGCACAACAAACACCTTCAACAAGTCATCAACCACTTCCACATTCCCGGTTCCCAACACCTTCAGTAGCGGCACTTTCCTCCCGACCTTGACCAACCCTCCGCTCACAGTCTCCACGTAACACTCCACCCCTGCGGGGCTATACTCCCCGGCCCGGTCCCACGGCAGCGGGAAGACGTAACCAAAGTGCTGCTCCAAGCTCTCCTGCTCATTAAACGCCTTGATGAAGTCGCTCTCCAGATGGCACGGGTACAGCAGCAGCGTGGGGAACACCAGCGCGCTCTCCGGGTCCAGCTCGTCCGGCGACAGCTTGACCTTGGCGTCCTCCATGTCGGGCGGCTTGCTCGTGGTGCGCGTGCGGATCCCGCGCGCCTGCAGCGCCGTCCTGAGCAGCGTCACGCGGCGGCGTTCGTTCGATTCCCGCTGCTCATCGCGCTTGCGTCGTGCTGAGTCCGCCTCCGCGGCCTTGATGATGTCCTGCGCGAGCGCCAGCAGCGGCTTGTTGGACGAGTCGATCTCCAGGCCCCGCGCGCAGGCGTCGTCGGCCTCGGTGAGCTTGTTGACGGCCAGCAGGGCGCGCGCGGAGCGGTAGAGCGCTTTGATGTTGCTGGGGTTGAGGCGGAGGGCGGCGGCGCAGTCGACGGTGCAGGAGCGGTAATTGCGCAGCTCGAGATGGCAGGCGGCCCGGTTGATGTACAGGGTTTCGAGGAGGGCTTGTTCCGACTTTACCTCGGTCGGGTCCTCAGGGACTTCTTCGAGATCTGCCTCGTTGGGCTTAGGGCCGTCCTCCTCCAGATCTACGCCGCCCATGGAGTTGTCCGCGTTGGGGTTGATCGCCACCTGTTCGGCGGCCTTTTGCACCATTTTCTTTCCGCCCTTGGCCCTCCTCAGCTCTTCCGCGGCTAGGACGGCGACCCCCTTGCCGTAAAACTCCTTCGCATCTGCCCAACGTTTCTCCCGGAAACACTCGTTCCCTTGCTCCTTGAAGTTGATCGCGTTCTCGAGAGGGGTGCCATCATAAGCGAGGGCCTGCAGCGCAGCCAGCTCCTCATTGTCCTCGGCTGAGTCCAGCTCCGTCATGAAGAGCGGGTGTTTCTTGAGGTCGGCCACCGTCTCATCGAGGGTCATGCCAGCATTGAGGGTGCGGCCGGGGGGTAACTCCGGGATCATGGATAGAATATCCGGGGTTGAACCCGCGGGTGCCGTGTTCTTTGAATCGCTCATTTTGGAACAATTGTGTGTTTTGAAGCGTGATATGATGATGCGTGAGTTGATGGACCCTTTGAAACAAACTCAACTATGAAGCATAGAGGTTGTTTATGGGCCCTGTTCAACGATCTTGCCTGCTCTTTTCTCCCCTGAATTTTGTTTACTCCAATCCCTGTTCTTTGTTCTTTGTCGGGGTGATATTTTTCTTGTGCCTGTCGTGTGTGTTGGAGGGGTGGCGCGGGGCAGTCAAGCAGTTGAAAATTCAATACCGTTGTTCGATACCGTCACACTGTGTAAATTACATTTTGAGCCATTGCTGCCTGGAAATTCTGTCGATCGCAGTCACGAGATGGCGTGGAGGAAACGCAAACCCCCGCTTCCCCACCTTACAAGGGAGGTCGCGTCTTCCTATGTAAAACACTCCCCACAACGCGTGAAAGACACGGTCCCCAATAAATTAAATTGCATCCCCCCGACGGTTCGGCTTCATCAACCCACGGACATTCCACCAAGCCACAAGCCACAGCTAGGAATTCAACCATCTCACGGCGTTCTCATCCCCCACCATACTGCCAGTTCGACTGAGAAACGCATCTGCACACCATGCAGAGGGTGAAACCCGAGCCGGTGGATGATCCCGGTCTCGGGGTCGTCGGCGATGCAGACAATACGAATAATTCGAGCAATGTAGACAGCATCATTAACCCTAGTTATCTCCAGCAACTTCTTGCTCCAGGGAGCTCGCCTGAGCTTCTTGAGAATGGTGTCAGCATCGGTACACGACTACTTAAAAGCTTGAAGGGGCCACTGGAGGGTGGGGCCACAGAGGCTGCAAGTTCTCAGTGGCTGAAGTCCATCGATGATCTTGAAGCGCTTGCAAAGCCCACACGCACCATCGTTGGTGTAGTGGGTAACACAGGTGCTGGAAAGTCGTCTGTGATCAGTGCGGTGCTTGATGAGGAAAGGTATGTTAACACCCTCGTCTTTTCGAGCTGCGAGTTCCGACCAGAGCCACTCACTTCTCACAACAGACTCCTCCCCACCAACTGCATGAGAGCATGCACCGCCTCCCCGACCGAAATCTCATACAACTACTCCGAAGTCCCTGATGAGTTGTATCGTGCGGAGGTCGACTTCATCACCGCTGATGACTGGATCAAAGATCTCCGCGGTCTTTACAGCGACCTCCTTGACGGTAATGGCGAAATTTCTCGCGAGTGCACGAACCAGGACAGCGATGCCGGCGTTGCATACGCCAAGATTAGGGCTGTCTATCCCAAAATGACCAAGGAGATGATCACCCAGGCGACCCCCGAGGGCCTCGCCAATCAACTGGTTGTCCGACAGGTGCTTGGGACCGTCAAGAAGCTTCGAGCAACCACGGCTGCGAGCCTGTACCGTCAGCTACAAAATTATGTCGACAGCAAGGAGAAGGACACTGAGAAGCGCATGGAGTACTGGCCTTTGATCAAGGTTGTCCGCATCTTCACCAAGGCCTCTGCCCTGGCCACTGGCGCTTGCATTGTCGACCTGCCCGGTGTTCAGGACTCGAACGCGGCTCGTGCAGCCGTCGCAGCCAACTACATGAAGGCGTGTACTGGACTGTGGATTGTCGCCCCTATTACCCGAGCGGTGGATGACAAAACCGCCAAATCGCTTCTTGGCGACTCCTTTAGGTGTGTTCCCCCTCTCCCCGCACACCGTTCTCGGGACTGGTAGGGTTTGCTAACGAGGTGGAAAGACGTCAGTTGAAGTACGATGGCACATATTCCGCCGTGACATTTATCTGCTCCAAGACGGACGATATCTCTGTCACCGAAGCGTCAGAGAGTCTAGGCATCGAAGAGGAAATCTCCGAGTCATGGTCCAGGATCCAAGAGCTCTCGGACGATACTAGGAGACTGAAGTCTGACATGGCCGACCTCAGGGATGAGCGAGATGCTTGCAGTGATCTTGTTGAGAAGATTGAGCATACCTCAGACAAGTGGGAGATCTTGAGCGGCAAACTGGCTGACGGGAGCACCGTGTACCCGCCCCCCAACACCCCCAGCAAGAAGCGCAAGCGGCAGTCCGAACCAAAGGGCAGCCGTAAGAATCGCACCTCCAGTGATCTCGATAGTGACTTCTCCGACACGGACGGCTCAGACTCTAGCGATAAGGAAAACCAAGAGCACGTAGTCGAAGACAGGGAACCACTCACCGAAGATCAGATCGAAGCCAAGCTCGCGTCTCTAAAGGCCGAGAAGAAGGAGGTTCGAGTGAAGAAAAAGGAGGTCGAGGAGAAGATCAAGGTCGTCCGTGAGAAGATCAAGGAGTTTGCTACGGAGAAAGAAATGCTCCTCGCCGAGGTGAAAGCTGTCTGCATCCAGGGCCGGAACGAGTACTCGAGGCGAGCAATCAAGCTGGACTTTGCGATGGGCATCAAAGAGTAAGTGGCCGCGAAGCCAGCTGGGCAGCCGCGGGGCGAGAGCTAACTGCTGTACAGACTCGATCAAGAGAACGCGGCGGAGGAGGATGAAGCCAACTTTGATCCAGAGGCCGACCTTCGGGACTACGACGCGGTCGCCGCATCCCTCCCTGTATTCTGCGTCAGCAGCCGTGCTTTCCAGAAGCTGAGCGGCCGGCTACAAAAGGACGACTTCAACGGCGGCGGCTTCCAGTCACCCGACGATACCGAAATCCCTCAGTTGCAGGCGCATGCTAAGAAACTCACCGAAGCCGGCCGAGCTGCCAATTCTCGGCGATTCCTCAACAACCTCCTGCAGCTACTCAACTCAATGACCATGTGGGCTTCGGACGACGGAACGGGATCGAGCTTATCCAACGCAGACAAGGCAAAGGAGGAAACACGCCTGCGGAAACAACTTCATAAGATGGAGCAGGTCAGCGACCACCCCGCGCCACCATCACCACACCCATTTAACTAACTCCCGACAGGATCTCGAAACGACCCTGGAAGAATGTATCACATCTGTACGAACGGTTTTGGAGGAGAATGTTTTTGAGAACTTTGACAAGTACATACCCGCGGCGGTCGAGGCAGCGCTGCCAACGGCGACGCAATGGGGAGCGCATAGATCGACGGGCGGGTTGCTATGGGCGACATACAAGGCAACGTGCAGGAGGAACGGTATCTTCTCCGGCTCTTCTGGCCCTCGGGACTTCAACGATGAGCTCTTCAGCCCCATCTCGAAGCACCTCGCCAACGGCTGGGAACGTGCCTTCCAACGCCGCCTTCCGCAGGCCCTGGATAGCTTCGCTCGCCACATCAAGACACGCTTGTCGAAGTTCCACCGCGAGGCAACCGAGCGGGCTAGAGAACGGGGCACCCAGTACACCGCCCTGAACATGCTGAATCAACAACTCGGGGCGCATTCGGTTCGCATCTCGGACGTGGGGGCGCTCTCTGTGTCCCTAGCACAGGAACTGCAGCGGGAAGCCAACCGAGCCTTCACGCCCGTCATTCAAGACGAGATGACGCCGGCCTACGAGGGCTGCGTGGCTGAGCGAGGTATGTTCATTTACCACTGTCGGAGGATCGAAGCTGAGCTAACCAACTGCCACAGGTCCCGGCTCCTACATGCGCATGAAGAACCTCATGCTGGCGCACGTCAACGATCATCGCGAGTCTATGTTTCGCGTCGCCACCAATGTGGTACAGGAACAGCTCGAGGAGATGTGCGACAAAATAGGAGAGCAATTGGGGGTCAGTGTCGAAGAGCTGCAGACACGGCTTGCGCGCGACTACCTCGCGGTGCTTATTGGCGTTGATGTTTCTTCTGTTGGCATGGGGCCTTCCCGCGTGGAGCTGATGTTGCGTGGCGAGATGGCGCCGCTGTTGCGCAAGGCTGATCGCTTCTTTGCTGAGCTTTTCCCCGGTCAGGAAGTCAAGTACGCCAAGGACGAGGAGGATGGTGGAGACGACCATGATGATAAGAAGGGGGAGGATGACGACGACTTCGTCAAGAATGAGCCGGAGGGGTCGGCGCAAGACTCCATTACGGCCAAGGGGGAGGGTTGGGATTGGGACTGATGGGCTTTATCTCTTTTTTTTCGGGCCGGGTAAAGAAGGAAAAGGAAGAGGGAGGCAGGGGCAATCCCTTAGCGATGTTTTCCGGCGGTATTTTGCTTGTACGTACGTTAGGTACTTGTGTGCGGGTAAGGTAATTGGGAGGAATCAATGTGAGCAAACCATAGATAATGGCAGTAATATCACTGTAGACTCTTTCTTCAACTATACATACAACGTGATCGTGTCGTCGGACTGTGGCGGGAGGTTGTATCCCCGGACCGCCGTGCTCTTCAACCTCATTCAGCCGTACGCGATCTGGAGTATCAAGAAAGGGTGACGCTGCAAGACATTGTCCAGCCGTTCTTCATTACACGTTCTCAATCGGCAATGCATGTTTCTCGGAGTGAACGAACATATTTTGGCCAGCATCCCTCCGCCAAGAATAGCAGTTGAATCCCACCTTGTTGTCAATAATTTCTTTGGTGTTTTTGGTGTAAGTGGTAGGGAGACCCTAACCCTGACCTTGAGGTGTGTGTGCATGCAAGCACGGCCATTAGTTAACGACGTCGGCTCCAATCGGCCATCGGCTTCGAACAAAAACATCACACTCTTTCCGCCCGGACACTCTCCCACAACCACCTCACCTCTAGTCCCGACAACAAGAACCCACCATGTCGCATATGGCGAACCCGCTGGCCACGCCGGACCAATTATTCCAGCGCCGCTCCTACGGCTCCCTCCCAATCGAACTCCAAGACACCATCTTCTTCGCGACACAATGTCTGACCCAGGCTGCCGGCCTCCTTCTCCAGCTCCCCCAATCCGTCACCGCACAAGCCAATGTCTTGCTGGCAAGGTATTGGCTCGTCGAGTCGATGATGTCCCATGAATTCAGCGTAAGCCATTCTCTCCACCCCCCTTCCACTCTCCTTCCCCTGCCCTCCTCAACACCCCAAACTAACCACCCCCCTCTCCCCCAACCCAGGACGTCTCCGCCGCAATCCTCTACCTCACCGCCAAGCTCTCCCCCCACCCCCGCTCCCCGCGCGACCTCAGCAACGTCTACGCCTACCTCCTCTCGCCCACCACAACGTCACTCTTCCACACGCCCACCACCCCACCACCACCCAACACGCCCGCGGCCCATTACCGCTCCGAAACCGCCTACCAGGCCTTCCACACGCGCCTCCTCACCCTGGAAGCCCGCGCCCTGCACGCCCTCGCCTTCGACACCCACGTCGCGCTGCCCCACGCGCTGGCCGTCACCTACCTGCAGGCGCTGGACTTTTTGGGTCTAGTTGGAAAGAAGAAGGAGGCGCTGGGCGCCCGCGCGGTCGCCTATCTCAATACCGCGCTGCTGTCGCCGCAGATGCTGTACCTGACCAGCCAGCCGCATGCGCTGGCGGTGGCGGCGGTGTATAATGCGGCGCGGGATGCGGGGGCCAAGATGCCCGAGTGTGAGTGGTGGGAGGTGTTTGATGTGGACCGGGAGGAGTTGGGGTTTTTGGTGGTGGGGATGCGGAGTGTGGAGGGGTGGGGGGGGAGGATTAGGGGGGAGTTGAGGGGGATGGGGGTGGAGAGGGGGATGGTGACGAGGGGGGTGGTGGAGGGGGAGTTGAGGAGGAGGGGGGTGGTGGTGGTGGTGGGTGTGGAGGGGGGGAATGGGGAGGATCCGGAGGAGGAGATGGCGCGGAGGATGGATGAGAAGATGGCGGAGATGGAGGCTGATGTTTAGACGGCACTTTGATGGGATTGGAGAGTGATGGGATTTGGTGGGCAAACAGGGGCGGCTACTCTACACTACAGCCTGGCTAACCGCGACAAACTATCTGGAACGATGCTACAGCGCCACTCGCAGGTCTAACAGCCCATTACACGACCCGAATCAACCTTTCATAACCTGCATCGCAGCCTCCAGGCCCTGGATCTCGAGGTTGAGGCGCTCCCGCTCCCGCTTCGTGTTGCCATCCTCGCCGGCAATCATGTCTAGCTGGGTGTCGCTCATGTTCGAAACGAGCTCCGGGTTCAACACCTTCAGGGGGCTGCCGTTGCCATCGAGCAGAAAGTGGTCAATGGCTTGCTGGCAGATGACGTCGACAAATCGCTTGCGCGAGACCTTGTAATAGCTCTCCAAGATGTCGTGGACGTCCTCCTTGGTTTGATCGGAATTGCTCTTGTCCGCCACCATTTGGCCGATTGTGGACTTGTAAATCCCGAAATAATCCGAGCCGCGGTCATCCGATTTGCCGATGAAGGCTTGCGTCAACCGCTCGGCCTTGGACTTCAGAACGTTGTCGCTGAAATAATGGTTGTACGTCCTGGGCCGGCCATGAACCTCGATGTCGAGGAGGAACTGGGCGTGTACCTTGGCCCGAGAATACGCAGCTTGGAGCCTCTCGAGGAGAACCAAACCCCACAACTCTTCTCGTATCCGCTCGTCCGCGATCGTCTCGAGCAGCACCGTCTTGATGAAGTGGTGCGCAACCACAATCACGGTCTCGACGTGAGTCATGACGATGGCCCGCCATTTGGATGTCTGCGCCCGGAAAGTCAAGGCCAGCAGAGCGCCGCCGAACTTTATACAGTTAGCTCCAGGCCTAATGGTCATTTTCGAGGCAGACGTACCGTTCCCAGTTCAGGCCCCCGGCTTTCCTTGTAATACTTTTCGATCTGGTCCATGATGGCCTCGTTCAGAGGCGCAGTGCAGGGCGTATTGTCGCAAATAACCTGCTGAAGCTCGGGGATCGATGCGGTGGAGGCGAGAACAGCGTCTGACGTTTTCTCGTACTCCAGCAGAGTGTCGACGCCATCCTTGCGGGACTCCGTCATGAACTCCCAGGTGTGGCCCTTCTTCCACACCAGGTCGGTGAAACCTTCGTTCAGGTTCATGATTTTCGTTGCGAGCTTCAGCTCGGGCTTGGCGGAGAAGATCGGGTTGCCATCGTATCGACCGTCGAGCGCGTCACGAACGATGCGCTCAAACCGGGCGGCAAGCTTGACCAGGCACTCGCGCTGGCTGGCCGGGCCGTCTCTCGGGGGGCCCATCGACTCGCGTTTCTTGTGGCAGTCCGAAAGCCGCTGCTCCACTTCGGCCCTCTGCTTCGGTAGCTCCCGTCTCGCGAGCTCCATCAGCAGGCCTTGGAGTTCGGCTCGCAGGGCTTGCACGCCGGTGCGGCCAAGCTTGGTCAGCTCCGCCCACAGCGGTTCCGCGAACTTCTCCTTCTCCTTCATCTGGCAGTCCGCGATGCTCAGCGTGTCTTCGTCGGCGCCGCGGTTGCGGACGATGAAGTACCCGAGCTTGAGCGTGTTGCCCTTGACGAGTTGAAGCAGTGTCTGTACGACGGCCTGCTCCGTCACCAGGTCGGCCTTGGTGAGCACGCCGACCGTTCTCACGCCCTCAGGGTCGGCCGTTTTGGCGAACTGCAAGACGCCCTCCGTGGCGCGGTCGGAAAGGCAGCTCAAGACCGCTAGGACGCTGAGGTGATGGTCAGATAAGCATTTGACAAATGACTTCCAAGAGTAACTCACATGGTACGCTCGTTCTCCATGTACCGCCGCACCATGTTCTCGACCTTGGTCCTGTCCGCGTCGGTGGTGATGCCTTTCACGAGTCAGCTTCTGGGCCTCCGACAAGATATTACCACAAACCTTCATCAGTCACTTGGAACAAGCCGGGCACGTCAATGACAGTGAGATGTGGTTTCTGCCGTCGCCTTCGATTAGCTTTCCAGATCTGCAAACCCCATCAAATTCACGAACCTCTGGGCCTGAAATCTCAATCTTCAGAATATCATCACTGAACATGGGTAAAGCGGTATCGTCCTCGGTAGCGCCGGACCGAATTCCCATAACCTTGTTGGCCTGAAAACAACAGTTAGCACCGTCAGCCAGATGGGACAAGCAACCCCAGCAAGCCATCATCAGTCACTCACCTTCTTGATGACACGGGCCAGAGTCTTGCCATCGAAGTCGCTCAGCTCGTTGCGAAATGCCCGCAAGACATCCTTCCGATCCTGGTCGGAATCGCTGTGCGGGATGATGGAGATGACGGTGCTCGCGACCGGGTTGCGGCGGAGGGTGATCTGGGTCGCGTAGCGCGTGCAGAGGCCCTGGCCCCGCGGGAACGAGAAGCCCGTGATGCTCTCCAGCAGCGAGCTCTTGCCGGAGGACTGGCTGCCGACGACGACGATCTGCGCTGCGGTTAGTCTGGGTTCTGGGTCTGGGGGATGTGATGTTTTCTGTTCCGGGTGTCCGTCTATCTCCTTACCTGCGACGTGGGAATGTCGACGCCGATCTCGCGGAGCTTGTCTTGCTTCTCGAGGTAGATGTGGTTGCCGAGGCCGTCGATCGGCTCTGTCTTGATCTTGCCCATATTTTGTGAGAGTTTGAGGTGCCTGCTGGGTTTGGTTGCTGATGCTTGGGGCCGAGGGAGAGAAGGAAGCGGTTGCGGGAGTCTTCAGAGAGGCGGCGAGAAGAGGAGCGGATGAGCATATTTTCAACCAAGCCCGGGAACCTTTGGAAACCAAACATGCGAAAAGGCCTCCGGTCGTTTGCTAATGTCGCGGGATCGGGAAGGTACACGAGTTTGTTCGAATCGCCCTCTTGGATAACGGGATCTCACAGTCATGGATGTCTTCGCCGGCCGCGATTCGACAACCGAAACAAACAGACAAGTGAGCCAGCCATTTAATGACTCAATGAACATTTATAAGCCGCACCTTCCTCTTCTAGCCCGACTTTCTCTGAATTACACTGGCTAGGTACTTTCGAGACACTGAGGCCTACGACGGTCGCGCAAGTAACCGTCTCAGCCCTTCCGCTGGCGTCTAGCAAACGGATTCTCATTTTCTCGTTGGCTGGTCACACGGAACCCCCCTTTGGCGATATCATCCCGTCCCCAAAAAGCATACGGAGGCCATGGAAGACTTTTTGCATTAGCAAACTTCATTCCAGAGTACCAGCCAAGTCTGTTCTGGGAACTGAGGGATGCGTTCGAAATAGGGGCAGCCCCTGCGGCTTAGACCCTTCCTCACACATAACTACCTTTTCGGCTCCCGACAATCACATACGACCATACCTACTTGAAAGTACGGGATCCCGTCCGCTCTCCCCTAGTCAAACAAGTAAGGGCTGAACCAGTAGTTGGGTCGGTGACGACCAGCGAATCCTCAGTGTTGTATGTTTTTGACCTTTTTACCTTTTTCGAGTTTCATCCTAGCCTACCCCTAGCAACAACTATAAAAGAATATAAATACATATATACGCTATATAGATAATACTTAACTAGCTCCATTAGCTCTATATACGTATCTACATCGCCCCTCGCTCCCAATTCAATACAATATAGACTCAACTAACCTTCGAAGCTATCACATACGACCATACCTACTTGAAAATACGGGATCCCGTCCGCTCTCCCCGAGTCAAACAAGTAAGGGCCAGACTAGTAGTTGGGTCGGTGACGACCAGCGAATCCCTGGTGTTGTATGTTTTTGACTTTTTCCTCCGATCCACACCCCCCACCCAATCCCCACAGTCCCCGACAACACGGCACACACAACACACACATACGGAGGAGGGGGAGAGACAGAGGAGGAAAAGAAAGAGAACAAGAGAGGAGGAGCAGGAGGAGGGAGAGAGACAGACAGACACCCTCCCAGCCTCCTCCTCAACTCTCAAACGGCCACCCCCTCACAAACTCCCCCTCCGCAACCTCATCCCCCCCAAAACACTGCTCCGCCATCTCGTCCCGCACGTACGTCAGCAGCGCCCTGGTCTCCTCATACGCCTCATGTTCCACGAGGCCGTTCTCAGGCCACCGGTCGCCGAGCTGTGCCTTGGCCTGCACCACCAGCCCCGCGCCCCGGTCGGCCTCGTCCGTGGCACGCCGTATCCGCGCTGCCTCTTGTTCCGACAGCGTGACGGGGAAATCCGCGCCCGCGTCCGCCGGCCACGCATCGCGGAGGTCTAGTATAAGTACGGCGAGGTGCGCTTCGCCGGCCTCGTACGCGCGCCGCGCGGCCTGGAGGATGTGGCCCGCTGTGGTATCCTGGAACTTGATGGTGTGGTACTGCGCCGGGTTCCGGCTGCGCAAGAGGCCGCGCCAGGCGATCATCAGCGCGCGGTCGATGTATGCGGCGACCATGGCCGCTTTTTCTTCCTCGGGTACCCCGGTTGTGTCGAGCGGCGCGGGTTTGGAGAGGTCGTCGCCGATCTCCGGGCCGTCGTACTCAAGAAAGGAGGGGTCCATGGTATGGTCGAAGAGGGGGGCTGCTTGGGTGGAATGCCAGTCGATGATGGCGGTGATCTGGGTCGGCTCGGAGGGGTTGACGAAGATGTTCTCGGCGTGTAGGTCGTCGTGCCACAGCCGGCTAGGAAGTATGTCTTGAAGCTCTGCGTCGGATTCTTGCGGCAAAACGTGATCTAGAACTTGGAGATACGCCGCGAGGGCCGACAGCTTGTTTGAGGGCGAAGGCTGGTATAGACCAGGGCCTGTGAGCATGGCCCACTGTGGTACACGCTGGGGGAGATTATGCACTGCCGCTTGCTCCCTGACCCCGATGGCTCTGCGGTATTCCAATGCCGAACCCCCTGGTTTTGGGCCATGTTAGTAAAACGCGCAGTACATAATAGCTTGGTGTTCCAAACCGGCATCCGCGTTGGCTTACATGGGCCTCTATCACACTCCAACCCTTTTCGACCAGCATCGCACCAATCCCTTCCAACGGTTGGGCCAATGGCAAATTGTGTGCCCCCGATTGGGATTGACCGCCCGCTTGGAAGATCATTTGCATAGTAGAGCCCGCCATACCCCGGGAGAGGGTTGGCAAGCCAGGCATTCGTGAAGCGGAAAACTTGGCGAAGCAGCTTGGACTTGTCTGGGGCTCCCAGGCTATTCCAAACTCGGCCCAATGGTACGCCTTCTGCCTTCTCCATGATGATGTACTCGGCACCAACAGAATTAGTCTCGGAGTGAGAGTTCCAAGCCAAAACTTTAGGGGTTGGGGTTGAGAGAACGGTGCGCATCTATGAATTCGATCGGTTAAACGGTGCATAAAACGAGGGGAGCATCGGGATCTTGTGGGGTACCCACGAAGTCCATGGTGGCCACTTCACTAGCAGTGGTGTAATGGGGAAGGCCGGCGTTTGGATTCGGGACCTTTCCAATGACCTCCCGACCGTCATCCATACGGAATATGTAGGCTTTGTTGTAGAGGCCGTCGGGGCATTTTTGTACGTGCACGCAGCGGTCAGCGCCAATGGAGGCGGCGGCGGCCCGCGCCAGCCTACTCATGCTGAAGCGCACTGTGCGCTGGGCCATCTGGCGGTTCTCATCATACAGGAACCGGCCACGGGTGAAAGTAAACAAACCCTCATCGCTGTCCCAATCAGGTGTTGTATCTGCGTCACGAGTGTGAACCGGCGGTCCCAACACAGAACATGCTACCGGAGGATGACGTACTATTTACAGGCGTCGTCGTCGTCGTCGTGTAATGGCAGGCTAGAGGCAACTGAGTGGCCCTCGCCGAGTTGCAACATTTGGCGAATGGTGCCCTCAGCAGGCGGTGCATTGTTCTCTCGAGGGTTGTGAGAACGGCACGTGAACGGGGTCCTGCTGAATGATCCCCAACCCAACTCCCCAACTCTCCAATCCCCCACTTCTCAATTTTTGCGTGCCTGGCGTGCCTGGCCGCTCGCGTGGCACTCTTGATGGAAGTTGATCCATGTCGTCGAGAAGGAAGTCGCGGTCGCACCCACTGGGTTTAGCGCCTTTCCTGATCAAGACTACTCCCAAGGCGGATATAAGCGTGGCGATCAGGACCTGCCAAGCTCCAGCCTTGCTGCATGCAACACAATCGGGGCACCCAAGACTGGCGCAGCCCTCTCTTGCACTTTTCTTCCTAAACCGAATTTAGATTAGCAGCCCAGAGAGACTTCAGCTTGTCCAACGGTGCCCACCAAGCTTACTCCCATATCGGACGAGAGATGAACCGCCCAACCACCATTTTCCTCGGTGAGGCTCTGCTTTGGCGTGCCTTCAATTTAGGCGAATACCAAAAATATCGTTCGCGCCGCCCTGGCAGATGTGGCTGCCCACCCAATGTATACTAGACTATAACTACCTTATGTATGACCCTCAAATGAGAAGTTAACCCTCGTCGGTAACTTGGTCTCTTCCTCTTCGCCGATGCGTGCAGCGTCAGTGACCACTGATCAGTCCAACACTCCAACACAGCATCTACGGATTCCACACTCTACAAGATGCGATTCACGCCCATTATTGCAGCCGTGGTGGCCGGCCTTGTTGGCACCTGCATGTGCGAAGAAGTTGAAGTCGCGGGCTATTCGGACCTAGCCAGCGACTTGTCTGCGCCTCTGTCAGATATGAGCGATACGTCTCCAAACTTGATGAGGAACATCTTCAGTCGGCAGAGGCAGTGGTGCACCGCAGGGTCTCCCTACGTGATTTGCCCAACCCCGAGGACATGCTGCAACGCGAGAGACAACTGGTGGGTAGTTAATCTGAATCGGTCCCAAGTAGAGTCTGCCATATCTCAATACTAATCTATTTCTGTTTCTGCCGCGTCTAGTACACCGCGTGGGTGTTGCCCCAAAACTGCTCAGACGTGCGGCGGAAGACTCTGTACCGAGTCCGGTGCTATTTGCTGTGGGAATTCTGCCTGCAGGCCAGGCGCAAGCTGCAAGGTCTCTGCTGGAGGGCAAAGTGTCTGCTGCAGGAGTGCCACTGATGTAGCATGCAATGGCTTCTGTACGAGCACCCCGCCTGTCAACACGCTCCTAGGTATTGCTCTAACATGTACAAATCACCAGGCTGCCCAGCAGGCTCCACCTGCGTCGCGGGTGGGCTATGCCGGAGGACGCGGACATCCATCTCGAGAACGACGCGGACGTCGACGCGGACGTCAACCTCTCGGTCTACATCCACTTCTCGGTCCACTATAACGGCACGATCTACTATTACCCGCAGCGCAGCAACCACAGTCCGCTCTACGGTTGCTTCTACCAAAACAAGGACTACTGAAAAGTGCGGCCCAACTGGTTTATCTGGTAGGGCCACCGGTGGGTGGGACTATATCAAGGTACAGGGTGAGGCCAACTGCGTTCCGGTGCTCGACTTCTATTGCGTCGACGATCTGTTCGATCAGATGTGCACCAGTATGTGCCAAGGTATCCGCGACCAACGGAATATCAACCCCCAGAATGTTCTAAGCGACCGGGCCATTCTGTTGCACAGACGCATGGGACGGAACGAGGCAGCCGCCTGCCGAACTATGGGTTGCGCACGTAGGTCCCCCTACAAACCAGGTGTATTCATGACACCGCCTTCCCCGAGCTGGGCTGACCAATTTCATACAGAGCGCCGAACTTACAGCAATCTCTACCAACGATACTTTTCCATGCAATGCGACGAGTTCCCACCAGGTACGTTTGCCCAAGCATATCACACAGCTCTTTGAGACACTAACCCCCCCTCCAGCATCCTCCATGGAAGGCGGCGGCCCAACCGTGACCTGCATCTCCTGGTACCAAAACAACCTCGGCGGCGTCTTCCTCCGCCAGTTCTACGACGACCTGAACCTCCAACAAGGCCAGCCGTACATCATCCGCATGGACACGTGCAACTTCCCCAAGACCCCCGTCAGCTACCCTCAAGGCTCCGAGCCCCAGCCCCACCCCCGGCGCCAAGCCGACAACGGCGGCGAACAGACGACGGTCAAAGCCGCGCACGACCCCCTCTGGGTGCGCGACCCGCGCACCAAATCCGAGGGCTACATGCTCATGCCGCTGGAGGCGAGCGGGCCGGGTACCTACAACGCGACGCTGTCGCTGTCGAACCTGGACCGCCTGGAGGACGTGTCCATCCTGGACGGTGCGGGCGGTGTCGTGTGGAACAGTACGGGCGGCGCGCCGTTTGCCAACGGCCGGAGGAGTCTGCAGTATAAGGTCCAGGACGATACCCAGGACCTGTTTGTCGCGGCGGGTGCGGCTACGAGCGTGTCGGTGAGCGCGGCGTTTACGGCGACTAGTGTGCCGCGGGCTACGGCTTCGCCGTCGTCGGCGGTGAGGGGGAGAGGGGGGGTGGGTGTTGCGGGTCTGCTGGTTGGTGTTGTGGTTGGGGTTATGTGGGTTTGAGGGGGTTTCGAGAAGGGTATTTGTCGTTTTGAGATGAGTGGTTTAGAAGCCGTAGATTCTAGGATGTAAGTCTCCCAACAGAATTTTGTGCATGATAAGGCTACGGATTACTCGGTTTTCATGTTTGTAGAAAGCCAAACTTGATTATTACTAGTTGATCAGGGGTAAAGACTGTGTCCATCTGAGACAATGCAAAGAAACCGAGTCCGGGGAGAGATTGACTCTCCCAGTCCTCCCCAACATAGCCGCTACGAAGGGAGGTAATACTTGTCGGTGAAATACCACCCCACTTTGAAAATCGTCCGCGTGTATGTCAGCGACTGCCTGAGCGTGAGGGCGCCTGCTATGGTGTTGGGGTCCTTAGCGAAGAAAGTCTCAAACGTCTCGGTGGCCGTGGCGCCTAGCCGGATGCCAATGTCGAGCATCTGGTATAGGAAGACCAGGAACGACTTCTTCTTCTTCGCGTTCTTGAAGTACTCCTCACTCGAGATTCCGACCCGCAGGTACGAGTCGACGCAGGTCACCACGCAGCTGATTATGACATTGATCTGCTTGCTTAGCTGTTCGCTGAGGCGGTAGCTCTGTTGCTACCGAGGGCGCTCTCTCCGAGGGTGCTCCCTCCGAGGCCGGGCTGCCAAACTGACAGAACGGCAAAGCCAAGGATTTCGAGGTGGAGCTGTTCGAGACGGTCGTCAGCAGCATGTCGAGGAGCGAGAAACCGATTTTCTTACACCTGTAGTCGGGATAAACGAAGACGTTGATTTAAAAGCTCGATGACAACACCAAGGTCATAAAGATCCTTCGCGCGTACTGCTGGCGCAGACTTTGCCGCCTTGTCCTCTCCATGTGGACTGTCGTTATCCGTGATAATGAACAGCCTTCGGGAGCCAAAGTTTGCTGCGTTGGTGGTGAACACCTGATTGGCGCAGAAGAGCACATTGGCCATAGACGCAGGTTCCTTCATCGCCGGGACTAGCACTTCGTCTGTCTTCCCCTTCCTCCGCCAATTCCTTCAGGTTCTTGACGTCCTCAGCAGCGGGGACATTGATTTTGGCGGTCGGGAGGGAGGCAGGTCCGGCACTATGAACACCGTCAGTATGGAATGCTGTGGCCGATCAGCGAGGAGTCCTCATCGTACTGGTGGTGGTTTGTGTCTGTTTCCTTGTGTCTGGCAGAGATCTTGGCAGTGATTCTGTAACGGCAGCAGCATCGCAAGGTCAGAAAATCGTTGTGTGGCGAGGCTCGATGTGGTGGATAGGTAACTCAAGGGGGTTTGGGTTGTTCCTTGTGTTGGTATTCGGGATTGTGATGTCGAAGAGAGTTGACAAGTCGTGTTTTGGGGAAGTTGAGTGAGAGAAAACCTGTTGAGATGATTATTCAAAGCAGTGGTGGAAACGATGCTCTTCTGTCCTGGTTTCTTTCGTTCCTATTTCTTGTTTTCTTCCTATTTCCTCTTCCCTTCTAAAATACCTCCTCTTCCCTCCCTACTTCCTCTTTCCTTTGTTGGCTCCTTGGTGAAGCCAGACTTTCCCGGTTGCTTCGGAGTTCTTAAATTGCAACTATGCGCCAGCTCCCAGATTGCGAATCGGATTCTTTATTTGACAAACGCCATCAAAAAGAACATCGGCTCTGACATTGTTAAGTCCCTCTAGTCCAATACTAAACCCAATTGGATGGATCTTCTTTTTTTCTCGTTTCTTATCTCTTCCTCCGGCAGGTGCTGAGACGCGCAACGCATCTCGAGGCGCGTCGCGCAGGCTACAGCCCATACGCGAGACTTGACCGAAGCTATCCGCCCCCCATGCGGGGACCGCTGCCGAGACCAAGATGATCGTAAGTCGATGCTCTTTGGTGCTCAATCATGAAGTACATTGGCTAATGCCCGAGGTAGCGGCGCCGAGCCCGTAAACGCGCCCAGAGGCCGAAAAAGTCCAAGGCAAGGGCGGCCGAAGCCGCTGCTGCCTCTCGGGCCGCTAAGACCCCATCGTCCCATGCCGACACCACCGCCGCTCCGGCCACGGCGAGCGGGAAGCGTTCAAGGCGAAACGGAGACCACCCCGCCGACGCTTAGCCGCTGTTGCTGCTCGGGCCGCCGATGCCCCGGCCACCGCCGCCAAGACCCCCGTACCCCCGCCCCTTGCCGCCGACGCCGTCACGGCCACCACCACCCCGAAGCCACTCCGGCCGTGGCCTCCTCTCCCATCTCACAAGTGGTGGTGAAACAAGATGAAGTAAGTTCACTTTGCACCAAGGAACTTTAGGTAACTTGCTAACACGGCGCGCCAGATAAAGACAGAGGAGTAGTTGTGCCGCGTCCGCCGCCGCCACCAAGACCCCGTCTGCCGGCACCACCGCCAACCGCCGCCCCGGCCAGACAGCCCGCCCCTGGGTCGGGATAAGAACGATGTAAGTTCACGCTGCGCTGCAAACTTCCCTTGCTAACATAGCGCTGTGGAGGACCACCAATGATGAGTTCTTTTGGGGGGTGTCATCCTGGGTCGTGGTACGGTAGTAAAGACCACCCCTCCGACGTGGAACCGCCGCTGAGCGCGAAAGCCGTGACATGGAAGCCGCCACCGGGTGATCAAGAGGAGCAGGCCAAGGCTTGGTATGACGAACCCACCCGAGCTCGCAGTCGGTTACTCGAGACCGAGAATCTGCGCCTCAAGAAGCTCTTGCGAGAGCATGGTATCTCCTGGAACCCCTGGTGAGCTGGGAGGAACACATCGACCACCTCGATGCCTGCGGAGAGGTATCGGGTAACCTGATGGTGCACCTCACGTGGAAAAATGGGCACAAAACACAACATTCCACGAAAGTCATCTATCAAAGATGTCCACAGAAGGTATGTTAGACTATAGCAGGGCTGCTTTGACAAAAGCTTACCGGCAATGTTGCAGTTCTACGAGCAGCACGTAAGGATCATCAAACGAGTCTGACGCGGACTCGTTATAACGCCGGAGGTCCATGTCCCCGACGATTCGATTTCTTGCTCTTCGCACGCATTTTCCACACAGCAGGCCTGATTAAACAGCTACATCTTTTGGGCGGACTCGGTGTTGAGCTTCGCATTCCTCGGGAAAATATATCCAATTTCCCTTCAACGTTTGTATTGGTACCAGAGTGCAGGTTACATTTCGGATCTATGGATGCGAGTGAGTTCACCAAGCGGATGCTGACCCGGTATGGCCTCTTCTGTTTTTGTACGAAGTACGAATAGAGATAACTAATTTTGAATTCGTAGTTGATCCTTCAGTCGGCAAGGCGAGGAATCAATTCTCCGGGGGAAAATTCCCGCATTTCCGTCTCTTTTCAACGCGCGACACTGTTCCATGCGTTGGCCAGTCTGGTGGCCATGACGCACCCACAACGCCCCCTGGCAGCTTCCACGTTGCCAGATCCTCGAGCACGACCCCTGACCCGAGATTCCCCAGGCTAGAGACAGCCCGCCCGTGAGGGCCTTATCGACCGGCTGGTTGAATCTATGCCCCGTCGGCTGGCTGCAGTTCAGAAGGCTGGGGGTTGGTATACTACCTCACTATTGAAGCCCTGTTAAAGAGCTTCATTTTCCTGTATTTAGCATGCGAATTGCAGCAGTTTTGACCGAGTTGCGGGGAGTTGAATGTGGGTGGTGGTGGTGCGGGTGGGTGCCAAGATGGAAGTGTGAGAGTGTCAGCACGAAAAGCAAAGCTCTCTTCCCGGCGAAGTAGATGAGGAGCGAGCATAGAGGACATGAAAGACAGCGAGTTTTCAATCATGATCTATAACTTGGTGCATACATAAGGATCAGCCAAATGAAAACCGAACCGACGATCACCAGTGGATCGAAACCGACCCGTGTCACCGGCCGTTAGGGACCAGCACTATAGAAACTCTTTATGGTGCTCAGGATAGCATCACTAGAGCCGTGGGCAATGATGGGAGACAGCAGTCACGAGTTATTACGATATGAAGAGCGCAAATTGTTCAAATTGTTTTTTTTAAAAAAAAAAGAAAGCAAGCACACCCCCCAACACACCCTAACTAATCCATGATGATCTGTGGTACTATGTTAGTAGGAGGAGAGTTATAACGTGAAGTGAACTTACATCTTCTCCAGCCTTGCCCCGAAGGGCGGGAGGAAGAGAGGAGGCCCGAGGCTGGGCGGCGGCGGCGGCGGCGGCGGGGGTGGGGGGGGGAGTGGTGGCGGCGGTGGTGGCGGCGGTGGTGGCAGCGGCGGTGGTGGTAGCGGCGGGCGTGGTGGTGGTGGCGGTGGTGGTGGTGGTGGCCGGGGCGGCCGCGGCTTTCTCTGCCGCTTTCGCGGCGTTCTTTTTGGCCCGTTGGGCCACCTTCCTGGCCCGCCTGCGCTAGGTACCTCGAGTGTTAATTTACGGAGCAACAAATAGGTCGAGCAACATCTACTTACAGCCTGTTGGTTTTGTTTGGGCTGGGAGGCCCGGACAAAGGATGCGGCGGCGGCGGCGGCGGCGGCAGCGGCGGCGGCAACGCGGGGGGAGGCCCCGGCGACCGACACCAACCCGAACCGGGTGTTCGACACTATGCAACACTGTCAATATAATACACTCCAGCCGATCAGCAATGAGAGCTTATCCTACTCTTGATTTGGTTTGTCTGTTTCCTCGTTAGATAATGGCAAAACAAATACCGATCAGGATGTGGCAGACATACTTGACAGGGGCGAAGATCTGGTGCGATGATCTGTGTTTATAACAGTATCAGCAAAGTGAAAACAGGTAAATTCCGCAGCAAAGCTCAGGGTGGTGGTCGATGGACAGGTACCTACGAGGGTGATCTTGATGCGCGACAGAGAAAAAAAGAAAGGAAGAGAAGAGAAGGTGAAATTTTCGACAGTAGATATATTACCATGGCCCCACGATGAATTGTGCGCGTCCAACTTACTCGCGAGGGAAGGAGTTGTTCAGGCTCCCTAGGGAGGAGTGAACCTGGACTCCCGGAGTTCCGGCCGGACATGGAGTGAAGCAGGCACGGCCACGACATCGACTTCCGACTAGACGACGTCATTCTCAACAGGGCCGCCGCAAGTGATTCATGTCTGCTAAACTGTTGACGAGACTGTCTCTATCTACTGATATTGGAGGGCGGTAAAATGACTCGGTGGCCGAGTAAAGGGGGTCGTTTTCGGCTTGTACCGGTCCAGTGTCTCTGTTAGGTAGAACGGAACCAAGCCAGACTCACGCCATGCTTTAGGGGGGGTCTTCAGCATGGTCTTTATTTCTTTTTCCACACTTGCAGAAACGACCCCTTTTCGCGGTAGCTGTGACCACGGCCCTCTAGCCAGAGGGCTACTGCTACCTCCTTTTCGAAGTCGATCTTGCCGTTAAAGAATTTGATAACTTTGGCGTGCGTGTCGACGCCCCATGCCTGATGGGAGGGGTTTGTTTGTGTGCGAATTAAGAATGGGTAGGTGCGTACGGATCTAGAAGGCAACACCACCTCGGCGAAGGAGGGATCAATGGTATCTAGAAGGAATGATCCGGATGTTGCAGTGGTGGCCATGATGATTTTCCTCTAAGGAAGGGGGGATATAGAAGTAGGAAAGAACTACTCGGAGATGACGGCCGCAGTCATGGCAGATACTTTACCGTCCGAGTCTGCTTTATGCTGTGAAACATTTCCTCAGTGGACACTGCGAAAAAAAGAAAGCTGGAATTCGACTTCTTGACGCCCAAGACCATCCGTTCTCACAAAAGTCGAGACGATACCGGCCGTTTACAATGTACTCGGCACACACCATCGGAACCCGCAGTTCGCTGCCAAAGCCGGCCGAGCGCCGTACCACCGTCATCGACATTAGTGACGATGACGAAGATCACCAACCAACCTTTCCCGTCGGCCATATGGCGGACCCCGGCCTCCAGCTGGCCCCATTGACCGCCGTCTTCACCCGGCCAAACGCCCCATCACCGTTATCGAGCTGAGTGGTGACAAAAAAGAAACGACCCCCCGGCTTTCCCTGTCGGCCATCCGGCTCGACCCCTTGGGCTTCCAGCTAGCCCCATCGGCCACCCCCCTTGCCTGGCCAAACGCCCCGTCGCCGTTATTTCCCCGTCAGACATCCGTTTCGACCCCTTGGACCTCCAGCTGGCCCCATTGACCACCTTGTCACCCCGTCCTTCAAGGACAGCTGTGGCTGGAAGTTATTTGACCATCAGCTGAAGGTTGCCATGGCGTTTACATACGCTAGAGACTCGTTTGAGCAATCTTACAAGGACTAGATTACGAACCAAGGACACAGGAAGCTTTTCGGCCTTCTCAAGAAGAGTACCTGCCCATATATATGAGAGCACTGCGTGGAGGGCGGCAAGGCGTTCGACACCGAATTCCTCCGCAGCCTACCCAGCGAGTGTGAAGACAGCTCTCCTAGGTGTATTTTATCACCCTTTGGGACGATGACGGTACAGACTGGTGGCGAGACCAGGTCGGCCAGTCTGTTGACTTGTTTTTGGGGCGAAGGCGTCGGTGTTGGACGGGGGGAGGTTGACGGGCGAGACGGTGGGGTTGTGTATTGCGGGGGAGCCCGTGCCGGGGGATGCGCTGCTTGCGCAGGATCTGCGTGGGTTTCGCCCGGCGGCGGATGTTGTGGTGACGCATCTGCTGGCGGAGATTGGGTTGGTGTTTTCGGCGATGGATCACCTGAATCCGGCGGGTGGCATATTGGCGGGCCATCCGGAGCTGGTGGGCTCGGGGCTGTATCAAGTTCAGGGGCTGACGAAGGCTAAGGGTGAGGGGGGTGGATGGCGCGCTCATTAACCTGCCCAGTCCTCTGCAGAAGATCAAGGATGTTTTTGATGGTGGGCTGCTCGACTTTTGGACGATCGTCTCCAATATGCCCCCGAAAGAGGGCGATACGGTTCTCCAGTATCGGTTCCGGTGGATTGTGAGTACCAAACGTGGCTTCCTTTCCCTCTGGCACAACACTCCTTTCTTGTTTGTCGACATGAGTCGGTCCTGTATTCACGCGGACTGGTTGTTAACCCGGTTCTCCCTTCCATCAGGCATGGGGCATCGACACGTTGGCCAGAGTCGTCAAGCTTTTAAGCCCCAAGATTGGCCTCAGCGAAGAGCTAAGCAAGCAGATCAACGTCATAATCAGCTGCGTGGTGACCTGCGTCGACTCGTACCTACGGGTTAGAATCTCGAGGGAGGAGTACTTCAAGAACGCGAAGAAGAAGGTTAGCAACGGCCTCGATAACTTCTACCTGCAGAGCATCGCCATCGGCGACGCAACTTCACTCTTGCGCGTGTTCAACCTATCATAGGGGGTTCATGTTGATGACGGGGTTCTCCATGTTGGAGTTGGGGGCGTTGAGCGTCTTGACCGTATTATCCTTCTCGTTCCGGGGTATCACTGGACCGTATGGCGCCGATCCAGGCAAGAGCAAAGCTCACAGTTGCCCCCGCGAATGCTACTCGTTCAGATATATGATGATCGATGAGTAGTTTGAAGCTATGGTGGCTCTGGATGCCAGGGGAGGGAGGTGTCGACGGCAGGTGGGATTGGTGCGAGGAGGCGGCCTCGCGGGTGGCCCTAACGCTTCGCCTGGGTGGCATCATATCTCTAGCTGCAAGGATGACGATACAAACTGCCGTTACTAGATACACGATGGAAAATGGACGGAAGAGCCCTCCAGTCGTCTTCGTCTCTGTTTTGGTAACATTGAACATGTCAGCCACAACTCCGTGATGAAGAATGAGAGGAGAGCGGCTGCCGAGTTGGCCCACTTGGTCGAGCCGCCAACGGGAAAGGGCAATGGTCGAACAAGGAGGTGCGACTAAACTCATCATCGCATCTGCTCTAGGCAGATGAGACGAGACCATGTCACTAAATGAAGGGGAGCTTTGTGTTGCGCTATATCATCGGTCGACGTTCATGCTGTAAGCTGGACTCACCTGGCCCTCGTGCATGACCATGGGTGAGGAGGACGTAGTGGCAGGGGTGGGGGCAATGTCGGCGGCCCTGGCCTTGAGACTTTTCGTGTCCGGGTGGCGTTACGGACTTAAGTTTGCTCCGATGCCTCGGATGTTTATTCATAATCAAGTGCCAAAAAACATCGAGTACTTACAGCTTTGGTGCCGGACAACCCCAGTGCCACTCAAGGCAAGAGCGAACAAAACCGCAGCGGCTGCAGCCACATAGGGCGTTACCCCAGCGAGAGAAAATACGGACGCCGGCTAGTTATGCAAACTAAAAATACTAGAGAGTCGCCACATAACAATAGCAAGGCTCGGCGTGGTGAAGAAGGTAGATGATTTTGATGTTGTGAGATAAAAAAAGAGATCAGAAAGAAAAAAGAGATTAGAAAGGAGAACGAAAATCTCGACAGCCTAAAAGCATTCAATTATGGTCCCACAGTGCAATCAGGCGCGTGATGATGGTCGCCCTAGGTTGTTGCTAGGTAGGGATGGAAGGAGCGGTCAGGAAGGAAAGACAGAGTAGGAAGGAGCTACACAAACATCACGCTACAGCAGCGTTCTTATCGTTAGGTACCTAGTTAATCCAATTATTCTAGCCTAACCGTATATTGTGCCAGGCTATTTAGTAAGATAGGCAAGGTAGTTCTGATCCACAGGTAAGAACTGGCTGCGGGTGAAGGTAAACAATCTAACTCCCGTCCTATATGTATGGACGACTCCCCCGGTGTTATATCTGCAGCATAAGCGTGAGCTGACGGTTCCCGCATGGGCAGAATATGCTAGCGGAATACAACCTACTGCTACCTGGGCAGGTATGTACGGACCTTTCTGTTGTTGTGTAACGGCAAGCTCATTGTGCGGCCCTGAACAAGTTGCAACACTTGGAGAACTCAAAAGGTTGCCTTCGGCATCTCATTGTATTCACGGTTGTGCGTCTCCCGGCCCAAAGAGGTACGTGACTCTGCGACCCTTGAGATTCCTAAGTTATGGGTAGTCTGAGTACGAAGGGAAATCTATCTTGCGAATTCAGAGTCCTTAAACGCTGTATACAGACAGCTTTGGGCAAAGTAATCAGATAAATAGGAAAGCGTCACTGGAATTAGTGTAGCTAGGCCTTTTAATGAGCTCTGAGCTGAATATGTTACATGTAAACCTGGCGTAGATATGTAACCCTAGGTTATTTATATCTAGGAAAGATTTAGCTTTCGCTTAGTTTTACGTATAGAAGAGAGGTATATAATGAAAAACTCAACCCTAGATAACATATTCTAGAAAATAAATAAAGTTACTTGGTAACTATCCTGGTATACCTAGTTCTTTATAGTCTGCCTTCTCTTTAGAAAAGAATCCCAGGTTTGGTAAAAGGGGGTATGTTTCTCAAAAGGGGTAAAAACATAATTTTCGGTGTCTAGAGTAAACCTGATATACTCTATTAGCAAACGCCACTCTCAACAAATCAGCTAGCAGCTGTTCTACGGTCGGGTGGCGCAACGGTAGCGTGTGGTCCTCCTATCAAGCAGGATTCCAAGACTGAGGTTGTGGGTTCGAGTCCCACCTCGATCGACCGAAACTTTTGCTTCCTAAGGTTTCATTTTTTAGGATCACGAGCTTCGTCCTTGGCGTAGCAATGTATTTTTAACGTTAATATAATAATATAGTAAGATACTAGTACAACGAGCACTTATTCCACTAAAACAAAGTTCATTTTGACATTCTGGAATTTTCCTTTGTTTTTTTGATATTTTATTCTTTTTTTCCCCTTCGATTAGAGCTAACCTTTACTTCGAGCTACATTGTTATGTAAAGGGGCACTTGTCTATCCTGTCCTCTAAGCACGGTCCATTTGACTCCTGCCTCTGCTACCCCAAACTCGGGTCTTGAATTCAGATAACCATTCATTGTCCGAGGTTCATAAGTTTCTTTTATTCTTAGCCAATAGTATGCTTTCCTTAAGGGTTCACGGTGGATTTTTCATTGTTCCCGAGTCATAAAGTCATAAGCTACATAGGTAGGTAAGTATTTTAGACCGGCGGCACGTACCCTCTAACTCACTAGCACCGCCACGACCATATCTTATGGGGGCTGGAGACCTAGTCTCTCCTCGGCTCTTGACTATGTCCGCTTTCGCTTGCCTCAAACCCAATGCACATGGCCGTCGCGTACTCGCCGTCGTGGCTGATACTAACCTTAGCCATTTGGTCCCTGCTACTCTCCCCGTCCCCCCTGATTAAAGCCACAGGTGCGGAGGAGCCCAACTCAGTTAACGCTCTCTTCCCTGTCAACTCTTGGGCATCTGAAGATGGCAGAATGAGTATATCGTGGAACCCCAGCCTGAGATGCGGATGCGCCTTGAACGCCGCCTCTTTTGCCGCAAACCTAGAAACTCGCCCATTAGCAACCTAGGTACCTATGCACACTTACCCTCAGACGGTGAAACCCACCTCCCAGCCATATAAGTAGCTGCACGCCCAAACACCGCTGATTCCACACCCCCCACCTCCTTCCCAACATCGCTCACTTGCCGGTCACTCGAGCCAACCAGCCCGTCCCTCCCGCCTTCAACCGCCGCCTCCACCGCATCCCTCGTTCCTCCCGTGCCCACTTGCCCTCTTCCCCCCGTAACCCCGGCGCCCGGCTCGGATACGCGCCGCCCGTTAGACTGTGCCGCGGCCTCTAGCACGTGGCGGATGGCCGGCTTCGCGCGGGCCAGCTCCTCGGGGGCCAGCACGCGCCGGATGAAGCGCGAGCCCTGTTTGCTGCGCAGGATGTGTGCGATGCGCGCGACGCGGCAGATGTCGGTGCCGATGTGGAGGGGGTAGGGAAATGGAATTGGTGGCGGCATGGTGGTTGATGTGAGGTGGGTTGAGATGTTGATGGTGATCTTTGAGTTCAGGTTGGTGTGGTGCTGGCAGTGACCGGGGATATTGAAACCTGTGTTACAGGGTTAGGGGTGTTAACTGGAAAAACGCGGATTGAATGCGCGTGCGAATAACTACCCCACCGTAACGTTTGCAGCGACCTCGTTTAATTCCGCCCAGTTCAATACGGTCAATTACACCCAGCTCCATGCAGTCAATTGCACGTAGTGCGATACATTCATTTTAACGCAGTCATTTACACCTACTCCGATGGGTTTACCGAGTTCATCAGTTAGGTGATTAGGTTAGTTTAAGTTGTAAAGTTAGTTTCAGTTAGTTGAATACACTTAGTTTCGTTACCTCTGTACCCGAGATTAATACAGTGCCGGGTAACTTGCTGTCTAGTATACTCTAGTATACGAACATACAGTAATTTAATGTATGAACTAATCACAATAGTCTACATCGAACTACCTATCGGAGTAGGTGTAAATGACTGCGTTAAAATGAATGCATCGCACTACGTGCAATTGACTGCATGGAGCTGGGTGTAATTGACCGTATTGAACTGGGCGGAATTAAACGAGGTCGCTGCAAACGTTACGGTGGGGTATTCGCACGCGCATTCAATCCGCGTTTTTCCTCAAGCCTCTGTGGCGTCGTTGGGCTAACATCGAGATCAATTCCTCATCCATTCGCCCTTGAAACGGATCACAAACTCCGCAAAACATTCCTAGCTATAAACCACCACAAAGTTCCTGACCATTACCGGAAAATCACTTGCAGCCCGATTCTCGAAACCGTAAAACAAATCGCGCCAAACAGACCATCACCCACCTCCTGAGCAAGATTAAGTCCCGATTTCCCCGTTCACCAACATCAATATGCTCACCCGCAGCCCCCCCTCACTTCAATCCCCGTCACCTCTTTTCACCCGCCACCAACAGCCAAAAAATCCCCCCTCCAACGAAGTAGGCATTTACTCGGCCAGCAGCGGGGCGCGCTCGGCATCGGGCTCCCTCCGCTCGGCGGTGCCGCCCCACGGCACCTGCCTGCCGGTCCAGGCAGGCACGGCCACGACGACGGTCAGTAGAAAGAGCACGGCCATGATGGTGAAGGCAAAGATCCACTGCAGCGCCACGACCTGGCGGAAGAACTGCGCGACTCCCAGCGACGCCGACAGCACGCTGAGATTGAACCCCATGGTGTAGTCCTGTTTTCCCCGCGCCGCGGGCGGTTTGTCAGTCACTCTGTACTCCCCTCTGGCCGAAAAAGGGCGGGGTTAGGTTAGGTTAGGTTTGGTGGGCCGTACCTTGTACAAGACGATGAAGAAGCCGCCGTAGGCCAGGATGGACCACACGAAGATGTTGGCGAAGATGCGGGCGACGAGGCTGTTCTGGTGCGGCACCATGATGGCGCCGTTCCAGTACACGGCCACAAAAGTCCAGGCCAGCGGGCCCGACACGGCCGGCAGGTGGATGAAGCGCGCGTACGCGTTGTGCCGGAAGTACAGCGACGTCAGGTTCGCAAAGTTGACCAGCAGCAGCACCTCGCCCCACACAAAGTGCGACCGCACGAACAGCATCACGAAGCCGAAGTGCAGGAGGTTGTTGAGGATAAAATCTGGTGGTGGTGGGAAAGCTGGGTTAGGTCCTCTTTCTCTCTCTCGCTCTCTGTGTGTGTCTCTCTTTCTCTCTGGGACGGCTGGGAGGGGACGTACGGCTTCCCACAGCGCATGCTGCGTTGACCGACTCGGTCTTGGACGAGAAGAGGTGCGAGATGTACCCGAGCTGGAGAACGAAGAGGACGATCCTGTTTGAAGCCCGGTCAGCTTGGCGTGGTGAGAAGCGGGGGTAGAGAGACGGACCAGTAGATGGACGTGATGATAGGGTTGAGGGTGAAGCCCGAGTGGTGGTCGCGGTTCTGGTGCCAGATGGTCCCGCGATGGTGCTTGCCGTCGTGCGGCGGCTCGAAGGTATAGTAGACGGTGACGATGACCGACAGCAGCCAGCTGGCCAGCGTCAGGATCTTGTACCAGACGACCGAGCTCGCGCTATGCGAGTCCCGCTTGGCGAAAGGGTTCACTGAGATGGTGTTTAGCATGGCCGGTTGGGCAGTCCATCGCACTGGTGGTACCCACTTTGATGGAAGCGATCCATTTCTGCTGGTTCGCTGCGATTCCTCACTCGAGATGCTTGGGGTGGTTGCAGCTGGGGTGCAGAAGCGCGGGGATGGGGAGTTATGTAGGGGATAGGAGAGACGGGACGAACAAGGGCACCAACAGGGTACGCGTCCTACACAGTACCGAGTATGACCGTGTGGCTACTTTCTGAGCTTGGTGGTGGGGTGGCATGCAGGTTTTAAAGTTGACCTGCGTCTTGCCATTGACCCCAAAGTAGAGGCAAGGAAATGGCATTGATGTCGTTCAGCCGATTGGCTTGACTTTGCCGCGCATGTTTGGCTCATCCCACGGTTTGCCGCAGCAAACCGGGAGTTGAACGCTTGGGGATGGCACTGCGTCACTGCTCTGCTTTCCAAGTTGCTTTGGACATGCCAGGCGTCTATTGTATAGCACTATGCTACGTTATCAGCCCACTTGCTCCCAGTTCTCTCCAAACATTGCTTCCTCTCAACTTCGTCTTAGAGTAATGGTATGGAATGTTTTGAGTGCTTGCCAATGCTAACCTAGGTGCACTGGACATTGGAAATACCGCCTGGCGGCGTCGGATTGGGTGTTCCAACCATTGAGTGCGAGTTTGGGGAGCTCGGGGGAGCAACGCTGGAGGTGCGGGGAAGCACTCGCGCATGAGAGGGCGTTGTGATTGGCCACAGCTTGACGTCATCACTCCACGCGTTTGTCAAGGTGTGTGTGTGTGTGGCTTTTTGGTCATCGCGAACCTTGCGAGCTCCCGGCAAGCGCTCGTGCGAGTTTGGAGCGATCACTGCACCCTGCAGAGCTCGGATGCGCAGAGGCCGAGAGTTTGGCAGAGTGAATAGCAGATTGCCACAAGCACGATCGATTGGAAGGTGGCACGTGGCCGTGCGTGGATGAAGTGGCGGTGGTGGTGGCTTGTCAAGCTCCGTTCTTGCTCTTTCCTCTGCTGGTCACCTGCCTAATTTCAGCTGCAGGCCTTCTTTCCCATCACATCTCCAGGTGGTCCGCGGACCTTCTCGGTTCAGGCTGTTCCTCCCGCCTCTGGGTGCTTCTCCTTTCCCACCGAGACAGGCAGAACACCGAGTCCTCTCGGTATGGCGCTCTTCATGGAGGGGTTTCATCGTAACCCCTCTCCGAGGCCCATCGAGGCCACGCCGAAGCCAACACCTCCCCTCCACCCGTTTTACAAATTCGGACCGGCGCATGTGTTGTGCTTGCTGGAAGCAGGCAACAATCGACATCGCGGATCCCAATGCAGCCCAATGCAGGCCACGGTGAATTGGTGAATTGTCTTTCTTCGCCTCCCCTCTCTCACCATCTCGCTAACTAAAACCCGGTCACAGCCCTCCGGCCTTTTGTCCTCGATGAACAAACAAGGCGTCCAGCATCCAACTCATTTGGCTACACCGCCCCCCTACCGAAACCGTGGCCATCTCCTGTTCGCGAGCGTTGAGCCGTCGAGGTTCTTTTGCAGCGCTGCGCTTCCTCGCCTAACTGCTACCCAAGGAGCTTTCCACATCGGCCATCAGCAAGTGTGATGGCCCATTCTGCATGGTGGTGCGAATGTCGAGGCAGAAAATCCAGTTCAGCCGCTCGCCGCAGTCATCGCCAATAAGAGCCTCGACAACTTGCTGACCGCTCTCAAACTGCTGTTTTGTGGATCATGCCTGACCGAGGGACCTTTGACCGAGATGAGCGGCGACGCTGGCCTTTGTGATGTGAATTGCCCGCCTCGGCGTGCACTCTGATCTCTATTCCCGCTGACCCGCTCAGTTTCTGCTGGGCTTTCTGTGTCAACATCATGCAGAATCCTCTTGGCGCTCAGAATTCCATATGCCAAATTCGGAAACAACGCTGTGTGGGCTCCCTCACGGGCTTCTTTTTCGGTCCGCGACCTATGTCGAGGCATTGGGCCTCCAGAAGTCCACATCAGATGCCAGCACCTGGCCCAGATGGAAGAAACAGGTATAAAGGACATCATGTGTCTGTGTGTGCCGTGTTTGCTCCACGACATCCCCAACGGCAGACACAATGGCAAAGTTTGTTAATGGCCACCGGCCGAGCGCGCCCCGAATCTCCGATGACAGGTGGGAGAGCTTGAAGGGGATACTGCTCGAAAAGAGCCAAATCATGACATTCGGCGAACTCGAGATCTACATGGGGCGGGAATACAACTTCTTTGCAAAGTAAGCCCGTCAAACAAACTAGCACCATGCCGTCAGCTAACTCGCTTTAAAAGGAAGCGACAGTTGGGCCATCGCATACGGGGAGTCTGGGGCTTCAGGAAGTACAAACAGGGGTCTTCTAGAAGGCCTCCCGGAGACCCTGTATCTCGTAACCAGAGTCCACCCCCTCCTGCAGCCGTCCGCGAGCGGCTGGTTCGGGACGTTCCCAAGACAAAGCTTCCACCCATGCTGGCCACACCGGCCCTCGCCGCGCTCCCGGGCTCCTCTTCTTCCCAACCGGACTCGGAAGACGTCAAGACTCGGTATCTGTGCCTGGCGGACATCCTTGTTGCCTTCAGAGACTCACATCACGCCTTCGACATCAATGTTGCGCTATGGAAGGCCAGTCCTTCAAGCAGCCACACTCTCGCTTGCATCGGTACGGCTCAACATGAGACACAGCTCATAATGGATACTCGGGAGATGGCAAGGCGTGATGCTGAGCCGTTCCTCATGGACGGACGGTCCCCGTCCTGGGCTACGACGTTCATGGATCTTCTCAATGCTCACACATATGTCTGGGGCACTGGAAAGGAAAACGGACTCGGCCAGATTGCGAGAATCTTCAGCGACATTATCGGGGATGGGGTCGTCGATGGTCGCGAGCAGGACTGCCTCGTCGAACTGGCCCCGCGGGGGCCACATCTAGACGTTCCAGCGTATACTCTCCTCCGCGCCGCCCTGGAGTGGTATAACTCCGAGTCTCAGGATGATCGGATCGATGCCCCTTCCGTTCTAGGCCAGTTTATCGCCCAGCACCTGTCAGCCAGGCGTGGACCAGAGCAGATGGAGGCCGGCTCAAACCACGACATCAACTGCCTTCCCTTGTGCCTGGAGTGGTGCAGAGTTATCTTGGGTAGCAACCCCGACATTCTCCCCGAGATCCGTGGCACCGACGGCGACATCGTCACCGAAACCTTCGCCGTTCTGTGTCTCCTCTGGCGTCCCTTGTTAGGCAACGGTCCGCCTTCCTACAGAGCCGTCGCACACAGAAATACCACAGCGTCCTTAAATTGGGCAAGCACCGCCGAACAACAACTCGGCATTCGGCCCACTCAACTCCTGTGCACAGTAGTCTGCATGATCATGGCCGCCGCCATACAACAGCAGAATGTGCACGCTAGACAATCGCTCCCGGAAAGGGCCCTGGCCGGCGCCAACGCCCTCAGCGCCCTAGGACTCGAGGCCTTGCTTCACCGTTTTCTCAACCAAACCTGCGCCGATAACTGGCGTCTGAAACTCCAAACGGATGCGGAGCGGGGCTTCCCTATCTGGAGATATAGTGTGGATGCCCAGAACATGGAGCCTTTCCGTAGGTTTGCCGCGGAGTCTCTGGGGATTTACGACTTCCCTACGCTCGAGAACGGATCGTGTGTCTTGGACGAGCTCGCCTTGGCGGGCCCGGAGTTTTCTGAGGATGGTTTCTGACGACTGGTTCCCCTTCTTTTTTCTTGTTTCTCTCCTTTCTTCCTTCGCATCCACCCCCCCCCCCCCCCCCCCCCCCCCCCAAACAACCTTTCCAAGCCCCCCTCCTCATTATCTTTTTTCTTTCTTCTTTTTCCCTCTTCTCGTGCTTCTGCTTCTGCTTCTACTTTTGTTTTTATGTTATCTTCACAGGAGAGGATGTTGTGTCAGGCAGGACTTGGGCCGGTTCATCGAGGCCCACTCCTCGCCTTGAGCGAGGTAGCCGGGTATGATGCCGCCTTAAAGAGTTGGAAAGTGTTGTGTTAGTTCTCGGGGCGCCTATTCGAGGGTCCATATACAGGGGGCGTTGTAAGTCCTACCCCTCCCGGCGACTTTCAGATAGCCTTGCTGATTGAGCTATGGTGTCGTTTAGACTTGTCGGTGGGAGGACTTGGCGACTCAAACAACTACAGGCTTCAAAAACGCTGAAGGACAGCATGGGAACAGTCGGCATATATTCAGCGACGTCTTCCAAACCCCGAATCTATCGATAGATTTCTTTTATAGTCTCAATCCATCTCCAAGCTATCATTAACTCGTGCCCCAGTCCCTTCTTTGCGTGGCCTTCAACCCAGACCCGAGTGGAGTATGTCACCTCTTCTACTTTCTCCATGGAGTTGTGTCAGGCAAGAGAACCAGAGGCATTCCCTCGAATCGGTTCCACACGATCATCCTGCGCCCAGAGGAAAAGACCGAGGATGGTTAATCTCTCCAAGACCAAATCATGGCGAAAGAACTTGCAATTACTCCCAAGAGCTTTTTGAACACGCGCGTGCTTCATCCGTCGAGAAGGACTGGACAGTAACCCCTTTCACCATGACCCCGAACTCATCTCGCAATCGACACCCGAACCATCGCCCCTTTTCTCCCAGTACAGAAAACCCCGCCATGCAGGCGCTCCCGGCAATATCCCCTCTGCTCAAACGGAATCGGACCCTCACGGGTTCGTTCAAGAGTAACTAGCTCGCCGTCAAAAAACAGCCGCATCAGCGAGCAGCCCTGCGAGGCCGCGGCTCGGGGTACATGGCCGCCATTGAGCTGCCTCGGCATCCGAGTCGAGACCTTGTGCTTCCTCGACACCGTCTCCGCATCATCCTCCAGCTCGTGTTGGTTGAGCCCGACCCGATTGCCGCATCTGCTCAGTCTGACTAACACACGCGCCCCAAGCTTTGGGTCTAGATAGCTCTTGCTTCTCCCTTCTTGGTGGCCGTTGGTATGAAGGGCTGTGGCTTTTCGCTGATGATGTTTGTGCTCGGCCGTCGTTTATCGAGGCGGGGCCTGGTTGTTTTGCTGTTGGCCAGGCCCCTGACTCAGGGGCTGTCGAGGTGACATCGGTATTGTCTCGTCATCTCGAATTCCGGGAGTTCAGGGTGGCGTGCAAGTTATATCGTCATGTCGTCCGTAACCCCGTCTCTCCTGTTCACTCCGCCATGTCCCACATCCCCTTGTGACTATCCCTCCCCCCGCGTGACCTTGGGATGGATGGTGAGTTGCGACCGGCATTGAGATTCCCGGCAAGTGGAGTAACCTTTCACACGAAAAGAGGCAACCGTAGCAGAGAGGACGACGTTCGTTCTTATATGGCATTATACAAGCCCCAAATACAATCATTATACCACCCACCATCTGCTCCCGAGGCCTCCAGCAAACGCCGTCCCCAATCTACACAAGACAGCCGTGACCTTCACCCATCACGGCTCGCAACGGAAGGTTTAGCCAAATGCCCTCCCGTCGCCAGCAAGCAAGGCTACGGCCGCGGCTGTCTGGCGTTGAGGGCAGAGCCGCGCGGCGAGGTCAGGACCCCATTCAGGCTGCAAGGCTGACAACAAGCACACAACATCCAGCCTGGGGGTTCGACTATAGCAGGAGCTCCGAAGGCTGACGGTGGCAGGGAGTAGCTAGGTGTCTCGGGATTCCGAGGCCGGGCAGGCAAGCAGTCCTCTTCGTCACCCTAGCCGGCCCATGATCCCTACCCCAGCCGACGTCACAGAATGGGTCGAGCCTAAAGCCTCAAACACGAAGGCGACGGGGTACGGCCACGCTCGAGACGATAAAGAACGTCACGCCGCGCTGCTGTGGCGGTTGAGTCACTGAGACAAAGTCAGCTGACATTCAACTCCCCCCTGAGACGGCAAGAACAGACGAGTGGCAGTCGAGGAGATGTTTTGGATTGCCTCAGGTTACACCTAGCAACAGAAACCTGCAAAGCTCGAATCACGGAAGCCCAGTGGTTCTCAAGCACAACATTTACCCATCCAAGCCCGGCCTCCTCTAAACTGTACGATTCGGTCCAGTCCGTTCACCACCACCATTCCTTTCTTTTCCCCAAATTTCCACAACCATGCCTGTCCCTGCCGACGCCAGATGCCGGCAGCATCTGGATGCACATCGGATCAGATCGGACGGAGAGATCTCGCATTTGCATTGCTCGGGATCTGGCCTGCATCCACATCCGCGTGGGAAGGTAAGGATACATCCGGCAGCCGTTCATACGTCCCTTCCCCCTTCAACCTGTCTGTTATGGAAGGGGGACGGGGTGGGATTTGCACGCAGTGCCTGCCGTCCGGTCGTCCATCCCGTCGTTACAGCACCGGTCAATAAAGGGGGCCAGGGGGAGATCAAGAGGAACGGGAAGATAAAAGCAATGCGGAGAGAAAGAGATGCAGGTTCGAAAGATCCTCATACCGGTGCGACTCTGTCACAAAGCGGGAACCATGATCGCCCTCCTTTCGAGACCAGATCGGATGAGAAGTGCCGTTGCCTGTTCGGCGCTCTATGCGGGTTCTTCTCGAAGGCGGGAGGGAAGGAAGCCAGGTGGCAGATTGGATGTCGTCCGGTCTGCAGCCCGCCACGGTCAAAGGGGCCTTCCCTCCCCAAACCCTGCGACCCGGACTCACGGGAAGATGGTAGTACTGTGGCTGCGATTGGATCGGCAGACCACATCCAAAACACGGATGTGGTCTGGGCATGTCGTGTGTGGCTCACGACTCATGACCAAAAGCCTCACTTGATTTAGCAGCCGCTCGTCCCTGACCGGATAGGGGAACTATAGGGGCCAGGTGTGCTCATCGCTTGTGTGTTGTGGCGAGGAAAGCATCTCAAACGGCTGGATAAGGCGGCCAAAAGCCACCGCGAAGACCGGGAGGCGCACAAAAGCCTATGTAGATGTGGCCTCCCGTCAATAGACTCAAAACACAAGCGTGGCCGCAGGGGAGACGGGAAGAGAGTACTTCGTCCGTTTTCAGGTATGCACATACAACGCTCGGGTAAAAGGGCCCGAAGACAACAAAAGTTTCTGGGCCCAAACTTTGTTCTGCATTTCCCCAGACGAACCGCAAATCTGCAGGTACGGTTGGAGTCATAGCGGGCAGGATGCAGTCGCCCACGATACTTCGTATTGGGCAACAACTACGTGACCCAACTTCGCTACAAGAACGGTAAGCTTCTAGAAGCAATGCTCAGGGAGAGGAACAACGGGTATCCTAGTAGCTTCCCGCGTGTCCGTTATGCAGCGAAGAACTTCACAGGCAGAAGACTGGTCGACGTTTAGTCCTTGAAACGAGAAAGAAATAGTTTGACAGCTCTCTTTTCATGCATAGCTGATGGGACGAGAGAGCAGTTCGGACGAAGGCGAGAGTGAAGATGCGACCAGCCAACATGATAGGTTGACGGCAGAAGAGATGAACGCGGTTTGATCGCCAAACTTTCCCATGACGTTATCATTGTCTCCGAAAAGTCGTTGCGGGAGGGGTGTTGCGTTCCCGCTCACCATCTGTTGGCTGTGGGTTTCCCATTGTTTGTTCGCGGCAGCGGCAGCGGCAGCGCCTGCAGGGCACAGGGGGATTCAAAACACTGATTGTGTCAGCGCGGCCGGCAGCCAGCTCGGCTCCCGGCCCAGACGCGCTGCAACTCGAACTGCAGCCTTCCAATGACCGGTAAGTAGAGATGGGAACGCAACATTCTGCTCGCGGGAGTGCCACTGGGCCAACATTGACACTGCTCACAGCCCAAGGAGGGACCGCGACCCCGGTGTTGAGTCACCCCAGGACCGCAGACGACATTGAGGGCATCGAAACGAATGTATGGTGCGGACGTCGAAGGCAAACCTCACGAACTCTTTGAAGTGATAATGCTGGCTCCGATCGAGGATCGACTCGGGGAAATGCTTGCGAGGTTCTGAGTGAACAAATGTCAGGGGTCGTCCGCAAGGGGTTTGTTTTTCTTGGCGAGGAGAGAATTGGCATCTCTCGTTGCTGAGAAACCCAGCCAAAGGCGATTCTCAACCGGAAAAATGGTTGCGTTGCAAGTGTATCCTTCGAGTCCGATGTAAACTCTGACCCTCCAGGCGTCCCATACCAATGATTTGCTTCGTGAGACTCGGAATACCACCCACCTCTCTTCCCCGCAAACTCTCCGGCTTAAGCTTTGGAGATCTCACAAGTGCCGTTGACGCCGATAGGATGGAACTTGGAGCGGAGGGGACTGCTTTATTGAGCTCACGCCATGGTGTGTGGCGACAGAGGGCGTCGGACGAAAGTATTACCGACTTCGCTCTGAACTTGAGAGCGTACGTCAACGGCCAGCGGCACGCTGCCTTGGCGCCGGCCCCGGGCCTTTTCTGCTTCGTGATAGGCACGGATCGGGCTGAGGGCTCCTTTGAGTGATCGCGGACGATCTGACCTCGGCGCGTTGGACAGGGACTGGCCGGTTGTGTGGCGAGGATGGTCTTTTGCGAACAATTCCAAACCATGACAATTCCCATCTGCCGAAATGGCTTCCGACGTGCTCGCCCCGATTTCTCCTAGCCCAAACCAGGCGTTGCTTTGCAAGTTGGTCAACTAGCGCCGAGCGTCTCTCATCCATGCAGGACGACGGCGACGTCAAATATTGTCCGATAATGAAAGGCAATCTAGCAGCACACGCTAGTTTCGGTGATATCCAGAGCTGGTGTGTCAAGGAACCGGAATGGGCTCTTTCTCAGAGTTCAACAGTGTTTGCGAGCGAGCAACGGACGATTCAACCCATGCTCGGGCCGGTTGTGGCGGGAGCCTTCCGCCCCCTTCAACGGAAGAGGAAGCAGCAGGCGAAGGGTACGACAGCCACCCACGCCCCCCCGGCACGTGGTTCCAACATGCACGCCCAGACGCCTCTCCGCTCCCCCGACATGATCACCACGGGACTCGAGGGCGCTGGCTTCAACCATCCCCATTGGCAATTCGTTTAACGGCTTCATGGTCGACCCATTCTTGTCGAGAACGGGTAGATCCTTGCCTGTTGGAGATAGATGATGCTGCGGGTGCTGCCACGGTGTGTCTTTGTATATGAGGTTGCATCATGTCGTTGACTGTTGACCAGGTTCCCATCACACCGCACCAGTACCTGCTTGACACCTGCAGGTCAGGGACCATTGCGAGTTCCGCGACGTGGAATGATCGTCATCTGCCGTTCGCACCCCAGACCCAGCTGGCCAAAACAGTAACCCCGGAACCATGAGGAGCCGCAGAGGACGTTGCGCGATTGCCCCCAAGATCGGCACAAATGGAAGAGAGCTACGACATAGTCTAGCATAGCGAGCATACATCGTTAGCGTCGACATAGCCGAAGCTTTCGGTCTCCCCGAAGACTTGGCCGCGAAGGTGGAGTGGGTTGAAGGTCAAAGCCCACGGTGTTGTTGACAGCAATGCCGGGGTTTTGGCATGGGGTGTGTGAGTTGCGGGGAGCATCTGTTCACCATGCTAGGAAGGTGAATCGTTGGTGCAAATGATCTCGTCTCGCATCCTAAGTGCTTGAGTCGACGCCTCGCTTTTTTTTTTGGTTCGTGTGGGGCCGGCCCGTTGGCGCTGAAGTGACGGTGGAAAAGCGGTCCCCGTCCCGGAGAATACTGCGGGGTGTGTGAGGAATAATATATTGCCCCCCTGGATCGAGAAACTCAGTTGCGCCTCGGGGACAGGCACTTGGATGCAGGTCTCACCCCAAAGAGACGTGAGGTCTGGCGGGCAATCTACAATGCCATATTGCCCCCATGTGGCAGGGGGTGACGGCAGGTTTCTCGCTCCTCGCGGATTGGCAGAGGCCAGTCTTGATGTCGTCTGCTTCGGCGGAGGGCAGTGGGGTACAGGTACAGCGGAGAGTTTTGGTCGGCAGCTGCCGATGGTTCCTTGTCGACCAATTGCTCGCGCTCTCACAGAAGCTTCGAAGGTTGAAGAGCCACCGTTCATTAGTCGCATCATTTCCTCTTCTAGGCTAGGCCGGGAAACAATGCGCTTGCTGAAGTTTCATCGGACGGGAACCCTGGCGCCGAACAACGATCGAAACCTTCTGGAAAGGTGACGGAACGCGTATCCCTGCCGGATGGAAGACACGGAGGAACGGATGTGTGGGCTTGCAGCTGAGCTGATGAGCAGGCTCATGGGCGACGTGATCGGCGGGCGAGAATCCTTTGGCGGGGTTGAGGCACGCTGTCCGGGTTGAGGCACGCTGTCGAGGAACACGTTGGTCTCCTCGTCCATGCGCCAAAGCCACGCTCTGCTGCGCAATCAAGTCAACACGACCATCGGGAGGGTGGTGATCCGTGGATGTCGAACAGTGCCTCCAGTTTCTCGTTGATGTGATGCAAGTTGACTGCTGACAGCGAGAGGTTCGAGAGGTCAGAGAGCCGCGGCAATCTCCACGCCCAGGTCAGCCCAAAGGCGGACGGGGTTTCGGGGAACGACTCCAGCCATGGGTCCTCGGTGAGGGCGTTCATTGGACACGTGCTTGTGGACCACCGAGGCTCGCGCATGGGGGGACAGGGGCACTGGCGAATCAGAGGCGCAGTGGTACCCTCAACGGGTGCGCGCGATCTTGCTTGCATGTGGAGTTTCGGACCGTCGGCCGTTGAGGGATTACGCTACGACGGCCAGGGTGACGGCAACCCCAGTTCCGCCAAGATGCCGAAGAGATCTGGTGGCGCCGAAATGGCGTCGAGGGCGAAACGTCCGTCTTGCTTGAACCGGGCAGAAACGAGCTAAGTCGTTGATAGCAAGTCTGAAGGCGCTGGGAAGAGTCCCTACATGGTCGAGTCACCAAGTTATGAGCGGCGGCAGCAGCAGTTAGGTTGTTCGGGCCAGTACACCGAGCGGTGAGATGAAGCCTGGGGTATCCCGAGCTGGGGAGTGGGGAGCGTGGACCCGGCCAGGCTGGATTCGTGTCACCCCGAGCGGCACTTGTGGAGGAGGGTTCCCGCGCCGTGTGTTCCGCCGGTACCAGCCATCCATGGTAACCACTGTGCAGTCAGTGTGGCAGCAACTGCAGCTTCCAGGAAGCCCGGAGGTCCCCAATCACGGCCGCAGAGGACAACAACCCAGCCTCTGAACCACGGAATGGGGTTGGAGGGAAACGGGAGTTGCAGAGTTTATACTTTGACAAACAAATACAAGCCAACGCAAGGGGTTGTGGAGCATGTGTGTTGGCGTTCTTCGGGAGAGGAGCCGAGGAGTCAACGCCACCGCTCGCTCCCGAACGACACTGGACCGCTTGCGAGCCGATTTCGCGGCGCTGCTTGCGATTATTTGCTCGCGAATCCAGAGCAAAGGTTGATTCGATTCCAAAAACAAGTCCCGATCCGAAAGCCGAGCTTGCATCGGAGGATAGCCACCGTGTTGACAGATGACACTGCATTGTGCGAGGCTTGAGTTCCAGGTTGCAGATGCAGCCGCACAGATCAAGACCCTGCGTGATTGGTTCAGGAAGTCGAATTTGTTTCAAGTCAGACCTCGCGTCAACTTCTCAGCGCTGAAGGAGGGCGAATTCTTCCGATGTTCACCACCCTCTTCGCCGCTTTCTCGGCCGATATTTGACGACATAAGGCTCCTCGATATTGGCCTGCCGCGTGCGAACCAAAGTTGAGGTCAAGCCACCGATGACAAGTCCAACGGGTCTGCAAATTGAGGAACGGACGTTTTCTCCGAACAGACCGATGTGTGAGTGTTGAAAAGAGCTGAATCGAAGCAGTCACCTTGTCATGTGGCTCTGTACTGTGTAGTTAGTGCTTTGCCAGTCGAATGGGTTTGCTGGTTGCCCAATGCAATGGAGATTGCGCGGGGCGAATTGCCACCGGGGTTTCCTCGTGACTCGGCTGGGGAGGCAGGCACGCAGGTTGCTCCTGCCTCTTCTGCCTTCAGAGCCATGGAACTAACGGAAGTTCCGATGAACTGTTGGGCCCTGAACGGCTCAGATCCATTGGGCTGATCGAGTCGTGATTTCCATCCTTGCTAGGGAGACTGCGCGTACACAGTACTTGCCTCTTGCCAGCGCGTGGCACTTGGAGAAATTAGGTGAATTGGAAAATTGGGGAAACTGAGCTCCTTCCACATGACTCTGCAAAGTTGATGATGCAAAAAAAATTCGATGCAAGAACCCCCCACTGCCAAAGAGGGACCGGCTTGGCGGAAACCCACACACATCATGCCCCTGCTGCCATCTGCCGTTCTCCGTCGACACGTCCGGTGCTGGGCGTGCAAGGTAGCCGGCGGCATTGCTAAAGGTTTTGAACCACGCCGGTAGGTCGGCAACATTGTTCGATCAGACAATGGAAGAATGTGGGACTGAAACCTCAACCACCGCCTCCACAGATCGTCCTCGCACACCCTGTTTTGGGACTTCGATTACCCCAACCCCCGAGGCACTCGGCAAGACACGACTCCAACAAACATGGAAGCTTCGCTTGCTGCTTCCGTCCCCAGACGCATCCTAGCAAGCACATATGTACTGTGTCTGCCGCTACAAAGGAATAACAGGCGTCTTATAGCACGGCGGATCGGGATGGTCGCGGCCATCTGCGTTGCGGGTTCCATCTGCCCAGAAACAGGAGACCAACGGCAAGCCGAACTGACAGGGGGCTCGACATTGTCGACATGCACAACGGTGCAGCTCCATCGCGCCTCCGCGCCTCGACTGCCCCAGCAGTTGTCCCGATGCAGGAGTTGATGGGCGGCGACTGGCAGTGAGGGATGCCCAGCTGATCCGGTTTGGCCCCGATGCTCCAACCCCAGCTTTTCTGCTCTCCAGCCGGCGACAAGCACCCCGCCAGAACCATGCCTGACTCCATGGGGTGATGGGGCCCCCCTTCTCCGCTGACGCTCGCGCTGGCTGGACAGCCTGTGACAGCGCTGTGAAGCCCACTCACTCCCTGGTTATCGACAGGGATGGCACAGTTCACGACCGCAAGCAACCGAACGCGCCATGGCTTCTCCGCTGCTTCTGGCGCGCTCCATGGCTCGGCCCAATTTGTCACTCTTTCTGAGAGTGCGACCGCATAGCATGCACCAAGCAATGAAGCGCACCATTTAAAGTGGAACGTTATTTGAGGAGCCCCAGAGCGCGCCAGCACCCGGGAGTGCCAGGGCAGAGAAGCGTCGTGAGCGCTGTGCTGCCTCTGTCAAGGAAGTCCGAATGCGCTTTGATGTTAGTGAACTCGGAGACTGGGGCTCTCTCTGGCAGTGCCACCACGACCGAGAGCCGGTGGAGTTGCAGCTTCTCCACCATGACCGTACCCTCAACCCCTGCCAGAGGGGCAACCCTTGTCTGATGGTGGTGTTCGAAAGCTTGCTGGAGGGGACAGAAAGAGGCCCATATATCCTCAGCAGGCCCTTCTGACGAGGCGGCTTCCCCAGAAATCCGCTGTCAACTCCTCTCCCATCAGCGCTACCCGCCCCGCGCTCACCCACCACGCTCCCCTCCCCCATAAACGCCTCCCGTCCCGCCGACTTATATTGCCCTCGCAATATAAACTTGATACTCGATATTGTGCTGGACCAAAAACCGTCTCCCCCTGTCGCCAATCGCATCCAGTCTCGCCCGCAAGCTTTCTCGCGCCTCTCCTGCTGTGCATGCCCGCCAAGCCGACAGCCAGGTTCGCAGAGAGTACCCCCCGAGGCAGGAACAGCGCCAGAAATTGACCGGTTCGCTCACTTGTTCGAAACGGGTATCCCTTGGCCCTTTTGGTGCTTCTCGCCCCCTCCGGCCCCTCTCGAGCAATATACGGCACATCGCTCTGAGGCTGAGACTGAGGAAGCAGCACCTCATCGACGACGGGCAACCCGGGCGTTCAGGGAAACGTTCCTCAGGTTCTACGGTTTTAGGGGTTCGGAAAGGTGTTAAGAAACGGCCGACCCGGCCTTGTCTGGCACCGCAGACGGCCAAGCCGTTTTTGCCCTCGATTTGTCTCCGGTATGTTGGTGATCCCATCTTCCCTGCCCTCCACGTTCTGGTACTCGGCCAGGCTCGTTTCCCTCCCGCGTTCCCCTGCCGGTTGGTCCGTTGTCCATCCAGGCACGCCCCCCCCTTCCCCAAACCCCGCCATCCGGTGCTGCATCCATCGTGCAGCAGGCCGTGCCGCCCTCGCTCACATCCGCGCGGATCACCGTCCACTGTTTTGGTGTCTGTCAATGCTATCTATCCTAGCACACTCATCAATGCTCATGCCTGTCACTGACCTTACCCCAGAGGGAAGCTCACTTCGGTCCGTCCGACTGCCGTTCTCCAATTCTGGGCCCGGCAACCCACCAGCAGAGCGGGTCGATTATAGATATCCCCCACCTCCCCATCGTCGCCGTCGACGGGCTCCCACCTGTCGTCCCCGCTCTTCGACCCAGACGCACCATCGCTTCAACCAACTGCCCGCACTCGCTCGAAGCCGGCCGTCTCCACATGTTCTAATTCACGGTCTTGACGACCTCGCTAGTAGCTAATTATACCCCGCCACCCTTCCTCAACGACCACGTCTATCTCCAGTCAAGATGTTGTCGAACCCGCTGCACCGTTTCTCCCCCTACCACATCCCGTCGAACACGCTCATGTCCAACGGCCACGTCCCGGCCGGCCACCTTCACGCAGCCGGACTCGACTCACTCGCTCCCGGCTCTCACTACGCACTTCAGCAGCTCCAGCAACACGTCGGCGTCCACAACCCTCACCTCGCCCGGGCTGGGCCTCAACCAAAGCACAGGCAACATCCGTACGGGCCCGCCGCTAGAGCTGCCGGGGCAGCTGGGCCGATTCGGAGGAGGATCAGCAGAGCATGCGATCAGTGTAACCAACTAAGGACGAAATGCGATGGCCAACATCCCTGTGCCCATTGCATTGGTGAGACCAGATCTCGTTCTCCCGGAACATCGGCACCTTCTAACTTTCAGTAGAGTTTCAATTGGGCTGCGAGTACATCCGCGAACGCAAGAAGCGCGGCAAGGCGTCTCGGAAAGACCTGGCCCAACAAGCCGCCGCTCAAGCCGCCGCCGCCGCAGGCCAGAATGGCCAAAAGTCCGAGAACACGGCAAGCGAGAATGGCCAGTCCGCAGAGAGCCGGAGCGACACACCAAGCAGCACCAAGCCAATCCTGACTTTGAACACTGATCAGCCATCAGCCTCAGACAAGAGCATGACCGACATGTCGGAGGACCAGCTACGGGGGCAGAGGACAGGAAGCATCGAGACCTTGGGCGACATGAGTGCCCATCCGGGGCACATGACGAGCCACCCCGGCGCTCTCGACAGAGACCATCTCGACAGCCCGGCAGCGCTGGACCTCAACGGATACGGGTCCGTCCATCCGGCATACGAGCGCCAGATGAGCGCGCACATGATGAACGGTCCGCCACATGGATCCTACGGCCCCAACCAGGGAAACATGTCCAGCTACCCCGATCTGCCGTATGCTCTCCAAACACAGAGCCCGACCGGCTACTCCGCAAATGCCGCCAATGGTTTCCGCCTCGCGAACAGCCCGCTCAGCGCTTATCCGATGGGCGGAGAGCCAGCATCCCCGGGTGGGTGGATGAACATGTCGTCCCCGCCGCCGCAATTCGCTTCGCACGTCCCGCAGAACGGCTACAACCACTCGCACCTCCGCTATCCCGTGTTGGAGCCGTTGATCCCGCACCTGGGCAACATCATCCCGCTTCCTCTTGCCTGCGATCTCATTGACCTCTATTTCGCGAGCTCGTCGTCGGCCCAGATGCACCCCATGTCCCCCTACGTCCTAGGATTCGTCTTCCGAAAGCGGTCGTTCCTGCACCCGAGCAAGCCCCGCCAGTGCCAGCCGGCACTCCTGGCGAGCATGCTGTGGGTTGCTGCGCAGACAAGCGATGCTCCGTTCTTGACGAGCGTCCCTTCGGCGCGTGGCAAGATCTGCCAGAAGCTTCTAGAACTGACTGTTAGCCTCCTCAAACCGCTCATTCACACACCCTCGGAAGAGGCGTCGCCTGTTTCGAGCCCCATCGTCGATGGTGTTGCTCTGGGCGGCCTTGGCGTCGCGCTCCCCGGATCCATCAGCATGGAAGCACTCACTAGCGAATCCGGCGCTTTCGGTGCGGCCGGTACTCTCGACGACGTCATCACCTACATCCACTTGGCGACAGTTGTTTCCGCGAGTGAGTACAAGGGAGCGAGCCTGCGATGGTGGAACGCCGCATGGTCGCTCGCCCGCGAGCTCAAGCTGGGCCGCGAACTACCTCAGAATGCGCCAGCAAGCCGCCAGGGCGGCTCGGCGGATATCGATGACGAGAACAATGGCTCCGAGATGGGCATTCCCGGCGTCATCACTGAGGAAGAACGCGAGGAGAGGCGACGTATTTGGTGGCTAGTCTACATCGTCGACCGCCATCTTGCGCTCTGCTACAATCGCCCGCTTTTCCTCCTCGATATCGAATGCGAGGGCCTCTTCCAACCCATGGACGACACCGACTACCAGAACGGCAACTTCCATGCCTACACAGACCCGAATGTTCTCGCCTCGGACCCCGAGGCTGGCCAGAACCGGGCGCGCGGGCCTTCGTTCGTGTGTACCGGCCACAGCATCTTTGGCTATTTCCTGCCCCTGATGACTATTCTCGGCGAGATCGTGGACCTCAACCACGCGAGGAACCATCCTCGCTTCGGTGTCGGGTTCCGCTCGTCTCGCGAGTGGGATGACCAGACGTCCGAAATCACCCGCCACTTGGATATGTACGAGCAGAGCCTGAAGAAGTTTGAGCAGCGACACCTCAGCCTCAACGCGCAAGCGCAGGCTGCCGACGAGAAGGCTGCCGAGGCAGCGGGTGTCCCAACAGCAAACGACCTACCCGGCACTCCTTCAGGACACAGCGTCCACAGCGCCCACACCAGCTCGAGCCGCATGACCGAGAGCGACATCCAGACGCGCATCGTCATGGCGTACGGCACGCATGTCATGCACGTGCTGCACATCCTCCTCACCGGCAAGTGGGACCCCATCAATCTCCTCGACGACAACGACCTCTGGATCAGCAGCCAGGGCTTCATCACGGCGACGGGACACGCGGTCAGCGCTGCCGAGGCCATCAGCAACATCCTCGAGTACGACCCCGGCCTCGAGTTCATGCCCTTCTTCTTTGGCATCTATCTACTCCAGGGCTCGTTCCTGCTGCTCCTCATTGCCGACAAACTACAGCTAGAGGCCTCGCCCAGCGTGGTCAAGGCGTGCGAGACCATCATCCGGGCGCACGAGGCGTGTGTGGTGACGCTCAACACCGAGTATCAGGTAGGCTCTTTTCCCTTACGCAAAAAAAACACATGATTTGTTAGATGCTAACCCTTCATCGCAGCGCAACTTCAGCAGAGTCATGCGCAGCGCTCTCGCTCAGGTACGCGGTCGCGTGCCCGAGGACCTCGGTGAGCAGCACCAGCGCCGGAGGGAACTCCTGGCGCTGTACAGGTGGACTGGCGATGGGACTGGCCTGGCACTTTGAAGTGGCTGGCTAGATTCCTCTTCCTCTTCCTACTCCTTGGCGCGAATTCTGTTTTTATTCTCCTTGCCCCCTCCCCCCCCTTTTTACACCTCTGCCGTGCACGGCGGGTCAGCCGGCCGGTGTTCCAATTTTGTTTTCCTCGGGCGGGTTTTGCTTTTATGGCTGGCGTTCAATGGCCTGCTTTTTTACTCTGGGGAGGGTGTTCACAACGGTTTCCAAAACCAAAAGGCAAAGGGGCGGGCTCTGGCGGATGGGGTTTCCTGGCAGGCGGTTTTGGGGTTCCTTATTACAGGAGAGTTTGGCGGGATGGGCGGACTATGCGAGGGCGAAGATGACTTCTGATGCCTCTACAACGACGGAACGGACGACACTGGGCCCCTGATTAAGCTTGGTTATGCGGGAGGTGTCGAAATACCTGGGGGATATGTTTTTATACGCCGTTGGCGATGAGAGGTGGCGTGCGGGTGCTGGTTGTGTCTTTCGGATACCTCTGTTTTGGTCTTTCAGGTCCAGTTCCTTGCGTCGTTGTCTATTGTTGGCTGGGATTGTCTACGGACTCTTGGATTGCGAACAATACTGTGTAGATATTGTGTTTATGTATACCGATGATTCATATGGAATGGGTATAAAACTTGGAGTTTCCATTATTATTACCGTACCGAGACCGACCGTCTAGACTATCTATGTTCCCTTGGTCCTTGCTTCCTTAGGGTAACCATCCTGTGTCATCGTGTTCTTATCCCCGCTGACGAGCGGACTGTCTGTGGCTGGGGCGGTGGTGCCGGCAGACGGGGTCTTGGTAGCGGCGGCGGACGCAGCACAACTACTTCTCTATCTTTATCTAGAGCGCCGTGTTAAGAAGTTTCCTAGGGTTCCTTAGTTTAAAGTGAACTTACTTCATCTTGTTTCACCACCACTTGTGAGATGGGACAGGCGACGGCCGGAGCGGCGTCGGCGGCGGGGGGCGGGGGTACGGGGGTCTGGTTCTGAGTGGCGGCGGCGGAGGCCCGAGTCGCAGCGGCTTCGGCCGCTCTTTTCTTCGCCCTTCGGGCGGCTTTACGTGCCTTCCGTCGCTAGGTAGGTAGGTACCTCCAGCATTAATATATGAAAATACACCAAAAATAAAAATAAAATACGAAGAGGCTTACCGCTTTCGTCGTCGAACCGGTGCCATTTAAGGCACGGACGTATGCTTCAACGGCCGCCGCCGCCGCCGCCGCCGCTACGCGGGGCGTCAACCCCTCGAGCGAAATTATGGAAGGAGGTAAGGAGGGAGGTAAGGCCGGCACTGTAAAACACCATCAGCATGGCATGCCACGGCCGACTAGCGAGGAGTGCTCGTCGTACTTGTGATGGTTTGGATCTGTTTCTCATCAGCTAACGGTAAAACAAATACTGATTAGGATAGCAGCCACACGAGAGAACATACAGATCTTGAACACGCAGAAATCTGGAACACGTAGACTTTGGCGTGGATGGTGCGTGCCTGTAACGGCAGTAGCATAGCAAGGTTAGAAAATCGTTGTGTGGCGAGGCTCGGCGTGATGGGTAGGTACCTACGAGGGTGATCTTGATGGGCGGCAAAGAAGAAAAGGAAGAGAGGGGAGGGTGGGTTTTGACAGGCCGAATATAATATATTGCCAAAGCCCACAATGGAATGAGTGCCCTAGTTATTAACGAGGGAAAGAGCAATCGAGGTTAAACACGGATGACGTTGACATGGTCTCCGTGCCTACCCCATGTTTCTCCCAAATGCCCACTGGGCTTCGATTCGAACGAACTCTAGGGTACAGGTTTCAATGACTGTGGGTGAGCTGCTCTTTCCCTCAATTCTTATCTTCCGGCAGTCTTCGTATTGCTCAAATCACAAAAATGAAACCATCCAAGGGATGAGTGAGGAAATAGGCAGGAACTACAGATCACCCAGGCGTGGTGAGTGCAGGCGCGGCAGAGATTTATCTATTCAGGCGTCGAGGGCAGTGCATGGGACGCCATGACGTTCTTTCTAAATGTGATGGCCATGGATATTGATTGCCCTGTAGCCCCAGAGGCCGTGATCTGTCAGTATAACATCACAGCTAACACAAGGACTCGGTTGGCTAACATGGAAGCAAGAAGATTTCCCTTGAGCGGTCAATTAGAAGCCGCTGAAAGGGAAAATGAGAGACCAGTTTGCCAGGGTGCCTCGTAGGAGGCCAAATGTCCATGTGATATGTGTCTTGATTCAATGCTGTGGTCCGTCATACCCTGAACCACCACTGTCGCCATCGACATCACGAAGCTTCAACTGGAAGGGCACATGAAGCGGCTCCATACCCGACTGTCCATCGACATATTCAAAACAAATATCCAACTTGCTCTATTTTACACCGACTACTGACAATCGGGGTACTATGTGGCAGCTGGATATAATGAGAAGAATAGGAGTTATCTATCAAACTAAAAATATTGTCAAAAAGAAGGGCTTGGTCGTGTGAAGACTCATCTCGATCCACCCAGGGGTCGAACCTGGAACCTCCTGATCACTCGATTGAATCCTCCCTCGATATCCCAGAGGACGAGGGAGTCGTACATCAGTCGTAGTCAGACGCTCTGCCATTGAGCCAGCGGACCTTGTTGGAATTTGTTGGAGGCCAAGGCTTGGTTTGCGGCTTTTCTTTGAGAGAATGGAGAGCGAGTGGAGTTGGGAACTCTATCATTGGATCAAACAGTTCGGGGACGAGGGAATTCGCTGCAGGTTGTGGACTTTGGCTGGGTCGAGTTGTGGAGTGGGACGAAAAGGTTTGATATGCAGGATCCACACAGGATATGTGTGACTTTTGCGAGAATGGGGCTTGCGTCCTGGCCAGCAACGGGCGAAGTGTCAGGGGGGGGGGGGGCGTTTTCTGTGGTATTCTCTCCTTGTTTTGTATATAAGGAGCTCAGGTGATGGAGAGAAGACGAAAGGAGCAGCACCCCCCCAGATCCAGGCATATTGCATGTGGCTATCCTGTTTTCCCTGTGCTTTCCTTCAAGCGGCATCTCAGGTTATAATTCCAGCACCAACCTGACAATCTCCAGTCTTCCTTTCCTTTCTCGCGGGGAATTGCTTAACGGCTTGAGCGGGGAAAAGGTTGACAAGAGGGCAGCCGTCTTCTAGAGCTCTGTTATGTCATGACCAGCTTAAAAGAACACGACATGCACAGGTTACTTACCATCATCGCTAATCAAGGAATTGGGGCACTCGAGTTTTGTTTCAACCTTGTGTCGTGTTTGTAGACCAGCTGGGGCTCTCACTCACAGCCCTTCTAAATAGCCACACTACCCAAATGGCGAGAGACCACCCCCCATCTCTATATCCCCCTATTCCAACTTCAAACTCGCTCGAAACTCCTCAATCGGCACCGCCTTCTCAACTAGCTCCGTCTCCCCGTCCGCCCCCGCCACCGGCCTCCTCTCCAGCGTCCACAGCTCCTTCACCCCCAAACCCTCCAAATACTCCAACCCCCTCCAGTAGTTCGTCCCAACCTGCGCAATCCCATGGCTATCATCCCCAAACGTCCACCGCCCCCCCATGCGCGTCCACACTTCAGCAATCTCCCTCTTCGGATACGCCTCCGCCAGCCCCTTGCGCAGCCCACTCGTGTTACACTCCAACCACCCGCCATAGCCCTTCACAAACTCCAGATTCCTCACCACCCTCTCCCACACCGCGGGCCACTCTCCCCTCAACTCCCTCCCCGGCACCGCACTAAACAACCTCACCAAATCAAAATGCCCCACCACCCTCGGCCTCAGCGCCCGCAGCATATCCAGCTGCTCGTCAAAATACACCCCAAACAACCCCTCCTCCCCCAACCCATCACCACCACCATCACCACCACCATCACCACCACCACCATCACCACCACCACCACCACCCCCACAAACCTCCACCGCCCGCGCATAGTACGCAGCATCATAATCAATCGGCACCCCCCGCGCATGGTGTATGGACCCAATGAAATAATCCACCGCCGGGTGCGCGGCCAGCTCGCGCACGAGCGCGCCGTAGCCGGGCCGGATCCACTCGCCCTCGAAGCCGATCAGGATGTGGATCTGCGGGGCGTAGTGGGCCTGCAGGCGGCGCGCTTCGGCCAGGTAGGCGGCGTGTCGCGGGGGGAGGAGCGCGAGGGCGGCGTCCGGGGGGGTGTCGGGGGTTAGCTGTGGTGGTGGTGGTGGTGGGGGTTAGTGAGTGGGTTGGGTGTGGTTGGGTGGTTTTGGGTGGTGGTGGTGGTGTTTTGAGGGGGGTGGGAAGGGGGTGGAAAGGGGTGAAAGGGGGGGTTAAGAGGGGGGAGGCGGTGGCTGCTGGGTATGGTAGGTGGTGTACACACCTCATCGGGGTAGAGGTCGGCTGGGTTGGTGCGCGGCATGTGCTCGGTCAGGCCGATGGTCTTGTAGCCGACCTTGATGGCGTGCAGGATGATGTCCTCGAGCTGGTCCTTGGCGTGGCCGGGGCAGAACTGGCCCGAGTGGGAGTGCATTGTGAATGCCATGGTGGACGAGGGGGGGGGTGCTGTTGGGTAATCGAGAGTAGGTCGTGATGTGAATATGTAGTGTTCCAATAGGTATCTTGGATCCGACAGCCAAAAAAGATGGCTAATGTAAAAGAGAATTTATACCTTAGGTCTAGTTATTTTGGTAAGAGTTTATTGAGATGCCAAGTTGGGACGGAATTTGGGAAATATTTACATGAGTCAAATCTCGGCCTAAGCAACCCGGGCTTGGCAGAGGGGTGAGGGGGCACGCTGGGAGATCGGACGAAACTACCGCCCGCCTGGTCTCATGCGGGTTCTGGGCCAGATGCTACATCGCTCGATCATGTTTATGGGTAAATACCATGTGACTGAGCGGCTGCACAACACGCTGGAGCAGCAGTGCTGTCAGTTACCCCTGAACTCGCCCCTTTCCCCGCGAGAGCTCAACAAAACATTGATAGTGAATTACACCGATCCTCATACAAGCAGCCGCAAGAGATGAAGACACGACAGACAAATAAACCACAACCCGAATACAGAGAGGGTATCTCACCACCATGCCAAGTAAACAAACAGCTCTCCGTTGCTCCTCTAACCTGTAAGAGAACAAAGATAAAAAAGCGAAGAGCTCACACCACCAATCCGACCATGTAAAACAGATCCTGATACACACGCACCCAGCACCATACCACACCCGCCCTCACACCCTCACACCCTCACACCATATCACACCCTCACACACCACCCCCACCCATCACACCCTCACACCACCCCCTCAAACCTCACCCTCCGTTATCAACGCCTCCCCCTCATCCAACAAATCCGTCACCTTCTTCAGATTCCCAATCAAGCTCCGCCCCAGCCCCACCAGCAACAACTTCTCGGCATTAGCCGGCAGGCCCAGGTACGTGGGCGGCTCGCGCTCCGGCAGGCGCTGGATCCAGCCCATGAACTCCTGCAGCGACGTGCCGGCGGGCACGACCAGCTCGACCGAGTCCGCGGCGGCGGCGGTGGCATCCTCAGCGGCAGTAACAAGCTTGTGGCCGATCTCGAAGGCGGCCGGGGTGAGGAAGGTGTGGACGAGGTCGTGCAGCACGCGGAAGTCGCCCTCGTCGTCGATCTTGCCGCCGTACGTCTCGACGACCAGGTAGCGGATCATGTCCCAGGGTATGTTGGCGGGCGCGATGTTGGTGCGGTTCTGCGCCGTCGCGTCGACCCACGTGTCGATGACGAAGGCAGAGCATTCGTACTGTTTGGTTGGTTGGGTTAGCAGCTGTTGGATGTATGTACCACGATAAAACAAAAAGAAAAACGACTTACGTCGGCATCGTTGAACTCCCAGAACCCCTTCCACCCCAGGTTGGGCGCGTACCGCAGCCTCTCCTGCACGACGGCATGCAAGAAGGACAGCAGCAGGTACAGCCTCGTCCTCTCCACGGGGCTCTTGACCGACCTCGTCGACAGCGACGACATGGAGTCCTTCATGTTGGCGCGCACGCCCGCGGGCTGTTCGTACATGAGCACGCGGCTGGCGCGGAGCAGGTTGACGGGGATCTTGGGCGACGACTCCATCGACAGGAACAGCCGGAAGTCCTTGTTGGGGTTCAGCGACTCCATGCGCTTCTCCAGGCTCTGCAGCCACGTCGGCGCCAGGTGGACGTTCTTGATGAGCACCCACGAGCCCGTCTGCGCCGCGTTGGCGATGGCCTTGTCCGCGCTGGCGAGGCCCTCGTTGGAGCCCATGGCGATGTTGGTGCAGCGGACGCGCATGCGCTCGACGAGCGAGTCGACCTTGTACGAGGCGTCGAAACCAGGGCTGGAGACCAGCGAGACCGGCCGGGTGGCCGAGACTTGGTCGACCGTGAGCTTGAGGTCCTCGACCACGTCAAAGAGGTCGGAGCCAAAGACTAGCGTGACGAAGCGCTCGGCCGCTGGGACGAAGCGGTCAAGGCGGAAGAGCTTGACAAGCAGGAGCGACATGAGGGCTTGGTCCGCAGGCTCGGCGCTGTCGTCCCAGATCTTGGGCACGAAGTTCTCGGCAAGCTCCTCGCTGAAGAACTTGTCCCAGTCGGCGTCCGCAACGCCGTCGAGCCTCTCCTTGAGCGCCGAGATCCGCTTGGCACGCACGAACACGTCGTCCTTGGCCGCCACGTCCGATGACACATCCTTGCCCTCGACGCGCTCGTCCAAAATCACATCCAGCAGCCCCTTGTCCATCTTGTAAGGCGACGCCTGAGCAAGCAGCATCGCCAGGGTGACGCGGTCCTTCTGCAGCAGTCCCAGCGCAGTACGCTTGAACGCGTTCACGAACAGGTCCTTGACGATGATGTCGCGACGCACGGTGTGGTTTAGCTCGCCGGCTAGGTGGGGGTTGCCGTGAAGGACAGAGTGGAAAATGTCGAGGAAGTACTGCAGCGAGAACTGGTAGAAGTGGTTGAGATAGTGCAGTTGCTCGAGCACGGCAAACACGGCACTGCACGACCGGGCAATGACATTGTACTGCAGCGTAATTTCCTCGACTTCGGCCATAACGCCCTCGGTGTTGCTCATCTTAATGGAGATCTCGGCCGCCTCCGTCTTGAGCGTCTCCAGCGTCTCGATAACGTTGTCGTCGTCGAGGATGTTGCCGCGCGACTCGTTGAGCGCCTGGAGGAGACGCTTCTCGAGCTGCCGCAAGTGCACCTTGAACTCACCCTGCAACTTGATGAGGTTCGAACGCCGCTCGTCCACGTCCGGACGCTCCGACTTGAGCACCTCCGCCAGGGATTGTGTTTGCAAGCTGCTCTGCGTGACCGTGAAATTGACAAAGGTCGTGCGACTGCAGATATCGGGAGCAAAGGTAGCTGAGGGATCGCGCGTCGACAGGTAGATCTTGAAGCTCGGCGAGAAATCGATCTGCTGTTTGCCGAGCTGAATGAGAACACGACCGCCTGTTTTCTGGTACTCCTTGTTGAGGACGTGGTTAAGCACGGGGTCGAGATGCTCCGCATCCTGGATGAGAATGGGGTTGCCGAAGCGGAGCGAGCTCTCGAGCTGCTTGGTGAACGAGTCGTCCAGGAAGCTCGTGACAGTAAGCCGGCGATCCTTGCATTCCCTCTGCAGGAACTCGGTGACACGCCCTGACGGGTCGATGATGAGCGGGGTACCGGTTGAAGCGCTTGAGGACAATCGCGTTCTCGGTGCAGAGGTCATCAACCGGCAGTGTGTTCTCCTGCCAGCCGAGCCTCTCGTCGGCGGTGGAGAGGTACTCGGTCATCGGATTGTGCTGCTTGAACTGGATGCCCGAGAGGTGCAGCTGGTGGAGCCAATCCTCCATCATCGACTTCCTGAACGTCTGGTCATACAGACCGCTGTAGGCGAGGAACGCCGCCGCGACGAGCACATCACCGACCAGGGTGCTGATCTGCGTCTCGAATGACTTGCTGCCCTCCTCCCAGCGCGTCCTCTCCGACGACAAGCTATCCAGCAGCTTGACACTACGATCAACCTTGAACTGGACGCGCGACATCTCCGATTTGATCGCCTGCGTCTCGCTAATGAGCGACGCATACTCGGTCTTGTACGTGGCGATGCTGGTCTCGAGGTTGTCGATCGTCTGTTCGACCGCCTTGGCCTCGGCCTTGGTTTGCAGGGCTTGCTCCTCGAGCAAGCCGACCTCCTCCCTCAGGGGCCCGACACGGTCCAAGATCTCGGCGTAGCTGACCTGCGCCTCGACCCATTGCACGAGCGGACCGCAGGCCTTGCTGGCACGGTTGACCCTCTCAAAGGTAAATTCCGGGTTGGCGAGGAACTCATTGCGCATCTTGAGCCGCAGCGCCTTGGTCATCTGCTTTTCGTTGTTGAAGTTGATGATGCTAGCAATGAAATCATCTCGGCGGATAACAGCCTGGATCTGCTTCCATTCGGTGACCTTGTGGCCGATGAGCGTGCAGACCGAGTCGAGGGCAAGACGGACGCCCTGCGGAGGGGAGCTCATGGAGCGCACTTCTGTGAGGTGTTGGCGCTTGATGTTGCTGACGGACGCCTTGGCCTCTTCGACAGCGGGCTCAGCGCGGGCGAGATCCTGGAGCACGACCTTTTTGCGGGACGCGACCTCGGTCTCCTGCTTCTCTAGCGCAGCCTGGATTTCGAGCGACGTGGTTTTCCGCTGCTCTGCCTCGCGCTGGTCGGCAACCATGCGCTGCAACTTCTCGTTGGCCTCGGCGTCCTTTTGCTCGAGCTGTGCCTTCTTCTCGGCGAGGCTGACGCGGAGATCGCGGACCTTGTCGACAGTGTCGCGGAGCTTCTCGAGACCGACGTTGAGATGGCGTTGCTGTTCCTCGAGGTCCTCCCGTTTCTCGTTGTACAACTTGACATACTGAGCAACAAAGTCGAGGAAGTGGCGTGGAGTGAGGAAGGTGACCTTGCCCTGCTGTTTGAGTAGCTTGGTGTTGAAGCGCTGCAGGGAGTAGTGAATGTAGACCATCGAGTTGATGACGGTCTCCCTGTGCGAGGGCGGCAGGTTGAGGCCGCGGTACGCGACCGGGATAGTATCCGGGGCACCCCAGTTCGCCCTGTCCAGATCGACAGAGTGCGTCAGTTCGTGTCCGACTTGGAAGAGTGCCTGATCAGACCAGTCGCCGAACCAGTTAAGCACGCAACGGTTGAACAGCGCAGGCGACGTGGCTGCCTTGGACGACAATCCGTCCTCGGGCGGGTTCATGGTAAACACGACGTGCAGGTTCTTGACAATCTGCCCCGTGAACCACTTGTACAACTCCTCTTGCGAGTCTAGCAGCAGGCCCTGCCGCTGGGCTCCCTCCTTGCAGGCAGTCATGAGCGCCGCGAGATCGTCGCCCTCGAAGAGACCAGGCACTTCCGCGTTGGCGAGCAGTGTGTTCATGCGCTCCAAGAAACCAGAGTCCAGAACGTTCGACTCGTCCATGATGAAGCAAATCTTCTCGCCCTTGCAGCCACAGCGGCGGAGGACCTCCCTCAGATCCTCATCGAAGTCCTCAGCTGAGTACTTGCCGTGCACCTTGATCTGGAACACCTTGAGACCGTTCATCCAGGCCACAAAGCGCGAGAGCGTTGTCTTGCCACTGCCGCTGACACCGATCAGAATCAAATGACCCTGGGGCTGTCTGAAGACACGGTCAATCCGCAACACATGCTCCAGGACGTCGTTAAACAAGATAAGCGGTACATCGACCTCCTCCTCGCAGAAGGTCCTGAGACGCGCCTTGACGAAGTCACGCAGCTGCTCGCGGTCGACAGGCATGTAATGCTTGGACAGCCAGTTGGAGAAGAGGATCGGCCCGCCAAGCGCCTTCTGTTCGTCGATGGTTGGGAAGTACTCCATCGCGATGCGCTGAACGGCATCGTCGGTCCACTTGCGCTCTTCCTCGGCCACGAGACGGTCCTGGAAGAGACGGAGCGCTTCGTGCGCCCAGATGCGGATAAGCCCCTCGACAGACAACGCCTCAAGGGGTTTGATGGCCTCGTACACACCGCGCACCCAGCGTGTAAGCTCACGAGGACTGTAGACGTAGTGTGGCTGGATCTTTGGCGTGAAACGCTGCTGCGACTCGAGGTAGAAGCGGACCATGGACTGGGTGAGCGGCTCTGCGTAGCCGCGGAGCGAGGGAATAATCTTGAGCACGGCCGAGTTGAAGGTGCCGTAGATCTGCATGAGCGACTGCTCGCCGGGGTAGTCGACCATGACGAGCGGCGCATGTCGCAGGAAACGCGCGCCCATGGGCGTACGGCCTGCGTCGGTGGGCGGGTTGCAGGCGCCGACGAACTGGATCCTGTCGAGGGTAACCCAAGACTTGTCCGACGTCCGCCAGAAGCCGTTGTGCTCGACGAGTTGGCGAAGGAAGGAGATGGCACGTTGCGTACCGTACTTGTCGGGGGCGGGCAAGTTGATTTCGTCGCAGAAAATAACGAGCCAACGGCCGATTTGGGTGGGCGAGAGCATGACTCCGTTGAGTGTCTTCTTGTACTCGCAGTACTGCTCGAACGTCTTGATGAGGAGGTCGGGAGTAGTGGCACTGGAAAAGTTGAGGCCGACCACCTCCATGTTGGGCAACTTCCGCAGGGCGCTGAACAGCGTCATGGTCTTTCCGGAACCAGGAGGACCGCACAGAAGGAGCGGCTTGTGCTCGGCAAGCCAAGAGTAGAGAACATCCTCGTGGCGAACCGTGTCCAGTGTCGGGATAACCACATCGGTCTGCGTAACCGAGTGGGTGTTGACTTCGATAGTCGGCACCTGGCTCTGCCAGGGCGACCATTCCCCGCCCGGTAGGGAGACATCAAAGTCGATGAGGGAGCTCGTGCCATCCAGCGGCGGCGAGCCGAAGTTGGCCAGGCCCGCGACCTTGTCACCGAACAACTTGCGGTCCGTGAGGGGGCAGTCGCCGGTCAAGGCCCACACCATCGCGAGAAGCAGCTTCTTTGCGATGTACCCCTCAACTTGCTCAGGGTCGAGCGGGAAGTCAGAGTGCTGCGAATTGTACTCGATGATATTGCGAACCGATTTGTTCAGGAGCGAGAAGAGGGTACTGAGGACACGAGCGGAAGTGAACTCCATGATGTGGTTGAACGCTTCAGCTTGCTGCAAGGCCAAGAGAATGAAGCTGTCCGTTGTGAGATACGCATGCATCAAATCGGCAGCCTGGCCTTGAATCTCCAGCGCCTTGGCCGAGCTCTGGCCGGTGGCAACGGCATCCTCATCGAGATCCTCGAACGCAACAGAACGCAGTGTCTCGATGTAGTTGGCGACCATCATGTCAGGGGTGACGGTGTCCTCGCTGAACCAGACCATACCGCAACGACTGACGGTAGCGAGGGTAGCATACTTGAGATTCTCCACCTCGAACATGATCCGGACGTTCGACGGGAGATTGAGACGCTCGCCGTTGGGCAGGGTCAGGAGCTTGTTGTCATCAAGCACACTGTTCAAGTTCTCAACCCACTCGGGGTCGACATCGCCGTCAAAGACGATCCAGTGACGCTTGGTGTCCTCGCCACGGAGGTTGTCGACGATCTTGCGGAGGATGCTAGTGAACAGACCGTCGGTCCACTCTCTCGTCGTCGAGTCCAGGTTTCCGTACAGCGCTTCCTTGGACATGACCTTGCTGTCAATGACATGCGACACGCCTTCGACATTCTCGACCTGCTGCAAAGCATCCAGAAGCAGCCTCCAAGCCGCAGACTTGCCGGACCCAGAGTTGCCCACCATCATGACACCGTGGTGAATCTTCTGGATCTGGTACAACTGCAGTACCTTGGTCATCCAGAGCTCGTTGACAACCAAATGCCTCTCAGCGGCCAGGCGACGGATTGCGTCCTCGAGCTTGTACAAGTTGGCCGGCACATACTTGACGCCTGGGAAGCAAACCTCTTCAATCTCCGACATGACGTCGACGTCAGACTTGATCAGCTTGGGCGCGATGGTCTCGCGGATACTCTGGACAATGATCTCGGGCTCGACAACTTCCTCAGCTCCCAGGGTGCCGTCAGCGCTAGTCAGACGGGCGCGCTTCAGTCCACCGGAGCTGACCAGTACACTCTTGAGCGCACGCAGACCAAAGTCGTAGTGAGCTTGCTTTGATAACTTGGCAGCGCACTGGTCGAAGAAAGGAACTGTGTGCTTAGACAGCTGTTTGGCTTGGTTGAAGCCCTGCGAGTAGAGCATGACCTCGGCAATGAGTTCCTTGTCAGGCTTGGACATGGCGACACTGCGGAACAACTTCTTCAAGTTATCGGGCAGGTTGGAACGGCCGGCATAACCAGGGTTCATGGTGATGAAGATGCCCGTGTTGGCGTTGACGCGCAGCTGGCGGCCGACGAGCTCGATTTGGGCCTTCTCGTCCTCGGCACCCTGCTTCAGACCAAGCTGGATGTTTTGAATTTGCTGAGAGACGGCGGACAAGATCCTCTCCTCAAGACGGTTGAACTCGTCGAAGCAGCCCCAGGCACCCACTTGGCAGATACCGAGGAAGATGCGGCCCATGGCCTGGAAGTCGAACGTGTCGTCACAGCAGAAAACGAGGGTGAAGCGACCGAGTTGTACACCGAGAGCCTTGACTGATTCTGTTTTGCCGGTACCTGCCGGGCCATATGGAGAGCCACCGAGACGCTGGCAGAGGGCCTGGGTGAGGGTGAGGAAGCAGCGGTCGGTAAGGGGAGTCCGGACCAGCCTGTCGGGCACGCCCAGATACTCGAAGCCGTAGGCGAGCTTCGCATTGGCCATCTTGATGTGCAGACGCCGCAAGAAATCGCCTTCGGGCGCGTAGACATAGCGCATCTGGAGCATCCAAAGGTAGTGGGTATTGGAGCGGGCATTAACCTTGATGAGCTTTTCGATGACATCCCGCTGGTGCACGCACTCGGTGATGAGCTGTTCGCAAGTCTTGCGCATCAGCACATCAAGATCTCCGAGAACCGTGTCTGCTAGCATGCGGAGGACCTGAACCTCGCGATCGAACAGGGCTTGCAGGTTCGCGCCTCCGTCGACCAGCGCTTGCTCCACAGAAGTGGTCCAGACGGCCTGAGTAGCCAACACAACGATCTGGCTGGGATACGTCTCCATGAACTTATTGAGCGCGTCGCGATCAATCGCCTCGCTTGCAAAGATCGGGTTAAACTCATCAATCGCCTCAGCAAGAAGTTCAGCGAGCGTCGCCTTCATGCCGTTCTCTAACAAAGCAAGCCAGTCGTTGATCCTGGGTGTCTTGACCAGGTTGATCTCCTTCTTGAGTCGGACGACCTCGCCCTCTTTGGAAGTAAACCCAGTGATAACTGACTCCTCATCCATCACCAGGCCGGTAAGACCAGCAAACATCTTCTTGAAGTGCTTGGCAATGCGCATGGTGTCGTTGCTGTTGCCGATCATCTCTAGCAGGTCCTCGTCACCAACAAAGTAGAAGCGCGGGAATGACACACGCTCTTTCTCGAGGTACTCGCCGAGTGCCTTCTGGATCTTGTTGAGTAGCTCGGCCAGGCGCTCGAGGGACTTCTGTACGTTGGGAATGTTCAGGACGTCCAGAACGTTGGGCTGCTTGTAGACCTTCTTCATGACGGCCGAGAACTCGCTGTTGATGTTCTGGAAGCGCGAGGACTCGATGGGGAGCAGGTGCTTGATATCGGCATTGCCGGTGAAGACGCCTTCGAGATACACCCATTGACGCTGGACGTCAATCCACACGTCGAAGAGCACATGGACGCGGTTGAGTTTGTCCTCCCAGCCGGACGCCTCTTCCTCGAACTCCTTGTAGTAGGGCGAGTGCTTCATGGCCTGCAGTGAATTGAGGTTCTCGCTGCACTTGGCAAAGAGGTCGTCCCAGCCACGGATAAGACGGCACTTGTTCTGGTAGTTGACCAGCTCCAGCCCATACCCGGTCCATGTCTCGCGCACTTGCTTGAGGAACTCCTCCAGCGCCATCTCGCCCTGGGCTTGGATGATAATGTCCTTGACGATGACCTCAGTGGCAACCAAGTTGAGATCCCACACATCCCCAAGAGTCATCGAGACGGGCGAGTAGCGTTTCCCAGGCTTGATTTGTTTGTAGATCTTGGTCCAATGGCGGTCGCGGACAGCCTCGGATTTGAGCTCGGTGAGCATGGGGTTAACCTTCATGAACTGTCGCAAAACGTTTTGGACGTGCTCAAAGGCAGCGTACTGGCGCATCCTGCTCGGCATTTCCTTGGTCATTTTGATGAGACTGTCGATAGATGATCTAATCTTCCTGGGCTGGACGCTGTTCCAGAGGATCTCGCGGAGCTCGTTCAGGTTATTCCAGATAGTGGAGAGCGAAGCCCACACGGACTTGAAGTCTTGGACCTCTTCCAGGATGACACCGAGAGAGGACTCGGGGGTAGCCTGCAGATCAAGCGCTTCCTTGGCCTTCGCAACCATGGCGGATTCCTCTTGAAGCTTGGTGATCTTGGTCTCAAAGTCACTAAGGGTGGCAGAAGCGACATCGGGGGCGATGGTGCCCGAGACGGGCTTCTCTTCGTTCCAAAGTAGCGCAATCTCGTTGATTTTGTCGAGGATGACCTTGTCCTCGGCGATGATCTTGGCCCGGAGTGCGTCCGTCTGATCCTGGACGATCTTGGCCTTGCGGCCGAGAGCTTCGTTGAGGGCATCCCACGCGCCGTCAACTTGTTCGACATGAAGCCAGTCGTTTTGGAACTGGTACCGCTGCCTGACGAGGGTCGACTCTCCCTGCCTGAACGTCTCGACCTCCGGTGCCCAAAGTTTCACCTGGCGTTTGCAGGTCTGAACAGTGGTGATGAACTGCACGGCTTGGGCGGTCGAATTGGCCTCGATCGCCTGGCCTTCGATGTCCCTACGGGCCTTCTCGATCTCCGCATGAACTTCCCGCATGCGCGTGCCAAGGCGACCAGCAAACTTGATGAGGATGTCGTGTTGCCACTGGTCATACTTGGCGTTGACCTTGGTCTGAACCTGGTCGTAGTCGATGGTGAGGTGGCCAAACGAGCGGCTGACCTCGGTGGTGTCGAAAGTTTGACGCGTTTTCCGGAGTTCCTGGAGGAGCTGCAACCACCTAGAGAGCTGATCGCCGAGGACATCGTAGACGTGCTCTGACTGCAAGTCCCAGAGCGACTGGAACTGGAGCCACTTGTCTACGTACCCGCCAATTTCGTTGACCTTCTTTTCGACTGAGGTCTGAACCCTGAGGAGGGCCTGGGTGCATTCGCTCGGCAAGTCGTTGAAGCGGGGCTCATCATACACCGTAGTGCTGATGGACATCTGATACCGCGTGGCCTTGATCTTCTTCAGGTTGCAGACAACTCCAATCCACTCCTGTAGCTGGGAGAACCAGCTAGCCCTAGCGAACTCGAGGGGCGGATCAAGATAGATGACCTGGTTCCGCATTGTGATCTCGTGTACCAGCCTCTTGATCACTGGCACATCCGCTTTGGCACCGTCAAGAGGCTCGAGAGCCCTCTTGCGATCGCTTGCCCGTTCGAGGTACTCGTCCTCAAATGCCTCGATCCAAGCCTGGATGGAGTGATGTAGGCGAGCAAGCAAAACGGCCTTGATCTGCCGGTTCATGCGTCCTACCCAGTAGCCGAGGTTGACATATTGTTCCAAGTTGAGCTGATCGACGGCACTTTGAATAGTCTCCAAGCGGGATTCGAAGGCGGACACCTCGTATGGGCATTTCTCAAGCTCGGTTAGTGCCTTCTGTACCGTGGCGTGGATGTTGGACAAGGTGATGGTCTTGGCCTGCAGCAGGGAGACGGCGGCGCCAAATTCGCGAATGAACATGACATGCCTACTTTCTCCACCCTTGAAGTTGTCGAGGCCAACATTTGGCGCGTAATTCTTGAAGTGCACCTCGTACGTGTTCACAAACGACTCCCACTTCAGAGGAACACCCTTGGCGATCAGGGTGTAGACTTCGTCGCGATGGCCGCTGAGGAGCACTGCGACCTCGGACATGTCCGCGATCTGGCGATTGGTCTGTGCGAACGTCCTGACGCTCTCCATCAGACTGACGGCGTACGGGTACACACGCTTGGCCTCCTTTGCCACGTTGTTGACAGAGTGAGGAACGGGGAAGTTAAGCCACACTAGGTTCCGAGTCTCCTTGAACAGGGCAATCACCTGAGCGTCGAAGTTGACAGCGAGCTCCAGCACGTTTCCGGCCGAGCGAATGCGAGTAATGTTGAATAAGAGGCCAGAGATGGAGATCTGTTTCCTTTGCACGTCATGAAGCCAGGCCTCGAAGATGGGGCGTGTGTCGAGCTTCTTGCGGAACAAGTCGCTCTCGCTCTGAAGCCTTTGGCCTTCGGCATGGATGGTCCACTCAGCGCCCAGCACGTCTTCGACCTTCTTCATGTACCCGTCGAGCTGCCGCTCAATCTGGCGCGCCCAGATGATGGCGCCGGAAACCGGCGGGAGATCGTGTAGCTGAGCCATGGCGTGGGCTTCAGAATGGCCATACTGCTGCTTGAACCGCTCGTGGAGCGCGGTGATGGCTTGCTTGACGTTGTCGATGAGCTGGGTCTGGTACTCGGCAATGGCGCCACGGATCTTGGGGCGCACAAAGAGCGCGTTGAATTTGGAGAAGACGCGGAACATTTCGTTGGCATTCTTCGCCGTCGCGAGCCGGTCGCGAAGCCGCGCAATGATAGAGTTCTCCACACGGGACGTCCGCTCGTTGTAGATGTTCTCGGCACGAGCCCATTCCCGCGTGCCTTCGGGAGTGACATCAAGAAGATCGACATCTTTCAAACCTTCCCAGGCCTGCCTAACCTCCTCAACAGCATCAACGTCGCCAATCTCCTCGACAACAACAGTCCCATTGGTACCGGCTTCGGAAATGCCATTCACGGTCACCCTGGGGCCGAGAACGTTGACAATGGTCCGCTGGAGCTGCTCGTGGTTGTCGCGGAATTTGCTGACGTACTTCAGCCGCGCCTGCAGCTCAGCGTGCCGGGGGATGATCTTGATGGGAATGAACCTCTCATTGCGGCGCCGAGTAACCTCACGCGCAACGTTGGTGAACTCCTTGATGTTCTCGTCCCAGATCCTGAAGATGTCATCGGCCTGCTTCATGACCCGGCGGAAATCCTGGAAATCGAGCTTGACTAGCTCCTTGCCCGGCAACAAGCGGTGCAACATCTCGTCCAAGTCACCGGAGATGGTTTCCACCAGGGGAAGCGCACGGCGGATGGGGTAGGGGCATATTCTCAACTTCTTGTTGAGATGAGCAAAGATCTGCCCGATCGAATCCTTGACCTTAACCAGGGCAGTGGCCGAGAGCAGTTCGTCAAGAGGAAAGTCGCGCATAAGCTGGTTGTACTTTTGCACCTTCTCCATCGCCTCCTTGAGACCAGTATCCGCCGTAAAACTGACGGTGGCCTGGAAACGCTTCGCGTGCTTTAGAATCTCGAGAGTGAGCATGACTCCCTCACTCCTCAGCTGGTTCTCGATTCCCTCAAGCGCAGACTCCATGGAGAGCCAGAAATTGATCTCCTGCGCCGCCGTGCCGGTGGTGGGGTCCCTCGTCATTTTCGTGATGGCCTGGATGGACTTGATCCAGTTGTTGACAGTGGCTTGGAGATTGTTGAGGAACGTGCTGTCCTGCAGGACGGCGGGCGGGATGAAATCGAGAGTCGGTTTCGTCTGCTTAGCAGTCGCCTCATCCAGCGCTGTCTGCACGATGGGGTGAAACGGTAGAGACACTTCGGGAATCTCAACGTTCTGTTGCAGATGGGAGAGACTGAGTTCGAGGTCGTTCCACCTCTTCTTGGTAACCGGGATGCCGGTCTTCGCATCCACATCTGTCCGCCCCCTCCCACCGCTAAGCATCTGCTGGCTCTTGGTGCTAGCATCAAAGTATGGCGCCAGGCCATTGTGGAGGTAGAGCTGGAGGATCTCGTAGGGCGATGCGGCCGAACCTTGCTCACTAGCGTTTGCAGTCAGGTACGCCGGCCCTGGCAAATTAAGCATCTGGATCTGCGAGGTTATTGGGATGCTAGGGTCGAGGGGTTGGGGCCGTTTGAGCAGGACAAGGAAGGCCACCGTCGTCGTGGACGAGGAAAGGTCGGAGGATATCGTGTAGACATGCGAAGGCGCGCCTGGGGTCATGTCAGCATCACGCCGCGCCAGTCAAAGGGGCGCTTTTGCAGTAATCGTACCATCATCAACATCCCCATCCTCCAGTGTGTCTGTCGGAACGAGATCTTTTTGGATGTAGAGGGCGACCTGGGAATCCACCGCGAAGCGATTACATCGCTGGAGGGTGTCATGGTAGCGGGTTTCGGACAGCAAACTACCAGGAGCCTCGAGCTCCGTCCGGGTTGCGCCAAGGGCGGCTTCGAGGACGACGCCAAGGTGGTCGACAACGCGGACGGGGTCGACGGCTGCGAAGGGAGTGGTCGCAACGCCGTTTGCCCCCGGGCTAGTAGCCGGGGGGGAGACAGCCGCTTCCATAGTAGAAGAAAGTAGGGTCAGGTAGCAAGAGATCGGGTTCGATGAGTCGATATCAAAGTTCAGTCGATGTCATATCTCGTTCGACGACGTTTCGTGGAGATAGGTAGGTAGGTATGGAGGGTCCGTTCGCAGAGCGGAGTCGCGGCGGCGCCAGTGATTGCGAGAAAAAAGTATTACGACGCAGCAAAAAGTACAGGTCGAGAAGAAAAAGGCGAAATGGAGAACTTGATGGGTATCCTGGGTATCACCGAGTGTTTCCTCCGCAAGACGATGCTGAAATGGACGTGGAAGTCTGCAATGCACGAAGGCGGTGGGTTTCCAGTGATTGCTCCCAGAACGGGAAACTAAAAGCTGCAGTGGTGTTTCCTCACACCACGCTCCCCTGGGCGGGCTGACGCGACTGCCGCATCCTTGTCGCGGAAAGCATGCATCAGGGGCCTGACCACCGGGAGTGGGCCGGTTCCTGATTGGTCTGCACTGTCCCCTTCGAGACCCCTGTTGCGACCTGCAGAAGCCGACAGGAAACAGCATCATCTGAACCATCGGTCTCGCACAAACAGAAAGAGTATGGGGAAAATAACAGGGATATCATAACTGAAGGAAACGAGGAACCCCGAGAGAGAATGCGCGGTCATGGGCCCTTAAATTTGCTTCCAGGCTTTATACTCTGACAAATAACATCACCCTTTTGTCTCTTACAAGTTAGGGGTGACGAAGTTGCCCAAGATTTCTGGGTCACATCCATCAACCGGGCTACATGTACCTTGCGCAAGGGAGGTATGTCTACAGTTGTATTGAGTCTTGGTTGGGTGTGTGGTCTCCGACTGCAACTCGATCTAGGGGTGAGCATAACCTACAGAAGTTTGCCACCAATCCGAAACTCGCCAACTCTACTGTGTATAAACGAACAATGATATGATGATTAGGCCTAGCAACCCTCGAGATATCCGAACAACGCTCATGCAAACCGCTCATATTTCTCATTCCGAACGCTCCCCTCCTTATGCCACTGACCCCTGAAACCACCTAACGCCGATGCTTCTTTTAAAAACCCAACCCCATCCCATCCCATGTTCATGACCATACATTCCCATCAACGTCCGGGAATGAAGCCCCGGTTACATACCATGCTTCAGTTCCGCCACCATCAGGGGGCAGGAGGGGCGCCAGCGCGGCTGTCCTCCTTATTGGAAAGGCTGACCATGACGCGCTGGTTACAGATATCGATGAACTGCTCGAACTTCTCGATGATCTTGTCCTTCTCGCGGAGTTTCACCTTGAGCTCGTCGATCTCCTTGTCGCTTTCCTTCTTCAACTTGTCGAAATCATCTCGCGCAGTTGCGAGCTCCCGACGGAGGTCGGCACGAATGCGCTCCTCGGCCGACGGGTGCGGCTTGCTATAAATAGCTGGTCGGTTTTCCGCCAGCCCTGTAGCGACCTTTTGGGGATTGCGGTTGATGGCAGCCCGTGCATTATAAATGTCACGGGGGAGGAGGGGCACATGGGGGTTCTCGGTCTGCAAGATCTCTAATGTCTGGCTCACGCCTACACCTAACAACCAGAAAGTCAGTTCGAGTATCCATGGGATGGAAGACCTTGCTTACACGTACCATCGTCCTTCAACTTCTTGACGGCTGCAACCATTTTGCTGTCCAGCTTCCTCGCCGCCGGGTGTAGGAGAGGGCTCTCGCTGGGGCCGTGGTTGTGCTTCTTGTGGCTCTCGTGGGGTCGGTACCGGACTGTCCACTGTGTCCGCTGCTCGATGGCGAAGAAGCCGAACGGGCAGTCACACTTGCGGGACGTGGTCTTGCGCTTGCGCATCTCCGGGCTAACGCGGCTAGGTGGCTTACCAGCGCGGTCGCAGACGAACAGCACCTTTTTCAGCCCAGGGACTGTTTTCTTGGACCGGCCGATGACCACCGCATACCCCACAGAAGTGCAGTAACTTAGCACATACTTGTGAACGGCCTCCAAGGTCGGAAAACTCCCGCCTTCGGGGGGAGGTGTCATCGCTTCACCCATGGGCTGGCGGGGGACGAAGGGCGAGTTATCGATCAACTTGGGCTCGAGGGACGGATCTCTCTCTCCCGACTCATCGTGACTGCCAATGTCCATGTCATCATCCTGGTGGTTCTCCTGGGCGGGTTCAACCGCCTGTTCCTGAACAGGTGGTGCTCGCGGGACTGGCGTGACTTGCTGGACCTGCGGTAGCTTCTGTACCTGCTGGATCTTGGGCATCTGCGGTTGGGCCGGGGGTAGCGTGGGTTGCGATGGGGGGCGAGGTGTTGACAGTATACTAGCAGTGTCGTTGTGCTGGACAGAGTGGTTTGAATGGGCCGAATGAGCCGAATGAGTCGAATGCACAGACTGGCTTATGGGCTGCTGTGTCATCGACTGCTGTGGCATCGACGGCTGGGACATGGGCTGCTGAGGCATGGACTGCGGGGGCATAGACTGCGGGGGCATGGACTGCTGGCCGAGGGATTGCTGGCTCATGGACTGTGTCATGGACGGGGCCATGGGTGGCTGGCTCATGGGTTGCTGGAGCTGCTGGTTCAGAGACGGTTGCCCTAATGATTGCTGCCCCAGCGATGCCTGGCTGAGCTGTTGCGGGTTCATGGGTTGCGGGTTGAGGGTTTGCGGCGTCATCGACTGAGGTGTCATAGGCTGTGGGGTCATGGACTGGGGCGTCATGGACTGCTGTCCCATCGGCTGAGGGTTCAGGGACTGCTGGAGGTAGCTGATGGGAGGCGTTTGCTGTTGCATTTGCCGCGGAGGGGGAGCACGCTGGCGTGGGCCGGGGAGCGATGGTGGAGCTTGGGACGGCGGCGGTCGGGCGCCATTCTGGAGGCTGGCGACGTTGGGAATTTGCGAGGAAGGCGGGGTGAAGAGGTGATGAGGATATTGGCTCGGCGGGTGTTGTTGGTGTTGATGTTGGTAGGCGTGCGGTGGATACGGCGACGCGTGTTGTGGAAGCGACGGGGATGGCTTGTTGGTCGGGTTGTGTGGCGGCGGGAACGATCGCCTCAGGCTGAACGACAAGCCAGGATGGCTATTTGCGCTCGACATGGCGACAAAGGGAAAAAGAAGGCCGATGTTGAACAAACGCGGAGGTCAATCAAGCGGTCTTCGGTCTGGGGTCTCGACCCGTCACCGAAATCGTGGGCGGGCGTGTACCGAGCAGGGAGGCGTGCGTGACTGCCCGGAGATGGAGAAAGAAGGAGGTACGGGGGAGGGTGTAAAAACGGGTTTGGGCGGGAAGAGACAGAAAGCCAGGTGCGAGGGGCGGTCCGTCTAATCCCACCGTGCATTTTGAATTCGAGACTGTCAGGGTCTATTTTCGTCTCGTTTGTCCAATCAAAGTCACAAAAGGCTGCGGATGGCTCCACATATCGACGGCCACACCCACCAACCGTGGTCGAGCTGATCCGATCCCAAGCACAGCTGCGCCTTCCACGCCCCAGCAAAACCTGAGCAACCAACGTTTCGAGAGGGTTGGGGCTCATGCGATTGGGAAGGAGAGCGATGGGGGTGATGTGCGAGAGAGAAACGACGATTTCCTCGTCTAAAAACGGGACACATCTACCATAAAAACATCATCTGTAATTGTCGTCACAAAGTTGGTAACGGGGGTTCAAGTGAGCAGGGTGGGTGGGTTGTGATTTTGCGAAACACACCTCGGGGTGGGCAGGCGGAGGGAGCAAGGTACCGTTAACTATCGACACCCCGCCTCCCGTGTCAGGGAACCCCAGCAGTCGGAATCAAGGACGAGCACTGGACTCGTGCTAGTTAAGACAGTGTAAGAGCTTTGAGATCTTTGATACCTTTTGATTCCGAGCTGCCTCGGATCGGACTGAAAAAAAAGTTCGATTGACCTGTTTATTTTCTTAGGCATTCCTTTGACCTAAAGCATCAAGAAACAGTGTTAGTGTTAACACTTCTAAACTCTTGTACCACCATGTCATGGAACACGAGGAACCGAGAATTGATACATAGTTACAGCCAGGGGTATAATGATGACAAAAATACCGGGTCTCCAGCGCCAACAATAAGAGCCCAAGTGAACGAGACCGCAACGCACTGCTCATGAGATGGATGGCATATCCTTCCCACCTAAAACCGCACATCCTCCCCCGTCACATCCGCGGCCCCTTCGCCTTCGCCGCTCCCAAACCAACTCCCAAAATCCAGCTTCATCAACAACCTATCAATACCCCCAACCCGTCTCGGCACATACTCCCCCCTCTCCCTCATCAACACCTCGCCCTCCTCCTCGCCCTCAACCCCCTCCCCAAGCTCCCCCGCACCCTGCAGGACCGCACTACCCTCCAACCGCCTCAACTCCCCAATCAGGCCCTCCACGCCCCGCTTAACCCTGTCCTCCACGCCGCGGATCTCCCCCTGCACATCCCGCTCCTCCCGCTCGAGGTCCACAAAGGCATCGACGACGCCCGCGTCGGCCTCGAGGTCGGCCGCCGCCCAGACGGAGTGCAGCCGGTGGACGAGGGCGACGAGGTGGTCGATCTGCACGAGGAGCTCGTAGAGCGGGTCGGTGAAGGATTGCTGGGTGAGCAAGAGGCGGTGGATCAGGGCGCGGAGGTAGAGGCGGTGGGCGGTGGCGAGGGTCTGTGGGTCATGGAGAGAGCGTGTTTGGTGGTCGGTTGGCGAGGCGGATGGGGGAGGGGAGGAGGTGGTGGACTCTGCGAGCCAGAGGTCGTCGTCGAGCATGTTGACGTCTTCATCCTGCGGGGGACCCGCGGCGGTGGGGGCTTGTTTGGGTGCGTCGTCGTCGTGCCGTTGCTCGTCCTTGCCCGTGGTTAACCACCGGTGGAAACCGTCTGATAACCCTGCGACAACTTCCATTTGAAGGTATCCCTCGATTTCGCCAAGGAAGAAGATCGCTGCACTGGCGGTAGCCCAGGCGTTGCGCAGGATGCCCGACCGTGCGGCATGCCGCTGACGGAAGAGTAGGACCCTTTCCCTCCCGCCACGCGTGCTTCCGTATGGTGGCGCGGGGGGTGCGGGATGGTGTCGCCGGAGGGATGTGATTTTCCACAAGTCTGTGAGGCGGATATGAGCTCTCCGCAGAGAAAGGAGGTATGAGTTGATTGCAGTGTAGGTTTGGAGATCCGACTGGCTGAGGAAGAGATCCAGCGGGGACGGTATCTGTAATGTGAGCACGACAGGTACTGAGAAAAGGAGGTTCCGGAATGGTGTCGGCGCTATGACTGGCATCTCCCCTTCGGGGAGGACGGGCGTCATGGGCGTGGCGGTTCTGGACTTGGCCATTGATAACCGTAGTAGGTCTCGAGCCAACTCCAGCCCCTCATCTTCTTCCGCATGGTCGCCCTGCATGGATCCCATCGCAGCCCATGTCCTCGCCAGGACGGCCGCCACCTCCCCCTCTTTCACAGTGACATTGCCTAGTCCATCGCGCTTCTGGTACGCAAGGTTCTCCGCCCGCTTCCACCGGCTCCTAATCTTCTCATCCGCCTGCTGTGTGAGCGCCATGGCAAACTCCCCGCGGCGAAGCAGGAAGAAGTCGCGCAGCAGCTGCAACGTCTCCAACACCCTGCTCAACGGCAACAACCGCTGCAATATCGTCCTAGACAAGTAATTCCTTATATCCGCAATCGTCCTCGCAAACGTAGCCGAATCGATCGGATGCCTCAGCGCCGCCAGCCTCGTAAGCTGCGTCGAGAGGTGGTCATTCCCCCTCAAGCTGTAATCCCCCACGCTCTTAGCACGGATCTGGTTGAGCGACCGCCCAATAAACACCATCGACGCGGCGGTCGCGGCCGTCACGAACCGCGGCAGCAGCGCCATCTCACAACCAAACTCCTCCCGCCCCTCCTGGCCCTCCACCCGCCGCACAAAAAAGTCCCCCTCCCCAAACCCCGGCACGCGCCCGTACAGCACCCACGCCGACACCTGCTTGACCCACGCCGCCTCCGCCACGCCCACCAGACTGCGCGCCGCCTCCTCCACGTCCCTATACCCGGTCTGCAACTCCCCCCTCAGAAAATCCATCACCCGCGCCCCGGTACAGCCCTCCCCCATCACCTCGACCACGCGCGCCAGCCATTCCAGCCGGCGCGCCCAGCCCGCAAACTCGGCCACGACCGCCGTCAGCGGAACGACGTTGTAGGCGCCGACGAGGGCGGCGTCGCCGCGCAGGACCGTCTGCTCGACGGCGAGCACCTTGCGCCGGAAGGCCGCGAGGTGCAGGGCGTCGGTGGCGGACGCGACCGCGCGGCAGATGACCGACGGGTGGGCGGCGGCGATGTGCGCCGTCGAGGTCAGCAGCTGGATGTGCAGGTCGCTGAGGTGGGCGAGGGAGGCGAGCAGGGCGCGTTCGGGTGGGGTGAGGGCGTTGGCGGGGTTGGTCTCGCTGGTGTTGTTGTCGGCGTTGTCGTCGTGGGGGTTCGAGGAGGCGGAGCGGAGGAGTGGGGAGGGGTGGCCGGAGAGGGAGAGGAGGATTTCGTGGAGCATGGTATCGTATCGGTATATCAATATTGGAGGTGGGCGATCTTGGGTGGGCGCTTCTTGGCCGCTTGCTTAACGCGGGCGGCCCTCTTCTGGGCGCGGCGGTTGTTGAGTGTTTGGAAGAAGAGGATGAGGGTTCCGAGGAGCTCGAGGCGGCAGCACATCGGGCGGCTCTGGATGTCGGGTGGGTTGGGATTTGATGCCAATTCTAGGCTAATGCGACGGGAGCTTACCAATTTAGTCCCTTTTACGGTTCGGCGATTTGCAAAACGTCTGGGTCCATTGCGGGTTGGAGGTGGTTCGGCTCCTCTTGTGGATGGACTGAGCTGGAGCACTGTATTAAAGTGGGGTGACCTCCGTCGGAAAGTTGACGCGCCAGAACCCATTTGTGCAACCGTGACGCGATTTCCGCTGCAGGGTCCAAGCGTCACGTGGAAAGCGGGAAGTGGGAATTCACGCCGCCGAGCACCAGAACCCGATCCCTGTCGGAATAGAAATGCAGGGTCCAAAAATGCACCAATTCATCAAAGTCCCTTGAGAAGTTGAAAAGTATTATTCAACACGAAGTCCAACTAAAAAACCTTCTTCCGCCACAGATTCCCATACCTACCGAACCGACATACTCATCACATAAACTTCCCATTTAACGGGCCTGCGGGCTGTTTCCCCTCGGTCACAGTCATCCCACTCAACGACTGCGCATCCTGTCTGTCCGTATCCAGCGTAGCCACTCCCCCGTCGCCTCCCCCGACGATGATGTTATCGCCTGTCGAGGTTCTGCCCACCACCATGCCCTTAGCCACGCTCTTCAGGATCGCCCGCCTCGACACGCCCGTCACGTCGATATAGACCAGGCCGACATTCTTGACGCCGCCGCCCAGACTCCTCGTGACATCGCCGGCCTCGGGCCCCCACTTGTGGCCGACCACCGTAGTCGCCGCCTCCGAGGACGAGGACAGCAGGTTCCGGCCGGCCTGCTCGACGCCGTCCATGACGGTCGAGAAGGCCATCATGCTCTTGTTGAGCAGGCCCGGCTTGTAGGTGCCGAGCGGCTTGCCGTCCTTGTCGAAGCCCTTGCGCGCCGAGCCGTTCTTGTCCTTGCCGTGGCCGCCGAGGGACGCGCCCCAGTTCTGGGCTACCCTAGTGATCTGGCCGACCGTCTTGGCCGACAGCGTCGCCGCACCGCCGGTGAAGGTGTTGATGCGGCGGATGTGCTCGCGCGTGGCGGGCTTGAAGGTCATGGGCTTGGCGCTCGGCTGGGCATTCTTGGTGAAGCTGTCGGCCTGGTTCTGCAGCAGTTTGGAAAGCATGTCGGAGCCGGTGATGATGAGGCGCGAGGCCGCCGAGGCGTTGGACACGAGGAACGAACTCTTGTACGCTGGGTGTAGGTCTGCCTCGTGCAAGTCGGCGGATATGGGTGCCACGTTGATGTTCTGGCCGCCTGCGGCTGGTAAGGTGATCTCGACCGGGTCTGGGCCTGGTCAGCACGGCGTCAAAAAGCCAATCCCGAGACGACAAGACAGACACAAACCTTTCGATCCCGGTTTCAGCCCGCTGGACTCGACGACCTGAAAACCATCCAGCTCTCCAATCACGCTGCCGTCCTCCTCATCAACAAGCACGATCTGTCCCGGCGCAGCCACGCTGTGACTTCCCCGCACGTACCCCTCGCCAGGCTTGAAGTCAGCCGGGTTATACGAGGGCAACGCATCTCCCGCCGCCTCTGCCGACTTCGTTGCGGCGCTTTTCTCATTTTTGCCCTCCCACCACTGCTCGCCCTTGCCAATCTTGGGCGGCGGCGCCCGCTCAAGGAAGGCGGTGCATTGCGCCAGAATCGTCTCGAACGTGTCTACATCCTCCTGAATCCCCTTCCGGCTCTCCACCGAGGGAAACTCGATCCTGGTAAAGGCGCCGCTGCCCGGTCCGAGGTCCCATCGCGGGATTAAATAACTGGTTGGCGGCTGGTGGTAGATCTGCGTCGTGGCCGGAAGGGGCAGGTCGAGCTCGGGCGGCAGGTGGAGGTGAAGGTAGAAGTCCTGTTCCGGGGCGGTATCGGAATCAATCGCGGGGTCGGCAAAAGCGGATGTGGTCGGGACCATCAAAAGGGACAGCGTCTGCGGGCCGGCCGGCGTGAGGAGCTCCTCCTTGCCATTGGCAATGTGGTAGGCCGATACGCCGTTAATGGCGTACAGCAGCTTCGGGTCCTGTTAAAGGGATCAAACGTCAGCCCACAGCAGCAATTACCGCGCACGGGTGCCTTACATTGTGTCCGGATGCCATTGTCACAATTATCAACGCCCTCGGGTTTTGAGAGTTGTGACCCTTCGCGCGTGCGACGTATTGCGCCGCGATGTGAGGTACCTCGGTAGGTAGGTGGGGTGAAACGGGGTGGAAAGCTCGACACCCGCCCGCTATTTTCTTGGAGGTTGCGCTGTTGTTAAGTCAAGGGCAAACTCTCCAAAATGGCGAATGTGCTAAATTCAGACACACACTCACACTTCTCACAGACTTCGTTCCGCAATCGAACGATTTCTTGAAGGCGGGGTCGGTTGGTTGCTTGTTCCAGGAGTTCAAAATAGCAACTGCCCAGCATCCCGCGGCCCCAGGCGCTTAAAGACGTCTCCTGTGTGGAGCATGCAAGAGGCCTCTCGAGACTCCGTCCGTCTCAAAGCGACGTCATTGGCGTGCCAAAAGCAGGCCGTCGCCCGCCACCGTTCAGGCGGACAGACGCGCTCGCCGCGTCCTCCAAGAGGGGAGGAGGCAATGGAGGTTTCGACGAAAGTTTCTTCCACCATCGTCCATGCTGAATATCCCCCCTGAACAGCACAGGTGAGCAGCGTAGGTACGTCAGCCCCAGGCGGGGTATGAGTGAGATTTTATTCCGGTCTGGCCGTCCGTTCAGCCTTGACCCGCGCTCGCCGCGAATGTAACAGGTCATGCCGGCTTTCTACAAGTACTCTCACGTGGCCCCTGCAGCAACCTTCCCCTTCTCCAGGCGGTGTCGCAGCGTGTGTCTGCACGAAGCCCCCAAATACCCATCCCCGATAGTAGCATCCAGGGCTTCCCAGGTCGCCAGGCAGTACCCATGACCTGCGTGCCGTGTGTGTCGCCCCGCGGGCTGATGCCGCTGGAAGTACTTTGTACATACATATATCGTGTATGGTTCAACCCTTGCGAAGGTGTGTCGGCGCAGCACCCTCGATGACGGTTCTCCTTTCTGGGATAAAATCGCGAAAAGCAGGATATCTGCTCAGCCTGCAGGTCTGCCCTTTCGCTCTTGTCCATCCACTAAAGGCGAAACATTTCGGCGTCCTGTCTCGACATTCGTCCACAGTACCTTGCTTTATTAAATTAGTGTCGAGCTGCGGCGGCGCCCCGCGCTCCTGAGCGCGCTCACACAGGCATAGTACACACAGTCGAGCGCTAGGCACAGACGGGCTGGTGTCTAAGAAAGTCCATGTCGGGTCACACTTCGGTGGTACACCCGGCGATTTTCACATTTTGGGTGGTTTCCTGGCAGCTCTCGGCTGCGCCTGAAGTTGGCAACAGACGCAGCATCCCGATATCTTGCTCCCGAGACGGCCTGGAGTAACTACCCCACAACCCACCAACCTTTCCCTTATCAGATCCGGAGCTCGCACGCCGCAATGATGTAGGGATGTGGGCCTTGGGTTGGGTTTCGGTCTGTCCGTACGGCATGCCGGCATTTGGACTCGGGCTTTGGCAGCCAGGCGGCGTTGCTAGACACGGGCGACGATATTGGGAAGCGGTGCGTTTGCAGGTCGGGTCGAATCAGAGCAGGGGCTGGCACCGAGGGGCTGCAGGCGATCCCGATTCGGTCCCGCTCTCGTGCGGCCGGGTCACTTCCACACTTGCCGGTCACAAGAAAGCTGGGGTTCCACAATTCTGAAGGGACCCCCAACCTGCTCCGGCAATCTGATCCCAGCGTCCCGAGGCGGCCAACAGGGTGCCTTCCCGGCGAGAGTGAGAACGGCGCCCGATGGAAGGTCTCAGACCGAATCGGCGCCAGTCAACCTCGAAGGGGGACCGGCCCCGATCCTGCAACAGCTTTTTCCTGCTCGAGCCGTGTTTCTTTTTCTCACCTGCGCCCCCCGCTCGCCGATGCCAACGGCATACTTGTCAACCCGCGAGCCGATGATGGTGTGTTGCGCAGATGCCTTCTTTCTCCTCCGCAGTGGATGTTCCCGCCTTGCCTTGCCATTGCCAGCGGGCCGTAGCACAACCCGCACGCTCGGCCATTCCTTGGAGTGGCACCGCAGCGGAGGCGTGCCTGTGTCCAAAACCCCCGTCACACATGCCGTCGGGTCCGGCAAAGAGTGCCAGACATGCTGTCGTGTACTCGGCCTGACGAGCAGGCACACTGCCGATCACCGCTGCTTGCATCAATAACGTGCAACTGTGCCTGAGGGATGCGGATGTTGAGCCTGCAGTAAATGCAAAACATGCATTGCGAGAGCCCGACGATGGCCTAAACGACTCCTGTGTACACCGAGGGACACCAGTCGCATCGTGCCCCTGATTTTTGTTGGTTCGGGATGGCATCTTGACGAGGTTTCAACCCTCTCTTTAATAAGTGGGAGCGGGGTGAGGAGGGTGGTTCTTGGTGCTTTTGGGAGTTTGGGAAGCGAGCTTCCGATGCCAAGCGGGTGCCGTGGGCAGGCATCCCGGGGGGCCGGCTGAGTCGGTGCAAGCCACGCCCGCCCGCTCGCCGTTGCAGCTACCTATCGGCGCTTACCAACATTGATTTGTTTAACCTCTTATTGTCAAAACGTCATGGATCGAGCCTCGAATTTCCAAGGCCATCATATACCGAGATGCTACCGAGGTGCGGTCGCCTAGAAAGTGATGGTTTTGATACCCGAGTTAAAATAAATAAATATTCGAAGTGGAAGGGGAAGGGAAGGGGATGGTGCTTTCCAGGCCGCCCGTCTCCGTAAATGGGACCCTACCGGAGCTTGGCTTGCTCCCACCTGCTCTGCGCTAGTGAGCAACCGAACCACCCACGCAGCGCGAACGCGGGCTGGCAATGAGGACTCGGCGTCTGTCGAGCGCATGGAACCTGGAAGGCAAGAGCCATCCAAGCCAGGGACTTTCCGGGGCAGCGCTCAAAAAATAAAGCCCGCATAGACGCCACTTCCATTCATCTGCTCTCCGTCTCATCCCACCTTGAGAACCCCGTCTCCATCCAAAGTTTCCAGGTTGTTATCGCGACCTTCCACAACCTTAACAATCCTCGTGGGACTTCCTCGTGGGACCCTCCTTCGCGCGCGCTGAGCATCCGCACCCACCCGGACCCTAGCACAACACGTACCTGGCCCTGCCGACGTTGCCGACAAGACCGACGCTACCGACCCATACCATCCACCATCCACACCATCCATCCATACCTTGCCCTTGGCCCTTGTGCCTGTGTGTGCACATCCATCCCATGTCCCAGCCCACCGACTCGGGCCCTGTTCAGTTCGCCTCCACGCTCGGCTGACCGACATTCTGCCCCGACTTTCTACTAAACCTAAGCTAAGCTCAGCTTCCATCTCTCGACTTCGACTTGAGCCGCCGTCTGTCACTCAACAACCACCGCACCCGCACCCGCACCCGCACGATCCTGCGTCCCCCGCTCCCGTCGCGGAACCCGAGAAGCGTCGCCAACAACGTTTCGGCGTCACATTGGCTTGCCCGGATAGACACATCTGCGCAGTCGCCGACCACTCACTCGCCCGACTGCCCGCGCATCCGGATACCTGCACCTTTGGTGGACGCCGTCACACCCACAAGGTAGTGCAGCCGCCCATCTAGCTAGCTCGTTGTTTGGCCCCCCCGTCCCGGCAGCCCTTCCTCCCCTCTGCCAACCGAGTTCTCGCCCCTCCGTCCGCCCCCCTTCCGGTCTGCTGTGCTGCCCTGGACCTTGCTCCCGCGACTGCCGCCGCGACCTCCCTCGCCAGCGGCGCCCTCTTGAGCCCGCGTATTTAGTCCGTTCACTCGCGGACCGCCCGACCACCCCGACCGAACGTCGAGTCTCGGCCCCTCCCTCCCGTGCCCGCATCGCGACCGCCGAGCGGTCTTGCAGCCGCCTGTTGCACTGTACCGTGTGGCCAGGGAAGGCCTTGTCTCCCTTGTGTTTGGTCAAGGGGTCCGTTGCGAGACCCAACCCGTCGTCACGATTGCTTCCCATCTCCGCATCCAGTCCATCCTCTCTCCTCCTGAGCCGCCCGACGCCCAGTCGGCCGCGGCAACTCCATCATTTGAACAGCAGCAGTCCATTCCGAAGAGAAAGTTCCACGACGCCTTTACCGCACCGGCGCCCGATGCGCCCATCGAACCGGCCGAGCCGCCCGCGCCGCCACATCCCCATCCGCTCCCGCAGCGCTTGCCCAACATACGCCAGCCGTTGCCCCACAGCCCGCCACGGCCCGCCACGGTCGGGGCGGCCCGCAGCCAGGGCCACACTGCCGCCATAGCCGTGAGCGCCGTGAGCGCCGACGATGACAGCAGATCGCCCGTCCAGTCTTCCGTGATGGCAGGCAGTCCTGGCAGCCCCGGCGGCATGGACAGCAAGAAAGGGATCAAGCGGACGCCCTTGAGATCCAGCATCGCCTGTCAACGCTGCCGGAAATCCAAAATCAAGTGCAACAATACGGGAGGCGACCAGCCCTGCGAGACGTGTATCCGAAATGGCAAGGAGTGCACCTACCCCGAAGTGACGCCTGCCCCGCCGAAGCGGTCCGAGCCGCCTTCGGGCGCCAAGATGGAGCAGGGCTCGGAGCGGAAGCGTCTACGGCGGATTGAAGATATTGTTAAGATGGAGGGCGCCGTCCCGGCCGCCGTTGTTGCCGAAGATGTCCTGTCGGCACCCTACCTCACCGGAACCATATGGAACCAACTGTTTGACATCTATAGGTTGCATTTTGCGACCGAGCTGCCCTTTCTACACTTGGCCACGTTGAAGGAAAAGCAGGGTAACAGGTCGAGGGCGAAGCCTGCCGACACGTCGCCCGAGATCAACCTCGTACTGCTGGGCATTCTCACATTAACAGCGCGGTTCCACGGCACCTTGGTTTCCTACATCACAGCGCCCAGGAACAGCCCATCAGCGTCCGGCATGCCCAAGCCCCGGCCCGCCGGCGGCCCGGCCTCGGATGCAGCAGCGGCCTCGGAGTATTACGCCGATGTCCTCACGAAGGCCCTCGGAGGCCTAAGAACCAGCATGACCGTGGCTTCCGTAGAGCGAGTCCAGGCATTTTTGATGCTGGGCCTCTATGAGTGGAGCCAAGCGCGGCCGAGGGTTGGGGGGATGGCCGCCTGGATGTACGTTGGCGTTGCTATCCGGATGTCGCAGGCACTAGGTCTGGGTGATGGAGATAAGGAGCCCAACAAGGTCTTCCGGCCCCGGCCTATTAAGCCTGCCCAGCAAACCATGTCGATCACTGCTAGGGAGATCAGGAGGCGCACCATGTTTAGCTGTCTGATCTTGGACCGGTTGTTGGGCTGCGGCAAGGATCGAGTCTCGACGATTCGCTCCGAGGATCTGCGAATCCAGCTACCGTGTGCCGAAGTCTCATTTGACCTCGGGCATGACGTCTACACGGGTTTCCTAAAGCCGACCTCGGTAGTCGAGACAACCCGGCCGATCTCCGATAGCGTGCTCGGCCGCTTCGTCCGCCTCGTCGACCTCTGGGGGGAAATCTCCGAGTGGAGTTTCTCCGGTGGCCGCTTTACAGAAGAAGAACGCCCTCCGTGGTCGCCCGAGTCGAACTTCTTCCAGCTACGTGAGAAGCTAGAGGCGTTCTACGACGGTCTTCCAGACGAGTTCAGGTGGTCGGATAGCAACTACTACAAACACGAAAACCACCAGGCCAGCAGCGTGTACGTTTCGCTACACATGCTCGGCGCCGTGTGCAGGATCATGCTCCACCGCGAGTACATCCCCTTCATCCCCATCCTCTGCAACAAACCAGTTGGTCCTCTCGATGAGCCTACGTTCGCGCCCGGCCAGGAGCCGCAAGGCTTTTGGGAGGTTAGTGCCGAGGAAATTTTCCATGCGGCCAAGGATATCGTCGACCTCGCCGAGATCTGCCGCGACAAGTTGCCCATGTCATCTCTCGTTCTCTTCGCGGTCTGGACCGCCGCCTTTGTCGGCATCTATGCGGTCCACTTCCCGCACATCGACACCAAGGGGCATATGCTTCCCAAGGAGGATGTCAACGGGCCTCTCGACGTGACCAGGCACGGCCCCACGGGGCTCACGTACAAGTTGCTGACACATATGTCGCTGTGGCTCAAGCTGGCAGAGACATTCGTTAGTTATTTTGGAGAGATGGACCGGTACTACGACATGGTCAAGCAAGACTACGAGAGGCATGTCGGCGGTGGTCGTATCGGTGGCGGCGGTCTAGAGGAGTGGAAGGAGCGGGCTTTCAAGGTGGTCAACAACGGCGAGATACTGGTCGTCGACGAAGGCAAGAGCTCCTCACGCGACAGCACCGTCGAACCCGGCTCCTCGATCGGCCCGGATAGCAATCACGGCCCCACCGACCACGCCAAGACGCCCCGGTCCACGTCCATGTCGTTCACCCCCATCAACACATCGCAGTCACACGCCGGCCAGCCGGACGAGGCCGCCGCCGAAGCCGCCGCCTCGACCCTCTGGCGCATCCAACAACCGCACGGACAGCACAGCCAACACCAGCACCCGCACCAGCATCAACACCAGCACCAACACCAACAACACGCACAACACCAACACCAACAGCCCTCACCCTCCCAATCCTCGGGCGCCGTCCCCTCCCCGCAGCTATCGCAGCACCCGCACCCGCACCCGCACCACCCGCACGCGGGGCTGACGGCGGCGGTGCCCAAGCTGCCGCCGTACGCGTCGAGCGAGGTGCTCGAGTACGTGGAGCAGAACCAGTCGATGCCGTGGAGCCTGGCGCCCGGCGGGGTGGACCAGTTCGCGCACGGCACCGAGGAGCTGGTGCTCGACGGCGGGCCGCTCTACTGGCCCGGCATGGCGGCCGAGGGGTGGGCTATGGGCGGGGTGATGACGCAGGGGGTGGGGGGGTATTCTACTTATTAGGGGGGGGGGGGGGGGTGTTCTTCTTGTTGAGAAGGAGGGGGGGGGGTGTTCTTCTTATTGAGAGGGGGAGGGTTGTTCTTATTAAGGGATGGGGGAAGAAAAGGGGTTGTGGTGTGGTGTGATGGTGAAGGGGAGGTGTGGTCTGTGAGTGAGTGTGTGGTATGGTTGATGTGGTGTTATGAGTGTGACGCGGGAGTGGAGTATGGTGCGGTGAATGTGTGGTGTGGTCCGTTGTGTGTGGTGAGTGGCGAGTGTGTGTGTGGTGTGTGGTTTGTGGCGTGGGTGTTCAAGAGAGTATCTTGGTTGCTTGTCCGGTTGGTTGCCTTGGTCGGTCGGCAGGTGGGTGGGCGGTACATCTGCAATGAAAATGGGTTGTTGTTTTGTTTGGTATGCACTTGCGGCTGGGGCTGGGGCTGGGCGTGTGGGCGTGCGGGTGTTTTTTTCTTCTTCTTTTTTCTTTGGTGAGCATCGATCGAGCGGTGTGTCTCTGGTTGTGGTTGCTGGTGGCTGGCTGGCAGTGGAGGAGAGAGCAATGGGGTCGACGGGGTGAGAGAGAACATTGGGAGGACGGCAGCTCGGATTGTGATTCAGAACGCATAATTTACTCTGATTGAAGCATCTATCTATTGTCTGTTCTTGAGCTTGGTTGTTGGGCGGTGTGTTTGTCTGTCTGGGCCGGGTGTGTTTCTCCAGACAGGGTCATCCATCGTCGATATCCCGGTTGGGTCACTCGATCGATCGGTTGTCAACGTGTTGCGGTCTCTTGGCTGGGAATGGTATGGTGGCTGGCCACCACCGCGTTGGTTGGCCTTCCTCCGTGGGGGTTTCGACAGACGCCGAGATTGGCCTTAGTTGTTGTCTCATCTTCCCCTGTCTTGCTTTCCCGCTCGGTAACGAGCAAGGCCGCCAGCCCCCCACGCTTGCTGCTGGGGTAAGCGGTCTGGATGCCAAATTGGGTCTTTTTAGGCAGAGTTATCACGGGGGTCAGTCACAATGGAATGGAATGGAATGGAAGGCGGACTGCCGAGGCATGGTTTTGAATGAATTCCGGGGTTTTTGTCCCCATTGTTTTTAAGTTTTGGCTTTTTTGTTTTGTTTTGTGAAGAGAAACGCTAATGCTGGCAGGGTAACTCATCGATCCCCATAGTGATACAGCAGTCCCAACACCAAAAGAAGAATGCATGAAACAAACCGTGTCATCAAGTCGTCCCAAGCCGAATACCAGGTAGTACAATCTCGCGGGGTATATCCTTCCTTTCCAGTCCGTCGCCCGTCCTTCCAGTGCCACCGTAATGCCGTATGAATAGTTGTTATTTTTGTCGCTGTTGCTGCCGCTGCCGCTGCCGCTGCCGCTGCCGCTGCCGCTCTTTGTCTATCTCGAGACGGACGAGGCGGTGGAGACGGTCGAGTCGTTGGTGTTGGTCCTGCTCAGGCGGGCCATGAAGAACTCCATGTCGCGCTTGACGATCTCGGGGAACCTGGCTTCTCTGTCTGCTGCGGTGGACCCGTAGTCGGTGCTGGTCGACTGCATGCTGCTGGACCGGCTGTGCTGGCCCGCGAAGGAGGTGTCCTGCTGGTCTTGGTTCAGGAGCATGTTGGTTGCGTCGAGGGATCCGATGGAGGCAGGCATATCGCTGGCTGGGTTTGGTTGGGCTGGGTGAGGTTGTTAGCAAGGGGATGAGGCTGGTAAGGCTCTGGGTATCGTTGGCTTACAGGGTGTGTTACGGGAGGTGTTATTTGTTACAGGGAGAGTGTGAGAAAGGGAGTGAGTCTGAGATACAGAGGGCAAGTTCAAACTTTTCAACCCAGAGAGAAGCACCGGTCCAAACTGAAAAGAAAGAGACAACTTCTTTTCTTCCCGGTGCCTCGAGCAGTACTTATATCTGAGAAGACCACCCCCATCCCGAGCCCAACTCTTGACACAGCAGAACTTCTCGAGCTGCAGGGGTCGCGTGGGTGAAGACACGCCATTGGCCGCCTCTCAGCCTTTTCCCCAGATATCGTTGGCTGCAGCACGTCATTCGGTGTCGGGATAGGGCTCGAGACAAGGGATTTGCTTTGGGCTGCTGCTCTCGTGACCGTCTCCGTGGGAGGGTACCGCTTGGGGGCCTTGAAGGATGCCTGCATCTCCGGAGTCCGAGCATTGGTTTGTCAAGAATTTCTGGGTCTGGACGCTTCTCGCCCGCTTCTCACGACTCCATTGTCGATCTCAAGCGGCCTGTTCAGCCCACATGCCCCGGCAATCACGCCGCATCTGCTCTTGAGCCATGTGCTGCGGGCCGAGATGGCAGCGGCTTTGCACAGTAGTCTAACTTTGAGCTCGCGTGCCCCCTGTCAGAGTCGCCGCTAATGAGATGAGTGCCGGCTTTTCCATTGTTAGGTTTTCGGTGTGAGTTGTTGAAAGGTCCATAACTACCTAAGTAACGACATCAGGCTGGGTACCGTCGTCATCGTCGAGGGAGGAGATAGTGTGACTGATGACCAAGAACGGCATGGCAGGGTGGCAGACAACACCAACCACACCATAAGGTTCGGCTCACCCCCCCTCCTTCGCAGCCGAGGTAGCCTCGAAGCGATGCCGTGAGCCGTGACCCCCACATCACGGCCCGATTTCTCGGCCACGCCAGGGCGTCTACCCCAGGTGCCGCAGCTGCAGCCGACCCAAAGCGACAAGAAAGCCCAGATGGTTGTGCCGAGCTGGGGTGTGACAGGTCAGGGGCAGATTAGCTACCCCGACCATGGCCACCAACTTATGCGGGCTGCGAAGGATGACGACGGCCATCTTGACTTCAGATACCAATACCCCCAGGGCTATCGCAAACTCCATGGTGTAAATGTAGGTAACTCCAACATGTTCCTGCCGAACTACCAGCCGCTTCCTCATTCGCTACCTATCGTTTTGATAGGCCGACTGTTTCGGAGCATACTCCAGGGGCAGGCAATGGCAGCGGTAAAACCTTGGGTGTAAAAATGGCGTGGGATTAGAAGGGAATCAGAAAGGAATCCGCTCTCGTGAAAGGGAAGGGACAAAGGCAAAATAGGGGGAAGCGTCTTGCTAAAACCTTTGTACCGAGTTAGTTTCAGTGGTAATCTTGAGTGGTGTATGCAGAGTATTTTGAGACTCGAGGATCTCTTGTACACCAACATAGGTAATAATATAGCGTCACACATCGTCAGCCTGGCTGCCGTGTTCCGTCGGTCTGCGGTGTGTTGGACAGGTAACTCTGAGACATGGAGAGAAGTAGGAAATGAATGAACCCGTCCTGATAAGTTAAAATGCCAGATGACTTGCCAAAGACGAAACTCCAAGTCATTTCCGTCCGCTGCCGGCTTCCCGGGAGAAGATGAGATGTGGGAAAAGGGTTTCGAATTTAGGATGACCATTATTTTCTCTGATGTACTTCGAAAAGTTCCGAGAAAGGTATTTTCAGACCAAGTTGTGCTCGAAAACCAAACGCGCAGCCAAATCGCGTTTGTTTACTTTCTCTTTCTCCATCCCCCTCCCCTCAAACGGCACAAAAAGATGTTTTGACCACGGCACCTGTTGCAATTAGATTGCTTGAGTCGTACTATATTTTGGGATTTTTGGAGCGGCCGCCATGGTTCGTGTACTATTTATGGTGTTTTCGCTCTTTTATGTGTTCTTGTCGCCGGCCTTTGGCCTTCTAATACGGCCACACGAGGCCAACAATCTCTTACTCCCGTCATACGACTACGTTATTGTCGGAGGAGGGGTTTCCGGACTTGTGGTTGCTAATCGGCTCAGCGAAGACTCGAACGGTTTGCCCCTCTCTCATCACTGGCTGGTAACGGTACTGACAGCATCCAGTGATAGTTCTCGTGCTCGAAGCTGGGGAACTGTAAGGAATCAGCTTCGCCGGGAATATTCTCGCTAACACGACTTTCAGGGACGACTCCTCGAATATCGTCACGGTGCCGGGACTAATTGGTCACGGATTCCCTCCGACCTACAACTGGAATTTCACCACTGCACACCAGAAGTTCCTCGACAATAACACGCGAGACTACGGGCAAGGACATGTGGTCGGCGGGGGGAGCATTCTCAACGGCATCGTCACTACCCGGGGTGCCCGGGCCGACTACGATGCCTGGGAAGCGCTGGGAAATCCTGGTTGGGGCTGGCAAGACATGCTGCCCTACTTCAAAAAGGTGTGTCTGGGGGCACAGTGACGGTCAATCCGTCCGTGTCATTACTAAAACGCCGCAGAGTGAGAAGTTCTCGATTGGCTTGTCCCCGCAACGCGCTAGGGGACTTCACATCACACCCGACCAGTCCGTTCATGGGACCAGCGGCCCCCTCGAGGTCACTTATCCCAATTTTCTCTACAACCAATCCAGTAGGTCACCATCACCACAGTGTTTGTCATGGAAATCGAAACTGACAACACCTAGCCAACTTCCTTCGCGGCCTCTCCGAGCTAGGCGTGCCACTCCTCGCGGACCCAAACGCCGGCGTCGCCGTCGGAGCCATGATCGCCCCTTCGAGCATGTCGGCTAGCAACCAGTCAAGGATGGACAGCAGAAGGGCTTATCTCGACCCCGTGCTACACCGGCCAAATCTGCACCTGGCCGTTCAGCAGACCGTAACCCGCCTTCTCATCGAGTCTAATAGCACCACCAACCTTTCCGTCTCGCCCTTTGGGCATTTGGTCCGGGCGTACGGAGTTGAGGTAACCGGAACACAGCCCGAGATTTTTAGATAGCGGGACTAACCGGAGACAGTATTCCACCTTCGCTGCGTCTCCACGTCGGCAGGTGTTATGCAGCAGAGAGGTCATCCTCGCCGCTGGGGCCATTATCTCGCCAGCCCTGCTCCAGGTGTCCGGGATCGGCCCGGCCGACCCCCTGAACGAACTGAATGTTCCAGTTAAAGTTGATCTTCCGGGGGTGGGACAGAACTTCCAAGACCACCCGATGGTCGGCGTGTTTTACAACTGTGCGTTCTCACCTACCTATCTTTAAACACGCACCCGGTCCTCTAACCAGCGGTAGACACCAAACCCGGCCTCTTCACAACTCGAAACCTCACCGGTGACACCCTCCTCCAAGCCAAAGAAGATTACTTTGTTAACCGCACAGGTAAGTCTCTTTACCCCTTTTCCCTTTCAAAGCGCTCAACTAAAACCCTCGACCCCAGGCCCGTGGACAACCCCCCTAATATCCACCATCGCCTTCGCCCACCTCAGCCACCTCACCACCAACACCACCAACACCACCTCCCTCCTCACCTCCCTCTTCCGCCCTCACCTCAATATCCCCCTCAACAACAACCCCAACAACGCCCCTCCCCTCACCCCTTTACTCACCACCCACCACCCCAACACCCGACTCAACACCCTCCTAACTTCCCACCTCCCTCCCACAACACGCCACCACAAAGCCCTCCTAGCAGGCTACGCCGCCCAACTCGCCCTCCTGACCCCGCTCCTGCAGCACGACCCCACGGTCGCGGCGCTCGAGCTCATGGCCGACTCGCTCGGCACGCTGACCCTCGCCGTGCAGCACCCGCTCAGTCGCGGGACGGTACGCGCGCTCGCTGCAGATTTGCTCGCGGGAGGGAGCGGTGACGGGGACGGGGACGGGGACGGTAGAGGCGTGGCGGGGAATATCGAGCTGGATCCGCGGTACTGTTCGCATCCGGGAGATTGTAAGTTGTTGGTGGCTGGGGTGGGGATGGCTGGGAGGGTGGTGGGGACGCGGGCGATGCGGGAGTTGAGGCCGAGGGCGGAGGTCGCTTTTGGGGCTGCTTCTTTTGGTGGCGGTGATGGTGGCGGTAGTGATAGTGAGGCGGCGGTGCTGGAAATGGTCAAGCAGCGGGTGCAGACCGAGTTTCACGCATCGGGGACCACGGCGATGATGCCCTTCGACTTGGGGGGTGTGGTTAGCGAGAGGTTGGTGGTGTATGGCACCGAGAATGTGAGGGTGGTCGATGCCGGGATCATGCCGCTAGTTGTGGGCGCTCATATACAAGCTGCGGTGTACGCGGTTGCAGAGAAGGTATGTTCATGTTTCCGATTCCTTTCTACGTATTTCTCACAGTGCTAGCTTTTCTCGCTGGCATCGGGAAGGTGTATGGAGAGGTGGTATATGACTCGGATGCTAACCAGCATGGAACAGGCGGCGGATCTCATCAAAGAGGACAACAGGCGCAATACACCAGCGGACGTCTCGGGTCCGGCAAGGGCAAACGGGGTATTTGCGTCGTCCATCCACCGGCCTTGACCTGGCATCAAAAAAGGAGCCCAGCTAACGACCGCCGCTCTCAGAGGATCATCTCACAGGAAAGAGGTCGCCAGCGCATTTCGGCGAGGGGACATTTACATCATTCGATCAAGGGGTCCAGACAAGAGGTCAGGGAACTGTAGTCAACAAACATGGTAGTTTATTGTAGTCACCTCGCCAGACAGGCACTTAATCGTAATACAATGAAAATTACCCCGAGGGGTCTAAAGAACGTTATCTCACCACAACTGCATCAACTGCTTTCATATGCATCAACTTCCATATCCCGGGTATCAGTGCAAATTCGTTTTCCAGACATCACCCACCCATTACCACATACTCCCCCCTTTCCCCGATTCCCCAACAACCACCCCATTAACCCCCATCCCCCTCTTATTCAAAACGAGCCACAGTTCTAGAAATAAATCTTCTCCTCCCAGACGGGCGGGCGGGTGCTCTCGCGGTCCCAGACCAGCTTTCCGTTCTCGTCCAGCTCGCAGCCCTCGTCGGTGATGGGGATGACGCGGCTGGTGTGGGCGACCTCCTGCTTGGAGACGCCGGCGGCGTCGGTGGGGATCCACAAGAGGGGGGTGCCGCTGGTGACGGAGGGCGGGTGGTAGGCGTCGGCGGCGACCTCGTCCGAGTAAGGGTCGAGCTGCAGGCCGCGCGGGACCAGGGCGCGCAGGGTCTTGTAGTCGGCGTAAATCCACGGCTTGAGGAAGCGCGTGAGGAAGTTGCCGGCCTGGCCCGTGGCCTTCTTGGCCTCGAGCGCGTGGCTGACCGACACCTCGGTGTGGTCGACCACGCCGTCGCCGTCGAGGTCGTGGTGGGCGCCGTTGCTGGGGCCGACGGCGGCGGCGGCGTCGCCCTTCTCGGCGTCGAGGAGGCGCGTAGTCTCCTCCTCGGCGAGCAGGGTCAGGGGCAGGTTGTACAGCAGCGGGTCGAGGGCCGAGTTGAGCGACAGGTGGAAGAGCACGGTGAAGACGAGGAAGATGATCATGAGGACGAGGGGGCCAGGGGCGACGGACGCGCCGAAGAGGCCGATCATGCACACCTCAGCGAGGTAGATGCCGGTGAAGAGCTGCTTGATCGCCTTGGGGTAGATCAGGCCGCGCGTGTCGATCTGGGTGTCGGTGACGAAGAAGATGTTGTAGCGCCAGGCGAAGTAGAAGAGGAACATGGCAACGGTGGCCCAGCCGAGCATCAGCGGGGCGATGCACGAATAGGTGATGGCTGATGGGTTAGTCAGTACAATTTAGCCGAAGACGGGGGGAAGGGCGGTGCTTACCGATGACCACAATGTTGGTGTACACGGGCATGGTGCTGCCCCACGAGATGGCGCTCAGGTTGGACCACTTCTGGTAAAGTGCGCGCGGGGTGTTGGCCAGGAACTTGTACAGCAGCGTGAAGACGAAGAAGCCGACGACCTGGGTCAGCACGCTGGTGGCGATGGTCAAACCCTGGACGATAAAGTAGGAAATGTACAGGTTGGAGGCCTTGGGCAGGTTCTCGGCCAGGATGGTCGGGGCGCTCGCGGGGTTGTCGATGATTTGCTGGGCGACGGCGGTGGCAGAAGAGGCCACGGTGGCGACGAGGAAGACCTGGATAACCTGGAAGGCGAAGTAGGCGTTTTGCGTGAACAGCTCGACTCTCGAAACCGAGGGCTCTCCGGCCAGCTTCGCGCACACTACTTCTGGTTAGCTGGGTTCTGTGTTCGCACACGTGCAAGGAGTCTCGAGACGTACAGCGCATGACGATGGGCACCAGTGACATCAGGATGGACAGCAGGACCGAGGGCAACAGGCCGGTCACGACGCCCATAATGACGTCCGGTATCTGGTCGAGCCATCGGAGGAAGGGGAGGCTTTTAAGGAAGTCGATGTTGCTGACGATACCGACAAAGGCGACGGGGATGGCCCAGAAGAGGATCAAGGCGGCGATGAAGCCCAGGACGGCGTAGCGGCGGATGACCTTCTGCCACCAGGGGATGGCGAGCGACTTCCAGATGACCTCGCCGGGCCGGATGCCGACGTACTTGGGCGTCATGTGCAGACCCTGGTGATGAGCAAGGATCTGCGAGGCGCCCTCGGCGTCGGACTGGGTGCGGAACTCGACGAAGACGCCGGGGATGTTCTTGAAGCCTCCCGCGCGGTACTTGCCCTGGGCGGCCTCGACCTCGGGGATGAGGCGCTCCAGCTCGGTGCGGCACCAGTTGATGGTGTCGACCTTCTTGCCGACCAGGCCGAGGAATCCGAGACGGTGGGTCGGGCGCTTCTTGGGGGGCACCCAGCGGGCGGCAATGCTGCCGGACTCAGCGTCGCCGACGATGGGAGCCTTGTCGGCCTCGTCGGGGGAAGCGCCCTTCTTGATGGCGGCCTGGCGCGCCTTGTTGGCGAGCTTGATCAGCTTGACCTCGGCCTTCTCGAGGCGCATGGCGGCCTTGTCGCGGTTCTCGACCAGCTCGTCGACCTCCTTGGTGTCGCCGGTGATCCAGACGTTCTTGACGGCGGCGCCAAAGACCTTGCGCATGCTCGCCTCGTTCAGGTACGGGGCCGGGACCGAGGTGAACAGCACGGTGCGGGACGAAAGACGGTCGGCGTAGAAGGGGCTTAGCAGGAAGGCCTGGCGCAGGTTGATAAAGAAGATGCACTCGCGCATGATCAGGTACATGACGAAGCCAAAGTAGGCCCATCCGACGAAGCAGTGAGCGTAGTAGCGGTTGTACTGGTTATCCCGGTCGATGTTGGAGTACGACAGGATGTTGAGCTCGGTCTGGCCCACGCTGCCGGTGGCATTGACGGGGAAGAGGATGGGCCATGTGATGCAGCAGCCGACGAAGCACAGAATCAGGGCCATGCGAAGGTAGCGGAGGTAGAGGTAGGCATCGAGCGACTGGTGCTGGAGAGCGTACACGTCAGGTATCTTCCAGAAGCTCCCTACCCAGTTGAACAAGCCGCTAGGGAGGGGAGGTGAGCGCTCGCTGGTGACATGTTAGTACTGCAAACTGGGGATTGAAGACTCTTGAGCCCCCGATTGAAGGTGACCATGGCGTACCCCTCCCGCAGACTCCCGAGGTAGGTTCTCGGGGCATAGTAGCGTCTTTGGCTCTTTCGCAAGATCAAGAAGACGGCGATGTAGATTCCCGAGATGACTGCGACCGGAGCGAGGGTCGCGATCATGCCTGCATTCTGCTGTCAGCTTCCCGCCCGGAGGTGGTTCCGTGTCACATTGAGCCAGGCATGGGACTCACCCGAGAGCGAGCTCGAGTCGGGCGTCTCTTTGTCGCTACTCATGATGGCGACGGTGCAGAATCACTCTGCAGGCCCCTGAATTGGTTTTTCTGTCTTTCGATATTTCGGATTCGAGTGTCGACAATGTCAATGGCTGACGACGACGACGACGACAATGCCCGGGACAAGAACTCCCTTTCAGCAGGGCGGGTTCTGAAACAGGCGTGTCAGATCACGAAATGATGGTAGGAAACGGCATTGACAAACGCCGAAGCGGGTTGGTGTTCGTTATGAAGGTCTGGCCCAGGCCAAGGCGCTTGCGGCCGCCAGTGAGAGTGTGTTTCGGTAGGGAGCACAGAGCAAATGCAACGCGAAGAGGGGCGCGTTTGGCTGAGACAAGGGGTACCTCGATGGCTTGGACTGGCTCGGGGAAAGTGCAGGGGAGGTCCAAGAAGCTTGGACGGGGAGCTAATTTGCACTTTCTGCGCTTGCTGCACTCTTTCCTCTTGGGTTCTCGACTGGCACCATGACAGTAAAATATCAATCGAACGGCGGGCATGAAGCTAAAACTTCAACCTGCCATTTCTTCCAGGTTCAACATCGGGCATCAGCCCTGACACTCACACACTGCATCATTGTCGAGTCTGGAAGCTGGCTTTGTTCCTTGGCTGGCACCCCCGAAACTGCCATTCGGGAAAGTTGATGGCGCTCAATGACGCAGGACCCTGCCAATCGCTGCGAGGAGTGTGGGGCGTTGCAAATTTGAGCAGCTGGACCAGGGTCACGGCAATCGCACGCGATGCAACCCTTCGCGAGCTGCAAATCTCGAAAGCGGGCCGGTCTTTCACATTCGGCATCTTCCATCTCCACGGCCTTGAATTCATCTCAAAAGCGCAGCATCTTCCCATCCGCGCCATTTTGTCAAGCACTTGCAGCAGCTGACAACAAACCCACGGTGATTGCCCGATCACCAACCACATGCGAGCGGAGAGGCTGCCTTAGCTTGGTCAATGTCTCAGGCGAAATGATGGCACTTGACTGTGTTGAGAGGACAACGCAGCAAGCCATCTCCCGGTCCGTTTTGGTGTGTTTGGGTTGCTGTCCCGATCGATGGGCGCCCTCCATCGGTTCGCCGACTGGGCCGTCCATCTGCAGATCGCGCCCAGGACCTGGCTCTCCCCGCAGTCCAAGTCCCCACTTCCACCTGGCTTGTTGAGCTTGTGTCACCACACAGTGCCACATCACACAAAAATCTGGGAAACAAGGAGAGAAGTCTGTTTAGCATCCCAGCCTCTTGTTGATTCTCGATGTGAATCATACGATACCTGGGGCCAGTCACATTCCTTGCCGAGCATCACATGCCATTCTAGTCCAGAGTCGGTTTGGGGGTTTTGTCTTTGGGAGACTAGTAGGTTATCACTTAGGTAGTTATGTATACTTTTCACACAGGAGGGGGGGTTCGAGAACGAATTGCCACCCTTAATATCGCGGGCCGAGGTGTTCCTTCATTACATAACTATGTAGTTACGTTAACCCCTGGCTGCGTCTGGACGCGCCGCTTTTCCAGCCATTGCTCAGCACCTCAGGTGCTCAGCTGTCCAAGCATCGTTCCAATTGAGCAGTCAGCTGGCAGGGGTTCCACCAGCGATGTTCAAGTTACCGCCCAATCCGGCGTGTGCTTGCCAAACATCGAGGAATTGTCACGAGTTGGTGTTGCAGCCGTCCGCAATGACGGCTGGCTCTCAATGGGATGGCAGTGTTAATGACTAGTTTGCGAGAGTTTCGTGATGGGGGCTCTGTGAATAGTTACCAGTTGATGTTACTATGGACCTCTATCTGCTGGTGGGAGATCACCCTACCATAGTTACCAGCCTTGAGCTACTCACTCTATTTCATTCCAGTGCAAACGGGTTGCTCTACAGCCATGAGCTCATAGGCTCAGCCCCAGCCGTCAAGAACGGGAGTGTTATGTAGACTGCCGCTTTCGTCGATTGAGTTGCGGCTTTCTCTTTATCCATATATGCTCTGCAACAAAGACCACAATGCCTCAAACTGCTAACGACGCATACGGCTTGACTACCTACCTCATCATGACAATGGGTGTCCCTAATATGAAGAGGGCAGCTGGCCTGCCGTCCCGAAACACAGTCTCAACCTCGAGCCGGTTGCACGAGACACGCCTATTATATCACATTGTCTACACCCCGTCAGAGAAATGGCCAACGTAGCCCGCAGAGCCGTTCCGGTCCACCTAGCAGAGCACGAGGACGACGACCATGCCGACCAAAGGGGTTACATCAAGGGGACCGATTTTGCGCTGCCATACTTCTCTCAGTGGTCACGGCTGCACGAGTCCGAAGCCAGTGACGGCCTGCTCCGCCATGTCAGCTGCGGCTACCTCTCGACGCACGGGGTGCCGCCGACGCTGCTAGCCCTCAAGCAGCACGCCCAGTCACTGTGCGTGCTCATCCACGCGCTGAACCCAACCCTCAAGTCCGCCGAGATCGCCAGCGGCAGCCCGGCCAAGGCACGCCCCAAGGAAAAGGGGCAAGGGGGGCAAGCGGCGGCGGTCGAGGACGCGCTCAGCTTCAAGTACAAGCTCAACGACGCCTTCGACTTCCTCGCCGACCTAAGCGTGCCCTACACCAACGATGACCCCAACCACCACAAGCCCCTGACCGGCCTCGCCAACGAGGTGCGCGGCCGCCACGAAGTCCTGGGCACCACCTACCACTGCCCCTTCGCTGAGAGCAAGCCCCGCGGCCGGGGCGAGAAGCAGAAGCCCTACGCGAACCACCACAACCTCATCATGCACGCCAACGCCTGCCTCGAGCGTCTCGACCACGAGTTCAGCAGCACCGGCGGCCTGATGAGCCTGCTGCCCACGGCAACCACCACCAGCACCACCACCTCCTCCACCGACCCAGGCCCCTCCCATCCCTCCGACCTCACCAACGCGCGCAACAGCCTCCTCGGCCAATGGCTACACTTCACGCAAACGCTCGTCGCGCGCATGCACGAGCTCGAGCGGGCCTACGGCAACGCGCTCGACGCACTGGCGGGCGAGGCCGCCATCCCGCACCAGTCCCTCGCCGCGCTCGGCCCGGACGGCCGGTCCACCGGTCGCGTCGTCGCCTTCCCGCAGGACCGGTGGGTGCTGGCCAACGCGGGCGACGACGTCTTCGCGGCCGTGCACCGCCTGCTCGACCGGCAGGAGGCGCTCGCCCAGGCGCGCGACCGCGTCTGGCGCCGCAACGGCGCCGTCGGCGACCGCCTGTGGTCTGGCTCCACCCCCGCCAGCCCCGGAGCGCGGGTCCGGGCCCGGGACTACGCCCGCGGCATCGTGCCCGTGGACGTCATGACGCGGTATTACCGCCTGGCCGGGTCCGGGCACACCACGCTGTTTGTGGTGCCCGCGTGGGAGCAGCACCCGGGCGTGGAGGCCTCGCGCGACAACAACAACGCTGCCACCCCAACAATCGTCGCCTGCCCGCAGCCCAAGTTCCCCGCGCGCGCGACCGAGCTGGAGAAGCGGTACGGGGCGCGGCTGGAGCGGGCGCAGCGCGCCGAGCGGGAGGCGCTGCGGGCGCGCGGGGAGCTGCAGGGCGCGCGCGGCGAGATGGGCGTGCTGCGCCGCCAGATCGAGGTGCTGGCCCGCTCGAGGGACGCGCTCATGCTGGCGGTCGGTGGCGGGGATGGGGATGGGGATGGGGATGGGGATGGGGAGGCGATGAAGGTTGCCGCCGCGGCGCACGAGCAGAGGGAGAGGGCGGTGAGGGCGGAGAGGGAGGTCGAGGCGGCGAGGAGGGAGAGGGATGGCGCGTTGGAGAGGGAGGAGAGGTTGAGGGAGGAGGTGGAGGGGTTGAGGAGGGAGTTGGCTGCTATGGGGGTGAGGCGGTAGGGGGGGGGTGTTGTTGATTTTTTGTGTCAATTTGGTTGTTTAGGGGTCTCACTCCCTACCTATCTGATATGTGCTATGCTTGCTGTATCTGCTCCATCGCCTCGAATCTGGGGTTTCAACATTATATGTGAATGGCCTGAAATCCGTGTTAAGGGTGGAGGAAAGACATGGTTATGCCGTCCAAGTTTTGAGTCTTTTTGAGTGCACCAGTGTTGTTTTCCTTGGAAAACAGAATTTGATTGCTCGTCTCGCTTCCCATCCATCTCCAATTGTTGCGTTTCTGTGTGGTTTGTCCCACACACCATCCCATCCTCCGAACTTCCGCTTTGGGACGTTACCCTGGCAACCACCCGCATCTGACCACAGACCACACACCCGCCACTCCGAGGTTGGTAACCAGCAAAAACCTGCAGATAACAGGAAAACATTGGCCAATGACGGGCATCAGGTGTCCATCCATCCAAGACAGCATGTGCAAGCCGCGCAAGCCCGGTGAGGGCCGGTGTGGCTGGGGTGAGCGAGAAGGGGGGGTTGGTTTGTTGACATTGCCCGATTGAACCCCTCAATTCACTGGAGACGGGATCCCACTTTACCCTAGCCTTAGCCTTCCCTGATCTTCCCTGATCTGCTGGAGACCACATCTGGCCTTCTCCTACCCAGTCGATTCATGCCAGATCATCTTGCATTTGCTGGTGCACCGTTATGATGCCTTGATCTATTCTTATTGCTATTATCGTTTGGAGTTACCTTTGGAATTCTATCGACGCCAGGGATAGACACCCTCGTGTCATCATTTTATCGTGGGGCTTGTCTGGCGCTGCTGTGGAATTCACCAGTGTATCCGTATCCCCTTCGTATACGAGAACTGGCCAAACGAGACACTGCGTCATTCCCACGGCACACGGGCACGGCAACCTACAGAGCAATGCGGAGCTAAGCGAGGCGACCACCATCGCGGCCTCCTATCAACCCTCTCCCATGCCTCTTTTCCCTTTCTTTGCCGGGAGAGCCATGCTGACGCCTCCGGGTGGGGCCGGCACTTCGCCGTCCTCCGTCAGGGGCTCCGCGGCAGGTATCCGGCGCCGCCCCGGTCCCGGTCACCGGCTACCCGCATCTACCAAGGGGCTTGCTTTTGCGGCTCTCGGTTTGGTCACACGCGTATCCGCCGACCCGATGCTGCCGTACACCCCGACGACCATTCTCCTCCCCCCTGATGGTAGCGCCGGCAGTGGCGCCGCCTACATCTTCGCCCCGACCGGCGACACCCGAAACGCAGTCGACTTCCTCGCCCTCAACGTTACCAGCCTGCGCACCTCCGCCCTCGAGCCAACCAAACTCACCCCCCTCCCCTTCCTCTCCCCGGACACCGACGACTGCACCACCTTCGCGCCGACCCTCCTCCGCAACGGCACCATCGCCGTGCTCGCCGGCGACTGCGCCTCCAGCTCAACCTCCACCCTCTGGACCTACACCCCCGGCGACCTCGACGCGCCATGGACACAACACGCCCTCACGCCCTCCAACGCGTGGGACCACGCACAGAGCGGGCCCTACCACCTCGGCGGCATGCTCAACTTCTCCCCGCAGCTCAGCCCCGTCCTCTCGGAGCCCACCCTCTACCTCTACGGCGGCATGTGCCCCTTCCCCAACGCCTCCACGGCCACCTGGCAATCCAAAGCGACCTACTCCAACCGCATGCTGCGCCTCACCCCCCCAACAACCACCACCACCAAAAACCCCGAACCCTACACCCTCTCCTACGCCTCCCCGCGCGGCCAGCTGCCCCCCGTCGCGGAGGCGGGCTTCTCCCTCACGGAGCTGACGCCGTCGCTCTCCAACCGCAGTAGCGACGGCACCAACAACGGGGTAGTGGTCCAGCAGACCAGCCACGTCCTGCTGGGCGGGCACACGCAGGGGGCGTTCGTCGGCATGGCGGCTGCCGCGCTGTGGTCGCTGCCGGAGGAGACGTGGAGTTTTGTGCGCATTGCGGCGCCGGCACCCGCAGGCGGGGACGGTGGGGGGAAGCCGGATTTGGCGAGGTTGAGGGGGGCGGGGAGTGGTGATGGTGGTGGTGGTGGTGGTGGGGATGATGATGGGTCGGAGGTGGATGTGGGTGTGGATAGTCGGTCGGGGCACACGGCGGTGTTGAGTGAGGATGGGACGAGGTTGGTGGTGTATGGGGGGTGGGTGGGGGATGTGGGCCAGGCGGCTGAGCCGCAGTTGGCCGTGGTGAGGATTGGGGTTGGGTTGGGCGATTGGGAGTGGGAGGTGCCTGAGCAGGCGGCCGGGGGTGTGGGTGGGGTGTATGGGCATGGTGCGGTGGTGCTGCCAGGGAATGTTATGATGGTGTATGGGGGGTATGAGATTCCAGGGGGCGTGGGTGAAGCGAAGAGGCAGGTGGGCGGGGGAAGGGAAATGTTTTACAACATCACGAGTGGGAGCTGGTCCGACGTGTACGTCAGCCCACTTGTTGAGGGGGATGGTAGTAGTATTGGTGACGGCAGTGGAAGCGGCACCATTCGCCCCGGGGACGGTGAGGGTGATTCTTCCGGGCCGGCCGGGGACGATAGCAGAACGGACGGCTCGTCCCTGGCGATGCAGATCGGCCTAGGGGTCGGCCTTGGAGTTGGCTTACTTCTCCTAGCCATTGCGGCTTTCTTCGCATTCCGCTGGTTCCGCCGGAGACAGCGGCGTAGGGCAGCACGGGACGAGACTCTCCGCGGTCTATCCCAGGGCGTTAATGGCACCCTGCCCCGTGGCCTCGGCGACGACGACGAGATGCTCGAGCGGGATCACGGCATGGGCATGTTCCCCTGGACTGCGGGCACCGCGCGTGACTGGTACGCGGCGGGAGACGACCCCTACTCGCAGGGCCAACGGTCCCTGGGTTACGAAACCCTGCGCGGCGGGCCCAGGCCTCCCTCGCTGTACATCCCGCCACCACCGTCAGCATCGACCTTCAGCCACCGGCCCAAGGGCGCCAAGGGCCTTCACCAGCCCAGCTCCTCGTACGACTTCACACCGCTCACGCGCAACCCCAACCGCATCGAGCCCATCTATGAGGCAGACGAAGACGAAGAGGGCGACCTCGGCAAGGGCTACCCGCTCAGCCCGGACAAAGAAGAGCGCGACGACGGCGACGACGGCGACCCCTTCCTCACGCCGACCGTCAGCACGCCCGTCGCCAACCTCTTCCCCGCGCAAACCACGACCAACCCCAACTCCAACTCCCCAACCCCTCCCCCAACCTCCGCCCAACCCTCAGGAGGCGGAGAAGGAGGAAACACCAACGGCCAGGAACAAGACCCCGACGTACAAGGCTGGGTCTCCAACGTCGACGCCTCCACCCCCCACCACCACCTACCCACCACCCGCCGCAAATCCCAATCCAAATCCAAACCCCAACCACAACCCCCCCTTCAACCCCACCCACAACCACACTCACCAACAGCCCAAACCCAACACCCCCCCGGCCCACCGGCAACTACCGTGGCAGTCGCAACCGGCGCAACCGGCGCAACAGGACGCGTATCACCACTGCGGCGCGGCGCGTCGGCCAAATCGGGCAGGCACTCGCTGGTGTCGGCGCCGACGGATTCGTCGTCGTCGGTGGCGACGGATGATGGAAGGACGGAGAGCGGGCTGTCGGAGCGGAGCGCGTTTAGTTTCGTGCGTGGCGTTGCTGGGGGTGGGGGTTCTAGTGCGGGTGGGGGTGGAAGTGGTGCTGCGGGGGGTGCGGTAGGGGGTGCGGCTGGGGGGAGTGGGAATGGGAATGGGAATGGGCCTGAGGACCGGGCGCTCCTCTCGCGGCTGCATACCACGCTTGCTACCGCAACGACGACCACCACTACTGGTGGTGGGGAGGGCCGGCTGGGCAGCAGCGGGGCGGCGAGCGCAAACTCGGGCAACAGCTACAACACGGCGCGCTCCAACTTTGCGGCGCTGCAGGCCGAGGGGCCGGGGTTGCTCCTAGGCCGGCGGGGAGACGACGGGGAGGGCGGCGCCGCTGATGATGACGACTACATCTACCTGCCCGGCGGCCCCAGCAAGAACAAGCCGCGGCGGAGCTGGCTCGGCAGTTTGAAGAGGGTGTTTAGCGGCGGCACGCCCGAGTCTGGGAGCAACGCCAGCAACGACAGCTTCCGGGGGGAGAGCCCGACGCGAGAGGGGCTGCTTGCGTATGAGGGAGGTCGTTCCGATTATGACGGGGGCTTGTATGGGGTTGGGCTGCAGAAGCGGAGGCAGGGGAGAGAGGCGTGGCTGGGCGGGGACGGGAACGGGGACGAGGAGGAGTGGGATAGAGATCTGGAGAGGGCGGCGGAGCAGCGGACGGTGCAGATTATGTTTACCGTGCCGAGGGAGCCGCTGCGGGTGGTGAACGCCGAGGTGGAGAGGGAGGAGAGCGTGCTCATCCTTGACCCGGATGATGAGGAGTATAGCACCGACGAGAAAGCGTCAGTGGCCCCGGTGGAGGCGTCTTCGCAGCAACAGGATCCGGCACCTGCTCTGCTCCCGCCGCCTCGGTTGGTGCCCCCGACCGAAGACAACGACAAAGCCGCAGACAGGCGATCAACCGCCACCCTCGAGCCACCGCGCGGCGTCTCCCCGTCCTCGTCAGTGAGGGCATCGTTCTATCATAAGCACTACGCTCCGCACGGCCGAAGCGGTGCGGCTAGAACGGCCGAGGACACGGGTGTTGGAGATGGTGGAGAGCTTCGAAACACGGAGCCGAGAGGGGAGCCCTAGTGGAAGTCTCGGCGGTAGTCCCGGCGGGAGTCCGGGAAGGGGCTCATGATTTGATTTGTGCTAAAGGGGTATGTCATTGGTAAATGTATGTTTTATGGATTACGATGGCATGTTGGATAACTAGGTACGGATATCTGGGGGCTCTCGGTCGCAAAGCTGGTTTGCTTGATCGGCTGTCAACATCGGGTGGGACAAGGTCGCGGCTTGCGGTTCCGTGGTTTTGGTTTTTGGTTTCGGGTGCTCGTGCTTTGGTCTCTGGTGTTTTGTTTCGTGTATATCTTAGCCAACTATTGATCGGATTGGTGGGCTAGATGCTCGCCAATGCATCACGAGATCATCATGTCTGACTTCCAGACGCCCGTCATCCATCTTGCTGTTGTGTTTCTTGTTCCTGCATGAGGATCCGGCTCGCTCGTCTTGCTGCTGCAGTCCCTGTTCCTGCATGGAGACCTGCATCACTCATCTCAACGCGTCGTTGTCACTATTTTGCCGTTTCTTGCCGAGTAACTATCTCGAAATCCATCCGTAGCCCTTCCACAACCCACAGAAGTGGTGGGTTTGAGCACGTGGAAACATCACACAGATCAAGCTTCTTGCCGCCGGCAATGGCGATCCTCATCTTGCACGGTTGTGAAAAGAACGGGCGGGGAGGTGCGCACGATCGGCGACGCTAGGGCTGTCTCCCCCATCCCAGCTGAGTCCTCAGCCAATTCATCAGCACTTTGACCTGCGCCACAGGGCGGTCGAACCTCAGAAGCTCCTGCCGATCCGCCACGTCTGTCAACGCAGGGGTTTGCCCCGGCGGGAAGCGCCGGGGCCGTGTGACTGGACGCGCGGACAGGCGAGCCGCGAGCAGTTCAGTGGGTGGCGTCGGTGCGGCTGTCAAGCACCGAAGGCAGTTAGTTGACGCTCCACTCGTGAGTGACTGGTTTTCACCCCACGCCTTGAGCCGCTGCGTGTTGTTTTGATTCTCCAAGTCACACTCATCGAGAAGCCATTGGCAGCGAGGTTGCAGAAGGTGGGAGTGGCGGTGAGCTGGCGAGGTGTGTTTTTGCCCGGCACACACACTTTCGGCGAGCACAGCATCCCACTGTGGCCTGAGACGGGAGCCAAAGGTGCCTGACTTTCCACATGAGACATTGTCCTTCGTGTTCAACCCGCAGCGTGCATTGTCACCGGGTGTGAAGAGGACGAGAAGAGGGTGGTGTGGAGGGTGGGAGCCAGCCAGTGAGCCAGCGTTGACGACAGTCGTTCTTAGCCAACCGGCCGACGTCTCGGTGTCGTTGTTTACCAATATTCCGTACTGCAGATGAGATGCACGTTGGATCGACTTCCCCGCCTCCTTTCCGGATCAAGACGGGGATTTTCGGCACGGCCTTCGGTCTCTCGCCAAGCCCGGCGACGGAGGCAGTATCTTTGTCCGGCAAGCCGCAAGTGGTTCGCGGTAATCTGTACAGGTGAATACTTCGTAACTCCGGAAGACTAGAAGACGCGATAAGCATCGGCCGACGGTCGGGTGCGAGAGGGGTAAGTAGGTATGTATGTATCTGCATCCCCCACCATCTTTAACGCTCAGAGTACTCCGTCTGTAGGTATGTACTTTCCCATCTCCAACTGCATCGCGGCGGCTGGGGGTGCATCGCTTCCGCTATCTCGGAATACGGCAGCACAGGCCGGCCCAGACGTCCCCCCTCTTCCCATCCTGCAGGCGTCCCTCTTTAGCTTCCACAATCGGGTGGATGTGCATTTGTTGCCTTCTCCCGTCCCTCGTGCTGCTGCTCAGGAATACGAGCATGGTAGTTATTGTCTTTGAGGGCAACTGCCATTGCCGGCCAAAAGCAGACATAGCCCGGTCTCTCCAAAGGCTGCAACCGGTCACCCGGTTAAGTTCCATGGGGGAATCATCTTTTTTAAGTTAGTTATACGAACAATGTCCCGTGAGTCGCGCAGTCAGCCAGCGACCCATGAGCCGATCGCCAAGGCGACTAAAACCGCGACTATTTGTGATACGGTGGAATGCGTTTCCAACAAGATTGGCCTTGGATCCTTCCATCCCTTTGTTGAATGCGGCTGCCCCGAGATGTGCCGAGCATGCCAGTCACTCAAGCCGGAATAAAGGGAACCGAATTCTGTGGAGGGAGTGAGAAGTTTCCTTTGGGCATTTTCTGATTGCTGGTTGCTGGTTGCTGGTGCAGCGCCAAGGAGAGGGGGATGGGGTGATCCAGGGTTGGGAACAGCCGAAGAAATGGGCAGTGATGGGCTGCTTGAAGAAAGGGATGTTTTGCCGAGCAGAATCTGCGTTTCTCGGGCCTGGGTGAGATCGGAAAGTGCCAGTGGTGAGTTGTGGAGGTGGTGACGCCATTCATTTGACGCTGTGACATGGAGAGCTTGGCTCCCGCTTGGGGGTCCATGGTCTGCTCCGTGCGAAATGCTTTCGTGCAGCCTTCGATCGCATCCATGGGATGAAGTGGACGAATGCGGAGAGAACCGAACTACGGGTAAGTTGACAGTGAGGATGGTAAATCCTGTCTGTTTTTTTTTCTTTCTATGAGCTGATTTCTCGGCCGCCCAAACAAAAAGTCTGATGATGATTGCCAATCGCAGTGCTTCCAGGTTAGTGTCCTGAATCGAGGGCGATCGATCATCACCGAGTGGCTCCATTCATCCTAGCCTCCATGTCTCTGCCTGCCCACTCTCCCTGTGGACAAAAAAAACCGATACACCAAAACCGACTTTCGGTGGGTCCACCTGCAAGTCCCCTTCACGAACACATCAGTTCCAAACAAGCTGTGGGTAGGCCATTTAAAAGCGTAAACAAACGATACTGCAGAAATGAATAGAGCAACACCCAGAGATTCTATTGCACTTCTTTTTGTTGAATTTGGGTTTGGTTTGGCCGAGAAGGACCGCACCAAGATAGCTCGCTGTACTTTTGGTGTATCGGTTTTTTTGGACAGAGCGAGCCACTCACCCACTGCACTCTGTTACTGCCCGGTGCCCTGCCCTGGCTCTGAAATCGTGCTAAGCTGGAAGGAACCCGCCGCTCGCTCGCCGTCCCCTTGGTCCCCACCACCCCCAATCGCTGTTGGTCCCAGGCGCACCCCATTTTCCTTTGCAGGGGCTGGCTTGCAAACCTGTCCCGCTTCTGTGCAAACCACTTCGCATTCCCGGCTCACCAACTTTTCTTTCCACCTTTCACCCTGCCAACCGTGTGTCCAGCACATCTTCATTGCCGGGTCGAGCACCCCGTTCCTTTATCGCCAATTCGACCGGACTTGTCGACACCGGACTACTACCGACGCTATCGACTCGGGCCTCAAACTCCCAGATAACAACGCACAACAGACAACCCGTGGACTGCATTCGATTCGTCCCTTCGCCCGCCTCTCTATTCGTGCTATGGCCGCCTGAGGCTCTGTCGCAGATATTCTCATGGGCTGGCCGGTAGAACGGGTGACTTAGCGCCTCTGGAGCCCCAATCCGATCGATCCGGCTGCGTCGAAGTCGGTTTCTCGATTTTAAAGGCCGCATCGGCTGGCGCAACCACGCAACCCGACACAACACCACCCGGTTGCCAGCCATGGCATCACGACAAATCGCCCTGGCATGGGCGAGCTTCAACATAGCTGCGCTGTTTGGTAGCATGGTTTGGGCACAAGAAGATCCGATCGGGCCTTCAATTCCCTTGGAGTACTGCGCTACCGTCAACACGGGTGACATGGTTCCTCGTGAGTTGGTCCCTTGCTCAAACCGAGTGCCCCGACCCTAACGCCCGACTTCGATAGTTTACTACAATTGGCAAAGCGAAGGCCGCTGCTTCGGTAACTGCACCGACTTGAAATACGCCTTTGGCATCATCCAGAACAAGAATTGCTGGTGCTCCAACCTCATTCCCCACCGCGATGACCGAAAACCGCTCGAGGACTGTGAAGACCCGTGCCCGGGCTTCCCTACCGATTTTTGCGGCGGCGATGGAGTTTTCGCCTACTTGGAAGCCGCCGGAGCCACCCCGACGGGGACGGCGCCGCCTGGAGGTACCGCCACTAAATCACCATCCAGTACCGTGAGTACTCTCTGTTCCTTACACTGACGTGTTTCACCCCCGTCGTTTCTTGCTGTCTCCGCATCACCCCTCCATCCCTTAGTTCCTTGACCTACTTCCGAACTGCCATAGCTTGCAGACCGTCGTGACTAGTAAAGCTGAGACTGGTGCAGAGCAGCACGGTCCAGCGTACGGTGACCGTGACCCGGCGGGAGTCGTCCAGTGTTTCGTCTTCAAGTTCTTCTACTTCAGTCACTGTATGCATCACGTTCCCTCGCGGGCCGGATATAACTGCTTTATGCGATTTTCTTCTGTTAGGCACGCATACTGACCTCGAAGCTAGACAACAAGCGAGAGTGTGTCGAAACCTCCAGCCGTGACGACCATCACCGTGGGCGGAAACGTTAGGACCGTGACCGCCCCCTCTGAGCCAACCGCCACCGACGACTCAAGCGTAGTCGACAACCCAGGCTCCAGCCTCCAACCAGGCGCCATTGCCGGCATTGTCATCGGCGTCATTGGCGGCTTGGCCGTAATAGCACTCGCTATATGGTTTTGCTTCTTTAAGCGGCGGAGAGAGAACGAAGAAGCCAACGGCCTCGGGTCGCCAATGAGGGGCGGCGGCTCGCCGGGTAGAATGGCGACGCCCAAGTCAGGCGAAGTCTCGGAAAACCGGTTTGCCGGCACGCCCGGTGGTTCGGTGGCAGCGACGTGGGACTCGCAGAACAAGAGACGCAGCCACCTCATGCCCGTCGACCCCCGACTCGATCCGTTTGCGACGGGCATTTACCCCGATCAGAACAGGAGCCGCGAGAGCTTCAACTCGCTGCAGGATAATCAGGACTATTCCCGGAGAGTGCACCAGCCGCCGAGAGTCCTCAGGGCCATGAATCCGGATCCCGACGACTGAAAACCGCGTCTTTCGATTGAGTTTGGACTTTGAACCAAGTTTCTCACAACGATACATCGACTCCCGCTTTCCCTCTCTCTTACAACATGCATTTATCTACATCATGCGAACTTGGTTTTTGTGTTTTCTTTTTTACATATGCATTCGAGATACCACGGCGTTTAGGTTATGGGCATGGCAGCAGATTTCATTTTTGGGCGATCATTGCGGCGGGTGAATTGGTTTAGCTTTGGCTCGTGGAGGAAAAAGGCCTTGTTTGGATGACGAATATTGTGCTTTCAGGTTGGCCGTCTCGGTCTGCGAATTGAAGAGCGGGAGAGGCTATCAGTCATGTATACGGTTCAGAGTGATGGAAAGGGTAGAGAACCGCCAGGGATATCATGTTATGGGATGTATCATAAGTCGGGTTTCTACAATCCCGTCTATCATCACAGGTTCGTCGGATGAGCCTAGGCGTATCAAGTCAACGACAATACAGCAACATAAATTTGTCTACACAAAGAGATTTGCCGAGACGGTGGAACGGTGACTGACAGGATTCTACTCGATCCCTTATCTTTGCGGCCCATCCTTACTCTGAGGATTCACAAGCCCCGATGCTTACGCGGACAGGATCTATGGATTACCGCTTTGAGTCGTCAACTCTGAACCCGTTTCCCCTATCTGTCTCATCCCCAAGCCGTGCCGCGTCTGTTGGGCCGTTTTGACAGCTCGCAAGTTCGGATCCCGCACTGCGCCGCGTGGACTCCCGTGTTTGGAGAGCTAAGCAGAGCTGACCAAAAGCTCGAGAGCTGATCCTCAGCTAGCTGCGAGCGAGCTAACTGGTTATTATGACTGACTAATAAGACGGACGAACATTGAAATGCGTCATCCGAATTATGGCTGAGACGGTTTCAGCTTTTGGGGCCTGGGGGAGCTGTTCTCTCCTGATGATATATGATACACGCTACGCCGTCGTCTCAGTCTTACTTGGATGAACGTGTTTGTAACGTAGCATTCACTCACCCACTGCCGGCTTTCGATGTCTTCATAATTAGTATTGAATTGTTGGGCGTCAATTGCAGTCGGGGACTTTGGGTCCGGGTGGCGAAACCTGGGGGAAGTTGTGTCTCTTTTTTGTTTCTTTTTCCCCAGAAATAAACAGGCACGTTTTATGATGATTGGCGCCCGTTGCGTCATCTTACATGGTGGCGGTTTAAGATTAGGTTGCTGTGTCTCTTGCAGAAACAGAGCCGGGATCCGGGTTGGATGCGGATTCAGGGGTAAAAACAGACGTCTTCCAATCAGTTCAGGCACTAACTGACTAGTTAGTCGCGAGGGCGTTTAGTTGTTGATAGTTGAGTCGCGCGGTAATTATGTCTTTTTTAGTTTGTTGTCTCGGGATGGGCTCTGGGGTTGCGTGTGTACGTACGTCCGAATGCAGTGGAAAGGGGTAAGAAGATGATAACTCCCAGGGAGGGCAGAAAGGGATGTTACCCTGACTTCTGACCTTCGGGGACTCGGGACTCAACTCCTTGATAGCCGAGAATTCTTCTTTGAACCACACCTCCGGCCAATTTCGGTATTTCTTCAGCAGCGTGCCCGCCGTTGTTTCATGTGGGATGACGGGTGACTGTTCGATAGTTATCGGAAGAGGTTTGAGACTGCCGTGGTACCTCACTGACTGACACAACGGAGGGGCCACAAGAGGTTGTTGTGCAGGTGGCGTGATGGTAGACCGGGCCAATGCCGTGCAAGATGCTCTGGTAACACGAGAATATCTGTCAAACAATGCCGGCATGCAAAGAATCTTCTCAGTCGCGTGTAATAATATTTGTCTAACCAGGCCTCCGAATGTAATGCTAGTGGTATTGTTGTACAAACCCCAAACGCCCTGCTAAATTCATATGCCCTGGGATACTTGAGAAAATGCCCAGATCCGGTTCACAAGACCAACCCAACGCCTATATCCACGCCTTTAGGCACCGTTGTCCCTCTCGCTTCATAGCCTCAAGATATCATGTACATTAGACGAGGGACATCGTGGAAGATCGAAACCCGAGTTCGTCTAGTCGAAATAGACGTCATATTATGTTTGGTAAAAGGGTGGCAGATGGACGGTTCCCGACGCCCACGTTGAAAGGATCGTGCTGAACGGCAAGAGTTTACAGGGAACCAAAGAGGGCCGTATGTAGTCGGCACACAACCGGTCGTGGAGGATTCGATTTATCTCCATACCCGCTCGCTCATGCATGAGATGCTGACGCGTCGGAAGTGGTACAGTGACGTACTCGGAGGCTTCGGCCTGGTTCTTCACAGATGGCGTTGGAAGAAGAGTAATGTAACAATAAGTGGAAATGTCTCTTGCCGAATGCTGATTCCGCCCCGAAACACTAGTAGAATCCGCCCTGGCTGCCGTGCTCGCAATCTTGATGAAGCCGATGGGTAAAAGGCAAACTGTATCCGTATCGGTATCCTCCAATCTGATCTGATATGCCTCGCAATCTCGTATCGTAATCTTTCTCCCTCCACCGTGCTAAAACATCTTGTGTGTTGATCTTTGGCATCTCCCAACCAACATTCTCTTGTGACATGATGTGGCGTCGACAACAACCGTTACTAACGCCGCTGCCGTTTGTCCTGATGGCTTCCGCTGCCCGCATCCACACCCTCGCTCCTGCGCTTCCGAGCCCTTTCATCACCACCTCGTGGGTCTCCGCGCTCATCACCCGGTCTCGACGACCGCGACTCCCGAGGCGGCGCATTGCCCCTCGAAGTCCCACTCCGACCATAATCATCCCCTCTTCCTCCATCGCCCCTGCCTCCACCCGGTGGTCCATCGCCCCTCGGCCCAGAGGGACCCTCACCACGATGGCCACGATGAGAACTCGACTCGCGCGGCGGACCGAGATCCCTCCCGCCGCTGGGCATTGGCTCTCGGCCACCGCCCGTCGACTCTCGCGTTGACCGGCGGAGGTCTCTCTCATCACGGTTGCTGCTTCCCGGTACATTAGATGACCTCCTGTCCCTATCTCTGTGCTCGCGGGGATCCTTGGGCTCGCCGCGCTCCCGATCTGGGGTACGCTCCCGGCTGTTGCGCCCAGACGCACGGGTGCTGCGCTCCGATCTGTGGTGTTCGCGACGGCTACGGTCGTGCTCGTTGCGGCTGGAACCGTAATCGTCGCCATTCATGGGGCCCCGGCTGCTAGTTTCGCGGTTGTCACGAGCATCGCTAGCGATCTGCTGAATTGGCTCGGCTCCGCGCGGCGCACGATCGATGCTTTCACGGCGAGATGAGTCCCGGAATGAATCAGGTGGCCGTTCGTGAACGGGCGTGCCTACGGGTGAGGCGCCAACCAGTATTTGGGCGTCTGAGCCCGCCAAGTTGGGTCGTGACCGAGACATGCGTAGGCTTGGGCCGCGGGCGTTGTCGGCAGAGGCCTTGTCAAGCATACTTTGGATGCCGCGGAGTTGTCGACCGCCAGGCCTCATCCGGTCGTTAGCAGCGGCAGGGCCAGTGGGGGCCGATGAGAAATCGGCACTGGGGCCGGAGGGCGCTGCTCGTGCTCCCGAGTTAGGTGCCGGCATCGATGGGCGGTCAGGTGTGTGCATCGGGGGGCGGCCATGCGAGCCATGTCCCGGTGGCTGAGGGGCAATTTGGTTCAGACGATCCGGATGAACGCCCGATGACCCCGAAGGTGCTGTTGGAGGCGGGGGTGGTGGCGGCGGAGGCGGCACTTGATTGATTTGGCGAACCCTATCCGGATGCACTCCAACCGAGGGAGGTGCGGTTGATGTTGGAGAGTTCACGCTAGCACCGTCATATTGCCCTCGGCGAGAGCGTGACGCGGAGGGGCCCGTTGGCGGATGACGTTCAGGAGTGGGCGGGCGGATAGGCTCAAGAGGCGGGAACCTATTGTCGGGCCGCATCGAAGGGCCGTTGGCAGGGCCGGTCCTACCGGTAGTCCGGCCGCCCCGGCCTCGCGGGCCCGAGGGCGCACCCACTGGCATATCGACGACGGACTGGATAGCGTTTAGCCGACCGTAGTTGGGGTCCTGCTGGTTGAGTCGTCCGTGGTCGTGATCCGATCGGGATTGGCCGGCATATGAGTCTCGAGGGCCCGCCTTCCTATCTTCACGCTCCGCGACTCGTTCCGGTCGTGAAGATGGCGCCGCAGTCTCCCTATGCGCGTCTCGCGGAGTTTCGGGCCGCGGCGAATGGCGATGCCGGCCATGACGATCCTCACGCGGATTATCCGGCTGAGGGGCGTCCGCTAGCGTGCGATCAGATCGCCTTGGTGATTCCGTTCGCGGGGGCCGTTCGCGGAGCGAGTCTCTCGGCGAGGGGCGGGTTGGAGGCTCTCGTGTGTCATTGATGAGGGCAGCCCTGGCTGGGTTAACCATTTCCGGCCGCTCAACATCAATAATCCGCGCGCGTTCTGGGTTGATCGAGGGCCCCTGAGCCGTATTCTGCGTAGCGGGCGCTGGCGGAGGAGTAGAGGCAGTAGGCTCCCTCGCAGGCCTCGAGTGGGATCGGCTCGAGTCGTGAGGGGGGCCCCTCTCCCGCGGCGGCGGGCGGCTGTCAGGACGGTTATCTCGGTCAGCGGGTGGTGCATGGTCGTGACGGCGCGGCGGAGGCTCTGCTCGTCCTCGGTCGGGAAGCCGGTTGGGCTCGCGACCGGCATCGCGGCCGGCAACTCGCGGTCCGGGTTCGCGTTGCCCAGCGTCGGGCGCACGCCTATCGGATGCTGGAATGTCGCGAGCGGGGCGCTCTGGGCGTGGTCCTTCCGGTGTGCGGTAGTCTCTGTTGTCCTGAGCACCTTGGAGCTCGCGAGCATCCCGTTGATGTTGGTCTCTTGGCTCGCGGCCGTCCCGATAATCTCGAGCGTCTCTCGAGGGGATATCTCTCCTGTCATTCCGAGGTTGGCTAAACCTGGCCCCTGGTACATCGGGTCTGCTGGGCAGATCCGGCCGGCTTGGAAGCCCAGGCCCACCCGGTGGGAGGGTCGAAAACCTGGGTGGCGGCTCTTGTCGGGCACTGGAGTGTGGTGTTGAAAGAGGTTTCGGAGTGATAGGCCGACCAGTATTGGGAGCCGCTGAGCCTGTCCTTGGGGCCGGAGAGTCCCTCGGCGGTTCCCTGGCTGGAAGCGGCCTTGGCAGATTCGGGCCGTTTGTCCTCGCAGCTGCCTTTCCAGCTCTCTTTTCGTCGACTTCTCCATCTTCAACCTCAGAAGGGTGCGGGGGACGCGCCCCAGTAGACCTGAATGTTGCCGCTGAACCTCGGAGGGAAGAATTGGCTGGCACTGCGGATCCTTTGTCGTCTTTGCCGTCGCTCTTCTGTGGGCAGTTAGCGTCTGCCGCGCCTGGAGTCTGAGTAAAAATACTTACAGCGCCCGGCCGGAAAGCCTGGACTAGGACCCATTTGGACTTCCTCCTAGCCAATTCGGAGTATGTAGTCTGCGCTGTCACGGACAGGTCGACGCGGTGCCCTTGGGCGGACTCGGGGGCGTTGGAGTTTGCCGACTCGCGATCCTTAATGGTGTTGAGCTGCTCCAAAAACTTGTCCGCCATGAAATTGATGGCCGGGAAGAAATCGATGACGCCCTTGAGGATGCTGATTGCATTTCGGATATGCATCCATTCCATACCGTTGAGGCATGATCGCAGAGCGGTGTTGAGCTCTTTGTGCCAGCGGAACAGGATTTCCTTGAAGGCATCATGCTCGGTAAACTCAGTCGGCTTCCCCTTGTCATCAAAGGCCGTGGCAAAGCCGATATATTCCCTAGTTTTGGCGCCCTGGAGTTCCTTGAGACCCAAAGCTTCTTTCTCGTAGGCACTCTTGCTGCTATGCCACTTAGAAAGGTCACTGAGGATGAACTTGAGAAAGCGCGCTAGATGCTCTGCCTCGCGGACGGTGCAGGTAAAGATCAGGGCGCGCAGGCGATTGTGGTTGAACAGCCGATCGTAAAGGGGCATGAGCTTGAAGTTGGACTTCGGATTCTCGTGCAAGAACTTGACTAGCCTGAAGCAATAGTCGGCATCCACGGGCGAGACCTGCAGACGTGGTAGGATGCATTCTTCGAGCAGGGTATCCGATGTCGCGTTGGCATCTTGGATGCCTGCAGGGAACCAACCGTTCGTCTGCCTGCCGATGTGAAGTTTGGTTTTCTGGAATCGTTCAATCCCGTCCTTCATTTCCTGAACAAGGCGCTGCTGCTGGTCCATGACGTCTTCGCGCTTCCGCTTCTTGGTTGCAATCGAACGAGGGGTGTCCGACCGGTCCGTGGCCGTCAACTCAGCGATCTGTGCCTTGAGCCTTTTGTTTTCGGCCTCGTAACTGTCCTGGGGCCAGACCAGGTTTCCCAGGTGCAGGGACCAGAAGAACACGTAGCATGCCGGCGAGATATACTGCCACGACTGTTGGGGCAATACCTTGGGGATCTCATCGATGAGCGGCGCGAGGGCGTCGGAAAGCGATTCCGGCAGGCGGCTGTTTGGTGTTTTCGGCGTCGGACTGCTGTGATTGGTGCCATCTCTGGCATCTGTGCCATTGGCGTCAGCCTGGGCTGACGTACCGTCACTGGTCACTGTCTCCATGGCGACATCGCCGTCGATATCCGCTACGACCTTTGCGGGCTGCGGGGGGCTTTCTTTGACTGATACGAGAGCCTTCGTGTCCCAACGAATGCTGTTTCGCCGAATCATGAAAGCAAGGTTGGCGTCGAGGCCGTAATCCTGCATGAGCTCGATGACGTCGGGCACCAAGCTGTTGAAAGTGTCGGGATCTAGATTGCTGAGTAGCAGGTCGAGGCATCGGCAGAGAACTTTATGGGCGCCGTCAACGAGGGCGGAGAGGTACTTGATGACCGCGTTCCCATCGGTGATGTTGTAAATCGCGTTCTGTCGATATTGGGAGATGTTGATGAGAAGTTGGCCCGCTAGGTTTGATTGCGACAGTGCCTTCATAAGACGCTGTGCGCTCCGTGCTGACAGTTCCCGCTTATCACCCAGATTGACGAGCGTCTGGCGGCGAAGTAGCTCACCGCCGGTCATGCCACGTAGCTGAGCATCGGTAAAATCGAATCCAGAGACGATACCTCCCATCGACTCGATCAGCTCTTCCAGGATGAGCAGGTCAGTCGAGTTGCCCTGCAGGAGCTGGCTGTGGACGTAGCGGAGAATAGGCAACGGATCCATGTTGGAATAGCGCTGAAACACTTTCCCGGAGAAACGCGACAGCGCTTGCAGCCACTTGCTCGTGAGCAACACCGAGGTCGCCTGGGTGCGGCTCCTCTCCTGGTCGGCAAGGGAGCTCAGGACAGACCAGACAAGGACATCGTATCCCAAATCAGTGAAGTACTTGGCACACTCGACAAAGGCCTCGATCAAGTTATCGTACGATTCGATCTGCTGCAGCGCAACCTTGCAAACGATACCGGGCGACGGGTAAGCAATCTTTGCGAGGTCCTTGGCCATCTGGATGATGTTGCTGTGTGACAGCCGCTTCATCTTGCTAAGGGTATGCAGTCTCGTCTGAGCGAAGGCCTTCTGCACGGGCTCGAGTCGAGAGGTGGCGCCTTCATACCACTCGGCGTAGACGTTGAACCGGTCCCGAACGGGGTACCGCTTGAGGAGTGACCACACACTGTCGACGGCTGACGAGTTGGGGTTGCCCATGCTCAGAGATGGTACCAGCAGACGTTTGAGCAGGTTGAGCCAACGCGCGGCATTGTCGGGTGATCGATCGTCGCTGAGGCTCTTGTTACCAATTCGGGCAATCTTGGCCACCAAGGAGGCGTCTAAGCCGATGTTTACGCCGATGACGTTTAGAAGTGATTCGCAAAGGGTGAAGATGTCGTCGACAGTTTGGCAAACCGGGACGTTATCGGCCCACTCATCCCAGTAAAAGCGGTAGCAAGGTCCGTCTTTAGCATCGTTCTGGTCTGCGTTCGGCCACCTCAGCGCGCGTTTGATGACGGGCGTCTTGAGTTTTAGGTGCCCCTTGAGTGCGCCTGACTGGTCGGGATCCAGGTGCTTCTTTGGTGGGCATTCGGCCGGAACCGAGAAGCTTGGTGAACTTTGTTGGAATACGACGTCGACGGAGTGATGGAGAATGCGATGAAAGAGCGGTATGAGGTCGGGGAATGCTCGTAGAATCCAATCATGCCGCCCGATGATGAAAAGAGATTCGGGGATAGCGCCGATGGTGAGAAGACACTTGAGAAGAAGCACTTTCTGATCATCAGGCTCCCGCAGCTCCGGCTTCGCTTCTGTCGGTTCCGGAGCCTTGGTAGGGTCCGATTTGCTCGCGGGGGCGTCGCGGCGGGGGATGCTCCCCGGGGGTGGGGGCATATCGTCCGGAAGGGCCCCCGCCATCATCAAGGCATTCTGCTCGCCGCCCGGCCGGCTCGCTTTCGCTTTCTCCTCCAGTTCTTTCATCTTCCGAACCTTGACGGCCTCCATGTCCTCATCCAGCGGCCATACGTGATTCCACAGATCGGTCAGCGAGACGAAGCCGACTTTGATCAGTAGCGAGACGAGATAGAGCAGGTTTGCTGGGAGGGTATCCTCGGGGTCTCTGGCTTCAGATGTGTAAAAGCGCAGCTTGAAACCCAGCATCTGGGCAGCGTCTCGGTTGCCTGGTGGTGGGAGGGTTTTTGTAATCCTGATCCAGTCTTGCTCGATACTAGATTCTGGACCGCCTTCGGTGGCGCCCTTTGCCAGGCGCTCCTCGTCAGATGCGGCGAGCTGCCGGCCGCCCAACTCGAAATAAGCGTCGAGCTTGACCTTGCGGGCTCGGTCCCAGAAGGCAATGTCCCGCTCCAGCCGCTGCTGGGCGAGGGCGAGCTCTTCCTCGTCGGTCGTGAGCCAGCCCCCATGCTGAGGTGTGGCCCAGTTAGGTAGACCACCAATGAATAAGTTAGCGGGTAGGCTAACTTGGCTGCGAGGCCACCACGAGCTGACGCGCAGGAACTTGATGAAGAACCGGAACTGCTTGATCAGCACGGCGGCGAAGACATCCAGGATTACATCCAGTACGCGACCAGGGTGCAGGTCGAAAGTCCCAATAAGGCCCATAACCTTGTTGAAAGTGGCCTGCACGACTTCGGAGCTGGGCGGCTCGGAACTGCTAGTCGTGAACAGCTCGGTGACGAGTTTTGCAAAGCCCTCGGTTTCTTCGCGTAACAGGTTGTAATTTGCTTGGCGGTATAGCAGGTTTGTGGACTGGCGAACACCCATCCGGAAAAAGGTGTCGCGGATCAGATCAAGGTGCTGAAGGATTGGCGGATCCAGGATGATGCGCATGAGGGTCGGAGATACGTTGGTGGCGACCATGAAGTCGCGGAGCTGCGGTCGCAGTGGTCCCGACTCGACATCCATGAAGGTAGACACGGTGTCGAGGAATAGGGTATGAGGATCAAACACAGCGGCATCGCGATCCGCCTCCGACAGGTCGGGGCCTAGAATCTCTTGGACAACGCCGCCGGCATCAGAGCCCTGAAGCCGGGCGTCGGTGACGGAATGAATGAGTTCCTGAAATATCATGACGACCTCTGTGAGATCTTCATCCTTTCGCGACTGGACGCCATGTTCGATGACTTCCTGTCGTGCACCCCTTGCCCATCTGCTCACGCGATCATCGGTGACGATGCTATAATCGTAGAAAGGTTGGATGGGGGATAGCGGCGGCGCAAGGGTGGCTGGAATTGGCGGCGGCGCCAGCGTTGCTGGTACTGTGGGAGGCGGAAGGGCGGCCGATGACGACGAGCTCGACGGCCTCGGGAGCGGCGGCGATCTAGGACCTGGACCACTGGAAGACGGATTCGGAGCATGGGACTGGGTAGAATCGCGACGCTCCCCTCTCCGTGAATTCCTACCGCCACGGTTATTACGACCTCCATCGAAGCTTCTCTCGTGCTGTCCCAATGTGGAATCCGAGGGCCGATGTGGTGACGGTCGCGAGGTACCAACATCGCTGGGACCTCGATCGTTTCTCTTGCGCTTCGGAGCCATCGTCAAACGAGCGATCGCCGAAGTCAGGTCATTTATCGAGGTGCGGCGGGTAGCCGAGAGTCGACGTCGAGTTTCGCAATCAATGGAATGCCTGATGGCTTGAGAACTCTTGCGCGCCCAAAAGTTAGATGCAAATGTCGCCGACGATGAAATTATGAAAGGGACGTGAGTGAGGGGATGCGTGAAGCGGTTGGCGCTTTTTGAAAAGAAAGGCGCAGGCGGGAAAAGAAGGGCGAAAAGAGACCGGCAAAACAATAGGTAGCAAAAGAATCGCGAATTTACCTATTTGGAAAACGGGCTCAATAGAATGTGCCGTCCCGCGCACCGACAAGAAGTGAAGTCGGTGTGGGCTGCCAGGTGGTGACTGGCGATGCTGGTTTTTAGAAGTCGGAGGTCGGGAACCAGAACGAGCAGCTTCGCGTCAAATCGCCAAATCGCATCGAGCTTGGCGTGGTTGCGTTTGGCAGGCCTGGTGCTGGAACAAACCGTGACTGCAACAAAGCCGGGCCAGCCTCATTTGACAAGGCTGCCAAGAGATTTGGGGGAGTGAGTAGCAGTGACACGCTTGCTCTGCAAACCTGAGCCTTGATTTAAAGTACAAAGAACTTGTGTGAGAGCCACATGCGCGATCGGCCAACCCAATGGGTGACCCACCGACGCACTGGCCCGTCCAACGGCCGATTGCCGGCCATTCGGAACAGCCAGGACGTACCCCAGCCGGACCTCGTCTCCCCCCTTCCTTGTTCGGAGGACAGCATGGATGTTCTGGCAATTGCGCAATCCACGCTTGCGGCTCCAACGCAGTTTCCGCCCCAGATGCCGCCCCAAAAAAAGTGTTACTGGTGTGAATGACTGATGCCGACTCCCCTCCATGACTCTCCCGCGTGCCCGTGTTTATCCTCCAGGATCTGAGAGCGAGGGCCACTTAACTGCCGTGGGAAAGTTTCCCATACAAAAATAAATTCCTTTGATTCCCTCGATTTCTTGAAATTCCGTCCCCTTTCCTCCCCAAACCATCCCATACATAGTTATTCTCTCGTCTTCCTCTCTTCATCCCACAACCCATCATGACCCCAGATTGTGTGCGCAACGGCCCGGGGCCAGTGTACGGTGAGTCAATCCCAGTACCATCCCGTCTATCTATACTGTCTCGTCGTCAATGGCCCTCTCTTTTCCCATTCCATCAAGCACATCCCTCCCGGCAAGAGCGGTGACTGAATACTTCCAAGAAAGAATACACTCGCAGCCCGAGAATCCGTTCGCGGAGCTCATTCCGCACCAGCAGATCGCCGTAATCCCGTCTTTCACTCTTGAATCAGGCGTCACTCTTTCCAATGTGCCTGTAGCATACACCACCAGAGGCACCCTCTCTCCCGATGCCGACAATGTCATGGTCATCTGCCACGCCCTCACCGGCAGCGCCGATGTAGGCGACTGGTGGGGCCCTTTGCTCGGCGGGCCTGGCCGGGCCTTCGACACGTCGCGCTTTTTTGTCGTGTGCATGAACAGCCTGGGAAGTCCGTACGGCACCGCCAGTCCGGTCACCGCTAAAGATGGGGACCCGTCCAAGGGCCAGTACGGGCCTGAATTCCCTCTCACGACCATCAGGGACGATGTCCAGTGCGTATCCCCTCCCATTTTTGAGAGGTACTGATTCTCACCTGAATAAGGTTGCACAAGCTGCTTCTCAACGAACTAGGTGTCAAACAAATCGCTGCGGTCATCGGCGGGTCACTGGGCGGTATGTTTGTCCTCGAATGGGCGTACTTCGGCAAAGACTACGTGCGGTGCATCGTGCCCATCGCCACCTCCAGCAGGCACAGCGCTTGGGGGATCAGCTGGGGCGAGGCCCAACGGCAGTCCATCTATGCCGACCCCAAGTACGAGGACGGCTATTACTCTTTCTCCGACCCCCCCTCCACGGGGCTGGGCGCAGCACGCATGGCTGCACTCCTGACGTACCGGAGTCGGAATTCCTTCGAGGCTCGCTTCGGCCGAAACATTCCCGACCCCTCCCGACGACAGACGATCCGCGAACGGCCAACACCTTCCACGGCCTCGGAGGCCCATTTCCACACCCATAACGACGGACACAAGTGGACGCGAAGCCCATCTCGCAAGAACAGCGATGACGGAGTACAAACCCCGAAGTACGAGGACACCGAGGACGTATCCGTGGATCCGCAGTTCCATGGGCCAAAGAACGGCGGTCTCACGGGCGGGGAGGTGATGCCAACGAGCTCGACGTATTTCTCGGCCCAATCGTACCTACGCTACCAGGGCGGGAAGTTTGTCAAGCGCTTCGACAGTAACTGTTACATTGCCATGACCCGCAAGCTCGACACGCACGACGTGAGCCGGGGCCGCGCTGGGACAATAGCCGAGGCGCTGGCCATGATCGAGCAGCCAACCCTGGTTCTCGGCATCCAGAGCGATGGCCTGTTTACCTTTGCCGAGCAGGAAGAATTGGCACAGCATATCAAGAATGCTCGGCTGGAGAGGATCGACAGCCCGGAAGGCCACGACGCCTTCCTCTTGCAGTTTGAGCAAGTCAACCATTACACGCTTGAATTTTTGAGGGAAGCCCTCCCGGACATCATGAGCAGGGATACCAACGGTGTGGTAGCGGAGAGCTCGGTCGGTGAGCTGACCAAGAGCAGCACCTTTGGCGAGGCCGAGGTTGAGGACATTACGGCGTGGTAGCGGATTCCGAGTCTCGAATCAATCACCCAAGAATCTTCGTGCCTGGTCTCGTCGCTGCCCCTTGCGGTTGTCTCCACGCCCTACTTGCGCTGCACCTCATTGGACGGCATAGATGCAAGCCACTCGCCGGTGACCTGCAGATACCGGAGAAGGTTGTAAGACCACCACCTCCCGATCGAGCTCCGAGCACGTTGGCCGTGGCGGCGTGGGGGGGTTAACACGCACCATGCACCCCGCAGAACGTGCTGCGCAACGTGCTTCCGGCCCCGTTTTGGGACGACAACTCGGATTTAGAATTAGCCACTCCAACGTGAGGCAATTCTCGCCGCCTGTTCAACTCAGGCTAGTTTATGGTAGAGAGAAGGCTTCATTCGGACTAGGGAAAATAGGATGAGCTCCAATGAGAGAAATAGACTGCATTTGACAAGCTGCATTCGAGACAACTCCAGACAACTCCGAGCAGTGACCCGCGCTCTGCAACCCCCTCCTCCGCGCCTCGACCCCCCGTACTCATTCACTCCGGTTTCTGCCCATAAACAACATGGCTAACAACACCAACAGTTAGCACCGCACAGCACACCCCACGAAACACACCGCCCCAAACCACCACCCAAAAATAAAAATAAAAGAGAGAGGCAAAACTCACAAATCAAACAGCGCATGCACCTTCGGATCCGCCAAATCCCGCCTCACCCTCGCCAGCAGCGCCCACACCTGCTCCTCGCTCCACCCCAGCACGCCCGTATACAACCGCATCGACAAGCCCTCCAGGCCATTCAGCACCTGCATCAGGTTCCACGTGCCCACCTCTTTCAGCGTCGCATCCCGCGCCCACGCGCCGATGGGCACGCGGTAGCGCCGGTGCACCACGCCCTCGAACCCGGCCGCGCGCGCCCACCCTTCCAGCTTGGAGCCCGGGTTCGCGTCCCGGCCCAGCTTGTCGGCCGCCCCGCACAGCGTGCCGATCCACTCGCGCAGCGCGTGCTGCGGGGTGAGGGAACTGTCTTCGGAGTAGTAGAGGAGGTTGAAGTCTTGGAATTCGGCGGTGCCGCCGGGGTTGAGGTTTCTGTGTGCGTGGGGTGAGTAGAGGGGTGGGTTAGGGAGGGGTTATCACGGTGGAGGTTAGAGGGGGGTGGGAGAAGGGGGGAGGGTGTGGAAAAAAGGGAGGGAGGGAGGGAGGAGGGGGGACGGACTCGAAGATTTGGGACATTAGCTTGGGCCAGTCGTGGATGGAGGCGGCCATGTAGCGGGAGAAGATCCAGTCGAATTTGGCCGGGTGGACCCACGGGTCTTCGACGTCGTCGACTTCGAACTTGACGTTGGGCGGGACGAACGCGGCTTGGGTTGCTGACAGGTCGTTGCCGATGATCTAGGCAAGGGGGTAAGGAGAGGGGGAGGTTAACTAGTGCGTGGAAGGTGGGGGGGCAACGGCGGGAAGGCGAACCGTGGCGTTGGGGAAGTCGTCTGCGATGGAGATGGCCCCTGGAACGAGTGTGTGTGTGTGTGAGTGGACGCCGTCCAAGAGTGAGGCTGGGTTAGCGCTTACACGCGCCGTTTCCGGTGCCGATGTCGAGGATACGACGGGTCTTTTCCTTGTCGATGGGCGCGGCATAGAGTCCCCCGACGAGGCGTGTCATGACGTTGTGGAGGAGGACAAGCCGGTCCATTTCCTGCTCGTCATTTGGTCGCGAGTATCCTGCTTATCACACAACCGCGGCTTAGAACCAATGCTCGATGACCCTAGTATCTCGCCGGTTACAAGATATACTCGGCCTAGTTAGGACGTACTTCCTGCTCGGAAAGCGTGATATCGACGGCCATGCTCAAAAGGGTAGTCGACCACACTTGAAGCCAAGGATGTCGCGTAGCTCGAGTCTCCGCTATTCGACGAGACAGCCGTGTTAGTGAGTCCGTTGTCCGCCTTGCAAGGCATATGTACATAAAGAAACGAGACTTGATTCGAGATAGCACTCACGCCGTCTCGTCCAAGTCGCTTGCTAACTAAAGAAAGACAATATGTTAGGCTCTGTTGTATTACACATCAAAAAATGAAGCGGTGAGAATCACAGCAGCATCAACTTCGATTGTCTCTGTCCCGTGTTCGGTCCATGTGTTCATGGCGGGAGCGGACCCGGATGCCGCCTCCTTTTCTGCCATGCTGTAAAGTGCTTCGGCTCACTTTTCACCGGTGTACGTGAAAGAGTTGGACCAGTCTGCGAGGTCATCTGAGAACTGAGATGAGCGGGGTTTTACCGCGGTTGATCTGGCTAACCACGGAGCCAGGTTCAGAAAGTCCTGCAGAGAGGTTGCATTGAACCCCGGGATTGATGGGTGCTTTGTCCCGTCGCCTTTGTCATAGGCCTAACCGGTTTTGCTGGCTGTCGTTTCTCAATCCCTGCCTGATGCTGGCGAGTCAATTATGAGTGGCCGCTTATGTGCCCGGGATCAGTTGACCCTTGAGTCTCAACTCCAAGGTGGATTTGGGGAGGTGTTTGGCTGAGAAAGAGACCGGACTTTCAGCAGTCCCAAGTGAGCAGTTATTATACACTTCTATCTAACAGCTCCAAGCAACACCCGTTATATCTGGGTATAACGAACCGTTTGTCCTCAAAAGCAATGCCAACTCCGACGCTCCTTTTCCCGGATCCATCTGCCACAGTAAAGATACAGATTCCCATTCCGCGTCCCATTTCACCCTGCCTTCTGTTCCGACCGCAACCAAGCCATTGCACCCCTTAATACCCGCGGTCAACAAACGGCGCGAAGTTTCTACTCGCATACCGCTCATTATCCATTTCCAACACCATATTGTCGCTCCCCTCCCCTTCCGCCTCCTCCGTCTGCTCGATCCTCCTCTTCACATTCCCACCAGCATGTCCCATCCCCCCAGACTGCTGCTGCGCCTGCGGTTGCTGATAGCTCATGACCCCGACATCGCCCTTGGCCCTGAGGATATCCTCATACGTCGCCAGCTGAAACTTGAAGTCGTCCCCCAGCGCGACGCAGAAGCGCTGCAGCTGCATAAACTGCACGGCCTGCACGATGCCCAGCCCATACATCGTCATCAGATACGCGGCCACGACGGCCGCCGACCGCCCATTCCCCGTCTCACAAACCACCAACACCTTCCCCTTCCTCCCTTGCCTCGCCAACCCCAGCACATGCTCATTCACCATGCGCGCCGCGACCGAAAACACCCCCACCAACTCCCGCCCATCCGCGATATCAATCCCCTCCACCACAATCCCCATCCCCTCCACAGCACGGCGCGCCCCACCCACCAGCATCGCCCCTCCCGCAAAGCGCGCGTCGCGCGCGCACAGCACCATGGTGATGCCCTCGCGGGCGAGGAAGGCGCGGTCCTTGGCGGCGCTGGCGGGGCCGAGGTAGAGAAAGGCCAGCACGGGCTGGGCGGCGCGGCGCGCCTCGTACACCCACACGGAGGCGCGCGCCGTCTGCGGGGCGCCGCCGCCCGTGACGGCGGCCAGGTCCGCGGGCGACAGCCCCGTGGTGTGCACGGCGGTCGGGGTCGGGTGGATGGTCATGAGGATGTCTCTTGTCTCGTTGGCGGCGGTGGTGGTGGTGTTGTTGGGGTTGGGGTGGTGGTTGCTGTTGGGGTTGTTGGGGAGGTTGTTGGTGTTTGTGAGGATCATGTTGTTCGGGTTGGCGAGGCTGGGGTGGAGGGGTGGCGGGACGTGGATGTATGGTGGTGATGGCGCCCGCGAGGAGTATGGCGCTGTTGGGAGGGCGGTGGATTTAATTGGGAATTGGGGTTGGTTGTCCATGATGGGTGGGATTGTGTAGTGCGTCGTCATGTATGATGTGTGTGGGTGTGGGTTGGAGAATGAAATGGATGAGATGACGAGTTGATGATGATCTGTGGTTTCTGGCGGTCAGATTAAGGGAAGTAATCGGCGGCCCGAGGTTGGCCCCGAGCTGATCACGTTCACTCTCTCCCCGAGTTGAATGTTGGTCGTTGGTTGTTGGCTGTTGGTGCAAGCGAGCAACGGATGAAAGTCACCAATTTGTTGAAGATACAAAATGACAAATAACTAACGAAAGGTGTAAAACAACAATGAGAAAAGGAGAGCTGCGTTTGTCAAATATATAGCGGATTTAGGCAACGGAAACTACCAGGTACTGAGGAGCGGTCTTAATTGAAACGGTTTGGGTGTTCATTGGCTTTGCCTTCCTTTTGAATGATGAGACGAGAGACTTTCAGCTCCCTCCCTCATTGAGTGAAGTCGCGACTCGACCAAGTCGTCCAAGCGCGATGTCTGCCTGGGCGGCAACCTGGAAGTGGGGCGGGTTAAATTGGTCGAGACTTGACCCGAACCCTTGGAATCCAGGGTTGGGAACCAACGTGACCACCCCCGAGCCACCCCTTTCAATATCGCCCATGAACATTTGGTCCGTCTCCCCAAGTATCAGACGTAAAGTAGCGTATATGATATATAGAGGGTATCCTTTTTCTGACAACCATCGACATGCAGAACGTCGTCTATAATACAGACAACTGCGGCCAACAAGCCATCATCTAGGGACTTGCCCTCGTAGCGCTCGATTTCGGGGTGCTCTGTTTGGCCAGCGGCGACGTTATCTCGGGAGTCACGGACCTCGACTCCACGCGGGGCCGGTTCTTCGCCCCGGTAGCTAGCTTCTTGCGCTTCTTCTCCGAGGTATCAGAAGACGTGCTGCCTTTACGAGTGATGATACCGGGATACTCTTCCGCCTCGAGCTTGGGCGTCGGGGTTCGTGATCCGTGAACGCTCGACATACTGCCTCGGCGCATACTTGCGCTGCCGCTTCTTGTCCGTCTGTGCTCGCTCACTACAGCCGCGTGTCGCGGGTGGTGGACCTTCTCGTTAGCTACCGCAACGGGTTTCTCCATCGTAGCCCTTCCCCCGGGGAGCCACCAAAACCAGCCGCGGTTTTGCTTGCCCAGCTTGCGATCCCGCTCTTTGATTCTGACCCGTAGCAGAGCGCGGCGCTCGTTCTCCTTCTCCCAGTACTCCGCCCTGTACAGCTCCCAGTTCTCCCTAAACGTAGGCGAGAATGGCTTCGCCAGCAGCAGGAGCTTGATGTAGTCCCCGCCCGAGGCCAAATCCTCCTCGTGCCCGCCCTTCTCCTCGTCCCAGTTCGTCACATGCACCATCGGGTGGCTCTCCCGCGATAAATGCAACTCCTTATCTACCTCCCGCAGCAGCCCGGGCTCGACCCAGCGATACGAGCTCCCATTATTCGAAAACAGGCCGTAGGTGAGGAACCAGCCGGCGGTGCTGAGGGCCTCCTTCCACCAGGGCCGCTTCATGACCACGAGCTTGCAGTTGAAGGCGCGCAGGCCGCGGTTCGAGACGGCGAGCCAGCGGCGCGGCCAGCGCACGCCGCGCTCCCAGATGCCCGTGGCCCACACGAGCAGGCCCGTGACGACGCCGCCCAGGAAGCACATGTGCTCCGTCGTCTCGACCACCCAGTACACGCTGCCGCCGACCCCACGGCCGTCCTCGCGCGGCGCGAAGAACAGCGCGTACCCGAAGAAGGCCGTCCACAGCGTCAGCAGCGACAGGAAGAAGGTGTGGTGCCGCCGCCGCGCCCGCAGCTCGAGGTACTGGGCCCGCAGCGACGCTTCGAGCACGAGGAGGTTGAGGTAGATCATCGAGGGCGAGCTCGGCGTGTGCGAGAGCGGGTCGCCGGGCTTGCCCGGGGTCGGGGGCGAGGCGGAGGAGGCGATCGGGGTGGTGCCGCCGGCGGCTTTGGCGGGGTCCTGCCCCGGGATGGTCATCGGGGCGCCCTTGACGATGGAGTCGAGGGAGTCGGACATTGTGCTGGCGGCGGTGACCAAGCACGGCGAGGTACCGGTACCTCGGTAGGTAATGTAGGAGTGTGACGTGCCGGGGCCCGAGAGACTTCGGTTCGGTGCCGCAGCCCGGAGGGATGCCCTATCGAGGACGTCGAGCGCGGGAGCAAATCGGGACTTGACACCGCCGGATTCGGGTCACAAGGGAAACGTCGGGTGGTGGCGGCGTACTGCAGGGGGCGCCGAGAGGAGCTGCGTCAGCTTGTCAGGCCTAGCCTCATGCAATAAAGGCAGAATGTGAGCTGGATTCGTATGTCCGGACTTTAGCATACTATCGCCGCCGGATTGTTGTTCCAAAGCGGATGGTTTGGTGGAGACTGGGATTGGATGGGATGATTTTTTTGGTTGCAGGCGCGGTCCCTGATTGCTCGGAGCCTTTTTGGCGGCCTGGAATCAATCCGCAGGGTCTCATCCCGCCAACGTCATCGGTGTTTTTAGCGACTGTCAGGGGCTGCCCTGCGCAAATCGGGCGGCGGAACGAAGCAAATTCCGATGCATGCCGGGGGCGACCTCCATTTGTCTTACTGGCCTGTCTCTGTTGGGGAGAGGATCTCACCGAATGCGAGCAATGCAGCACAACTCTTTGATAAGGGGTGGCGTCCCAACGCGGCCTTCTCTTCCCTCTCAACATGCTCAAGACATACCCGACGACCTTTTTGCTGCCAAAGCGAATAAAGTCGGCCTCTCTGGCTACACGTTGCGATCCCGACAGCGCTCCCGTGCAGATCAACCATAGCAGTGGCCTCTCGACCGACGCCTCTTTCTCCCCGCAAGAGGACCCCCGACAACCTATCCTCCTCGCCCGCCACCGGACAATGTCGCAGGCCAATACCGACAGCGCGCCGCGACCCCAGCGCACGACGGGGGCTTACTTTCCTCTCGGTTACAAGGAAGCTGCACAACAATGGGTAGGTTTGCCCTCTTGGCTGGGTGCACTGCACCCCGCTGCGAATCGCGCCAACCTAGGGTACTGACTGACTGACTCCCTCTCAGTGGACGAGTATATCCTCCCGCCAGGCCGAGCGCAATGTCCTCTCCTACGTCCCATTTCTCCGAGAAGCCACCGCTGAGACTGTCGGTTCACAATTACAAGACCTCGCGAAGAGCGACCCATTCGGCCAGCGGGTATGGCGGTCCTCGATGGTGCAGCTATCCGGCAAGAACCGCGCCCTAAATGAGCTATCGATTGAGCGCGTCGGTGAAGAAGCCGACGACACCTTGGTGATGGTTCACGGATACGGTGCTGGCTTGGGCTTCTTCTACAAGAACTTCGAACCGTTAAGTCGCGCGCAAGGCTGGAAGCTGTACGCGTTAGACATGCTTGGCATGGGCAACTCAGCGAGGCCAAACTTCAAGATCCAGGCCAAGGAACCCAAGGAAAAAATTGCCGAGGCAGAAGGCTGGTTTATCGACGCACTAGAAGAATGGCGCAAGGTCCGGAAGATTGAAAAGTTCACCTTGCTCGGCCACTCGCTCGGCGGCTACCTCGCCGTCTCTTACGCTCTCAAATACCCTGGCAGGCTCAACAAGCTCATCCTCGCCTCACCAGTCGGCATTCCCGAAGACCCCTGGGCCGTCAACGCCGCCATGCCCGAGCCCGGGGAATCCACCATGGCGGCCGAGTTCACCCAGGACCAAGAAGACATCGTCAGCGGCGAGCCCGCCGGCGACAACGCCGCCTTCGTTCGCGCCCCTTCGGCCGACAAGAAATCCGCCGCCTCCAAGCCCGGCACTTCCACAACCCCTCCGAAACGCCCCATCCCCGGCTGGCTCGTCTGGCTGTGGGACGCCAACGTCTCACCCTTCAGCATCGTGCGCATGGCCGGCCCGCTCGGCCCGCGCTTCGTGTCGGGCTGGACGTCGCGGCGGTTCAACCACCTGCCGGCGGACGAGAAGGAGGCGCTGCACACGTACTCGTACTCGCTCTTCCGGCAGAAGGGCAGCGGCGAGTACGTGCTGCCCTACCTGCTCGCGCCGGGCGCGTACGCGCGCAGCCCCGTCATCAACCGGATCCAGGACGTCGGCCGCCAGGTGGTGCGGCCCGCGGCGGCGGCCGACGGCGGCGACGGCGCTACCCCTGCGCTCCGCGAGGCCGGCCTGCCCATCGTCTTCATGTACGGCGAGAACGACTGGATGGACGTCGCGGGCGGGTACGCCGCCGAGGAGAAGGTCAAGCAGCGCGTCGTCAAGGCCCTGCTCCACGGCACCGACGACGAGAAGCGCCGCGAGAACGGCAGCGCAAAGGTCCTCGTCGTCCGCAACGCCGGCCACCACCTCTACCTCGACAACCCGGACGAGTTTAATGAGATGGTTATGAAGGAGATGGAGGAGACGCGGCGGCGGCGGTTGACGTTCAAGGAATAGGTGGGCTACGCCGACGGGGTTCGGGTCTGTCCGGTTTGATTTGACGGGGGGTGTTTAAACGGTGGTGACGGTGCATGACGGCGTTGGGATTGGGGACTGTCGGGTTCAGACAGGACCGACTCGGAGGTGGAATCTAGTGTGTGGAATTTAGACTACTACACTGCGGAGAGGTGTTTTCCTCGCGAATACCATAAATAGACTGCGGTCGACCGCTCTGAGAAGTTGTTAGTACATAGCTGGCGGGATGCCAAGTATTCAAAAACGGTTATTCAACTTAACGGCGTTTCCTTGAGGAGGTGGGAAGTAAATATGCCATGTGGCCGCCGTTTAAACTGCTTGCGTGAATAGTATCGAGGTTTTACTGGATGCAATTTGTATACCTAAGCACACATCTCCATGTTACGAGGCACCGTTTCTATTCCCTGACTTTAACTTGCCAATACGTTTGGTAGTTCATGTCTTGCAACGTCCATCTTCTTCTTCCCATGGTAACTTACAACACCCTGCTAACAGAGGTAACGGAATGTAAAAAAGAACGAAAGATGAGAAAATAAACAAGACTAACTAAGGGTATCACAGAGGCCTGTTGTACCCACAAACCAAAAAAGTACACAAGCAGTATTACAGTCTGTATCCGACAGCTTAAAAGAAGAATACAACCCACACATGGAGCACCCAGCCCCCTCTAACTCCATCGACCAACCCACAACTAGTCAGTTCGCCCAACCCAAGCATCTACCGCCTCTAAACCGAGCCAAACGAACCCCATGCTTCCAGCCATCCTACACAATTATCCTCCCTTTCGTGAATTTCACCACGCGGGAAAAGCAACCTGCACTCCCACACCCGCCAACGCATACCGACCCTCACCACCGCCTCATACTCCTTCTCCACCACCTCACACCCTCCACCACCAACCCAAACAAGCAACAGTAACCAACCCAGCCCAACAACGCTCATTAACAACAAGACTCTGACACCTCCGACTTCGCCTGACCTTCTACTTCCCGTCACCACCACCACCACCCCTCTTCTCCCCGTCACCATCCGCAACCCCCGCACCCCCCGCCCCAGGCCTCGGCCCAAAAGGAATGACCCCCGTGCTACTAAACACAGGCAAGTCCGCCCTCCTGACGGGCGACGGCACCGGCGTAGCACACACGTTCGGCGGCAGCCACTGCAGCGGTTTTTGCTGCTGCTGCTGTTGTTGTTGCTGCTGCTGCTGCTGTTCCGCTGACACGGCCGTGGAAGAACCGTCGGGCTGGTAGGCGATAAAATTGTCTCCTACCGCTGCCGGCGGTGGTGGTGCCTCGGAGATGGGGCTGCTCATGCTCAGGGTTGTGCTGCTGCTCATGTCCATGGATGGTGGTGGGGAGCTTGCGGGGAGGGGGACGCCGTGCGGGGCGGTTTGTGGTGGGGAGAGGAGGGGTGGGTGTGCGGCGGGTTCTGTAGTCGGGGTTGACGGGTCGATGGGGGTGTGGGGTTGGGGGAGTCCCGATGACGATGGGGGCGGTGGGGAGGAGTGGTGTTGGGCGTTCGCTATGATCATGTTGGGAGTTGCGGTGTCGGGTCGGGGAAGAGGTTCGTCGTCTGCCGGCGGCGGAGGCATGGGGATAGTCTCCGCCTTGGAGAGCTTCTCCTTTGCTAACCGTTCCCGCTCGCGAGCTTCTCTTTGCGCCTTTGTGATGACTGTGATCTTGATTTTCTTCATCTGGCCGGCCAGTTTGTCCACCTCATCACTGGGCTTGTCGGTTGATGGGGTGTTAGTGGTGGCCGTGGAAGGGGCTGGTTGTGCGGCTGCTCCGTTTGCGGCGGTTGCGGACTTCTTCGTCCCCCTTGGTGCTCGCGGGACTGCTTCTTTCTTTGCCGGACCCCGCGTCTTCTTCACATTGAGATTGTTGCCACCCGGGCTTGCAACGCTCATTGAAGTCGCGGGTCTGCTCGTGACATCCGTCTTGGAGTTGCCACGGACCGGCACGATCCGGGGAACGGGCGGCGTCGTATCCAAACTCTCAGAAGCAGACGACACAACAGTCGACGCCGCACTAAGGCGTCGTGACGAACGGGATTGCTTCCCAGGAACAGGAGTGGATCCGCGCGAACCAGCTTCTGCAGCAAGAACAGCCGGCCCCGCCACCGTCTTCCGTCTGTTACGGTCGTCTTCCTCCACACGCGGCGGTTTCGGCTTCCGTTCCCTAAGCCCCATCCTTGTGGATGGCCGCTCTTCCACGGGAGACACGATCGGAGGAACAGATCCCGTAAGGACAGCCTGGCGCTCACGTCTAATCCTCGTAGCCTCGGCATTGAGCTCTTCGGCGGTGCAGCTGGCTGTCTGACGCGCACTTGGAACGAGTAACTTGCTCAGCTCGAAAGTGGCGACGTTCCAAGGCACATCCGGAGGCGGAGGTGGCTGGAATGAGATCCTGGGCACTGCATTACTCGGGACGGGCGACAGCCCAGACGAGCTCCGATTCCTCGCCCTCGCCTGTGACGCTTGAGTCGGGGACGAGTAGGTTGGCGGCGGAGAATTCCGAACGGGTTTCGGGACGGGGAGAGGTGTAGTAAGGGTGGCCTCCAGTTCTTCAAGTTCACCAGCGGACCACCACGACGACTCATACCGCCGGGCACCTCGCTCGCTCGCGCACGAGTCCTTTCTAGCGCGCTGCTGGATGGGCTTCTGGCCCGTTTCGGAGACTGTGCCGCCAGACTCCTGCTCCTTATTGCTGGGCCCATCTCCGGCGAGACCACAGAGGTGACTGAAAACACCGGAGCAGAGCGCACGGTCGCTGTAGCCGCCTTCAAGAACGCTAATGATGCGGCCTTCAACACTCGTCCCTTCTTCGGCTGCCATACGCACCACATCACGGGTGAAGCGGGCGTAAAACTCGGTCGGCACATTGACATTATGCCGCTGCATACCGGGGTCCTCATATTCGCTCGCGTCGAAGCCGGCCGAGAGAAAGATGGCTGCCCTCGAGTTCAAGCCGGACGCCCTTAGCCGCTCCGTGTGACTCTTTAGGTAGGCGCGCGTCTTCTCGAGTAGAACGCCGTACTTGGACTCGTACAAGGCCCAGAAATCGGCCTCGGTTTGCCAGGACTGCAGGTGCACGTTCCATATGCTCTGGCCGTGTGCGTTGTCGATGCAGATACTTGCGTTCCTGACCTTGTCTTCATCGCCCATCTCGCACGGATACGAGTTGATGTCGTGCAGGCTGAAATAACCAATCGACGTCTTCTTCCACCACGCCGCGTTCTTAGCCAAGCCGACACCTCGAGCATTGTGCTGCCAGGTGATCGCCTGGGAGCCGTCCCCGTGGTGCAGGTCAAAGTCGATGATGGCGGCATGTGTTAAGCCATGGCTCAGCACGCCGTGCATGATGCCAACATGGACATTGTTAACCCAGCAAAAGCCAGACGGGTGGGACGCGGAGCAGTGATGGCCCGGGGGTCGAATTGCAACAAACGCCCGCTGGGGACCCTGGGGCCTGAAGACTGCATCGACGGCGTCGCACACGCCTCCAAGCGCCCCCTCCATGGCCTCCAACGATTCCGAGCAGAGGTACAAATCACCCTCATGAAACTTTTGCGGCACATCCGCATTTGCGCCTCGGTCCATATCCGGTCTTTGGAGCTCTCTACCACCTCCAGCCAGTTTTGCCTCGGCTGTATCACACATCATCTTGAGTTCCTCCATCCACTTTGTTCCGTGCACGTTGGTCACCGTTTGCGATCCTAGGGATAGGCGCCGATTTGATCTCTGGATCCGGAACGGAATCGAGGGAAGCGACGCGGCATCCGCCTCCGGGTGGAGAGGGAATGCGCCGTCCTGATGTCGCTCACCCAGCCTCACGTACGCTGCCGACACACCCAAAACGCAGGCCTTGATCCTCTCGGGTCGCTCAACAATGGTACTAAGCTGCGCACGCGACGCCCGAGGACGGGAGTACCGATGGCCATAGCAGGCGTCTTGGAGGATAACCACGGTCTCGGCTCGGCGGGTAGGCTCGGGGCCATGGTGGGTATCCAGCTCGGCCTTGAAGTGCTCGTTGGCGACCGAGTTCGGTGTCGGGAGGGGCTTCTCTGGTACCTCTGGCGACATACTCCTGAGGGGCGACCTGGCGGTCCTGGCCCTGTTGGCCGTCGGGATATTGGCGGAGCTCGCACGGCGGGATGGGGTGATGCCGTTGACGGAATGGAGCGAGTTCATGGAGGCCTTGCGCAGTAAGGTTGGGGTCGCAGATCGGGATGACGGAACGACGGAAGCGGATGAACTGCGAAGGGGACTGCACATCGCACTACTCGGGCGCGGAGTACTGGGCGACCGGGAGTGGTCGGCGACTGGTTTTAGGGGGGTAGGTCCGGCGGGACGGGCAGAGCGGGGTGTTTTGGCGGGAGAAGATGTTGCGATGGTTAGGCGATTTAAAGATTGCGCCAGGTCCCCATCGCCCTCCCGGCCGTCATGAATGCGACTTTGTTGATCCATTGTTGCAGACGCTTTGGGATGGGAGAAAGGTGTCCAGGCGGCAGCCGAGGGAGGTGCTGTCGGTCCCTATCTCAGGCAACCGTGGTGGCGCCAAAACCGTTTATAGGGGCCGCAGCTGGAGCACACCAAACAAAGCCGATCCAAAGGGAGTTGATTTGAAGCACTTGAGATGGAAAAAGGAAACTGATAGTCAAAAAGTGGAGCGTATCCAGTCTCACAGCCAAACGGGCATTTCAAGCCAAGCCGAAAGCCACGTCAAGACGATGCAAATGCATCGGATGTCTTTTTGTCATGAGAGTTGAGAGCGGATGCATCACCCGCTGACGGCTCACTGGGTGACTGCCGGAGCAATTCAAACAAAACACGCGCACAGGCGCGTCGTGGGGGACGTCATAGGGGAAGGAATGGCCATCTCACGTGACCTACACACGAAATTGAGCGGGTCCAGCTTTGCTGTCATTTCTCTTGCTCCCTTTCTGGGGCGATCAGTTTGTTTTTGTTGTCAGCCGAATTGTTGACAACCGAAGGTATCAACAAAACTTCTTGACGGGTTCATCCTCAATGAACACACCTTTACCTCGACCCTAGATTTCAGCAATTCTCAGGTAAATAACGAATCACATTCACTGTACAGATGTACAAAGTCTGAATACTTGATGGTTCCTCCAACTCACCTCAATCGTCAATGCCCCGCTCCCACATTGGGATACGAATCATTTCCCGTCGTGGCCGCCAAGAATATTGGTGGGGTGGCGCATTTTGGTGCTGGCCAAGAATCGACTGCCCAGATCTCAGGATGCGACAAGAGGTCAGCTGCGGCTGCACCGAGCCGCAAGTTGCGCAAAGAGGGAGGGATTCTTGGTTGCGTCGCCACAGGAATTCTTTGCTACCTAGGAGGCGAGTGAGTGAGCGAGTCCAGGCGAGTAAGAAATTGGCGTTTTCCTGCGAGTGACTATATTCGGTTAACTCGGTCCCTCGGTCCCCCAGCACCGATGACGGGGTTGTATTCGTAGCCGACGTTCCTTCAGCCTGGCCCTTCCAGGTTGGGGGTCGCTTAAAGCTGTAATTTCACCTCGTGATGGTTCTGTGAACTTCCCGTCGCCGCGTTCTTGTTTGATACTCGGGGGACAAGAAGACAAGATGGCACGTCGATTCTTTGCCGCGCTCGCCCTCGCGCACAGCGCCACTGCTCTACTTGAAGGCTTTGTAGATGTATTGGTGCAAGTGGACGAGGTTCGGGTTCCCGCCGATCTTTTTGCGGGTGTATTGCAGGCGGCCGGGAGCGACGATGGCTACGAGGCCTGCGAAACCGCCAACGCTGCGATCGGCTACTGCTACGAGGGCGGTTATCTCGAGCGCACCGTCCCGGTCGCGGTCGGGAACAGCTGCTTATGCTGTGACGGTCCCACTGGCATTTCCGCAGCATACTCAAGCTGCGCAACCTACGCGTCGAACGAGGCGCCGGATGCTACCAGCGTGTACCGAGGTATGCTCCGTTGACTGAATAGATACGTCCGCTTCATATCGAACTGACATGGACTAGCTGTCTCTCAAATCTACAGTATTTGCGCAAACAGTGTTGACTGCGGCGCCACGGCAACCTCGCGCAGAGCGCCCACGCGCACAGCATCGGGCGGAGGTGGGAGCTCCATTACCCTTCCTCCAGTATGCTCGTCGATGCTCGATATCTACTCCTCTTGCTCGGAGAAACTGGATGTCCAAACCGCTGGGCCTAGAGATGCGGCTGAATGCTTTTGGTATGTTACCTTCTCCCCCAACCATAGTCTCGCGGAAGTTAACATGCTGCTAGCCCCGAGTCGGCAGGCACTGTAAACACAGTGTTCCAGGACTATGCGAGCTCCTGTGCCCCCTTTGTTCGGAGTTCATTTCCTGGGGATTACTCCAGTAAGTCCAACCCTGCCATATTTTTGCGTGTGTGCTTGGAGGAGTATGGGTTCTTACTCTCCACCTAGTCATCAGGCAACTCGCGACGTATTGTGACCAGTATCCGCCTCTCAGCACCGAGGCACTGCTCTTTACGACGGCGGGGACTCGCACCGGGCTTGACTTTGCCCGTCCCTCAACGACTTCCCCGCCAGGTGGTGCCGATGATAACGGCGAAAACAACAATGACGATGACGAGATTTCTGAGGGTTCCGAATCGACCTCGATTTCATCCGGGCTTGCCGCTCCGGGGTTGGCGGTGCCCGGTGTTATTGCCTGGTTCGCTAACCTGGCCACCCTTTTTCTGTCTTTCTTCATCTTGATCTAGGCCATCTTGTGGTAGACGATTGCCTGTTGCGACGGATAATGAGGGAACGGTTGGACCAGGGGCCGTAATGATCCAGACATGGATGTTGAAATGGGCGAGGGCTGGGTATCTATGATGTATTCTTAGATCTAGTCTAGACGCTATAATTCTCACCCGATGCTTCCCATTCCACCTTCCGTTATTCCTTCATTTCCCACTCTCTTCCCGCGGCTAACAATCAACACTCCTCCACCCTCACGACGCGCAAGCCACATGCCGACACCCCCACGGAATCAACACCACAGCCTTAGGAACCAGCTCCAACCCAACCTGCACGCCCACCTCCCCACCACCCCACCCACCCGAGCCATTCCCATCCCCATCCCCATCCCCATCCCCAAGCTCCACCCGAAACGACGCCCTCACCCGTTCCATAATCCGCACGATCTCGGCGTCCCCCGCCGCGGGGTCAACAAACTCCACTTCTCTCCGACCCGTCCCGGAGGAGCCCGGCTGCTCCGCCCCCCCACCATCACCACCACCGCCACCAACCACCAGATACGCCTCCTCCAGCAGCGGACAGCCGCGGATCAGGCACACCTTGCCAAACACCTCCCACGGCCGGCGCACCTCGGCGGGCACGTAGTCCACCGCCAGCCGCCGCACCACGCGCGCGAGCCCGCTCACTCCCGCTCCCGGCCCCGGCCCCGGCCCCGTCCCCGTCCCGGCGGCAAACTCGCGCGCCCAGTCCGCGTACCCCAGCCCCAGCGGGTCGGCGGCGCGCGGCGGCCGCGGCAGGTACAGCGTGTCGAGGTGCGGGTGGTGGTAGAAATACCTGCGGGGGTGGTGGTGGTGGTGTGCGTCGTCGTCGTCTTCGGCTGATGGTTGTTGTAATGGTTCGGTTTGCTCCGGGGGTGGTTGCTGGTTGGGTGGTGATGGTGATGGTGGTGATGATAATGGTGGGAGGAGGCACTTCGCGTAGAGGCGGAGGCCTTCGGCGCGGGATTCTCGCGAGATGTGCAGGAGGGTTGGCGGCGGGGTTAGGCACTGGTAGGCGTCTCGCGGAGCGGGGAGGTAGGAGAGGGTTGTCACGCGCGGGTGGCAGGCGTGGTGGTAGATGTGGAGGCGGAGTTCGGGCGGGAGGAGAGGGAAGAGGGTGAATGATGTTAGGGATGTCATTGTGGAGGTTGCGGTACGGATGGGGAAGTAAATATCTGGTTGGATGGAAGAATGGAGAGGATAATTCGATTATTTCGGTTTAGGTTGGGGATTGTTTGGTTTGGGTGTAACTCTCTGCTCTCTTGTGTGTAAGTGAAGTGCCAAGACTGTGACGTAGGTCGGGAGTACCATGGAGAAAAATCGCTCGCTAATATTACGCGCTGCTAAGTCAGGAACAGGAAACAAAAATAAACTTTGCTTGAGGGTTTTGATCATGTCAATGCAGCAATAATATGTAGAACGAGAGGGCGGGAGAAAAGCTTGAGCTTGTCTGTCGAGTGGGACCGATTACCGAGGTTGTGGGCTGATTTTTGGCTTCACATTGTTTGGCATTGATGGCATTCGCTGCGGATTGACGTTGCCAAGGACAAGCGCAGAGCTGATGGGCCGGGCCCCAGAGAAGAAGCCCAGATCTTCAGCTCCCCCAGCCAGGGCGAGGGCTTTGAGGGGATTTTGCCTAGGTACCGAGTCAACCTAGAACCTTTGGGACTTTGTTGGAGAAACTCGGATGTAAAGATGCAGCTGCCCGCATCGGGTCGCAAGCCTCTACTCGGCCTCAGATTTTAGGCCCGGCTTTCCAGTGATCCGCATTGTAGGGTAGCTATCCGCACGTATCAAGAAAGAGCACCCGGAATATCGTATGATTCTTGACGAAGGGGTCATTGCGGGCTGTGCCTGCCTACCAGGTAAATTTTAATTGACACTGCAGGGACCAAATTGGCGGGAAGAACGGTCCTTTCATGAACTTGGCATTTTGACCACGCACTCCACGGTAACAGTCCTCCAGGCGCTGGCCGGTCTCCGGGTGCCTCTTGTGTACACTGGCGGGAGCCGGCCTTAGATTAGCAAAGTGGCTCTGCCGTTTAGGCAAGTCGAACGGTCGCGGTCTTTCTTCCTTTCCCTCGCAAGGTGAAACTGAGGTTACCCTCAAAGCCCAGAGTCTAGACCGGCCTGAGGCAAGCTGCAAAAAGGTGGGGCTCGGCCTCTTGGTGGGGCTTTTCGGAGCAGGCCCCGCGATCCGCATTGCAGAATTTCGGGGCTTGGCGGCCGAACCACTCCTGCCCGACCGATGTGAACTGGAGCCAGCAAGCAGTGCCAGAAGCGAGGGACGGAGAATGTGGGCAACTACACGAAGGATGGCTTCAAACAGGACGTACACATCTCCTGCGCTCACCTTTGAGCTGACCGCGCGGTGTTCGGTGGGTGAAACCTGGATTCCATCACGTTGGCGCATCTCGAAGAGGAGCCATCCGGCTAACGCATATTGAATGCAGGTCACACGCGCCCGCGCGTCGATCCTAACCCTCCCCCATGGCACCGTCAACCTCCCCATATTCATGCCCGTGGCCACCCAGGCATCGCTAAAGGGCCTCACTCCCGAACAACTCGAGGCCACCGGATGCCGACTCTGTCTGAACAACACCTACCACCTCGGCCTTAAGCCCGGCCAGGAGGTCCTCGACGCAGTTGGAGGCGCCCACAAACTCCAAGGATGGAACCGCAACATCCTGACAGATAGCGGCGGGTATGGCTTCCTTCTTGGGCTCGAGTCCTCGTTCCTGACTAACTAACCATCCAGCCCAGTTTCCAAATGGTCTCCTTGCTGAAGCTCGCCAACATTACCGAGGAGGGCGTGCGCTTCCTCTCGCCGCACGACGGCAGCCCGATGCTTCTGACCCCGGAGCACTCCATGAGCCTGCAGAACTCGATTGGCTCCGACATCATGATGCAGCTCGACGATGTGCTCGTCACCACCTCCCCAGACAAGGCGCGCATGCGCGAGGCCATGGAGCGGAGCGTGCGCTGGCTAGATCGATGTATCGCCGCGCACAAGAAGCCAGACACACAGAACCTGTTTTGCATCATCCAGGGTGGTCTGGACCTTGATATGCGCCGCGAGTGCTGTCGCGAGATGCTGGCGAGGGACACACCCGGGATCGCGATCGGCGGGTTGAGCGGAGGCGAGGCGAAGGACGACTTTTGCAAAGTTGTTTCCACCTGCACCGAAATGCTGCCGGATCTGAAGCCGCGGTATGTGATGGGTATCGGATATCCGGAGGACCTGATCGTCAGCGTGGCGCTGGGGGCCGACATGTTCGACTGTGTCTGGCCGACACGGACGGCACGGTTCGGCAACGCCATCACCAAACACGGCGTGCTCAACATGAAGAGGGAGATGTACGCGGCAGACTTTGGGCCCATTGAAGACGGCTGCGGATGTCCATGTTGCCGGCCCACTGAGGAAGAAGGGGCCATGGGGATCACAAGGGCGTTTGTGCACCACAATGCGGCCAAGGAGACGGTCGCGGCGCATCTGCTAACGTTGCACAACGTGTGGTACCAACTGAATCTGATGAGGGGCGCGAGGGAAGCAGTCATCGAGGACAGATATCCGGCGTTTGTGAAGGAGTTCTTTGGTAACTTGTACCCGGATAGAAATGACTACCCGTTATGGGCTGTTAATGCCCTGAAAGAGGTTGGCGTTGACTTGCTAGAAATATAGATATTATGCCCTCTCTCGCTCCCGAAATCTCCAAACTCCATTGACTCCAACCCGTCTCCTCACGCTCTATACTATTTGACTGTCTTCATATACATTTCGGACGTTCACCACGGTGCAGGTACAGGGTTAGGGTATCTTGCGCTTGGCGGTTCGTCGCCAGAGGCCGGCAATCCACCCAAGCCCCGAAATTTTGCTCCGTTGCCGACCGCGAGCTCCGACCTCGACACCGACAACACACGGCTCAGGCCAAATCAATCTCAAAATGGCGACTAGGAGCGTGTCTCCCGGAGGCGCGCTTCTCCGGGCTTCGCGCATGTTCGCGATGCCGGAACCCATCCCTCCACCACCCCTCGAGGGCGCGGCTGGTAGTTATTTCAACTCGAACACGGCAACAATCGCCTTCCCGACTCACCAGGCCATTACGACCCTCAGCTCCTCGCGGAAATTGGGAGACTGGGGCCTCAAGCGGCCCTTGCCCCTCAAGTCGACGACCAAGTCGTCCAACCCGATGCTGCGCATCAAAGCTATCGACACGATCGAGCAGATCACCGACTACAGTTCGGCCACCGACCACGGCATCACACTCCGAAAGTTCCAGGAGCTTGGAATACCTGTTACAGCACGCCGACCAGCTGGTGGGGACCGCCCGGAGAGCACAACTCAGATGAACCTACCGCAGATGTCCGTATTCGAGGATGCGCTGGATGCTACGGATATCCACCCGGACAAGCGCGCTGAACTTGTGGACTCGCGGTGGAAGTTTACCGGCCCTTGGTTAGCCGGTATGACGCAGGGCGAGTTTAATAAGTGGCTATCGAAAGAAGTCCGGCCTAAGCGACCTGCATTCCGCCAGTTCCTGAAAAAGAAAATCGCCAGCGAGCTGCATGCGGCGGCGGCGAAGGACGCTCTCGATAAGGGGCAAGAACAGCCCTCTATCATAGACCCGAGCAGCGTGACAGAGGACCAGCTCGTCGACTACCTGCGCAAGTTACGGCACAACAACCAGGCGCTATACGATATGGTTGGTCAGTTCCTCGACCTGGCGCCTCTCATGCCTCCCAACCTCGCCCAAACGGGCCTCCCCAAGGAGAAGGTCAGCGAGCTCCAGTTCAACGAGGTAAAAACTCCGTACGCCGAGCGTGGCCCCCCGATCACGCACCCTTCGGCCGGTCTCTCGTATCTGCGCACGTCTATGTACATGGAAAATCACCCAATCTACGGCCCTCAGAAACATCACGCGCCGGTGGTAGGCAGAATCGTGAGGCCGCGGCGACAGGCACAAGCCTTGGCTGCCAGAATCGGTGTGGCCGGTTTCATCGTCAACACTGCGATGGGCGACACGCGCTTCAACGCCCGAATCGGCGGGAACGCCGCGTTCGACAAGATCGACCCCGCCATCGAGGGCGGCGCCAAGGTCTGGGTGCAGCCCCAGAGGGCCGCGGTGGACTCGGTCGGTTGCATGGTCCTGTCGGTCAACGAACCGACGCAGGAGGCCACCCTCGTTGCGCAGGAGCTGCTCGGCAACGCAGTTTGCTTGGGCGCGGAGCCGGCGGAGGATGAGATGAGCAGACGCGAGACGGCTAGTGACCTAAGGCGGAGGTATAGGGCGCCCGACTCACCCACCATGTCGAGTGCCCAGGACTACGGGTTGAGAGAGTAATGTGCTTAGGATCGCCGATGGTCATGAAGAGTGCAAGAGAGAGAGGTGCAGTTGGGAGCTGGGGGAAGTGGCCGGGAGGTAACTTAGATACGACTGTATCCCGAACCTTGTAACAATAAATCAAGTGTAGAACAACCGACTACTGCATCATTCTCCAGAGGTATTCGTACATTACTCCCTTACCTCACTACACTTTGCCAGCGACTTGATCCCCCCGATGAGCGGCCCCACTTCACGCGGATCTGCCGCCCCGCCACAAAGCCCATTCGCCAGAGATTGCGCCCGGGCCACGCACGGGTTTATCCAAAGTCCTTGGCGTGCCCTACCCTAACGCACCACCCCACAATTGAATCCGCCAAAAAGTCAGCTTGCAGCGCAGCCCGCGATCTTCCCGAAACCTCGTCGTCCCCAAACTCCAGTTCAGCAACACCGCCAGAAACCCACAAAGCCATCAAGATGGGTCGCGTCCGTACCAAGACCGTCAAGAAGTCCGCCAAGGTCATCATTGAGCGGTACTACCCTAAGCTGACCCTCGACTTCGAGACCAACAAGCGGGTGTGCGATGAGATTGCCATCATCGCCTCCAAGAGGCTGCGCAACAAGGTACGTTTGATCGGTCTACGGCCGTGGTTTTGCCCGTGGATTCAAATTAACCCGTATGCTTGTCTGTAGATTGCCGGCTACACCACCCATTTGATGAAGCGCATTCAGCGTGGTCCGGTCCGCGGTATCTCCTTCAAGCTCCAGGAGGAGGAGCGTGAGCGCAAGGATCAATACGTCCCCGAGGTTTCCGCCCTCGACTTCTCCGAGGCCGGCCAGCTCGAGGTCGACACCGAGACCAAGGACCTGCTCAAGCACCTTGGCGTACGTCTTATTCCTTTTCTACGCTTTGGCTAGGTTGGGAGGGTGGTTTTACTGACTTGCTCCCTCTATAGTTCGACTCGATCCCGGTCAACGTCACCCCCGTCACCCAGAACCCCGTCGTGGAGCGCGGCGGCAGGCGGTTCGGCGACCGCCCCCCTCGCCGCGACTAAGCGTATCCTTTGCAACATGTTGGCTGGCTTTTTCCGGGGAAACGCGACAATCTCACGACACAAAAAAGGATACGGCTGCGGGTTATGGCGATACATGGGCATGGCTACACGGCGTCTATCTGGGAGGTCATGAGAACACAGGTATAGATCCTCGAAGAATAGAGAGATCTGTTGCCCACACAAGGTGTCGCCGATTCCCTAGGGTAATTCCGGGGATGACGCTTGATTGCCAATCTCAAGTCCCTTTGAGACCGTGGTGCGTGTTGAAACGAGACTCGGGCTGTGCTGCTGCCGGTCGAGTTTATCAGTGATTTTATGTGACACTTGACGGCATCTCGAATCTGCAAGGTGAGATTAACTGAATTATTGTGCCTGTGCACGATTTCTAGAGCGACGGCCGGCACTCGATGCAATGCTCCTCCCCTGACGAAACCGACAATGATTTGAAGATCCCCTGGCCCCAAGTATTCAGATGATCAACATAACCAAACTCCGTAAACCGTTTTCTCGTGAACGCCATCCAAGGTAAAACCTAAAAGTCTCAAAACCGGACGGTGAAGAAATCATCATCGTCATCGTCATCTTCGCTTCCACCGCTCTCATCACCCTCCGCTGGCTTTTTGGCAGTTTCACTGCCGTTCCCCTCCGCCAGCGCTTGAGAAGTGCCAGGGCCCTTGCCTTCCCTAAATATCTTGGGCGTGTAGCCTTCAATCGTGAACTCGCCACCTTTTGCCTGTGGGCCGGGAGGTTTGGTCGGCCCAACAGCGGCCGCCTCTTTAATGTTGACGTCCACCCTCGTTACCCCGGCAAGCAACCCGCCCGTAGCATCACCCCTCTCACCCGCGAGCGCCGACTCGTCCGTCTTCTTGCCATTCATCTGCCGGTCAATTTCGAGCTTCGCCAGAACCTGCGCCAGCTCATTGCGGTCCTCCTCCTTCCCGCGCGGAGGCTTTGCCGCATCGCCGCCACCCTGGCTACCACCGGCACCACCACCCTGGCCACCCTGACCGCCCTCGTCCCGCAGCTCCAGCTTGACCACCATACCGCCACCAATGCGCCCGTCGCGCACGTAGCTGGGGTTGTCGAGCTGGACCTTGAGGTGCAGCGCCCGGCGCGCGCACGCGTCCGAGCACCACTTGTTGACGTCCCCCGCGCGCGCGATCCCGCCCGGGCCGATGCTGAAGGCGCCGCCCACCGCCCGCCGCGCCCGCCCGCACAGCGCGTACCCGCACTTGCCGAGGCAGTTGCGCTCCTCGATCAGGTCTAGGTACTCGGACGGTTGGAAGTCCGTCAGGAGGGTTAGGAAGGTGCGGGTGTCCTCGGGGGAAGGGGCGGAGGCGGGGTGGGTGCTGGAGTGGGGGAGCTGGCAGAGCGTTTCGAAGGTCGAGAGGGGGACGGGGGGCTTGAGTTGCGTGTCGCGTAGCTTTTGGAGTAGGCGGAGCCGGGCGGCGTTTTCGTTGCGCGCGAGGATCTCGGCTCGTGTGAGTTCTGTTGTTGCTGCTTCATCTTGTGGGGGTCGGGCGGTTGGTTGTTTGAGAATGCCTTTGGGCTTCGGTTTTGATGGAGGATTTGTTTGGGACATCATGGCGGATGGAGTTGCCATTTTGATGTGGGTGATTGATTGATGGTGATGTTCGGTAAGTTTTTTTTTTTTGGTGTCTCCGACGTGAGATTCGGAGTCTCGCATTGACGGCGCGATGCCGTGCCTCGAGGCTGGCTGCCGGTGATGACCTCAGTGCCTGATCCCTGCTTCGGTGTTCCCCCCTCAATTGGTCAGTGCTCTCGATGCTGGCTCCACTGAATGGCATTTGAGGAGGGGCTGTTTCTCCCCCGCAACCAAGCAACGCTTTTGGTAGGCGTGCAACAGCGAATGCCCAAGCCACCTCCTGAGGCTCCGGGTGAATTGCTGCCTGGCGATATCTGGAACACTGTGACACGACACACGTAGGCTGTGACGAACGTGGTTGGAAGCCAGCAGAGTGATTGCAGTGGTTCATGCGCTGACGTCGCCCCTCTTGGCCCGCCCTTCGATTCCATAATCCGAAGCCACCCACTTTCCGTTTCGACCTCGAGCACGAAGTACTTTGTACCGTTGATGGAAGTCTTGGCTCGGCTTCGCCCGCCCACTGTTAAGCTGGCAACCCCTCCGTCGCCCCCAAACTAAACTTCGAGGTCGCCCGTCAGCCAAGCCTACCCACCAGGACCGCCCTTGGGTCACGGCCAGATCTCCATCAGTCCGTTTGAGATTTTGAGCCTTCTCCATCCTCCTCCTGTCAGACCCGTTACCACGCAGGAGCTTTTATTTACACTCGCCAACCCTGTTGCGCGTTTTTGTGCCGCCTTAGCAACCGCCGTGTGCTCTGTGCGGCGATTAATTACGGTAGGGATTTATTTGGTTTGGAAGCTCGAGCTCTCCAAAACCCCGCCACACCTAGCTTTCCACCTTGCATCGACTCCCGCCATCGACCACCGCTGCTGGCCGCGAGCCGCGTCATCATGTCGTTCAAGGTCAAAGCCCTGTATGACTACGTCTCTGGGCACGAGGACGATCTAGGCTTCAGCGCCGGGCAGATTATCACCGTCACCGACGAAGAGGATGATGACTGGTACGGAGGGGAGTATATTGACGACTCTGGCAATACGTGCGAAGGCATCTTCCCGCGAAACTTCGTCGAGAAATATGAGCCCACCGCTCCGCCCCGCCCGACAAGATCGCGCCCCAAGCGGGAGCCCGAGGCTGCTCCAGCGCCCGTCCCCGAGCCTGCTGCCCCGCCCGCTCCGGCGCCCGCTCTCCCCGCTCCCGACTCTCCGAAACAAGCTGCGCCGGAAGCCGAGGAAATACCAGAGCCAGTAGCTCCCGTCTCGCCACCGCAGACCTTCTCTGCATCTCCCCCGGCTCCGGCGCCCATCGCAGAGCCTCCCTCGCCCAAGCCGGTGCAGCCGGTGCGAGCGCCTGCTCCCGCCCCCGCTCCTGCGCCGCCCGCCCCACAGCCCGCCGAGGTCCCGTCTGCAAACTCACCGCCTTCCCCAAAGCGCGGCCCATCGTTTCCCAAGCCGGGTGGCCCACCTCCCGTGACCGAGAAGCCGAGTAGCAACTCGTTTAAAGATCGCATCGCGGCATTCAACAGAGCCGCCGCTCCGCCGATCACCCCCTTCAAGCCCAGCAACTTGAGCTCTGGGGGAACCGGCGGCTTCATCAAGAAGCCCTTCGTTGCGCCCCCGCCTAGCAGAAATGCCTACGTCCCACAGGCGTCGCAAGCTCCCGTCGCAAAGATCTACCGCAGAGATGAGGACCCGGAGGTAAAAGAACAAGAGGCCGAAGTCCTCGAAAATGCTGGCAGAGCGGGCCTCGTCCCCACGGGGTCCACAAATGAAGGCGAACCTGCCGAGGACGAGCCTAAGCCCATGAGCCTGAAGGAGCGGCTGGCCTTGCTGCAAAAACAGCAGATGGAGACGGCTGCCCGCCATGCCGAGGCCGCAGCGAAGAAGGAGAAGCCCAAGCGGCCACCCAAGAAGCGCCTCGATAGCCAGGACACGGTCGAAGGGGAAACTGTTGAGCGGACTGAGGAGACAAGGAGAACCTCTACCGACGAGGCTCACCCGCCGCGCATGGCACATCCTCCGAGGCGTAGGTCCTCCAAGGGAGCCGAACCCCGTGACGGAAACGAGGCGGATATGTCCGGAGCCGGCGAGACAACCGAGGGCCAAGAGGACCTCACCGAGAAGGAGGACAGCGATGGCCGAACTAAACACGTGGCCACGGTATCTAAGCAGGAAGATAGTAGTCGGAGAGAGGAAGAGGACGAAGAGGACGAAAATGAAGAAGAAGAAGAGGAGGAGGAGGACGAGGAGGATGTGGATCCCGAGGTTCGGCGCCGAGAGGAATTGCGCGCGAGAATGGCAAAGATGTCTGGCGGCATGGGGATGCCCGGGATGGCCATGCCCTTGTTCGGCGCTCCTGCCCCAGCGCTGCCAAAGAAGAAGAAGGCCGCTGCCGAAAAGCCGGTGGAGGAGGTTGAGGAGCCTGTCTCGCCGGCCACCCGGGTGGCCCCCCCTATCCCCCTCCTTGGGCTGATGCGACCTCCTATCCCTACGGAGCCGAAGCAGCCCGAGTCGGAAGACGAGGAAGAGGAGGAATCTGATCTCCGAACTCCGCATCAGGAGGCTGCTCCGTCAGGTAAGTTTGCTTAGGAAGCCCACCTCGGGTCACAATACTGACCATTGTAGTACCGCCTACGGAACAAGGAGCCCCCCCTCCTGTCCCTGGCGGAAGACCGGCTCCGCCTCCTGTTCCTGCGGACTGTGAGTATCATCGTGCCCAGCGTTTTGAGCCATGGAATATTATTGTTAATCTCGTAAAGCACGTCCGCCGCCACCGCCTCCAGCCACCTCGGCGGTCAAGTCGCCTAGTGAAGGATCGAAATCGGATGACGAGCTCTCGGAGCGACCTAACCCGGAGTCTGATGCTCTGAGCGGCGATACGAACCAGGTCACCAGAGCTCCGCCGCCGCCGCCACCCGCAGCTGCTGCCCCGCCTCCAATTCCGACGTCACCACGCCCGTCGGTAGACAGTCGTACGTCCTACGTTGAACAAACCCCTCCACGAGAGTCCGCGTCCAGCAAACGGAGCAGCAGGCCGCCACCGCCGGTTCCCGGTTCCCCTCCAGCCCTCCCGCCTGCTCAGTCAAGGCCGCCTCCCCCGCCCCCTTCGGCTGCCCCGCCACTGCGGCGAGTCTCGACTGGTGACCCCAGGCCTCCGCCGCCCATCCCTGCCGGGCGCAGGAATAGCGACGAAGGTGAGGACGAGGAGATCACCGAGTATGAGGGCGACTATGATACGGACATCGCGTCTTCGGTTCCTCACAAAGATGCGCTCAAGGCGCACCAGCGTGAGTCGAGCTTTGAGGATGTCATGTCCCCGAGGTCCCCAACTACAGGCGCTCCTCCGCCTCCCATTCCCGCCGCATCACCCCCGAGGGCAGGTCCACCTCCTATCCCGAGCCAGCCTCCCCCGGAGACCCGGAAATCGGTGGATATGCCCCGAATGGCCCCACCGCCTCCCCCGCCGCCCAAGGAGACACCTCAATATGACGACGACTACGACCCCTACAACTATACCTCGTCTTCGCAGGCCCCCCCAGCGATGCCGTCGTACCCGATGCCATCACCCTCTCCGTATACGAGGCAGCAGGATGAAACGTTTACTCAAGAGGCACCATACGGCCAGACTCCGAGGTCCCCTCCCCCTCCTCCGCCGCCCGGCCGGGCACCAGCACGGCAGTCCGTCGACCTCCAGCGCGCCGGAATTGGCCGCCGGTCTGTGGACGTTACGCGCCCATCGATGGAGTCCGGCTTCGTTGCTAATGACATCGACCTAGCCAGCCAGTCGTCCTGGTGGCTGCAGCAGAATGGCCTCCCTCCTCAGCTCCACGGACGCAAAGATATCTTCTTCGAGTCCGAGGAGTCGAGCTCTGCCGACTCGCACAAAGGTGGCAAAACCATCATTACTCGCGACATCTACGTTCTTTTCCAAGACTACTCCCAGACCGTCATCACCGTTCGCTTTAACCCGCAAGACCCGTCAGACGTGCAGCTCGAACAGCGCCACGAGCCGCCTCCACGCGCCCTGCGCCAGGATCAGCTCGAACAAAGCTACGACCGCTTCGGCCGCGCCATCGGGGAGGCCGTCACGTCAAAGAAGGACACGGTCGTCGGCGACGGCACCCCGCAGGCGCTCGTCTACGAGCTGCTCCGGCCGTTCAAGGACGCGCTCCTGCCCGTGGGCACGCGGGCGTACGGGGCGCTCGTGTACAGCAACCTGGCCAACGCGAGCACGACGCAGAACGACGAGATCCGGCCGGGGGACGTCGTCAGCATCCGCAACGCCAAGTTCCAGGGCAAGCACGGCGCCATGCACGCCAAGTACTCGGTCGAGGTCGGCAAGCCCGACCACGTCGCCGTCGTCGCCGAGTGGGACGGCACCAAGAAGAAGGTGCGCGCCTGGGAGCAGGGCCGCGAGAGCAAAAAGGTCAAGCTCGAGTCCTTCAAGCTCGACGACCTCCGCTCCGGCGAGGTCAAGATCTGGCGCGTCATGCCCCGCAGCTGGATCGGCTGGGAGTCGGGCGGTGCTGGTGCTGGGGGTGGTGCCGGTGCTGGTGGAGCTGGGAACTAGGAGGCCCTGATGGGGTTGCAGATGAGGGATTTGAGGGGGCTTGGTGTGGCGGGGGAGCTGGTTGGGGTGTTGGTTAGGGTTGCGATGGGGGTTGGCGGTGGGGGGTACCCTTGAAGTTCAGTTTGGGTGGTGGTGTGTGTGTCTGTCTGTGTGTGTGTGACAAAGTTGAGTTGGGTTGGGTTGGCTGGAGTCTTATCCATCAGCAGAGCAAAGCAGTGCAAAGTGCAGAGCATCCGCAGTTGAGTTGACGTCGTTGATCATACATACGACAACCGCGCTCGGCTTGACAAGGATGCTTCTTTTATCTACTAGTTAGTTGTTTGCATTACGTTGTTTATTCCTTGGTGTTTTTATGCGATCGGCTTTTGTTCTTGTCATGGCCTGGTGTGTCTCGATAATGTGTATTGGGGTTGGGGAGATGATGGCCTCTCAGGAGGGAACTTTCGTTTGATACTCTTTCTTCCCTGGTCGTCCTCGACGCTTCCTACTCTCGATCTTTTGGATTGGTTTAATGGTTCTTACAGGGAGATATCAGACATGATGCATTAGTCAGAGCTCACCGTGGTGGTTACCTAGATACCGTCTCGTGCGATACTGTCCTGTCACTTGGTATCACCCCCCCCCCCCCCCCCCTTTTTTTGTTCATCTGTCCCAGCTCAGCGATGGCGAGTCATTGCATGGACTGGGCGTGATAAGGCAGCTCACCGCTCACATTGTGACCTTTCTCATAACTTTGATTCGCAATAGAACCGGTTAGGGCTTGGCTCCTGGCCCAGTCTTGAATATTATGGGGTCTCGATACATTCGTTCTCAATTATCTCGAAGTGCACTCAACAATCTGACCAACAATCTGAACTTCATTACTTTATCCCGTCACTTTATCCCGTCAAGAACCACCCAACATTCCATCGCCGCTCATAAAACCGGAGCCTCAATGAGTCAAAACACCGATAGTAAAAGAGTGGGCTAGGGCAGGCCAGCGATGCAAGCTGCAAGTTTGGGCAGGCAGGGTCTCCTGCATGGATGCCCGTCCCGCATACATGCAGCCCAACGTCTGCAGGGAGAATTACCCATGCAACACTGCATTTCTACATCTCTTCCGCCAAGTACATACATATGCTGCCTAGGTATGTACCAAGCAAGGCCGTAACCGCAGGTCCTTACCTAATCCCCGGCTCCGGTACTGACTGCGCAGATTGCCAACACCCACCCACCACCATTATTACCACCACCACTACCACCAACGCGGGATTTAGCCAGGACATCGCTAACGACTCTATCGCCAGAGCAACACACTTGTGTGGGATCCGAATCCAAAACCTCCCACGCACGTGGACAGGAACCGCGACACGATAGGGCAGCGCAGCGCCGGCAGCAGCGAGAGAGAGAGAGAGCGAGGTATAAAAACGGCGCAGCAGCCGCGGGATGATGGGCTGGCTGCGGCTGTATGCACCATCCCCATCCCCATCCCCATCCCCATCCCGTCCCTATCCCGTATGTATGTCTCTACTGTGTATGCATAGCCCGCACTCGACGTGTCCATACACAGCACCGCACAGCACAGCGTACAGCTGGATGTGCGTGTGCCAGCCGGCCCCCCGCTTTGCGGTATCGGCTCGGCATGCGCAGGCTCAGGAACAATGACATGAACATGACATGAATATGACATGAAGATGGCATGCGCGCGAGGCGGTTGCTGATCTGCCCTTCTCAGGGAGCTGCTGCTTGTCCTTCCCCCGTTTTTCTCCCGCCCCCGCGTACACGGGTTTGATGGCCCGGTTGACGCGGCCCTGATGGAGGCTGGGGCGGAGGACGCCAGTGGGAGCATGACAAGTGAGACAATGGGGTGGAATGAGGGCCGAGTCCCCCCTTGTTTTATTTTGGGGGATCTAGATGGTGTGTTCTCGTTTCGATCCGGGTTTAGCTCCCGTGCTCGCTGGCATAGCCCCTGAGATTGAACCGCAACGTGGGTGCCTCATTATCTTGACAACGGGCTCATGTGCTGCTGGAGAGTGGACTGGTCTTGGACTGCCGTGTGACATGGCAGTGATGAAACCGCACGGGCCTGAGAGAGCCTCGAGGTTGCGTAAGGAGCTTCTCCCGGTTTACGAAGCCCCTCAGCTGGGCTCGATGCGCTTCAGATCTCAGACCTGGGCGGGAGACGAACCATACGATAATCTGGCACCTTGATGTCCAGCTCTTGCCGTCTGACCCCCTTCCTCCTGGCCGCAAGGTCGCAGTGACAAACGCCTGCACCTCTCACCCACAATGGTATTTGATGATCCCGTTGCGCATACACTTCGGCTGCGACGCAACTGTCTTAACCCTCATTGTGGGGTATGGACTGATCGTCTTCGATTCACGGGGCTGACTGGCCCAGGCTGCAGTTTAGACAGATGATGGGGGTCAGTTCTGAGCCAACAATGGGCCTTTGCCTACGAGTCACGGAACACAACACCAATCGTCTTCGAGCACCACCCGTCGATGAAACTCCGGGGTCCAATAAGAGAAGTCCCGCATGCAGCAGATCCGTTTTGTCGTTCATTGAACAGACGAATGCGGAGGTTGTGCTCAACGGCCGGCCCGCGTGGAGGCTGGGCCTTGCTGTCTGCTACCGACCGAGACAATGACCGAGTTGAGAGGCACGCGAGGCCTTGATGTCATGCATTTTCCCCGCGCTCGTCGAAAAGGGGGGACGTACTGGGTGGCAGTGGCTGTGGTTAAAGGAGAGACTCCAACAGCCTTCGAATCAGGGGTTGCCAATTCGTGGGCATTGCTACGCCATGTAGCAGTCGGATACCCCCAAACGACTTGACTCGGCTCCTCTGAAGGAAGTGGCACCCTTGATACGCGCGCTCTGCGGCACAAACTCGTTACCTCATCCATCCAGTCGAGCCATTTGCGCTTGATAGGCGGGTGATCCCGCCTGGGACAAGTGCGGTGTTTTGAATGAGTGGAAACCTCTCCACCGCCTGAAAAGGGCTTGACTCTCGGAAGCGGAGGAGACGGATGGTGCACTTGAACCACTCGGCTGCTAGTTAGTGTCTGAACCACAGGACGATCAACAAGAGTGTTTCTTGCTATCTCATGTATCCGAGGCGTCAGCCCATCATCAAGCGGCACTAGAGGGAACAGCCGTCGAGAACCGCTCCTTTTGAACCGCAGACCCTTCGTTTTTTGTGGTGTTGTCCGTGATAGGTCGGGGGCTCCTCATTTCGCCGGTCCGGGCAGAACTTGCATATCAGTGGGCAGAAGCATGTTGTATTACTGAGTGTCATGAGGAATTCGAGTGGGTCAAGGGAGCCCGAGGAGAGCGTATCTCATCGCCCTTGTGCCCAAACCTGATCGAGTCCTGATAACCTTTTGGAACACCCCCATGAGCTGCACAAGCTGGCTGGATGGATTGCGGATCGAGGACCGGACACAAACAAGCCCGGCGAGCATGAGCTCTTTGGTGCCGATGAGGGATGACCCGGCTGGCTGATGGAACACGACCCGACCTCCGATCCGAGGAGCGTCTCGGACCCGTCGCGAGCAATAGGCAGATTCAGGAGCTTAGGACGGAACGCTCATCTGAGCAACCCGCGGATGAGCACACAAGGTTCGGTCTCTGACAATCGCTTAGTTATCAACCAAGGGTGGAGGGGATCGGCGTGCTGCAAAAACACCAAAACATCACCCGCCTAATTCGATATTTGATGCCCGCACGCTTGAAACGGGGAGGGTTGGTCGTGAGGCGCGAGAGCTTGCCCCGGAGATCTGGATGCGTCACCACGGTGGCTAGGCGCCAGAGCAAACCCAAGCCACGAATTCCTTGTCAATGACCCTCGAAACCCCAAGACAGCTGTCCCGGGTGAATGGCGAGAAAGGCTGGACACGTGCTGGAGTGCTGGGGTGAGGTTGTGGTCCGAATTGTCAGCGAATGAACGCTTGACACAAGTCAACATTGCATGGCTGCGCAGGAATGGTTGCAGTAGCGAACAGCTCGTCTTCTCGATCTGGGAAACCCGCCATCGGCGCCAAGAGCCAAACGGCTGATTGAATGTGAATTTCGATTGGGTTGAGGGGGTTTTTGAGCGAAATCGGCTCGAAGTTGGGCTTGGGCAGAAGTTGCCATCGCGAGACCGCGAAGTGTACCCTTGCACCGGCACCTCGTCAGGGGGGACTCGCTAGCAACAACGAGAAGCTTCCTCGATAGCCTTTGACTTTTGGTTACGAATTTCGGCCCCTTCCTTGAGTTTGTGCTTCTCGTCGGGCTGAAGCGGGCGCCAACAAACCAACAAACACTAAGGGTTGCGAGGTTGGAATGGGAGAATGGTTCTCCCGGTTCGATGAAGATGATGTCGATTGGACAAGGGAGCTGCACCTGGCCAGCCTTCCCCACGATCTGCCTGCGGCCAATGATCTCACGAAGCGCGAGCAGCCTCAGGGGAGGCAGGCCTGTGGGTCGCGTTGGGCATCCGGGCATGGACGCAGCAAGTGGAAAGAGGATTTTGGAATTGGCGGCCCATACCACTGACCAGACTGCCACGTACCGTATCTGCACCTGCGGTAAGCAGGGATGGCTGCGGATGCCCTGCAATTCTCTGGCCCGAGAAAGCACTTTCAGTGACTCGGGGGGAATGTCCCAAGACTCGGCTGGCGACTGAGCGGTGCGTGGTCAGCGACGTCGAGGAACTCGTCGGCGCCGGTAGATGACATGGTGGTGACAGCGTTGCCCACGACATTCCAAAAACACTCCAGGACAAAAACCCGAGCGGCCGCGGCAGTTTTGCCGGTGCCGAAGGATGGTTGCTTTTTCTGTCAAGAATAGAACGTTGATTTGGCGACACCGAGACAACCGAGCTATCGTCGTTGTCGCGTGTTCAATGCGCGAACTAAGCTAATGTTTAGGTGCTGGCAGGAGATCCGAGTCTCGGTGGCTCGATAACGGCCTCGGATGGGGCGAGGAGCGACCAGAGAAGAGATTTTCCAACGGCCAGCGCCACCCCGCCGCACCTTCTTTCAGCAGTCTCAGCCCATGTCTCGACGGGCACTCCGTTGCCGAGAACGGGAAAGAGCGCCTGCCAGGAGTCAGGACACCGCAGGTTGGCATTTTTTGGTGGGCTTACCACACGCCCCAGCCGCAAGTGTGGCAACCTGGAATGGCATGCAGTCGTCCCTCCCTCCTGTGCAGGATAGGTTGTTCCCCCACGGCGGATGTATTTTTTGGGTGTCCTCGACCTGCCCTCCCCCACGAGTGGAGTGACTCTCGACGGGAATGACTGCCAACCACCCTGCGACTTCCCAATCAGGCGAAGCTATGAGGCCACTGACCAATCACAAGTGCGTTGGGTTTTCCGAATTTTCAACGAATGGCTGAGACCGGGCGGTCTCGGAAACCTCTGTTGCGACCCTGCGCTGTCCACTGAAAAAGCGCGCGCAACAGTCGACCGCAGCGTGAATGGCTGGTTTGAACAACCCCTCCCTTTTGAAGGGTCTCGTCCCACGGCGCATTCGAGGGTCAACGCCATCCCCGATGCGAGGTTGCGGGGGACGGGAGCGGCTCGATCGCGGTGGCGTGTGTCTGGTGGATGCATGTACATACGTACCTCTGTACTTCGCACAGATTACCAGGTTATTGTCTTGAATTGAACCCTCTCGAGACCCTCCGGTTCAGACACCGAATCCCGCGTGAACAATCGTCAAAATCATCACCCCCAACCGCGCTGTTGTTGCATTCGCGGATGGACCACTTGGCTCCTGCGACCTGTCAATTGCCAGCCAAGAAACACAACAGTCTTGGACACTGACCCTGCCACTGCATCCCACCTGTTCACTCTCTCCAGGGACGCTCACTTGTCACCACGCCAGACGCCAGCAAACTCCCCGCGTTTAATGCCCGACTCCAACCCGACACCTGCGACCTCGACAACGCACAAGCCTTGCACGGCAGCCCTGACACGACCTCGCAATGCTCGGCACCCCATGCCGGACCTCTCCCCAGTCGCCAATCGCTGAACACCCTTGAACACTTCTCACTCGCCCGCCCGCTCAAACCCCACGTCACCCCCCCCCGCAGACCCCTGCTTGAACACACTCGACGCACTTGACACACACTCTCTCTATAAACACCATTAGAGCTCCCCATCATCCTCCCACCTCGATCGGGAACTCTCTCTCCCCACAGTAGCCCACAGAACCCCCTACGACTGCCCCCAAGCAGCAAATACTCTCACACACATAGCCCAAGATGGCAGCTTCATATCCCAGGAGACAGCCTTCAAGTCAATCCTCCTCCAGCCATGACTCGCGCAGCCGGAGGAGTAACGACTCATACACATCTCACTCCACAGCACCCACTTCGCTCTATTCCTCACCATGTCCGTCAGACCTGAAGGACTCACCGTCATCAACAGGTACTGGGGCCTACACCGCCGCCGCCAAGTACCACCAGCGCGCCTACGACTCACGCGACGATGTCAGCCCCGCCACCTCGCTCTACCCGCGCTCGTCTGTCGAAACCTACGCTTCAACCACGGCCTCCAGCGAAGACATGGAAGCTATGCTCGCCGATGAGGTTGCGGATTACGAGTGCGGCGCCATCCCGCCGTTGCCGGTCTACCGTCGCGATGTCGTCGAGCCCAACGTCCGCGCGTCGACCCCCCAGGATTTCGCCAAGCTCTTCCCCTCGCTCAACCGCCTGACTATTCGGCACGACGAGTTCACTTCCGATGGAAACATGAACTTGCGCATCGACACGGTGGTGACGGGCCGGAGGAGGACCGCGATCCAGCTCTTCCACTTGCGCATGTACGACTTGGGGAAGCGGGAGTTTTCGCTGCGGAGGTACTCACGGGACTCGGGTCGCGAGGTCTGCAACTCGAAGCGCAAGTTCACCGAGCCTGCCGCGGCGAGGCCCAAGACGGCCGACGAGAAGCCGACGCTGAAGCGGTCCATGTCGACCGCCCTCAAGACGCTCGGCGGAGGGAAGCCGGCCTTGCGCCGCGCCAAGTCGGTCATGACGGCGGCGGGCCGCCCCAGCACCGGCTCCTCGACCAGCGAGGGCGACGACGACTTGTTCGCCGACGGGAGCAACCACTCCCGCCTGTCGCTCGACAGCCGCCTGGTCAAGGGCAAGGCGCAGCGGCCGATGCCGACCAACACCATCAAGCTCGAGTTCAGCAACTACGCCCGCGTCGACGTCAACCGCCGCGGAGGCAAGGGCAACAAGCGCTACGAGTTCGAGTGGTGGGGTCACCGGTACAGCTGGAAGCGCTCCGTCGACAAGCAGCTGGGCCTGGTGTCGTTCCACCTGGTGCGGGACGGGAACGCGAGCGCGCCGGTCGCACACATCGTTCCCGAGACAAGGTCGCCGACCCAGGTCGTCGCCGACGACAACGCCGGCGGATGGGTCCCCCCGTGCTTCATGTGGATCGCCGACGAAGCGATCGTCGATGCCGTCACGGACGTTGCCGAGTAAGTCGGCCAGCCCCAACCCCTTCTTTCATTCAGCAACCCAAATGCTAACCTCTTGCCTAACTAGTGTGATCATGGCAACCGGACTGATGACGCTGGTCGACGACTGCATCAAAGAGCGGTGGCAGACCAAGAAGGCCCACCGGATCGCGATGCCGGCGACCTTCAAGGCGGTCAACTTCGACGCGGTCCGGCCCAAGGCCGTCATGCAGCGCGTCTTCGGCCGCCGGAACTCCAACGACCACCAGCGCGCCTCGGCCCCCTCCAGCCCGCTCCGGCTCGCGAGTCCTGCCGCGGCGTAGTAAAAGCCCGCATCAAATCCCGCCGTCGCCCCCCGAATGCTCCGGCATTCGGCAAAAGCGATGACGTCGGACCTTCACCGACATTCCCCTGGATCAGCGCCACGTGTTGCTGCCCGACCGGAGACCCACACCTTCGGACGATGCCATGTCACCTCGGTCGAAGGTGGTTGGGGTCAATGGTCATTGTTGACGAGGATACCCTTGCCTCTTTTTTTTCTCATTGTCCGGCCGTTTTTCGTTTGCCCTTCTCCCATCCACACATCTTGGAGCGATATGCGCGCAAAGCTCTATATCCTTGTACTAAAAGTGACCGTTTCTTTTTTTCTTTTTTTTTTTTTTTTTTTGAGGGGCTTCCCCACTTTTCTTTTCCGTCTTCATCCCCATCTCACGGCATATGGGTCCGGCGTTGTGATTTACAGACTTCGACAAAAGAATATCATGGATAACTAGCACTTGATTAGCGGTTGGTTTGGTTGGTCGGGTCAGACAGGAGCATTGGGCGGTTGCATGGGACGGTGCGGTGAGGAGTTGTGTCTTTTTGGTTGCTTTTTCCTTGGTTCGGTTTCTCTCAGTTTGACAACAACGGACATCATCAGGTCGGAACGGGACGGACATCTGTGCGCTATCACAGCATTTACCCCGAGTGCGGCCTCGACGGGAATGGTATTTGGATGGAGGATTCAGTTCTACCATGGAGGCATGAACGTGTATTGGATAATGTAGTTACGCAGAGCATCGCACACATTGCGCTTGCTCCTTTCTCGCTCGCGCTCATCTCCCCTTCCTTCCGGACTGGAGGGTGGGATGGGTGACAGAGCACGACATAGCAGACTTACAAACCTGATCTCTTTTGTCAGATCATTATCATACCTACTATCTTGCATTGCACTGCCATGAGCAATAAGTGTGAGAAAGAAGCAACTGACTCAAGTGACACCACCTCCTCATGCTCCCTAAATAGGTTTGTGAGACGAGATGTTAATGTGGATCGTGATGCGAACATGACTGCGGTTGCTTCCCCGCGTGGCGTAACGATGCTTCGGATGAGTATTCCAGGTTGTCTCCCCAAGTGGAAACTCGTACGGAGATGTTGTAGTACATACCGTGGCATATCATATGATCTACCTCTGGGGTTGGACGGGCAACCACAGCTTGCGAGGCAAACCGATAGATCGGCCTGGATCGGTTATTATTGCGCTACTGGGTCTCTCTGTGCCGTAGTTTGGTCCCTACGGCCGATGGGGTGAGGGGTTAGGTAAAGAAACAGCGGCGATGGAACTTGCCCGAAGAAATTACTCCCACATGTAACCACTCACTGACTGGGTCTCCAACCAAACGGGGATGTTTGTGAGGGATTTGGAGAACATCACCCCGGAAGACACGCAATCTCTCATGTTCCCTCCCGCAGCTTAAGCCTCAGCCTAACGCCGGGGCCGAGGAGGTGTGCATGCTCGGGTACAGATGAGAGTACATGCACACACATACGCGCACACACACATAGAAAGAGAAGCGGCAAATTCCACGATCACTCACATATAGTAGCACAGGGAGAAAGTGCAAGTAGCTTCCAAGCAGATCTATTGTCTAAAGTAAAGCCTTGTAAGGCGCCAAAACACCACATAAGCCACACACACATTAAAAGTTTTCTCATAAACCGAGCATATCGCTCCCATGCTCTGAAAATCAAGCTGCCACCCCCCGTCCAAGTGCCAAACATCGTCATTCATCCCTAGAGAGTCTCCCCATCGCCGCCACTAGCCCCGTTGGCCTCGCCAGCCCCGTTCGTCATGGCCGCAGCCAACGCGGTGCTGTCGTCCTGGTACTTCTCCCAGTTGGCCAGGACGTGGCCGATCTTGGGAGAGTTGGTGAGGCGGTAGACGTCCTCGAAGTACTCCTTAGTTATCGCAAACGGCCGGGCCGTCACGTTGGGAATGTATTTGCCAATCAGCTTGGCCGGGTCGATCGTTGTCTTGTTGATCTTCTTGAGCAGGAAGCTCCGGAAAGGCTTGACACCGGAGCGAAGGAAGGTCGAGTGGAAGGGCACGTCAATGCCTTTGAGGGGGATGGTGGCAAAGCCGCGCTGCAGCTCTAGCGGCGTTGGCTTGGCCTCAGTCTCTTGGGCGCAAGCCTTGATGATCTCGACGAGCTTTTCGCGGACCATTTCGGGCTGGAACTCCTTGCGCATTTGTTCGATGTCGATCTTCATAGCCTTGAGGTAGTTGGTGACGCCAGTCAAGGTATCGAGAGCCCGGAGGTCGCCGGCGCAGACGTACTGCATGTTGGCAATGTTGAAGTTGACAATCTCAAGAAGCCAGCCAGTGGTCTCGGAAACGTTGCTGACCACGAACCGTAGGGCCTCCTCGTTGAATGTCTTGTTGATACGGCTGGGGTTGACCGCGCACATGCTGTAGTTGGACCGACCCGACGCGTCACGCTCGACGGCAACCTGCATTGTCAACCCGCGGTAGAAGACAACCGAGACCAACGATTCGATCGGCATCACGTCGGCAAGGGCTGCCAGAGCCGAGTACTCGCCAAGAGAGTGGCCGGCAAAAGTGCTATCACGCGGGACAAGTCCCTTGGCTTTCATGTCCTCAAAGCTGGCCTTCTCCATCAGCGTCAAGGCGGGCTGGGTGAATTGTGTGGCCGAAAGGAGACCAGTCGGAGAGCGGTAAGTGTAGGACTGGGTCTTCTCGTCGATTCCCTTGAAAATCCGCTCTGACTTGATCGAGCCGTCACCCGCGACTGTCTCGAAAGTCATTGCCATGTAGTTTTGGCGAATGGCCTTGCCGCGCGGGCCGCCAAAGTGGATGGTCAGCTCCTTGGGGTTGTTGCGGACGATGTTGGTGATGGCGAAGCCTAATTATGCGCGTCAGTACAAGAATGAATGGCGAGAACAGGAGGTACTTACCGTAAGTATCCATGAGATACTTGTCAGCGCGGTCCCAGACCTCCTTGGCGACAGGGCTGCTATCGTAGAGGTCCATCCCCATCCCTTGCTCCTGGGAGCCTTGGCCGGTGAAGACGTAAGCAGTGACAGGCTGCTCGATTTCTGCCTCACCGAGGAGCACTTTGTCCTCCGTCTCCTTGTTCACGGCCTCGACCTTGATGATTTTCCGGCCAGCGACCATACCGACATGTTGTAGCTTGACATCGATATCGTCGTTGGGAAGGACCATGCCCGTGAGCGAAGCAGAGAAACTCCGCACGCGGCCGTTCTTGTTCTCCGCGGCCCAGGTCTCCACGAGGCTGCGGATAGCGGCGCTAGAGTACATGCCGTGGGTGATGGTTCCGGGAAGGTTGGCGTACGCGGCGAAGACGCGAGAGACGTGGATGGGGTTGTAATCCCCCGAGACGCGGGCGTACGTCTCGTTCGATGCTGGTGCGCGAATCTGCAACCGAGTTTTCCCACCGAGGGGAATTGGATTCTCGAAGTTCACAGGCTGTTCAATCGACGACCCGTGACGTTCGAGGTAATCCACAACCGGATTACCGTGCGAAGTTTCGGCGTCGTAATCTACACTGGCGACCTGGATGATTTCCTTAGTCGGCAGCTCGACAAGGACTTGACCCCGTGTCTCGAGATGGCTGAAGACAGTCTTGTCCTTGAATCGAACCAAGCTTTGAAGACGGAAGATCAAAGTTTGACCGAGCAGATCGATCTCTGGTGTCGCATCTTCGTCGAAAGTGATCCAGCCCTTGGAGCGAAGGACGGCGACGTCCTTGCTGGTCTCGAGGTGAACTTGCATCGGAGTTTCGAACCTGCGCTGGAACGTGTTCTCGAAGTCTGTGTAGACACCGCGGTAAAGGAACTGCGACGTAACTTCCATGACCGCCTTGCCGTCGCGAGTGATGGTGCCGCAAACCTCGACCATCTTTCCGGAGTCTTGATTGATCACGGCGTTGATCTGAGCTGTAGTGGAGACCTCGTCGCCCTTCTTGAGCGGCTCAGCGCCGGGCATCATGCGGAATTCGTTGGACAGGTGGACGAGCTTGAGAAGGTCGCCGTCAATGGTGCGCGGGAAGATCGGCTTCGTGATGGCCTTCCAGCCCACCACGATAGCAAAGTCCATCGGCGCATACATGGTCTTCTCCGGGCGATCGACAAAGGCTTCGCCCGTGTTGCCCACGGCGTGAACGAACTCGTTAATGGCCTCGCTGGTAATGGTGGTTTTGCCACCGTCAAACTGGTTGGTCACGGAGGCGTCGAGATCAAGCTCCTCGTCACCGAACCATGCACGCCAGTAGAACTCCTTGATACGATCATTGCGGCCGTCCATGACTTCATGGATGGGCGCGTAGCCAGCCTCCGGGCGGTAGGTGAAACGCAGCGGGAGAGCGACAGGCTTTCCAAGGGCGGTGGTTTCTTTGATCATGCTGACGGCGATCTCGTTCTGGCCCACCAGCTTAACCTCAATCACATCCACATACCGATTGTGACGCGGCTGTTCCTTGACCACGATGACCGTCTTGGCAGGATCGTTGGGGTGAAGGATCTCGACGAAGAGACCCCGAGTCGGTGCAAAGATTTGCTTGATCGGATTCGTCTGGTACTTCTGGCCCTGGACGATGACATCGGATTGAAGGAGGGCATAGCGCCAGTTCTGGCTCGAGCCGGCAAGGAGCGAGATCCACTCCTCAAGCGACGGCAACTGGGTCGAGGGCGAAGATGACAAGCGGTAGATGTTCTTGTGGGCATCCACGGAGACGGTGAGGCCCTCGACATCCAAGGGGGCCTCCGCCTCGATGAGCTTGCCGCCGAAATACTCGACGGTGGGGATCTTGGAAGCATCGTTCCCATACAGATCCCGAGTCAGGCCCTCGATGTGGCCGTGATGGATGCCGTCAAGAATGTCTTTGACGGGCTCGTCAACCTTGGTCGAGTGCTTTGCGGCCATGGGTCCTTGGAGAATGCAGGTTCTGCCGACATCTTTGCCGATGACGGCGCCAAGGTCCTCCGACTGCCACAGCGAGTCCTTCTTGAAGAAAAACTCGAAGTTCTCATCTAGAGCGGGTACAAACGTCACCGGCTTTTGGCCACGTCGCTGGCAGAGCAGCAGGAAGTGCTGTACGTCTTGGGCGTTGATGATCTGGGTTTCGGCCTCGGGGTAACGCGAGAGGATCCGCTCGATAGCAGAGCAGGGCTCATCCAGGACTTTGGAGTTCTGGAGAGCAGACTGTTGTCCAGAAGCGGTCGTGAACCGCTCCTCCACGCGGTGGATGAAGTCTACGGTAAGCTTCTGGAAAGAAGGGTCGATCCATCGAGCCTCGTCCTTCACGTACAAAAGCTCCACCATACGGCGGACGACCTCGCCGTACGTCATGTCCTCCAGATCCACGGCCTGGCCCTCCTTGTTTTGTCCGAACCAAACCTTCTGGAAGTCGGCATTGAGCTTCCGGATGATGTGGTCGCGGTTCTTCTTCAGCTCGGGGATCCGCTTTTCCTTGGGGAGGCTGAAGATCTTTTGGTCCATTTCGGCCCAGAAGAGAACACCACGCGTGGCAAGCTTGTGGATTGGCTCGCCCATTTCAGACCGCACAGTGACGACTCCGCCCGCAGACCCCTTGTAAGTCTTCTCCCACTCGCCATCGTCGAGGCCGGGAGCGTCCACAATGGCTTGCTTAGCAGCCCTGCTCGTGTGGGCCTCCTTGGCAACCATCATGCGGCTACCAAACAAGCACCCGTCGTACGGCATCGGAGGGTAGCCGTACTGGGTGGACCACGCACCGGTAAGGTAAGGGTACGTGTCATCGGCACCGCCAAACCCGCTGCCAGCGACGAGGATGATGTTCTCGTGGCGACGGATGCGACCGTACATGGCGAGAATGGGGGCATGGAAATCCTCGAACGAGTGGTGGCCACCGCCTCTGCCACCGGTCCATTGAAGGATAACGGGGAACGTCGGGTTGGCCTTGGCGATGTTGATGACGGCCTGGATGGCCTCGCTCGAGCCAGGCTTGAAGGAGATGTGCTTCAGACCCAAAGTTTCGATGTACTCTTGGGCAACCTCGATAGAGGGGACGCCAGCGCCAATGGTTAGACCCTCGATCGGCACACCCTCCGACCGGAGCCTTCCAAGAAGCGGGATCTGCCATCCCATGGCACGGGGATTGACATAGATCAGGTTGACGCTGATGCCACGGCCAGGGGGGATCGCCGTTTCAATTTTGGAGATGGCTGCTGTCATGGTCTTGGCGTTGTAGTATCCGCCGCCTGCCAGCTCAATCTGGTAGCCTGCGTTCATGGTGGCAGCCACAAAGTCCCAGGGCACCGTGGAGGGGGTCATGCCGGAAACCAGGAGCGGCGGCAGGCCGAGTAGCCTGCTCATCTTGGTGTCGACGTATGTCTGGCCGCTCGACGTCTTGACGAGCTTAGGACCGTATTCCTTCACCCAGTCAACGGCGTACTTGACGGCATGCTCCTCGTCGCGATCGAAAAGCTCCGACTTGTAGCCGACCTCGTTCACGGTTCCATTTACCGTTCCCGCCAGGATGACGCGCACACCGGTGCCGTCCTTGTTTCTGCTTGTCAGCACACCGAGACCCGAGATGCCTCCCGGACCGAAGTCCAAGATGTGTGTGGCTCCGAGGAAAACGGTCGCCTTCTCCCAGTGGACCGGGTCACTTGTGATCATGCGAACCAAGGCAGGCACAATGTTTCCAGTCACGTCCTCGCGGATGTCCTTGCCAGTGTTAGTGTCGTAGACGGGGATGCCCAGACGTTTGACATCGATCTGGACATCCTTCAAATCCTCGGCGACCAGCGCGGTTGCCTTGGCGAGGTACTTGCTGTGGAAGGGGGCAGTGATGGGCAGGAACCGGTTCACAAACCGAACCTTCCGTTCGGTGTGGGGGATCCGGGTCTGGTCCAGACCCGTGGCAGCCTTCACCTTTCGGAGCTGGGCATTGAGACCGCACAGCGACCGCGGCGGACCGGCGATGACCAAGTTCCGCGGGCTGTTGATGAGCGAAATTGAAATGTGCTGGTCGTCGGGGAGGTACTGGTTCGTCTGGTTGATGTGCTTCTGGACTTCCGCTTGAGGGAGGTCGCGGATGCTCAACATGGGGGTGGGGGTGCCCTCCCCGTTGTCGATAGAGTCCTGAAGCATGGCCGGGCTCAGCGAAGTGATGGGGAAAGTCTGCTGGCTGCGGGCACCGATCCAGAAGAGAATGGTCAATGCGGAATTGGCAATCTCCTCGAATGATTCCCACGAGTCCGCGGCCGCGGTGACAGCGGCAAGCACAATGCCCTGAGAATGACCAGTGGTCCCGCTGATTCTTTCTCGAAGAATGCCGGGATGGAGACCAAGAACCTTGCAGGTAATCTGGTAATGGGCGAGCTGCACGAGACCAATCAGGGGGAAGCTGACCGGCGCCGACACCAAGTAGTCAACGTCTGGTGTTGCATCCGGGCTGTGGAGCCAGCCCATTACATCCAGACCTTTAGAGTAGAGCTTTTCCGCGCTCGGGTGGCTGGATAAGGTCTGAAGAAGTTCGGCTGATGATGCCACCAACTCCCCGATAAAGGATGGGTAGGTCAGGTATAACTCGCGGAGTTCCTCAAAATACTCCTCGATGTTGCCCTGGCCGCCAAAGATATTGTAGAGTTTGGCATCTTCTTCGTCGGCTGCCCTAAACAAGGCCGATTCGTGTGTCTTCATTGCTCGGTTTGACGCCGCCCGAGCAGCGAAGTAGCTGCGAATGACCTCCAACTTCTTCGCGTCGATGCCAGGGAGCGTTGCCACCAGGGCATGGACATCGTTGCCGCGAAGGAATGCCCGCTCAAACTCGTTGAGGATGAGTTTAAGCACCTCCTCGCCCGATCCTTGTACGTCATCCTCACCCTCAGCAACCTCATGCGCAACATAACCCATGTACCGGGCGACGAGCTCGGTTACCGATGACGGTTCGTCATCTTGGGCCAGCTCGTCGGTGGGCGCCGGCAGGGTTGCGACGAAGCCCTCCTTCAATCGGGAAGCATGGAAGTGGATTCCGGTAGGTATTAAGAAGGATGTCTCGAGAGAGCCGTGGGAGAGAGTGAGAGGACGCAGCGAGGCCGAAGAGCGGGGCGTGACGGCGCCCGTCTGCGGGCCTGTGCCGTTGCCGTTGTTGGGATACATTATTATGTATAGGGATGGGGTATCTTGAGAACCGGCGCTTCTTCCCTGCTATCAGTTAGTCGATGAATCCGTAGACCAGCCGGAGAGAAAGCATTGAATGGAGGGGAGGGGGAGGGGACGTACCAGCCGCAATAATGGCAGAAATTAGCAGCAAATGGCGACAGAGCCACGGGCAGAAGTGGGATATTTCTGCGAAAAATGACGGTACAGGCAACGCCTCGCGGAAGAATCTAGTGGCACGAAGTGGAAGTGAAGTGAGGTCGTGAATGAGAAACCTGCCCAAGGGAAAGAGTTGGGTTTGGAGTGTTTAGACCGAGGGAGAGGGGAGTTGCGGGCGTCGAGCAAGGGCAGGAAAGGAATGGGCCAGGATGGGCGGTGGCTCTTGCGGTGGGCGGTGATTGGATTGAACCTTGAAGCCGAGACCCGGTTTGGAGCGGGACAGGGGTACTTTATGACTGTGGTGTGGTTCTACTCAACACAAAAAATTGCCCAAGTTCGAAGGCGATTCTTTCGGTGGCAGCTCCCCTCATTGCTCGCCAAAATTTTTGGATCTTGTTGGGGAAGCGCGGTCGACACCACCACGGCGGGCGCGGCGTGCATATCCCGACCCCTGCCAGACCGGAATACCCCTGGACCGTGCCCAGCGACATCTTGAGACGGTACCCAACCAACCCGAACGGACGAGCCCCACCTGTCAAAAAGGGCACCCCAAAAAGTACCAATACCTCGAACCAGCCCGCACTGGGAGCTGGAGGGGAGGTTCATCCAAACCGCCCCAATGGATCCCGTCTCCCAATATCTCGGGCTCACAGATGCGCCGGGACAACGGCACTCTGTGTGCTCGCACCGACCATCAAGCTAGCAGAAATTCAGACAGTATCGATGTGCTGAGTGATCTCACAACGATGGTCGTCTGAAGCTGCACCAGGGGTGGCGATACCGCTCTGGGCTCACTGACTACGTGTTCAACGCTGCATGCATCGGGTGGGAGCTTCGAGTTTCGGGCTCCAAGGACCGATATCAGTCAACATATGAAAGGTGGAGAGTCCTGCAACTGAACGCCCGACAACAACGTGTATGCGGAGAATGGCGCGATGACAGCCCAACAAGAACTAACTAAGTAGTAATTCCCATGTATGTAGACCTGAGGGGGGCAAAGCTGAGGAGTAGTGGGGTCGAGCACGAGAACCGCACCTCGCCGGCAGTCGGGAGTAATCTGGAACTCCTTGTCCCAAACCCATGCGGCCGCGGTCGTCAGTGGCTTGCAGAAAACAACCTAGTAGTCTCGGGTATGCGCAACATCAGAATCGATGTCCGGCGGCAGGATTAATAAACGCCTCGGCTTTGCTCGGCGAAGGAGAATAATCTCGAGTCCGTCCTGCTCCGGGTGGGAGGGATCTAAAAGTGGGGTTGCAACAGCAGCCCGCAGTGTACCGCGACTTGGAGATCGGACGCCTCCAACCCAAGGAAGCTGTGGGGTAACGGTCTGCAATGCGCTAAGCCGTTATGGGTTAGTTGGGGGGTTTGGTTGAGAAGCCAACCTGCAGGCTGGACCAGCCGCGACAAGGGGGTGTTACCCAAAATTCATTCAACAGTTGCATCCTGACGACGCGGCGCCTTCCAGTTTTTCTGCTATTGCCCCTTGGTGCGCGTGAGCGGAAGTTGAAGTCCACCGCTGCATTCCAGTCTTTAGGTTTTGCACCTTCCCGGCCCAAGTCCCCTCGTAGGACACCACAACCCCCCCTTGCTTTCTTCTGACGGGCCCCTCTCTCCCTCGCTTTCCTCAGTCGTCGTCTTCAAGTTTGTTTCTTGCGGTGACTTCCTCCCTTCCTCTTGCGATACCCGAGATACCGCCAAAACCCGCTAGACGGCCTTCCTTTACGCCCATTGACCTGTCTCGCATCCCACTTTTTTTTTCAGCACCCAACATCCTAATTTACAAACAACGCCAAAATGCGCCCCGAAGTTGAGCAGGAGCTTGCTCACACGCTCCTTGTGGAGCTCCTTGCGTACCAATTCGCCTCGCCCGTGAGGTGGATCGAGACCCAAGATGTGTTTCTCGCAGAGCAAATGGCCGAGCGGATTGTTGAAGTTGGACCGGCAGACACGCTCGGTGTGATGGCCAAGCGGACTCTGGCCTCCAAGTACGAAGCCTACGATGCCGCCAAGTCGGTGCAAAGACAGATTCTCTGCTACAACAAGGACGCCAAAGAGATCTACTACGATGTTGACCCGGTCGAAGAGGAACCTGAGCCCGCGGCACCCGAGGCGAGCTCCTCGCCCAGTGCTCCTGCAGCATCTGCCGCCGCCGCCCCGGTTGCGGCGGCTGCCCCGCCACCCAGTGCAGGGCCAGCGGCCCAGGTCCCGGACGCACCTGTCCAGGCCGTGGAGATTGTGCGGACGCTGGTTGCCCAGAAGCTCAAGAAGCCCCTTCAAGATATCCCTCTCAGCAAAGCAATCAAGGATTTGGTTGGCGGTAAGGGCGCACCTACCCCCTAAATTTTGGGGTAACCATACTAATAACCACGTTTTATAGGCAAGTCGACTCTTCAAAACGAAATCCTCGGCGACCTCGGCAAGGAGTTTGGCTCAACACCCGAGAAGCCCGAAGACACACCCCTCGACGAATTGGGCGCGGCGATGCAGGCCACCTTTGATGGGAACCTCGGCAAGACATCGCAGGGACTCATTGCACGCCTCATATCTTCCAAAATGCCAGGCGGCTTCAATATCACAACTGCGCGGAAGTACCTCGAAACAAGGTGGGGCCTGGCGTCCGGACGACAGGACGGTGTGCTGTTGTTGGCCATCACAATGGAGCCGCCCGCTCGTCTCGGATCGGATGCCGATGCCAAGGCGTTCCTTGACGACGCCTCTCAGAAGTACGCCTCCAATGCCGGTATCAGCCTTTCAACGGCATCCGCTGCCGGGCCTGCTGCTGGTGCTGGAGGTGGCATGATGATGGATCCCGCTGCCATCGAAGCTTTGACCAGCGATCAAAAGGCACTGTTCAAGCAACAGCTCGAACTCATCGCGAGGTATCTCAAGGTGGATATCCGTGCGGGTGACAAGGCATTTCAAGCCTCGCAGGAGTCGTCCAAGGTTCTGCAGTCTCAGCTCGACTTGTGGATGGCCGAGCACGGCGACTTTTACGCTACTGGCATCGAGCCTGCGTTTAGCTCCCTCAAGGCCCGCGTCTACGACTCTTCATGGAACTGGGCTCGCCAGGACGCGTTGAGCATGTACTTCGACATCATCTTTGGCCGGCTGCAAGCCGTTGACCGTGAAACCGTCAGCCAATGTATCCGGCTCATGAACCGGTCAAACCCGACGCTGCTCGAGTTTATGCAGTACCACATCGACAATTGTCCTACTGAGCGTGGGGAAACCTACAAGCTTGCCAAGATGCTCGGTGCTCAGCTCATCGAAAACTGCAAGGATGCGCTCGGAGCCGAACCCAGGTTCAAGGACGTTGCAGTTCCCACCGGCCCTAAGACCACCATCGACGGTGACGGTAGCATGAGCTACGAGGAGGTCCCAAGAGCCAGCTGCCGCAAGTTGGAGCACTACGTGCAACAAATGGCGGAAGGCGGAAAGATCTCAGAATACGGCAATCGGACCAAGGTGCAGAACGACCTCTCCAAAATCTACAAGTTGATCAGGCAGCAGTACAAGTTCTCTAAGGGCTCGCAACACGAGATTAAGAGTCTGTACAGCGATGTCATCCGCTCTCTTGGCATGAATGAGAGCCAAATCATTCCCAAGGAAAACGGCAGGCTCAACGGCCTGTCCAAGAAGGGCAAGCCTAAGGGCAAGGTCGAAACCATCCCGTTCCTCCACCTCCGCAAAAAGACGCAGCAGGGGTGGGACTTTGACAAGAAGCTCACCAACGTGTATCTCGATTGCCTTGAGGAAGCAGCTAAGGATGGCGTTACTTTCAATGGGAAGTATGTGCTCATGACTGGTGCCGGTGTTGGCTCGATCGCCGCCGAGGTACTCCAGGGGCTCATCAGCGGTGGTGCCAAGGTGATCGTCACCACCAGCCGCTTTTCTCGCGAGGTTACAGAGTATTACCAGTCCATGTACGCTCGCTTTGGCTCGCGCGGTTCTCAGCTCGTGGTTGTGCCTTGCAACCAAGGCAGTGTCCAAGACATTAATGCTCTGGTCGACTACATCTACGATACCAAGACCGGCCTGGGTTGGGACCTGGATTACGTTGTTCCTTTTGCTGCCATCTCCGAGCAGGGCCGCCAAATCGACGGGATCGACTCCAAGTCGGAGCTGGCCCATCGTATCATGCTCACCAACCTTATCCGTCTCCTCGGCAACGTCAAGGCACAGAAGGCCACCCGCGGTTTCGAGACACGTCCCGCTCAGGTGATTCTCCCGCTCTCACCCAACCACGGGACTTTCGGCAGCGATGGTTTGTATTCCGAGTCCAAACTTGGTCTGGAGACTCTGTTCAATCGCTGGGTTTCCGAGGACTGGGCCAACTACCTCACAATTTGCGGCGCCATCATCGGCTGGACTCGCGGGACGGGTCTGATGTCAGGCAACAACATTGTGGCCGAGGCCGTTGAGCGTTTCGGTGTCCGCACTTTCTCGCAGCAGGAAATGGCCTTCAATCTACTTGGGCTGATGTCCCCTACTATTGTCGACCTCTGCCAGAATGAGCCGGTCTTTGCGGACCTGAACGGTGGCTTGCAGTTCATTCCCAACCTCAACGAGACCATGACGAAGGAACGCAAATCTCTGACCGAAACAAGCGAGATCCGCCGCGCGGTGACCAAGGAGATCGCGGCGGACGCCAAGATTGTCAACGGCGAGGAGTCAGAAGATACTCATAAAAAGAAGATTATCGAGCCTCGCGCCAACATTAAGTTTGACTTCCCGCCCGTGCCGGACTGGGAGTCCGAGGTTGCGCCTCTGAACGACAATCTCAAGGGCATGGTTGACCTCGAGAAGGTCGTTGTTGTCACGGGCTTTGCCGAGGTCGGGCCGTGGGGTAACTCCAGGACCAGGTGGGAGATGGAGGCCTACGGCGAGTTCTCGATTGAGGGCTGCATCGAGATGGCATGGGTCATGGGCCTGATCAAGAACCACAACGGGCCGATCAAGGGCAAGCCGTACTCTGGCTGGGTGGACGGCAAGACTGGCGAGCCTGTGGACGACAAGGATGTGAAGCCCAAGTACGAAAAGTACATCTTGGAACACTCGGGCATCCGTCTGATCGAACCCGAGCTTTTCGACGGTTACGACCCCAACAAGAAGCAGCTGATGCACGAGGTTGTCATCGAGGAGGATCTGGACCCCTTCCAGGCTTCCAAGGACACGGCCGAGGAATTCAAGCGGGAGCACGGTGACAAGGTGGACATCTTCGAGATTCCCGAAAGCGGCGAGTACACTGTGCGCATGAAGAAGGGCGCTTCCCTCTGGATTCCGAAGGCGCTGAGGTTCGACCGTCTCGTTGCCGGCCAAATCCCAACGGGATGGGATGCCAAGCGGTACGGCGTTCCTGACGACATCATCTCCCAGGTTGACCCTGTGGCTCTGTTTGTCCTTGTCTCCACCGTCGAGGCCCTGCTCTCGGCGGGTATTACCGACCCGTACGAGTTCTACAAGTACGTCCACGTCTCGGAAGTGGGTAACTGCGTCGGCTCTGGCATGGGTGGCGCGACGGCTCTGCGGGGTATGCATCGTGACCGGTTCCTCGACAAGCCACTGCAGAACGATATCCTCCAGGAATCGTTCATCAACACGATGGCTGCCTGGGTCAACATGTTGCTCATCTCATCGTCTGGCCCGATCAAGACGCCCGTCGGTGCTTGCGCCACAGCCGTCGAGTCCGTTGACATTGGCTACGAGACGATCATGGAGGGCAAGGCTCGCGTCTGCTTCGTCGGTGGCTTCGACGACTTCGGTGAGGAGGGCTCCTACGAGTTCGCCAACATGAAGGCTACGAGTAACGCTGTGGACGAATTCGCCCATGGTCGGACGCCCAAGGAGATGTCGAGACCCACGACCACAACGAGGAACGGCTTCATGGAGTCGCAGGGTTGCGGTGTCCAGGTCATTATGACTGCCAAGCTCGCTTTGGACATGGGTGTCCCGATCTACGGCGTTCTCGCTCTCACTACGACTGCCTCGGACAAGATTGGGCGCTCAGTTCCTGCGCCAGGCCAGGGTGTCCTCACGACCGCCCGTGAGCACCGCGGCAAGTTTGCCTCGCCACTGCTTGACATGAAGTACAGACGGCGACAGATTGAGCGGCGCACCAGGCAGATTGAGGAGGACAAGGAGTCCGATCTCGAGTACCTCGCGGCCGAGGCGGAAGCGCTCAAAGCCGAGGGTCGACCGGACACGGAAATCGCCGAGTATGTGTCGGCCCGCGCAAAGCATCTTGAGAAGGAGGTTGAAAGGCAGACCAAGGAAGTCCTCCGCAGTTTCGGCAACAACTTCTGGAAGAGCGACCCGAGCATCGCTCCTCTGCGCGGCGCTCTGGCCACCTGGGGCCTCACGATTGACGACCTCGGAGTCGCGTCATTCCACGGGACGTCGACCAAGGCCAACGACAAGAACGAGTCGTCGGTCATTTGCCAGCAGCTTGCCCATCTCGGGCGCACGAAGGGTAACGCCGTCCTGGGTATCTTCCAGAAGTACCTCACCGGCCACCCCAAGGGCGCTGCGGGTGCCTGGATGATGAACGGGTGCTTGCAGGTGCTCAACACCGGTCTTGTTCCTGGCAACCGCAACGCAGACAACGTCGACGAGGTGATGGAGAAGTTCGACTACATCGTCTACCCGAGCCGCAGCATCCAGACGGACGGTGTCAAGGCATTCTCGGTCACGTCTTTCGGTTTCGGTCAGAAGGGTGCTCAGGCGATCGGTGTGCACCCCAAGTATCTCTTTGCCACGCTGGATAAGGAGACGTTCCACGAGTACCGGATCAAGGTCGAGGCTCGGCAGAAGAAGGCGTACCGCTTCTTCCACAACGGCATGATCAACAACACTCTATTCGTTGCCAAGGACAAGTCGCCGTACACGGATGAGCAGCTGAGCTCTGTGCTCCTGAACCCCGATGCGCGGGTCACGGTGGACAAGAAGACTGGGCAGCTCACGTACCCTGACAACTTTATGAAGCTGTCGGAAAAGACGCAGACTCATTCGGAGCGCAAGGCGACGCTGGAGTCGGTGCTCAGCCGGAGCGCGGGGCAACTAGAGAACATGAACACCCGAGTTGGGTTTGACGTCGAGGACATCTCCACCATCAACGTGGAGAACGACACGTTCCTCGAGCGCAACTTCACCGCGACGGAGATGCAGCACTGCATCGGCTCGACCACGGGCCGGCCGCCACAGAAGGCGTTTGCTGGACGTTGGAGCGCTAAGGAGGCGGTATTCAAGGCCCTGGGGACTTCTAGCAAAGGCGCGGGCGCGGCGATGAAGGATATTGAGATCCTGACGGATAAAAACGGGGCCCCCTCGGTCAAGGTATGCAATTCCCTCTCCGGACCAATCGCGTGGATGGGTTACTGACTTTGCTGCAGCTGCACGGTGCCGCCCAGGAAGCTGCGGACAAGGCGGGCGTCAAGAACGTCAACGTCTCGATCTCGTACACGGAGAGCCACGCTGCGGCCATTGCGACGGCGCAGCTGTGAGATGTGGGTTGTGACATTTTGGAGCGAGATTTGGAATTCATCGTTTAGACGGACGGGTTTATGATCATGTTTGTAATTGGACGATGCACCGAGTTCCAGCTTACAGCTTAGACGAGTTCGCGCGTTCGAGGCGCGCACGACTAATCACTAGTTAGATATGACGGGATGTCGTTTGGGCGGAAGCAATTGTTTTTTACTACCACGACGTCGGCCTCGCGCATCGTCCCACCACCTGTTGTCCCACCCACCATGCCATGCGTTGTCGTTGTGAGACCCTGACCCGAACTGTCGGAATCGACGTTTGACGTTGGTTTGCTGACTAACCAACACCCCGTTGATCCCCGTCGCCATGTGGTCATGTGGCTGTTCACCTGATCGTTAGTGTAACGCCACAAAATGGGACGAAGATCCTGTGTTGGGATGAAACGAGAGACGAAATGGGGGGATGCCAAGAAGCAACCTGCGCCAAAAGCATGGGACATCAGCCGGGCGAGTCCGGGCTTGGCTGGCTTGGGCCGGCTTCCGGCGCTGGCCGAGCTCCGCCCCGCCAAGACCCGAACCCGCTTCGGTGGACTTGGGGCTGTCCGCGCGGGGAACGGCGCGGGGCGCGGATTGGAGGGGGTTGGCTGACCTTCCAGTTGCGTTGGAGACCTTGACTCTGATAAGGGGTTGCCAGGCTGAGGTGGTACGAACGGATGCTCGGGTGTCTCTTTTAAAACGCGGCCCGCCGGTTTTTTTTTTTTTTTTTTTGTTCGGGCCTTGAAAGTTGAGTTGGGTCTTGCTGTCCGTCCTTTGTTTGACTGAATGAAGGCTTTGCTAGCTGGAGTGTGAACAGTTAGTCAGTTTATTGGTTTTGTTTGTTGCTTGGTGGTTGTGTTATTTGTTCTGGGTTGGCTGGCTTTGCTTTGCCTTGCTTTTGGTTGCTTGGTTGGCTGACCTGACTGCTGCTGGGTGTGTGCTGGTTAGGTTTGGTTGGGCATTGGAGACTGGGTTTGAGCTCGCGTTTGGGGAAGGCGGAGCTGGGCAGCAGGTATGTTGGGGTTTGGGTTTCTTTGGTTGCTCCATTTCTCAATGACCTTGGAAGGGTGTTCGTGACTGATTGACTGACTGACTGGCTCGAAACGCAGGTGGTCTCGGTAGCGAATCATTCATCACTCGTGTTGTTTGTTGCGCTTGGTTTGTAACGGCACACAGTGTGTGGGTTTAAAAGAGGTTGCTCTCGGCGCTCACCAACCGGCCCGGGCTTGGCTGCAGTTTACCTCCTTCAACCCTCTCGCATCGAATCGACAATTTCTTGGAACGGCACCGAGATGCTCATTCCCACGCAACACCACAAAATGGCACCCAGAAATAAGCTGTTCCTCGGCCTGTTTATACACAGCACGGCGCTCAACGAGCTTGAGTACCTGCACAATACAGCCGTGTGCGTCGATGGGAAGGGGACGATTGTTGCCGTTGAGAAGGATTGCGACGAGGATAAGGCGAAGCAGACGGTGTTTCCGCGGCTGGGGTGGGTGGAAGCAGAGGTGGAGGTTGTCAAGGCGGAAGAAGGGCAGTTCTTCTTCCCGGGATTTATCGGTAGGCCTCACTCAAGCTGCGACATGCATCCCCATTTGCGACCCTGGAGAACGCTGACACACCCCCAGACACACATATCCACGCTCCGCAGTACCCCAACGCCGGCATATTCGGCGATTCCACCCTCATGGACTGGCTCGACACCTACACCTTCCCGCTAGAAGCCTCCTTTTCCGACCTCGCCAAAGCGCACCGGATCTACAACCGCGTCATCCGCAAGACGCTCTCCCACGGCACGACCTGCGCCGCCTACTACGCGACCATCCACGTGCCGGCGACCAACCTGCTCGCGGACCTCTGCCACGAGCGCGGCCAGCGCGCCCTCATCGGCCGCGTGTGCATGGACCAGACGCCGCCCGCCTACTACCGCGACGAGTCCGCCGAAGCCTCGCTCGCCGCCACGCGCGCCAGCATCGCCCACATCCGCGCCCTCGACCCCACCCACTCCCTCATCCGGCCCATCATCACCCCGCGCTTCGCCCTCTCCTGCACCTTCCCGCTCCTCCAACAACTCGGCACCCTGGCCGCCGAGACCGGCCTGCCCATCCAGACCCACATCTCGGAGAACAAGACCGAAATCACCCTCGTCAAGCAACACTTCCCCCGCTCCCTCACCGGCGCGGCCGACGACAGCTACGCGGGCGTGTACGACGCGGCGGGCCTGCTGACGGCGCGCACGGTGCTGGCGCACGCGGTGCACCTGACCGAGGGCGAGGCGGCGCTGGTCGCGCGCCGCGGCGCCAAGGTCAGCCACTGCCCCTGCAGCAACTCGGCGCTGGGCAGCGGCGCCGCGCCCGTGCGCCGGCTGCTGGACCGCGGGATCGGCTGTGGGCTGGGCACGGACGTCAGTGGCGGGTATAGTCCGAGCGTGTTGGAGGCGGCGCGGCAGGCGGTTTTGGTCAGTCGGCATGTGGTGTTTATGGGGGAGGCGGGGGGTGGGGTGGGAGGGGAAGAGGGGGAGGGGGTCGAGTTGGGTGTGGAGGAGGGGGAGAAGGCGAAGTTGACCGTCGAGGAGAGGGAGAGGGAGAAGGCAAAGTTGAGCATCGAGGAGAGGGAGAGGGCGAAGCTGAGCGTGGAGGAGGCCTTGTTTCTGGCGACGCGCGGCGGGGCCGAGGTGGTTGGGCTTGAGGGGCGGGTCGGTTGGTTTGGGGTTGGGATGGAGTGGGATGCGCAGTTGGTCGGGCTTACGGTGGTCAGGGAAGATGGGGAGGTTGAGGAGGGCGATGGCGGTGGGGATGTGGATGTGTTTGGGTGGGAGAGCTGGCCGGACCGGGTGGCCAAGTGGGTGTATAACGGCGACGATAGGAATACGAAGCAGGTGTGGGTGAGGGGGCGGGTGGTGCACACGCGGAAGTAGAGGTTTATTGATGGCGGCGCTTATGATGGGGAGTCCCCAACTGGGTTGGGCGAGGCATGGAAATAGAGGTGGCGAGCGCGAAAGGAAATCTTCTAGTCCTCTTCTATTAGACATTGGCTCCCAGATTATTGAACTCAACAATGGTTTCGAGAGCCATGTTACATACGCTGTGCTGGGTGGGAGGAGAGAAGAGTCCAGGATGATGGCCTCGTTCAATATGACCTTCTCAGGCGTCGGCCGTTTCCTCGCACGCTCGGGGTGGCCAGATGAAACGGAGCATCATGCCGAGAAAGGATAGGTATGGATGATGAATTGCATGCTCGCTCCGTCTGGCGATGTGCACCTCAATACTGCGTACACATGGCCGATCTTCGTAGTGTCTCCGGTTCTGGGTATCCGCATGGGGATGTTTGTATATGCCGTATTTTTTTAGGCCTGGTTCCGGGGCTCAGTAACCCGACTGCACTGTCGTTAGATTTCGAGCCATGAGTTCATTTTGGTCCCGACTTTGAACGTCAAACTCATCAAGACCACCCAGTTATGGCGGTTAAGAGAACCGGCTCCCAAAGGCGACTCGGGTTTTTGGCGAGGTACCGTACCCGTACGGTATTTCCATTATTACCATCATGATTGGATTACAGCTTGGGGTCATCGACTCTGGGTCGCACTGACTGGCACAACACCACACACCACAGCGTTCGGGTGTTACCCCGAGCATGCTCGATTACACGACAGATGACCTGCTGCGCTCAGGGGTTTGCTGCAGGATCTGGCTGTTCGGGCCCTCTGTGGGACATGCCGGTAGCGGTCGATTGCGAACAGGCTCGGGACGGAGGTGGAAATACCCCTGTGCATGTGTGTGTATCATTCGCACTAACTAATTTTAGTAACGCACGCCCAGCGGACAGAACCTTTCGATGCCGACAGGGCTCGGGTGAAAGATCACGAAGAAACAAAAAGAAAAAAAAAAAAGGCGAGACAAGCAGGGGAAGAAAGATGGAATTGGTCTGCTTCAAGACACTCCTTCGAGTTTCTTTTCATTTTCCTCACCCTTTTAATGGCTGATGAAGCTGCGCATCATTGAGGATGCTGCCTTCCCCGCAGGTGATGCGCATGTGTTGAGGCCGGCGCCATGCATCGCTTGACGCCAATCCATCAGCCGCAAGAAGGCGCAGCAGTCGGGAAGAACTCTCGTTCGCGGCTCGCATCTTCACCCCTCACCGTCCTCTTCGGCGTTTTCGAGCCTTGTCACCTGAGGTGTCTGGTTTTGGTTCAGTGAAGCTCCGTTTCCGGAACTGGGTCGCGGACCGTTTGTGAACTTTTTTGGTCCCGCGGGTGCGACGCTGCGAAAAGATTCCATGATCGAGACCGGGGTGTCCGGACCCAGTTTTGGTGCTCGAGCTGTCAAGCAAACCGATGGGATCGGCGAGGCGCACCGTAAGACGGGGGGACTTCCGTGCTGTTTTAATGGGTCAGCTTATTTTTACTTTCTGAACCCCAGATTCATGAACGAAGACCCATCCCAAACGGCACCAAACTCGACCGCTTCTCGTGAACCATCCTTTGCAAAAACTTCAAAGAGGTATTGAATTGTCGGCACTCGTCCCGCACTAGTAGCCCGTTTTCCGGGCGGGTTTCTGCCGGTGCCAGGAAAGAGCTCTCTGCGTGAGCCACGGATGCGCCCCGGGCTTGCTGTCACGAGTCGGTTTAGCCAATGGAATCCCCTCAAAAACGCCAATCAGGCAGTGCTCGCCAAACCCCGCCAATCTCGACCCGGCTCATTTCTTGGAGGGTTTCATGGCGCATCGTCCTGCGTGGGCCTTGGGCCTGGGCCAGTTTCCCGTCCCGTCTTCCATGTGCCAGGTTCCCAGGCGCAAACATTGATTTTTCGGCGGTCCCCCATCTTCCACTGCCCAATTTTCAGCCTTCGGGGTGAGAACATGGCACGGTTCCAAAACGCACCCTTTCAGCTGTGCTGTCTTGGCACAATCCCACCTCCGTTTCCCGGCTCCAAGACCTGAGGCTCGTGGTTCTGATGATCAAAGTGCTGCGAGATCCTTGTCCGTTATTGTCGCTGGGACCCTGACGGCATGGAGGCCCGCTGCAGTGGTTGGTTGGACGCCCGCCGGGTGCGTGGTGAAGAAGGTTAAAGTTGGTGCTCCCCGCCCTCGTCGGGCAGTGTGGCCTTGTCTTTCATCCGTGTTTGCATTTTTTTGTGCCCCGCGGATTTTCTGTCGCAAATTTCGAGCCGCTGTCAACCTCTCGCCACCTATCGATCGTCGTCAAGTTAGGTAGTTATCCAAGTCGCCGAGCTCCAGTAAAACATCATCATGGCTGGCCAAGGTCTCGTCGCCGTCGGCGTTCCGCCGCAGCCTCTCTGGCTCCTCTACATTAAGATTGCCGTCCTGGTCCTCTCCCTCATCGTCCTGGCCCTCGCGGCCTATTCGCTATCCATTTTGCCCTACGGCTTCGGCTCCGGCGCTGGCGGGTTGGATATCTTTGTTGTACGTACCTCCCTGCTCGCTCATCCGTGACCGCACGAGCCTTGTCGTCGCAGTGCTCTGACCTGGTACCATCGCAGGCCGTTCTGAACTTCATCGTTTACGGCGCTACCGGTGCCATCGAGCTCTGGGCCCCCCAGCTCTTCTACCGCGTCGGCGCCCTCGTCGGCTACATCCTCTCCGTCGTTTTCTGGCTTTCCGCCTGGGCTTGGTCGGCCAACAACGCATCCGCTTGGATGGCTTTGGCCAATTTAGGGGCTGGGACTGAATCAATCGGCGGCGCCCTCGCTGGCTGTGCTGGTCTCGGCGCCATTGCTTGGTAAGTGAAGCGCTTCGCGCCCCCCGAATTGACGTGGCTTTCTGGGCTGCATACCCGTGGCGAGACCCGGGCTAACACTTTCAGGGTTCTCGTCATTGTGCACCTCGCCTTCTTCATCCGCGCCTGCGTCGTCGACGGCGCCGCCGGCTCTGGGCAGGCCGAGCTCGGCCAAGTCAAGCCCGAGCAGTACCAGCAGCCCTACCCTGCTCAGCAGCAACCCTATCCTGCTCAGCAACCCTATCCCGCCCAGCAGCCGTATCCCGCCCAGGAACCGTACCCCGCTCAGCCCTATGCTCAGCCGCAGCAGCAGCAGCAGCCGTACCCCCCTCAGTAAACGGCTGCTGGTTCGGGTGGTGTGTTTTTTACCTTGTTGATGAGTGCAGCGGATGCTTAATGTGGGCGGGTTTGTCGGACGGCAATGAGCGGGCGGCCGCAATTGGTTTCGCGGCATTTTGGTCGGTTTTGACGAAGAGGCGCGTTCTTGGTTTTTCTTGCGCGCACACACACGCGGTGTGTTCAGAGGTCCGGTTAGTTACCAAGTTAGAAGTGCGATCGATACCCAGTATGTCTTGAATACGATGCGATTTGTTTCCACGGCTTGCACATCTTCACTCGCGGTGGATGCAGATGTTGGTTCTGATGCGTTGAACGAGCTAAGGCACTTGACAAACTTACTTTTCCTCCCCCCCCCAATAATTACAAGTATTCCTCCATCCCTCCTCTTCGCGTTTCGTAATCTGTACAGATTACACACTCCACACTCCACACCACCACCACCTCGCTACCGCATCACCAACCCAACCCTAACCCCCGTGCCCCCACACCCTTTCTCACCCACCCCGCAAACTCCCACCCGTCAAACCCGTGACCCCCCACTCATTCCCCCCCCCACTCACCACTCACCACCCCCGCAAAACTCACCACCCCGGCCAGCAGGCCCATCGCCCAGCGCACGTGATTCCGCCACGCCCACGCGTCCACCAGCTCCGCCATGCCGGCGCGCTCCGCCCACGCGCGCGCCGCCCCGCTCGCCGACTGCCGCCGCACCCCCGCCCTGCCCGCGCGCCGCGGTATCGTCATCGACCCGTCCCCGTCCCCGGACACGGCCCCGGCCCCGTTTTCGCGCTCGCCGTTGCGGTCGCTGTCGCTGTCGCGGTCCGGTGGTGGTGGTGATTGTGGTGGTTGTGGTGGTGGTGGTGGTTGTGGTGGTAGCAGCAGCGCGGCGGCCTTCCACTTGCACGCGCCGTTGACGCCCGGCTCGAAGAACAGGAGGGTGAGTGGGAGGATGGCGAAGGCGAGGGTTGCGGCGGCGAGGTGCAGGTTCTGCTGCTGCTGATGCTGTTGGTGGTGGTGGTGCTGCGGAGGTTGCTGGGGTTGTTGGGGATTGGAGGGGTCGTGGTGGGGGTGGTGGGGGTGGGCAAAGGCGAGGTACAGGTTGGCAAGCACGCTCGCGTGGATCAGCGGTGCGACCCACCGCGGGCCCTGCTGGTAGAGGGCCAGCCACTGGCGGGCGAGGAGTTTGTGGTCGGTGGTGGTGGTGGTGCGCGCGAGGAGGTGCATGGTGAGGGAGTATTGGAAGGTTATGCCTGGGCGAGGGGTTGGGTTAGGTTGGTGAGTTGGGGAGTGGGTGAGGAGGGACAAGGGGACGGAGGTGCATACCGGCGTAGAGGGTCGGCATGGCGATGCCTGCCCATTGGGCGAGCGTGGTAAGAGTTGGGAGAGGCATCTTTCGATGGGCACTTTGTCAATAACTTCACTGTTTCCGTTTTTGTTGGAGAGTTTTACCGGCGTCGTGAGCCGTTTGTCGGGGGAACGGTGTCGTGTGAGAGAGGGGCTGCATGTATTTTTCGTGACACTATCTCAGTACAGATTACACGGTTCTGTATGATACGCGTGATTACGCCATGAAGTGCACTCAGAAACAGACGGAAACAGAAATGCAAACAGTGGAAAAGGAGAAAAATGGACAAAAGCTTTTTAGCGCAACAAAGGAGCACCTCTCCCACCGACAGGACCCTCAACCCCTACGGCTGCATTCCATAAGTATGATCTCTTCCTCGCACTTACTGTTACTATACCGAGAAGACACCCACCGTCTGCGCGTCCCCATCTTTGCTTCCTCTTGAGCTTCGAGAGGCGGCGTTACGGGCACGAGGTTATGGCGTGCAAAGGCGGGAATGACCAGCGCGAGGGCCTTCTCCAGGGTTGGGGCCAGCTTGGCTTCGACGGCTTGCTGGGCAATGGCTGTGAGGAGCGTGTTATCCCACACCCGCACGCTGCCGCTCTGGAGGGGCGCTTTTGTCGTCTTCCCGCCAACCTTGGTGATATTGGCTGCGATGGCAAAAATGAACAGGGAAAAGAGTTCCTGCGCGCATTGCGTCACTAAGGTCGTGTTGACCGCCGCTGTGACATAGTATCGAAGAGTATCCTGTGGCGCCGAGCCGCCAGCACCGTTCTCGGGGGACAAGACCGGTGCATCATGGCTGGTGGTCGCCGCGGCATCCCTGTAACTGGCTGTCAGCATCACCACTTGTTTGAGCGCCGTAGGAGGGCAGCACACTCACTCGAATGGGTATGCAAGATGCATCCCGAAGCAGATGGTTGACTCCGCCGACTCTCTCGACTCGCTCTCATCACAATCATTGCCGGTCGGGTTCTCATTTTGCTGCTGCTCGCCCTCCACCACGTACACGTTGCATCCAGTCCACTGTTCCAGCGTTTTCCTGGCCGTCGCAGAGTTGAATGAAGGTGATGACGATCCGACTTCCCCAATGCGGCAAAACTCTTGCGGCCTGTAGAGGTCATTTTCCTTGAACAGCCTTCCTTGCAGCTTGGAGCCCGGCCTGGCGGTAGCCAGCCTGTTCAACCACAGAGAGATCGTAGCACACAACTCCCTAGAGTCTTTAAGGACCCAGCGTTTATGCTGCGAGCGATCCTCCATCGGCGCGGGAACCAGTAGGAGATGGTAGGCAAGCTGTTCCGTCACGAGACTACGGTCGGGGGACTCGTTGCCGTGCGCCAGGGAAACTAACCACTCGAGATTGTTCCTGTTGGAGTCCCTGTCGTACGAATCCGACTCCCTGCCGAAAATCGGCCCGGCCTTCCAGCAAACATCCGCGTGGCCCTCAGATCTCAGCAGCTCGGCGACCCCCTCAAGAGCCCTTTCCAGTTGCTTCACCGCTGCGGTCACCTCGGGCCGCACGAGATGGGACATGTCCCGTGCGGCAGCAGTGAACCTCTGGACCTCCACGAGTGGCCCAACAGCCGTAGTGTTGCCGTCATTCGCCCGCTGTCGGATTGAGCTCACCGGGGGTTTAGGCGCTTGCGGCCGGGTGATGACGTCCACAGTGCCGCGGTTCTGCTGGCCACCACGTAGAACATGCAGCCGGCCCGTGACCAGTCCCCAGTGAAAACCAGTTGCCGGAAGGTTCTTCGCCTCCTTGATCCACTCCCGTATTCCACCTTTTTTTTTTTCGAGAGACTTTTCGCTCGCAGTGATGGAGATGACGAGAGAGGCCAGTTCCTGCGTGTCGGCGACTTCGAAGTTCGTCGGGCTCAAGGTAAGCTCCCGCCGGCTAAACGTCCGGAGGAAAGTCACCAAGCCCATAGCGACCACCTGAGTCACTCCGACCTCCCACTCAAGGAACCATGTGCCGAACCCCTGAAGGATGCTGCCGGGGACCGTTAACACCGACAGCACCATCGCCATTTGCATGCTACCATGGTCAGTAACGGTACAAGTGTTGCGATGAGGACGTGGGGTTGAACTTACTACCACCGGGGCTTGATCATGTGCTGATTCCGCAGCGAGACATGGACATCCATGTTCTCGTCCTCAGTCTGCAGAGGCTTGAAAATTGCGTACGGGGGGAAGTACTGCGCTTCGACGACGCAGCCGCGCTGGAGCCAAACCAGAGCCACCGGGGGGTCAGCCACCAGGATGTCAACTCCCTGGGGTTGAGCCACCTGGGGTTCAGGCACCGTGGCGTCGGCCGACTGTCGTGGACGGAGACGCCACCACCGCCGCCTCTCCGTGGCGTCGGCCGGCTGTCGTGGAAAACGCCACCGCCTCTCCGTGGTGGCGGTGTTTGTGATGTACCCGGATGCGAGCAGCCCCAGGAATGTCAAGCCTGCGCCAATAAAAAAGCAGATGACCCCATTGTTTACTTGTTGCGCACCGGTGTCAACCCAAATCCCAACGAGGGCCCAAGCGGCAATTTGGATCACCATGCCAGCCGCAACAGCGCAGGAGCTCAAAAGGCGTCTATTCCAGCTGCGTTTCCGAAGATTCAAAGTGAAGTTTGGAGATCCATTCACCATGAACTTGAAATCGTTATACTCGTGCTTGTTGAGGGTGTTCCCGCCGTTCTCAAGTTCCCAATAAGTGGATGACCCTCGGGGTTTGTTGTACGGGGCCAAGTGGCTCTGAAGGTCTTTGATGTTTCCGCTCTCGGTGATTATGAGAGTGGTTATGCTGCCCGGTGGCAAAAACCCCTTAGTGCGAGAGATGGTCGTCCCTGTCCAGGCCTCACAGACTTCGGTGGATGTGGACGACAGGAGCTCCTTCTCAACCACGGCGGGTTCGTCTCGAGACCTGCATTATTGACGCCTTGGTTAGCGACCGCCCCATACCCTGCCTATCAGACGAACATGACACATCCCGGGGTCCTTCCTTACCTTCCAATCAAGGTTTTCAGCCATGGCCACCCAGCGATCCGGATAGTGCTCGCGACGATAAAGATGACGCCAATGGGGCATGAAGCAAGCAGAAAGTAGTCTTGCGAAGAGACGATCGTGCTGAGGAACTGCCTCGTCACCTGCTCACCAAACAGACTCATCCCAGCTCCAAGGATGGATATAATCTGCTGGGCCGTCTCGCTGGCGCTTTGAGTTGCGCCTCCATCGGGAGGATCCATGATGAAAAGATGAGCGCAAATCAGGGCAAGTGAACAGCAAACATTAAAAGTGTGAGGATTCCAGACAAGAGGGTTAGGCAAAGTAAATAGGACAAGCTTGAAAAGTGCAATGGGTCCAGACAAGAAAGGTGCCGGAGAACGGGTTGTCTCTGCGGGAGTGGGGGGGGGATTGTCTGTATTATTATCTTCAGCCATCGAGAGCAACACTCCCCCCCCAATATCCCATCTTTGCCGAATCGCGCCGTGCCGAGCAGCCGCACGAAACACCATACACCATTTCGGAGACTCGCAGTACGCCGGGACTGTTCCGGGCTGCCCTGGCCCTCGAAATCTTCACTGTTGTCACTCCCGGGGCTCTCGATGCGGCGGCCGCCGGCAGACCAACGGACCCATGCTGCAGTTTGAACTTTACGGTTCTTCTCCTTCACTGGTTGCCCTGGGCGAGAACCCACAGCAGCCTCGTTGAAAGGTGATAACCCCTCTCGGTGACTGGCAGCTGAACGGCATGTCTTGCCTCCAACCATGGGTCCCAGGGTTTGGGATGCCCCCCAGCCGGTGTTTTCCAATCTCTCCCTTCCGCGACACGGCCCAGCGTTTGCTCGGCGTGGATGTCCCTGGGGGGGCCAGAATCATCCGTCCCGGCCCCGCTAGCAATTTGCGGTTCACGGGTGACCGCTTGAAGCTACCTATCTTCCTGTTCCCTAGAGGTCTGAGGACGAGTTCCGGATGGTTCCGCTTGAGCCGGTGGGCGTTTGATCGCTTGACCAACGGATACCTATACCGACGTGTCTCCGGCCCAATCAACGCCAAGGGACGTCCTCTAGCTTTTACAGCTGAATCGGGTGTTCTGACTTTGCGTTTGCTCAGGTAATATCTGAGTAAGGTACCTGGTACTTAGCTATGATCTTGCACACGCTAGGCTGAGGACGGGGCGTTGGTTTGAGCTACGAGCACTTTACCGGCGATGGGGACATTTGGTGTAACCGATGAGAGTCTGGTTGATTTGGGTCGGTGGGTGCGGGATCCCGACGGGACCGCCTGAAGCAGTCAAAGTGGAGGTGACGGGTAGCTGCTTCGATGCCGGCCAGGGTAGACTGCGAAGTGCCAGTGGACGCTAGTAGGGCACGGAACGTGAGCCATCATCCGCCGTCCCTCCCGAGTCAGAAGTCCACGAGCAATCAAAACGACCTAATCGGCCATCGCCTGTTCTGGGCCCTTTCAGACGCCCCCGTGACTGTATCGAGGGGTTTGCACAGAAGCGCGGACAAATATGTGCCCACACACCTGTCAGTTGTATGTTGAGGCACGGGGAGTGGCCACCAATGATGGCTTGCGATGTGGCCGACCTGGGAATCTGAAATACCTGGCTGGGCCTACGATTCGGCGCAGCTCACTTGCTGTGACATGTGCGATCCGGAGAAAAAGCTCACGTACTAGACCTATAATTCATATTATTCCTCGTTAATTCCTCGTTAATTCCTCGTTATCTTTCCCCCGTTCCACCTTAGTTATAATTCCCCTTCGGGTTCTCCATATTTTTACCGCCGTCACTATCTCCTCCACCCATTTCGTATTTTACAAAAGACCGGCGAGGAGGTACCTTCGTCCCTCAACTCCTTACCTCCCTTGGTACCGAGGGACAAGTGCTAACCCAGGGGAGACATTTCCTGCGCACGGCCCACATACTGTGTGGGCAGATTGCAGGGCTAACTCCCATATCTTCAGCGCCGAGAGCGATCTGCCTGTACATTGTGGCCCTCGATGTCGCATTTTGTGCAGTTGAAGAAACTGTGAACGCATCGTCTCCAACACTGTTAAATAGGCTGCTGAGGGCTTGTATTTTCTTGCCTAGAAAGCGCTTCACCTTCGCTTTTGGCCCTATCTTCAATTCAAATTACGGGGCAGACTGGACAGCTCCCTCATTTTTTGCCATGGCTTCGAAAGGTAGGTACCTAGGTACCTCGGTACCTACCTAGGTACCTACCTCGGTACCCATTGTGGGTACCTATGTCTGCATGGGCTTCGGGAAATTAAATTACAGGGCATGCTCAAGGGGTATTCCATTGGGTGATCGTATTGTCTGATAGCCTAAGAGATCCTAATGATAGAAAAGGAGAAATTCATCCCCGGGGGAACCTCTACAAGGCACGTAGGTACGCTCCCCAACCTGACGACGGGATCATGGCTCGAATCTAGAAGTACCTGACTGATGAGGGATACCGGGTGTGACCAATGAAGCCGGGTTGTTTTGGGTGGAGAGAGAGAATCTCCGACTCGGACCGCCTGAAGCAGTCAAGCGGAGGAGACAGGTAGCTGCTCCCGCCCAGTGGACGCTACTAGCATTTAACCCGAGTCACAGGGTGTGAGCTATCCTTAGGCATTCCACGTAAACCTACGAACATCTCATCCCTCCTACGCCAAGAGTGGACGTAATCCAGGCAAGGAACGCATTCGGAGAAGTCATAGAAATACGACCAATCGATAGGGTAACCTGGTAGGGAGTCGAGTCTGTGTCTGGATTCGTGGCCTAGGACTATGCACTCTTTGCAGCTGAAGAAATGATGGCCGCATGGTTTCCAGCGCGTTCGAGGTTGTGTTTTCATGCCTCGTAGCAAGCTAAAAAGCTTCGCGAATATAGACGTGGCGCCCGCAGCTTCTCTATCCATTGCCATAGCTTCGTGGTCTACAGCTATACCTTCACAGCGGAAGAGGAGAAGACCCTCATCAGTTATTCCCCCACTCCAGCAGGTTTCACATTGGCAACATGTCCATATGATGGGGTCATACTGTGCTATAGTACTAGCTTCGAGAGGTTTGTTTGCAGTGCCACTTCCTATATCTTTAGTTTCCTGTTGATGTTCCATTCTAAGTAGATACCTAGATGCTTGTGCGCTTTGGTGAAGATACCTATGTAAACTAAAAGTAAAATAAGAGTTTAAATTTAATGTTAGAGTAAGATAAGTGGGGCGTCTCTCCTAGTTTAGAATCAAGGCTTGACACAACGCAATCAACTCAAATATTGGGGTATATTTGAGTTGATTGGGCCAAAACTTGACCAGATTTGAGTTGATTGTATTTGAGTTGGCTGGAGTCAAATCTCGTCAAATCCCCACATATAACCCTAACCTCCACCAACCCTCCTCCTGATTCCTGACTTGCACCCGTCAGATCTATCAACTTTATCAAAACGCAGTCAAACTAATTGATCTTGCAATGGGCTAAGCAACTATCTGTGTGGAAGCCCTGCAAACGAACTCACAATCCACCTGTTGTGGGCGCCCAGCGGTTACACAGGGTCAGGTTGGATGTGGCTACTGTAGCGGTTGGGGGCATTTTGCAGGGCTCAAGTGCAATATCTGGCTTGGCAAATCTAACAAATCTCACAACTCAAATCCAACTACTTATTTGATTGACGAAAACGTCGATTTGCGTTGTATTTGAGTTGAATTGAGTTGATTGAGTTGACGAGATTTGCGTTGTGTCAAGCCTTGTTTAGAATGAAGTAGTTAGGCTAAAAACTTATAATATATAGAATGAATATACCTGGTAGTTAGAAAGCTCTAACACCCTAAGGTACTCTCTCTAACATTCTCTAGTTCTCGTTCAACAATGGTAGAATATTCTTCTTTATTACTAATATTTTCAGAGTAGAAATGCTAGTTATTTATTGTTTGAATGTCCTAAGTTAAAGGAGGACCATCTGTTCCCTGAGACGAGACAGGCAGTAAATACATGTCCTGTATGTGCAGGAGAAAGCAACGGAAATCCGGAAACCCTAAAACTCACGCACGGAGTCGGGGAACCTCGCTCGTTCAACATCTTAGGTTGGTTTGATCTCCCCGACCTCGTACGGGTGGGTGGGCTTGGTGCACCGAAGGGTACTGTCACTCGGCTGCTTGTTCACGTCCCTGCTTGAGTAGCTCGCTCGTACGTTTTTTTATTTTACCTTACCGCGTATTTTCAACACACAGAGACTCGTACCGCCAGTGGCCCGTTGATTTGAGCACCTGGACGGAGTCACTCACTCCCTGCCCGGGTGAGCCGGATTGGGCCGGCTACCTACAGGCAGGTACCGATGTCGGCCAAACACAGAACGACGAAAGCCTGATTAGGCCAGCAGCCAACGACACCCATGGATGTCCCTCGGCCTGGCCGCAGGTCGTCTCTCAAAAATCCCGTTCCATTGCAACGTGATTTAACTCTAAACTGAAATGGATTCCAAGCCCGTTCAGCCGTCGCGTTGGCTCAGAGTGAGAGTTGGCGTCGGGGTCGTGCGGTGCGGAGGGCTACCTCGACTCGTTAGCGGGCGACGAACACTCTCTGGGCCGCGGGAGAGCGATGGCTTGGGGAATCGGCGAATCTGCATGTACCTATGTATGTATGTATGTATGTACCTATGTACAGGGGTCACGGTGCTGAACCGAATCGCAACTACGGTACCTCGTCCCAAATAGGTCCTGTGTACACAGGAGAAATCGGCAAGCCGTTGTGGGCACCTGGGATGACCGTGACTTCCAATTTTCCAGGTCCGTTACAACTTACAAGGACGACCACGACCGACCGCTGTTGTATTAGGTGATTTGACGGCTCCGCCTTCTTCACGAGCAGTATCTCTTTTGGGGATTGTTATCGCCTTTACTTGCGGAAGAATTTCCTTGAGAAGGACTCTAGGGGCAAACAGGTGCTGCTTCCGCCAAGATGCCGGGACTGAGCACAAGCCCGTCTGGCTCCCTTGTCATTAGTTGGCAGCCGAGACCTGAACCGTCGACTCCCTCTCCGGGACGGCCGTTTTGGGCTTCAAGTTTGCTGCGATGCCATGCTGCTTCCCGCGACATGCCAAACGGTTCGCGGCGGTGAGTGCGGAGGCGGCTTGGGTTGCCCACTGGGAGGAGGCCCCAAAAGAAACCCCACGGAAAGGGTAAACGACCGATTTACACTGGTAGGGAACCCGGCGAAGATTCAAGCAACCACACATGAATGGTAGTCCCCCGAGCTTCCCCCGAGCTTACAGACGCTCTGATCACAGTCGTCTATTTCTCAGACCCCAACATGCGACATGCATGATGCACCCGGTCGATCGGAGTCGATTGCAGTCCATCAGATGCGAGCTGGGCCCGCCCGGGCGCAACCTCATCAACGGCGAATCGACTGCATCGAACCGGAATTACTTGTAAACGGGGCCCCGTCACTCGGGGGAGGTCCCTAGGTTCGGTGGGGTGTGTGAAAGTGGGCGTGCGCATTCAATTGTGGCTCTTTTTTCCCTCGAGCCGTCTCCGTGTGTGCTTGGTCGCAGGCGAACTGCCAGGATTAACGACATACCTGACCGACTTCGTACGACCTGCCTACTTGTGTGGGTGGAGCGCTCCCCAGCAAACGGAAACCTGAGATTTAGGTGGTCGGGAATTGGTCAACGGTGGGCAGAACACGGCTGAGATGACAAAATTCATTTCACCTTGACCGAGATTTTGCGCTGGCTGCTGGTGATTGGGGGCTTCCATGTTTTTCACTCAGCGGTCCCACCCAGCCAGGCGCGTTTCCCAGAAGAGATGGAGTTGGGCGAAACTTTTTATGCCCTCTGTGCAGAGTTACACAGTAGTCCCTGGTTATCGGGTCGGGCCAAATCAGGCAATGCAATCTGCGCATTCGGGAAATGAAGATGCGTCACCCGGCCCGAAGGCTCTCTCAACGTGCGCGGCCTGCCCATGGTGGCCTTTCATCGGTCCAGTGCTGGGCTCGCATGGGCCTGGTATGGTTGTGAGGGCGCGAACGGGTGTGTTCAGCCCACGTTCCAACAGCAGATAAACGACAACCGGACTGTTCTCAAGGGATACACGGCATGGGATGTATTAGAGGAAAAAAGATTAGGCAGCCTTGGTTTTGTACCGGAATAGGAATCGAACCCAGTTGTTCCCACAAATGTTGTTTCCTTGCCAAACTCCATGCTAAACCCGTTAATGCTGACGATAGTTCTCACAAGTGTGCATCTCTGTAATTAACCAAGTTGCATAACGTGGCGAGCTTGCACAGGCAAGAATCAAGGACACAAACACCACCCGCAATCAACCAAACTCCCCTAGCCTCGCCCCCGCTCTCCCAAGCCAAACCCCCGGCGTCCTAAAACCTCCGCAAGAACTCCTCCAACGAAACCGGCTTCCGCACAGCGTTATTCATGCCCTCGTGATACGTAACCCACACCATCCCGGCCCCGCCCGCCTCTTCCCCGCTCGCTTTCCTCTTCTTCCTGCCCCCCGGGCCATCGCCGGCCGCCGCATTCCCGTCTGTGCCGGCCACCCGCGATGGCTGCTCGGCAATGACTCGCCCGAAAAAGTCCCGCTTCACGCTCGTGTGCTTGTCGTCGGGTCGGCGGTTCTGCAGGGTGAGGGTGGCGTGGTTGTCTTGGTTGGCGCCGAAGGCGTCGCGTGGTGGTGGTGGTGGTTGGTGGTGTGGGATGGCCAGCCCGCCGCCGGCCTTTAGGCGGGCTTGGCGCGCCTCGCTGTCCCGTTGCGCGAGGGTCTTGTACAGTTCCTGGTCGAGGACCTGGCGCACCGCGTAGCGGGTGGGCGCTTGGGAGGCGAGGATGTACGCGGCAGCGGTCTCGAAGGTGGCGAGCGTGTCGAGGTCCCTGTTTCTGGGTTAGTACTCGTCTCGTGTTTTGTTGGGGCGGGGGGGGGGGGTTGGAACGGCGGGGTGGTTGGACGTACGGCTCCATTCGGTACACCCACTGGGTTCTCGTTGCCGGGCCGGCCGCCGCGTCCGGCTCGATCTTGCCCTTGTGCAGCGCGATGCCCACCTCGGCCAGCACCCGCGCGGCGCGCTTGACCATGGCCTTCTCGGCCTCTCTCCGCACCGAGGCGACCGCGCCGAACTTGTCGTTGCTCCCGCCCACCATGACGGGCTTCACGTCGGGCGAGACCAGGCGGATCAGGTAGGGAAGGAAGTCGGTCGCGATGTGCTCGGGGCTGCGGAACGCGCGCGTCAGAGTCGGCGGCAGCTGGGCGTGGATGCCCTGTAGCGCGGCGCGGTTGACCTTCTCGGCCTCGTACGCGGCGTAATCCGCCCGCGGCCCGGAGAACGGCAGGGGAGGTTCGTTGGCTTCGCTATCATCGGCTGTCTCGCCCCACTTTCCGCCGCAGCCGGACGTTGTCTGGGGCTGGTGCCGCCGTGGCGACGCGAAGAGGTGGTGACAGGCCAGGATGGGCTGGCCGACGTAGGGTGCGAGCTCCCATTCCTGGCTGGAGAATATGCGGGAGGAACAAGTGTCGTGGAAGTGTAACCATTCGTAGGCAAGGTCGGGCTTGGTCAAGAAGGAATCGTCGTTAAAGTCGCGGTTCGGGTATTCGAGGAAGATCTCGGTCATGATGCGGTCGACTTCGCCCGACGTGTCGATCATTTCGCGCAGGCGGGTCATGGCGTACTTCTTCTGTTGCTCGGCGAAGCCGAGTTGGGCCTGGGGTTGCTCGTGGCGAGTCGCTTTGGTGGTTTGGAGAGCCGGGGCGGACTGTTTTGGGAAACCGGCGCCTTCTTGGAAGATGCGGGTGACGATTTCTTTGGCACCGCCGCGCCCGAGACCTCGGGCGCCCCCACCGCCGTGGGCGAGGTCGCGAATAATATGACGGTCAAGCCATTGCCGTGTGAGCGAAGGGGGGGTTTCCGGAGAAGTTGCCCTCAGCCGACCGGCAACCCATTCTCCTACCACCATGACGCCTCGGAGGTCGCCCTCTGCGTTGCTCTCCGCCCCCCGTTTGGCGTCGATGCCGCTAGTCATCCCCCACGCGGCCTCGCACAGCTTTCGCGCAGCATCCTTGTCGCAAGGGATGCCCTCCTTTTCAAAAATGGTCTTCAGCCGGGTAACCACCGCCTCCACAGTTGGTTTCCCGACGTGGATGACCTCCGCCAAGCCAGACTGCCGCAGTGGGCGCAACGAGGGATGGTAAACGTCGTTACAAATAAGAACCAGCGGCCTCATCTGCCTAAAGTCATCCCCCTTCTTCTTCCTGCGGCCCGTCCCGGACGTCGTCGCGCCTCCCGTGCTGTTCTTCTGGTCTAGCAGCACGAGATCGATCAGCGCCTTGACGAAGCCACCCTCCCCCGAGCCTCCGGAGCCGCCAACCACACCGTCGACCTCATCCACAACCACGCACACCGGTCGAGCCACCTTGGGCTGCTTCCCCGGTTCCGGCTTCCTGTGCTCCACCGTCTTCACGCTCTCGGTACCCAGGCTGGTCCGGATCCGGCCCTTGACGACGTCCTTGCTCCGCTCGTCGCTCGCGTTGATCTCCATGACCTCGTACCCGGCCTGGCGCGCGCACACATGCGCCAGGGTCGTCTTTCCAAGGCCGGGCGGGCCGTGCAGCATCAGGATCTTGCGGTGGGGTTTCTCTTCCTCCGGCTGGTGCCCCTGCTGCCCCTGTGGGCCCTGCGGCTGCTGCTGCTGCTGCTGCTGCTGCTGGCGGTGGAGGCGCCTGATGGCCGGTTTGCTCTTGCTGGCGGCGTGCGGAAACACGATGGGGTCCCAACGCTTCAGCCAGCGGAGCACCTGGCGGTTGGTCAAGTCGTCGCCGCAGAGGTCCATGAAGGTGCGGGCGCGGTATTTCTCGGTCCAGAGCATGGTGCGGTTGCGCTTGGCTTTCGTGAGGTTCGCGTATTGGGCTTCGACGGAGCGGAGGGGGTCGTCGGCGTCGGCGGGCAGGGTGACGGGCGCCGTCGTTGTTGCAGACTTGGTCGTCTTGCGGGTTCGGGCAAGTTCCTTATTCGCATCGTCGATGAGCTCGTGGATGGCGATGCCGTAGTAGCTCTTGTGTGCACGGCCTTCCTTGGTCCTGGAGCGGGCTGCTACCATGTTTGCGTACGAGACTGCGGCGGTGGGCTTGCGCTCTCGGACAGGGATCGTCTGGGCGGAACATGTCGAAATCTGGTAGGAAGCCGGGCGCGGGTCCTTGCTGGTGAATGCGGCTAGTGTAGGCAAGCCCTGGTTTCCGAAAAGACGTTCATAGCGTTCCGCTTCTTCCCCAAATTCGCCGTGCAACTGACTGTCGGGTGGAGTTGAGACGACCACCTCGGCGGCAGGCAACGTCTCGTTCAACCGTCCCTCCACGGGTTGTGTTCTAGCATCCGTAAAGGAGCGTCGCGTGTCTTGTTCATTTTGGGTGTCTTGGGTGTCTTGGGTGCCTTGTTGGAGCATGCGCCGCTTTGGTGACGGCTGCTCCGAGATGTCGTCGCCAGAGTCGTCCTCGGCAAGGAAGCCGCCAAGAATGCGAGGCTTTGGGGGCTTCGACGGGTTGGGAGGTCGTGGTCTCTTCGCGGTGACCGGGGAGGAGCTGGCGGGAAATGTGACGGGGGATGAAGGTGCAAGCATTGTGTAAGCGAGTGATCCGTGTTATCACTCAAGTAAGGAGTGTGTAAAAATCGGGGGAGCAAGCTGGTGTTGGTGTTGTCGCTGCGGCGCGCAATTGAAGACGCGCTTCGACGGGACCGCGACAAGTGGGCGGGTCACAAGAGATGGTGGGGCAGAGCGCATCGGCCCCACCTGCCACAAGACGAGGAGCCTTGCCGAGGCAGACAAACCAGTTCTCTTTGTATGGTTGCCCATCGTTAAGCGGCGTGGACCTGCTGCAAAGCACCGTGTCCCAACCTGCCGGCGAAAGCTGACTGTGACCGGTTGATGGCTGCGTGCTCAGCGGACCTGGCGTCGCTTGGGGCTTTCAATGTACCAGGTAGGCTTGCGGACCAAAACCAGGGAGCGGCGAGAAACCGCACCTCGTGTTTGAGGCTGCTTGGGGAAGGTGGGGATCGCACGCCCACAACCAAGGCTCGCCACAATTCAAACAATCCAAATCTGAAGGCGTAATTGAATTGATTGGGTTAATATTTGATTACGCTTAATTAGATTTGATCTGTTTGACAGGAATCAATTAATTGCCTAGCCCTATATATAACCCTAACCCCCCCCCCCCCCGCGCCCTTGGCCTTCCTGACTTGCAGTCGCCAATCTATCAACTTGAACAAAACGCAAAACGCAGTCAAATTACGCCGCCCAACGCCTCGATCTGGTGTTCAATGGTGGGTAGGGGGTGCGCGCCGCCGGGAACGCTTGCGCGGGCGGGTTTCAAATTCCACAGGCTGTATACTGAACTGACTGACTGGCTGGGCCGCCTCTGGGCTCCGGGCGGGCTGGTTGGTTGGTTGGCGATGCGAATGTCCCTACAAACGGGCCCTGTTGTGGTAGCGCCATTAGGGGTCTGGGTTATACAGGGCAGAGGTTGGTGGCTGTAGCGGGGGGCTGGGCTGGTTATAGCTAGTTTAAATAATTTAAATATAATTGATTAAATTTACCCTAATATTTAATTAACTAGGTAGCTAAATTGGTTTATTTAGATTTTGTGACGAACCTGTCTCTGGACCCGTCCTGTTAGGGTTCAGTATCGGTCGAAGGTATTCTCTCAAGGGTGCTTAGGTTCGGTGCAGCCAAAGGGTGCACAACAAAGACTTGTCTCAACAGTAGGCTCTCGAGCTTGTAGCGAACTGTAGTTGTGATTGCTAACTGGAGAACTCCCAGAGCTCTCCAGAACGAGTGACTATATACTGCTATCTAACGTGTTGATCCCTCTGCTCCCTATGCTCCCGAGGAGCGATGGGAGCGTCGTGAGCAGTGAGTGCGGCGAGTGCTCCCCGTGCTCCCTTCCTCGAGAGGGAGCGTCGGGAGCGCTTTCACTTGTCGCAACGATTGGCCGTTGGACCCTTAAATGATTGGCCGGGACGTCCCGCATCCCGCAGGCCAAGACCGCGTTGGGCCTAATCCGTGACACGATGCCCCTCCTCCGCGGTCGACGTCCCGACGACCTTATTCCCTTCCGTGGTTCTTGTCATAAGGAGCCGGCTAGTCCTCCTCCCTTCGTCCTGGGGTGGGTGTCTCCCTTCTTTCTGCGCCTCTACCCATCATGCCTCCTAACCGTGTGCGAAAGAAACGATCGCAGAAATCCAGTACTGATCGCCGCCGCGATCGCGCATCCGCCCGAGACGAGTTTGCCGTTGAAATGGCCCGTTGTTCTCGTTGCAAAGAAAAGAACATTCCTGATTGCCGCGTGCCTCCTGAGGACGACGTCTGCACCGCATGCGCCAAGGTGCACAATAACAATTGTGACTCCTTCGGTTACGATAGTTCCGCCTTCCAACGCTTGGTCCTGCAGAAACGTCAACTGGACAAGGAGCGTCAAGAGGCCGATCAGGCCCTAGGCGCCGCCCTCGCGCGGGTTGACCGCTTGCGCCGTCAACACCAGTCCTTGGAGGATCAGGCACGCCGGATGTTTGACCAGGAGGGGAGGGTGCTGGAGGAGCAAGAGCGCCGCGAGGCTGCCGTCGCGCAGCCGTCTTCGAGTGCCGTTGTCGCTTCTCCCCTGGGTCCTTCCTGGGGTCAAAGGTGTGCCCCCTCTCTCTCCTGCTTCTTCTCGTCCTCGTGCTGACTATGCTAGTTTCTTTTCGGACGACCCCTTCCTCGCTGGGGTCGACTTGTCTGCGGGGTTTCCCTTGGTCGATCCGGGTTCCTCTGGTGGAACTCCTGAAGTTTCTCGGGGCAGTTGAGATTTGTAGCTGGTTGCCATGAATTGTCTTCTGGGCCAAAGTCCAGCCATTTGACCAAATACTCCAACTGTCCTTTCGTGATGCGTGAATCTAGGACTTCCTCAACGTCCCATTCCTCCTCTTCGTCTTCTGCCTCGGCGTCCTTGTCGAGTCGTGCGCCCTTGGGCGCTGGTTCCAGAAGTGAGATGTGGAAAACGTTGGTCCGTAGTCGCATTGTCGAGGGTAACGCGAGAGCGTAATTGTTCTCCGAAATCTTTTTGTCGATCTTGAACGGTCCGACTTTGCGAAAGTCGAGCTTCCTGCTTGGTCGCTTCGTGCGAAGATTTCGAGAAATGAGGTAGACTTTGCCCCCCTCCTCTAGGCGAGGTCCCTCGAGCCTGTTTCTGTCGTAGAACTTCTTCATCCGTGTTCGTACGAATTCGAGTTCTTCCTTGAGCATCGCGTGCAGCGAGCTCATTTTGTCGGCTTTGACTGCCGCTCTGGGCACCGAAACTTCGGGCCCTTGTCGCAAATCTGCTTCGTAGCCGAAATTCGCGAAGAATGGTGTGACCCTGGTGGTCTCCGTGACGGTGGTGTTGTAGGCGAGTTGCGCTGTCGGCAGCAGCTCGACCCAGTCATCCTGCTGGAAATTGACGTACAACCGTAGGTATTGTTCGACGACCTGGTTGAGTCGTTCCGTCTGTCCGTCCGTCTGTGGGTGGTAAGCGGTTGAGAGCTTACTTTTCGTACCCAGTCTCGTCATCAGAGCCTGCCAAAACTTTGATGCGAACTTGGTGTCTCTGTCCGTGATCCATTCCTCCGGCCAGCCGTGGACCGAGGTGATGTTGCGGTAGATCACGTCTGCGAGTTGTTCTGCTGACCATGTCTCCTTGTAAGGGAGGAAGTAACTCCACTTGGTGAGTCTGTCCACCATCGTGAGGATGCTGTCGTATTCTACTCCCGTTACTGAGTCCTTGGAGGCTGGTAGTTTGGTGATGAAGTCCATCGTCACCGAACTCCATGGTCGTTCTGCAACTGGCAATGGCTGTAGTAGCCCGTACGGCTTGTGTCGTCCTGGCTTGCTCCGCTTGCAGAGGTCGCATTCCGCCCGGACCTCTTCTGCCGTCTGCTTGATTCCTGGGAAGTCGTAGTTCTGCTTGACTTTCGCAATTGTCTTGCTGATTCCCATGTGTCCTCCGAGTCTCGACTCGTGGATCTTTCGAATGAGCTCCTTTTGGTCACCCAGCCTGACATAGGCCTTGTCGTGGTACCAGAGTCTCGTTCCTTCAAGTCGCAATCCCGCGATCTTGGATTCTGGCTCTTCTTGCCATGCATCGCGTTCGTCGTCCGCGATGATTCCTTGGAAGTCTTGTTCCAATCTTTGTTCTCTGAAGGCCGCACAGCATTCTACAAACGGTTGCAGAGGCCTGGCTTCGGGATCTTCCGACTGCTGCTGAAGTGCTGCGATCTCGTAGTCTTCAGTCGGTTGGGAAGCGTGCCGTAGCGATCCGTCTGTCTGTTGATGTAGCAATGGTGGTGAGGCTTCAGACGTGTTGTCGTGGTGATCCGCTCTCCTACTCAAGGCATCCGCTCGTGCGTTTTCTGAGCCTTTCTTGTAGTGGATCGTGAAGTTGAATTCGGACAGAAATTCTGCCCACCGAGTTTGTCGTCCGTTCAGCACCTTGGTGGTGGTGAAGTACCGTAAGTTCTTGTGGTCCGTGTACACCTGGACTTCGTGTGTCGTGCCGCTGAGGTATGGTCTCCATTCCTGAAATGCTTCGATGATTGCGAGAAGCTCCTTGTCGTGGATCGGGTAGTTAAGCCTTGGTCCTTCGAGTTTCTTGGAGAAGAACGCAACTGGGTGAAGCTTGCCGTCCTTGTCCCTCTGACCAAGTTGTCCTCCGATCGCGAAGTCCGAAGCATCAGCCTCGACTTCGAAAGGTGTGCTTGGATCAGGCAGCATGAGCACCGGGTCGGCGATGATCGCATCGCGGATCCGCTGGAAAGCCTGCTCGTGCTCCTGCTTCCACTGGAATGTGGCATCCTTTTTGGTAAGTTCGTGCAGAGGTCTCGCGAAGTCGCCAAAATTCTTGATGAACATTCTGACGAAGTTGGCGAATCCGATAAATCCTCTGACCTCCGTGGCGTTCGTCGGTGTCGGCCACGTCTTGACAGCTTCCAGTTTCTCGGGTTCGATCTTGACCCATCCCGGGGAGATTTCGTAACCCAGAAACACTGTTTTCTTGACATGAAACTCGCTCTTGTCCTTGTTGACTGACAATTTGTGCTCGTGCAGTGCGTCCAGCACCTGCCGCACGTGTCTCTTGTGTTCTTCGAGTGTCTTGGAGTAGATGAGAATGTCATCCAAGTAACAGACTGCAAATTTATCGAGGCAATGTCGAATTGCGTGGTCGATAGCGGCTTGAAATGTCGCTGGTGCGTCGGTCAACCCGAACGGCATGACGAGGTACTCGTAGTGCCCGTAGGGTGTCCGAAAAGCCGTCTTCCATTCGTCTCCTTCCTTGATGCGGATGTGGGCGTACGCTGTTGGAAGGTCGAGTCGTGTGAAGTGTTGTGCTCCTGACAGCTGATCTCGAAGCCTCGAAATCAGTGGCAGCGGGTATCGGTTCTTCACCGTCTCGTTGTTCAACTGTCGGTAGTCCACACACATCCTGAGCTTCCCATCTTTCTTTGGAACGAAGAGGACTGGGTAGCCTGCTGGAGATGTCGATGGTCTGATGTGTCCTATCTCGAGATTCTTTTCGAGATAACTCCTCAACTCTGCATCTTGCTTCTCGTTGGTGTGGTACACCTTGAAAAACTTCAACTGGGCTCCTTCCTTGAGTTTGATCTCGTGATCCCAAGGTCCGTGGTCTGGTAGCCCTGCAAGATGTTTTGCCGTGAACGCCGGGTGCCCCTTGTAGTCGTCTGGGATCTGCCCCGTCTTTGCGTTCTTCGCTGTACCCTCGTAGTACGCGAACTTGTTGTTCCCAGGCTCGATGCTCGCTGCTTCGAGTTCCCTGACTTCTTCTGCTGCCAGCTCGATGCTTGCCGCTTCGAGCTGATTGACCCATTGTTCGTGTTTGAGCATTCCGTGCTCGTCGACTGAGACGACGGCGATGGTTCGTTCCTCCCGTGCCTGCTTCTTTCGTCGTGTGCCGCTTCTTCCGGACTCCAGAGTGCGTGGTTCTGCACTGGCTGCTTCCTGCGGTGGGCCCGTAGAGGGGGTTCGTTCTGACCCG